GGTTCCACGTCCATTCCCATGGCCTTCAAATTGACTGCGAACTTTCTCAGGGACTCTTTCATTTCATCCGGGCTGGAAAATTGGCTCCGGCCAGGTTGTTCAATGTACAGGTAGGTCCAGTTTCGAAGGGGCATGGGCTTGGAGAACTGAATCGCCTTCATGTTCCAGGATCCACCCATGGCCATGATCTCCTTGTTCTTCGCGTACAGGATCTTTGGAGGAGGCAGCACCCGACCTTGGATGGTGATCAGATTGTTCTCAACCTGGATTCCAAAAGCAGCCAGAGTTGCAGTCAGGGGCTCTCCGAGTCCAAGCATTCCTACGCCCTTGGTGACAATCGACTGGGCATTCTGAGCCGGTGTGCGACCCCGCACTGCAAATCGAAGCATCTCCGCAGTTTGATTCGGGCTGAGCTTTGTCCTCACGGGTTGACCAGCTTCAACAACACATACATCGGAAGGGAGATACATAGGGTTCTGCTTGTTGCCGACATTGACGACAGAAAACTCTGGGTTGCAGGTAATGTTGTATTCTCTCTTGAAATAAGCTGCCACCGAGATGTATTGACCTGCTTGGGTAGGACCAGCCTTAGCAGGCTTCTTCCCCTTCTTAGGCTTTGCTTCGGCGGGTGGTGCCTGACCGGGCTTGGAACCAGGGGCTTCAAGGAAGAACTCCACATCATTGGGACCAGCACCGTGACGAGCCACTCTAGGTGGATTGGGGTTTGATCGGCCATCTGCCAGGGTTGCCAGTCCGGAAATCTTCTTGACTGGCGATGGACGAACCTTGCCACTGCTGCTCTTCCGCACAATATGGGTACTACGAATACGCATCCCTTTCACGAAGGCATCCAAGCGGTAGGTATTGCCCCGACTGGTGGTATATTTGTGTTCTCCCATGACGGCAGGTAGCGGTCCCTCCTGATAGCACGCAATATACTTGACTTGCACATTCAGCAGAGCTCGGGCTGTGGCGGCACGGACACTGATGAAAAAGCCGCGAAGGGCCTCCAGACCACCACCAAGGGGGAATCTTTCAGCAATGGCAGCTTCCAAGCTAAAATGCTTACTACCTCCAATGGTGACTACCGACTGCTGGGTCTTAGGGTGATGGCCCATGATCACGTTCAGTGCTTGCACAATTTGTTCTTGTTGCATCAGAGGACCCTCAACATTACTTGAAGAGAGGTAGTTGATCAAATCAGAGGGGTCAAGGGTACCAGTCGCACCAACAGTGACGTTAAAGATCTTGGGGCTCTCCGGGTATTCATCTTCGCCTTCATTCTTATACCGAACCTCAAACTTTTGATCTCCAGTCAGCTTCAGCTCGACGGCTGAAATCAAGTTCGATCGATAGTCGGTTGCAATGTTGTTCAGGTTGTCGTTGAAATGTTCTTCCAGCAAGAGGCGCACAACATGACGAGCCTTTTTGGCTGGCACGTCTCGACCCTGATCCTTGGCGATGGACACATGATAGCGGTACACAGGCTTGCCAACCGAGGTGAAAGGCATGTAGTTGGCATAGAGCGTGACGGGCTTACCCAAAGTTCCATATCCTGGTCGATTGGGATACATTGCCGAATCCACGGTCTTCTTCAAGTTGCGCCCAGAGATAGCCTTGGCAGTTTCATTTTCGATCTTGGTGACTTGAGCATTGGGTGCAGGTACTGGTCGGCCCTCACTATATCACAAAAAACATTAGCCCCGATGACTTGGCGATGAGTGTTTTAACAAATTTCCGTCGTCTTTTTCTGGTAATGCCTGGGGTATCTGGGGGAAATCTTATTCGGATACTTGAAGATGCGTGGGCCTTGGTTTCCACCGCCACGGCCACGACCACCAAAATCTCCACGACCGCGCCCACCACGAAAGTCACCACGGCCACGGAAATCTCCACGACCACGGAAATCACCGCCACCGCGGCCTCGGAATTCACCTCCACCTCGAAAATCGCCACGGCCACCACGATCGCTAGCAGGGCGGAATGGCATATTAGTGTCACCTCGGCCGCGACCGCGGCCTCCGCCTCCTCCGCCACGGTCACCACGTCCTCGACCACGGCCTCGGGGGTTATCGGCCATGATTGTTGTTAATGAAAAAAAAGTTTCAAATTTGATGGTCAAAGTAATGTACCACAAGGGAAGGGGATGGGGAAGAGGGAGTAAGGTAGAAAGCTAGAGAGCTCTAGAGCAAACCAAAATAGTCTCCATTTAGTCGTCGGCGGGATCTTTTTTGTTACGGTATTTGAGTTGTTGTGATACATCACCTGCATTTGCACCATTTTATTTGTCACAGTGCATAATATTGCCCGCTTCTTTGATTCCCCGGGCAAAGGAACTACGTGGCATACCCAATTGGGTATGAACAGGGGTTCGGATTCACGATCCTGGTCAGCGCTACACATGCGAGCATCCGGGCATTTGTGATTTGGTTTTACGGTTTTACCAGAACGAGTGGGGATCTCCCACTTCCCGCTTCCCGCTGAGACTTTAATGTTGAATTAAATCAACTTGAACCCTTAAGGGCTAACTTCAAATTGAACATGAACAGGGGATGATGATGTTGTATTAAGCTGATGCTACCTGGCTAGTAATCGCCGTGGTAATGCAGGCGCTCGCTGTCACGGTACTTGTCAGGTTGATCCTGTAATCACAGGAGCACCTTAGGCAACGAACTGCGGGGTATCCAGTACTTAATCGGACCCCAGTAAGCCGGGGTTCCAAATTCTTCAAGTATTAGTTCTTATTGTATTGGAAAGTACTAAATACTACCTGACTTGTCACCGATATCTTCCTGATTCACCTAACCACCAGGTGCCACCCTAATCTGGCACTTTCTCTCACACTCGCCCGGTGGAGCAAGAATATTCCGGACGCCAGTAGGATACAGATGTCACGGGCCCATGCCCGCTGCCTGATCACGTGTAGTACACGTGCCCTTATACACTTCCGCTGCCCCTCCTGTTTCTCCGTTCTTCATGTTATTCTAGACAGCACGTCCGACATAGCTTGTTCTGAATTTAAGTCCTGCTTTAGTCCGTCACAACAGAATGAACAAAGAAAAGCGGCGTGTTGCCAAAGACACCCCAAAAGAACAGTAAAAAGAACGTAAATCCCCAGAGTCAAACTACGATTCGGACGCCCCGTCCGTTGTCTCCGCCTTTTCTCCTTGTACAACTCCTCGCCGGCCCTTGAGCCACTCTCGCATCCCCTCAATTAGGGGTTCGTTACATACATGATCTGAAGGATTATTAAGACAACCAGGGCTCCCCAAATTGGAGAAAATGAGCACAAGAGAAAACGGGCCGTAAAGCTGAAAACAAGATGAAAACCAAATGTGATGGAATTGTATTCTGAGAAAAGTGGATGGTGGGGTAAATCCAGAGCTCAGAGGTAAGAAACGCCACAAAATGAGAACTTTTCTGCCCACGATTTCCGCCCTGGCACACGGGCCGCAGAACTCCGTAGAACATGCAATTTAATCAAAAGACAAAAACATTTGAAGAGCGTGCTCACACGCCACAACATCGTAGTATCTGGAAAGTGTCCATGGGTTGGGCAAGAGGTTCCTTGGCCAATTTGTAAACCCCAAAGGTATAAAATATCATCAAAAATAGTCGTTGATTGAATTTCCCCTGGCACAATTAGCGGCACAATTAGCGGCAGAATATAGGCGGTAAAAATCGCAAACTGATTTAACTCCACTGTACGGAGTACCCCACATGGCAAACGTTGAACAAAGCGCGCGTCGTGAGAAGCTGGCCTTTTTATCCTTCAAGTTCTCATCAACTCGCCAGGTATCCTTTTGGGACTCGTGGATGCCATGGATGAAACCTGGGATACCACTCCAGCAGAAGCTGCAGTGGTGGGTACCAATGGCGAAGCTTATCGTCCGCGCGGGTATCAACTCGAAATGCTGGAGGCCAGTCTACAGCAGAATATTATTGTGGCCGTATGTTACCATAGCCTTCTTTGCTGCTAATGAAATGAACTGACATTGAATCACACGCATCAGATGGATACAGGGAGTGGGAAGACGCAAATGTAAGTAATCTGATAGATCAGATCTACTCCATTTTCAAGAGTCAAGACTGATAAACCCCTAGAGCCGTACTAAGGATTATGGCCGAGCTGGAGCTTAGTGGACCGGATAAAGTATCAACTTGAAGCTCTGCTTTCTTCCTTTGTATGAGTTGCGTATTGAGCTTTTACTTACATGTATTGAGCAGCTCGTGTGGTTCCTGGCGCCAACAGTAGCCTTATGTGTGCAACAACATGAGGTCATTTCATCCCAGATCCCAGCGGTGAAAACCCGTACCCTTACTGGAATGGATAATGTTGATCGCTGGACAGAGCAGTCCGTCTGGGATAAAGTTCTAGAAGATGTGCGAGTCGTGGTATCAACTCATGCGGTCCTTTCGGATGCATTGAACCATGGGTTTGTTCGCATTTCAGGTTTATCGCTACTCGTCTTTGATGAAGGTATGTCTACGAAGTATTGGTCTTATCTTTATAGCTCACATTTGTAAAAATTGAAATAAATAGCTAACATTGAAAACAGCCCATCATTGTATGCGTCGCCATCCAGCAAATAAGATCATGCAATATCACTACCATCCAACTAAGGAGAAGCTCGGTCCAAAATCTGTCCCTCGAATTTTAGGCTTAACTGCAAGTCCTATTGTCCGATCTAGTCGACAAGAGCTTGAGTGTGTCAAACATCAAACTTATTGTATCAGAAACTAACATGAGTATAGAACCATTGAAGCGAATTTGGACGCGGTTTGTAAAACTCCACGTACGCACAGAACAGAACTCATTTTTCACGTCCATCGTCCACACTTGGAACGTATTCAGTATCCAGCGTATGATCCTGAGCAGCAAGGCGCTGGCAGCCGACTGCTTACGCGATTGTTTTCTTGCATTCGATCGTATGATATGAGATATGACCCATATATAGAAATGCTTAGAAAACGGCCTGAAACAGAGGAGCAAGCCGATAAGGCCACAGTGTCTGGCAAAACATTTTGTCTAGAACAGCTAACTAAGTTCCGCGAGCAATGCATACACATCTATGAAGAACTTGGTGGTTGGGCAACAGATTATTACATTGAAGCTTGTACTGCCCAACTGGAACGTTCTGTTGGTATCGTTGCTGGAATGACCCAGTTAGCGTGTGAAGAGAAGGCCTATGTACTGAAACTTCTTTCTGCCATTCTTGTTGACGGCAAGACCCATCAAACTTTCCACATCTCTTCCAAACTGGAAACTCTTCTCTCTTTCCTTGACAAACACGACAATCCAAATTTTTCTGGCTTGATCTTCGTGAAACGAAGAGCAACAGTCAGCGTTCTTTCACAAATCCTTACCAACCATTTAACAACCAAAGACCGATTCCGTTGCGCTGCCTATGTAGGCTGGTCAGGGAGTGTCAGCCGTAAAGACTCTCTCGGTGATCTTCTCACACGTCAAGCGCAGAAGGATACTCTTTCACTCTTCAAATCCGGTGCCAAAAACCTCATTGTCTCTACCGACGTTTTAGAAGAAGGACTTGACGTGAGCTCTTGCAGCCTTGTGATTTGTTACGACAAGCCCGCCAACCTCAAGTCATTCGTTCAAAGACGCGGACGTGCTCGACACCAAGAATCTACTTACGTGATCTTGACTTCATCTGACGACGAGTTACTTGATTTAGAGAAGTGGCAATCATTGGAACAAGCAATGGTCGAATCCTACCAGGATGACGAACGAAAGTTACACGATGCCTCAGGCCAAGAGGAAGCAGTTAGTGAGTGGCTGAAAGTCGATAAGACTGGGTATGTATTGATTCAAGCCTTGTTTAAAGGTCTTTTTTCTTTTTTTCGATTTTACTAAACACCATTTTATGTAGTGCCCGTCTCTCCGCTGATGATGCGATTGCCCATTTGAATCACTTTTGTGATACTCTTCCGACCAACAAGTTCGCCGATAAGCATGCCATGTTCACCTTCCAAGAGAACTCTGATAGGTTGATTCAAGGCACAGTTACACTTCCAAACTCCGTTGACCCAGCTGTGCGTCGCGCTCAAGGAAAGAAGTGGTGGAAGACCGAGCGTGCAGCCCGAAAAGAAGCCGCTTTCCAAGCGTACAAGGCTCTACTGGAGCATGGCCTGGTAAATGACAATCTCCTTCCACTTCTTATTGAGGAGCAACAAATCCCATCAGTCAAGAAGAAGGACCACGGCGGAGTGATTGAGGATCTTGAAGGTCAATATGATCCCTTTAAAGATTTCGCAAAGCTTTGGGAGGCTCCCGATCTCCATCAAACTGATATCATTTTTACCCATAATGGCTATGTATATGAGGATTTTTCCATGTCACTCATATTGCCTTGTTTCACAATCATGCCAGGTCCGACCCCTATGTACTGGAACTCAAATACAACACTGATTGCATCGTTTACTACTCCGAGACGCATTGATCCAGTCTCACCGGAAATGCTTCAATTGATGAGAGAGGTCACTGGCATGTTCATGCAAGGCCGCTCATCTAACATTCCCAATTCTGAACGGGACTATGTGGCGCTCTTCATCCCAAGAATTCCCTTTGATGAATTACAAGAATGGACTTGCAGAAACGAGGGTATCGAGTCAGCATTGGCGTATTACGCACGAGAGAAGACCATTCCGCCTGCTGGGATCATCCGCAACACAGCCAAGTACAATAAAACGCACCTTTTTCGAACTTGGATTGTGTCTGAGAATGATGGTAATGTACAGATTGACATAGAGTGTGAAGCAACCCCTCAGAGGCGTAACTTTCTCAACCCACGTACTAAGGCAGAGGCCGACGAAGATGGTCAGCCTACTCAAGCCAAAATCTCCATAGTACCTGCAAAAGACTGCACTTTGGCAAGACTCCCCGCTCGCAAAGCACTCTTTGGACTTTTGATTTCTGCTATTCTGGATCGCATCGAGGTTGTCCTGGTTGCACAGAGGCTTAAGGACAGCTTCTTAAGTCCACTTAATTTCAAGAACCTCGGACATATTATCACGGCAATCACAACCCCACTCGCCCAGGCAAGAACTGATTACCAGGTCTATGAGTTCTTTGGCGACTCCATACTCAAGTTCACAGTTTCCGTCCATCTATTCTGGCAGAACCCGACTTGGCCAGAAGGTTATCTCTCGTCAAATCGTGATAAAATCGTCAAGAATAAGCGCCTTGCGGATGCAGCTCGGAGTGCTAAACTGGAAAGCTTTATCCTGAATAAGCGTTTCACCCCGGGGAGATGGGAGGCGCCGCTCATCGCTCAGAAACTGGCCAAATCAGCTGATAAGCAAACCCTGTCTAGCAAGGTGCTTGCTGATATAGTCGAGTCTCTTATCGGCGCGGCATTTATGGATGGCGGAATGTCCAAAGCCCAGGATTGTGTGCAACTATTCTTACCAGAGGTGGAATTCCTGAGTCGTCATATAACGAACGTGAACCTTTCGTCTACTACACGGGGCTCAAGTAAGCTGATCGACCAGAACGTTCTTGCTAATGCCATTGGGTATACTTTCAAGGACACCTCTCTTCTTACTGAAGCGCTGACGCACCCATCTTGTGAGCACGATGTCACTACACAGTCTTACCAGCGACTTGAGTATCTGGGTGATTCAGTCCTTGATATGGTCCTTGTCTCTATCCTGATTTCACACTGCGAGAAGACTCTTACTCAGGGTCAAATGACGATAATCAAGCACGCTCTGGTGAACGCAAACCTCCTAGCGTATCTTTGTATGAGCCATCATGTTCCTGGAGTGGCAGTTGATGAAATGGAGACTGATAAGGAAGAAGCCAAGGTAGGCTTATCTCAGAGTGCCTCTATTTGGCAATTCCTTCGCTTTAACGGTCAACCTATCACCATTGCCATCCAGGGCTGTATAGCCAGATACAATGTCATGCGAGACCAGATCGCGGAATCAATCACGAGTGCGGATTTCTATCCCTGGCAACCCCTGGCCACAATGCACCCGGATAAATTCATGTCTGATATCGTAGAGAGCATTCTTGGGGCAATCTATGTTGACTCGGAGGGTGACCTTGCAGCCTGTCAGGTCTTTCTAGAGCGGATTGGCCTAATTGCGTATCTTCAACGGGTGCTCAAAGAAGGTATCAACATGGTGCATCCCCGCAACGCGGCGCAGGCTCTGGTGAAGAACGAAGGGATAATTGCGTTTAAGATAAAACGAGTGGAAAATGCGGGTAGTGACGCAACTTACTCTGGCGATCTGGTGTTCCACAAAAATCCCACGGAGAATCAGCCGAGGGAGGTGCAGCATCTCCTGGAAATTTCCGGTTGTGTATCCGCCGAGGAGGTCGAGGTCCAGCTTTCCTACGAGTTTATCCAACGCAAGATGGCCTCGGCTTCTTCTTCGCAAGAGAACACCGGTGAGAATTGAAGTGCCACTACGGGTGTAGGAGAGAGAGATTCTAGGACAACCATGATCCCATTCAAATGTTCAACTTGTAGCGGATGATTTCAGGGTCCCATCATGATTAGTACTGGGGAAGTCGAATAGAAGCTTGAAATTTCAAAGTTCTCTCACGGGCATTTCTAACATTTGAAAATTCTTGTATAGTAGTAGTAGTTCAGTGGCATCAATCCATCTTCAAGTTCCATTTGAAACTTCAAGTTCAATTGTTACCCGTACATACATAGTACATATACCCTGAATATATCACTGCCCAGGTGGCATCTAGAACTCTCAGTTGAGAAGAGCACATACTATCTCTTGGCACATCGAATTCTTGGTTTTTCATTACCTCTGGCGCTACATTTTGATCCCAAATTCGTTGGGTTAAACGACTCGGATGTCGCCGCCAGCTGCATAGTGGCCGGCCCTGTCCAGGTGTCAGGGGGTCAATCCACCGCACCCGGAGATACCACACGCCGCATATTGAACATCAACCACGACATCCAGGTCCTGATCAAGCATATCAACGCATATTCAGGGCTGCGCGTGCCATAAACTTTGGTCCAGACTCTGAAAAATTTGGAAGACCCGACCAAAGACCTCATTCAGAACCCCTGGGAGTCGCAGTGGGGTGCTAAACTCACCCAGTTGACACAGGATAATGCGGAGGTTCGCGAGGATCTCACCGCTATACGTCTGGCCCAGCAGACACCGGTTCGCATGTCGACAGCAAGCAACGCCGCCGCCGCACATGTTGCCCCTGCCCACCATCTTTCATCCCATATGGCAGAACTGGATTATGAGTCGATTATGGCTCACCCACGGGCGGCTTGCTACGTCGCCGAATTTATGATCAAAACAGGCCTTCTGGGTCAATTCCGGAACTGCAAAGTTGAACCAGAACCGGACCCTGAAGACACTGAACCAAACACCGGAATCAGACCGGAAGGGACAGCGTAGTGAAGACTGTAACGGGTTGAACCCGACGAGGGCTTGTCAATCCTCGACGAAGCCCAAAGCCACGATCACGTACGGTCACGTTCGACGACAGTTGACCACGGACGTCTCCGCTTACAGCCCCACACGGGATCCGCGGAAAGACATACGTGCCCCATCATGTACTATAGCTTCCTCTTCCTTAAGCATGAATGTAAACTGCATGTCGGCCTATATCGTTCTGCTTCAGTCTTTATAGAGCCCATCACACTTTCCTATCAAGCCGGGGAACTCCTTACGAATATCTGGGATAGCACCAGTGGCCATGAACGGACCCATGTCCGGGAAGAGTGTGAAAACGTTATTCGCATTCTTCGGTCCTTGTCGATCTATGTTCCTGACACCGGAAAGCATAATGTTCTATATGACCGGGCCACAGGAGCCGTGACGATGCTGGATTTTGGTACGGCGATTCCGTGTGCTGCGTCAGAACATATTCCCTACATAGAACTGCTATCATTGTTTGGAGACCGTGTGATGTGTGGACATGAGAGTGGTGGTTAGTCATATGCGGGTGGAGATAGGATCGTTATTGATTATTACTGGGAATTACTATACTTAATTTACTTTTTTTTCAGAGATGGACACTTATACTTACCACGTGCCCAGGTGGTCATGTTGTATATCCCGAAAAAGCCTCCTCCCTCTTTCCTCAAATGTCATAGCTTCGAACCACACGACACAGAGCCTTGCCGGAGAACCCTCCATTTAAAATATCACGGCCCGCTCCACATCTTGACCATGGATCGATTGCCCTGGCAGGACTTCTGGATCGAAGAACTTCCGAAAGACCCCAAGACGCTCTCGCCGAAACTTGTAGACTTCCTAGTGCAGTTCAACCTTCACCCAGCCGCGCCATATGTTTACTCCCGGCCAATCTCCTGGTCAAAAGCCTTCGATAAGGCCAACTGGTCCAACCACCTCCTAGAGGGAGACGCTGACGGGCGTGACTTCTTCTCAAACTGGAGCTGCTCAAAGAAACCGGAAATGGCATGCTCGATTGCTCTCTTTAGCATGTGGACTAGCTCTTGGGTTCGCGATCCAGACTGGGACTCCAAAACATGGCACGTGTAGAGTGCTGCGACAATCAAGCCCCAGAAGGGGAGTGGCAAGTGGCTAGTTATCTGGGACTGCGATCCTCGAAGCCCTTTTGAGACTGATGGCTCGCTGAAACGCCCTCATGAGTTCTTGCTACCTGTGCAAACCAAGCTGTTGCTATGAACAAAATCACTGAACACCACATGTGCAAACATATATCCAACTGGCAAAGTTGTTATATGACTATGTTAAGGATGGGCATACTAGGTGACCGGCAAGAGCTCTATTTCTCCACTGAGCATGATGAATGGGAGATCAGCTACCAACCTCGCCTTGGGCTCCCATTAACAAGCTACAAAGAAAAGTGGGAAGCCTTGAAACAGATATCACCATCCTCCACAGCTCCAATGGAGCAAGGGCTATTAGGCACAGCAAGCCGCCCCCTTCGACGCTTACAATACCTTGCGGAAGAATACCTCACATCATCCCCTGGCCTTGACAGCAGCAGTGCAAATATTGCATTACTTGGTGGTCTTCGGAGTGCCTTAGATGGTAAAAGCTTGACGAAGGAAAAGACTTTTCAGCTGACAGAGACCACCGTTCACCGATTAGGCGCAATGCACGAAGCAGAATATCTCCGACAGCAGGTAAGAATCTACTACTGAACAAGGGATCTGAAGCTGCAGGGGTTCGGAGGAATATGTAGTAATCAGATAAAAGGGGTAGACTATTAGACCAAAGGGTCAAACAATCAATTGTACGACCAAAGTGGAAGGAAAGAACCAAAACCGTCTAGTGATTCAAAAGAGTTGGATTTGATGCTAATCTAACTATGGGATTTCCGATCATTATATGAATGATCAGACTAAAAGAAAAACATGAGACCAAAGAGTCTCGGAACATGAGACAAAAGGTGTCCGAAATCCGAAATAAAGGTCGTTCGTCGGAACTCGCAATGTTGAATGAACTGAATTACTGATATGTCTTCACTGATGCTCCCCCTTTCGGTCGCGAGAAAATACGCAGCATCGCGGTCTAACACAATCTGTTCGTCTAGACTAAATTCGAGGTAATGATCTAGCAGCAACTTGAAGCGACACCTTCATAGCATCTCTTTAACGGTGTGATAGGGATTACGATGATGATGATATTCTATTAACCTGATGCTACCTGGCTAGTAATTATGGTAATGCAGGCGCTCGCCCGGTGGAGCAAGAATATTCCGGACGCCAGTAAGATACAGAATGCACAAAGAAATGTGGCGTATTGCCAAAGAAAACCCAAAGTCCAGTCCCACATAAGAAAAGCCAAAAAGAATGGAAAACCCATATAAAAGTATGTTTGTAGACTCCCCGTCTACCATCTCCACCTCTTCTCTTTGTACAATCTCCCTCACCAGCCCGTCGGCCACTCTTACACCCCCTCAATTAGGGTTTCGTTCTACTTGCATCTCAAGATACGTATATGATTTGAAGTCTTACATTTCACCTCTCAGCGGTGACATGTGTCGTTGTCACTGTTGTACGCAGCGTCTTCACTACGCTGTCCCTTCCGGTCTGATTCCGGAGCTTGGTCCGGTAGTCTCGGGGTCTATCACGCCGCCGGGGTCCGGGTCGACGTCACAGTGACGGAATTGGCCCAGGAGACCTGTTTTGATCATGAATTCAGTGACGTAGCGAGCCGCTTGCGGGTGAGCTATAATGGTCTTATAATCCAACTGGCTGGGCCGAAGATCGGTCTGGAACATTAATTTATCAAGAAAATCTTCACGGAGATCAGTGTATAATGGGCACTACAACAGCACGTGACATGGGGTCTGCGAGTCTTCGTCGCAGCGACACTGATCTGATTTCACTTCTTTGATCTTATAAAGAAAATGACGTAAGCCAATCCTTTGTGATTGTGTCTGCACCAAAATCGACGTGTAGGGCTCTGAAAGACCCTTAAAAAGCTGTAGATTCTTCTTCTGCGGCACGTCCGTCAATCGATGGTTAGGCCGGCCGGTTCGGTCTCGGACCAATCGACGCGCAGATATGGCCAAACGGGGCCCCGGCCCTACAGAAGGTAATTCCGAAGTTGCCTTCGCCGCATCTTTTGCCGCAAGGTCTGCAAGTTCATTCTCCAGGATCCCTACATGCGCAGGGACCCATCGGATGGTTACGGAGGGTTTTTGGCATTGAAAAGAGTCAGGGCGACTTAAACCACTAGGCGAACCAGAAACAGTCCAGTTGTGATTAGAGTCAGGGAGACTCAAGATGGATTTGAACTTTTTGTAAATTGAGTCCAGGATGAACAGTCCAGATGGCCGTTTCGGATTCTGAATGGCCTGAATTGCAGCTTGGCTATCTGCAAAGATGATCAATTCTCGTGTAGCAGTGGGATCCTTCTGAAGACTAGAATAAAAATCGGCCACAGCCATCTCAATTCTATTCAATTCCGCAAGGGTAGACTGTGGATTGGTCTGATTTCCCCAGGTGCCATGATAGTGTATAATCCAACACAGATGGGACTGTGGCAGCTGCACCGATATGGCCTTCATAGCCGCCGTCCGTAGAGAATATGGTGGCGTTCGGGCATGCATCGCTGGGGTAGGCTTTTTCAGCCAAAATCCTCGCTTTCTCCGCATCTTCAATTGTATATGTAATTCTAGGCTCCTGGGGGCCAGAATATAGGCCCTACGGGTTTCCCAGACCTCATTAGTCCCAAGATATAAGACCTGATTCTTCTTCTATCGGAAGGCTTCCAACGGGGACCATCCACCTCGCTGCCGTGCGGCAGGCGTGCGGCATGTGTGTAGTAGGGCCAGCTGTGCCCAAGTGGGGTCTGTCTGTATGCGTATCGCCGTATTCAACGATCTGCTGCATCTGCAGGTAGACCAGCATGAGATATAGCTCCACGTTCAGCGCTGCGGCCGACATGGATTTGAATGCACCTGCGATCAATATCGCCGCACGACGTTGTATCCCGACGAAAATGGCAATCATCTGATTTTCTTCCACTTTTGGGACCAAACGGGCCGGCGGGCAGAACCACGCGGCGACGCCGTGTAACATCCGCGGGACCACAACAGCCTAATAGATCAGGCGCATATCTAATAGCGAGGCCCCCCAGGTCGATGCGGAGATCCCCCGTAAGGCTTCCAGGCTGCCAGAGGCCTTAGTGACCAGTTTCATCCGATGTGTGTCAAAATTTAGGTGCTTATCAAGCCAGATACCAAGATATTTAGCTGATTTTGATGGTGCAATGATCAGACCAGAGGCTGTGCGGACAGGCAGCTGATCGTGACCCGGGGGTGGTTCGCATGGCACATCCCAGATGTCCGCGCCTGGAATTTTAGTACATTGAACGACTCCACGTCAGACTTTTGGAGTAGAAACCGACTGGCCTGACTCGGAAACCGACTGGTCGGTTTTCAAGTTACTGAAGTGAATGAGTTCAAATTTATCTGGCGCGAATTTCGCCGCATGTCGCCATGACCAGGTATCGGCCTGGCCTAGGGCGGCCTGCAGCAATTCCACATTTCGTCTATACGTTGTTGATTTGGCTACCACCGCAACATCGTCCACCCAGCCATATCCACATGTGGCCATGCCATCACCGTCGGCACCCCGTAGGCTACAGCCCTGAACAAGTGACGCATTGAACAATAAGAACAGAATTGGCGATATTGGCGACCCTTGCGGAATCACGGTGGCTGTGGGGAAAATATCGCTGATATATCCCGGTAGCTTGATACGGGTCCTTCGGTCCGATAGAAAAGATTCCACCCAGGGCATGAAGAATCCAAGGCCTAGCTTACGCATATTATGTAGCAGCCGGGCATGGGAGACATTGTCATAGGCCCCAGAGACGTCTAATAACAACATACTAACCTTGTCATCAGCCCCCAGGCTTGCCGGACCTCACTGAGAATCAGCTGGATGGCGTGATCAACAGAGATACCCTTACGGCCACCCAGGTGGGTCTTCGGAAGCAGCGAATGTTCTTCAACGGCATAGCTGATACGGGATGCAACGACCGCCTCCAACAGCTTACCCAGGGTGTTCATTAGGGCTATCGGTCGGTAGGATTTGGGCATAAGGTAGTCACGTGGACCACCCTTACGCAGTGTGACAGTAGTTGATTCTTGGAAGTGGCGTGGATTGTAGCCGGTCCGGATGCAGGCGTCAAAGATCGACGTGAGAATTCGGATAAATTGGTCACACCCGGAGACCAATAGCTTCCAAATTCGATTTGAAATCATATCGGGTCCAGGGGCCTTGTCAGGCGGCGCACGGCGTATAACATCACCCACTTCCTGTTCAGTGATAGGGGGAAAGGGCAGGTGATATATTGAATCATATGATATATCGCTGAGATCAGCAGCTGGGGGTGCAGGGAAGAACACATTCCGTAGAACTTCCACTTTTGATTCGTTCGATTCAGCGAGCTGATCATCTGATGTCTTTAACGCAGGAATCACGCCGAAGACGTCTCCGCCGCGGTTTCGAGCCCATTTTCCAACTTTCCACATGCCCCGTGGGCCTTCTTCCGTGGTCTTCTTGAGCCACGAACGAAAGCCTTGTCGCGAGGCCTTGGCGATCGCCTTTCCTTTAAAATTGCGTGCAGAACGGTACGCAGCATGGTCTTCCTCGCAGCGCGACTCACGATACTCCTTGCTGTAGGTTTCATCCTTTTGAAAAGAGTCATGCTGACTATCCCGCCAGGAATGAAAGAGTCTCCGTGACTCCTGAATTGCCTCTGAACACTCCTTTGTCCAGCCAAAACGGGCCCATTCAGAAGGTCTTGCCCAGGGGGTCGAAGCTTGGACACCTTGTTGTATTATTTCCATGAAGAACTCTACCTCTTGATCAATTTGGTGATAGGGATTACGAGTACTCATGAAGTACTTGATAAAAGACACTGTGGCATAGGTACATTGGTATGTGCCTGTACCTCCAAACCTCCTCGTGCCTGACCCCGAACCCCTGCCAGTCCTCATGAGCCTCTGGATGCATATAAAGATGAACTTCGTGGCGTTGCCCAGGGAAAATGGGGCCCTAACTGCTGTATGCTCGTGAGCGACCAATCTTTCACGTGATGCATCTCGATGCCCTGTCGCCGAGAGATAGTAACAGCTGAAGCCACCGTAATTCTCTTACTTGAACACGAGGACGATAAAAGCTCTCTTCTCAAGCGGCCCATTTTTGCTTTCTCTTACCCCCGTATCACTTGTGTTCAGGTGGAAAGTGCATGAATCCGTCTGGGGTCTTTTTTCCATTCCTTTCTTCATTTTAGGAACATACAACTACAACAAGTAATCTCACTCTTTTGATTTTTCTTTCTGCTCTTTTAGCTCCACTTTGTAGCTTTGTACTAGAAAACAATATTTTTGGCCAAAACAGTCAGTTCACACTTGCTCATTCTTTTTTCCCTCTCCCTTGCTCAGACTTCGATCGTGATATCACCTTTCTCTCCTCGCCCTAATCCCTCTCAGTCAAAAATTCTCCAGCATGGCTCGACCGGGATCTACCCACAGCCCTGAGGCTCCAACTCCCCGATCTAACCCCTATTTCTAAGGCTTCTCTGAAATCTCTCAATCCGACTTCCCCGAACAGCTTCGCCAGCAATCCTTCATCAACCCTGGCGACGCCGCTGAGCCACTCACTGTTTATACATTCTTCAGTCCATCTCCCAGTATCAGCAGACTCAAGACACTTCTTTCCTTATCAATCTGTGGTCGCTGATCTGCGAAACTATCCAATACAACAAAGACCAGGTCCAGGATAAGGGTTCACTGTCGGGAGTGGACCGAACGGGATCTCATAACCGATCGCGACGCTCTTCTGGAGAAGTCTAATTTAGAGACTCTCACTGCGACCAATGCATCTCTCGCTCGTAGCATTGCCAGCTTGATGACACAGGTCCATACCCTTGAGGAATACCTCCGTACTCTTGAGGTGTCTACTGCTGATACGCCTGCGGATCGCCCGAGACCCAATGCGGCCCGCCCTGCCCCACACAATCAATCAGGCACCGCAAAATCCGCCACTGTGACATCCACTACTGAGCATGTTTCTACCTCCACCCGGAACCTAGTGTCCCCACGACCGGCCTGCTTCTCGGCCTATGCTCGGCAGGATCTCCACCCTTCGATTAAGACTGGCAGGACAGTCAAAGTCCCTGACCCGCCCATGCTAGATGATGGAAAGAAACCGACTTTTAAAGAGTGGGTTACAAAGATGCGTGACAAACTCTTGCTTGAAGCTGCCCGATTCCCTTCGGATGAACATCAGATCGCCTATGTCTCAAGCCGCGTGAAGGGTGATGCCGCTCGTCATGTGACGAGCCAAAGATATCACAAATCTCTTTCTCCCTATGACAGTGTCGAAGACATATTTACGCACTTGAGCTCGATCTTTGAGAACCCAAACCGTGAGCGTGAGGCCCGGCGCCAGTATAAAAACCTGGCAATGGGAGAGGATCAGTCTTTCCAGGCATTCATTTCCGAGTTCCGTCTCCTCGCTTCTGAAGGGAATATCTCCAAAGCGAGCTTGAAGAATGACTTCTGGGACCGAGTCACTGAACCTCTCCGTATGGCCACCCTGCACCTCCTTACCGACTCTAAGGTCACCTTTGACGACCTTGCAGCCACTATGGCGCTTTATAACAGTGATATGAATCACAACCTTACCATTTAAATGTCTATCCTCAATCAAATTGCTTTTTTCGGTTTATGGACCTTGTGTAATAATCTTCTTCTGTGTATGTACTGCTTCATCACTCAAAACTCATGTGTGGTTCTGAGTTTATGCTCCCTGTTGAGCTTCTAAGGCTGTTAGTAATGGACACGGCCAAAAAATCACTTTCATCTCCACCCCTATTTATCCTTGCTCTATCCCCGTTCTTCATCCTCTTCAGCCTGTTCAATGAGCTTCTCATTGATCATGTCTTCCTCTCAACCAAAATATATAAGAAAACTATATAAATTCCGCTCAACAAACGCCGAAATACAACGTGACTGTCAATGTCTGTCATGACTCATACTCTGATGTTCCACCCAGTGACCACTGGCAGGCGTGATGCTCACAAGGATGCCCAGGTGCCATAATTCGTTCATCATCCATCTATCAGACATCGGTCATACCAATACAGGCTTGATCCTGACTCTATCTTCACTCCTCCTACCCAGGTAGTACGTTCGGACTGAACAGTCCTCTACCGACACGGCACACGCTCCCTCGCACTTGGAGCACTTTTTTGGGTAGCGTAACCTTCGCCTTGGCTTCGCACTCCCGAGGGAGGTGCTCCCTGGCGCAATGCACACACATGTGCAACGTGTTGGAACGTGTAGGTCTTATTTGGCCTACTCCTGAGCAATTATGGAATTGACGTACAAGGATTCCTCGATCTTATATCCTTGCGCATAGGCAATTACCATCCCAGAGAGCCCCGTGATCGATGTTTCTCAGCTATGTCAGCTCGAGAAGAACAGCCAATCCACCATCCTCCGCTGTATACCCTCACTGCGTAATTCTTCCACCCGCACGTTCATATCGTGAATGATCACGCCCCACGTCGGCAGCAGCAGTTCTGCATTCTTCGACAGGCTAGACACCAAATAGCCCTGGAGGGTTCACCATTAGCTGCTGTTTTAGCCTTGAATATCGTCTAATGGGGTAATATTCGGGCGATATCCTTCTCAATATCTGTTGTTTCTGAATAAGAAGTAACAAATCTCCAGGGCTGCTGATAATTGCTCTACATCTATGAGGTCAGCTATAAACCCCCATGCTATGCATTGTCAGATCCGGCATTCCTAAACGTATCAGTATTACTTGGTGAGGAATCCAAGCCAAGTCCGAGAGAAACTGCTAGATTGTAATGAGATTGCTAGATTTGGGTAGCACAAGTTGGCTAGGCGAAGTATATACAGGAAGTACACGGATCGAGTAGGAATACGCAGTGTAGAACTGGGAGTAGGTCTTCAAGTTCATCATGTACAGAGACTAACACTTGAGGAGAGTACATAAGTCTCTGGGATGGGCCGAACAGAATCAGTGTGTCCTCAGCGACGGTTTGACCCCTGATCCGGAGATATTCTCCGTAGGGCCACCATTGCAGCTGGTCACAGTGAGACAGAATTCCTTGACACAGATAGTGCCTGGAAACTTGACTTTATCAACGACGGAGGCTGAATGGGGGTTAAATTTCAGTTCGGTTCAAATGTTATTGGCATGATCAGATATGATTGCGATGCGAAGCAGAGCACTTAAAATGGCTCAACTGATTTGGTTTTGTCTGATTCTTTTCTATAATGCCTGAATATACTCAGGAAGTGTCATCAGACAGAAATAAGGCATCAACTGTTGTTACACGGAAAAAAGGAGCAGAATAGTTTTTGGTCCTAATAATCTACTTACAATAGAAGTATAGAAGTATAGATCAGACTTCGCACCTAGCAATTGTACACCAAGTGCCTACCCTAGGCCAGAGGTCTTAGGGGGGCACCGGAGTCAACTAGTACACTATTCAATGTTATCCCACATTTTAAGCATTTGGGGGCCTTTTTACGTAGTAGACTGAGCTTGCCATATACTACATAGTGCTCTTGCGGAGTTCTGATACTTAGCGACCCACTCAGGTATTACCGTATTCTACCCCGGTAGTTGACATAAGGATTCATGCCTCAGGCAAGAATACGCGGGGTATCCTCCAAGATTTACTTATTCGGCCTAGAGTTCCCCGAGATTCCCACATCCTCAATTACGTGTATTAATCTCTTCAAGTTGTCTGGATGACCCTCAGTACAACAGACATTGAGAGTACAATATACCTCTGTGGCTTCAAGTTCTCCCTGGCGTATCTCCTACCACCTAACCTTCTGCTGCCCCAATATAGCAGCTGCATTGATCTTTGTCTTTGCTCGATTCTTCACAAAATAAGTATGGAATTTCTCAACATTGGCCATTTCAGCCACTAATGTGTATACGGGAAGGGCGCCGACGCCACGAAAAAATAGGAAAACAAACAAAAAACATTTTCAACTCTTTTCCCCTCACACAGGCGGCGTGACAGGCCCCAATTAAAGACACCTGTGGCTTAGAACCCAAACACACGAAACAGAGGCTCTTTACTGCGCGAAGACAGTGACGCGAGGTCTTAACCCTTACATCAACTTGCGTCCACGGGTTGAATCTCTACTATTGATATACGGAATACGGAGTACCGCAACAATCAATACCAGTCAAACCAACACCATGGCTCCTAATTACCCAGTGCTCCCGGAGAAGCTTCTCCTTATCTCACTGAAGATGTACTTTACCCCCGAGCGCACATTGAACTATCTCCGTGGCCTCTTAGCCCCCGAAATTGTCAAGCCCGCCAACCGCGAGAAGCTTCTCCTAGCTCTAATCCCCGACTTTCTGACCATCTGGCCATGTTCTGAGATACTGAAAGAATACGAGGATAAGCTCACATCTTTGGGGATTCCCACCACCCCAGCGCCATTCCTTCTTGGTGCCCAAGATTGCATGTGGGAAGAACAAGGTGCTTATACAGGCGAGGTTTCTCCCGCTTCTATTCGGGCACTGGGCTGCTCAATCGTTGAACTTGGCCATGCCGAGCGTCGTGCCATTTTCGGCGAAACTGATGAGCAAACTGCGCATAAAGCGGCTGCCACCTGTGCACAGGGAATGGTCCCGTTGGTCTGTGTTGGCGAGATCACTGCCCCTGGTGCCATAGCTTCGGAAGCGGTCGGACAAGCAGTTGCAGAGTGTTCGGTGTTGATACGTGCTGTACTGGAGGCTATCCCTGCTGAAGCACCAGTTATTTTTGCATATGAGCCTGTGTGGGCCATTGGAAAACCAAAACCTGCTGGCGTGGATCACGTTGCCGCGGTTGTGGAGGGGATCCGTGGTGTTGTGGGTGCGCGACCTGGTACAGCGCGGATACTCTACGGTGGTAGTGCAGGTCCTGGACTCTGGGGTGCTGGTGGACTGGGTAAGGCTGTTGATGGAATGTTTCTCGGTCGCTTTGCCCATGAAATTGAGGGTGTGAGGAAAGTAGTTACTGAGGTGGAAGAGAGTCTGGGTGTTGCTTAATAGCATCCTGAATCACTGTCATTGATCATATTGGAACTAAGTCTATATTCATAATCATATACTTTGACGCGTGAATTTTTATTGCGTGATATTAGTTCCATTCAAATGTCATTGTTCACATATAACTTTCTGCCTTGGAACATATACATACCTCGTTAACGGCCATCTGTCCAGGCTGCTAAATACAGTCATTCTCGAAATCGGCTTGACCAATACACACTGAGTAACTCTTTTATGGACCCACTACCAAGGCCTTAGCGTGGGTATTTTATTTAGCCAGCCGCATTTAATTGAGGGGACGCTGTAAAATGCACCTTGTATGGTACTGTATCTTTCTATGTAATATTACAAATCTGTATGTACAATAATTCAGTGGAATTTATTAGAACCTTATGGTCAATGCTGCAAACCAGGTGGGGAAGGCCATCTGGCGCCAAGTGACTTGATGATCTTCTGGATGATCTTCTTGGAGACCTCCTTTCTCCTTCCTCCTGTGCAGCATGTGCTTGTCATCACTTGAGGGTGTCTCTTTGGCCCGGAGAACATCAACAACTGATACCATCTGCGAACGACCGCCCTGGCCACTCCTCGGTTTTTTTTAGGCGAAAATCACCCTTGGCAGCTTCGATAGCTCATGCCTCAACTAATAATCGCTCGCATAAGCCTGTCGTTACAGTAAGACTAGTAATATGAGGCCTCCTACTTTTATTACGCATAATGGCTACAGCGGTTCATCAATTTATATGTTTTGATTTTGGAGCAATGAATCACAATATGCACAGTGCCCAAAAACTCCTGTCATTCACTTCCTCCCCCATCCTACATCTCTCGTACTTCGTTCGTCCACAGGCTTACATCCCGAAATGAACATATGGAACCCAATTTAATGGCAGCTCTTCGTACAATTCTGCTGTCCTCGAATCTCTTTCCTCACCTTGGTATGATCGTACTGGCTTCGTCGTCATTGGAGAATCTTCGTCTGGTAGGATTGCCATTCGATTAGCTGCTCTCGTTGTGTTTTCTGAAATCCATATTTCACGAAGTTTGATGCTTGCGCGGTGAAGACCTTCACTGACGGAAGCGTCGGTCATATTTCGTTCTTGCACACAACTGTAGAGTATAGTTGCAGCATCGACACATGTTTTGTCGTTCACCTCCCATAGAGTCCCAATAACATGCCGAAATCCAGCAATCTGATAAGCAGCAATCAGATGAAGTGCCTCGTCGATGAGTGCATCATGTTTGATTTGTCCAGTTCCACATGCTGAGAGGTAGGCAAGAAATGGTTTGCGATTGTGAAGATTAGTTTCGAAGAGATCCGCCACTGCTAGTGGCCCATCGTCTAGAATTAAAGAGCTTTTCGCTGGATCTTGCTGGTCGGTCTCTCCGTGACCAGCAAAGTGGAATATAATGCAGTCATTCAAAGCAGATAGGACATCTTCTCGGCAAGGCGCAGGCTGGCAGATTTGGAGATTCAAAAGGCCATAAAGGCACCCTAGCTTGTCCATCTCTAACGGCACAAATGGAAGATCCTTGAGACCCGGCGTTTTCTCCATACCAACTAGAACGGCTTTCCTAGAGCCACGTTCCACTACAGGAGGAGAGCGTCTCTGGCGGCTTTGCAAGAGCGCTCTGACAGAAGAGCTATAGGATGAAATCGCTCGGTCCAGGACAGTATCAGACCCTTGGTAATGATACCCTGCTGCGTGGATTGGGAATTTGGCGAGAGGCCCAGTCAGAATCCACCAGATCCGAGGTAAACTGCCATCAGGAATTCGCATGAGTCCCAGAGCATTGAGGACTGGATTGGCGATTGCCTCCCATAGCCATTCTAACAATTGCGAATCTAGCGCTTCTGGTCTCGCTAGAGCCGCCTCACGGACTTGAATATCACTCTTCTTTAGATAGGGGAGTGGTATAGCGTGTATCTCGTGTTTCTCCACTATTAATGCATCGCATCGGAAAGTGCTAATATTGATAATGACGATCGGCCCTAAGGTGGCAGCAACTTTAAACTCGTCCTCGGATGGGGCCATGAGAAATCTATCAAAGCCTGGCAAGCTCCTTATAGTCTGCATTATTACGTCTAGTTTCTGGTTCGCGCTATAACGTTGGTTCACGTGATGCGCTATCACTGTTCGTATACCAAGTTGATCAAGGTGTCGGGTTGGAGCATTGATTTGATCCCGTAGCTTGATATATTCTTCTCCTAAGAGAGGATGTTGCTGTAGAAGGTTGGAGATATCGGCACGCATTTCATTAATAGAGCCCATGATGACCCCGCGTCCAAGCTCTAGAAGTTGCAACGCCTCATAAGGCGTTTCTCCTGCTATCAAGGTAGCTGCGGCTGCATCTGAAGCTAGTCCACTAAACTCAGCGAGCAAATATTGTTTATCTGAGACATCCAAAGAGTGAGGTGTGAGCTGAGCAATCATAGATGTTAAGATACATGCGATTTGATGTGCTGAGGACCAATTTCCTGCTTCAGCGTGTAATTTGAGTAGATGAACGCCGGGCCTTAGACGATCTAGGACAGGAGATGAAGGATGGCGTAACGCACCATCATATTGTTGAATAGCAAGCGCGAGATCTGTCTCTGCTCCTGTTCTCTGGTATCTATAACGATATCCGATTCCAAGAGATTCAAGCCGACCGGCCCGATGTGGATGATCTTCTGGTGTTGCCTCAAGAGCCTGTTGATACTGTTGAATAGCAAGCTCGAGATCTGTCTCTGCTCCTATTCTTTGGTAATTGTCATGACATCCCATTCCGAGAAAATGAAGCCAAGTGTTCCGATCAGGATGGTTGATTGGCGTTGCCTCAAGAGCCTGTTGATACTGTTGAATAGCAAGCTCGAGATCTGTCTCTGCTCCTGTTCTCTGGTATCTATCACGATATCCGATTCCAAGAGATTGAAGCCAACCGGCACGGTCTGGATGATCCTCTGGTGTTGCCTCAAGAGCCTGTTGAAATTGTTGGATAGCAAGCTCAAGATCTGTCTCTGCTCCTGTTCTCTCGTATCTAACACGATATCCCATTCCAAGAGAATAAAGCCGATAGGCCCGGTCTAGATGATCCTCTGGTGTTGCCTCAAGAGCCTGTTGGAATTGTTGAATAGCAAGTTCGAGATCTGTCTCTGCTCCTGTTCTCTCATATCTATCACTATATCCGATTCCAAGAGATTCAAGCCGACGGGCCCGGTCTGGATGATCTTCTGGTGTTGCCTTAAGAGCCTGTTGGAATTGTTGGATAGCAAGCTCAAGATCTTTCTCTGCTCCTGTTCTCTGGTATCTATCACGATATCCGATTCCAAGAGATTGAAGCCGATGGGCCCGCTTTGGATGATCTTCTGGTGTTGCCTCAAGAGCCTGTTGATACTGTTGAATAGCAAGCTCGAGATCTGTCTCTGCTCCTATTCTTTGGTAATTGTCATGACATCCCATTCCGAGAAAATGAAGCCAAGTGTTCCGATCAGGATGGTTGATTGGCGTTGTCCCGAGAACCTCTTCAAGTTGTTGGATAGCCAGTTGCAGATCTGTGTCAGCTAGTACGGCCCCCGCAGCAGGCCACGCACTCCGAGGGGATGGCGGTGATGAAGGCGGGGTCGGGCACCCACAATGTTGATGTCTCAGCCCACACCGCCTCAGCTCCCCGCGCCTGGTCTCTAGGTATGTGGTGGACGCGTTGAATTATCTTTCCTCCATAGCTTAGTTGACCTTCGTTCTCACTATTTTTTTGCATACTTCTTGCCACCTGTAGTCTTTGGTAACGTCAGCCCCTGTGTTCAGGTCTCTCTCACGGTATCCGGTACTGAGATCATTCAGCCGATCTGCTCGCTGGGGGTGGTCTGCTGCCGTAGCCTTGAGAGCCTCTTCATACTATTGAATAGCCTGTCCTCAACCAAGGCCAATAATGCTTATTGAGTGGCAATGTCTCAATCTGTGATTTTCGCCTACATCGTCCAGCCCATTGTCACGGTTCAGCAGCCTGCGCAGAAATAGGCATTTTAGAATGCCTTATTTGTGCGTATGTGCGAGCATTCGTCAAGGATTTCGGTGATTCACGGTTAACACTAGCCGACCCAAAGCCATCATGACACCTATATTTTTCCATCGGGGAAAAGGCCTTGTGATGTTATGGAAATTTATGGAGAAGGCACCTGGTTCCTATGCCAAGATCGCCGTTGTTAGTTTCACCCAAGGCGCTAGCATCATCGGCTGATTGTCATATAGCGCCCTGTTTCTTGCATTCTTGGAGTGACAAAAGCACATTGAGTCGCAAGAACTATCACGTACGATATTCTGCTCTGCTTTCTTGATAAGCGATATAATGAAGACTTGGGCGCTGCTCTTCATATAAAAGGGTAATTCGCATTCTGCCATACATATTCAAAGAGCCTGAATTATTTGCTGTAAGAGATGAAACTACTCTACTTTACCATAAGAGTTCGAGCTTTCATACACCCCCACCGATCAAACAAGTACATATTAAGCTACGAGCTAAGCTTGTCGAACCAGGTCAGCGTACCACAAATTGAGGCTCGCCAGTCACAGGTAGCACCCTTTTGTCTCTGTGCATTTGGGAAATTAGACTGGGGTCATAGAATGCATGAACCGTCACTATCGCTCTCATTTAAACTCATGTTCGAATAGGGAAGCTCAATCCTGCCCAGTCCTCTGGTACGTGGCAATTAGAATGGCTAATCCTCGTCCCAGCAACCGTACCTACTAGCCCATGAAGATTGGGCAACTCTAGCAAGTCAAACGATGTCGGATGGGAAGTTACGAAGACTTTGATGATGTTCTCGCATGAACCATGGTCCTTCATCATTAGAGGAACCGTCATCTTAATCTTCTTTGAAACCCTTCCCGGAAATGGCAAGTCGCTGTTGCGCAAATCTTTTCGTGGAGGAATAATCTCGTAAGTTGCACAGAGAATTCCTTTGATCCTCCAAAAACAATCTAAATTGTACATGTGTGCATATAGAACTGTATCTCCCTTGTTGGTTATGGACACTTCCACGATGCTCTTGTGCCGGACCTCTATCTGTTTCCCAGGAAAAAATGAAGCTCTGTCCATATTTATCTGAATCTCAAATGATGTTCGGAATGCAGATGTAGGCGTTTGATTAGTCAAATCCTTGGCCATCCTAAACATGATCAAGTGTTCTAGCACATCGCAGATGCGACTAGTGTCCAATTGGTCGCGTGGCATGGCTGGTAGATTATCGAATTTCCGACCTATGTTGTCCAGGATTTCATATTCCTCTGTATTGTTTAGCACAACCTGGAGGGCCGGAATTTGATGAGCGTTGATATCGGTACTAAGCGACCGTTTATTAAGCGCATCTAGCCATTCATCGCGCTGCGGGGAGATTGGGTGCCAGCTGAATGGGAAAACTCGCGAGGCACGCACTGGTGAGTGGCTCCGCGATCCACCCTGTTTGAATGTTGCATTGGGGCCCGATTAACTCCAACTGGGACGTTAGAGCCTTGGCACATGTGATTTGGCGATATAATTTTCCTTAGCGCCATTGCCGCTTGTCCATCCTGAAGGAGATACAGTAAACTGATCGCCATCATGGAGACCGTGGGCTTCGCCGGCCAGTAGCTGAAGGCTTCCTTCACGCTTGATGATGTAGATTGACCTTACACCGCGGTGCGATTTGAGTGGATTGAAGAAGCTCTGGCCCCCGTTTCCATACAGGACGAGATGTTGCACCATTGAGGAATCCCAGAACATAGCACGTATATGACGATATATTTCTTTATGTTTCCTCCCGAGCCCATGATCAGAGAGCGTTCGGGATAAGAAATAGGACAAAGCCCTGTATGTTAACCCTTTCTCAGAACCCCCCTTGGCGTTCTCGTCAGGTCCACAAGCAGCTAGAATGGCATAGCGTTCCGGTTCCAGCAGCCAGTTGTCGCGCATAGATACATCGCGGTTCGTAGGATGAGTGCTCCTCTCTATGTGAATATCCTTAGGGTCTAAAGAATGCGTTGAGGCCGCCACCAGGCCGTACGGGAGGTATCGGACACCAGGGCCATTATTCCGGTAGACAGTCGCAGAGAAACAGCAGTCCAGAACAAGAGTAAGGACCAATCCTTTATCCACCATTTCTTTGAGGAGGCGGGCAAGTCTAGGTCCCCGAAGAAATATTTCTGGACTTTGGTCTCCTTCGAGGAGAACCAACGCCAAATCTCCAGTTGATTGATTAGAGAGATCAAAGCACGGTGGCAGTCTAGTGCCATGACCAGAGTAGTGGATGTAGACGTAGTCTTTAGGCTTTGCTTGAGACGTGACTCTTTCAAAAACCGAAGTCACATTGTAACAGGTCGGCCAGCGTTCTGGGTCTTCAAGTGGCGTAATTATCTCCGGATCGGGGCTCTTGCTTGCTATCAAAGTATGTTCAACCGAGCCCAGTTTATCTTCGAGGCATTTCTGAATCATCTGGATATCTCGTACGCAGCTCGTCAGGGGTCCGCTGAGGTAAGCGTCGACACCGATGAGGATCGCATAATGCTTTACTACTGTATTCTCGTTAATCATAATGTTAGAGGGCGTCCGCGCGGGCTACAACGACTGAGGGCTTGTAGGCAGTAGTATATTGGTTCTCTGGGAGTCGGAATTGATTCGAAGAACGTGTTTCCCCATCCCGAAAAGTGGAAGGACCGACGGAGCTAATCCGGTTCCAGTAAGAGCACGCACAGGATAAATGTCGTAAGCGGTTGCGGTTAGAGCTGCGCAATACTTGCATATGCACTAAGATCGGGCATAAATGCGATGCAAATTGGGCTGGAAATGCTGTCTAGGCAGATTTCTATCTATGGCTGTTCCTTTGCTGACGTGGAAGGGTTCCATTGGTGGGGTGTGAATACCCCGCATTTCTCATGCAGTCTCGAGCTTCGCCATGTTTATCACCTCGCCATCCTTGGCAGTCTGACCATTTTCGAGGCTAAGGATACACTCCTGCTCCGAGATTACCAATGCCACAAGGTAAGGGCCATCACGAGATCCATCGGAGCCTAACAGGTAGACTTTATCTCCGACGCGAAATTTTCGATTCTGTATGTATATCAACTTGGTTAGTATGTATAAAATTATTGGCTAGGATGACCCACAAAGTGAGAACTAGCGATGTATGGACGATCTTCATCCCATACGATCTTCATCGTTTGAAAAGATGAAGGTGCCCTCTGTATTCCTAGTGTATGTTAGTATGTTAAGCAGACCGAAAAGGGTAAATTTTGTACTGTTCAGAAGACATAGATATTGTAAGAATGACCTCGGGAAGCTGTCAAATGCGGATAGTTATAGGGAAGTTGCAACGCTACTTAATGAAACGTTGGAGCACTGACCCGGATATATACCTAAGCATAACTAGAAGTACGAAAGGCTATATAGGTTACCTATGGTAGGCCTAGAATCTGCCTTGCAGCCTCAATCACGCCACTAGTGCCCAATTTTTAAAGGCAAATATGGCTTTATTACCAATGTGTCATTACCTCGAGATTCACACACTCACATGTCTCCAGCCTTCTCTTCCACTTCCTGTACTATATCCGTTGGCAGCAAGTATAAATAAGACTTTGCTACCGGATGGGACAACCGAGTGTCTTCAATCCGGGCACTTTTGGTTGCGCCGTTAACGGTGACTATTAAAAAACATAAGGAAAAAGTCATTGCAACCCAAAAACTAATCATATCACAAGAGTAAATGAGAGTTCCAGTGGTGTATCCCACCGGTGTAAGAATTTTCATTTGATAACAATAGGTATGGATAAATAAGTTAAAAAACCCCCTATATGAAGGTCGATAAGAATAATAGAAAGGAAAATCATTCAGGACATGACACCTCGCACATCCCACACGTAAAGATTCTCATCCCAGCCGACACTGGCACACCAACCCTCATTTCCGAACAGACACCAATCAACACCAGTAACAAATTCAGAATGTCTGCCCATCCGGCCCAGTTCCATCCCGACAGATGGACCCGCTGGCCCAGAGCGCATCAGATCCATATTCCCATTCCCAAGCCCTATATTTGACTGATCGGTCCATACACGGCAAGTCATGTCATAACTCGCACTTAGAAGGACATCCGAAAGGTGTGGTGACCAAGCCAATTTGCGCACTGCATATTCATGGCCTATCATTGTAGCCAACGGTCCTTGCTGGGGAGCACGAATATCAAATGTTCGGATTGCGCGATCCACGCCGGCTGTTGCCAGAACTGTGGAGCGGTATTTATTCCAGTCATGGGTCAATGCTTCGGCGGGTGGGGCGGCGGGTGGAATAATACCAGGCTGACCCGGAATTGCAGGGACAGTAGGCGCAGCGTGAATCGGAATTTGGGCGACGAGGTGGTTAGATGCAGAGGCAGGAGTGCGAAGGTCGAAGAGGCGAACATATGAATCGGAGGAGACGCAGGAGATCAGGTCAGGACTGTGTGGGCTGAAAGCGGCGGAATAGGTACAGGAATGGGTAGGGAGGGTAAGAAGAGACTGTTGACGATGTGGTGACCAGACACGAACAGTACCATCCCAACTGCTGGAGCAAAAGCGATCTTTGGTGACTAGATTCCAGTTGACACTGAAAACCTCGCGACCATGCTCTTTCCAGTTTTGAATTGGGAAATCATTGGCAGTGCAATCAAATAGCTTAATGCTGCCGTCTCCAGAAGCTGTGAGAACCTGGTTCTCATGAAGTTCCGACCAAGCTAGATCATAAAGACAGTCTTGTGTTGTGAAACTGCTCCCGAACGATGTGCCGACAGTTAGTAAACTTCTCTTCGTTGAATGCATAGAGGGGTTTTTGATTCTCGCGGAGAGAAAACAATCATGCAAACATGATGACATACTCTTTCATAGGCTGAATTCCGTTAGGCGTGAGCTCTAAAATCCAGAGTCGCCCATTTCCAACGAGACCATAGTTTGCTGAACTCGATATGGCAAGCCGATTGTCAAAAAATGGGGAATACTTCACTGCAGAGCCATTACAGCCCTGTGTCCGAAAATGAAGCATACTGTAGGACGCACCGGGCGAGCCCGATCGCTCGGAAAAAGACCACCGTCGAGTCGCTGGGTGGAATTAAGAAGAATATGTCGCGATGGGGCAAAGGATATTAAGGGAAAGAATGTGACGCGATCATGATAAAGAGAAGATGACAAGATTGCGGGGAGAATCAAATGTATTGGACCGAGGTCAATTCACGCCTTATCGTTATCGACATAACGCGCCATTCAGGCACCAAGGCGGCAAGGCGGCAAGGCGGCAAGGCAGCAGTTAAGTTAAGTACTAACTTATTAAGGCGCCAACCTTAACATTGCATAACTCCCGAGGCCCTTTCCCTTCCAAGCTTGTGCCAAACGCGCCCTACTGTTATAGCATCTCCGACGCGTCGAAACTAGGCTCATTTTATTTGCCTCTCTATTCTGATTCGATTCTTCACAATTACTCTCTGTCGCTACCTGGTTTGTTTCAGCCAGAATGATTGAGCAGTCCAGAAACATTAGAACCTGAAATTTCTCGCATTAAGTGCTAACAACCCCGTGGTTATTTCCCGACATCTTAGTCCCAAATCACAATATTTATGCTATGGCAGTATCAATTTCAAAGACTGCAGTTGATTGACTGACCATTGCAGGTTACAAAATGTCATCTTGCACTGCTTCTGATAAGCTCAACAGTGAAAACTTTCTCGCTGTGTGATCTCCCTGGGTGACAGAATGTCCGATTATGCACGCTATCTCGTTACAGCACCGCCGGACAATGATCAAATACCATATGACAGGCATATCAAGGCTACAAAGCACCACCCACCATCCATTAGCGACCGCTGCTACTACTTCCGTTCCCTCCCGCTGTATAACGCACGAAATCTTCTTTGGTGCCCGGAAACCTCAAGATAAGGCCTGAGGCGCAAATTGAATGTCCATAATATCCCACGCTGGAGATTGCATCAATCAGAAGGCCCAGTGCGATATGACTACCACTGCGTTGATTCGCCGAGTCGTCTACCACTGCAATACCTACATATCCGTCGTAGCTACTACCGTCTTTGAATGAAACAATTGGTGAACATTTGAACTGAGCCCCAAAATTGAATTGTGAAGTGTAGTTGTTTCAGTATCCGCGATAATCGCTGCTACCGATGCACACCAAGGTATCAGGATGAAGCCTTTGGCTCTCCCCGGTAATATCTTATACTTGGTGGCGAGGCGATAATTGATGATTCAAGCAGCCACGTTCTAACACATCAGAGACGAGAATGTTTTGTAGATTGTTTATATACTAGTATTTCGAGAGACTTATTTCCCACCTGAATATGTTCAATTGGTGAGGGTTGGTATGCTTACAGGTTGCCTAGCCGACACAGTAGACCTGCCAGATTTGGTACGAATGAGTGGCCAAACATTATAACGACAGACAAGACTCCTGGCAATATTTGTAAAATGAACATACATTCATGTGTCCTATATATGAATTTTGATTCCATTCCTATTTGACAAGATTGTGAACTTGAGTGTTTCAGCCCTACAAATTATTTTTCCCGCTCGCTCAACTCCCGTTGTGCTATCAAAGTGGGTAGCCTCACTCGGTCGACTTCCGTGAACTCCCTAATAAACCCATCTGTCAGCGCCCCTTCAACTGTTCCAAGGTTCAACTGTTATTACTGGCAGTGGGTCACATCTGAAAAAAAAGGTGTACAGAGTGGATTTGTGCACGGCACACGGCAAAATTTTTGTGAAGAATTTCCTTGCTTTTTGTCAACCAGTTAGCTCAACTACGGACATTGACCGACCACATATACTGCAACGGCATGTTACCGGCCAGGGCTGCCGTGAGGGCCATGAGCCCCAGTATCAAATCTTGCTCATCGGTGAGTTGGCAAATTCTTAAGCTGTTTCCTACTCCATATACGTGTTCCTCATCTCCCGGCTTATCTTTGATCTCAATCACCCATCCTCAACACAAATATGCTGACCTCCGCTCAGCCCCCTTCCAAGATCTTAGGAGTCTCGCCACGTCTATCACTGACAGCGATTTCCTCGCCCCGAATAGAGCAACGGCTAAGCCATACTCCGGCAGGTTCCACGCTACCCCTGAAGTACAGGCTCCCACTACAGTCATGGGATAGTCATATGCACGTCGTGGAGCCGCAGCAGTTTCCAGTCTCGAAAGCAGCAGTATATCAGCCTTCAGTCCACACATTAGCTGATGCTCTCGCGTTTGAGTCTACCCTCGGTTTGGAGAACCTCGTTTTTGTTCAGCCCTCGATCTATGGCACCGACAACTCATGCCTTTTGGCCGCACTAGCCAAACTTGGCCCATCTCGAGGTCGTGGAGTTGTAGTAGTTGACCCTGCATCTATTCAGTCTGAGACACTCGAAGAGTGGCACAACCTTGGAGTTCGTGGCTTACGAGTGAATCTTCAGTCTGTTGGCAAAGTGATGGAGGAGTCTGAGCTAGAGGAGACATTACTTCGACATGCTGATATTGCCCGACCCCGGAACTGGATTGTTGAGGTCTATCTTCCATTAAAAATGATGCCCATGCTTGAATCTATTGCGCCTCGTCTCGGCGTTACACTTTGCATCGACCATTTTGGCAGTCCCGATCTCTCATCCCTTCCAGAGAACCAAGAGGGCATTCCCTTCGACCCGTATACACTTCCTGGTTTCCAGTCCTTGACTTCTCTGCTCCGGACAGGAAACAACTACATCAAAATATCTGCCCCGTATCGACTTACCAATGACCGAACACAGTCCCAACTGAAGGCTATGGCTCATGAATTCCTAACTGCTGCCCCGGACCGAGTGATATACGCTACAGATTGGCCACATACGCGCTTTACAAACATCGACATTAGTCCCTTCACTGAGTGGTGCTTGGATCTATGTGCGAATGTGCCAGGAATGGCTGAAAAGCTCTTTAGAAGGAATACAGAGAGGATGTTGGATGTGAACTCTCCTAGTAGCTGATGCAGTGGCTTTTTTTTTGGTGGGCTGAGTTCCAGACAGTGTTCATGTTTTGATTCCATTATGTTGCGGCGTTCGCATTTGAGCGTTATTATATCCGAGTCCTGTGGTTGATCGTGTTGATCTTCTGTTTCAGTCAAGCAAGCTCTTTTCAGTTCCTTCATTTTACGACAATTGATTCATGATATCCACATATTCTTGATGTTGCAATACAATTACAAACTTCAAGTTCTGGCCACCGATTCAAATGTTCAAGTACATAGTAATAAAACATTTTAATTTTTGACGACTTGCAGGTGGTGGGTTGGAGATGGTTATCATGTATAATTGTCAACTGGTCGTGGGGAAAATTATGTTTGGTTTGTTTGTTTTCCACCACTTGTGAAGTTGTGATAGACCACACGTCTCCCTCAGCTCCCCTATTTTTTTGCTTTTTATTTGCTTCGACCAGTCACTTGGGTAGTTTAAATTGGTATTCAGGGGGGGAGTTCTCTCCTCTCCCCCTTCTGCAAATCATCCAACATGGTGTTCCTACGTCTAGAAGTCAAGGTTTTCATTGCAGAACAAGTCGATCAATCGAGAATTCTGCCTTCAGTATTCCAGGATGACTTTGGCGATGATGGAAGCCAGACTAGCTGCAGTGCCGCATTCTTGTTGATGCTGAATAATCCAGAACAATTGTCCATGGGTGATCTTGCACACTTGATCAAAGAAAAATGGAATACTTTGCGGCCCAATTGCGAGTGAGTAGTAATACAGAATTTCAACGGTCGCATAGAAAAAAAAATAAATACGTACTGATGATTGGGAATCTGTAGGCCACTGATAATCAAGAAACTCTTGGATGATGCAATGCCTTTGATCGACCTGGAGCTTGGAATGTCCGTAGCCGATGCCTTTGTGGATTACGGCAAGGCCCATGCGGATGGCTATGATCAGCGCGCCGCTGTCCGCGTGATTCATACCTCAGATAATTACTGCTCTGGGGAGCGGTTCCCTTCATTGATTCAAGATTTTGAAGGCGCGGCTGAAGCCTACGCCCAGAGAAAAGCAGAAAAGCTATTTACTAGAGCTTCTTCGCCGACCCCTAGAGAGTCTCACAGCGTTTCGATACGCTCGATGGAAGCTCCCGTCCCAAACTATGAGATCGCAGCCCACCCGCATATAATCAATTCTCCGCAACTTTCTCATACTGTCAACACTCGTACAGCACGCTCGCAGGACGAAAATGCATCTGAATCACGAAAGCGGAAACGGACTAAGTCGAGGGATCATACCCCTGCAAAAGCACCTCGTCTGGAAGTCCAACCCAAAGAATCTCCCATCAACCAGCCGCTCAGCCAAGTCTCGGTATCATCAACGGGGGCAAAACCAGAAAGCAAAACCTCCCGCTGTTATACGAGCTCATCTAAAGCTGGAAAAAAGCATCAGCCACCTACCCCTTCAAATAGCCAGACTAGGGATCCCCTCAACAACCAAGCTTCCCAGCCGGTTCAGGGCCCCAAATTCACGGCCAAACCTCCTAAGGCGAGAAGATTTCCTCACATACCAGAAGCGGAGCAAATATGGCTTATACGGAAGGCTAAAGCAATGTTGGCGGATTCCACGACAAACGCTACTCTGGTGCAAATGTCCAAAGCGATATTAACCTTGAGCTGTCGGCTCAACGAAACATCAAATTTGACCTCTGAGGTGGAGTCCCATCGGAGAGAAGCACAAAGATCAGCTCTTGCTCATCGTCTATCTCAACTGCAAAAGATCTTGGAATCTGCCAAAAAAGAACCTGCAATGCCTGTCGAGGCGAAAAATACAAAGGGAAATCTACATCAAGGTGTTGATAAAGACCCGGAACCGACAAGTAAGCAGCAGGTGATGATACGCGTGGAGGTTCCGCCAGAAACTGACACATATATCAAGAAAGAGGCCCCTGAGGAGGAGAGTATTGGGAACTCGATGGGAAAAAAGGGTCAAGAAGCCATAGCACTGGAACCCATGGTCTTCTCAGGCAAAGAATGGCTACAGAATGACTTCATCCCCGACTTGACACACAGAACCGATGTCTGTGGTTCTGAGTTCGAGCAACTTGGAGGAACTGAGAGCATTGATCAACCAAAGAAAGAGAGCAATGAGCATGTTCTTCTTGCCACCGATGAGATGGCACCACCCATACACCCATCCTCACAACCCTTGGATGAGTTCGCTCTGCAAGAAGTCCTAGCATTGATGAGACGAACTCAAAATATTCCTTGGCCAAATTAACCCTAGATAGCTCTTCATTCTCTAAGTCACCCATATGTAAATTATCATTTTTTTTGGAATGTTCCAATTTGCTCCTTATAAAGGTTCAACCCTGTGAAACCCTGAGAGGGCTAGCTGCAGAGCAACTAGCAACGGCATAATCATAGCCTGAGAAAAAACGTCCTGGCTACAATTTCTTCGCGTTTACTAGGTAACGTTATTTTAAAAAGTCAATTTGCTCTGAGAAGGACTGTATCCTATCTACAACTTGCCCTTCTGCTGCGTTGCACGCTGCACTTGCTGTACGCGTTCCCAGGCGCCTAGAGCAAAGGGTTTAGCCCGTTTCGCATACTCTCCCGCTCGTGCACTACTAGCCTGACGCCCTGCGAACCGAGCCGCGATACCCTGCATGATGACGGACCCTCGAAACGCAAAAAAAGCGTCTCCCCAGGGAATATCCCCCGTCGGGTCATACCCAGAAACCTCACTATACCAACGGACGCAATCCTCACGCGTGGGTAACCCGGGAACCTGACCGCTCTGGAATCGTTCCAGTGGAGAATCCGCTCCTTCGAGAATCCATGGACTACTCAGATTACAAAAATCCGAGAGCGGATGCCCAATTGTTGCCATTTCCCAGTCCAAAATTCCTATCACACGGGGTTCTGTCTTGTGGAAGATCAGATTGTCGATCTTGTAGTCACCATGGACGAGGGTACTGCGGTCATAGGGCTGTGTTGTCTTCTGAGCAAAGAAGCGAACCATATTGTCGAAGTAAGGGAGATCACCGACAGGTTCCTTTGTATCGGCATCAACGACGGCGGCCTGGGCCTTGGAAATGGTATTGAAGGTTTCAATTTGGCGATCGAAGAAATTGGTTGGCTTGCCAAATTTCTCTAGGCCTACTGATTGGGGTACTACTGAGTGAAATTTGGCCAGTGTTTGCACCGCATCTTTCCACCTAAATCATACGATTAGTTGTTTATTCAAGTTGGATTGGATCAGCTCCCAGTCCATGCATATTTCTTTCCCTCATCTCTCATGGTTGTCCATATCCATTCAATGTGTAATCTCCAGCAAAGGTCTTGGTTTCAACATACAGGGCATTTCTTTCCTCGGCGCTCACACCTGGCATTGATGGGTCTGTAAAATGGCGACCATCTAGAAATTCCATGATATAGAATGGGGTCCCGATCACATCGTTGTCCTCACACAGACAAAGAACCTTGGGAACTGGAACATCGGTATTTCCCAATGCCTTGATAATTTGATATTCTCGTTCCACTCGATGCGCTGTCTTTGAGAGTAGTTTTCCCGGAGGCTTTTTCCGCAGCACGACCTTACTACTATCTGCAGTAGTGAGTTGGTAGGTGGGATTCGATTGGCCGAAACCAAACTACATAGACGTTAGTTATTGACATGGGGTCCATATCTTGATTCACTTCAAGTTGTATCTTCTCCAAAGTCTTCCCCTTCATTCAAAGGTTGGTTGTTGGTGCGCAGTATTGATGAACATACCTGTTTCACATCGAGTGGCGTTTTCAGGGCGGGTACATTCAGGTCAACATATCGTTCCAATGAAGGGATATCTATAGGCTGGCGCACGACTCCAGCCATAATTGTTGAATTTCCTTTTTATTGGAGACAAGATAAAAGTAATAGTAATGAACGACTGAAATCGTAACTTGGAACAAGATCAAGGGATATATAAAAAAGCGAGGTTCATATCATTGAGAGTTGGAACTTGGAACAGCCGGGGAACCTCGGCCCAAATTAGCGGGGAGAGCTACAATGCAAACAGATCAAACAGATCAAACACAGTTCAAAGGACAAAGGACAAAGGACCGATCTGGAGATTCCCACGGCACAAAAAAGGGGGAAGTGAATGTTACTAATGGAATTGGAGAAGGATTTGGGAAAACGGAAATAGTATGATTTCTTCTAGAATAAATATGGAGCATATTGGAGAAGCTGATCTAAAGCACCATTGGAGCACCCGTGGATGCGGAAAACTACTATCCTGCACATATGATGTGAGATTCCTGACCTTCTGTCCCGTCTTAAGAATCGACGCTGTATAAACTAAACAAGACATCTCAAATGTTGCATATTTACACACATGTTGGGGGAAATTGAAAAAAAATGAAAAGTGAAAGAAATTGTCTATAAAGCCCATTTAATCATCGAAGAACTTCTTCATGAACTTGTGAGCAAGCTCCACGCCCAGACTAAAATATGCATCGTTAGTTGCAATGTATAATACCGAACGAATTGGAGATGGAAGATCTTACAAAGTGGCCGCATTAGCGGGCACAGCACGACACAGGGCCGGTCCAAAGCCAGGGAAAAAGGCCTTGACACCACCACTGGCGTATATTGTGCGGATCGTGCCACCGATTGTGGGTTTGCCCGGGGCACTCTGTAGTCGAGACTTGATAGTATCAACTGGGAAGACAGGAATCCACATCGCAATACCGGCAGCACCGCCAGCCGCCACGACTGCGGATAATGAGAGATCACCCGTCACATTGCCCTCGGAATCCTTAGGGGTGAGCGACCGCTTGATATATTCATAAGCGGCAAAGTAGGCAGCTGAGCCGGGTCCATCACGGGCCAAGGTCATTGCACTGCCTCGAAATACACTGCGGATACCACCCTCCTTGTACAGTTGACGCACAACATCCATGCCGCCGGAGTACTTCGGCTTTTCCCCGGGAGGAGGAGGGTTTTGTCCCTGGATCTGTAGGAGGACCTTGACCCGCTCGAATGGCGCTGTAATCAGAGTCATAGGGATGGCGGAGAAGAAACCGGCCGCGGAGATTTGTGCAATAGAATATTGTGGGGTGTCGTTCTTTACCGGAACGGTTGAATAGGTATTCACAAGGGTCTTGCCCACGTCATAACCCTAGGAGGGTGTTAGGAGATCATCGTGCATTCGAGCGAATCGAGTTCAGAGAAAATTGAATGAGTTAATGGACATACCCAAAAGCTCACAGCAACTAAGTCGGCATTAGTCAAAAAAAGTTCATTCCACAGGTATCACCATCGAGGCCGTTGAAACTTTAGGGCAACTTACACATTGGAGTCACACCCACAAGCGGGGCAGATACACCCGCATATAGACCCTGTAGCCCCATCGGACGTTAGTTCACCAGTAATTGCGTGCAAGCATGCACATTTCAGAGCTCTCATACCCGAGCCAAACCCTCGCGGGCAATAGTCTTTCGCACCACATCCATGGCGCCGGAGTAAATGCCCTTCTCCGCGGTTTGGAGTCGAACTTTGACCAGGTCGAAGGGGTGGCCAACAACGACCGCGCAGAGACCACCTGCAGCACCTGCTGCTAGCGAGCGCAGCTGTGCAACAGTCTGGTTCACGGCCTTGGCCTCAACAGCCTTGACCTCATCCTTGAGCTGCTCCGGCGGAGAAGTGGAGGTGGACATGATGTGATGCGGTCAAAGTGGGGAAAAGGAATCCGGGGAGAAGGAAAACCAAAGGGATCCGATGGGAGGGGGGATGGGATATTGCTGAAAGGACACGGAGCAAGGTAGAAGAAACACGACTCTAGAAACAGAGAACAAAGATTGTAAAGATCATAAAAGATCGCAAAATCACACGAGCATCAGAAAAGAAAACCAGTTTAAAGGACGATCACAGATTCCCCGATGCCCCGGACAACTTGAGCCTCGGCTCGGCGCGGAGAAACATGCGATCCGCGGAGAACAACTTCGGCATATGTTGACATTGTTGAGTATCAATTAGAAGTAGCTCTTTGTAAGTCAATCATTTTGTGCAAGGCAAGGAGGTATTACAAGGATTTAATCTCTCATAAGGAGAGAGACATCCATATTTCCAAGGTTCCACATAGCCCCTCAACCTTGGAAGTGCTTGGTGGTAGAATAAGACGCTGCACATGAGGACATAGAAACAGGTAAAAAATCCAGAATACTGGGGAGCACAATTGATTTTATTTATTTATTTTAATATTTTTTTTTTGAAGAAAATACTAGTAATAAGAACTAGATCTGGATGACATACATGTAGTGTGTTTTCCCCCTGGAGCTGTGTGGCCTGTGCCAATGCGGGAGCTTGAGTGGAGTGTCCACTTCATGACGAAATCTTCGAAGTCCCCGCGTCCACCTGTTTTCCTCGCTTCACGTCTGCGCACTCATTCCGTATGGTTTGATATCTCGAAAGATTACCTTTGCCTGATTTTTTTTGTGAATCCCCTTTCGACACCTCTATCTCGGTTTCCCACTGCGTTGGCATGATGGCTCTCCGCCAAGTGCACGGTACAGGTATGTTGATGACCCCGGAAGAACGTATTCCCTAAGCTCAACTCGCTCATGAACTATATACTAGCCAAGCTGCAGGAAGTAACAAAGTTACTGGATTCACTCGAGAATGACCTGCAAAATAAGCAATTAACACCAGATAGTGAGTGGCACCATTGATAGAGAGGAACGCTTGGTAGCAACGTGATGCTGACGGGAGGGTTTATTTTGCATACAGAAAAGGTTCAGACTCTCCTCCAACTCCGACAATATGGCACAAACCCCGTCGATGCCGGTCCGATATACTGCAGCAAGGTACGATGGGTCAATCAGGCTACGGGGTGACGAGCCGACGATCTGATATTTCTATAGGGGATTGGGCTGCTCGTGAGATATGGCATAGAGGGAGAAACCCCTGATATCTGTCGCGCTGCCCTGCGATGTGTCGCAAATGCCCTACTTCTTGATGCGAAAATGCGTCAAGTCTTTGTTGATACAGGGTTTGGAGGTGAACTGAGTAAGAAGCTCAAGGTATCCAATTTCGTCATTTCTTGGATTGCCCCATAAATAACTGATCATAAATGCCCAGGCGGATAACTCTGAAGATGAGATGGTTGCTAGTCGAATCTTGTTCTTGTCAACCTATGACACCACCATGGACTTTGAAGATCTCATCAAGAATCATTCACTTGGAGACAACGTTACTTATGTAAGGACTTCTACAATGGCGTGTTAATCCCTCCAGTCGTTCTGACTCATTGATATAGCAACTCAACCGACATGCGGACCAATTTCCTAAAACCGGAAGACAGCCGTTATCCCATATGGATGAACTGGCTCTCACAGATACCCTCAAACTGGTCTTCAACGTATCCAAACTCTTTGGCCTCGGTTCTAAGTTCTCGGCATCAATCCCTCATATCCTGAAGATTATCAGTCGCATCGAAATCCCGGCGAAACCTCTAGAAGGTCTAATCGGCTATCTGATCAACGCGCTCTCTGTTCTCGACATGGAGGAAAAGGAAAAGAAGTTTTTTGAACACAACCCGCTGTTTCCCTTATTCGATTTGAATTGCAACGTGGATAGATTGATCGATATACTTGATGGAGCTGAGTCCTCATACCGGCCTGCAGAACTTGAGGAGAAGGTTGTTCCTTTGTTACATTCATTGATCATCATATGCGAGCTTGCTCCCGATGAACAACGCCAACATATGCAAGCCCGACTTCTGCCCGAAGACAGCGATCGCAGCCAGCCGATAGGACGCTCCGGTACCCTTGCATCTCGACTTCTAAAGCTGTTGACAACCCCTTACCCGAATTTGAAGACTGGAATCTCAGAGCTCATGTTCGCTCTTGCTGGCAAAGACCCAGAGAACCTGACCAGGAAAATCGGATATGGCTACGCGGCTGGGTTCCTAGCATCTCGAGGCTTGGAGGTTCCACAACTTACTAGTGAAGCTTCTGCAAATAGTGATAATGGCCTGGATCCTAACATCAATCCGATTACGGGTCAGCGATGGACAGCAGAGCCTGCAGATTCAGGCCATCCCATGACTATGGAAGAGAAAGAGAGAGAGGCAGAAAGACTCTTTGTTCTTTTCGAGAGGGCAAAGGCAACTGGTCTCCTGAATGTCGAGAATCCAGTCACCCAGGCCCTTCATGAGGGAAGATTTGAAGAATTGCCAGATGATGCTGATAGCGATTGAATATTTCAAGTTTCTACCATTACTTTTTGCTCCTGGATTAATATTATCACGTTTAGAACAGGTCCAGCCTGATTTTGATACCCTGCAAGTTCAAATGTTTCAAATTGAGAACTTTTGTTCAATCCATGGATGTTAATCATACAAAAGATTTTTTACTGTCGCAGTGCACTCACAAGAGAAGAAATCATCTGGATTTGTTCATTCGATTCTATTTACTGACATACACTTGCATGATTGTAAACGCGGACTCGGATGTCGTGTTTCAGTCCACCAGGCAAATTCGAGTTGAGTGCTAGTATGCTGCACAAGTGGGAAGGTAGTATGGAGGTGGTACTATAGTAGCCTGAGATATTCCAAGGTTAATCTTAAGAAAATATTACTACTAGTACATATACTCCAGGGTTGTTTACTACGTGTCTATCTATTTCGGGGGCCTACTAGAACGGTCACGCGGTCAAGCTTGAACACTTGAACTCCATCATGATTTTCCTATGATGAATTTTGCCTGCCTCACCTCCTGGCAAAACTGAATATCATATATGAAGCTAAAGTGGGAGATAGATTAAGTGAGACATAGCAAAGCAAGAGGTAGCCAACTTGGAAGTGACATCTGGAGAGTTAAATGATATCTATATTTTCTTTTTCCTTCTATCACCTATATAGGAGTTTGGTCATCTCCTGTACTAATTATCTTTAAATGTTCTTACTCCTTACTCCTTACTCCTCCCATACACGTCGTCCCGTTTTGACGTGTCAACCCCAAGAAGTGTGGCCTGTATTTTCAGGCACTTCATAACTCGATCTCTCTTCCTCAACTCCAGAATTCTACATTCAACATTGGAAGTTGCCTCAGGGCTGCGATATCAGTTGCTCCCTTATCAATTCGCTTTACGCCATACCTACGTACACCATACCTACGCGATCCTCCATTGTCAACATTTGAACGTCATCTTACGCGTCTCTCGCAAAATGGTTTTGCTCCGCCTGCATGTTCGCGTTTTCCCTCGAGAGCAAGCCCCGAGCCAACTCGAAGGCTCTGCCCAATCTGTGTTGCGGACCATAGAGAATGACGATGACAAGCAGAGTTTTGTGGGGTTTCTCCTCCTCGTCGAAAAGCCAGAAGCTTACTCCCTGCATGATCTTGCTTGGCTGATCAAGGAAAAATGGAGCAAACTACGTCCCGGTTCTGAGTGAGTGACGTTGAGAAGATAGCAAGCGAGTATCTCAATGGATTGATATAGCTAACTCTTTTATTATTGAATCTTTAGGCCCCTGGCTATCAAGAAACTCCTCGATGATAGCATGCCTCACAGCGATCTTGACATCAAACTATCTGTTGCCGATGTATTCATCAACCGAGGGAAGGCTGAGACAGATGGATTTGACCAGTCGGGAATTGTACGCGTGATACAGAAAACCGCTACTCATGCCCCCACGCGATTCCCTTCGGTGGTGCAAGATTTTGATGGACCTGTTGGGTCTCGCGGTCGAAGACAATCCCCCATATTCTCCCCGATTTCCGAAGAGCCCCACGAATCATATGATAGTCCATCATTCCCCGCGCAACGATTTGATTTGACATCGGGAACTCCAACTTTACCTATGAATATCTCAAATGATTATTCCAATCCGCCGACAAGTTCATATGCCTCCGTTACAGCTCAATCCCGGAAGCGCACACTTGATAGCACAGAGAGCAACAGACCACCCAAGGAACCACGCCTGGGGCCTGTCGTTCATTCAGCCAGAAATACAACACCACCACCTCAACAGCAACGAGGACCATTGCAGAGACCCCCACGCATTCCAACCTTCGCAAGACCAAACCCGAAACTATCTTACACTAGGCCGCCACACGGCAATGGGCTAGGGTTAGATCCATCCACCAGCCCGAAAGCCAGAAGACGTGGATCTCTGACCAACATTCCTTCTACCGATTTCAACACTCATGTTTCTGGGTCATCTCCGCCTCCGCTCCCTGTTCTCTCAACCACGCTATCGCAGACCCCAAGGGATAAAAGACATACCCAGGACCGGCATGTAACTTTTAGTGACAGTCCTATGACCCAAAAGCCTCCCCGCTCCTCTCTCGCATCAAGCCAGAACTCCATTACTCCTAGCCAGCAGGGACCCGTCACTTTCCCCAGCACCATCTCCGCTGACAAGATCCAAGAATTGCAAGCGCGCGCACAGGAGAGACTAGATCTTCTTGAGGATGCTACGACGATGCAGAACGATCCCAGGATAAATAAGTCACTGCTATCATTGGTCAACGAGATTTGCCAAATTGATAATCAATTGAAGCGATCCAAACGGAGCCACTATGTGAAATCTCACAGTCAAAAGAAGCTTGATGAACTTTTGGGCAGATTCAAAGAGGCCAAGAAAATGCTTTTCGATGAGTCACCAACATTGCCCCTGTCTGAAGACCATGAAGAATACAGCCAGAGCGAGTCCAATGTGGAAGTTGATCAGCAGATTGTTGACGGAGAATCACACAATCCCGTAGAGACCACGCCAGAACCGGTTCACTTGGTCACTGAAATTCAAGGCCCACAAGATCAAATGGAACCCGTGAATGTGGTCGAGCTACATCTTGATTCGGATAATGAAAAGACACCGGATGCAAATGATGCAGTCCAGAAAAATATTAATGATCAAGAGGAGGACCAAGATATGACTGAGGCGGATGATACAACACAAAGGCTCGCAGAGCAGGAACCGGCAAAGCCACAAGAGGCACCAGAAGAGCGCAGTTTCTTCGCAGAAGAAGAACGTCAATTGATGCAGGAACTTGCATCTGTCAATCCTACATCCGAGGCTGCTATTATCAGCGAGAAGGCGAATTATGTACTGTCCGAGTCTGAAAATGAGGACCAAGACAGCTCTTCTTCGGCTTCTTCTTCTGAACAAGATGACGATGACTCCGAGCCTGATCATGTCTTGTAAGTTTATCCTATTTATTCCCAAATACCCTGACAGCCATTAATAAATGATACGTAGCCCGCCACCGTCTCAAAACTCTGCCAGCGGACCAAGAAAGGCGAATGCATCGCCGTCGCCTCGTGCAAGTCCTTCTGAACAGTCACACTTGCCTGCGCAAGTCCGTTCTAAGAGCGACCATAGAACATTGAGGGTTCGTGTAGCCGAGGAAAGGGCTAAGTTGGCAGCGCGCCGGGAAAAGAGCATGGCCACTCAACACACTACTTCCCCTGGTGACAAGTCTAAGGAAGTCGAGTCAAATCGGGAAAGCTCTTCATCTTCGTCGTCCTCTGAGGAGGACTCCTCTTCAGAAGATGACGATGACTCCGAACCTGACCCAGTCTTATGGTGAGTTTTTTTTATCCATATTTATCCCCAAATCCATTGACAGCCATTAATACATGATAAATAGCATGCCGCCGCCCCCAGGCCCTACCAGCAGTGCAAGCAAGGTGACCGCATTATCCTTGCCCCGTACCCTCCCTTCTACTCAGCAATCCTCACCCTCGCGAGATCCTCCGAAGACCGAAACCAGGTTGCAGGCTATGCTCAGAGAAAAAAAGGCCGAATTGGCAGCAAGGTTGGAAAGAGATCGTTTACCGCAACGAGTTCCGACGCCACCCCCGAAGACACGAACGATCTACGAGCTATCTTCTAGTGATTCCGATAGTGACAGTGACATGGGTGACGTTCAGCACAACGGAACCCTGGACAAACTTCGCCGACCGCGGACTTGAAGCTTCTTTTGCAAGAAATAATTCTCGGCCTCTTTTTGTTTTAGCGTCTTTTTTTTTTCTTTTCCTTCGAGATTCCAATTCCTACACCTTTTTAATTCCACACTTAGGTTCTTCGTTTGAGATCGCAATTATGTATGTCAGTGAAGAGAATCGAAATCAAAAATTGCCTAACCATTGCTCAGCACGTTTAAAGGGTCATCACTGTTATCATCTCTACTCAACGCCCGCTCTCGAGGTTCGGCGAGCTTAGAGGGGCAGCTGTGACTCACGCAACCCACGACTCGCATTTCAACGCCTGCTCCGTTTCACTACCTTTTCTCTGCCTTCTTTAATCTGGGTTGGCGCAGAAGGGACGCTGCAGTGTAACTTGGTTATTATTGAAGCTAAGGCGAGACACCGTGCTCCGAGTCATGGTCGACTATCGATTTGGCGAAGCACCGGTTGATTTGCTATATGGCGAGTGCATCGAAGTCGTCGCGATGATATGGAGACATACATCTGTGCGATCTCTGGACTTGCCTCGGATTGGCAAGAGTTGAGGTGTGGGCACCTTACCTATTATTTTTGTCGATTTTGTTACGGCCAAGTATGAGTTGCTAACACACTTAGTTTCTTTCTCTCCCCATCCGCATAGCAAAAAATACAACTACATTAGTCCCCACTACTTTTGTTTTTCCTGTTCCCTTGGTCTTACGGCCCGTATTCGTGCGGAGTACGGTCTGGTTTCAGTTGGTACCATTTTCAAGTTCTCCAATTCGGGAAACCCAGGACTTGTGTTGGTTAAGTTTTTGTTCCACCACATCCCGGATAAGGGAGAATGGTTACGCCTTCAAATGTTATGTTGGATATAGACAGGATCAATGGAACTGCAACTTGAAAATACAGGAGGCTGCCTGGCTGGTCTGATCTGTACTAGTAGACCTCGGGAAGAGTGTACTATCCAGAGTGAGAGATAACTTCCAAGGTTCAAGTTCAAGTTGACTCATATCATATGCGGTAGATCTCGATTTTGCCCCTCGGTACACGGAGAGCGAGCCTCTAAAAAGCCTTTGAAAGGTGACAGTGTACGTATCTATGTAGGCATTACGCAATCTGGGAATTTAGACTAATCGAATTTTATATTTGAAGCTCATAAGAATTGGTCGGACAACAATTCCGTCATCGGAGTCAACAGTGGTTCATGACTGAGCATTTCGGAAAAGTTAGGCGCTTTCCGTGTCTTTTTGGTACATAGGTAACTATGGTAACTATATACTTGAAGTCTATGCCGAGGGGCGTTGATGAGCTCATTAAAGCGATCAAAAATGGCCACATGCAGATTTTGAAGGATCCAACTTGGATTCCACGCCACTACCTCATCGTTCTTGAGGGTTTCAACTTCGCCGTGTCGTATCACAGTCATCCTTGCAAGATATCTGACTTCAATGTTCCGACAGCTCGCAGTACGTGAAGACTCAATACAACTCCGTTGACCTTCTTGAGGACTGATGATGGGTGACAGCTAGGGATCTATCGTAACTGTCCATAACATCGTGGCAGAGGCGATTCGGAAGCCCGACAAGATATTATAGCTCTGATGTCTACTCCCGAGAGTAGTAGTAATGCCTCATCAGTCAGAAGTGATAAGAACGAGGCCGCCAGATCTATCAGAACAACGGGAAGTGATCACAGAAGTAATGATGCCAGCGAATCAGGAGATAATGGCCAGGAAAAGGAGTCCGACACACCTAGGGTTCATTTCCGATCAACCACCAACTTCTCGCGCGATGTACCTCGGCAATCATCGAAAGATGATATACATGCCAAGTGGGAGAAGTTTCAGAAAGAAGACCAGCCTCATGTTCCTTCAAGACCTTACGCTCATGAATCGGCAGATATTGCCGATACGCCCCTGGGGAATCAATCACAACCCTCCCAAGAAGATGGCGTGGCACCCGATGAAAAGACTCAAGAACAAACCTCAGAGCAAGACAATAATATGAGAGCCATTCCGGATACCCTCAACTTCAGCAGCGCAAAGACTCGACTTCGCTCTGCAACTGCGACATTCAAGCAGAGGGCACGGGTTTGGGGTGAGCGAATGGGACGCCCTACACATGGAGGCGATGATCTGGGGTCTGGTATGTACCAAGCAGACTGGGCCACCGGCAGTGAACCGCCACTGTCCGACGTGACAGACGATAAGCACAAGACTTATGAGCAAAAGCGTCAGCACCACGCAACAAGTAGTTCCGAGGCCCACCGACTCGTGCGCGACTTGACACAGGATCACTCTGCCAAGCGACGCAAAACCCGCGGCAGACCCTATCCCCATACCGGTAACGAATTTGTAGGAAGTGAGGATGAATCGAGCATTGAATCAGGACTGCGATATCGATCCGGAGGTGGCGGAGTCCTATCTCAGTTGATCAAACTTCAGGGTCCTCAGGGACAAGGCAGCGCCTCCAGGACTCCAAGCCAGTCATCCATAGAGTCTACATCTAGTGCAGCAACCTCAACGAGTTCTGGGACAACATCAAAAAAAGATAAACCGAAATGGTACAAAAAGCCACCCAACACATCGACGTCCACGTTGGTCGGAGCATCGGGCAGCATGAGTGGAGCGAGTACACCAGTCACAAGCGAGGTAATGTCGGCTGCTTCAAAACGTCGTGGAAAGCAATCTGATCGCAAGGTCCGACTTGAAGACGAAATTCGAGTGACAATCCACATAGCGGAGATTATTTGTCGCCAACGATACATCATGCAACTCTGTCGAGCATTAATGACCTTTGGAGCTCCAACACATCGACTGGAAGAGTACATGCAAATGACAGCTAAGGTGCTCGAAGTTGACAGCCAGTTCCTATACCTCCCAGGATGTATGATTATGTCGTTTGATGACCCGTCGACAAGAACGACCGAAGTGAAGCTTGTGCGAGTTGCACAAGGGGTAGATCTGGCACGACTATCAGATACCCATCTGATCTACAAAAATGTGATTCACGATGTGATTGGCATTGAAGAAGCAGTTCAGGAGCTAGACGACGTGATGAAGAAGAAGCCTCGCTATAACAAGTTCATTGTGGTACTTGTATATGGACTCGCAACTGCAACTGTGGGACCCTTTGCGTTCAACGCCCGACCCATCGATATGCCAATCATTTTCATCAATGGATTACTTGTGGGTGCTATGCAGCATCTGGCAGCACCTCGATCGGTTCTTTATTCAAATGTATTCGAAGTGACCTCGACGGTGCTGACATCCTTCCTCGCCCGTGCCTTTGGAAGCATTCCTCAATCAGTCACCGATGGGAAAAGACAATATTTATTTTGTTTTTCAGCCATCGCTCAGGCATCCATTGCATTGATTCTACCCGGGTTCTTGGTACTCTGTAGCAGTCTGGAACTACAATCCCATCAAATCATCGCTGGTTCTATCCGAATGGTATATGCCATTATCTTCTCTCTGTTCATTGGGTACGGAATCACCGTCGGTACCACTATCTATGGTCTTTTGGACAAAGGAGCAGTATCAGACCTTACTTGCCCAAAGACGGGGGCATTTCCAAACCCATATGTTGCTCGATTTCCTTTTGTGAGCATCATGACTGTGTGGCTTCTGATCATCAATCAAGGCAAATGGAAGCAGCTCCCACCAATGACTATCATTGCAATGTCGGGTTATACCACCAACTACTTCAGCACCAAGAGACTGGGATCGAATTCGCAAGTGGCCAATACAGTTGGTGCGTTCACCGTAGGCATTATGGGAAACCTTTACAGTCGATTTTGGCACGGACATGCGGCTACAGCTATCTTGCCAGGGATCTTTATTCTTGTTCCCTCGGGACTTGCTGCTACTGGATCATTGATCACAGGTGTACAGTCGGCAGACGAGATTCGTCAAAATGTATCCTCTCATTCTTCCCCGAGTACTACTCCTGGTGCTGGACTCTCCAATTCATCTGTCTTCACTTTGGGATTTGGCATGATTCAAGTCGCGATCGGGATCACCATTGGGCTATTCATCGCGGCTTTGATCGTTTATCCGTATGGAAAGCGGAGGAGTGGACTGTTTAGTTTCTAAACCCATGATACCTATGAGCATCCGTACACGCTTTTGAAAGCTATCATTGCTGCCGAATATGGCATTTGTGTTCATAATGATTACTCTGACGTGGAGGAACATGAAAATACCATTCCTTTCAAGTGCTCTACTACTCGTATGCCTGTGTACGCCTGACGGCAGTCGGTGACTGTAGATGTGGCATGTACTCATATGTATAATGGAAGACTCAGATTTGTAGTATGTATCATTCAAAATTCAAGTTCAAGATGAAGTCGACTCCACTGATAGCTCAAGTGCTCCAGGTGATGCTGCACATGCCAGCCTAAGCGTCAGGGTGCAGTGCTTCCATTCACCCGTAGGTGTCATCATACTAGATGTTCTTATACAACCCATGACTTATTTCTACTTGATAGGTTCCAAGGTTAGTACTTCCATTTTTCCGTCTTTCATCTCAGATTCATTAATCCTTGTGACTGTACTTCATTTGTACCTTTTCCCCCATACTGTATACAAAACTCCCCCCCAAAAACAGCCGAGGCTCATGTTCCGGTATAAATTACTAAAGTGTGGGCCGTCTGTACGGAATTAAAGTGTCTTGATTGGTTAAATACCATCCCCACGGGTAATACAAGCGTCACCCCTATCCGCGGGCAAACAGCGCATTCGGTCTCACTGGCAGCCGAGGCTCATCACCTTTAAAGGTATTTGGTTCTCCAACTCCAAACGATACAACTTTGTTCCCTTCTTGAGTCTTCTTCCTCCAATTCTATCTTCTCATTTAGCATTTGAGGGATGTTTGCTGCTTCTGCTCGAAGCCGTCTCTCCACCTTGTCAAGGCATCGGCTCCCTCCGACACAACTACTCGCCCGCTCGGTAAGACGGCCATCTCCGAATCCCTACTCGCAAAGGCGAAGTTCATAAGACAAATTGCTGGATTGAACTAACTCGATATCCCAGACACTTGCTATGGCTCCTAGACGAAAGGCCTCTTCAGTCCCCGAGGGTGAGTCCGAGTCCTTCACATGTGCTCATTGTGGGGAAGATGTCGTCATGGTTCACTCTGCCCTAGCTATTTGTACCCGCAATCCCACACGCCCGCCAGCACGGCGACAAGATCCGTCTCTCTTCCCGAAGTAAGGCTAATAGAATGAAATTTGTGAAACAGGATACAAAGAGGATGTCTCAAAGGGCAAAATGCTCCGTTTTGAGGACTCTCTGCCCCGTCTTCCCGTCCCATCCCTCGAGGAGACAGGCCGCCGCTACTTGAAGTCTGTTCACCCCTTAGTCTCCGAGGCAGAGTACGAACGCACAAGAAAGGCAGTCGAGGCCTTCATTCGTCCCGGTGGTGAAGGTGAACCCCTGCAGAAGCGATTGCTGGAGCGCGCGTCCAATCCCAAGATCAACAATTGGCTCGCCGAATGGTGGAACCAGGCCGCCTACCTTGCCTATCGGGATCCTGTCATTCCCTACGTCTCCTACTTCTACTCCTACCGTGATGACCGTGAACGTCGAGACCCGGCCAAGCGTGCGGCCGCTATCACTACCGCGGCCTTGGAGTTCAAGAAGCAGGTCGATGACGGCTCACTCGAGCCGGAGTACATGCGCGGCCAGCCCATGGCCATGAGCTCTTACCAGTACATGTTCAACTGTTGCCGTATCCCTGCGGATGGCGAGGACTTCCCCCGCAAGTTTTCCGCTACGGAAAACCACCACATTGTGGTCGCTCGCAAGAACAACTTCTTCAAGGTGCCGTTGGTTGTGGATGGGCAGGCCTTGAATGTATCAGAGCTGGAGCAGCAATTCAAGCATATCATCGAGACTGCTCAGCCTGCTCCCCCAATTGGAGCGCTGACTGTGGCAGACCGTGATCACTGGACCGCTGCTCGTAAGAAGCTTGTCGCTGCCGACCCGGCCAATGAGCAGGCTTTGAAGGATATCGAATCTGCCGGTTTCATCATTTGCTTGGATGATGCGAAGCCTGTGACTCTGGAAGAGCGCGCTCACCAATACTGGCATGGAGATGGAGCCAATCGCTGGTTTGATAAGCCCTTGCAATTCATTATCAACGAAAACGGTACTGCCGGTTTCATGGGTGAGCACAGTATGATGGATGGTACTCCAACTCACCGTTTGAACGACCATGTCAACAATCTTATTGTAAATAAGCGCATCGACTTATCTGCCAAGTCTGTGCGTTCACAGCTGCCTGACCCCAAGCCTATCACCTTCCACTTGAACGAGGAGGCTCACGAGGCCATCGATATTGCGGCCCAGTACCACCGCAAACAGATCGCCTCCCATGAGCTGGTTGTACAGGCCTTCCAGGGCTATGGTAAGGGTCTGATCAAGAAGTTCAAATGCAGCCCCGATGCCTATGTTCAAATGGTCATCCAGCTTGCCTACTTCAAGATGTATGGCAAGAACCGACCCACCTACGAGTCTGCCTCCACTCGTAAGTTCCAAGAAGGCCGTACTGAGACCACTCGTACTGTATCCAACGAGAGTGTCGCCTTTTGCAAGGCATTCCACGATCACACCGTGCCCCGTGAGGAGGTTGTCAAGCTCTTCCGTACTGCACTTTCCCAGCACACCAAGTACACCCTTGAGGCCAGTGACGGTCACGGCGTTGACCGTCACCTTTTCGGTCTGAAGAAGCTTCTTCAGCCTGGTGAGAAGCTTCCTGCCATCTATGAGGATCCTGCCTATGCCTACTCCGGTTCTTGGTACATTTCCTCTTCCCAGTTGAGCTCGGAATACTTCAATGGCTACGGATGGAGCCAGGTCATTGATGATGGATTCGGTATTGCCTACATGATCAACGAGAACAGGTATGTTTTGCTCTCTTCGAAACACCTTTTTATCTTCTGGAATGAATTAATGCTAATTTTCGTCTAGCCTCAACTTCAACATTGTCTGCAAGCGTCTTGGTGCCCACCGTATGAGCTACTTCTTGAATGAGGCTGCTTCTGAGCTGCGCGATGTCCTTATGCCTGACCTGGCTGCCCAGAGCGAGAAGGCCAAGCTGTAGGACTCCTGTATTTTGGTTTTCCCTTTACCACTTCGATTCTTCGTATGAGATTTGAGATCTTTATTCTGAGCGCCTTCAATAGATGAATCTATTTGTACAGTCTTTCTATATACAACTTGAATGTTATTATCTACTATCATAAAAGCTCTCCCCTTCTCGAGTGCTGTGAGTGTCCTCATTATTCAACTTGGATCATAATCGAAACTGTTGTTTAAACATGAGGGTGCTTGAGCTTCACATGTGCATATTCAAATGTCCAGATTTGTAGAGAAGATTTTCGAATAAACCTCAGGCTGCACTCGTCCATGTATGCATTATTAATGTTGGCGGGGCTCGGCTATAGATCACCATAACCGTGATGCGGCTTTAGATTTCGGTATTTCGAAAGGTTCAAACGTTAGTCATCTGCACTCTCTTGCCCAGAATAAAAGATCAACTTCTTCTTCTTTTGTAGAGCATATTCTACTCTTTGAAAGAAAAAAAATGACCTCCATTCCCAATCAACAGCAAGCTGCAGTGGTGCAAGAACCCGGTGACAATTTCAAGATCCAGCTTCATGACGATGTTCCGGTAGGGACTCCAGGCCCCGAGGAGATCCTCGTCAAGCTCACATGCACGGGTCTTTGGTAAGACAACATTTTGAAACCATTCAGAGAACTTATTTCTTGATGCTGACACTGACCAGTCACTCTGAAGTTCGAGCTGTTCTAGCTTGGAGTTCATATCAATCAATCATCGGCCATGAAGGTGTAGGGACAGTAGTGAAGACTGGTGCAAATGTTTCCCCATCTTTACTAGGTCAGCGTGTAGGAGTCAAATGGCTCTACAATGCCTGCTCTAATTGCTCTCTCTGTAAAAGGGGCTTTCATCATAACTGCCCCAATCAAGTGAATACTAGCCGACATGTTCCTGGCACTTTACAGCAATATGCTATTGCGGATGCCCGTTTCATCACGAGGATTCCAGAAGGACTCAGCGATGAGACTGCAGCACCACTTCTATGTGCTGGCCTCACCATGATGGGTGCTCTTAAACATTTGGACACGGAGCTTCACCCTGGCGATTGGATTGTGATCTCTGGATCCGGTGGAGGACTGGGTCATCTTGGTGTGCAGATTGCTGCCCGCGTCAAGAAGCTTCGAGTCATTGCGATTGACAGCGGGGAGGATAAGAGAAAACTGAGTCTAGAATCTGGGGCCGAAGTCTTTCTGGATTTCAAAACCGAAGATGTTGCAGCTCAAGTGTTGAAATTGACGGGAGAAGGCGCTCACGCAACTATAGTCGTCCCCGGAACTAAGGAGGCCTTACAGATGGCACCATTGGTAGTTCGAAACATGGCAACAATTGTTTGCGTGGGATTACCACCTAATCAAATGGATATTCCTGTCTCTGCAACTCTGTGTGCCGCTCGAGGTGAGAACTGAATGATCAAAAGACGCGACATTCCAAAGTGGTTCAAGTAGTGACTAACTTTCACAGGACTCACGATCAAGGGCTCATCGGTTGGAACGGAAGCTCAATTGCAAGATTTGCTGCAACTTGCTTCAGATGGAGTCATTACACCGGCAGTCGAAGTATTTGACTTCCCTGAAGTCCCTCGACTCATCGATCAACTTATCAAAGATGAAATTATAGGTCGGGCAGTAGTGAGGATTCCAGCTAATTGACCAGCCATTTCACTTTAAATGCTTTCTGGGTATAATTTCTATTTAATTATAAAATTTATTCAAATTCATTTCTCCTTCAGTAAAAAAGTAGAGCGCCCTTTCTCAATTGCTGTATGGTTCCAAAGGTTAGAGCCTCGGATAGCTCTCAGTACTCACCATCAGCGATAACGATAAGAGTCATAAGACGATGAGACTTATTCGCCGCGCAAACTTGCATTTCACCACAATCACCACCCTCAACCTTCTCAATGGGAACCAAAAGATCTTGGCAAGGCGAGCCTTTGGCAAACAACTCAGATATCATCATGGAGTCCGAATCAGCGGGATCAATTCTCTCAATCTTCGAAACTTTTCGCAACGAGCTGGATGAGCACCATGACCGACGTGAACGAGTGATCAAAGCAAGCCGCGACATCACCGCGCTCAGTAAAAAGATGTAAGTTTACTATCTCGAGGGGGAATAACCAAATCCTCTACTTTCCTCACCTGTATTTAATCTAACACCATATCCTTCAGCATCTTCGCTCTCCAGCGAGTCCGCACAATCAGCACACCCCTCCCTCCCAAGATCGCCCAAGAAAACCAAGTCCGCCTCGACCAAATCCATGCCCTCTTCACCTCCATCATTCCCGATGTTACAGGCATCAACTCTTGGCGTTATCAGCGCCAAATAAGTGGCGGAGTTCAAGAGTTCATTGAAGCGATTTCATTCGACCATTACCTTCGCACGCAACAATTAATCTCCCTCGGTGAATCACAGGCCCGGCTTCCAAACGAGATCCTACTCACAGAGGAAGACTACTTGATGGGTCTATTCGATCTGACAGGAGAGATGATGCGATTTGCTGTTATGGCGTTGAGCTCTGGAAATGCCACACAAAAGCAAGCTTCCGAGGCGGATGGATCTACAGATGGCACCAAGAAACTTCCCTATCTTTCTGATACGCAGTCGGGAATTGTGGTTGATCTAAGAACCATGCGCGCTGAATTTGAGGCGCTGAGTGTCCCGCGGCGGTCAAACATGTTACGAGATCTTGTGAAAAAGGTGGAGGTGATGCAAAATAGTGTGGAAAAGGTGGAGCGCGCGGCATACGGTATTCTTGTACGTGGTAGTGAGCGGCCTAGTGGATGGATGCCGGATCTATCAGCGGGAGTTGAGATGGAGATCCATTGAGCTCAAAAAATTATCTGAGGAGCTAGTCGTCTTACCAGATTGAATAATATGAATCCTGACCATCAAGAGATGGATCTTTTTGCTAGGTTGACTACTATGTAGCAATCTACAGCCATGATGATGATAATCTGATGATTTGAATACTAATATTTCAATTCCAACTAGCACTAGTAAATATGTAAAGGGTAGACTGAGTCCACAGAGTGTACGAGAAACTCCTTTCCTAGTTTCCCTCTCGAATCATCTCACTAAGCTTGAATGCCAAAGCACCAACAGGAGCACTTGTGTGCCCACTAATCTGTTCTGGGAACACACTTGCGTCCATGACTCTGAGTCCCTTGACTCCGTGGACTTTGCATTGCAAGTCGACAACACTGGTAGCTGGATCTGGACCCATGCGTGCCGTGCCCACGGGGTGGTAAAGAGTGAATGCTTTTTCCTTGATGTTGCGGATAATATCCTCATCCTTGACTTTCTCAATATCGCTGCAAGAGTAAGGCCACCAGAACGACGTCGGGTCGTCGTTCACAGGCACTGGCTCCAGATACTTTTGGAAAGGTGCAGCTCGGCTTACCCTGAGCGCAACTCGTGTACCCGCCACGGCAGCTTTCAAATCGTTGTTAGACTCGTCTGATAGATACTTCGGATCGATGATTGCTGCGTAGAGGTTGATCTGTTAGCTGTGGAGCTAAACACGGGTCTTCATGGGTCTTATTTACGTGGCTCAAATGCATCTCTACTCTTAAGAGTAATAGTTCCTGTACTTAGTGGGCGAAGATGAATCGCGCCTGTGGTGATAGCGCCTCCACCATCAGGGGCCACTCCATCACCATACATCAGTGGGACGGCAAGTAACTCGAGGTCAGGGCCCTTAGGTCCTGATGTGACATCCACTGGGTGCCCAATTGATGATTCCGGGAATTCAAAATCCGCTGATCGGATAAACGCAGCGCTTTCGCCAACATTGTGGGTCAGCGGTCCAGTCCCAAACAGTTTCCATTGAAGGAGGGCAGGCAGGGCTTTCATAGGGGTCTTGAGATAATCCAACGTATACAAAGGGTTGGCTTTGCAAATAATTGGCAGTGTGGTGAGGTGGTCTTTCAAGTTTTTCCCCACTGCGCTGTTGTCTCGAACAACCGGTATTCCAAGGCTAGTCAGCTCATCAGCAGGACCAACACCACTCAGCAATAGGGTCTGCGGAGTGTTGACGGAGCCACCAGAGAGAATGACTTCTCGGCGTGCATGAACATTAAAGAACTCGCCATCGCGAGTCTTCTTCAATTGAACGCCAATTGCAGTAGGGGCTTCTGTTGTAATAGTGTCGAAAAGCACTTTGGTTACATGGGCATGGCATGCAACATGGAGATTAGGTCGCTTTAGCACCTCTGGTGCGAGGAACGCCGTTGACATCGAGGCCCGTTGCCCTTTTTGGTCAATATTGCTTTGAATGAGAGTTGCACCAAGTGTGCCGTCTTTCGTGTTGATATCTGGGTTAATGGGAATGCCCACAGCCTCGCAAGAGGGGAGAAAGGCTTTTTCAGCAATCTCAGTCACGTAAGAGTAGCCAGTATCCCACATGCCATCGGATCCACGATGTTCGGTATTTATCGCAGGTCGTGCCGGGTTAGGAGTAAATTTCTCCATACGACGAAAGTATGGAGAAAGATCATCGTATCCCCAGCCTTTACATCCATGAACGGATACCCATTCATCGTAGTCTGATGAGGAGGCATGATGATACATCATAGTATTCATTGATGTTGAGCCTCCCATTATGCGCCCACGAGGCCAGTAAATCTGACGGGATCCAAGATTAGGTTGCTCAGTTGTAAAGTAGGCCCAGTCATATTCACTGTGGAACATCTGTGTAGACATGAGCGGAACCTTCGCCTGAAGTACATTGGCACTGTCAGCTCCTGCTTCAAGGAGAAGGACGGAAGTGTCTTTGTCTTCGGAAAGCTTGCTGGCAAGGACACATCCTGCTGCGCCCGCTCCCACAATCACTATACCAGGATTAGCAATTGGCCAAACAGTATATAAGCTGAAGAGTATGATAATATTAAGGACTTGGAGGCACGAACCGTAGTCATAACCTTTAAGAGTGCGTTGCGCGGCATGGTATGTGGCAGGTGGTCCGTCTGACTTGGACTGGGGGGTCGCGTAATGTTGCGGCTCAAGTAACGGGTTGTGAGTCATGAGAAAAAAAGAAGTAAATTCAGACTTCTTCAAGTTGAACAATAGACTACCGATCAAAATGGTTGGAGTTTTTGAGCGAGATGCGGCGGTGATCTGTGTTATTGCTGAGGGAACGAACTGTGTGTGACGGTGGCATGGGGGAAGGAAGGAAGGAAGAACCCCAAGACGCGTGCTATCTACGGACCTCGGACCAAGTCTACGCGGGGCTACCTGGTCCGATAGTTATAAACTGAAGCTCTGGACTACTTTCAATGTTGTCTTTTCCCCACACTTTCGCCCCCCCATCGGATAAGAGGGGGTTAAACAAGACCAGGGGGCCACGTACACCCTGATAATGGGGGCGAAATAGAGCGTTGATTGAACAACGACGAGTATCTTTCTATGAACCTATAGCAAGACCTATCAAAATAATCAGTTTCATAGTTCAATGTTCACAATTTGTACTCCGCAGATTACTCCATAAAACGAAGCATTAGAAGATGACCCAAAGGTGGATCAAGGCGTGATATAGGCCAATTAAATGCTGACTACTGACAGCAGGGCGCTTTATAACTAACTTGATAGGAATTAGCGTAGTCTTGGTTAAGTGACCGAGAAACAAAGCGTGTGTGTGACTGACACTGACTGTATGTCTACTCCGTACTTCCTGTTTTCGAATTCTACCCTGGTAGTGAATTTCAGTACTGTACATGGTGTCCAGCTCATTGTGATTCAAAATCTGAAGAAGATTTCAGTCGGGGAGATAACCGACAACGAATTCCATATTGCAAACCACTCCCGAGGTCACCGAGCCTGAGCCTGAATGTCCCCATTAATCTTCCAAGGTTGGAAAGCGGTGATCGCTGAATGAGGAGAATCCTGTTTGGAAAAGTCCAGTATGTACTACCCGTGGACAGTAGTAAACCTTTTGGAACTTTTAAATTAGAAGTCACATATGTACAAAGGTCCGTAAGAGTAACGTGATTCCCAAGCGAGCGGGCCACCTACCGCCTACCTATAGTTTTAATCATAAAATTTACCACCATAACGCCAATTTATTAAAATATTTATCTAAATATCACAATGATCTGATCTATGTCCTTCATTTCCACACTTTCGGCACGTCGGCAGCTTTCTCCTAGCTCGCTGAGGTGATAAAACAGGTGCCCTGGGCCGCGGTACGGGAGGGGCAACTGATGTTTCAACCACCTGTATAGCACGCTGTATAGCTTCCTGGCCCTCTTGAACCGTCATTCCACCCTCATTAGGTATCTGCCTAGTAGACCGTTGGCGCTTCTGCTTCTGCTTCTCATGGACGGCACGTAATTTACGTATTTCAACCTCCAATAAAGCTGTCGAATGCATCTGAATTTCACAGGCTTTTAGAACTTGGTCTATCTGCTGTTTCAGTGGACTTGGAGGGCTTCTTGAACGTTGTTTTAGAAGAGCTTTGATTAAACTAGCTTGCCGTTGAAGCTGAATAAGGTTCTGGGGTGTCTTGGGTGAAAATTGGCTTGATCGACTGGTAGGGCGGCTACCTGGGCGTGTAGGTGTTCGAAGAAGAATATTCAACTTAGAAAGTACTCGATCTGGGTTGAATGGTACTAAACCAGTTGCTGCAAAGCTGTTTTGAATGGTTTGGGTTTGAAAAGCCTCTTTACGAGCGATTGGGTAGGCTTCAAGAAAATCAAATTTATCGATATGGTTAAAACCAAGCCGCATTTGATTCTCAACAAGCCGACCATATGCACATTTAAGAGGCGCAAAACATCCAACATCAAGTGGTTGATGGAGATGTGAAGAATGGGCTGGCATGCAAATTGGAATAATATTATTCTCTTTGCAAGTCTGGTCAAATTGGGGAGTTAAATGGCTCCCATGACCATCAAGAATCAAAAGTCGATATTTTCCAAGTGTCCGTTCAGTTGTTGCTGGAATAAAGTGTTTTTGAAGCCATCGAAGTCCAATTTCATCAGTTGTCCATCCATTTGGACTAGTTTCAAATCGCCAATCAGATGGAAGATTCTCAAACCATCCTTCAATCAAAACTTTGCCTTTAAAAATAATCACTGGTGGAAGGGCCCATCCAGATACATTAATTGTTTCAATAGCTGTTACCCATTCACGATTTCCAGGCTGTAAAAGTGATCGTCGACCATAAGATCGAGAACGAGTAACAACCTTAGCAGTTGCTGTAAGTCCCATTGCAAATCCAGTCTCATCAAAATTATAGATATCCTCTGATAGAATACCATTCTCTTGAATTGTCTGAAAAACAAGATTAAACCATTCTTGAACCACTTTTGGATCCTCCATTTTCGCACGCTCATAATTATATCGTCGAGAGAAACGAGTAGTAAGCTCTGAATGTCGTTTAACGAAGTTGGTAACCCAATTTTTACCAACAGTTTGAGGGGGGGTCCTGGCCACGCGCTGCGAGTAGAATATTGGCCATTTCTTGGACAGTAGCTGGGCGGGGGGCAGCTCCACGTATATCCATAGAGATCACCCACTGCAGAAGTGAATTCTCTTCGTTTTCATTCAATTTATGGCTATTTGCGCGAGTTTCGGATCGATTAGTATGGCCGGCAAGGCGGCGCCGTAACGTAGAGCGAGGTACATCGAATACACGTGCAACTTCGTGCTCGTTGGTGATATCTTTCTTCCGAATAGCTTCTATAGCAAGTAAGATCCTTCCCTCTTGTTCGAGAGAATTTCGAGAGGTTTTAGAACGTATTGGTGGCATGGTGGGTGGTTGAAGATGGTAGGACGCGGTCGCGACGCGATTTCTAGTCAGCCGGACCGCTCGCTTGGGAATCACGTGGCGTTAACGCCTAAATCCTCAGGCACAAAAATTCATACTAGTTAACTAGTAATAGCAGGGAGTGTTTGATTACTAAAACCCCGCCTATATTTCCCAAGTTACGTTAACTTGGAGTGGATTAGTTTACAACCCGGACCGATTAGAGAAAATAGTAGTACGGAGTACTTTATGACCAAAGAATACACACAAAAGGGCCAGCATGATCAATCCGTAGACTATGCAAACTGTATCATACGCTGTACGACCTCTTTATTGCTCTCTTTCAAAGTTTCCCCTACTCTGGACTTCAGGGGCATTCGAAACACTTGCGTACCCTCGATCCATGATGGCGTGGCTCCGGTGGATTACCGTACTGGTACCATTAATACCCGCGCAGCGGAACCTTGTGAGGCAGGAGGCCTGTATATTATACACAGCAATTACACACAATTCATCTGCCTTCAATCTTCATCCTTCTCCGCGCTTCTTTCCTCATTTCCCCCCTTTCATCTCGAATCCGGACCTCCTTTCGTCACCTAGACTTCCTCTTCATTCCTTTCATTATTCTCACGCCGCTCTTCTTCCTACTACAGGGCCACGCGGGTTCCCATCTCGAGTTACAGCATTCAGTGGGTGGGGGATGGATGATCCGCTATCCAAATTCTCGACTCCTTGCTCCACATTGATTTCCATCAATCACTTCAGCATCCTCTTCGATCGACTCATACCCTCGTCCTCTGCTTCAAACCCTTCCGGTCATCTCCTTTCTTAATCCCGGTTGATAATTTTGTGCTGAAGTTCCCACAATGCGGTGGCGGCTGCCGGGCGCCCAATCGACCCTCCCCGCCAGCGTTGCCCTTCTTTTACTCCCGGTTTTGGTTGCTCCGCAGCAGCATCCAGAACGTTATAATTCTGCCTCTCATGTCTCTGTGCCACTAGCAGCGGGTGAGACGAATTCATACTCACAACATACGGCTTCTGCAGCTGTACCTCCTATCGTGAAATCCAACGATGCGAGCGCCCTGGTAACTCTGGCTCTGGCGGGCTCCGGCCGCGCCGTTCGAGCCCCTCCCACCCAGGCTAGCAGCACCGCTGCTGGTCTGGCGTCGCAGCTTCATGCGCGGTCCTTACAAGACTGGGAGGTTGAGGATTTTGTCCTACTGGCGACCGTCGACGGAACGATCCACGCTCGAGATCGTAAGACCGGCTCTCCTCGCTGGGCTCTAGAAGTTCCCAGCAGTCCGGTGGTAGAAAGTATCTACCACAGGGCCAATCGAACTAGTTTCGACGATACGCAGCCCGAGGATGATTTTCTTTGGATTGTGGAACCTAGCCAAGATGGCAGTCTGTACATTTACAGCCCTGGTCCCGATGCCGGGTTGCAAAAACTTGGTCTGACAGTCAAGCAGCTGGTCGACGAAACTCCTTACTCTGGTCTTGAACCAGCTGTCACATATACTGCTCGGAAGGAAACTACTTTGTATACAATCGACGCTCGCACTGGAAGTATTTTACGGGTCTTCAGTTCTCGAGGCCCATTTACGGCAGGCCAGGAATGTCGCAAGGTGGACGGGCAAGATCTGGATCCCGAGGAGTGCGAAACAACCTCTGGTACACTGGTCCTTGGTCGTGTGGAATATGCCGTGGCGATTCAGAATACCGAGACTGGAGATCCTATCTGTACCTTGAAATACTCCGAGTGGGCGCCTAACAATCGCGATATGGATTTGCAGAGTCAGTACTTTCGAACCATGGACCAGAGTCATGTCTACAGTATGCATGATGGCGTGGTGTTAGGCTTTGACCATTCTCGCATGGACCGCCCGCGGTATACTCAGCGTTTCTCATCCCCAGTGGCTCGAGTTTTCGATGTGGTTCGACCCGCCAACAAAGAGACCCCTGATGCTTCGACTCCGCTGGTTCTCCTATCACAACCTCTTCAACCACCGGATCCTGACTATGGTACCTTGGATGATGGGCGGGACATGCGGGTCTTCATCGACTCCACTAATGCTGGTGGATGGTATGCCCTTTCGGAGGAGACATATCCATTGGTGACTGGCCGTGCTCCGATGGCTCAGTGTTACGATAAAGATTTCTTCCGCAGAGGACAACCTTTGATGAGCTTAAACCCACACCAACAGCGTGATGCGCTGGCGGGTGTTCATTCTTTGAACGGTCCACAGATCCGTCCACCTATCCCTCGCCTTGGTAGCTCAATGACTGAACTCGCCAATGACACTCCTCGGGATACTCTACGCAGTCCGTCAGAGTTAGCGCTCCCTCCTGCCCTACGCCACAGCGCCATCATCCGGAAGAGCTGGGACAACGCCCTTGATATCGTCGTTACTCTCGTCTTGCTCTTCATCGGCACGTTCATTTATTTCAACTCCCATAATATTCGAGATCTCGCCAAGCAGAAGTTGGACATCAAAAATATCATCAACTCAAATGACAAAGCTCCCCTTTCAACTCCTCCCACCCCCATCGTCGGTACTGCCCCAGATCGGAAGCGGGCTTCCAGCCTCTCCCGAACAGTGCCGGATGTGACTGTGGATGTGGATTTTCTGGATCAAAATGCGGATACAGATGCCATACCACGACATCCTCGAGACTGCAGTACGCCGCCTGAAACGCCGCGTCGTGTGAAGATAAGCGAAGCAACCTCTGAAATCGACGATCTCGAGATAGACGAGGCAGGTCAAGATCTTGATAAAACGCCGGTGAAAAAGAAAGGTCGTGCTCGAGGTTCACGCGGTGGCAAAAATCATCGTCGCCGCAAGAAGCCCGGCACTGAGGAGGATGCCACAGAACAAGCCGAGCAAGTGGTTGAGCAAGTCAAGGGTATGGCACCGCAGTCCCGACTTGAACCAGACATACAGATGACTCGTACCATGTCCAATGAAATTTCGCAGATGGATGGGGTTGTTCGCATCGGTAGGCTTGAAGTTTTCACTGATGTTGTCCTTGGTCACGGTAGCCATGGAACTGTGGTCTACCGTGGTGTTTTTGACGGGCGGAATGTGGCAGTCAAGCGTATGTTGATGGAATTCTACGATATTGCCTCGCATGAGGTCGGCCTACTGCAGGAGAGCGATGATCATCACAATGTCATCCGTTACTTTTGTCGGGAACAGGCCTCTGGATTCTTGTATATTGGTCTGGAGCTGTGCCCGGCCTCCTTACAAGACGTCATTGAGCGCCCAGTTCAATATCCAGAATTGGTTCAAAGTGGTCTAGACCTGCCGGATATTCTTCGTCAAATCACTCATGGTGTTCGATACCTGCATTCGCTTAAGATTGTCCACCGTGACCTGAAACCACAGAATATCCTGGTATCCATGCCTCGAGGTAGGACAGCATCACGAGCTATACGACTCCTCATTTCGGACTTTGGTCTCTGCAAGAAACTGGAAGACAATCAGAGTTCCTTCCGTGCCACAACTGCACATGCCGCTGGAACTTCTGGATGGCGAGCTCCAGAGTTACTGGTCGACGACGACACTGGTCCCTTGAGCCTCGCATCTCAACACACAGAATCATCCGAACCGGCTGTTGTCGACCCTCAAACCAATCGCCGGGCTACTCGTGCCATTGATATCTTCTCGTTGGGCTGCGTGTTCTATTATGTTTTGACTCGTGGCAGTCATCCATTCGATAAGAACGGCAAGTTCATGCGAGAGGCCAACATTGTGAAGGGCCATTTCGATCTTGAAGAATTGGATCGTTTGGGTGATTATGCCTTTGAGGCAGATGACCTGATTCGTTCTATGCTTTCTCTTGACCCTCGTCAACGGTATGTCATGTTCTTCCGTTTTGTTTATTATGTCTTCATTTGAACCCTATACTAACACTCACCTTTTTCTAGACCCGACGCAAATACTGTTCTGATGCATCCATTCTTTTGGCCTGCTTCGGATCGGCTTAGTTTCCTCTGTGATGTTTCGGATCACTTCGAATTTGAGCCGCGTGATCCCCCGTCTGAAGCACTACTTTGCTTGGAGTCTGTTGCCCAACAAGTCATTGGCCCAGAGATGGACTTCCTGCGTCTGCTTCCCCGTGACTTCAAAGATAATCTGGGTAAGCAACGCAAATATACCGGGTCACGCATGTTGGATCTGTTGCGGGCTCTTCGCAACAAGCGCAATCATTACAATGATATGCCGGAGCAACTCAAGGCCCACATTGGTGGTCTGCCAGAGGGTTATCTGAATTTTTGGACGATCCGCTTTCCCAGTCTCTTGATGAGTTGTCACTGGGTCATTGTTGAGGTACAACTGACCAGCATCGATCGGTTCCAGCGGTACTTTACGCCACCTGAGTGATCATTTGTTGTATATAACTTGAAACACATGCGTAAATAAATATGTCAACCAGTCCCAAGGTTCGCGATTAATTCCAATTATTCTCAAGTGTTACAAGGCTCGTGTGCCCAAGGTACAAATTTTTCCTACATAGTATATATCATTCCAACTTGATCAAAGATATCAAGATTGTGATTGATCTGTTCTAACCATTCAGATGTCCTCATTGACATCGACAGAAGAGAATAAACGAGCAAAAAAAGCAAAAAACAACTTGAATCGAACAAGACCCAACTAGCGTTTAGGGTGCTAAGACAATCTGGACGTCCACAGCATGAGTAATCCGCTTGATATCCTCGAAGACATCCGTTATTGGGGTGAAAAAGGAATGTCCAGTTGTTTCAGATACCGCGAACAGTAGCCCAGCCACAGTCCCAGACCATGGATCCTGTTGATCGCCCAGCCTTTGCGTATCCACTGAGCTGGGATGGGTCGCCTATGCTGGTGAATGACAACTCAACGTCCTGCTTCTTATCTGAGTACCGATAGGGCTGTTGCTTTATTGATTAGCCTGGAACTTATTCATCGTATAGATGGGAAGTTCTTACCATGTTGCTGCTTCCGGCACGAGGCTCAGGGATCTCAACCAAAGCCCAATCAAGTACGAGAGGTCCCTCAAAGGTAGCTCCTGGCTGTGTACGATAGACCGCTGCCTGCGAATACCGGCCAGAGGACGTAGGATCGGCTGGTGAAAAACCTCTGAAGGGACTGGCGGTGTTCGGTCAACGTTTTAATTGTCCTGCTTATGGTGCGATGGTATGCCATGTCTGCTGTGAAATTATAGATATCTGCGTCAGGATCCGCCTCCTGCGCCCAAATCTGCTGCTTGATCCCTCGGTATCTGTCATATGTAGACAGTCAATCCGGGCTTTGAGTTCTTTGTCAGTCCTGTTGAGATCTGGGAGCGATGGGTGGTCCATTCTGAGAAGCACGGGTGCCATCTCGTCTCCTGGCTCCACGGGATGGTCTTTCTATCTGGCCTATGCTTCAGCCTCAGACTCGGTTGGCTTAGGGTCGTGGCCTGTTGGATACGCAGCGTGAAAGCATGTGAGTGCAAACTGTTTCCATCCGGTCCATTGGAACCGAAGCTGTACACGTCCACCGAGTGTGAAGGACCCCGCACAACCTCTGTGAATGCCGATGCTGATTCCGGGATGGACATTGCTGTTAATGACATCCTTGGGTATCAAAGAATCAGTAGCGAGCCGGTGGATCTGGTCTTCTCGGAAAAGAATGTCAACGTCGGATATCCCGTACTGGCTCAAGATACCTTGGACACGGCGGCAGGCAGTATCCCATGACGGTCCTGAACTACTGTAGATACCCATAACGATTGTGGTACGGTTTTTGTCAGCTGAATCTCCAGCTCCAAACCGCCAGCAGCCCAAGCTCACGATGCCACGAAGGTCGAGGGCGTCTAAGATGCCCCGACAGATGTCAGGTCACTTGGGGAAAATCGGCTCAGACGGAGCAACGGGAAAACTTCGAAGCAGCTTAAACATGAGTTTAGATATGATATCAACACAGATGTCCGGCAAGAGCGTCTTGATCTTCCACAGCCACAAGAATTGTAGGTACTGGGACTTCATTTTCATCCGAGAAGGATGACGTCAGGCCCACAATCCCGATTTCAAACCACCTGATACCCTTGTCGTCACGAATCAAGTGAGTCTGATGGTGTATCTACCTCTCAGTATCGCTGCTGATAGCCTTGGGAAGAGGACGCTCGATCAAGGGGAGTCTGCAGAGGCGGGGTCCTCCAACACGATGTGGTGTGGTGATGAAGCCACCTGAACCTTGGAAGTAGGGAAAACAAATCCAAGGTTTGGACCGGTCTCACCATTTTGCTATGAGAACCGGGGTTCTATAATTCTCCTAAGCCAAAATGAGACGAACCTCCTAGGTGTTATGTCTAAAGAGCGCGCACTGGCGGACAACAGCGGGGAATATTGAGCTATCCATGGATGTTTCATCAAAGGACTAGCTGCTGGGAAATAGATATTACTCTAAAGAAAGTAGAGTATTGCTCTGGGATTAAAAGCAAACACAAGACGTTAATGACAAGGTTTCCACCGAATATTTCCCAGCCTTGGGGAGATTGATTGAATGAGAGCAATTCGCTTAGATAGAGTCATGAATGTGGTCTAAGAAGCTGAATAGCCTGACCTGTACATGCTGAAGGTATGGCCATAAATGGCGATCAAGCAAATTGACTTGACAAATGCCTTCGTCATCCCATCGCTCTGACCCAATCCCCATTCGCGTCATGAACAAGTCTTCAGGGTCCCATTCCGCCTTGACATCCAATAGACGATCATAGTTAGATCCCCAGAACACTTTCGAGGGATGAGCTTCGTACGGGAATGGAGTACCAAGATACCCTCCCATCATTCCATGCTCGAGAGCCTCAAGCGCCGGTAGCTGTGTAGTTGCCAACTCATGCTGGACACGGTTGTAAGTGGCCCAATCCGGAACCGAGGGCAGGCCGCGGCCCAGACTCAAAGACATCCATGCAGATTGCCAGGATGGATGGGTTGCACGCTTCTCTGCGCCGCTACGTTGAACTGCGGGTCCACCCACCATGCCTTCCAAACTCACTACATCACCGGGTGAAAAAGTCAACTTGGCGAGGGTCTGGCTGATATGGGATGGTCCATCGTCTGAAACCATCAGGTCTCGCGAAATCAGTCGCGACGCAGCCATCATCCCGATTCCTGCCTGTTCCAAGCCTTTGGGGAGCGCAAGATATGAGGATATGCGATCAAAGGATTCCTCGGAGGACTGTACTGATAGACCATGTGCTTCAATACGGTCACGGAGATCATCCAGAGCCTCCTGGCCTCCAGGGTGCGTATTATTGATGAGATAGGACTCGATGGTCAGAAATGCTGCATTGTCGGGCAAAATTGGCATAGCAAAGGCTTGAACAGCATCACCACGATCCACCAACATAGGGATAGTGTGCAGCAAATCAGTCACGGCGTTCCAGAAAACATTGTCCGCTCCATCAGGACTAATGATATTCATCTTTGATACGACAATTGGCGTATCAGGGTAGGTTCGCATTGTAACATCCACGATAACACCAAAGGTTCCTCCGCCGCCTCCACGGATCGCCCAAAACAGGTCATGGTTCTGATATTGGTTTGCGATAACGTACTCTCCCTGGGAAATGCAATATCAGCAGGGAATCAAATAGCCGGACCATATATCTGGCCTTGGTTCTGGAAAAGACCGCTTAGTCTGCTTACCTCTGCAGTAACCACACCGACCTCCAGCAGATTGTCAACCCCAAGGCCTCGCGATGGGGTAAGAATGCCATAACCTCCGCCTTGTATCCAACCACCTGCAATACCTACCGTACTGCAGCTTCCTCCTACAACAGTGAATCCGCCGTCTGCAGCGGCTGAATAAAGATCAACTGTGAGCACCCCAGCTCCCACTCTCACTGCTGGGCCTTCTGGTATAACCGATTGTCCGACTGGAGCGTGGGGAGTGAAGGAATCCATATGATGAATACCCTTTAAACCGGCAGTATGAATTTGCAGCGAGTTCGGAGCCGAGGATCGACCCGCTAGATCGTGGCCGGTATTGCGAATGGTAATTCGCAGGCGATGAGACGCAGCAAACCGAACTACGTGTTGTACCTCTGCAACGGATTGGACGTAGGCTGAGTAGTGAGAGACGCGACCTTGGTGACATTGACTGGACTCGGGGGGGATTTTTAACGTGACAACTTTGCTCTTCCGCTCGCCAATGTTCCCAAGTGTCTATCTGCAACGCAGCTGTGAGAGATCAGTCATCGAGCTCATGATCACCGCAATGCTAGTGCTACAGTGTGTACTTCATGATACTTGCTGGAACCTACCCGGATTCTCAACACGCCATGTGGTGTTGCGATAATTTTGAATGAGATCATTGCATGCACTTTCGATGTAGTCCGCTTCGTGGCAAACGGCGCCTACTGGCCGTAATTGAGCCAGGTTGCCACCTATGGTCTCATTGAGTTGATCCCATGTTGCCTTTGAAGGCCAACAATCATCACCGGGACGACATCGACACAATGTCTCCTGGTTCCTGGACCAGTAACCTCCCAAAATGGCAAATGTTACAGTCAAAGCAGCCAGTCTGAAAGCCATTATGAGTGGTGAATAAGGATAAGAGACGCTCACTCAGAGCTTATATGACAGGAAACCACAACCTGGAACTTGAAACTGACTCATGGCCTTCAAGCTGATTAGTATTGGCCACAAACCGGCGGATACAGCGTACTCCTATTGCATATTGTGTCGCAATATAACAGCAAGGGCTCACAGGAATCTGTGGATTAGACGTGAGGGAGTCCTTATCCCTTGATTCACGCCGGAAGGGCCATTGGCCACAGGTTTGGCATTCAAGTTGGCGACACATGCACTACATACCTTGGAGAAAATGCCATTCATTGGTGAATGACTCTTCAAATGTTCATAATGTCGTCAGACAGCTGAAGCATTGCATTCTATTCAAGGTAGGTCTCCCCTTCCGTTGCCGATATGCTTCACGGGCGCGGGCCGGTGGGCAGTGCACCTTGCATAGCATCAAAAACCTTGGAACGTGCTACCGAGAGAAAAGAAAAAAGACTTAATATCTACTACAAATCCACTTGGGCTTGGGCAAACGATTACCCTGTATGGAGTATACCATTCGTTGATGAACTAGGAGTCCATAAATTGAGTCATTTCAAACGTTTCTTTCGACCACATCATCAGTCTACGCTAATTACACGACGCTTCTGTAATCAAATTCAATCAAAGCAGAGCAGCACCATACTAATCACAGCTTCGCGGTAGGCTGTAAAAGATGCTTCATCTCTGAGTTGGGGTACTCCACATTCTCCGAGGAATCAGGACGCTGTCGATCCCAAGCCCACTTCTCCACCAATTCAGGCGTCAGCTCGCCTTCCAGCATCTGTGTGACATATTTACCCAGTACTGGGAAGAACTTGTAACCATGGAAAGAGCCACAAGTCGCGATGAATAGACCCTTGGAGGCTGAGTGAGGGGAAATAATGAAGTCGGAGGTGGTGGTGAAAGCATCCCTGATGAACACGTTAGGACACTGAGTAGTGATACAGAACCGAGGAACTACTTACCAGCAGATTCGGTGTTTGGTCATGTTCCAAGTCGCGCTTTCGGGTCCGTACCAAAGATTCCTAGCCTCTACAATATCTTGCTTCAGAGGCCCAGGTACCTTCCACTGATTGTAGTCGTGCATTGGGGGAGGAGAGGAGATATATCGCCCAGGTAGAACTTCGCGGGTGTTGGTAAAAATCTTGGATCCCCACCACTTGAGCTCGCCGTCTTTTGTAGGAGGGAGACTACCGATGAAGGGTTTGCCTGGAACGAAAATAGTCAGCATGCGTTCATTCCCATCGATCTCATCCACGATGACATACCCTCTTCCGGTGTGTACCCCTGGAAGCCCACAGGCATATCCTTGAACCTCTCATACTGCTTTTGATTCAGCTGTGCCATGCCTGTCGTAATTCCAGCGGCCAAGATCCGCTCCCCAGCGCGTAAACCCAGATTACCACTCTTTGCAGCACTCCATTCCAGCAGCGTAGGAGTGAAAGCACCCGTCGCAACAATGGTGTGTGTGGCTGTAAGACTCTCGCCGGATTTCGTCCTCACGCCCGTAGAAGAGCCCTTTCCATTGAACTCCAAAGTTGCCACATCCGCTACGACATATTTGACTCCCAATTCCAGACATTGCTTCGTGATGGCTCGAAGGGCATCTCCTGCAGCAGCCCATCCACTTGCGCGATTAATCAGGACCTCCTTGACACCAGTGTAATCAGCATTTTCGAAAATCCCACCATAAAGCTTCCTGGCCTCAGCAACCGGCAACGCGATAATGTCGTCGTTTCGTCCAAGCTCCTTGTGGTTATTGATGACGGTTTGAGCATAATCGCTACGGCAGTTCCAGTACACACCTGTCTGGTGAAAATAGGGCTGCCAGAGCGGATCATTCTTGAAGATGTCTTGTGCCTCCAATGCTAATTGACAATAGACCTTGTCGTCGTAGTCGGCGCGGACAACCTTGTTCCAATCCCATGATGCTGCAACACGAGAATCGGCATCGTATGCATCTCTATCGACCAGAGTCACTGAGGCATTGGGATATTTCTGGATAAGATGGTAGGCGGTTGAAACGCCGAAGACACCAGCGCCGATGATCAGATATGAGGGATTACTCGAGGTCATTTTTTTTCTCTCTCACACGGTGGGGAATAAATTCAAATGCTCAAATAACTTCCAAGGTTGTGGGAGGGTATTTCTGAGAGATGCTCATGCAATTCAAGGTAAGTTGCCCAGGTCCCAGTGTCAACTTGAATTGATTCGAACAGCTCGAACTTCAAAGGAAGATATCATATATAATAGATATATGGATAATATAATATAGTGCTTCGGTGCGGGGAAGCCGAGCCGATCACGAGTTTCCCGGGACGGGAGCCGGACCGGTTCAAAATGTTCAGTTCCAAGGTTATCTTTTCAAGTACTCGAGTATGAGTATGTATTCTCAAGTTTGATGGTGTTGGAATCATCTTATCTAAATCAATCTAGTAGTGAATTGAACATATACAAATGTATGATCGGGAATACCTTGAGCATTACATGCCAGCCTGAGTGGCTCAGCATTTCAACAACATTTGAACTTCTCAGCATTTTAACACCATTCATAGAGTGATCTGTACAGTCAATTGATTTCCGGACAATCGGGAAACATCCAGGTCTTCTCCGTATTTCACACAATTTTGCGAGCTTATCGGACTTGGCGCGCCCTTGAATTGACATTCCCCTCAGGCGGGGATGCGGGGGGTTCAGTTCCCCCCATTTCCTGAATTTCAATACTTTTAATGGTGGATTGCCTGCTGCAATATTGTAAATGCTGTAAATTGTGGATTTGAGCAAAATGAATGTACAAATATATGCAAACCTCCAAGGTTGAGTCCAGGTTCTCATCTGGCCAGCGTCCCAGGTGAAAGTACATGCGCTTACTAAGCGCTGCAGATAACGTAATCCACAGCCGACCGGGCCACACGGCCATGTGGGCCACCCCCCTCAAAAATCGTGTCTTTCAACCATCCTACCTAATTCAAACGCCTACCATGCCACCAACTCGCAATATTTCGGCCGAAAAAAAAATCCAACCAAGAGGGCAAGATCTTCTTAGCCCTCGATGACCTAAAAAATGGCCGTATCACGTCTCTCCGTGCAGCAGCGAAGCTATACGACATACCGCGTTCAACGCTACAAGCACGCGCTGGTGGCCGAACTTCACGTGTTGAAAATCGACCATCTGGTCATAAACTGACCCAAATAGAAGAGGATTCACTTGCTGAATGGATTATCTCTATGGATACACGTGGTGCAGCGCCTGGGCCGTCTACTGTAGGAGAAATGGCTAATATCCTACTGGCTGCGCGTGGTCACCACCCTCCACCTACTGTTGGCAAGAATTGGCCACCAACCTTTATAAATCGACGTGAAGAGATTCGAACACGCTTCTCTAGGCGATATGACTACCAACGTGCCCAAAATGAAGATTCTAAATCCTTACGAGAGTGGTTTACAACCGTACAACGTGTTATTGATGAGAATGGTATCCAGCCTGAGGATATTTACAACTTTGATGAGACAGGCTTTGCAATGGGTCTTATTTCAACACAGAAGGTTGTCACTCGATCAGAATATTACGGTCAGCGAGCTATTCTACAGCCTGGAAATCGTGAATGGGTCACTGTAATTGAATCAATCTGTTCAGATGGCTATTTGTTACCACCATGTGTTATTTTCAAGGGAAAGGTTGCTGTTACTAGCTGGTTCGATAACCTACCAAAAGACTGGCGATTCGAGGTCTCAGCCAATGGCTGGACTACTGATGAGATTGGTTTACGATGGCTAGAAAAGCTATTCATCCCATCAACAAATTCACGTGTCCGTGGTCGCTTTCGGCTATTGATTCTTGATGGCCATGGGAGCCACCTTACACCCCAATTTGACCGAATCTGCACTGAAAACAATATTATCCCACTCTGTATGCCTGCACATTCATCACATCTATTACAACCATTAGATGTTGGCTGTTTTGCAGTCCTTGAACGGGCATATGGTCGCTTTATAAGTGATCTCGCCCGTACAGGCTATAACCATATCGACAAGCTTGATTTCTTAGCTGATTACCAACATGCCCGGCTTGAAGCTTTTCAGCCTAGTACTATCCAGAATAGCTTTTTAGCTACTGGTTTAGTACCAATTGATGCGGAAAGAGTTCTTTCTAAGTTGAATATTTCTCTTCGAACACCTATACCGCCAGGTAGCAGGCCAGGCAGCAGGTCTAGTCAATTTACACCTAAAACACCTAGAATTGTGGTTCAGCTACAGAAGCAAGCTTCAATGCTTCAAGATCTTCTGAAACAGCGATCAAACAACCCTCCCAGCCCATCGAAATTGATGTTAGATCAAATCATCAAGGGCCACGCTATAGCACTACACAACACTGCGCTACTAGCACAAGAAAACGCCAATTTACGTGCTACGAATGAGTAAAAACGACAGAAACGCAGTCGATCAGCTAGGCAGATACTATGTGATGAGGGTTTAACAGTCAAAGAGGGCTTACAGCTAGCTCAGCAGCTAGAATCAATGGATAGAGCTGCTGGTGTCGAATCACACACCCAGGTTGAATTGCCTATTCAGCCAAATCAGCCAGCCCCCAGGGCTCAGCCTAGGTGTAGTGGATGTCGAGAGGTTGGACCTAAGATTAATGTATGTAAAAAGCGTTATATTTAGTCGAATTTATTGTTGTTTGTTAAGATAGTTGAATTTAAAATATTCTAATGGGGTAAGGTGTGCCGCTCAACCGGGAATTACGTTATCGGCGGCGCCAGAACCAGAGTCTTCTTTCTTTGTACATAACACCGTCTTAATGCCATTCAAGCTTAACACCCTCTCTTATTCGTCTTGAAATTCAATGTCGGGGTGTCAGGCGGGGAAGTACCATAGCTACGTCTATAAGGGTATGGGGATAATCATCGGTGATGCCACTGCTCCAGGGTGCCTAAACTGGTTAGCCGAAGATAAAGGGCATCGAAGAATTGTCTCCTTGATGATTTGTTCCAAGGTTGTCCATCTCGACTGGAAAGGGTTGAACGTTTGTCCAAAAAGCACTGGAGATGTTAAGACATAATCATTTGACACAGTCTCGAAGAATCTCTCAACTTCCCCTCCCTCCCCACACTTTCTTGACTCCGCCATGATTGGTGGAATCGGATTCTCCGCCATACAAAACACCTCGGAGTATTTGCCGACGTGGGGGGGACCATGACTGATTTAAAAGGTGCCGTCAATTTCCAATCTGGCTGCAATCTTTCTTCGAATTTCTGGGGACATACATTCAAAAACCAGAAAGGATAATACACACATATCTGTGAGTTACGAGGTTCATTCCATCTCTTGAGTCATGATCTAGCTCTAACCAGATCTATAGCACCATGTCGCAACTTACTCCACTTCGCCCCGGCGTCTACGCCCCAACAATGACCTTCTTCAACCCCGAGACCGAGGAGCTTGATGTTGCCTCCATTCGCCGTCATGCAGTTCGCCTGGCCAAGGCTGGTCTTGTTGGCTTGGTCACAATGGGTTCCAACGGCGAAGCCGTGCATTTGACACGCGAGGAGCGTATCACTGTGACTCGCGAGACCCGATCTGCTCTGGACGAGGCTGGTTTCCAGAATGTGCCAGTCATCGCCGGTGCCAGTGAGAATAGCATTCGCGGATCCATTGAGCTATGCAAGGATGTTGCCAGTGCCGGCGGCGAGTATGCTTTGATTGTGCCTCCCAGCTACTACCGTGCTGCTGTCGGCAATGACGAGACCATTTACGAGTACTTCACAGCTGTGGCCGATGGATCACCCGTGCCTTTGATTCTGTATAACTACCCCGGCGCTGTCGCTGGTATCGATATGGACTCGGATCTTATCATCCGTATCTCCGCTCACCCGAACATTATTGGCACCAAGTTCACTTGCGCAAACACTGGCAAGCTGACCCGTGTTGCTACTGCATTGGGTGCCATTGTTCCTCCTCTCCTCTGGCTCCCGCCCAGCGTGCTGCTCCTACTGTTGCCAAGCCCACCGCTCGCCACCCCTACGTGGCTTTTGGTGGTATTGCCGATTTCAGTCTCCAGACACTTGTGTCCGGTGGCTCAGCCATCCTGGCGGGCGGTGCTAACGTCATCCCCCGCCTGTGTGTGCGCATTTTCAATCTTTGGTCTGAGGGTCGCCTTGCTGAGGCTATGGAAGCTCAGCAGCAGCTCAGTGCTGCCGATTGGGTTCTGACCAAGGCTGCTATCCCTGGTACTAAGTCAGCTATTGAGTCCTACTACGGTTACGGAGGATTCCCTCGACGACCTCTTGGCCGTCTTAGTGAGGCTCAGGCTAAGGAGATTGCTGATAAGATTAAGCCCTCATTGGATGTGGAGCTGTCCCTGCCAGACGTCGCATGATTATGACATAGAACGATATTATAAATATGATTATTATTATGTTATTATTATGTTAAATTTTTTTTATAGTACTTACTGTATTTTTTGCTACAAAGACAACCTTGAAACATGGATTCAGGGGAGGACTTGTGATGACTAAGGACAGCCCTGGATGAGAACTGGAACCTTGGAAGCTGAGATCAATACATACAGCATTGATAGTAAGCCTATTTCTACTGCTGGCCAGTTAGCGGACCCTGCATAACCTTGGAACACCTTGCACCTCCAGGAAATTCGACCAGAGCGAAGTTCAATACTACATATTTCTACTATTTCTGGTTGTCTTTCAACGTGGAGCCCGTGAATTCAGTGGCTTGTTCCTCCGGTCATTTCCCCACTTTCCAAGTCCACCGTCTCTCTCTCCTTCATCACTCCGCGTTCCACAACTTAATCCCAACCTACCATTGATATCTTCTTCTGCTTTCCTTGATATCTTCTTCTGCTTTCCTTGATTTCTTACTCTGTCTCTTTCTAGAGCATGTGAGGCTTTTCAAATTTGAATTACCTCCTTTTCGCTCCTTTCCTTTCATCATGTTTGGCTGGGGTCCCGCAACGGGTAAGCTTCCCCGTGACTGAATCGCCGAATCGCCTTTGATATACAACACCCGAATGATGAAATGCTAAAGACATTTTTCTTATGATCAGGTTTCCCCTCAGCTACAGTGCCCGAGAAAGAAAGAGAACCACCCACGAAACCAACCCAGCTAGATTTCCCCGTTTATCAACTTCCTGAAGTGGTCCCTCACCCCGCAGATTCGACCTTACCTAGCCTACATGGTCTACTAGCTTCGATTAAACGACCTCAGGATATTTCGCTGGACCGATTCAGTCCTTTAAATCTTCATATCGATCATGATGTCGACATTCACTGCATGTTCCCAAAGGATCAGACACAGTCTCTCCCACCCGCACCCTGGGAAAATGTACCGGAAGTTCCTGCCGGGGAGGACCAGTCTCGTCCACTGATGAACAATGGACTCCCGTACCCACCAAAGGACCGATTCGATCAACTCATAAGTGAACTCGCACTAGATAATGATGATGTCTTCAGGGAAGTCGCTCGACTCCCAGTTCGTGAAGGCCGGGAGCGGGTTCGCGTGACACAGACTAGGAAATTCTGGGCGGCATTGGAGCGCATGGGAGAATACTGGGACACAAGTTTGGATAACTACTTTACACGCCCAGTGACGCCACAGCAAATTCCACCATCCGAGGGCGAACCGGATTCCGACCCAATGCAGATTGATGACCAGCCTGATTCGACTGAACCGAAGATGGCTGTGGATCAACCGGGGGTCTCTACAAATTCTACTGACAGTGCGAATAACACAGAGGGCCCTCATCCCACAGTGGACATGTACACAGGTCGTCGGATTGGTGCTGGAAACGAGATGCCAGAAGATCTGCGAGATGATGTTATTCGCGCATTTGTAGAAATGGCAGCTTGGTTATTTGGTTGCCAGGTTACCGTTCCAACGCTACCTCCGCGACTAACTGTGAAGAACTTACTCTTCCCTGTGCGCCAGTCCTTTCATGTCGCCCGGTCTCCACGAGACCGCCAAGTCGCTCGGAATGGTATCTTGGAAGGGCCAGTTCTTATTGCGCAGTGTCGTCCCGAGATTTGTTTCCGGACTGAGAGCGATGTTCGGGGAACAGGTCTTGGGGAGGTGTGCGACTTGTTCCGTGAAGTGGGTGGAATGTTACTTGCTGCCCAGGAACGCGCTCGTGAAGGGGGTGTTGAGCTACGACCCGGTGAAGGGAAGTGGTGGACAACCAAGCCCCGATTCGGAGGTGCTCCGAATGATGGGATCCTGGATGATCTCCTCAAGGGGCCCGGTATCCATGGAATTCCTATACCGCAGTCAATGCTTTCTAGCGCCGGTAGCGATACGTCTTCACCACTAGCCTCGGAGGCAGAGAGTGCGCCCAAACGGCATAAGTTTGAACATCCATATGTCACTTCTCTGGGACGCCGACCGAGTGCTATGCGCAAGCTTTCCAGCGGAGAGAAATGGAGGATTTTACAGCCTGGCCCCGGTCTTTGGGATAAGCGCATGAGATACATGCAGATTGGCAAGAGCAAGGATAGTCCATTTGATGATGTATGCATACGCATTTTTTTAACCTCTTGGTATAAGTTCCTGCTAACGATTCAATCTTTTTAACAGATTTACATGATATCTGCAATCAATCATCATATTGCCATCTTACATCTTAGAGTTCACCGAAGATACATCGAGGTTCTCACCAACGGCGAGAGCAATTTCCCAGAGGAGTCAGATAACCCAGATCAGCCCTGGCATGTTCTGAAACTCCAACGCAGCAAGTGGTACAATTTATTCGATGCAAAAGAACGTATCGAGGCATTTAAAGGAATTTGGTCCCTGTTCCACTACCAGCAAAGACCAAACTGATTTGAAGCGCAATCATCTCTGGACTTATCTTTCTTCATCCAGAGCGTTCATCAAGATTCTTTCCATTCTGTTACCCCTTCCACTGAGATGCAGTGCATCATGTACATAGAGCAGAACCGCCTGGTAGCAGATGGCTCACATCTTCATCATTTGCGATTGTACCTTCAGTTTACACCTATTATTGACTCCGGATCTCGGTTTTCATTCGTGATTACCTTGGATTGAGTTCAATTTGCATATAGACTCTTGAGAATTCTTCAATACCAATATCAGCCCTGGACTCGGAGTCAATCAAGAAATTAGACGAGGATACTATAGTTCAAGTTTATATCGGAACCTTGGAAGTATCAAGTTTATCATAAAAAATATACATGGTATCCACCACAAGACATCTGGACAAGAGCTTGAAAGAATTGGGGAATGTTTGGAGGCAATTTGATGACTTTTTCGAATGAAGTCCACAGGTATTTCATTGCAGCAGATCCTCTTCTTGCACGGACACGACAACTTTCATGCCCCAACCGTCAATCCAATGCTTCTTTTTACCCACTTTCTCGATTTTCCGTATATCATGCGTGAGTTCTTCCTTAAGATGAGTGGGATCATATTCCACCCGTTGAATAGCAATTATCAACTCAATTCCACTCTTCTTTCCCTTCTTGCCCAGACCATCCACCCATCGGGCAGTGGGAACAATGCGCGGCTTAGAGGAGTCAATAGATCCAGTTGGATATAATTGACCAAGGATGAATCCCAACTTGCCAATATATCTTGTCCACCATACTTCCTCTGGCGTGAGAATTCCCTGCAAATGAGACTTGAAATCGACATCGCGTGGTGGTAATTCACCACCATATCGCTCTTGGAGCATTAGAGCTAGAAGAGCGCGATCAGAGTGGGGGATTCCATGTGTCGATGCAAGAATACCAGTACTTGTGCTGAATAGTGCAGCGCTGGATGATAACTCTTTGGACATAGTTGCATGCACATAGAGAGCATTCGCAAAAGCTTGAATCAGATGTAAAGTCATAGAAGACGGGACTGAGCGACCATCTTCAGGTCTTGGCAAAGTAGATAAAATCAGCGCGGCAATTGACTGAGCCGATGAAGGTGCATAAAGAGCTGTGGCGACTTCGAGGGGGTCTTGTTGACGGATCACAGGGAGCATTTCTCGGAACAGTACTCCCTCGCGAACACCTCCTTGACAAAAGTGGGCTTCCTTGATCCCATGAGGTAATGATTCAGCGAGCACATTCACCAAGAACGCGACCGAAGGTACTTGCTTTCGTCGCCGATCGGATACACGGAAGATCTCATTTGCAGTTCGAGCGGCTTCCTCCAGAGCCTTAGTGTTCTCAAAATCCTTTTTGGGCGCAGAGTAGCCATTGATGATTGAGATAGGATAGTGGTGACCACGAGTCTGGTGCATATATAGCAGAAGATAGCCCCAACCTCGAAATCCACCGCCAGAAAGATAGAGTGGGAAGCCACCCTCTGTCTTGGCTCTTTTGATCATACCTTCAGGAATTTCCAGCTTGTCAAAAGCAGCACGAAAGTTACTCGCCATCTCCTGACGGAAATTCTCCTTCGACCTTTCTGCTTCCTTTTTGCCTTTCCCACGTTGTAGATCGGCTAATTTCTGGGTCAATGCTGCCGCACCGTAAGGGAAACTCACAGACCCTTGCGGGCTGATGTGTATATTGCCGTTGTGAGAGTTGATCCAGGTCATTTGCATACTTCCTCCACCTAGATCAAGAGCCAACCCTTCCACATCCGAGAAACTGCTTGCAATCCCCATGCACCAACAATACCCTCCTCCTCCTTTGGAAGCATCTGCACTCGGATACTGGTCTTATTGTAGATGGCATCTGTAAATGCGGCAGAGTTGATCGCCGTCCTTGTCGCCTCAGTGGCAATGAATCGAATATTGGAAGACGGAACGCCGATTTCAACACAGATAATCTGGAATCGAACGATAGCGCTAACGACCCGATCGATCACGGATTGAGGAATGGGGATGCGGTTGCCTGTCTCTGGATCGATCTGGGCCTCGTACAAAGAGATGTTGACCCGGTGAAAGTGAACAGTGGGAATCACTCTGGTTGTGGGGTTCGAAAGGTCCGAAATTGAGCATCGAATACCATTGCTGAAAGTGTCAATCAAGGCTGTATTCACTAGAGGGGCAGGGACTCGTCGAATTACCTTCCCAGGTCCACCACAGCATGCAGATGGACATTCTGAGTGGGAGATGCGATCTGATCGTTCTTCTCCTTCCGAGTGTCAGGGAATTGATCACCACCGCCCATATTCAATGTTGTATTTGTCTCTGTCAACATCATCTCCGCAAATTAATGCGGGGAGAGAACCGAATTCAATGATGTGTGACATCATCTCACCGCCGAGATTCTGCTTTCTGCCTGAATTTTCGGGTGTCGGGACGAGATCTTTAACTAACTAACGTGATTCCCAAGCGAGCCGCCATCCCAAGCGAGCCGCCACCCCAAAACACCATACTAAATGTGGTAAATGATGACAACTTGATATCTTAACAACAGTAGTGTAAACAAACTTTTCGTTGTAGACGGATGATAATTAGATGATATCTTTCCTTTTTTGACAGTCCAGATAATTTCTACTTACAAGTGATCATGAAAACGTATATATCTGACTCTCCAGACTGTAATTTTCGATACTGTGATAATGCAGCACTTGGATTTCTCTAAAAATGATACAGGGTGCTGAGAAGTCTTATCAACAACTATCGACAAATAATCAACTAAAATAAAGATGTGGTTGCTGAGATATCAAGTTGTCATTTACCACATTTAGTATGGTGTTTTGGGGTGGCGGCTCGCTTGGGAATCACGTTAACTAGTTATATTCTCATGGCGAACATTTGAAGGTATTATATTAGGCATAACACTGACAGTCAGCACTCTGCATACTAGCAATATATTATACATAGCAGAAGTTACTGATATTATAATGTAATGCCCAGACTACTGAGTAGGGGAGGTTATCAAATTATGTATCTTCCAGATGCTCTCATTCTTGCAGGCGACGACCACTAGTAGACTACTAGTGGTAGTATTCAGACAGTACATGTAGTTGTAAAACAACATGAATCAGGTACAGCTAGGCTATAATCCTATGGAAGGTACTAAATAATCATGAGTCTATTCCACTGGCCAGCGACCCTTCATCTGGCTGGAAAGACCAGCTCGTTCAACAACCTCCCGGCTTCGCTTCTTGGCTTCCTCTACAATCTCTCTCTCATCCATAGTGAGCAATTCACCATTCTGAACAAGTCTCTTACCATCAACCACCACAAGATCAACATCGCGGCCAGTCGCAGTATAGACGACAGCACTAGCAGCATTGAACCACGGCTGGGTGTGAATTCCACGCACATCGATTGCTACAAAATCAGCTTTCTTGCCCACCTCCAAACTTCCAATTTGGTTGTCCAAGCCAAGGGCCTTGGCCCCGTTGATAGTGGCCATTTCAAGGACAGACTCGGCAGGAACCGCGGTCGGGTCGTAGGAAATACTCTTATGAATGATCGCCGCGAGCTTCATCTCCTGCAGCATGTCACAGGTATTGTTGCAAGGGGCACCGTCAGTTCCCAGACCGATGTTCACGCCAGCCTTTTGCAGATCAGGAACCCGACAAATGCCGGACGCCAATTTAGCATTAGAGGTGGGGCAGTGAGCGACATGGGCGCCTGAGGAGGACAACAATTTGATATCGGAGTCATCTAGGTGGACCATATGCACCAATACGGTTGAAGGGCTCAGTAATCCGACAGAATCACAGTACGACATGGGCGTGTGAGACACAGATGCGAAGAAATCGCGGTCGGCTTTAACTTCGGCACAGTGCATGGTGATGGGGATCCCCTTTTCGTGTGAGATCGAAGTCATTTCCTTATACAAGGCATCGGAGACTCTATAAAAATGGTTAATGGTTTTAGTCGCATCAAGTATTTGACCTACCCTCCAGGAGTTCTAGCACCGAACCACACACGGATTCGATCATTTGCTGCCCCATTCCATTTCTCCCACATCTTGACACTGCCCAGCAGAGACATCTCGCGGTTCTCCACGAGGCCTGGATGCATTGCCCAGGCGTCATCCTTGGCATACTTTGCGATATCCATTACGATCTTGCCCAAGCAGCCACGGATTCCGGATTCCTCAACGGCACGAGCCAATCCGTCAAAGCCATAGCGATCGGCAAACTAATGCGAGTCAGCGGAAAGGAAAATTCCGAGTATTTGTGTCGTGACACTCACCATGCTTTCGAGGAAGCAGGTGGTGCCGGACTTGAGCATTTCACCAATGCTCAGTCTGGCAGCAGCATAGCCATCCTCTTCGGTGAAGTTGCCTTGAAGGACCCAGATCCGTTCACATAGCCAAGATACCAACTCCAAGTCATCAGCAGTGCCTCTCAAGAGCGTCTGGGCGGTATGCATATGGGTCGAGATCAGTCCAGGGATCACAATCCGACCGGTAAGATCATATTCATCGTCTTCAGGATATCGCTCTTTGAGAAGAGTACTCTTTCCAATACCAGCGATAATATCACCAATGACACGAATAGCGCCGTCGGTGATAATTCGGCGATCGCCGTCAATGGTGATGATAGTGGCGTGAGTGTAGAGCATGATGAGATATAGGGAATAATTTGATCAAGGTTGGAATTTGAAGAGAGAAATAAAAATTCATTCAAATAGAGCGAGAGATGTCTGATTTATTGGCCAGAGTGCGTGAAGTTCTTATAACTTCCAATGTTCAAGTTCTTATCTCCCAGATTCTCCCTTTTCTCTTTCCCCCACTTCATCAATTTCGGAGTCCGCCGATCTACGCTTTCCCCAACCATGAAGATTCCATGATTCCAAGATTCCAAGATTCTGAAATTTGACTAATAAATTCATCTCATAGTAATATACGGATACATCAATTCAAAAAAATATGACCCTTGTTGCATTAAAGGTTGCGGCATCATTAGTACTAGTACTGAACGTCATGTCACTATGTGGGCAGTTCCAAGTTCCAACCTTAGGATGGTCTTGCAGAGTCTAGTAGATCATCAATTTATTTCAAGTTATGGGAGCGTCCACTTGATGCAAGCGAAAGCCTTGGAACATGTGAGTCTTTGTGGAATAGTAACAACTGGTAAGCCTCAATCGGTAATCGGTCTTTACTCTTTCATTTCAACCATTCTGCAAATCGCCGCGGCACTTTGAAAAAATTGAGAGCATGACTTAATTATTCCACTTGAATAGCCAGACTGTGAAGGCAGCTTGTACAGTATCATACGATCTTACTTGCAAAATATTTCGATACTTTGAAACGTGCTAAAGCAAAATGAGCCTAGCAAGTTTCAAAGCACTTACTCGAGAAATAATGCCTGCGAGTCAATGGTGAAAATGATTTCGATCCTTCCTGTACTTATTGTATACTTTTGACGAAGCGCCTCATCCAAGTAGTAAATATTGCCATTGGACAGTACTGGAAATAACTGATACTGTACACAGGAAATCGACCGCCGCATTGTAATTGATTGTGGGAAGTAGTCACTTTATCGGACATCAAGTTGACTTTGTCCATTGGATTGGTGTTGCTATTGTGATTTATCTCTATCTGACTGCCGGAAATTCATCTAATTACAGGTAAAAGAATCAAGAATTTTCTGGCACATCTGATTTATGCTGCCATTTATCCGGCTTGTAAATAGACTACTTGTGTCTTTTGAGCATGAAAGTCCCTGTACAGTGTCAATTCTTATATTCGTTCAGCGCCCAGTGCAGGTAGCAAAGGATCAAGCCTGATCAATACACATCCAGTAGGATATATGGAGGAGCATTGTACTCAAATTCTTGGTGGCCAGGCATTCTGTAAATCAATCAGAGAATTAATGAGAACATGGCATGCCATACATCCAATAAAGGCGGGTCAACCTCAATCACATGAAATCACGATTATAGCAACAAACAGAGTATTCAACGCTAAAGGGCTAGTTGAATTTAGGGAAGGCCCATCTCACTGATATATAAATCTCATGGTAGCTCTTTAAAAAGTACAAAGTGGCAATTGAAAGACACTAGGTATCCACGCATAGCCCTACCAGTGCATATATATCCAATCAGTGTACAGGAATGGCTATTCCTAGTCATAACCAAGGCATTGTGCCTGATGCGACCCAAACAGGTTCCCCCTACGCACCTTCCGAGACTGACTCTCTTTTTTCTACTCCCATGGACCAGGAAGTGGAGCAGTGGATGGTGAGCAAAGGAATGCTCCTATGATACTCATCTGACATGCCAATGATAGGTCACCGATGCGAGCCCTCCCAGTGCACAGTCCGAAGTCGATGCCTTTCAGCCACTAACTTCGACACAAGCCCGAATTGATCACGAGGGCCCCGATGGATTACCTCATACAACAGAGACTTTCCAGCTTTATGCAGCCCTTTGGGACAGTTACAACAAGAGGACTACCGAGCTACGACGTCTGGAGGAAGAGAATTATATGCTTCGTTCGGTGAATATCCAACTGTGTCATCAACTCCAAACTTTTGACCGTCGTAATGTTGATCAAGGAGCAATGTTAGCATACTCGGAACAGGGATTCAAAAATTTCCGGAATGGAATTAGGGCCGTTCTCGAGGCATGGGAGAACAGTCTATCCAAGATTGGTTCCTAGCCCCCATAAATTTGGCCCCTCTAGCCTATTGCATGCATTGCCGTAATAAATCTAATTGATATTTCTTTATACGTGTAGCATGAGAATAATGTGCTGGAAAGAGTCTGAAAACTATTTTTCTGTTGTAAAGCAAAGTAAAGCTCTGTTGGAAGATGACCAGGCTCCTCCTGCCTTTCGCATTGCAAAATGTTGATTAATTTCCTGCAGACTCTTATTTAGTGGTACATAAAATACTCTAGTTCTGTGTTGTGAACTTGTGAATGAATGGAATTTCTCTCTTTTTTTTAGAATTCGTCTGGCATTTACAATTCCTCGGTCATGGCAATGAAACCCAAAGTTCAAGTCTTTCTTTGATCATTTTCAGGCCCAAAGGATCAAACTGCTCTATCAAATCCTGGATGCTTGAGGACCTATGGGACCTATTTACGACTCGATGTATCCAAATGCTCATGAAATTACATCACTCACTATAGTGCCCGCAATTTTTGCGCCACATGCGTAAATTAATCATTGATCAAGGACTGTTACTTGAAAATGATTGGTTGATAACTAAATCTCGGTCACATTAATTACTTATGTTTGGCAGTCTAATGTTACGTATAGTGTACTATGAATGAGACAAGTGCGCATGCTTGAGAACAATTCGTGTCCTCTCCAGATCCTCAAAATATCCAAGACAGGTTGTATTAAAGTATAAATGTGCATCTAACATGAAGGCACATACCTTTCACATAAAGACTAGATAATCCGCTAGGAAAGGCACTTTCTTCAAAATTCATTTTCACCATGGAGCCAATAAGTTCAACCGATGGTTTCTCTATCTTACCTCCTGGCTTACGTCATAATACTGGTCCATCAGACTGTCAGCTGGATCTAGATGTGGAAGCGTTGTGGAAAGACTTTCCGGACGCCCCGACGCCGCCTCCTTGCCTTGCCACCGCAGATACCACGCCACATTACAATTCGACAGCCATTTCCCCCAACCCAAGACCTGAGATTGAATATATCTTATTTTCTATACCGGAAAGCAAACATGGTTTCTATTGGTTTGGACCAGATCCATTGGCGCCTGACACTTGTGCCGCGGATATTTTTTCCCACATTTCCGCTTTCACTTTTATGAGAGAAGTAGTCTGGATCGAATTCGAGCTTTGCAAAGTCAGCCTCATTACGGGCGAGACGATAGAGAGGCATCTGTTTTATCTTCCACGCCGACACTCATTCCTTGGGAACTTGACCCAGATCCGACGCCTTATGCTGGAACATATCTCCAGCTATGATCATGAAACTGCAACTGGTCTTTATCGACTCCGGCTGTCGATATACCCACGACAAGGCCTCTCTCCGAAGTGCGAGATCCGCAGTAAAGTGATTTGTGGTGGTGATTGTGATGGGTCAGCACTAGACCCCATCTTTTTTGTTCAAAATGTGGCTGCAAACTTCCAGAATCCCTGATCAATGACAAGGAAGGATTTGAGTTGAGAGGAAAAAGGAGGGGGAGGGGGAAGGAGCGGGGTGGTAAAGAGGTCAAGACAAGCCTTGCAACTAGGAGAATTTAAGAAGTCATCGGCATTAAGAAGATTTCGAACAGTCATTTCAACCAGGCCAATGAGAGAGATTACATCCATTTTCACCAGCTCAATCATTCCTCACTGGTCAAGGGGTGTTAAGCTACCAACTGTACCAACTGTAGAAGTCCTTTAAAATAAGGTAAGCATCCAAAGGAAAGCTGGAGCCATGAAAGCTCTGTTGGAATTCAAAGGAAAATTAAATTCTTTTCAGCGAACAGATATGACGTTATGTAGGCAACTGGAATGTCAAGTTAGCTCCATGTAGATATCTTGAATATTATTTGCTCTATCTTAATATTTATCATAAGATTTATCATAAGATTTATCATAAGATTCAATATGATAAGAAGCGCGAGCATCTACTAAGTTTGATCTGTCTACACTGTGAAATGGCTCACCTGAGACCTGCCTTCCCGCTAGTACAAGTATAGCTTTCTTAATCGAACCACAGATAAACAGGGACAAGAGTTTCAAACAGGGTAGTGACGTAAAATAAGACGCTGAGTCTCTGCAAATGGACCATCAGGGATCTTATCATAGGGAAATTTCCCATCTTTGGACATAGCACATCTATCGGCTCCTGCCTCTAATAGCTCCCCAACTATCTCCCATGTCCATTCCGTGGCGACTGCGATGTGCAGAGGCGTGTGCCCGTCGCAATCCTGAGAGTTGACATCGGCCCCGTTTTGAATCAAAAATCTGGCTATCTCCCGTTTTTTTGAAATATTTCCGTACTTTGTATCAAATAGATGGTGCAATGGAGATTTCATTCGAATGTCTCGTGAATTGATAAAGGCTCCATGTTGAATCAGGAGTTTCGACAAGATAATGGAGCCCATCTTAGAAGCAAGAGACAATGGAACCATTCCTTTCACGTTTTGAGAGTGCACATTAGCTCCAAGAGACAATAGCCTCTCCACTATTTCGGTTCTTTCCGATCCTGGATGGAGTTGTGACCGTTCAATAGCGTGAAACAGCGGGGTTTCGTGTTTTCTGTCGTCCACCCAGTTTACATCGGCTCCATTTTCCACCAGCCAGGCTATCATACCGGGAGATGAATCAAGAGATGCAACGGCTGTATGCAGTACAGTCATTCCGTATATACCTCGTGCTTTTATGCTAGCTCCAACTTCTAGTAATGCCTGTGCCTTCTTCAGCGCTCCTTTAGAAACCGCATAGAGTAAAGCTGTTTGATTATACAAGCCCTTGGAGTCGACTTCGACTCCATGCGTCAGGAGGGCTCGAAGTATCTTCATATTCTGAGAGTGGGCTTTTCTTGGACATACTGCACGGAAAAGAGCAGATTTTCCTTGGATGGCACCACGGCCGCCTTTGGCGTTTGGGTTCGCGCCATGTGATAGCAACACTTGAACAGCACGCGCTGAAGAGTATTCCACTGCTAATTGGAGTGGTGTTCTACCGTATTCGTCAATTGAGTTGATGGACAGACCGGACCTGATTAGTGTAGCTATAATGACAGGAGATGCATTCTTCACCGCCGCTACATGCAAAAGACTCATTCCCTGGGAATTCTCTGATATCCGTGGATCTGCCCCACACTTCAATAAAAGGGTTGCTTTCAAAGCCTGGTTTCCACGAACTGCTTCTAGTAATGGCGGGCGCTTTTCAGAAGCAACGTCAGCTTTGGCCCCATGATCGAGAAGAAGCTGAGTAATAGCAAGATCGCTGCGACCACCCACCGCCACCGTCAGAGGCCGTCTAGATCGAATATCAGATGCATCTGGGGCGGCTCCCTTTTCGAGAAGGATCTGTACGAGCGTTTTGTGATTGCGACTCACAGCCTCTAATAGAGCTGTAGATTGATGCTGGCGGGGAGACCGAACATTGACATCCGCGCCAGCGGCCAGCATTCTTTTAACGCAAGGCTCGTTTCCCTGACTTGAGTACCAAACAAGAGCGGAGCCGCCATCACACCTGACATTTGCTTTGTACAGCTCATTAACAAACAAGTTAAAGAGCATCCGATTTGCTCGCGAGAGATTGAATAAATCATTGATAGTTTGGAGTTGACTCCCAATCAGGAAAAGTATTTCAGTTGGCAGAGAATCGAAACACATCTTCAAAATTCCGACGATATAAGAGTTTAAGCTTAACTTAAGTGTCTTTCAGGATGATCCAAACGAGGGGCTTTAGCCTTCTTTTATGCAATGAAATCAAACCCCACCTAATGGACGGTCATTGAGGAACATATTTGAATAATGAGCCCTATGGAGCGTAAATTATTGCTTGGAATAAGACTAAATTTTCGGGGATCTTTGATCATAATTGAATTTGATCATGGATCCGCGGAAGTAAGCCCGTCAAAAATACGCACTCATAAATTATATGTGAATTATTCACCCTTCTCCTGTGATAAGTTGTTCAAGTGCTCAGTTTTCAGAGGGCTTTCCTGAATCCCGCTTCTTGCCCTTCTTTGAAAATTTGTTGTGCCTCGAGTCTAACATGCAACCATATTCCAAGGTCCACCGTCAGAGAAACCTTCCAATTTACTACTAGCCATGAACATGGCGAAGAAATGGTTAAACAATTGGATTATAACGTCTATCTCAATAATGAAGCGTCCAAGTATGTGTAAGCAAGTCTAAGGAGAGTGAAAGGCAAAAAGGCTTCCTTTCAATGTTATATTGGAGGATAATAGTGCTCGTATCCATCCCTCCTGGCGCAAGATGATTGAATGCGTCATTTGTCAAACATGCGCAGTCCCAGCATAGACATAAGAAAACGATCGAACATATCACCAGTTAAACCGTCTTCTATGATCGGCTTTGAGAAAAATTGTTGCTACCTAACTTGTAGTTTCGAGCATTTATTTTGCTCATTATCCAAAAGTGATTGTTAAAACAGATCTATCAATGTTTGACAGAGATATGTTTCTACCGCACACCGAAAAGACAGTAATGATATCCTGAACAGCTCTCAATCTACAAGACATCGAAAAAGTCCTACTTGATCCCTTGTTCGCCTTGCAAAATATCTGACGATAAGGATCCGATTACATCACAACGATGAAAAATCTAAATTGTCAATAAATTAGAAGCATTATGTAAATCCAAAACAATCCAGATCCAGAATTTTCTCCAGCTTCTAGTGCTACATCTCGACAAGTGGGTCTATCACGCTGCTGGACCTGGACTGAGATAGGAAAAAAATGTTCTAAAAACGCACCGCCGCGTAAATCCTGCACTGATTCTGTATTCTGGTCCCTGTGCCCCTAACGCTTCTCTTGAAAGGGCAAATCTATCGGCATCAATGGAATCAGTAAATGGTTTACCTGATCTGCGCTCAAGATCGATATCCTCTTCAGCGTCTGGGGGAAAGTCACACGGATCAAGATTAGGTGGTTGTATATCTTGGGAAGGAAGGTTTTCATGATATGGAATTTGGAAATCGTGGTGCACTGCCAGCATGAGCAAATGGTGCAGCAGAGCCAATGAGTCAATTTCTTGCCACTCATTTAGTCCAAACTCGACTGCACGAGACTTGTCTCTACGTTTTCGGGGAACACGACGACGATGTTCTCTGTTGCCGGTCAATTCGAAGGCGTATTGGAGACTAAATCTCCAAAGATCATATAAGCCTCCATTCACTACCATCTGGTCCCAGTACTGAGGAGATATAAAGTTTGACGGATATCCGATGTACTGGGATTTCAAGCTTTGGTCAATGGTTCCTTCGCCTGTTGGTGCAGTAATGCATAATTGCCTCATGACGGTTCTGCCCACGTCAAGATACAGGACGTCGTTGAAGAATGTTTCGAGAGTCGGGATCAAAAAATCGATCTCAATCAATCTTCTCCAGGCGCTCTCCCGAGCAGGTGCATCTAAGAATTTAAACAGATTTTGCTGTCTCCATTCTTCTTCAAGATGTCTCAAATCATCCGAAGAAACTTTTGGAGCTCGCGATTGGATCAATTTCACGGTCTTCGCATCGATTTGATAAAGATCTTGAGCCTGCCCATTGACGATATTGAGAAAGGTTTGTTGTATTCTTTTCAAATAGCATATGAGCGGCTGGGGATTGAAATTAGCAGGAAGTCCTTTTCAACCATTGATTTATTTTCACTTGCTTCATCGCATTTCATGGCCCTTAGTTTATGGAGAACTCCAATATTCATACCATTCCAAATTCCAGAGATTGGCAAAAGAGCATCCAAAGCGCTCTGTAGATTCTCGGGAAGTGATCGTAGATATTCTCCCTTGCGGCTGCCCGGCTCGGCCTCCAAAACAGCCCACCAGTACGTTTCGGCTATCTGATTATTTACTTGCTGGCAAAACCGTATGTTCCGATAAACATGGCCGTCCGATGGACGAGAATCATTCTGAAACCTGTTTTGCAAACTTTGACGAAGCTCGTTACGAAATACAAGGTCGTGGTCTACAACATGAGTGAAAGACAATACCATTGTTTCGGGGACGGGAAACTCACCACTTCCAGTGACAAAAATATCAATGACCCACCATGGCTCAGGGACTCCAAGCCTATCAAAATTTTTCCTAGCTGCAGCGATAAGACTGCGATGATCAATGGCCGCAAACAAATAGCCGTTGCTCGTTGCTACTTGCGGAAGATGTAAATTCGGTGCCAGGGTTCTTTCTTGATAGTAGACATTAGATGACCAGTCTCTGCTTTCTATTAAAACAGGAATATGATTTTGTTTCTGGATACGCAGACATCCCTGTAATTCTAAGATTCTGGAAAGACGAGCCACATTCCCACCATCATCAATCAAATGCCACCAATCATGGCCTGTTGCCAAGTCAGCAAGTCGCACTACGGCTTCACCCTGGAAACACTGCTCTTGAATTCTTTGAATATTTTGTTCATGCAGTTCCACCGTCTCTTGATGTGAGCTTTCTAAGAGTGTTCCTGTACCACTTGCTGCGCGTAAATGGCGAGACATATCTCAACAATCGTAATTCTACCAAAGTACTACGAGATATTAAAGCGCTTTTATAGGCATACATTTCAGCTAGCATGAGGTGCCCTTCTCCAGGCACAATTATTTGAGTACAAGATGGCTTTCAATCTGTAATGAAGGACACAACGCATTGATTCACATTATCATTTAGCTGATCAACATGCCCATCAGATTCAATGATTTTCAACTGAGTTTTTTTCAGGATTAGGGCTCCCTTCTTATAATGAAGCAACTTTAGATTCGTTCCTTAACAGTGCACTCACCAGCAATGAAAATTTGAGATTCAGAGACCAGACAAGCCACTCAAAAAATGGATGACTGAGAACATGCACAAAAGCTCCACTTTGAGTAAAGTCATAGTCGTGTTAGTCAAGCCGCTCGGAGTTAGAATGAATTCGAGTAGGTCTTTTATATGTACAGTCAATAGCGAAAATGGCTTCTACCCTTCTGATTGCTTTTCTTTTCTCAGGCCCCACTACCAAGCCCTTAGCGTGGATCATTTATTTGCTGGGTCGCAAAAAAATGAGGGCCTCCGTAAAGTATATATAATCTAATACTGTCTGTATCAACTGTTTGGCCAATATATAAAAGTGAGAATACTACATATTAAAGAGGGGAACCGTTAGGCAGTGTATTCTAGATACACGGGTCGATCCAGCTAGCATGAATGGATAACACCAACCAACATGTACGTTGTGGCCGGACTACCCCGTAGGGGTGGGATGAGAGATGTGTAGGAGTGTGTATTCTAGACTATAACGACGGACATTCTTGTACGTACAAAGACGGGACTGAAAACATGACAAAACAGAGATGTAACCAAACGGTAATTCTTAGCACGGTACGTGTAGTAGGGGACAGGGTACCCCACTACAATATGTAAGGTACATTTAGTTTATAATACAGTATAGGTGGTGACTTCATACACTTCATCAAAACCGTAAATATAGTGAGACAGACACAGAGTACTATTCTTGTGATTCTAGTCATCTGTGGGGATTACTAGACGCTGATGATATTTATATAAATGCAGTTTTATGTTCACGCTCCATTCCGTCCTATAAGAGCTAAAAGCCATAAGCAAAGCAAATGGCCTTCTTTTTAACCCTGACTACAGCCACAGGGAATGACCAGATAGAACGATTAAAGTTGTAGGTATCTAAAGTTTATATTTATCGGTGACTATCAAAGCAGTTTGAGCCTCTTAGGATAGGGCAAAGGTATCGATTGATCGGGTTGTCGCTTTAGTAGCATCTGTACAATCTTGTCGTGTCCTCCAGAACAAGCAACCTGGAGCGCATTTCCATAATATCCATCCTGAGCGGTGACATCGGCTCCCTTCTCGAGCAGCATCTGTACGATGTTGCCGTGTCCCTTATCACAAGCAGCCTGGAGCGCATTTCCGTGAAGGCCGTCCTGGGCGGTGACATCGGCTCCATTCTCGAGCAGCATCTGTACGATCTTGCCATGTCCCTTATCACAAGCAGCACAGAGCGCATTTCCGTGAATGCTACCCTGGGCGGTGACATCGGCTCCATTCTCGAGCAGCATCTGGACGATCTTGTTATATCCTCGAGAACAAGCAACATAGAGCGCATTTCCGTGAAGGCCATCCTGGGCGTTAACATCGGCTCCATTATCGAGCAGCATCTGTACGATCTTGCCATGTCCCTTATCGCAAGTAGCACAGAGCGCATTTCCGTGAAGGCCGCCCTGGGCGGTGACATCGGCTCCATTCTCAAGCAGCATCTGTACGATCTTGTCATATCCTCGAGAATAAGCAACCTGGAGCGCATTTCCGTGAATGCCATCCTGGGCGTTAACATCGGCTCCATTATCGAGCAGCATCTGTACAATCTTGCCATGTCCCTTATCGCAAGTAGCACAGAGCGCATTTCCGTGAAGGCCGCCCTGGGCGGTGACATCGGCTCCATTCTCAAGCAGCATCTGTACGATCTTGTCATATCCTTAAGAACAAACAACATAGAGCGTATTTCTGTGAAGGCCATCCTGGGCGTTAACATCGGCTCTATTATCAAGCAGCATCTGTACAATCTTGCCATATCCCTTATCGCAAGCAGCATAGAGCGCATTTCCATAATATCCACCCTGGCAGTTGACATTGGCTCCCCTCTCAAGTAGGGTCTGTACAATCTTGTCGTGTCCTCCAGAACAAGCAGCCTGGAGCGCATTTCCGTAATGGCCACCCTGGTAGTTAACATCGGCTCCCCTCTCAAGTAGGGTCTGTACGATCTTCTCGTGCGTATTATAACAGGCAGCTTGGAGGGCATTTCCATAATATCCGTCCTGAGCATTGATGTCGGCTCTATTCTCGAGCAGCATCTGTACGATCTTGCCATATCCCTTATCGCAAGCAGCATAGAGCGCATTTCCATAATATCCACCCTGGCAGTTGACATCGGCTCCATTCTTAAGTAGTATCTCTACGATCTTGTCGTGTCCTCCAGAACAAGCCGCCTGCAGCGTATTTGCGTAATATCCAACCTGGGTATTGACATTGGCTCCCTTCTCAAGTAGCATCTGGACGATTCTGTGGTGTCCATTAAAACAAGCAGTATAGAGCGTATTTCCGTAATGTCCATCCTGGGCGTTGATATCGGCTCCCCTCTTAAGCAGTATCTGTACGACCTTGTTGTGTCCTCTAGAACAGGCAGCATAGAGCGTATTTCCATAATCTCCATCCTGGCCAATGAAATCAGCTCCTTTCTCTAGTAGCATCTGCACGATCTTGTCGTGTCCTCTAGAGTAAGCAGCCTGGAGCGCGTTTCCGTAATCTCCACCCTGGGTGTTGACATCCGCCCCTTGCTCAAGTAGCATCTGCACCACTTTGTCATCTCTATCATAACAAGCAGCCTGGAGCGCATTTCCGTAATATCCACCCTGGGCGTTAACATCAGCTCCCCTCTCAAGTAGGGTCTGTACGATCTTATCGTGTCCTTCAGAACAAGCAGCCTGGAGCGCATTTCCGTAGTGTCCACCCTGGGCATTGACATCGGCTCCATTCTCGAGCAGCATCTGTGCGATCTTGCTATGTCCCTTATCACAAGCAGCCTGGAGCGCATTTCCGTGAATGCCACCCTGGGCGGTGACATCAGCTCCATTCTCGAGCAGCATCTGTACGATCGTGTCGTGTCCGTTAAATGATGCCCACGTAATAGGATGTGTCGATGTACTATCTCCTCGATTAATATCGCTTTTATCTACCCCAAGTAGATATTCAACCTCCTGCTCATGACCGTTCAAGGTTGCTATCTGCAATGCATTCAGCATAGGCGTTGGACCATATGGTTTAAATGCGTTCCAAAAGATTGGGAACCAAAGTGAGAACAATTTTGTCCCTGGCTTATATAAACGATCCAGTTCATCCACGATTCGTGGCTGGGACTTCAAAGCCATCGTGCGTACATGACTCGGCCAATGTACTGCTGAATATGCCAGAAAATCTTGACTATTAGGGTGCTCTTCGTTCTTCTCTAAATCTTCCATCAACAGATATCGTAAACAAAGAGAGCCCATTTGAGCCTCAGCTTCACTTAAGGACCACTGGTAGAAAGAATCAATAGTGGTAGAAGCAGTCTCTGCAAGAAGGAGATCCAGCCGATCTGGAAAGCATCTCGTGGAGGGCAGGCCATCTGGGTCTAGTGTAGTTGAGTCAGAAGATGCAGTTTAGTGACAACGAAAACTGGAAGGCGTGTATCTCGGTCGTGAAGGTTGATGCTTCCCCCTCTTTTAAATCAAGAAGAAGCCCCATGGTAGCCACGTCACTAGTAGGGTAACCCAGTCCCAGCTGAGGGCAATACTTATAGGCGCCAGAAGATATATTATTATTGGAGAAAGTCTCCATCCCGCAGATCAAATGCAGCTCACGTGATTGAATTAACCGTGTGCCACCTCGAACTGGCCATATAGACAGAGCGGTCATAATCCACACCGTTGCTTTGGGCAGCGCGAGTGGCGGAAATATGGTATTAACGTATTAGCAAATACATAAAAGCCGCCCTCACAGAATTAGACTGAATCGTTTCCTAGCGATTGCGCTCTTTGCGTGGGGGTCGTGGAACTTCCGTGGCATTCCATATTAATCCACTATTCCCTTTGGAGACCAGCTCAAGCACCTAACTTAGCTCAAATCTTAAGGGCCCTCACGAAACTGCATTTTCTTCACCCACCCATTCTTTTTTGCTCAAAGGAAGGAGATAAAAACTAGCAAGTAATTTCAAGAGCATAAATTCAATCTCGATCGGAGAAGACATGCAAGGCTAACTGATGTAGCTCTCCCTGTACGTTGTTGTGTAATGTTTAAAAATAAAACAACCCGGCTAGTTTCAAGGGCCTCCTAACATGCTGTTTCTTGCGGCGTAGTCCTGTTTGCACATTGCTCCAGATCTAGAAATTTCATGGCTATAATACTGTAGAAACCCTTCCACAGTCAGTTATACTTATGAAAAAAAAAAAACTACGGTCACGTGTATAATCTAGCACCTGAGAGCAGATCGATTGAATGAAACAGCTCAAAGCGCATGGTAAATCAGGAATCATAAAAATGCGGTTAGATACTGTGTAATACCCCTTGAAGTCGTTTTTTATTGAGGTCAGTCAAATATTTTATAAGACTAGCGCCTTGGCAGTGGGGCCTGAGAAAAGAAAAGCGATCAGAAGGGTAGAAGCCGTTTTCGCTATCGACTATACATATCTGATTTTTGAACTCATATTTAAGCAGTCGGTCGGCTATTCATTGAGTTCGAGTCCTACAGTACAGAGGATTTCGAAAACAGTTTACCCCCCCAGACACACACGTTTACTCTCCCGGAGGCCCACTTTGGCGCCTAGTCCAGATCGACCTGGCTCTAGATTTCCCCCGCAGCCAATGATACGGGGTAATGTCTCAGGAAAGGAGCTCCATCTAGCCTTCCATGTTTCATATAGAGAAACCATCTCAGGCCTTGCCGCTAGTCCAATTCTGGATCTAGTCATCCCGCTCAACCGCAATTTCTACAGCTACAATTGGATCAGTTTATGTTGACCCACGTACTAGATTGAACGTGTCTGTGCAAATGATGGAAGCCAATTTCGAATATTCACTGTATCTTAACCCTAGGACACAAGCACCTTTACTCCTATCTATGAGCAAGCTACATTTCTGAAGCTGCAAGGAGGATGCAGATAGCAAAAAAATCCAGATTCTTTTCAGGTGGTTCCTAGCTTTAGAGTGCGTATGTACAGAGGAATTCGGAATTGGCTTCCATATTTTCAATAGAGAAACTATTCCAGACTCTTAGTCTAAGCCAAAATTACATTTGACTCTTCGTTAAGCCATGCTGTGAGGCCCAACCCTGTATTTACCCGCCCTTTCGGATCGTCAGTCTTTGCCGAGGGGCCTAGAACAAATCTGCATGGAGGAATCATGGACACCAATCTCGAATCCTTTTGTATCCGGTGTGCAGTGTGGGAGCCAGTATATAAATAAAAATTGATTTCTCTCAGAAATAAATACTGCATGATCTAGAAGAATAATGCATGCTTTCTCCATTTGAGCACCGACAGTCTCGATTCAATAAAAGATCTGCCTCCCTTTGAAAGCCTCGTGAGCGAATGCAAATACCATCATGGAAGGGAAGTCTCACTTGATTAGGCAGAAGTAGGAAGAGGTAGGGCTTGACTGCGCAGTTCTTGAAACGATCAAGCTTGTAATTGCTGTCGATGATACTAGGCTCGATTCTTTGAGGCTAATTGATGGGTCGATTGTGGAATATACACTGTCAGCGATATGAGAGCTGGATTGGAAAGAAGACTGAGTCTCAAGAAAAAGGGACGTATGTGTAGCTGTTCCCGAAAAAGTCGAGCTTGACTGAGGGGAAGGGGATGCAGATAGGTCAGTGTAGACACTGTGAGAGGCTTGGGAGGATAAGGACAGACTTAATGTTGAATGAGGAGTGTGATATGTATAAAGACTGGCACAAGAGCAAGCGCAACCTTTCTCGCTGAGAAGAGCGTTTGTGAAGCCAAGGAAGGCAAATATGATCAGTGTTAACAAAACCATAATTGCTGACCTATCTTCAGGTCTTTGAAGCATGGGATTTGAGAATTCCGACGATTATTTATAACCAACTTAAGAAAGACATAATGCGACATTTCCTCCTCCCTTCTGCGCCCCCTCATAAAGAGATTTCCGATTTGCCAGGTGCATTCAGTTGGTCTTTCATAACGCCTCGGTTGCGCTATGATCAAAAACGCCCATCAAAAAGATGGTTACCCTCGAAAAGTGCCCTCATTTACGACGAATCCATCGACTCTGATCAACGAGCTTGAGTTTTCTATATAAGATACGACCGATATATCTCTAGGCTGTCTAAATTGCCCACTATTTCCTGAGAATGATGCGCCCCAACTCCGTTTCAGGCCTTGTCTTGCTTCTTCTTGCTATGGGCACGGTGTGTGGCTTATAGAATGAAAAGCGCTACAGGCTCAACACTAACCTACTCTAGATAGCACACTCTACTCATAATAAACGTCACTCACATTTCATGCTTCCAAGACAAGAGGTAATACTCAATACAGTACATTGCGAAACCGGTGCAACAAGAACACCCTTAGAAGCTCTTTCTAGCCCCACTGCCGAGACCTTAGCGCATATTGTTTATTGAGATTGCCACCACAACGAATTAAGAGTGTTCTTGTTGCACCAGTTTCGCAACTTACTGTAGAAATGCTAAGGAAAGATGCTGACCAACCGAAGAACATCTTAATTGTTGAGAATTTCACCGCCCCCCCTTTGCCCGAACATTGGTCCTCTAACAAGAGGGATGTACGTTGACATACGAAAGAGAATAAAGCATAAAGTTGACTGATGCAGATTGATCAAATCTCATGCGATTTTACCCAGGGACTCGCCTATATAGCGCCAACACGAGCTAACATTCGTCACTTGAGAGATGTTGCTCAAAAGATTTGTATTGCGAGTGCGAACACATGTGCACGTGTATCATATCTTAACGACTCGGGACTTTTTTTCTGTAACCAAGTAAAACATACCCATGAATCTTTTTCCTGACCCAGACTCACATTTCCAGGACACCAAAACTGTTGCTATCAAATGTGGGGCGCTGGTGTCTCCAGCAGAAAAGTTATTCAACAAATGTCAATTCGACAATTATTATGCTTTTGGGATTGTCAGTGACTCGATGGAAATTGACGGTTCAACTGCGAAGTACTACATGCGAATTGCAGGTGAAACTCTTTGAGCTGTAAACGGGTTGGTCTAAGTGAGAGTCTGGCCATGTCTGGATCCAGTCGATAGCGGAAACAGCTTCCACCCTTCTGATCGCTTTTCTTTCCTCCTGCCCCACTGCCAAGGCCTTAGCATAGATCTTCTATTCAGGGCCCGCGGTTAATTTGAGGGCCGTTGAATAATACATGATGTATGAAACTGTATCTTGGCCCGTAAGGTTGGATCCACTTCTAAATATTGGGCGGTGAACCTTTGACAGCCATGGTATTAGATCGTACGTACTTTTCGGAGGCCCTCATTTTTTGCGATTCGGTAAATAAAGGATCCGCGCTAAGACCTTAGCAGTGGAAACAAAAGCGATCAGAAGGATGGAAGCTGTTTTCCCTATCGACTGTATACGAGCCTCGCACATAACAGATTTTCAGGACGTCAATTGCACATTTACTGTACAGTATACATCCACGTATGTCTTATTTGAAATTTCAAGGATTAAAAGTGCCCTGGTTTCCCAAAAAGGATGTCCCTTTCTATCTCCATCATATCCAGCTATATATTGCTTGCGAAGGCAATTTTAGTAGAAAAACGCCCTCATATCCTGCTGTCAGCGATGGGCAGTATATATCATGTAAATAGAACAGACAGAGGATTTAAATGCACTCGGCACATGTGGGCTCTGAACGTGGGAAACTATCTTTCTCCATCTCCCACGACTGCACAGTACACTTTGCACTTTTGGATGAAACACTACCGAATTATACATACAAATGAACCAAATACAGCTAATGGATCTCCAACTATTGAGATTCAGTCATCAGCTCCGAATGTCATAAAATTCCGTCAAAGCTGTAAGTGCATTTTTCTCCCGATCATGTATCTCATCAAGATACATACGCAATTCCTCCACAATTTGATGCGCATGTCGGAGATCGTTGAATTCCCTGTGAAGGGAGCTCTCATAAACTTTGACAAGATCGTCTGCAGCCTGCGAAATAACGTCTTGCAGGGATTTTAATATCGCATAACATTTTCGGTAAAACAGGTTTTCTGCTTGTTGACGACCAATTTCTCGCACAATCTCGGCTATCTCACTCATGTTTCCAGGATGAAATTAGGCTTGCAGAATTTCTTTGAAAAAATTCGGATGAGCCCGGTATTTGAAGTCAGGCTCTCTTCGCATAGCTTCAATACAATTTACTGCATCAATCTCATATCATCAAAATTGGTTAATGATGCCAGAGGGTCTGCCGCATTTCAATCAAAATTTCAGATATTTAGTGATGATACTCAGTAGCATTACTTTTACATTTTACTATTTGCTTTACAGACCATCAACTTGAGAATTTGAGAGATTTTCTTTTATCTCGCTTGAGTACCGAAATCCTTCACCCTGAAATTGAATGACATCAATCATATACCGGTTGAGCCACTTCTCAATACACTGTACATAGTCTGCTGTTGAGAGGGATGATAAAGTGCTATATAAGATCAACGCAGCAGCCATTCAGGTTCAATCCCAAGAATCGAACAATGACTGAGAGTAGTTCTCAGACAGCGCATCTGCGCTCTTGTGCATTTTTGATTGCTGTTAATACTGTTGGACTTTCTTATTTCTCTGTCCTATTCGCTCACATCTTGATATTTTACTTCCCCTCCTGCCTCGACGCTATCATCTACACTCTTTCAAAACTTTTCTTTTGCGGAGCCGCTATCTCCTGGACGCTCTCAACCATTTCATATCGTTTCATCGCAGCAATAAGAACGACCAGTACCCCACGTTGGCAGCGGCTTGAGTTTTGTGGCGCGCTGATCTTCATTGCCGCATCGGCTATAAATTTCACAGTCCTAGAGCTCAATAAAAGTCCGTGGGCTTGCCTCGGATATGTGTGTGTAGTAGTTCTGGCTACTGCGAGCTCTCTTGCTGATTATCTCACATTGAACCGCTCTTTGGTGGAGGACCGCAATATATTCCCCGGTCATACCCTCAGATTGTTGCTGCTCTCACTGCTGCCTGTGATATACTCCATAAAGTATTCTACCACTCCATCGCCGCTTCTACTCCAATTCTGTCGTCTCCTGGGATGTAACATTCTTGGTGCGTCTCAATATCTCTTAAGCCCAATGGAACGACTGGGCTTGCTGGAAAGTTGGAGACCAAGTCTTTACGCTATGCATGTGATATTCATCTATAGTACTATTGCTTATTCCAAGGATATGTTCTCTGTTGTGCTTTGAGGTTGGTGTAGATCAGGAACAAAGCCGCAGCGGATCAGTTCCTTGGATACAGTATTTCCGGAAATCGGTGTCACCCCCTATACGGAGGTCGGTCCGGAAAGTTCTCGCCAGAAATTATAATTTCTTTTTCTTGATATATTACCGGCCCTGTATGTCAGGTGTATAGCCTGCTGTATATTGGATGTATTGCCGTGTTACGTACTAGGCTAAATATTGCTTATAACACCCGTGGACACGTAGATCTTTATCTTTTACCCCGCCTACAGTCCGTACACCCCTTCACACTTTTATCCCACCTACACAGCTACACTTTTGTCCCACCTATACAGCTACAATGAAGACCAATATTGCGCAACGTGCTGTCATTGTATACCTAAGGGCCCAAGGACATGCCCCTAAGGAGATCAGTGAATTTATGAATATTCCACGGCGTACTATAGGAGACATATGGAACCGTGCACTCGAACGAGGTTTTCAGCCGAATCAGCGACCATTCAATATATCAGATGAAATGTTAGCTGATAAAGCACGTTCTGGGCGTCCATCTAAGCAAACAGATGAGCTTAAAACCACACTTGGGGCGAAAATCCGTGTAGACCGCTATGGGCGTGAGAAAACATGTGAACAGCTAGCTGCAGAGCTACGCAGTGAATCAGGTTAGTTATTCTAAGATTTGATATTTTATTTAGTGTGTTATTTAATATGTTATTTAGTATAATATTTGATGTGTTACTTGGTGTGTTATTTGATATGTTATCTCATATGTTACTTGATATGTTATTTCCTCTAATATTTCTTCTATAATTAGGGATTAATATATCAAAAACAACAGTTTGGCATGTACTACGAAAAATTGGCCTACGAAAAACAAAGCCTACACGTAAGCCTGGGCTTGCCGCTGAGCAGAAAAAACAACGTCTTGAATGGTGTTTAAAACACGCCCATTGGACTATAGAAGACTGGAAGAATGTGATTTGGACTGATGAAACTGCGGTTGTTTTATTACACCGTCGGGGTGGATATCGTGTATGGCGTACTTCTAGTGAGCGGTTCGTCCGAAGCTGTATTCGAGAACGTTGGAAGGGGGCCTCTGAGTTCATGTTTTGGGGTGCTTTTTCTTATGATCAGAAGGGCCCCTGTCATTGTTGGGTACCTGAAACTACAGCCCAAAAGCGTGAAGCAGAACACCAAATCGCCGAATGGAATACTGAATTAGAGCCTATTATGCGTGCAGAATGGGAGCTTAATTCAGGTATACAGCGATTAGGGCTACGCAATAAGCCTGGAAGACAACCTCAGTGGAGATGGACTCAGAAGAATGGAAAGCTTGCACGCAATTCGAAAGGTGGAATCGATTGGTACCGATACAACACCGTGATTTTAGCCCCAAAACTACTTCCATTCGCCCAAGAATGTGCTCGAATTCGAACGAAAACAATAGTTCAAGAGGATAAAGCACCAGCCCATTCACATCACTACCAACAGCGAATATTTGATATAATGGGGGTCCAACGAATGATCTGGCCTGGAAATTCGCCTGATCTAAATATGATTGAACCTGCATGGCCTTGGATGAAGAGATACACTACGCGAAAAGGAGCACCTAAATCGCGTAAAGAAGGGATTAAAGTATGGGAGGCTGCGTGGCGTGATCTACCACAGGCGCAAATTCAAGCTTGGATTGAACGTATACCATGGCATATACAGCAAGTCATTAGACTAGAAGGGGGCAACGAATACGGTGAGGGGCGTGATAAATTAGGTGAAGTAGCCCCTAGCGGGTTAGGTGATAACGCCTATAACAGCGGCAGCGGCAACGACAGCGACAGCGACAGCGACAGCGACAGCGACAGCGATATATGGGAAGATATGTGAATATTTACTGTTTCAAGCTGTTATTATATTTCAGTACTATATATTTCCGTTTTATATACATCTTGATTACGCGATATATTTCAATATTTACTGTATATAGCCTAGTGTGAGAAAAAGAAATTATAATTTCTGGCGAGAACTTTCCGGACCGACCTCCGTACACTCTCTTTGTTTCCCGAACCCTAATGCCAAGAAAGGCTAAACTACTTTTGGCAGAAGCTAGTTGAGCCTCATTAGTTTTTAATTGTTTTGAATATGTATCGTAAATTACCGGACTATTAAACTAGCGGGAAACATGTTTATTACCTGTCAGGCCTAGACGCTGCCACCTGTGTGCCCCACGTTTACATTCCCGCGCAAACCTGGGGTTTCTTGGTAGGCACTTTTACTGGTGCAACGAACCATGGCTCCCAACCTAGCCAAGTCTACTCTCGTGTTGATTCATGATATGATTGCCAGTAATGAGCTAACTACATCGCAGATGGCGAAAGCCGCAGGCTGCAGCAAGCGCGCCATTATCAGGATCCGATCTAATCTGCGACTGTTCGGTAGTGTCAAAGCCCCTTCTATCAAACCTGGACGGCCACGGAGCATCACTCCGATTATGCTGGAAGCCCTGTGCGACCATCTACTCGACAAGCCGGATTTATATCTTCATGAGATGGAGCTATTCTTTCTTGATGAATTCGAAGTATCTATACCAAAGTCCACAATTAGCGATGCCCTGCATCGCAAAGGGTGGTCAAAGAAGACAGCTCGACAGAAAGCGAGGGAGCGTAACCCAGATTTACGCGATGATTACTGTCATCTCATCTCGGAATTTAGCTCATTCCATCTTGTCTACGTGGATGAATCTGGGTGTGATAAACGGATAGGGATCAGAAGAACTGGCTGGTCTCCCCTTGGTACAACACCCGTGCAAGTGTCGAAATTCCATCGGGACCAGCGGTATCAGATTCTCCCTGCATATACACAAGATGGGATTCTTTTTTCTCGTGTCTTCCAAGGACCGACGGATGCTTCATTCTTTGAAGATTTCATTGAAGAACTCCTTCATCACTGTGGAAAATACCCAGCGCCCAAGTCAGTCCTTGTCATGGACAATGCATCCTTTCATCGTTCTCAGAGAATCGAGCAACTGTGTCTTGATAAAGGGGTCAAATTGGTCTATTTGCCTCCATACTCCCCCGACCTGAACCCGATTGAAGAATTCTTTGCGGAGCTAAAAGCCTTCATTCGGCGTCATTGGCAGTCTTACGCCGAAGATCCGGATCAAGGGTTTGATTACTTCCTCGACTGGTGTGTTGATAAAGTTGGAGCAAAAAAAGAGAGCGCAAGAGGCCATTTCAAAAACGCAGGTATTGATGTTGAAGATCTGCGTTGAGAAATCTGGCTGAGTTTACTGTACTACCTTAGATATATATCGCGGCAAATATCCCACAAAATAACAGCAATTCACGACTCGAAACTCGGGATATGGCTGTAGCCAATCTCTGGTGCCTCGTCTAGCTCTTCAGGGCCTGGCCATACACTTGCATTCCTCGAGTATCTGCGCTTCACCGAATCTGGCTTATCCCCGGCGTGTGTCGATTCAAGTAGTTCCCAGGAGTGTTCGTCCCTCGTATATCCATGGCATGCAGTGTGGGTCTTGTTGATAAGTTGTTGATCGTCTTTGTAACAGAAGGTTAAATGCCAGCCTTTCGGGTCCTCTCCAGTCTGGCCATTTATCGTTGTGGTTTTGTGATGTTTCGACCTATGCGTCAGACACATACAAGTTAGTCACTATCGCAGGAAATAACGCAAACAACATGAACTGTGTCAAGTACGCGTCTACCTGATCAATATTGCCCGCGGATGAAGTTTCATATCTCTGGCAGTCTGATATGCTAGGGCCACAACATCCCGCAAATCTTTGGGACTCTTTGGCATCTTGCCTTTGTAAAAATAATACCTGACCAGATTAACGGTAGACATGTTGGTAAAACGATAAATGTGTGGAAATTTTTGAATGGTAGTGCGAGTGTATATGTAAACTAGAAAAAGCCCGGAAGTGGTTTAAAGTATGGCACATATGCTGAACTATTTATAAAGTCTAACTTCAAGTCTCGTCCAAATTTAGCGCTGTGACTGTACAGTCGAAGTCGAAAACAGATTCCCCCTTGGACACAAACACTTTCTTCCCCGGCGACCCACCAGGGCGCTAACTCCGGTTCAGCCAGTTTCAGACCTCTCACACAGCCAATCACAATGCTAGAAGGCCTCAACAGAGCCTCCATCTAGCCTATTTCAGCTTAGCCGACGGAGAGTGGGTCACTGAGAAAGAAAGCGCGTGTGTCCAAGGGGGAATCTGTTTTCGACTTCGACTGTAGCTCTTTGTGAGAGCCAAAGAGGTCAGGATTGGAGATAGTTTAGGTGCAACCAAAAGCGCTACAGTAAGAATTGATCGATCCACTTCTTGAAAGTCTTATTGCCAACTTGACGGTCATCTGGGGCGTCTGGTGAAACGCGCATCAGTGGCGTCGTGGTTTGCATACGATTTCTGGCCAATCGAGATTTGCCACGAAGACTCCAGGCTACGCCATCAGGTCTTAAAATAGATAATTACATAAAAGTACGATAGGAGCTATTTTAAGTTCTTCCATTACCTTGTAGAAAAAATAGAAACATAGATCCAAATGGAAATCTCGACACCTTAGGCCTAAGAATAATTAGTCATCGAGCGGTGTGAACACGTTCACTTTTCGCGGGTACGGTTGATAAGCAAGACGCTGCCTGAGCAAATGTCTATTCACAATTACGTTAATGCTCGAAGATCCTTCACCCGGCTATGCAGTTCCATCTTAACCCATTTTCATACTCGGAATCAATCATCGATGTCCACTTTCAGCCCCCTTAATGCAAAGATGCGTGGTGATACAGATAGAACCAGCGAATCCCGATCATCGAGAATAGAACCTGGAAAGACACAGTACAGGCTGATTGAATATGTCGAAGACATTGAAAGATACAGTCCTGGGGGATATCATCCTTTAAAAATCGGAGACTACCTAAATAATGGCCGGTATCGACTTGTTGATAAACTTGGGTACGGCGGATACTCAACGATATGGCTAGCCTGTGATTTGCAGAGGGCCAGATATGTGGCGGTGAAGGTCATCGCCGCTGATGCCAGTCTGAATGCGTCTGAGGCTAGTCTCCTATGCTCTCTTGGAAACTCGCCGTCGAGACCGGGACGAGAAACTATACCATCTCTCATCGAGCAATTCTGGGCTATCGGTCCTAATGGAAAGCACAGATGTCTTGTCACTCTGCCGGCACGAATGAGTCTTTTTGACGCAAAGGAGGCTTCGTCTTTCGGTCTGTTCCAACCGAAGGTTGCGCAGTCGATTACTGCCCAACTCATCCGTGGAGTCGCTTTTCTTCACAGCGAAGATATTGTACACGGTGGTATGAGATACGCATGGATAATTGCAGCTGGAATGTATGACTGACAGCTTCAGACCTTCATCTAGGCAACATTCTAGTCCAATTCCCCGAAGCAATCGATCGTTTGCCACCGTCAGAATTGTATGAAAGATTCGGAGAGCCCGAGCCAGAGGCTGTTGTTCGTATTGATGGAAATACCTTGTCGGAGGGTGTACCGAACAATGTATACGTTCCCGGTTGGTTCGGCGCTTGTAGCGATGATCTTATACTAGGGGAAGAGAAGATCATCATTAGCGACTTCGGAGAATCTTTCAATCCGCACAATACCCTCAGATTATCTTCAAAGACCCTCCCTATCCTGCAACCGCCCGAGGCCAGGTTCTGTCATAGGCCCCTCTCCTTTGCCTCAGATATCTGGACACTTGCCTGTACTGTCTGGGAGATTTTTGGCCAGCGTCCTTTGTTTGAGGCTTTTTACCCTACCGCAGACCGTGTCACCGCAGAACAAGTCGAGGTCATTGGTATTTTACCCCTTGAGTGGTGGAACAATTGGCACAGAAGGTTGGAATGGTTCAACGAGGAGGGAGAGTTGAATTTGAAACCGGACTCGTCTAGGGGTCAGGATGGCCTGCGCCGGACCTGGGAAGACAGGTTTAACGACTGCATACAGGAACCTCGCGCTGACGCGGGCCTAGAGACCGTGACAGAGGAAGAGAAGAGGGCTTTCGAGACAATGCTTCGATCGATGCTAGTCTTTCAGCCGAGCGAAAGAGCGACAGCACAGCAGATATTACACTCCGAATGGATGAAAGGCTGGGGCCAACCAGCGCTTGAAGAGAGCAGGGCACAGTCGACCCTTTCAAAGTAACATGAAAAATTGAGAAACAAATTTGACATCAATTAGAGACTGATTAATCATGCCGGTGGCAGCTGCTCTCTAAGGACTATATATTGTAACATCTGGGGAGGGCATGGGTCTGGGGAGGGCATGGTCACTCCCCAAGTTCATTCGCATCCCTGTTCCGCGTCACCCAGCGGGCGATATCGCTAACAAATCGCCGGGCGGCTCCTGCTTTCACGCCGTTTTTTACAAAGAAATCCGCATCTTGATCGTCGTGGATTTGCTTGAGATCCAGACAATTTTCAAGGGCCAGATCGCAAGCTTTCTGTATATTCTCCCTAAAGGTCTGACTGCTCACCCGTGACTGGTGCCAGGCAGCATATTCTTTGACGGCTATATCGAGAAGTCCAGGAATATCGATTGTATCAGTCTGCTTAGGAGCTGGGGCCGTACTTTCAGCAGCAGCGCTAGTTGTAGGAATGGGCATTTGAGATGGAAGATGAAAGTGGACTGGGTGACATGATCCACATGTTAAGCTGTCCGAGCCTTTGTTTCGTCGTTCAAGCCGCTGGCTTTCCTCGGCATAAAGTTGTTCACGAAGGCTATCCGGAATGTCGTCATGTGTTTCGATGACCCCTCCCTGCTGCACGTATCTGGTGAGCATCTTCAAGTGGTTTGTACGTAATCTGTAATGCTTTTTTCCGTGCGGATCCTGCCAGCAGTATTGTCCTTCGTGGCGGCATGGAGGTCCAGGACAACGCATGATCCTATACACATCTCGCCAGACTCCATGACCCCCGGAAGCCTGCTCGGCATCCATCTCGGCGTCACGTTCCGTAATCATTCCCTTAGTGACGGATGATTTTCCTCTCTTATCACTTCTTGATGAAAGTCGGCCATGATCATCTATATAGTTAATGGTAATCTGAATTCGGAGTTTTTTGCCAAGACGGTAGAGATTGGCCCACTTCAGCAGCTGGTTCTCTACCGTAGTCCAATCAACATTAGCGCCTTCAAAGCGCTTGACAAGATCAGACTGGGATGGTATCGTCTAGTCTCACCCGTCGGTTATGGGCAATCTTTCTCCGTAGAATATTTCCAGCTGTGTCCTTTATCCGCTCCCAGTAGGATCTAGGTGGCAGGGCCAAGTCTTGTTCAGTGTCCTTTGCCACCACACGGTTATTCAGTTTTACCCTCCACTCGATCTGGTAATGCACATAGTCTAATCCTCCGTCATCCACCTCACCTTCTTGCATAAAATCAAGTTGATCAGACTGCGATTTATGCAACGGCGATGAACGTTCACTGAATATTAAAGGGTCGGGGTCGGGGGATGAACAGAGAACAGATGGCGTCCATTCACGGCCAGGTGTAGGGGCATAGGAGGGAGTCGGGTCCCGGAAATCAGGCAGGCGAGATTGATAGATATCATCATTATCGAAAGCAGCATAAGCCATCCCCTCCAAGCAGTAGATACTGCTGAGGAGCCTATTTATGGTGCCATCTTATGTTAGCTGGAGACAAAGAGGCTGCCATCGCGCATAGGGTAAGAGTATGTGTCTGACAGGCTGAGTACGGTGATCAGCAGGATCATTGGTCTTCTATTAGTCCGAATTTGGAAGATTGGACTAAGCAGTCAGGCTGTGGGGTTGTTAAGGTTCTAAGATTGCGGGTAAGCGCTAGGATTGCCACTCGGACACGCTGGTGTGAATGGAGAAGATGACCAGTCGTCAAGTCCGCCAGCCAGTGTTGCGGGTGTTTGAATTGTTTGCATTGCCTCGGAAGATTCCAGCAATACTCGTATCAGCCATACACGCATAAGCCTATGTCTTGTAATTTAACTGTGTAAGCGATTGTATTTGTAAAAAACCGGAAGATTACTATTTTTGTCTGTTTCTTAATAGGGTCTAGTGTGTCTTGGCATTTAGGGTCTAGGAGACAATGCAAGAGTGTGGGGGGTGACACCGATTTCCGGAACTACTGTATCTCTACAAAGCATCAAGTTGATTCCCAATCAACTTGATTTCCTTGATGTATATAGATGGCGTCATTTATTCCTTTGAAACGAAAAATCAAAATATCTACTCGAATTATAGCATTCTCTAAGGCTTCACACTTCCACGAATGGTCAGGTAGCAGAATGTATGGTTCTTTTTTCCGCTGCTGCTCTCTAAATAAACAACAATAATATCACCTATGGGTACATACTGAAGCTCCGTAATGAATGCATTTATCCATGGGGGGTTTTATCTTGATAAAGCGATAAGTATGAACTTTCCCAAATCGCTCGTACTTGAAGATCAATCGCCGTGGCTACCTGCCAAAACACTATAATTCCAGCGAATACGATCGAATAGTTCAGCCGCATGAGACAGTCATGTAGCTCTTTTCTTCCGAAATTGATTGTGCTTGTGCATAGGATATTTTTCCTGACGCCAAACTGGACTGATGGGTCTGCACGATGAATTGACGCCAGACATCGAAACCACCCAAATTTCATTGCAAATTTTCGAGCCACATGAGATATATTCCTCAATTCCATGACCTTGCGTGGAATTTTGATGCAATCGAATGGATTTGGGGCATGTGCCATACGAAGGCGCCAAAAATACATGACGATTAGTTCTTCTTTCAAGAGGAAGCCAATTAATGCGCTCTTCCCTGACACTTTAGGTAAAATCTGTCAAGGGCCTTCTATATATCATCTAAGTGAGCCTCATTAAGAGATAAAAACATATTACCATGCTTCACACAATGCCATGTGAGATTATAATGGAAATTGCAGAATGGGTGAATTACAATGGTCCTTCCATAACTCCGCGAAGCTAACACATTCAGCTTTCCTCTGCAGATTTACGTTCTCTCAGTCAGGTTCGCTCTAAGTTCTACCGTGATTTACTTCCAAAGTCCTATCGGAGGGTCAACTTTCACGCTCGCAATGAATGGGCTCTCAATGATTTGAATACCGACTCCTATTTTCGCACACACAAGCAATCTCCGGACAACTTCCACTTGATGTTCATTCGAGACTTAATTTTCTCAGCTCCTTTTGAGATCGCAAGATTCAATCGCTGCGTCTTTCACGATCCTTATCCAACAAGAGTCTGGTTCAAACGTTGTCACATCCTTGGGCCCTCAAATGAAGAGAAAGCCCATGCAGGCTTTCTGGATGATGTCTCACGGCAGGTAAACCAAGTTGTTCGATGCCTTGCAGATAACAAACTTCGGTCATTCAGGTGAGTCACTCCCCCGGATCTGATCGCATCTGTTAACGGCAATTGAAGTTGGCATCTTGGTATCTGTATACCGAACGGATTGTTAGATGCGCAGAGCTTCTTGATCACTCATCAGCGTGATTTGGAGAATATTTCTCTTATCACTGATGGATCTTGCCCTCATGCCGGTCATACGGTCAATCATCTGTCTCGATTCACTTGTCTCAAATCACTGGCATGGGAGGGGATACGGCACCCGCTCGAGTTCAAATCTCTTGAGAGATGTATTCGAAACAATCAATGGCTAGCCAGACTGTCTCTCGGATTTGCATTGACATTCACAGACTTTGATGTGATCAACTCTATATTTGGAATTGCGTCCCAATCTGACCCAAATAGTGAGAGGCGCTTGCTGAGCCACGTCCCATACCTGGCTCACCTTTCGTTATCCAAAGCTCTCCTACCACGACATCCAGATTTGCAAATTGCATGCAAAATTAAAATGCTTCGGTCGCTCAGTCTACTCAATTGTAGGAATGATCTCAGCTTTCTTTCCTCCCTTTCCCACTTCTCAGATGAAATAACAATTCAAAGTTTCGAGTTTTGCTGCAATATGTTGGAGCAAGACAGTTCAGATTTCAAGATCCATCCTCTCACACAGTTTCTTCAATCCTTCACCGGCCTAAGACATTTGAAACTGAAACTTTCCAGCTTTACACTCGAGCCTCACTTGGCCACTGCCATTGCACACCATCGTTCCTCATTGCAGTCTCTCATATATCACGAGAGAGAGCTTCAACTAATTGATGACGAGGGGCGATTTCAAGAGCTACGAGATAAAGAAATGACTTTCATGGTGCAACTTCCGCATATTGTTAATTTGAGTCAGTTTTCAGCGCTAGCGCTTTGCGCTTCACCATCAAAACTAGTAAGTATTCAAATTCCAGAGTTGCAACCTATCTGACAGAGCCAGCGCTCTATATTGGAGCCTTTGCGCAAAGAAGCATCGCTGCATACCCTCCATCTTCGGTGGACCGGATCCGAAAAATTACATCGGAATATCCGAGAAGAACTGATGTCTCGCCTAACATCACCGCCATTTCGTTCGCCTGGTCTTCAACTCAGGCCAAACGAGGTCAAGCTAGGAGGCAATGAGTCGCATCAGATGGCTCGGACTATTGTGGTCTCCAAAAGCTCACCAGAGGAAGACGAGTATCTTGCATTTGTACAGTGGGCATTTGGTCCGCAAGGAATGCCATTTCTGGAGACCCTAGCTTTGGGTGATTTCTCCTTCGGAGATCGCTATAGAAACCAGCAACTCTTGCTCCGACGAAAGACCAAAGAAGCACAAGAAATCCAATACCAGGAGATCCAGCTACCTTGTGGTCTTCTTGACAGGGATTTCTTTGTGGGAATACTTGATGATGTGTCTTTCCATGAAAAATTGATGGTTGAAGATTTGAATTTTCTCCGTGCTTGTCCAGATGGAGGCTTGATGGATTCACCTTATGAATAGTATTGATTTGACATTTCTCAATGAAAATTAGTCATTATATCAGAGCTAACATTTCATGTGCTCGTAGTTGATTGTTTTTGTTTTGTGAATTATGGTTATCAGATGACAATCATGTTCGATAAGAATTTACTAGAACTGACAAAGGATTATTTTCCCAAGGTAAAGAACAGCTCTCCTCTTAAAACCGGGAGGCGCGAGAACAGCGCAAAATGTCACAAGTACATTTTATCATAGCAGTCACAACCGCTAGGCTTTGAACAGAACATGATTCAGGTTTTCTAACGAAATAAACCGAAGTATTGAACTTGAGCTTCCAAAGTCTTGACAATGAAACTATGACATAAGAAACAAAATGCCAAGCTCAGTCTTCCGTTGGTTGAAACAAAAGCATTGGAAAATCCCCCCTCCCCCTATTGGATCAACGCGTGGCTCCTCGCTAAATTTAGGGAAGCTGAAGCGTGCGAAACTTTTCACTGCGACGGATTTTCTATAGGAGGCTCGTCGGAAATTTCCCATTTGTGGGCAACTTCTTTCTTGCTTTTCTTCTTGCTGGCATTCTTTGGAATATAACGCTTGAAAGTTTTGCGGACCCTCCTGTATTTCGCTAGTCAAATCTACAAATCGGTCAGTACAGCTATGACGATCCAGCTAGCTCTCTTAACAATACCCCTTATTCCAACAAATGGCTTGCAAGTGTCGGATCCTTTCGTGAGGATCTTACTGCCTACCGTATGACTTCCAGTGTCAGAGGAGTCCTCTTTTGAGAGGTTCCTCTTAGCACTATAGAACCTCACCACGAATCTTAGGCTAAGGTGAGAGCAAAGATTTAGTCTTATTGCAAGCTAGGCTAGCAATCTCCTGGTTCAACTAGTCGTTTGAATACTTTCCGAGAGTTTCCTCAACCTCTTCGTTTATCCACAGTCCATAATTTTCTGGCAACCTCATACCTTTAATAGCTAGCTCATCTTCCCAAAACCATGTTATCGAACAGCTTATCTTGAGCGTTTGTAGTGTTCGGATTTCCCCTATTTTTATATAGTATTTCTGAAGTTTACACTCCAATTGAGTCTCGAAACCAATGATAAGTGCCTGGTGCATCCCTTTGGCAGACCGATCCACCATCTGGTCCAGTTGAGTATGAATGTTTCGCAATAGGAATCGTTCATGGACGTTGGCCTTCTTTTTAGCATTCCGCAGGATTGAATCAACAAGTTCTGTATCCAATTCGGAATTAAGGATATTCCTTGATAATTCATATGCAGTGGTCTGGAAAAGGTCAAGCATTTCAAGGTAGCCACGAGCGTGAAATGTAGTTGCTTGATATGATGATGGTTCTTCAAGAAATCTTCCACAAAATTAATGTCGATAGTCCTCCCCCTTAGGTGGAAATCAACCAAGGAGGGCCTTACACAATCATCCGGTAACCGAATATGCTGCATGTCAATATGGAGTTTTCTAACTTCACTGAGGAGCTTGATTGGCAAATAAGGCTCTTGTTTGGTGAAAAACTGAATCCCTTCAAGGGCTGGGAGAACCGAGGGAGAATTTTGGGTGTCTATACCCGTGAGTGTAGCTATGTACTTCTAGGGACGACGTCGACGAAGAATACCAACTGTTGGTCGTTTTGTCAATTTCAACTGCGTTTCATAGCTCAAGATCAATGAAATTAGATCGGAAGTTGTATCGCTCGGTCTTGTCCGAACGAAATGAGTTTGATGAATCGTTGGAGGTCTTTTCGGGCAATTATGTTATTGAAGGAACTCGAATTTTCTTTGTGACAGACAACTCGATGAAATAAGAAATCGGTGGCTATTCGACACCATCTTCGACAGATAAGGTGACATCTCTTTAGAATCTTGATATCAGGAATATTTGAGAGATGATTTCCTGCATTCTCAGTAACGCTTTCCATTTCCTGTGACATTACGGGTTCTAACCTCAGGCAAGTTCTCCATTCTGCCAAACTTCCAGAAGGATGTAACTGACAGGACACAAGGACAAGAAAGGTAGAATGGAATGCCTAAAACCAATGATCTAAGGTCAAAGGAATGGAGATCCATGCAAGATCAAAACTAGCAACGTGTGATATTGGGAACGCAAAGTAACCTCGTGATGATAAATTCAATGGAATTGTACGTCTTTACGGTTTGAGGGATTTCAAATATATCTAAATCCGGTATTTTTGTTTTGTCTTTCTGCTGCAATTTACCCGATGGAAAAATCAAGGGTTTCTTAATGATCATGATTGAGACAGCTCTTCAAATGGTGCTCAGAATGGATGGACTAATACATTATATCCTTTGACATAAACTCGCCACTTGCGACATGAGATTGAACATCATGGCTCGAGCGCGCTTTAATCCTTCGAGCAAAAGTTGATTCTCTTGTCGAAGAATTTGATTTTCTCGCTCCAGCTGTTCTATTCGAGCATGTGCCTCGCTGAGCAAGTAAAGCTTTTCTTCTGGCTCTTCCCGCCGCAGGTCGTCTAGAATCCGGGTGACCAGCTTTCTTCTCTTCACTTTTCGTTTGGATCTTGCTTCACTCCGATTGGGGACTTGGGATGAGCTCTTGGCTTCAGAGGTCGCTTTTGCACCAATGCGGTATCCTTCTGAAATGCGTGGCATTGTATTCGTTGAGTCGTCGTAGGCTTTAGCCGTTAGGTCAATGATTTAATATCTTTTTTATGGGTACATGAACTTCTCACTGTGATTTCTGGACTTAATTTCAATTGATTAATAAGGTGAGTGTGATGAATGTCGCAGGAAGATGCTAGGAGAATACGGGTCAATTTTTCAACAGGATATCACATACGCTATTTGGCTGGGATTAGGAGAATTGCGCGATTTTGAAATGGTCTCGGAGCGGACCATAGCTGAAATGTTGTTGGTGGAAATACATGTTAGTGATAATTGGGGGGTGTAGGAGTGGAGAGTAGGACGCATGCTATCTGTGAAAGCTGAACTGCAAGATGACAGGTAAATAAAAGCCAGGGACTAGTAGGTCTGCCAAGACAGTATAGTCAATCAATGTTTGGATAATGTGGGTCCGGTTCTTAAGTTGGCACCTATCAATATCGAAATCCATGAAATCCATCCATGAAATCCTTAAACGTTGCAATTCAATGAATCCTAACAGCTGTTAGGTCGCTGAACCATGATCACAGCCTTACGGTAAGCTACGTCAACACAGTACTGTAGCTCAATGCACACATGTATGCTACAGTTTCTGGACGATCGTTGGTCTTCATTTTACTGAGATCGTCTTTCTGTTTGTCCAAGTCCGACTAGGTGCGTTCGAACTTGAATGTTTAGTCTTTTCGCGAAGCCCGTTAGGTTAATAGGATAATCTTCTATGGTGAAGCCATACATATTGAAGAGGGGAACCGTTAGGCAGTGTATTCTAGATACACGGGTCGATCCAGCTAGCATGAATGGATAACACCAACCAACATGTACGTTGTGGCCGGACTACCCCGTAGGGGTGGGATGAGAGATGTGTAGGAGTGTGTATTCTAGACTATAACGACGGACATTCTTGTACGTACAAAGACGGGACTGAAAACATGACAAAACAGAGATGTAACCAAACGGTAATTCTTAGCACGGTACGTGTAGTAGGGGACAGGGTACCCCACTACAATATGTACTACTAAATGCATATATGAGTCGTAGTCATCGGAACTATCCTATGTGTGGTGTCTCCAGGGGCTGACATCTGTACTTGAGCAGAAAACTCCTGAAAATGGCCGAGTTGTTCAGTCTGATCTGTGTAATAGATGTCCGTTGCTGAATTAGGCTTACTTCCTACTACTCAGTACCGCACAGAATAGGAATAGTCCCCGTGGGCATAGGAAGGACTCCGAACATTGCGGTCTAGTAGAGGATCTATGTACTAATACCAAATCAACAGCCGAGACTCGATAGATATGGGCAATCTATGAATAGACTAAGCTTAGAACTGCATCCATGGATCATCTTCCCCCGGGGCCATACTTGGAATAACAGTCCTGGTGCCCTTTCAAGCTTGGAACGGAGCTTGTATCGGACTCAAATTCGTCGTCGGCGCCCAGCACCTACTATATAAGAATCTCTCTCATTTCCTCTTTTTTCTTCTTCTCTTCGTCTCTCCCCCTGGGGAGATCACCACAAATTCTCGAGTCAAACTTGCCTGATCATCAAAAGAAAAACAAAAAAAAAAACTCATACTTGCCTGGTTCATTCTCTCATCCCCAATTGTCGCATATTCGTTCCCCAGAAGAAACAAGCAACAAACCGAGGCTAAATCCCCGGAGATCACACTGACAAGGCGAGCTTGGATCACTAGGTCGGCTTTAAGTGGTTGGACTTGTAGGGGGTCACTGAAGCTTGAGGAAACCATTCTGCGTGTTAAACTTGAAAACCCTTTAAAAATTGCGAAAATTTGAATCCTTGTCATTGGAAACCAAAAACAGATAAAGTGGGAGCCTCTGAAGTGGAAATCCAGTCCTTGGAAGTTCGACAATAGCATCAATCTTTGTCTATGGTCTTCGGGGTGCAGGCTGAGGGAAACCCACTCACAAATCAAATCAACCCACAATTCGTCCAACAATTCGCAATGAACTACGGACAGCCGGCGTATCAAGGTCCCCTGCACAATCAAGTGCATGGGCACCAAGTCGGGGATCCTGCAACAAATCAAATGGCCGCGTTTCTTCGAAAAAATTCCACTTACGGCCCAGGATCACGGAACAATCGAGAGTATCGCACTCCACAAGACAATGGTCGGAACAAAAACAATTACAACCGCAATCAAAATCACTCAAATCATACGAACCAACAAGGCATTCCACAAAATGCAAACTGGAACAATGACAGGTCATCTCCACGGAGGGGCCGGGGAAAAAACGTTCCCCCGTATTGAGGTATGTCAACTATATCAAACCAATCTCATGACTTCACTAACAAACGTTTGAGAACTTTCAGGCAGACTCAAATCACCAATCTGGCCAGCATTATGACCAATTTACACCTCATCAGGAACCATATCAGTGTCCCAATCCACGACAAAATCCTCAAGTCCAATCTACTACAACTCAGAGCTACAACAAAAACCATCATCCTGGTTGGGGTTTCTGCAACTCCTCAGCATCTGGGCAAGACTGGCAACAAGGTTGTCGTAACAAAAAACGAAACAAGAACCTGCAAATCCAAAAACCGGGTTCAAATTCTTCACGGCGGCAACGGAATACAAATGTCGACACTCATCTTTGGAGGGTCACATGTGGGGAGGGGGAATGCTGGAAGGTAAGCATCAAGTCTATTTCATCAAAATGGGTATAGCCACTAATAATCTAAACAGGACGGAGATGGAGATGTTGTCATGTCAGAGGCGCATGACGAGGACCCCTGGGTGCCATTTAATGTATCTCGTACCTATGACCAAGTTTGGTAAATGTATCCTGGCCAGGGCTTTTACCTTGTGTGCATATCATACCAGCCACAGGATGTTTCCCTTGGTACCGTGATCAAAAATCACGCCCGAATGGGGGGATCTAAAATGTATTGGAGCATGGAGCTGGTGTCTTCTATTTCATGTCGGAAATTAGGCTGTATGTTCTATTTACATGTATTTTCACTACGCAAAATGAAATCAAAATGTGATTTGTGAAAAAAAAACTTGAATCTTCCTCTGCTTCTCTAAGAACTTGAGTATACCTATTCACATGTGCAAGTTCAAGTTCAAATGTTACATCTAAGTAGGAACTACTACACACCAGTTGACTGTAGATGTGCACTGGTATGTATCCATGGATGTATAGAGCCCTGGAGTATACCATAGTATTCTATTCAATGTTGAACTTAACACCACTGCCAGTGGCACCGGCAGGTTATACTACCTAGTATATACTTGATAAGGACCTCAGGATAAACTTGAAGGCATATGTAGCTTCCACAACTACTACCAACTTGAATGTAGCGCCCGGGCTGTTACTATGCTCAGCTTGAAGATCTCAGAGGTTCAAGCTGTGATACATACAGCAGTCCAGAAACCATGGAAATCTGGAACGGATAAGATTGATGATTTACTATAAGCACATGCAGACAAGATCTACTCCTGAGGTCCAGTACCTTCAAGTTCTACTTCAAACATTGAATGTTCCACATCCATGTACAGGGTTGCAATTCAAATGTTCAAAGGTTAGTAAAGGCGAGTAGCCATACCTGGCAATAAACGACTTGAATCATTCCTTTTCACAGCATCATAAAGCTCAATATTACCAGAAGCATCTTCTTACCTAGGTTTCTCTTGATCCCTCTCTACTTCCTCGTAGGTAGAAGTAATATCAACCTTGGAAGGGGATTTGAATAGACACTGGCATGCACATGTGCACGCAGTCTACTATCTCCAGGGCTTAAGTCTCCCCTACCACTATCAGTGGTACCAGTTATACCTAGGTATGTAAGACTAAAACTGACAACAGTATCATAACCTTGGAATAATACTGACAGGTTTAACAGGCAAGATTGCCTCCATTTTGCCTTCGCCGCAGCAAGCAAGGTACCCCCGGGGCCGAAAATTGAAGGTCAACCTTTCATCTGACAGCCCTGACTCGGATGGGCAGTACCGTACACTCTAGAGCAAAAGTTCCTCGAGAATATAGTAGCACTTGAGTCATCGAGCCCTGGAGGCCAAATCCATACCACAATTCCTATCTTCGAAATTTGCTGGTGGAGAGAGAGGATGCTGGAAAGTATCAAGTCTATTCCAACATCTTGAATAAGATGACGACATACTAGTACGTGGCCATTAAAAAGCTAATCAGGATGGATCCAGTGATGATATATCCAGATGTCTCTGTGAGACGCCTCCGAGTCTAAGGCCCCGGGGTGCCTGCAATTACCTAGATATGTAGCCCTTCCAAGGTTGAATATGATAAGGTGCAACTTCTCGGCATCTGGATGAGATTGGCCTTCTCAAGCCCTCGAGGCTTTACATGTGTACTACAGACAAAATTCGGACATTCAAAAGTTTTAATTCCTCACGGCCGCGGCACTCACCAAGTCCGATACACTTTGACATAAGGCTAAGTAAGAGCTATTAGTAACTGAAGTGAGAGATCCATGGATATCTGAGTATAAAGTAAAAGACAGCTGATATTACACATATATGTACCATAGACATCTTGAGAACTGATCAAATCCATCATGACATCTGGATGCTTAGCACTTCAAATGTTGCACATTGATGGATGTGGAACTTGAACCCTCTAAGGCTACGATATAGTATAAAAGCGTTCTCCTCTTTCTTTCCAAGGTTCCTTCTTCTTCAAATGTTCTTTCTTCTCAAGGTCCATCTTGAAGATTTCTATATTATCTAGTAGTAAGTCTTTTTGACATTTTTTCTTCCACCATTTAGTATACATTCCCCTTCATCACACCACATGTGCATGACCATGACATTTAGCACTAATGTAGAGAATGAATGATAGATATGTTTATCGCCGAAACAACAAACAAAACAAGAGCCCAAAATTCAAAAACCGGGTTCAAACTCTTCATGGCGTCACCGAAATACAAATGTCGACGCTCATCTTTGGAGGGCTACTTGTGCTGGAAGGTAAGCATCAAGTCTATTTCATCAAAATGGGTATAGCCACTAATAATCTAAGCAGGATGTAGACGGTGATATTGTTATGATGGAGCACTGGCTCCTGAAACTGACCCTTGGGTCTCGCTCAATTTGTCTCGTGCTTATGGAGAAGTTTGGTGAATGTATCCTGGCCAGAGTTTTTACCTTGTGTGCATATCATACCAGCCACAGGATGTTTCCCTTGGTACCGTGACAAAAGACGACTCGGATCACGCCCAAATGGGGGGGATCTAGAATGTATCAGGGTTCAGGATTTTCAAGTCGGAACTTAGGGCTGTATTCTATCTGCATAGAAGACAAAATTAAAAATGTAGTTTACAAAACACAATTTTCATCTGATTCTCTGAGTAGAACGTTCAATTTAATTCGATTTACATCTGAAGGACGATTACAGAGGTATTATTAGTATGTCTAAAACGCCTCTAAGGTAACTTCAAATTCCAATTGGCTCTTGGACATGGTTCAACTCCTCAGGGTCTGGGTGATATTGGCATTCCCAAGGCTGCCAACGCAACCTGACATAAAAACAAAATTCGGGTATTCAAACGTATCAATTCCTCACGGCATTCACCAAGTCTCTACTGCAATGGATGCCTGGAGGCCTTTGGAGTCGATGATGACTAAAGGTCTATCTTGTTATCTTGTACTCGTGAATTATACTGGTGTCTATATCTAAGTCATTAACTTCCAAGGTTCTCTTTGTAAAAGTTCAAAAAAAATTATGCTAAGTATCACGGTCTTCAGAGGTCATAGGTATAGTATTAAGGCTAAAGTAAGAGGTGGCTGAAGTAAAAGATAGCTAAACCTAGAGATGTCTAAAGTGAAAGATCAATAGGTAGCTGATGCCAGTGTCTATTGTGAAGGGCTCTATAAAGACTGAAGTAGAACGACGTACTAGGCCAACAGTAGTTTACATTCATGCTTAGAGAAGAGGAAGCTAGTATATATAGTAGCAGAGATTACTAGTAGTCTGTCAGCAAGGATATAGCTACACCCGTGGACTAGACCAACGGAGGTAGCCAATTAATTTAAGCCCAGCTGAGTGTGTCAGCTCGTTGATGGTGCACATATGGATTGCTCTTCTCAATAACGGCAAAAGCTAATAAAAGCGCTAGTGATAGGGCAGCAGCCCGACATTCTACAACTGCCAATGAGACAAATAACCAATAGTATTGTACATGTCACGTGATAAAGGGATAATGTCGGATAGAGGCCTTACTGCCTGAGATTACGTAAACCTACACTGTATTTTTACCCCTTAGATTTAGCAGAATTGAACACACATACACACATCTGTACAATCGGACCCCATTGGGTGCCACATGCTGCTGAATAAGCCTTTATTCTGACAGATAAGGTTCCTCGCCTTGAACGAGGCACTTCCCCTTTCCAACCATCAGCAACTCTGCAATCCAAAAAGACGAAGCTTTTCCCCCAGAGAATGTCAGAGACAATAAATCCGACTGTGCCCCCTGAGTTAGAATTCAATGCGTATTGTGAAGACAGGGACTTCAGAGCTCAAGGAAAGCATGAGCCTAACAGTCGATCCCAAACAGTGATCCACCGTTCTCACAACAAGAAGTGGTGGATCAAAATCACACTAAATGGCGCAATCCCAAGCTCCGAAAACATCAGGCCAGCACAGCCTAAGTCAAAACGTGAACGGCGAAATGAATTGCAAGACTTTGTCACGATGATCGATTTCCAATCGTTGGTTCTTCTGGATGACACTGTAACTGAACTCATTTTGAATGAAGACACGGGGAAAATTGACACTGCCAACCGATGTCTTCAGCTACCATTTATCAACCAGCCTATATGGCTTATCAGGAATATACGATATCATATTCGTGAGGATCCTTTGAGAGTGAAATATCCGTCACCTATTCAATTTCCGTCATTTCGGGCTGTTAAACTCTCAGAACTGATATAAGAGGCGGAGATAACCAATGGAGTGTTTCGTGTTGACCACAAAGGTGATAGGACACTATACATTCTTAAGGTAGTTAACCGCCACTTTTACTACCCACAAGATACAGTCGTTATACAACAGGAACTAGAGAACCTCAAGCAATTCAGGGAGGCCAGAGGGATAGTTCAGCCGGCTGGTATTATAGTATTTACCAATCCATATACAACCTACCAGAAAAGCAATCAACAGATGGCTATCAATAGTATATTATTGGAGTTTTATAGTGGTGGCTCCTTGCAATATGTCCTGAAAGAACAATTTTTCAAAGATTCCCGCTGGAAAGACTGGGCCATTCAAATTGGGAATGCTTTGGATACCATTCACCGCGCGAAGAAGACCCATATGGACTTAAAGCCATCGAATATCGTTATTGACAAACATGGCACCGCAATTCTCATCGATATCAGCGGTATTGATGAAGTAACGTATGAATGGCAATCCCCAGAGATACGGGATGAAATATCACCCTTTGATCTTCCATTTCATACTCGTCAATCAAACGATATTCGGGCATACAGAAAGATTTTGGAAGAAATCGCATCAAAAGTGGAAGAGTACGCTTTTACAAATACTCCTACCATGGTTGCACGTCATTTGACTGAAGATGTTACTACTCGGTGGACTTTATCCCAAGCAATTTTTCAGTTGAGCACTTGTCATCATGGTGATTGATTCCACTAGATCGAGTCTGTTCAAAATGATGATGGAGCTGTCAAAGCTCCGAATTTGGCCATACCAAACTCGCAGTATTCGATATCAGATTCAAACATACTCCCATTCCACATCATCCTCGTCGAAATCGCCATTCGTCCTGGAATCTGTAATATCTATCAGTCCACTTATCTCCATTAAGAATACCTAGAAAAAAAGACATTGTTAATAGATTGATAGGGTGAGAGAAGTATTCGGGGAGTATTGTTGTTGGATGAAGGAATGATGAATGTCAATGGATAAAATATTGATTAAGCTGATGGGCTGGGGATTTGATGATACTGATACTAATATGGAAACGCACTTTTATGTATTATTACACAATTCAGCTAGCTAAACTCAGGACCAAACTAATCCTCCTCGTCGTCCGAATTAGTGCCCGAATCATTGACGACTGTGAGGTAGACCATGAGGTACAGTACTTGTAGACTATAGTACTTGGCAGGTTAACTAGTTAACGTGATTCCCAAGCGAGTGGGCCACCCAAGCGAGTGGGCCACCCAACCAAAAAATCGCGTCGCGACCGCGTTCTTTTATCTTCAACCACCCATCATGCCACCAAAACGTACTGTTTCGGCCAAAAAAAATGGTAATCAAGAGGGTCGAATCCTACTTGCTATACAGGCTATTAAAGCTGAACAAATAAGCTCTATCCGTGAAGCTGCACGCTGTTTTGATATACCTCGTACTACACTACAGCGTCGGCTCACTGGCTATACCAATCGCTCTGAGACTCGCGCCAACAGCCATAAATTAACTGAGAATGAAGAGAAATCACTTCTTCAGTGGGTGATCTCTATGGATATACGTGGAGCTGCCCCCCGGCCTGCTACTGTTCAAGAAATGGCCAATATTCTCCTCTTAGCACGTGGCCAGACCCCTTCTCAAACTGTTGGCAAAAATTGGGTCACAAACTTTGTTAAACGACATTCAGAGCTTACTACACGTTTCTCTCGACGATATAATTATGAACGTGCGAAGATGGAGGATCCAAAAGTTGTTCAAGAATGGTTTAATCTTGTTTTTCAAACAATTCAAGAGAATGGTATTCTATCAGAGGATATCTATAACTTTGATGAGACTGGATTTGCAATGGGACTTACAGCAACTGCTAAGGTTGTTACTCGTTCTCGATATTATGGTCGACGATCACTTTTACAGCCTGGAAATCGTGAATGGGTAACTGCTATTGAAACAATTAATATATCTGGATGGGCCCTTCCACCAGTGATTATTTTCAAAGGCAAAGTTTTAATTGAAGGATGGTTTACAAACCTTCCACTTGACTGGCGATTTGAAACTAGTCCAAATGGATGGACAACTGATGAAATTGGACTTCGATGGCTTCAAAAACACTTTATTCCAGCAACAACTGAACGTACGCTTGGAAAATATCGACTTTTGATTCTTGATGGTCATGGGAGTCATTTAACTCCCCAATTTGATCAGATTTGCAAAGAGAATAATATTATTCCAATTTGCATGCCAGCTCATTCTTCACATCTTCATCAGCCACTTGATGTTGGATGTTTTGGGCCTTTAAAACGGGCCTATGGTCGGCTTGTTGAGAATCAAATGCGGCTTGGTTTTAACCATGTTGATAAATTTGATTTTCTTGAAGCCTACCCAATCGCTCGTAAAGAGGCTTTTCAAACCCAAACTATTCAAAACAGCTTTACGGCAGCTGGTTTAGTACCATTTGACCCAGATCGAGTACTTTCTAAGTTAAATATTCTTCTTCGAACACCTACACCCCCAGCTAGCCGCCCTACTAGTCGATCAAGCCAATTTTCACCTAAAACACCTCAGAATCTTATTCAGCTTCAACGGCAAGCTAGTTCAATCAAAGCTCTTCTAAAACAACGTTCAAAGAGCCCTCCAAGTCCACTCAAACAGCAAATCGATCAAGTTCTCAAGGCCTGCGAAATTCAGATGCATTCAACAGCTTTATTAGAGGTTGAAACACGCAAATTACGCGCTGCACATGAAAAGCAAAAGCAAAAGCGCAAGCGGTCTACTAGGCAGATACCTAACGAGGGTGGTATGACTGTTCAGGAGGGCCAGGAGGCTATACAGCGTGCTATACAGGTGGTTGAGGCGCCAGTGATCCCTCCCGTACCACGGCCTAGGGCGCCTTATTTACCCCCTCAGCCAGCTAGGAGAAAGCTACCGACATGTAAGAAGTGTGGAGAAGAAGGCCATCGATCAGATCACTGTGATATTTAGTTAATTATTTTAATAAATTGGCGTTCTGGTGGTAATATTTATGATTAAAACTGTAGGGTAGGCGGTGGGTGGCCCACTCGCTTGGGAATCACGTTAGTTAGCATCATGACTGATGCCTGATCTTCCAGGCTGTAAATGTTATAGCCTGAGGCATCCAGGCGTACTTCGATCACGCCATTTTGCCAAGACTCCTGGATCGACACCAGAACAGCAGAGTATAAGACTAAACCACCACCACCATCGGATTTCTTTTCTCATTTCCCCCAATTTCTCCTTTTCATCTTCCAAAATGTTACTAACTAGGTTTACCATCGCTATCTCAAAGCCCCCGTAAGTCAGCGTGGTCATCCCCTTCACACTGCAAAATTCCAACCCCAAACTATTATCACCCTTCATGATTTGCCTTGTACACCCGACCCAGCCGACAGGCCGACGGAAACCGTCCAGTGGGGCACATGCGTCGTCTCGTCCGCCTTTCTCGGCCGGTTGGTGCGTTCGCATTGAAGACCGGCAACGCATCCAATACCGGGGAGAATCAGCTTACTGGCCTATTCTGTGTCCCATCCGTCTGATACAGTCACGATCGTCGTTAGATACACATCCAAGATCGACAGATCTCGACCGAGAAATCCTTGATTCCGTTACGGGTCACTGATACGGAGAATGAGGTGTCGAAGGAATTGCGGGAGACATAGTGTGTGTGAAGTGTGGTTCTGATACCCGTTGGCGATGTCCCGACTGGATCCTGGTTGCGTTATCTGCACCGTCAAATGGTGATCGGTGACTCGTACGCATTCTCAGACCGTTTCTTGACTTCGGAGTCTTGGCTTACAACACCCCCCCTTTTTTGTTGCGGTCAACCTCGGGCTTTCCTCTTATTACTTATTTAGACTTCGCAATGCATCCTTTTTCCTTGTCACACTTTCGCCTCATACATAAATCCCGCTTTCCCCTCTTTTCTTCGATCCCCACTCATCTTTCTTCCAGCCGGCATTCCGCCTACTTTTCCCTTTCCAAACGTCGAATCTCTCAAATGTCAACTCGTCAATGTGCAGCCATCGTGGTGGGCGCGGGCCCAGCCGGTGTGGCAGTCGTGGGGAACTTGTTAGAGCGCCAGTTAGGCACCATCGCCTGGATTGATCCTAGTTTCGAATCAGGCCGCGTTCACCGCAAATATCGCGAGGTTCCCAGGTTGGTGACTCTGGCTAGAGACAAGATGCTATGCTCATCTACTAAGACATCTCACCACACAGTAATACCAAGGTTGCACTGTTCCAGGCCTACGGCACCGCCCTGCAACCTTTCAGGACCGTAATCGAGAATACACCACAACCCAACGCCTTCACCACAATGGCGAAGCTGGATCAGGAGAAAACCTGCCACTTGCACTATGCGGCAGATATGATCTGTGGGCTTACAGATGGCCTCAAGAAGATGCAAGATGTCTATGCCTGCCATGGATTCGTCACATCGGCCAATCTGAGCAACGATGTTCGTATTCTCTCCACCATCCCCCACACTCCAGATCACCTCGTGAAGGACCAAAGGGCTAATAATGACATCATAATAGAGCTCGAATACTGCTAAATGGACTGTGCGCGTGAAACGCGACAGCTCTCCCGATGAAGTCGAAATTCAGTCCTCTCGCTTGATCCTGTGCACCGGCTCGCACCCCACAAACATCCCCGTTCCCGTCCCAGGGTTGGATATTGAGTCTTTAGATCTTGATACCGTTCTTAAGCCTTCGGAGCTTGCAGAGACACTCCCCACCCAAGAACCCACATCAGTCGGCGTAGTCGGTGCCTCCCACAGTGCCATTCTTGCTCTGCTCAACCTGCTCCAGCTCGCTCGCACTTCACACCCGCAACTACGGGTCAAATGGTTCACCCGACACCCTCTTCGCTACGCTGAATACAAGGATGGCTGGATCTTACGTGATAACACCGGGCTGAAGGGTATGGCGGCAGACTTTGCTCGTGCCGAGCTGGAAGATGATAAGCTTCCGACCTCACCTGCAGGCAAAATCATCACCAAGATTGATTGCTCCGGCGGCGATGCCCGCGAATCTGCTCAATACCACGCCCATCTCCCTGACTGCTCATATCTTGTTCACGCTGTTGGTTTCACTCGTGATCCACTGCCACAGCTTATCAAGGATGGTGTACCGCTATCTATGGAGTTCGACCATGAAACCGGTCGTTTCCATGAACAGGGTGATGGCCCCGTAATCCCAGGACTAATGGGTGCCGGGATTGCTTTCCCTGAGCGTGTCATTGATCCTTATGGTAATGTTGAGTATGCGGTGGGATTCTTCAAGTTCATGAAGTTCTTGAAGAGGGTGGTTCCATCATGGTAAATCAAATCCTGGTCGATTATTGCATCCGGAGAGCTGGTCCCCGGTTTCTTTTTTTTCTCTTTTCACTTTCCCTGGCGCATGGCGTTACAAGCGGTCTTGATGAAGAGATGTCTATCTACACGTAGCTTTATTTTGGTCGTTCTCAGCTCCGGTTCCTGAGACTTCCTATTCAATAGATTTCAATCTATGCATATGTGTTCAAATTTCAATGCGTCACAGCCAATATATTTCGCCCATTTCAATCAAGGCATACTAATCTATCCCAGCATTCAATGTCAACTCTTAGTACCATCCTCCCTTCCGACTTGAAGTTGAAAGTCCGGGACTGACGTATTTCCCACGCACCATGAAGTACAACTCCGCTTGGGACCTTCGAGGCCAGGATACACGCAACATCGAAGGTGAAGAAGTTGAACTAACCGCATGTGCAGAGCTGGCGGCACTTCCAAGGTTTGAACTTCCAAAAATAGCAGACACAGCACATACATGCGCTCGATGCACATGCCCAGGTGTGCCAGTGTGCAGTCGAGATACAAAAACTCAAAGTGACGGAATCTCCCAACCTCCAGAACCTCTGGGGATTTGCACGGGTTGTTTCCAAGCTACAAAAGCCGAAACTTGGGGGTAGCTTTTCTGGGGAAGTATGGATCGAGCACCAAAATACTCCAGGACCGGAAGCTCAGATCCGGTTCCCCTCAAGTGCTTGAGCATTGCCCTTTCTCGAGATGTAGTCAGCAAACTCCGGGGTACAATTGCGACCTGTGAACCTTCTCTGAACTGCGGAGATCAAACCCGTGACGATATACCTGGTCATTCTCCCCCGGATCTCTGCTCCACACCAGCTGATATCCGAGATAATCTGGTAAAGCTTGTTTGATCCACCGGCCTGTTCGCGCGAAGCCAATCGGAGCAAGAACCAACTCAAGGAGCCAGTGACCGGTATCCCAGGACTGTTTATCTATGTTATGGAACAGCATACACAGAGAAGGGTACTTTACGGAGACGATCCCCCCCAGCTTCAGATGGCTGCAGAGTTGCTATCTTCAAAGGATCATGACACCCAATCTGAAGTCTCATACCTTCTTTACATGCTAGCAAGAAAATTGTCTGTCCACTTAATTACGCCAACAAAATGTCTCACACTTCCTCCTCCACTGCAACAGATGGAGATCCGGAAAAGCAAGAGGAGCCAGGTCGAATCCGCTCTCCAGGCGGCACTCCTCATAGAAGCCATTATGATGGGCCGATCGGAGTCAGTAATGGTCATGCCAATGGACACGCCAACGGTCATACAGACAGCAAAGACGAGCTGAAGGAGTGGCAATGCTATGAGAAATTGGGATATTCATTCCCTTGGTGGAAGAAATGGGGCATCATCTCGGTGATTTTCGCTGTACAAACCTCGATGAACTTCAATGCAAGTTTCTATGCCAGCAGTATCTCTCTCTACGCCAAACATTTTAATATCTCAGAGCAGGCTGCTCGAGTTGGTCAAATGGATTTCCTTATTGCATATGCCTTCGGCTGCGAATTCTGGGCTCCATTCAGTGAGGAGTTTGGTCGATGGCCTATCATGCAGCTCAGTCTGTTATTGGTTAATATCTGGCAACTCCCGTGTGCATTGGCTCCAAACTTTGGTACCATTGTAGTATGCCGCTTGTTGGGTGGTCTTTCATCAGCAGGAGGCTCGGTGACCTTAGGTATGGTCGCTGATATGTGGGAGGCGGAAGATCAGCAATGGGCCGTTGCCTATGTTGTCCTGTCTTCCGTCGCAGGCTCTGTTATTGCCCCGATTATTGGTGGCTTCGTCGCGACATTCCTTGACTGGCATTGGAACTTTTGGTTGCAGCTCATTTTGGGTGGCTTTGTGCAGATACTTCATCTCTTCGTCCCAGAAACGAGGTGCAGCATCCTGATCACCAGGGAAGCTCGCAGGAGACGTAAGAATGGAGATATGGTCTGGAGCGGTGATGAGCTGAGAAAGAAACGTATGTCTTGCCGATATATTCTCATGATTTGGGCTCGCCCGTTTGTCATGTTTCTTCGCGAGCCAATCGTTCTATGTCTCTCACTCTTCAGTGGGTTCAGTGACTCGCTGATTTTCACTTTCCTACAATCTTATACCCCGGTATACAAACAATGGGGATTTAGCACCATCACTACTGGTCTAGCATTTATTCCGTGAGTATCATCAAGACCTCCTCTCCCCCCTAATACAGGAATGACGAGCTAATCATCGATCTCCAGTATACTTGTTGGGTACTTTATTGCATATTTCTCGTTCCTGCCATGGATTAAGTACCACTCTCACATCCGTGAGCGAGATCCCGATGGCTTGCAGCCGGAGGCTCGTCTTTACTGGCTACTCTGGGGTATGATCTCACCTTGCATCCTGTGTAATGTCATTGATATCTAATAGCTGACAACTTGAAACTATTAGTGGCTCCTCTCTTATCAATTGGACTGTTTGGTTTCGCCTGGACCAGCCTCGGCCCCCCTCATGTGCACTGGATTGCACCGATGATATTTTCATGTCTCATTGCAATAGCGAATGTAAGCCATACACATGAGTATTGATCTTTCCTGAATATGCAGCTAATTGAATCTCATAAGTTCTCTATCTACATGGCCACCATTGACTATATGATTGCAGCGTATGGACCATATTCTGCATCAGCGACAGGAGGAAATGGATTTGCTCGTGACTTCCTCGCTGGTGTGGCAGCAATGTATTCGGTACCTAGTGAGTGGCTATTTCTCGTGATGACAGCTTTGTTTGTTCAATCTTGCTAACGAGGTGCTTAGTGTATACAAATATGGGAACTACTCACCACCTTGAGTGGCCTTCTACATTCCTTGGGTTTATGGCCATTCTCTTTACGATCCCTATCTACGTTTTCTATTGGTATGGCCCTGCTATTCGTGAAAGATGCCCATTTGCACAAACCTTGGCCGCCGACAGAAAGAAAGCTGGACGAAGAATTTCTCAGTGTGGCTCTGGGGATCAAGATCCTGTACAACGATACTTGGCCGGTGAGGGTGTCACGATAAGAACATAGGTCCCGGGAGACAAGATTGATGTCAATCCCTATATCATTCAATCGATCACATATTATTAGTATTGGTTCATCGTTTTATCACTGGCCACGACATGAGGTCGACGCTGTCCTTCTTAAATACGTTCAAATGTTCTGGATCTTTCTAGTGATCAAGTGCTCGCATATGCAACTTTCAGACTAAAAGATTGAATAATTCACACTGGCACTCGAACGGGATCCATGAAGTGCTGTTAGTACTAGTAGTGGTTATCTCTCAGATTGTATCACAATTCAAATCTTCTGATTGTTTCTTTTTTCATCCTGTTGTAGTGTGAAGGTCTGCTTAGTAGGGAAATTTCTTTTAATTTGTACAGATATAAAAATACAAGCACTCAAGTTAATATTCTCTCACTGCCTTGGGATACCAGGCCACGTTGACTGTCCAGGCTTCCTCTTTCTATCACCAGCTACTAGCTTTCTCTGGGCAACAGCATAGCCACATCCAGCACCAGCGAAATAGCCTCCAAGATGGGCGGCGTGGTCCATCTTCATGAGTCGAGAAAGGGGGAAAACCTGCAAAAAGCGAGCTGGAGTGACCATGCTCAGGATTTCGGTGCCGACCAAACAGGCGAGGAATACCCAGCCCTGAGTCCAGAAAATGTTTCGCAGCTCCTGAGGAAGAATCCACAAGGTGATTTTGTCACTAGAGTAAAAAATTAGGGATGTTCACAGGTAAATAGGGGGAGTTTGCTTACTCGAAATGAGACATGCACCAAGCGGCGACAATACCACTAGTGGCAGCGCTGGCACCGAGAGAAGTTGTGCCAAGGGCACCCAGTAGAACACTTCGAGATAACGAAGCCAAGGATCCGAGCGCTCCGGAGGCGAAATAAATGGCTAGGAAGTTTCCACGGCCAAGCTCATCATGCACTAAAGAATATCGTAAGTTGTGTTGAACTCAGTAACAGAAGATATGGCAGCGTTTACCTTGGGTTCCCATAAGACCAAGCACCATCATGTTTGTAGCCAAATGTCTCCAAGTCTGATGACTGAATACACTACCCAGCATGCTCAATGCACTAGGGTAGAACGGAACGATGATGAAGAAACGGTTAAGAAGTCGCCATGAAGGAGGAATGTACTTCCACATAAGTGTGACCGCCACATTAGCACCGATGATAGCACCGACTGTTGCTGCCGCTGGAGGCACGGTTGGCCACATGCGATCTTGCCTTGCAGGAGTCTCGTAGTTCTGCGCAAATAGATAGCAGAGGCCAGTGACGCCAAGTGTTAGCAGAATAGAGGACAAGAGTCGTTGGGACTAAATTGAAAACCATTGTCAGTATTCAAAATGACAGCCCGTTCATGGAGGACCTGGAAGCCATAAATACCGTGGTGATTTCGACAGCCTCGGGCTGGTTGTGGGTGCCCGCAATATGATGCTTCTGAACCCAGGCGAGATATGGCCGTTCAATAGGGTCCGCCCGCGGACGCGCTATGAAAAGTCAGTATAATTCATATCCGGGACACATATTCCATTATCGCATACCCTCCATCAAAGCCGACTCTTGGTATTGCTGCAATGCTGTGTTTCCTTCAACCTGTCGTTGTAGTCGTTCGCGTTCCTCGTGTTCACCTTCCAGCCATTCCTGTCGCTTGCGCTCTTGTTCCTTCAAGAGGCGTTTCTCATTCTGTTCACGTGCCTCCTTCAGGACACTCTTGCCGTAAACCGAGTCATTTTCGCCGAGTTCCGCCTCATATGAGCCGCTCTGTGGCTTGTACAGGCCGAGCCGCTCAGCGCGACGAACTAGCTTCTCCTCCGCCTCCTTCTCTTCCCGCTCAATCCGGGCCATGATTGCAGCATCTTCATCTACGGTGTATGTTGTGCGAAGCCATTCAAGAGCGGAATCAAGCTGTGATTGAGTGACAGTGCGTGTTATCTCAACTGGAAGGTCCAGATCAAGTGTGCCCTCCAGTCTTCGAGCTTGTAAAACCGCCAAGGTGCGATTGGCTAAAGCTGTAGGAAGCTGTGAGTCGGCAAAGATATCTTTCAATTCATTTTCGGAGAGAGATCTTGCGCCAGGTAACGCATCGGATGTTTTTCGCGAGCGCTTGCGGGGAGTCGAGGTTCGTTTCGATCTTGATTGGAAAGATATGGAGGTAGGGCATCGTAGAGGAGACACCGGTGATCGAGTCCGATATTCAAATTTTGAGAGAGAGACATAGGAGCGGGACCATCGCGAGTTATTCGTGCTGCTGTGTAGAGCGGAGGCTTGGAGCCGCGGATCGTAACACCGTGAGCGAGATATCGTCGTTGGCAGCACGCTTGAAGACCTGAAGCCCAAGCATGGGATCTGCCATGCAATTCCAGTCACAGCGCCCATGTTCCAGGAACCGGGAATATGACGTCTGGAGGATTCTAGAAGCAAATTAGAGGTTATGAAGCTACCGAGGCTCCCATGTCCCATTTCTGGAGTGATTCGGAGCTCCAGTTATTCCGTTCCGGCAGATGCCTTCTGGTTTGGGACAATAGAGGTTGGATTCACTCATTAATGAACATTTTGAAGCTTTTTTTCTTTCAAATTTAATGGTTTAACCAATGTGAGTGTCAAATTCTGCCATATTCCTGGGTTTTGTCAAAGACATCAGTTGATGTTAGGCTCAGGGCACTACCCGGCTAAATGCGCAAGGCCAATTCACGCCCATACTTGAGGACTATTTAGCTATGATCATGAAATGCTATCATGATTAATCCAGTGTGACTATCAGACGCTAAATTATCCAAAAAGGCGACAGCTGACAGTGCTGTTCATGATAAATAATGGAGATGATCAGATATGCGGGTCTATGAATCTATCATTTGCAATATGCACGTAGTATATCAGAACATCTAGTATCCACAACTTGAACTTGAAGTGAAGCAATGATAACCAACTTCAAATTGTCCACCCACTTAAAAATTGCTCGATAAATCTGTACATGTGGAGTCTGGTCGCGCAGACATCTGTATGAATAGGCTCAGCAAGGCTTGATTACTTGAAGAAGTTGTCGAGGTTCCTTGTGCAACTCAAGCCAGCCTCCTTTCTCCACAGTGATGATATTTCCATCGATACAGACACGTCTCCAGTGCTCTGACTCTTCCTCAAACTCAATTCGAAGCTGCTCCACATCAGCATAGGTGACTGTCTTCTCTGAAACATGGAGTCCTCCCTGATAAGCTAGAACGACTAAGCGTACTGCCTCATCCGCAGGCATTGGACCCCATTGCATGAGGTGCATTTGTCCTCCCAGTGGCTCTGTGCCGGGTGAAATGAGAAAGTTCTTCTCCAACCGAGGCACCATGCTTATGACCACATACATGTGTTCGTTGGTATCGGTGGTCTCTTGAGAAACCTCTCCGGTCTGGCCATTTACGGTCGAATATGTGATCTTGCCTTGAAATCGATGAGGCTCCGTACCGTCGGAGGGATACAACAGCTTATTAGCTGCCATCTTGAATCGCTCGCGGCCAAACTTGCGATACTCCGTAGTATCGCTATCTGCAACTAATGCGGCATGGAGTGCCCAGCTTACTACCACAGCACAATAGAGAGTTCGATATGACCCATGGGCGTCAACACCCAAAGGCACCCTCTGGCGCCCTTCGTCAATAACCAACTGACTACCTGGCGATATTCTTGCCGCAAAAGTCGGGAGTGGAGTCGGGGCTCCTCTGATCAATGCAACAAGACCCGAAGCTGGACCTGTCCTCAGACCAATGGAGCTCGCCAGCGCATTGCCTGTTCCACACGGCACCAGAGCAATCTGTGGTGGGGTATGGACAGATCGGTTGGATTCATAGAAAACTTCTACCAGATCAACAAGACCTCCATCACCAGAGAGTAGAATGATTGTCTGTGGAATACCGGAGCAAGCACGATCCAGAAACTGAGATTGAGCTAGCTCCTTGATCGTTTGTGCGGACTTTGTCTCATGGACTTCATACTCGAGGCCCACATGGGTGAGAAAAGGCTTCACCAGATCTTGAAATACTGCCTGGGCAGTCTGGGTACCCGAGGCGACTGAGACGATGACCTGCACTGGCTCTGGATGCTTCAAGTAGTCTGGCACTGTCACCAGAAACTGAGTCAAGGCGGGGGGCAAAGACGAGATATCTATTTTATGCAAATATCCGGCTGCCTCCTCACTTTCATCCTCTGGTTTTATAAGAAACAACACTGAGTGGGTCGAAGGGGAGTTTGTGGGCAAAACTCCGACGATATTGGATAAGTTAATGTTTCCTTGCGCTCCGGCATGCGAGGTACAATGCAGAACATCTTCAGCTACTTCCGCAGAATAAACATCCGTGCCCCACTTGAAGGAAGCAGTGGCCATGTTCAAGTTCAGAGAATCCTTCTTCAAGCTGGTAGAGAATGAGAGATCAATGATCGCAGTACAGGAATATTACACGGACGCACAAACGAGAACTCTTGTCGCGATGAAGAGAGAGTATCGCACATGAGCTGTTGGCTCCTTTTGCCAGTGAGCGGTCAACTTCCCTTCTCAGGTTTATAGAGGGGCATTTACGGCATCGTCGGCATCGATGATTGGGGGCCACAAATTTGTCATGACATTTGAGACCGCCTTGACCACCGCCTTGTCATTGTAAACAACTCCACTCCACTACGAGTACACACGCACACTCTCTCAATATGCCCCCAGTGAGTTTGCACTGGGCGATATGCCTCGCCGGGCTGTTGGGACAATGGAATCAGACCAACTCGTGGTGTCCAGCGATAATCCCTATGGGAGACCGAATTGATTCCGTCGTGTTTGTGCGGTCTGGATATGTATATCCGATCGCGTCATCACATTAAATCAGGGGAAATGGGTTATAAAATCCAGCCGACTTCTTCCTACCCGACTCGCACTCGGGCCCAAACTGGTCTTGTATTACTGGTGGCTGTGGTGTCGTCCTAGGAAGAAGACAGGCCACCCCTGAGCTTGTGTATAGTCTGAGATCACATCGTGCGAGATTGTGGCGAGGCTATAATAAACTAATATCATGGGCAGTTCAACTGATATGGGATAGACCTTATTAAGGCCTAGAGACCTCGTTAAGACTCAAACTTGATAAGACTTATAATAAAGCTCTCGTTAAGGCCTAGCCACGGGTCAGCTTTAATCATAAGACACAGGTAACTGGGACATGCCAGTGGGTAACCTCTTAGGAGATACATAAGTTATCTTGAGTATATTAGTATTTGGCTGGTGGCAATTAATGGGACTCGTTGAGGCCTTGCTACGGGTAGTCTATTGACCTATTGATATTAGGGACCAAGCTTGGTTAGTAGAGAAAAGCCTGAGCTCTTATATACTGCCGGATGGGGTATGTACAGATTATTGATCTCTGCAAGACATGGTAGGCCTGGTACTGGAGGGAGACCTCCCTAGGTAACGCGAAACGAGACCTTACCTTTTGAATGAGTGCATACATGGGTAAGGCTCTCGCGGGGCGTGGTAGATAATGGCAACCACTGTAATAGGGCTACTACTATATAGTAGTAGGGCCTATTAAGAGATTGTCTATATAGCTTGAGAGGACGGATGCGCATGTCGGTGTATCAAGAGCCAGGAATCAACTATCTCACTCGCACTGAGGGTCTGAGACTAGGTAACTGTTCCAAGGTTACTATTAGTCAAAGCGGTGTCGTCCTAGTTGATCTGCCTGTGATATATGCTTACGGAGCAAACTAAGAGACACCCAGGGTGAGAGGAATTGGCTCAGCCTCAATATTCCAGAAGCTCTAATTTCATATGGGCGGAAAACTGGGGTAGTGGTCTATGCAAGTAGACCTGTCGAAGCTACTTGATGTCTTTTGGCCACGATATGCCATTGTTTTTCATGTTTCATGTTTCAATTTCTCCTTTCTTCTTCCCTGTTTTCACCCTTCATTTTCTATCCATGTTTTGAATTCTCTCTCTTGTATTTTCCTCTCTGTTCTTTATTCTCTCTCTTACTTCAGTTTCCTGAGACATGTATGAATCATTGAGAATAAAGACTCGGAACAGGATTATCCCGGATCCTGCAATATGTTCAAGTTGAGATCAGTGGATACCACAGGTTATTATATTCAAGTTGAAAGTAGGCTTGTTCTGCTAAAAAAAAAATCTCCAATCTAGTATTTTGAACTTTGAGTTGTTCACCTGAGCACTTCCCCTCATGTGAATGACTACCAAGCATCTCCAACTTGGAATTCAGGCAAAAGGGACAATGGAATGTTATAACTCGTCATTCAACTATTTCCATTACGTGAAAATAATCACGGCCCCACACCATGTCTCCGCACCATTCATCCTTGCCCCCTCACGAAGCTGAAGTTTTCTCCTCATACTTCATAAGGCTTAGCGCATGCCCAGGTGACGATTTTATTCCCCCTATATATCATTTGTCAATTTCGCTTTTTTCTGCTTGCTTTGGACCTATGATATCTACTTGTGCCAGCGATCTGTGTCATCAATATGCCACCTTCGCGGCTCTCCCGTCTCCCTCGATGGATCAGCCATTGGCTGGGGTACCGCCCAGAGGTTCCCAAGCCATTACCTCAATATCAAATAGCTGCGTGGTCTTTTGTGACGGCATTCTGCGGACTCTTGGTAATCCAAGGAATTTTTAATTATTCAGAATATTTTATCTCGCGGCAAGTTCCTGGAATCATTGCATCATTTGTGAGTTATCAAATTGGAGTTTCTTTCTTTCTTTCTCTCTCTCTCTCTCTCTCTCTCTCTCTCTCTCTCATAGTACCTAGTAACTGATAAGTAACAGGGAGCGTCTGCAGTCCTTGTATTTGGAGCTATCGAAAGCCCTCTTGCTCAACCTCGCGCATTAATCTTTGGTCATTTCTTAAGCGCTTTGATAGGCGTTTGCATCACAAAGCTATTTAGCCTGATGCCAGACCAGGCACGCTTCGAGTCACTTCGATGGCTGGCTGCATCATTATCAACTGCAGTGGCCATAGTGGTCATGCAACTTACTGGAACCACTCATCCTCCGGCCGGTGCAACCGCTTTGCTTCCTGCCACCAATGATGAGGTCTGGGAACTCTCTTGGTATTATTTGCCAGTAGTTCTACTATCTTCGACCTTGCTTCTATGCTGTGCTTTGTTGATGAATAATATCCACCGCCGATACCCTGCTTTTTGGATTGCGCCATCCCCACCACCGAAACCAGTACAAGAGCCGTCACCCGAGCCGATAAATCCATCATGTGTTGAATCATCTTCTCTGCAGAAGGAAGTATCTGTTTGATAGCGTGGACCTATTGCATCTGTTAATTTTTTGGGCATGAAGCATGCAGACCTGGGGGTGTATCGACTCATGCCATTAATCAAAATGATGCGCTGGAGAATTAAAAGAGGATGTTTTCCTAACTTCAAGTTTGAAGGTTATGGAAAATTTGGGTTGCATTATATTTTGGCGTCACTGGGAGCATTTGCCTACTTTTGTAAATAAATTCATAGTATAAACTCAAGTGCTGGGTACAGGAACTTGAACCCTGTACTAGTAGTAATTAGCAGACAGAAATTCAATAATATTCGTCCTATCTCAACTTCAAGTTAGAGCAAGCACTGTTAGAATTCAATTTACAATTTCGGAGTTCTAGGATAAGTGTGTGTTTTGATGATACTGGGAAAAGGAGAGACTGAATGAATCCATGGATGACATGATAGTTCGTTGGATGTAAATTAGATTAACTATTTTACACGGACCATTTCCCCTTCCGTTTCTTTTGAAACAACCCCAAGTCCTAATGTGCTTCCATAATCGTGCATACTGCTCTGAGCCTTCTGCGCGAGAGCCTGGTTGCTCAATGTTCCTGAACGACAACAAAGTTTGACAAAACATCCCGGTAAATGTCTCTTTCTTGCGATTTTCATTCCCATCTGACGAATTCGATGCCTCCGCGGCTTCAAGTCATAAGGGTTCGTTTCACCTGTTTCGTCCACGAACAACTTTAAATGAAGCTTTTCGTGTGCATTCAACTTGGCGAGTAGTCTGGAAACTTGATCGTCCTCGAAAGCAAAAGACGTTCCCAGAATGACATAGAACTTGGCAACGGAATGAAGTTTTGGCGAGTGCCAGTCTAGTGGAAGCCATTCGGGCTTCACAAGCCATGGTAGTCGACGCTCTTTCATGACAGCCGGCCACCAGTCATTGAATGCCAAGCGTGCCCGTTTACCAGCGACTGCATGAACGCATCCAAATGTACCCTTGGCAGTATGCGATAGTATTCGATCCACTACCACATCCACAGGGATCTCATCCATAGTGACTTCATTTTCGGGGTCTGCACTTCGGGTGGGAAGTTTCATGGTGTTCCCCGCATATAACATAATGGAGGCAGCTAGCCCTGTGGATGAAGTTGAAAGGCTGGAGTACCCAGGGTAAGGCTGACTAGTTGCGGGGCCCAGGCAAGAAGGTCTTACGATCAATAGCTTTTCAGTTGCCTCGTTTTGCATAAAGGTGTTGATGAGCAGGCGCTCCGTGAGGTGTTTCGCATAGGCGTAAGGCCAAGGAAAGTCATTATAGTCGAATTCGATGCTTGTACCGGTATCCAAAACACTTCTCCATTCGTGTTCTGTCTGTGGACCAAAGCCTGCCCACTCATCCAAGTTGTGTGGATCATAGATCTCTTGATAAGGGCCAAGTGAGTAAATACACTCTTTGACGGGGACATCACAGCGATCGGTGGTTTTCCATAGGTGAGCATTGACGTATGCGGTCGAGATATACACAAAATGCTGCAGGTCTGCAAACTCCATCGCGATTTCGGCCAATGAAAGACTGGGTGCGATAATTGAAGTTGCCAGTTTCGGCAATGGACATGTGAGACTGATCGATGATGCGGCGTGTATAATAACCTGCACGGATTTTTTGAGAGTCCGCCAGTCAGACTCATGTAATCCCATCTGCTTGAGGGTGATATCACCGCTCAAAAATGTCACGCAAGAGCTCTGGGACAGTGCGGTGGCCATAGCATCCGGAAGTAGTTTCTGCCATTTTGCGTATGCATTTCTGTAATCCGAGGTGAGCAGATGTTTTGCATGACTTTGGACAGGAGACTGAATGCTCACTCTAGACCTCCACGACACAGGATAAAGACCCGTTTTGGCGCCGCTTGGTTGAGCAGTCTGCATAAGATTGCTGTTCCCAAAGTGCCTGTGCCACCAGTGAGAAATATGGATTTGCCCCGATAATATTCCCACATCGTGGGAATCAGATCTCTTCAAATTCAACCGAGTCTGTGAGAATATACTGAGCTTTGCTCAGTTTCCTGACTTTGCGCTTTGTGCGATTCTCTGTGCGATTCTCAGATTGGATGCACCTGTAGCGCGTGGCGCATTTGGTTTTCCCTCTCTTCTCGTGTCAAGACTTTCTGGAAGATTGTCAATGAGTTTGGAATCAATGGACCTTTTCTAAGGCCTGGGGGCATTTTACCTGTATATAAACAAATAGACGCAAGGGGCAGACGTCAAGTATGCTGGGTGCAGGTGTCCCTGAGTTGATCATTCCTCAAAACCTGGGGGAGGGAGGACCCTCATTGTTTTGATCCATATACCTATGCCAGTGGTAGCCTGGGATCCCTTCAGGGCTGTCGAAGGTACTCAGGTTCAACGGTCATAGTGGTGGATTCAAGGTAAAAAACGTTGTGTCTAAAGGGCGCCCTTGTCCAAGGGTTAACGCCAAATATTTCTGACAGCTCATATCGTGTTTAAATCCAAGGACTCTAAAGAATTACTTGAGATCGCTAGGTTTAACGCGATAATGAGGAATGCTTCCAAGGATCAATCCAGTTTATTCAAATCATGTTCTGCGATAGATCTACGCTGTATGTTCTATGCGGTACTACTATAAATCTTCCAACAGCAACTAGAATTGACGTCGTACTTTTGGTCTAAAGTACTCAGGGCATATCTCTACTCGTATTATCTACTATTATACAGCCTGAGGAATTTAAATCCTTGAGTACAAAGGCACATCGTATTGACCAGCTAACAAAAAACAGTAAAGAAAAAAAAGGAAATTGTATATCAAATCACGCTCAAGTGCTGTCACTGGCATTAGTACGCGCGGATCTTCTCATACTACAGTATGTTTGCCACCTGAATAGTAGATCATGATGTAGTAATCTCGTATCTAGACTGAGATAGAAACCCGAGTCCAGATGTCATATCAGTCATTACAATAATCCTTCCCACTGCCGATAGGCTTTGACCTGCACACTATACACCGTGTGCTGTGTGCTGTCTTTTCTTGACCGGATTTCAAAGTCAGTTATACCTGCGAGCGTAATTTGAATAAGATTATTAGAACCACAACATTACACGTGTGACACCCATGGACCCGTGGACCCGTGGACCCGTGGACCCGTGGACATAAGTGTATATTATTCATAACTTCGAAATATGGCTTGATTCTATTAATAGCCACAGCTAAGCTGATGGCACAGGGATATCTTCGTACCCTTTTTTGCCCGGTTCGCGGTTTTCTAATATAACTTGTAGACCACGTCGACCGCAGTACCCATCATTGCCAGCTATTCTGTCAACGCTCTGGAAGGATCCGCCACCATTGTGACGTTCATTGGGGATCCACACAACCTCATGAACACGCTGCCCAAAGCCTTCAGTGCGTCGAGGATTGAGCCATGGGAGGCCGACAAGATGATTGACAATATTATGGATCAGAGGGTAAAGTTTCTCGAAACGTCTCGTAACGCCGAGCCACGTCAACGTACGGTAATCGTACGCGACGCGCACATAGGGATTCATGTAGATCCCCGTATCAACGACGTTATTTAAGTAAGACTGGGGATCTTGAATATCGGCATGAATCAAGCAGCACTCCGACGCTTCCCAAAACAAATCATCTCCGGAGCGAAACCGGGCGGGTGATGACCTGTCCGGCAGTTTCGTTTGGAAGTATTTCGCGTCGAAGGCTACCATGCCACCCCAGCAACTGCGAACACGCACAGCATCTTTCCCTTGGAGAACATCTTTCCGACTCTCGCCACTGCCTGCAGTAGAGAACCACGGAAAGAATGGTACGCCCATGCCGAACCCTTCGAGATCGCGCGTCGCATACGTATCGTAAAATTTGAAGGGGTTGGCGAAATCCACGGCGCACGCGGCGCGATACTCGGCCATCCCGAGTTTATTGACGTTGGTGGAGAACAGTAATTGAAGTGCATCCACAGGGTCGAATAGAACGTCATTCAAATAAAGAAGTTTGTCGTATCGTGTATAAGGATCATCATTGAGAGGTTGAAGGGCTTTGTTCCGAACCTGAGCTAGGTATTCTATGCGTTTCACCCGCTTCTCGCCCCCCCGGAATGACCACAGTCGGCACAGTCTTGAGATCCAGATGCTCTTCGAAGACAATGGACTTTCGGCTTGTGATCTGCTGCTCCAATTGGCGCAATGCGCGCTTGCCCTCAACGCCTCCATCATTCTCGTAGATGCTCACAAATACGTTCTGATCACCCAGGAGATGAATTAATTCAAGTAATTGCGCGCCCCAATGGCCCCCAGCCAGCTTGCCATCGCGGTCGTACAGGCTGGCGGCGATAAATATTCTTTCGTTGCGCAAGTTCCCCCGACCTGCTTCGGTTGTATTTCGGGCCAAAAATCGGAGGGAGTAATAATGCGATGGCGGATGAGTGTAGGAGGGACATACGATGGATGTCAGGAATAAGAGCGCGAAGAGGAAGGCGAGGATAATATGGAGGTAACAACATCGGCGTCGAAAGAGGCGTGGCAAACATGACGGACGACGTGCGGATTTCACCAAAACAGGCCGTGATTTTGATTTTAAACGGTGATATCCAGACACAGTTGATGAGAACATTCGTAGCCATCGATATTGGTGGGGGCCTAATCTAGACCCTGGCGGGACTTGGGCTTCAAAGTCCGCATCGTCCAGATTGAAGGTCCCTTCGGAGTCGAGTGAGTCGCGAGCGGCGAGCTCATACTCATCCGGATGAAGAAGACGAGAAGACATGGTCTTTTGGAGAATCAAAAAGGTCAACCCATTGTAAAATAAAATGGTTGAACGCCAGTAATCATCATAACCAGCTGGTCCATGGAGGGTTCCACTTAGTGGACTCTCTTTAGGGGGCAAGAAAGTTGGGGGGGGGGGGGCAAGGGCGGTGAACGATATATTCTCCAGGGTTCCAAAAGGCCTAATAGCACTTTAACTCACCTCTATGTATAGTTTATGTATAGTATAATATTTACTCGATTTCCATCGAGACGGTTACTTTTATAATCCAGATGTCCGGCAGATGTCATTTTCTTTTTAGAAGGATCATCTCTTCAGGGCTGTACACGAAAAAGAACTGCGAGGGATCAACCTTGGGTCGTATATTTAGTTTGAATCAGGCCAGCTGAACCTTAAGGCGCGCCCCTGGGGCGAGAATTGCGCCTTTCAAGCCTGGAATTTGGAATGGGGGTTGAATTTTCAAGTTCAAAGTGGCCCCAAAATTAGTCCTCATCATCTAGTAAAATGGGAGAACTTGAAATTGAAGCCCCCGAGATTTCAACCATTTCAATGAGCAGATAGACCAATTGGTGGAGGCATAAACATTGAAAGAAATCCTTGATTCATACAAGCAATATGGCAGAATTTCAATGAAATTCCAAGGGTTCACGAAGTGGGTCGCGCACTCTTGAGACGAAATATACTGCAGCCTGCAGGAGTTGAAACTTGTGGGCTGTGCATCAAACTCAAGTGCTTATGGTCGGGTCACCCGCAGATGTCCAATTCCCTAACTCAGTTTAGTCTCTGGTAAAATTTGCCAAAATAGATTTAACCAGTACTTCCAAGGTTAAAGGATGTTATGATGTTATACATCAAAAGGGTCATAAGTAACTAGGGAGCGGACACTAATAGACTAATGGCGGGTAAGCTTTATTAGTATGTATTAGTACATTCAGTGTTAGTATGGCGGTACCTAGGCACCTATGTTCGTATTCGATCCACAAATTGTCCGCAGGTGAATTTAGACAATCCAGGCACCAGCATTGAATAGTATAAGTCAACTGGTGGGTTTGGTAACATTTGAGCATTTAAATACTAAACTCTCCAATACATATATTCAACATTTGAATGTTCCAATGTTTAAAACCTCGGAATATGTACTTATCACAGCATGTAGACCTGTCACCTGATCACCACTCAACTCGACTTAAACCAGTTGACTGCACACTCTTCCCCACATTTCGCGCTTGAACAGTGAAGTTCCCGAGGTCTCTAGCCTCGGCTCCAGGGGCTCCAGTCAAAATTCTGGAAAATGAAGTGTGAAAAAGGGGAGAGGGTTCACACAGGTGCCGAGTGGACCGATCCACCCCAAAATGGGATAGCACTGCGATAATGATCGTCAAGACCATTGCTTCCGAGGCTAATGCATGAGTATTCCACTTACCTTATCATCCAAAGTTCCGCAATTCAAGCACGATGCTATACCCAAGTGCTAGTACTTGACAGTGTGACACCATGTCGTTAACCAAAGGGAAACTCACGATGTATGAAAAGTTGGATATCTTACCAGCATTAGCCAGTGTCGCAATTGCTGCGTGTTATGCATTGTTGACGGGCTGGTCGCGCACTGAGCGCCAGGCCAAATCCCTCTTATTGCATGTTGGCTATGCGATCTTGCGCAAGCTCACTTCGCGCCTATCGCCTTTGCAGTTGCAGCTGGTCCTTCCAGGATCCAGCAAAGTTTACAATCAATTCGCCAAAAAAGTTGGTTATCAGCCTTTATCAGTGGATTTGAGCCACGGTGCCACAGGCCACTGGATTGGAGACCCTCAAGCGACTAATGTACTGATCTGGTATCATGGTATGTTAAAAAAAAAAGACTCGGAATCCCTGCGAGCGAGCAAGATTAGAATTTGATCAATTCTAACATTGACTGTAGGAGGTGGATTCAGCTTGCCTCCCACTCATGGCTATGTCGAATTCTATGCGCAGATTGTCCGCCATCTTGAGAAAACCGGCAAGAGCGTGGCCGTATTTCAACTACACTATACGCTTGCTCCTGGAGCCACGTACCCAACTCAACTCCGACAAGCAGTGTCTGCCGCGCAATATATCCTAGCTCAGCCAAACCGTGCTCCGGAGACTGTGTTCCTCGGCGGGGACTCCGCTGGGGGAAATTTAGCCTGCGGCGTGCTGTCGCATCTTGCCCACCCTCACCCACAAATCGAACCCTTGGTACTCAATGGACAGCTTGGGGGCGCTGTGATGATCGCGCCATGGACGTTACTTGACGCGGAATTTCCTGATCAGGAGATTTATGACGGCGGTGACTTGATCTCCCAGGCCGTTGCGGCACCATGGGCCGCAGCGTATCTTGGACAAGCGCTGCGGGACAATTACACTGATCTCTCCAATGCCCCCGCCGAGTGGTTCACTACCATTCCCGTGAAGAAGGTACTAATTACATGCGGTGGAAATGAGATCATGTTACCGCTTATTCAGGACTTTGCAGAGAAGTTCAAGGGCGGTTTTGGGGATCAAGTGGAATTATTCGTGGGCCACCGCGAGTGCCATGTCGCACCTATGTATAATATTACGTTACACGATCGCTCGGAGACTGAACAGGGCAAAAAGGTCAAGTCATGGCTAGCCGAGCAGGCGCTGTAGATTCATGCAAGTTTCAATGTTTGTTTCGTTTCCGGGGGAAGATGGAGGAAGGTGGAAATCAAGATGGAAATCAGCATATCATTCAAATTTTGCTTCAGAATCGATTCATGCAAATATTTATAGGTCTCACATTCAATAACTGCCCTTTCAAGTTGTTACTCGAAATTTTCAAAACGACGTCTCCAAAGAAGCCAAATTCAGCATCGTAATCGATACGATAATCGCCTACGGAGTAGTAGTTGATTCTTCTTTTTTTTTCTCTTTCTGGTGACGACGATTCATACTTTCTGTTTCAAACTCTCTCAATTTGGAGGAACAATCCAGAAATATGGCATGGAACGCTTGCTATTCAAATACTTGTGAAATGACTTGATCGCTGTTCAACCTGCGGCCTCATGAATCAGGCGCAAATGCGCTTTCAAGGTATCTCTGCCTCCGCCTCCGCCTCCGAGGAACGGACCTCCAGTGACTAGGACTGCACGGTCAAAGACATACCTTTTCGCTGAAGCTCGGCAAAGTGCAAAGTGTATCTTGTCGCACCACAAAATGCTGCTTCGATCGAAGCTCGGGTACCGCGCACTGCGACTGCGACCACTGGTAACCCCGTTCCATCCCGCGCGATTGGTATCATCTGTGCCTCTGGTGCGCATTCAGGATGGTACATTTTACCGGCAGTATCCTACCGGCGATGACGCTGCAACCAATCCTCCCCTTTACCCGAAGTTCAACTTCAATCTCCCTTCGAAGGCCGAGCTATCTGATGACAGCGAACCAAACTTACAGCATTGGGCCATAGTAGGCCCATCTGGACGGACAGATCTGCTGGATATTCTCCGAGGACAGCATATTTGTCTCCCACCGACCGCCCGATCCTACCCCTACCTCTTGACCGATGAGATTGCCACCAAAGATTCACAACTCCGATATGTTGGAAACGCGATTCAGTATATTGGCTTTAGCGGCGAGGGTTCCGGGGCCCTCGGTGGCACTCGTGGTGCCTACTTGAGTGCTCGTTACGAGAGTCTCCGAGAGGAAACAGATTGGACGGTAGAGCAATTCCTACGCGGGCAAACATCGCTGAACCCGATGGAAGGGGAGGAGAAAGGGACGGTACACGATGAAGAGTTACTCCAGGAGGTGATCAATGATCTCCATCTCTCGGAGCTGCTTAGTATGCCTGTTGCGAACTTGAGCAATGGCCAAACTCGACGAGCTCGCATCGCCAAAGCGCTCCTCCGGAAGCCCGAGCTTCTCCTTCTTGATGAACCATTCAGTAGGTCAAATTTGAGCGCTGCAATTGCATACAATGGAACCCGACTCACACCCGATACTTTTTCTTAGTGGGATTGGACCCAGCTACCGTTCGGAGTATCTCCAGCTTGCTTCATCGATTGGCAGACAAATCTTCCCCTCGACTAATCCTCGCATTACGCCCTCAAGATACAGTGCCTGACTGGATCAGCCACATGATCGTTGTGGGAAACTCAAACCAACTTGTTGAGCAAGGTACACGAGACGAGGTCAGCCAGTCACTGGCTGTCTGGAAGCACCTTGCAAATGGTACCACAGTGAAGTATACAGAACTCACCGACAAGGCAATTCTGCGGAAAGCGAAGCAGGACTTAAAGTCCGGTGTGCTCGATGAACAACTTCTGCGGGATATCACAACAAACCACGTGGAGAAAGCATCGAAGATCTATAACACTCTACCGGAAGGAGAACCATTGATTGAAATGGATGGAGTTCGCGTACAGTATGGCGATAAAGTGGTGTTGGGAGATTGGAACCGACGGGTGAATGGTCAGACTCAAGATGGTCTACACTGGTGTGTGCGCCGAGGCCAGCGCTGGGCTATTCTTGGAGCCAACGGTTCCGGTAAAACCACTCTTTTATCACTCATTACCTCTGATCATCCGCAAACCTATGCTCTGCCCATTAAGCTCTTCGGGCGCTCTCGTCTTCCCGAAGCAGGTAAACCTGGTCTCTCTATTTTTGAACTTCAGGCACGTCTCGGTCATTCATCCCCTGAGATCCACGCATTCTTCCCTCGCCAATTGACCATTCGTGCATCTCTTGAGTCCGCCTTCGCTGAGACTTTCTTGACCAAACCGAAACTTGACTATGAACGCGATCTAGATGTGAGCGCGGCACTGCGATTTTTCAGACCTGAACTCGACCCAAACCACTCCGTTAAAGAATTACCAATCGACATCACCAATAATATTATGTTCCCAAACCTCACTACTCGCCGTCAATCTTATGTGCCACCAGACTCAGACATTGACTACGCTGATAATATTACCTTTGGTCAATTGACCACTGCACAGCAACGTATTGTCCTTTTCTTGCGTGCTCTGATCCACAAGCCAGACATTGTGATTCTCGACGAACCTTTCTCTGGGTTGACTGCATCTCAGAGGGATAAATGCCTACAGTATATTGACCAAGGCGATACTTCATTGTCTACTCACTCCACTGCTTCAGGCGAAACGTCGCGGTATAACGGTCTGTCAGCGGACCAAGCTCTTGTCCTTATCAGTCACGTTAAAGAAGAGATCCCTGATAGCGTTCGTCATTTCATGCGCCTTCCATCAGATTTGGGCGATAGTACGGAACCTTTGGATTTCAGACTCGGAGTACTTAAAGAAACCAGCGTTTTGAGCGACTCGAAAGTATGGGATACCGCATGGTGTCCACCATCTCAATTCCCAGAGTGTCATGATCAACAGCCCTTTGAAAACCCTGAACTAGAGTCTGAGGACTCTGATGAAGGAATTTCTATCTGAAGGACGTGTCTGCCTCTTGCCAGTGGGTGAGTCATTGATACGAGTTGATGTACATAAAACCAAGACTTATCTTCACCTGTACCAAAATGAAAAATTGCTAGACATCCACTGTTGTATAAAACAATCAGATACATAAAGATGAAATAGTTTTTACCCTGATTAAGTAGTGAATGGTAAAACTTGAACCAAATGCGGAAGTTGGTCAGTGAATCTCACTTCCGAGTCATACTATACAATCTAACCCATTCAATGTATCAAACCCCCTCCAGGGCTCATTCACTGTACACGATCTAGTAGATACTTAAATCGCGTTCTTCCTCCCAATTTATTCTTTCTCTTCCTCACAACTTCCAATTTCTTCCTCAAACTCCGTTCCTTCTGAACCCAAAAAAAAACTGCAACTGCCAAGATCGTTATCAGTTCCAAGGTTTGCCACATTTCTCTCCCTTGAATTATTTTACCCGGTGACAACTCTATGGAGTCATCCAAGGGGGTGCTACAGAAGATTGACAAAGTATTCTAGATTGTTTCCCTGTGCCAATCGCTTTCGTCTTCTCTCAACTCTCTGAAGGATGACCCGGATGTCTTCCTCACCGCCTGCGCAGGCGCAGGATGATGAGGCGGCTCGTCTACAGGCTCTTGGTGTCGATGTGCAAAACCAAGATGACCTTGAGAAAGATGTTGCTGAAACTGCCGACAAGTTACTTGCGGCTCTCGCCGAAGAAAACGAGACCAAACGCATGGAAAAGGCCCTCCGAGAAAAGGACCGCGTAGATACACAGATTCGACAGATCGAACTTCGCCTGGCTCAACCGGTCACCCATGCCACCAAGCAGCGTCTTCAAACCGAGCTGAACCGACTCAAGGCAAGCCAAGCTGGATTTATCAAAGATGTGGGCGAAATTCAAGAACGAATCGACGGGCAGCGCGAGGCCCAGCAAACAGCGCCTACAACCTCTGGTGGCCGATTGCCAAACGAGTCCCGACGCGATTACCTCCTGCGCACCGGGCAGATCACGCCCTTTGAGACCGTCGAGAGTGATGCCACTGCAGGACCGAGTACGACACTCCATGATGTCCTCGCCGACGCTGTGGACAAACAGACAGCCGAAGAAGAACAAGAAAAAGCGCGCAAGGATGCTTCCCACCGCAACCTGACTCGTCCTGATCTTGCTTTCGCAGACGTCACGAAAACCGACCAAGCTGAACCAAGCCGCAAGCGTCGCAAACTTGATACGACCGCGTCCACCTCAGCGACTCGGGATTCCTCTCGGTTTCACAAGAGGCGCACTTCGATTTCTTCTTCGTCTAGTTATGTTGCCTCCCCCACGTCAGAGGATGACGACGACTACATGCCCGACACCCTTCCTGAAAAAAGTGGACCTGCCAAGCGTAAAGCAAAGAAGGCCACTAGCACCAAAAACCAAAGTGAGCTTCAAGCCCTCGGTAGCGTCGATGACGGAAAGGAATCCGTCTACAAGAAACGCCTGGAGATATGGACTCGCACACGGAGTATCTTCCGCCAGCAAGAACACCCCGAAGCTGAAGACGATTCCGATAAACCAGAGTGGGAGAAATGCCACCCCAAATATCCGGATCTCGAGCTTTCTCATGATCTCAAAATCCCTGGTGATATTGCGCATCATCTTTTCCCATATCAAAAGACAGGTGTACAGTGGCTCTGGGAACTTCATCAGCAGTCTATTGGGGGTATCGTTGGAGATGAGATGGGCCTGGGCAAGACCGTACAGGCAATCACTTATCTTGCAGCGCTACATCACAGCGGAAAGTACTCCAAGCCCTCGATTGTCGTCTGCCCCGCGACTCTCATGGCGCAGTGGGTGGCCGAGTTTCATCAGTGGTGGCCACCTTTCCGCGTCTCAATCTTGCATTCGTCTGGCAGCGGTATGATTAATCTGAAAAGGGAAAAGCACCAAGAGGAAACGGATGAAGAGGATGATGCTTCGCCAAGCACTCGTTTTCTCTCCTCAAGCAAGAAGGCAGCCAAGAAAATTCTGAAACGTGTTATGGAAGACGGTCATGTGCTGGTGACGACCTATTCTGGTCTTGAGACTTATGCCGACCAGCTTGTGGGTGTCGAGTGGGGATGTGCGATTCTTGATGAAGGACATAAGATCCGCAATCCCGATGCCGCGATGACTCTCAGCGCCAAGGAATTACAGACACACCATCGCATCATTCTCTCCGGGACTCCGATTCAAAACAGCCTGATCGATCTCTGGTCCCTGTTCGATTTCGTTTACCCAATGCGACTCGGCAACCTGGTTTCCTTCAAGAACCAGTTTGACACCCCAATTCGCCAAGGTGGATACGCCTCTGCTACCAATCTTGAAGTTCAGACGGCCATCAAATGCGCCGAGACATTGAAAGACGCGATCAGTCCTTATCTTTTGCAACGCTACAAGACTGATGTCGCCTCTGATCTGCCCCAAAAGAAAGAGCAAGTCATTTTCTGCAAATTGAACTCCTACCAACGTACCATGTACAACCGGTATCTGTCATCCAAGGACATGGAGGCCATCCACAAGGGGAAAATCAAGTCCTTCTCCGGTATTGATACCCTCCAAAAGATCTGCAATCACCCGGACCTTGCCACAGGTGACATTAAGCCTGAGGATAAAGAGTACGGCCACGAGGATCGTTCCACCAAGTTGCAAGTCCTGAAAAGCTTACTTCAGCTCTGGAAGGACACCGGCCACAAGACGTTGCTCTTTGCTCAGACCGTTCAGATGCTCAACATCCTGGAGAAGTTTATTAATTCTCTGGGCGGATTCTCTTGCCGTCGAATGGATGGATCCACTCAAATTTCCAAGCGTCAGGGCATGGTCGAAGAGTTCAACATGGATCCCAACCTACACGTCTTTCTCATGACCACAAGGGTGGGTGGAATCGGCCTGAACCTCACCGGCGCTGACCGTGTCATCATCTTCGATCCCGATTGGAATCCATCTACAGACGTTCAGGCATGCGAGCGCGCGTGGCGCCTTGGACAAACAAGAGATGTGACCATTTTCCGCCTCATGATGAAGGGAACCATTGAAGAGAAAATTTATCATCGCCAGCTCTTCAAGCAGTTGATGACAAACAAGATCACCAAAGATCCACAGCAGCGAGAAGCCTTCCACCTCAGCAACCTCCATGATTTATTCTCGCTAGCTGAGGAAGATGATCACAATCTTGAGACAACTCAACTGTTCAAACATGCCGAGGTTGCCTACAAAGAAGAAGCTCCTGAATATCTCCCCACTAAGGCTAGCCGAGCTAAGTCCCTCCAGTCGGCTTCTGATAATCCGAATGAATCAGCGGATAATCTGGGCAATATCTCCGGCATTGCCAACATCGAACAATTCAAAACCAAAGAACAGGCTGAGGAAGAGGCTAGTGGAAGTCGCAAGAACGAAAATTCGGAGGAACGTCTCATGCACAAAATCTTCGCTGGCTCCGCTATTCATGCTGCCGTGGAGCACGACAAAATTATCAACGGTAAACGTGTTGTGCAAGCCGATCCCAAGATGATTGAGGCCGAAGCACAACGTTTCGCCAATAAGGCTGCTGCCGCACTTCGCAAGTCCCAAGAGATCGCCCAATCAGTTCCAATTGGACTACCGACCTGGACCGGGCACCATGGTGTTGGTGGCCGAGACCTTGGACGAGGTGGTCGAGGAGGTGCTTCATCTACTTCTGCTCCGCTCGCTGGCCTAACTCACATGCCTCGTGGGGATGAGTGGATTCCACTTCTCAAGGAGTTCTTCAAGTCCGCTCGGGGCCCAGTCAGCACACAAGTCCTCGTGGATAATTTTGAGATTTATTGCACCACTCCAACGCGGACCGATGAGTTCAAGAACAGTTTGCAAACATTGGCCACAATGACCAAGGATAGGCGCGACCGTGGGGTTTGGACTCTTCAGACCGGAGTCCCCCCCAGAGAAAGAAATAATCATCTTTCATTTATCTTTGATGGAGGACCTGAGGGGTAATGGATGATGGAATTTGAGCTACTGGTGGAGTGAGGAGTGAGAAAGAAGGTGCCAGTGATGTCTCTACAAAAATTTGGAGGACCGGGTGGTCTAGTACACCTTGCCTCAACAGCTTGAATCTTCTCCGCTGGCGTCGAGATGTTCATGAATACTAGAATTTAAAAAAAGAAAAAAAAAACAAAAAAGTAATTTTGATGCACAGTATTTCTACTGGCAAATAATAATCATATTCTTATTTCAAAATTCAAAAAAAAAAAATTCATTCAAGCTCTTGTCAATGTATTAAAGCTGTGCTTCTAGTTGTAAGCTCCCTATTCACCTGTAGTTTTCACACTACTAGTACTATCAGGCCATAATCTTTTAAATAATAGTAATAATAATCACATTTGAATAATAATAATATTTTTCTAGTCCAGATCGGACAAGAATGATGTTAATTTGACGTCATCATACTCCAGGGCTACGTGTATGTTGAACTAAAGCCTTCATCCTAGTAAACATGGATGCATGCATCCTTGTACATTGTACATTGTACCTTTTAACCCCGCCACCCGGCTCCGCAGCCCATGTTCCGTGTATATCGTGTGATTGGACTATAAGTTTTACATCAAGTACGGAGTAGTATCTCAGTATGTGAACATCAGAAGAAATAAAAGATTACCGAGTCTACTCATTAAAGATCTGAATGTAGTTAACTAATGCCTGGAGTGAATGCCTGGATTATATGGCAGAAATATCAAGATAGGAAGTATTACCTAACCAGATCCACCGTAATTTCATAACCGAAATTACCCATTAAAACACCTGAGAAATGGATGAGTGCAAGAATAAATCCATTACAGAAATGTGGTAATGTGGTAATTTGATAATTTGGTAATATGGTAATATGGTAATTTATCACAGAACTGTTTTCGTCACCAAAGATCACCTGGGCAGTGTTGACTCAAAAGAACTAAAATATCATATCAAAATAATCCTCATGAAGAGAAACACAAAGAGAAAAGAAATTAAGGGAAAACATCAAAGAAAACAAGAAACCCACCAGACCGCCACCGGAGACACTAACGTCCAATAGCTTCCCTGATCATGAACCCCCCTTAACCGATTTAGGGGGAAAATTTCTGGTCTAATTCTGGTCTAACTTGTCACGATAATGAACGTCACTCCACTGTCGATCAATACACCCCCAATCACATCCCCGATCCGGTTTGAAGCTGTCGTCAGCCTTGTTGGCGCCCACCTGGGGGTCCACCATGTATCATCTGGCGCCTTGATCTATTTTCTTCATTCATCTTGCATTGTTTTTTACGGCATTGTTTTCAGCGATCCTGATCGACCATATCCTTACGAAGTACCCGCCTCGTTTATTTGAACGACTCCATGAAGCATAGATAGTTTCATCGCCTGGGCGGCTAAACGTACCCAACAAAAAGATTTAAAGACAACTCAGGAGTATCCCCCCGGGGGGACGCACGGTATTTTTCTCTCATACCTCATACTCATTCAGGGTCTTCTAGAATTTATTTTATTTTATTTTATTTTTTATTTATTTATTTTTTCTTTCCTTTTTTCCTTTCCCTTTTTTCCCCGGCGGGTGCCGTGGGGAATCGCTATCATGACCAACGCTCTGATAGAGGCTCTGGAGCATGCCAGCAGCAAATCCAGCGACGATGAGGGAGAATCACTATCAACCTTTTTGGCCTCACTGGGGACCAGTATTGCCATCTTTGCTGTTGAACTGTTTGTCTTTTTGGCACTCAAAGATAAGTTGACTCGCATTTAGTAAGTTTTCTCGCTCAAGCTAAGAGGACCGTCCTGGCTGACCACACTCAATAGTCAACCACGAACCTATCTGGTCCCGGATCGGGAGCGTATGAATCCAGCACCATCAGGTCTCTTTCGCTGGATTAGTCCCGTGTTTCAAACATCCGATGCCGACCTTATTCAGAGAAGTGGATTAGACACCTATTTCTTCTTACGGTATCTACGCATGTTGCTGAAAATTTTTATCCCGTTGACTTTTCTCCTGGTTCCGGTCCTGGTCCCAATCAATCGGGTTGGAGGAAAGGGCACGACAAGTTACGTTGTCGAGAGTGGTAATGTGTCTCATTATACTGTGACCGGCTTGGATCAGCTGGCCTGGGGAAATATCAAACCCACCCAAACCCATCGCTACTGGGCCCACTTGATTATGGCAATTATCGTCGTTGTCTATGTATGCGCCATCTTCTTTGACGAGCTACGAGGATATATTCGCATGCGACAGGCCTACATGACTTCACCCCAACACCGCCTGCGTGCGTCGGCCACCACCGTGCTGGTCACGGCTATCCCAACGGAATGGCTAACTTTCGATGCCCTGAATAATCTTTTTGATGTCTTCCCTGGCGGTGTCAGAAACATCTGGATCAATCGAAATTTTGATGAGCTGAACGAGAAGGTCAAAAGACGGCGTAGAGTTGCTCTCAAGCTGGAGTCTGCCGAAACCTCGTTGGTTCGCCAGTGTAAGAAAGCCTACCTGAAACAACTGAAGGCCGAGAGCAAGAAAAGCAAAAAGAACAAAAAGAGTTCCCCTGGTGACCACGAACAAGAGTTGAAGGAAGCCAATAACCGTGCATCTCAAATGGCAATGGGCCCTGGTATAAGTTCAGGTAATCCCCACGAGGCGCACACTTTGGCCGAAGTCCTCCATCGACAATCGAAGAAGAAGAAGCAACCAATTCCATCGAACGGTGCTTCACACAATGTGTTCAACCCAGCGATAGCAGCCGCTGGGGCTGTTGGTCAAGGTGTTGGGAAATTGGGCAAGAGTTTTCTAGGTGGTCTGAAGAAGGTGGAAGGTGGAATCGACCATACATTCATACGAACGGGCGCATTTTTTGAATCTTCTACCGATAATCACGAACACGAACAACCTCGCCAAATGACAATCAGCGGTGCGGTCACTGATGAACGCCCACTTATTGCACCAGATACACCCGCAATGGATATGAATCAGCATCAGTCTATCGAGTCGGCGGTCGAGAAGGAGAAACAGGAACCCGAACAACAGAGCTCCGAAGAAGATGAGGGAGCTGATGAGGACGAATATCCAATCGCCTACAATGAAGACTTTGAAAAATTGCAAGATGGTCAGCCTTTATGGACAAAATACATCAAGGCCAAGGACCGAGATACATATCGCCTGCCTTGGTTCAAATGGAGCCAGTGGCCGACGATTTGGTTGATTGGGAGAAAAGTGGACGCCATTGATTATTGTCGAAAGGAGCTCGCCCGTCTGAATCTGGAGATTGAACTCGATCAACAAAACCCCGAGAAATTTCCACTGATGAACTCCGCATTCATTCAATTCAATCACCAAGTCGCTGCCCACATGGCTTGTCAGTCAGTTAGTCATCACTTGCCTAAGCAGATGGCCCCACGAATCGTGGAAATCTCCCCGGACGATGTGATCTGGGATAATATGTCTATGAAGTGGTGGGAACGCTACGTGCGCACGTTCACTGTTCTGACGATCATCTGCGGGATGGTCATCTTTTGGGCAATTCCTGTTGCCTTCACCGGTCTGCTGTCACAGCTGTCATATCTCGAAGGCTTCTCATGGTTGTCTTGGCTGAAGAAACTACCAAGCTGGATCATCTCTGCTATCCAAGGTGTTTTGCCTACAGCCTTCTTAGCTATCCTGATGGCCATTCTTCCGCCCATTCTTCGTCTTCTCTGTAGGAAGCAGGGTGTCTTCAACGGAATGGCGGTCGAGATGACTGTTCAAAACTACTATTTCGCATTTTTGTTTGTGCAGCTTTTCTTGGTTGTGACGGTCTCGTCCAGTATTGCATCAATCCTTGAGGGCGCTTCTAGTTTGACTAACTGGCCGACACTACTGGCGAATGATGTGCCCAAATCCAGTAATTACTTCTTCTCATATATGCTGCTTCGCGCTATGTCTGTGAGTGCAGGTGCTCTCATGCAGGTTGCTAGCTTGATCAAGTGGTTTATCCTGGCTCTTCTGGATAAGACAGCCCGCAAGAAGTGGAATCGAGCAACCAATTTGATTCAAATCAAATGGGGCTCATTTTTCCCTATATACACCACACTGGCTGCAATTGGTAAGATTATCGATGATTTCTCTACTGAATATCCCGAATTGCACTAACGCGTTTCATCTAGGTATGATTTATTGTGTTGTTGCACCGTTGATTCTTATCTTCAATCTCATTACCTTCAGTGCCTTCTGGTTTGTTTATCGCTACCGCACGCTCTATGTCACCAAGTGTCGATTTGATACTGGAGGTCTACTTTTCCCTCGGGCTATCAACCAACTATTTACCGGTCTCTATACAATGGAGATTGCTCTAATATTTCTGTTCTTCCTGGTTCGAGACGAAAACGACGCGGTCTCCTGTAAGGGTCAAGGTATCGTCATGTGCTTCATGCTTGCAATAACAATCGGTTATCAATTCCTTCTCAACGAAGCATTCGGGCCCTTGATTCGGTACATACCTGTCAGTTTGGAGGACGCTGCCATTCGTCGGGATGAAGAATTTAAGCGGGCTCAGAGCACTCGGCTCATGTCTGCTATGGATTCCAACCACGACGACGATGATGATCATGAGGCCAAGAAGGACCAAGGTATCCCTCAGCCCGATTCCTCCGAGCAGTCTCCTGGCCAGGACATTGAGCTCAAGAGTATGGAAGCTGGCGGTGAAGATGAGACAGGTCAGCCGAAACCTGTGAATAGCCGTCATCATTCCTGGGCGTCTCGTTCCTCAAAACGACAATCCGATCTTTCCTATGGTTATGGAGATCACTCGGCAAACTCATCACCGACGGCGAATTCCATGCGTGAGAAGATTATTAAAGATACTGAGGGCCAGAAATACTTCTCGCACAATCTGACAAATATCTTCGCGGGTATTAACGATGAATTGGAAGATCTTACACCCGATGAGCGTGATGAGCTGGTACAACGGGCTTTCCGACATGAAGCACTTCGTGCCAAACAACCTGTCATTTGGATCCCGCGTGACGATATCGGAGTCAGTGATGACGAGGTCTATCGTACACAACAATTCAGCCAGCACATTTGGATCAGCAATGAGTACCAAGCACTGGATGAAAAATGTAAAACGATTTACAGTCGCCGACCGCCTGACTTTTCTGATCTTGAGCTCATTCAACTCTGAGTACATTATAGGTGGTGGTTTTATGTTTTCATGTCGCAATATACCTGTCATTTGTTTTAGCAGTCTGAGCGTTCTGTCATATCATAGATGTTGAATCAGTTCAAGTTCGTCAGCGCAACATATAGCGATCAACCGATTCAAGTCATTTTGCTTTCAAATGTTTGATTTAAAAAAGAAATTATACAGGGTACCTATTAGGAGCAACTTATCCACTGGAATCAAGTTTAAATGCCAACACTTGAGTGGTTTGAGATAATTACCTCCTTTCAAGTTGAAGAACTTCCATACTGCTATTTTAATGCGACGTTTTTACCTGAAATAGGAGGTTGCCGAGTCCATACAAACATTACACGTAGATGTTGAAAAAAAAGATAATAAATTCATTTAGTGGTCTCTAATTTGAAGAAGTCATGATGGGCCACCGTTCTAGATATCATTATGGAAAGTCATCAATGCCATTCGTCTCATATCGCCATTAGAGGCTGTTTCCTGCTTCCGCAGCTTTAACATCCTCCTCCGAGCTCATAATCTGTACCTTAATCGCGCCAGTCTTGGGGTTGGCAGCCGTCTCAAATGCCTTGAGAGCATCCTCGATGGTATATCGGTGAGTGACCAGCTTGCGGAGATCAATAACGCCGTTCTGGACCAGGCGAATGGCGCGAGGCCAGGTGTTGGAGTAGCGGTACTGGTACTGCAGGTCGATCTCCTGGGTGCTCAGACGCATGAAGGGGATCGTCATCTCGTTCTTGCCCACACCGATCACAAAGACCTTACCGCCAAACTTCACACTCCAGATTGCCGAATTGACACTGCTCTCGACACCTGTGCACTCCAGGGCCAGCTTGGGGCGCAGCGCATCGGGACCGGAGCCCTTGCCATCGTTCAGAGCATTGATGATTCCATCTGCGCACTCCTCGGCGGACTTGCCAATCTCCACCTTATAGGTACGCACCTCAGGAGCCAGGCTCTTGGCAAAGGCCAATCGACCCTCGTCAATATCAGTGATGATGATAGGGCAGGCACCTGCCGCTCGTGCACTCAACAAACTGATCAGGCCGATCGGTCCTGCACCGGTAATGAGCAAGGCGTCACCGAGACGTAATCCACTACGCTCCACAGCAGCGAGAGTGACACTCAGTGGCTCCAGGAGGGCACCATTCTCGTAACTCATATCTCCAATCTTGTGGCACCAGATGGCGGGGTGGTTGACATATCGGCGCAGTAGACCGTCAACAGGGGGAGTAGACAGGAAGTCGACCTTCTCACATCCGTTATAGCGACCAGTCAGACATGGCTCACAGGCGTTGCAAATGATATTGGGCTCAATGGCAACACGGTCGCCGAGCTTGAGCGAGGTCACATCGGGTGCGATAGCGACGATTTGGCCGGCGGATTCGTGACCTAGAACATGGTCGCCAGTGACAATCATTGGGCCGATACAGCCTGCGTGCCAGAAGTGGACATCGGATCTGACGATAGAAGTATTTCAGTCAGTGGGTTATTCTTATGCTTCTCATGTCGCTCTTGTCTCTCTCTCTCTCTCATTCTCCTTGTTGTCACCCCCACTCGTAATTTTCCATGGCCATCTCTTTTCTCCTTGGCCGCCAAGATAATGTATCAAGTATCAACCACCAGAAGAATCAACTTACCCGCAAATTCCTGTACTGCGCACTTCAATGGTCACCTCACCGGGCTTCAAACCCTTTCCAGACTGCACATCTTCCACTTTGGGGGTAGTCTCGGCGATCCACAAGTCATGCTTGGGATTGGTGTACACACCGATGTTGGTCTTTGTGACAGTAGCGGACGACATGATTGAGGAGGATAAAGAAGGTGGATGGGGGGAGGAAAGAGTCAAAGTTGAGGAATGACACTGCTCTTTATTGTGTTACCTCCGACATGTTTCTTTTAAGGCCAGGTGATCAAGTTGGATTTGTCCCCCCACCTTTTCCCTTTTCCCTTTTCCCGTTTCTCCCCACGCGTCACAGCGTCCTTGAATGGAGTAAAAAAAGTGGAGAGAGTAGATTTAACCGCGGGGAGAACTTGCCCGACGATCAACTAAAGAAGGAATCTCTGTCCGCTTAATCCACTTTTACTACCATATAATGTATGTCGGCCCGAGCACTTGAGTAAAATCGGCTGTCGGTTAAAATCACATTTACTTAACGGATACCCCATTTTTACTCTTAGGTTATTTCTTTTTCTCTATTTCAAATGGGATCATACGGATGAATGTTTTACTGTTTCACGGGAGATTTCTTCTCCGTAGTAGTTCATGAATTGACAACTCCGTACATGTAACTCTTTAACCTTCTTCTTTGTCTAAATTTGGCAATTTTCCGGTGGGATTTTCCTTCAAATGTGTTCAATGTTTAAAGTCCATGAGAGCCGCGGTCTATTTAGAGATATATTGATGTAATACTAGCACTTGAGTAGTAGACATTGATCCTCAAATATATTGTTTTACATTTTAATATAGCTCTATTTTATCCTGTCAAGGTTGCATCAGTCAACTGGTCAAGTGATACTTCATTTTTCAACAAATTTAAAGAACTTTGATAGGGCATAACTTGAAGTAGTTATGATATTTGCGACTCGAGCAGTGTGGCTTCAAGTTGGAAGACACTGGCACTGAAATGTAACAACTTGAACCTTGGAACCAGTTGGTAGCAAATCCCACTACAGCCTAGATTCCCTTCTTCCATTCATTGCAACAATTCCAGCAGCTTCCCTGCCAGCCCTCCGGCCAAAGACAGCTCCAGAGGTCAATCCACTTCCACCCGGATAATTGTCGTGGAAAATGCCACCCAGCATCTCTCCAACACAGTATAGACCCGGAACTTCCTGGCCTGTCGTCTCAGAGATAACAGCTGCTGTCTCCGGATTCACAGCCAATCCACCAAAGGTAAAAGTGATACCCGATGTGACTCGCACAGCTAAGAAGGGTCCCTTATCAAGTGGTAGGGCCCAGTTGGATTTCGGAATTGTGAGTCCAACAGTGCCCAGCCCATCCTTTACAGCTGGATCCCATTTGGCACTTCCTTCCCTTGTAGAAGCATTATACTCTCGCAGACTATCCAAGAATCGTTGCTTATTCACCAATCCAGCACCCACACATGCATCTGCGAGCTCTTCGATTGTCGAGCCAGTCAGATGCTTGGTGACCTCTGGACGATACTCCTCAGCTCGCAACCAAGATGTGGTTCGCGCATCCCAAATCTGGAATGCAACTTGTCCAGGCTGTGCAAGGATACGTCGCCCGATCATCGCGTATGTGTAATTCCGCATATCAGACCCTTCATCCACAAATCGTTCCCCATCCCGATTCACCATGATTCCCAGAGGATATCCCGACTTCGTGAACTCGTTGGAAACTTCTCGGTCTCCAGCATTCGCGGGTGAGTCGGCATCCCACGCTACACTGTGACAGCCGGACCAGTTACCGACTGCCTTGGCAGAGACATCACGTTGCGCACTCAACAGCAAATCTCCGGTGTTATATGGTGTTCCACGGACACGTGCGGCATCCCATCCGGGGCCAAGATATTGAGCTCGCAGTTGAGCGTTCGCTTCAAACCCCCCCAGCAGCAAGAATGACCACAGCAGCATGGATGGTATGCTTTTGAGAAGAGCCAGAAGAAGAAGAACGAATGAGAGCTTCAACACCAGTCACTGCCCCAGTGACGGGATCAGTGAGAAGTTTCGTAGCTGGTGTATCAAAATAGACTGGAATTCCATGTTTCTTTGCAGCTGCGAGATGATCCTGAACTAGACCCTTGCCACCATCTTGAGTCTTTAATGCCAGGCCACCCCAAAACTTGATACGACCATCAACCTCGTAGGCTTGTCGATTGAATGAAAGCTGGAAGCGAATTCCATTCTGGGCGAGCCAGCCAATTGCAGACCGAGAGTCTTGAACCAGTATCTTTGACAGAGCTGGATCAGTGCGGCCACCTGTCATGCGTTTAAGATCATTCGTAAATTCCTGTTCGGAGTAGACGGGCATGTCAATGCGAGCTGCTTGCTCGGTCGTTGTGTTATTGACTATGGGCAACAGATCTGACAGCCCATTGTGCGCCGTGCGAAATGCTCCGGCAGTGAAGTAGGAATTGCCTCCAGCCCATGTCGAAGGGCATTTATCGATGACGATAACATTGGCACGAGGAGTGGTTTGTTTAGCTGATAGAGCCGCGCTGAAACCAGCATTCCCACTGCCGATCACGAGAATATCACAGCTAGATGGAGGGGGAGACATGTTGAGACTTCTGGTTTGTAGACGCTGTATATGCCGAGTGGAAGAGATCTCAGTAATAATGGCTAAAGTTTGAGTCTCGTTGAAGTATTTTATTTCATGAGGAATTGAAAATTCATCGAACTTAAGTAGCTTAATAGTTGAAGAGCTCCAAACCCGTCGGACAGTCATTCTCCGTTATGGACCCCCGAGTGTATCCACCCTCCCCGCAGACGGGGCATCGTGTCCCGCGGAACATGTCCAGATGTCAAGAATCAAGATCGATTCATACATGACATGATTCCTAGAATATAGAATTGAGTTAGGAGAAACAATCAGCAGCTACAACCTGTCACTGAATGCGAGTGATGTGAGACTGGAGAATTTTCACTTTTACTATGACGTCCAAGATCGGTGCACGTCGACCGAGCAGCAAGCAGTGTACACCAATGACAGATTTGAATAAGAATTCAATGGATATTCTCTAGTTCATCAATTTAAGTCACAATTGATGCCAAAAGGTGAGGGAATGACTCGGAAGATTCCTTTAATATTCACATTGATATCTAGGTGATTCTAAATTAAATGTACAAAACCCCCAATTTCCAATACCTTCCACAGTAACGAATCCTGCAAATCTAGGAAGACTTATGAAAATCATGCCAGATGTATCCTTCTATCCTCAAATATCAATATGGGAGCTTGAACTGTTAGAGCGGCACATACGTCCGCTGTACGAAACAGTCCAGTCCTCGGAACCCACAGCAGTCAAACCATAGAAGAGATGGTTAGGATCATACTTCTGCTTGATGCTGCGGAGAGTCTGGTAGTTCTTTCCATAGAAAGCATATTGCCAGTTAGGCTGCTGGAAGTCACACTGTAGAGCACTTCGTCAGTATTTCTTGGTTCAATTTTGAGGTCAAAAGTACAGGAGAACAAATCTCAATAACATACCTCATTCAGATAGGCACCAGAATTAGGTCCCAACCTACTAACAGCAGGAACCAGCTTATTGGTCATCAGGTCTCGCTTCTCTTGCATCTTCTTTGGCTCATCGTACTCCCAAGCGGTGGACATGAGTGTGTGGGCAATTGCAGTGCGCCAAGCTGGGTTCACAGCGTTATAAACATCTCCGGTTACTTCCTTTGAGACGTTGACAGCAACGGTAGTGAAGGTTGCGTCCTCGGCCAGGACAGTACGAATGGAGTTTGTCAGCTCATGGAGACCATTAGAGCTCTCGACAACTGTCCGCGGAAGAAGCCAGCTACCGTATTGCGCAACACCAACTTCGACGACGGGGACCTGAGTATTGAACTGATCAAGGTAAGAGTCAAACTCCTCAGTCTGGTAGGTATAATTGATACCCAGGCGAGTAAACTCCTTCAGGACGGGCTCAATAAGGCTCTCGAGCTTCGCCAGGGGGACACCGGGTCCAGTCATAGGCTCGATAGCGAAAGAGGCATTGGTGAGGAAGCACAGACTCATCACTCCTTCATCCACAATGTAAGGCAGACGAGAGTTGTAGAATTCCACAGCCTTGAAGAAAGTCTCGTCCGAGATACCGGTAGTTGTGAAGGTCAGGTTCAGGCCAGACACCTTGCTATCTTCGTGAGCCTTAGAAGTCATAGACCAGACAACACCGTAAGTACCACCACCTCCACCAGCGAGTGCCCAGTAGAGATCGGTGTTTTCCTCACGGTTGGCAGTGAGGAAGTTTCCATTTCCATCGATAACTTCCCACTCGAGGACTTGATCCGCACCAAGACCGTATCTTGAGTTGAGAGCGGAGTGACCTCCTCCCTGGCTATATCCACCGGCCATACCGACAGTGGGACATTCCCCGCTTACCATCCGAAGACCGCGCTCGTGGGCCGCTTCATACGCCTCGATTCCTTGGATACCAGCTCCAAGCTTAGCTGCCTTTCCAGTATAGTGCTTGTCACTCCAGTCCTTGAACTCAATGTCCTTCAAGTGGTGAGTCCAGACCGAGATAGCACCTGCACCGGTGGATTTGCCATTGTAACTAGGTGCATGTTAGTTATGATTGCTGGGTCCGGTTTGGGAGATGGAATAGTAATCATACTCATGACCGGTGTTGCGGATAATGAACCGAATGTTGTGCTCGGTTGCAAACTTCAAGGTCTTGGCCACATGAGTGGGAGTAGAGACATTGACAGCATATCGAACAAAGTTACCAAGGGTGCATGGCTTCGAGATAGGGTGGTAAGGGTCGCAGGTTCCATTGGTAAAGAGCGGAGCCATAAATGAGGAGGAGGATTTGTAGCTGGTGACTCTGTCAATACTCAAGTTCTTTCTGAAATGCGTGATGTTCATTTTCAAGTCACTTACTGTTCCTCTGGCATATCCCATCCCTCTCTCAAGTCCTCACATGTTTCTTTGTTATAGTTAGGTGTGTGACAAGGAGTTGCGAGAGGCACTGTAGCCACGAGGCGACCGTCGACAGATTGATTGAAAGCATTCCAGACTGAAACTGAAGGCCAGCAATCATCTGTGGGGAAACATCGGCATTCATTAGATGAGCTCTCCGATCCATGAACCGGAGATGCAATGGCAACCAGGCCAAGCAGAGCTCCGACCTTGAGAGTATTCAACGACAACATTGAGGGTTACAGTCCTTCAGGTTGACCAGTCTCTTTCTCTCTCGTACATAAAGTTTGACAGGGGTTAAGTGGCAAGAATTGCTTTTTTCTTTTTCTTGTTTCAATTTATTTCCTATGAAATAGTGCATTTTGCTAGGAACTTTGGAAATGGGCAGTTATTCCGAGGTGGTCCGTTATAATCTAGCTAATGCAGGCGACGTAGTCCAAGTGGAACCCCCTTGAGTTGCCCCGACTCTAGTTTCATTAATGATATGATGATCGGCCTGTGGAGTTGATCTTTAGGAATCTTCGACTCCATCGCGGAAAGGTCATAGCGCAGCCGCAACGCGGGATGAGTGGAGAGCACGGAGTACTCCGTCAACGGTTCGCACACGACAATGATTTTGTTAGAACCTTTTTTCTTTGTCTCTATTGAATCTAATGTTCAAACCTAAGATCTGATCAATAGTTTCTCTGATTTAATCCCATCCGCGATATAGGGAAGTAGAAAAAAAAACTCAACATTCCAGAATAACGCTAGGAACGCATCCAGCCCCCAAGAATTGGTGCCTAGCTCGAATCTGCTCGATCAACAAGTGGCTCACTTGATCGGGGATAGCCCTACAAAGGATTGTTTTTTTTTCAAATCGGTTCACGCAATTGTTCTCTTAAGGTTTTTTAGATTTTTCTCTCGGGGGCCAAAGCCCTTTAGGTGAAAGCATACATCTGAACTTGAACAACAGGTGTTATAGGGGGTAGTTTTGCTGCATCAGACACCTGGACAAACCACCGTTCGCACCTGAGCACCATTTTTGAAGCTTGCATGTTTGCCACTGTAATGTGATTTGGAGGTGCATGTATGCATGGGTCCACAAGTTGAAAAGATTTCAAAATTGAATGTTTGATCCATTAAGCGGACATATGGAGCACTTGAGTACACTTGAGTACAAACACAAATAATTTATGTACATCTATTGGACCTCGGGGTTCTCCCATATTCTGATTTAAGCCGATTCGGCTTTAAGGAGCTGGAGTTTGACCCATACGTGGTCTTTGGATGTACGATGACCAACTGCATACGGAGTACACGGTTTTGATAATTTGCAGTATGAACCTTGTTAAAGAACTCAAGAATCCTCTTCGTTAGAAAAGTGGAAATGTCGACACTAGTTATACTAATTTAGTAGTAAAGTAGAAATTACGTACGAACATTTGAATGTATGGCTATTTATTTGAGATTCCGCCCCCATTTGAGAGTTCCAGGCTCTGAATTTGGACAAAAGTACCCTTGGCAGCACTTGAGGAATTAAACATTCATCCCTCATAGATCTACAGACAGGATACTATGTTTGTATCAGACAATTGGATTCACATCCATGTTTGGAGGGATCCCCTTAATTCCCTTAAGCTCACCCATACTGATGAAACTGATATAAACTAGAAGAATTATTATATTTAAATTCAATCTTGAGAAATAGATTAAGGTGCATAAGGGACATTGCGGAGATGGATATTATGATTTCTATTCGATCCCTACTATGCACATCAATGTGTTGATCATCTTGATACTAGTATATTCTCGGAGATCAATACGGAGTAGTACGGAGTACAGTGGAGTATCACGGAATATCACGGAGTCTCCAGAATATTATGAAAAGGGGAAGTGCTGAAATAAAATAATCTGTATTTCAAGGTGAAACATTTGAAACCATTTAAAAGAATCATAATCTATTTTCCGGATCTTTGACCAATTTGCGTATGTTCGGGGCTGAATCCCCCACTTAGTCCATCTCTTAGCAAACCATATACGGTGAATGTGGGTCAACGTTGATGTACATTATAGTACATTAGTCCTAGTCCAATCCGAAATCTGCCGCAGAGAGACTCGCAATTTGAAAGGATTCAGAGCCCTGAACGCAAATGGCGCATTGACATCAATGATCATCTCATATAGTATTTTCTAGATCGCCAATTTAGGTTTAGGATCTCTCCATCTTAACAACATTTGAATGCAGATAATCTACATCTCGACGCCACGGGGCGTCCTAAGAACAGTCGAGACATTAACATAAAATCAACGACACTCGGTTTCGTCTGGTTCAAGTTTGGTTTTTCATTCTCTGCTGTCATAATGACCAACAAAACTGGGGTAGTTGCTCCACCACCTGGAGTGACGGCCGATTTTGATTATTCTCATCCTTGGAGATTCAAAACTGATTTGATCATTGTTGGAGTTGGTTTGTCTTTAAGCACTTTTTTTTTGGCGATGCGAGTTTGGACTCGAGCGCGAATTTTATCAAAATTTGGATGGGACGATGGTATGCCGAATCCTACTCCCTGAGACTTGAGGTGAAAATGGCTGACTTTTTCTCCAGTATCAATAATTGCAGCTTGGGTAGGGAACCAATACCAAGAACAACTTGAACTGACCATAAAGATTGCTAATAAATGGAACTACAGGCTTTCTCCATTGCAACACAAGCCGTATGTCTATGTAAGTAGATCAAAATCTATTTCATTCCCAAAATTCAATCGCTAACCTTCTCCAGGTGGCTATACTTATGGCGGAGCTGGAATTCATCTATGGAATGTGACGGTACCAATGTTCAACTACTTCCAAAAGGTAATTGAAAAGATGAACTACTATCCCAAGTCCAAAATCTGAATCATTCTAACTTGACTTTGAAAGATTATTCTTGTTGCAGCTGTGATCTACATCCCTTCCCTCGCTTTCGCTAAGGTCGGCCTTATTATTCTTTATCATCGTATAATGAACCGACAACCCGGCTATGTCTTGACTCTCCATATCATCTCAGCGATCATATGCGGTTATAGTATAGCCCTCATGTTTGCTTTGGTCTTTGCATGCACACCAATCAAAAAGGGATGGGACTCGTCAATCACAACAGGACATTGTGTTAATCGCAGCGCCTTATATATTGCAACTGCTGCCTTTAATATTGCATCAGACTTGGCCCTTATTGTTGTTCCAATCCCTCTGGTCATGGGCCTACAGATGCCTCGAATCCAGAAGTGGGGACTTCTTGCTATGTTCATGGTTGGTTGCGCGTAAGTACTCTCTCATTAATCTTGGACTTTTTCATACCATTCACCTATCGACTTTCTCTGATATGTCTCTTCAGTACGTTCATCACCAGTATTCTGCGTCTGCAAACCCTGATCCCATACCTCACTGCCACCGATGTTACATACGAAATTGCTCCGCCGCAAATGTGGATGTAAGGCCCCTCATAAGCCCCCTCTGGATCACCATTAAGCTCACACAAGACTTCTTCACGTCTAGTTATATCGAAGCAAACTTAATCATTATTTGCCCATGTCTGCCATTCCTCCGTCAATTCCTGCGACGCTACTCCCCTGCTTGGATCGGCGAGGCTACCAGCTCCGGTCGACGATATTACAAAGATTACAGTACGGGTGGTAGTGCTTCACGCAATCGCCGGAAGCCAGGTCTCACTCTCCTCCAAGATGAAATCGCTCTCGCCGAAAGAGCTGAAAGTGCCCACAGCCAGTCCCATATTATCAAAGAGGTTCAGTGGCAAGTGACTGAAGAACGACTAGGCCCGCAAATAGAGCCAGAGTCTAGCATTGAACTATCTCACGGGGCTTAACACCAGATTTCTGGAAAGTGAAAGGTTCTTGTGAATATATCAAAAAATTACATCTTCTCAGAATACCCAGGTGCCGACTGAGAGTCGGATACAATACTAGATTTAATCAATGAAAATATGACAAAAGTGCACATGCAAAATGATGTGGGCTGCGGCTAATTCGCCTGCATCTTTAGAATATTGAAGCTGATGTTACTAGTTATTCTCAACTTGGAATTGAAATTCAAGTCTTCATTTGGGTGATCTGAAAGGACATCTGGAGGCAGCACCGCTCTCTGTACCGCCATGCTCTCTTCGATATGTCTTCCAAAGCCAATTCAATTTATTCCGCAGATTGAACTGAGTCAATTGACTATTGCAAAGACGGCACCGTGAACTTGAACAAATTCTCAGGGTCAAAGAACGATTTCAAGTTACGCAACTCCCCAGCCGAGTCACCGTAAACCTTCTTTACCCAGTCATCTGCCGATTTAGAACGGGCAGAGCTATAGATAGACACAAAAGCCGTAGGTATTAGAACGCCAGAACTTAATGCAGCCTTCTCCAACTCCGCTGAGAATCTCTCTGCCCAAGCCTCTGATTCGGCTTGCTTCTCTGGAGAAACTGCATAACCGAGAATTTCAAGCATGAAATGAGGTTCGCGGGGGTTGAATAATGACTCGTGCGCCTGTGGTGCGGCAGATGGGCCGCGGACCTGGTGAAGAGAGAACATCGCGCCTGGGTCTGCAGGTATAATAGCTAGGTTGGAGCCAATTGCTTCAGCAATTTCAGGTGTGACACTGGATACATTGTATGTCCAGGAAGAACCATATACAATCCTAGGGACATTGGCACCGGCGCCGGAGATCCATTCTGGAATGCTAGTTTGTTTGACCATATTCATTTTCGCAGGGCCCAGGGATGCGATTTTTTGGCTCCACATCTGACCAGTTTCAACTTCAGCTTCAGTGCCACTCCAGGCAAAGAGGATGGCAAAGGCAAGGCCACGAGGAGAGTTAAAGCAGACACGTTGGAGGGTAAGTTGTGGGAGGATAGTCTCTGTTTTGAGAAGCTCGTTATAAGCAGTGTTCACTTCAGTGTAAGATTTTCTTATGTCGCTACTATCATAGATAATCGGCCCTGCAAGAAGCTAGTATATCAGAATTCATGGTTAGTAGATATTGACTAGACTTTAGTATTCAAAAAAAGTAATAAAAGCAGGATAAATCTCACCGAAGGGGCAGGGTAGACCTTGATAGTCACATCAACAATGACCCCAAAAACTCCACCAGCCCCACGAATACCTTTCAAGAGACGATCATCAGCTTCCAGCTTAACGAAGTTCCCGTTGGGATCCACGAGAGTAACGCTAAGAATCTGGTCAACTCCCAGCCCCCATGTGGAGGAGAAGGGGCCGTAACCGCCATAAGAGGCCCAGCCATAATATCCGACATGTGGAATAGTTCCAGTTGCTGTTGCCAAACCCTGACTCCAGAGTTTATCGATCACATCGCCTTGGAGAATTCCACCCCCTACTGTCGCTGACTTCCGATCGCTCGCGACAGTGACCGAGTTCAAGGCTCTCAAGTCGATCAGTAGTGCATCTTGCACTAGAGCGAGCCCTTCTAAGTTATGGCCGCCCGACCGGATAGAGAATGGAATGGCGTTAGATTTGACAAATTTGATTAGAACTGTGACATCTTCGTTTGACTGAGGCTGAACAATTGCGAGCGGTTGATCGGGGCGCGAGCCATTCCAAACCTCGCGTGTAGTAGCAAACTCTGGGGATGAGGGAGGAATAAACTTGATGGTGGAACTTGGATGATCCTGCAAGAAAGTTTCCACTGTGGCTAGATGATTAGTAGCCATCGTGGATTAAGTACAGCGGCACGGTATTATGTATGGGACCTCGGGAACGATGATGGTTTCTGAGAAGCTGAAGTAACTTGATATCTCGGTTGTTTGAACTAGTACACAGGTAGTAGTAGAACCGATGGGTTAAAATCATGGGACTCAGGCTCACTTAAATAGCACGGCACTGGGAACAGATATGAAAGAACGAATGACTCAAGTGCTCGGAGCTCTACAGGGACTCGGATGTAGAGAACCTTGGAATACCCCCGGGGCCGTACTACATACTAGTAGTACTTGAGTACTCAGTACCTACTATAAGAATGGGGGCCGAAGGCAAAGAGAATAGTATTTGACCACTGACAGATGTCGGCAAAGAATGCCCAACTTGAAGTGATACTTTGCCCTCTCCGCACTTCTCGCACTCATACCCGATTCAAGTTAATAAACGAGCGTTCAATTTGCTCCGATGATGTACCAGGTAGGATATACTGTGATGAATTTGACAGAATTATACATCGTGGTGTATGAACCGCCTGAGAGAATTAGAGCATTAAATTCCAAGTCTGCGGATGAAATCCATGTTAGTATGATACCGCGAGAATCAATCTATCAAGAGATATGTGATTTCTTTTTGTTTTTCTGCTCCTTTCGGATTCTTGATTATGTACTAGACTGGTATCTTAACGAGTATTGAAATCCCGTCATTCTATAAGATACAAAAATAGCCCTATCACTCCGACCCTGGCATAGGGACAGGCCCGCCTGGGGAATCAGGGAATCGGGCAGTGAGTACTTCTACACCATCTTCAGTTACAAGCAAAGTATGCTCGAACTGAGCCGATAAAGATCCATCGGCAGTGGTGCTGGTCCAATCATCAGGCCATGTACGGTCCCGGTGAGTACCAATGTTGATCATAGGCTCAATTGTAAAGCACATGCCAGGTTTGGCAGTTCCCACAGCCTTGTTTTTAGCGTAGTGAGGAACATTGGGTGCACAGTGGAAGAGCTGGTTGATGCCGTGCCCGCAGTAAGTTTTGACAACACTGCAGTCCCGGGATTTGGCGTGCTTCTCAATCACATTTCCAGGATCCCGGAATAGCATCCCCGGCTTGACCAGCTCGATCGACTTATCCAGACATTCTCGCGCAGTCTCCACCACCCGCACAGCATCCTGATTTGCGCGAGCCTTGTCTCCCACGTAGTAAGTTTCGTTAATATCACCGTGGAATCCTTGGTGGTATAATGTGACATCGATATTGACAATGTCTCCCTCCTCTAGAGGGCGTTGATCCGGAATACCGTGACAGATGGTCTCGTTGACGGAAGTGCAGACTGACTTGGGAAAGTGCATGTAGTTGAGCGGCGAGGGGTACGACTATAGCTCCATTAATACCTTTTGCTCCCCTGTGTTCTCTTCGGCGAAAATTTGACTCGAGCCCAGCTTACCTCGCGCTCAATACAGGCTTTGTGAACCACCTCGTCAATGTAGTCCGTTGTCACACCAGGCTTAAGCTCCCGAGCGGCAATATCCAGAACCTCACGGGCGAGACGGCAGACTTTGCGCATTCCCTCTTGCTCCTCCTTATTCAAAATTTTGATGCTGTGTTGACCGAACAGCTTTTGCTCCGATCGGGGAATGCCATCGCGCGCGTAGTCGGGGTACGGAATTGACTTCGGGATGGTGCGTGTGGCCGAGAGGGGGTAAACGGGGCGCAGGGAGCCAGCGAAGTTGAATGAGGGGAAGGGATTGAAGTGGCCGGTGGCTGGATCAGGTTCAGAAACTACTTTCGGGGGAAAGAGATTGGAGAGGATATTACTCTTCTTGTGGATGCTCTTATGCTCGGCCTGATGGGTGTACTAGTCAGTATTGGGACTACTCGGACATCTGAGAGGACCCAAATAGCGAGGAAGATGCGCCATTTGGTCCGTGGAATCATGATTCTTACCCAACTTCGCTTAAAGCAGTCTTGCGAGCAAAAGAAGCTGTCGGTGCCCATCTTCAAGCAGGTGGGACATTGTAAGGTGCCTGCGTCGTTGGCGCAATCCACTCCAGTGCACTTCCGAGGTGCAACAGCGGCCATGATGTTCGTCAAAGGTCAATAAAAAGATTTTAGAGAAATATGAGGCTGCGACCTTCGAAGTCTTCTACCATCAGCAGAAAATCCTCAAGTCTTGGAAGATCACACTAAACCCGATTGGGATACAGATGAAGATTTACCCCTCAGGCCACTAAGTCACATGATATATTACATAAGCGAGTTCATTGATGCCTTGCAAATCTGGAATCAACTGGTTTGTCAGCCAAATTAACGTGATAAACTAGGCCCAATTGGGACGTTTTTAACACGATTAAATCCGGGCTTCTGATTGGCCGAACCAGAATGGATCACATGATTAGCCACGTGATCTACGGGCGCAGCAGACGCTTATTCGTGTAAAATTAGTGTTAGGAGAGAATCAGACCTGTCGATACGTCCCATTGCGACCGCCTACTGCATTAGACCTTGTAGTCTGACATGGTTTTCGACATCAATGATCAGTGATCAGTGGCAGTCTCTCTCTCTACATAGATAATAACCTTGGAATTATAAGCTTGTTAAGCATGGTAGTCCTTTTACCTATACCTACCTCCAAGGCCCTATCTTCCTACCTACTTGTATGACACAGATATCTACATCCTTGTGAGAGTAAATGATATAGTGACTCGTAGAGTTCTCTGCTGCTTAACATTTGAAAACATTATCAATACAATTTCCAGTAACTTCCAAGTTTGGTCCGTTGAAACAAATGAAAGAATTTCTCAAGTGAAATGATCTCAATTTTGCGAAATTGATCCCCAATCTCTTCGAGCCCAAAAAAAGACAAACAAGCACATGTCCGCTGATCAGCCACACTGTGGCCCTCGGATGATAGCCCATTGCTCGACAACCTCATCAAAGTCCATGGGATAACCCTCATAATTAGAAAGTCGAAAGACAAACCGGAGGAGCCGGCGAGCAAGTCGATACTGGGGCCCTTCTGCAAGTTGTGCGTAGACTGGACCAGCCGCGTCCTCAAAGCACTTCTTCAGCTCACACGACTCAGGGCTGAGAGATTCGTCTCCAAGAAGATTCTCAGTGTCGTGCCACTCATCTTCGCCATTTTCGACTCAGTCCGGGTAGGATGCCCAGAGCCAGCGAGGGGGAGTACAGGACATCACAAGCGGTGCAAAAACGGCGCTGTCCCAGTCGAGAATACCTGTAATGCCAGATGGGTTGGTAATGTTAGGCTTGTCGGCCATGATATTCCGGAGAGCTAAGTCCAAGTGGCAGAGGCAATATCCATCCTCTCCCCAGACACTGGATTCATGCATCTCAGATGCGACAGTGAGTATGTTTTGCAAATAATTGATTTTTTCGATTCTTTCATTCCTAACAATTTCTCGATCGAGTTGAGGGGCTATGATTGCATATATTAGGTCGAAAGTAGATTGAGAGGCAGGCCCATCCTCATACGGGACGAGCTCTGGCACACGCGTACACCAATGCTCCTCTGGGTCTCTGAATCGGGAGACTTTGATTTCCTTCAACGAAATAGTTGGTCTACCTGCGACAACACTTCTGATGGAATGCAGACTAGCAAAAACCCCGCCAACTCTGGTAGCAATGGCGCATTTTGTCTGGTGTGGGAGATCATGGTACGTGAAATCCAAGGATTTGCCTGGGATACGGACCTGGAGCATGTAAGGTCGCTCTAGGACATTTCTTAGTGTTATATCAAACTTGATCACCTCCGGCACAGGGATTTGACCTTGCTGATGCAGTATGTTCAGCGGCCCCAAGTGACGTCCGAGGGACACAGGCCAGTGGCGTGGAACTCGTAAAATGAAGCGATGAGTCTTGCAGTCATCATTACCGGTCCATGTTATGGCCACGACTCGGTTGTATGACCCCCCTTTCATTCTCTCTACCGTGATCTGGCTATTGGGTGGAGCGAGCACTTCTTCACAGAGCTGGAACACTCGATCCTGGAATTTTTTGAACGACTCCTGCTCGAAGTATACAGTCGATGTATGAGAGTCGGTCCGTGTGCAGGATCCAGATGAGCCTGTCGAAGGGGATGTTGGAGACGACATGATTATTTGGGTCGATGTCGAGGTAAAAATGCCGGCAGGCTGTGATGGTTGAGGAGTTGATGAATATAAGTTATTCTCAAGGCGAGAACTTGAAGTGCTAGTATTCAACATTTTTCGTATAGCATGAGCCCATCTCATAAAAATGTTGTTTTCATGAGTATCGAGACGTAAATTTACAGGCTCGCGTTGTAGATCAACTAGTTCTCCCCCAGACCGGCATGTTAGAATAAGCTGAAGATTCATGAAGCTTTCATTATGTATAGGGGAGGATATTCATAATGGAAGAACATTTGAACTTGAATAATAAAAAAAGGAAATGACTGTGAGGGATCGATTTCTGTACCTGTTGGTTCTTGAAGCATCATTATGCACATGTGCGAGAGAAGCTTCAAACTTCAGAAGCCTCGTAAAAAATTAAATAAAATCGATAAGATATTTGATGAGTATCAAAAGAAGGAGAAAGTCAACTTTTAGTATGCTATCTATAGTATGGCTTTTATTCTATTCAAATGTTATGGAAAATTCAGTCGAAAAAATGAACATTCGAACTATTCCCAATGCTGTTCACATATTTTTCTCAATTAAGAGTCGGACATCCCTATCTTCGAATGGTAAATGAAGTGGGGGCCAGTGTCAACCAACTAACATTTGAACTTGAACCTTGGAAGATGAGTTACTAGTAGGCATTCAGCATGGATTTACAGACACATCCCTAGTTGACTTCTTTGACTTCTCTTGAGGGTTTCCAAGACTGACAGTCCCGCCGAACTGAGCAGTATACCATCATTATATCGAATGCAGGGAGTATGTTTTGAAGAGACACCATCATGGTGTAATATGCCAGCGACTATATGGTCTTTCATGGGCTTAATGAGTTTAATTCTTGCTAAGAATTTGAGGATAACTTCATGTTCGAGATAGAACTCGCTGCATACTCAGTTTAAGCCTCGAGTTCAAATCTTGCCACTTTCTACTGGTACTTTGCGGACAGAGAAGATGTTATCTGCAAGTACTCGACCATATTGTCCGGATATTGCCTTGGTCCTCAATCAAAATGAACGGAGTTAAGACTATTTGACACTACTAAGGTATTTTGATAGTATCAAGCACTTTAGCCCCACATCGTTCGGATCAATGGCATCATGATCCAGCTAGTCTCAGCTTGTCGAATCTCTCCGCATAATCAGTGTTCGAGACCCATTACTTCGGGGCTTCCAAGTAGATAACCTCCGGAAGTTCTTCTTCATCATCAATCACATGTCGTCACATGTGCATCTCCCGGGACAAGTCGGTCAGTGCGAGCTGCACGTCAAGTTATACCGAATGAGACCGATTCCAGCTCCAAATATGATTCACTCGAACCGCGGCTGATTGGACTCGCTCGAACGGGGAGAGCAGGAACTGCCGCCACTTTCGGGTGAGTTAGGGCGGGATCATCCCTGGAACTTTGTTTGAATTCATCATGATCCTTCATTTTGATTCTCAAGAACTCAACAAAACAAAACCTATATAACCAGCTCTTTCTCTCTGAATGAAAGATGTGACTCTCAAGTCCCATTTTATCCGATTTCGCTATGATAAGAACGCGGTGGACGGCGGCTCCCGAGCGGGATAAGAGGTCGGGGGATGCAGATTCCGGGGAACGGGCGATGTCGGCCGAGTGGAACTAGGGATGTTGCAGGTTTCCCGACGGGAAAGTCACTAGAAGAGGGTCCACAATTCACTAGAAGGTGAAAGATGTAGTGAAATTGGATATTCTGATTGGACAATAGAGGAAGATCTTCCTGATAGCCGGATACTTTGTCAGTAGTTAGTAGTAAGTAGTACTCATGTTAACATCTCGGGATTGGGAAGAGGAAACAGCCGCGGTTCGACGTGACGTCTTCTATCTCCGCCTTCGGTTGTATATAGTACGAGGCGAACCACCATTGGTTTCTTTCATTCATTTTTCTCGTCATTTCTTAAGAATCACATTGAATACATTGTGATAATTCTTTGAATGGTTCTCTATTGGTGTTGAAATATTGAAGCTTGCTACAATCGCATCTATACATAACTTTCTTCCCATCTACACATTTACACACCCGATCACAATGACTTCCGTCGAGACTCAACTCAAGGATGTGGCCATCCTTGGCAGCATTCCCAATGATGCCCGTAAGATCCTGACTAAGGAGGCCTGCGCTTTTCTGGCTATCCTGCACCGTACCTTCAACCCCACCCGCAAGGCCCTGCTGCAACGCCGTGTCGATCGCCAGGCCGAGATCGACAAGGGCCACCTGCCTGACTTCCTCCCCGAGACAAAACACATCCGTGAGAATGATGCATGGAAAGGTGCTCCTCCTGCCCCCGGTCTGGTCGACCGCCGTGTGGAGATCACCGGACCGACCGACCGGAAGATGGTGGTGAATGCGCTCAACTCTGATGTCTGGACCTATATGGCCGATTTTGAAGACTCAAGTGCCCCAACCTGGGACAACATGATCAATGGACAGGTTAACTTGTACGATGCCATCCGTCGTCAGGTCGACTTCAAGCAGGGCGGCAAGGAATACAAGCTCCGCACTGACCGTACCTTGCCTACCCTCATTGCTCGCGCTCGAGGCTGGCACCTGGATGAGAAGCACTTCACCATTAACGGTGAATCCATCTCAGGTAGTCTCTTCGATTTCGGTCTCTACTTTTTCCACAATGCCAAGGAGCTCGTCGCCCGTGGTGCCGGTCCTTACTTCTACCTGCCCAAGATGGAGTCTCACCTCGAGGCCCGTCTCTGGAACGATGTCTTCAACCTGGCTCAGGATTACGTTGGTTTGCCCCGTGGAACCATCCGTGGTACTGTGCTCATTGAGACCATTACTGCCGCCTTCGAGATGGATGAGATTATCTACGAGCTGCGCGATCACAGCTCCGGTCTGAACTGTGGCCGCTGGGATTACATCTTCTCCTTCATCAAGAAGTTCCGCCAGCACTCCAACTTTGTCCTTCCTGACCGTTCAGATGTCACAATGACTGTCCCCTTCATGGATTCATACGTTAAGCTGCTTATCAAGACCTGCCACCGCCGTGGTGTCCACGCCATGGGTGGTATGGCCGCACAAATTCCTGTGAAGAATGACCCCGTCGCCAACGACAAGGCTATGGAGAGCGTCCGTGCTGATAAGCTCCGTGAGGTGCGTGCTGGCCACGACGGCACATGGGTCGCTCACCCAGCGCTCGCTTCTATTGCCTCCGAAATCTTCAACAAGTACATGCCTACCCCCAACCAACTGTTCGTTCGTCGCGAAGAAGTCTCCATCACCGCCAACGACCTTCTCAACACCAATGTTCCGGGAAAGATCACCGAGGAAGGTATCCGCAAGAACCTGAATATTGGTCTTAGCTATATGGAAGGCTGGCTGCGTGGTGTCGGCTGTGTCCCTATCAACTTCCTCATGGAGGACGCCGCTACCGCTGAGGTGTCCCGTTCACAGCTGTGGCAGTGGGTGAAGCACAATGTCTCCACCGTTGAGGGCAAGCGTGTTGACAAGGCCTATTCTCTGCGTCTGCTGCAAGAGCAGGCCGATAGCCTTGCGGCGAGCGGTCCAAAGGGTAACAAGTACCAGCTTGCGGCGCGGTACTTTGCTGGCCAGGTGACTGGTGAGGATTATGCCGATTTCCTGACTACACTACTGTACAACGAGATCTCATCGCCTGGTTCCGCTGCTAAGCTGTGAGGGATGTTGTATATGGATTTATGATCATGAATACCCTTGAGTTTCCTGGATGTACATTTTTGGACCTTTTCTTGCATTTTTTTTGGTGAACCTTGGATTAGCATTATTTCTTTTTGAGAATCATCAAATATTGATTTCATATCTACCGTGACGCACCTCTAGTCAGTCTAGACTATTTCCCCCGTAGCCTAAATTATTGATACAAGTTGTCAAACCATCCAAGGTTGGAACCTTTGTTTCTAGCACTTGAGAGCTTGAGCGTTGCTAGGGTAGCCTGAGGTACAAGAATATTGCTAATATCATCTTGAATATAATCAATTTTGATTAATGCGCAAATATGTGAATGTGCAAATGCGTCAACTAAGTACCTGGGTATTGATGAATTATGTACTGTGCTCTCCAATTCCATCATCAACTGGTCCAACTTTCCAACTTTTAAACCAGGTTCCCACGAAGCTCCTGTTCCCGCTCAAGAGCCTCAAACAAGGACTTGAAGTTACCTGCTCCGAATCCAGAGAAATTGTGACGTTGAATAATCTCAATGAACACAGTAGGTCGATCCATCAAGTGCTGTAATAATCCATGTCAGTAAGTCCAGTATCCATGGTGGGCATATATGCGCACTGACCTTGGTAAAGAGCTGAAGTAAATAACCATTCTCATCGAAGTCAATCAAAATATCCAGACTACGAATGGTCTCAAAGTCCTCCTCCAACACCAGTCCCGACTTCTTGAGTCGAACCTGCATGTCCGTGTAATATGTTTCGGGGACCTTGATGAATTCGACTCCTCGTGCTTTCAGGTGTGTGATATCACGGATGATGTCATCGGTCAAGAGGGCGATATGCTGGACACCAGCTCCATTGTAGAAGTCCACATATTCTTCAATTTGTGACTGCTTTTTTCCTTTAGCCGGCTCGTTGATGGGCATTTTGACAACCTCATTCGGTGAAGACATAACGATACTCTTCAAGGCAGAGAACTCGCTGGTAGGGAGTTAGTCTTGCTATATCCTGCTTATTTGTGGAACAGGTGAATCCACTTACGTGCAGATTTGAGTGTCATCAACAGACCAGAAACGATGGAAGCCCAGTGCCTTCTCGTAGCTGGATAATTTTTAGCATGATTAATACCTCAAAATGAAGATTCTAAAAGAAGGAGGGACACCTACTATTCGCAAATCTTATCCATCTCATCCCAGTCCTGGTTTCCAACGCAATGATCAATCCGTTGAAGGTGTACTCCAGGCAGGAATTTGGAAACGGGATCCTCGCTATCCTCTTCAAGGCGATAACCAGGCAGGAAAGCACCATGATATTGGTTCCGTTCGATCAAAGTATGTGTTGTCTGGCCATAAGTCTGGATAGTCGCAACCTTGACATGGCCACCCTCATCCTCCAGAACCTTAGGTGCAGAGATAGACTTTGCACCATTTTTGACTGCAGCAAAGTAAACTGCATTCGCATCGTCGACTTCAAAAGAGACATCCTTTACAGCATCGCCGTGCTGTTCCAGATGGTGGTGAACTTCGCGAAGCTGGGCTTGTTCCTCAGGTTCAAAACGGTCAATCTGATCCAAGGAGCGAAGAGGAGAAGTCAGGATAAATGTGATATCGCCATTTCGGATCACATGAGAGCAGATATGACGGTGTCCAGTTTCGAGGCCACGGTAAGCAATCCGCTTAAAACCCATGCGGGTGATGTAGTAGCTTGCAGCTTGCTTTGCGTTACCAACATACCAGTGAACATGATCGTAACCACGATAGCTGGAGATAGAGGACGTGCTGTTTGCTGTGGAAGGAGGCGGGCTGTTTGAAATCGCCGAAGGTGCCATGGTGATTGATTCCAACGTTCTCACTGTTTGGATTTGACTTTTGGATGGTAAAAGTGTGGATGACAGAACTATGAAAGAAACGCCACGAAGTTTTTCATTTTATATGTATTACCCATAGTACCTCTACTAACCGCGTCGGAATTACTGCGGGTATCTGTAATTATCTCTTTGATCTTCGTCATTGGTATGGGAGCTATAACCCATAGAACAATGGCCTCGGCTGCAGCCGCTTCCTGAGTTTTCCTGAAATAGCCGGTAACAGCCGGGCCGAACTAGCTTGTGACGAATCTGACCTCATCTCGAATCTTCATTATTCCTTTGATATTTGAAAATAATTTCTGATCACTCTCAAGACTCGCCTTAGCTAGAATTCCTTTCATTTGCCACAATTTCCTGAGATCGTTTTCAGTTTGACAATACCACCTTTCTACCCGTGGACACACTATGATGGCATCAGCTACTATGGCCCGTCCGTCCTTGACATCCAACGATACGGCGGTTCTGCAAGCGTTATTCGATGCCGAGTCTTCACCCTCATCTGGAGTTACAATCGATCCACGTCTCCCTTCCTGGCCGGCCACTGTCCTTATCTCACACGACGATCTTGGGACGCTGAAGACTCTCGAGGTGGAGATAGTACGGGAGCTACAACCAGATAAGAACCCGAGCGTTGAAAGTGTACAAGACGCAGTACATAAACTTGATTCAATTGTGCAACGCTACCCCTCCTATCCATCTGCGTACACCAATCGTGCCCAAACGTTACGCATGCTGGTTGACCTTCAGTCCAACGAAATCAGCAACACCAATGCCAACGAGGGCTCATTAGATACTTTGTTCACACCCGAAGCTACAGATCTGGTAACTCGGATCTTTAATGATTTGAGTCAGGCAATCGATCTTGTCAAACCTATCTCCCCAGTCAATCCAGTGTCCCCAGTGCAGGCTCGACTCCTCGCAGACGCCTATACACATCGAGGATATATTGTTTTGAAAGCAGCCCGGATCAAGAAGAACCACAATAATGGAGACTCGGAGATCGACAACTTGAATGTGGGTCCACAGCGGCTGTGGGGATTTGAAGCCGATCAACTGGAGGAAATGGCCAGTCGGGACTTTTTCCTTGGGGGACAATACGGAAATAAGGTTGCACAACAACTTGCAGTGCAAACAAATCCATATGCTAAGATGTGTGGAGCGATTGTGAAAGAAGCATTGAGGAAGGAGATGACTGGATCATGATTCGACAAGATAAATGAGCTTTTTTAGAGCCAAATTTTTCCATTTATGGTCTGGCGGTGTAATAACGGCCAAGTCCAACGAATCTAATCTGTGATAAAGTAAAGACTGCATCCGAAACTGGCACATGAACCGTATTGTTTTCGGGCTCTAGAACCTCACCGTTGTGGCGGCGGCTAGTGACGTGATGCTTTGTGAAATACCGATAAGATTGGTGGCGAGGAGGCAGATTTAGATCGCCATACTTGACTTTTACCTTCATTCAGGTATTTGAATCAAAAATTTTGAACGATTTATAGGTAGTTTGGCCAGGAACTCGCTCATGATAGTATACCAAACATGAGTTAAGAAATCTGGCGTTACTTGTGCTATCTATTATCATTGTACGGGGTACAAGTCATGGTGCAGGACATGACCTGTAGCAGAGCGCGGATACTTGCGAGTGGTACCATGCATATCACGTGTGCCAGTTCAATGTTAAAATCTGTTTTCAGAAGTTTGATAAATGAAGGTCATAAATTCCGTCTCTATGAATGGCATAAAATTTTTCGAATGGTACAATGTAGCTTTTAACCACTGTAGTCGATGGTAACGGCCAGTCGCACAGGGCCTTCGGACAAGTTGCCACCAATGCCACCGACGTCAGTTTGGGCGGAGGTATAAGCGTTGTCAACAGTGCCGGCATTGGAGGTTATAGACGAGCAGGTCGAACCGAGAGCATCGCAGATCTTCATACCCTGAACGGTGAGACCGCCATCCTGAGCTTGAATAGCGGAGACATCAAAGCCAGACCAGTTGTTGTTGGTGGAAGAGCCAAAGTCGAATTCACCCCAGGTGGCGGCATAGGCACCGCCGCTAGTAGGGATAGTAGAGCCTGGAGCGGCCGCCCAGCCACCCTGGGAGTCGCCATCAAAGGCGTAGTATACGGTGGCACCAGCAGAGAGAGTGAAGGTCTTGCAGGCATTGCCGTAGTAACCGTCCATTTTGCCATCAGAGCCATACTTGTTCCAGATGACGACTGTCCAGTCATCCGTGTTGGAGCCCTGAAACTGAACGACGTATTCGTAGGAGCTGGCGTCAGAAGCAGATATCTCAATGATATTGCTGCCGTACGGATTGCCGACGTTGCCCTCGTATGAAGCACCGGAGCCGGAGCTGCTAGTACTGGAACCGAAGCCAGACGTGTCGTAGTTTCCACTGGAAGGAACGGACGTCCAAGAAGACGAAGAGGAACTGGTAGTAGAAGTGGCCTGGCGGCGAGCCATGCCCTCTGGGCGGGCCAATGTGCCTGTAGCGATAGCTACCAACAGCATAAGAGACTTGGAGAACTGCATATTTGAAAAGGATTGACTCGGCGAGGGCCGGAAATAAAGAAAGGTATAAAAGAATGACAAGAAACACTAATGGCTTCTTCAACCAAAAGGAGTGTGGTAGTAAGAGAGTGTGTAAGAAGAGAGTGTGTAAGAAGAGAGTGTGTAAGAAGAGAGCGTGGTTGACCAGAAAAGAAAAGACTCGAGGAAGAAGAGCTAGACGCCAGATATAAATACTCTGGACCCTTTCCCGCTTGAAAGGGTCTTCGTGCCCGCCGCCACGTTTGCCTTGGTATCCATTTGGGGGTCCACAGTGCCTGGTACCCCGCTGGATCGCCTATAGAATTCTATGCCATAACTTTTATCCCCAAAGCCTATATGATTGGGACAGCGGGGGAGCCCAATACTCGCATGGGTCTGGATGTTCCAGAAGGGCCTGTGTTCTGGGTCAACGCGCAGCGAACTGGATTCAGTGGGTCGTTAGCCAAGGATAAACTAAATATTTACGAACTGTGAAACTGTTGGCGTTGTGATCACAGAGTATTGGATCAGTCCTTGGTTAGGTATGAAGCGTTCAACAGCCGCCAGTATGATTTGTTCGTGTTATGACCTCCAGCGTCGATTATATCGACAAAACTTATGATTTTTGAACCGTTTTGACCAAATCAGGGGTATTTAAAGCCCTGCACGTCATGGTGGATACGATGGAAAAAGATTTCAGGGCGAAGAAGTAGACTGAATGGTGCATGTAGTGGGATATCTGGTAAATGGCTGAGGCTGGGCAGTGGACCTGGCTTGATCGGCAATAGTGGGACAACGGAGCCATGCCGAAGGATCCGGTTACGCGTTGGATCAGGTCTCGACATCACTGTAGTAATGCCAAGTTGAACTTGATAGGGTAGTGGCTGGTATAGTTCAGGGACCTAGACCACGTAAGACTTGGATGATCCCCTCAGAAGATGAAAATCAGCGCTTAGTCAACTCTTAGAGATGGAAAAATTGTGATCATTTGGTATAGAGCAATTCAGGGGCGTTATTAAGAAGATGAAAATCACTGAGCTGAGAGTTGATAACCATGGTCAAGTCATGTATGGTCCAGGGTCGAACATTTTAAAGTAGTCTGATTGGTCAAATCTGAGGAAGAAAGTGATAATGCAACATTACAATCAGCCAATCATAAAACAATATTGAATATAGCCGGCTAAGCCCTGGACCAATCATCATTGACCCCTGACAACCCAAAAATGAAAAATTGAAAAAAAACTTCCATTGGTTGAACCACGAAAATAATCTCGGCATTCTTTCTTTTATTCTATCACACAGTTCATTATGTGAGTAACATTTGAAGGAGAAAGGTCTGAACTTGATATTCATTGATTATGGACTAATTTTGCTAAAAGTTGGCTGTTTCCAGCTGAGTTCAAATTACCTCAAATTACGACCTCTTCAAGTAAACCACTACGGAATTTAGGGCCGGGGAAGGGCGAGCTTGACGGGCTCAACATGATTTATCAACTTTCAAATGTCACTTTTAATCGCATTATTAACCTTGGGAAAATTCATATGAGATTTTTACATACATTTCGTACAAGTTGGGTATCTGTACTAGGTAGTTCAAATTTTTATGTCATTCGCAAATACTAGCACGAACCACCTAGAGAAGATGCAGGAGTGCTATGTTGAGTCTAGAATTTGAACCTGAAACTTGTTCATGTATAGGGCTTCAAGTTCCTAGTGCCACCTGGGCAGGATTCTCAAAGTAAAACATCCTTGAGAGTAATGGAACTGCCAGTGGCATGATACAACTTTAACCAAGGCTGAACTGACGTAAATGAATACTTATGGAGATTTTAATGATAGCTTTACACTGTGACTCAACATGTGCCAGTGTTTAAGGTTTCGTCTTATCTTGCTAAACTGTGGTCAATCTGCGAGCTCTCAAATATGGATGTCATCTCCAAGTCCACGACTCTGATAGTAATAAATTGTGAGGCTTCTCACACTTCGGGCAAACTGGACTCTTGGATTATGTCTAGATATTTTCGGATTTCATCTGTCATCACTTCGTCAGCGGACCTCATTATGTGGTCATCATGGCGTGCATGCGGCAAAGTGCAAGTGCTCTGGTCTAAGAACTCTTCTTTCTACTACTAAGCAACAAGACAAGACTGCCAAGAAGCTTGAACTCCAGTTTTATTGAAGCTATGGCAGGTTTCCGATATCGTCCAGAAATCCTGGATGGGATGCCAGAAAGCGATATCATGTATCTGAAAGAATACGAGGATTGGTTTGTCTTGGAGTCAGATGAATTAAAGAAGATTACGGACCATTTTGTCAAGGAATTGGAAAAAGGCCTTACAAAAGAGGGTGGGAATATTGTGAGTATTGTTTCCAAGCTCGATCGAGTCATCAGTATGGTATACTCACATGTCTTATTATAGCCCATGAATGTCACCTGGGTTATGGGTTTCCCCTCCGGTCATGAGACAGGACGAGTCTTAACTCTCGATATGGGAGGAACCAATCTGCGCGTGTGCGACGTTTGTTTATCAACGCGAAAGAGAGATTTCGAGCAGACTCAACGCAAATTCAAGTTGCCAGATGAAGTCAAGACAGGCACTGGAGAGCAGCTATGGGATTTCATAGCAGGGCGACTCGAGACTTTTCTCCATGAACATCATGATGGGGGTCAAACAGGCACAACTCTACCTTTATCCTTTACATTTTCTTTCCCAGTCGACCAAAAATCCATACGAAGTGGAGTTCTTCAACGTTGGACGAAGAACTTCAATGTCTCAGGAGTGGAGGGACAGGATATCATTCCACAACTTGAGGCTGCCTTCAAAAGAAAGGTACATTGAACATCAACAAACAGTAGGATCAATCAATACTAAAGAGCTATTCACAGAATCTTCCCGTCAGGATTGTCGCACTTATCAACGATACAACCGGAACACTTATCGCCTCTCACTACCTGGACCCCCAGGTCAAGGTAGGGAGCATTTTCAGTACAGGGTGTAATGCGGCTTATATGGAAGAATGTGAATTGATCCCCAAGCTCGCTGATATTGGGCTGCCAAAGAATGCCAAGGTGATCATCAACACTGAATATGGCGCATTCGACAACGACCACAAGGTTCTACCATTGACTCCCTTTGATCGGCAAATAGACCGTGAATCGGCAAGGCCTGGCACTCAGATCTACGAGAAAATGGTCTCGGGGCTATACATTGGAGAAATGTTACGTTTGATCATGCTCACTCTGCATGAGCAGGGTAGATTATTCAAGGACCAAGATATCACGCGACTTCGAAACGAGAATGCACTCGAGGCCTCATTTTTGTCTGTTGCGGAGTTAGACTTCTCAGATGGGTTGGACGACATGCGCGAAGAATTCGAAGAAAGCCTGGGTTTATCTCCAAACTTGAATGAACTCAAGATTTGTCGATATCTGATCGGACTCGTTGCAACACGAGCTGCACGACTGTATGCCTGTGGAATTGCAGCTATTTGCAAGAAGAAGAATATGCGGAAATGCCATGTTGGGGTCGACGGCTCAGTGTTTAACAAGTACAGTGGATTTAAAGGACGGGCTGCTCAGGGACTACGTGATATATTTGACTGGCCACCCAATGAGCTCGAATTAATTGCGCTTAATTCGTCTGAAGATGGATCGGGTGTTGGTGCTGCGTTGGCTGCGGCATTAGTCCTCGAGGGCGAACAAAAAGCCAAACCCCTTTGACTGTTGATTCTGCATATCCATTTTGATCTTCAGGGCTGTACTATTAATTTCTGGGTATTTGGAACAAAAGAAATAGAATTGGCATTATAACATTTGAAGCATTCAACATTTTGAACTTCCAACATGGATTTGAACTTGATCGAATGACTCAATAAAACAAGGTGAAGATGAGACACCTTTTATTCAAGAATCAAGATTCAGCAGCCGCCTTTCAAATGTTTTCACAGATGAGCTTTCTCCGTACTCCGTCTGTAGATCTGGTTGATCCGCTTCCTGTTCAAATCATCCACCTCAGATTTGCACACCTGGATGCTCAAAGGCCCACCCAATTGTCTAATCCAATACGATCGACCACAATCAAAAAGCCAATTTCGGGAGGCAACTTGTACCAGCTCCGCTAGAAAGCACTGAGGTTCCGACCGATCTTCCGTGAATATAATCCGAGGAAGTTCTTTCCGAATCGCCGGTGGAGCATTGCTGTGAACAATAGCCAAGTAATCATCAAAGGTAAATGCCTTGTACAGCTCAGAACCAATATTCACTATCCCTGTTGTGCCAGCTGCTGCGTGTAAGAGACACGCGTTGGCGACGAAATCAACAGGAATCTCGTCGATAATGTTTGCGCCCGTGCGATAGCCTTGTGCGGAATGCCAGACTTGGGTTGCTCCACGGTCGGCCATGAAGTATTGAAAGAACTTGTTCAAGGGAGTGGAATTTTCAAGTCCATATAGTGGGTATGGATCACGGAGTGACTGGCCGAATATAGTTGGACGTACAACAAGGATTGGCAAAAGTGGGAAACGTTGAGTAAGAAGTCGCTCCATCAAGTGCTTAGCCTGAGCGTAGCTCGAGGAGAACTGCGCTGTAAATGCCGATTTATTTGATGCGAGAATATTTGCGATTTCGTCTTCTGGGTCTTGGTCAGATAATTTATACGTCCTTTCTAGTACTGAGCCATCGGGTAGGAAGCTATTGGCGTAGGCAGTTGAAATCTGAACCAGGAGCTTTAGACGGCGAAATTTGGAGGAAATTCGAGCCAGTTCCAATGCTGAAAGACAGTTGTTCTCAAACGCATCATATAGGCTTGCATCCAGTGTTATCTTAGCTGCTGTGTTGATGACGATGGTCACTTCATTCTGGAGTTTTGCAAGAATGACTGGTTGAATTCCGAAGTCTGCTGATCTGATATCGCCAATCACAAACTCTATCTTTTGCGAGGCAAGTATGGCTTCAGTCTGATTTGGCATTGATTTTCTCCATTTATTAATGGCTTCTTCTGGTTTCCCGCGAATCAATGTGTAGATTTTGTAAGTAGGGAGTTGTAGTGCCAACTTGAACAGTATGCACCCTCCCAAGGATCCAGTACTCCCAGTTAAGAAGACCGTATGACCCTGGAAAACTTTGGTATATCCATCTCTCAGGATGCTCTCGATCTTTGACTGGGATTTGGAAAGTGACGACATTGGATTTAACTGAGCGGCTTCCGAGTTTTGAAATCTAAATTGCACTGACAGTCAATTGAAAGCTCCGAGAGTATCCTTATACTGAGGCAGATCTAGTAGTAACAATCTAGCCTTATCGTGGTGATACATTGGGTTGTGTCAATGGGTGGGCTTTCAAGTTCGTCAGGGGCTTAAGCTTGTCTTTTCGGTACGATTGTGATTCGATAACCTCATTTTGTGTCACTACTCGGGCTCTTTGGGGAGATTAATACAGTAATTGGGGAAATGAAAGACGACTTGCTTTACGGATATTGTAGGATAGCCGAGGGAAAGTCGATCGCGCTTTCACGAGCCTCTTGGGCCTAAAATAGGTGTAATTTGAAGTAGTCACTAACAGTCTTCGTACCTCGAGATCCCAGAATTCCCCTTCCTTTAGTTCAATGTTCCACTCAAGAAGACTCGGACACATGTGCACAAGCTTGGCACATACAGGTACATGTACCATTCCTTTAAGCAATTTTGAAGACCTTGCACATGTGTGTTCAGCTTGAAGTTGTACAGATACTACAGTGGGTTCTTCGTTTACGTATTGTCCTATGTGCCAAGGGGCATTATAGTACAGAATCATGTGAAGATCTTGTTAGTTTCTAAAACCAAATAGTACATACTCCGAGGTTACAGATCCCTAAGACTTTTCAATGGCACTTCATCAGTATTAGATACTGGTGAGGAGAATTTTGACTTGGATAGAGCATCAAACCTGTAAATTGTCCATGGATTTCTAGTCTGAAGATACTTCGATGCAGGCTTCAACTACCGGTTGACACCTGAAATCAGATTCTTTTTTCTTTTTAATTCCAAGGTTCATGTTCTGCAAAGTGACTGGTGTTGTGTTATGATATTCTCGGGGGCTGTGAGACTATTTTTGCATTTTCACGGCTCATTTCTAGAAGCCTTGTTATTTCAAACATAATAATGATCGTCATGACTTGTTCACATGCTATCAAAATCTTGGAAATAATTTCGTTTTTGATCCTGTGAAGAGTCCATTTGTAATTTCATTCAGACTTCATGAATGAACCCCATTCTTAGGGACAGCATGGCCGAGTACTATCGCATGCTCTCGCATTGAGCTTTTCGATAAAGGTCTGACCCCATCGCGCGCTAAGAAGAGATATTAGTACCCGAATTTCTTTCTTTTCAGAATCCGGATTTACCTTGTATATTTGTGTACAAAATCTCTCAGATACTCGTACTTGCGTTTGCGCTCGTCTTTATCCAAGTGTAGAGCCGCATATAAGGCCTCAGACATCTCTGTTTTATTGGCGGGATGAAAGCAGATGCTACCCTCCCGCATGAAAGAGGCAGCACCAGCAAACTCCGAAAGAACAAGAACTCCATGTCGTTTTTCCTGGCAGGCGACATATTCGAATGACACGAGATTCATGCCATCTCGAGTTGAGGTAAGAAGACATGCATCGGCAATTGAGTACAGTGCAGCCAACTCTGTGAAAGGAACAGAGCGGTGCATATAAAGTAATGGTGTGCCCTCAGGGGTGGCTAGTAGTGGCGTCAGCACTATACTTCTTGCCATCATCCAAGGATCGTGACATAGGGTCTCATACCATGCTTTCCATTTATCTTGCCAGCTAGTGTGCTGAGCTCTGTCTCCAGCTCTTGATACTCCTTGACGTCTTCACGACTTGGAACCGCAACCTGGATGAGCACGACCTTGTTTCTTAGTTCTGGGTGATCATCCAAGAAAGCATCAAACCCTTTGAGCTTTTGTGTCAAACCCTTGATATGATCAAGTCGATCCACACCAACAATAACTCTCACACCTTTGTAACGCTTCTCAAGGGTTTGAATTCGATCCTCAACATCGGGACTTTTGAGCGTGTCTGTAAATTTCAGTGGATCGATGCCCACGATGAATTGATCAATGCAGACCAGGCGGTTTTTATATTGAATTTGATTGGGAATCTCGGTACGGGCGCCCCTAGATACAGTTAGAGAAGAACTGGTGTATCATTGTTTCAAGAAAAATCCCACAGTAGAGTTGCACATGTATCAATGAAGTTCTGTTTATACTCATCCGTGTGAAACCCAATTAAATCACTTGCCAGCAAGCCATCGATGAGGTGTTTCCGGACAGGAAGATTCCTCCAGAAGTCTCCGGCGGGAAATGGTGTATGAAGGGAAAAGCCAATTGCGCACGACTTGCCCTGATTTTGTAGCCGTGCTCGCAAAAGTTCTGGTAGCAGCATTAAGTGATAATCATGAATCCAGATCAACGTTCCGTTCTCGGCTGCTTGACAGATTTCATCTGCGAAAAGCTCATTTACACGCTTATAAGCCTGCCAGGGTCCATCATCGAATGTAACACCCGATTGATAGTGTAGGATAGGCCATAGAATTCGATCTTATGTTATTGTTAGCGCTGAGGAAAGGCTTTCTTATTCAAGAGGGACAAACTTGAAAATCCATTGTAATGCTCATGTGCAAGATCACTATCCAAGAAGACTGGACTGGCATTGTGCTCCGCTAAGCTCTGAGATACATCTTTTCTGTCTTCATTGTCCTTCACTTCGAGACCGGGCCAGCCAAACCATCTGAATTGTGTAGATTTCGTCAACCCCGATAATGCTGTGACCAAACCTCCACTGGAGATAGAGGACTGAAATGAACCATCCACCCGTTTAACTGATAGTGGTAGTCGGTTGGAAACAATAATCAAATTACGTTTCGGATCGTCAGCAGGCATTTTGATGATTTGGTTTAGACGCAATAATTCGAGCGACTGGGTGACAATATGAGATTGATCTGAAAACTTGCCCAGAATCAGCACTTGAGTATGGGCAGTATGTAATAGTAAGTAGTAGCCTCGTTGCCTCCTTACTCAACTGCTTCTAATGTCTACACTCCACGCTCCGTTAGATGAGTGAATTTTAGTTGTTGCCTCTTGCCTCGAGCATGGCAAACATACGTCAGTATGAAAATCGTCGCAGGCAGCAACATCTCATTTTGGACATCTGGAAGTTTCTCATCGTCTTCACCTGTGTACATTTGGATATTCTTATGACCGAAAAGTGGTCTGGATTGTAGCATTGATTTCAATCCATTGAATGGTTCCCTTTCTCATACCATCTTAGATTCGCTTCGTTACAGAGCTACTAAAAGGGGAGTATTTTCGTCATGGTGACAGATATACTGAACCGGAAAGCTCAACACGCCACAGTCATCATCATCACAGTGCCCAGGTGAATATGGTCGCTATATGGCGACTCAATAAGCACCCGCAGAATACCTGGGCATTCATATTGCTACTACCTAGTTCCTTAGGTAGCGTGTCGTACCCGGGCACTGCTACAGTTGCGGTCAACCGATCGAGTAAGCTATCTGCATTACACTTCGAAGTATACTTCTTACATGGATAAAATAGCATAAATCGCCATAAACTTGATTCGTAATTATCATGAGGTCGTGAATTGAAAATTTTCGTTTTCAAAGGGCCGGGGCCTCCCATGCATCCCTCGTGATTCTCATCACTGCGGACTGTTTGTGTGGGAATGTGACCTCGCCCTCTTTATAGAAGCCAGCTTCTTGGAGATATTGAATGAGCTTTACATTGTCAACTCGAGGTTCTAGAACAACAGACTCTGTTCTCAAATCACTCAAAAAACAATGATGCACCAGAGCTGTCAACCAGACGGCCACTCGGTGCGGTCCGCGGAATTCCTGCTCGCCGACCAGAAGATGAATACCTCGATCATAGTTGTCGACTCGTTCCAATAAACGACCCAATGGGTCCTCCTTGACCCAGTAGATCTCAAAGTACCCAAAAGGTTTTCCATCCCAGCATCCAATAACTGGGAAGCTATGCCGACTGGTAAGATTGGTCAACAAAAACTTCTCTTGGACTTCCTTTGGTCCTCCAACACCCCACATAGCTTCAACACGAGGGTCATTCATCCACTTGTGGAGCGTATCAAGGTCAGACGGCACGTCCTGACACAAATGCTGTTCCACGCTAGTCACTGCGGAGCTAACAGTCCGAGTTGGTGTGGATGGTCGGCTGTCGTTGGTTGAGGCTGGTGTCACTTTTGTCTTGGTCATCGGCAGGAATGGGACCCGGAAGGAAAGGTACTCTTGGACACTAGGAATGTAGCGCACGTAGAAGACTTCGCCTTGATGCGGTGGTTTCGGGCGGATAGGGTGCCGGACTCCCTTGGTAAATGTATATTGTGTGGGCGCTGGGGGGGTAGTAGGTTGGCAAATGACTGGCTGAGGTGAAAGGTCCGCCTGAGGTAAATGAGCCGATGCTGGCGGTATGGAACTTCGCTTCAGTGGGTTGTAATATTGTCGAGGCCGGCAATCCATCTCGTGCGGGAGATGCATGGCGAGATTGAAAAGGAGTGATCGATGGCGATGGGGGCGCCGCTAGCGGTGTGAGTGTGAAAAGAAACAAACGAGGATCTAGCTGCCAGAAGCTCCGTCGACTGACGAACATGTTTGACCAGCTACTCGAGTCTCGGGTTTCCACTGGCTGTAAGCCCACAGACGAGTCTTCACTTGCAATCAAACCCATTCGCTCAAGCTTCTGTAGAAGATTCCTGCCCTTGAAAATCCCCTCTCGCCGAATATTTACCCGCCATTCGCCCTTTGGGCGTCCTCCGTGCGGGGTAGTCGCACACGCGGCCGTATCCAAGTGAAGGTCGGGTTCAGCCTCGTGGAAGTACCACCATAGCGTCGCCCATAGCATCATAGCAATCTGACGCGTGGGCGACGAGCTCGGTTTGAACTCGGTTGATGGGGGATTGACAATGTAGGAAATGTAGAGGCAATCGCGACGCAAGGTGGGGGTGGTGAATCGCGTGATGTTCTGGTCACCGGCACTGGATGACGGGCGACCCGTCTCAAGCCCGGGGCGACCTCGATCATCCTCTGGCTCTTTCAAGGCCTTCTCGCTATGGATGATGATCGTCCAGCCCGGGGGGAAAGTGGAGTTGTGGACGTTTAGATCGTTGGATTTGAATGTGACCCCACCAAAGACGGGAGACACCGTGAATGTCAGACCATTTGGGAGGTGGCAGGCGTTGTGTCGCATACTGATTGGGATGAATGTTTGACTGAAGAGACCAGGAGAGAGAAAAGAGAATAAATAGGGTAGCGAAAAGTGGAAAAAGCAAGGAAATGGGCACACATCCTCCAAGTACGAGGTGTATTATCACTGATTTCGTCGATATACCTCGTCTGTCATTGGCTGTGAGGGGCTGTCATGTGCACGGACGATAGCATCATAGCGGATAGAATCAGCAGAATTCAGGCGGTCAGGAGATCAGATCATCAGGCGGTCGGTAATATTATAGGTAATACCGGATACAGGAAGATTGCCCGCGCTGGCCTCGATAAGCGCGATATCTCCACGCTCGAGCCTCGGAGTCATTTCCTTTCCACACATTCGGTTGTTACAGTCAATCGATCTCTACATCATGTCCGATTCGCTCGTACCAGAGACACGGGTGCTGGCAGTTGCCAGTCATGTAAGTCGTGCGCCAATTCTTGAAAGAGAGAACGCCCATGCTAATAATGCGCATTATAGGTGGTCTATGGGTATGTTAACAGCCCACTTTGCGGATGATAGGAGTCATGCGACAACTTGAGCAACAAACAACAACTGACATCTTCAGCAATGTGGGAAATACAATGGCCGAGTTTGTAATGCAATCTTTGGGTTGTGATGTCGCAGCTCTAAATACAGTGCATTTCAGTGAGTGATCACAGCCATCGGATACCTCCGATAAGAATATCAGATACATCTTCGGTCCGGAATTGGCTGACGATGTGATTTCAAGGCAATCACACTGGATATCGACAATTCAAGGGTACTCGTGCCACCGCCCAAGAAATTACAAACTTATATGAGGGCCTGCAGCAGAGCAATCTTACCGACTTTGATATGATGCTCTCCGGTTACGCACCAAGCGCGGCAGCGGTGGAGGCCGTTGGTGCTATTGGAATCGATCTACAGAGCAAGGCAAAGTCTAAGCCTGGATCATTTTTTTGGGGTAAGGCTACCTATTTGCTCAGAAATCAATGAGCCAATCGTGAATCTTGAGCGAGTAAGATGATGCTAATCCGACTTCTATATAGTCCTTGACCCAGTGATGGGAGACCAAGGTCGTTTATATGTTAATGACGATGTCGTACCAGCTTATAAGAAGATGATTCATCATGCAGATTTGATTTTACCAAATCAATTCGAAGCTGAGTAAGTTCAAGTTCAACTCGTGGAGGAAATACCTTGACACTTTCTACTTTATCTTATTAACCTCCCTCACAGGGTACTCTCGGGCATCAAGATCACCTCTTTAGCCACACTCGCCGAGGCCATCACCGCCATTCACCGTATATACGGGGTTCCTCATGTCATTATCACCTCAGTCCAACTATTCAAGTTATCTCAATCGGGCTCCACTCCCAGCACACCGGATAACTACCTAACAGTAATTGGCTCCACAACCCGCTCTGATAGCTCACCGCGCCTCTTCCGCATCGATGTCCCAGCTCTGGATTGCTTCTTCAGTGGAACGGGAGATATGTTTGCCGCACTGATGGTCGCCCGACTACGTGAGGCCATTGACGCTGCGGGGCCAGACCTGCGGAGTACTGCGTCCTGGGTATCACCAGATGAAGTGGAACCTAGCTGTCTCCCATTGGCCCAGGCTACCCTCAAGGTCCTGTCCAGTATGCATAGTGTTCTCGAGCGAACAATGGAAGCCCGCAATGCAGAGTTGGCTGTTGCTTCACCTACTCAAAATGGAGATTTGACCACCGAAGAGCAGCAGAAACAAGAGCATCTGCGACGTACTAAAGCAGCAGAGGTTCGATTAGTCCGAAATGCTCGGTTTTTGAGAGACCCTCTGGTACAGTTCAGTATTCAGGAGTGGTGCAAAGAGGACCTCCCTGTTTAGTTGCAATAGGGATGAAACACGATTGGACAGTATTGGAAGTATGAACCTTGCAAGACAGTCATTCCATGGCTCGGATGATCAAAATCTGTAAATAAAACCACATTTAGACCAAAACATACCGTTTAGCCATCTTTTTTTTTTATTTTATTTTTTATTTTTTGGGGGGGGGGGGGTTTATTGCATCATCGTGGAAAGGGATTGTGACAGGCTTCATCCGGGACTCGGAGTTCCAACTTGAATTTCCCGTTTCTTGTAGGGATAAGCATGACTTAAGGTTCTTTGGATGATTACCTATGGTCTCTTGCAAATTCGGTGCATTTCTCAATTCAATACTTATAAGGTTTCCTATATAATTCCAGGTTAGGGGAAGTGTTAATATGATGTAGTTCACTTCGATAGATTAGTGCGGTGTGGAAGGCGGTAGACTTTCAATATTGGCATTATAAGTACTAGGTTGGCCCGAGTCCCGACTGATAAGCGGCCACTACATCGTTTCTCCTCTTTTGCCTATCTCTACTCCGTACACACAGCCTTACGACTTCTGCACGGCTCCGCTGGTCGCGGTCGCCATCGGATTCTGTGTTTTTTTCTCAGCTGATTGTGTCTGGATAAGTGATATAATCGTTATTATGGAGGAGGAGGCGGCCGTCGGGGTTTCCCCTGCCGGCCCATCGCAAACTGGGTTGCGACGGTGAGTCAATCCCAAGATTGGCCCCGAAAGCATGCTTCGATAACATTTCGACTGATGCTGATTTATGTTCTAGACGTACAGGTCGAAGTAAACGAAATGGGGGAATCGTGGGCCAGGCTAGTTGGTCCAGCAGTGTGATCAATTTGGTTAATACAAGTGAGTTCCACTCCGACGCCCCATCCGGGGGACTCTTGGCAACTAACGGCGTGGTACTTTGAATAGTTGTTGGAGCTGGTGTGCTCGCTATGCCCCTCGCAATGTCGCATTTCGGAATCGTGCTCGGTATTTTTGTCATTCTCTGGTCTGGTGCTACTGCGGGTTTTGGTCTTTACCTTCAATCTCGATGCGCGCTTTATCTCGAGCGAGGCAACGCTTCGTTCTTCGCTTTGTCGCAGTTAACATACCCAAATGCAGCGGTTGTGTTTGATGCCGCCATTGCGATAAAGTGTTTTGGTGTTGGCGTGAGCTACCTTATCATCATTGGGGACCTCATGCCGGGAGTGGTCCAGGGTTTCGTGGGCGGCGACCCATTATATGACTTCTTGGTCGACCGGCATTTCTGGGTGACTGCATTTATGTATGTGCTTTGTGAGAAAGCCACCACCATCTTGACCACTTGCTTACTTGAATGCGTTTGTACAGGCTGATCGTCATACCTCTCTCCTACTTGCGTCGATTGGACTCTTTAAAGTACACCAGTATTGCTGCTCTCGTCTCGATGGCCTACTTGGTCGTCTTGGTTGTGTATCATTTTGCCAAGGGTGATACGATGCAAGATCGAGGTCCGATTCGCGTGGGCCAATGGGCAGGTATTGTGCCAAGTTTAAGCAGCTTTCCCGTGATCGTTTTTGCATTCACATGCCATCAAAATGTAAGAATTCACCCCTCTTTTTGTTCAGCATATCGCTAATATCTGGATAGATGTTTTCCATTCTCAATGAAATCGCCAACAACAGTCATTTCAGAACCACTGCTGTCGTCCTGGCTAGCATCGGTAGCTCTGCGGCCACCTATATCCTTGTCGCTATTACAGGCTATCTTTCCTTCGGTAACAATGTTGGAGGCAATATCGTGGGAATGTATCCTCCTGGTGTCTACGCGACAATTGGAAGAGCAGCAATTGTGATGCTGGTCGTCTTCTCTTACCCATTGCAATGCCATCCATGTCGAGCTTCGGTCGACGCCGTGTTGAAATGGCGTCCCAAGTCCCAATCCACCCGCGCAGAGGGGTCTCCTCATCGCCATCCGTTACTTGGATTGCATTCGAGCTGCACGCCGGAACCTATGAGTGACCTTCGCTTCTCGATCATCACCACTACGATTCTTATTCTGAGTTACCTCGTGGCGATGACCGTTTCTTCTCTCGAGGCTGTCTTAGCTTATGTTGGTAGTACCGGCAGCACAAGTATCAGCTTTATTCTGCCAGGTCTATTTTACTATAAGATTTCTTCTCCTGATTCACCTGCTCACCGTGGTCTTCTCAAGGAAGATGATGAGGCTGCAGATGACATGGATGACGATGATGACGATGATGAAGACGAAGGCGAAGGCTCTCTGTCTCGCTCCCTGACAGAAAGTGGCCTTGTTCGTCGCAACACACGCCAATGGCGTAAAGCTTTGATTCGCCGGTTAAGTTTGGGACTGGCCGCATATGGCGTGCTAGTTATGGTCGTGTGTCTTATCACCAATACATTCTTCATTGCATCCCATTGAAGAACTCGTCTGATACCTCCACTCTTACATATATTTTGCAGCCATTTTCACTATCTCTTGCTTACTTACATGCCAGCGAACGTACCCACCCATGTGCTTATTTCCGATGAACATTACAATTGTGAACTTTTGTCCGACGATTTGTACTTACGCGATGCTCGCTTATTTTAGAGTCAACCTACAAATCTTTTCTGGGACTTGATGCTAGCTGAAGGCGTTTTAAGGTGTTCGATTTGTTACTTGTTTGCTTTTTTGTTTCATCTTCTCGCTATCTTGCATAAAGTGACCTGCCCAGTACAAATTGATTTTCCATACAATATTACCTCTTGCTTCCAAAATTCCATAGAACTCCAGATGTCTGAAGGAAAGGACTACACTGAAAATGAGATATCGTACTACCAGTTGACCTATGGGGCCTTTATGGGGTGCCGAGTAGTACTTTATCTTTGTACTCTGTACTCCATACTCTCAAGTTCTCGAGTGACCCCACCCTGTGCCTATGCCCCACGGTGACACGGTCTGATCACACTTGTGGGGGCGAACGGGGATATGCCGACGGCGATACGCCGCTGATATCTAAGCTAAAGCACGAGATAAATTGCCATTGAAATGAACCTATGAGTGAGTTGAGGTAATAAATATATTGGTTATCCACATTGGTTCGCGACGAAGCGAGTACTGCTAACAGGAAAAACATTCAGGTTTGAACGAAAAACCACCAACAACCTCAGGCCGAACACAACATGGGTTCTTTCCGCCCACGCATCGCAATTACCTTGGGTGATCCAGCGGGTGTCGGTCCTGAACTTGCAGCAAAGCTTCTCGCAGATCCCCGTAATCGCAATCGAGCTGATCTGATAGTCCTCGCAGACCGTCGTGAAGTTGAGGCTGCTGCACTCACTGCGAATGCATCAGTTCCGGACGATATACGAATTCTAGATGACGGGACTGCACCCTTGATTCCCATCGAGAGCGGCAAGATATCGAAAGAAGCGGGAGAGCGGACGTTGCACCAATTGAAACGAGCCGTTGCTCTAGTGAATCAGGGAGAAGCTGACGCTATTGTCTTCACGCCTCTTAATAAGACTTCTCTCCACATGGCTGGCATGCACGAAGAAGATGAGCTACGATGGTTTGCAATGCATCTCAACCACAAAGGGACAACGAGCGAAGTCAATATCATCCCTGGTCTATGGACAGCTCGAGTGACTAGTCATGTTGCTATCAAGGACGTCTCTGCCAGGATCTCCGAGTCGTCCGTATATAATGCCATCGCATTGCTACATAAGCTTCTGTAAGTGAACTTAAGACTTGAAAGATCTTCAATGGTTTCTGACTGGATATAGGTCTGATTTCGGCATCCAAGACCCTCGCCTCGGTGTCTGCGCACTGAACCCTCACAATGGGGAGAATGGCTTGTTTGGCCGAGAAGAAATCGATTCAATCCGACCTGGCGTGGAAATGGCATTATCGAAGGGAATAAATGTAAAAGGACCTTTCCCAAGCGATACCATATTTGTCGGGCGTGCGAATTATGACGGAATAGTCACGATGTATCATGATCAGGGACAAATTGCGCTCAAGGTTATTGGTTTTGATGGTGGAGTTACAGTACAAGGCGGATTGCCGGTTGTTGTTGTAACTCCAGCCCATGGGACAGCATTTGATATTGCTGGGAAGAATATCGCCAGCGTGAAGAGTAGTCAGAACGCATTGGATATTGCTATTGCGGTAGCTAGCAGGCGGAATGTTCGATTAGTCTGAATTCCATTGGTATTGATCTCTTTAAAGAACCGTGACTGAACAGCATATTGATGAGATGCACGAATCAAAAGTATATCCTTTAGTTATAAGCAGAATCGAGCAGTCATGTCGACGACAAGTATGATTCTCTTGTCCAGTTCAAGTTGTCACGATGTATCCGAAAGGAGTTGCAACTGTATTCCAGGTTGGTAAAGCAATCAAAAAAAAAGTTGCCCTGGACGCGAATCGAACGCGCGATCTTCTGTTTTCAATACGATTTACCATACGAGACAGACGCCTTACCACTTGGCCACAAGGGCAGGTTTAAAATTTGACGTCGATTTTCGACACCGAATCAACTTTGTCCATGCGAGGATGATCACCAATGCTGGAAAATGTTCAAGGTAACAGAGCAGGTCGATGTGCAATTAGAATGAATAGCCGGCTATTGCAAGATAATCAGTAGATTGACCAAAAGTAACAGGACATTATTGAGCAGTAAACCATCAAGCGTCGAGTGGAATTTATGATGTCAGTGCCTAGGCTAAAGCACATGCAACAAATGCAAATGTTCGCTGCATAGAGAATTCACATGCAACCGCCTCACACGTGACCTCCTAACACAAGTTTCGGAACAACAATAATGCGGGGGACCTCGGCATGTTGGATGATCACCAGTGATGAGCTTACAACCAAGGCAATACCACCGAGGCGTGAGGGTAGATTTTATAAGAGAGTCTCTATCCGCCATCACAAATCCTTGATCTTATAATCACCTACATTTTGACCTACATTTTGAAAACCTCTCCGCCCACCTTATTTCCCTCCTAACTATCGTTCCCCCTTGACGTCATGTCTTCTGGTATGTGTTGCCGGGTTTAGTGAGAAGAACTATGCTGACGAGGTCCAAAAAATAGCCCAGCAACGCTTATCCCAAGTGTCCTCCCACTTCGGTGGCCGGAAGGGAGCCGCCGCTTTGACCGAGAAACACCCCGATGATATTGTCGTGACATGTGCCCTCCGATCTGCCCTCACGAAGGGCGGTAAGGGTGGTTTCAAGGATACTGCTGCAGCTGATCTGCTGGCCGGTGTTTTCAAGGCCGTCATCGCTAAAAGCGGTATTGACCCGAAGGTCGTGGAGGATATTGCGGTCGGCTCTGTTCTCCCGCCTGGTGGCGGTGCCACTGAGTTCCGTGCTGCTGCTCTTGTGGCTGGTTTCCCCGAGACTGCTGCAGTCAAGAGCTTGAACCGTCAGTGCTCGAGTGGTCTCCAGGCCATCGTTGACATTGCAAATGCTCTTAAGTCCGGCATGATTGATGTTGGTATCGGTGCCGGTGTAGAGAGCATGACTTCACAGTATGGGTATGTATGACGCGAAAGTTCTCCCTCGCTCGTGAAAGTCCCGCTAACAGGTGGTCTTTTTTTCTTTTATATAGGCCTGGCGCAGTCACCGAGTTTTCTGAACTCCTGGAGAACCACACCGAATCCGCAAACTGCAAGGTTCCCATGGGTGTTCTCTCCGAGGATATGGCCAAGGACCGCAACATCTCCCGTGCCTCCCAAGATGCGTTTGCTGCCTCTTCATACCAGAAGGCCGAGAAGGCTCAAGCTGCGGGTCTCTTCAAGGAGGAGATCGCACCCCTTGAGGTCAAGTGGACTGACCCCAAGTCCGGCGAGGAGAAGACCATTACCGTCAAGGAGGACGATGGTATTCGCAAGGGTATGACCATCGAGTCTCTGAGCAAGATTCGTCCTGCTTTTGCCAAAGATGGTTCCATCCACGCCGGTAACGCCTCTCAGATTTCCGACGGCGCCGCTGCTGTGCTTCTGATGAAGCGTTCCACTGCGGAGCGTCTGGGACAGAAGATCATTGGAAAGTACGTCTCTGCCAGTATTGTCGGCGTCAAGCCACTTCTTATGGGTATTGGGCCCTGGAAGGCCATTCCTGTTGCTTTGGAAAAGGCTGGCATCACCAAGGATGATGTCGACATCTTTGAGATCAATGAAGCATTCGCCTCTCAGTGTGTGTGGTGTGTCAACGAGCTTGGCTTGCCCATCGAAAAGGTCAACCCTAAGGGCGGTGCTATTGCCTTCGGTCATCCTCTTGGTTGTACAGGTGCTCGTCAGATCAGCACTCTCTTCACAGAGCTTAAGCGAACCAACAAGAAGATCGGCGTTACCAGCATGTGTGTTGGCACCGGTATGGGCATGGCCGCAGTCTGGGTGGCCGAGTAAATAATAAATCACCTCATTGTCTCTTGCACAGCGATTGGATCTATTTATATCCATGCCTTCTTTTCTATGTATTAAATATTCGGATACCACAAAGATTGAATTTTACTCGCATGTTTCTTTGAGATTCCTGTCACGATTTCAGTAGTTTGCATATACTACTTCTCCTATGTACAAGACTATACACATGGCGCCGTCGAGGCTTGTCATTTTATCGTCTACTTCTGCGAGTCCAGATATTTCTGCTGCTCCTCGGGAGACTTGGCCATAAATGCTTCATACTCAGCGACGTTGGTAAGACCCTTGGGCATGCCGTTTGGCTGTAAGCCCTGTTCGCCCATCAAGCGATCACGTATCTCCATAGACCGTTTCCAGCTTGGACGGGATTCCATACGTCGATGCCAGGCACGTACATTGGGATATGGTTCCAATGGATCCTCGCCCGCGGGTGTCGCGAGAGCCATATCGACGCGGGTGTTCCAAGACAAAAAGGCAAGGTCGGCGAATGTACATTTGCTACCAACAAGCCATTCCTTACCCTCCAGAAGCCCATCCAAGACACCCAGAATACGATGGACTTCCGCATGGTAACGAGCCATTGCTGACGGCAGCTTCTCTTGGTGGAACTGTGTGAACCTGGTAACAGAAAATGTGTCACGTTAGTGATGATTGTATTTAAGAAGTGTCGACTGGAGCTGACAAACCATCCAGCCTGGCCAAAATAAGGACCTTGTCCACTCATCTGAAAATGCAAGTATTGATTGAGCAAATGCTTCTCATTCAAGGTGTCGTATGTCAACTTCTTCTCTGTGTCATAGACATCAACTAGGTATTGAATGATAGCTCCAGATTCCCAAAGAGTCAAATTGGTATTCGGATCGACAATTGCTTTATATGTAACATTTGAAGGTTAGTGATGATATCCGAGGTTTGTCAAACAATCGACATTGAGGGCTTGAAGCAGGATGTCTTCACATACCAGGGACCCTACCATTAGGGTTGACATCAATAAAAGGAGGGTTCTTCACATCATCAAACTTGAACGAGTGAATATTATAAGGAACTTGAAGCTCCTCAAGCACGCAAATGACCTTCCATGGGTTCGGGCCCGGGGCTATGGATGCACATATGAATTAGGTCAATTCATCATAACTTGAATCACTTGGGCACATATACAACTTGAAGAGATGATGCCCTGGAAAACTGGGATCAGCTCGGGCCCTGGGACTTACGGGTTAGCCAAACAGTGATAGGCTGGGACATTATTCTTATTCGACGGTGATTTAATATACTTCAAATGTTCAAGTTGAATTGATAAATAACATTGAAGTAAGGAAAAAGAGTGAACAGCCTGAGGGGACCTTGGGGTAAATACCTCAGACAAATGGGGCCAACCTTGGAAGCTTGAGAAATTATCATAATCCGACCTCGGGAGTCCCGTCAGCCCTGGAGTCGGATCATCCGGTGATAGAACCATCAGTAACCTGGAGCTAACATCCAGATGTCAGCACTTGAGTACCCCTCTTAACCTATCTAGGAAGGTGAGGTCCCCACTACATAGGTACTAATCCTCGCGTTTTCAAACCTTTCATTATGTACTTCCGTTCTCGGCATCATGGCGCATCAACCCCAGAAATTGACGTCAAGTCTCCCCAGCATTCCTGAGGCTATCAATACGACTTAATTCAAACGAAGACTGAAGTCGTCTCCAGTTGAATCAACATCAACATGTCCAAAATTTAGAGTTGGCAGGGATCCACGGTCAAACCGCCGCACCCGTCTTGGGAGTCGGCGCTCAACATGCCACTAAACCTAGACGGGGAGAACATTCCAGGATTATGACGGCATTTACACTCGTATTTGAAGATAAATAACATTGCGGTGCATTGATCGATCTACAAACATAACCTGCCTTCTACTCTGAAAATCTAACAGACTAACTCCACCATACAAGTCTCAATATAACAACATCGTTCATCCTACGTTTGACTTTCTTGCCAGAGGTCGTTGGGTTTCGAAATGGATGGAACGAAGCTCCCACCAGAGTATCTCAACCGTTATAGCAGTGCAACCTCGAGGATTCCTGGGCTACAGCTAACGGAAATTCCCAAGACACCAATAGCACCTGCAGTACCCGTCTCCTCAAAGCAAGATGAATCACCCGCTCCTCGGCCAGCTTGGTATAATCCCAGAGGCTGGTCACTACGTAGGAGATTGATAGTCGCTATCGGCATTTTAACCGCAATCGTGGTCATTGTCGTTGGCACAGTCGAGGGAGTCAGAGCCAACCGATATCCTGATTATAGCCCCTTGAACTATAAACTAGTTGATTCGTACGAAGGGGCGTCATTCTTTGATCGATTCAACTACTTCTCCGATCAAGATCCCACAGATGGAACTGTAGTGCACGTACTTTGCTTCCTAGTACCTGTTATTTGAGTTTACTAACAAAAGATTAGATATGTCAACGAAGACGCAGCTTTAGATCTGAACCTCACATACGCTACGGACACATCTGCCATTTTGCGAGTCGATTCCGTCACACCCAAGGCTATTGGCGGCCGTAACTCAGTACGGATCGAATCTTGGTCAACATACGACAACGGCCTCTTCATATTCGACATTATTCATACTCCGTACGGCTGCGGTACCTGGCCCGCACTATGGCTCACGGATGGATACAACTGGCCCGATAATGGTGAAATTGATGTCCTCGAAACGACAAATGAGGGCTCACACGGAAACGACGTCACCCTTCACACCACTGAGGGATGTAAGATGAACGTGAAGCGGAAACACACGGGGTATCCAGTGTTCTCAAACTGCGATAACACCACGCACAGCAATGCTGGATGCATGATAACCGGTACTCCGTCCACATATGGCCGTTTAATGAACGAGAATGGAGGTGGAATATATGCACTCGAGATCCGTGACGCTGGCATTCGCGTTTGGTTCTTCCCGCGCGACTCCATTCCTGGAGATATCAATTCTCCCGATCCTTCAACCTGGGGCATTGCTTTTGCCGATTTCCCCAGCACTGAATGCGATATTCCCTCTCACTTTAAGAACCAGAGCATTATTGCTAATATTGATCTCTGTGGAGAATTAGCTGCTCAGCCACAGTTTTACACTGAACGCGATCATTGCCCTGGCACCTGCGCAGAGTTTGTGGCCAATAACCCTTCCAGTTTTGAAGATGCATACTGGGAGTTTGCTAGTTTCAAGGTTTACCAAGCTATGTGAGCGTTATTTTTGCTGTTGCTTGATCAATTGATGATTTTCCTTTTGCTTAATTTCTATCTGTCAGAGCTCTACTTGTACTATCTAGTCAGGAAGTAATGAATAATATGGTTCGGACTGAAGTCATTTTCCCAGAATCATGATACTAGTAGATCATATGAAGACTCTCACTTTGAAGAACTTGTCAGGACAAATAAATGATATCACTTCAGGACTTGAGTAGTTCATGTCTCCCTTCAACCCCTTATATTTCCACGGGACTGGTCCATCCGACACGATGCAGCTGTTTCAAATTGAGCCAGTCATCTGGCTCTTCGTGTGCTCTAGACATGTTCTACAGCCCACAGTCCTCTGGTTTGATTGCTGGTGTTATTGCAGAGAGTGGACCTCGTGCACCCCATGATCCTATCACCGGATCTGTTGCCACAAGCTACCGGACCAAGGAGCATGCTCTTTCTACTGGTATTGACTTTGTGTCAAATAAACTCAATGTTTCGTCCATTTCAGAGGCACGGAAAGTCTCAACAGCAAACCTGACATCTTGGAGCCAACTCAATGATACCATATTCGATGGGACGCAGTTTGAAAATGTGACCAACTTCTCCGAGCCACCACTATGGCGTCCTGTTGTCGATGGCTATGTCCTGCCCTACACATATTGGGAAGCTCTAATCAATAATCGCCATGCAAATGTGCCCATTCTGGCGGGTAACAACAAAGATGAAACAGGAGCATCGCCTGACCCAGGCTATACGGTGAGCACTTATAAAGGTAACTACAGTGAAATGTACACCAATCTTTCTACTCGCTATTTTGAACAATACCCTGCGAGCACTTATTACGAAGCCAACAATCAGAGCAACCTCATGTGGCAAGACTTCAGTCGGATCTCAACCTGGCAGTTTGCATTGAATATGGCAGCTGGTGGAAGTGATCAGCCGGTTTGGACTTATTACTGGACTCATTCACCACCTGGTCAGGATCTTGGGGCATTTCACGGAAGTGAGATGTATTACGTCTTCAACAATATTCCATACAATTATCCTAACATGCCTTGGACCACCGATGACTATGAAATCCAGTCCCAGATGACACAGTATTGGGCCAACTTCATCAAAACTGGCAACCCGAATGGCGGCAATCTTACCAAGTGGGTACCAAGCAAGGAATCCTACAAGGGTATGTGGCTGGGAGACACTTGGGGCTCGGGGACAATTGGTGAATCCTCTCACGTCTCTTTGATCACCGATTTTTTCTCGTATCAACAGCCATATTGATATTCAATTCCGAGGATACTAGATGTTGTTTACCGTATTATTCTCATTTCATTGAATATTTGAAGTCTTGAGATTAATCCGAATAATGGACCTCCAAATTGATAGTTAGTAATTCGACACCTGGATATTAAGGCATAAAAATCTGGCAATTTCATTAATATTAAGTTAACTACAGTCAAATGTTGCAAGTGGATGGGAAAATGTAAGAATTCTCTCTTCAAATGACATGTCATGGTCCAGAAAATATTCTAGTAGCCTAGAATTTAGCTGCATAATCTAGCAAATCTACCACTTAGAAACCAGAAAGTTGGTTGGGCATTTAATCTCATGCGACCTTGGCCCGTTGCTGTGGCAGGGATCCCAGGTGGAGAGGGTCTTGCTCTCCACTCCGCCATTTCCGACTTCTTGTTAACCCGGATTTGAATTTACCCTTGACAACTGTAAGTCTTCACCTGGGCAAGCATTGATTCCTTCAGAATAGGTAAACCTCATTTCCTTCAATGTTGTAAACACTTTGCGCTGTTTCTGGTGGTGGGTTGCTAATCTTACTGCTTTAAGTAGTTTGTTTATATCCGACCCTCCCGCAAGAAGCCCTACGTCAGATCATGAGAGAGTGAAAGTCAAACACAACCTCAAAATTCAAGACTCGCGATCGGTCGACCTTTAAATTCCTCAATCGAATCCAGAAGGAAACTCAAACGGCCATAAAATCCATCCCCGCACCGGCCAACCACAAGAATGCGGCCATCCTGGTGGATCGGAATCTGCGCCATATGCCTACCCACATCCATCAGTGCATTAGAGATCACCTCGTTTATCCCTGCTCAAACGGCCTCGCCCAATAAGCGTGCCTTTGAGGTCCTCCAACTATTAAAGCGCAACGATAACTGCCCCAGTGGCTACAACGCTTGCACGAACGAAGGCAACTCCGACGCCTGTTGCAAATCGGGAACAAACTGCACCAAGGACTCTGCGAACCAAATCGCTTGCTGTCCGACCGGCGCGAGTTGCACGGGTACTCTGACGGGAACTGCGACATCGACTGAGACAACGGGGAGTGGGTTTGAGTTTCCGCAGGGTGCGACGACAACAACGACCACAACAACAGACGACTCGGGTTCCGGAGCGACCTCGACCGTGTCCGGGGCATATCCCTTTGTTTATGTACCGACTAGTCTTTCGAATGCGAAGACATGCTCTTCGTATTACTCGCTGTGTCAGTCGGAGTATACAGGATGTACGCAGGCGCTGATGGGTCGCTGGGGAGTTACGGTGGCTGGATCGGATGGCGGTATAACGGTTGAAGCTATCACCGCGACATCGGAGGCTACATCTATCTGTTCAAGTCTGAAGTCGAGTGCTTGTCATGGCTTGAGCTTGGGTTATTGTGAAGCGCTGGAGACATCCACTGCGACTGCAACTGCTCAGGGTAATGGGGCTCCGCAGCAAGGTCGGAGTACCAGTCTCCATGATTTAGTGCTGGGAATGGCCGTTGGAGTCGCGGGGATGTTCATTTGATGTGATATGTGATATGATATGATGGTTTTTACATAGTTTTTACTGATTTTTGTTTCTCGGATTTCCTGTCTATTTCCTTTTTGTGTCTTATCCGGGGATCCTTTCATAGTTTTTCCCTGAAGTGATTTACTTGATGAGCCCGTTTCTACGGGATTGATGTGTCTATAGCTGGAAAATATGACTATGCCATTCACGAATTGTAAATGCAGCCAGACACGTAAAAATCAAGGCTTTCTGAACTATTGGGCCGTCACTTGTTGGGCAACGTGACACAATTCGCTTGGGCAAGATTGCGGTGTAGACTGCCCAGGTGTATACTCCGCCCCTTAATTTATAGCACAGCTGATGCCATAGGTAAGTTTCAGACTGCATATGTGCATAAAATCCATTTCAATGGCAGACTCGAGCTTCTCGCTTGGTCTGCAGTCTGTCCGGCAGTCTATCATACAGACGTCCAACCTCAAAAAAACTTTAAGTCAAAAATAACATAGAATGCCAGCATTTGCATAAGACCCACTCCATCCAGCTAAAAGAACGAATAAAAAAGAAAGAATAATTGCAAGGGCGCTACTTGTGAATCCGCTGTGTAGGCAGGAAGTTTCCAACTATGAGAGAGGGACTAACGCAAGGCGTATTAGCTCAGCTGAACTCGGATTCTCCGAGGTAAAGAAATGGAAATTATTTACTCACATATTGTGGTTGTCTCGTCGGATCGTGAAGGAGAAACAGCACTGTATCCCCTCACCGGAGCCGTTGGGGTTCTTTAATGTACAGCTGGTCAGCATAGCCTTCTGGGTGTTGTCGAAAGCGATCGCTCCAAATTTTTCCCAGTAGCTGACCAGCTGGTCCTCCACGATTATTTCGTGGATAGCAAGTTTTCCCTGATGCATCATAACCACTAGTCAGCGAAAAAACACAAAGATTGCGATGAATTGCGACTCACGTCTCGCAGACTCTCAATCGGCACATCAATCAATTGCGCCATCTCGTTGTTACCACGGAAAATTTCGCCGGTTCGGCGCCAGCAGCAGGCGGGAATGGCCATACTGGCGAATACTCGATCGTATTCCATCAGACTTCGCTCAAACCACATCTCCACCAAAATCAACTCGATATCTGTCAAACTCTGCATACGCTCTCTGAACTTCGGTCGAAACTTGTCGAGTTGACGGAGAATCTTTTGGCGAGATAGCTGTTGCATATTCTTCTCCATGTATTGGTTCAGGCGGGCATATCCCTTGACATAGTTGAAGGGCTTCAACAATCCAGCATCATATTTAGCTTTCAGAAGCTTGTTCATCCGCTCCTCTGGTGGGTCTGAGCCAGACGGATCCGCTGCAGTCATGTAATATGTTTCACGAGCTTTGTCATTGCCGATAGTAGGGTTCAAACGTTGAATCGATTCTCCTTGTGGTACCGCTGGTGGTGGCAGTTGGCTTGGGGGTGGAAGTCCGTTCGGTATGTTCAGTGTGTTCATCGAGTTCATCAATGTCGGGTCGGAGTAGATCCCCTGTGTATCCTGATTTTGGAACATTGTCCCATCATCTAGAAGACTATTACTGAGGAAATCGCCGAGCAAATTGTACTCGTTGGTCACTTCGGGCGCATTGAACATATACGATGGATGGAGAGAGTGCATGTCCTGGAACTGGTTTTGTCCGCCCATCCAGTCATTATAAGGCATCACTGGTTTTATACCATGTCAGTGGATGTGGTTTCAGGGATGCTCCCGTTAGGGCCTTACACTGCTGGGGGTTGCCATCGAGACTTTGACCGGAAGTAGGAATGTTTGCTGGCTGTACTGAGGATGGTGGAATTCCGATCGTACCATCGGACAGGATTTGCTGACCGGCAGCATCCGGGACCTCGACTTTCCGAGGCACCACCTGGACTTCCATCATGTCGCTATTGGAGTGTCCATCATCATCTGCTGCGGAGTGTTCCTGGTCGCCTCGGGCGCGTTTAGTCGGTTCTCTCGGCTCATCATGGCACAAATGTCCGATATTTCGCTTAATACATCTGGTACAGGGTCGCTCCTTCAAAAAAAAAGTGGGATTATCAGCAGTCACCCTTTTGCAGGTTTTTGTGGTATTTTCTTTTTTCTTTCTGGACCTCTCCAGCTGGGACTGGCAAACGGTTTCACGGGTAGCGGAGAGAGTGGGCTTGAAATTGAAAAGCAAAGGGGTCGTACCGAATCGCATGTCATATGCTGTCCCACACGCCAAGATTGATGTGTTAGCAAATCCGATTCTCTAGAAACTAGACTTTCTTTCCATGACGGAAGGGGTGAGGACCCGTCGCCCTCACCGCGCGTTCGAAGCGACAAAGCGAAAGCAAGGGGTATGAGCGGGGAAGGCTCCACGGAAAGGATAGCTCACCGAGCGACGACAGTAGACACAAGCTGTAGGGTAATACATAACTCTCATTAGTGACCAGGACTTCAATCGCCAAGTGAAACAAAAAGTGCGAGCGACAGCAGCACCAACCCCTGTCGCAGGATCAGAGCGTGCGCGATAACAGCTTACCGTGATTGACCTTGCGGCGCTTCTTTGGGACTGGCATGACTGCCAGAGGTTTCAGACTTGGCCGCAGATGAATGTGATTCTTTCGCGCGCGCATCCTTTGCTGCATCAGCCTTGGACTTGGCGGATGAGTTTTTGTCGAAGCCGGCACCTGATACGCCCTTTTCCGTCATTGTAGTTCGATCTTCCAGTTCAGAATGGCCATACGAATGGTGGTAAGTGACCAAAATTCCTGGTTCAAGATGAGGTTTCCATATGGAAAAAAACTTGAAGTGAAAAGCGGAGTGGAGGGGCTGTCCGTTCTGCTCCGCGTGTGGGGAATCCCTCTTTTGACGCCACCCCCATGACCTCGGACCATATCTATCACAGGGGATTTTCATATTATGATAAAATTATCCTAGAGTAATACGAAAAAATCTCAAATTTTCTATCCTGCATGTTTAAATATTCAAGTGTACCGTGTCCTTCAAGTTCCAAGGTTCCACTAGGTTACTACACCTGAAGTACTACTACTAGTACTAGTATACATAATGGATGAATAGATCCAAACTAGTAGAAGTAGTATGAGTAACCTTGGAAACTACTACTACTACCTACCACCAACTTCAAGTTGAATAGATTTGAACTTATGTAGGTGACGGACACAATGCTAATTGGTGGTATGTAATATACTGAAGGCAAAAGTAATAAATATCGTTCTAGACCTTCAGTATCCCGTACTCACATATCCAGGGCCTGGAACCTCAACGGCACCTGGGGTGGGACTATGTAGTAACATAATTTCAAGTTGATTATGAGAACAAGATCAATAACAAAGCTTGACTTGTTTAAATGTGCATTATTTTCATATAATAATATCTAGGTATACTACATAGACTTCATAGCAGTAACGGACATAGATGTTAATATTGACCAGTTCATCAACCACTCCGGTCAAATGATTTTCCGGTTCCCCTCATCACCATCGGACGTTATCAACTTATCACCAATGTCGAACTAATTGGACCCTGAAGATGCAACTCAAGGCACACGAGTAGCCTGTTTTCGCCCTGATTATTTGTTTTCATTGCATATTTTGTCTGGAGCATCGCCTCGATAGGGCGTCATGGGGATCATGCCCACGGCCACTACTTTCCTAGATAGCCCGCTGCTCAAAGTGAGTCGACCTGTCGCTGCTTGCTCACGTTGTCGAACGGCGAAGATCAAATGTGATGGCAAGCTTCCTGCATGTTCTGCTTGTGAGAAGGTCGGCAAAGCAAGTACCTGCTCAGGAGCCAGCGATGAGTTTGCCAAAGGGAAAGAACGCAGTTATGTTGCGTCTCTCGAGGGCTACTGCGAGAAACTAGAAAAGAAACTGGGCCAAATACGAAATCGCCAGACTTCCTTATCGATAGAGGGGAATGGGTTGGCTCGGGAGGTGTCTATCACAGCGACCTCATCGGCTGGTCCTCCCGGTCCAGCGCATCGCCGAGAGGTCTCGGATATTGATGATCTAGTCGGTGATTTTGGCTTCTTATCTGTGAATGCGACTTCGCGCGATTTCCATGGCATTACCTCCACCACCAGTTTTGCCAATTTACTCTTATCCGTCGCTACAGTTGGATATCCCCCATCGCCAGTCTCCAATCCACTCCCCGCGCGGCATGAAGCGACCCCATTACTGCAACACTATTTTGATAATATCTTTGTCCAATTGCCGTTCTTTGTGGAGACTGGATTTTGGACGTCTGTGGATGCGGTTTATCAATCGCAAGGTCGCTTTGCCAAACCCTTCGATCACTGGATGCTCCGAATGGTTCTGGCAATCTCCTCCGCATCGATTTCTTATCAAAACAATGACAAGAACCATCAACGAGCCCTAGGATTAGTAACGGAGGCTCTCACCTATGCTGAGGATGTGCTTCGTCCAGGGTCAATCCTGGGTATTCAATCAATTCTCCTTCTGGCCCAATATGCTCTGGTGGATCCGGGCCGCTTTCGTAGCTGGTACCTGGTAGGCATGGCGATCAGGGTCGCGGTGGATCTGGGGCTGCATCAAGACCCGCCCGCTGAGGTGCTATCAAATTCCAGTCGATTGGACATTCGTCGGCGCGTCTTCCATTGTCTTTACGCCTTGGACAGGTAATGAGCCCAATCATCCTTTGAGGAAATTCTTAAAGATTGCTGATGATTTGAGTAGAGGAATGAGTACTTCACTCCAACGGACCTTCTCATTTTCCGACGACTCGGTCAACGTCGCCATGCCATCAGCCAGTAGCTCGACCGGTTCTTCGCCTGCAGAACAGAGCCACATTTTCCTCCGAAGTCCTGCCCCAGCTCTTCATATCGTCAAGATTCGTCAAATTTTATCAACCGGGTACTCAGATATGTACTACAGTTCCCGAGAGCCATCGCCACAACCCTTCGTGCAAATCTGGACCCTTTGCTACCGAACACGACAATGGTTCCATGAATGTCCCAAAAATGCCCCCAACCACTTTTCCCTTCTCTACCGACTCGAGCTTCTTTACACTATGATCATTCTTCTCTCTTCTTCTCATCGATACCCCGTTCTTTGCGACTACAACAAAGCGCTCCTCTTCGACCGTTGCATGGACTATATTAGTCAAATACACCAAGTCCTGGAGAATCCTACCGCTCTTCCCTTCTTGACCTTTCTCGATATCCAACGAGTCCAACAGGTGTCTCGTCACTTTGTGGAGATTCTTTCCCAAAATTTCGACTTTCTTCTAGGGCCAACTGTCCCCCATCCACCCACTGTCCCCGCGGGTACCCCTGATCCTCCAATCCTTGCAGAAGAGGATCGGATCAACTGTCGTCCCCGTGCAATCCGCTGTCTCACTTACATCCGAGACTTGCTCAAATATTGTGCTCGCAAGTGGGATATTCAAACCCCACTCCAGGAATTCGAGCAGGAATCTGCATCACTCGAGCATATGCTTGTGGATGGGTCACCGATGGGCTACATGGCGACCTCGAACCAGGAGGCTTATTTCGAAGGAACTTCTGGGATGCCGCTGGCCGGCACTGAATATCCGGGATATCATTTGGGGTAAAAATTGAACTTGCAAGTGCCATGTAAACGATGCATTTGTTAGATTCCTGGACCATGGATTCAGATGTTGGAATTTTTGGGCAATAGTAATGATATATTCTTATTAACCTTATGAACTAATATGATCTAGCTAGTAATTCAGACGGTTCGGTTCATACAGGACATACAGCTGATGCTACAATTGATGATCTCTGAGTCTCCAAAGTGCCAATGGAATGGCCCAATATGGCCTGCATGTGATCTACATGAGTAATTTGTGCCCAGAAAACTAGTAGATATTATGATAGAGTTTACTTGCTAGTGGACGGGGTAAAGTATAGCCAGCAATCATAATTAACACCAAGACCCTACTATTAGTCCATTGGAAGAAGAATTGAACATTTAAGCCTGGACCTCGGGAGTACTATGCCCAGGTGGCTTTCTATGTGATCATCCGATATCACCTCCATTCAAGTTCAAGTTTCCCCGCATCACATATGCCATAGTATACTCTGATCTGGAATCCTCTGTGGTGCTTCGCTCTGAAAGACTGGATCGCTTGCACTCTATATGAAGCTGTCATTTCCACTGGTTCACCTAAACAGTGATTAGTGGATCCATCGGGAACTGACGTTGTTTTTCTTGCACCTCGTGATCCCAAGGATTGATTCGATTTCAGGACCTGAGCAGTCCCGCTCAAACCCCAGATTCCAAGTTTGTAACGTCCAGCCGAGGTTGATTGCTTGGCTTGTAACCCAAGTTACCCAACCCCAGGTACACAACTTTAAATCAGTCCATACGGAGGATATTCTGGAGTTAAGGCCCAATGTACCTCTTGATGACAGGAGAAGCCGAGCCTGTCATCCCCGTCATCCCTGAACATCAACTCAATTTCCCTTCCAATTCTGATCGGTCAGATAGCCAAGGCTAGACCGGATCCCGTTGAGATCAGGTGGACTCCGTACTCCGTATGCTTGTTTGAGGCGATTTGGTTGAATTCAAAATTAGACCAACCTAGCCCCTGAAAGGAATTTTTCATCTTTTTCTTTTTTTTTCTTTCTTTGGAGCCTTTGAATTGCGCCACAGGGGGGGTCGATGATGTGGGCTCTTTCATGTACTTACGGAGTAGTGTTGTGGAGGTCTGAGGTCAATCACCTGGGCAATTACATAAAGTCCCCATGTTCGAGTGTCACGGGACTGACGATCACGCGGCCATCAGTAATCATTGGCCAGGTGACATCACGTGGTACTGGTCCAGCCAATGTACACCTGAAGCAGTGGAGAAATTTGCCCAGATGGTGGAATACGTTTGTCATAGAAACTACTAGTCAAGACTCGTTGCGCCCACTCTACCACCCCATTGCTCTTCGGTCTGACGGAGCCAAGGAAAATTGATGCACGAACAGCCAGGACGGTCCCCGCTTGACACATAGTCCATGGGTATGAGCCATCCAGACCAACACTAGGTGGGTGCGCCATTGACTAATGTGATGCCATCATCGTCTGGGCTAAAATTATATACCAGTCACGTCCCCGAGATTCCGGGGTAAAAACTCTACTCATCTGTGCAAAACACCATGCAACTTGCATATCCTTGCATTCCCTCGTCACCTTACTGATTGCAACATTCATACCCTCTTGGCGCATTCCCTGCCCTCCCGATCTTGTTTCTGGATAAATTCCTCCACCCCGCCCACTCCGCTCCATCCACCGCCCCCCTTCGCGCAGAGAAAAAAAAAAACTCAACTTCAATTCTTGAAAACTCGAAAACAAGAAAAAATTCTTATTTTTTCACATATCCACCAGTCACCATGCGACAACCAGCAATGCCAATTCGCTCGCCCTTCGAGTCTTCCATCGCGAAGCCGGGCCAGGGCAATGTCGTCCTTTCTTTACTTCCGCCAAATAACCCCACTCTCACTACTCTCACCTACAAATATCCTCTGAAGCTGGTTCCGCGAGCTCCAGGATTCGTTCCAACACCTGACCCAGCCACATTATCTGACAAATGCCCCTCAAGACCTGTTCATCTCTACCTTCTCACCTATGGCGGCGGACTGCTCCCAGGTGACCATATCGAGGTGTCGATCAAGCTTGATCCTCGCACGAGAATGGTCGTTACGACCCCACAAGGAAGCACCAAGATCTTCAAGACAGATCCTAGCACCGAGTCAAGTTTTAACGTGATCAAGGGTCATCGTAAGAAGATGCCCGCCAACGAACATCTCTCAGATATGAGTCAGCAGTCCCTCGATGTGAAGATTGGCCGCCAGGCCGCTCTTTGCTACCTGCCTGATCCTTCTGTCCCTTACAAGAACAGTCGTTATGCTCAGGTGCAGACATTTACTGTTGATGCTGCAGCCAAGGGCGAGCAGCGCAGTAGTCTCTGTGTTTTGGACTGGGTGACGCAAGGTCGCACGTCCCGTGGTGAGAACTGGAATTTCCGCTTTTGGAAAGGACGAAATGAAGTCTGGGCCACGGACGAGAAGACTGGCAAGAGTCGCTTATTATTACGAGACTCCGTCATTTTGGACGATGAGTCTGAGGCTTTGGACGACTCTGATGAGGATATGGAAGAAGGCGTGGAAACTGGATTAAATTCCCATTCTGGCCGCGCAGAGACACCTCCCCCTCAAGCTGGTCTCGTGCCCTTGAATATCATTCAAGAACGAACCCGTCCTCATGGAGTTGTGGGCACCCTGATCTTATCCGGTCCCGTCTTCGACAGCCTCGGTGCCTACCTTATGCATCAATTCACATCGCAACCTCGCATTGGTAGCAGGAATTGGTCTTCCACTTCCTCCTCGGCGCCTGAACCATCTTTAAGCACGAAGGGTGATGTCACATGGACCGCTGCGCGCGTCCGTGCTGGCTTCGTCTTGGTGAAGTTCGGTGCCAAGGACTTCGAGACCGCTAAGGACTGGCTTGGTGGCCTGCTCCGTGAAGAAGGTAGCATCGTACGCGAGTTTGGCGAGGAAGCCCTGTTCTGTCTTTAAGCCGTTCAGCCCTTTATTTTGCTTGACTTTTCATCTGCCATTTGCGAACCCCCCAAAAAAGTTCCCTCATTCTCTGACGATACCCCAATTCTTGTATAATTTTCCAACTTCAACGCCAGAAGAGGGACCTGTCTCCAGCGTTAGCATCAGCTTTTTTTTCATATTGGTTTCATACCATACAAGCTCAATATACGGCTTTCAACATCTCCGGGATGCCATTTATCCCCAATAATTATTCTTCCTTGCTCTAATCGTAGAGAAACAGTTACTACAAAGCTCGCTTTACATGCTAGAATCTGCATGTGCATTTGTTCTTACCTTGCACGTAAACCATCATATAACCTTGGAACTATTTTCCCCCATGAATCAGATCAATAGAAAGACGTATGAGCCATACTAGTAGATTCATACCTTCAAATTATTACTACTCACTGGCCGAGCTACATAGATTTTCTCGTCTTCCAATGTTCAAAAATGTTGTCCAGAGCAGTATTGGCATCTGGGGCATAATTTCTTTTCGATGTCTCGAGATTATGTACATTTGTTGTAAGTCCGGATAATGAGAGTTAACAAGCTAGAAAATTCGAACCAGCTGGCCAAACGCATATTCTAGAGTAACTCGCCAATTATTCCCCTTCAGAGATGTGTTTTGAATCCTTCAGGTTCCCCGATCAGCCTTAAGAAACTTCCATGAACTTCATCAGTCAAGTCACTGGCCTGCATACTCCGACCCTTTGCCTCAAAGGCCCGTCGTGATGATTCTCTGGTGATACTACTACCTGCCCACGCAGCCAGAAGCAATGTCGTACCCCGTGACATCTGTTTACCTTCGGACTCCAGCTCAGCCTGAACCTCATCCCGACTCTGTGCCTCCTTCTCATTATCCTTCTCGCCTGTATTCCACAGTCGATCATGATAGGCAGCCCGCCAGGCAAGCATGGTACCCAGAGATCCCGTCAAAGTATCACCCTGTCCCCCACTGCGCTTCAACCCGCCTTGGATATCATTAATGATACTCGTGACTCCGTTGGAAATGATATCATGGGGGCCCTTTTGCAAGATTGTCACCCCGCCCAGCTTAGTGGACAGCTGTTCGCACGCATCCGATGCCTTGCTCGTCTTTTCCGTTTCAGTTTCTCCGGTGATTTGACTCTGACTGGAGATGTTCACTCCCAGGGCTTTGGCCAAACGCGCAAACTCGACCACATTCGGTGTGAGAATACATTCTTTGTACCCCTTCACCAAGCTCGGGTCCTCGGTCACAATTAATAGCCCATCTGCATCGAGCACGAAAGGGATTGAGCGTGACCGCGCTTCTTTGATTACTTCTGCGACTACTTTAAGCGTGACACTGTCCCGGCCCAGTCCGGGTCCGATGACTAGAGCATGTAGTCGGGAGAGCATGCTAATGATTGGGCCTGCAAGGGCTGGCGCGTCGATTGATTTGGGGTCTTTGACTGAGTCTGTACTGGGGAGTAATGGGTGAACCATCAAGTTTGGGGAGTATCCCTTGATAACCTGTCCACTGGCATTAGCAGGAGAATATATGGTTTTATAGAGCCCAAGGACCTACCGGTGCCGCGGAGCGTTCGCAGAGAACATGGCTCTGAAAAATGTGTTAGGTATGACTCGCTAAGTTTTGTCAAATATGCATACCATATCACAGCCTAGTATTGAATTAGTTCTGATTCAGCTGTAAATATAGTGGAGTGGGCGATATACCAAGTTTTGCCGATGCTATGGCGGAAAAATAGGGTGCACCAGTGTAGCTGTTTTTGGCATTAGCCCAGCCTTTTCATGACCAGTTTCATGAAATCTCACTCAACACAACCTCCAATAACCGCTACGCGACCCAATTGCCCTATTTGAGAAATTTGTTAACACACCTAAGTTCAGGAAAGATCGTCGGCCGGAGGTGTGGAGCTGTCGATGATAAACAGACCTTTGTGAAAACTTTCAAGCATTGGCGGCACAATTTTTCGGACCTTGCTGAAAAGGATTTTTGATGAGGTGGTAACATGATGTACAGGCTCCATCGTGGATCTCAGTGAGCGTGTGAAGATTGACAAGATGCAACATTTGAGGTGAGGAGGTCTCGACCTCGGGTGAACCGTGCAGGTATAGATGCGACTAGGCGGGGTGGTCACGTGTATCTACGTCATCGGCTCCACCTGCCATGTTGTAGATCGATCAAGTATGTACATGTATCATGATGTATGTAGATTCAAGTTATTGAATCCGAACGATAAATATCATGTGCATGTTTCCTGATCAAGGGAGATCAAGCACTGGCAATGAATTTCCAACATTTTAAGGTTGAATGTACTACTGCATAGCTTGGCCGGGACTCCAAGTCGATACATAGAGATATAGCATTAAGGACTCGGAATTATATGTGAAAAAAGCACTGGCATTACTTGTAGTAGAACTCGAACCTTGATTAGTTTCATTGATATATGTCATATAACAAGGCAGAGTTTGAAGAAATTGAGAATTCTCAACAGAACTTCATATATCTTAATGAACATGACAACCTTGGAAGATATTTTGATTTGAACCTCAAGTTGGTACAGGTTTCAGCTTTTCCACACCCATATTCCCTGCTATGCCGATTGCCCTGAGGTTTGACTAAAACCCGCCACGACCATAGCATCCTATTCTCCCCATAAACCCGTTGTGCCGTTTGTCCTGAGGGTTTGCCTTAACCCGTGGGGTTACAGCCCCCCAAGTTTCTCGATTCGCGCGGTCAGATACTACCAATGTAGCAAGTGATGCAAGCAAAATGTATTTGGAGATCACAAGTCAAGCACTCTATGCCGATTGTCCTGAAGCTTCAATGAAACCCGCCACAGTGATCAAGCTCGAGGTCGAAGTGTTGTCAGAGCAAGGCTGATTGTCCTGAAGTTTCATTGTCGCCCGCCACGGTCATAGAGGTTCATATTTTCATCATTCAGATCGGGGATTGAAGGTTGGAGACTGGAAGAGTCGTCGGGCCAACTGTGCCGGGTGTGCCAAAGTGTCATTGAAGCTTTTTCTTTTTCTTTGTTTCATTTGTGTATATGTATGTGTGGCCCAGGGTGGGTGGTGGAGGCTTGTTCCAGAATTGTTCTGATAGAAGGTATATTTTGACGGAGCTTGTGGTGGGGTAAGACCTTTTTGAAATATTCTGTCTTGTGTTTTTTCCTTTCTTTGGTGAAAGTTTCTCTTGACTTTGATAAACCTCGTGTGTGAATGTTTGCATGTGGAAGAAAGGTTCTCGAGGATGTTGTCAGGTGGAGTTGGTAATTCTTTTTGTTTTGATCTAAGCTCGTCTGATTATTCTTTGGAAGCCAGTTTGATTTGTTTGATTTGAAAATTTTCGTTCAATGCACTGCCCGGTCACAGCGGCTCGAAATCGACACGCTCCGAAGCTCGTATTTTTGTCAAGGCAATCTATGCCGATTGTCCTGAAGCTCCAATGAAACCCGCCACAGCGATCAAGCTCGAGGTCGAATTGTTGTCAGAGCAAGGGCTGATTGTCCTGAAGTTTCATTGTCGCCCGCCACAGTCATAGATGCTGGAAGTTGGCCAGTTTGGCCTTCAGTTTGAAAGAAGTGGGCAAGTAAGGAAATGGAGAGGGCCTGCTATACCCATACAGGTAGATGGAAGAGCAAGAGGTTTATTATAGCAGGCCGGAGCCGAAAGGCGAGACTATAGGCAGGTCAGTAGGTTATCCAGGGGATACGAAGGTAAGGGAGGCAACAACCTTTCCATGAATACCCAGAGCCTGTTATCTCATGAAGACAAGTGTCACTGACATGTCGGCAACTTGTAGTGAATGAAATGATGTCAACAAGGTAAGGTCATGTCAACAAGGTGTCAACAACGTGAAGTGGTGTCAGCAAGGTGAAGAAGTGCCAACAAGGTAAGGTCATGTCAACAAAGTGAAGTAAGATTGGCATGGTGGGATCATGTCAACAAGATAGGGACGTGTTAACAAAGACGCGTCAAGGTGAAATTGTATCAACAGTCGCGTGAGATCAACGAGGTAAAGAAAGAAGGAAATGGATAGGATGTTGATCACACTTGATACGTGGAGGGCAGAAATACTGAAAGCAAGGCCTGGTGAAGGAGATGAAAAAGATGATGTGGGGGATGGAGGAGAGTTGAAGAAGGAGAAAGTTGAAAGTGAAGGGAAGCAGATTTATACTGAGCCAAGTTGAGCGCGCTAGATCACAGCCTCATAGGATTGACCAATCGCGTTGCAAGTAGTTCTTCAATGTAGTTTTGTATCGCAATCCATAATAAAATTGCCAATCGTCAATGCTTGGTTACCTCTCTGAGATGTCACTGAATCACCAGCCAACCTGGGCACTGAATAGCGTACTCACGATACTTCTTCTGCTTCTGATAATGGATTCAAGGTAGCATAGCCAGAGAATAATGAAAAACCCTTTAGCATCCATTAAACATTGAACTCCAAATATTTGCCTCAAGCTGATCAATATCAAACTAAAATGTCTAGTACAGGTCATAAATACATCTTCATAGCCGTCGAAATGTTGAAAGTTCATGAGATTGTCGCTGATCTTCCACTATAGAAGAGGTAGAGCAAATGAAACTAAAATTCTAAAATTTTAAATAGCAATACCCTTCGGAAACTCGAGAGTCTAAGGTTCCGTGTTAGGTTGGATACATGTATATGGTGTATGGTCAATGTCAAGTGGTGGTGACCACTGACGGGTGCCGTGAATCATGATAGTGCGCATATCTCCGCCCACACGATTTCGGCGAGCCCCGATGGCCGAAGTCTCTACTTATACCAAGCCTCTTCCGAGATTAAAGATTCTCTCTTAATTTTGGATTTTAAATCGAAAATCAAAACAGCAAATAAAATTCAATTTCACAAAAAGACATAATAATCATGGATCTTCCGCCTCCTTCCACCATCCCCTCCCTCCCCCAGGAGGCTCAACTACGTGTGCTGGATACACTCTTCGAATCATCACCCGAAATTCACAAATTGATGATCCCAGTGCTGGCCAATCAGAAATTCGAATCATACAGCTACCTCATTGAGGCAGTAGGAGGTCGCATGTCTGCTCTCTCTATCGATAATTCTCCTACCGATCGAGATGTGCTCTTTGGTATCCTAGGGTCCCACCCCCGACTCGGTCGGGCGCCCGCGAACCCGGAACATCTGAGCGAGCTGAGTCGCAAGGAACAAGAGCAATTGAATACCGGTGCCGAGGAACAAGCCGAGAAATTACGAGCTTTGAACGCTGAATATGAGACTCGATTTCCCGGGTTAAGATTTGTGTAAGAGCTACCCCTCGTCCCCACATAGCTTCGGACCCGCTAATCTTTTCCGATAAGCTCGTTTGTGAACGGCCGAAGCCGAGATGTGATCATGGTCGAAATGAGACAGCGAATCGATCGAGGTGATCAAGAAAAGGAAATTGAGGAAACTATTCAGGTAACCCAACTGCGCATGTTTAGCTTTGGGAATCAGGGTAACTGACTCAGAATTCACAACAGGCTATGTGCGACATCGCCAAGGATCGCGCGAGGAAATTACAGGCGCGGATCTGAGATATACGATAATCATATGAAGATATCCGTCAAAGGGTTGTTCATCAGGCACCTGGGCAGTGATCTTGAAGGAAGTCAGAGTACTCGAGAATTTCAGGTTGGAAAGCATAAGGAGAACAATTTATCTGACACTGCATATACGAGATTCAAGTTTTTGACGAGCTCAAGATAAAAGATACAACAAATTCAAACATGTGAAGTGCCTTTTATGCCCTGATTTCATATGCCTGTTTATATCTCCTTAGACAATGATACCTACTAGATCACCTAGTCGGATCCTCCAGGCGTCGGTACAGACACGGATCACGGGAATAGTATCGCCGGCTTCAACACGTTTAATATCATATTATCGTTGTCACTAACTTTCAGACCTCGAATTTGGTACGATGGATTGAGCTGATCGTCGAAAATTTACTCAACATTTTTCACAGTGCCCCGACTACCGCGATATGGCAAGAAACTTAGTCAAGGTTGCTTTAAAATCAAAGAAAGTGAAAGAGGTCAATGAATTTTCAAATGTATGTGGAGTGATGCTGCCATCTGGCATGATTGATGGATTCACGGTTCAAGTTGTTGTTCCTTTCTGAGATTGATGTCCTGTATTATAGGCCATGCCCTTGGAGCAACCTTGGAACCGAATGCAGTTCCTGCAGCTAGCATAATTTTAATACAACTAAAAGCCCATAGAATGTTTGAATTTGCTGACTTCAAATGTTGTTACATAAGATGAGGTCATTCAAGTGCCCGTTACGCGGGGTTCAAGTTGCCTCGAGACGAGGCATAGTATACGTGGGGCTGCCTGGAGACGAGGAGGCGAGGAGAAAGACCGTTCACTCCAGGGCTTTGCTACATAAATAAGCTTGATGAGCCAATGGAGGTTCAATCATTTGAATAATTTTTGTATGACCCTCAACATGAGCTGGCGCGAGAACAATAAAACATACCAAATCCTGACCGCGGCCGAGAAGGGCGGTTATGGTGTCCTGGCGGCCATTGTGTAAGTCACTTTGACAACGACACGGGCTTGCAAATAGAGATACGTTATTAACGAACTGGGCAGGTATAATGTTGAACACATCACTGCCATGGTCAACGCTGCTGAGCAGCGTCGGTCACCTTTAATTATCCAGCTATTCCCGTCGTCCCTTAAGCAAACCCCTTCGCTTGTCTTCGCTGCTGCAGCTGCGGCTAGGACGGCCTCTGTTCCGATCTCGATCCATTTGGACCACGCACAAGATTATGAGCAAATTAAATATGTTGCTGATAATCTTCCCTTCGACTCGATAATGGTGGATATGAGTCACTATGAAAAAGAGGAGAATCTGGAGAAGACCAGCATCTTGCGCGAGTATTGTCATGATCGTGGGATTTCAGTGGAGGCGGAAACCGGTCGCATCGAAGGAGGAGAGGATGGAATTATGGACACTGGTGACCTTGCGGCAATTCTCACAAATCCGGAGGATGTGGAGGAGTTCATCACTGCTGGCGTGGACTTTCTTGCTCCGAGCGTGGGAAATATTCATGGTGATTATGGTCCCAAGGGGCCGGAACTGGATATGCAACGGTACGCACGCAATTTCGTGATTTAGAGCTTATAGATTCTGGTAATTGCTTACTTATACCATCTATAGACTACAGGGCATTTTCAAATCAATGAATGGTCGTGTTCGCCTGGTCCTTCACGGCACCAACGACTTCTCACCAGAGTTGACTCGAGCATGCATTCAGGCAGGTGTGACAAAAGTCAATGTCAACAAGCTTGTTCTCGACCCTTGGCATGATAATCTCCACGCCAATGCCACACGGCCATTGACTGAGTTGATGGATACAGGGATTGAAATCTTGACTGCGGAGATGGAACGATGGATGGATATCGTGGGTAGCAGTGGTAAAGCATCATGATGCCATTCAATTAGTTTTTTTCTTGTGTTTAACTGAGTATTGTGGGCTATAATACTGTGATTTCCAGTGTTGACATGTAGAAATGCAATGGATTTATTGTTGGTAGATTCATGATTCATAGTCTATCATAGATCTATACCCCGGACTGCAGGTAAAAAGCTTATCCGGCAGCGCGGGACCAAGATTCGGCAGTAAACGAAGTTCGTCATTCCGCGTTCGGGTTTGTTCAATTTCCAATGCCGATTATATAAGGATAATAGAGTAAAGAAGAGGGGCAAAAATTAAAGAATCTTGACTACATGTTCAGACTTCAATTCAAAACCATTTCAAGACTTTTCAAGACATCCATTGCCCATCAAAAACGCACAATGAGACTTCCCTACGCTCCCAACACCCCTCCGGCTGATGCCCCCGCCGACACCGCGGATATCTACGCCCGAATTGCCGCACGCCGCAACCCGCGCCCATTGATTCCTCTGGATCTCTCCCTCCTGCACAGCCCGCCCGTTGCCGATGGCTGGAACAGCTTCCTGGGCGCGATCCGCACCCGCACCGTTGTCGATCTTGGAATTCTCGAGCTGGCCGTGTGCCGAGTCGCCGTTCTGAACGATGCCGTATACGAATGGAATGCGCACGCGCCTCTTGCGCTCAAGGGTGGTGTCAAGCCCGAGGAGCTTCAAGCGTGCCGTACATTGCCTAAGACCACAGAGGGTGACCTTGCCGCTCTGGAGAGCAGCTCGTTGACACCACAGCAGCGCGCTGTTCTGCGCTACACTGATCAGATGACTCTGACTGTCAAGGTTCAGGATGAGGTCTTTGCGCAGTTGCAGACCGTTGGATTCAATGATCGTGAGATTGTTGAGTTGACCACTGGAATTGCCGGTTATAACTGTGTCAGTCGATTCTTGGTGGCGTTGGATGTGGGTGAGAACAATGCTCGCGAAATGAAGAGCGTTGATGAGCTTGTTGCTGCGCTGTAATATGCATATTATGAAAATAAATATTTCTTCTCGGTTTCGCCTTGTTCAATTGTGCATAGATATCTTGATATCTGCTCGATCATTCAAGTCAGTAAATGCACTCAACATTGATAATATCTCGTATATAGGATGGGCATATTATGGACTCGGAGGGATCTACATCAGAGTACGCGATACCACTATTTAACGAAATAAACCACCCGGGCATTGCAGCGGGGTTAGCTCGAGTGGGAATAATCTAGAATGGCAGACGAATTCTCTAAGAATATAAGTCTATTGATGATCTTGAACTCATTGGCAACATAGTAGCTTGAACTTGCACATGTGAGCAGTCTTCGAATTGATGAAACTGGAAACACAAGTTTGGTTCAAAAGGCTCAATTCATTGATATAATTGCTAGTCCTTCTTCATCACGGGCATAACGCGTATGAAATTGTCTTTATTTCTTGAGCTTCTCCTCGACGATACGAGCGACCATCTTCTCGAGAATGGCAAAGTTGCCTCCGGCCGTGCCGGCAAAGTAGCCCTCGACGCTCTTTTCAACATACTTACCCACAATATCAATTTCAACATTGACCTCCTCACCGGGCTTCTTTGCGGCTGTCACAATCTTCTCCTGAGTGTAGGCAATAAGCATCACCTCCCAGTAGCCATCCTCTCCATCGACAACTTTGGTAACAGTCAGACTGGCACCATCCAGGGTAACGTATCCTTTCTCGACAATGTAACGGAGCACCTCCTTCTCTCGTGGCTGGAGTCGGAAGGTCAGGGCGTTCCCATCTGGGGTGACAGACAATATCGTCGCAACAGTATCCACATGGCCCTGTACAAAATGACCACCCATCCGAGTATCAGCTGAAACGGCTCGTTCAAGGTTGACTTTTGAGTCCTTTAGTAGGGAGCCAAGGTTTGTGCGACGTAGGGTCTCTGGTGCAACGCCGACCTTGAACCAGGTCTTGTCGAATGCAGTCACGGTAAGGCAGGTTCCTGGGGAAGGTATCTCAGTTAGAAATAATTTTCAGCAGCGCAGGAAGCTCAAAATTAGAGTAGATTTACCATTGACACTGATACTATCACCCAGATGCGCGTCTCCTAGGATCTCTTCACAATCGGAGATGGTTAGTGAGGTTCCCCCGCCCCCGCTTGAGGAGGCATCGAGTGCCTCCAGCGCCGAAACGGCTAGAAAAAAAGCAGTCAGCATATGCAAAGTTTGATCGGGCGATACGCGTATAAGTCACTTACTGCCAATTGTTTCAACTAAACCAGTAAACATGATTGCGTGTCTGCAGATCTACAGTGGAAAAGAGTTGTGGGGTCTCGACCTCGGCTCCGGGCTCCCGCAGCGAGCGGTGTCTCTGTCTCTATGTATCACGGATACATATTTCCAAGGCTCCTGTTCCAAACGAACCACTCGGGTTGATGATAGATTAAGATATGAATCTGATACGGTTTAATCAATTGATTCAAAAGAACATGAAATATATATTATTTTCCATACAAAATACGTTATTCTTCAGCTATGATATGTTTGTCTTGTTTGTTTTGATATACATCGCATTAGCGGTGGCAGATGGCAGTTTACCCGTTCCGCGGGGGATGCCAAGAACACCCTTTAGCTGCGACATGAATATCTCCTATCAACTTTCTTCCCCCCCTTTTTCTATCCAAATTGTCTTTCATTTTTTGCTGTTAAGACCTGCTAGAATCAGGTATGCTTTTCAATCAAATTGCATAGCCCGGAGCTTTTGTCTCGCGTCTTGATTTCCCGCGAAGATGGCATCAACATTGCCATATCGACCCTCGAACGACTCCTTATCCACCTCCAATCCGAAGACCGATGGATTGCCTCGACTTTCTCCCGCAGCCTCCTTCATAGGCCGTTCCCCAAGTGGCTCTCAATTGTCCTATCGACGCACATCGGCCGAAAATGCAGTGGGCTATAGGCAGCGTAGATGCAAGTCACAATACCCACTAGACTCTCCAGAGCGCCATGTCGAATATATCCTGGTGGCTTCATTTCATATTGATCGGGGCCCGATAATGGAACATCAATATCCGGCAGCGATCAGTGGAGATGAAAGCATGTTGGCAGAACTCATGCTGCCTGATCAAACGCATGTGCGTAGTCAGGATTGGACGATCTTCTTTCTACACAAGGATACCAGTGGTGAGGAAGATGATCAAGACGACGAAGAAACAGAACTTGGAAAGAAGAAGAAGAAGCGAAAGTCCAAATATCATGCAAATGAGGAGGCCGCTCATATCCAGGATGAGAATTTGGATGATGCCGACGACTCGGACAGGGATAGCAGTGACGACGAAGAGGGCGGAGAAGGTCCGCCCTTGATGTATGTGCTCAACTTGGTCAATACGAAGCAAGATCACACAGTCAGGAGGTATGTCTTCCTATGTTTACAGAGTCAGTCGCAAATTATACTGACAAGCATCTAGAGGTGCAGTCGTGAAGGCCATGGCCATTTGTACGAGACATTCTTTTCTTCACATTTACAAGGTGAGTGTACAAATAAAGCTTGAAAGAAACGCTAGCTAACCTTCTCAAAGCCACTTCTTCTATTAGCGCTCGAAGACTACTTCAAATCACCATATCCTGAGACCCTCGCGTCGCTCTATGATGCCGTGAATGCCATGGATCTCTCCTTGATGCCAAAAATGTCTCTACTCGAACGTCACATCTTACAGTCCAGCAATACGAAGGAGATGTTCATTGAGAAGTTTGAACAGATGGTTCGTCAGCGGGAGGAAGAGGAGATGGAGAATGGAGATGTTCCGCCATCCCCAAAGAAAACAAGCCGATATGTCCTGCCACGGGATACGCATGAGTTCGAGTCAAGGGTGGTATATAACGATATACCTATCCCGGTCAAGATTCCAACAGTCATTTGGCCCGAGACCGTGGGTGACTTTTCTCTTATCAAGCTTATTCAGACTTTCGCCGGTCCACATGCGACTTCTCCTCAGCCTTTCCCAAACCATCCTCATTTAACTACTAGTGGCCCTCTCACTCACCCGATCATCATTCTTGTCAATGCCATTCTCACTCAGAAGCGTGTGATTTTCCTGGGACATAATCGTCCATCTGGAGAGGTTGCTGAGGCGGTTCTGGCAGCCTGTGCACTTGCATCAGGTGGCATATTGCGTGGCTTCACCCGGCATGCCTTCCCCTACACTGATCTCACCAAGATTGATGATCTTTTGAAAGTTCCAGGTTTTATCGCTGGTGTCACAAACCCAACTTTTGCCAATCATCCCGAATGGTGGGATGTACTTTGCGACTTGCCGACAGGTCGAATCAAAATTTCCAGTCATGTCGAGGCCGCGCCTGTGACGGAAGGTCTGTTGTTTTTTCAGCAGCAGAACTCCCTTCTCCCAAACCAACCATCCAATGCCAACCAGGATCCTACTGGTGATAACTTGTTTGTTGAGGACATTTTGCGCAGTATCAGCAATCGTTATGGTGAGAATGCGATCAGAGCCAAATGGCGCGCGTATATTATGAAATTTACTCGCGTCGCCGCGGCCTTTGAAGAAGCCGTGTATGGGGCTTCGAATCTTTACATTATTGGTCCTGGGGAGGAGTTATCCCCGGATAGCCCTACTGGTCAACAGGCTGATGCCTCAGACCCTTCTTCGCTCCGAGGCCATGGCTATGTATGGCCGGATGAATCAGCGAAGCAACGTGAGCTTTCAGCATCGGTATCAAGGATAGAGGGCTGGCGAAACACTCGATCATATTATTCGCACATCCAAGATATCGCTGCGATGTACTACCCTGCACGTCCTATTCAGCGCCCTGACTTGCACCACCACCATGACCGCTTGCGATCCTTGAAGCTTTCCCACTCGGAGGCGGGAGCTATCTATCTGGCCCTTTCGCATGTAGTCAAAGACTATGCTGGCATTTGTCAACTATTGGCAGTTGCCCCGGAGAATCAGGCTGGCCTATTCTACCTCAGCATGGGTCTCTTCCATCCAGACCAGGCTGTACGCGAGGCAACATGTGATTTACTAGATCGTGTCGCATCTCACCCAGCTGGACGGCATTTCTGGACTCACCTCAGCCGCTTTGCAAAGCTGGGTTATTTCCGTGTCAAGCGAGATCGCGATGCTGCGCAGAGTCCTGGTTCCGGCTCTGCTTCTCCTGTCCCTACAAACACCGGTACTAGTTTTGGTGGTGAGCCACAGAGTTTGGTCGGTGTCGCTCTTGGGGGTAGCCTCAATCGTAGAAGCTGATCTTACGACGCCTTTCTTGTATCTGACTTTCCTATGCGTCTTATTGAACGAACGAATTTCCTGTTGATGTCTCTCCCTGTGCACATACCTCTCTTCATGTTCTACCTTATGATGACGACAAGAGTCCATGTTTCTTTTTCTCCTCTTTTCTAGTCATGATCTCCATCGCATATATCCATGTTCATACGTACACTAGCGCTTTGCCGCCTGTCTGGAATCAATCATTGCTGATTAAATGTGACCAAATCTCAATTGCTACACTAAACATCTGCTAATTCATGACACTGCACATGTGTATGGCAAGTATCAACCTCCGATGATGACTCCAAGTTGTTGTACGGGCCGCTTTACTTCCTTAATTTTGATTGTCATATTTATCTGGTCCAAGTGGGTGAACTACTTACTACCTAGTACTACCTACTAACATTTCCACTCAGATTAAATGGAACAGGCGCTCATATTCAAACTATTTGGATGGAACATTTGAACCTGGTTCTCCTGGTTCTCCTGGATCGTCTTGTTTATGGGGTCCAATTCGTATTAGCCATCAAACTCATGCTTCGGTTGGCCACGGGCATCTGTTGGCTTGTATCGAAACATGTGCCCTCCTTCGTCGTTAGGGTCTGGCTTTTGCCGACGATCCTTTCCACTGGCGATGTAGATGATGTCAAAATTCTTACCACCCCATGTGGTGCAGGCTGGATTTCTTGAAGAAAATACAATATCTTTCAGATGTCGACCACTTGGACTGAAAACCATCACTCGATTAGAGTCAAACATCGCAATCCAGAGGTTTCCCGCGGTGCTAAAAGACGTCAGTTTGTGAATCCAATTTTCATCTTGAAGATTTGAGGTTATGCTATTCACATACTCGACTACCATTCCATCTGGTTCACCGAACGAGTCACGGCGGTCGATTAATGTGCGCTTGTTAGAAATGCTTCCTGTTTCTACATCGAAGTCGTATGCCCATACTAGCATGGCCACAGAGTCATGAAAGTACACTGATGGAAGTTCTCATATTAGGATCAATCTCCTCGAGAGTTTAGTGATAGTACTTACTGGTCTTGTTGTCCGGACTCCAACCAAGCCCGTTTCCACAAACAACTCCTTCATTCACCATCAGGTGAAGGCTTCCATCAGGATCATATCTCCAAAGACGACCACGCGGTACTCCATAACTTTGAGGAAGCTTGTTAGGGCCGAATGCCATGGCAGTTTTATCGATTTCCGCTAGCCAGAACCTTCCTTTCGCATCGATACCACCATCATTGAACCGTAGTTCAGCTCGCTGAGATGTCGGGATTATTTCCTTCACAACTTCCATTTTGCCCGTCTCTTCGTCGATGAAGCATACTCCTTGATAATAAGCTGCAATGTAGCCAGGCTTATTCTTTCGGAAAAAGACCACCGTGACACTATCTTCAAGCTCAAGGACGCGGGCCTCTCCCACTGCATCCCCAGCGTCGTCAATCTTAAGGATGTATAGTCTTGAAGGTTCGGAGAGGCAGTCCACCCAGTGAAGGGTAGAATCAATCGCTCGAAATATTGGTGCCTCACCAAGAACCATTGGTTCGGGGCAGGAGTACCATATTTTGCCTCCGTCGATTGATTCTAAGCCTTCCATGATGATCACTGAATCTGTTGTAACTGTAAATGTAACTGCACGTTGGAAGAAGACTTCAAGTTTGCAGTCTGGTCTACTTTATGAATTACCTATCCCACTGGTACTACACTACATACAGTGTATCGCTGATCCCACGAGTTCACAACTTCCCCTCAGTGTGGAAGCATCCCGCACTTGATCAAGTATCATCCCACGTAAAGCGCGGGAACCTCAATCAATTCATGCAGAGCACTAAAAACATGACGGTTTATTGTATGTTTACCAATCATCAAGAGATTGATGCTCTGTTGATTGATATACTTTTTATGATGAATCAGCTATTGATCGGATCATTTCGTTTGCTCTCATTCCCAATCATGACCTCCGGGGCTTCTAGTGCTACTATTACCCGTGGACGTACATCCATGATGTTCGGATTGCTCGAGTGTCCATCTTCCCTTCAAATGTTGCATTATGATACATATTCTAATACTACTAGTACCTAGGTACTAATTGATCATACCCGAGTCATGATATGTATGAGCTCAGTCTGCTTTAACTTAAGTATGTAAGGATCTCCTCGGCCTCAGTACCCTTTATATGAACATTCTAAGGCCATGAAACCAACCTTGGAAGGCATTGTAGCTTTTTTTAAACCTTTCTTTCTCTTTGACATGCAATTATTACTGGATGTATTTAATATGTCAAGTCTCTTACAGTGGGGCAGTGTCGAGGGGCAGAGTACAATGTCAGACTCACAGCACTTGAGATCAGCCGTGTTGATCACTAACTTGAAGCACTTGAGCTGTTGATGGATCAGTCGGATCCTCCGGTGATAGACTGATAAAACCATCAGTAACCTGGAGCTAACATCAGTAACCCCCACATGCCTAATTAGGAAAGTAATCAGCTCCTATCACGTCTACGGGTGTAGCGTAAATACTCAAATTGACTGCAAAGGCCTACCCTCCCAGGTCGGCGTATTAAAAGTCACACGTAACCATGTAAGCAAATTCCAAGTTGTTATATTACTACCTAGGTACCTGTACGTACTGCATTTTCCCCGACAGGTGGGGCTTTCCTATTCTGGTGACCGCCGCTTTAATGAGGGCGCTCAGGCTCAGGCTCACTAAGCGAGTCCGTAGGACAGGTGAGTGATTAGTGAGTGCTCAGTGATCCTGATCATGATCGTTCGCTGACTTATCGCATTGGCTGAAAGGGGGCATCTAAACGGTACCCAAGCTACTTCCTACCTATAACAAAAGTAGTATCAACCATCAACTAGGCCGATTAATTCTGCCATTAAGTTCTTGATGGCCCTTCATTTCCACATGGTTGTCATTTCCTTATATCTTAATATCCTTTGTCACGGTACTTGTCAGGAAATCCCGTGATCATGGGAACGCCTCAGGCGACGAACTGCATGGTATCTACTATCTAGTATTTAGTCAGACCCCAGTGAGCCAGGATTCCAAGTTCTTCAAGTATTAGTTCTTATTGTATTGGAAAGTACCTAATACTACCTGACTTGTTGCCGATATCTCTCTGATTCACCTAACCACCAGGTGCCACCCTAATCTGGCACTTTCCCTCGCAATTTCTAATACTTCTACCTCCGGTTACCTGAATTGAGATGTCGTCCCGACGAGCCACCCACCATTCCTCTCGAGTCCCTCGTGACTCGGCACTGAATCCTCCTCCTCTGGATACTCAGGATACTTAGACTATTCCTGAATCCCAAGATAAGGATCCCGTTCAAGAGATAGGCCCGCTATCTTACCCAAGCAACAGTAAGAATCCCCTTACCTCTAGGTTAAATACCACTCCTACAGGGCCAACCACGAACTGACTGTCAAGCAACTTGAGTATACACAGCTCGGACTAATTAGAGTATTAAAGTAAGCCATTAAAACTAGGATATTTCAGATATACAGACAGTATACCACGAAGTATATTTCCTCTATCAGATCTATCTGTATACACTCTCCTAATAGCTACTGGTCTTTACATCACTCCAGTCCTTACAATACATTCACAACAGCAATTCCAATACTAGGATTATAGATATAACGGACATTCATATTCCAATTTTAGCAATTTCTTACGATATGAACGTGAGAAGGCCGGCCAAAAAGTCAAAGCTATATACTTTAAATGTAGATCGACATTCACGCAGCCGACTGCATATAAAGTTTATGTTGCTCGCGATAAATACCAGGCTAGTAAGAGTACCATGCTGGTCGCGGAACATAGTAGGAAAAGAAGAAAATGAGGCTGGTCTTAGGTAGCTATCCGTATGAAGTAGTCACGACTAAGGGCTACTGTCTGATTCTTGTACGTCAAGGGGAACTATTGGTTGTATTCTCGTGAAGAGTCTTTGCATTAAAAAACATACAGTAATAAGTTCCTAATTATCTAATATAATATATTGTATACTACCCATTTACAATAAGCGACTACGTTAACTATCGCCCTCTACGCACTACTCACAGTGACCAGCAGGCTCCGCGTAACAGGTGACCCGCGGGTGAGTACCAGGTCTAACCATCCGCACCTACTTTGCCGAATCTACATTAGTAGCCTACTCGCGATGAGGCAATTTCCGCCCCAATAGTGAAAGAATGACTCGAATAGGTCAGATTGTGAGAGGTAAATTTAAAGGTCTATACCACATATAGTCTACCTAATATTCATTGATCCACAGGTGAAACGTCTAAGAGGGAAGCGCCCCGGGGAGGGGGCAGCCATAATACCATGGAATCATCTAACTGTCCCCTCCGGGACTAGAAGCGTATGCTACGCCGCCGCTACTTGGCATTCCGGCGGGGAGGAGAGTGCACCAGACGCGATGGATAAAGATTGACGAATTTATAAGAATAAATCAATGGGGAACCAAAGATTCTTGACCATTTTCACCAACTATCCCTTGAACATTTTATTTTTTGAGTCTCTTGCAAGATGTTTCGTGAAGAAGGAAATCGACTAGTGTACGAGTATGACTCCGAACAGCTCTGGATTGAGCCGTGGGGGGAGAACGCGTTCCGGACCCGGGCCACGAAATGCGCCACCATGCCGACGGAGAATTGGGCTTTGTATGACAAGCTGGCGGATTCGACTTCCCCAGAGATCTCTATCTCTTCCGCCTCTGCCAGTATCAGCAATGGCAAAATACGGGCTGTCATTTCGAAATTTGGGAAGCTCACTATCTCCAACTTTGCCGGCAAGGTTCTGCTTGAGGAGTATACGCGCACTCGTCGGGACCTCCTTGATGCCAAATGCAGCGCTATTGAAGTCGAAGCTCGGGAATTCAAACCTATTCTAGGTGGTGATTACCATTTCACCTTACGACTAGAGAGCATCGACCTAAATGAAAAGCTCTTTGGCATGGGCCAGTATCAGATGCCATACCTCGACCTAAAGGGCCATGATCTAGAACTAGCTCATCGCAACTCCCAAGCGAGTGTGCCCTTTGTCCTGTCGTCTCTCGGATATGGCTTCCTCTGGAACAATCCCGCAGTCGGACGTGCTGTCTTGGGGAAGAACATTATGAGTTTCGAGGCCTATTCCACCAAAGTAATGGACTTTTGGATCGTGGCTGGAGATTCGCCCGCTGAAATTGAAGAGGCTTATGCCAATGCAACAGGCAAGGTCCCTATGATGCCAGAATTCGGCTTAGGATTTTGGCAGTGTAAGCTACGGTACCAAACGCAGGAAGAGCTCCTAAGTGTGGCGAGGGAGTATAAACGCCGCAACTTACCGATTGATCTCATTGTGATTGACTTTTTCCACTGGCCTAAGCAAGGAGAGTGGAAATTTGACCCTACATACTGGCCTAATCCAGGTATATCTCTAAAGTTCCACTATGATTTTAAGTACCTAGCTAATCAGAAAAATCCTTATAGCCTCGATGGTTCAGGAATTGAAGGAAATGAAGATTGAATTGATGGTTTCTATCTGGCCGACCGTCGATAAAAAATCAGAGAACTATGAAGATATGCGCGAACAGGGTCTTCTGATTCGTGTGGATCGCGGTATTCGAACTGGTCTAGATTTTGAAGGCGAGACTGTTCATTTTGATGCCACAAACCTCAAGGCGAGACAGTATGTGTGGGGTAAAGCACGACAAAACTACTACAGAAACTACGGCATCAAGGTTTTCTGGCTTGACGAAGCTGAACCCGAATATACAGCTTACGATTTCGATATTTACCGGTATCACCTCGGGTCCAATCTTGCCATCGGGAATATCTATCCAAGTGACTATGCACGAGCCTTTTATGAAGGTTTGTCCCGTGAAGGCGAAAAAAATGTTGTCAATTTGGTGCGATGTGCTTGGGCCGGCAGTCAGAAGTATGGCGCACTGGTCTGGAGCGGTGACATCGCCTCATCCTGGAGTAGCTTTCGGAACCAGCTTGCTGCAGGCCTGAATATGGGCATTGCTGGTTTCCCCTGGTGGACCACTGACATTGGTGGCTTCCATGGAGGAGATCCTAACAGCACTCACTTCCGCGAACTGTTTGTGCGCTGGTTCCAATGGGGCACGTTTTGTCCCGTTATGCGCCTGCACGGTGACCGGGAGCCTCGACAGCCTCAGCAAGGCACGACCGGGGGTGCATCTTGTTGCAGCGGTGCTGATAACGAGGTCTGGTCTTATGGACCAAAGGTTTATGAGATTTGCAAGAAGTATATGCTCATTCGCGAGGAGCTGCGACCATATACAAGGCGACTGATGCAGGAGGCCGCCGACAAGGGGACACCGGTGATGAGGACTCTTTTCTACGAGTTCCCGAAGGACGAAAAGTGCTGGGAAGTGACTGAACAATATATGTATGGCGACCGGTACTTGTGCTGTCCTGTGCTGACGGCCGGGATGACCAAGATGGCAGTCTATCTGCCAAACCTTATTGCTGGTGAGAAGTGGAAGGCATTCGATGGGGAAGAAACCTGGGAGGGAAACCAGAAGATTGAGATTGACTGCGCCATCGACGATATGCCGGTGTTTGTTCGAGTGAACAGTAAATAGACTATAGAATCCAAGAATGCAGTCCGATAGACACTAAACTCGATCATGTCTGATGGGCCATCACCCCCTAACCTTAAAACGTAGTTGACTATAAGTCGCTTATTACGAGATGGAAGACCAGCTATTTACCTCTATCTCTTGTTTCCACCAATGCCTGGAAGCTTGGGATACCACTGGTTGCGTTCCTCGAGCATTTCCGGAGAACGGACCGAAAATGTGGGGGAGGCCGAACTCTCAGCAGGAACGTGGAGTGGCCGCTCGGAAACGTGCGGGGGCCTGTTGCCAACGCCTTTGAGGCAGCCTCTGGCTTTCTTCGTTGCCATCTTCGTGGGTTTGCCATTCACAGACCAGTTGTACCATGGAGGAGGTTGAACCCTACACTGCCAGCAAACAGAATGCTGGCGAAGGCTCGAGACGCACCCGTGCCCCCTTGACCTGCACCCTTTGCCGTCGACGTTTTGCGAGAAAGGAGCACCTTGTCCGACATCTGCGGATCCACACGCAAGAAAAGCCATTTACGTGCGGCACTTGTGGGAAGAAGTTCTCTCGTATGTCAGTAGTGGCGTATCCCCGATGTTTAAGGTTTGGAACTGACCATCCTCCATTGTCAGGGACATTCTAAGCCGTCATGCGGAGATCCATGCACAGGACCGACAGCCAAATACTACAAAGCACCTTTCGAAGAGAGCATGTATACAATGCGCGTCAAGTCGAATCCGCTGCACAAGAGAAAATCCTTGCGCTCGCTGCGACTCAAAAGGTCTCCGCTGCGAGTACCGGATGTCGCCGACTAGTAAGCTAGGCACAAGTAGTGACAGAGAAGGGATACCTCAAGCCGACCCAAATCCGGGTCCAGATGACCTGGCCGCCAGTGAAGGAATAGAAGGGACCCTCCGCCAAACGGCCGCGTTGGATGACGACCATGGCACTCAACATCCGCTTGAATCAGTGGCTCCGGTGAATCGCAATGATCATGGTGAGATACCCATCAGCGCCGACATCTCCCATGGTCCGACCGTGTATGAAACTGGCCCAAGACAGGCCCCCAGTCCCGAATTTATGTCAGGAATAAACTGGCTATCACCGGGCCAAGCAATCTTCCAAGAATGGGGAAGTCAACTAGCCGAAATCACAGACAACGAGTTTTTTCCGCCGATGTTCAATATGGTGGATCTTACGGAGATGCAGCCGCTCATTAGTGGTGGCACTGAACAGGAAGTCGCCCCTGAAAACCACAGCCAGATTTTCTCAGGTTGCCCACCGCTAGGTTCCTGGGAAAATACAGAAGGTCACTCCGGGATCGGAGAGCCCAAGTCACCAGACACGTGCCGTGACGGGCTATCAACGGCCACGTCTGGGTCGATCGAAAGCAAATATTATGTCCATGGGGTCACATCAAGAGCTCCTTTTCAACGCAGGTCTTTCAATTCGGGAGCAGTGCCGGAGGGCTCGACGTCGGATCTTTCAACATCTGGCAGCATTGCTAGCAATATCATATCGTCCGTTGACCATTGGCTGACACGAGAGGTATATGAAAGAGTTGTTTTGAGCATACAAGAGCAGATAAAGACACAGCCGCAAATCCCGCCGCTAGAGTACTTTCGGCTTTGTGTGCATCTCTACTTCGACCGCCTGCATCCCAATTTTCCCTTCATCAATCGAGCGACCTTTCTAACTACTGACCCCCACTGGGTCTTGTTAATCGCAGTTTCTGGCGTAGGGGCGGCGTATGTACAATCACCGCTAGGGACGCAATGGAAGAATTCGCTGATGGAAATACTGGGAACGACTCTATCAATTCACCTCAGTCGCTATCAAGAGGCGAATTCAATGCAACATCTGGATATACATCTCACAATGGAGCTGGTGGATGAGGTCATGCCACTCATTCAAGCCAAGATTTTGCACATGCTGTTCATGATACATAGTAGCACTCTCTATATTACACGACGTGTCGGTTTTGAGCGTGCTGAACTAACGCAGTGGTGTTCATATCTTAATCTCCTGTCAACACCAGACGCTCCTACATCTATCAAAGGCGCTACAGATGTGCAGCTCTGGGTAAAAGCCCAGTCACGGCTCCGAGCGGGAATGATGATATGGGTGAGTGCAAATACTAATCCATGAGTGCAATGAGGTCCTGACATGTTATCCAGCTTTTGGATTCTATGATTTCCTACGAGCTGAATTGCAAGCATGTCATGAAGCTTGGTGACACCGCTAAATGGCTGCCCTGCCTTGAAGTCGCATGGGAGCAGCCATCGATTGCAAATATTGAGTTTGCGGAGAGGTTTTCAAGTACGAACTTCATCTCGACTTGGATCCCCTATAGAACGCCCCTCGCTGACGAGTTCCGTCTGAACAGTATCTTTTGTGGATGCGATCGATATGTTATACATTGAAAAGCGGGTTAGCCCACACATCAGCGAGTTTAGCCATGTTCTGCTCATCCACGCTATCTACCGACGGACCACGGAAGTCCTCGACAAAAGCTGCATGCGACTGTTATCCTGGAGCCCTACATCCAGTATGCAAGTCTTGACCAGCGAGCCTAATTCGATTCAGGAGTGGCCACCATCTAGCACAACGGCATCGAACTGGCGCAACGCGGCCTGTGACTCACTTGATGTTCTGAATTGGGCGGCCAACAGCAAGGCTGCTGAATTATGCTGGGAGGAGCCCACCATCCTGCATCTGCATCTTTCGCGGTTGATGCTCCTTGCTCCGATTGCTCATTTTCAGACTCTGGCAAGATTTCCGTCATCGCACACTTTGAAATGGCCCTCGATTCCTCCCAACCAATACGATTATGAAAACGCGCGTAACCAGGTCCTCCAATGGGCCATTCGCGATCAGTTCAAGGCTCGACTGTCGGTCGTACACGCCGGTGCCTTACTATGGCATGTTCGCCGCTTCAGCACCGACAACGCCATAGAACCATTCAGCATCTATATTGCGGTATTACTACTCTGGGCATACAGCGCTTCGACGTGCGCGGTCAATGACTCAAGCGGTCCAATGGGAGCTGATCAGGCCTCGCGAGGCGACTGTGTCGATCTAGATGATTCTGATGACGAGCCTCTTTGGCTTCGTCTTGATCGGCCTCTAGACGATGAGCTCGTCCAGACATACATTCGTGTCGGAAATAAGATGTCTGCCCATCTAAAGGGTGTCGGGGATATTGGCAAGCATGATGCGCCTTTAAAGATTCTTAAGCAGGGGTATCATTTACTTACTGGGAAGAAGTACGATAGGGGGGATCAACAACACTATCAATGAAAACGTGCCAGGGGAGACAAAACATTGCACGTGGGAGATACGGCGATCATACGCTGCAACAATCCAGTTCCTGATCGATGCAACAGGGGCTTTTTAGCTGAAGAAGTCACCCCTGACCAGACATCCAAAATATGATTTCATATTGCAAATTTCACATCTTGGTACAAAGCCTTCCTATATTGTTAGACACTTTGCCCCAGTAACTCATTAGACAAATCAATGGTTGCAATATAAAGAGACGTAGGCTACTTAACTACCTCATTTGCCTGTATTCACCCCGACAGCCCTAAGCAACTCCTGCACTACGGATGTGCTCGGACTACATTGACACTGGCACTATATACTTTAAGCGCGTGAAAAATCCTGCGAGCCAGCCAGGTTAACCGCGAAAGAACCAACAAGTTTCTCACCCTATAGCCACTGTTTTCTTGGTCTGAAACTACGTAGAGCCTGCGGCCTGACAGAGCATGGCCCGAAGCAATGACTTTAAAATATGTAGGGGCGTCTTTCCGCCGATGAACGCATCCTCGGCACATCTGGAACTCAATCGTAGCGTCTACTATGGTATATCTTGTCGAATCTTTGACTAATGATAACTTGATGCTGGTGCTGAGTGTATTTTATTTTAGGTGCTCGGTAGATTCAGCATGACTAGACAACAGAGCTATGAAGTAGGGAATCAAATACATTATGCATGGGCTATGAACCTTTGATCGTTTTAAAAGTACCTGCAAAGTGTTGACAACTGATTTCAACATCTAGATTTAGTGGTTGACTAGATAGGGCAATGAGTACACCATGAAAACAGTAGGCAGTTTAGCTATCTCGGCAAACCCCTTCCACTCCAGTATGGCACCAAATCTACTTCAAGATGCTCTTTAGTCTTTCAACATGACAGCCTCGTTATCCTCAGCGTATGCATCCACACAATACTTGGAGAAGTCCCTGGCGCCAACCCTACGCACAAATAGAATATCCAACTCCTCGAACGTCCTACCCTTCGTCTCGGGTAGCCTAAAGAATGTCCAAACAAAAAAGGCCAAGGCGCAGCCACCCCAGAAAAACCCAGTCTTGCCCTTCCAATTTCCAGCTGTAGGGTTCAGCATATATGGATTGATAACATTGCAGATGATCTGCGAGATGTAGTAGACAATACGAGCAAGACAAACAGACTTGTTTCGTAGGCGCGTAGATGAGGTCTCACTGATAATCGCATAGCATATTGGCCCAACAGTGAGGTAGTAAGTAAGCAGCCAAAGAAGCATCATTGTTGCTTGCGCATAGTTCCCCTCAACTGAGTCTCCGGCCCCTACAGAGACGAAGCCCACTACTATCAAAATGATAGTTAGAAGGCCCAACCCCCAAAGATAAAGAATACGACGACCGAAGGCATGCAGAAGATACCATGAGACAACAGTGCCAACAAAGGCGAGTCCGAGACCTCCCACGGACATTTTGAATGAGATTGACAACGGTAGGCCGGCCTGCTCGAAGAAGTAGGTTGGAGTGCCACCCATAGCTGAGCCACAGAATGGTTGGGCGGCGAAGGCCATACAGGCAATCTCAGTCCGGCGACGATCAACACCACGGAAACAATCCCAGTAACTTGTGCCTTCGTCAATTTGCTTCTCCAGCTCGTTAGTGTGGATCATCATCGCCACACCTTGTTTCGCTCCACCATTTGCGTCAAAGCCTAGACGAATCATGCTTCGCTCCGCAGATCCATAATTGCCTTGCCGGACAAAATACCAGGGGGACTCTGGAGCGAACAGCAGGATAACGAACAGCGGAATAGGCCACGCCCACTGGATAGCAAAGGGTATACGATATCCCCACTCCGTTGTGTATTCAGAAAACCCTGACTGCACTCCGGCCGAGATAAGCTGACCAATTGCCCAGCATAGGTTCACATATACAGTAAGATAACCGCGCAGGGAGAGAGGACAGACTTCAGACGCGTACGCAGGTGCCATGGTTGCAAAAACTCCCCAAGGAATACCGCATAAAAGTTCACCCACCAAGAGGACAGGTAAGTTTGTGGCAAAGAAGGGGATGAATATGAAAGCTGTGATTGCAACCAAGCTTGCCAGCAGCACCTTGCGGTAGCCAAATCGATGTGTGAAATACCCATTGGCAAAGGCGCCCACGATGGTGCCGACAGAGACTGCATTGCTGAGGCCATTCTGCCAGGAAGCAGTGATCTGGTAGCTGTCACTGCTCGCTATATACGAGCCGTAGCGTTTCTTAAAGGCTGGTTGGGCGAAAAAGGAGGACATGAGAACAATATCGTAGCCCTCCATGATAATGCAGGTTGAAAGCAGGACTGACCACATTGCCGCTTTAGGGTATTTGCGAATCGCTTGCATGAATGTATACTGGTGTTCCGCTGCGGCCGCCTGTCTTGCAAGATCGTCGGATTTGACATGATCGTCTTCGTGGCCGTGCTCCACATGGGACACCTCCTTGTCGTTTTTTTCATTGGATGCCATGGTCGGATGCTTGTAAAAGAATACAAGTTGAGTGGTTATGCGAAGTCTGGAAGACAGGTCAATAACTATTGTGCTGTAGATAAGGGGAAATCATTTGACTCACATATAATCCTTTGTTGAAATACTTCGTCGATCCCATTCCCGGCCTGATGTACATCAAGTCGGATGTTGAGAACAGGATCCCCACCGACCTTTTTAACGAGCACGGATAGGTGCCATCGACCTCTTTCACACATTGATCAGTCCATACTCCATACAGCTTTCAGAATCCGGGGAAATAATCGGTAAGTGGGCTCATTTGGTCTCATTGGCTCGAGGCGCTCGGCTCCAAACAACTACCCCGCCGGAGTACGAAGCCAAGCCCAGCCTGCCCATGTCATCTATATAGAGCTTGCTATTGATTTCCGACGGGGTAAACTCTATGTTGTCTCCATCGCGAATAGTGCGTATGGCACTCTTTCTCACCACTCGTCGACTCATAGAAATCCACGCGGCTGAAATAGCCTAATGCTTGCCCTTAGAGTTTCCGACCAGTCAACTATTAGGCTATTTGGTGCTGGATCCGCAATCAACTCGTAACCAGCTACCTCTTTCATCTACATCTTGGACGAATAATACTGTAGAGCAATGTTCATCATCTTTGCCTGAATTCTCCACGTTCCCCCACATTCGCCACCAACCCCCGTAACACAACCCAAAAAAATAATCTAAGAATGTGGGGTTCAATGATATAGTTTCTTCAGCAATTTAGTCGGGGGAAGCATCATAGCCACCTCCGTAGAACTATAAAATGACACTCGTTACGGCATGGAGGATAGACTTAACAATCAAAGCACGAGTCCATTTGATTCTATCTGCCTTCTGAGAATGTGGCATCAATCCTCTGCATCACTTCTTCTGGCCCTTGTGGCCCCATCAATTACGTATGCAGCGGCAATGGCTCAACGAGACGACAGCGTAGGCAACGCTGTCGTCAATCTCTCTCAGAACAACGGCGCGGCGACCTTCCTCGGCTCGGGTTTCATCTATGGATTCCCAGACAATGGTACGAGCGCTGAAGATAACATCCCTGACTATTTCCTCACCGATATCAAGTTTAGAGCATGCCGCGGCGGTGGTGCTCAGATCGATGCTGTCGGATGGGCGTCCGGCGGCTATGATGGTTATATTGGGCGTTTTTATTCGGCCCTTTCAAACTACCGTTCGGCCCGCAAGTATGATGGAGAATTCATCCTGATGCTGAGCGACCTGTGGGGTGCTCAAGGCGGTGCAACCGCGGCTTCCGTTTTCCCAGGCGACAATGGCAATTGGACGGAAATGGAGTTGTTCCTCGATCAGGTGATATCCGATATCAAGTCGAATGACATCTTGGAGGGATTGATAGTTGATATCTGGAATGAGCCTGACCTCGAAACATTTTGGTATCCCGATTGGTCTCAATATGTGGAATACTTTGTCAAGGCCACTCAATACTTGCGGTAATTTGATTGTCCATGCTCGCCCTATTAAAATCTCGTCTTGAAACACTAACTTGGCTCTAGAGCTAACTATCCTGATCTACCTGTGGAAGGTCCATCGATGGCAAACTCGCCCAGCACCGACAACACTAACTGGCAAGCCTGGATGTCATCTATCTCTGGAAATGATACGATTCCAGACCGATTTTCTTGGCATCAGATCGGGTCATGGCAGCGCGAGCCTGATGTTACAGTGCCTGCTTTTACCTCTTTACGGGAGACTTATTCCGTTGCTGAGAGGCCAATCGATGTCAATGAGTATGCTTGGCCCTCAGAGCAGAACCCTGCCAACTCGATCTTCTATCTCTCGCAATTTGAGCGTCACAATATCCGAGCCTTGCGTGCTAATTGGGGTGGTGGTTCAAACTTGCACAATTACATGGCCAGCTTGATCTACGCCGATGGTTCGGGATATTATCCCAATGGTGATTGGCAGCTTTACAAATATTACGGAGGAATGTTAGGCGATCGGATTGCAACTACTGCATCTTCAGATCTCCTATTCGATGCCTTTGCTGCCGTATCGGATGGGAATATTCTCAAAGTTATCGCCGGTACCAGGACTGTCCAGGCCTCATACGATCTTATCATCACAGGATTCAGTAAATATGGGCTTGCTACCGAGGGCACGCTCGATGTTCAAAGCTATCGATTCGATTGGAGTGGCTCTGAGGTGCAAATCGATAGCCCGGTTGACCTGGGCAAAGCTTCCTATGGCTATTCTTCAGATACAGTAAGTTACCACGATTACACAAGGCGCAATATGTTCGCGGCCAAGTATAACTAACTTCTTCGTGCCCTAGCTCACCATCACTCTTAATCCGCCGACTAACTCAACCGGTTACGCGTTTGAGATTCAGCTTTGAAGCTGACAAAGTCATATTTGAGTCGGCTTAGGGGGGAAGCAAGAGCTTGGGGATTCAAAAATGTCAAGTTAAGCCAACTGAGAGATGTATATTCTGCTTAAACTCGGCACAGAATACCAACAGATTGTGATAAATTGCACTGAGATTGGAAAACGTATAGGTGCTGAGCGTAAGAGGAAGTAAGAAAGTGAAGATATGTCCTAACTAGGTATTAAGCGGTGTGGGCTAAAGGCAGTACTATCCAAGCAGCCAATGGATAAGGGAGATTACTCGTTATCTACGTCACGTAAAGTGTAAGGACAAAAGTATATTATGAGTAGAAGAAGTTTTTCCCGGGTGCAAAAACTGATAGTTCCCAGCTAAAAGCAAAATTCAAAACAGGTTGTAAGAGGCATCACTAGAAAACAGTTCACATCATCGTATCGCAACAGCAAAACGGCTCGAGAGTTGACATGGGGTGCTTAACTACTCGAGAGTTCAGAAAATCTGTCCCATAACCTTCCCTTCCATGCTCACAGTTGTTAGGCTTTGGCTCCTCCCCTTCCCGAGTACCTAGGTAGGCTTCACAAAGTCTGACTACAGGATAGCGGACACGCTAAAGACCATAGCGATAACCATAGAGATGATCCCTTCCAGTATAGACATACATAATTAAACAGTGAGGCTAGTGTGATTATTTTTAGCTAATAAAGCTACTGTCACGGGCCGAAGCCCTATGTTGGTCACGGAAGCACGTGACCGACCACACATGTTGACACACGAACATACAAGGAAAGCGCCTTTCTTCAAGATTAATGTAAACAGCATGCCGGCCTAGTAAGATTGAATCAAGTCTTGCTACATCCCTTCACAGCTACCGAGAGCTTCGGATTATTAGTGTAGTCGCCGAGGGCCGAGTAGATTATCCGAACTAACAGGAAGGGAGCGGACAAGGTAATACTAAGGAATAACTTCTTCTGATACTTAAGCATTACGAAGGAGTAGGTATAGAGAAGCTAAGCGGTAAGGAGGATAACCAGGACGTATACAGCGAGGAAATGACCTATAGCTACTTTAGGCAACGTCCCTAGGGTATATCCGTGTGATGTATCGGCGGTACTGATTCCGACTATACCAAGGATTAGGCCGATGATAGCCATAAGAGTCACCAATCAAAGGGGACGAGGAGGAATTTTCTTTTCCAAGTCGCTAGATAGATATTTATTAGCCCTGCTCAGCTCCACCGTCAACCATGATCAACTCACATTAGTCTTAGCATTCCGACATAAGCCAGCAACACGGGCGCAATGCCGATCAGCTGGCACACATCCCAACGACTCACAAGAACGGATCTGACACCGGTTCGCCAGCCCAAGCAAAGAAAGCATGTGGTCTCCCACACGGCTATTCTCTCTTGTCGGCATGTGGCTTATGTGCGGCAGATAGTCGGGTGGCTATCGCCCGGGTGAGTTTAGGGTGAGCACAGCTTTAGCGTCGCGCGACCGGGGTGACATAGGGTGAGTGCGTAATAGACAGGGTGAGAATCTGGCTGAGAGCGGGTGAGAAGATCGCAGAGGCGTCGAACTATACCGAGATATGCTCGCTTTTCGGGTATGAAGCAGAGGAGAATATCGTCCAAACCGGAGATGGTTATCTTCTTGGGCTACACCGATTGGCATATCGGAAGGGCGAAGAGAGCATGCGAGTGAACCAGGGTGCTGGTGGGCTCAGCAAGAAAGTTCTTTACCTTCACCATGGGCTTCTCATGCGCAGCGAGGTATGGGTTGCTTTAACCGATGAGAGAGCCCCAAATCATGACCTTTCAAATCAAGATATGGCATTTGGTACTGGCCCATGCTGGAGTTGAAGATGGTGAGCTTGCCGAACCTGGAAATAACAGTGCATATTTTGCCATTGGTGATATCCGCAGAGGCGGATGAGATGGAGATATCGGGAGAAATTAAACCAGCTAACTTCTCAGTGAGACTTCAATTTTCTGTAAGCATATGGTAGCGCATTTTGTGACTCGGATCCGGAACACGTTCGCCCCCACGGTTCAATCCAGAGCTGATACTCATAAACCAGACGGTTTCCTTGTTCATAAAACATCTGGCACGAGAAAGGTTGATTGATCTCTCACGAGAAGTTGATAGTCACACATTGCTAATCGTCCTTCCTTTTCTTAGATTCGTCCGAGTCCATTTTTGCATCTTCTCCAATCCTGCCCCGCCGGAGTGCCAAGCGGAGCATACGCTCACAGCCCCGGAGGGGAGATTCCCTTGGGCTATGGTACCCCGCCGCGTTCTCGTGTGCTATCATGTTCCAAATTAATCATTTGTCAAGCTGATGGGGACAGGGGTCGTGGCAGTTGAAACGACCCCTTCATCGGCAAATTCTCACTGATAGCGTTGGTTCCAAGCCGACCCAACCGACGATCCTGATGCTAAACATTCATTTCCACTGAGTGACCCACAAATCATTCATCGGCCCTCCAATACCTTTCACAAATGCTACATAAGACCCGGCTAAAGGCAGAAATCATCTGCCAAGTCCAGGATCCACCTTGGCAGGAGACACGGCTTTCAACTGATATACTCGCTGTTTCAAACATAAGTGCCGGTGATTAAGCGAACATGACTATGGGTACATCAATATGGGAGAACCAGGAATCGAATTTGCATGATTCAAGCTGACGATCTGAAACGATGTCTCTTATTCAGTTCGCAGGTGTTAAATAGCACCACGATATCATAGATTTAGGAGCTGCAAGCACTTCACTCATTCTTTTCCTCATTTCGTCCCTCTTTTCATTTCGCTATTCTGTCCTCGCTGGGTCGTTGACAGGCTCATTCTTTGTTACATTTCTCCTGAGTGCCCACAATGCGTTCCCGAATTCACCTCCCGCTCGCCTTGTCCTTGGCTTCGATCCCGGGTGCTCTCAGTCACTACTTCTTCCCGTACTTCATCGACAACACAAATGTCACGGACTACTACGAGTATGTTCGTGAGGATACCCAAGGATATATGCCATGGAAGGGAAACTACGACAGCGACGACTTGCGCTGCAACACCGATTCCTTCCAGTACGCCAACCAGACGGACGTGTACAAAGTGAAGGCAGGAGACACAATTGGATTTGGAACCGATTTCGGTGCTCAGATCGAACACCCTGGACCTATGCAGGTGTACCTGTCTAAGGCACCCGGCGACGTCCACGACTATGATGGGTCCGGTGATTGGTTCAAGATCTGGGAGCTTGGCCCAACATCTTTTAGTAGCGATGGCATCGAATGGGGAGTGACTGGCCGGTCCAACTTCACCTTCCCTTTGCCAAAGGAGACACCTCCTGGTCATTATCTCGTCCGCATCGAGCACATTGCACTCCATGGAGCTGGAGATTTCGGCGGCGCGGAGTTCTACTTTAACTGTGCACAGATCGAGGTCGAAAGCGATAGTACTGCTATTCCTGAGCCGGTTGTGAAGATCCCGGGTGTCTATGATGGTTACGAGCCTGGTATTTTGTTCTACATGTATCGACCCTACTGGCATAACTATTCCATGCCGGGACCGTTGGTGTGGCCCCAGAGCATTGGTAATTCGATCTATGCGGAGGGTGTGACGGGAACGCCCACAGGCACTTGGTCGGCCCCTGCGGTGACTCCCTTGCTTACGTCGGCTGGGGTCATGTCTCAGTAGCGTGCGAGTTACCTCTACGCCACTCACCTCCACACCACTGACTCCTGGGAAGTCACGTTATTCTTTCGGAGCCACCACTGCGCCAGTCGCTGAAATTAGAATTCCAGCAGGTACCATGGATGGTGTGGATGCCCAGGCCTCAGCCACAGACTGTGCTGCGATGACTGTTACCACCACAACGACCATTCGACCTGAGACTTCCACGACTGAGGATAGTTGTGCTGCCGTGACAACTACTACCACTGTTACTACTGCAGTCACTGTCACGGACTTTGCGGCGGAGACTCGGCCTATGTAATTTTGTATTTTTGTTTCAGTAGCTAAATATTTTGAACTTATGAACGGATACAGCCTTCATTTCAGGAGCTTCCTGTACCACCCTTCATCCAAAGTTGCATTTCGCGGGATACTGCTATGCTTTCGCCACATATTCTAGCCCTCGCTTCCGCTACCGGGTTCGTTCATTCCCAGGACCGGTTGATTTGATCCCCATAAGCGGAGGTCCAATTCGGCGCAAATGTCTCAGACCCATTGCAGGCGTCACTGACTCACGAGTGCCTGAAAAAAGGGCAAATACGTCTCAGGAAAATTAAAAGGAAGAAAAACATGCCAGCGAGGAGGAAATCAGGCTCTCGCTACATTGGCCAAGAATATCTTGGCAGGATAAATATCGAGTGAGGGGCATTTCTTCATGACGAGAATACTACTTTATTGTACCCCATATATTTGAGGATTGCCCTAGACAGACTAGCTTCCGGCGATATAATAGAAGGCAGACTGTCCATATTTTCTCAGGCAATACTCGATGCACAAATGGCGCTGCCGCGTGAGACTCGAAATACATGTTCTATCCTTATCGTCTCATTTCACTCCACGGTAGATCGCATCAGAAGGACATACCAACTTGCAAAACAATCGCTGTCAATTAGAGTGGCCGACTTGATTGATTATCTGCTAGTCTTGTTGAGTAGTCTGTGAATTGTATAGTGCTGGAAAAGTATCGAACCCAGTAAGGTTGGATGCTCCGCTCAGACTGGGCCAGTTGCAATCCATGGCACCTGACCCAGGCAGGAATGTTGCTAGCTGGCGATTCTGGATGGCTTCAATTGAGTTCCAAAGCCCAGTAGCGGCCGATACCAGCTGCCTATGAGCTTGGTACAAGGCTGGCTGTATCTCCCTCCAGCCCACTTGGTCTTGCGTGGCCAGGGCCTTCGCCTCCAGCTCTTGCTTCAGACGAGAAATCTCACTCTCGGCCGGTAGATTCTTGGTTTGGAGACTGTCTTTTTCGATGGTCATCTGCTCCAGTCTTTTCGCATCTTTCGCCTTTTCTGCCTGGAAACGCGCTTTTGTCCTAGAAAGGTGCTCATCTGCTTCTTTTTCCATCTCGGTCTGTAGCTCAGAAAGGAGGTCAGAGCAGTTTTGAGGGTCGATCTTGTCATCTTTGCGGGAACCCATCGCGGAAGACCCCTATCTGCTGTCAATGGAAGCACACAAATGGATAGAGAGAGACAAGCTTCTGAGTAAAAGCTACTGCCATGGTTAAGACAAATGCGACTCACACTGCGATGCTTCTTCAAAATGCCAGACTTTGCTCCGCGAACGGTCGAAGCTGGAGAAGCTGACCGGATTGAAGCATTCGAAACAGATCGACCTTTAGTAATCACCGTTCTTGCTCGCTGCGAGTGATGGCTGGTTCTATCCTGCTTGCAACTATTTCCTCTCGACATAGTGAAGGGAGCAACGGAAATGATGAATGATTGGCGGTAGGATGAATCAGAGACGGGGAATCGAGCTGTCAATGATCATATCCCGTGGAAAGTGAGCATCAGGGCAGTATTTAACATACACATTGGAGCCTGCCAAGCCAAGGAACCACGATTTAAATCTTGAAAATTAACTCCCAAACTCACTGGATACAAAAATGATGCTCAAAAGGTTGCTCAGGTGGTTCGACTACTGTTCAATTTGACCGATCAGTGTTTCAGGTATCAGCTCAACCTCACATTGTGAAATCGCCTGGAGGTTTCTGGAACCTAATGATGAGTGAAGTAGAGATTCTTGATGCGAATAGACTGCTATTTGATGCCACCGTCACATTCAAAAGGGGTGTCACTTTTGTTTCTGCGACTTTGGTAGCTGGAATATGTGCGTATGCCCTCGCTGACCTTCACCACTCGACCTAAGTTGATCGACAGTAGCTGATTGTGCTGCATTGTGCTATCATGTCGTGCTGCCTCGAGCTATGTGACAAATATCGTGGATTCACAGAAGAAAAATTTATGGACAGTCTTTTTATTACTCGAGATTGCACGGGATTGATAGTCCTGTCGAGATCTGCAATGCTTGACTTGTTAATTCACTCCCCCAAAGCAAAGTGACCTATTATTTGTGTAAGAAACGATGTAGATTCTGTACTGAGCCAAACAATCCTCATTTTGGTTGTTTCCCCCAATTTATTTGGCAATGGTCCCGCAGTCATCGCCGTTGAGTCCACATATGGGGAACCAACGATTATGCTGACCCATTACCATTGAGTAAACGGAAATCATTCAGCAACCATAATTGATCAATATTTGAAATTGGATTTATCTCCCGATGATCTGCGGTAGGACCAAGCAGTCCCATCAAGTCCCTCAGTAGCAATATGTGCATGCGGTTCGAGGGATATACCGTGACTCACTCAATCAAATTCAGTTGCCACTTCTTTGGTATAAAAAGCAGTCATCTCTCAGCTGGACTTTTTCAATCAAGTGAGTGTCCATTCGTGACTGCCTGCAAAAATGAATGCATTGTCTGACGACTCGACTGCCGACGGGCGACAGCACCCCCGTCAAAGATTGCAGCGTGCTCTCTCGTTGTCATCGCGTGATTCTGATGGTTCTGGAAGTGCTTTGAGTGGTAACACCACAGTGGATGATCCTTCCTTCCAAGATGAGGACGACGAGCTCGAATCCTGCCTCGGAGTTGATGAGGGAGAGCAATCGCCGGGAAATGAGTATCTCGGCCACACTGAAGCGGTAGAGAGAGTTCTCCGTTCATCTGACGCAACCGGCGCAAGAGACAACAACATCCGTTGCCATTCAATGTCTAGCTGAGTATGTCCAGTAACTTCCCTTTTCTTGAGAAATATAGCTAACCTGACTGAAGTCTAGATAATCGGATGAAGCAAGTGAAAGACCCAGGCCGCCTAAAACACTACTGACAACTTCTTCGTGGGCTCGAAGCTGCTCTACGTGAGCGGAATATAGGGAATGAATTTGACGAATCATATGTTGGAAGATGTCAGCAATCGATTGGCAGCGGTGGAAGCGGCCATTCAAAACGTGACTGATACGGGAAGGAAAACGACGAGTGGTCGTCGTCGCTCTACCAGACAGACCGCGCAACCGCGGCAGTGAGGACCTTTTATACTGAACCAAGATGGGACTCGGGCTGCTGAATCGGCAAAGCGGTATCTAAGTCCCCTCGCGTTATGTATGCACCCGGGAGCTTCTCTATTTACACTCTTTGCAACCCTGGCGTAGGACAGGGAGGATGACAGTCTGCCTCCGGAATTACCATTGTCTGGTTGAAACGAACTTATTTCCTTTAATTGTATGAGATAACGGATTTCATGATGATGATATGTAGAAAATAGTCAGAGAGATAATTGACACAGATGGTAGCTCTGACGATCTACATAGTAGTTTGATGGGGTTGACCGCTAAGTAACGTTCCCTGGGACTAAGAGCTCCAAGCTCCAAGCTTCTTGACATCCCCACCACCTTTCCACCATGGCGCCCCTCCGCCGCTATCTCCGCATCACCAAATATTCTGTTTTAGAATGTCGCATATACCTCGAAAGTCCGTCAGATAATCGTTGGCTCCTGAGCTCTCCAGATCCTGTCCTCCCACGCGTGTTCGCCGCAGTTCGCCCGCTGGTACTACCTAAGCTGCGAGAAGAGAACGAGCGACGATGGGCCCGGAAGAAAAGCAAAGCTACCAAAGATGTGATCGCTGAAGGTACTGCCAGACTTTGACTAGATTACCCGCTGGATGAGCATGTAGGCTAATCAATTCTGGCTCTGATTTAGATGATTTCGAAGTGGGAATCTTCCTGCGTGAATCGCGCTCCCGGCATTCCCTCCTGACGCGAAACAAGACCTTTCACAAGCCGACTAAAGATGAGAATCCAGAGAACTCAGCAGCTCAGCTGGGGGACTCTGCGCAAGTTGCAGACACAGAAATTGTTATTGAGAGCGATAGCGAGCCCGAAATCGACTTGCGCAATATTCCCGAAGCGACCGAGGGCGACGAGAGCGTACTGAACACCGAACGGCCCTCACGAAAGAGGAAAAGAAAAGCGGAACTGGATGCTGATGACACCCAAAGCAACACAGATGAGAAAAAGCTTGGATTCACTACCCACTATGAAGGGTTTAGTATCTCCGGATGGGTCTTGTGTCTGCTAGTCGCGCGCAAGGGCGACCGGACACGGGCGGGTGTGAAGGCCGGCGAGCCAAATCAGCCTCTGATGGAGCAGTGGATCTCAACACAAGCAGAAGGTGTCAGCGCGGACTGAGAGCTCAGAATCGTTCGGATATTTTGTTCTGGAGAGAATCTTGAGTACTGGTCAAGCTTTCTCTGTCACATCAGCCACGGTTCCGCCTCCGCGCCCTTACAAAGACTGGATCACGGAGCTGCATACTTGCATCTATATCCAGCATATTCCAAGCTCTCACAAAGACCTCACTTTCGAGACGAATGCTTCTCGTTATGACCTTAGGGCTTCCCATACCTCAGCTTCAATAGAGGCAATCGCACCTCTCTCCATCGATGAAGTGGCCGCCACAAAGCGCCATAGGGCTGGAACAACCCCCTTTCAATAAGTATATGTTGATTGATGGCACAACGGCGGGATCCGTCACCGCAGTCGACTCGGGTCGAGCCAGGGTACTTGTTTTCTGATCTAGCTATCTCCCATGGCCAAGTTTCTACAATCATGTAGATCAGGATAACTTTGACACACATGGGGAGCTTCCGATGGCCATTCCATTAATTTACACGTAGCTAGTACACACATATACAGTAAGATTAGACATGAGTCCCCGGCAGTGGGGAGGATCTTCAAGTTTGATAGCATGAGTCTCATATAACATCTCTCAATCCCAACTTTGGATCATTTGACTTTGGAATTTTTGTGACAATGAACACTGTAAGAATATTTTGAATCCAGAATCTGCAGCCAGATGACAAAAAAATCCAAAGAGTCGTGAATATTGGGATTCATAAAGATTTTTCCAGACTCGGATTCTGTACCCCGTACTCTGTACTCTAGGCGGGATCAAAAGCGGAGCGGGCTAACTCCATTGTTGCCTACTCAAGAGTCAAGACCACAAAACCCGCCATATTTCACAAGTGACACATCCTTCTTCACTTCCCTTTACTAAAACCTCTCTTAAAACTGTTGATTATCACTTATTCTCATGGCTCGGGTACTTCGAATTCCTCGATCCGATGAGCAGGATAGCTTCATCCTGATCCATGTGGTGAGTTCAGGAAGTGGTCCGCTCAACTTAACGCTCACAGCCACTGAAGGCGAATGCCCATATGCAGCTACTAGTAAGGCCACCGGGAAGTGTTGAGAATATTTTTGAAGCACACTCTGACTAGCTCATCTCATAGTCAAGGCATCCCAGCTGAAAGGGCTTCGTGCCAAGAACTACCAGGGCTCAGATGATGAATGGACCCAAATCATCTCTTATATCTTGAAGCAATCGACTTCAAGTACATCTTCAGCGGCATACACTGGAGTAGAGACCTCCGCGAGTATCACAGGCTCAGATGATGAAAACAAAGAACTTGTCATTACGATCCGAAAACGGGTTCAATCCATCACGGTAATGAATATTCTCCAGCCAAGCGCCCACCCACCTTCTGCTTAGAAATTCTAACCTATGTGCTTTTCTGCTTTTCTTCTATAGCAAAAACTAGGATCTATCACCCTCAAGCAAGATGATGATCAAGCCATTGAACTTTTTGAGTGGTCGGGTATCTCTCTCGCCAGAGTGGAAGAATTGGAAAATCAAACCATCGAGTTGTCAGATCGGTGCCGCGTTGCAGATGAAACGATACAAAAGTTGAAAGAGCAGCTCGATGAATTGATCAAAGCCAAAGTACAGCATGAATCTAAATTGATTGCCAACTTTGCTCAGCTCTTGAATGAGAAGAAACTCAAGATCCGCAACCAGCAACGACTTCTCTCTGCCGCAACAGTCGACCCTTCAAAAGGTAAGTCTCACTAGCTTGGGTCTTCATTACAACTGAAACTAAACTCAAGTTCTCATGCTAAATCTAACCGGAACTTAGTTGCGGAGATACGAGCCCACTCTGTTCAGTCGCATACAGCTAAGGGAGAGGAAAATCTTGCTAAACGAGGCGCACAGAGCCTGGACGACACAGATGATGAGAGTGATGATGGTTTTGAGAAAATGGATGTGGATAAACCGAGATCTGGGAATTCATTGGAGGACCAGGATACAGAGGATGAAGATGAAGATGGCAGTAGGACAACAGACGATGACTCTGATGGGTCCATGCAGGATGAAGTACCATCCAGCAAATCCCAAGAGCAGGATAATGATGACCCTCAGCGCTCTAACACAAAGGAAGCGACGCCTCCGCCGCGGAGAGAACTGCCCTTCACGAGGCGGAAACCAGCTGAACAGCCCGAGGCAGCCCCGATTCAGAGCGAGGTACATGTAGGTGGAGAAACTGCCGGAGAGACTGATGATGATGAGTTATAGTCTTGATCTAAATAAGATCTCTCGTTTGGACCGGTCTATGTACTCCATGTAGTATGGATGAGTATATTCGAAACTGATACCCAAATAACTTTACACTGGCATTTTCTATACTGTAATTGCAGTCTACACACTGACCAGATTCTAATTTCTACCTATATGATCTTTAATTTTTCAGTAATTTGAATGTTTCTATGTATTACGCTGAAATGTATCTTGAAATGCCAATGTTTCAAATTTGAAACATGACGTAACTCCAAGCATCCGTCATTCAATCTTATAAACTTCCAATGTTGTAACTTGAATCTTGAATGTTGAATCTACAGCCTTAACCTATCTAACATCTATCATGCCCAGCAATATTGGCCAGAAATTACTCAACGCCCTGGGAGGCCATTCAAATCATGACCCACCCCCGCAATATCCACCGCCACATCAGCTCCCCGGTGGGATGGTGAACAACGATGAGCGCCCTTTATCCTCTCCACCAAATCGGGGTACCTACCCGCGCCTCGCACGATTGTCAGACGGCTCAATTTTATCATCATTTACGCGGTTTCCAGATGGCAAGCGAGCTCTTTGTGTGGCTCGCAGTATCGATAATGGTCAGACATTTGAGAATTTCTCTGAAGTCACGCGCGCTGCGGGAGACGTGGATAATTTGTTCTTGGTAGAAGCAGCTCCAGGCATGGTGCTAGCAGCTTTCAGGAACCATGACCTGGGCCCTCATGGTCCTACACATTTCCGTATCACGGTATGCAGGTCTTTAGACGGAGGTCGCACCTGGCAGTTTGCATCGCAGGCAGCCGAAAAGGGTGCCCCACTCGGGATCTGGGAACCGTTCATGCGACTCGGTCGACAGGGTGAGGTTCAACTTACCTATTCGCAAGAATTCGCACCGAATAATCAATGCACTATGCTCGTTGTCTCGAATGACCAGGGCAGTTCCTGGAATCCTCCGGTCTGTTTGCACGGGCAGAAGGATCTCCTTCGCGATGGTATGAATGGAATCGCAACTACATTTGAAAATGGTCGAGAGGCGTTGGTTATGGTGTTTGAAACCACACGCTATGGAAAATTTAGTGTGGAAGCCTTAATATCATACGATAATGGAGTCTCCTGGCATAGCCGCCATGAAGTATTCCGGCCTAAGCCTGGTCATAATGCAGGATCTCCACAAGTTGCATCTTTTGCAGATGGTTCTATGGTAGTTGTGTTTATGACCGATGAGGATTCATCCCAGGTGGATTGGGTGAAGCATGCTTCTATCAAGGCAGTTTTTGCTGGGCCTCCACAGAATGGACGGATTCAATGGAGCGCGCCTACTCTCATTTCTCCTGCATCTAGCTTTTGGCCTGGTGTGATGGCAATTGATCATAATACTGCACTAGTCACTTATGACCGGGGTGGTCCCTTGGCTAAGACGGTCACTTGGAGACCTTAGCTTAAGTTGAAACATAAAGTGTTGAAAGTGACTCCGAGTCGGGCGCGGTATCCGATGATCGGGTCATGCATCCGGTATAACAACTTGAATATAGTAGACATTGACTCAAATCATGATGCTCCTAGTTGTCTTTATGTATAATACTTTATAATATTTGAAACGATTGATTTATGACAATGAGTACTACATATTCTGAATGTAATCCAATCTTTGAATTGAGAGTCCTTTGCACTTCAAATGTTACTAGAATTCCATACAATCAAATATACCCAGGTGGATAAAGATACAAGCGGCCCCCCATGACCGGGTTGACTCCGCATTCATCGGAGCTTGTCCGCGGAACTCATAAACCATCTCACTCCGGATTGAACTTGTCCTTGTACTACCCTCATCATTTCCCCCCCGGTCGCACAACATTACTATTCATCATGGCATCCTCCATTAGAGCCAATTGTCGCAAGATTATGTGTATCGGCCGTAACTACGCGTGTGTCTCTTTCCCCGACGAATTCCTGCGACCTACACTACCCCAGTTATTCTCACAAGACAGCAATAGATTACTGACCTTTTGAATTTCAATTATTTAGCGATCACATTGCCGAGCTGAACAGCGCGACTCCCAAGCAACCATTTTTCTTCCTCAAGCCTGCCTCCTCAATCCTTACCCCCGGCGCTGGCCCCGTCCTCCGCCCCAAGGGTGTTAGTCTGCATTATGAGGTGGAATTAGGTCTCGTGATTGGCAAGACCATTCGCGATCTGGACCCAGAGGATGAGAAGTCCGCATTCGACGCCATTGAGAGTAAGATTGATCCCAATCTCGATTTTAGCGCCCATGAAAGAAGCGCCCGCTAATTCTAATCTTTCTTCAGGCTACGTGCTCGCTATTGACATGACCGCCCGCAATGTGCAAGACGAAGCTAAGAAGAAGGGTCTCCCCTGGTCCATTGCTAAGGGATTCGATACTTTCCTCCCCATCTCCGAAGTCATCGCCAAGTCACGCATTCCTAACCCCCACGATGCCTTCCTCCGTCTCCGTGTTGGCGATGTCGAGCGCCAGGCTGACTCCACCAGCCTGATGCTGCACCGCATCCCTAAGCAACTTGCTCAGATCTCCCGTGTTATGACCTTGGAGAAGGGTGATATCGTTCTGACTGGTACCCCCAAGGGTGTCGGTGAGGTCAAGGCCGGTGATGTGATGCATGCTTCGATCGAGGTTGATGGTAAGGAGATTGAGGAGGGTCGCATTGTGGTTGAGGTGCAAGACAGTCAGAGCCGCTATGAGTTCAAGGAGACCTAAATCAGGTTTGAATGAATTGTGAATATCATTGATTATATATGGAGTGGGCATGTATCAACGAATTTATCAAAATACACACACGATATCCAAATTTGAACTGGATTTCAATAATCTTTCCACATGTGCGAGGTTCCATTTTGAAACTCACCCATACCAACACAGACTTCAACTGTCTTCCCAATTGCACCCACGGTCTTGCTCACATGCTAGGGCCGATATCAAAAAATCCCGGCCAGTGTATGGACTATTCTTCTTACAAGGGAATCTAAGATCCTGTACATTCAAACTCCTGAAACTCGATGAATGGTCCCAAAATAACTTCTTTAAACGGATGTTGAAATCAGCCATTACTGGTAGCTAAGATTAGACATAAAACCACAATGGGTCATTTATATCATTCAAGTTCTATCGAGTCTTTGTACCATACATCGCTTTCAGCATTCTTTATTCCCATTGCCTCCTGGATTCAAATTCTATTGTCTTATTGTTGCCAGAAAAAGAACCAAAGACTCGACGATACATAGAACAATGTACTAGTAGTCTCCAGGGCTTAGAGTCTCAAACATTGTTTCATGTTTGAAAAAGCACCATTGTGCCCTTTATGTTCACAACTCCATTAAGACTCGAGTCATAAAGAACATTTTGAATTGTGTAATGGTCTCTTTGTTCGAGGATAATGGACCTATTTTCATAATCCGAAGTTCATTCTTCCATTGATTGTAAATAATAGCTCATGAAAAGGCATTATGCGAGAAAGCATCATGAACAACAGCATTTATAGCCGGATGTTTCCCACAGAGTTGAGATCAGATCATCAACAGTCTACCATCATCTTCACAGCTCCTAGTTATCTACTCAGTTTTCTTCCAAATCTCCAAGGTTATTTATACATAAACCACTGGCAGGATTCCGCATTGGAACTTGAATAACAACATCCGGATCTATAAACCAGCTTTATCCTACCTTTACTGACCCAATAGCTAGACCTCCAGTTCCTTATGGTTCAGCGAGTCTTTGTTATCCTACATTCGCAATGTGCTGGCATTTGATCTCAATCAGAAATAAGAAAAATGGCATTCTCAACCCAGCCTCAAATCAATTGGAACACCAAGGTCCAACCACTGGTGCGCCCTGTTATCCCAGAAATCCCAGTCTCAGTCCCAGAAAAGACCCTCACGGCCAAGGTTCAGGATGCCTCTCGTCACCCATGGGGTGTGATCGACTACCACCTGTACCTTGCATTCATTGAACGAGGCCGTGATGATTTGAAGCGCCAGAGCGAATTCATGCTGTTGGAGGCCAACGGGTTGCGCCAGGTTCACGTCGATGACCTCCTCGACGTAAACACATTTGCACACTCTCCTACCGAGACCCATATAATCACTTTCCTTAACTTACCCATGCTACCTTTGTCTATGTCAATGCAACTCACCGAACAAAAGCTTGTACTGGGCTTTGACCTTCAACGCCAACATCTCCTGGGATACTTCTTTGAGTCAGCTCCAGATAATCTCGCTGATGTTTACTCTATCTGGCACGAAGGTGAGGTTGTCATTGACATCCATATTGACCGATTCCTGGAAATGTACGAGTATACTGTGAAGGAAGCATTGGAGATTCTCGGTGTTGGTATGTTCCGCCACTTTCGCGAGAGCAAGCGCGAGCTCCCCGCTGGTATGGACCTTGTGGTGACTATCCAGTTTGCTCAGTTCCTGCGTGATTTCGCCGGCCTCCTATGGGAAGACCGTAGTAACGATTTCCGAAAGGTATATTTTGAACATGAAGATCACCTTCGAACTCTCATGTCGCGAGCCTCGTGGGAATCTTGGTTTGCGGTGCGAAATGGACTAACCATTGAACAGTATCGACAGAAGATGATGGGGAAGATGTAGAGGTTCACCTCGTGTGACTTACTGTTTGATTGGCCAGCTGAGCCAGCTGCGGTGCCTTCCCCACAGCCTCAAATGTCGAATTCTAGTTCATTTGATGTTTCAACTCTTTCACGTATCTTGAAGCCCGAGGGTCGGGTGATGCATGGTCAAGCGTGCCAGGTTGTTTTCACTCACTCTTTGACTCGGAAATGTTCTTACAACCTCAAGCTTTCTCAAAGAATCGGAAAAACCCCGGGAGAATTTCTCACCATAATACGACCTTAGAAGTATTCCAGCCCGCAGTTCTGAGCCTTGGAGAGATTGAGCTTGGGTAGTAACATTTGAATAAATTGAATGTATGTTCGTGTGTGTATGTACGAAAAGCCTGTCCTTTAAACACCTGCAAAAGATGATAGACCCCACATGTGCATGAAAGGTTCAAGTCGTTCCTTAGTTCAAAGCTCTATATCAATGAATGCACGCTAGCCCTTTGATCCGAAAAGCGGCTCACACCTTTGGATGAGAGACCGAAGGAAGTATGTCCCGCAACCACTCAGCCATCATTGCCACCATTTCCTTGGTGCAGCTGTGTCCAGTATTATCCTGAACGAAGAATCTGATATCCTGATTGGCGCGTTCCGGATTCCGTTTACTTGCTTCCACCCACGCGCGCGTGTATTTGGCCGGCACAAGTTTATCATGCACACCGTTGCATAGCAATAATGGCACATCAGTGGGGAACTCATTGGCCGCTTTCAAATCCTCCTGATGCACAATCTCCGCTAGAGGACGAGGCCATCTGCGCTGCTGAGTCGAGTCCATGAGCCGCTGAAGCTTTTCCCAGTCAAATTCGTTATCCTGGTTCACAGTGCTTGGGTCGATTCCAAGACGACTGAGAAGAAGGGTAGACAGACTTGGACAACCGACTACCATTGTATACGCATAGAATTGACCTGGGGAGACCAAGGAAGCAATGCGCCAAGCCGTATGGCCGCCTAGAGATACTCCAGCCATTATGTTGTAAAATCGAGTAAACTGGGGTAGATAGGCTGGGAGATAATCCAAAACCAGCTTGAAATCTTGAGCTGACCCAGATATGATAGACATCAGATCCATGCTATAGTCACGTCAGTAACATAATCTCTAATACTGTTTTGTGAGACGCACGCATGATTCTCATTCCCGTCTTTCCAAGTTTTGTTCGCCCGGGAATCAACCTGAATGATATTAATACTTAATCGCATAGAAGAAAAGTTGCATTAGTGGATGACAAAAGTTCTTACCTCTCGATCTCCATGATTTCTCATATTCATGGTCACAGCGATCAGACCGACTGATTCGCCCTTTTTCTCGTTGGTCCGATACCGATATAGGATCTCGTGGGCCATGTCTTCCATCACCCGATACGTCCTGGTCCGGTTATGTGCCATATACAAAACCGCGATTTCTCCAGGAAAGCTCTGTGATGGATTTGAATTAATCTCATCGAGTCCATATACATAGATTCGTAGGCCCCCAATGGCCAGTTCCGTTTTACTGGAGAGGGGTGTTGTTGGCGGAAGAGAAAAGCGAGGCTCGTGGCCCTTGCTATTAGTGGTGGTAGTAGCAGCGGGCGACATGTTCCCTGATAATGAAACTAGATAATCCCTGTTTATTCGGGTGCGGAGAATTCTAGACTCAAGCGTTACTAGCTGAAGTGCTATGACAAGCGTTTATAACCTGTTGCCCTAGTGTCGATTCCACCTGTACGTGGCTCAATTTTGGCCCGAGATAATTACCGAATTAGCCGATCGCCCCCGAAACTTGGTTATTCTGGTTATTGTGTGAGCAAGATATGCTCTGACTCCTCTGAATGACTAGGATTTGACCGAAAAATTGCCGGGCCCCACTAGATCTACATCCAATTATTGAGATCTTCAGCCTTGAGGTTTGTGAACTTGAAGATCATAAAAGCGAAATTGGGTGATGATGGGTCATACGGTAGAATCAATGATGCAAATTCAAATTGAAGTTTGATTGAGTGAAATTATACATTTCTTCCTAAACCGTGACCGTAGGAGAGTGTCAATCGACTATTTGACAAACTTAGTCATTGAAAATGTGTTCAATTGCAAGTCGACTGTGGTAAAAGACTCGGTGGTAAAGATCACGCTGTAAGCCCAATGGGTCAAGAATCAAGATCTGCGTAACTGGAGATACCATTGAGTCGCGCTGAAGAGCTAGATCGATTATGGAGATGGATGATCAGCACTGGATGGCTGGTGGTGGAGATCGGATACTCGGTTCAGGCTCAATCGGTACAATAACCGGTTAATAGCAGGACTTGCCTTACTGCTATCAACTGGTCAAATATCACTTCAAAGATGTTCAAGCTTCAAGTTTCAAATTGGATGTTTGTTTGGTTAGTGCCAACTCGAGCTCTGGTGGCAGGTATTCTCGAACATTGAATGTGACATTTCCACTCCTTACCAACCCTTGGTCTTGTCCGCGCCTTCGTTGGGTTATAAATGACTGACATGATGATATTCAGGTCTGACTCATCCACGCAAAACACAGTTCTGGCATTTCTTTGTTTCAAGGTGATCTTCCAGGGCTTTTTGACTGGTTCAATGCCTAGTATATTGACGTGTACGGAGTAGTTTTGGGGCTAATTTTCTCTTGATTCCACTCGGCTTCGAAAGCCATGGACTTGGGCGCTTCCTCCATAGACGCATGTTCAACGTTGATCAACTGGTGTAGACTAGATCATCGACGTTAGTCCAAATTCGTTTTTAATTACTTTTTCTTTCTTTTCCCTGCTGTGCAGATTTCTCCCCTCTTCCTCAACCTCCACCATACCACACCACCTTGATCTCTCAGCCCGGTCATACTATCCGGACTTCCACAGCTGCTTGTCGTAGATGCTATTAACATCTAGTACCAATATGATGACGACATGAAAAGCTGGGGAAAGCTCCAGTGGCTGTTCAAGGCGGTAAGTACAGGGCGGACCGAGAGCGCGCTATCTCTTATCTTAGAGCGCGCATGATAAGCCGCGATGCGCTCTCATACACCCCTCAGAAGCAGTAAGCCAAAAGCTGAATCTCACTTCTTGATTCTTTGTATATTACGGCGATTTCCCCATATATCCATTTTCATTCATTCCAATACGGTTCCATCCTTCATTCGACATGACAGACACCATAGATCCGGAGGTTACTACCGAGAATATCGCCGAGCTACTTCAAAATGACCGGATGGTCAAGGTAGCCGGCGTTGATGTCGATGGAGTATTGCGCGGCAAGCTGATGAAGAAGTCAAAATTTCTTTCTATCGTATCTGAGGGCTTTGGGTTCTGTTCTGTCATCTTTGGCTGGGACCAACATGACCAGACCTATTACAAGGAGCTCTCAATCAGTAACAAGGAGAACGGATATCGCGATCTCGTGGCTGTGCCAGACCTGCGCAGCTTCCGTCGCATCCCTTGGGAGAACAATGTACCATTCTTCCTGGTTAGCTTTCTTGACCCAGACACACGCCAGCCGGTCTGCGCGTGTCCTCGAGGCTTGTTGAAGACCGTTGCGGCAAAGCCCGAGGCTGCTGGATACCGTGCCATGGCAGGAGGTAAGTGGTGGCAATGGCCTTTGAACTCCAATATCAAACATGCTATCTAGATCAGAGTGATTAACCAGTGCCTAGCGGAATACGAATTCTACCAGTTTCGCGCCCCCGGTGACCATCCCACGCCTGAACGAGCCGCCTCTCATACCGCCGCCTTCCTTCAATCAAATAAACCAGAAGCTCTGCCTGCCTTGACAGAAGGCATGTTCGGCTACTCTATCACTCGCCCTCTTCATAACCAAGATTATTATTACGGAATTTTCGACGCATGTGAGCAGTTCCGCTGCGATATCGAGGGATGGCACACCGAGAGTGGACCAGGTGTCTTTGAAGCCGTAAGTAGCTTCAATCTGTGACATGTGGCGCAAAACTAGTCTAATATTTGGCACTACAGGCATTGCAATTCGGTGAAGCCAAGGATATGGCCGACAAAGCAGGTCTATTTAAGTATGAACCCTCGGACTCTTACACGCCCAAAGACAAGACAAATGCTAATCAAACATCAGATATGTTGTCAAGGCCTATGGTATTAAGCACGGTATCACACCTTGTTTCATGGCAAAACCCCGTCAAGGTCTTCCCGGAAACAGTGGACATATGCACATATCCCTCGTAGATGCGAATGGGAAGAATGCCTTTATTCGCGATACCCCCGATCCCAACCCTCCATACCCAGATGTTGCACACCTGTCAGATCTAGGCCGCCATTTCCTAGCGGGTCTACTGATCGGATTGCCCGATATTATGCCTATATTTGCGCCCACGATCAACTCCTATAAGCGGCTTGTTGAGAACTTCTGGGCGCCCGTCACCGTGTCCTGGGGACTGGAGCACCGCGCCGCCTCTATCCGCTTAATCACACCACCAACCGCCAGTGCCAAGGCCACTCGCTTCGAGGTGCGTGTTCCAGGTGCTGACACGAACCCGCACTTTGTCCTTGCGGCAATCTTGGCGCTAGGATGGCGTGGTGTGGAGAAGAAGTTGGAGATCCCGGTGCCGCCGCTATCCAAGGGCGAAGATATGGGCGGAGCTAACGATCAGGGTGTGCGATTGGCAAAGAGTTTGAAAGAGGCAATTGAGACATTCATGCGACCGGATAGCATGGCACGAGAGGTGTTTGGAGATGATTTTGTTAATCATTTTGGAGGAACGCGAGAGCATGAAGTGCGATTATGGGAGGAAGCGGTGACTGACTGGTAAGTCACGAAGCCCATATGGATATGACCACGGTCCGCTACAGCTACTAACCGACTTAACAGGGAGGTGAAAAGGTATATTGAGACAGTCTAGACCTCAATCCATTGTATCTAGCGATCACTGGGTGGGATATCGAGTAGGATTAGAGCAGCGACTACTTATGATGGATACTTCTTATGTATAATGCAGGCATTAGCAATGGAATCTAACTCGTTTTACTAGTATATCGCTAAAAGATTCAAGAATAACTTCAAGGTGTCGGTCGTATCAAGCTTAGAACTTCAAGTTTGCGTGAAAAAGCACCCGCGATCATATGAGAATTTCCGGTTTCTCAAAGCTTCGAGGGTGATACATCCCGCTTAGATTCTGCATTTCTAGGCTTTCGGGTTGCAGCAGGAACATGATCCAGCCACGCTGAATCAATCATCTTCTTTTCAAGACGATTCTTCTTCCTCCATGCAGCATTAAAACTCTCCTCCTCATCACGCCAACGCCTAAGCTCAGGACCAATCCAACAGACCGCTGCGTCCGCGCACTCATTCACAGCTTCTTGGGCCAGTAAATGGCCGAAACTCTCAAGGAAAACCTCGCGCACACGACCAGCTGCAACACCGCCACTTCCCCCAAGTCCCGTTCCTGTGTTTGCGAGCTTATCCGCGCGCATCTTAGGCAAACACATATCGGATTTGCCAGCGAATATATAGAGCACACTAGGACGTAGGAATGGAAGCTGTGCAAAGATTCGGGATGGCTCAGGACGGTAGAAAGGGTGAGAGTCCGGATGATCGGCGTCAAGGTCCGGGTGAGTCACACGGTTGACAGGCTTACCACTACCGGGAATATGGTTATAGTTCGGTCGGGAGAAGGTAAAAACTTCTTGATGTAACGTTGTGCGCAGAGTGACGGGTGGATTTTTGGGATCAATATGAGATTGATTATTCGATGGGTGGATAGCCGTGGGGAGATCGCGTAAACCATACTGTACCCATCGATCTAGTACACGTGGATCCCAGGCTTGATAGAATGGACTGCGTTTGAACCCTTCGGCTGCAGCTTGGCGAGAGGGCCAGATGTCCCTGCGGTAGGTAGAGAGCTGGGTTGTTTTGGCGATGACGCGCTTGTTCTCTTCACGGCTAAAGCCATCCAGTTGTGTGGAATGAGGCTGAACCACTGGGTCTAGAAGCACTAATGTGTGCATTAGACGTGGGTGCATCAAGCTGAGTTGCGTACTAGAGGTTTCGACATGAGTATATGTTCAAATAAACTAGTGGGACTGATCAAGTCCGAGTCAGACTTACAGGTGTGCACCGCCGAAACTATGGCCAATTCCGATCATGGGTCGGGGCATTTCAGCGGCCTTGACATTCACCAAGTGAAGAAGATCACGGGGGTGATCAAACCAGCTTGCTATCATATTGTTAGTATCGTATTTAAGTGCGTGTGGCAAAATGCTTCATACGATCATTGCCGAGCGAGTCTTCATTAATTACGCCGCTCTCTCCTTGATGCGCCACGTCGGCCATCCAGACGCTACGAATGCGAAACCCGGACTGCTTAGCACGAGCATGGATTTCTTCCCATAAAGGCTCGTATAATTCCTAGGTATCGAATCAGTGACACTGAGCGGCAAGAACCCATCCATCACATTTGGAATCTGGTACTGGACTCGGCATGAATGCGCCTGTCCTAGCTGAGGACTATCCCACACCTTGGGTGTTTGATCATACCTTAGGAAAGCCATTAGCGTGAGCCGCGAGAATTGTTACATCTCCTGGCTGTGGATTAGGATTGTCAATCGGAATATACTGCTTCACCGCAAGATGCAAGGAGGGTTGATCTTGGTCGTCAGCTACCGCCCCAGGGTACTCGCGGATGTGCTGACAAGGCACTACGTGCTCAACGATACGAAAAGGAGAGGATGACATGATTGATGGTGTGAGGTAAGAAAAAGAAAAATTGAAGACTATATGTCCTTGGTGTTTTCCCCGCGGGAACATCCATGCCAGTGGACCTGTGGTTCAGCCGAGGCCCCTGCAGGCCGAGAGAGGCACTACGTATCCAGTTAACTGCCGAGCTCCACTCCGCTTACATTTAGAGGCGTGATAGAGCAACCACCCCAGGGTCCACCTATTTCCTAAATAGGCAGACTTCCCGCATGTTTGCCTTGTTTACATTCCCCATCTAATATTCTGCCACTTTTTTCTGCCATCTAGTACAACTGAAAAGTACAGGATTTAAGAAGTTATTATAATACTCCTGGTAAAGAGATCTGTTATTCTTCTAATTTGGATGATATTTAAGTATTGACTGTATCTTTTATGACTATAATTAACCCTGTAATCAAGAATAAAATAAGAATTAATTGTTATGATGTATTATGTAACCAATCCTAACCCTTACCTACAAAGAGTTCGCACTAAGAGAGAAGGGATTTAGTCCAACTAGAAAATCCTTTATCATACTAGTAGTTCCAAAAAATAGAAGCTAGAAGCTAGAGTATAGAGATGATCTTGACTTATCCAGAGTAAAATGGAGAGGAAAGTGTAGACCTGGGATTTGGATGTATCTTTTTTGACCGCCTATATACCGCCTTTAAAGTGGGTCTTTGGGGTGGGAATATCCATGGGGTGGTTGCTCTATCACGCCTCTACATTTATGGACTGACTTGAGCACATATATCTTCCAGATCTCTCGAAATACTGATTTTTAGGATATTAGAGGCTCAGTCAATCTCTGTTTCTGATTTTCACTTTTTTTGTATGCACAAGTGCCCAAGTGGAACCTTTGAAAGTTGGAAATTTGGGTGATCAGCCAAGCACTAAGCTGCAGAGTGTACAACAGGAAACTTGGAATCATGCGTCATTTTATTTTTTGGATCACCTCGAAAGAACAAGAATAGAAAATGAGATTCTCATACAGAATACTGAAATTAAAACTTCAGTTGAACTTGAGCACTTGAGCATGAGGTGTTGTCAAAATAAGCTTGAAAGTGGAGGCGGCACTACTGTGACTGACCATTTAGTGACTCCTGAGCCTATAGTACCAATCTTCAGATTTTTGATTAGCTTCAAGTCGAAGTACTATTAGTTATTATAGCACATATGGCCTTTTATTGTAGAAGAAAGGTGTTTTTATTCTAAATGAAAGTATTTAAAATTACAACCTAAAGAGAATCCCGCTCGTTGTAACTTGAAGTGGTCAACCAAATAAAACTCCAATGTGTGCATACTATGTGCATATGTGCTCCATAAAACTCCCAAATGCTGTAACATCTAATATGAACTTAGCCACCCAAGACAGTCCAGCTCATGAGACCCACCCAGCCTGCAACAAACACCACAGTCAAGATACCAGCTCCGGCTCGATCTCCAGTGGTAATTGCGCTTAACGAGGTGGAATCAGCGGATGTATCATTTTCACCGGCATCGGGAACACTGGTACTGTTACCACCAGTGGTGGATGTGACTGGGGCTGACTGATCGAATGCAATCATGTTGGCAACAAAGATGTTCGTTGCACTGATCTCTTCTTCCATGCCGATCCAGCCATCATAGTCGGACTGGTACCATCTGACTCCACAGGTGTTGTTGTTATGACCCGTGCAGGATAAAGCAGCAGCCTTGGCGGAACCTTGAAGGTAAGGCAAAATCGTGTTATAGGTGGAGGGGACCAAAATGGCCGTGAGCGATAGCCAAGTTGAGACCAGTCCCTTGAAGAGAATCTCGTTGTCATTACAAGCCTCGGATGGCTCGCATAGTTTTTCTTCCAAAATATATGTACCATCATGGATAAAGCCATCAAGTGTTCTGTTCAATAGACCATCGACAGCAGTGAGCCAAGTAGAGCTACCGTTTGTCTGTATGATATTAGTCTACGGCCCAGGCTAACAGAGAGAATAAATAATATGAGCTTCACTCACATAATTGTACATATAGGCAGCACCCATCAAGTATGTACCATAATTGTAAGACCACTGGTCATCGCCCTGAGTGGCACAGTCGTTCGTCGTTTCTGTGGAATCGGCCACGTTCCAGGTTGAGTTGCTGAGAAGAGGAGAGGATACCGACCAGTCCCAAATCTTTTGGGCCCAATCAGCATATTCTGAATCGTCTGTGTATCGTGCAAGGCGTGCTGCTAATTGGAAGAGTCCACCGTTGGAGATGGAGTTTTTCATGTCGTAACCGGATTCGTAGGTCCAAATCTGCCATCGCAATCCACCACCGCAGGATGATGTATCCCATTCATTGACTTGATAGTTGTAAACACCCTGTGCGAGGGAGAGCCACGAATAGTCACTTCCAACATCGGTGGCATCGGTGAATTCGAATTCAGCGGCGGTTATGGCTGCAAGGCCCCAGAACATTTGGTCGTCGTTTCCCTGGAGCCATGAATTAGCTAGAAGTTCTTCCAGAATTGAAGACTATACGAGCTTACAATCCAGGAACTATAATTAGTTGGCATATAATCATCATCACCGGCTTGCCATTCTAGACCCACGCGCAATTCGGCGTTATAGGTGGTGTCTCCTGTGAAATGCCAGTAGTGGAGGAGGGCTAGGAATAGGGCTGCACCTTCCCACCACTTGTCTGGGAAAGCTCCAGGAATATGGCCAGTTTCGTTGCCATGATAGTAGGTCATCATAGCGTAGGCAGTTGTACTAGCGGCATCTTTGATGGATTCTATTCAAATGTCCAGCGTCAGCACCACCACCCATCGGATTTAGCGGGCTATAAAAATAGAGCCAGAAAAGAGGTGAGGATGCAAATATAGGGGAGTTGTAGATTTCACGCACGTTCATCGGTGATATCCAAGGTGATCGCATGCACAGAATCAGTGAAAAGGAGTGTGATCAAAAGGCCCTTCAATACCCGCCAGGGGCCGGGGAAATGCATTTTCAATGTCAAAAGAGCCCACAGGTGCTCAAAAGGGAAATATAAAGGAGTGTAAGAAAATTGTTTGCTGATATATGGTAGAAAACGAGTGACTCGGAGTTATCAAAGCGATGTGTTATCCTCCAGGGTTTCGACGTGCAGAGGATGACGCTGAATCACCTGAAAATTTCCAGGATCCAGGAGTAATAAAAAGCGGGTGCCACATTTCGCGCCATGATAATTAAATATAGCAGAGCATGCGTAATCCTCGGCGCTAGCGTCGTCAACTTCAATTGTGGAGTTTGAACGCGTACACTTCATAATGGTAGTGGAGCCAATCATCAGAGTCGGCCAAGCTTTCTTGTCAAGCTTTTTATGCGACGATCGGCACTTCTTAGTACAACTTGGGGACTACAATTCATAAGGGTCTTTTAGATCGTTCCAGATAGTAAGCCACAAGGGTTATCAATACACTGAAATTGTGGGGGATTCCAGACCAGATTGAATGCACATTTAATCGAGATGAGGCTATTCAATGTTGAGTTAGGTCCAGGTACAAGTGGGACTGGTCAAGAATAAGAAACTGTAGTACATGTACATCGGAGGAAGTAAAGCAGATATTTTAGGCACATGGGAATAAAGAAGGGTACAAAGACTAGTCTAGTGTTTCTTAGTGTAACTATCTTCGGATTTTTTGAATATTTCTTTGTCCTTGCTATATTCCTACCATTTCAACATCGGATTTCGGACTTAGGACCTCGGACGTCTCCTCGCCTTATGAAAAGCTTAATCAGCGGGAGGCGACATCCGATAACTAACTAAATGAAATTTCTGTCTATATTCATCTACTGAAAGATCACTTGAGTTATCAAACTACCAGGGTCTTGAACTGTTCATATCATGATAATTTCAGATCCCCCATTCTATAAATATGAATATGAAGTTTCGAGACTCGGAGTGGTGCGTGAGAACAAAGAAGCTATAGAACTTGAAGTGGGTGAATGGGGAACTGGGAGTGTGCGCCCAAAGTCATGAGACATGGTGGACTGCTCAGGTGGTACTAGATGTTGACCATGTGTTCAACTTCCAAGGTTGAGTACTCTCACTCAACTTTGCTTGATAGCCTCAGGGATCCTGGCCTTGAAAGCCATATGAACCGGACAAGGCCTAGATCTGCACTTTCAGTGAACCTGGCATGTTCATTTCTGGGATAGCGAAAAAGGATCTCTAGTTCGTGTTGAGATCTGGCCCGGCCTGGCCTTTCTAATCTTCAATCAGTGGGGCATCGTACTGATTCGTACATGAAGTCAACTGGAATCTTTGTTCATCGGGGCACTTATCCCCTTTTGGACTAGCGGGGGATCAAATTATAGATCACGTGTTATCATGTACTGGAGAAACTATTATCCTAGTGCGCCTTGAACGAACTTGTTGACAGGAATGCATGGATGAGTTCATACATAGATCCATTTGGGGTAGGTCATTGGAAACAGAACTTGAAAAGCCTACCTGAAGAGAGAAATTGCAAAAAAGGACTACAGACTTCGAACCAATCTTCAAATAATATAACTGTTTGCTCAAACTGAGATGTGTTGTCCCAACTTGAATGCCAGTGCTATGTGTACACGAAATCGCGTGGCTTAGATCTAACAAGTGCCAGGCGACCTATGATGCTATCTATTTGGAACAGACAATGGAAGAATTGACGCTATTGAAAACCGTAGGGACTACCGGCTCAACGAGAAAGCAGCCAACAGAACCCAAATCAACAGCCGTCTCGAATCCCCGATTCTGCGCGATTCCCACGAGTGACAGAGTTGTGTCATTAGCCGTCGATTCCTGATACACCTTCCAGGCCTTCACCTCCGTCGCTCCGTTCCAGCTCATAAATGCCGTTTCCTCAGCCAATATAAGCTTTGGCTTCTGTGTCGGTGTACCAATCCACGAGCCCTTGTATGCCCGATAACCTGCAACCTCATTATCAGAGCCATATCGAGCCTCCCATTTGAGATCTGTTACGTTGGGACCAGGTCCGACCCCAAACTCTCGCAGCAAAGGAAGTTGGCCATAACTCAAGAAGCGAGTGGTGGAGTTTTGTTGGTCAGGGACATAATCCATTGAGCCGAACGAATCACTCCAGAGACTACTGGATTCGTTGAGTGTGTTGAGGGAGAGGGGTGAAACATTTCTGCTTGGGGGCAGGGAGAGATGGAATTCGCGGCCAACTGTTGGTACAGTACCCGAGGTGCCGTTCGCGCCGGCATAGTTGTGGTTCACGAACATTGAGAAGATGACGAAATCAGGTCCGTAATCATGAACTCGCGTGTGGTATTGCCTTCTCTGTCAATATGTTAAATCCACCAGTTCCCGAATGACGGACCTCGTGGAGCGCACAATTGAGGGACTTACAAAAGACGATTCCTCGGGAACAATACCCCAATCTCCTCCAGTCTCACCATTGAATGTCCACATTATATCTCCATCTGTACGGTCGATGGCATATACATTCCAAGTGTGGCGTGCGTTGACCAGCAGATTACCGTCATAAGCTGAAACAGAATCGATGTGCACATAATCCCAAGCCACCGATGCATTTTGAGCACCATCAATGAGCGGCAATTGAGAAGCATTGAGTGGGATGTGATCAAGTGCACTCCACTTCCAAATAGACTTGGAGGTGCGAACATCAATCTTGTGAATTTGAGAATCTAATACCCATCCACTAGCCGAGCCGTTGACAGATGTGAGGTCCACCTGGGTCAAATTGTATGCGGTAACCAGAAGCGTTCCCCAAGGTGTGATGTACTGCTCGTTGTAATCAATATCACAATGATGGATTGCCGACTTTTGCGTCTTGATGCCCAATTTTGGGCAGACAGTGAATTCTCTCTCATATTCAGAGTTCAATATGGAAAGACTCCCATATCCAATACTGGAGTTGATGCCATCTTGTCGGTATCCGTGCCAGTAAGTCAAGTACTGTGTTCCGTTTAGGGCCTGCATCCGGAAGTTGCTGTACTCGTAGGGCGACGAATCGTCGACGGTAGGCCCACTCCAAACCAGATCACCAAAGGATGTCATGATCAATGGACCCTGTTGCTTGGTGGCATTGCTACCATCAAAGTTCCTGGGCTCGAGAAGAATGACTCCTGGTTCAAGTGCCTCCCCGTTCCAGCTGATGGAGAGTTCGGGTGGATTGAAAGAGGGTTCGCTCTGGTACTCAAGCCATGGCCAGATAGTGCTGGTATTGGCCGATTGAACGGATTGCCAGCTAGACAACAGAGTGGTTTGAGCAAGGGCTGTAGAGGCCAAGCCTGTCAGCGCACCAATAGTGGCCAACATGCCTTGTCGCAATGCCATTGAGAAGCAACTTGAGGACTCGGATGAAGATGAACGTGAGAGAGGACAATGGTTGATCTACATTGTCCGGTACAAGACGAGCCATATATACTACCCAGTTCTTGGACAAGTACTTTAATCTAATCTCAGAAGACTTTATTTCTCATGGGACTTGAAGTTGCGCGGCCTTATCCACATTCTTTGACAGGAAAGAATATCAGGATACATCTCCGTACTGAGAACCGTAGACATCGACCCACTATCAAGTTTCGTCTATCCGTGGTTGTCACTTTATGGAAAGCCATCGGATGGTCACTACTTTACAGAACCGAAGTCAAGCAAATAAAGCTTGAAGCTATCTGTAGATCGCCGTCCCATTCTGCTCCATACGGTTTAGTCTCCGCAGTTTCAAAGCGTGAAACTCCAGTTCTTGAAAAAACGTCACCGGTCTTCTTTCCCTGATAGGTGTTAAGGGCCTTTTCTCTGATGACGAATGCGTACTCCTTCTGAAGAACTCTGAAGAACTTACTGGATAACGGAAGATCATCCCCCATGGTTTTATTATAGTACGGCCCCCACCGAGATAAGATCTACTAGTATAGTATACTATATCGTAATCTTCCAAACTTGAGGTGCAATGCATGTTTATATTCAGATGCAAACTGCCAGTGGATAGATAGAACGTTCTGAAGGCTCAAGTTGCCGGCCGGGTATCAATCATGATATACTACTCAAGTCAACTGGTGCTACTAGTAGTACTACTAGTACATAACCGTGCAATGCATTTCAAATGTTGGAACAGCGCGACTCAACCTTGGAAGTGCTCAGACTAGCTCTGGAGGACTCGAGTGCTAGTATTATTAAGTTCGTAACGTAGACAAATAGTCATTGAACCTTTAAGTCTTCAATCCAGAGCTTCCACGGGGCCTTCTATCAAATTTATGAACTTGGAAAAACTTGAAACTTGAGGGCATTGATTTCAAATTTGCACATGTGGCCATCTTTCTGATCGATTTAACTTTCATTGAAGTTCAGCTCACCTCACGCACTTCGATTTTTCTATTGTCTTCAAATGTTATCAAGAGTAATGTTTGTAGGTCATGCCAGTGGTCTATACTCTGGGTACTACTTACCAGTTGACTGTCAAAGTAAACTACTAACACTCACGGTAAGACGTACTATAAACAACCTTGGAGCCAAACCACCGGTAAATTTTAATATACAGGTTATTAGGGAGAGAAAACGATCTTACCTTGGCAGTGTCCAAATGTCTCGAGAATGAGGACGGGGAGATATGCTGGGAGAGAGAACTTCAACCTTTGGTACTATGTTAAAGACTGGAACTTCCGACCATATAGGCTCATCGGTACCACGGTATGTAAGATGAGAAGGCACACTATAGATTATCTTACCAGAGTCCTATAATCACAAGAGATCCACGATTCCACCTGGGCATGAGATTAGCATATAACCTCGGCTGGGAGATCAGTCAAGGGACAAGGGTTATACTCGGTCCGCATCGGCGTTTTTTGGGCAAGGTCTTGGCACTCCGTCACCGCAGGCATTTCTCCTCTCATCTTACTCTCTGCAACTTTCCTTGGTCTAAGGCTCCAACACTCAGAGCATTTTCACCATGGCTAGCGGATTACGGATATTGGTCCCCGTTAAGCGGGTAATCGACTATGCGGTCAGCATTCCCTCCCAAAGCCTGGTGCCCGGTAATCGGAGCTGCACGAGATCAATGGGATCATTACCTGGCACCTTTACCTACACGAGAATTGCATTGCTTCTTCTGAAAATCATAAACTACAAATCATATCAAATACAAACGGAATAACTAACATGGAACTCTTGCTTTGCTACAGATCAAGCCCCGCATCAACAAAGCACAGACTGGCGTCGAGACCACCGGTGTCAAGCACTCTCTAAACCCATTTGACGAGCTCTCCATCGAGGAAGCTGTCCGTCTCCGTGAGCGCAAGGGTCCTCTCAAGGTTGAGAACATTCTCGCTCTCTCCGCCGGTGGTCCCAAGGCCCCCGATGTCCTCCGCACAGCAATGGCTATGGGCGCCGACCGCGCATTCCACATCGACGTCCCCGAAAGCTCCGGTAGCCTCGAGCCTCTGACAATCGCCAAGCTTCTGCGCGGTGTTGTTGAGAAGGAGAACATCAACCTCGTGCTTCTGGGTAAGCAGGCGATTGACGGTGATCAGGGCCAGACCGGACAGATGCTCGCCGGATTGCTGGGATGGCCCCAGGCCAACCAGGCCAGCAAGATTGAGATTAAGGATGAGAGCGGCACTGTGGAGGTAACTCACGAGGTTGATGGTGGTGTGGAGACACTGCGCGCGAAGCTGCCCATGGTTATTACTACCGATCTGCGATTGAACGAGCCCCGGTACGCGAGCTTGCCGAATATCATGAAGGCGAAGAAGAAGCCTCTGGAAAAGAAGACGCTGGCCGACTTTGGAGTTGAGGATACTCGCCGATTGAAGACCGTGAAGGTTACTGGTATGTTCAAGCTGTTTCTGCTTATCGCATTTTGTTTCCGATTACTGATGTTATTTGCTTTTAACAGAGCCCCCACCACGCAAGGGCGGTGGTAAGGTCGAGGACGTCGATGGTCTTGTTTCCAAGCTGAAGGAGCTGGGTGCGCTTTAAGCGTCTGATCCTGAATTTGTACTGTGTTTTTATACCATCAATATGTTCTCCTGCTAGATTAGATTTTTGGCAGCATCCCTCTTATGTGTCTATGAGGACTATTCCCTCGGGTTGAGGGTAGAATGGAATGTCTTGTCACTTCCCAATTCCATTTCCTCTTTTCTAATGGCTTTGAGTAGACAGATTTATCGTAAGAGCTGGATCATGTTATCTTCCATCGCATCAAAGTATTTTTCTTTTCTCAACATCACGACTATCATGCTTCAGACGTATCACTTACCTCGGGTGATTCTGTCTATCCGGTCTCATATTCTTCACAAGTACAGCAAACTAGTGCTAAAAGACCTCAGCACTCATCCCACGCTCGGACTAACACCGATATGTCCAGGAGTAGACCCGCCTTCCAAGCTATACCAAGGAGCTATGTGGTAGCAATAGAGGGGCTGCGTTACAGCATTCTTCTTCCAATGCGCGGTAATCTTTACTATGCTAGGGAAAGTCTTATCGAGGGGCTAATCTTGTCCCTCCATGCATGATGCACCCCCCGCATGGAGTATCCCACCTTCTGCGTGGGGGTGTTTGTAGGCGCGGGATCGGAGGGTTTAATTATTATGAGATGTCTTCAAAGATATGGTGCATTTTAACCCGATTGAGATTTCTCTCTCTTCTTATTACCCCTCAGCTCTACTTCCTTGTCTATCTTTCTCACCATGTCCGGCATTCCTGGTGTCACACAACCTCCTTATCCGATCCACGAGTCTGTTCGAGACCAGCTGGATCCGGAGTATGTCGCGTTCTACAACAAATATGTGATAAATAATCAACAAGTGCATCTCCAACCCGTCGCAGCATCTCGCACAAGTGGTGTCTTGATCCCAGGCGCGGGACCGATGCTAGAGGTTGGCAAGACTGAAGACCTCACGATTCAGCGACGAGAGACCCAAGGACCCCCGATTGCATTTCGATGTTTTACACCGAAAGGTGATGTACCAGCTGGTGGATGGCCAGTGGTGCTATATTTCCACGGCGGCGGATGGGTTTTGGGAAACATTGACACGGAGAACGTGGTGTGCTCGAACCTCTGTGTACGAGGCAATTGCGTGGTAGTGACGGTGGACTACCGGTGAGTCTCTTGGCGAACAGCACACATGCATGCATCCTGCATGGGGAGAACCATCCATCGCTAATCATAGTGCGAATTTAGTCTTGCCCCCGAAGACCCATGGCCAGCTGCGGTACACGATTCCTGGGAGGCCTTGTTGTGGTTAGCTGCAGAAGGTCCTGCCAAGTTATCAATCAACATGTCCAGAATCGCAACAGGTGGATCTTCTGCTGGTGGTAATCTCGCTGCAATTATGACCCACAAGGCCTTGACCCTCTCACCCCCGGTACGATTCCTAACCCAGCTTCTCTCGGTCCCCGTCACAGATAACACGGCCACTGTTGAGAACAATGAGTCTTATCGTCGCTACGAACATACTGCTGCCTTGCCTGCTCTGAAAATGATTTGGTATCGTGAACACTATCTGCCTAAGCAAGCTGATTGGGCCAATCCCGAGGCCAGTCCCTTGTTTTATGGGGGTGACTGGTCTCAGCTCCCGCCTGCGCTGGTGATGGTTGGTGAATTGGATGTGCTGCGATCTGAGGGCGAGCAATATGCTGAGAAGCTGCAGAAGGCTGGTGTGGCGGTCGATCTTCAGGTGATGAAGGGTATGCCACATCCATTCCTTGCAATGGATGGAGCGCTATCGGAGGGAAAGAGATGCATTACATTGATGTGTGATGCCTTGCAGCAGGCTTTCTGGAATTAACAACCAGCTGCATGATATAAGTATAGAAAATGAGGCAACCTTTGAATTTCATCCAATCAATATTCTTTTCCAATTTCGTAGATTACATAGAAGAGCTGTAGGATCTAGAGTAAGGAACCTTAATGAAAACTTGAATTTGTACTTAGGTAGCATTGATTGAGACTCAAGCGGCTTTCAGTAGTAGAAACCACCTGACTTAACCATAGTGCATGAGGAAATTAAGGAATAATTGCTCGTCCACTAATCCAATCCCTTGAAAACCTCCTCAAAGCGCAGCTCATTCCATCTCACATTGGGCTTGAGACCGGCAAACTTCCAAACTCCATCAATCTTGCGGTAATAATGCTCATTGGTAGCATGCGAGTGACCTCGCAGCTTCACCTCCTGCAAGTCAACATCGGTATACACTTGATGAGCGGCACGCAATTGGTGGTGACCAATGACTTCAGTGTCAGAGATCTTCTCCCACCAAGTCTGCCCAAGCAAGTGCTGTGTCTTGATTGTAGCGTCACCTAGGAAACCCGGATGAGTGACCATGGCCATGTACTCATCTGCGGGCATATCATCCCATCTTCTGAGTCCAATCTTAGTGTAGTCGACCTAAGATTTTTGATATTAGCCTTGTGTTGATTTGCTGTCGCTGGATTGTTTCATACCGTCAGTTTAGGGGCGATGATGCTGCGAAGGCGATCCCAGTCCTTGAAGAATTACTTAGCACATGTATCATTGACTCATCGAGCTTGAGTAAAGACAAACCTTGGCATCATAGCTATCAGCCCAATCGAAAACCAGCTTCGAGAGAACCAGATAGTCTATACTCTTTAGTAACCTCTCTCGATCGAGGGAAAGTATTTGACAAACCTTGAAAGCTAATGTCAAGATTAGGCTCTGTGTTTTTCTTCACAGCAGGAGACATTCCGGTTGTGTTCAAATTTTGGTCCGATAAATGGGTTCTGGAAGAAATGTGATAGCACAGGAGCGAGTGAGGGTTTGCCTTGGGTATATCTGGCCATTGTTTGAGGCTACAAATGTATGCCAGTGGAGACAAAGAGGTTTTCCGGATCCGGAGGTCAATGGCCTTGTACAGTCATAACAAAGAACATGAATGCAACTCAACAGCCCTGGCGAGGAGTGCTAATGTGACATTCCAGAGCTATCTAACCTTCACTCTCAGCCATGCGACCTCTGCATGCGGTAACCATCCCACGAGGTTGACCCCCAGAATCCATGAAAACAGCCTGCTCAATCTGAGATCCAAGTCTCCGGGATCTATTTTCAGATCTCGATCTAGTAGATGAGATCAATAGATTCCGTCCAGAGAAAATTGCCACATGCAGACCAAGGGAGAAATGTCTTTTTAGATAAATCAAAACGTATGCAACCGCTTTCAGGCATTATCTATTTGCGTCCTATGCTCCTTTTGCAAAAGATCCAGAAACGAGATATCTTGCTTGTAGTACATTCTAAGCTATAATACCTCGACACAGCTGCCGATCCTTTTTTTTTGTGTTTTCTTCCTGTTAATATCTCTTGTCCATCTTCTCCGTCCATAACCTCAACAATCGTCCAAGATGGTTGTTGTTCACCCCCAAGTCGCTTCTGCCGAGCTGGCAGGTAAAGTTGCTCTGGTAACTGGAGGCAGTCGGGGCATTGGTTCCGGTATCGCGCTCGAGCTGGCAAAGAAGGGTGCATCAGTGGCAATAAACTACGCTCGAGACCCGCACTCAGCCGCAAAGATCGTGGAGGAGATCGAGAGCATGGGTAGCCGTGCCGCCGCTTTCCAAGCCGACCTTACCAAAGTCGACGCTATTGAGATACTCTTCCGTGATATTGTGGCACATTTCGGACGATTGGACATTGTTGTGTCCAACTCCGGAACCGAGAAGTTCGTTTCCCTCGCGGATACCACTCTTGAGGATTTCAACGAGGTCTTTGATCTGAACACTCGTGCCCAGTTCTTCGTCGCCAAGAACGCTTACAAGTATATTCAACCCGGAGGACGAGTGGTTTTGATGTCATCGATCGCGGCAGGTGTTGGTGTCCCGGGACACTCCTTGTACGCTGGTAGCAAGAGCGCCATCGAGGGTTTCACTCGTTGCTTCGCTGCTGATTTCGGCAAGAAAAGGTGCACAGTCAACGCGATTGCACCCGCTGGTGTGAAGAGTGATATGTGGCTGAAGAACTCGTGGCGATATGCACCCGGTTGCGACCAGAGCTCATCCCTTGAAGAGATTGAGCAGGCGCTTGCTAGTGGCAGCCCCTTGAAACGGTGCGGTGTGCCGGCGGATATCGGCCGTGTTGTGGCATTCCTGGCCAGCCCGGCAGGGGAGTGGATCAATGGTGAGTTCAAGTTATGGAATGCAGAAATAGGAGATTTGGACGGACTCGGCTAACCGGCTTGCAGGCCAAATCCTACCCCTTAATGGAGGTGCGAACATTTAATGGCGAGCATACATTGATTGACGAAGACAAAGATTTCAATTGATGTGAATTGAACACAGCGCGAGTCATCTCACCTGGAATCAGTCAATATGTGATTATGGATTAAATACGTACCTGTTCCAATGGTTTTGGAGTACGTTATATCCTCGCGGCATGATTATTTTTTGACATTACTACACATGGGTGGCTGAGCATTGATTTTCGAAAACCTGGATATATCCCAAAAAAAAGAATTGAATTAAATTAAATTTTCTTTCAACTGTGAAGTTCTCACTGAGATAGTGTAGTCGAAGCGCCAAGTGATTTTGAAACCCGATCGGATAATGCTGATAGAGAGATCGAACAAATACTGAAAAGGGTCATTTGAGTCGTTAATGCGTTCAAAAGGCTAAAAGATAGACCAAAATCCATTTCGTGTTCGTCTTGAATGCCTGTGCTGATAGGATAAGCTTTCAACTTGGACTATGTCACTATTCGACGAAGCCAAGTAGTTGGCGACTCATCAATCTCAATAATGATGGCAACTGAGATAACCAGAGTAACAAGAATAATCTATCAAATGTAAGAAAGTGCAAGTTGCACAAGGCAGAGTCAACTTACGCAAAAGAGCAATATCCCCACAGAGTTCAGTTCCCAACCTCCCGCGTGAACTTTCCCAAGGGAGATCGCACTCTGCTGCCTCCAGAATCGATAGGCCCCAATAAGCGCCACAAAAACAGCCACACAATGGCAGGTGACAGAAAGCGGGATACCGACTTGATAGAATCGAAGGCGGTCCGCATCGGATGGCGCTCGTTGAAGCCGGAATAGTTGTGCGATGACTACCCCTTGCATCGCAATGACAACCGACGTTCGGATATAGGCGAGGAATGTTCTTTCTAAAGCTACAGAACCTCAAAATCAGACTTCATCCATTGCCATGATAGATTGATCCGATATGGTATCTTAACTCACCATAATGGTCCCGGTTACCCTTGTGTGGTACAGTGATGGTGACATGGTGCGTCCAAAAACGGCAGAGACGACCCCACAGACCGGTTCGGTCCTTATGCGATCGTTGTGTAGCACGAGAGGTTGTTCGACGCGTAGTAATTCGGTACTCGTCTCCCGATGAAGCGGATGCCGAGGACTCATTCAGCTCGTTATCTTCGCGGGTTTGGATTTCATGGAGCTCAAGTGCCTCCCGTTCGTCTATTCGTGAATGACATGGAGATGGCGGTCGGGGATCTGTCATAAGGGCAGCTAGCGGCTCTATCGGCGGTAATGCATTTGGTTGAGTCATGTTGAAGCACCATGGGCACGATGAACCTCTCAGAGCTAACAAGGTCTTTGACACGTTGAAGTCGAGCAGATTTTGGGGAGATTCCATATCAGGATAATCGGGTTGATCCCCGGATCGGTTGGAGCCGATCTATCATGTCTATCAATTCCCATTTGCCCCGCAATACTACTCTACAGTAGTAACAGTCCACGACATTGAATGAATTTGGGAGAAAATAGAGTCAAATTAGAAGGAGAGTTCTGAGTATATTTACTTTTCATTCTGATGACAGACATAGATCAACATACTCGGAGTCCAACCGAACTTGAATGGCCCCTGCATACGAGAATGGGTCAAGAAAGCTCTCCCACCAACCAGAATACGATAATCATCAATTGCACCATCGGTGGTCCTGATGCTCTAATATGCTGCCAATTGTGATGCATTTTACTCAAATCAAGCATTGTCTCCACGCTTTAGGTGCAGAATGGGGATTGGATTCTCTTGGCCTTGTTTCACCTTGAAGGCTCCACCATAAGGGCAATCATTGATTAACACTAACGAGAATTAGAATCCGGGGACTGGAGAAATTGACACCAAAAAGGGACAGCCTTCTTCCAATTGGAAATGTGCTCCTAGTATATGGATAGGTTACTACCTCGAGACCTAATATTCTACTAATAATTCTCGTAGCTTTGCAAGTGTCTCTGTGTAATATTATCCAGTGCACATAATTAACTCGGTGACGATGATACACGCATGATGGTAAGATGATTCACAGACCAAGCAACTCTGCAGCAAGACTCAGAACTTGCGAGTTTCACAGAAAGAATCATCTGCAGGGCCGATGATCATTCATTCACCTAGCATTGGCGGCTATCATCTGCCGTCCAGCAAACATTCAACCAAATTGATTTCTGCGCTTGCTTTCAGAATATTCGTAGTAGAAATAGGCAAGACCCGAAAACATTCCGTTGAATCGCAGTTCAAAGTTTGACTCGTGATGAGACGTAGAGCTTTCTATATACCGCAACTGGGCCATCTGGTCTCCATTAGAAGTCCTGACACAGAAAGCCTTGCGCCCCAGCCCAATGCTTTTATGGATTTCACCTGGTTTCAGCTCAGGGCTAGAGAGTCCCTTTTGGCAAGAAAAACAAATCCAGTCACTATCATCAGAATGGAGAATTTGAGTCTCATCGCATCTTCGGTGATGCCACCTCAAACATTCAGAACATAGAAGCCCGTCCTCAAGCCCAGTTGGGTCCCCGCAGCAGGGGACGGAAAGAACCATTGTTTTCAAACTCATGATTTGGGACTTGGAGAGCTGTGACAGTGATCCGTAGTATGATTGCTCTATTAAAAAGGAGGCTTGTGCCAGTGCGAGAGAATCTCTTGGCGTAGAGTGATCAAAAATAAGGATGAGAATTTCTGATGGTATTCGATGATGCCAAATTTCCCGCGAAGCATACTCCGTCTTATACCCGTTTGCACAAAGAACCTGTGCCAAAAGCCGGAATCCAGGAGAGCTTTCCGAGACTGCCAGATTGTGGATTAATGGAAACCCTTTGGTACGAGCTGCTGTATGCCGAGAAAGCTCAACGATAATAACTTCTCTGGGCGAGAGGAGAATGCATTGAACTGTATGTTGTAATCTCGGGGCATCGAGGAATGTTTTCGCCCGCTGTATTGCTAAGTGGACCAGTTTATCAGAGCCGATATCTTCTTGTAGAAGTACTAAGAATCCATGGAACCACCACATGTCACTCTGGGGACAATTCCACTCCGGGTAGGAGGATGGCCGCACCATTGCAGTTCCACTGCCTTTACAGATCTCAAAATCCCAGGCTGCAAGTCGAAGGAAGGCCCTCGCAAAAGTATGAAATACAGGAGTGATTCGAGGCCAAGTGAATGGATCACCAATCCAGTTTCTCCATGCGAAAAGAAAATCCATAAAAAATTGTTGTTGAAGTTCAAAGATAGTCGATGGGAGTTGCATATTGAACGGTAGATCGGATAGCACGGTAAACTCCGATCCGCTGGGATTATCAATACTAGTGCCAGGCGAGTAATACTGGCCGATTTCTTGAGGCCGGCTCTCGAAGGAGAATGCAGTGCTATTGCACACGGTGGCCAAGTCGGCCTTGAAACTCCTTGGTGTACAACTTGAAGGTGCGTTACACTGTTCATCCTTGACATTCCATACCCGGACGTTGATTATTCCCGTGTCCTGATCCACTGTTATAACACGATGATAGCCCACTGCAAGCGGGTAGGGAAATGGAATCTCAATCCATTCATTCCAGTTAATTTGATTTTCATAGATCTTTTTGAAATTGTGGAGAAGTCCTCCCTCATCTAGTCGCACGCTAAGCCTTCGAGAGCAATACCATTTCCCTGTGAGTACCAGTTGACGTTTCAGTGTATATTCAGAGACGGGGAGTTTTCATCCTACTGGATCTCACCATTACTCCGTAGATTCCATGCTCCCTTTGATTTCGCTAGCTGGAGTGAACCAATACTCATAGTGACCCCGCAAGCTGGCTCAATAAGGTGCTGATGCAAAAGTTCAGGAAAGGCGGGAAGTGGGGTAAGACCATAAGGGAGGAGAGAGTGAAAAAGAAAAACAGATCAAATATTAACGTAGTAAAGACCTGCACTGGCACCTGGGCACACATGCATCATGATGCATGCGGACAATGGTTAAGTAATCCATCTTCAAATATCTCCAATGTATCAACTTGAAATTTATTGGCCTCCAGGGCTGTATTGATCACTCCAAAACTTAGCGTGGTGATAATATGACTTTGTCTGCTGCGAATCTGCGACTTATAGTTATAGTATTGTACTAGTACCTCTGAATCGCTCAGTGCTATCCATTGCCCAGGTGGCATTGATCTCTAGTGACAGGAGTACCAAGACAGCATGAGACCTTGATACCATCAACATTCAGGATACTCTCGGATGGACAGCCGATATTATCTCCATTTGCCGCAGCTCATGTGTACAAGTCGGGGTTATCGGATCTGTTGATGGAAATCGTGGTTCAAGAATCTGTGCAGTAGGATGCACAGCCATAGCCTTCAGCAATCAAGATAATATCTCCAGAATTATATGTGAAGGTATAAGGATAAGCGCTTGAGATGTTCATGATGAGGGGAAGAGTTTTGTATCAGCAAGGAACTGCACCGCTCATACATAGTGGCGTAGTTTCACTCAGACCACTGTACGAGTATGTGCGATCTGAGCCACTGTCTGGATCTTGGTAAGGAACACACAAGGCCTTTGTCGCTGTTGCAACCAGCTCAGAGTCGTAAAGGACTAGAATCTTTTTGTCGTCCTCTGCTGCAATTAATTCAAGGGCAGCTCAATAATCAGTCGTGGTTGCTAGATGGGTGTCTTCTAACTCGAATGACGGGCTCGATGTGCATGACTTACTCTATGGATGTTCGAAAGCTATAAAGAGAAAATTCTTCCAAATCAACCTGAAATTGCCTGTGAAACTCAACTTCATTCAAGATTTTGACCAGGGTTCCAATCAAACTTAGACATAGTCAGTGGCAGCAAGAACTTGAAATGTAGCGACTTTCGTACTATCAAGCTCATCAACCTTGGAAGGCTCGAATCAGTTGACTAACTTAAAATATTATAAGAGACAGTTTATGTATCAATTATTAAATATCATTAGTTTTCAAATCATGGCATAATTTCGCTTTTCAATGTTGATTCCACCTATCGGCTGGTCCTTCCTACAGTAGTAATTCAGTGAATATGAGGGAAACGAGAGGCTCTGGTAATACAGAAACATTATCTCGGGGAGGTGAAGGATAAGCAAATGTGATTGGTTCAAGATCCCGAAGAACTCTTGTTTACTGCATACCATTGGTGTCAAACACCGGAATGTGGTATTTTGGTAATTACAATACAAAACCGGGGCAATGGAGATATCGGTGTCCAGAATAGACGGAATATCAACAAATTCATGAGAGCAGAAAAATGTATTTTGAACATTTAGAGAGCTGTAGAGAAGGGGGGAAATTCTAAAAAGAGATAGAATGGTATATCTAAAAGCAGATATAGAGATAATATCAAGAAAACAAGATGCTCTAGTGAGGTACATTCTGGGTATAGCAAAATATGACATCAACGCCCACCTTAAGGATCAAGCTTCCCTTCTGAGCTTACTCCAACTCCACGATCTCGACCCATCGGCACCATCTCCGTCCTCGGTGCTTCTCGGGCTTAGAGAGCAATCATATTCAAGCTCATCGGAAGCTAAGAACCTTTCAATTCCTCCCTGCAAAGATCAGAAAAGTACTTGAAGAGAAGGAACTCCTCAATCTCCCCGCACGTCGAACCTTGACTCCGCTCCTTGTTCCATCTGTATTATTAAACCACCCCACCTCGAGTGCCGGTTTCCCTCATAATGGAGCGAATCATCCGCCCCGTGTCCCGGCAACTCCTGCGTCCTCATCTTCGATATCCCTTTTCTATTCCCCCGTCCGTCGCTGCGAAGAGACTCTACACCATGGGACACAGCAAGCCTGAGGTTGGTGGTCACAATTTGGCACAAGCTTGACTTCCACTGACAAGATGCGGTTCAGTTGAAAGATCCGTCTCTCTTCATTGAGAAATGCTATGTGAATGGCGAATGGGTTGGTGCCCAATCTGGCAAAACCTTTGAGGTCCACGGTATTGACCCCCTCAATCTAAAAACAATATCTCATTCACGCCGATATTGATGCTTTCTCTCTCTCATAGACCCTGCTACCGGACAACTTATCGGAAAATGCCCGGAATTCGACCCCGCAGATGTCGAAAAGGCGATTGAGGCTGCCTCGGCCGCTTTCCCTTCCTTCCGTACAACCCTGGCCCGCGAGCGCGCCCGGATGCTCCGTCGATGGTACCAACTGATGATTGATAACGCCGAGGATTTGGCGAAACTAATTACCTGGGAGAATGGCAAGCCCCTCGCTGATTCTAGGGGCGAGGTCAACTATGCCGCCGCTTTCTTCGAATGGTTCAGCGAGGAGGCACCTCGTATCTATGGTGACACTATTCCGGCTTCAGTGCCCGGTAATCGTGTCATTACACTAAAGCAGCCCGTTGGTGTTTGCGGTCTGATTACACCTTGGAACTTCCCAGCTGCCATGATCACCCGCAAAATTGCCCCCGCCCTGGCGGCTGGTTGCACAGTTGTGGCAAAGTCTCCTCAGGAGACTCCATTCACTGCAAATGCCCTCGCAGAGTTGGCTCACCGTGCTGGTATTCCCAAGGGCGTTGTCAACATTGTCACAGCCTCGGAGAATACCCCGGCAGTGGGTGAGCTGATCACCACACACCCAGAAGTGCGCAAGGTGTCCTTCACCGGGTCCACAAATGTGGGTCGCATCCTCATGAAGCAGGCTTCATCTACCATTAAGAAGGTCTCATGGGAGCTGGGCGGTAATGCGCCCTTCATTGTCTTCGATGATGTTGAGGACCTTGATGCTGCTGTAGCAGGCGCTATTGCCTCGAAGTTCCGTAGCTCTGGCCAGACCTGTGTCTGTGCGAACCGGATCTACGTGCAAAAGGGTGTGTACGATGAATTTGCCAAGCGATTTGCGGCCAAGGTCAAGGAATTCAAGCTCGGAGCTGGCTTCGAGGATGGCATTACTCACGGGCCCGTCATTCATGAGCGTGCCGTGGGCAAGGTGCACGAGCATATTCAGGATGCTACCAGCAAGGGCGCTCAGATCCTTATTGGTGGTAAGAAGGCCTCCGCGCTGGGCCCTAACTTCTACGAGCCCACTGTCCTTGCTGGTATGACTAAGGACATGCTCATTGCCTCTGAGGAGACTTTTGGTCCGGTTGCTGGTCTCTTCTCCTTCGAGACTGAGAAGGAGGTTGTGGACCTGGCCAACAAGGCCGAGGTTGGTCTCGCCGGTTACTTCTTCAGTGGAAATGTTCGCCGTATTTTCCGTGTTGCTGAAGCCTTGGAAGTTGGTATGGTCGGTGTCAACACTGGCTTGATTAGTGATGTGGCTTCACCGTAAGTTTCCCACCCATTTTGAACTCCAAGGATCTTTGCTAATGAATCTACAGATTTGGTGGTGTTAAGCAGAGCGGTTTTGGCCGGGAAGGCAGTAAGTATGGTATTGATGAGTTTATGGTTATTAAAAGCGTTACTTTCGGCGGCATGGGAGAGCCTCTACAAGCATAAGGGACTCCTATGCATTCATAACTTGGATTAAATGATTGATATAAACATACTTTATATGAGCAAATAATGAATTTGCAAGTTTAGCTCAGTGCTTTCCAATGTTTCCCGTTAATGTGCTAAAAGTTCAAGTCATTTCCACCATACCTATTCAGTGCGAGTCACATGGCATATGAATGCCACTAGTATTCGTATATGGATGATGGATCCTACTAGTAGAGTTACTAGTAAGTCCGGGTAAATCTGGATCTATTAATTGATGTACAATCGATGCCATCTAGAACAATGAAGAGTTCGATCTCCAACTTGAAGTGGGTCATCAATTCAACCGAGATGTTAATTTAGCAGAGCTTCTGCATTTAGCCGGATCTACTTGAACATGAAGATACTTGAAAGCTTTTCATATTCACAATGTCTTGATTCATGGAACAATTTTGATCTCAAATATACCTATGTATAATTCAAACTGGAACTACTAATAATATGAACAATGTCAAGTTAAATTGTGTGGAACTCTGACATCACTACGGACTCATGTCCCCCGGATCCTCGCCAAGGAAACTCGTAGCTTACTTGCCGCAATAAGCTCTGGATAAATGTGATAAATGCATCACCCCTCTTCTCTAAGGGCAATAAAAAAAACATTCCATCTCCCACTTTCAACCTTCTCTCAACTTGTAATTGATTATCCTGATGGCATCTCAATCCCCTCTTTACATCGGTTTCGACCTCTCCACCCAACAACTAAAGGGTTTGGTCGTTAACTCCGACCTCAAAGTAGTTTATATTGCCAAGTTCGACTTTGATGCCGATTCGAAAGGATTCCCTATCAAGAAGGGGGTCCTAACCAATGAAGCAGAACATGAGGTATTCGCACCGGTCGCATTATGGCTGCAGGCTTTGGACACAGTGTTAGCAAGCTTGCGCGAACAAGGACTGGATTTTAGCCGGGTCAAGGGTATCAGTGGAGCCGGTCAACAGCATGGGAGTGTATACTGGAGTCACGAAGCGGAATCGCTGCTCCAGAACCTCAATTCCGAGAAATCATTGGAAGACCAGCTAGAATCCGCATTCTCACACCCATACAGCCCTAACTGGCAAGATTCGAGTACCCAAAAGGAGTGTGATGAGTTTGATGAGGTCCTAGGAGGGCCGGAAGAGCTTGCCCTGGCTTCGGGAAGTAAGGCACATCATGTAAGAAGCCAACCCAGTACATGATATGAGAAAAAGAGCCTCACTGACATCTCTGAAGCGATTCACCGGACCTCAAATCCTCCGGTTCACCAGAAAACACCCTGAGATATATGAAAGGACGGCCCGCATCTCCCTCGTCTCGTCCTTCCTCGCCTCCCTCTTCCTGGGCCATGTCGCTCCATTTGATATCTCCGACGTATGCGGCATGAACCTGTGGAACATTAAGCAGGGTGCATATGATGACCGTGTCCTCCAGCTATGTGCTGGGAAGTTTGGAATCAATGATCTGAAAAAGAAGCTGGGCAGTGTACCAGAGGATGGTGGGCTTCATCTGGGTTCTGTCCATCCATACTACATCAAGCGCTATGGATTTGGTCCTGATTGCACGGTAATTCCGGCGACTGGAGATAACCCAGCGACTATTCTCGCATTGCCACTTCTTCCTTCAGATGCCATGGTATCTTTGGGAACTTCTACCACGTTCTTGATGTCAACCCCCAGCTACAAGCCCGACCCAGCAACTCACTTCTTCAACCACCCAACTACCCCCGGACTTTACATGTTTATGCTTTGTTACAAGAACGGCGGTCTAGCCCGTGAATATGTCCGTGACGCCATCAATGATGCGATTCAAGATACACCTGATAATCCCTGGGCGCACTTTGATAAGATTGCATTGGAGACCCCTGCACTGGGTCAATCTCTCGTAACAGACCCCATGCGAATGGGTCTATTCTTCCCTCGACCTGAAATTGTACCAAACCTTCACTCAGGCCAGTGGCGATTCATTTATGATCCCAAGACTGCGACCCTGAGCGAATCCACAGAAGGATGGAACAACCCTCACGATGAGGCCCGGGCCATCGTGGAAAGCCAGATGCTCTCTCTTCGCCTGCGGTCCAAGGGCCTGACTCAGAGCCCAGGCAACGGTCTTCCTGCACAGCCACGCCGGGTGTATCTTGTCGGCGGTGGATCTAAGAACAAGGCGATCGCCAAGATTGCCGGAGAGATCCTTGGAGGTGTGGAGGGTGTGTACAAGCTCGATATTGGTGACAATGCCTGTGCGCTCGGCGCTGCTTACAAGGCTGTCTGGGGACTGGAGCGGAAACCAGGTCAAACTTTCGAAGATCTTGTGGGACAACGGTGGAATGAAGACGAGTTTATCGAGAGGATCGCGGACGGGTATCAGCCGGGCTTATTTGAAAAATATGGCATGGCGGTCGAGGGGTTCCAAAAAATGGAGGATGAGATTGTCCGTCAAGTGCATGCTGAGAAGCATTAGATAGCTCGATAGAAGAATAGTAAAAAAAGCGTTGATAATTATCCTTGTGCTGTGTACTCCGTATCGTTAACTGTGCAATAATAATGTCTACTCTTATCGTATCGGGGATAAGAAAGGCGGTAAACCCATCAACTAACGATTAGACGTAACTTGACTTGATTCTTGTTCACCACAATGTGACTCACCAAAAGTGTCTAGAGTTCGAACGTCTCGACTTCTCGGATGGCTGGATAAGCTACTGCTCTCTTTCTCGTCCATTTCCTGTGCTGATCTCGCCTTCACCCTTTTACTTCCACCATGGACGACGACTACGTTGCCCGCGTCCTGACCAAAGAGGCCCGGGATAGCTCTCAGAAGTACTCAACGGAGGGTCTAGGTGCATACATGCCCAAGAGGTACGTTCTGACTCGAGAAATTACTTTTCAAATCCTGCTAATTGGAATGTAGACCAGCAGGAAATGCTCCCAAACCCAACACCCGCTTCCTGCGTCATCTCATCAGAGAGACAGACAGCCATAATACGGCACTGAAACGCAAGGAAGAGAGAGAAGCCAGGGAAAGAATGCGGGCGTTGAAAGACCAGTCTAAAGCAGCTTCCATATCTACGTCTCACTCATCGAGAAGACCCGATCGCTCATCAACTACACGAGACTCCGAGCAACAACGCAAACAAGATCGCGAGGACCGACACCGGTCGTATCGACGACGAGATCGCAGTCGATCCCGAACTCCCTCGACAGATAGAGAAAGTTCACAACGACACCGAAATCGGGACGAAAAAGATCGGCATAGAACAAAGGATGATCGCGACCGCGAGGACCATACAGAGCGACGACGGGATCGCCGTAGGCATGAGTCGTCTCGTAAAGATCGACGAGACAGAGAGAGATCATACTCGAGGTCGCGCAGTCGCTCTCCCCGCCGCGGTCGCGATCGCGATCGTGATCGTGCCCACAGATCTCATCGCAGCGAACGATCACGTCGATCTGAATCTCCACCTGCCCGATCCTCGCATCCCCGAACAAAGCGAGAGTCAGAACCGCGCTCTCGACGGGACGAACATACATCCTCACGTCAGAGTCGTCTATCTCCACAACAGACTACGAAATTGAACACCTCAAAAACATCTTCCAGTGCGACATTACGAAATGACGAATCTGACGAGTCCGATCCCCTCGAAGAACTGGTCGGACCTCTCCCGTGACAGACCATTCCACTGCGCCCGTTCGCTCTCGAGGTCGTGGAGCGTACAAGCCAAGCACTAGTACCATCGACGCACACTTCGCGCCCGACTACGACCCTACCCTTGATGTACAACCAGATGAAGAACATGACGGATATGGTACAAAGAGCTCTTCCCGTCGTCATGTTCCAGGTCTCATGACTGGAGAAGACGACTGGGATATAGCTCTTGAGGCTCTACGCGACCGCACACGCTGGAAGCAGAAAGGAGAGGAGAGACTTCGGGCGGCGGGGATTAATGAAGATGCCATCAACCGATGGAAGACCGACGCCATTTCTACCAGTCAAAATGATGAGCGCCGACCTGAAGATGTCAAGTGGTCTACAAAGGACCAAGGTCGAGAATGGGATCGAGGGAAGTTTGTAAATGACGATGGACATATCGATGTTCGAGCCGCTTGGTCCAAGTAGGCTGGAGGTGGTCGACAGATGAATCGCATACTACGGAGTACAAACGTCTTTCTTACATAGAACCGTACAAGATGCTCATATCAATGTAAATTACGAAGTTCACGAGTTCAAATCCCTTAATGATTCTGTATTCGAAGCTCCTCCAGCGCATCCACTGAGATCCACCTGCACCATGAAAATCACATCTGGACCCGCTTCTTCAAGTTCCGCAGCTTTGTCAGTGCGGAACTCTTCCATGCTCGAGTGGATGGTGATACAGTCTGCCACACTGACGACATTTGTCCTCATTTGTGATTTCTCAGCTTATATTACTTGCTGATTGATAAGATTGGTCATCTCCTGGTGGATCAGTGCGTGCCTCGTATATATAGAAACAACCCCAAAATGGTCTAACAAAGTCAAATACAGGACAACTTGAACCCTCCAGCTGGAAACTTGAAGATAACAGCATTCAACATGACAGACCAGTTCGCTTTTACTTATCCATCTCCCTTAGAGGGATATGAGAATCTCGAGCCACTCTCCGAGTAAGCCCAGTCCGAGTCCATCTCGAAGGGGCATTTCCCCACGTTCCAACTTGAAGTTAATCCGAGCTCTGCGTGAACCAGGGAGCGAAACGAAGACGGCAAATCCTTCAAGAATCCCCAACACGGTATTCTCAGTGATGCATACTCAGAGTTCCCGGATCCCCTTAGCAAGGATCGACGCGGCGGTTTCGATGTCCACATCTACCACTTTCAGGTGAGCAATGACCCGGCTAGTACTTGATCCGTGTCACTGTCAGGGTTAAAAAGACTGATCCTGTGTACAGAGCAATCCCGAACAAGTTATATTTGCCAAGGCACTCTGGGAAAGAATTCGACGAGAATGTAAGCGATCTACTTACACCCAGGTACAACATGTATCCAAACTCATGATACCACAGTCCCCGAACTACGAATCTACAAATTCTTCGATCAACCCGTTGGCCCGCATCCTGTAGCCATGTTCGAAGTGAATATATTCACACCGGCTCAGTTCGGTGCTTTCATTCCCTGGTTGGTGATTAATCGGGGCCCGCTCAGTGCTTTGGTCCACCCTAATACAGGTGAATCAGCGGCATCACAAGAGCGAGATCATACACAACGGGCAACATGGCTGGGAGAGCGAATCCCGTTAGATCTGAGGATTTTCAAGTTAATGAAAGAGAAGGAGGAAGCAGCTGGGAAGGAGACGAGGCTGTAGATATCATGACTTGTAAGACATTCAAGTTCTCAGGTGCATAGCGAGAGAAAAGATTGAAGAACCTTATATTTTTTGAACAGCCTATAAGACTCCCAGTTATGAGTAGCTGAGAACATTGCTATTCATGAGTGGCCAATCTTCCTAACTTGCAAGGTTGTTTCTTGAAGGGCCATCGTGACCCCATCATCTGACTGGTAGGCGGTGATCACACCCTCCTGACGATGACAAGATCCATGCGCGGAATGCACTCAGGCTATTATAATATGACAGAAATAGGCTGCTATCGAATCAAAAACATAGATCTCCCAGCGTGGTTCCTGGATATTCATCTTGACCTCGAACCTACGCATGTAACATCAATTTTGAGGCATCCATCCCAAGTCCTTTCAGTCGATCATACTCAACACGAAGATTTGCGGTAATACGAACTTGAGTTTGCACATGTGGTTGTATTCAGATACTATTTGCTATCCCCTATCACTTGATATTCAGATGTTTGTTACAGCATTCAAGGCCCCTAATTTTCAACATAACATTTCAGGTTGATCTCATTTATACAACTTGAGGTGGGGCAAAAGCACCTAGGCAAGACACTTGTATTTGCTGCAGGGTGTGTTATAGACAAGGTTCGAAAATTATACAGATGACTTCTCTTACATTGCTACACTTAATAGTATGTTACTGGGTATAAGAAAATGGAATAGTGGTGGGAAAGGGCCTGTCTGCTGATATGTGCTGGAATGATACTGAGATCATCCAGTTCCAGGTATACTTATTTGGATGAACGCCTCAAACTCAAGAACTCGAATACCAAATCAAGACAAATCCATGACATTGTGAGACCAAAGATAAAGTTGTTTACACTTCCGATTATTGCTATTCATCGAATCTTGGTTAAGACTCCCAGGCCGCGATGCGACTGGTTTCGTGCTTTACGGTGATATTCATCCCACTATTAGCTCTATTTCTCACCCAAACCGCGGCTTCATCACAAATCACTCTAAGAGCAACGTCAAAAATTCCTCAATATGTATATGAATATGGTAGGTATAAAACCCAATATCCCTTTCACCCAATTCCTGCAAGATTCCAAGGTTCTAACCCGTACCCAGCCCCATTAGTCTGGCTATATAGTACAGATGCGTACAGACCAAGCGATCTACAACAACAACTCGACCACACAACCCCAGAGGTTAATTGGACAGCAATCTCTGGTGCTCCGTCCCCACTCACATTGAATAATATTGACCAGCTGAACAGTCTGGGTAATACCAGCGTTTATCTAACCACTCCCGACGGAATCGCACAAGATCCCCAGCCTGCCTGGTGGGATGGTATCACGCCAGATAGCGAAGGCCGCACGGGAAATGGAACAGGATGTGCCATTGTTGTCGTCAACCATGGAGCCGGCAATGTTGATGCATTTTACTTCTATTTTTACGCGTGAGTCCCCCGCGTCAAGACAGGATGAGAATGTTGTCTGATAACTGGCAGATATAACAAAGGAGATATCGTATTGGGTATGGAATTTGGTGACCATATTGGAGACTGGTAGGGAATTGAATCTTTCAACTTGAATGCGATGGGAGTTCGTTTGAAGGATTTCTCATCTCATTTTGAGCAGGGAACATAACATGATTCGTTTTGCAAATGGCAAACCTCAAGCCATGTGGTTCAGTCAACACGCCAGCGGCCAGGCATTTACCTACAAGGCGCTGGAAAAGAAAGGGAAAAGACCATACGCTTATTCCGCCAATGGCACACATGCCAATTATGCAGTAGCGGGGTGAATTGAATCTCTCAATTTTCCTAATAAATATTACTTGAAACGGGCTTCTAATATCATCGCGTGACAGGCAACACGATCACACAATCCCCGGTCTTAATCTCCCCACTGGGCTACTCCTCGATTACACAGACAGAGGAATTATTTGGGATCCGACACTTAATGCATACGCTTATACATATGATCCATCAACTGGGAAATTTACAGGAGATGGAGAGTCCCCTGTCGCCTGGTTGAACTTTAATGGAAAATGGGGAGATGCACAGCCACCTGGAGAGCCATCAATCTTTGGAGAAGCAAAGTACGTGGCAGGACCTAATGGACCAAAATTCAAGACATTGAATCGACACAAGGTTTGTCCATCTACACCGTGTATTGTTTTGCCGTTTAAGATCTGGGAAGAGGGGGTTGAGGCGAAATTAGAATATGATAGCTAGTTCGTTGACTTAGTTTAATTTGGAAAGATTTTCAAGTTTGTGTAATATTTTCGGGATGTATATCCGATTAGTTTTTTTCTTTTCTTTTCTTTCAATTTTAGTACTTGTCAAAAGAAGTGGGGTTGTAGCTTGATTCAAGCGTGCAAGTTCATCTCTATGTATATTTCCCTGAGCATCAGCCTTGCCCACATGTGCAGGTGCCAGTGGGGAAAACACGACTTGCCAGAAAGCTGTAATATGCAATGTGTCTAATTGTAGATGTGTTCTTCGAACCAATATTTTCTCCACTCATCCAGACTCTCAGGTCCGAACCCCTTGCTGCATACTAGCACTTGAGTACATATGCACATGTGTACTCCATAGTTTGACGTTATCTCCGGCCATTTTGGAACGTGTACATTATTACTATAAAACCAAGACCAAATCGAAGAGGAAATGATTTCCGTGATCTACATATCAATTCCCAACTACTCCGTTCTAGTGCTAGTACGGAGTAGTATGGGCTTCGTAGCCCGAGAGATGCCAGTGGGCGATCGCTAATTGAGGCTGGAATATCAAAACGTGAACCCATCCGGTGAGTAAACTGAGCATTTATTGACATATAATTTCAATCAATGGATTATGTACTCCGTACTCAACCCGTGTGCTGATACGAGGGTCGAAGTAGAAAGCATTCGATTATGATCTGTCCATTTCAAGCCCCATGTTGACCACAACATATGCCTTTGGTTCAACATCGTTGGAAATTTCCAGAAATTTATAACTTGAAGCAAAAGTTTTGAACTTCAAGTTCCAAGGCTGAAGCCCTCGGAACTATAGTTGCTAGAATTAACCTTGGAATCAAATGATGCCCATGTGTATTTTCGGGCGCTTGCTGCACCCCAATTTTATTGATAGTATTAAATATAGATCAGTAGGTAGACTGACCAGGTGCAAATTGGCGATTCAAATTTTCTATACTCCGCGCTGGCATACTGACTAGGAAATACCCAATTTGATCTGTCAATCCATATTATGACGATGGATCCAACCTTGGAACTATACTCCGTACAACTCGGTACTTCATCCTGAAGTTTTCTTAGCCTCGCAGCATTCTAAACGCCACGCATTGAATAGTTGATACCAGCGCCCCCTTAATCGCGAGAGAAAGATATGCTGTCAAATATTTTAGCTGACGAAAAAAGCAAAACAAAAGGGGGACCCAGGGGGAACTTGAATTGATCACTAGTAAATTAGCGAAGTATTTTGGTCTCATCAATTGATGGCCAATGTACAGAGTAGTACGGAGTAGTTAACAGTAATTGATCCTGATGAACAATGGGTATTTAACCGATTTCTCAGATAGATGAAGAGAAATAGCATCCCATAATTTAGCTTCAATTACTGAGATTTCCCCTCATCCTACATGGTCGCTAGTCAAAATCCCGCCTAAGGCAAGCCTTTAGTAGGATTCATTATTCATTACCTCTCTCTTGTTCAAGCTCCTTCCAGAAACCACAAGTGACACCCAAAGACGCGAGATAAATTCACGGCTTGACATAAGGTCTTCCGTCTGAGCTGGGATATTGTAGGTTTTGCTTTGCTTATGAAGGCTCTTGAGTCATTTTGACAGAATACTGACCGGAACTACAAGAAAAATTGAGCAGTCAATGTATCCGAATTTCGAAATCCGCGTGCCAGGACCTGCACAATTATCTTTAGAGAATCTGAATCCAGTCAATTTCGAAAACAAATTATCAGAACAGAGTATCCTTATCATGCCACAAAACGCGCCTCCGAGACCTGACCGGATGTCTGGGAATTTGAAAGACAGCGAGGTCTTTAAAACGAAGCTTTTGAAGATTTGCGACGAATGGATTGACTGGGGACATGAGATCAAATGTTACGACTTTGTGACCAACCTTGCCAATGCTTTGCATGAACATGAAAAGGGCAAGGATGGATCCGCGGAAGACATTGGGGAGTGGGCTACCGATTTTCGCAATCAGCGCCCTGAATTCCAAAAAAGGATAGATGACGCTCGCGCCCAGTCAAGAAAGGATAAGGAAACTGTCGCCAAAGGATGGATATCGATGGTGAGACGTTTGACCAGAAAATACCATATCGACCCTGAAGATATGTATGCTGTACGTGAAATCGGATATTTTACTTCAAAATCCGGTAACAGAAGATCGGTCACACTTGTTCGACCTTCACACGAAAAGCTTGCTGCACTCCAAACGGGCAGGTCCATGGCATCGGCCATTCATTGCTTCTCTGGGGCAGGGAAGATCCTCGTTCCTTGGGTGATGACCCAAGCAAAGGACCCATCACCATATGTTACCATTTCTGAGATTCAGGTCGCATCCAATTTGACTGGATGGGCAAGCATTATGGAATGGAAATCTTGGTTGCATGAAAGCTTTGAGCCCGAGACACGAAAACCGCCGCGTGAAAGTTCTCGATGGCGGCTCATGCTCGTTAATGGGTATCAAACTCCTTTCGATGAGAGCTGCTTTCTTTTCTGCAGAGAACACAAAATCCTCTGCATTTCATACCCTAGAACATGCAGGCAGGATCTTGATCCTTTTCATGTACGCGTATTTCCAACTATCGAGGAAAAATATCGGAGATGGATTTATTTGCGATGGGAGCAGTCAAAGAAAGCTGAGGTTCGTCTTGATACTCGGACGTTTTCAGGTATACTCAGCAAAATTTCGTTTGCGGGCCTAGAGACGGAGAAGAATGAGAGGAGAGTCGAAGCAGAAAAAGCATGGAAGAGTTATACCATTTTGATTGGTCCCATGGGTTCAACAGTCAAAACCCACCTTACCAGCAACACTGGCTGTTGGAAGAATCGAGGGGACGAATGCAGAACTTCTGATATTGTGAATAAAAGCACCCGCAACTCTCAGGCTGTTCGTTCTCAGGAATCCGACAATCAAAATGGAAATCAGGAGACGGTTCCCCCTACCTTGAATGAGGGTATCGCTACATTCCAGGCCAATGTCAACCTACCATCGAACGATCAGGAAGCATCCGAGCCTTTACCCAATGTTCATACTCCGTCAAATGATGATGGTAACGCGAAGGAAGATAACTCGAAGGAAAATACTCCTGCCAAGTCTTCGGACCAAAAATGTCAAATCTCAGTTTCGAAAGCCGTTGAGACCCAGGTCGCCTCAGATAAGAGAATTCGATCTCCATACTGGCCTCAACCTAGCCCTAGTGCTCGAAAAGCAACTATTGCCCAGGAAAAAGTCCCGCTAATACCTCTCGATAGCGGTGGATTGAATGTGGAAGGTTCAGTCTCAATGTCCGGACGACAGGTTCGATCTCTCAGTTCTTCGGACAAGCAAATGCCCCCAGCGCCCAAAGACAAAGGGCCAGTTTCCACATTTGGCCAGAAATTGGAACAGTCGACTCTTTCTCTTGTGAAGGATGATTTGCCCACCGAGTCACAAGGCACAAATCCGCTTGCGTTACGGCCCAAGGGATCCAGCCAATCGTTAGACCAACGCTCAGGTACAAAGCGCAGTGTGGACAACCCATTCGACACTTATGACAAGGCCATGAAGAGAATAAGAATAATGCCTGAAGACAAACAAGGAGCCCTCGAGAACCGGTTGAATTCCTGGTTAGACCAAGTGATAAGCTCCAGCTCTTTCGGACCGGAGTTGAATGAAGAATCATAGCTCAACAACGTTCCTTGGTCTCTTCAATTCATATGGGGCCTTATCTGGGGCCCGAGAGATAGTAGAGCTCTTGTCTGAATTGAAAGTTCAATTTCAACACCTACCTGCGCACCCCCTCTCTCCCTGCTTCTTTTTGTTTGTCGTGATATATGTGTTTTATGTAAATTTAGAGCTTATTTCATTGCTTCTATTCAAAATCTCGGAAATATTGTGTTTTGTTGTTCTCTAGTTTTACCTTCAAGTTGATTCAAGTTCATTTATGAGCATGCGCATGTGTTCAGCTAAATTACAATTTATTTTCCCAACCACGAAATCAATGTGATGTCCTATCAGTAAAAACCTTGTCCATCTCCAAGGTTTGGTGCAATTGATGATGTATACAACTCTGAGAGTTTATGAAAATTTTCATAGAACTCTACCAGCACTCCCGGCAACGTGAAGATGAGAGTATCGTAATGCTTCAAGTTCAATACTGGAGCACAAATCTAGCTTGTATGTATCTACTAGTCGGAGTTGTCCTCAGTAGCCCCGACGTCCGGGGTAGTGCATCGCGTGTCTGTCAACGGCTAGCCGCCAACACCACTGGGCAGTTGACTAGTCATGTCTAGTGGTATGCACTCCTTACTCCGTACTGTGCAACTTGAAATAGTTTGGGTCTCCCCAAGAAACGTGCATTATAAAAGAGACTAATTACAAGGAGGAAATGATCTTCACGATCGACACATTAATTTAGAACTAGATGGACGGATCGTCATCAATCCAAATCAGAAGTCACCTGGTGAGCAAATCTGGCTTATCCGGTTGATAGCTGCGAGGTATGGAGCACGCTAAGGCATAATATCTGACAAGCTATGCATCTGTGTGCAGACAACCATTAAATCCCGCTTCTACGCCATGCTGCACATGAAAGTCTCTTTTACGATTTAATGAGATCGGCTCTAAGAGAGAGCTGCTAGCATTTTGGGCTGGCATTTTATTTTTGGATCCAAGTACTCCGTACTAGACGGTATTATGATGTGTCCATTACAGAACTCCGAGTCCCCGGGGCGCGCCTCGACTGACACAGAATTCCAAACACTTCAATGTTGTAGTTCACGCACGGAGAGTACGCAATGCATCTACTCTCTGCGACTTTGCGGCGCCTTTCAAGATTCCTCATGATAATGGGGTGAAATCATGACATGATATTTCGTGTGGATTCATTCCTTTTTCATGGACCCTTGGTGACGTGATCCTAGTGCACACTATGCGTCCCCAGCAATTGGTGACGTACTCAAATGTCAAAATCAGTGCTCAATTGGAAAAGGGGGACCGAGTTGGCCCGCTTCTTTTACTAATGCTACAGCTGCAACCGGGGAAACCAAGAAAACACACCGATATTATCAATTGATACATCCACGGAGTGTTATTCACCGTGAATCTGTCAATTACCTCAAAGGCTCGTTTCCATTACATTAATGATCAATGCCGTCTAGACTTGTCAACCCCCACATGGTAGATCTCGGATATGCAGGGTACGCCCGAGCCAATATCCAGTATCGAATTCCCTTGTCTCTGCGGCAACGCAAAACGCCACGAACTAGATACCTAGTCAATGCCGGACCCTAAAATCGAACAGTGATGGTAAAAGTCTTAGCTAGGCAACAAAAGCAATATGTTTTCCCCCTGATAGACTCATTCACCGTCCAGAGAATCTTGATTAGCCAAGTTGGTCCCGTGCCCTAATTTTCCAGGTTTGTTTTCATACCTAGGTATACCCTAGTACTCCATACCCTCTGTTGTATGATATTCGTGTTTAAAACTTCTTCATATCCCATAGACAAAGATCCGAGGCCATTCTCAGCTTTCATCGTCAATCGTCTATATCAAAAAGAATTTCACCGTCGGTTCCACAATTCCGAACCTCAACGCTTTTCAAGGGAGGCGCCCGAACCTCTTTATCTTCAAGTGCTTCATCTTTGCCTTCAACTTTGAACCTGGTCAAGCGTGCACGGTCACACAATAAACAAAAGCCCTGTTATTGCACAATCGAAAGGATTCTTCAGAATCTTCAGCTCTCTGTAAGGTCTGCTTTGCTTCAATTCCTGATCGTGCCCTCCATGGCATGCTCATAGTCACCAATAAAAGCATTCCCCTGGTCGATGTATAGAGATTTTGAAATTTGCATAGTATCACTCTCGCAACAGCTTTCTGAGACTTCACACCCTTGACTGGTCCGAAAAGCCTGTGAAAAGAGGACATCGAGTTCACCATGAGCCGCAGAAGAGGTTCGAAACCAAGACTATCCGAGGAGCAAAAGAGAGAACTGGTTATACTTTGCGATGACTGGATCAAGTGTGGTCACAACATCCAGGCTTATGAATTCGTGACTCGCCTTGCAAATGCATTGCTTGAACGTGACTGGAGGCTAAAAGGAGAAATTGCTGGGACTTATTTATACGAAAAGTGGGGTTATAACTTTTGTTATTCCCATGGTCAATTGAAGAGAAAAATCCTTCAAGCTCGAAAGGCTTTGAAAGATAACGAGGAGAGTTATACCACTGGCAAGGAGTGGGTCGCGAATGTCAGAAGTTTGTGCAATCAATACGATATCAAACCCGAGAACATGCATACCGTGACGGAAATTGGCTATTTAATCTCAAAGAGTGACAATAACAAAAATGTCACTTTAACTCGACCTCGAAACCCAGATCTGGATCCCCGACCTATGGCCTCAGCCATACATTCTTTCTCCGGGGCGGGGACCATCCTTGCACCTTGGGCCATGTTCAAAGAAGATAATCACTCACCCTATGCGAAATTCGTTGGAATTCATATCGCATCCAATAGAAATGGCTGGCCAAGCAAGCTTGATTGGCAAGAATGGTTGATCAACCATTTCGAGCCTCGAACGCGTCAATGGGAGCTTGGAAGCCCCATATGGCGACTTATGCTGGTCGACACCTACAATTGTCCTATCCACGAGGACTTTTTTCTCTGGTGCAGGGGACACAAGATTCTCTGCATTTCATACCCCAAATATCAAAAGGACGATCTTGATCCCTTCAATTGGGGTGTTTCCAAGACCATTAAACGAGAGTACAAGAGGTGGCTATACTTGCGCTGGAAAAATATGTTGGAAAAGAACAACAGTGATGACCCTCATGACAATAGCAGTGGTCAGGTCAGTCTTAAGTGGCAGGAATTTGCAGGAATTCTCAACAGAATTACGGTTGCAGGCAAGGAGCCGATATTTGCTCAAAGAAAAGCTGAAGCAGAAAATGCATGGAAAACTGGGTCTCTTTCCGTGCTCTCGAGCGCCTCGACGGGTGCCTCGATCAATCGCTTTGAGGATACACAAAATCTGAACACGGAACAGCTGGTAGATGAGGAGCAGGAGGAGGACTATTTCATTGTGGATGAAGATGAGGATTTTCTGGACGATGTGGAATCTAGCTCCCAGACAGTCGACAACTCTGTCTACAGTGATGAGGAAGATGCTCAGAGTACTTCCAGTGAATCGACTGACTCTGCAGACGATTCATACGATGATTGCTCATACCCAGAGCCTTCAGTGAGAGGACGCTCCCGTTCAAGAGTAGCTGAGACACCCTTTGCAGCAGCTCGCGTCACCCGATCTCAGTCTAGAGCAAGATCAATGGCTCTCACTGCCGGTTCAAGGCCATCCTCGCCCGACAGGCGTCGCCGTCGATCACCTTCTCCAGCTCAATTGACATATCGACAGAGAGGTCGATCTCAATCTCGTGCGAAACTGGAAACTCCATCAAGACTGTATGTCAGAGTTCGTTCTCGTCCTGTCGAAACTTTGCCTCGTCCGCAATCAGAGTACTCGAGGTATTATTCCTGCGATATGGGCAATTCATCGTCTCCAGTCCCAGGCCCAAGCTCTTCCCTTGTCGGCCCATCTCCCATGACCAGTTCTTCCTCTGTTGCTATACACTCCTCCCCTTCATTCTCACCGGGCTCCGATTTGATTCCTCCCCTGAAGTCAACAAGAAAGCGGACTGTGAATGAAATCATAGACGATCATGGTCGTGCTATGGAGGCTTTGGAGGTCCTGCCTGCGCATGAGAGGGAAGTCCATCGGCAAACCCTGAAGGACAATTTGTGTGCACAGATCCTTGCGTCATTCAAATGAACAAATATCCTTCGTTCCCACTGCTGACATTTTCTTTGTGACCTTTTTCATCATCGTGATATATAAGGCCCCGCTCTTTTCTCGGTCCTTTTCTTTCCCTGTGCCTATGTCTGAAACTGCAGTGTGTGCATTGTATACAGTCCTTCCCTATCCCTTCCTTTCCTTTCTGCGCATTTTCTGGTTCTTTTTCATTTTTGCTTCAAATTCCTGGAAACCCTGGATTTTTATGGCTTTCTTTTACTTGATCAATTTCATTTGTTAGTCCAACGTTTTGAAACAAAAAAAGGAACAGAAAAAACTGCCAAGCAATAGTAAACCCTCCATTTCATCTTTAAATATTGATCAATAAGTAGCATCCTATCCAGATGTGCGCAGACCATTGCGGAGTACTATGTAATTCATCATGGGCAATTTTCTTACAAAGAAGCTTTAGATATTTCCACCTTAGAATTGATTTCACGGCGCTACATACTGAGTATCACAGTCAATGGTCCCAAGATGCAACTCTTAAGAATAAACTTGAAGCGATCACCTAGCCTTCAAGGGGCTTTAGCAATTCCGATCGAATGATCCAAGATCTTTCGGTATTTTTGTCGCTAAAGCTGAATATTCATTTGAATTGACACACGGGCAAGTGGGAGCAAGAAAATGATCTATTGAGTTCTTTGCAGGCCCATATGATGTATCAAATCCGGAACCCGACACGCGTCTTGCATGGGGAGCTGCAGTTGGCAGGTCGCAGAATTGTGCAGCTCCTTCCCGAGGTCGCTCTCTGTATACCACTCAAGCATGGATCATTCAAACACACAGTTTAGATTTGAGTGGTATTTGGCAACATTTATTGCATCACCAGAGTTGAAACTGGGCAAAATGGGCGTTTTGGTTTCATGGATGACTGGAAATAACATTCTGACTCCCATTCATCTGATTCCCGTCCACTTCTCTGTACAAAGTACGGAAAAAGTTGTTTTGTTTTTCTCAATTTACCAAGCAGACCTGTCAATTCATGTGGTGGGTCCCACGAAAGAAAGCGAAGAGATTTCTGGACCAAAGGCCCAAGTTGCCTAACCAACCTGGGCAGGATCATGGAGGAGATCACCAGGTTTTTCCTAGTGTCGCATCTTAACGCCACCAACTGGATAATCCATCCCAGCCTCTCCTGTATCCAAAGCACACTTGCTTTGGGATTTTCACGGTAATAAAAAAGCAAGCAAATGGCAGTATTACATACAATAACGAATTCTCGGTTGATATAGCGAAATGTGGTCTGTATTGCGCACAACTTTCCAAGGTTTATGTCTTGGTCAAAAACCTATACGATTGAAATTCACCTGAGCAGAGAGCCTGCTACGCATACGTACACAAATGATTTCTTGATGATTTCAGCACTGAATCTTGGCCGATCATTCTACCCCGAGAACAATCCTGGAAACCACCTATCCGAAGCTGGCTCTTGCGCTCATTCTTTATTTTTATGGTTAAGAGTTGAACAGGCATACAGATAGACGTCTGCAGTTTCAAGGATTGTTTCAAGTCCTTGGTCTTTGATCAAACTTCCTAGACCATTGTGAGTTCTGTTTCTCGCAAACTGCTTGATTTCAGTCTTAATGACCTACTGTCAGAAAGTGGTTTTGAGAATCAGATGCTAAGTAACTTTGAGATTCACGTACCACCACCTTCGAAACGATTTGTCAAGCATCCAGGCCGTTTCCACTTCTCAACCACGCTGCACAGAAAAAGCATTCATTCCATGGCCCGGAACACCACTCGAGCGCCTCTCTAGAGCACCTTCTCGAGGGCGAGAGGTTGACAACACAGAAGAACCGAAGCTCTCCGACAAGCAGGAAAAGGAGCTTCTCAAGATTTGCGGGGAATGGATCGACTTTGGACACGAGCTTAAGTGTGAAGAGTTTGTGGCGGGTCTTGGAGATGCATTACTTGAGCGTGATTCAGAGTATGAAAGAGGTGGTGCCACTTTCATGGATCATATATATCCAAAATGGTCGAATCCTTTTTTTAGCAAATTCCCTGTCCTAAAACGCAAGATGACTGATGCTCGGAAGGCCGCAAGGGTTGAGCAGGATGACCTGGCCAAGCAATGGTTATCAAACCTAAAGTCTTTGATCAATAGATATGGTATTCAAAAAGAAAATATGCATATCATGAAAGAACTCAGTTTTCTAACATTAAAAACCAGAAAGACAAAGGCAGTGACAGTCATCCGGCCCAGCGAGCCTAACGACGAACGGCGCTTCGTGGCTTCAGCTATAAATTGTTTCTCAGCCGATGGAACTCTGCCTGCCCCTTGGGCCATCGTGAAAGGCGTAGCAGACTCGTCTTGTCAAAGCTCCGCTCAGCTAAAAGTCATTTGCAATGAAAATGGCTTTATAAACCGTTTCCACTTGAAGAGATGGTTGACCGATCATTTTGATCCTCAGACAAGATCATCTCTCAAAAGTTTTCAATGGCGACTCATGCTTGTTGATGGCTATCGATACCCTGTGAAGGAAGACTTCTTTTTCTGGTGCAGAGAGCGCAAGATTCTCTGTATTACTTTGCCGAAAAATAAGAGAGAGGATTTGGACCCTTTCTATTGGGGAGTGGGGAGTCGTCTTGATCGAGAGTACAGGAAATCTCTGATCTTGCGCTGGAAACAACATTTAGAAAGAGCCGAGCATGAAGCGTATTCCAAAAAGAGCATTGGGATTATTCTCAAGCCTCGAGAATTTGCGGATATACTCCGCAAAATGACCGTTGAGGGGACAAGCAGAGAAATTGGTGAGAGAAAGAACGAAGCGGCAAATGCCTGGAGAAGTGCCCTTTTTGCATCTCTGGGTGCTCAAATACGCGATCCTGAGGATCCAGAGCCTTGGAACAAAGAGAATATGGATGAACTCTTTGCTGCTATAGACGAGAGGGATCTTGGCTCCTGAGTTTCATCGTTCCCAAATCATCATCAAGGGAAGAAGCCCAACTCACCCCGGTCAGCCCCGCAGCCTCCGATGATGAATATATCCCACCTGAGAAGGTTCATTGCAACACGGACTTCTCATCCCAAAGGCGTGGCCGCTTACTGGCAGTAGAAGACATTCCCACCAAGAGTCTCATAACGCGCTCCAAATCCGCAGCTGAGTCAATAGCTTCGAAAGATGTTGCCTTGTCACCCCGACCTCTTGATAGGCGTGACTCTGACGGGATTGAGATGTCTGTGGCGCCACGCTCTGGAGGTCATTCTCGTTCATCAATAAAGCCGCCGGCATCATCCAATACCGAAGGCTGCTCTCGTGCTACCAAATCTTCGCTCCATCCTCAAATCCCAAGCGGGACGCGGCCATCGAGTGATGAGAATGATTTATCAACTTCCCCTCCAAGACCCTCGCTTGCTCAGACGTCCTCCCTAACATACGCTCGGGACCTTGGTCAATCTTGTACGCCAAAGACATCAAAGACACCAAAGAAACGCACTTCAAGCGATATCGAGGACGATTATAAGCGGGACAAGAAAAAAGCGAAGCTTCTGCCGCCAGATGAGCAGAAAACCTTCAAGAAATCTCTACATCGCGTGAAGCGTGCAGAAATTGCCTCGCTCATTGACACCCCGAGTTGAGTAAATACGAAGTTCTTCATCATGTCTTTGTGGTTCTCTTGATACTACATCTTTTTTCCTTTTTTTCTCAACTTTTCTCTCCCATTTTCCGTTTGTTTTCCCTTTTTGTCTCCCTACACCAAGTACTTTGCAAGTCTGGTTGTTCCTGGCTTACTTGAAAATTCTCATTCCCTTGTTCTGTTGAAATATCATCTATTTTTTTTGGTAGCTTCTGTAAAAGTCCCATCCAATCCATGAGTGCCCCAACCTCCACCTACTGAGAATTTTTTGACTCACTGGGTTTGAAAGATTGCAACTTGACAGCACTTGAGTAGATTTATATCAATATGGTGATCATGAGGGGGCATGTGAAATACAGCATAAAACTGTCTCCAGGGCTAGCCTCCAGGCTGGAGCTAACTGCCTGCCCGGGCGCGGTCCACCTCTACTAGTAGGACTGGGGGACACCGGGCACGAAGAAAACTACATATTACATGTCTAACTCCAAAAAGCAAAGCGGGAGAGAAGGCGACAAGAAAATAAAAATAAAGTAACAAAAATGGAAAATGTGATGAAATGGAATCGAGAATACGGAGGTTGAGATGCATGTATTCCACCATTGTACGGGGTACTCCGTACTAGTAGTTTGAACAGGGATTTCTGTTTGAATTCTGAATTGTGAAGTATGATGTATCCATTTATTCACGAGTCTCGGGTCCCAAGGTTCTCCTGGAGCCAATACCTCCATAACCGGAATACTATTTTCTCCAGATTTTCCGTTTTTAGGAGACGGATTTCCAATCCATCAACCTTGGAATTTCATGTTGTATTTGCCATGAACCATTGACTGGGGGATAAATGTGAGAATGTATTTTTGTTTCTGGATGTTATTTCCACAGTACTATTCCGTAGTTCCCACAGATTTCGATCTGTCAACATTGTATAGTGGATCCCCGGATGTATATGGGCTATCCCGCGCCAATCTCCGGGGCTAGACTCCCCAAGTCTCCCCCCTAATCTTGAGGAATCCCCCTAACGCCACAAATTACTTGGATTTCCAGCTCTCTAGATTAGTAGGTTGAAAAAGCAACCAATCAATTTCGATAGTTGTACGGAATACAGAGAGAGAGCACAGAGGAGGATTTTCATTTCCAAAAATGGATTTATTACCGACCACTTACTCCGTATGCACATTTTCTTATGCCCTAATGTGGGAGTATAGATTTTCACAGGTCAAAAATCAGTAGCCCGTTTTAAAATCTTCGATCACTCTCAAAACTTCTCACACAATTGAAGTTGAAGATATCGGAATCAAACCTTCCCCTCGTTCTTTTCTGTTCTTCTTTTCCTCCTATTGCCCTTCGAGGTGCACATACGAGTATCAATTCCCCGCGTCCAAGCGAGCCACTCATTTTGCTGATTCCTTTTTAGTTGATCGTTCATTATTTCGGAACCTCTCATTATACACCTCCCAGTTCATATCTGCTATTGACTAGCCACCGTCCCTAGGACTGTCACTGTTCATAGTGGTTGACAATTGATACATTCTCATTCAACCGCCTCCAACCTTCACGAGTTCACCACGCCCACAAAATCCAAGCACCTTTGATAACATGTCTGAAGAGCCTCAAACGCCCTCCAAGAAAACACACGCATCGTGCTGTCTTAGCAAGAAACAAGAGGAGAATGTTTTGAAGTATTGTCTTCAATATCTCGATTGTGGACATGTCAGTTTGAAGGGTTGCGCGGGACGCATTGGAAATGCTTTATACCACAAGCCCAAGAAGCAGAGCAAATTGTATCGTGCAAAGCCACTGAATAAGAATTGGGGGTCAACTTTCTGTTCTCGCTGCCCTGAGCTAAAAATAGCGATCGAAAAGGGTCAACTGTCAGCTCGGCTCAATGTAAAGGCCTCGGCTGCTGATTTCAAAGTCCGCCTCGCCAAATGCATCGAGGAGTATAATATTCAGCCCGAAAACATGTATGCGGTAAAGGAGTGGGGATTTATCACCACTAAATACGCAGAACATCAGAAGATGACACTCCATCGACCATCAAACCCCGATCACGAACCCCGCAACTTGACTTCCACTATTCTCTGCATCTCCAGGAAGGGGAAGTTCCTGACTCCTTACCTCATCAACAAGGGCAAGAAGTCTGCAGGTTTTGAAAAAAAGTCCAGAGTTTGGCTTGGCTCCAATCCGAATGGCTGGGCAGACAAATTCGATTTTGCGAAATGGTATGAGTACTTTGAGAGTAAAACGCGCGGAGGCTCAAATCGCGAGTCCCGTCCATGGCGGTTGTTGCTCGTCGAGGGTCACAGATCTCCTGTTACGGAGCAATGTTTTGTGAGGGCGCTCAAGAGGAAAATTATTATATTCTCATATCCAAGGCATAAGGACAGTCAATTGGACCCTTTTTGTTGTGGGGTGCTCGACTACCTTGAAAGGCGTTTTGTTGAGTGGTTGAGTCCCAGGTGGGAAGAACGGTCGACTCGCGGAGAGGAGATTGTCGAGATTGAATCACTTGACCTTGCGGCTACAGTCAGTTGGCTTACCGTTGCTGGCAAGAAAGATAGCACCTTGAAGGTAGAGCGAGAAACTGAGATTCGCACAGCCTGGGTCAAGTGTAACCAGAATTGGATTCGGGGAGGAGACTCGAGTGCCTCCAAAGAAATCAAATCAACAGTTGTGAAGGAAGAGAAATGGGATAAGAAGAGTATTGAGGATCATTCCGAAGGCGAGCGTACAGGATTATTGAATGAATTCTTGATACACAACAAGACGGGGGATTCCAGCTCCATTCAGACGCAGACTACTAAGTTGGGCCCCTCTCAGCCAACTCCAGTAGATGTGATTTGTTTGGACAGCGGTTCAGATCTCCCTAATGATAGCGCCAAGTCTGCAAATCGTGGTCACAAGCGGTCGTGGTCAAAAGCTATTAGGACGACTTCTGAGCCTCAAAACGGTGGCCGAACTGGAATTCAGCCTAAGAAGCACCAGTCGATAAATCAACCACAAGCTACGTCCTTGCCGCCAGCTCAACCACAGCCGCAAACTCCCTTTCAGCTGCAAGTTGCATCTGGATCTCAAGGTCTCTCCGACCCTCGAGCTCCCTCTCAGCTGCAGGTTCCATCTCAGCGGCGAGCTTCGCCTCGGCCCCAAACCGCTTCTCAGCGGCGAGGTGCATCTCGACCGCCAACATCCTCTCAGCCACAACGGCGTTCTCAATCAAGGCCTCCCTCTCGACGGCGAGCTTTGTCTCCGCAAGATACTGTCTTTCGACAGCAAGCTCCATGTCAATCAGAAGCTGCTTCTGAGCTACAAAGTCATTCTGAGCCGCGCATTCACCCTCAACGGCAAGTCTCGCCTTGGTCGCGAGCTGGCTCTCAGCCTCGAGGTCCATCTGAACCGCAAGCTCAGCCTCGACCGCGAACACCCTTTCAAGGTCCAGCTTCCTCGCAGTGGCACGGTTCACATCAGCAGCGAGTTCCCTTTCAGCAGCAACCCGCCTCTGAAAAGCAAATTCCACATCGGCAACGAACCGGGCATCCGCCAAACGCTCCCTCCAAACCACGAGATTTAACTCATCAAAGTGACTCATACCGACCGTACAATACTTATGAGCCACCACCTTCAAATGGAAATTCAAACCAAGGAGTTTCTTTCAGAGGCAGAGACAGTTGGAGACCAAGCAAAAGACGAAGAGGAAAGAACGACGGGAGTGATAATGGATTTGAGCGACGAGATGATCACCCACCCTTATCTCGACCTATGACCTCGGCCGCTTTGTCGTCTTCTTTGGCACCCGACTCATCGCCCCTGCGATCCGAGCGGCGCTTAAACGAGCGCATCTACAAACCTAATGTTTCAAAGAACAGCCCCTGCAATCCCTCCCCATATCCCGCTCATCAAGGAACTCCTCCGGATGATGTGATGGAGAAGCTTACCAAATTCGTCGATGAGCATAGCGCTCAAATAAAGGAACTGCTCGCCAAGGCTGGCAAGCTCTAATAGAATATTCCCCGGATGCGGGGTAACAAACTCAGCCTCATTCTCGGGTTCTTGTGTGTTGTCTCTTCTCAATGGAAAATGTTTTATTACTTTGCATCTGAACTTTATTAAAGTTCTTTTATGTAGTGAAATTCGTGAAACAAAATATGTACAGTAGACGACAAGTTCGGTGTCCACAGGATTTACACTCTTTCTCTCTTTCTTAGCGCCACAGTAGCGCACTAGTCTGGATCGAGATTCGTTGAAATTTACATTGTCTTAGTACTGTTATGGTTATGACATTTCCCAGTCAAATATAAATTACATGGCTCGCTGGAACCATTGAGACGTTTAGTGAAACAGCCTAATTACTTTCCCATGGTATTATGATGCCTTTGAAATATAATCGCGGTATATTTTCAGATCCGACGATGAAAAGGGCGCAACGGGCGCAACGGGATTATACGTGATGCTAAACTAACCAATGAGCTGTTATATTCGTATTACAAGATAAGGAAAAGGAGCCCGAGCCCAGTACAATGGCCAGTCATCTAATCATGGCGAAAACCTATGATTATAACTGTCCCCGTAGAGTAACCCAGAGCCAGCCTGTTATGTTGTATAGCTAAGCAGCTCATAGTTCGATACTCAGCAGGAAGCCATATCGTATTTTTGTTTGCAAAGGTAATCCAGCCATTTGCGATGGAGGCATAAGGGCTAGTCTGGTTTGGAAGTTGGCCGAAGATGAACGCGACAGAACCACAATGCCCCTCGAATGTCTGTAGCTCCTTGCCCGTCTGAGCATCCCACAGCTTGATCGTCTCATCAGCCGAGCCAGAGGCCACCGTTTCGCCGTCCGGGGAGAATGCCACAGACCAGACCCAATCAGAGTGCCCCTCGAGAGTCTGTAGCTCCTTACCCGTGTGAGCATCCCACAGCTTGATCGTCTTATCACGCGAGCCAGAGGCGACCGTTTGGCCATCCGGGGAGAAGGCCACAGACTCGACGGAACTGGAATGCCCCTCGAGGGTCTGTAGCTCCTTGCCCGTCTGAGCATCCCATAGTTTGATCGTCTTATCATGCGAGCTAGATGCGACCGTTTGGCCGTCCCGGGGAGAGGGCTACGGACTCGACGGGTCTGGAATGCCCTTCGAGAGTCTGTAGCTCCTTACCCGTCTGAGCATCCCACAGCTTGATCGTACTATCCTCCGAGCCAGAGGCCACCGTTTGGCCATCCGGGGAGAAGGCCACGGACTCGACGGGTCTGGAATGCCCCTCGAGGGTCTGTAGCTCCTTGCCCGTATGAGCATCCCACAGCTTGATCGTACTATCCTCCGAGCCAGATGCCACCGTTTGGCCGTCCGGGGAGAAGGCCACAGACCGGACCCAATCAGAGTGCCCCTTGAGGGTTTGTAGCTCTTTGCCCGTCTGAGCATCCCACAGCTTGATTGTAGTATCCTCCGAGCCAGAGGCCACCGTTTGGCCGTCTGGAGAGAAGGCCACAGACAAGACCCATTGAGAGTGCCCCTCAAGGGTCTGTAGCTCCTTGCCCGTCTGAGCATCCCAGAGCTTGATCGTCTTATCATGCGAGCCAGAGGCCACCGTTTCGCCGTCCGGGGAGAAGGCCACGGACTCGACGGGTCTGGAATGCCCTTCGAGGGTCTGTAGCTCCTTGCCCGTCTGAGCATCCCACAGCTTGACCGTCTTATCATGCGAGCCAGAGGCCACCGTTTCGCCGTCCGGGGAGAAGGCCACAGACCGGACCTAATCAGAGTGCCCCTTGAGGGTCTGTAGCTCCTTACCCGTGTGAGCATCCCACAGCTTGACCGTCTTATCATGCGAGCCAGAGGCCACCGTTTGGCCGTCCGAGGAGAAGGCTACAGACCGGACCCGATCAGAATGCCCCTCGAGTGTCTGTAGATTTGAGTTCCAGTATTTCATCGCCTGTGGTAGTATTTCTATTTGTCTGGGCTTTTCGCGAAGAAAATTCTGTCGTATGATGCTTTGTACTGGTGCAAATGCCAGTCCAGAATAGTAGAGCTGCAGTGGAGCAATGCCAGCTATGTACGCATTTTGAAGAGTGAACCTTTTTGCATCCTGCAGAAATTCACGCAATTGAGAATGGTGCTCATGCTATACACCAGACAAACGACCACTCGACGGGACGCGAAACATCGAGGCAGCGAGATGTCGGGTGACATTCAAAACAAAGGACCATGTTTGTTTATCCTACAGGAGCAGTAGTTCGGCTTCCATAAGACATTCTCTCTTTAGCTTTACCTTGGCGCCACAACCGAGAGCTAGTCGACTATGTACGTATTCGGTGCTCCACGTTTAAAATTGCCGAAGTTCCATCCATGGATCATCCCCAAGTCTCTACTGGCGACCAATCTGGCGACCAATCACTTGGATAGTGATGCACGAATCATGGCTTCCAGCCTTGAAGCTATAATAGGAGAGAAGCAGGTCACATGATAGAGACAACAGTAATGCTACCTTTCATAAAAAGCGTAATCGTGCGAAGCTAAGCGGCATCATCTCCCGGCACAACGGCCTCATTTTCGTCACAAACCTGCCAGGCGTCTGCCTAGTGGTGCTGGGCTCCCTTATACTCCCTGCGCCCGTTGGATATCATTAAATCTCTTCTTTTGGTACGCCAATGTACTAATCCAGTTGTTGATAAACATGTAGCAGAACGTAAGTATGATGAGGCTAAAGGCGATGAGGGGGCCAAGAATGGAGAAGGCTGTAAATCCATACGACGCTGACTGAAATGCCTTATTTTCAGCGAGGGCATCAGTCGCCAAACCAACTTGCATTGCTGTCAGAACGAGGGCGATATAGACCGTAGCAGCGGCCAGCCAGGCAAGATTGTTCTGGAAGAAGTCGCCGTATCGATTCCACTGCGACATGTAACCATGCAGGAACGATGATCGGGTGAATCTGTATATCTTGTTAAGCCGACTCAGACGGAGCTCACCGTAGATGAATCGCGCATCGATTTTTTGGTATAGATGATCCGTAGCGAGGACCTGCTTGACCAGGCTTGTCCAGTCTGCCCAGGATACCTCAGTGGGTATTAGTTTTTTCTCCTGAGCGATCGCGAAGTCGCTCTCATGCGAGACCAGGGCGGTATAAGAAAACAGGAATCCAAGCGCTGACCTCCATAGCCTCCGGCGATCACATAGGCCGTCATTCAAAAGCGTATTTCCAGCCGAGCTGGCCCGCCTTGGAGAGCGGGTGCAGGTGCAACACGGCAGACAGGAGAGGTGGTCAATCCAGAAGCGAGGCACAAGAAGGAAGCGCGGAACCGGTTTGATGAATATTCGGCCACTGGTCCATACGAGATGCATGTCAATTTGCTCTGTGATGAATATATCGCGCGAGAGGAGGAGCTGGTGGTGTAATGAGCGTGGCGGTGTCGGGCGACCGACGATCCACAGCCGGGTGATGATGATCTGAAGTCTACGTAGATCAAGTTCCTTTTGAACGCACGCCGCGATATCCTCGGTGGGAGCAGCCAAGTTTTCCGACGTGGTGCGGTAGGAAGCAGGAAATATCGGGTGAAGTGGGTAGTCGTTAGGGGTTGATGGGTCGCCATGGTTCAGTAGTTGGACGAAGAACGGGCACGTCTGCACAAAATCTTTCAGTTCCTGGTGTCTGTATTGGCATGACGGTAGAACAAACGGACGTGGTCCTGTTGCTTTTCTGCCTGGATGCCGATCTGCACGTCACCCGACATCTCGCTGCCTCGATGTTTCGCGTCCCGTCGAGTGGTCGTTTGTCTGGTGTAGTAACAACAAGGATGCAGCTGCCCCGAGTAGATAGGTCAACGTGTCCTTCAAGGCTGCTGCGTCTGGTCTCTTGTGCTGTCACGTGATTTATGCATGGTGATGACACTGATGACACTGATGAGATGTGACTAGTGGGTCGGGCCGGTGGCTCAGCTGAGGGCTGAGGGGTATGCTCAAATAGTTCCTCGTATCTACTGTCAGTTGACACTATTCTGAATGGTGCCATCTCTTTGGCCGAGTGGCATCATAGTCGCACTGGCTATTCCGCATGACGACTCCGACCCCGCCGTTGAGCCAAGATCAGTGCGCAAGACGTAGGCCATGAATGAGCTTGTGCTGCGGGCCGCCTTAGTCCTGGTTAGTTTAGCATCACGTATAATCCCGTTGCGCCCTTTTCATCGTCGGATCTGAAAATATATCGCGATTATATTTCAAAGGCATCATAATACCATGGGAAAGTAATTAGGCTGTTTCACTAAACGTCTCAATGGTTCCAGCGAGCCATGTAATTTATATTTGACTGGGAAATGTCATAACCATAACAGTACTAAGACAATGTAAATTTCAACGAATCTCGATCCAGACTAGTGCGCTACTGTGGCGCTAAGAAAGAGAGAAAGAGTGTAAATCCTGTGGACACCGAACTTGTCGTCTACTGTAAGAGGTGACTTTCATATCCAAAGAATTGCCGCCCCAATGGAGACGCCTGGACGCCATTATTAGATTCATGGGTTTGATTCTGATAGGCACACCATAGTTTGACTATGACTCGTGTTCAAAGCAAACCATACTTCTGATTTGATATCAAATCGATTCATCTTCTCCCTCTTCCAATAAAGAAATACCATATAGTACTTCCTGAACAAGTCAGTATTAACTCGATAAACAGAGTCCAAGGTTATTCATGTAAAGTACCAGATTAGAAAGCAGTTCAAGTTCATCTTCGTTTTTCTTCACGCCTGATGTGACTTGTCCCGTGTATGGAGCGAGGAATGAGCCCATTCAGGATGCTCGCGACTCAAGCAAGGCGTGTGCGGTAAAGATCATTCCGACCACATTGAAATTGTGGTCGAATACTACGGAGAAGAGAACCCGAGTCTCCAGGAATTGCAAATGGCTCGCCATCACAGCCATAGATCGAGTATTCAAAAATGACTGTTTTGACCGCAGGCTTTGTTTCATCAAAATGATTGTGAAGGTGAGCAGTCATAAGGTCGTTCCATCTACCAGTACATAGTATAATGTTCCGCTAGCCGTCGGGGAGAGTGCAATGTATTCCCCCGAATGAGCACTTGAGTGGGCCCTTTCACTCAAGTGCTGTGGCAACGCGGCCCAACGAGTAGCTTGTTTATCTATTTATTACCCACTTTTTAACCAGTTGACTGGGTTAGAAGAATATCAATCTAAAAAGATCTATACCATACCGTAATCCATAGTAGACTCCCGAGGTCGGAGCCTTGTTTTGTTTACTAGACTTGAGCACTTGAGGCTATACCCAAAAGCGTATACTAACACTTGAAGTATTGATGACGTGGAAAACTTTTGACCCAGTGGCCTATGTATTGGGGGCTGAAAAAGAACCAATTAAATCTTCAAAAGATATAACAAATGGGGAGCTGAAACGTCGAATATTCACCGTTAAAAATATTTGAACCTTGGAAGGGGTTATAAAATTCCCATAGCATCCGCGAACTTTTTCCAAAGTTGTTTTACATCTTTCAAATGTTCGCAGCCGTTAAATAGTAGAGCCTCGTCCTGCGGTCCAAACTTGAAAGCGCGGAATAGAGCCCAAATCGACCCACCCCGGTTGTTATTTCATTGTTCATCCCAAATCCCATCTCACCACATCTTCTTCTGTCCAGTGTTTGAACTCTGAGTTATTTCTATCAAAATGATCGAGACCCAAATTGAGATCGCAGCTCCACCTAGTCTGGTCCGAGGCCTGGTAGGATCCCGTCATTCCTCTTGAACGTTGTTTTGAATGAGACTAAAAGCTAATATTTCGGTGGTATCACTTCTCTATGGATATAGCTACTCGATTTTGCAAAGTACCCGGATTGGCATACCTCAGGGCTGGTTCAATTATTGGAGCCCGAGGATTCGAGCCTAACGCTGGCGACCTTGCAGTCAGGAGACAAGATCAAGTGTGATATCGATGGAATGAAGTTCACAGCTGAGATTAAGGTAAGCCAAAGTCGACAGTCGATATACGAAACTACAGGTAGATCTAATGGGATATCTGGTAGGAAAACTCCGACCGTCTCCTTCAATGGCAAGGTCCACCCGTTATGGGCCTGATTTCCGGGCTACACTCATTTAGCTTCGAGGTTTCGGAGTCTGGAGGAACATTGTTTAAGCAGTCAGAGTTGTTCTCCGGTCCTATCACGTTTCTTATGGGGCCTTCTTTGCTAGGACGGAAGATGCTCGGTCAGTATCGCAAGTTCAATGAGGAGCTCAAGATACACGCGGAGAGAGAATTTGAAAGTTCCTCTTGATGGTAGACCAGGGGATGCCGGTGTCACTGTTTCTTATGTTTATAAGCGTATACTAGTATATGGTACCATAGGTACTACCTACCTCAGCAACTACTCCTCCATTTGTCCTTCTAGATATTAGCCTCCAGGGCTGTACATGTGAGGACTCAGACTCTGCACATGTTTTTTATATTTATGCAGGTGCAGTCACCTTGAATAGCTTGAAATGGTCGATTGTTGAGACAGTCCAGATGAATAATCAGAAACTCCCACCCCTCTCAGATACTAGGTATCAGAACGGAGCTAAACCTGTCGACCTGAAAATCATATACCTAATGGATATTCTTTGCGAGCTCGGCATTCTTATTTGAGGGAGATTGATGCGGTCTTCTACTATCCTTTATCGATCTATATGTTAATCTCAAGTTTGTCCATTTTCAATGAATATTAAATAGAATTTGTGAACTCTTTTCGTTGAGGCTGTTACATCATAAACCACATAATCCACCGTGGACTGCAAAACCCCGCTTGCCCCACTGCTGACCTCGGGCAGCAGATGTGGCACCTGGGGTAAATAAGGATTTAGAGACTAAAGGCTGCGGGGCTAGCGAACATGTGTGTCACATCAGTGACATCATGATGTCCATTTGTAGATCAATAAGAAGGCCATCTGATTCAAATGCTTTCATCCAATAAAGCTTGAATAAGATCTCGGCAGCTAGCACATTTTTTGTTTGAATAGTGGAGAGTCAAGAATTACTAATAGTACTAGTAACGCCACAAGAGGGGTTGAGGGTCAAGCTTGAACAAACAAATGCCGAGGGACAGATTTCTGAAAACCCCCCTTCAACTTCCTTAATCGAGATTCCACACGAGTATCATCTAAGATGAATCAAATTAAGGCTATTGTGGCTCATGAGCCAATAACACCTCTCAAACAGAACTGGTCCTTGCAAGATGTTGATCTTAAAGATCCCGGCGACGATGAAGTTTTAGTTGAGATGTATGCTGTCGGTATTTGCCACACAGATATTGTACTTGGATCAGTGCCTACTGGCACAATAGGAGTTCAATATCCAAAGGTTCTCGGACATGAAGGTATCTTCTTAATGACCCTCCTACTGTGGTGTCCCAGATGAATCTTCAACATTGGGTTAACTATTACTGATTCCACGATATTAGGTGCTGGAATTGCTCGGCAGGTTGGAAAGAACGTACAATCAATCGAACCAGGAGATCCAGTTCTTCTATCCTTTAATTCCTGTGCTTCATGTTCCCAATGTCTGGAATCCCATCCTGGGTATTGTGACACGTTTGCAAATCGCAATTATACTGGCGAACAGCATTCTACTAATTTGAGCTCAACTGATGAGAAAGTATGGACTGGGTTCTTCGGACAGTCAAGCTTTGCACAATATGGTATTGTGCATAAAACGAGCATTGTCAATGGAAAGGATTTAATCCAAGATCTCAGTGAACTAAAACTTTTCGCTTCCCTGGGCTGCGGATTCCAAACCGGCATGGGTGCTATTCAAAATATTACAGAAGCCAGTCCCGATGATACAGTATTGATCACAGGCTTAGGAGCAGTTGGGATGGGAGCTATCATGGTGAGTGGTACTTTTACCAAGAAGAAGAACCAAGCTAAAAGAAGCTAGACTGCCGTTAATTCTCAATGCAAGACCATTATTGCCATTGACAGAGTGAAATCCCGCCTAAATCTGGCCAAGGAGCTTGGAGCGACTCACATTATTGACACAAGCGAGCCAACTTTCACCAGTTTAATGGAGGCAGTTCATGAGCTGATCCCAACAGGTGTCACTATTGCTATTGACACGACTGGTGTTCCTGAAATACTTGAGCAGAGTATCAAGGCTACGCGAAAACGGGGTAAAATAGTGATGATTGGCGTGCCTCCATTTGGTTGGGAACTAAAGGTTCCAGCGACAGAACACTTGAATGTAAGTTTGCATTTTCCGTGACAATGGATGATCGCAAGATTGGAATATACTGATATTTTTCCTTTAGTCTGGCCGTTCTCTTATGGGATGTATCATGGGAGACTGTGATTCTCAGAAGGTCAGTATGCTCCAAGTAGTTTTCTTAATTGGTTAACTAAATTCTGTGCAGACAATTCCTCAGTTAATCGACTGGTATCGGACAGGGAAATTTCCCATCGATAAATTCGTTCAATATTTTGATGTTTGTTGTGATAACCTCTGAATTGGATTGTGCAAAATTGCTAATTCGAATGAGCAGGCTATGGATTATGAGACAGCATTGCAAAGAATGAAGAGCGGGGAGGTAATCAAACCAGTTTTGGTTTGGAAGGATTAGAGTCAATGTTTTATGAACAAGTCAAGTTTGTGCCGCGTCCAAATATCTCGTTCAGCCCATGGACATTTTAATTTCTAGTGATTCCACTTTGCCTTTCTCCTTCGTGCAATGCCAATTCAAGACCCTCGAGTAGCTTGTTGGGCATGCTTAAAAAGGCGAATGAGAGGAGTCGCAGCGAAAAGTCACGGGGTTCCCCAATTTATTCGCCAATGCCTTGAAACGGTAGCGGAAAGGCATTGTCATTAGTGCAGAAGATGTACATAGACGGCATATCATGCCAGGGTTCATACAGAGCCGGCTCTAGACTCGAAAGGACAGAATGAGACGCCAACTTCGCGATCCACTTTGCTGCTCATCGGAGGAAAGATCGTTATAGAAGATGGTCTCCTGTTGAGAAGAGTAGCAGAACCCGTCTCCATGGCTCTGATAGCGAGCGATTAGCATCCGGATATTGTCTCTACTGAATCAAAGGATGGCTTCAAATCACGTACCACGACCCCAGGATCCGATTTGCCTTCACATTCATCAGTAATCGACTGGACCTTCAGCGCCACGAAGGCAGAGATCCATACAACCATCACCACGCCTCCAGAGAGAGACATCTTAGACCTTTGCGCATAGCCCAAGCCTTCAACAGCACTTGCGCCAACGAGTCCACTGTACGAGTGGCAAATGACAACCACCCGCCGACCACTGCAAACCAATCTTCGAATTATTTGCTTCGTAAGATCGATATCAGCATGCAAGCCAACATCAGGGGAGGATGAATCAACAGAGAAGGTAGTAACAGCCTCAGAGTCATAACCACGATTCGCTAAGAGAGCACGGATTCCGTCAAAGCAATCAGGCCTTTGCCATGCCCCAGGAATAAAGACAAAAACCGGGGTTTCGGCTGTCTCCATGGTGAATGAGTAGAAAAGACGCTTCTTTGTATTGATCTTGACTCGTTACAGCCCTACTGAATCATTGTAGAGCTAACCGAAGTCTCTGTATTCACATGTGGGATATGGGAAGTAGAGATGGACAAAGCTCATGGGAACATAACCTATTACTTATAGTGGGTTAGGCAACTTAGGCCCCCCTACGATCCCTACCCATGGGTACGCCTTATTTGAACCTTCACTCAAATCAGTACATGCACGTTACATAAAACGTGTAGATCTTTGAATTCAAAAACATTGAATACCCAATCTTATCACTGACGGTAACTTAGATTCGATTCTCGAACAGTGTTAGACCTGGCATTAGAGTGGGTCAGAAAACATGATCCGGTCTATCACCGGGCTAGGGTCAGTAGCATGTTCAACTGGTGAACACTCTTCCTACTCCCTCACATATCATCGTTCCGATCGGAAAACTTCAAAATCAGGGAAGCTAACCAGGGTCATTAATTAAGCCCAATTCACGGATTGGACTGAACGGAAGGGGCTCAACAGTTGCCATACCGCCTCTAAAGAAATCATCCATCAGGAAAGGTCCTGTAATGGCCAACCAGGTTGACATATAGAGAACGATGATAACACGTCGTAACCAACCCGGTGTAACAGTCAGAGCTAATTTGGGAAGAATCGCATTTTCGAGGACTACCTCAACGAATATACCGAGTGCTTGGAGACAAAAGAATAAAAATGGTCCAGAAAGGGGGCGGGTATCCGCAATTTGCGCATAGCTGCCAGCAGCATGGAGAAAGCCACTGAACAAGAAAATGACAAGAGCGTAAATGAAGCATTGATTCGGATGTCTTCGCTCCAGCTAGTTGGAAGGCTGGAGACAGCCCAGCGTGCCGTGGCAGTGAAAGTGTAACGAAAATACTGTTGCCACCACCGTCCCCAAAAGTGCAGAATTCCATGATTAAGAAAGGTGATGTTCAAGTCGACCCGTCCATATGGAGCTCCATATAGCCAAGGCTCATCCAGTGGGACAGAAGTGAACTTGGATACCAGGTTTGGTACTGTTACAGAAAAGCCAAGGAAAAAGATCTTGTATAAGCTTGCAAGAGCATTGAAACCAAAGTAAATACAGGGTGCAGTGAAAAAAGAATACAAGAAGGATCCCAGTATAGGGAGATGCTTGGTCAATGGAAGGGGAAATGGTGGCACTGCATTCATGGATGAAACTTTGCCTTCAAAGTAAGGGTCTCATATGACCCAGGCCTTTGATAAGTCAATTAAAAGGTAGATCCCGATGAAGTTGCGGACTTCCTGTCCTAGATGTTGTTTCGCATCAAAGCTCATATCCTCCGCCGGCTGAATTCTGCTTGAGTTGAATCCTGACTGTAATTTGTCAAGAACAGATCGAGGAATTAGACCCATGTGAGGAGATCTCTAATTCCACTCAAGGCCTCTGAGGCTGATAAATAGTCCAAGGCACCAGTCTATCCAGTGCAAGAGACCAACAGGATATGACTGCCAGCGTAAAATGACACGCTTTTCGTCAACTACCACTCGCTCAATGCGCTGAAAGTCATTCTCGACGTCTGTGAACACCAACAAAATAGCACTCCAAAGCAGCCACCAAGCTGTAAAGATCCCAATTATATAACCATTACCACCAATCCTGGCTCGGCGATTGAGGAGGATATTGACCGAAATCCCTAGAATGAGAGCGAAAACTGATGGCCGAACATATCGGGTTCTTCCGCGGCGGGGTGTTGTTAGGCCAAGTAGGGGCAGACCAAGCATCATAACAATATGATAAAAGAATAATGATTTGAAGTCGCCGTGCTGTAGTAGTTCACGGAGAGTATCATCTTGGCTTTGTCCGAGTTCCTTGGGAGAATAATGAGATGACCCGTATGATGGTCGCTCAAGTCGATGAAGGATCATGATTTCAGAAGCTTATTCATTGACGATTTCCCTTATCAAAATGAAGGATGGCATCAGTCCTTTAGTTAGCATCAATAAGACAAGACAGAAAGATCTTATGAGAAAAGTAAATCAGAGTTAGAACAAGTATGTGGCGTATTTTGGATGTTTCAATCGTAGCGCATTAAGTTTTGATAGCGACTCCGGACCCGTTAAGTAGCATATGGAGGGATGCGATCTTTCAAATGTTGGAAATTCGTGGGTCCTATCGCTGAACCCGCATACGCAGTTTTAATACGTGGATTTTGCATTTTCTTGCTAATATCCAGCGGTGATCTCAGCTGCCTCCCTAATGGTTCACATATTTGCTTCTTCTTGAGTAACTTCAACCCCACACTCTTCACTATTCCAGGTGTTTTAAATGGACAGGAAACTACAAAGACCATGAACTGTGTTCAATAAGTGCCACAAGGATTTAAATTCTCTTCGAAGCCCTCTAGGTTTCCATCTAGTGAAAGATCGACATTGATATTGCATAAATATGTATAACCTTCATCTTACAGTGGTGAATAGCAATGCCACTGCGAGATTTGCCAAGTCCAGATGATCCCTGGCCGCTGGATTTAGCCTGGAACCGAGGCTATAATCTTTCTAGATCAGAATCCTGGAAAAACTCAAGCACTGGATGTGCTACCGCTAGCAGCAGCCCTGGTGGCTGAGGACCCAGGCGGGGAACCACCCATATTCATGCCAGAATCCTCATTCTCAACACCACCATTCTCAGTATAGTAAGCCGCAGGCGTAATATCACTATCCTCGGTCGCATCGATTCCAACAGTAATCCAAGCAAACACACCGTCTGACACGTTATCGCCCAGGAAGACGTACTCCATGAAGGGATCAATAGTGTCTGCCTCTTCCGCAAGGATGCTATCATCAGCGTTGGTAGTCAGGTCTTGAGTATTGGTAGAGTATGGTGATGTATCTTCAACGGTAGAGATGAGATCTTGGTCGAAGAAGAGTTGACCGACGTGCGAAGAATGGGCTGTATAGAGACCGGTAATAGTGTCATTCGATAGGACCGTTGTTTCGTTGACTGCGTGTGTGAGAACTATCATGAGAGTCTTGTTAGTGTCTTGAAAGGAATGATTGCTTGGGAATCCCGTACCGTGGATATGAGTGGCACGTCCAGTGTAGTGACCAGGGAAGATAGACTCGAACTGCACAACTCCCTCATCGTTGCTAGGTTGAATGCCGCGGAGGAAAGTGGCATCTAGGTTCGTCGCATCGGATTCATCACCATTTCCGCTCGCTTGAACACCGGAGTAGACACCCTGAAGAGTATCATATTAGCAAGTTTTGATATCTGGAATATGTCAAAAGGTACTGACAGTAGCATTGCAGTGCCAGATATCTGTATAGATATTCGGCAAAGGGTTGCAGGTATTGGTATCGATGATCTGAATGTCCATATAAAGAGGAACACCAGTCTGCGATTCGACGATATCCTCACGAATCAATTCACCAGTGACATCTGTGGTCAATTAGAAATCTGGGTATCCTCGCAAGGGTGATGAATGAGTAAACGCTTACAATAAGGCCCCTGGGTAACGTCAGGACCCAAGATACAGGTAGATTCGGAGCCAAACAGAATACTCGGATCAGTCGACTGGTCTACACTGGTTAAGTTGGAATGATGAGAAGTATTCAGCTCGGCATCCAAGTCACGCGCCTTCAGGAAGCGACGACCTGAAATGAAATCAGCCTCAAGGTTTTTCAATCTGTTATCGGAGCCAGAGTAAGAACTTACTGTCATTTATGCCACGTCGGTTGCGGATTTGTTTCACGGCAAGTTCACGACGAGCAACATTTCTGCTCTCAAGACCACGTGCCTTGAGCATTGATGCACATTGCGCAAGGCTTCGGGATTGAAGATTGGAGTCCTTCAGGAAGGCGGAACGCTCAGCAGCTTCGGCCTTGACATCGTGGCCCGGATGAGCAGAAGCAACGCTGACAAGACCCATCAAGCCAAGGGCGAGAGCAGAGGTAAATTGCACCATTATGAATAGAATGAAACGGGGTTGATCAAATTGACTTTGTATAGTCTATGAAGACTCTCATTTCAACTGGTGCTGTCTCCCCTTTATACGACTCTCCACGCTATGCTATGCTATACTATGCTATGCTATACCCAGACGGTCTACGGGATTGACATGATGTCTGATACAATACCAAGAAGAGCTGACGACGAGCCCGGAAATCTCGGTTGAAAGACTCACGAATCAAATCCCAAACGTTGCTCATCAACAATATACAGAAATGCAACGGATATTCCTCCGGTCCCACTACCAAGGCAAATCCATAGTGCCAAGTGAGAGCCAAGATTCCTACATAGTATATAGAACAAGTTTCGGCATTCGAATAAGGTCCAGGCACTACCGAGACCTCCGGGATTTTATCATTGTCCCATGCACCATATGCCGATCAGGGATCCACCAATGCGGCGCCAAGGCCGATGAATGAGCCCTGAATGGGGACCGAAAACCGGTACATCAGGGTGATTTCGATGGGATACACTCAGAATGTGGAGGCAACATGATCTGCAGAGCTGACGAGGCATTGGATATGGTTGGATATCAGATACAACATTTATGGATTCAGGAGGGGAGTTTAATATCGGCTCCGGGACTTGCATGGTCTAGCGCGTGTTCCAGATTCGTCACTGGAGTGGCCAAGACCGGAAGTTTAGCAATTGGAAATCCATAATACGTTGGAATATTAAGAAAATCCATTCTGGGAATTGTCATAATCCCGTGCTAAGGTTTTGAGTATGGTCCCTGGGAGGGTCCTCATGTTGATGAAGACGTAGTGGGTGTACGTACCCTTTCTTGGCACTAGCATTTTGGGAATAACACCGGAGGAGAACCAGGATGTTATGAATCATACTGACAGTCATACTAATATCCAAATTTTATGCAGTGGATAAAAGAGTTAATAAGCAAGAGATATCGAATTGAAGTCATGAATTCCTATCATACATGCGAGCTTCGTGGAAAAGAGTAGAAGAAAATAAAACATCACATCGTATCAGACACACATTACATCAAGGTATTTCGCTAACAGTAAATCAAGCATGGAAATATGGAGGGACCTATTGCATCAACCAAGTGAGAAGTTAAACCTCCTGGTGGCTAACAACAGGGGCAAAAGCAGCCTTCTCATCAACGAAGGTGGTGCTGGGCTTCCAGCCGGCCGAAGTGCGGGGAGTAGTCTCCTCCATCATCTTATCGACCTGCTCGAGGGTCAAACCCTTGGTCTCGGGAATCAGGAAGTAAGTGTAGACGAAAGCGCAAGTGCAAAGACCTCCCCAGATGAAGAAGACCTTGGCGCCGAGGTTACCCTGATCAGTGTCGACCATGTAGGGAGTGATAACGGCAATGATCTAAAATTCTTATTAGAAAATGTTTGAATGATTAATAGTAGTGAGTGAGGATGTGACATACGCAGTTCCAAAGCCAGTTAGAGGCAGTCGAGAGAGCAACACCACGGGAACGAATGGCCAGTGGGTAAATCTCTCCAATAACAACCCAGGCACCAGGACCCCAGGTGCTGGCGAAGAAGAAGATGTAAATGCAGATAAAGGCAATCATAGCAGCAACGGCCTTGTGGTCAGAGCCGTCTGTGACACCAATGATGGCAACGATGAACTGGCATACAATCATTCCAAGAGCACCCCAGAGGAGGAGGGGACGACGGCCGAATTTCTCAATGGCGTAGAAAGAGAGAGGAGTGGAAAGGACGTTGACAATGGTGGTGATGATGCTAAGCAGAAAGGGGTTCTGGATCGTGCCGAGTTGAGTGAAGAAGGTTGTTCCGAAGTAGAAGACAAAGTTGACACCAGTCCACCTGACAGAGATATGTGTTAGAATTTGAAAATCAAAGGGTCAAAGGAGTGAAGACATACTGCTGCATCATCTGCAAAGAGGTACCGAGGATAGTACGACGAAGGTTGCTGTTGGGCTTCCAGAGGCTACCGCGGAAGCAGTTAATCCAGCTGCCAAAGTAGCCACCATCATTGGGGATGCTCTGCATTTCGTAAAAGTGGTTGGCCTCGATCTCATCCAGCTCGGAGTTGATGTACTCGGAATCAGCAGGCTGGCCACGAACACGGGCAAGAGCCTCACGAGCCTTGTCCTTCTGCTCCTTGCGGATGAAGTAACGAGGAGACTCAGGAAGGAAGAGCAAGCCAACACCGAGGATAATAGCCCACATCATCTGAATAGAAACGGGAATGCGATAGGAGCCAGAGTCCTGACGGTTCTCGGTAGCATAGTCAATGCAAGAAGCCAGCATCAAACCAATAGTGATGCAAAACTGGTATCCAGACACAATAGCACCACGAACCTTGCGAGGCGCAATCTCAGACATGTAGAGAATGATGACAGCAGAAACGAAGCCAACACCAAAACCGGCAATGAGACGACCAGCAACAAGGAGGCCTAGAGCGCTAGATGCAGCTTGAAGAGCAACACCAATGAGGAAAACAATGCAACCAGCGATAATGGTAGTACGACGACCGAACCAGTCTGCAAGATCACCAGCCAAGAGAGCGCCAAAGAAGGTACCAGCGGAGAGAATGGAGACGATGAGAGACTTTTTCCAGGCAGGGATCACGAAATCGGCAGCGGGGGTTGTTGCTTTGTCCTATTGAATCATCAATATCGAATCCATAGTTGCAGATATGGAGAGATGATAATTTTTACTTACCAGGCCTTCAAAGGTCTCAATGAAGTAATCCATACCGAGGACACCACTGATATAACCGGAGTCATATCCAAAGAAAAGACCACCAAATGCAGCAAACGCACACATGAAGTAAGTCTTCATGGTGACGGGAGCCTCGATGCGTGTAGCATCGACGCCCCCCATGGTAACAACAGCACCACCGGGCATTTGATTCAAATGACTATGTGGAGGTGTAGTTGAGGATAAAGAAGTAAAACCAAATGAGGTTGGATGAAGAACTTGAGTCAAAGAGACAAGTAGATAAGAGGTCAGGAAGTGTTGGAAGTGTTGGAAGTTGGAAGTGTTGGATAGTAGATGATGAATAAATAAAGTGGGAAGACTTGGTCCTATTTATCCTGGGGAAAAGGACTATATTCCCCGCAAACGAGAGACAAACAAAATTGAACTCATGACTATAGTGGGCTACCAACCCCAGACGAAGCCTGATTACCGATCCAGATCACTCCAGGTTCCAATGGTCCAATCAATTGGGATAGATGTAAGAATAACCTGGGACTCGACTCCATAGTCACGGCCGAGCCGAGGATTGAGCTGAAATGGCACCATCGCTAAGTCGAATTAAGCCTAACGTGGATAGAAAATTCTCCCCAAACTCGCTAAAAAAGACCATGTGGCTAGAAACCGGGGAAGGTGGTTCGGATCCAGCCATGGTTAGACGTACAGAAGCGGGAGATGTGGTTGGTAATTACGAGCTGGACCCTGCGCTAGTGAGAGAATCCTACCATGCGGCGTTCTCCGTGGATGTGGCTAGAATAAGCCAGCCAAACAGATTCTCGGTTCCAAGCCGATTTTGTCTCTCGGGCTCCGGGGAATGGCCCCTGAATCGGGTTGGACTCCGCAAGGAACAGCATATTGATTGGTGGTCGGGTAAGGGTTGACTGCGCCACATCCCGAAATACTTTTTTTTCACTGCATTGTGACTTTTGTTGTTCCCGGTGCCTACCGGTGCCATGTTTTTTCGGCATTCCGTGAATTTCTGACAAACGGAGTTCTGATATGTTGTAAAGCTGAGCCTCATTCGGTGTCTTGTGACCTGACCGTGTGACCACCTGGGCAGTTGTGTTAGCACCACATGTACACCGAGCTCACTGTATGCCAAAAATAAATTCAATTAGACTCATCGTTTAACAAATTTTCAGAGAACGACGCACACGGCGCACACGGGAAGTAATTTTGAATAAGAACCTTGGCACCTGGGCATGAGTACAGAAAATGGCTCAACAAGCCACGTTGTGTACTAGTCCAAAGGTTTAACATTTGAGTGTGAAAAAAACCCTGCCCAAATGTGGAGACCCCGCCCCGTCTTTGATGCCTCGGGCATCAATATTGGAATGAAATACCAAATAACCTTGGATTACTCTAGAGCTCTTCATAAATTTCCAAGGTTATGAGTAAGGGTGAATTCAAATGTTGGGAGAATCTGTAATAATGAATATTTCCTTTTATTCCAATACCGTCAAAGGGACTATCTAGTGAATACACTAAGCTATTGAATCAATGCCAGGTTTGTTCTATACTTTATGCTACACATTATCTGCTTCTCAAATAACCTCAAGCTTTCCAAGACTTCTTTGGCCCGGTAACTCAACGTTGGGCACGAACCCCTGGATATCCTCAATCTGGGGAAGAAAAAAGGAGAATTCACATTAGGTTTGCAATTTGCCGATGCCTTTTACCAAGGATTGGCATTTCTGACACTTGGGTCCACTCTATTTCCCCGGTTTCAAAATGAAAATTGGAGAGAATGAAGAGAATGAAGAAATGGAACAATCTCGGTGAACGCTTTCCGTTAGAGAGAAAACTTTATCAAGCCTTCGAGACTATAGTGGCGCCGTCAAATTTCCGGGGCATGAAAGAAATCCCATTCTATACCGTTTATCCTGTTTATACCGAGGAACCTTGGCGCCTCACATAATAGACTTTCACATTTATCTCACATTATCTGACAATATCTGCAGACTAGACGCCCGGGCCGTTTGCCGATGCTACCTTGAATACGGAGTAATGTTCCAGTCCCAAGTCCCATCTTGGATTATCCCGATTCTGCAGTCGTACTCACACCAGACCTCTTCTTTGTAAGATGCGTCACCCTTGAAATGTACTTCTCTCTCGAAATTCCCAGCTCACGATGAACCCTTCGAGCAAAGACGGCCAATGGACAAGTAAGTTGATGGCGACGAGCAGCACGAACCTCCTCCTCTTGTTGTGTATTCCAGCTATGCCGAGACCCACTTCCATCGATCAGGCTTGAATCCAGATTCCTCGATCTTTGAACAAACTCAACCAGTTTATTCAGGATATTGAATTCCAGTTTCAGTTTCACGCTGTATATGAACCCCTTGATAGCGGTTTGTAGCGCGTATCGTCCCGCAAACTCCAGCACCAATATTACCACGTCCAGAACTAACACGGTGACACTAATCAGAATCAAGTATAGGAGAAGTCGCTTGCCAGCATCACCATGTATCTCAATGATACCTCGTTCGGAGTGAAGCATCTTGGATGTCTCATAGACATAAAGACCGGAGATAATCGATTCTTGAACAAAGAATATCGCGACTTGGATTCGCTCGTAAACCGAATAGGGGATGTTGAAACTGGTATATAATGGAGAATTCGCTCCAAAGCAAAGGATGATGATGGGTATATGAAGTATAATCGCATTGACGATAATCATTCCGAGAACGAGGTGAAGAATGAGACGACTGTGCAGGATAAGATGGAGGCGAGAGTATAGTACGAGAGATTGACCCGTAACCATCATGCACCAGCCGACAACGATAAAGTGTAACATAGAAGTATGTTATCGAGTTTGCGAGGCCGAAGTCTTTAAGGATGAAGCCGATGGAGTAGATCGCGATACCCCATGTTGCAGCAAGGAAGCTCCAGAAATAGAGACCTCTTCGGCGCTTGAACGTCACGAAGACCGTAGACGATAATTCGAGGACATTGTAGAGAGCTATCGAGAGGAAGGCACAGATTATGTACGTGTCTGGAGGGGACAGCTTGGAGTTCAATGTGCTGCCAATGTTATTGAGCGACATCCTGTTGGTGACGTGGGAGTTAGGAGGGTCTGGGATTGATTATGGCTCATCAGCGAGCGCTTGTCGGGAATGATCATGCATAACAGTAAATTTCCGCATGTACACCATCTCCGATCGATTAGTTTAATATTAATGGAAGGTTTCGAGTGAATGAAATTTCTTCCATTGCTTTTGACGTGTCAAAGAATTTTGGTGTGGCGTCCATGGTAGAACGGGTCATAGACTTGGGGATTTGCCACGGACTCGAAGCTTTCCCCTCATTCCAGTTATTTTGACCTGCACATGTAGAGTATCAAGCTTGGAAAGTCTGAGCAGTAAATCGATAGAATTTTAACAAAGAAATTGCAAGACAAACCTCTACCAGTACATATTCATTGCATTGGAAATGATTTCAAGTTACCAATCTTCGCTGGAGAGCCCGATACCAGCACCACGAATCTGACCTCACACATATTAGTAAAATAGTATACAGCAAAATAGTATACAGCTGAGCTACGGAATCATCGACCTCCCAACTTTGATAGTGGTGACCTGCGGAGCCTACTAGTAGTATCTGAAATCTGGAAGCACTGGATGTATAATGTTTTAGGAACATTTTGAACCAAAAACATCGACTTGAAACGTAAAATTCCCAATGACATTGCGGACGCCACAAGAATGTGAGCGTGGGGATGACTTCAGCCCACTGAACTATGCGACCAGTCTTTGCAAACCCAAAAATGCCTTTTCTATTTCCTGATTTCCTTCTTGATGAAGAGAAGATGATAGAATGCAGAGATAGACAGAGAAAACAAAACAAAAGATGACCAAGGTCATGTCCCGAAGACCACTATGCCGATTGTCCCGAGCTCTTGCGAAATCCGCCACGGTCATAGCTTCTCCCTCTCTTAGCTCTCTGTGCCGATTGTCCTGAGGTCTCGCAGAACCCGCCACGGTCACAGAAGATAAGCACCAGCGGCGTAAAATGCGCTGCAGGTTGTGCTACTACCTGCATTGTCAAGGCTCTGAGCCTGAGAAGGCAGAGCAGATGAGCAGTGGAAAGTGGAAAAAGGGTGTGTCCTGAAAACCACTATGCCGGTTGTCCTGAGGTCTTGCGAAACCCGCCACGGTCATAGCTTCTTCCTCTCTTAGCTCTCTGTGCCGATTGCCCTGAGGTCTCGCAAAACCCGCCACGGTCACAGAAGATAAGCACTGGGGGGGTATCTCTGCGCTGAGCGAGAATGCCCTGTAGGTTGTGCTACTACCTGCATTGTCAACGGCTCCAGATGGAGCTTGAAGAAGCTTGTTGGGTTACTTAAATGACGTTGAATTGGATAAAGTTGACTCACAGGGCCACAACGGGGCTCCAGAAACCATCAGCATGACCCAGGATAATATAGGAGAAGGCATTGCTTTGATGATGAAACATTCCTGATCAAGAGGATTTATCGTAGATAACGTGACTTGAGATAGCATGGTAAGACTGTGAGTTCATGTTGGTAGGAAAGAAGCATGTCATGGTGATCATGATTTGAAAACGATAAGTCAAGCCTGTGGATGTGTGATCGAAGAGGAAAAGTGTTCTCAGGGTGCTGGACATATTGATGGAGGGTCATGCTGATGGGAAGGTCATGTTTTCAAGGACAAGACGCGTCGACCAGAGTAAATAGATGAGGTGTTCCGGAGTTCCAGAGGACAGGGAGCTCAAAAGCTGGCAACAGATAGTAAATTCAGAGCCTAAGGTCTTGAGAAGACCAGAACGCGTCTCCTCTTAGCAAGGTGTGTTGCTAGTGGCACCGTGGGCGGGGCTCCATAGAGCAGTAAAGTACAGAAATCCCAGGATGAGACCATGGGCACGGAAGGCTCACCTGAGGAGTTGATGTCTTGACTGAGGTAATATGTCAAGAGAATGTGTTGATGGATGAATATGTTGATGGATGGAGAAGAAGTTTGAAGTGGGAAGTGGAAAGTGGAAAAAGGGAAGTGGTTGGGGAAAATCAAGAAGAAGAATTCAAAAGGCAGGAGCGATTTATGTATACCCTGGGGCAGGCACCCAGATCACAGTCCCAATTAGGCAGGATGGCGAAGTGAGATTGATCTTGAGCTGTGAATGACAACACAGCCATTTCACCATACTCAAGGATGCTTGCTCGCTTCCACATCTCTCACCTGCCATCCCAGCTAAGCGAGCCAATGGTGTGACAGGATCACAAAATCCGTTCTCGATCGTTGATAAGCGAGGCGCCATGGAAGTTTTGTTGATCTGGATCATCACGTGTACACAGGAACTGCATCCCACCTAACTTAACTCGAGTTCAACTAACCCCGATAAGACATCATGGAAGGCATGGATTCGTAAGTTCCCTGTTATACTCTTTTAAAAATCTTTTTTTGTAAACACAACTTGAATCTTTGATCCTACCTAGCAAACCTGAAGAGGCCATGATGTTTTAATGACCAAGACTATGTGAAAATGCGGGGAAAGCTTGGCATCAGCCGCACAGCCTCAAAAAGCAAGTATGTATGATGATACATTATTTACTTAAGCTTGACTGAATACCACCATGGAATAATTGGGAGATATTGGTGGAATTTAATATTGAGTCTAAGTTCCTCATAGAAGAAATAACCACGAAAGTTTCTAGACGTTCGTCAAAGCCTAATGTAACCTCGGCCTGTGAAATCACAAGCACCTCGGGTGCTCCACCTCTGCAATCTCCACACCATTCAAGCCTAAGCAACACCACGAGAACCCGCACGAGAGAGTGGTCGAGAATTCTCAACCTCTGAATTTTATACGCTGGCCAAACATGTCCGGGCTGAGCATCCTAGGCCTTGCAGCTGCCATGGTCCTCGCCGCCTACCTCTTCGATATTTGCGCTACGCCACCGAATCCATCACCTCCTCCACAGCAGGACCGGCCTAGCACAGACCGTATAGCAATTCTGATCTGGTCTCGCAGTCATTCAGCATGGGTGGGACATATCGCTAATGCTTTCATATTATACCATGCCCTCGTCACTGCGCTTCTCGTCATCGCACCTGAGGGAGTGTCCCAGGTCTGCCCGAACGCTGCAAATCGGAATAAGCCACTATTCCAATGGAGCGCTCCGAGTACCATCGGCCTTTCATTGATTTATTTGGGATTGGTTACTCGGATATTGGCGTACGGAGGACTGGGTCGGTCTTTTACTTTTCATCTTGCGCCGCCGGATCACCTTATCACGTCTGGAATCTACAAATGGATACAGCATGCTAGCTACACTGGGCTATTTTTAATTTTGGCCGGGGCTCACTTACTGTCTGGGCGTTGAGATGGTGGGCCTGCTTGCTGGCTTTCCGATGGCCTACTGAATGAACAAACTCCATGGATTTGGGATTTATGCCACCATTTCGATTGTTATTGGTGCAACCCTGGTCATCACTACTCGTATTCGGGACGAAGAGAGTATGTTGAAAGACAAATTTGGAAGGAAGTGGGAGGAATGGCATGCTAGAACGAGCAGAATCATTCCTGGCATCTTCTGAACGCAGCACTGCACGAGTTTACACATGTTATTGCACTTGCATCATGTGAGTACACAGCGGCAGAAGGCCGCCTAGACCAAGAGCTAGAAAAATTTGCACATCTTCATTTTGCCAATTTTCTCCAAGTCAACTCTATCGGGCGTCAGCTCATACTTTCTCGGTATCTTCATTCGCCTCAGTAGTATGCACAGTGTCCACGCCATCAACGCCCAGGTCAATACGGGGACCAGTGAAGTTTCTTCGTCCATCGACAATCCACTGGAAGACGGAGATGATGATAATAACTGCGAATGCGGCAATGCAATAATCTGTCTACCATCAGTAGCTGTACAGACATCATTTGGAATCGACTTACTCATGCTGCTGCCAGTGACAGTACTCGACGGAGGGAACACGAATAGGACGGTGGTCAGAGCAATATACGATAGCGAAACCTGCTACTGTCAGCGTTTGTCTTCACCTACTACGTTGGAACAGACTCACAATATCCGCAATCCAGCCAACTAGGCTGGGTAGCTTCCAGCTTCTCTCGGGAAGGGCATTGCGCCCCTGGAGACAATTAATGAAGATGGGAATGCCATACGACAGGTCAAGCGCCACAACTGATGCGGAGATAATAGCGTTAAAAGCACTGCTCAATTAGTATTTGATATCCTTATTGATATATGGCTGGCATACCTTGAAGAGCCAAGGAAAATACATCCAAAGCAAATCACCACGACCACGGTCAAGATCAGGGCATTGAGTGGCAGCTGCAGAGTTGGATGAACCTTGGCGAAAAACTTTGAGGCGGGAAGACCTCCGTCCCTATGAATGTCAGTACCAACGAGAACAGCGTCTGTCAGAAGCACTTACCTGGAAAAGGCGAAGATCATCCGACTACTCGTGGTCATGACACTGAGAATGGCAAGAATCAAACAGATAAGGGGTAGCCTATAAGCCATTAGCTTCTCCCCCGGGTCAATGATATGGAATAGCTTACATGAGAAGACAAATTGCACCTGCCTTACTGTTTGTTGCGTCGATCAGGATTTGCAGAAGAGGGCCCGCGGCAGATGTGGCAACTTGATCCATGTTACCGGCGACAAATAGTAGTACGACCAAAAAGATCCACCCGGTGACGGTGCCAATGCCTACACAAGAGACCATAATCTTAGGCCCTTCAACCGAAGGATTGGGTACCTCTGATCTCGTTAGATCTTGCAATTTCTTTTCCTCTGTGCATTGAGAGGAAATGGAAATAATACCTTCAATCATATGTGCCACAGCATCCTGATTACGAAGATGTTAGTTTACGACCTTGCCAGTGCATTATTCGATCCACACTTACAAAAGCAGTAACACCCAGTCCTCCTTGCAAGAGCTGAATATATGAATTTTTAGTTCAAATCCATATTCCGAGTGGATTAGACAATAAAGTGGGGCGTGACATACCCCGAGCAGCCAAGCAACACCATCGGGCCCTATGAAAGATCAGCAACTTTTACGTGAATACTATTGGATAAAATTCTCACATCCTGTCTTGTTAACAAAGTCACAGAATACAAAGCTATTTTGCAAGTCAGTAAGATCTGCAAATGAATAACCGTCAGATCAAAACTCACTAAGCAGAGTTATAATCTGGAGAAGCGCATGCAAGCACTGTGATGGACACAATTATGAAGCCACCAATTGACCAGGTAACTTCAGCAGATTAGCCACAGCTCCTGAAGTTTCCTGTGAGAGATACCTACAGGCGCCACGATAGATCGTCGGGAGGATAGCATTTCCAAATGCGTTGATTGCGAAAGCGCCGAGTGTCAGTCCGATATAGATAAGAAATTGCTGCCAGCGGGTAGACTCATAACTCTAACCAAGGTTGTCAACAATGGCACAGGTCAAGTATATGTTCGCTAATCATACCGGATGCATCGCTGAGATAACTCCAACAATGAGCTGGCTCGAGAGAAGGGAGTTGGTGGCCACAAGTGCAACCTAGCTTTTGTTACTTTCTGGGTGACATAGATTGACGCGGGAGTACTGTACCCATCCGGCCACATTAATCCATCCTGTAATCCAGGAGAGGATGGGCACCCATTTCGGCCAAGAAACTGTTTTGATAAGTTCCTGATGTTATCAAGAATGAGGGCGCGTTTGTTTAACGTACTGACTGGGGGGTTTATCAGTATATCACCCACTGCGAGTGTTGAAACATGGCTTCTTGACATACCTGCAACCCAATGATACTGTCCACCAGCCCTGTACAATTTGAGTATTCGATTTTTCAGTAATTAGAGAGATGGACTCACGTTGGATAGGCCGACAAAAATTCCGCCAAGGATGTCGCGATACATAAGTTGCAAAAACCCGCAGTGACAAGACCTATTGGAGTGTTACTCGAAATCCCATTGGTACCGTTAGGTCAATCAACGTACCCCATATGACACTAGTGCTACCACCAGAGGTGATATTTATTGATAAACTCGCTGACAGAGCCGTCCACGACTAAATTGTGTCAGTTTGGGGTGTTCGAGTCATTGTGGTGCATAACTAACATTGAGAACGGCAAATGCCAATCCTAACATCGCCCTACAATAAAGTCAGCGATTTGTTTTTTGCCAAATCTAATCCTATTTCTCAAACAGACCATGTCGAAAACTGTCGCTTGAGCTCAGGCCTATGGCCCATAGCAGCCAACTGCGCATCGTCATCTTGTATAGGAGCTTCTTTATTCATGGTTGTTATAAGTGATAAAGAGATCGTAAGAAAAACACCCAAAATATCGGAAGATATTCCATCTAAGTATGATCCTCGGCTCGGTGTCACCAACAATCTTGGAAGTATCAAGTCCATGCGGATCTCACCGACAGGGTTGCAGCTCTAAATTGGCATGCGGGGAAAAAGATCAGTATCCGAGAGAGCGCCCCCAATCACGGCGAAAGAATGTATAAAGTGGATCTCATCGTGGACCCTCACTATACCAAATCAGAAAGGTCTTATCAGTCCCCCCGAAACACTGGCTTTTAGTCAAAGGTTTAACTTACTATGTAAAGATTATCATTGTTCCTGAAACCGGCTTCTCCTCCCTGTTTGGTCGATCGCCGCATGGACTTACCTGACTTTGGGTTAGTTGCATTAGCTTCATCGTGGCGCCTGCCCTGCAACTACTTACTCTTCACGAGAATTATCGATCCGGTGCAATCTCGGATGGACGTGGTACTACCTGGGGCTATTTTTCTCTCAACAAGGTGCGGATTGCTCGCTTACAAGGTTGCAGTTGACAATTATAAGTAATTGGGCCTCTCGCTTGGATTCCGAGGTACGTAGTATGACTTCGCATACCTTGTTTCCTGCACATGTGGCCCCGATCGCTTCATTTCAACTTCAAATGTTTGAAATCCTCCATGATCACCATCATAATAGTAAAATATAGACTAGCCTGTGATCGGAGCATTCGACTACCACTGGCAGTGGGCTACTAGTAGGTAGTATGGATTATCATTCCTCTCGCACGTTGAGGGGTTGAATACACGTAGTACTAGTAGTAGTATGGCCTCCATAGTATCAGAACTTGAAGTATTTGGAGGATTTTAAAAGTCCGGATGTCTGTTGCCCAAGTGGATGTCTCCATCGGTTATTTTTGGGATTCACTACATAGTATCCTGAAGTTCATGTCAACTCGGACTTCGAGATTCAGTATGTCAATTTATCTGATAAACGTGTGGCAAATTATTCAGATTACTGCAAGTGCAAGTATGACTCAAAAGGTTCTTTCGACTGTTAAGTTCGAACTTCTAGATCCACTGGCATGGATATCTCAGGCTACTAGTCACTTTAACCTTTCACCTTAGGGCTCCAAATGTTACTAGTGGCTTGAACCTTTGGACTGTGGTCAATGGTGGGTGCATGGATACTTGACCAGTTGACTATGGGATGAAACAACTTGAACTAAAGGCTACTGTACTTGTACTATGCAAACATTTGAACCATCAAACTTCAACTTCACTCTCGACATTGAAGTTGAACTTCATTTCAATGTTCAGAGTACTAGTACTACTCGTAGTATTAATATGGGCAATACTATTAAACTCGGACGGCAGCCTGAGCCTGAGGTGCGAAAAACTGTCTATCAGTCAACTAGTGTGTACTAGTATCATTTCGAAAGACATACTATGAATAGTACACAAGTCATCTCTTTCAAATGTTCTACTTTAATTTTGGTTTAAAAGAGGGTTCAAATATGGAGGTGCCTGGGCCAGCTGGCGTAGATCATTCCCCGCGGGAATCCCGTCCTTGGACCTGCACATGTGGCCAGTTGGCACATGTGCATACTTTAACATTTGAGTATTATGATATTGCCGAAACTGAACCTCAGCACTTGAGGTGCGTCAAATGTTAAAGTTAGGAGTAGTGATACTAGTACCTGAATGCACTACTAGTAGTACTAGTGAGTACTATTAGTAGCCGGTAGTCCTAATTCAAGTTTGAATATACTCTCCAGTGCCGTCAACTGGTACTACTGCGTTGAACGGCGAGCGAACTTGAACATTTGAAACTTGAATATCTGACTTTAATCGAATATCTTGCCGATGGCTCACATGCTCCAAAGTTGTATCTCCATGTCTCTGTGCGTATATAATTTGACGGAGTACATAGCCCCGTAACTAGGATGCCTGGTATCCCGTCAGATCATGTCATCGCAGGCAGATTTATTTCGAACGTTATTGATCCGTTCCAGCCTAAGTCCATTTTTAGCTGATTGGATCTGGTTTAATCAGACAATAAGAAAAAAATAAAATAAAATAAAAACTTGGCGTGAGGTCCCGAAATTGGGTATTCCAGGCATGAAACTTTCTCACCTGGGAGCTACACACTGGCACTTAAATTACAGCTGCCTATGCCAGTGCCAGTGGATATTATCGAAAACTTCATGTTCAAATGTTCAATTTGAACTTGAGCATGCCCAGGTGTTGACTCGACGGAGATCAAATCTTTTGCCATTGCCACTGGCAGTCGTTTCCGAGTCATTTCCCTCTAGGCCCAATCATCCTATATATTTTTCGATTCCTCTGTGCCGACCTCCACTCCCAGCCGCCGCTACCAAGCTTTTGAACCAGCGGGTTGAGGCCAGATTAGCGGAGCACAGATGCCAGTTGGCAATGGCTGCAGGCAACAGGCAGACGCGAGTACGAAAAAAATACGAGGCCGAACCATCCGAGAGCCTCAAATTACACGTGTCTGTGATGCCCCACGTAACCCAGCGATTTCACCGATTATGGATTAGTGATCCTCTGGGAAGTGGGAAGTGGATCGGAAGAACGGGGGCCGGATAGATTCTATTCTGCCCTGATTAGCATTTTCCCCCTCTTTTTTCTCTCTCGAATTTTGCAACACCTGGAAGATGATTCCTACGAATGATGTGACAATGCATGGGCACAGACCCACCCATTTTTGACTGTTTCGAAATACCTTAAAAGGAAATAAATGGAAATAAAGTATTGGATGACATTCTTCCGTAGGCAGTCATGATTTTTGGGTGAGAGGAATGGGGTTGAACGGGTTGAAGGGGGATTGAGCCGCATGGATCCGCGGACCCCGACGAGATTCCATTTTGGGAAGCCGCGAAAAAGAGGGGGGGATTGTGTAATTTACAATGATATTACATTTAAAATACAAAAAATGGGGCCACTTGGACCCTCATTACTCCTTATCCCGCATTAATACAAGGCTGAGCATCGTAATATTATCACAGAATATTGACCAATCATAAATCAGTCAGCGGTGCTCAGCCATCCACGCGATACCCGATTTGGTCTCGTCAATTAGGCAGACACTCGTCCGTCATCCTTCCTCTCTCTAATGTCAATGAAAGGTCTCGTTGCCCCCGGAACCCTCCCCAGTTCCCTTCCCTCAACCTACTCGTATCCATCGATCTCGTATACTCTGGATTTGATTTACATATATTCGATCAAGAAATCTTTGAGATCTTCTGTTATATTCATTTTCTTCTCGACCATCTCGGCGGCTATCCCGCGTCATCTTTTTTTTCTAGTCAAGAATCGATAATCGTTGGTTTGACGCCCAAGGCATCAGAGCCCCCTTTTTCGACTTCAGATCTGGCTATTAGATCTGGCTCAAGACACTCATCGTGTCTCTTCTTCGCAGACCATCTCAACGGTCTTGCTCTGTCGAAGAAGGGCTCGCCGGTCCTTATATAGAGACTCCACTCTCATACACTCGCGATAGAGTCGGTGACTCTTAACGCTAGGCATCTTTCCCAATCAGCCGGATTCGTATTCGTGAGTCATAGTGGTGGACCCATTCATCTAGGCTCCTGCACTGCAGCCTCGGAACTATTCGAGCTAACGAAAGGGACTAAAGTCCATCGTCTAGCCCATCATGTCGACCGCCCAGGTTGAGACCATGCGGAAGCATCCGCGCCGCCGGCCTATCTTAAACGCAGACCTCCCGTCCCTAGTGACCGAGTCAGCTGAATCTTCCAAAATGAGCCTCAAGAAAGGAGAGACTTTCCACACGCCCACATCACCTCCCTCGAATGAACGTGATCCGGTATTAAGCATTCGATCGTTGCCTCGGCGGTCGCCTACCTCATTAGAAGCGATTACTGCCAGTGAAGAGCGCATGACGTCGATTCTCAGCCGGTTGACCCTGGACTCCCCAGAGGACGGCGGAAAGGACTTGTCGGCGTCCCACGATGACAAGTCGGACTCTCGTAGTGTATCAAAGCCCAATGCCAAAAGAGACTCTGCTTCCCGTCGCTCTTCCATCGGAGATGCCAATGATGAATCGAAGAAAGTCAGCGAGCGTGGCCATGAATCCGACAGTGGCCTCGGAACATCTATTAGCAGCCAGGAGGATTCAGCCTGTGAAAGTGACACTATAGGTAAAACCAATCCACCCATTTTATTCTTATTTGCGCGAAGGCGATCTTCGATCTTTCAGTGGACTGTTGATTTGCCAAGGCGGTGGAGAATGGTGGTGGCAGATGGTTCATTCACTGTGCTTCCAGTCCTATCGTCCCATCAACGTCATCCTATTGTCCCTCTTTCTTGACATCATATTTTATCCTTTTGTCTATTCTTCTTTCCAGAACATCCGCTAAACCTATCATACAGTGAATGATGCCGCACCTCAATCCCCCATTACCAGCCCCGGGGCAACATTTGACGCTGGGTCTACCCGAAAACGACAACTTTCATTAACTGCGTGCAAGCAAATCGAGCGGTATATTTTGGTCCCTATTCTCAAGGAACCAAAGCTCAAGCCCTTCCACCCGTTAGTGAAGTCGATTCCCACTCGCATTGTCAATAGGCAGATTGTATGCCTGCGTGATCTGGAGAAGACACTACTTTGGCTGGCTCCAGTAAGTTAATTCTTTGGTTTCCTTCGGAGTTTTGGCGTGAATGTCTTGCTTGAATTATGGGTGCTCATCTATTTATTTGAAAAACTGCAGAAGTTCTCGAGCTCTCCGCATACATATCTCAACTTCGCAGAATTTACTATCCAGTGTTTACATACTTCGGCTTCGCATCTGAACGATCGTGATCAGCGGATACCGACTGATCGCCCATACACTAACGGTTACTTCCTCGATCTCGTCTCCCAGGTCCGACGTTACGCCGCTATGATTCGTGCTTCTCGTGAGCGGGTGCAGCAGGCCAAGCAGGCCGCCAAGGCCGAGCAGCCTGAGCAGTCCGAGTCCGACGGCACCAATGTCGAGAGTACTGACAAGATTTCCCTTGTTGCCAGCGCTGCCCTCGAGGGCGGCCTTTCTAAGAACGGCAAGCCAGTCGAGCTGGTTGTTATGCAGGATGGCAAGGCTATCTCCATGCGTACTGGTCTCCCATTCACCCCCGAAGACACTCCTGTCACTTTCAAGCGTACCATCAGCTTCGACGAGAAAGTGGACGAGGGTGTCCAGCGTTCCATGGCCCGTCGCAAGAAGAATGCTCCTCCAATGGACATCAACCAGAAGTGCAGCCACTGTGACAAGGTCTTCAAGCGCCCATGTGATCTGACAAAGCATGAAAAGACTCACTCACGTCCCTGGAAGTGCACTGATAGCGATTGCAAATATAGCCAAGTTGGCTGGCCCACCGAGAAGGAGCGTGATCGCCACATCAACGACAAGCATTCCGACGCTCCTGCTCTGTATAAGTGCAACTTCCAGCCGTGCACTTACGCCTCTAAGCGTGAGAGCAACTGCAAGCAGCATATGGAAAAGGCCCATGGCTGGGTTTATATTCGCTCTAAGAACAATGCCCGTGGTGGAAGCAAGCGTGGCTCCTCCGCCCAGGCTTCTCGCACCCCCAGTGTGTCTACTCCTACTTCCAAGTCGGGTGATTACCCCACCCCTTCGTCGGGTCCCAGCCCATCTCCTCGCCCGTCCTTGTTTCCGGACCCGCCCTTCAACTTCAATGACCCGCCTATGCCGGCCAGTGATGACCGCGATCGCCTTTTCCAGGCTTCGCCTTTCTCGAGCTCTTCGGCTGGTATGGGCATGTCGTACCCTACCTCGCTCAATCTCGATTCTTTCCAGAACCAGTTCGCTGCGGGTGACCCTAACGGGCTCATTACCGATCTGGAGGTACACCGTCAGTCTATGAATTATACGGGCATTCCCTCTGCCGAGTCAGTTCCTGAACTGATGGGTATGAATTACGATAATTCTCCTCTGGTCCCCGACTCGGAGGCGACTACCATGGAGTATGACTGGTCCAGCATGCGGGACATGCCCGATCTCGATAATCAGGATTACATTGGTTTCAACATGGGCGTCACTGCCAACCAGACTGAGAATGTCTACGGTGGCTTTGCAGCCCAGATGTCTGCTAACGGCCCCTTTGGCATGGATGTCCCCGAAAAAGTCAATGGTATTCACGGTAATCCGATGCTCTACTCTCCTGACTCTGTCATGGAGAACTACGGTTATGCCCCTCAGCAGCGCACTGACCAGGACTTCACTCTGTATGCGGATGCTAGCATGACCATGTCCCAGATGATCCCGTCCATTGCGGAGCACCAGGCAACTCGCCCGCTTGCCCAGTCCGATGAGATGTTTCCATCCCTTCACGACGAAGACTCTGCCTTCCCGGGCATGCAGTCCTGGCTCAACGGTCGTGGTCCCACCTCCGACGCGTACCTGCCCAATGACATGAACCTGGAGTTCATGAAGTAGGCGTGTTCCAAAATTCCGCTTTCTACTGGGTATTTTCTTTGAGCGATGTTCAGCAAGCGATGATGGCTATTTATTATTATCCATTACACTCCTTTTTTGTTGCCACTTTCCCTTCGATCGGAACACCATGGATGGTTTTGTGACTGCTATCTCCGCTCACATATGAGTGGGAGTGGATCTCATATTCGAATCTGCTGTCCAATGTCTTATTTGATCTTGTGATCGATATGGTTCATCCTGTTTCATGATGTTTCTGATTTATTATTACCTTAATGATGAAATGCAATCACCTATTATTATTATCTCAAATCAACATTCTTCGTTCTGATAGTTATCTGTTTGTCGTAAGCAATACTGAAGTACCAAGACCCCCACCCTTCTGCACCATTCTTAGGCTGACACCTGGGCATTGGGGGCTATGCTTTCGATATTACTAATATGAGTAGAATTATTACTTGAATAAATTTAGTCGGATCATCAATATCATGCAGTATTCCTGCATCAACTGCATTGTCATGATCATCCTGATCTTACTAGACCTATAGTCCATAGTCCATAGTTCCAATTGACTACTACTCCGTAATCTACTATAGATCTAGGAATTTAGTCCATGCAACCATATTTCAACTTGAAATTCAATATTGATCATTTGATTTCTTTTTTTTTCTCTGAACTTGCACTATCCATTTATGCCACTAGTATCATTTATATTATTCAAAGGCTTGCGTCATGGCGGTTAGATCCTTGACTTAGTGGAGCAATATCCCAGTACAAAAAAAGGGCCGCCGTGTGACTACACCTACATACTGTACAGCCACAGTTGTCACTCATCTATAGATAGTAACAAGAGATACTTGGAGGGACTTGAGAAAACGCTGAGTCTGAATTCATCACCATCTCCACTTTGAAGATAGAATCCTGAGATTTTATAGGTGCCGAGAAATAACAATGCTGATCTTCGGAGCCACTTAGCCCTACCGTGCTAACACTGCTTTAAGTGGGTGACGACATCACATCTCCCCGCTTATCAACTCCTTTTCTTCCTTTCTGTTTTTTTATTTTTATTCTTGATTGTATTTGATTCTGAGAAACTTCTTCTACATTCATTTAGTAGAGGTTGCAGAATTTCAATTAACTCTTTCCAATTCCAGTGGTTGACAGCGCCCAGAGTCTTGTGGGGAAGGTCGACGGGTCACTATTAACTTCTCGGCATCAAGCAGGCGTCCAGGCAGACGAATTCTACCCCTGTCATCTCCCAGCACCGAATATTTGAAACAAAAAGTCAACTGAAGTTCAAGTCATATCTCTCGACCACACTTGAATTGCGCACGCGCAACAATGCAGGAGTCCCATCCCGCATTCTCGAACGGCAATCAGGGCGGAGAGCTGGCTGGTCAAGCTGCCGCCCCGCCGCCAGGGCAAATCCTGACTGGCAAGCAGGAGCACTGTAAGATATGGCTTACACCACCTGGCACACATAATCCCAATGGGGTTTTACACTCATTTATTATACACCTGCTAATAACTTTCTACTTGTTCCATACAGACCTCAAACGTGAGCTCATTGCCCGGCAAGTTAGTGGAGAAATCTCCGAGCTTAATTCTCCCACCGCACTCCAACGTTTCGGCGCGCCCTTTCGATCAGAATTCGGTGAAGTCGCCCCGGTTGATTCTGAGTTACCGATCCTTCGCTATATATTCGTTCACCATGTTCGAAATTTCCCCTTCCTCGACCAGGCACATGAGAAGCAATTCTGGCAAGATAAGCTACAAGTGGTGGGTCTCCGGCCTTACGAATAACATCTTCCCTCCAAATATTGACGGTCGCTATGATATTTAGTTCCTGGAATCATTCGCCAATAAACATGTCTCATCATCGGAAGATCGCCTTGAGGAAACAAAGCGCCGGAAGTTGGCTCGCAAGTGTGAGAAGCTTGTGGAGTTAATGATGGTTTCGGGAGTGCCGACAGCATCGGGATACGAAGAGCGTATACAATTCTCCGAGATGGAAGTCGTCGAGCGTGGGGCCAATGATAAGGGTCTTCTGGTGAATATGCCTGAGGGCCATGCAATTAATACCTGGGATGTAAACGTGGCTGCGGTTCGCGTGACTTCTGTCAAGCGCACTGTTCGATACCATCCCCACGCAGTAAGTTCTTTTCTTCGCAAATCGAAGACCGGAATACAGCATAAATTCTAACCTACTACTCCAGGAATTCATTATTCGGGTTCGTCGAGACGACAAGGAAGAATTTCATATCGGTCGAAGATACGGCGAATTCGTGAAGCTTCATCGACGATTACGCACAGAGTTTCCTGGCAAGCATTTGCCCCCTCTTCCTCGCAAGAACAAGTCTTCAACAACATCTAGCTGGTTTGGCTCAGCAGATGACGATAACTCTTCTGTTTCTTCCTTGTCCACACAGGATGCTACGTTCGAAGATGGAACTGGATCATCGGGTCGCACCTTGGCGCCCGGGGGAACCATCAAGCGATCAACATCACGAGGATCTTTCAGATCTTCCAAGTCACCTCGCGCATCTGGTGATGTCTCTAGGGAGACGGTTCTCTACCGCGAGGAGCAGCGAGTGTCATTGCGAGCCTTCCTTCGTACATTGCTACAGAACAAGCGGATTGCAGAGTCAAAGTCTATAGAAGAGTTCTTGACTGCGAAGCCCATTTCATTAAACGAAGAGGAACTGCTAGATGTCGACAGGCGGAAAGCTATGGATGCGATCCGAATTGAAGAGCAGAAGAAATTCTATGAGATCGCCCGGCAGCGTGCAGCAGAGTTGGATGTTTACATGGAGAAATTCCGTAGGGATATTGTGGAAAGCAGTAAGTCCGCTGATTGCATTTCTTGACAAGATAATATTGACTAACCTGAATCAGATGGTCTCACTAAACTCTTTGGGGAGATTCGTGAGAAATCCTCCATTGACGAGCTGAGCCCTCAATACCAGAAATTCGCTGAGTGGCTTCGTATTGAAGTTGCTGCCACCGTGTACCACTTGTTCCTTGCAGAAGACAACTCTCCTGAGTTATTTGCACAGGCCAAGAGAATTCACGGTCTCGTACCCTATACTCTGCTGAAGAACGTAATTCGCATCGCCAACCCTGCAGCTGTCATGTCTGGTGTTCTTGATCTCTTCTTGGCCCAGCCATTTGGATCACGGTCCCTCCTGCAACGCATTTTCTCCTTGACTTTGAACGACAGCATTAAGGACTTCCAGAAGTCCATCGCCTCTTTGAGTTCTAAAATCGAGGACCCGGTGCTGTCCCAAAAACTTAAGACTTTTGTGGATGCCGATGAGGCGACTAAGAATGAGATTCGGGCTGAAGCTGAGACCGAAGATGTTGATATTATTGTGGCTATCCTTCGTTCTGAGTCGTTATCGCCAGAACTCACTCCAGAGCAGATCGAGAAGGTGTTCAACAGCTGGGTCGCGTGGAATTATGCTGTGGACAATGTGGATTTGGAAATGCAGCAAGGTGCCCAGTGGTTCGCAAACATGAAGCAGCTACTGAAGTTGTACACCAGACAACGGGACAAGTCCATGATGCTGGGTATCGTTGAAGAGCCTACCACACTGCAGCTCTTCCGTGATCTCTTCACCATCTTCTACGAGCCTCTCGTCCGTGTTTACAAGTCTGCCAACGTATACAGCAGTATCACAGACTTTGCTCAATTTGCGGACGATGCTATTGCTGTCATTGAAAGCGCCCAACGTCAAGATGCCTCTGCGGATCCGAACCAGACCGTGCAGTCATTCATTGACCTCTGTGCTCGTCACCAAGACAACTTTTACAAGTTTATCCATGAAGTGCACCTACACGATAACGGGCTTTTCCAATCTCTCATGACCTGGATTGAGGAGATCCTTGACTTCCTTCGCAAGGGTCCTAAGGGTGGAAAGCTCGACATGAATGCTATGTTCCAAGGGGCCGTTGGTGTTGGTCAAGTCGATAGAGACATCGCCCTTGCGGAAATCAATTCACTGATCAAGTGGCACGAAGACCGCAAGCGTTGGCATTTGAACAAGACTCGTCAAAAGATGGCTGCTGAGGGTACATCGGAGTCAGCTCCTGGCTCTGCTACCTTCAAGGGCAGTGACTTTGGACTGGATGAGGTATGATCCACCTTCATAATCTTTAATTTTCCCTTGGGCTTTACACTAATATCTAAATTAGGCTGATCTGGAAGACCTTACCATCTCCGACGAGGCATCTGATTCTTCCGATGAAGGAACTGATGACGACGAAGAGGATGACCCCATTGCTGCTGAGCGTCGTCGCCGCGTCAAGAAGCAAGACCAGCTACGTCGTACCGCTGGAGAACCGATCAAGCCTGAAGTTCACGAAATACTCAAACTTGCTGACCCATTCGTGGTCATGCTACGCTACACGCTTGCTGAGTGAGTGTTAGATAATAGACTTAATACATATTATGCTTTTCGCAGGGAATATCGAAGGCCCTTTTGCTTTTCATAATTTGCAGTCGTGTATTGATTGCTGATAGAATGGATATTGTTTGTCCCCCACTGCCTTATTGCCCCGGGAAATGCGCTATAGAATTTTTTAGCAATAAATGCAATAGAACTTGATCTCGGACACTGACGATAACTTCAAATGTTGACATATATTACATTGAATGTTTATAAACTGGGCTATGCACTGGCATCGGCTAATCTGTTCGCTACGAGTGTAAATCCATGCTCCATCGCTATGTTCATCGGAGTCTTGCCCTCTAGATTCCCCAATGTTGGATCAATACCTTCTGCGTCCAACAAAGCATTTACATTCTCCAAGATCCCCATCGACGCAGCCTTAAACAATGCGGTCTCCCCGTTCTGATCTCTCGCATTAGGATCTGCTCTTCTCGACCCAGTGACCAACCTCCGAATCACATCCCCATTCTCTCTGGTTGTCGACGCTTCGTTCAACGGCGTTGTCCCATGTACATCCGCCAACTCCAAATCCACCCTCTCACTCTCCATCAACACATCCACTACGCTTACTCTCCCTTCCTTCACGGCCACAAACAGTGGCGTCTGATGCTGCCACCCATCCCTCAAATTCGGATCCGTCTTCTCCCATTTCAATAAAAACCGCACCACATCCACCTGTTCTCTATGAGCCGCAATAGAAAACGCACCACGGCCATATCCATTCGTCCCACCATTGGGATCCAAAAGCTCCCCAAAGGATTCAATTAAATACTTCACAATCTCTACCTGGCCCATAATAGCCGCATAAAAGAAAACATGCTGCACATGCGCCTTGGACCCATCCTCATCAAGAATCAGTCTTAAATGCGCCGCGAACAGTAACTCCACATCTCCATCGGCACTTCGATCAGCACTTGCCCTCGACAAAGCCGTAGCCCCTTGTCGATTCGTAACCCTCGGATCGGCCCGTCCACTGCCAACAAGCAAGGCGACTAGTCCCCAATTCGAGGTATTAGCCGCAATAAGCAAAGCCGCATCACCATTCTTATCCTGAAGATTCACATCGACACGCTCATCCCGTAATAACGCACGCACAATACACCCATGACCCTGCTTCACAGCCCAAGAAATAAGCGGCCGGATATATTTCCTATCGCGCGCATTCGGATTAAAGTTTATATCGTCGATTTCGAGCAAAAGTGATAACACGGCTTCGCTACCGTGATACGCAGCTAGTAGGAGAGGTGTACACCCTTTTATTTGTGGATCGGAATCGGTTAGAGCTTGTGGATCTGCGCCTGCGGAGAGTGCGAGACGAGCTGTGGATATTTGGTTATGTTTTGCGGCCCAGTGTAGCGCTGAACTACCTTGACAGGCACTTAATCGGTATAAGGGTCTTTGGAGGAGGGCGTGTAATATTGTTGTTGTTTTGCAGAGGGCGTTTAAGTCTGCTGTTGAAGGAAGGAAGGTTGAAATGTGCAGCAGGAGTTCTTTAGGGAGGGTTATGAGGGATCGTGTGGGGTTGGAAGGTGTCATTATTTTGCGGATGCGGGTTGCCTGTTGTTTGGGATGGCATTTGGGAAGTTTTGGGTACGATTTGAGATATCGTAGGTGGAGTCGAGATTTATAGAGGGTTGATTTGATGGGGGAGGAGTGACCTCCGGAGTTCTTTAGTCCCATTTTTGTTTGATAAGAATTAATGAGACGGATGGGTTTTATATGACGACATTTGGCCCTTAGGAATTGGCTTTGCGATCGGCACTATGTCATTGCGTGGCTGAAGCTGATGTGAGAAGGGTTTGTATGTTGCATAACGGGGAGGGGAAGGAATATAATTAATAGTATAGTCGAATTTAATAACAAGGGTCTCTACGGAGTATATCTATAGGCTATTTGCGAGGTGGTGAAGGATTCATGCCCAAGTGTCATCATTAGGGCGTGACACAGGTAAAATGCGGGGTGACTCTTTACTACTTAAAACTGATGATAGTTGACAACTACTAAGTTTAATTTCAATATTTCCAGATGTTTAAAGCAATCAAAGTGACAATACACCTGCTATATAACTCTCTATGATTCTATTATATTCTATAGGTTCATTAGAGCTGTCCTTTGTGAGTGATGTTAAATGGACACCCCTCACCTGATTTGGTTTAGTCTATACATACATCTCCCTCCAGGGCTTCAAGGCCATGTTGTTGCTACGAAGTACACATATCGGGTGTATGCAGTAGACCGGCAACCTCCAGGGCTTATTTATGACTTTAACTTCTTCTAAATATCACTGCACATGTGCCAGTGGGAGTCTGGAAGTTGTTTACCCCCTTATTTTTATAAGTACATATATTGGTCCCGGTACCTACTACTCCACTTGAGCTTCTAGGCAATGCAGTAGCCTCCAAAATCCCTTTTATATTTACACATAGGCAGTGACCTTGAATGAGACATACACTGTGCAAGTAGCTGATTGATTACCCAGGCGCCTTGACGCATGTATGCACATGTGGAAGTGTGCATTTACATAACAAAGCTCGTTGTAGGAGCAACATTGATAAGATAAGCGGATAAGATAAGAGTTTCCACGACAATTCATCATTGCATCTCTTTCACCACTTCGCTGCTCATCTCTTTATAACTCCGAATGAGCCTATGCATGTGAACTCATAAGCTGTCACTACCATGTATTCTCCATCAAGAAGGACTCCCATCTCTCCTAGAAATGCAGCCAGGCTGCACGGTCTCTTCAAAGAGAACGAGTGGTACTGTAACTGTCCAACCCGAGAACGAGCGGTCAGGTTCCAAGTCAAGAAAGAAGGGCCAAATCGAGGACGATGGTGTAAGTCATGATGAAGTTAAGGTCCATCTCACTTACCTCACTAACAGTTATGTCTACCTACCTAGTTTACACCTGCCAAAAATCCCAGCATCAACGTTGCGGGTTCTTTCTCTGGCAAGAGGATGCCAACCCCAGAGAGAAAGAAATACTAATGGCCAACTCGCACTCCGAGATCGACCCTCGCACCCAAACCCCATCTAAGACTCTCAACGAAAGATCAAGTGGTCTTCTTACCCCGCAAACTGAATGCCGCATATTAGACATCTCGCCGAACAAATACACCCAGAAACCCCCCTCCACCCCACTGAGTGCAAAGGCTCGTATGATGGCAGAAGACACCGACGACTTTAGCTGGGATCTTGACACTGAGGACGAATCGGAAATTACAGCGGTGTTATCATCTTCGCAAAGAGCGGACGAGTCCTTCATATCGCAACCTAATTTCCATGCCGTCGCAACCTCGCCAAACAAAGTGCCCCGCACTCCGAAAACAATATCTCCTGGCAAGCGCAAGCGGTTGGAAGACGTTGAAGGCTCCTCTTTCACCAGCAGCTCTTCTCTGTTCCCAACCCCATCCTCGTCTCACTCAGCCTCGTTCTCATCTCGTATCCCGCCTTCCTCGGCTGAATTGTGCATGACGCCCACGCCGACAAAATACCGTGATGTTCTGAGTAGTGAATCGCGAAGCAATGAATCATCTTTCGCAAGAGATATTATGGCAATCTTGGAAAAACACGAAGTTGTCATTCCCAATGCCGCTCGCGATGAGCTCGTCGCGCGGGCTAATCTGGAAGACTCCAAGTGCAAGGGCGCAATGCGTGCTCGGGATATGCTTCGTGGAACGATGAAGAAGAAGGACCAGGAGATGCAACTGCTGAAGGAGAAGAATACCAATTTGAGGGCGCAGTCTGAGATGGATCAGCAGATGATCAATTCGTTCAGTCGCTGAATTTGGTTGCTAGGGTATTTCAGTTACATGGTTCGCTTGCACATATTATTGTGCCTATCAGATCGATGAAGTTACGACTATTTTTTTTTTCTTGATTTTGAAATTCCAATTTCGTTTTGTTGCCTTCTTCCGCAGAAGCGCTTTTCACATGTTTTTAGTCTAGTTACCCTAGCGTTGCGGAGCGTTCAAAAATGTTGTTAAATGGACACCCTTTGGCAAACTAGACTTAGTCTGTACACTTCCATAGACCCATACGTGCATCAAGGTCACTGTAAATATAAAAGGGATTCCGAAGGCTACTGTAGTGTCTTGCTCTAGGACTGGATGCAAGTAGTTAGTTATCATATGTCCAACTGGGCCTGAATATTTAGGTATGCGATAAGATTTATACACCTCACGTGCCCGATAAGCACCTCAATCCACTATCGACTCCCGATACATTTTCCTGCACGTCTCGATCCTCTAATTGTGCACAGGCCACCTTCCTCTCAATGGAGTCTTCCAACGACGCGCAGCACGTTGCTCGTGACCAACCCAGCATGTTCCGACCTCCCGTTAACCGCGCAATGCGCACCCTCGATCGGGCATTCTTCCGCACCACTATACCCATCTCCGCCGCCAAGATCTTCAAGAACTCCGAGATCTCGAAAGTGCGCCAGGAACTCACCAAGAGCAAGGATCTGCTGGTCGTCCCTCGCGTGAGCGCTGTACGCGATATTAAAGAGGAGGATGGGGTTCGAAAGGCGCTGTTGCTGAGGGAGGACTTGAAACATGATGGTGCGTTTGATGGACTCGACTCGGTGCTTGAGGAATTTCGCTTGCATTGCTGGTCTGGTCGTGAAGAGAACAAATCATGGTGTTAATATGGTGTTATAGACAAGTGGACTTGGTCGCCTACTATCAGCGCACTCATTGAACGAGGAGCCGCTACGCTCGTACCCTATGATCTGGTTTTGGATTATGACCATTGGTCCTATGGTATGGAATTCTTGCGCTGGCTGCATAGCTACACTTATTTGGTCTAATAGTTTGGCTAACTGTGAGATTGCAGCCGATATTATTAATGCCATTCTCCCAGAGGAGGAGTTGCATGATGCCCCTCAAGGGTATACCCAGGTGGGGCACGTTGGTAGGTTTCTGCCCAATGTATAGAGGCACATACAATAATACTAACAAGTGACTCAGCACACCTGAACCTTCGCGATCATTTCCTCCCATATAAATATCTCATCGCGGAGATTATTAAAGACAAAAATGCGTCAATTCGCACTGTCATTAACAAGACGGAAGATGTTGGCTCGCACAGCCAATTCCGCACATTTCCTTTCGAGTTGCTGACCGGTGATAACGACTTGAATGTCATCCAGCATGAGCAGGGCTGTGAGTTCCGATTTGACTATGCCCGTGTGTACTGGAATAGTCGCCTGGAAACAGAGCACCGTCGACTTGTTGAGAAGTTCCAACCAGGTCAGATGGTCTGCGATGTCATGGCAGGTGTTGGACCATTCGCCGTCCCAGCAGGCAAGAAGAAGATTTTCGTGTGGGCCAATGATCTCAACCCACACGGACATGAAGTCATGGAGGATGCCGTTGTACGGAACAAGGTTCAGGACTTTGTCACCCCTTTCAACTCGGACGGTCGTGAATTTATCAAATCCTCCGCCATCTCCCTGCTCGAGGCGAAGCCTGTCACCGTCACTATCCAGCCCAAGATTAAGCACCGCAGTGAACGGAAGAAGCTTGCTGAAGAAGGCAACGAGAATGCTCCTAAGCCAGAAGTATATGAACGGCCGACCATTTTCGATCACTATGTCATGAACTTGCCTGCTACCGCGATCGAATTCCTCGATGCGTTCCAGGGAGTTTATGCTGGAAAGGAATCACTCTTTGCGCCAAACACATCCCAGCCTCTGCCTATGGTTCATGTTTACTGTTTCTCGGGTCACTCTGAGAATGAAGTGGATGACCACCTTGATATCTGCCAGCGGGTATCGGAGCGCATCGGATACACGATCACTCCAGAGGACCGGGTCGGAGGCAGTGGCAACCCAGCTATTGAACTGGATATCTACAATGTTCGCCTGGTCAGCCCTAATAAGCAGATGTTCTGCGCTAGTTTCCGTCTTCCAGGAGAGGTTGCTTTCCGGAAGGTGTAAAGTTGCATTGACAGTTGCATGAGAGGCGTTTGGATATAAAAAGGAGATAGACAAAAGAATTGATTGATACCCTACTCTAAAGTACAAAGATTTTTCGATCAAGTATCACCATTATATGTAATTATCTATCTGAGGAGAGATGTTGGTGTTCTACACCTGGGCATAGTAGATAGATAGCACCTGGGCTACTATGTATGGGCGGTGAGACCTCACCGCCGTGAATTGCCGGCAAGAAACCTGCAGACTCCATCGTCTTCAAGCTCTTGAATGAGGAAATAGCTTTGCAGTTTGCGTGTCATATTCACTCACGACATTTACCTCGACGTACCTTTCTACGTTAGATCACCGGTCTTACCATATTTCATCCATCAAGCCATCTCCAATTCTTCGTCCCTACGATCTCCAACCCCGCCTCATTTCAATACACGCGATCGACAATTCCTGCCATCAACTCATCATTCCACGGGAGCTTTACGAAGGCCTATTCAACCTCTAAGAATTATTCAAGTCGTTCAAGATCGCCATTATGAGTACTATCCAGCTTCCCCCCGCTGCTCATCGCCAGCGTACTGTGCCTCAAGGTGAACTCGAGGCCGCATCCACTCTCCGCCTGGGCGCAGACCAACACACCCACACGCTCTCACTGTCCGAGGCACGACTCGTTATTCACAAGGTGCTGGAGAACAAGCGACGAGGAGGAAACAAGTACGAGGAGCCAGAGTAAGTGTGATGGAGCTTGGACCAACCCAAATTGAACGGATGCTAATTGTGTAGGAACTTGACCAAGACACTTGATTACTTGGATGTGTTTGCCCGATTCAAGGATGAGGAGAACATCAAGGCTGTTGAGCGATTGTTAAACTCGCATACAGAGCTTGAGATGTTTGAGCGATCGCAGCTAGGTGAGTGAATATGTATTTCCCTGTTTGCATTGGTTACGACATCTATACTTGCTAAGTATGGCGTTACGCTATACTTTGCTTGGATCCATTTCTTCTCAACCAGTGGAATGTTAAGCTAACCAGACTTTCATATAGGCAGTTTGTGCTGTGACAATGCCGAGGAAGCCAAGTCGCTTATTCCCAGTCTCCAAACCAAAATTTCGGACAGTGATTTGCAGGAGTTGCTGGATGAGCTGACCAAGCTCCGTAACTTTACTGAGTAATCATTGATCTCCGTGGAAGCACAGACATTTAGGTTTACTGTTAGGTAAGAGACATCGGAGGACAGTTGACCGTCTTTACCTACTGAAAACTAAGATTCCGGCATGTGTATGTACCGAGCAAGGCGTTGGGCGTTTATATTAACATGAAGTTTTGTTCTTTCATGGTATTCAAGTACTATTTACCTTATATGTACTCTGTGGAGTATGTCTTTCTCAAATTTGCTTCATCTACTCCAGAGTCCAGAGTCCTTAAGGGCCAGGTGCCTGGAGTTATATTTAAACCCGAGAATTTCCTATTTCCCCGTTGCCACCCGGATCATTATTTTAGAGGGAAAGACCTCACATGCCGGGGATTGCATCGCCATCTCCGTTTTGTGGGGCAAGACCAGTTAAACTTAGGATTGTCATCAAGGCTATTAGATTCCCCCGTTAACCGTACGCTCCCGCATATTCCCTGCGCCCTTTCTGCGCCTGTTTCTCATTTGAGTCGTTTCCCTGTAACCCCACAATTTAGTAAATCTATTCTTATTGGATAGTCATTCAACATGTTATCATGATATTCTGATTGGTTCGGAGATGATCTTAAAAAAATCCCATTCGGATTTGTTCATATCAGAGGGCTATAGCGTATTATCTTAGATCATTTAATACTCTTCTCATTATTTTTAATTATCATTTTCCTTTTTTTCCCTTTCATTTTAATAGTTTCTTTATTATAATACTAAATGATTCCTCTATGAATCATCATCGGGGGCAAAGTAGTTGAGCAAGGAGGTATAATTCAGTACGTAATAAGGATGGAGGCTCTCTCGGATGGTCCAATCAGCGGGATAATTCTTATCAGAGTTGACAATTTCCAAGTCATAATTGGCATTAAATGAACATTCTCTTACGAGACGAAAAAGGCGATCGTCTGGGACAACCCGAGAGCTCGTCCATACGGGTTTGGTCTATATCGATGTCATCACCCTTTTTTTATTTCTTTCTTGTTTCTTTATGACTTCTTTAACTTGACTTATGATTTGAACAGGAATGACGGAGAGATCAATCCAACATTTAATTCTGTTATCTTTAACAGAAACATCTTGATATATCAGTTCTATTAGCACTTGAGTGCTTTCTTCTTATACTGGTCAACATCTTGAACTTTTTGAACCTATATAGTTGATCGTCGGAGATAACGCTTTTTTTTCTTTCTTTTTTTTCTTTTTTTTTATTATCTTTTTTTGGGATATTTCTATTATTCCCTATTCTTTCTTTTTTTTTTCTTTTTTTCATATACATTTGAACCCTTGATAAGCTGAAGTCATTATCTTGTATGTGCATCTTCCCTTATCTTTCCTATGATCTCCACGAATAACCACTAATCATTCCAATTATAGTCTCGAATAACATTTCAAGAAATTAATTTCAGAAAAAGATCAAGGATCAAAAAAGAGATCCCCAAAAAAAAAGAAAATTTATCGGATTACACATTCAAAAACTTGGAGAAATTCGTGGAGAGAGTCTCCCCGGACTCCCACTTACGTGACGAATTCGCCGCATATCAACCTTGGAGTTATCTATCTCCGATATTTGTATCTTACCGACCCTTTATCTTGACCCCGGTTGCCCACTTCTTCTCCCAAAATGGCTACGGTCATTACTATTCAGCCTTCTTCTACGGGCTCCGCCTATTCCAATCTCCCGGATCTCCGACCCCAGTCCATTTCGACTTCCAATTTGTCCTCGCCTATCTCCACCAATTCATCCTTGCCCGTGTTCAACGGGATGGAGCCAGTTGTGACGCTTGTCTCCGTAGAAAAAGTCGTTGCGCTATGAATGAAATGGTCAACAAGTGTTATTCCTGCGATTTTCATCGCCAGGATTGTACCTTTACCTTGACGGCTGGTCCGGAGGTCCCTAACAATTTGAAGAAAAGAAAGCTGTCTAATGAAGTTCAGGAAGTGGAATCAATTAAACGGTATGTGAGATGATTTTCCAGTCTGGATCTAAACTTGAAAGTCAAGGATGTCTGAACTACTGGGAATATACATTATTCTAATACTAATTTTCTTATCAGACCATCCACTGTCCAGTCAACAGCCCATGAAGTCGTCGCTCGTCCAGGTCATTGTCACGCCATGATCCGTCCGGGTTTCTTCAATCAAACTACTCAACATATTGGCATGACCACCGAGTTGGAACCTGCATTACTGGAATTCTTACCATTAGACGAATACGACGAATTCTCTGTGTCCGCCGCTCGCATTCGGAGGTGCGCAGACGATTGTACCTTCATGCGCGTGGTTAACACTGTTCCCATCGGTGACTCGCAGGCCGTGTCACTTGATGCCATTGAGAGCCTGGTTGCTCCATATGGTTCAACTTTGATTGAGAAATTCTTCGAACATGTTCACCCTTCTTTTCCCATCTTGATGGAAGATGCTTTCCGTCAATCATATCGTGAACGCCGCACACTTCACCTATCACCTTTACTTCTTGCTGCCGTATATGTATTGACCTTGAAGTTTGTCGATGTCGGTGCCTCCTCACAGACGGCACGACGGCCGGATGCTGCTCGGTTGGAGAGTACGGCGTTGAAATTACTTGTCGACTCACTACCTTTCCCTAGTATCTCGACTATCCAAGCTGGCTTGCTGTTGACCCAAAAATCAACACTTGCAACTGCTGCACTTAATGGTCAGCTGGTGACTGCCTGCTTCGAGCTTGGTTTGCACCAGGACTGTTCAAACTGGCGGATGAAGACTTGGGAGAAGGGATTACGGAAACGTCTTGCATGGGCTCTGTATATGCAGGATAAGTGGTCCGCACTTGTTAACGGTCGCCCGTCACATATTTTCGCCTTTAATTGGACAGTGAAGGATCTTGTGGAGCAGGACTTCTCAGATGCCTTCCTGTCTGGTACGGGCTCCGCACACGACGAAGGCGTTGTTGGACACGGTCCTCTACTCTTCTGCCACATGGTGGCACTCACAACTATACTGTCCGATATCCTGGACCGTTTCTACACTCTACAAGCCGCAGAGGATTTTAACGCCGCTGGTAACCAGCGCACACGCATTATTCTGGAAAAGGCCAAGCCCGCCCAGATCCGCTTGAAGGAGTGGTTCTCATCACTTCCAGCATCTCTAAAAATGGAATCCTCCAGCGGCGAGCTGGTCGAGACTATTACAGACGAACACGCCCGCAACGGCGCCCTCCATCTCGCATACTTCGCCACCGAAATCACCCTTCATCGATGTATCGTTCGGTCGCTTGCCACCGACGGCACTGATGCCTACCTCGCTCATATCTGTCGCTCAGCAGCAAAGACCCGACTCATCTCCGCCATGGACTTCGTTAACCGTCTCCGCCCTGCTCATCTACGCTCCTTCTGGCCCGCATCCGCACGTACCAACTTCTCCCTAATCGGCTCATTCGGTATGCTACTACGCATCACCGCACCGACTAGCGAAGAGGCCGAGTTCTACCGCGTGCGTCTATGCGAGTACCGATGGACACTAGATGTAAGCCACAAGAACGCGGAGTTCATGGGTTTCGCATTGGAGAGTCTCGACAATGCCATGGCTCTTCAAACACATGTTCCAGAGAAACCGAACATCAACGAATTAATGGCTTCTGCGAGCAAGCAACCTTCCCGGTTACCCATGATGCACGTCGGATCATACGAAGAAGCCATGAATGACCCTGATAGCATCCCCGGTGGAACTGGAGCTTCTTCATCCGTTATCTCTGGTCTCGCCTCTCCAGCTACATCTGTTAGTGACATGGATGAAGGCGAGACTATGCCACCGCTTTGAGTGTTTTATTTTCAATATACCCACAGCGCATCCTTATCCTCCTTGCAAACTATACCCCTCCTCGCCTCAATACTACCTCATCTATATCACATACCCTTTTCTTTACCTTGCAACCTGATCGGTGTTCAGGAAGGGATCTGGTTCGAACGAAGCATATGATTATTATTATTTCTTGCATTGGCCCGCTTGCATCTTGTTATCTGAACTATTTATTACCCCCATCCGCCGGATTGCTTTGACACGAACTTGACACAGTTGGAAAGATGGAATGACCATCTGGAACCACTGGAATATTATAGAAGGACCAAGGGTCCATAGATCGAATTATGAATGAATTATGATTGAAAACATTAATAATCGCTCCAAAGTATATTAATACACTCATCGTATCTAGAAAAAGGAAAACTCCTGTCCCCCAAACGCAAAGTCCTCTAATATAGTTGGATCCACTAAATTCGCCAACATCTCCGCTCGAGTCCGATCAACCTGTTGTTGTTGTTGTTGCTGTTGCTGCGGTTCTTGACTGAATAACGAGAAAAAGAAATCTTCATCATCAGGTAATCGAAGCTGTCCAGATTGTCCCAACATAGACGAACCCACAGTCTCATTCCCATTCCCATCCTGAAACGAAAGTTGCGGAACCAAGAAATCAGACTCGGTCGCACTTGTCACCGGTATCGAATTCGCAGGTAAAAGCGAATGCGACGTAAGTGAAGCTTGAACCGCTCCAGATGTATAACCCGGCTGCATAGCACTCGATCCGATTCCAACACCATCACCAATCCCAACTTGAGCCGCACGACTCATTGATCCACTAGATCCTGAATCCCGATCCTGTATTTGTCGTCGACGCAGAAAAGTACGCGCCACATCAAGAACTTCACGAAGCATTTCCGCACAGCGACGCGCAACGATAATATCATCCATCGAGGAAAAGATCTCTAGGGATTTCTCAACATCTTCGAGGAGTTCTTCGTCTGGTAAACCTGGGAAATTGGATAGAATGAGATGTAAGAGGATCATGGAGCCGTAAAGCGCGTATGTTGTATTATACCACCTGATATAAATTAGAATGATCGGATCAGATAATAAACAAGATGGATTGGGAGAGTACGTACCATGTTCGTATGTAGATACGGTGCATGAAGGACTCGTATTGCATTTTTATACTTGACCGTGCGGCCTCGATGCAGATGTTTAGGTGTTGGCGGAATTCGGAGGAATCGGTATTGCTTGTTGAGGCTACGAAAAAAGGCCTGTGAATAAGGATTCGGGTATTGTAGTATCCTGCATGATATGAGTCCGGAATTCCGATATGTAAGCGAGGGGGGTTAGAGGAGACATACGTAGTCGTAAAACGAGTTTTTGTTTGAATGCCCATTCGGGATCACTCAATGTATTCGCATCCAGATTCAAAAATGTCGGGATGTTAGATTTCCAATCCTGGAGTCTTTTCTCTAATCCCATCGCTAGATGAGATTTCTCACGTAGGGAAAGTTGTGTTGAGTGGTAGAGTTGATGTGAAGCCTCAGACATAATCTGGGCAAGTGAGACCATAACAGGAATCATAGCGATATCATTATCCTCTGCATCTGGATCATGGTCTCCGAAATGAATCTTGAGTTTTGGAAGAGAAGCTTGGTAGTGATGTAATTCCTTCATGCTATCCAGACGTCCAGATGAGCAACACATTTCAACTTCGTGAGAATATATGCACCACCAGGTGCGTTTCGCCTCTCGACGTCTCAGCCGGGGGTAAAGAATTCATGCTTGATGCGAGTCCAATCGCTGCGGCTGTTCGGACGGCCATGCCACTGTACATGTAGCAGCTATGTGGTTGGAGTGAATTCTGGCGAAATACACTGAGAAGTAACAAGGCTTGGGCTGTTTCGAGAGAGCTGCTTTCGAATAAATCACCTAGTGCTTGTCTTGAGACTCCGAAGTAGAACTTTGCGAAATCTAGTGCTGAGAATCGGATACTCGATGGGGCTTTCTCTGGGTCTGTTGAGTGCTGATAGAAATGATCTAAAAGGGCGGTCTCATTTGGGCTGGCATTTATCGCGCCAAGTGCAATGACCGCGAAGTAAAGACCTGAGAATTTTGTCGTCCCTTGGAAGAGAGCAGATCGTCTTGGTACAGGCCATGCGTCTCGCTCGCAGCGTCGCATGAATGCATCTTTGGATAAAACAGGGTGGATGTAATGTTTATTTGTGAAGTAGCTGGCAATGAAGATCTTTTCGATCTCCAATTGAGAGCTGCGAGGGATTTTCGAGAGTACCCCTGGTATCAGAGCTTCTTGTGCTATAATCCTTCTTATTAGAATCTGCAAATTGCCTTGGGCCGTCATGAGAACGACTAACCATTATTTCCAGGGCCAGGTGTACTCCTCGGAACGTCAGAATAAGGTCTCTGAAGGACTCCTTCTGCACCGTCATAGGACTGCGGCGAGGGGTGGCCTGTATAGTCAACATTGTACAGCAGGTTCACAATGGAGAGCTGGGATTTGCCCGGAGTCGATCGGCTTTCTGGAGACGATGCCTGCAGTTTGTTTGCGGTTGGCGTAGCATCTCGATTCAGAAGCGATTCCTGGCCTTCTGACTGGTGCTGTGCTCTTGCAAACAGATTCCCAAGAAATGCTAAATTAGATGAATTGCCATAGAACTCCGTTCCTTTGGTGTGTAGATTGATACCGCTCAACCCATCTCTGGACGCGGCATCGCCAAGTTCTGACGGAGCTGGGAGATTGTTAGCATTCAATTGAATTAAACCTGGACATGGATATATAAAAACCGACCGAACTGTTCATCGTCATTTTCAGTTGGTACAGTCGGTGTATCGGGGGTTGAGCCCCTTTGTCCAGCCGACTGCAATGCGCGCGACGGCCCGTCCTTTGAGAAGGATGTTGGCGAATCCACCGCCCAGGTCCTCTGAGTGGGAGCTTTGTTTGCAGGACTAGCTGGGCGTTGAATATCATTTTGAACCATGCCAGCTAGTGGCCACGGCGAAGGGCGGATAGTTTCATCTTGGCTAATTTTCGTTACCAGGATAAGCCGTTGATAACCTCATGACCGATGAAGCTTCAAAAACATCAAATTGAGTTTCTTACCTTTTCTGTGTTGCTCTCATAGCCCGCTTCTTCTCAGCAGTAGACTCCCTTGCAGTTCCTCGACCGCCAGAGGTACGATATACACAGTTGAATGAGTGATCTTGATCATGTTAGTCGGGCTTTGGCATAGTGGGGAATTGAAGAAAAACGCACATGCGCAGTAAGAGCATGGCTGAGCTTGGTCACACTGTTTTAACGGTCAGCCATGGTACTTAAAATTATTCAAGCAATTGAATATTTGACTATATTATCAACAGCTAAGGACAATGAATGGATGTACCTTGGTCTTGCGAGAGCGACATGTTTCGCATGCTCGCGACGCCCGCGGCACACGGCGTTGTGAGGCCCATCGCGGCTTAGTCTCAGACGCGTCCATAGCTTCACAGTAGAACTATGGGGCCTGATCAGATATAATCAGTGCACATGTATATCTCTTCATCATGTGTAAGAGAAAATCTTCGGGAACATCACAGAAAGTCAGTATGCCGTGTGAATTGCCGAGCGACCGCCACCTCAAAGTTGAGCAAAGCTTGTTAACATCTCGCATTGCGGAGATGCAATTATTTTGTGGGGTCTGGGGATCTGCCAGCGGCCATATCTTGAGGAATCTTAAATACTTTGAACCTCCTATTTTATTACTTCTTACGTATGTGGGATTCTTCTCAAGTACTGTTTTACTAGCTGGGGCTCCGGGATACCCGACATTATGATCTATGCCCTTATGTGCTTCTATGCAGCCTATGATAGATGGAGTCAATCCTCGGAACATCTGCAGGTTTTATTCTTCAGAAGCTCTAGAGAAATCTGGATACGCCCTTTTACTGAAATGAAGAAAATATGATTGAATCAGCAACATAGTACGGAGTAGTTTCTAATGACATACAGTGCCGCCAACTTCCGACGGGAGAAGTGATCCGTCGGAAGTTGTCCTTAGGCATGTAAAAGAAAACAAAAAGTGCAAACAAAAAGTTCAAAAAAAAAGAATTCTCAGGTTATGGTTTTTTAGGAATAGCCGAACGGGGGGGGTCGAACCCCCAACCTTGAGATTAAGAGTCTCACGCTCTACCGATTGAGCTAGCCCGGCAGGGCTGGTTGGAAGAGGTTTAACTTATGGTTATATAAACCAAAGTTTTTTCAAGCTGCAAAACTAACTGGTGGACTCGTGGTTTGGCCTTCCTGCTAACCTGACTCGGGGGTATACACCTTTGCACTGATGGCTCTCATAGAATTCCTACTGCCCGACTTGGAGTTCTTCAAGCTCAAGTTGATCAATCAAAAATCATGATCGAGATTAGCTAGAAAATTGTCGCTTTTTTCAACCACTCAATTTACAAAAGTCATCAAATCTGAGGACAACCTGGGACTTGCAAGTTAAGCCGGTTTAGTACACTCCGGTGTCCATTTAGAATAATTGGGAGTTCCATTAAAGAGAGCAAAAAAATTAGGTCGTGCTTTTCTTTTTCTCTCCCCACATACTAGCTCCTAGCTCCATAGATACTCCAGACAGCAAATTCAAAGGTGGCCGTTCACTAGTTTGTACATTCAACGAGCCTGTGATCATGCCATTGACATCGAGGATCTACCAATGGTCCCATTTTTGATCTTTTTAAATGCTTCGCCGTCCTGTGTGGATCTGCCTGTGGGGCTTGCCAACACATTCAGCTCAACATTTGAAACAGATGCTTGTGCCCATGCCCAGGTTGACATCTGGATGTAGATGGGCAAAGTCGTACTTCAAATGGGTTGCATTCCAGGTCTACCTAGGTACTAATTCTACGTACTCGGTTATTCAAATTTGAAGTTATCTGTCACTTATCTTTGTTAGTGCATGTATGAGTATCTACGGTAGCTACTACTCTAGTCCTAGGTTTCCATCTGTAACAATGGGATGTCCTTTCAACAACATTTCAGGGTTTGACGTGTCAAATTTTGAAATGTGTCAAGCCTAAGACAATTTATTCAGATGTCAGCCATCAAATGGCGTCCGTATTTCGGAAAAGTAGACCCGCTTATGTGGTAGACTCCCTGATCTGTGTTCTTCGATACTTGAAACGTCTCATCTGCAGATACGTCGAAAACCACATGTCAGGAACTTAAGATTTCACTAGGAGAATAAGTTAATTAATACTGTTCCGCTCTACGATGGTAGGTTCGCGCAGTAGTAAATCTGTTTCAGATATCTGAGTACGGAGTACGGGGCACCAAAAAGAGTTTGATCATTTTGTTGACTCATGTGGACGGTCTAGAATGAAATCCAGATCAAAGGATCTCAAACTAGCAAACAAAAACAATCTACGTCTTCAAAAAAGGGGGTAATCTTCGGGAATCGCAGGATTGACTAGGATTGACTATTTGAACCCGATTTTGAGTCGGTAAATAAAGGCCCCACCATCACTTCGGATGATCCGGCAGGATCAGGATCTTAGCGCTAAAAGACAGATTAGGGCTGATTCCCAGATTTAAAAAAATGAAAGGAGTCAGTTTGTGCTGACAGGGATAGGAAATTGATCTTAAACTTGGACCAGTATATGGACATACTCCGGACACATGGGACCCTGGATGACAGGGTCCACAGGTTCCTAATTCTAGTAAACAGTAGGTTAGTAACTAGTAAACGCCATAAAAAAAGCCTTCGGTTACCCTTACAGTGGCGTTCCCACATGTGTACTAGATCGGATAGCTCTCTTTGATGTAGGCCACGTCAGGGACCCATTTACCTTAACCCACATAGACCGCCACTATGTTTAAGGTGGATAATGGAAGTGAATTTACGCGATCTGTAGGGCGTTTCTGCCACATTTTGATTTGACCAATAAAATCTCATAAGTTCATAACGCCATGTACGCCACTGTATGACTAGCCGCGGGGATTTACTCCTGGCGTTCCTGTAATAATCTCCTGAAACAAGAGAAAAATGTCCGATGTGGATGCATCTGTCAAGGCGTTCAGATCTTCTTAATGTAAAAAATTGATATATTCATTCTTCTTCTCCCTGGCCTTTTTTCTCTTTCCCTTCAAGCATCACACTCCTTTTTGATCTCAACTCACATTCCTTTGATCTACCTACTGGTTAGGTATTACCATTCTTCTCATTCCTTAAACATACTATTTACAGTCCTTCATTACACAAACAAATCTGTGATTTGCCTCAATTCAAAATGGTTGGATTCTCTTACATCATGGGCAGTGCCCTCGCCCTGGCTTCCGTCGTCTCTTCCACCAGCATTCTCCTCCCGCTCTATGAGTGGCCAACCGACAACACCACCTGGTCCCCAGTTTATGAAGCTGCTGTCGCACACCCTGAAATTCACTTCCAAGTTATCGTCAACCCTGACAGTGGCCCAGGCGACACTCGTAAGAGCAATGCATACAATTTTATTGAAATGCCTCTAACATAGACAATAGAGTACCCCGAGTCCGAATACGTCAGTGCTGTTGCGCAACTGAACAGCTACTCCAACGTTCAGGTGCTTGGCTATATTCCAACTGAGTATGCCACACGCGATATCTCCGACGTTGAGAGCGACATCGCAACATACAGTGGCTGGTCCAAGTACAAGAAGCAGAACATCTCTGTCGACGGTATCTTCTTCGATGAGGCTCCCAACACCAATGACACAAGCAAGATCTCCTACATGACCGAAATCTCTAAGTTCGCCCGCGCAGATAACTTAACCACTATTGTGTTCAACCCCGGTACCAAGCTTGACGATGGCTCTGTGAACGGATACTTTGATGCTGCGGACTTGATCGTCGAGTTTGAGAATTCCTACGACACTTGGGTGACTTGTGTGCCTGCCGATGAGTTCTCTGCTCCAGATGACTATTCCAAGGATGCTGTCTTGCTATACAGTGCCCCTCTTGAGGCGAACTATGATGAAGTTCTGCAGGAAGCTAAGCAGATGGGTCTCGGTGCTGCGTACTTAACCAACACTGCTGACTACAAGAATGCGGATTCCATTTCTAAGGTCGCTTCTGCTTTGCAGTTGTGGTAAATGGTGCGTGTGATGGGCTAGGCTGGTCCTGGATCCTATCTCTTTTTTTTTTACCTTTCTTCACGAGGTTTTATCTCGTATGTCTTATGCTTCTCAGGTGCTGTGCTACTGTGTGTTACTCAATCCAATTTTATCTGTCCAATAGACGGCATTTTGATTTATCAAAATTCAACTTTACCTTGTCTATACGATACTGTGCAGGAAGTAAAAGTAAAAATCGGAATTAGCTTTAGATAACAACTAATAGTAGAGCAACCCCAGATTTTCCCCGCTATTGAATCTTGATGGTATTGGTTTATCTGTGTTGTGATGCATCTCCGACGGTGTTGAGACAGAACTCCGCCGGAGAAGAGATAACGACATCACCACGCATCTAGTTCTTCGACAATAGGATCGAAATATTTAAACAGCTACGGAGGATTGAAGTTCATCTGTATTAACCAAATCTTCGAAATGGCCCTTCTAAGTTTTTTCTTATCACCATGGATGGCTTGCACCATCCCCGTTTGGATAGTCCTCTACTATACCATCCCATATTTCACCACTTATAAATCATTATCTCATGTCCCAGGACCGTTCATCGCAAAATTTAGTAATATCTGGGTTGGAATCAGTGCCCGACGGGGACAAAAGTTCGCCGCCGTGGATACTGCCCACAAAAAGTATGGAAATGTCGTTCGCATCGGTTTCAACCATGTTTCCATCGCCGATGAAAGAGCCTTGAATGTTGTATATGGACATGGAAATGGATTTCTCAAAGAGTTCGTATCCCCTGTTTCTTCTATACATACCGCGCCAGACTAAACATTCTTCCAGTCACTACTATGAGGCATTTATCGCACGTGCACCTGGGATGTTCAATGTACGAGATCGGGCAGAACACACTCGTAAACGGAAGATCATTTCGCATGCCTTTTCTCCCAAGTCTGTTGCTGCATTTGAGCCTCACATGGCAGCCAATCTCCAACGATGGGTCAATCAGTTAGACCATATCGCAGTATCCGGGTCACAGACGGGTATTCGCAATGATTTTGCACGATTCAATGCCATGCCTTGGTTCAGTTACCTAGCCTTCGATATCATCGGAGACCTAGCGTTTGGAGCTCCATTCGGAATGGTCAATAAAGGGAAAGATGAAACAGAAGTCCAGTTTACACCAGGAGGACCTATTTCTTTAGCTCCTGCCGTCGAGGTCCTAAATCGACGCGGAGAAGTATCTTCAACACTAGGTCTTCTCCCGGCGCTGCGTCCCCATGCTAAATACCTCCCCGATCCATTTTTCACGAAGGGAATAGCCGCAGTTGAGAACCTCACTGGAATCGCGGTCGCTGCTGTTTCAACTCGACTAGATGCCGCAGAGAAAGGCATGGTGGATACGCGAAACGATATTTTGTCTCGCTTACTACAAGCAAAAGATGCAAGTGGAGCCCCGATGGGTCGCGAAGAACTCACGGCTGAAGCTTTAACCCAGCTAATTGCTGGTTCTGATACCATCTCCAATACTGCTTGTGCGGTATTCTACTGGATTCTTCATGGCGAGCGAAACGCTCCGAACACGATCATTCCTCGATTACGAGAAGAGCTCGATAACGCTATTGGTCATGGTACAGAGATAGCTTCATACAGCCAAGTCAGAGATCTACCTTTCTTGCGCCGCTGTATCGACGAAGGAATGCGTCTACACTCTACATCAGCGATCGGTCTCCCACGTCTTGTTACGGATAGTGGATTGGGAGTTGAATTCGATGGATTTTTCTTCCCGCCTGGAACTGTTTTGTCAGTTCCATCATACACTATACATCATATGGCTGAAATATGGGGTGAAGATGTTGAGGAATTCAAGCCGGATCGTTGGCTGAATCTAACGCCGCGGCAAAAGATTTGCTTTAATCCGTTTTCTTATGGGCCTCGTGCTTGTGTTGGGCAGAATGTAGCGATCATGGAGTTGCAGCTTATTATTGGGACTTTGTTTCATCGGTATGATTTTGCTTTGTATCAACCGAAGATGGAGTCGCATGAAGGTTTCTCGAAGAAACCTAAGGAATGTTATGCTGGGATTAAGCTGCGATCTACTTGATTCAAGTTAGTCTCGGGCAAGGTGTTATATTTTTGTTTCACTTTGTTGACATTGCTTAGTATGATTTAATGATAATCAACCTGACAATAGTCAAACAACACTCCCAAAAAACATGTCCTCAAGAGATGGAAATTCCTGCTCAATGTTCCATTCGCTGTCCATCCATGACCTAGGTGCAGGATCTGCAAGGAGCGAGAGGAATGTTTCCGCATTTTCACTTCCATCCGAAATCAAGGATTCCATCTCGCTGCCCCCATTGACATATTGTTTGATCACATTTAAAGACCACCTGCTCACCGGCTCCGCTTTGCCTCCACGTTGAATATGGGAGATAGCCCGCTCCATCAGATTTATAATATTAACAATATCCGGTACATGGTTGACAAATTCAGCTAGAGTAACCATCGCGAATGAGCAAAGTAGATTCTCGTAAGCAGGGTGGATGCAAGTTGTAAGATCCGACATTGAAAGGAACAGGCACAAGATCTGATCGGCATGGTAGATAGCGAATTTGATGAAATTCAAATCACTTTCTGCCTTGAGTGCTGATTTAGAGCTCCCCGGCCTCTCGGTTTGGGATTCGTGGATATGTTGAAGAGTGCGACGTGCGAGAATCAAGTAAGCACATGAATAGGCGAATCGTAACGGCTCGGAAGAGTCAAGGTCTACATTCAAAACAAGGTTAGTAACAATAAGTACCTTTCAACAAAAGTGGGACGTACTATAGATATGCTCCTGTGACTTGCGAAGTTGTTCAACTTCATGCCAGATTGGTACCTCCTTTTGGATTGAACTTGAACTGATCAATTTCCATAAAGTTCGGTAGAGATATACTCCAGATAAAACAAGCTCATCTCTTGAATTATAGGATGGGAATTCGAGTATTTTGGCGCATTCGTCGAAATACTGGCTGGCAATGACAGGTGGGCGACCAGAACCGACTGAGAACCTGAACGTGTGTTAGCAAAGAGAGGCCAACTGATGGATCTGAAAAATCGAACACCATACTGTAACTGACAAAGGCAAATCAGATTCCAGGTACGCAGTATTTCTCGCGCCCGAGCCTGCTCTTGACTTTGACTGGGAGATTGTAATAGCGATTCAAAGGAGGTGGTGATCATGACCTGCATCGCAGCAGTGCCACTCAATAGCCACGAGTTACCATGGTCATGATCTCTGGTTGGTCGTAGATCCCACATAGAGAAAATCAACATGGCTTGGATTGTATCCAGTGATACCACCGATGCAGATTGTGCTTGACCCAGAAGCCCATGCACATGGCGGTAGAGCGTCTGGTGTGTTGAAGAGCCATGTAAGGAGGGAGTGATGTGAAGCCCAGCAAGAATACATGTTCCAAAGAGAAGAGGTGATTTGGTCCGTAGGTTTGCTGGCTCTGTACTCATGAATAGCCAACGGCTGGACAGTTTTGAGAATCTGCACATATGTTGAGTTAAATGAGGCTTATTGGAATCCATAGAGTGGAGCCATACCCTTTCAAAAGAATTAAGGCGGTATTCTCAGATACTATTCCATTCAGTATGACATCTTCGGAGAGATCCTGCATCTGTAATGGCTGGCGATGTAGTGTGATAGTTTCTCGAATCTCTTGAATGAGGCTCATCGGGGCATCGCGTGCGGTTCTCTCGGCACTGGATTGAGCTGACTGAATATTCTCAGTTGGGCAATCTAGTGAATGATAAATTTGAAAGGGGTTACCTCTGGTCTACCAGTGATTCCACTAGGCTCGACAAGACGTGTAGATAACGAGGCTTGAATACTAGCTAGCGATGTCTCGACCGCTCGCAGTCCATAGTTGTTTGTTAGTGAAGATAACAAATGCAGTAAGGAATATGCTTTAATCCACCCGAAGGGGAGTCCTGCCGGTGATTTACCTGTCATGATAATCATATGTGTTCGTCGTCTGCCTTTCAAGCTCAATCTCAGGCTCTTTCCGCTCTTGAGATGGACTCTCATGTGTTCCATCAAATGAGCATTTGATCCTAAGCAGCGATCCATTGTCCGTTTAAGCTTCATTTCACACAGAAGGAAGATGGAGATTTCATTACCCTATTATCTCACAGCGATGACATCCATCAAGACTTGCATTTATTTCACATCGTGTCTTGAGACGTCGACAAGCTTCACATGAGCGAGCCTTGCTTGGCCTTTTGTGGGATTTGGTAGGAGATGAAAGACCTCGTTTTCCTTTTGCGACTCGTGAAGTGGAAGACATATTGAATCTCATGAGTAGGTCATATGAAGCTATTCATCATGAAGCGGTCAAGTGGAATTTGAAACATACTCCACGGGGTTAGATACATCCCCACTTTTGAAAGATGACTGTGAACATTTGAAGATCGTCAGATTCAGGCTGGAATGTACTTTGTCAGGCTTCATTTTAGTCTCAGAAATTGATCTATCAAATTAGTCCTGAAGATCGTGAGAACTGAGTCTCCACCAATTATCATGCAGATCGAATTAATCGATCAAGCATCATTGGTTCTGGACTTGAAAGTTGAAACAGTACACCCCCACCCTTGGGAGTGACTTGTTCTGCAGTGATAACACTTATTTCACTCAGAAATAAGACAGATACGTCAGACTGAAGAGCTCATGAGACCCCTCACTAATCCATTACCGAAGAAATTATAGCTTCGAGATTCGAGAATTTAGATCGTAAGAGGTCATCGCGATATAATCATTCTGGTGGATAAGAAAAGGGTGAATTGCTTTTTTCCCATACGTGCATCGGTCGCATTTTGATTAAGATGACGTTCCGACCGAATTGACTTTGATCGGAGCTGCGATCAATGAATTGCTATTCTATACGATCATCGCTTTCACTGGCAGCAATCTCAGAACCAACATGCCCACATGTGGAGATGTCTAGAGTCGATGGAGATCATCTCCGGGCGTCAATTTACATCAATTGTTACCCAAGGAGGAGATTCCCAAGACCGACCGCACTCATACTGACGTCTGAAAATTCGCTTCAATTTCATTGCCACTGCGCGTATCTCCTATCCCAAGAAGCAGAGTTCGTGAAGATCGTGTAGTAAGTGGCGAGTATCCGGCTGAAAACGCGATGTTTCAGGAATGAATGAGTTGTTTATCGCACGCACATCTTTCTTGTCATTCGCCTCCAAGGTTCAATTAAAGTATTTTAATGCTTTACACTGGCATGTGTCACGGTTCATTCGACTCCAGCAGTTTGAAGTGAGCGACATCATAACAGTCACAGACAAATAACGATAAATCCAGAAAAATGGATGCACCGATCTCGATAGCAACGCAGTTCATAGAGATCGCATGGAAGAATCTTTCAAATCTTATTACCAGAAACACTTCGAACTTGAACGTTAAAGGCAATCTGAACCACTGGTTACCATTGAAGCCCAGTGCCTGATCGATTTCGACAATCTTGAACCGGAGTCAACCGAGACCCACTACCTATGACATAGTTCCTCGTGGTCCCTGGCTACATCATAACCATCTTCCTTTCCCAGCATTTCTCTGCCAGGAAAATACTAAAAATGGGTATGGGGACTATGACATAGCTCGGTCTTGCAATGCCATATACTCATCCGCATATCCATATAGTCCCAGGCCTATCTTTCAAGTCAACACACGTTTCCAAATTCATAATTCATTCAGCCGCATATATTCTCCGCTGTTTTCTTTTCCATCTTTCCCGTGTCATAGATCTTCGATTTTTACCCTTCTGCGCCATCATGATCGATGCTGAAAATGTCAGTGACGTTTTGAATACTGATATCCGAGCACCAATCCCAGACTCCATCGAAACCAAGATTCTTTCCTTGCCGCCCTTCGTGACCCTGCCTGGCGTCTCCAACTTCCGAGATCTAAGCCATGATAATGACCTGCGACCCGGATTTGCCTACCGCTCGGGTAATCTATCTGATATCTCTGGGGAGGGAAAGTCCATCCTATCCAGTGAACTAGGCATTACCACAATATTTGATCTCCGAAATCAAAGCGAGCGAGAGCGAGCTCCTAGTCCAGAGATTGATGGAATTGAAACAATATGGATGCCATACGGAGCCAGACCCGCGACATTGAATCTTCGAGATTTCAGCAAAGAAGATCAGGGTGCAACGGGATTTGTCAAGATGTATACAGGCATTCTCAATGCAGCTACCCCAATATTTACAGAGGTGTTCACTCATATCAGAGATGAGCCGAATGACCCCTTTATCTTTCATTGTTCAGGTAAGTTAGTATGCTTTCCAACGCTAATCAACGTGGGATCTTCGGTATGTAATACTACCCGGGAACGCCTTTCACTGACAATTTTATGCAAACTATAGCTGGTAAAGACCGAACTGGAGTGTTATCGGCACTGATCCTACTTCTCATTGGGCAATCTCACCGTGTCATAATCGATGATTACATGTTGACCCGAGTGGGACTAGAGAGCGTACGGGAAAACCTGAGTCGAGCACTCGGTATCCGTCTTGACAGTGATTGCTTAAGTCCAGAGGCGAATGGCATGGTTGAAATCAGTGGAGTTCGGGCGCATGCAATGGAAACCTTTCTGAAGACCTTCGAGGCCACTTACGATCGTGGTGTTGAAGGATATCTGACTACTCAACTTGGATTCTCCCTTGATGATTTAGAGCTGATGCGGAGGAACTTGACACAATTTTGAACATTCTCTCATGCACAATAGAAGTTGAATGATAGAAATAGAACAAAGCTATGTATCCCTACTACTTAGATCTCTTCACAATATTCAACTTGAAGTTTTTCCTGCACCTTCATGTAGGACTCATGTACTAGTAGATGCGTGTGGCCAGTGCGCCAAGAATCAAGGGATGAATTTCATCCCAAGTGCTCCCTCTATATACACCGATTTCATCTTTTCTCCTACTGTAGCATCTCAATGCTAACATAGAGTGTCAAATTTTCCGCCACTACAATTTCAAAGCCAGTTGTGCTTCGTTATCCCTGTCTCATGTCTCACCACGCTCCTTCTTCCCCAACATCCCATCTTTACCCCTCTCGAGCTCCACCAACAACGCAGATCATCGCCTTTTGCCGCCACCAACTCCATAATCGGAGTATCATATAGGAGGAATCCCCGGGATCAGCCCCATTAGCTACGCAGCATTGCTACCGTTGCTTCCTTCCCCGCCCTGTGAAGTTTTAACATGGGTCATAGTGAGGTTATCCTCATATAGATTCATCAAAACAACAAGGGCACGGACCACGATTAGCTTGTCAGGTTAATTTGAAAGCCAAGCCATTACCTTGGTTCTCCACTCGTTTTTATACCGGTATTCTCCCGGATCAAATAGCCAAGGCAGGGTTCGCAAGATAAATCGGGGCAATCGCCCCCGAGTTGAATCTTCTTTCTGCGTGACTTAATCCTCAACAACATACTGGGTGTTGTTTGGTATCGCGATGCGTTCCTGGATAAAGTCATCACTGGGGTTTCTCCCAGTGATAGTACAATCTGCACTTGGCCAAAATGTTATTGACCTCACCGGAGATGGCTGGACAATCAGCAGCAAGGCCCTGAATATTTCAGCTCCTGGTTACTTGCCTTCTCAGGTACACCTGGATCTCTACAAGGCAGATGTGATTGGTAAGAGAACTAATGTACTTTCATATATGATCTTCGCTGACAATTGTTACAGATGATCCGTAAGTGACGAAGACAAATCAAGACTACATTCTTGTTGATTGAAAATTGACCTCGGCAGGTACTACGGTCTTAATGATTTTAATTTGCGTTGGATCGCGAGGAACAACTGGACATATACTAGTAACGCGTTACCTGGGCTGTAAGTCCCTTATGAATCCTTCTTTTGGCAATAAAACTAAGTACAAGCAGGTCTAACAAAGCCTTGGAATCCTGGCTTGTCTTCAACGGTTTGGACACATTCGCCACGATTGAGCTATGCGGAAAATTCGTTGGCACAACTGACAACCAGTTCCGTCAATACACATTTGATGTCTCCGATATCGTGAAAAGCTGCCAAGGTGACCCAACTTTGTCATTGAACTTCGGCAGTGCACCCTTAATTGCCGATAAGATCGCCGAAGATCCAACTTCCGAGAGTACGTTCCGCTCAAATTTTATAAACAATCTCATTTCCTAACATGCACCCGCGACAGAATGGCCATACCGTCCCCAGCAAATATATGAATTCCCCAACCGTTGGTACATCCGCAAAGAACAGTCTGACTTTGGATGGGATTGGGGCCCAGCATTTGCCCCCGCCGGTCCATGGAGAGACGCTTATCTCGTTCAATTCGAGGAGCAGGAGAGCATCTATGTTCTCAACACAGACTTGGACATCTTCAGACAAGGACAAATTAATCACGAGATACCCGATCAAACCAAGCCGTGGGTCGTGAATGCGAGCATTGACTTTCTCGGATCACTCCCCGATAAGCCTTCGATGCATATTGTTATCAAGGATGCTGAGTCTGGAACAACTCTCAAGTCTGCTGCTCTTGGGAATGTCTATACCTCTGGCCAAACAATTACCGGAAACATCAACATCGATGCCGATGCACCAAATCTCTGGTGGCCCACAGGCATGGGTAAGCAGAATCTCTACAAAGCAACAATCACTGTTAGTGGCTCAGGGCAAAACAAACCACTCGCCAGCGTCACAAAGCGCACTGGATTCCGCACAATCTTCCTCAACCGCCTCAGTATCACCGATGAACAAATCGCTCAAGGGATCGCGCCAGGAGCCAACTGGCATTTCGAAATAAATGGTCAAGAATTCTACGCGAAAGGATCCAACCTGATTCCTCCTGACGCATTCTGGCCACGAGTGACTGAAGAGAGAATGCAGCGCCTTTTTGATGCCGTTGTAGCCGGTAACCAGAACATGCTTCGAGTCTGGGCTTCCGGTGCCTATCAACCAGACTTTATCTACGACATCGCAGACGAGCGCGGTGTTCTGCTCTGGAGTGAATTCCAATTCAGTGATGCGATGTACCCAGTCAATGCATCGTTCCTGGAAGATGTTGCGGCCGAGGTTGCTTACAACGTGAGGCGAGTGAATCACCACCCATCACTTGCTCTATGGGCTGGCGGCAATGAAATTGAGAGCCTTGAGCTCCCTCTCATACAAGAGGCAGATCCCAACCACTATTCCTACTGGGTCGGACAATATGAGCAGCTTTTCATCAGTCTCATTCTGCCCCTTGTCTATGAGAACTCGCGGTCTATTTCGTACATGCCTAGTAGCACAAATAACGGCTACCTGTGGGTTAATCTCTCGGCGCCAGTGCCAATGGCTGAACGCTACGACAATACCACGGTTGAAGATTACTATTCCGATACAGACCACTACAACTACGACAGTAGCGTCGCCTTTGATCTTGGCAGTTACCCCATTGGCCGCTTTGCCAATGAATTCGGCTTCCATAGTATGCCAAGCCTCCAGACCTGGCGTCAAGCTGTTGACGAAGATGAGCTTCACTTCAATAGCAGCACTGTGATGCTTCGGAATCACCATTATCCTTCTGGTGATACCTCAACAGACAACTTCAAGAACTCATCCATGGGAATGGCCGAGATGACTATAGCGGTGGAGCGCTACTATCCAATCCCGAATAAGGAGAACTCAGTGGCGAATTTCAGTGCCTGGTGTCACGCTACGCAGATGTTTCAGGCTGACATGTACAAGAGCGAGATTCAGTTCTACCGCCGTGGCAGTGGGATGCCGGAGCGGCAGCTTGGATCCCTATATTGGCAGCTCGAGGATATCTGGCAAGCACCAACCTGGGCGGGTATCGAGTATGATGGTCGGTGGAAAGTCCTTCACTATGTTGCGCGTGATATCTACCAACCTGTGATTGTTGCACCTTATTGGAACTACACGACCGGTGATCTCGAAATATACGTCACCTCTGATCTTTGGGAGACTGCTCGTGGAACAGTGAATCTGACTTGGGTAGACCTTTCTGGCAATCCTATCTCCGGTAATGCCAATACACCGGCCTCTACTCAGTTCACTGTCGGTGCACTAAACACGACCAAGATATTCGGGACCACTATCTCAGACCTGGATCTATCTAACAAGACAAATGCTGTTTTGGTGATGTCGATTCATGCAAGCGGTCATCTTCCTAACGCTGAGAACGGCAAGGTCTCCACATTCATTCATCAGAATCAATTCACTCCTGTTTGGCCAAATGAGGTTGCTTTGGTGGACCCCAAGGTGGAGGTTTCCTATGAGGCAAGCACTGGTCTGTTCACTGTTGAGGCTCAGAACGGCGTGTCCCTTCATACTTGGCTGGACTATCCAGCTGGTGTTGTTGGTTATTTCGATGAGAATATGTTTACCCTTCTACCTGGTGAGAAGCGCAAGATCGGGTTTACTGTACAGACAGATGAGACTGGCGGCAATTGGGTTGGGGGAGTGACTGTGCAGAGTCTTTGGGACCAAACGACAAAATGATAGTGTCGAAATATGCATATTTAGTAGTGCACGATGCGCTACTAGCACTTGAGGGATATCTTAGGTAGTATACATATAGAATATATATTCATACTATTGAAGTACCTACGCTAGCACTTAAAAGTAGGTTCTTTGAAGTAGAAAAAATATAAAATTGGGACAAAAAGATTTACCAGGCCCGAACCCAGGATCTACGGGGACCTTGCGCATTCAAGTTTTTTATGCTCAAGGTTAAGACTCTAAGCGCGAATCATACCATTACTAGTAGACCATCTGGGCGGTTCAAATGTTGGTGATTAGCGGGCCAAAACCTGCCTACACATGTGCATGAAGCTAGTTATCAAGGATAGACCCTTGATGGATCTTTCCCGTGCGTTGTATGAGATACATCCGGTCCTTCCAACGTTGCTCTCACCATGACCAGCTAAATATCTTATTCTTATCTCATTATTGCCCCGACTCTTCAGTCCAAGTCAGCTATCACTACTCATCTCGCTTACGATCATCGATCTCCCCTTCAGTCCTATCCCAGACTCTTTGGTAAGATGTCCGACCTGTAGATCAGATTGAAGAAGTATTAGCTCCCTTAAAAGTCCCATGAAATAATTTTACTCAACCAAAAAGGGAGAGTTTACAGACCTTTGCTCATGCTCAGTAACCGGTTCTCCCATGGGCCCATAGGCTCCTCCATCATGACCTCTTGAGGCGGGGCATTCTCCTTAGGTCCTCTGTAAGCCCAGCCCCATCTCTCGACTTCGAGGCTATCAGTCTCAGTCTCTTCCCGATGTGAGTGATGGTTTTCACGACTGAAACTGATAACTGTACGAACGAGACAAGGCTCCCAAGGACCCTTTTTCAATAAGGCCCTGCATTTGTAAATTTCCTCGTCGTCGTACCCAAGTCCACCAAGGTCGAGGCGCACCCTCACACTGCTGTGCACTCTCTCATTCGTATTTTTCAAGAAGTACGGAGTTGGTAGACCAGTCTTCGGATCAACGCGATGGTATTGACCAGGTGTACGGGTTGTTTTTCCAGCCAGACGATAGACTCCAATATCAGGTTGTACAATTTCACCCAAAGCCCAAGGTCGAACGGGATAATGCTCATCGTAAACTCGCCTATGCGCCCAACGTAAATAGTGGTGATCACGCTCTTTTTTCGATGGCTGTGATCCGTCTGGATGCTTGAAGAAGTACCGCATATTCTTCTCCCACATAATCGCGATGGCGTTATCGTAAAAACTGACGCCGATAGACGTTAATTGGTCCATCATCCAAGCCATGCTGACATTAGCTAGCTCTTGATCGGGAAGCCCGCCGCCGACGTTTGAGTGTGCACCACAAAACCAGACCTGTCGAAGATCAGTCCGGACGTCATTTGGTCGCTCCCAGACGGCCGGAGCAAAAGACGTGCGGTCTTCGTCCAAGGCTAGTGCTTGGAATGCGTATTCAACAGTGTCGGTGAGACGTGTGTCGTAGAATCGGCATGTATATTTCAGTCAGTACTTTGAGCTTGTGTGATCAAGGGACAGGGGGACTTATTCTTTCGTGGACCGGGGGAGGTGAATCAGGTTTCCGATATTCGTATCTGGTATGCCTATATAATCATTAGTCGGATGCACCAGGCGAGCGATCTCAGATAAGAAAGAATGAAATACCTAAACTTCCAACGGTCTCCCAAACTGCAACACAACGGACAGTTATAGGACCCCTTTCGTTAGAGACTCTGGTGAGCTCAAACTAAAGCCAATGTCAGCCTTTGAAGGTAGAAAGAAAGGAAATAGAAGATATACATCTACCAATCTTTGCTTGTAGTCCGCTGCGGCATCTGGTCGACGAAACTTATTCGGAAAAGGCGTGTAGGGGAATTTGTCCTTGTAGTCTGGATTATGCATATTTTCCACATCCTTGAAGATGGGATACAGCATATTCAAACCTTCGGAATTGAGTAGACCAACGGCGTCAATCAATGCCTAGACGCGTTAGCATGATCGGACAGTGATACACTTGAGAAGGTCAATGCGCACGTACCGCCACGCCTCGAGCTGTGAATGCACCCCGAGAAAAGCCAATCAAAATAATCTCATCGTCAGTCTCATAATTCGTCGCAATGAAGCTGTATGCCTCTCTGATATTCTGTCATTTGTCAGTTTTCGCATTGAATAAAGATGCTGTAGATTGAACAAACCTCCCCGACACCGTCGCCAAATAGTCCGCCAGAAATAGAGTCTGCCACGCCTCCTGTACTCCCAACTCCGGGCTGGTAATACATAATCTGGCTCTCCCCGTTCGGCCCTCTCTTCTGCAGAGCACGGTACATGCGCGTCACATTCGTCTGAGGGGCGAGCGTTTCATACCGAGATCCGGAATTCTGGGTATCGCCTTTATCACTATTCATCCAAGTGCCATCCAGGCACAAAATAAGACGCCTTCTGTGAGATCGGTCTGGCATTGTGTGTATTGTTATCGGATGATAGGAGGAACTCGGGTCGTCCGGAGGATTTGGCAAATGGAATACCAATATTATGATCTTGTGATTTTTCCCTCTCCAGGAGGTTCAAGCCACCAGAGTATCGAGGGAACCATACAAATCCCACATTGCGATTAATGGGGAGGGGAGAAACTGTGGGGGCGGATGGACCAACCAGATGAACGTCAGCAGTGTGTCGGGCAACAACGAGGAACTAGTATTGAGCAAAATGATTGTGTCGCGCCTGAATTCACTATCCAGGTACAAGGATGGAAATGGATGAAAAAGGAACACGTAAATAATTAATTTTCTGTAGGAAAGCGCTGGGGCGACGAGTCATCATAATTGAGATGACTCGGCGACCCTCTATCAATCTAATAAAATCTTGTCTATCTTCAAATTCTTTATCTCACCCAAACAATCCATGGATCTCAATCATGACTCAGTCTCGCCCTTAGTTTTGCACCAAAGAAATAAAAGACATATGGGATCAACACCATCCCCAGTCCTATGAAGGCCAGTAACCATGAAGCCCACTGCAACCCAAGGCGATCATACATCTGCGTGATGAACAAAGGAAACCCAGCACCGCCACCTGAGCGCAGAAAGACTTTTGCAGCAAGTGCAGATGCAGCATACTTCTGATAGGAGTCGATGATGTAGTTATTCACACCATAGTAACACAAGACCATTCCAAACCCGAATGCGATGCCCGATGATGCAGGCCCCACCCAGATGATATTAGAATAAGACGTGGCACCCAGAATAAAGAGTGAGATTGGGACAAAGGGCGCGCCATACATAGCAGCCGGAAGTCGGTCTTCTGGGGTTGGTGCGCGCAAAAGGCAGGTCTGTTTAAATTGCTTTTCGATGTATGGAGTAACCAGGAGAGCCAAAGCAGCACCGATCAAGATGGGGATAAACATCAATCCAATCTGACCATCGTTGTAGTTGTAGAGCTTTCCAAAGATGACTGGATATGCGAAGAAAAATGCATAGAGCATGGAGTAGATAAGAACAACATACATGCACATCAGATCCAGAACAGGTTCGGTCATGATCATCGTGATGGGACGAATGAGGTTTGTTCGGATCACATCACGCAGAGTAAGTTTGTTCTTTTCTTGCTCAGTCATAATGTTTGCATTTCCTGTTTCCTTTCGAAGCTTGGCCGCTCGTCGTTTAAGGATCACAGGTGCATAGGTCTCCGGGATGAAACAGATCAAAACAGTGCAAGCACCTGCAAAAGCCAAATTGACCCAGAAAAATAGATCCAGTCGGCCTGTGCCAACATTGATCCAACCTGTGACAATGGGTCCAATGACAGGGCCACAATAAGGCGCAGCAGCGAAATAAGCAATCGCCATACCGCGATCCTCGATGTTCCAGATATCAGCAATAGTGCCACCGGCTAGCGACAGACCAGAACTGGAGAACACACCGCACAGGAAGCGACACACAAGAAGACCACCAATATTGGGTGATAAGGCGCAAGGAATGTTGAAGATGGTATAGAGTGTCAATGAGATAATGTATACTGGTCTGCGACCGATGATCTCAGACAGAGGCGACCAGAGTAAAGGTCCTACTGCAAAGCCGCATACCATAATAGAGCAGGTGAGAATGGCAACCTCCAATGACACATTGTATTTGTCCTCAATCAGGCCCAAGCCACCAGTCGTCATTGCAGAGCCATAGGCAATGCAAACTACCAGAAGAGATGCAACAAGAGTGATGTACCAGCGGTATCCACGAGACCAGTTGTGTGGGTGCTCGGCGTCTCCAATGGTAAAAGTCACAAATTGTACTGGCTCTTTAGGTCCTTTCTCGATATCATCATGTCTGTTGCTGAGAGTTTGTGTGACGGAGGAGGTTCGCGATCGCATTTGTTCTAAGGTTCTCTGTGAAACAAGACCGGTTCGAGTTTCGACGGTGTATTCATCAGGGAATTCGGGATTATCTTGACGCTCGACATCGGCATAGTTGTAGTCCACTGGTGGTGGATTCTCCGTGATCCCGACTTTCCGGAGACTTTCTTGTGTCTCAACTCCTGCCATGGCGCCGTGTTTCGGACGAATAGACAGGGATTTTTTTTAGGATGGGTAGGACAATATAATGTTCAAGGATGAGTGATGTAGTACAGATCTGTTCAAACCAAGGGGTAAATCTCGGTTTTTATATTTGTTTGAAGCCTTCAGCTACTACTATGCAATGTATACAATTTTCGATCAGCGCCTGATACAGCCCTGCAGGTAGATAGGATCCTTGTAAGCAATTCCGATCGATCTCCGAGATATATCCAGGCAATGTAGGATTTTTATCAAGCGGTATTTAATCTGATAGGCTAAATGCAAAAGCTAGTCTATCAAGATCTCCCTCTTTTACTTGATGGATATAGTTCGGTGAATGTACGAAGGGGCATAACCCGGTAAAAGCTCGGTACCGAGAAAACACCGCGTCTGATTGAGTTGTGTTCGGCATGCCGGGAACCGATCGTATCTAAAAACAGCACGAGCTTGACGGAGAGTTGACTCATTAAAGAATTAGGCAGGGTCACGGCATTTGAATTTGATTAAGTTGTTCCTAGATTGTCCTAGGAAGCTTCTTCCTGCGGGATTTATCGCCTCTTTGGAGTTGCTGTATGTGTCCAGTTGCATATACAACCTTGGAAGTTGAAAGTGGCCACATTCCGGAGCGTGAGGTAAATGTTGTGCAACACACCCTAGTAGCAACTAATTAGCACTTCCGATCTTTTCAGAAAATTTCAACTGCAAGACTCAAGTTGTCATTTTCAAATTACGATCGGCTGCCGGACCACTGGTAGCCCACGGGATGGATGAGACGGAGCCGCAGTGGGCTGATCAAGAAGCTGGAGTCCCAGTAGATGAGGACAGCATGGAAGTCCGACCACTCAGAGAGCTTCAGAGAGGTCCAATATTATAGAGAAATTGTTCACTGAGAAGTTTAGCCACTCTGAGATCAGGCAATAACCTGGTTGATGTCAGCTGTGAGTAGAAATCAAGTTTGGCGGGGAAGGAAGCAAAGAAACAACATGAATATGCATCTGTGATGTGAAATGTTTGATATACTAGTACTAAATATGCAGACAGCTTGTATAATGCCAGATCGTGTGGACCCAGAGTCAGAAGAATAAATTTTCTCATGGACTATAGTAAGTTTCGACCCTGAGCCTTTCAGCCCGGTGATACATTAGCCTAGTAGTATATGTAAATGTTTATCGTCATTGTCCAGATCGTGACCTTCTACTACACTGGAGCATATTTTTAAAGAACAGGATGAGGAGGGGAGGAGAAAGAAGAAGAAAGAACTTGAAGTGAAATTCTTGAGGGTACTAGGTCTCTCAGCTCGGCCATCTGAATTGAGTCGCGGCGCTCGAAAGTGACCTAGTCAATGACTCAAAACATGATCCAACTCTTTCTCGGGGAGCAAAATTTTATTTACTAGTTCAAATTCAACATTTGAAATGATCCATGGTTCGAAATATTGGTCCCATCTTTGTATTTCTTAGTATAACTCACCTAAATCTGAACACGGTACCTCCAGACTGGGAAGCGGCACCATGATTGCCACTACTAGTATACTATAAATTTGAAGTTGGCACTTGAATACTTAAGTGCTCAAGTAAGAGGCAAATCACAACATTTGAGGGGGATTTTTTTTGAAGTATTATTGATGCTATCGTGAATATTGTATTTTCAAATATTCAAATATTAAGTAGGGATTACCTAGTAAAGTAATCGCGGTGGCCATATCATGATCCTTCAAGTTATATGCAACCTCCAGGGCTCTGAGCCCGAATTGATCCTCTATCAGTATATACACCTACTGGCATGGGACTATGCAGCATAATCATTTCACTCAGTGCACCAGTAGAACCTTTAGAAGCGCTGGGTCTAGTAATATGTCGCGTTAGACCGAGAGAGCGCATCAATGGCCTGCTCAACAGTGATGACATTAAGAGGCATCTTCGGGAGAATACTCTGCAAGATGACATTGTTGATCGAGGTCGCATCATCTCCAGTCTCGATGGTGTTATTAGCGATAACGTAACTATTTGAAAATTAGCATCTGCATTACCAAGAACCGCCACCACTATGGATACTTACACATTGAAATCCAGATCGAAGAGGGCAAGAGCAGTTGTGAGCATTACGCCCGAAGTTCGCAGACCGGACTACATGTGTTATTTTCGTTAGTATCATCCATATACGTAATTGGGTACCATGCCCCACGAATGCGACATCTTAAACGGAATGACATGATATACCAGGACAACCGTGTCAATCTTCTGGTTGCGTAGAATCTGGACCAGAGTATTATCTGTTCCCGCGTAATAGCGAGTCTTTTGTAGCACGACATCGTAGTTGGGAAGAGGTTTGAAAGCAGGATAGAGCTGCGACAGTTCATCGGATTCTGTAAGGTTTCCGACCTCGGCTACATCTTGGTAGAAAGGTGCAGACAGCGAAACCTCGGGCATTAGGCTCGTGGAGAAATAGATACGGCTGAAGATGCTGATCGGAGGAGGGTTTTGTCTGTGGACACTGTAAAGATGTAATTGTTAGTCAATGATCATGTCCGTGCTCTCTCGGATAGTATGTTGGTAGATCTTACGCGTTGATCCACTTGCCGGTGCTCTTGATAAAAGCTTGGCCCTTGGTAGTTGTGTTGATGCTCCCCACCAGGGCAGTGATTAAGTCGAGGTTCAACACGGCATAGTGGGATCCGAAGCTCAGACTGCCGTTCACTGTGGATGGAGTAGTGGTCGAGTACCCAAGCTCAGTGGCATCGATAAGGGCGGGGGCCAGAGCAAGCAAAGCCCAAGAGAGAAGCTTCATTGTGATCGAGATTGGGTACAATTAATGATAATCGAGAGGTCGAGTCGTACAATAGTATGGGGTGCATATAGCTCTTTATAGCATTAAGTGATCCTTGCCGGTACAATCCTTAATTCAAGCTGGATAAAGGGGTAAGCTAAATTCCTTCGGAGTTCCGTTCGGAGTAATCCTTTTCACTACTAGTATGGCTTAAATAATTGGGGCGGAATTTGTACTTGATCGTTCAGTTTCTCCGCGAAAACAGAACTAAGCAATATTAAGCACAATTGCGTGGCGATCGGCATGATCAGGTTGTGGAATCCAAGCGAAACAGGTTCAGGGACTATGTGACTTGAAGTTAAAGTGACCAAATTATCCTCCTCTCCATGCATAAACTATAGATTATAGATCAATTGAGAATTCTCACCTTGTTAATCGTCGTATCTTGTTCCAATCTCTGATAGAAAGTCCGACAAAGGGATTCATCTTTCGCTTCAAATGTGTCGCCTTCGCCCCCACCGCGCAATTGCATGCAACTTAATTAGTGTGAAATCCACTTGAGATTACAATTTATTGGATTCTAATTAAACTTGCATGTTGAAAATAATTATTTTATTAAGGGAATTTCACTAAGATAAGTACTTTGGCTCATTCATAATTTTTTTTATTTTTTGTTTCTGTTAAAGAGACAACAAATCCCATAGTAATGCCAGCACTTGTCATCTTACTACACTGCAGGAAGATATTGCATTAATTTACTGATCATGATCAATTGATTGAGTAATTCAATGCTATGGAGGCTGGGAATTTCAGAATGAATTTATTCCCTCATAATTCTTATGATATTTTTGATCACTAGTAGTAGGTGCTACTGTGCTAGTGCTTACACAGTCATTAAGACAAATTTCAAAGTAAACATTTGAAGGATCGTGCTATCGGCTAGGGTCACCACTTGTTGTCATAAATCTTTCCATCAACATAGTTAACCAATTCTTTCACAGGCGGCAAATGGTCTCGCCCAGCACCGAAGAGCATTCCTTGACGCAATACTTTGCGATAATTCTTTCCCGGTGATACCTTTCCTAGAACGTATTCTTGCCGAGTCTCAACCCGAGTCGGGACAGGGATCGAGCGACCAACTGCTGCTTCCACACCTTGCCAGGCAAAAGTAATAGCTTCCTTTGCCTCACCTGGGATTCCGGCTTCATCTAGCATAAGGATGCGAGTATTTGGATAATTCTGTTGGATGAAGGCAGTGATGTTCGGGTTATAGGCACCACCACCACACATGAATATTTCAGCGATCTTAAGACCCTTGGGTGCGTAGCGGCGGTAATGATCCACAATGGCCTGGGCTGTGACACGAGTAATAGTGGCAACAACATCATCTGGTGTTAGGCCTTTTGCCTCGGCCTTGTTGATGAGTTCATGAGCGAGAGTATCACGGAAGACTTCTCGGCCTGTTGTTTTTGGCGGTTCCAAACCGAAATACTTGTGGCTCAGGAAATCGTCCACTAATTCCTGGTCAACAGTACCACGTGCACCCATCTCGCCGTCTTTATCATATTCAGATTCGCCGTTAGTGTAGTACCGTACGACGGCATCGATGAAGACATTCCCGGGTCCAGTGTCAAAGTCATAGCAGGCGTCCACACCACCGTGTGTATCAGGCGGGATGAAGCAAACGTTCGCAATTCCACCAATATTCTGACAAGCTCGTAATTTAGTTGGATGATGTAAGACCAACGCATCGAAGAATGCAATTAACGGGGCGCCTTGGCGTCCAGCTGCTTGATCACTGACGCGGAAATCGGTCACAGAGGTGATACCAGTGCGAGAAGCCAAAAAGGATCCTTCGGCCATTGTCAAAGCACTCCGAGTTTCGCCAGGCTCTGGCATGGATAGGAGCCATATAGTTTGTCCATGTGAACCAAGAAGATCGATGGAGTTGATATCAACTTGGTAGTCTTCACAAAACTTGTGCACTGCGGCTGCAAAGGTCTTCCCCAAAATCACATTCACTTCGGAGAGTTCCGAGGGAGATGTTTTGTTGTGGAGGATCATTTTCATCACTCGTTTCTTGATGACTGGCTCCAAGGGTATTTCGCCATACTAAATAATTTGTTAGTTGATGCTGGGCCGGAACGGGTTTCCTTGCAGACTTGCTTTTAAGAGCTCGAAATGCATTGGTGATTCCGGTGTCTCTTGACGAAATCGACATAGAGCGCAGTCAATACCATCCTAAAATTTGAATTGTAAGCTCATATCAATTTGTATGTGTAAAGGACTGATAGTCCCATAAAATTGCAGTGACCAAACACTTACCATTGACGTCCCGCTGTTAAGCCCCAGGACTGTCATGTCAAGTGCATGACTAGAAATAGCATTTTCAATACCCGAAGAACCCATGATGAACGCAAATCAAAAGATGACAATGGAAGAGATGAAAAGGAAGAATCGAAGAATCGAAGCACACGACATTTTTGTAAGGTTACTCCCAAAATAGGGTTTATAAGGAACCAAGTTCCAACCTTGGAACACATTATCAATTACCAGAATGATACCGCAGATGCAGAACCAGCAGAGCAAGAAATACTCTCGTATTACTCTTCCTACATCTGATATTCAAGATTCTTTTCCATCTGAATGGCCCATAACATCAGACCCGCTTTAAAAAGAGAAACGGATGATCGGCAAAACGCCTAATCGGTCCCGGAAGAACAAAAAAGCAGGAAATCACCCAATGCTAAATGGCTACGCGCTTCACTAGCAAGGGTGGTGTGGTTCCATCCCCGCGCCCGCGCTTCTCCAGCTCCAGAGCTGCCCCAGAAGAAGCTCTTGGCCCTAGTGAAACTACACTAAGATCAGGGCAGGGACCCATATAAAAGAAATTAATCTTTGCATCACATCCACGTCTCATTGGGCGCACGGGTGCACTCATGCTGCATGACACACGCTATGGGGTACACTACGGCTTGGAAGCGGCTTTCGCCGCGGCAGCTAAACTTAGCTATCCACACTTTTTCGCTGATCTCGATCTTCTTTGAGGGGTATGATCAGGGTGTTATGGGAGGTGTTAACGCCGCGCCCACCTACCTCACCAAGGTGGGCATTGGCAACGATACAGATAATGGGACGGTCACGCATACGACGCATGAGGGAGGCATCGTTAGTGTCTATTACCTGGGTGCGATCTTCGGTTGCTTCGCTGGCGGGTGGCTCGCAGATCGTATCGGCCGCATCAATGGTCTGATGGCTGGCTCGTTGTTCGCTCTTGTTGGTGGTGCCCTGCAATCGGCTGCCCAGAACTCGAATTTTATGATCTGTGCGAGAGTCGTGACGGGGATTGGTACTGGAGGTGAGCTAAGTCTCCGCAAGTGTGCATTAGTGCCAGTGTGACACTGTGACCTATTGGAGAAGATATGTATTACTAGTAATTAGTGCTAACTCACCATCGTTACAGCATTGACAGGGATCACCCCTGTCTTAGTGTTGGAGACTTCCTCCGCCGATCATCGTGGCGGGTTCCTCGGCTATGTCTTTATTGCTAATTGTAAGTAGCGGAATGTCCTACTCAATATTTCTTGCGATGCTGTTTGGCTGACTTTACCTGCACCCAGATCTAGGGATCGCTATTGCTTATTGGATCTCGTTTGGGCTCTCATTTGTGAACGATGGATACTCGCAAGTACGATGGCGATTCCTATTAGCCTTCCAGTGTCTCCCCGCTTTGATCCTCGCCTCATTTATCAAGATGCTGCCCGATAGCCCCCGCTATTTAGCGTCGGTGGGTCGGAGGAAGGAAGCACGCGAGCTGTTATTCCGTCTTCGTCAAGGCAGAGCGACCCCTGATGAAATTGAAAGAGAATATTTGGAGATCGTCACCGCTGCGCGAGACACGCAACCCAGTTCGCCAGTTCAATTTGCCAAGATTTTACTAGGGAAGGGTGGAAAGCCAGGCACAAATCTAGGCCGACGAGCATGGCTCTGCATCTGGCTGCAGATTATGGCTTCCTGGACCGGTATTACTGTAAGATTGCATAATTTCTTATTCCTGCATAGCTACAAGCGATTCTGACTCGTTCTTTTCCAGGCTGTTACTGCTTATTCCCCCACTCTACTGAAACAGGCTGGTTACAGCGATGTGAAGCAGAATGGTCTAGCAGGAGGTATCAACACAATCGGTATTATCGGCACCATCATAAGCGCCCATATCATTGACCGGCTGGGCCGGCGGGCCTGTTTGATGGGAGGATCAGTGATCTTGTTCGCCGTAAACTTGATTGTAAGTCTGGATTCTGGTGTTTACTTAGATCAATCATTAATAATTGGCAGGCCGGAGCTGTGTATGAAGGCTCACTCATTCACCCTGATAAAGCGGCCGAATACGCCCCAGGAGCAGTGACGATGCTCTTCTTGTTTAACCTGGGGTAAGGCCAACCATTCTAATATTCCATCAACCGAACTTGACTGACTTTTTGACAGTTATGCTGCCACTTGGGGTACTGTGGCGTTTTTAATACCCACGGAGATCTTTCCAAGCGAGTTGCGAGCTCAGGGCAATGGTTTTGGCATCACCGGCTGGGCCATCGGAGTTGGCATGACTACCCTCGTCAATCCTATAATGTTCGGTACTATGACTGTAAGGGCAATAATTCTCTTTCTCATTCCCCAGGATCAACTACTCACTTCTTCTTAGAGCCGGACTTACTTTCTTTTCGCTGGATTGAACATGCTGTGGTTGCCAATAGTCTACTTCTGTAAGTGTCCCTACAGTGAACAAACCTACATTGGACTAACATATGATCAAGTCTACCCCGAAACTCGAAATCGTTCGCTCGAATCCATAGAAGCCCTTTTCTCAACCTCGAGTCCGTTCTATTGGAAGATGGAGCAGGCTTACATGTTGCACGGTGATGTCCTTGCAGAGCATGGAGTCTCACGCAGCGAAACCGACGAAATGGACAGGATGGAGGTGAACTCTGACAAGCCGTTGGGGCCTGCTCCTGCCTGAACATGATTGACGTCTTATAGAGCCATTCAGTGGCATCATGATAATCTTAGACCCTTTTAGACTTGGGATTGATAGAATTGGTAGAATAGGTGTGGTATTTCGGATATGGACTCTCATTTATCATTATAGATCATCTTTTATGGTGAATAATCTAACATACGCATGTTATTTGCTTTATCACATCTTTATTAAGACATTTCTATTAAACTGATAACCCATTCTATGAAATAATTGAGATGAACTGCCAGTTGATTGAAGTAAATGTAAACACCTAATGGTGATTCGCTAGCTAAAAGTCTATGACACTGTGATGAGTCAGCAAACGCCAGGCGGAGGCAAGTTTCAACGAGTGACGTTCGGACATCTTTTCCAGTGATTCGATGATTAAAAGGACTCCATTGAAATACAATATTTGTCGGTTAAAATCCTAGTGATCAAAGTGGCCTTTTTCCCTTTCACCATCTCAGCCTTGAATCAACCAAAACACGCGAACCCAGAAATCCAACCCGGGATCCCGAGCGGAAGACCGCACCTGCATCCCCGGGCCCTCACTTAAACGTGGGATACTTCTTTCGAGTCTAGGTTCGCCCCCATTTATGGGAGGCTCTGGAATGAATGTCGCAATCGCAAAAACCTCGCAAGCTTCAGCGTGTCTCTAAGGCCTGTCAGTTACACCCCCTCTTTCTGATGCGCACATTCTCCACTCATCACTTGGCGGGATGTCTAAGAGAACAGAGAAAAAAAAAATAGTTGTTTAACAGATTGATAGGCGACTTCTGCAATAGGCGCAGTATCAAATGTGGAAAGAGTGAAGATCAACTTGGCAGGTGCCAAAATTGCGCGGACTTTGATGTCCCTTGTACCTTTGATCGCCCGGCTAAACGCCGCGGCGTGAAAGCCGGTACCAGGGTCGTTCCCGTGACAGCCCGAACCCAAGCTTGAAGCCGATCCTTGAAGATCAAGTTCCAATGGGACGGGTAAATGCACCCCACAGGGCATCGGGTTCCTCGGCCTCGAGGAGCTCCTATCATCCTGACTCTGTGCCCTCCCGCCCATTGTTGACAGGAGATCCCTGGACCGCCTTCAACACTGGATGGTCAACCGCCGAAGGGTACGATGATGATGGAGCACTGCGCAATTCTTGGAAAGCCTTTGCCATCTCTTGTCACCAACAAATCCGCAATCTTGTACAGGTTTATTTCGAGATCGTCTATCCCATGTACGACTACAGAGACCCCCTATCCTGCCCATCTTGGTGCCTTTCATTTTTTATTTCTTCTGTTTGGCTAATCAACTCCCTTCAGATTTCCTTTGTTTCACAAACAATCATTTATAGAAAGAATTAACAACCAAGAGCATCTACAAAGTCAGAGTTTGTTTGCCTCGACAATGGCTGTCTGTTCATTGGTGTCAGGTCGTGCCCGTGATGGGGCTTTGTACACTAACCGATGGCATCGAGAGGAGCTGTCCGAACCACCTTCAGAGGCATTTTATGCAGCAGCTAAAGACTCGCTTCCTCGAGATCTTGCTGCTGCCAAGGGCTTCAACTATATGCGCGCCTGTGCAATATTGGCCATTGCCAGCATTCAAAATGGACAAATCAAAAATATGCAGAAATATTCCGGCATGTATCATACATTAACGACAATGGAAGGTTTTCATGATGAGAAGCTCTGGCCAAAGGATATAACCACTATTGAGATTGAAGAAAGACGAAGATTGGTACGTCGACTGCCAGTGGTATTGCAAGAAAAGAAGATGAAATTGGTAAACTAACACAAGCTCCAGTTCTGGTCAATATATACTCTCGACATCTACTCCACGATTGTGTGGGGTGGTGTAATTCGATACCGTGAAGCTCATTCCCTTGTCCGATACCCCAGTGAGGTAGACGATGAATTTATTACACATCAAGGCTACGGCATGCCTCCTGTGTCTCCCGAATCATCTGCTCTTAGCCAGGGCGAAGTCCCGGTCGTGTCACGGCAGCCTGTATCTTGGATGCATGGTTGGAACTTCACTACAGACCTCTATCGCATTCTTGAACATGTCGTTGATGGTACTCGACGCAAATTCTCATCAGCGAATGGCACACAGGAGGTCTGGTCTCTTTTCAGTCCAGCTTCCATGTCGGAGCCAGCAGTCATGGAGCGAGTGCTTTCCATGTATGCTGCACTACCATCACAATTTCGAGAGACGCCTCCCACGACTGGTGACATCAGCCAGGATCTGTTTGGTTTTCAGTCTGCAAACATCCAGGCAACCTTGCAACTTCTCCGCATGGTTCTTCTCTCGGCGAGGAGATTGGGGTAGACAGAAAATGTGACGTCGCTGGTGAATTATTGAGTGTGTTTTCAAAGGTGCCGGTGGAGTACTTGAAAGCAATCAGTTCACCTCTGCTCCACCATTTAGGAGGAATTGGCTACATTCTCGGTTCTGTCATGGAGGGTAGCCTGTCGGATGCGTCATACCAACGCGTTCGAACCCTACTGTAAGTGTGCACAATTTGATGATCCATCCTACCTAGCTTTACTAATATATCCATCAGGCTCGAAATGGCCAGTCTTCTCCATCGTCTTGAAGTCGGTCTCCATCGTGCCGCGGGTGCCAGTGAGCGTCTTCGATCACAGGTGGATCGAATCGATGGCTACATGCGCACTTCAAGATTACTGAACATATCAGCCATTCCTCCACTATCCGCTGCACCAAATGCCCTGAATGGAACATCTAATCCGAATGATGTAAAGCAAGAGCCTGCAATTCCCCGAGTGGCTTACATTCACAGCGCTCCAGCCCCTCCAGTTGGGGCAGGACCCATGGCAAACCAGATGATGCAGTTTCAATTACCACCTGAACTACTGGCAGATTGGCCATGGCCATTGGATAATTCTCACTCTGAGGGATTTTTACCATTGGCATTTGAATAGCTACATTCGAGCGGAGTACATGTGCCAAAAAAATAAAAGTAATTAATGTTTCAATAGCATTTTTCAATAATCTACCATCACCGTGCACACAAGCCTTTAAAGATATGGTTCTGCATCCGAATCCACCTTGTTCACCTTGGAAGTATTCAATCCTTCTTAAGATACTCGTCAAACCAAACAAGAGCCTGCTGGAAAGACTGCTCCATGCCGAATCTCTGGACTGTAACCCACGGATTACCATTACCAGAAAAGCCATGCCCAACATGAGAATAGACAGTAATCTGATATGGGTACTTTATCTCCTCGAGGATCAACTCGGCCTCGTGTCGGTCAGCTGTCGTAAAAACAGAATCTCGAGCTATGACCCACATCAGTACCCATATCAACAACTCTATAAGGGATAATGGTCTGACAAAAGAAAGAATAAAACGAGAAGAGACTGTAAACTTACCACCAGAAGCAAGACTCAAAGGTCCCTCAATAGTCGCCAACAATTCAGTATCCAAGTAATTCGGATGGGCAATAAAGCCTACATCCAACTTCCCACGTTCAAGATACTGACACAGACAATCACCCCCAAAGGAATACCCCACTCCGCCAATGCGCTTACATCCGAGAGTATCACGCATAGTTTGAATCATCTTGTTGACGATTCTCCCCGTGCCTTCCGGTCTGTGAAATCTTTCCCAGTAATCAATACTAAAGTTCTCGTCGCGAAACTCAGGTATCGGGTCCCTGTAGAACAGGTCTGGGATCAGAACAAAGTATCCCTCTCTGGCGAATTGATCTGCGATGTGCCGAACACCGAATCTTTGAAGACCGAAGCCATCTGTGAGGATCAAGATGGCATATTTTGTTGAGCGATCAAGCGGGTATTTGACGTAGCATGAGACTAAATATATTCATTGATTGTCAGTAGACGAGATCGTGACCTCCTCATCATGATGTTTTTCAATAGGGGACTCATGCCAGTGAAGGGACCCCGATTATCTTCAAAATGAAATCTCGAAAATATCCTAGTGGACCATATTGGGGGAGGGCGCTATGAGGAGACATGTTGATTCAAGTTCATGTGGATCAGTTGAGTGTAGAGAAGAAGTCACAATTATTGGGACTTGAGATGTGTAAAAGGGGAAGAGAAACAGTTCATGAAGAATGAAAATTTAAGGAGACATGAGATCTCTTTTCAACCAAAATACAACAAATTCACTCACAATTATTAACTCTCCCTCTTCCTCTCTCTATTCTGTATTCTCGAGTCTATACTATATGTACTATGTTCTACCCGCTTGCATTCTCATGATTGGATCAAACACGGAGAGTGGGTCAAGGATCTTCAACCTCGAAAAGTTGGAACTTGATCCTCCTGATAATAACTCTTCTCCAACTCTTCTCCCCAATTCAACAATGTCGTCCATGTCGACTCGCTCAGCTTGGCGCACTCTGCACTACAGTGCTAAGCGTCGCGCTTTTCAACCCACAACCCCCTACCGATGCTTCTCCTGCACCCGCGCATCTCAAGACCAGAAACACGATGAACGCATGACACACTTCGGATTCACCAATGTCCCCGAATCAGAGAAGGAGTCCCGCGGTAAGAATCAATTTCCAACCCAAATACTCCAAGTATTAGCTCAAATCTAACAAAAATACCTAGTCGGCGCTGTCTTCAGCTCCGTCGCTTCATCCTACGACAACATGAACGATCTCATGTCCCTAGGAATCCACCGTCTCTGGAAAGACCACTTCGTCCGCAGTCTCAACCCCGGATCCCCTCTCTCCACCCGAATCAACAACCCAACACAAAAGGGCTGGAACATCCTCGACATTGCCGGCGGGACCGGTGACATCGCCTTCCGCATGTTGGACCACGCAACAAACATCCACCACGATATCGAGACCCGCGTGACGATCAGCGATATCAATGCAGACATGTTAGCCGAGGGACGAAAGCGATCTCTCTCAACACCGTACTACGGAACCTCGCGATTGGATTTCGTTGAAGCGAATGCGGAATCCATGCCTCACATCCCTTCTGAATCCGTGGACCTCTACACCGTTGTCTTTGGTATCCGGAATTTCACCGATAAGCAGGCAGCGCTGAATGAAGCGTTCCGTGTTCTTAAGCCCGGTGGTGTCTTTGCTTGTATGGAGTTTAGTAAGGTCGATAACCCTGTTTTCGATGCTATTTACAAGCGGTGGAACTTCGCTGCTATCCCACTTATTGGTCAGCTTGTTGCTGGAGATCGGGATAGTTATCAGTACCTTGTTGAGAGTATTGAGCGCTTTCCTTCTCAGGAGGAGTTCCGTGGTATGATTCAGAAGGCTGGTTTCATGATTCCTGGAAAGGGTTATGAGAATCTGACTGGAGGAATTGCTGCTATTCACAAGGGTATTAAGCCCGTTCCTAAGGTTTAAGCCTGAGGGTAGCTGGATAACTATGGAATGATGTGGTGGTGTGTATTATAGATTTTGCATTGTTTCTTATATGTACTTTTGTATTATCATAAATTTCTACAATTCTTCTGATTCAAAATGATCTGTGTGGAAAGTGCAAAATGCCCGTTTTATGTATGGGCTTGTCAATGTTTGGCCACCCAGCTGATCTAGTAACCAATCCGTATATCCTGGAATCAAGTACACAGAAGGATAAAATAAAAAGAATAAACATTTGTAGCGTAACATCGTCAAAAGTGTGCAGCCGATGATCTGGACAATCGCAAAATACATGCAAGAAGATCATATCAAATGCTTCAACAAGCGTGACAAGCATGCTAAAAGACCACAATCACTTATTATTCACTTATTCACCCCAGATATCCTCAGCCTCTGCAATACCAATACAACTATTAGGGCGAGTGATATCCTTCATAACAGCGACCACAGCTATCGGAGTTACACCAGCTCGGGATGTGGAGATCAAATGCCGGAGGTCAACCAGAGAGATTGATTCAGGTACCAAGCACCAGTCGCTCCGGGGCACCACTAACGGATGCCTAGGGTCCTTGGCGATAGCCTCAGCCACTCGCATATCCACATCGGTGTTTTGTGCGAGAAAAGAACGAATTCGACGTGGTGGAATGATTTCTGATCGAGAATAGAAGACCCATGATTTTGCTTGGGGATGTTGAATGGCAGTTAGGAGGATATCGAGTAATCGGATATCACCAGGGTTTTGTACGGACGAAACGGTGGGTATTTGGTCAAGACGAACAAGTAAATCTGAAGAGATGCGACGATGCTCTGGTGGTGGTTGAAGTGTAAATGGAGGAATCGCTGAAGCGCTGTTGAGATCATCCCATTGCATTGAAATGGATGATGATGGGGAATCAAATGTTCTATTGGAGTCACCACTCAATGAGTTTGTCATTGGTGTTGCAGATAGGGCTGCAGCTGCACCAATTGCGCCTCCAGGGTGGTGGCTTCGGAAGACTTCTGCAGGTCCTTTGCCGGGCGCAGTGTGTAACTTGCGAGCTATTGCAATTGCCAATGCATCACCTAGACATAAAGCCACTGTAGTGGATGATGTAGGGGCACTAACACCCAATGAAGCTTCCTCTTCTTCATGAATGGGAGCTGATAAAAGAATTCCAAGCCCACAAGGTCCATGTATCGATAGAAGAGGACATTGTGATGGCTGTGTATGTGAGGTTAAAGCGATCACAGGAACCGAAGCAGGGATATGGGGCAGCAGAGAGAGTAGTTCTGGTGAGCGACCGGAGAACGATATGAGGAGCATTGTATCATTCTAAAGAATAATAGTCAGTAAACACATTCACCAGAAAGAACTTAAAGGCCCCGCATTGATCAACTGCACTGCATCTCGGGGATTATGCGGATCATAACTTGAGCAAGGGTATAGCTTACCGGTCGGACCAATCCCAAATCTCCATGTAAAGCCTCAGTAGGATGTAAAAAAGCCGAATAGATCCCCAAGCTGTTCATTGTTGCCTCGATCTTGCGACCGATCTTTCCACTCTTGCCCACCCCGCAAACAACCAGCTTGCCGCCTTCACGGATACTTTGCGCAATGCGATCTACAGCTCGCGCTAGCTCATGTTGAGCCTGGGCATTTGTCTGATACAATCGCTCGAGGTGTGTTAGCGCAGCACGCTCTGTAGACATAACATGAATTGCTGTGACTACAGCAGAAACATCTTTCATCGTAGTTGGTGGGGGATCGGCATCAGGAGGGGTGAGTGGCCAGGATGGCGAGATATCATGGGAAGCCATGGTGGGCATGAAGCATTGGACTCGTAGAGATCATGAGGAAGGTAAAGAAATTGTACAAGAGAATCTTGCCCTCTCCAGGAGACGGGGGCCTGGAGGAGTAGGGCCGGGAAAATGTGGAGGACTAAGAATCAAATCGATAACGGAGGCAGATAACGGCGGAACAGATTGTTGTATTTTCCACGGATTAAACTAGTTATGTACATTAGAAGAGCTAGAATTGGCTGATCTAATCTTACATTATTCCAATGTTCAGATCGGGATAGATTTTAGTTCTGTGAGTGGTACTCCGTACATGCAGATCGGCTGCATAGAATAATCAATCCGAGATGGTGTCATTGACTGCATTGATGGTGCAGGTCGATCCGTTTCCGGATTTAGTAACACCGATTGTTCCAAGGTTCTCGGAGATGACAGCTACCGAATACTTGTAGCTTGAAGAGATATTTCAAGTCATAAACAAAGAGAAGACCTGGGAAACATATGGAGAAAGATATAGAGAAAGACATTTAGCTAACCTTGAACCATGGAGTGTATAGGTGGATTGTAAACTTCAAGTTCTTATGAGAATCTAAATCGAGAGAGGATCTATGCCTCCTATGTACGGCGATAGCAGAAGGAGAATTATGTACAATCGACTGCTTCAGGATCATCAGACTGAAGAACAACTAGACAAGATTGAACCTATTCTAGGTGACAACTTGAAACTTAAGAAGTCTTTGAAGCCTCAGAACACAGATAAAAATGGGCAATAACGTCGCAAAGCAGAGCTAGGAACAAAGCAAGTAAAAAATAAAATAAAAACCAATTCCATGTAATAAAATTTCCAAACGCCAGAAATCATGATATCGTCTAATTCTCGTACAGCGCCATTGGGGATAAATCCTATGGTTCACCGGAGTCAGGCTGGGACCAAGACCACTTGGGAGACTTGGAGAGACTTTGCCGGAGGAATTCGATCAAATCGAATTTAAAATCCATATTTGAGACAGAGAGACATCAATGTGAAGGGGGTATCGTTCAAGGTCGTAGTTGTGTGTTGTGTTCATCAAGGCCGCGCGGCAACGGGGAGGAACTCCTCACCCTGACTTTCCCTCTTGTCTTTCCTTGCCCTTTTCATTTGATGTGCCATCATCTTCGTAAAGATGATGCTGCTCAATGTAATGAATCACGGGAACGGGAATGAGATAACGGACACTCATCTCACGTCGTAAAAAGAGTCGGATCTTGGTGCTGCTAACGTCGTTTTGAATGAGCTGCTGGATTACGTAGATATTGTCCTTCCAAGGTTGCAAACTAGCCAGCGCCTCATCAATATCGGTACCACTGCGCTCAACAATAAATGACTGGAGAAAAGAGAATTATTAGCATAGGAATCTCTCATGGTTAGAAATCGAGTTCACTTACGCCATATTTGCCAAGAATGTGATCCAGATCCTTCTGACTCCAAACACCGGGCGTAGACATAGTGTGAATTAGATCCGCTCCAGCAAGTAAAGCAATGCGAACAGGCTTCCGGGTTCCATCGCCAGCTTCAACTCCACCTCGGACTGTATTGATTTCGTGGTCGAAGTGGTCCAGTACCACCGCGGTCGGCTGGTAGGCCTTCTGCATCGGCTCCCAGGTATCAACCATAAGCCAGTCCGAGGTCTGATCGACTGCTAATTGACACATCGCAACTCTATCCATTCAGAATATTAGCAACCGATCAACTCTTTATTTCTGCGACCAGTGAGGGTTTATTACCGGTGGTCTGCGTTGGCAAGACCGGCTTTGCGATAAGAATCGGATACGGGCGAGAGGTAACCACCCAGTAATTCAAACTCGGTACTAAATTTGACGTAATCGGCGGCCATTTCGAACATGCGCAGGTGGAGGTAGGTGATGGGTGAAAAGGAACCACACGCGACCAGCAGGAGTGGCGTCTTCTCCGGGTCGGTCATCTTGCGCTTCAAGCGCAGTTCAGGAAAGACATAATCTTCCATGGGAGCGGAGGGAATATGGTCGAGACGCTGGTGAACGTCGTCACTCTGGCCTCCGACCATTTGAGCGGCCATTGTTGTTGAATGGATTTGACAGATTTCAAGTAAAGAAGAATTGGGGAAGGTGGGGAAGAGGGGGTTTTAAAGGAAGTTTATGTGATTTTCTAATTTCTTAACGCGGGGGCGAACGGCGAACGGCGAAAACGGGGAAATGAATGGACCGCGTGATTAATAAGGTCTCGGTGAGTCAATGTATAATCTCGACTTAGACTTAGACATGATAGGAAGAATAGGAAGAATAGGCGGGATTTACTAGTGAGTATTTAAATATTTATAGTAGTCTAATTCAAATGTTGCATCTGGATAGTCCTTTACTCTGTGCTACTACTAGTACTAATACATAGTATGCAGCCCTGGAGTACTCTACCTGACGTAGGGAGGAGATCCACGTCTTGAGAAATGAGAAAACCAGGATTCTACTAACCTGAAACTACGTAACAATTGATGTAAAGATAAAGTAGTATTTTAAATTAAATTTGATGCCAATCCTTTTATACTTCAACTTCAAGTGCTACTACCAGCAGTAATTATATTACTCTGAGTTTAATATCAACCTTAAAATACAACTTAAGCACCTAGTTAAGTGTTATTAGCACTTGAGTATGTACTACTAGTCATTAGGTACTATGGCAATAATAGTAGTACATAACAACCATGTACTCCGTATAGTCCGAGTCTTGAGTCCTTCCTATACAAGTAGTAAAGACCGATACTATAGAACTTCTAAAAATCTAGTATAGTACCCCAGGGCTAGTATACTACTACATACTATGAGAATCCTGTAAATATCATCTACATCTCTTAATTAATTTGTATACTAAATATTCAAATATCAACATTCAAACTCATCTACATGTCTCTGTGCCCAATATGTACCCAGGCAGAATATCAAGGTACCAAATTGTCTTATCTCATCATCAGTGTTGCACTTCCGCCGCCTCACGCTCCCCGAAATTGATACCTTCTCCTCCACCCTCTCTGATCTTTCCCCAACTCTTCATTTTATTCTTTTTTTTCTTCCCCCCATCCATCTTCGGGATTTTCTTTCCTTGTGCGTGCGTTATTCTTCCTATTACCGTCTACTGCCCGACCCGATATCTTGCCGCCCCCGTCCCAAGTTCCCCATCTTTCGCCTCACCCTCTTCACCCGCTTGTACGCCAACTGCTATCAGGTGTGCGGATGGCGGGCTGAATCGGTGTTCACCTCTATCTACCAAAGATCCCCCTCCTTGATCCGATAACTTATGGCCAGGCAAAGGCCGTCCGTCAACCGTCAGGACCCTCTTGAGGATAATTCCGTCTCCCCCGCAGGAGCTGCTACCACCTCCTCTGCTCTGAGGTAGTTTCCCATCTCCTTCGCCTTGACCCTTTCCCATCCCCCCTCCTTTCTGTATCTCGTCTCTCCCTCGTGGTGGTTCTGCCTGATCCATCCTCAGGCATCCCTTATTCAACAAAACCCCCAGAAAAAAAAGCAAACAATTCGACTGGATCACTTGATTTCCTCTTGCCTCGCTTCATCTTCATCTTGTCACACCTTCCAAGCGGATTTTCCCAGAATCCTCTTGTGCCAACTGCGGGGAACCTGGAAAGATTGACGCCATAGCCTCTGTCCTCTCTCTTTTGCTCTCAGGCTTCATATCCCCCTCTCCTTTCCACCCACAACTCGTGATATCCCTCATCCGTCTCTTTTACCTGTTCCCTCTTCCATCGCCAATCATATCAGCCAAACCGGTTACTCATGTCACGCAGAATCACTCGCTCCGCTGCGAGACTTGCTACAGACCCTCCTCCGCCCCCTGAAGACACCAATACACCAAATCCTGCCGCTGGCTCGGCTTCCCGGAAACGCAAAGCAGTGGCACGTCGGGATCCTCAATCGGATAACGCCAACCAACCCACGACTAACTCTCCTCCCCGACGATCCAAGAGACAGCGAACTGCAGCAACCACTTTCACTCCTGCTGCACCCGCTGCTTCTACGTCTCGTCGAACTGCTCGTCGTCCAGCCATGTCACAGCCGGGGTAAGTGTTCAGTGTGACTGCTTTACTTGGTCACGAATATGAAATTAATATTGGGTGCTTTGCGCTCTACTTCTAGACCTTCTTCTCGTCCATCGGAAGATTCAAAAACACCTGCATCTCCGCCTCCTTCTAGACGGAGATCTAGCCGAAATGGTACGACCAACAACACTACCAGAGAAATGGCATCTCTCACCGTAGCTGACTTAGAGTCATCTTTCTCAGACCGACTTGCTGCGACCCAGTCTCCACCACCACGCCGACAGAAGAAGCGACCCACGAAATCAAATCCAGATGTCGTAATGCGAGATGCCGAGGAGGACCTGGATGACGAAGATAATCATGAAGAGCAGGAGGAATCACCAACTGGCGATAGCAATGATGGAACTCATCTCTCTGGCTTCGATGATGAAGATTTGGATTCCTTCCACAGTAGCCTTTTCGGTGGACGCGGTGCCATGGGTTTACAGAATACCCTTCGTGCCCTCAGCGGTATGATGAGTGGCATGTCTTCCCGTCTGCGAGATATCCTTTGCAATTTGAGAGAAAAGGATAACCCCTCGATTCAGCTAGTCGCTCTCTCAGAGCTCTCGGAGCTCTTGCTTGTTTCCAACGAAGACAACCTATCCGGCCAGTTTTCTCCTGATCCATACGTGAAGGAACTGGTGACTTTGATGCAACCAAACCAGTACGGCGAAGAGAACGCTGAAATCATGCTACTTGCCTGCCGCTGTCTTGCCAATTTAATGGAGGCCCTTCGAGGCTCTGTGGCTAACGTGGTCTATGGAGGCGCAGTTCCCATCTTATGCCAAAAGCTTCTGGATATCCAATTCATCGATCTTGCCGAGCAGGCTCTAAGTGTATGTCTATTCTGAACCCATCTTGACCCACGTGCGGTGTACGGTGGATGCGGTCAATTTTTTTGGACTTTTTGCTAACACATAGACTTAAGACACTTGCCAAAATATCGGTGGACTTCCCGGCTTCGATCGTACGAGAAGGAGGTCTGACAGCGTGTCTGACATATTTGGACTTCTTCCCCACAAGCACCCAGCGGACGGCTGTCACGACTGCTGCAAACTGCTGCCGCAATCTTCCTCAGGACTCTTTCCCTGTTGTGAGGGATGTTATGCCCACCCTTCTCAATGTACTCTCTAGCAATGACCCAAAGGTGGTTGAGCAGGGCTGCTTATGCGTCTCTCGTATCGTTGAAAGCTTCAAGTATCGACCACAAAGCTTGGAGGAGTTGATTGAACCTGCAATGCTTAAGGCTGTCCTTCGCCTCCTTCTTCCTGGCACTACAAACCTGATCGGACCTCATGTTCACACACAATTTCTCCGCGTGTTAGCAATAGTCTGTAAGGCTAGTCCGAACTTGTCGATTCAACTTTTGAAGATGGATGTTGTCGATACCCTTTACCAAATATTGACTGGGGTTTCGCCGCCACAAAATGTGGACAGCACCGCAGTCAAGATGGACAGCGTCCTGGTTATGCAAGCGTTGATTCATCGGCCTCGCGAACAAGTCCTGGAAGCACTCAATGTCATCTGTGAATTGCTTCCTGGCGTCCCTAACCGTGAGGCGTCTCGGGCCGACAATCTCCTCAGCTCGTACTTCGATAATAGCATGTCCATCGGGTTGAAGTCAGATAAAGCCAAAGACAATCCGGAGGAACGATGTGCCTTGCTAGACCAGTGCAAACCGGAGCTCAAGCGTTTTGCCACCATTCTATTCCCGACCCTCACTGATGCCTACTCTAGTACGGTCAATCTCCACGTTCGACAAAAGGTTCTGATTGCGCACCTGAAAATGCTTCACATTCTTGAGCCAGCCTTGATCGAAGACGCTCTTCGCACAGTCCCCTATGCCTCATTTTTAGCAGCTATTCTATCGCAAAAGGACCACCCTTCGCTCGTTTCATTGGCCCTTCGGTGTGCCGAGTTGCTATTCCAGCGCCTTGAACATGTCTACCAGCATCAATTCCATCGCGAGGGAGTCATCTCTGAAATCGTCAAGTTAGCTGAAGCAACTCCATCCACCGCCGAGGAAACCCACCCCGTCGGAGTCAATGAAAATAAGGTTCCTACAGAGGATGTTGACATGGACGCCGGTGAAGTTCCTAGCCACGGTAACAAGAATGATGACTCGGAAGACGATGATCTAGACAACGACGACGATGAGGATGGGGACGAAGATAATGAAGATGTCTCAGACTCGGAGACCTCCTCCGTCTCGGGCCGTCAGTCCTTGGAGAAACTTGACAAGGCTCTTAACGATCTCGTCGTTCGCGATGCTCATGCCTTCCTGAAGATCTACGAAGCTGGTAATGGTGCGTCTGTGCGAGATGAGGCTCAAAAGATACTCACTGAGCTTCAAGCCCTGGCTGCCAAAATTCGCACCTGCTACTCCAAGGGTGGGGACAACAATGGGCTTCCTCTCTTTAAAAGCCTAGCCTCATACTTTGATGGAGATGCGCTCGAGAGTATCACTAGCTCCGAATTGCTGAACTCAGGTATCATTGACATGCTTCTGGAGGTCCTGGGTGACTTCAAAACGCCGTGTATTAGGTTTGCACGATCTGCCTTCCTACAGGCGTTCATGGGCTCCACAATCTCCGAGAAAGCACAGAGCCAGAGCACGGCCACCACGCCATTCAGCGTTCTCATTCGCAAACTCCAAGATTTGCTGAGTAGAACTGAGCATTTTGAGGTCATGACCGTTAGCCATAACTCTTTGGAAAACACTCGCAGCAATGCGGCATACATGCTTGGCAAACAACTTCGTTTGAAACTTGTGGCCGAGGAGGGCACTGACGTTCCCCGTCCTTACCGAAACCTCATGGTCTCTATCCATGCCATCGCTACTTTCAAGGCCTTGGATGATTTCCTTCAGCCACGAATTGCTGTATCGGAACGCCCACGCCAGTCTCGAACCAGGGATGCAATTATGTCCCAGATTGCTCAAGCAGCGCGTATGCGTGAACAACTCGAATCTGATCAAGCCCCATCTGGTGGAAACAGAACTTCTCGTACCACACAAACTGGCGGAGGTGCAACTGGGCTCCCAGGCGGAAATAATAACCAAGCACCACCCGCAGAGCCACGTCGACGCCGTCGAGGCGCTCCATTACAGGAGGACGAGGATGAGCATGACGATGAACCGCTGGAGTGTGCCGACGAGAGACAGATGAGTGATGATGAAGATGACGAGGTTGATGAGGCGGAAGAGGACGAGGAACTCAATGCGATCGTTGATGATCTTGAGGATGATCTTGAAGATGACCATGTACATGATCCGACTGCGGTCAATATGGAAGTCGCCTCCTCTGGCAAGGTTACTGCAAGAAAAGAGGATGGGACTCGCATTGGCACTCCTTCGCAGTCTACCTCAGCATCCAAACCTTCTTCATCCGCACCAAGCACTAGTGCACCGCTGGCTACTGCTGGACGCCCATATTCCTCATATGCCGCTGCCATGGCTTCCATTCCCCAAGATTGGCACATTGAGTTCTGTGTCGATGGGAAGCCAATCGCTAGCGACATTACTGTTTATCGGGCCGTACACCACAACCGCGAGCACATAGACGAGGCCAAGGCTAAGAATATCTGGTCTGCTGTTCATACTGTCACATATCGACGCGTTCCTGGCCCACCACCGCCTGAGCCGTCTACACTGACGGAAACTAAGCAGAACGATTCATCAGCTACCGATCGTCTCGAAATGCCGGCTTCTCTGAGCAAAGATGCCATTACAGCTTCGATCCTTCGCTTGCTCCGTATCGTGCATGAAATGAATGCTACAATCGATGATATCCTCATGGATGCTCGCGATCATGGCACCATCAGTCCGGAGCCTCTAGCACAGTTCATCAATACCAAGCTGACTGCTAAGGTGAACCGCCAACTGGAGGAGCCATTGATTGTCGCAAGTAGCTGTCTTCCAAGCTGGAGCGAAGACTTGGCCCGTCTGTTCCCCTTCCTGTTCCCCTTCGAGACTCGGCACATGTTTTTGCAATCTACCTCATTTGGGTACTCTCGTGCTATGATGAGATGGCATAACTCTCAAAGTGCCGAAGACAGTCGCCGGGACATGCGGCGAGACGACCGACCATTCCTTGGCAGGCTTCAACGCCAGAAGGTGCGCATCTCACGCACTCGCATCCTGGATTCAGCGATGAAGGTAATGGAGCTTTACGGATCGTCTCCCAGTGTTCTGGAAGTGGAGTACTTTGAAGAAGTTGGAACTGGACTTGGACCGACTCTTGAGTTCTACTCGACTGTCTCGAAGGAGTTCTCGAAGAAGAAGCTTAAGATCTGGCGGGAAACTGATAGCACCATGTCATCTGGCGATTACGCATTTGGAAAGCGTGGTCTTTTCCCGGCTCCCATGACTGAAGAGCAAGCATCTCAAGATGCCGGCAAGAAACAGCTTGGTATCTTCAAGGTGCTTGGAAAATTTGTCGCTCGATCCATGCTGGACTCTCGAATCATCGATATCTCTTTCAACCCGGCATTCTTCCGCATTGCTGACACGCTCTCTTCGGTGGCACCATCGTTGGGAACCGTCAAGGCTGTGGATGAGGACCTAGCACGGTCTTTGGTCATGCTGAACCAATTTGTGAAGGCAAAGAATGCAATCCAAGAAGACCGAACTCTATCTTCAAAGGAAAAGACCAAGGCTATCCAGAACGTAGTTGTGGATGGTGTACGTGTTGAGGACCTTAGTCTGGACTTCACGCTTCCCGGATACCCATCGATCGAACTTATTCCTGGTGGATCTGACATCTTTGTGACTATCGATAATGTCGATCAATATGTGGAACGAGTGATCGATATGACTCTGGGCAGTGGTGTTCGTCGTCAAGTGGAGGCTTTCCAAGCTGGATTCTCTCAAGTATTCTCATACTCCGCTCTGCGCGCCTTCACTCCCAATGAGTTGGTCATGCTTTTTGGACAAGCTGAAGAGGATTGGTCGATTGAAACCCTCATGGATTCTATCAAGGCCGATCATGGATTCAATATGGATAGTAAGAGTGTTCGCAACCTCCTTCAAACCATGAGTGAGATGGACAACCAGCAGCGCCGTGATTTCCTGCAATTTGTTACGGGCAGTCCCAAGCTTCCTATCGGTGGTAAGTTTTTTTTTTCTACCCCCCTTTGTATAGTTTTTTTTGGCGTTACGGTGGATTTCTTTTTTGGAAATCTTGCTAGTACGGTGGATGTTCTCTGCTCTGGATTTTTTTTCTGGTGCGGTGGGCATCTTTTTTTTTGGACTCTGCCTGTACGGTGATGGATTGTATCCCTTTTGGGAACTTTAGTAGTGCGGTTGTTTGTTGCCCCTAGGTTGGGCGGTGGTCTGTTCTGGCTTGCCAATACGGTGTTCCTTCTCAGCCTTCGCTCCCTTCTTCGCTCTTGCGGTGTTTTTCTTTTCTTTTCTTTTTCTTTTTCTTTTTTCTTTTTTTCTTCTTCTTTTCTCTCTCTGGGAATTTACTAATACGGTTTACAGGCTTCAAGAGTCTCACCCCGATTTTCACCGTCGTGTGTCGCCCAAGCGAACCACCTTACACCCCAGACGATTATCTGCCCAGTGTTATGACCTGCGTGAACTATCTCAAGCTCCCAGACTACAGCACCTTAAAGGGGCTCAAGGATCGACTGTCGGTCGCGATTAAAGAAGGACAGGGCGCGTTCCACCTTTCCTAAACACGACCTCGCTTCTTTTGTCTGCTTCCGTTCCTAATTCTCTCAAAAATTTCCAACATTGAATCCCCTCGACAACTGGCAGTGCCGGTATTGCCCCCAGAAAATGTGACTGGTCTTCCATTCCTTCAAGGCTGTGGTGGGACGTTCTTAATGATGCGACGACGTGCGACTTGCTGATTTCCACTTGATCCCCCCTCACATTTTCCAAGTTTTTTTTTCTTCTTTTTTTTCGTTTCTTTCCTTTTCGGCCGGGGTGATTCTTTCATTGCTTTTTCAGTCTTTTATATGCCATTTGGGGCAGGGGGCGTCAAGGCGGACTCCCTTCTCATGATACTGATATTAGATAGCACTAAATACCATTTTCTATCAGTATTAATTTTTATCTTCAATTTTTCTAGTTATCTATAGCTCATATCCTGGCATCACAGTAGCATACTAGATGTATATTTGAATTTCAATTTTTTGTCAACCGTGGAACTTGAAGCTTCCAAACGTACAAGTTCTATAAGCGGATTGAGGGTGCACATGTGGGTAATAATGCCATTTCCGTACGATATTAACTTGAATTTTTATAGCTAACTTGAAGCTATTCAAGAACCTTCCAGTGGGCAGCTGCTTTGTGTTTGACGAGTTAGGTTGAGCGATCATTTCCCACTGGTCCAACCTTGGAAGTTGTCAATATGCTGAATATTCTTTGTTTCTTTTCTTTGCTTTTTCTTTTTTCTTTTTTTTGGTCTCCGAGGTTTTTCCTTCAACATTTTAAGTGACCAACATTCAACATATCGATCGAAATGCTCGATGATCAACTAGTTCAGCTAATTTTCTTTAGGAGAACAACGTCCACATATCTTAGGCTACTATAAAATTAAATTGAATGATTAAGTGTAGTCTATTTGAGTCTGTATCTATAAGTCATAAATGTGCAGCTGTACCTGCACTAGCAACCACTGCTAGTGATATTACAAGCACTGGAGAGCTCTGGAGGGCGCTATTCGTACCAATATCAAAATATTAAGTCCGGTAAACAGACACCATCGACTATCAAATCATGTTAGTTTGAGACAACATGGCTACTAGTATTCCAGGGTGCAACTCACATCAGCAAACTTGGGCTCAATGAACAAAGCCTTAGCCTCAGCAACCATAACCGCTCCCTCGCTATCCTCTGATAACAAACTCTCATCCGGCATGAGATCATATACCCCAGAGCTCTGACCCTGGCTTAACGGCAAGGCCAATGGAAGATAGATCATCTTCCCATGAACCCAAGCCTTTCGACCCTCCACCTTGGTTGTCTCAGTGCGCAACACATACAACCGATCCGGAAGCGCAGGTTTCCGAAAATCCACATTTAAATTCGCTGTCATTCCCAATCCACTTGGGAATGCAGCGGATATACAACGCGCAAAGACTTCATCGAATAAAACGGATAATAAACCCCCATGCACAAAACCCGGATGTCCACATAGATCTCGACCGATGTGGAATACTGAAACAACGCTACTGGTCTTCACACTGGAACTTTCGGAGATGGGATCTGACTCTTTGGCTTCTTCCTTTCGTGATGAAGTCCACATATATGGTGCTAAGGCTAGCTTTCCCGGTCCGGCGAGACTGCCACCTACGAAATGGTGTTGGCGGATAGCTGGTGGGATGGCGAGATGGGGTCTTGATTCTTTGTAGGTTTGTGATTGACGAAGGGATTGGACGAAAGGGATTTGAGAGATTAAGGTGTCGAGTTTGTGGGAGTCCGATGTAATTGATTTTGCTTGTTCAACGGGTGGGATGGGAGCTTGTTGGTTTTGTGGGAGGGCTTGCTCATGGACGACGGCTGAGCGAGATGGTCCTTGTTGATGAAGGTTGGCGGTTTGCGCATAGAGGAACGAGGATCTGACGAGTGATGCTGTTGATGGGCGTAGCCATCTTGTTGAGATTGAAAGACTGGTCATATTGTATCTCGTTTACTGGTGATGACAGGTAGTATAGATCTATAAATACATGTTAATGAGGTCCTAGCTTGTGATGCAGATCTAAGTCTCTTACCTGCATGTGCCTAGAGGCTAACGCACAATAATCTGCGGCTAAGTGGAATCCCGGAACTTTCGTGACAGACTGTATATCAAGACTGTCGTGGTTGCAGCCCTGGAGGAGTTCGATGCCCAGGTGGCGTCGGGTATGGGATGACGGCACTGGTAGTATGAAGGGTGAGTTCCTGGGGGACTTTTACCTATTCCCGCTAGTCATAATTTACGGGTCCTTTCTTTTCTAATCTCCTGGGTTTTTTTCTGGAATTTTTTTCAGATGGACCCAACAGTGGGTCTTCAAGTCCCGATTTTCGGCTATCGGATTGATCCCGAGATCTCGGTATGCCGATATGATCTACATATGGTCATGTTTATACACTTGCTATGGAATAGATTTTGCAGGTTTGTATGAAGTAAATGGTATTCGAGTAAGCTTTTATTTGAACTGTACAGATGAACATAAATATGGTATAAGGTAATGGTCAAACTTGATCAACGAAGATCAAAGAATTTAGAAGTTCAATGGGTCAAGGTGACCCAGGAAGGCATTGTTACCCTCACCACGCAAGAGGGCTTCGATATCAACACGACCAGCTGTGAGATAACGCTCACTCACACCAATGTTGATACGCTGCGAAAGCTGGTTCTTCAACTCAGCTCGCAGACCCTGAAGTTCACCCTTAGTGATAGTGCTAGCCTGCTTCTCCTTCTGTTGTCGTCCACCACCACGACCACGACCCTTGCCCTTTGACTCATCGAATTCCTCGCTATCATACTCAACACCGAGATCCTCCGCCGCAGCACGCATCCAGTTATCTTCAGCGGAGACCTTCTCCTTGGCAATGTTGGAATCGGTGATACGCTTCGCCAAAGTAATACGAGGGCGGAGACGAGACACAACACGGCGGTCAATGTCAAGGGACTCCAAGGGCAGCTTCTTGGCGCTAACATTGGGGTCCCTAGCGTGAACCTTCGCGGCCAAACGAGCGACACTAACAACCTCATCCGGAGCACAGATGATAACACTCTTACCGATTGCACCAGCACGAGCAGTACGACCGGATCGATGCACATAAGCATCAGCAGTGCGGGGTGCATGGTAGTGAACAACACAGTCGATGCCCTTGATATCGAGACCACGGGCTGCGACATCTGTAGCCACCAGAATGGAGCTAGGGTCGGCAGTTGGTGAAGAGAAGCGCTCCACAGAGCGAAGTCGAGCCTTTTGTGCCATGCCGGAATGCAGGGCAAGGGCAGGAAGCTGCAATGTCTGAAGAAGTTGAGTAATGCGGCGAACGGCGGAGATAGAGTTGGTGAAGACCAATGTCCGGTGTTTGGGGTGGTAGAGCAGAAGCGAATAGAGATAGAGATCCTGTTTTCATCGTTAGCGCTGCTGGGAATAGCCTTGAGTGATATTGTTGATTCTCACCTTTTCCATTGCAGGACATTCCACAATACCCTCCTTCAATCCTTGAGCCATCTGTTGCACAGGGTTCACATCGACGAACTTAGGCTTTTCTTCACGGAATTTGAGCTTCTTCAAAAGATACTCCATCGACTCTTTCTTGTCCATTATGTCTCCTCCAGTCCAGCGGCTCTTACCAGCAAGCTTCTGTTGTAGGTCACGGTGGAAAGTAGCTGAAAAGACAAGGGTCTGGCGGGACACGGAAGCATCCTCTGTCTCTTCTTCCTCCTCATCTGGGAAGTCGTTTTGAACCTGTCGATCTAAAGCGCCAAGAATCTCTTCCGCCTCCTTGAAATGACCTTCGCTAAGCAATCTATCTGCCTCATCAACAACCAGGAATTGAATGCTTTGCATCTTGCGGATCAACCCTGTTCCGGTGCTGAGAATCTCCCAAACACGACCGGGTGTACCGATGACAATATCAGCATTAGCGAGCTGTCTCTGTTGCTTTTGAATAGAGAGACCACCTGTGAGAAGAGCGATTCGTACATTTGTATCCGGCGAGTTTGTAGCCAGATCCCCAATGTGCTTGGCTAATTGATGGGCCAACTCTCGTGTAGGTGAAAGAATAAGGGCCATTGGGGATGAAGGTGCCTTCTCAGCTGATTTGCCCTGCTTCTCGCGCTTTTCTAGGTAATGCTCGAGGATAGGAATACCAAAGGCGAGCGTTTTTCCTGAACCAGTTGAGGCTTTTCCAACAACATCATGACCATCCATGATGGATGGGATACAGGCCTTCTGGATCTTACTAGGGGAAGAAAACTTCAGCTTAGACAGGCCAGTGAGAATCTCGGGAGACAAGCCAAGATCGTCCCAAGCTGATACATCAACACCATCATCATTGCCATCATCTTCGAGCGCAGCAAAGGAAAGATTAGCCTTGAGGTTTGAGTTTTGTGAGGATTTGTTGTCCTTTGGCTTGGCTTCTGTTGTCTTGGGTTCCTTCTTTTCTTTATTGTCTTTCTTCTTGGGCTCTTTGGTCTCCTTCTTCTTCTTGGCCTTTTTATCTTCTTTGGGTTCTGGAGTCTCATCGATTGTAGTAGTTGGCTTTTCGGTTGTTTTTTTCGCCTGACTCTCCATCGCTAAAACCAGACCATTCATCAAATTCTGTTTCTTCGGCGGTTGGTGTTCTCAAGATAGACTTCTTTGGTTTGCCTGATTTCGCCTATTGCCAGTTTTCCATTAGCTCAGGCGTGCTTCATACGATGCAATAATCTCATACCTTGAATTGAATCTCTCCCGAACCTTCTGTACGAATAATTTCGACATCATCAATTTCCTCCAAACCAAAGAATCCCTCCGCATCAGTCATGCGATCAGGCATGGCAACCTCCTTCCAGTTCAGATCATCCATACTGACCAGGCCGTCCCAGGAATCATCTTGTGATGCTATCGCGGCCTTGGCGCCCTTCTTGCGTTTTTTGGCCTCGATAGCCTGGGGCTTCGAGTCACGGCCTCGTTTTTGACCCATTATGACAGTAAGTCACACTCAAAAAGTAACAAACTGGAGGGTGTTCAATGTCAATAATAGAAGATTGAAGTGAAGATTGCGCAGAGAAAAAAAAGCGGCAGAAAGTCTCCGCCTTTCGAAATCTTATCGGAAGCTTGACATGCGGGTGCTCTAGGCGGTAAAGAGTATATGGGCAGAATTTATTTTTGACTCTTGAGTACCCACGGTGGGGTATATTGGAATTTCTGGACAAAAGGAAACTTCCCCTCAATTTTCTAGGTCTACTAAGCACATATCCCTCTCACAAAATGGGAAAGTCATCTAAGGATAAGCGCGATGCTTACTATCGTCTCGCCAAAGAACAAAATTGGCGTGCGCGATCCGCCTTCAAATTGATTCAGATCGACGAACAATTCGACCTTTTCGAACACGAGAACCCCGAAAAAGTGACAAGAGTCGTTGACCTTTGTGCCGCACCAGGAAGTTGGAGCCAGGTTCTAAGTCGAGTCTTGATCAAGGGTGAAAGTTTTGGACGCAGAGCATGGCTTGAGAAGAAGCAGAAAGAGCAACAGGCTCTGCAAAAGGGCTCGAACCAGGATTCCAGTGACGACAAGGACCTCGAAGATCTCTATGAAATTGGAGAATGTGACCCCAGCGCCGAATTGAAGCCTCGCAAGAATGTCAAGATTGTCTCTATCGATTTGCAACCAATGGCACCTCTGGAGGGAATTACCACTCTCAAAGCCGATATCACCCACCCCTCTACGATTCCTCTGCTCCTTCGCGCCTTGGACCCGGAAGCCTACGAATCATCTTCAGACTCTCCCTCCACAACCCCTGCGCCTATAAGACAACCGCACCCTGTCGATCTAGTTATCTCAGATGGTGCACCCGATGTCACCGGACTCCACGACTTGGATATCTACATTCAATCCCAATTGCTATATGCTGCTTTGAACCTTGCCATGGGTGTCCTTCGCCCAGGCGGCAAGTTCGTAGCGAAGATCTTCCGCGCTCGTGATGTCGACCTACTTTATTCGCAACTGCGCACCGTTTTCGAGAGAGTTAGCGTCGCGAAGCCCCGTAGTAGTCGTGCTAGCAGTCTGGAGGCATTCATTGTGTGTGAGGGATTTATCCCGCCTACCGGTGATGACAGTATCGCTGGAATGGCCGCATTGAAGAATCCTCTTTTCGGCGGTGCTGCAAACCCGAAGCCTGTCTCCGAGGATGGAAATCTCGCCGTTGAAGTACCCGATGACGATGAGAACGATGCGCCTCAACCGATTTTGACTAATTCTGCTGAGGTCAATGCTGCTTCAAACCACTTTACACATATCAGCTACCTGCATCCATCCACATCCCCATTGGATCCTCCTTCTACCCAGAAGCCGCCCTCTAAATTTGCCGAGGAAAACCGATGGATCCCATCCTTCGTCGCTTGTGGTGATCTTTCTGCTTGGGATTCAGATGCTTCCTACACTCTGCCACCAGACTATGTGCATTTGGATCCTGTTCAACCACCTACCGCTCCTCCGTACCGTAAGGCGTTGGAAATGAAGCAGAGATTGGGTGGTATGCACGGAAAGACTAAATATGCGCAACCGAAGAAGGAGTAAATTTCTCTCTGGACTGGAAATAAAAACTATGGATTTAACGGATAGATGATCATTTATGATGTATAGCTAGAAAAGATGGCGTTTGCATAGACCTGATAAGGCTGTTTGAGGAGGCAGATACCCGTACAATCAGTCTTAGGACTGTTATTAACTCAATCAAACGATCAAAAACATTTGGAAACTTCAAATTCTTAATGAGTTCAAAATTTAATTAAAAGAAAAGAGAATTGTATGTCATAATACTATAGATGCATTTTGATGTCTATGAACTTGCGCTAGGCCAAATCAAGATCTAAATAGGTGGGGAATAGACAACATGATGGGTAAAAAAAAGAAAATGCCAATCGTCAAATCATGTCAAGCTATGAGCTCAACTTCTAGTACACCTCCAAAACGTAACGCTCCTCATCCTTCAACTTTTCAATCTCCTTGCGAGTATCAACCTTCTTGCCGCTGGCCTTGGCCTCAGCAGCGATAGCCTCCTCAAGGACAGCAGTCACATCGGGCACGGGCCAAGTGGGACCACACAGGTAGAAAGCACCATCTTCCTGAATGTAGGCCTTGCGGATCTCAGCCAAGCTCTCGCGCATGCGGTCTTGGATGTAAATCTTCTGAGGCTGGTCACGAGAGAAGGCGGCACCAAGAAGGGTGATAACTCCTGCCTCCTGGTAGGCCTCCCACTCCTCTCCGTAACAGTACTCCTCGCGCTGGTGACGAGAACCCATGTACAGGAGAACGGAACCAATCTCCTTGCCCTGAGCCTTCTCGAGAGCGCGGTGCTGCACGAAAGCACGGAATGGCGCGAGACCGGTACCTAGACCAGCCATAATGAGGGGCTGGGTGGACTTCGGGGGCAGCTTCATCACACTGGACTTCACACTGACGGTGATGGAAGAGCCCACTTGCAGACGGCTCAGGTAGCGGGTAGCGAGACCGAAGCGGTCCTTGCCGTTGGGGCCAACCCAGTTGACTGCGACGATCATCAGGGCGACGCTGTCGGGAGTAACCTTCTGGCACGAGGCAATGGAGTACTCGCGACGCTTCAGAGGACCAACAATGCGGACAATCTCGTGGAAGTCGGGGTGAGCAGAGGGGTACTCGAGCAGGATGTCAGCGAAGGTGACAGTGTCGACCTCGGAGCGACGCTTGAACTCAGTGGCGCCGTCGGGGCCACCAAGAGTGCGAAGATCGGTCTTCTCCTTCTCATCGGTGGCGAACTCAGCGAGTGCTTCATAGAAGCGCTTGGGAGGACGACCGAAGATGTCAACGTTCTGGATCAACGCCTGGTAAACAGTGCGGTTCTCATAAACGTTGGGATCCTCGCGGCTGGGAACCTCCACAATGGCGTCAGGGTCAAGGCCGTAGAAGGCGATGAACTCGGTGACATCGGCAGGGTCGTTCTCAGCGTGGACACCGAGGGCCTCACCAATGTCATAAGTGAGACCAGTGTTGCCCAGGTCGAACTCGATGTGGAAGATGTTACGGTCGTAGGTAACGGGAGTAAGACGGCGGTTCTCCTTGACGTGGACAGTGAAGGTCTTGGTCGCCAGGTCGGGTCGGAGAGCATTTCGGGTACCGAATGCTTCCTTGAATGCCAGACCGGTGGCAGCAGTCTCCCAGCCCTTGAGCAGAGTGGGGACCTCGGCTTCCTGCTTGTCGAATGCAACAAAGCTGTTGGCAGAGATATCCTTGGCAAGCTCAGCAACCTCGCTGACTCCCTCAGGCTCCTTCCAGGCCTCGGGGATCCCAATCTGCCGAAGAACCTTCTCGAGATCCTTGCTGACATTCTCCAGAGCTTCAGCGTTGCCCGCAATGGAGGCCAGCTTCTTCAGGGCCAGACCCTCCTGGGAAGGCAGGGCAACGCGGAGGAAAGCAGCCTGGAGGATGGTCTCGGCAAGAGAAGCATCCTCGTTGGCAGAGGGATCGAGAACAAACAGGGAGATTCCACGGTGAGCGATAGCTTGTCTGAAAGTAGCAGGCAGCTTCTTCTCAAGGTCCTCGTCCTTAACACCAGGGGCGTTAACAATGATCTTAGCGTTGTCCTTAACGGAGGCAACAACATCAACATCATTGAGCAGCGCAATGCTTCCGACATAGGAAACATCAGCAGCAGTAACGGCATAGGGAGCATCGACGATCTTGGCACTCTTGCGAATGTCAACACGGATAGCACCACCCTGGACGAGGTTGTCATGAGCCTTGCTGGTGGTGACATTGCTGGCAGAATCAGCAGCAAGAGCCTGGCTCAGGATGCTAGTAGCGTTCTCAGACACTGAGCTGTCGACGTCCCAGAAAGTGTATTCTTGGACAGTAGTTGAGTCGAGCAGCTGGAGAGGGCTACCCTCGTTGACAGTGTTATCGGCGGGGAGAATGGGCTTATCGAAGATGCGCTGGAAAGCAGCAGCGGTGGTGATTTGGTCCCAACGCTGAGAGCGGGGGTACTTGATCTCCACACAAGAAGGAGCATGCTCGCGACCAGTGGCGAAGGTCAACGCCGCCAGCACATCCTCGTAGAGGGCAGAGTGGACACCCTCCTCCTGAACAGCCTGCTCGTCAACAACCTGACCAAGGACACCGACGGTCTTGGTGGATTGAGGCAGCACACGCAGGAACTCTTCTTCGATAAAAGGACGGTAAACACGAACGTTCACAACACCAATTCGAACACCAGACTTGGCCAAAGAGCGAGCAACCTGGCCAGCAAGGGCAGCCTCGACAGTGCCAAAGACAACGAGAACGGAGACGGGCTCTGAGTGACCGTGGTACTCGAACGCACCGTAGTCGGTGCCAAGCTCGCCATTGAGGGTCTTGAGGAGATCCAGAACCTTACCCTGGGCATCGAGGTGGCGGTTGCGAGATTCATCCAGAGTCTTGCGGATTGTTTCATAGGTACGGGCAAGACCCTCCTTGTCAAGGACATCAATGACACGGGTGGTCTCGCGGCCGACACGAACACCATCATAGATGTGGATGGAGGGAAGGACGGAAGCCAGCAGAGTTGTGAACAGAGCCATGTGCTGAGACTCGTGAGCAGAGCCGCTGGAAACTAGACCCAGGCCAAGGTCCTCAGCCAGAGAAAGAGCAGAGGCATAGTCAGAGACGAGTCCCTCATCTCCAGCGTAATCGACAGCCGCAACGTGTGCCGCCACCGGGCTTGCCACCGAGTAGAGCAGAGAGAGCTGCTCAAGGGCAGAGCGCATGTAGGGCAAAGTGGCAGAAGAAGCCACGATACCCTGAGGCACATGGCGCTTCTTCAGGTCAAAGTCCTGAGAGAAAAGGTATCCCAGAGCCATGTTACCAGCACCCTGGCGAGTCTCCAGGGTCTTAACAACGGGAGATTCTCCATTTGACTTGGTCTCTTGAGCGTCAGACCATTGGCGAAGAGCAGAATCGAGTTCGAAGGTCTCTGGAGAGTAGGAGAAGATCTTGTCACTCAACAAGTAAGCAACTTGTTGGATCAATGCCTGAGCAGTGACATATGTCGGTCCCGAAAGGGCAGAAAGAGTAGGGTTTGAAGCACCCATGGTGAATTTGACTCTTGTCTAGATACCGGGACACACAAGACCGATATCACAGAATGATGACAAGAAAGAAATCACCCCAAATAACAAAAATGCGGAGTGAAAGGAGGGGAGTTCTCGACCGAAAGCCCGCTTGTATAGAAAACCCCCAGGGCAGCCTTCCTATCTGGGTATAGCGTGAATCACGCAATCACGCAATTTGCTTATCGATAAGAAACTCGACGTTTTCGATGGCAAAACTTGGCAGAAAAATTCCGCTTTAGGATGCTGACTCATCTTGCTGACAAAAGTTGATCACCTCATTGAGTGCCTGAGGCAGTAAAATCAATCGTTAATGGTAGCATTCAAGTGCTGCCACAAGTGATACTCTATAAACTAGTAATTTATTAGCATAGTCGTATCATTCATATAGTAATAATTCATTCAAATATGCTTTCATTTCCCTCAATTGACAATTTATACGCTCAAGTTATGAATACAAACCAATTTTAAACTTTTCATGCCATGCATATGCAGCCGAGTACTATAGATCATAAATGCCGAAGTGGCAAACCCCGGAAAATCTCTCACGCTCCTCAACTTTAATATTATTCAATTTCTTCTTTCCATGGTTTGGGATCGGAGGATTTTGGTTCAGAGAATCTCCACTAGAAATTCTCATACTGTTGTCTCACCGTTGGTTGGTTGAAGTCCTGCTGTGAAGAAGCGACCACATGCCAGGCCAACAGCAAGGCTAATGCAAGCTACATCGTAGTATTTGGTTAATTTTCGTCACAACTGCAGGAGGGAATATGGCCAGAGTATTGAAACTTACCCAGAATAATACTCATATTGTCAAACCCAATCTTCTCGGACAGGAGCCCTGAAAGAGGGCCTACCATCAGTCCCAGGTTAAATGCGACCTCATTCATGCCAAAGGCCCTCGATCGCCCACCATGTGCACCAAATATGTTATGTTGCTTAGATTCAAGCTCCTCCAAAATAACTGGTTTGCCAATGTCTGTCAGAGTTCGAACATGAAAATTCTGGTTGGGGGAAAGACATACTCATCATATGCAGTATACCTGAGCCCTGGATCAAGGGTAGCGCAGCTCCTATCCCAACTATAGAAGACACAAAAATAGGCTTCCCATACCCTTCAGCACTGGCCCAGAAGAGCCCATTTCCAGGAATACCCATGAGAGCTAGTAAGGGCGCAAGTATAATCCAACCGATCATGGTCGGGTACCGAAGGCCAACGATATCTCGAAGCCAGCCTGAGAGCGGTCCCAGGATTATACCCGGAAGACGAAGGATTAAAAACATCGTTCCGACATCCAACGGTCCCCATTCGAAGATATCTCGGAGGTGAACCGGTAATGTCGCATTGAATCCGGCAGTGATGGCGGAGGTCATCACAACACTCCCGAGACTGACAAGAACACGGACATCTGTAAGCATTATATAGTAAAAGTTGGATGGTGGTAGGACCTCCTGGATTTGGTCATCTTTGGAGTCTGTCTGAATGATTGGCGAGAGAAGTGGAGAGTTCACTGAGTGAATCTCCTCAGTGATACTGGCTCCATGGTGTTCTGGTGGCTCATCTCGGACAAGGGCCTTATCGGATTCCGATTCCAGCTGTGGCTCAATTAAACCTATCCATGCGATAATGTCAAGCGCCAAAAATCCCATGGGCAAGTACCATGTTGGCCAGTATCCAATCAACTCCAGTGTACTTCCCGAAATCACAGGTCCTCCTATTGTTCCTGTCATCACAATAGACATGCTTAATCCCATCATCTTCCCCATATTTCCGGCGCCGGAGCTTTCGACTAGAACGGCCAGACAAATAATCCATACCGCGGCCCCTGTGACTCCTTGAAGAACTCGACCCAGAACGAGTGCCCAGTCTGTGATCAAATGTCAGTACAAGATACCTGGGATACTCAAGATAAGACGTAAAAATGGGGGTCTGTAGTTTGAAAACATACAACTCGGCGTTAATGCAACAAGAGCAGTTCCCCCCAAAGTCACGACAAGAGAGAGAAGAAGGGGAGACCTTCGACTCGGAGTCTTGTCAATGAAATGGGCAAGTATAGGAGCAGATACCACAGTGGAGAATCCATGGATACTCAACAGCTCTGTTGTCAAGCGCTGCGTCTGTGAGGGATGTTTATGCAAGCGATTCTCGAGCATGTACGGCAAAATCGGCACCACGAAGCCATAAAGCAGTACCTCTTGAACAGAAAGTTAGAGTTGCCACGTATTCCCACTCCAGAAAATGAGATAACTCACCAGTGAACAAGGCAAAACAAGCCGTGCTTACTATCAAGGTTTGGGACGAACGCCATTTATAGCCCGCCGGCAGTTTAGCACCGGATGCCATCTTAGTGAGATGAGAAGAAGATGAGAATCCACCGTACACACTCGAGAAGAGGGATATCAGCGACTCTGCGTGAGTCTTGCATGAGTCATCTGCAAAAGGGAAGGAGCTTGGGGAATATCACAGTCTTTATCAAAGTACTCCAATCACCCCTCACCGACCTCCAGGCATGAACCTATCCCGTTTAGGTTTAGATCAATATGCACTGCATCCTCGAGCTGAAACTCACTCACGCAAGGTTGATCTTCAATTGCCCTCACACTTAATCCGAATCTTCAGGATCCCAGATACTAATAGATTAGCCTGAGGCGGCATTTTTTTCTTCGTATTCAGCCTATGACTCATGAGCTCTTTATTGGCTAGTGTGGAGTTATGATCAATCTTATTGCTAAATTATAGGATGGTAGTAGCAGCTGGATTCAATTGTCTATTGGGTAGGTAGTATCCTTTTTGTTAGCCACGAGTATGATTGATTGTTACTCAGGTATTTTCATCCTAGCTGGCTGTGTATTGTAGAGACTCGGATCAACAATCGATATTGGATTGCCCAGGTGACTGCCCAGGTATACATAATTCTCATGTACAGGATGACTCATCTATACATCGCATAATTCTTGACTCCTGATATCTAAGGTGTCAACTCATGTGATGTCACTAGCATACCAGCACCGAGCCTCGGTCGCAACGCCCCGGCCCCGGGAGCCACTGCGGAGAAGCGGAGCTGGCGGTGGTCCACTATATGTACAAAGTAACAACACCTGGCAACACCTGGCATTGAACTTGATATTCTTCACTCCATATTCCAGTTTCAAAGCTACGTGCTATACAATTTGAAGCAAGATATCTTAACAATATTCACCCATGGCGACCAACTCACCAAATCCAGTTCCTTTTTCTGAACCACCCTACCTGCGTGGTTTGCCATCCCCATACATTACCCCTGCACACCGTCGTTTCCAGGAAGCATGCCGCAAGTTCGCGTGGGAAAATTTGATTCAACATGCAATGGAGTGGGAGAAGGAAGGAACCGTGCCGGATCACGTCTTCCATACCTTCTGCAAACACAACATGTTGTTACCAAACATGCCTGCTCCTCTTCCAGCGGACTGGCTGAAGCGCCTGGGCATCAATGATATCCTAGGTGTCAAGGTAGAAGACTGGGACTACATCTATACTGGAATTTATACTGATGAGGTGAGTGAATCGTAGTATATATTATCAAGGGAACCTTGAAAGTGATACCTGGGGAAATTACTAACTGTCAACAGTTGGCACGATCTGGCCTCAGTGGCCCTGGAGGCTCCTTGAATGCTGGTTTTGCCTTTGGAATCCCGCCAATTGTCAAATTTGGCAGCAAAGACCTGCAAGAAAGGTTTCTCCCCGACTTACTCACCGGAAAGAAACGTGCCTGTATTGCGATTACAGAGCCCGAGGCCGGAAGTGACGTTGCGAACATTGTCACCACTGCAGTCAAGACTGATGATGGCCAACACTACATAATAAATGGAACTAAGAAATGGTATGCCTTTTAGATCTACTGATTTATTCGCGTTTTAACAGACATCAGGATCACCAATGCTATCTGGTCTGACTACGCAACCATGGCAGTACGAACAGGCGGTCCAGGACCTACTGGACTATCGGTCCTTGTAGTGCCGCTCAAAAACCATCCAGGAGTCACGATGCGTCGTCTCAAGGTCTCTGGTCAAAAGGCTGGTGGAACTACTTACATCGAACTCGATGATGTCAAAGTCCCGGCCTCTAACTTGATTGGCAAAGAAGGGGAAGGCATGAGAATCATCATGACTAACTTCAATCACGAGCGCTTGGTTATATCCGTTGGTGTTACTCGTCAAGCACGTGTGGCGTTGGCTGCCGCATTTTCATACTGTCTCAAACGCGAAGCCTTTGGTAAGACGCTTATGGATCAGCCGGTTGTCCGACATCGACTTGCCAAGGCAGGTGCTGAGCTTGAGACCATGTGGGCTTGGGTTGAGCAGATTCTATATCAGCTTTGTCATCTGAGTAAGGAAGAAGGAGACAGACAGCTCGGCGGATTGACAGCTTTGGCGAAAGCCAAGTCAGCCATGGTCCTTAACGAGTGTGCTCAAGTCGCTGTTTTGCTCTTCGGTGGAAATGGCTTCACTCAAACTGGCCAGGGTGAGCTTGTTGAAGGTATGTCGCCTGTCATATTTACTTTTTCTTTCATTATACTAAAACATTAACTCATCAGCTATCTACCGCGATGTTCCTGGGGCACGCATTCCCGGTGGTTCAGAGGACGTTCTGCTTGACTTGTCTGTTCGCCAGCTGGTCAAGATCTATCAAGCCCAAGAGAAGAAGCTTGGTCAAAGTTCAATGATTTAAAATATTTCTATCATAGAACCGTGGAGGAACCTTGGAATTGATTATCTGAACTAAATATTGCATTTTATTACTACTCGCATTTGCTAGGCCTTGACTGGTAGTCTTTTTGATAGTAACAACGACTCGGACGCAAGAAGTTTTATAGAGCCAACTTGAGCGAGACGCCCAGTGTGGCGTCCGTACACCAAGACTATTTTTGCGAGAGGTTTTTTTCCAGCCTTGGATGGTTGTCCTGCTACCCAATTCGCAGATTTTTTACAATTCCACTTCTTTAAAGGAGTCCCCTCTCCCCACCAGCACAATAATTGAACGGATACCACCTGCTGCTGCAAGCGAGCAGGGAGCGGTGATCACTCACAGCACTTATGGCGCACCAGATACACCACCCAGCGACGGGAACTTGAAGTGACTCGGTGACCAACTTGAACATTTGAAGTTCTGTGATGGTACCTACTACTAGTACTACTAGTAGTAGTAGCACTGTAGGAACCCAGGGTGCATCATAGTAGGTACTACCTAGTAATAATTCAAGTTCAACCGAGCACTTGAGGTTAATAGATTCTGAGTCACGGTAAGGGCTCAAATATATAGTAATGCACTAGCACACACTTACTACACATGTAAACTCAAGTTAAGCATTAGACAAAATAAAAGTAAAATTCAGATAAAAAAGAAGTCAGATTTTAAAGAGTCATACCAATGAACGAAATTAATGACTAGGTTTTAAGTAGAATGTCGACTACAGATCTTAATTGAAGCTTCATGTCAATTACCCGATCCGGATTAGCTCCTTGGATGACGAAAGAGGAGCCACCCGTGAACCATTCTTAACTCGAATATCGCAAGCTACCTCCTTTTGTACTTCTTCAAGTCAAAATCTCAAACACACACAGATAATCATGGCGAACGTAGCACTCCTTGGCTGCACCGGTATGGTGGTGAGTTCCCAATTTCCCTACCCCTTGAACCACGCAATATCAAAGTTGTACATCCCCCGCTAACCCCCCCATCTTATCTTTCCTGGTGTAGGGCTCCCACATACTCACCAGCCTCATCTCCAATTCCGCCGTTAATCGCATTGATACCATCTCTCGCCGAACACCCCCAGCAGCAGCCGAAGCTCCCGCCAAACTCACAACATTCGTCTCAGATGATAGTACCAAGTGGGCCGCGCAGCTCTCGGAATTGAGCCCAACGCCTGAACTATTCATTTCCGCCTTCGGAACTACCAGGGCTGCAGCAGGCGGCTTCGAGAACCAATACAAGATCGAGCATGGATTAAATGTGGAACTTGCGCGCGCGGCCCGTGAGGCTGGCACCAAGGTCTGCGTGCTTATCTCTAGCAGTGGCGCTAACAAGAGTTCTTCTATCCCGTATACGCGCATGAAGGGCGAGATTGAGGATGATATCAAGGCACTTGGGTTTGAACGGACGGTTATCCTGCGCCCTGGTTTGATTGCTGGAACTCGCGAGGAGAGTCGTCCTGCTGAGGCTGCGATCCGGTTCGTTGCGGGTTGGGCTGGGAAGCTTCACTCTAGCTTGAAGGATGGATGGGCGCAAGAAGCGGATGTTATTGGTCAGGCTGCCGTTAAAGCTGGGTTGAAGGCTTTGGAGGGTGACATTCCTTCTGGAGGTGAGAAGGTGTGGTTGATTGAAGGAAGAAGCATCATTGATATTGCGAAGGAGTAATCGATTTGATCCTTGATATTTTTAGGCATGGTCTGTACATGCATCTACAGTTCCTGTTTTATTTCGGTGCGACCTGTGTGTATTTATGATGTTCTATTCCCCTTTATTCAGTCTTATCCACTGGCAGTTATATCACGAGTTGTTGAAAATCAAAGTGGACATTGAGCACTTACGCATGAACATTCTCACTGGCAACGACAAGCATCCAGTGTATGATACCCCTTTTACCTCGAAGATCGAAGTTTTACTTCGAGATGAATGAAATTCTACCATTGGTCACAATATAGAAAACCTTGGTTGATATTATGGTTTTGAGTCTTGCTTTTACAAACTTGAAGTTGTCCATACTCTCTCTTGATTTATCAATCATGCCTTGAAACACATTGAATAGAGAACTAGACGTCCCTGAGAAATTTGAAGCATGCTATTATAAAACAGTTAGGGCTGAGGTCAATGGAATTTTCCAAGGTTCAAGAGTTCATGGGTTCGAGTTGCGCTTACACGCCGCTCACTGCAACTAGGATCTACTAGAGTGCGGTATTTGAACATGAAAGGGTATTGGATTCTTTTCATGTAATATTGAAAGACTACCTATGGATTCATACATAGGGTAAAAGACTCAGATACAAGATCTTCAGAATAATTAGGTGCGCATTTAAAGCTCGGTTGAAATTTCAAATATGCGGCTTCATAGGAGTCCCAAGATTCCATTCTAACAATGAAGATGAGTAAAGATTTGAACGAGATAACTTGTATACATCGAAAACCCGACATGACCGAAGAGACTTGAGTCACTTACTCGGCTTTATGATTTCCTCAGTCTGAACATCATCAACTCCTAAAAAAGAAAAACCACAAAATCTCAATCCCGATATGAAACATGCGTTCCATCCTCCTTGACATGTATGGACCGACTCTTCTTAGTAACGCCCTTCCCACTAGCTCCCTTCTTCTCGGCATTACGATCAGGTCCTCCCTCAGATGGACCTCTCCAAGCACTGACTTCGGAATTGGCAGGGCTCATATTCAATGGGTTCCCTTCCTTCCCTTCAGCCAGCTTCTCCTTTCCCACAGCCTCGAGTTCGCTCTCAGGTGAAATGTTGTGTGGATCATAAGCTGAAGCATGTTGGGCAACCTCGCTGTCAGTTCCGGACTTTGTGACCTCTGATCGCTCGGGATTCAGCGCCTCGCGCTCTTTGAAGAATGCATCTGTGTTCCCGGTATCTTTCTGAGAATGGGGTGTTGTGCTGAAGGTACTCCGTGTTGCTGCAGATACCGGTGGTGTCCAGAGACCCGTGGAGCATCGGAGATGACGACTTGTCCGCGTGGCCTGTTGGCTGCTGGAGACGAGACTCTTCCACATTCTATATGAGGCAAGAATTAAGATTGTACTATCTTGCCGTTTGTTAGGAATGTGGCTCGTAATTGGGTATGTAGTATGCGGATGAGAAAATTGGTAAAAATTCTAATGGAATTGAAATCTGCGAAATCGTTTAAGCCAGGTATTTCCTCTGGAACTGTCATGATACTACTGTGGTGCCCTGTTCGGCTCAATGAGAATAATCATATTGACGTCACGATATACCGCTAACCGGATCTAGTAATAAGCTGTATAGAAGTAGTGCAGATAGTTGGATCACGAAAATAAGAGCAAGGGAAAAAATGTGACCTGTTGAATTAGCCTGTGCGAATGTTAGTGTATAATTGTTTTTTGTTTCTGTGGTCAAGCAAGTCAGAATGTGGAAGCGAGAATGAAGTACTGCCACGTCAACAAGTGTACACGAAGATCGACGTATGATCTCAATAATGAGATTCCAGGTTGCATAATCAATGTTTTGATTTCTTGTCAGAGAGAGAGAGAGAGAGCATTAAGATTTAGACTATTGTGCCATGAAAAGGACACTATGGATGGGAAATCCAATTTCGCGGGATGTATACCGGGCACTAATGTTAGCATACACATATGTACCATAGCAGGTTTCCTCGGGAGTGGTTATGGGTGCCTAATGAAAATCCGAGCACCAAGAAGAAGATCTAAAGATCAGCAGCGTTAAACCCAGAATGGAAGAAGCACGGAAGGGATACATCCGTGCCAAGCTAGACATGTGCCAAAATGACATGCGGGAGCATCGAGTTTCCTGGGTGGGAAGAGCACCTGGGCAAATGCAGATGCGAGGGGCCGCGTCGAGAAGGATTCTAATCGACCAATTAACTATCACGCCTTAGCTGGGCCCGGCCTGATACTTGACGATTCCCATTATTCGTCCCGGTACATCGAGGGTGGAGAAGGGATTGTTAGCTGCATATGGCCGACATCCCAAGCAGAGTCTATCATTGGACGCCAAGTTCGGCTGCAAGTGAGAAAGCCCTGTCTGTCCGACCAATCTGAATGTACTGACTCGGTCTCGAGGCAAGTTCCCTTTTGCTCTGGAATCCTAAAGCTCACAGATCCGGCCACCATTTGTCACCTGTTAAAAAATATATGCGCGTGGAAGGTGCGGGAGCCTCCGCTCACTTTAAGATCACGGGATCAGAGGAGCCCAGCAGTATGGGAGCGTGTATGCGGGCCCGAGAATCCAATTTCAACGTTGTAGCACGGATAACCGGAGTCAACGGCACACAAAATGAACCAACAACGACACTAATCCAAAGTTGAGGGCTCAGGAAACTGCTCCGGTAACTTCGCTTGTTGGGCAGGAATCACTTTTACGCTTTTTCCTCCTATTTTTGGCTTGAATCCTTGCCAGAGACAGGTCCCGGACCACGCAAAAAAAAACAAAGTCAGAAATGATCAATTCGATAGTAATACGGGGCGAAAGGCAAAAGGGCAAATAGGCAGGGGGGGCTTGAGAAGCTGATTCGAGGATTGCTGAGTGATGCAACAAGTTCCTCACGGAAATTGGATCAGTGCTCGCCCAAGGCAGTGCCTCCTGAGGCTGTTCGCCGCTCGTCAGAGTTTGCCCGGGTGCCAACTCAACATCTGGTCATGGATCACCATCCCAAATCCAGGCAGAGGACGTAATGTGAGCGGCCGAATCCGACGATCCTGCGTCGTATCACTATGTATCCCACCATCGAGTGGACCGGTGCGCTGACTAGTAGAGAGGCAATGCAGCCACTTCCACCTTGATCCGAGAGAAGCAACCCTCCTGCACTGATTTCTTTTTTTAATGACAGGGATGAAAGCCTGGCTCCTCGTGTGGAGCCTCTGAAGGCCTCCAAGAACGTTGCGGTCCTCGACCCACCCAGTCTGTCCGTCAGCCCTCATTGCCAGGAATTAGTGCACCGGGCCAGAAGAATCGTGCCACGTCAGAGTCTCCGAGCTTTGGTGCAGCTGCATGTGGTTCAGCAATATGTGGGAGGTGTCACGGTTCGTTTCTGAGATGGGCGCCGCACGGCATCCAGATCCTATCATTTTCGCCAAAAAAGAACAACTGTATGACGATGAACCATACACATGAGCGGGGCCAGATGCAGGATCCCTCTTCTGCAGCTGTGAAAGATCAGCTGAACAAGTATGGATTCAGCCCCGTCCAAACCCCGAGTGGACAATGCATCAACCGAGATAGAGAGAGAAAACCCAATTCCGTGGCCCGTGTCCCTGGGTACAGGAGGTACCAATAATAGAGCCTCAGTGACGCGACCTTTGCCACCCGGGTAAGGGACTATTGGCTGGCAGACACGGAGCGGAAAGTTGCGGCAGGTGTGGAACGAAGAACAAATCTCAATTCTGATAGTCCTGTACACAGGGCTCTCGGAGACAAGATGTTAGAGAGTGAGCACTAGATCGGGTCGCAACCTTACGCTGAAACCAAGTGCTATGTTCCCAAATTCTGGCCCGACGCAGGAGACGTAATGGCAATGGTTGACCAGGGATAGATGGATAGAGCGAGAGAGGGGGCGCAATGATGCGAATGTGCATGCGCATGCAATCACACAGACGGCAACGCCGAATGGGATTTCGTGTGGCCAGAAAAGGACATTCGGACAGACGGTGGAGTCAAAACTCAAGATAGATTGTATATTAAGCCAATCAATGGTGGCAGCATCGGGCATGCATGGTGTAGAGAACATCATAGCATTATGGTGGAGTCACAGGGGACGTGCAGAGTTCTGTCACATTCGGAAAAGACAATATCTTTTCTTTTGTCTGAAAACAAGGTTATCCCTGAACAGAGTTGTCTGAGAATTGCATCTGGATGACAGCTGGCGGCGACCGAGAGCAACTCAATCATGCAGGCTCGTCTATGTGGGACATAACAACATCGCTGAAGTCTGACTCCATGCGAACGACATGCACCTTGAAGGGCGGGGAAAGGCAATCTTGCGACGGCATAGTTGCAGTAGTCGAGACTGGAAAATGGACAACTGCAGCCATGACCTGAGGGATTTTCCATGCTTCGTACATCATCATGGGGACAAAACTCGCCACGGTCAACAAAAGTGCATGCATGCTTGAAGCAACGGTTCATCCTTGAGGTGGCTCCATCCGAAGAATCTTGGGCATCTTACAGTCTCCACTATCTTGAGGGAACTGCTGACAGCCAACCGGATTCAGATCAACCAGGCTGCGAAGTGAAATTCGATGAATGAGAAACACGGACGATAAGCCGTCCCGTGCCGGTCAGCGTCGATCAGCTAGATGGCCACGGTTTTCCGTTGGAGTGACCACGATTTTTGGGTGACCACGATTTTTGGGTGACCACGGTTTTGGGTGACCATGGTTTTGGGTGGCCACGGTTTTGAGAGGATCTTAGCGGTGACATGTAAATATTGACCGAAACATAAATAAGCCATTGAGATCCCCTTTATGACCGTAGTATTCAAAATCATCCCCCCTCAAGTTTCAAAATCAAAGTGTCAAAGCAATAAGTCAGGCTCATAGTATTCCTCAAGAAAAGCTTCCTTTTTTCTTTCCGAACATTTGTTTCAAAATTCTGGGCACGTTCCTGGAATCTTCGATCAAAAACATCATAAGTTAGCCTATCAAGCCTGTCAAGAAAACTTGGTCAGTCAGGTTGAAACCAATCGCATTCCCGGATTTATTCTGAAACGAGAGCTTGGGACCCGACAGCAAGTGAGTTTGATCGAACATGAGGATCGAACAGCACTAACTTCATTTGGCAGGTATGTGCTTTTACAACCAGAAGCGATTCTCCTGTGGCGACTGGAGCTGGACTAGCTTCGCCCACCGCTGCAATTACGAGTACCGAACAGGCGAAACCTGCGGAATGAGACTCGTCAACATGACCGAGAATGAAGCGAGCAAGTGCCGGCTCTGTGAGAAAATTGAGACCAAGTTTCGGCGGCGTACCGCCGAGCTCGACCGACTTGACAGGTGGAAACGTGAGGGGGCCACTTTGGTTGCCTCCATGGACCGGTCTCAAACTTTGATCAAGGAGCTGGACAAAGAAATTTACATGTTGCAACGGGAACGGGAGGACAAGCGCAACACCCTCCTAAGATAGGCTCGAAAAGCCCGGCGGGATTGACACAATTTCCGCGGTCTTCATTGAACGAGCAACGAGTGTATTGATTGGACCCTTCGATTTCGTTTTTTCGGCCCCTTCTCTTTCTTCTTTTTTGCTGTTTAGGAGTCTTCATTTCATGTCATCGGCTGGTGGCTTTATTTTCTTTGAACGTTTCATGTTTCACCACACAAAGCACGTCGTCTGTGACATCAAGTCTGAATCGAGTTGCTGCAATGTGATGACCTGTATGGTAGTAGAGGGTCTGAAGAAATTGAACAAAATTCCCTCATTGGCTGAGCTGCATCCTTTTTCCGAGGTTCATAGGCTGTCGATATCCAATGAATACCAGATATCAATGGAGCCTAGGTATATTATAAGCGCCGTGGGTTCTTGGCTTGGTGGGTGAGCGGTTCGCTGAGACGGACCCAGTCTCAAGAGAGAAAAAAGGGGGCTTCCGCTGCAGATAGCCGGACAAAACAGCACTCAAGTCTGCAGAAAGTAAATAGAAATCATTCAACTTTCAGAGAATATCCCCAAACCCTGCAATGGGTTCGAGAAGAATGATAGACAGTAGCCCCGCGAACTGTGGAACGGGTCCACGGGTGGACCCCTCATTTGGGTTATCACGTGTCGATGATTACATAATGGGTGTTGTTTCATCCATCTGGGGCCAAGTTGGGGCCCAACATCCATCATCGGTTGGGTTGATACCTAGAATGCCATTGTTCTTCGGGTACATTAGCTGAGGTGTTAGTGTCTATTCCGAGGCTGGTATGTATCAGCTGACTATCATGAATTTAGAAAGTCGTTGAGGTATACTTAATGGATATACCAGATACACACTGCCAGTGGCATGCGGTGCAGTAGTATATAGTTCCGAGTATTTAGTGGGAACTTCAAGTTGAAATTCCTCTGGATCCCCAGGGCCATACTTGTAGGGACTGCCCTGGACCTGTACTAGTACTAGTAGAAGTGTTAGTGCAGTTTTTCGGCACTGACAGGTCATTCTGCCTTCAAGTTCAAGTTGAAGAAACATACCCATATAAATCCTTCAAGGTCCACTGCACACATCATAAACTTCAAGTTGAACTTGAACGTTTCCGAGTCTGTCATGATCTGAGTACGAACCTTCCAAGGTTGGCACACTCCTTCAAGTTGGAGCTCCTGCGATACGATGATCTCCCCTGTAGACGACTCGGACTGTCAACCACTGTGATCCTGCACAACTTGAACTGCATGCCCAGATATGGCAGCTTGAAGTTGAGGGTTGTTGGCTAACGTTCGTTCAAACTAAGCCGGGCCGGAATGGTGAGCCGGGGATTAGGTATATATACTACATAGTAATATGACAGGCTGATGCAATATCGGAGAATTTATCAACAGTGGTCCCATCATTCAATGACCGTGAGGCTTCAGATTTAAAACTATATCCCGCTGACTACGTGTCTTGGTGTGTTTGATCGAACAAACAGCATCATCACATCGGGAATTCCAACCATCATTGGGTATCAAGACCTAGCCGCTCATGCCACGTCACGAACAGCACTTACTGCAGTCATCAGCAGCAGCATCCGTTGGGCCAGAGTGTGGCAGAGACAGGAACTTGAAGTATGTAAGATGAGTAAATGAGAAATAAATAAGTGCCGTTCTTGATTTCCAAGTTATCTGAAAACACAAGTAGAGGTATTAATCTATTTTATGTCACCAGCCTCAGGCTCGTCATTCACCTTAGCCAGCCCTTGATCCCGTAGAAGGGCATCGATCTCGTCTGCGCTCCATAGGTGGTGGTAGATCTTTCCGTCCTCGGTTTTGCCTACTGTTGCGAACTCGACTGAAGAGAAAAAAGGTCGGTTAGCATGCCGATCAAATGAAATTTCCCGATGTTAAAATCCTGCAGAATTATAGAGTGCGGATGCTTACTCTTCTCGCTGCTCAACTTTGTCGAATCCATGGTCTTGCTCAGGACCTTGACAGCCATAGCACAAGCTTCTTGCAATGTCTGGTCCTCCTTGTAGTCTTGCTTGAGCAGACTCTGCGCACTAGCATTGTTGGCTCCAACGCTGGTGGCCTTCCATCCACCGTAATTTCCACTGGGGTTGCTTTGATACAGCTGGAACTGGCGGAGATGATCCCATCCAGCATAGATGAACGATACACCGAATGGACGGAGACCACCGTGCTGGGTATAACCTTGCTTCAGATCGCACAATCGGCGAACGAGCTGTTCACAAGGGATGTCTTCGTTGTAGGTGAGGAGGTAGCGTTGGGCGTTTTGCCGGGCATAGTTGATCAGGATGTTGGCATCGGCGTTCATACCAGCCACAGCGCAGATCATGTTACTAGAAGAGGGCGTCAGCTCAATTCCACACAGACGGTGATGGATGAAATATTGATGAAACGCATAAATATGTGATAGGTTACGTACTCGTTGATTGTGTAGAGCTTCTCAGCAGAGGTATCCTGTTCCAGCAGCTTGCTGGTGACCTTCCTCTCCGCAGCGAGGACAATTCCATCCTTGGCAAGAATACCGAGAGCCGTACCGGCATGAGAGATAGCTTCTAGTGCATATTCAACCTGGTAGAGTCGACCCTCGGGGGAGAAGATGGTGGTCTAACCCATCAGCGTCATAGGTTAGCGGGAGCTGCACTTGAGGTGAAGATCTGATCAAACTTACTCGTGAATCATATCGCCGAGACATGGTGCATGTAAATAAGAACACAGGAAATTAGTCAAGACGACGGGATCGGGAATATTGCGGGTGGAGGGAATGGGGGGATGAAGATAGTTGAAGGTGCAGATGGAGCTCAAGGAAGTCCCAGGCAACTCGCCCTGGCGCGTCCTCTGTCATCCGCCAAGCTCGGACCATCTCACCACACCAAAGCTTTATCGCAGCTAATTCTTGCGCCAACATTAGGCTCTGAGATGATTAATTCTCCAGCCTCGCAACTGAAAAATCAAATCTGAACGGCTCAAAATGCTTAAATCTACATATACTCCTCCGCCTCCTTTGCCCCCAGGGTGGACAGAGCATCGAGCGCCGACTGGTACATCCCCCATCTGTAGTTTTCAAAAGAATATCTCTAACGATTCATTTGCAGGTCACTTGTACTATTACAACACCGCTACAAAACAGTCAACTTACACTAGGCCTCAATCGCAGGCCCCGCAACCAGCGCCAACCGTCCCTGTGCCAACATATGACCCCAGGTCATTACCGGCTTATTCTTCAACGCCATATGCCCCTGCTGGTTATCAACCCCACGGAGCGCAGCACGGCCAGCCCCAAGCAGACAACAGACATGGCCGTGGGGGGGTTTAGAGGTGAGAAAGGCTACCAGGATCGTGGTCGTCGAGAGCCCCAAGACCGTCCAAAGTCGAAGCATGCTATTCCAGACTGCGCTCCGTGGGTACTAGTAAAGACCAAGTTGGGACGGCGGTTCGTGCACAATCCAGATACCAACGAGAGTTTCTGGAAGTTTCCACAGGAGGTTTTGAAGGGTGTTATCGAGTACGATCGACTCGAGCGAGAGAAGAAAGAAATAATTGAGCGCGGCGAAGAACCGGAAACACCTCAGGATGTGACCGTATCCAAAGCGACTTCTGGCCCAACTTCGGACGATAGAGCCCATCCGGAGGCAGGACCAGTGGTACACGAACACGAAGCCGCGGAAGACAGCGATGAATACGAAGAAGTCGAAGTGACGGATAGCGAGGGAGAGGAGGACCAGCCGTCAAAACGTGCGCGAACGGAAAGCGAAGCCCCAGATAACCAGCCTGTTGAGTTTACAGAAGAGGACATGGAATACCAGCTTGCCGCAATGGGCGAGGACTATGGGTTAGATCCTGGTGAATACGGCGAGGTCGAACAAGAGGACTGGGAGACACAAGGTCTTCCGTTGACCGACGCTGATGCGGAGGCGCTCTTCCGGGACTTGCTGGATGACTTCAATATCAGTCCATTTACAACATGGGAGAAGATTATCGAGGAAGGCCGTATCATTGAGGATTCCAGATATACCGCACCTTCCAACATGAAGACTCGACGAGAAATCTTCTCGAACTGGAGCAGGGATCGTGCCAAGGATGTTCAAGAGCGCAAGAAGAACCAGGAAAAGCAAGATCCACGCATCAAGTACTTGGCTTTGCTACAGGAATATGCAACTCCAAAGCTTTATTGGCCCGAATTCAAGCGCAAATACCGCAAAGAACCAGAAATGAAGGACTCCCAGCTTAACGACAAAGATCGAGAGAAGTTCTACCGCGAATATATTTCCAAACTCAAAGCCCCTGAAAGTACTCGGAAATCAGACCTTTCTGCTCTACTCAAATCTGCGCCATTGCATGCTCTCAATCAGTCCTCCAGTGTTGATGCTCTCCCCACTGCAATCATCACTGATATCCGCTACATCGCACTTCCGCCCAAGGTCCGCGATCCATTGATTGAGGCATTCATATCTACACTGCCCCCTGCACCAGAAGAACAATTGACTCCAGAACAGCAAGAGGAACTGGATCGGAAGCGAAGAGAACGCGAGAAACGTGAGAAGGCGCTTGTGGAGCGCGAGAAACGTGTTGAAGAAGATAAACGGAGGCAGCGTGGTGACCTTCTGCGTGGAAAGCATCTTCTTCGAGAAGGAGAAGCCGAAATCGCGGAAGCTATGCGTGTCAACAAAGATGGGCTACGCAGTCACATGGATATCGATTCTATGGATATCGATGAATCACTGGTACCAGGTGACGAGGAACAGAAATAGTGGAAGTCCATAATTCAAAGAAACAGAAAAGCCATTCTATGTACAGCAGTTATCGGACAAACTCCGGAGGTCCCATTACTCCCAAATATTCCATTCTGAGCGTAAGTTTATCCTGGACACGGACTTTGCATACCATCATGATGACAATGATGTTATGTTCTAATTCCTACTGTAGTATATCATAATGCTCATTCAAGTTGTTATCAACATTTCAATGCTGCCTCATGTGCCACTGACATCATATACAACATAGCGTCTAGATGTCTTGACTCTCGAGTGGACTAATCACTCTAACTTGAACAGTCGTTTTTTAAATGCGCACATTCGTAGGTAGCAAGTAGTATACATTTATTTTCAAAGATTTAAGGCTTAAGGCACAAATACTAGCATGTTTCAATTTTTGAGGGTATCACTGTAGATTAAAAGGCCAATTCCCCTTCATGCAGAAAACATTTTTCTCGTTCCACATTGTTCATTTAAATCTCCAATCATCCCAATCTTCGTCTTCATCTTCATCTTCATCTTCCTCGCCACTATCACTTGCTGCTGCCCCTTGCTCTTCTGAGGCCATAGGCCGATCTTGTACTTCATCACGGGCTTGTTTTTGTCGCAGCTCCTCGCGCATATGTTTGAGTCGACGGACACGCTCTTCGAGCTGTTCCATCTCATCAAATTCCTCTTCCATCAATCGTGCCGCATCTTCCCGTTCTCCTTCCAACTCCGCTTCCCGAGTCCGAGCCCTTGTGGCGGTATCTGATTTCTGCTGTGCTGCAAGCTCCTCCGCGGAGACAGGAGCAGCAAATATAGTCGCGGATGTAGTAGCGGCAGCTGGGGCCTCTGGAAGTCGGCTTGGCGCGGCAACTTCTCGTTCGAACGCGGCCCACTCATCTTCGTCGACCGCGGCAGAGGCTTCTTGTAAAGGTAGTGTAGTCTCTTGTGTCGGTTGTAGTTGTTGAGGGGCAGTCGTCGAGTCTGGCTGATCTTCATCGAGGGGTAGATCTGGCCCAGCGACCTGGTCCTCTTCTACCGGCGCCAATGCTTCACTTGCTACCGTGCCGTCAGCACTCAGTGAGCCTTCCACCGCGGCGTCTGAAGCTGCTTGGACTGATTCCAAGCTGGCCGATCGTAATTTCTTTCGCATCGCGGCATCGTTATTGTCAACCTTGCGCTTCTTGGTGACGCGATTTCCGGTGGTGTTGGGAGACGTGCCCTTGCGCGAAGCTAATTCATTTCGGAGAAGGGATCGGACATCCGCCATGGCTCTGAGAAGGAAAAAGTATTGTACTAAGAGGAATTTTCGAGGAGTCGGAGGCGAGGGAAGTAGTATCGTTGTGAAAGAGATTGAGTTGGAAGATCTTGATTTGAGATAGATTTTCAAGGTGGATTTTGCCTTTGTTGCGGAGTGGGGAATATGGAGATTCTAAGCTTCGATATATCCAGGCCCTGGAGTGTGGCTGGTGAGTTAGTCACGTGACCGTCGCGCCCACTTTATCCTCCTCGGATGTGGCCCTCTTCGCATTCCTTGCTTTCCATCACCCCATCAATATTCAACCCCACGCGCGCGCGCATCACCCAGGGTTAGTCGCTGTTGAATCAATACAAGCGACTTTTCCAATTCGCACCCTAGACTTGTTTTCATTATCGAGCGCTATCATCCTTGAGATACCTCACGCGACCCCGCTCAAGAATAGGTGTCGCGACTGACGCGCAAGGGATTACACACTACGTCAAATCGCATCCCAGCGCATTGTTACTTGCCACCTTACTGTTTCAAAGCTGTGTGCCTCTTGAACAGATTGTTGAAGGAAAGAGGCCTTGGTGACCAAGTAATACTGTGGATCAAGCACCAGTGCCGTCGCAGCGTCTTCCTCTTGTGTATTACTTTAGCCTCCTTTGAGCCCGTAGAGATTCGTTCTTTTCTTTTCTGCAGTTGGCAATTGCCAGCGCATACCTGTTGAAAAAACACAGGTTTCTATCTTTCTGTTTTCTTTGATTGCGCCTGTGTAGTACCATTGGGTGACTAAACCCACGTTTGTGTCATGGCTGGTAAGCAATTCGTACACCAACCCCGGCAGTTGTGGCTAGCTCTACACAACCAACCAGTGAAGGAGACATAGCAACACGAGGCCAGATATTACCTGGATGAATAACTAACCATAATGCCAGACGAACCGCGACGATCGGGCCGAGCCACTAAAGGCCAACACAAGAACCTCGAACTCCCAGATACCCCCGCGAAAAAAGGCAAGGGTAAAGGCCCGAAGGACAAATCCAGCAAAGCCTCCGCCGAACCTACTCCAGGACCTAGCGAAGGAGGAGACGAAGAAGAGGAGGAAATCATTCGTTGCATCTGTGGCGAGTACGAAGAAGAAGAAGATGTGGAACGTGATATGATCTGCTGTGATCAATGCTCAGCATGGCAACATAACGACTGCATGGGCCTGAAGTTCGCAAAGGGCGAAGAGCCAGATCAATACTATTGCGAACAATGCCGACCGGAAAACCACAAAGACCTGCTGGGCAAAATCGCCAAGGGGGAGAAGCCTTGGGAAGAGGTTGCAGAGCGGCGGCGACTGGAGCTTGAGGAGAAGAAGTCGAAGCGCAAGAAGGGCAAGAAGGGAGGCCGAAAAAACAGACCTAGTGAGGGCAAGCTTGAGCCTACAACTCCTGCTCGCACTGGAACATCGACAACGCCCGGACCTGGGCCTTCCCCTGCTACCGGTGCATCTGTCTCGGTTGAGCCTGAGAAGAATGGTCACACCGCAGATTCACGACGGTCAAGTACCAACAAGCGCAAGTTGGAAGAGAATGCAGAGACTGAAATGGTAGGATCTCCCCAGAGTGTCTTTCGTATGAGGAAAAGAATACGCTGATGCTAACTGATTTCACACAGGAGCCTCAAACAAAGCACCCACGGGTTTCTCCACAATCTACTACACCAGTGGCCCCGAAACCCAAAGTGGAAGCCATTCCACTGATTAGCCGGGAGGAGCCTGCAATGCCCGCTCGCAAGAGCGCGGCCAATGCGCTAGTCAAGTTCTTCATAGATCAGATTTCTGCAGCCCAGAAGGAGGGTTCTTTCTCGTTGCCATCTGGACAGTCAGCCGAGGCTACTGCACGACACCTCGGCCTCGGAGTCGAGAATGCCATGTATGAAAATATTTGGGGAGGAACAGGCGAGCCTACTGAGCCGTATAAATCGCAATTACGAGCGATTCTATTCAACGTAAAGAGAAATGACTCTCTTCGGGACCGTTTGCTCGTAGGCAGTGTTTCCCCCGAGACACTCTCTATGATGAAGTCCGAGGAGATGGCTAGCGAAGAATTACAACGAAAGGACGCAGAAATCAAGCGAGAGGCTGAACGGCAACATATCATTGTTGAGGAAGAAGGACCACGGATTCGTCGAACCCACAAGGGAGAGGAACTAATTGAGAACGATACGCATACTGCTGCGACAGAGTCTGTATTCTCTGCAGTCCCTCGCCGAGCGACTGATGCCGGTGCCAGCCCTGTGAACCAAAGCCCTGTGACCCCGAAGGTACCGCAGGCGGGCCAGGGTGAAAGCCACGCTCGAGCTCTTTCGCCGGATGGCGCTCATGGTGATCATGTATTCCCCGAGGTTGCTCCTAATATCCGTGAGCCCGTGCCTCATAGGAAACTTCAGGGAGATGCGGACATTGATAAGTTGCTCGATGATGACGAACCTGATTCCCCACCTTACTCACCAAAGGATTTGAGTGATGACGGCTTAATCTGGCGAGGTAAACTCACCATGTTACCAGTCGCCGAATTTAATTCCACTGCACAACATGTCGGTGGTGCGGAGCTCAGCGGCCGCATTCCCTGGAGCCAGCTCGCACCCCCGATGCTGAAAGTTGATGGCCGGATTGAGATTCAGCGTGCCAACAATTACCTTTGTGGCTTGCGCTGGAGCGCTTCAACGGATGTATCTGTGATTGCAGTTAGCAGCCCTCGTTCCCCTAGAGAGATTGATGGTTTCAACAAGCTTTTTGATTACTTCCATGGTCGCCAGCGATATGGTGTGATTGGCGCGCATCCACTCCCTGCTGTCAAGGACACCTACGTTGTCCCTCTTGAGGTGGGCACTACAAAGATGCCTGAATTTATCGAGCTTCTCGAAAACACAACCCTTGGCGAAGGGCCCATTGATGAACGCATCATTCTTATTGTCTTTGTGGTCAAGACTCGTGACTCCAACCCTCCTTCCGTTCAGCCCTCTTCTCATCGCCCCAGCCAGGAACCAGCTGTATCTGCAAGTCCCTTGACAGCAGCTGCAGCAACGCCTCAAAATACATTCATGGCGGGGCAAGCTGCCTTGAACGCTTCGACTTTGGGTGTTGCTGCTCCCAACCAAGCTGCTTATGGCCAGCAACCCGTCCAGCACCCGCCCTCCCAACAGCCCCCTTTGACGGGCATCTCTTTGGCTATTCAAGTTCTGGGTCCCCAAGTCAACGCCCCTGCTATTCAGCAACTATTGAAGACTGCACCCGACGTGGACATGGCACAACTGACTCTTGTTCGCGATATCCTGGCCCGTCAGCCGGCCGCCGCCAGCAACTACGAGACATTGATGCAGGCTCTCTTTGACACCCAGGCGAATGGTCACGTTTAAACCGTCTCCAATCTGATGACCTCATTCTTTCTAAACTGTACAGTTCTTACTACCGTTCATTTTCTTTTTGTTATCAATATGGATTAGGGTGGGCCGAGGCCCTGTGATCCTTGCCAGGTGTTTGGGACATTAGGTCCCTCATTGAGGGTTTTCAAGTTATTATGGATGTGGGGGATACCAACAAGGATAGTTTATTGTATCTGTGGGCCTGCCCTCAAAAATGAATCTCTTAGTTTGTCTCATTGAATGATCTGAGCAGCTTTTACTGCACATGTGTATTTTCCTACTTCAAGATTGCTATGTATCCAACGTTATCTATGTGTCTATCCAGATTGTGTATCCAGGTGTTATTCTTCAAGTTCACCCGAGCATTCGAGTTGACAGATGAAAATTGGACGCGCTTAGTAAAAATCCAGTTAAAAGATATTTGGAGGTAAAGAATTGATGTATTTTCATGTTATCACGTAATGATAGGGATATATTGAGCACATGGCGAATAACAACCCTCCATCGCCGTCGAGCCTCTTCCACGGACCGAACGTACAAACGCCTGCGCTATGCAAAAAGACAAGAAAAAATATTACGGGAGGCAGAGTAAAATACCGTGAAGCATTACCACCGTCCACGTCGTCTGTATCCTCCACCCCCGCCCCCACCACCACCATATCGCTGCTGACCACGCCCAGACCGAGGTCCAGCACTGTATGGATCCTCCTCCTCATGATGGCGCACAGGAGGTGCCCGACCCTTCAGCTCAACGCTAAGCTTCTTCCAAGTCTTCCGCATATCCGAGTATCCCATGTGCATCTTTCCGAAAAAGTGGTCTGCCAATCTTCGGTCATTGTCGAGTCGACTCAGGTAGGCGCCACACACGTCGCAGACTTGCAATTTTTGATGACCGGATGGACCGGAGGTGTCCTGAAGGTTCTTAAGGTCTCGCTCGGCAGTTTCTTTCTGATGTTTTGCGCTTCGGACTTTGTGCATTTCGTTCATGGCCATTGCGACGGACCCAGTTTCGCCGAGGACGGAAACCTCAAGAAGGCCGGTGTTGATTGTGCTGTTCAAATCGGCAATTTGTTTGAGCTGCAATAGGGTTAGAAAAATATGAATATACTATAGACAATGTCTTAGAAGCTCAAAAACATACCAGATTGTTGGTCTGTCGGATCTCATCCGGAGTCTTTTCCAGTCGACGTTGCGCGGTGTCGATCCTCCGGTCACAGTCATCAATGTACTTTTGCATATCCCGCATGTAATCAAAATCGAATCCCCATTTTGCTTTATCCGCTGACGAAGCTGTCTCGTATTCGGTCTTCAATCCCTCGCTATGTACTTTCGGACAGGGACCAAGATCTTGCTTAGTGTTGGTGAAGAGGTCATGCGGGCAGGTCCCGACAATGTAGGAGCGGCAGACCTTGTTGTCCGTAATGGAAAGCTGAGAATTGCGACCCTGGGCGCCAGTACCAATGAGTTGGTCAGCTATGGGAAAACCCGTCATTAGCTACTTCCAGATAACTTGGTGGACTCATCTTAAGCTGATGGAATTGAGGGGAGGTTATGGAGAGGGGAAGGACATACCGCCCATTAGCTGCTCCAGCAGTTTTCTCTGTTCAGCCGCCATGGTGTATTTGCGTCACAAATAGGAATGGGGCGACGTAAGAAGGTAATGAGATCTCTTTGACGGACTTGGAAAGTAGAAAGTTGAGGGTTTTTGATGCTGGCGCCAAGGAAGGCGGTGAGGCGCGTCAATCAACAAGACCAGATGGACATTATTTGACAATGTATCAGAGCTACCTAGGTACTTGTGCTAGATTTCATTCAATTATCGGATGTACAAGTCCTTTGACTATTTTCAGGACTTCTCGAGGTGACATTCTGTGCACTCGGCTGCTCCGTGGTCAATCCTCATATCTCTACCCCATATTTGATCCCAAATCTCATATGGACTAGGGGCAGTGCATACCAAGCTCCGGCATGAAGTGATGACGGTCTCATCAATACTCTCGCTGTTTTTAGCGATTGCGGTCTCACTATGGGGCTCGCCAACCTTAGCTTCCTCAGATTACCATGAACAACTCTTCCTCGAGCCCCTCCCGCAGTCTTCACTCCTAGCTTCGTTCAACTTCCGGGGTAATACATCGCAACAATCGTTCGACAACCAGCACTTCCAATACTTCCCAAGGGCACTCGGTCAGATCCTCCAACACGCGCACACCAAGGAGCTTCATTTACGGTTCACCACTGGTCGATGGGACGCAGACAGCTGGGGCTCACGGCCATGGAATGGCAGTAAAGAAGGAGGCACCGGGGTGGAGCTTTGGGCATGGATTGATGCGTCGGATGACGAAGAGTATGTTGTCTACATGCGTCCCAGGATAGATTCATTTTAATCAACCTCTAGGGCATTCGCAAAATGGATCACCTTGACACAATCATTGTCCGGACTCTTCTGCGCATCGTTGAACTTTATCGACTCGACTCGGACAACACGCCCTGTTGTGTCCTTCGAACCTACGGGCAACCATCGGAATGCCTCTTCACTACACCTCCTTCACGGAACTCTTCCTGGAGAAGTGGTTTGCACTGAAAACCTCACGCCATTTTTGAAACTACTTCCTTGCAAGGGTAAAATTGGAATATCCACTCTTTTCGATGGTCATAAACTGTTTGATGCAGCATGGCAAAGTATGTCTGTTGATGTGCACCCTATTTGCTCCAGCGATGGGGATTGCATTGTCCAAATTGAGCAGACAGTTGATATGGTTCTCGACATTGAACGATCGAAGCGAACTCGTGGTACGTAATATTTAATATTATGCCAAGTCAAAGATGGAGAGCTAATATGATTTAGATAACCCGATCCCTCGTCCAATTCCTCATGAACAACTCATCTGTGATACTTCTAAACCATACACTTCGGAGGATACGTGCTACCCTCTGGAAAAATCAACTGACATGGCATGGAGTTTGAACGAAGTTTTTGGAAGAACCCTGAATGGCATCTGTCCTCTTGCAGACTCTAACGAGCTTTCTGTCTGCCTGCGCGTGCCTCATGAGAAAAATGTCTTTACTTCCGAGGGCGCGTCTGAATTAAAGCAGGACGATGGTTTCACTCGATGCTTTTCTTTAGCAGAAACCGAACCCTTTGACCTCTCCATCCCAGAGCAGGAAGTCCACACAAAACTTCCCCTGGATGAGCCAATTCTTCATGCAGAGAGAACGATTGTTGGACATGGCCAGGAGCGAGGTGGCATGCGAATCATCTTCGGCAACCCCTCTCAAACAAACGCAGTTGACTTTATTTACTTCGAGTCACTTCCATGGTACTTACGCCCTTATATCCACACTCTACAAGCTACCATTACTGGACCGGACGGAGTTCGACGGGAAATTCCAGCCAGTGACATTGTAACCGAGACCTTCTATCGACCCGCCATCGATCGTGAGCGGGGAACTCAGCTAGAGCTCGCTCTATCCGTCCCCGCAGCTTCTACCGTCACTCTCACATACGATTTTGAAAAAGCCGTTCTGCGCTACACCGAGTACCCGCCAGATGCCAACCGTGGATTTAATGTCGCTCCGGCTGTTATTCGTGTGTTGGACGGTGAAAGTGCTCAACCAATTTATATCCGGACCACAAGTCTTCTCCTTCCACTGCCAACACCCGATTTCAGCATGCCATATAATGTAATCATCCTCACAAGTACTGTGATTGCACTCGCATTTGGTACTCTCTTCAATATACTGGTGCGGCGGGTGGTTTTGGTAGAAGAGGCAGATGCTCTGAAGGCTCAAACCTTCAAGGCTCGACTTGTAGGCAAGGTAGTGGCGCTCCGAGATCGTTTCCGCAAAAAGGATACCAAGGTGGAGTGATCAGGATGCAATGGAATATTTGATTTGATTCATCGAAAACTATTTCCTTAAGCCAACCTGTGCTTGATTCCTACCCTATTGTACATATTCAATTATTTTTTTCTTCTTCTTTCAAACGGTTTCCATGTCAACATTTGAACTATTGAAAGAGTCAGGATTTAGGAGTTCATTCAATCCTAACTTGAATGACCACCCATGCTGTAAGTGACCCATTAGCAGAGTATTCTAAACACCTAGTACGACACGAAGTTAACTACTTACGCCCCCATGAGATTCCTCATAGTTCCCCACCCCGGCATCGTTTTGGAGCCACCAGGTCGATGATTCATGAAAGTGTGATCTTCACTCGCACACGTCGGTTCTCCATGCTCGCTCATAGGTTTCACATCCGCAGCCTCATCTGAGCGCTGCAAAAAATGATACTTCGCTCGTGTCTTTTGTTGTTGAAGACCAAGAGAATCTCCCATCGTCGCTCGTGGGTTAGGAGCCTATATATTAGGTCGTGATTAATGAGCTCGAGTCCTCAAAGATAAACCACATGCAGAGTGTATCAGCTTACTTCTACATGACCGTAGCCCTGACGAGGCTCATCATCGTCGCTGCCGGTTCCTCCTTTCTTAAAACCTGGGTCGCCCCAGCCGGACCCGCCGCCTACATTGTTGGCTGGAGTAGGCGTGGCACTGGTCCCACCGGCGACTATGTTGGTGGGTTGGTTGTGGATTGGTGATTCGGGCATGCTAAGGTAAGTATAGGTATGACTATGTGTGGTATTGATTGTGCGCGCGGTGGGCTTCCAAGGTTGTATGTGATTAAAAGAGCAAAGTTCAGGTATATATGAGGATATTTCAAATATTACAAAGTCTTGTGAAAGAAAGTTCATGTTGGATGGCAAATTTCCTCTTTTCACACTAGATCCCTGCAATTGATCTCATCCATCGCCTCCGATTCTGGAGCGTTGAGCCACCCAAATGAAGTCATCATGAGCTTTGTGTAGATGTCCCCATTGGTCGGGGCTAGCTAAGTCAGCACCCCCAGATGCCCAGGTGCGTCATGCAAAATCATGATAAATATTGATTGATGTCTTTCAGTAATGTAGCCTGTTTTATTCTACAATTATTTCATACTGGAATCTAGTATTTAGAAGCAAACATTGAAGGTCGTCATGGGTAATGTTATATACAACTGGTTGGTTTTGATGAGCCGGGGACGCAATCTTGAATACGCCACTTCAGACCCGGGGATGAATCAAGTTTAAAGCTGGGATTTCAAAAATAACAAGACAGATAGGTATCAGAAAAAGCGAAGGTTTATATCAGACGATTCGGAATGAGAATTTTTGAGGCTTAACTACATGTGTGGACATAATACACAGTCCTGTCAACGAGGGTGATCTCGATCATATTGAATCACCTTCAAAGCCGGCCACCACTGTAACAGTATGGCTGCAACCATCATACACCCTGCAAAGATCTGCGCATGCAGGAAATAAGCTGTATCAAGATTTACCAAGGCACCTGCAATTGGCGTACCCGCCAGGGCGCCAAATGATGAAATCCCCCACATCATGCCTAGACGAGTGCCCATATAGTTCGGATTGGTACAGAAAACCGGATGTGCAACGATAGATGTCGGTGCTGTCACAAGTACGCCACTCAGGATACCCCAATAGCAAGCCCAAACAATGAAACCCGGTGTTTCAGTCGCAGCAATCCAAGTGAACATCGCAATAGCCGAGGCTGTCACACAGAATAGCAAGATAGCAATCGGTTTCACATAAGCAACTAGCAAGTAAGGCACGATACGACCAAAGACGGAAGACCCATTCACAATGGCCACCATGTAGAATGCGAGACTGGTAGTTGTTTGTACTACAGTTTCAGCATAGGATGCAACGTAAAAAATCGGCACATAGTATGCGAGCATGACGCAAGTAAGGGACACAGAGAAAAGCATAAACGGCAGTTCTCGAAAAGCTGTCCAATCGATAAGACTGCGTGCTCTCGATTGATGACCTGGTCGACGACACAGGATAGAGCATGCTATTATGGCCATCAAAAGGCTGACGAATGCTATACAGCGCACTGCCCATGGAAAACCAATCTTAGGCTGAAGCTGACGGAACATCACGGGGAATATCACTGCACCAACGCTCGAGCCAATTGATGCGCATCCAATCGCAATTGGCCGTTTTGTGGTGAAGCTGGTGGAAACTACTGCTAGTGCTGGGATGTAGGATATGCCACCTCCTAACCCGACACAGAAACCTTGCGCTAGGAGAATCTATTGTTTGTTAAGGACTGAAAAGACCTTTAAATCGGGATGTCGGGCTTACCTGATAATATTCAGTCCCAAGACTAGTCATCATGAGACCAAAGACTGTTAAAAAACTTCCAATCACCATCAATGGCCGCAGATACCCCGAATCAACCAATGGCCCGGAAATTATACCGACCATGGGAATCAGCGTTGCTTGGACACTTCCAATCCAGGAGATTGTTGACGGTGATAGATCGGAAAGAAGTTCTGTCTGATAATATGCTTGAAACGCGCCAAATGTAGTGAGGATTCCCCTATCATATTAAATTAGCACATGAAGTACTGAGCCCTGCAGTGCTCCCACATGACGAATCGGACTAACCAGGAGTTCACAAAGACGCAGAACAAGGCTACCACAGTCATCCATGCTTGCATGCCACCATTAATCCTCGGTTTTGAAACCTCATCATTGCGTTCAGACGTAGTCAGTCTCCCTTGAGTAGACTGTCGATGCGCATTGTCGATGTTCTCTGAGGTTGCTTTCTCGGCCATTTCCATTCTTATACCACACACTCCCTGCCATAATGGTCATTAGAACAAATGGACCTAGTTATACGACCGCGATTTTACCCCAGTCCTCCACAGTGGGGGCTCTTTTCTGGGGTTTTCATTAGTCACTCGAATGATGTGCTCGGCTGGGACGGCAGTGGATAGCCGAGCTCTACCGATTTTCAGAATGAGGTTCAAGGGCGGGGACCTCCGAAATGTCAACTGGGACTTGAAATATCTCGGTTTAATGCTTCATCCATGACAAGCTGGTCTGGGAAGGTCGATGGCAACATTGGTGTTTGCGGGAATTCAACGTTGTTTGCCCTATTAGCGCATCAACAATTCATGTCAGGTCCGGAGTAGTGATTTTCTTTTAGCAACCTTGGTCCTATAATGGCGGCCGTCTGTCAAAATTTGAACCTGGATATCATTCAAATGTTCTAGCACTTGGGAATTTCGGATTTCAATATCCAAAGTTTTCATTAGGAACTTGAAACATCGAAGTCTCGGGATCTGATCTTGATACATATATCTCTCCAGGGCCCCAGTGGATTTTCACCACTTCAATGTGCCAATGAGAGTCGATGCCATCATGTTCAAGCAACTCTAGTATAGATGACTCGTGGACAGGACCGTGTGACACCTGGAGCTTCCACTCCAATGCTCAACCTTGAACCTGAAACCTCAAGTGTTGCACTTATTAGCCTGATAGATGAGGCGGGCTCAACTTGAAGTGCCCAGGTGCCCAGAACTGCACATGTGAGCATCAATGTGAGACTGTTACCGCTAGCGAATGCAGCGGTAAAAGCAGCAATATTGGCCAGAAACAACGACTGGCAATTGAACCTTTGAATAAAACCACACCTGCCAGTTCCCAACGCTGAAGAGGTTTCACCGAGGAAAGTACTGAACCTCGTTAAAGAAAGTATGTTGAATTCTTTGACTCACAAGCGCAGGAATGATTATAAGGGCGCTTGAAACATAAGCATAAGTCGGGAGTCTACATGTAGTAGTACATGCAAAGAATTAGACTTGGATTTCATACATCCCGAGTCTCATTCGCAGGCGCCGTGAACTTGAACGAAGAATGAACCAATGATACTCTTGCAGTCTGTATCTTCTACTGCTCCAGATCTGATAAAAGAGGGACGTATTACTCCGTCCAAGAGCCACCAGTTGGCAAATCGGAGCTTTGATGCCCACCCAGATCCAGATTGCATTTTATGAGTTGTGGGTCTTCCATCTTGATTGCGTGTGATGAGATACGCAGCACCTGGACAGACGGGCTTGAAAATTAACCCTTCTCGAAGATTTCGCCCAGATATGGGATGGAGCTGTCATTCGAAAGTGTTACGTATACATGAGTGTTTTCATTTGGGGGTGATCCGTATGAGGGCTTTGAGCCTTCTACGCCTGCGGGCCGAGTTCGCACTGATGCTTTAGCTGTCCCTCAAGCGCTATTGAGCGGTCTGCCAATCCCGGTATTTTCTGTGACTCAGAACCCAAAGATAGTAGTAAGACATTCTGCACCTACCCATCCACAATAGGCTTGACATGAAACGGACGCCGGGTCATCACTCAACGTTTAAAATAGAAGAATTGAACTATCTCGGGGCGAAAAGAAGCTGAGGCATTCAATTGATCAATGCAAATCAGTATAAATAAACTGTCAGTATGTATTCAGGGGGCCGGATTGTTGATTTGGCCCCGTCTTTAGTCAATTCGGCTCTTGACAAACGGACTAAACGGTATATTGTCTAGCGTGCGGAATCTAGCATGTTTACGTGGCTAACTCCGTGGCATAGGCAAAGAAATTTGCTTGTTCCCCGGCCGAAATCCGTTAGATTGCCACAGTGTTTGTGGGCTGTTCTCCATCGTCGTTAGGCACCAAAGATCGGTGAGAATTCGGAACCTTGGCCCTGTTCTTGAGGTGGTCCATATGAGGTCAACGGTGTGTTGTCAATTCTGATGTGTCATCTATATCATGCAGGAATTTAAGATCATGTTGCCTATCCGTATGCTATGACCATGCGTATGTTCAAAGGGGATCTTCTGTGCTCCGTGCCATAGTGGATCAACCTTGGAATCGCTGAGCCTTCCGTGACGCGGCCGCAACTAGCTCCCCCTGACTATATTAAGAGACCAGGAGTCAATAGTTTGTAATTACCAAGAAGAGCATGACGAGGCTTAATTTTAGATAAGCTCAATTTCGAGGTTTAGCGAGTTAATCAAGATTAAGGTGAGATTGGCACTACTGCATGAGTGTACAGAGTACTTTGGTGGTATTGTATGGGCCGGGGGGGGTTAAATACGAATTACGGGTCACATACATGAATACTACCCACCTGGGCAGGTGAGGTTCTAACATTGGAAAGTCTGGAGCCTGCCTGATGCCCCTTTCTAAGGTGGATCGGATCTACGGCACCGAGTACATAGTACATAGTAACCATTTTCTTTGGAACCCAACAAAATTGAGATAAAAAGTTTGGGAAGAAAGAAAAACAAATCTAAAAGAGAAAGAAAAAAAAATTCGGTTAACCATGAAATTGATCTATATAACACTCGGTAGGGCAGAGTTGATTTGACGGAGACGAGCGGATAACCGAGGATGCCTGTAGATTCAGGAACCAATTTAGTATGATTGGACCTCGAGATTATTCTGATCCACCCTTTTTTTTTCTTTCTCTCTTTTCTTCTTTTTCCCCTTTGCCACATCACCCCCACCACCAATCGAGTCTCGTTCCTTAGGACTCGGGTCCACGGAATTGAGATTGAAAAAACCCAGCAGGATGATTACGGTACCTGAAACCTTGCATGGTGCATATTGAAATTTGACACATGGCGATTGTTCCGAGGGGCCAACATGTTTGGTTCACACCGCAATCTATCTGACTCTGAACTATATGGGGAATTGGCGAAGTGTCATTTCTTACACTTATCATCTGTTAATTTCCACTTACCCCGCCATTGAGATGACTGCGATCTCACAATTGAAGGGGAAATACGATGTCTCAAAAAACACTGAAACCTTTAGTGTTACGAGACAGATCTGGCTCAAAATGCGTAATGGAGGGTGGCCTCGCCATCCGATAAGCCACCAAGACGACTCCTCGCACAAGTCCGTTCCCCACAATGCACCTAGATGACGAGTGATCTTGGGCGATTTCAAGCCATGGCTGACTCCACGGCATAATCAACCACGCGATTCCTGCATTATAAGTGGTTCCTGAAGGTTCCGATACTCCATTACCAGTGGAGACCTGATCTCCAATAGTCTCCATTGAGCGGTGTTCCTGGCGCCCGACCAGCGAACAAAATGGACCGAACCGTTAGGCTGACTCCCCCCCCTCTCATTCACCCGTATCCAATCATGATTCCCAGTAGATCTCGCTAGCCAGGAACAAGACGGGATCTGGAAGGCTTATGGGCGTCTAGACTGGCCATGGGGGCCCCATTACCGGGTGATGAGTGGACCGGTGCCTTTTTTCGATGCTTTTTTTTCGTGCGTTTCAAGTTTTTCCTTCACTCAATGGGTCGGGCCTCTACTCCACCCTGAACATAAAGAGCTGACGAGTTCTTCCTTCTGGACCTTTTTTCCTTCTTTTTCCTTTCCTTCCTCACCTGCTGTCAGTCTTTCGATCTAAACCGGTCCCCCTCACTCTTTTATCCATTGAAACTTGAGGCTGAGCCTCTGTTCAATATCCAATCCTTACAATCAACTTGCTAGTCTGTGGAACAGACAAAGCGTCCTGACCGGTCCTTTCAAAGCCATTTCCTCGATACCCATCTCTTCAAAGCATTGTACCTGCAGATCTTGTTTCATCAGTAACCAAAGATAAACAACAAATTTATTCACAATGCGCGTCATCACTGCTCTTGGCCTCGCTGCCTCTCTGACCGGCATGGTCGCGGCCCGTCCTCACGCCCACGGTCACGGTCACCAAGCCGCACACGCCGCTCACGCCGCCCAGGAGAAGCGTGATTTCATTCTCGACATTGTCACTGAATACGCCTTTGTCACCGTCTACCCCGATGGTAGCCCCGTCGCGGAGCCTACCACCACCTCGACCCCTGTCGCTGTGGAAACCACCCCCACCCCAACACCTACTTCCTCCACCCAGGCCATCGCTGTCGATCTCGCCATTGAGGTCCCCTCCAGCAGCAGCAGCAGCAGCAGCATCAGCAGCACCGTGGTTCCCACTACCAGCAGCAGCATCGTCGAGATCTCCACCTCTACCCCTGAGCCTACTACCACCGCCACCCCTACCTGGACTACTTCTACCACCAACGTTGCCAGCTCCACCAGCGATGTCGTTGAGTCTGCCACTGCTACCAGCGGCTCCGGTGTCAAGATCTACAACAACATGAACGAGACCGTCTACCTGTGGACTACTTCCGAGGTTAGCGAGGGCATGAACACTCTGATCCCTAAGGGTGGTTCTTACTACGAGAACTGGCAGATCAACTCTGATGGTGGTGGTATCTCCATCAAGATGGGTACTGACACTGAGGAGCAGTCCGTCCTGCAGTTCGAGTACACCAAGGAGGATGAGACCCTCTGGTGGGATATGTCCTCCATCAACCTTGACAAGGACTCCGCTATTGTTAAGTATGGATTCGCTGTTACCTCCAACGACGCCTCCTGCTCCACTGTCACTTGTGATGCCGGTGATTCCGACTGCTCAGAGTCATACCAGCACCCCGATGACATTGACACCCTCAGCTGTACTTCCAGTGCGGCCTTTGTCCTTACTCTTGGTCTTGACTAAATTGGCCACCCATTTTGGCATATTCAGTCAGCTGTTTGAGTCTTCTCGCTCCTTCAATTCTGTGTGATTTACTTTTTTTTCTGAAGAACATTTTTTTTCTCTTTCTTGAACAAAGCCTTGACCAATGTAAAAGTGCTTTCTTCGTTGGAAATAAATTGGATTTTATGTATACGAATCGACATGAATGATGTAAACTGAAATTTTGGAGAAACAAACTCCGCAACTTGAAAATCTGCTGCAACGTTTTTGAGCCTATAAAGGAGTCAAATCCACAATCAAGACCGTGACAACCTAGTGCATGTGGGCCTTTTTCGAAGATTCTATCGAAAAGAAGCTTTTAGGAATGATTCTAGTTCCAGCTAGCACAAGTATTCTTATCCACAACTTGGAAATCTAGAACGTAGGGCTGACTTGTCGATCTATGCATTCTTTAGCTCCACTCACGATGTGTGAATGCAAGGGTCAACTCGACTTCAAGCCTCACGAGAATTCTATACTAATGATGAATGAATGTATGATACCTAAGCCACTATTGAACTTGAACAAGACAACCTTGGAAATTCACGCCTATAAGTCACGATCGCCATTAGAGGGGATGCTTTAATAATTGCCTCTCTTAAATACTTACAGAGTTCACTATTCTTGAGACAAAGCTCATTGTTTTCATGACCTTGGGTGTGCAATCATTTTTTCCTCTACTACTTCCAAGATTAGTATCTTTCAAATTCTCTCTTTTAAGCTCTGGATATTCTGTCATCTTTCCAGCCTTGGAAGCTTTCTCAATCCACTACTCGAATCCCGATTTCATTTCCGTCCCCTGTTGTATCACTTCACCATGGGCATCGTTATCTCATTTCACCGTTATATCACTTCACCCTTTTCTTAATAGACTGACCCTACCAAGTTTCTTTTAAGTGCTGTTACTTTGGAGGAGTTAAATCACCACCGATACCTGAACCTCTAGCGGAGATCATTCGACTGTTCACAAGTAGTGATCCTGAAGCTAGAAGGTTCCGTCGAAATATCCAAGTGCTAAATCAAGCCTTAGCCTCTACTTCTGTGTGTTGTCAGTTCGACGAGCGTCTGTCACAAAGGGACCGGGCTTCTCTTTACCAAATTCATGGTGACGTCTACGACTTCCACCTACCAGCAATGCCATTCCTCCTCAGGCTCGCACTTCAAGTTGATAATCCTATGATCATCTTCGCGTGAGTATCAGGTGATCTTCCATCAAATGATAATTAAAATCAGACCCATGGATCTCTCACTTGTTTTTTTATGCTTCAGCACCATCGTTCTCCGTCCCTTCCTTTAAACCCATTCAACACTTCGTTTACGAATTAACAACGGCAAGCAACAAACCACCTGGGCACTGGATGCGGTTCATGTCGTCAGAATGAACCCCTGGAGATATTGTGTCCGCTACTATCGCGAAAGCTGATGATATTCTCAACTTGAGAGATGTCACCGAGCTTTTTGCATCAGAAATGCCCTTCCTGTTACCGGATTTGTTACTAGGCTCAAAAGGTCCTCCAAGTCCTTTTCCATACCAACTCTGTGGCTACGTTTTTCTCCATTGGAGCTGAACAGAATTTTCAGAAGCTGGGAAAATTTCGGATAGGCATTATACTAGGCCCGCACTTGCAGGAGAAACCCATGCACTAGGGTCTCTTCTAAAGAAATCCATATACTACCGGCTGCCAACTGAAAAAAAGAGTTGAAAGTCTAAAGATGTACAGGTGAAGAAGAGGCAGAGGAGTCTGATTTATTTATCATCTACAAATTGAACTTCACTGTTCATTGTGATACATGCAGTGCTTCTCTATGCATTCTCATCTTCATCCTGTCCATATCTAGATTGCGTCTTGCAAGGTTCGCGGTGCCATTGTGTCTGGCATCAATACCAGGTTTGACTTGAACTTGAACTTGAAGTTGTTTGCACACTTGAAATATTCAGATCTTAATTTCAATTGAATTAAATGCCATATATACAGGCATATAAAGAAACAAAGTTGTTTAAGGGTTCTGTTCACAGAAAAGTAACATCTGTACACATATATGGATATTCATTTTGACTCATTTGAAAATTTCACAGTAAAGAAATAAAAGGTATGCTTAGTAAACAGGGACCTTGAAAGCAGGGAACTCGTAAGTCCAGCTCTCGTATGAGGCCTTATCAAACACACAGTCGAAGGAAGTAGTGTTCTTCCAAAGAGGGCGCGAGGGCCACTGGCACAGCATCTGAGTCTCGCCCTCATACTCGCCAGAGGAAACAGTCGCGTTAAGACGAGAAGGCTTGACACCATTCTCAACCCAGTTAATCATGGTCTGCATGTTATCCTCAGGGTAAGGACCAGGCTGGAGGTCGTTGGTTCCACAATGAGCAGCACCGGGAATCAAGTACAGCTGGTACCAATCCTGCAGCTTGGCGAGGCCTCGAGATTCTGTGAGGTTGGGGTACATGATAGACTTCACGGATTGCCAGTAGTGGACAGAGGAAGCAGTAGGAACACTAGGGTCGGATTCACCGTGGTAGTGGATAAGCTTACCACCAGACTCTTGGAAGGTACTAAGGTCGGGGATAGTGGTCTGCAGGGAATCCATGTAGCGAACCATAGCAGTGTTCATCCACTCAACAACGGTGTCGTAGGTAACGCCATCCAAAGTGGAGAGGTTATCAAGATCAAGAAGCTGAACGAACTTGGCGATGTATTCACCACCCATCGAGGTGATATCAAGCTCCCATTCCTTGGTGTTGTTGTTGTACTCGGTTTCAGCATCTGAGAGCTCAGAGCCGATTTGCCATGAGAGATAGGCACGCTCACCCTGAGTGTTGTGAAGACCATCATAGATTGCCTGGGCGACAGCAACATCATTGGCGTTCACAGTTCCGTTTTGAGCAGGCTGGTAGCTGGTAGTGCTGCCCTCAGCACGCTTACTGAAACCAAATCCAAGGGATGTGCTGGTCTCAGCGGCACAGTAGTAGGACTCGCCGATGATAGAAGACAGGTTGAAGTTCAGCTGGCACAGGTCAGTGCGAGAGATGACACCGTCGGTACGTCCATCCAAAGGATCACAGGCAGCGATGGTCGCATTGACAATCTTAGCCAGAGCACAAGGGGCAGGGAAGTAGTCCTGAGTATGCTCGACAACGGAGGAGAGGATGTGGTTGACTTGCTGCTGGGCGTAGCGGAACGCAGGGGCACCTGTGATCGCACCATCATATTCATCTCCGTAACGCTGAATCTGACTCATACCCTCACGACCCCCATCGGAGCAGCCCTCGTAGTAGGTGTAGATCTTTGAGCTAGTAGAGTCACCGTAGAAGCCCTTGGTGAAGTATTTGCCAAGCTGGGCCATCTCACCCAGAGCCTGGTAGCCGAACATGTAGGTGGCATCCCAGTTGATGGAGCCGTTGCCGTACAGAACGACCTCATCATAACTGACACCGGACAAGGCGTCGTAGCCAGCATCGGTGGCACCTGAAGCAGCACCGTACTCAAGACCACCAGTGGAACTAGTGGACAGCGAGTAGCCACCACCACCGGCGACGTAGAAACGCTTCTTGTAGTCCGCGGGAGCCGGAAGACCGTACTGCACGACAACACGATCACCCTTTCCGGGGTGGGTGTAAGTCAAAGTGACATTACAATAGTCGTAGCTCTCGCTGGATGCAGTGTTGGCGGTAGTGAGCGAAGGAAGGACATTAATACCGAGGAGAGTGCCATTGGCAGGGAGAGCGGATTCCACGTTGGAGACAGTGCACACCTCTGACAGAGAACTAGCAGAGGCAGCCGCAGCGAATGCCGCAACAGAGACGCCTCTTTGAAGACGCATCTTGGAGTTAAATGTATGTGAAGTGAAGATGCTGAAAGAGTGAATTGAAGAAAAGTATAGATTCCACCGAGCGAAAGAGGGCTGAATTTATACAATTCGAGAATGTCAGGAGTCTTCCAGGCTTAATCTACCTGTAATCTACCTGAAAACCATCAAGCAACAGCCAAGAAACGGATATCACCTCCTGTTTAGGAGAGAACCAGGCTCGATTCCATGCTGATCTCCCGGATAAACGGTATCCATAACATGTAACTCACGTTATGGGCATCCATACTTCTCGAATTTCCGGCGTCGTCATCTCCCACTAGGACACGGCAGACACTCAGGGACCATAAGTTTTGAACAGAGCATAAAACCCGTCGGTAGTTTTGGGAATCAGGGTTTCGGGCTATTCAATATTGGTCATTACCACATCATTGTGGTCCTCAAGAGCAAATAAAGTGTTCTCCATGAGGGCATTGATTGGCTCGTCATGCAGCTATGCCAGGGTCAAGCCAATTGAAAATGTGATCCAGAGGATAGTGGAGTTCACATCCTTGATCAGAATTTAGACTATGGTTCGAAATTAACATGTCAAGGGACGCGACTCGGGTAAATCCAGGACCGGCTTGGCCATGAAGATCTGCAGAGGTCACCACCCAAAAGGTGATTAAAACTTGGGGAGACCGCGTCACCCGTTGTGTGGAAGCATGTTGAAGTGGAGAAGATACTCTCAGCGACAGCACCTTGTTGGCTATCAGAGTCGGTACATTTCGCCTTGTTTCCGCAGGGTAGATCGGCTTTTTTCCAGAGATGATATTGGGATCTTCTTCAGACAGTTAAGCGTGCCAAGAGTTACCTGTGGTTTCATCGCGTTGCAGGAGTTCTCGAACAATGGCGCACATCAATTTCGGGCGTGTTTCCGAATGTAGAATTTCAATAGAATCTCAATAGATTGAGATACAAATTGAAGTGTTGAAGCGAAGTTGTGACTTTCATGTTCCTTTAGTTCCGAGGACGCGTACCCCTAGACGATGGGCGTGGGACTAAACTTGAGAGGGTCTGGCGTTGCCGTTGATGTTGTTCTTGCTCCACAAGACATTCGTCACGGCTCTGGGGGGTTTAGTTTGTTTTCAAGCAGGCAGCAACGCCACCTGTGCGTATTGATGGTATACCCCATGGGCAGGCGGAATCATTGTATGCGATCCCTTGATCCGGAGTGCCGTGGCGCTGGGAGACGACATTGCGGGTAGAGATAAAAAAAACACTACTGTCTACCTAGGTATTATTCAAGTAATACTAACCCTGGAGGTACTACTAGCACTTCCAAGGTTTAACAATAACTGACCTCGGTCTTTGTACCTTATACGTTGGTACTATTATATGAACTTGCATGAAATGTAACCCAAACAATAGTATATAGCTTGACACGAGGGGTTTGAAATGTCGTGGATTGGGTCCTGGTATTCAGTGAGCTAGTACTCCCTAAACGACACAGTGAAAGTGCTAGTATAACTAACTATCTGCATGGCACTAAGCATAAAACTAGTCGACAATAGGGTAGATTCTATAACATTTGAATCAAGTTTTTAATTGATTGTTGATTGTAGTGGATCACTCTACGTGGCCGTGGAATCGTAAATCAAAACGCCCAAATCTCTTCCTCTTCTTGCCCTCTCCCTCAAGTGCTGTTTTCCTCGAAGATCCCCTGTTCTTTTGCTGATCTTGGTATCCCCTTTAGAGTAGCATCGACAACGATAGTATCAACACTCAACAGAATAAGGGCTTAATGGAGTCCAGTGTGGGAGGAAGATGATAATATCTTGTGGGCAAATGCTTCGAGTTGTTCAGGTTATTCAATGGTGCAGGTGCAAAGGATGAGCAGTCCTATGGGTGATTTGATGTTCCACTCCCGAGGTCGGTATTCGCTTTCATGAACCAGCCTCGAAAAAGAAACTCGGTCTGTTATGGCTCTGTCGAAGCCATTTAAAGCCACTCTCGGCTTTTGGCCATCTTTCAAACTTTCTGTCAAACAGGCCACAAAAATTCTGTCTGAGGGCCACTTGGGTGGATTGCAATGTGAAAAATGTAAGCACAAGGGGTCTTTCAAAGAGCCTTGATTCCTTTTTATATCAATGAAGGTATTTTGTGAGCTTTCCATCCATGAGAAGCTCCTTCATGTGACGCTCTGGTTCACTGCTGGAGCTGCGGGCAACGAATAGGAAACTGTTCAATATTCACCGTCAATCCTCTTTCAAGAAACGTGAGGAGATGAGAAGACTTGTATGTAGATGAGGAAAAGCTTTCATAAATTTGATGGATCGCCAAGGTTGTATAGGAAAATACTTCATACTTCACCTGGGTAGTAGGTACTGCTCAGATTTTCACAGTATCACTCAAGCTAGGTAGCATATCTGTATATCCTAGCAATAGTATTATTTACCTGTGGCAGTGCCAATGGAGTACTATTCATTAGAGTTGAATGTAAGTAGTATGTATTGACAATGTATTTTGTAAATGAGGTGATATATAATGATGTGGTTATCGAGTTCGATAGAAACGTGGTTTAAGGGGATTTCGTGTCGTGAGATGAGGAACAAATGAAAATCATTAAAAAAGCAAAGAAAACCACTTGGAAGACACAAAGCTGCGGCTTAGCTGCCTGACCCGTCATAGCACCATTACTCCTCCACCTGGTCAGCCCAAGTCCCAGTCACAGGAGACAGCGTAGCATCGAGGCTCTCCATGGTGAGTGGGGGCTTGATCACAGTAGTGGGTTTATCTGATTCCACAGCTTTAGTAGAGCTGTCTGTGTCTGGTGCTTTCCCACCTGGCAAAGAGGGGAACTCTGCCTCATTATTGACTGCAGGAGTCCGTGAGCCTGCTCGCTGAGTTGAGCCATGAGATGGCTGATCATCTCTTGAGTTACGGCCCGAACCACGGCCACGACGACCGCCTCGACCACGGCGTCCAGAACTTTCTTGACCAGTTGACTCGTCTGGTCGGTTCTCTTCAAAGTCTCGTCGTACATGGCCAGATACGCCACCATGCATTCCACGGCGGAATTGACTGCCACCACCACGAGGGTTGTAGTCCTCTTCCTTTTTCTCAGAGTCCCATTCACGACCTGTTTGCGCCTTCAGCTTGCGCTGGCGATTCTGCTCGCGCTCATTATCCATGACCTTTCGGTTGGCCAGCTCTTCGCGTCGCTTCTTGGCTGCAACCTGTTCTCGTTCGAGGAAGGAGGCTTGATCGGCTTCGGCACGGGCATGAGCAGCAGCTTTCTTGGCTGCATTCTCTTTCGCTGCGGCAATTCGCTTTGAGAGCTCTTCCTCGCTCAGCTTGGGCTAGAAGTGAAGGAGGTAATTAGCGCAAACCACCTAGTGTAATGGAAAATAGAAACTAACCTTTCTGATACCACCTGTAGCACTGCGATCTCCTCGAACAGCCGGAACGCGTTGCGCTTCTGGAGTCGCCTCGGTTTTCTCCTCATCTCCAGGAGCTTGGGCCTTCTTTGTTTCCTCGGGCTTCTCAGGAGTCTCGGCAGTTACTTCTGGGCTGATCTCGGACTTTTGCTTTGACTTTGCCGTGTATTTAGGAGTCTTGGTCCGAATTGCAAGCTCTGATGTCTTGGGATCTGCCCATCTTGAGTCTTGCAGGCCTTGTCCTCCCTTACCCCGGTTTCCACGGCCACGGCCCCGCTGCGGAGTCTCCCCACGCGGATGAGGCTGCTTTTTACCTTGGGCCTTCTCTTGGACTGGTGTGGACTCAGGTTCAGGATCCTGCACTACGAGAACCTCTGTTTGAGCTTCTTGTTGCTCTGCCAAAACCGGGATAATCTCGTCGTCAAACAAGTCGTCAGCCCCGCGCGTCTGCGCGAATTCATCCATGTCAGCCATATGAGAGGTGGTGGAGGAGTTATTAGGAGGTCAAGTCAGAAATTGGGAAATGAAAGTGATTTCTGGATGAAGCGCGAGTTCTTAAGAGTCCTTGCGAGTTGCGACAGTGTTCGAGGGGTAGCTTCTTTGAGGGTTCGGAAGAACTAGTCCGTGCGGGAACTAGTAATGTCTAGACTGGGTCGCGCACAAAATGGTAGTGGGGATTCACAGGATCGGTAATTGCGGTAATTGCGAGGAGAGAAAGAGAGAACTCATGAGAAAGAGAAATAATTCATTTAAAAATGATGCCTGCGTGGTCTCACTTCACCAAGGACCTCATCGGACCCCATTCTAGGCGGTGAGTCGGAACAATGAAATTCTGCCGAGCTATACTCACCGCCTTGATGACGTTGATGTTGATCTCCATGATCAAGATAACCTTGGAATATGGTTAATACTTTTTCTTTTTCATGATGGAAATGATTAATCTGGAAATTTTGAGCATGACAGTATTAAGAAAAGTATGAAGTTCATCGCAATTGTGAAACTAGATGCCTTGGTAATTTCAATGTTGTCTCAGACTCGGAAACAGAATTGGTCGACTCATTTGTGTAGATATAGTCTCAACTGTGGGGTAAAATGAGCCCGATGCAATACTACTATAGTAGTACTATGTCAAGGTGTTTGTACGGAGTACAAAATACCTAGGCACTGGCATTTCTCAGGTATATGGTACGCTTCCACCTCTTTCCCTTGGTTGGCATTTTATCTTGCTCAAACATTCTGATGCATTTTGGCATTTAGAATTTAGGGGGGGCACTAAAGCATGCTTTGGGCTACTCAACACCTATATACTCTAGTAGTTCTGTAATGGCAGAGTTGGCCGGGCTTTCAGATGCCCAAAGAACAGCGGTGCAGGTCACCATAACTGGATCAGCTGGATGTTAATGAACCTTGGAACCCAGCAAACGGTCTGATCAAACCCAGCCCAGATTTTCTCCACCGGTGCATTTTGACTGGCCAAGGGAAGTTGATTAATATTTGAGGGCGATAACCTTCTTATTCACTACCACCTTTGCCTGCGGGCGACATTTTGACTATCTGTGGGGGTCGTTAGTGGAGATTAGTAGTTACAATACCAATATCCGCCTGGATGGGTTAATCATATCTGATTTGATCATTGATATTTTTTGTCTGGATACTTCTCCCACTGCCAATGGTTAGTCTCAATTTACCTCTTACAGTAAAAGCGTTGTATAGCTGACCTTGTTAATTGTAGATTTGGAGAATGGTTCCCGGATCTAGTGAGTGTTACTTTGCGGTGCTCTCCTACAAGTTGATATTGAATGTGTTTCATCCATATTAGTACTTATAGGTTTAACCGGCTGCAGCAGCTTCTCAAAGGGATCTAGATATCACGCCATCAACCACTCCTCGTAGTTCCCCTCTTTCCTTTGTCTTTCTGCGCTCTGTCCCCTCTCCGATTTAAGCCTTGTAGCGGATAGTCTCAAATGTTCTGTATTTTAAATGGCTTGGGGACCCCCAGTGGAGCTGCCCAAGTCCCAGATGCCACTGAATTTTGGTTCTGACCAATTTACTCGATTGGGGGCCATTTCCTAAAGCTTGGCTTGATCCCTGTAGAAAAGCCTCACCACGGGTCAGTATGCTGCTAAGATCATGAATTCAATGCATCTGTTCCACTAGTCATATAAAGTCAATGAAACCTAGACAGGGGCTCATGCATGGCTTATCACTCAATACAAGAGCTACTGCAAGCCACTTCGAATGTTGTTCAAGTTCCAGAGGGGGCCAAACATGATTGAATGGATACTGCGGTGGCAGAACTTCTGGCATTTCTTGCCTCTGAGAGTCTATATATAGAGCTCGAATGCAAGATGGCCCAGATTCCAGTGTCTGTTGACTCATCTGAACCTGAGTATCTACTATTTCTCTCCTCCAATCTTAGAAAGATCGAACAAAATGCCTGAATTGGACCAGTCCTCCAACATGGCCAACTTGACATCGCAAACCAGTTTCCGTCTCGCAGATGGGTTGGGATATGCTCTTCAGCAGAATCACCGCTCTGTCATTAAGCTGAACTTACAACACTTCCTTCGACGCCAGGTATTTGGTTTTCAAATCCATCCTTCCGTCCCCACAGATCTTGAGAAGATCGCCGATGTGGCTTGCGGGACCGCATTGTGGCTGATCGACGTTTCCCGGGAATTCCCTCACTTCCAAATCGACGGACTGGATGTTGATTTGACTCAAGCCCCTCACCCAAAATGGCTCCCCTCCAATATCCATCTTCAACAATGGGATATTTTTTCGGATGTGCCAGCAGGCCTAGAGGCAAAATATGACCTTGTACATGCCCGACTTCTTGTACTGGTACTTTCTGGCCTGGACCCTATGCCTGTATTGCATCATTTGTTTTAGTTGGTTAAGCCGGGTGGTTATCTCCAGTGGGATGAGTTGGATACTACGAATATGCATATTAAAAAAACGGACCCATCTATCAGCGCACCTGCATTGCAAGAAATCATGAAAGCATCGCATGCAGGCGGGCGCCATGATTGAACATTGGAACTGTCACGTCTGTTAACCGAGGCAGGGTTTCAGGACGCTAACATTCATTTTTACGATGACCCCCCCTGAATAACTCTGTGCTTTTAATGATCAACACCTGTTGACTATGAAAGAGTTCGCTACCAAGTTGGCAAGCAAGGGCTAGACGGAGGGTGCGACTCGATTTACTGATTTAACTCAGTCTTGCTATCAGGAATGTGTGAATGGCGCGGCCTTATGCATTCCTCGAGTGGTTATTGTGGCTCGACGACCTCTTTAATCTTTCAAGTTCATGCCAGTGTTTGGTTCCTGGAAGTCTTTAGCTCATAAATCTAAGCTTTTGGTCCCATTCCAATCAATGATGAATCAAAGCCAAGAAATTGAAATTCAAATAAACATTTGAACACTCAAATCCACAGAGTGAGTAAATCTGCTAGGCCTAAGTAATGACTAAAATTTTGAAATTGAGTCACTTCATATCTTCATATGGTATCTTTGACGTAGCCATAGATACTACATCGCTTTTTAAGATCCCTATCAATGTAACATGGAGTTCTGGACTTTAATTGGCCTTTCTTTGTTCATTTTAAATCAATTTCAAGTTCTACTAAGAATCTGGCCCCATAGAATCAAAGTCCCCACGCCTCAGCCGTTCTGACTATAAGTTTTATCCAATTTTCTAATGGCGCAGCTCTTTTTAGCTAACTGTTTTTTTTCACTTGTATTTCTTGAATTTCTTTTGTTTAAATCTCTTTTCTTATCACGAATAAACTGGAAGTTTCCACAACTTTAGGCCAAATTGAGGCCATGACCAACAACATGAAAGATCCAGATACCATCACTCGCGATGCAGAAAGCAGCTCAAGCCCTCAGCTCTTAGTGAAAGAAAAAGACGAGGAGATTGTACCCGTCTCTGAGCAATTGGATGACCCAAATGACCCGACTGTATGGCCTCTTTGAAGAAATGGTCAATTGTGATGTGTGTAGCTCTCATGTACATGCTGGCGTGAGTGAAGACTGTTCTTGAATACTTTGACTTCTTCTAATCCATGCCCGACTAGAAATTTTGGAACCATTATAATTGTTCCTGGCATACCTCTTATTCTTTCAGAGTCAACGTATCTGGGAGCCTATATCAACCTTTAATAGTTTCCATCTGGGAACTCGGTGAAGGTGTCGGGTTCTTTGTGGTTGGGCCTTTATCAGAAAGATATGGTCGGAACATCGTCTACCATGTCGGAAATGTCCTCTTCATTCTCTGCTCTGTTGCGTCAGCTCTGAGTGTCAATGTCTCCATGCTGGTGGCCTTCCGTTTTATCAATGGTATGGCAGTCACCGTTCTCACTCTTTCGCCGAGTATCATTGAAGAACTCTTTTCCGTGAAGAACGAGGTAGAGCGATGGCTGTGGCTATTTCAGTGCCATTAATTGGGCCTTGTGTAGCCCCTATCGTGGGTGGATACGTGGCGAGCGCCCTCGGATGGCGATGGGCTATTTGGTTGGTAGCTATTGCAGTGGGATGTGTACCTCTATTCTCCTTAATTGTTTTTAAGGAAACATACATGCCACAGATCTAGGGAAAGCAGTCTCAGGGGAGTCAAAACTCTGAACCGCATAGTCCTTCTGCTCAGGAAATTCTTCACGATAGACCATCACAAGAGACGAAGCTTCAAAGCTTTCTGCGCCCAGTGCGCTTACTCTTCTCTTCGCCAGTTGTTCTTGTGACCTCGGCTTTTTACATCACTCGTTTACGGTTTCTCTTATCTTATCTTGACTTTCTGGCGGAGATCATGGAGGAGACATACGGATTCATCTCAGGATCTGCAGGATTAACCTTTCTCGGTCGAGGTAATAAATTTCTCTGAATTATTGATACACCCAAGCTAACGGGAAATGTGGGAAAGCCATTGGTAACCTCATTGGTCTAGGCTTGTACGGCCTTACCTCTGATCGCTATCTTGAATATCGGCGACAGAAAGTTGGTGATTCGATCCCTGAAGACCGTCTACCATTAATGGTTCTAGGGACCGCTTTATTACCCGTTGGCCTCTTTCTCTACGGCTGGACATCACATTTCCATGTCCAGTGGAGTGTACCTCTGATTGGAACCGGCATTGTGGGATTCAGCATGCTGTTGACGAAACTGCCAACAGATAATTATCTCGTGGATGCATTTGCACCACAGGGAACATCTGCATCAATATTATCTGCAGATGCCACGTTGAAAGCCTTGTTTGGAGCGGTTTCCCCGTTGCTTGGTCCGTCTTTATACAGGAATTTGGGCCTTGGATGGGGCAACTCACTCTTGGCCTTTATTGAGTTGGCGTTTCTACCTCTGTTCATCATATTGTGGCGGGAGGGTCAGGAGTTGAGAAGGCAAGGATGGAGCTATTTGAAGATCATGATGAAACGAAGATAAATAGCTGAAGATTCAACGAATCAATTGATTACCGAGGAATGCATATAGTATGTATTGAACTAGTATGTGTGACCTTCTGGCGATTAGTCTCCACAATAAGCACAGCGCAGTAGTAAATACTCACATCTAGCGACTGTGAATTCTATTACAGAATATTGACCGTTGTATTGATCTTCTCCACCCTTCAATGCTCTTCAAATTAAATTCAGTTACCAGAGTTGGGGTCGGATAGCACCTGGGCAGGGATTCTACTAATCAGTTTCGCTCTATTTTCCCGAAATAACGTCATGAATCATGATAATAGTTACTCGATAAATGCCAGTGGCTTCAACTGACGTTGCAACTGGCAGTCATTGTTGCCCAGATTACTGCGCGGTTTTCACGAATTGCTTGTTTGAAGAGCAGAATATCATAGCTAACTCCGCCCAAACCCGACCGTGCCACCTGGGCATGGACGAACCATTGGAATTGCACCTTGGCCAGGAACACCATGATCTATAAAGCCGAATTTTGCGTACAATGCGGAGCCCTCGGCACTTGCGCTCAGATAGACACTTACTCTTTTGATATCGGCCTGGTCGCATCCCCATTTCATAAGCATAGAAGCGGCCCCTCGTCGCTGATATTGTGGATGCGTCACAACTATGTCCAGAACTTCAACTCCACAGCGATTAGTCTAACTGAAAAAGCAGGTGTAGCTAATATAATACATACAGATATGCTTCGTATTGCCCATAATACGTCTTCTATTGCTCTCTCCTCTCGCCACAAAAGCTTCGCACAATTCCTTCGGCATATCCTCATGCCACGGTGGGTAGCGCGGTCCCCGCTCCTCAGGTAAAGAGAGGTCCCATTTTGCATATGCTACTATTGGTGGTCCACCGTTGTAATTCTTGGATTTGGGGTCTATGATCTTCATATAATGCTGGAATGGGTGATCAACGATATCATGGAAGATGGCACCTTCCAACCACTTCCGGACTCCGGGCGTATCAGGGAATAGCTGCCTTGAGTGAGAGTCCGAAAATGCTACGAGCCACAGATCAGCGAGGGCTGATCTGTCTCCTGCAGTAACAGGCTCTATTTTCAGAGATTCTGAGAGTCCCATTTTTTTGTAACAGCAGAGACCCGAAAATATCAGGTTAGAAAACCAAAAGGTCAACAAGATAGGGGGAGGCTCATTCAAAATGTTATCAGTGGAGTAAGCCGGGCTATTTGGGTGCAACTTTACTATACCCCTTTAAGCCTAAATAGATGATAAGTTATATTCAAATTGATAAACAACTTTAATACATACTAGTAAAGTGGAAATTTATCTTTCATGAAAAAATGTCCTAAACCTAAATACCCATTTCCCTTGGGGCCAAGGCACGTACACTTCGAGTTATACTCTGTTGTAACCGTTCCGCAATAGAACGAGAGGACCTATCTTCAAGATTCCAATTTCCATATTCAAGTTACAGGTGAGTACTAAAACTTGTCCTTATTCTCTTCCAACCATTGATGAAATCTGATAGGGTCCCGCTTGATATACTTCTTTATATTTCCCATGGCCTCTGAGTACGTAGGAAAAGTGAAAAATGCACCAGCATGTTCTGTCACATCAGTCACAAGCCACTGCGCCAAAGGTTCTTCTACTCCCTGCTCCATTCGATCAACCTTCATCTCCTGAGCCGAGACCCAAGTTGTCTTGATCTCCTTGCCCAAGACATTTGCCACAAGCGCCAGAGCCTCACTTAGAGTGAGTTCATCCAGACCAGCAAGAGAGACTACATGCTCCGAGGACCCATTAACGAGAATAGAGCCAGCCACGCGCCCGATATCTTCAGGTGAAATATAATCAGCCAGTGCGTCAAAATTGGCGTGCTTTACTTTCCCAGCGGCGATTCCAGCTTTAAACCACAGGATATTGCTAGCAAAGAATGCGGGGCGAATCGAAACGAAGTTGTCTATTCCAAAGACCTCTTCAAGGGATATCTCCACTTGAGCGTGCTCATAGGGAATAAAGTCGTCTGCAGGGATAGAGGCAGGGTCCCCTTGCACGGAGAAACTGCTCAAAAGAACGATAGAGGTGATTCCGGCTTCTTTGAGAGCAACTAGACTGGCGCGCATATGGTCATGTGTATCGAAGATAACATAAATATAAGCAGCTGTCGCTCCAGTCTGCTGCACGGCATCTGTCAGAGTCTCAGGCTTGGTAAGGTCTGCCTGAACTTTCTCGGCAGGGATGCCGTCGAGTAGAGGGATGGGTTTAGATGGGTCTCGAACGGCGAGGGTGACCTGGGCACCTTCTTGGTGAGCCTGGAGAGCTGCGTAGGATCCAGTGGCTCCAGTTGCACCGAAGACAATCACTTTGGTAGGGATACCCATTTGAAGGACTCTTTGAGAATTCCAGTTGAGATGATCGGTTATCGGAACAATTCTGTTGCAATTAAAGAGAGGGCTTTTCTAGTGTATTTAAGGACTAGACCACAACTTCCAATCGCTAGCCGCTTAAAATGTTAGTCTTCACATTGAAAACTATCGTAATGTGGTGTCAATGATAGTGGGGCGACTGAGGTCATTAGACTAATCGAGAGCGTGTCCGATGCAAGGGGTGGAGATCGACGAAGATCATTAGAAATCGTAGACGGCTTTAAGACACAACTTGAACTCCCGACCTCGGGAGTTCGGACTTAATAGCACGATGGTGAGGCTTTAGAGTATTTCAACTACTTGAATCTATAATTATTTTCCATCATCTGGATTCCGAGTCTCGAGGCTCAAGTTTAATATTGTCAGATCTCTAAGCTTCAATGTTTTGGTGATTGTGATTAGATGATGAATGGTTCAAAGTCCAGACTCATATGTATCATGATGCAATATAGCTCAGGTAAATTGACTATCTCCAGGGCTGATATAGTAGATTTCCAGTTTCCACTGGTACTAACACTCAGGATCCCGTCGACGAGCATATACTCCAAGGCTACGTAGGTAGGAGGCTTAGCGTGTAATATTACATAAATACCCTACCGTGATGTATTTTTGCGATAGTGAGTGATCTCGAAGCCTCATTTCCCCATAGTGTGTAATATAACAGCATTAGTTTCTCCCCCGTCATACAGCCTCAATTCTGGAAATAATCATTTGAAATAATTGATTCTAGCTACTGAGTATATCTGTATGGCCTCAAGAAATTTTCAGCAGAAAATAATCGCTTTTGGTAGTTTCCCAAGCCTTTTTAAAAGACTGTTCTTAACTATTACCACATCCACATTCTGACACTACATGGAAAATCTGGCACTACATCGACAATCTGGCACTACATGCGCAAACTGACACTACACCCACACAATCTGACACTACACCCACACAATCTGACAACTACACCCATAATCTGACATTACACCCACAAATTAACAGTACCCATAAAATCTAATGCTACATGCTCAATCTGGCACTAGATCCACAATCTAACAGAGCTTTCTTTTCGAACTACTCAGAAGGAGAAGTCTTGTCTCAACAAGGCTTGAACAATTGGTCCGATCAACAATAAAAATTTGATACAAAATTGCTATTCTGAACTGTCGACCGTCAAGAATGATAGTACGGCGAAGATTAGACACATTCCCATGAATTCTCATCTGTGTAGTTTCCAGGGCCCTTGAACACATTTCGTTTGGGCCATTTACAATGCTTGCGCCAGTACTCAACTGGAGTTCCTGCACCGTCTTCGAATTTGGCTCCACGAATAGTCTCCGGTGGGATACCCTCCTCAACCCACTTCACCATAGCCATGAGCACGTTGCTGTCAGGGTCACTGCTGGCATACGTGCTTGAGCCTTGGCCAATACCATAAGCACCATTTCCATCACCACAATGCGCCATGCCGCTGACTGTGAAGAAACGGTAGAACTCGTCCAGGTCTTGAGGTGGGAGTTCCATGGTTTCAGCGACATGCGAATAGTACCATTTTGAATCCTCGGAGCTGATGAGTTGATCCATCATTCCGTGGTAGTGAAGAACTTTACCTCCGGTCTTGCGGAATGGTGTCAGATCGCCGTCCCAGGTCTGAATGTTGTAAGGGTTCTGAGCTAACGCAGCCTCAGCGTCTTGGACCGTCAGGTTACCGTCCCAGGATGGGTCATTGTACACCACATATCGGAACCAGTCCAGACTGTATGGGAAAGGTGAACCGGTATACATGATTTCTGCAGCGTAGTTCTCGGATCCTGGTTGCATTCTCCTGTAAAGTGTGCTACCATTCACGCCGTTCAAAGGCGACAGAACCTGTTGGACAGTTTGGACTTGAGCACTGCTCAGACAGTTGGTGGTATTCTTTGCGTTGGGAGTGCACATCAAGGTCTCAATGATAGGGAGGCAAAGATCGGGGTCCTCGATGATATCATCTTTGGCACCATCAATGGTGTCGCACTGACGCAGGATCTCGTCATGAACAAGACTCCATTCAGCAGCGGTGAGGAATTTATCGGAGGTTGGGGGACCCGTGAGATCGTAGAAGTGAGCACTCCAAGAAATCAAGTTGGCAAAGTTGAGAGCGGGAGAACCTGCAACAACACCATCGAAGTCATTGGGGTATTTTTGGACTGATTTCCACCCTTGTCTGCCACCAGTGGAGCATCCAAGGTAATAGCTCTTATTGAATCCCTCGTCGTAGAACATATTCGTGAGTTCCTTTCCAATCACAACTCCAGTGTGGATGGATCGGTAGGCAAAATCCTTCAGAACCTCTGGATGGTGATAAAAGGGCTTGCCAGAAGTTCCGTTGTGACCATTGTTCGCGCCGACAGTAGCAAAACCGAAGCCGGCAGTGTAAGCAAGATCATAATATTGAATACCTGGTCGAGTTTTAGAATCAGTGTATGTCCACCGTGAGATTGTAACCAAATACTTACAGCCAGATAATCCACCATTACCGGTACTCAAAAATCGACCATTGTATTCGCGTGGGAACCAGGCCTCGAGAGTGATCTGGCTGCTGGAGGAGGTATTGACGGCCATTGCGACTCGACAAAGGTCCACAGAGACCTCCTGGGATGATGCATCGCAGCTTGGAGGGTTATCCGCCAAAGAGAGATTCGTTCCCCGGGGATATACTCGGCAAAGTTCACTTGCACATGGGGGGAGGTTAATCTTATTGTAAAATTGCGAACATTTTGTTTGGAAATCATCTTGGCTACTAGTAGCAACGGCTACAGATCCCAAGAGAAAAATAGGTAGTAGAGAAAAGCGAGTCATTGTAGCTAATAGCTGAAGTCAATCAGAAAAAGCACATTCTTCTTCATCTGCTGCGGGAATACTCTAGCTAAATAGCTCAATTCTACCAGTTCTGACTTCAAAGATCAACACCTGGGCATATTAAAGGCTGCAGATCGGCAAGTGCCTGCCAAGAATTTCCCGGTTCAGATACAGGAAAAAATGGGGTGCGGTCGTAACATATTCCCGAAGATAACCCGTAATCAGATGGAGTGTAAGGTATTGATACATGGGAATGAGCACATGAAAAACAAAGTGGGTCAATATGGGGTTGTGGCTGAAGTATGATGTTGAATAAGAGGGGAAAAAGGTGATTAGGTATCAAGAATATCCGGGAGAAGGGACAGATAACCCTGTTGAGAGGCTGGAAAATCCGGGGTCTCCACAAATGCGGGGAATCTCTTGGGCCCCTCGGCTTCGCATGGCTGTTGAAATCGGCATTTCAATAGGGTTCCGACCTCGGCACTTTGATAAATCGGAGATTGGTGAGCAAGACATCACCCGATATGACGGACTTGAAGGTTGGCTAAGCTTACCCTAATATGTCTACAGAGGACATGCAAAGATTAACTATATCCTTTGAAAGGATATCCCAAAAAAAAGAAATTCAATTCTTATGAGTCTTGAGCTTCCCGAGATTCGATTCAACTCTTTGAGTTGGAAACGCAGAGCTGAGCTCTCTCTAGTTAGGTCGGCATTCGCAGCCTGCTCTTCTTTCAAACGCTCACGATCATTGGGCAGGTGGGCGACTCAAATAGACGCCTCTCAGATGAGACGAAAGGTGCCGAACTAGTCAATTAGCCCGTCCCACTGACATTCCCCAGCATGAGAGCATTCATGGGCCCGCAGGATACTTCACACCTTTAATTCCAATGTTCAGCATGTAAGAGTTAACAAGTCCTCACGCTGCGCTTCGCGCGGCACCATAGCAGCAAAATTAGGAACAGTATGTTCCCAGCACTTAAGTGCTTGGCCAGGCGTATTCACATACCTTAATTACAGGGCTTAGTTAGTAGGTAGTATCTACAGGTGGCTAGTGACCTATATCTCTTTTTATGTGAATACCTACAGGGTTACCTACAGGGCTACCTAGAGGGGAAGGAAGGCTAGCTGCTACATCCATACTAGTTCAAGTTACTAGGAGACCGTAACATAGAGAACCTTCTGGCAGCCCTATGGATACGCTCAGGCGCCATATACTGACTCTGCCTTTCCCCAGATGTTCTTGACTACTCGGGTATTATGACTGGCGGTAAGTAAAAGTACAGGAACCTTGGAACTCAAGTAGCAAAAGAGGCCTGAACATATATGCATGATTGATTTTTCATGTGCAAGGTGCACTGGACAACCTGTTCACAAGCTGGATCAGGCGGATCCCTCTGTTCGAATTTGACTTGGTGTGGCCAAGCGCGACGCCTATACTGGATTAACCCTAAAGAAGCTTCGACACTGGCTATATGGTATGCACCTTACACTGGAAGAGGGTGCAAAAGACTTCCAAGATTTAGTCCCGTGGCAGCGCAGTTGAATCCATCTTCAACAGACTTACCAGCTGCCTGTCTGCACGTCATGATATAGGAGTTTTATAGTTAAATATAATAGTACCTATCTCTCCCATCGAAAGAGATCCACGGCAAATAAAAAAAGGGAAAAAAAACATGCGCTTTCAGTCTCAAAATTATCAAACTTCGAGTCGGTATAACAGCAGTCGTGGACCCAGCCTAGCATACTGGATTTGACCCAATGTCCTGAAGACCTTGGAATATTCGAAGAGCTATTTTCGGAAGCCAGAAACCTACCCTGAAAGCAGCCCTGGAGCAATTAGGCCCAATCTGGTTCCATTCGCCTTCCACATCTGGGCTAGTATATGGCATACTCCGAGCACTAGTCTGTTTTAGACCCCGGCCTCCAGGCCTTTTAGCAACAGCCTTACAAACAACAAATTCACAAACATTCAACAACCTCACGAAAACTCAGTCGCTTATAAATCCTCTCAAGCACAACGCTTGCTTCTTTCGATTTCCACTGGGATTTCCAAGCCAGTCAGCATACACACCGCGTCACCGTCACCATCAACTCCTCACAGAATGCAAGCCCTACAGCTCCTGTTCGGACACCGCCAAAAAACGTGGCAGACCACAATCAGACCTCCCAAGATGAATACGCTTATCGGGTTGCCTACCGAGATCTTGATAACAATCATCGAATACCTTGTTATTGTCAATCTTGCTTGTCTTTCCCTTTGTAGCCAGAGGCTACGCAGGGTCTCTCAGTGGGGTATAAGCCGCCTGGACTGCACTAAGATGAGAAGCTCTTGATCCTGACTCGGCTGGAACGTGACCTACCTCAATGCCTTGCTTGCCGTCATTGCTATATTCTTCATAAGTATGACGGAACCGAAAGCTTCAAAATGGATATTTGGTGCCATAAGAACATTTTGATAGCGTCTTTAGATCCCACAGCAATAAGCCTTATCTGTGGAGTCACCTTTCCTTTCTCCAGATTAAGCTATGCATGAGAAGTTTCCTTTATGGCCCACAATGCGGAATCAATACCGAGTCACTCCACTGTTAACAAGTCTGCAACTACCCACCAGATTCGGCTCACTCGGGAATGAGATTACTTTACTCTCGTGAAGCTTAAATGTGTCCTCATCACCTTGAGCCTGGCGTCTGTCTCAGAACGCAAGATGTCCTTGTCAATGTAAGCGGCGGCTTAATCCCCACTCCAGAAGACCCAGAAGTTCTTATTGAATGGGACCTTGAGTTTGCCAATTTCCAGAAGAATCCTTCTCGCTTTCTGGAAGTATGTCGCCATATCAGTTTTGCCGGCTTAAAAGATGGCATTATAGAGCTTCTTGGCGGAAAACCTGGAGGGAAGCCTATCCCCTACAGATGTGAGGTCTGTAACACAGACGTCTGCATTGAAATCAAACGATTTGACTTTAAAACTGCTCTTTTTATGACAAAGTGGGTTGGCCTAGGCCATGTCATCTACGAGGATGATCCATTGTGGAAGAGCCACGTCTTTTGGAACGATGAAGATATTGATATCGGAAAGATCAATGATGATGACCTTCAATGTCCCCGTATGTGCTTCGAAGAGATGGCATCAGAGTCGTTGAGGGACTTGATATTTCGGAATCTCTCTTGCCTGAGAAATAAGCAGTACAAAAAAGACTCACGTTTCTCTCAACAGAGAATGGATCCATACTCAGGACCATATTCAAAATGCGACGTCTCAATTTTGGTGTATAGAGAGCCCAAAGAGCCACTCAAGACAAGGCCTTGGAGGCTCCTGACGGACTGGCTGTCTTTCTGACAGACTGGCTGTCCTGCCAACGGAAAGGGGCTGCTGGGGCAGCGGGGCAGGGACGGGTTGTTATGATGAAACTTCATTCAGCAGTGCGGTTCAAGCACAAAATTTTCCCACGAAGCCCAACCCAAATGTTGACCTCCAGAATAAAAGTTTTGCCTCGATGGGGAGAGCATGGACATCGCTACCCCCGACTCCAAGAGAGCGGACAGCCTCTTTGGGTAAGCCTTTTTCTTCGCACTTGTATTATTAGCAGCTCCCAAGCCAAAAACAACGAAATCTTCCAAATTCCCAGGATAATCCGTTAGCCGGGAGGGCCAGGTAGAAGTACATGCATATTGAGTCTTGGAGCCTTGGAAGAGAGGGAGCGTTCTGTAATCGGAATGTACGGGTCACGGTTTCCAGCATCATAGCCCCCTTCTGTAGCAGATAAAGCGCCCGACTCATAACTCGCAGGTTTACGCACACAGTCATGGACTTGCATCATCGTATCACTTTAAACATCTAGAGACGCTCCCATAGCGAAAATTAGAAGCAACGCAACGAAAACATCAGCAGCCGGTAAGACCACGGGAAAAGAACGCAGCTTCATCTGTGGTCTCCCATTTGAGCGCAAATTCGACACGCAGCAATCGATATATGGAGGGCTGATAAAGAACAAGACACCATGTTCCACATGATGGTATGATTCTGGCATGATAGCCTCATATCATGATGCATTTTTGGGATGAATATTTCTACTAGTACTTTTGAGCCCATCAAATCTTTTATTTTGCTTTCTATAAGCGCCGGGCTTCATAATCACTGTCCCCCTGCACAAAGACTTCCGTCTTCATTGCAATCCCCTGAGACTGCATCCCTCCTACGAGCCCGATTGTATCATCCCCCTCGCTCTGAGACGAGCTCACTCCTGTCTTCACGTGCGCCGAATAGTTCCCAGTGCGCAACTCAACATCTCCGTATGAAAAGCCTGGGCGAGCGCGTTTTACTGGCTCACTTCCAATAGTGTGCTGCGCCTCACGCAAGTTACCAGCGCTCGGGCGTTTTTGGGTGAAATGTGGCTCGATATACCTGCGGAACAGTGGTGCCAATGCTGGTAGGCTCACGACTATGATGCTTAGCCAGAGCTCGAGAAAGCTGACTAGCCCAATGCGATACAGACCGTATACGAAATCGGCTCCAGTCGCAGGATCGAGTGTTATAATCAAACGAAGTATCATCACCGCTACAACACTGCAAATACTGTCAATATTATTGGAAGACTGGTATCAAAGAGGGGGTGCAAGCTCACAGCAAACCCATTCCAAACATCACACCTATGGTGACTTTGTTCCAGATTGACATGTGCAACTTCCAGATGATGGGGAGAGGTAACAACGCTATGGTGGAGTCAAGAACAATGTTCAACGTTATTGAAGCGATCTCCTGGATGCTAAGCGACCGACAAGAGCCACCTGGAACTGGGTGCCACTGGTAGGATATGGGATGGCACTGAGTGAGAAAGATTGGTAGAAATGCCACAAAGTATCCTACAACCATGCAGCTTATAATCCAGACCATGCGGCGAATTGGCCTTGAGGACCGAAAGATGCTTGTATAGAGTGAAAGCATCGAAAGCTTGCAGCACACGGTGCCCGTCAGCCACGTCATACTTGCTCCAATAAGCATCTAGCCAGGCACTCCGAGTTAAAACAGGAATATCTGTATGCATGATGGGTATGGTTGACATGCCTTGAATTGCACGATCAATTCATCCTTTGACAGATTGACAGTGTGATCACCGAGGCCATTGGCAATAGCCCAATAGTTCAGCCCGGTCATAGTACACGTACTGACCTATTGCATTTATCAGTCTGGGTATGCCATTCGTGAATTTTGATAGAGTTGAGCACATAAGCTATGATCACCAGATAATCGTGGACTTGAAAGCTTCTCCGAGTCAAGTATATTGCCCAGATGCGCAGACCGATAATTGCCGTTGTCAGGAATGTAAACATTGCCATCCAGATAGAGAGCCGAACTCCCGCAGGGCTCACTTTCATGATGTGAGGAAGATTTCAAAAGTTGCATTGTATCTTGAAAAAAAGAGAACTTGAAGTGTTCCTTTTGTAAAAAAAGAAAATCTTGATCAGGTACCTAGGTACTATAATGCCCAGTCTTCAAAACTCGGAGTGCGAGCAACATTAGATGAATGAGCGGGACACAGTTATCGGCAGCAATCCGACGTCACACCCGTACCATGTCACCACATGCAAGTTGTACACAAGGCCCCAAGAATGATCCTGATAGCTGAAACCACCATACCTAACATTTATCAGCAAAATCCTGTGGAGCTTCTTCCTCCAAGGCTGGATTCAGCCCGTTCCTTCCGCCCCCAAACGTCCGGACTGTCGCGGACAAGGCTGAGGTTTCACATTCTACTTCAACTTGCTTGTTCCTCAAGTTGATTGTGAAGATAGAACTACTCTAAACCCACTGAACTGCCACGATGAATCCTCCTTTCCCGTCTTTGACCAGCGTCTGGCACAATGCCCCATATCCAGCCATCTCACCCCAGAGACCTGAACTGAGCGCTGCAAGAAAAACAGTGATTATCACAGGAGCGGTATTTACATTCCCTGAAACCCCTCAAACCTGGATTGAGTCAGATACGGCGTTTTGCGAATTCGTATATCTAACTATTCATAAAGGGAAGCGGTATTGGTCAGGCAACGGCAGTGGCCTTCTCCAAGGCCGGTGCAGCCAACATAGTACTGATTGGACGAACCGAAGCAACGCTCCGAACCACGCAGCAACAGCTCAAGTGCAATAGCTCTATCCATGTGGCCAATGTCACAGATGAAGCGGCCATGGCCGATATTGCGGCTAAAACTGGAACCTGGGATATTATGATCTTGGCTGCAGGATATATCGCCCCGAAAACTGAGATACGTAACGCATCGGTGAATGAGTGGTGGCAGAATTTCGAGGTTTGTCTTGCCATACCAATCCTATGTAAACAATGTTGCATTCTGGCTTTCAATATGCTGACATGAGGTTAGACAAATGTGAAAGGAACCATGATTGCCTCGAAGGTCTTTCTTCCGACCGCTAACCCTGCCCGGTCCGCGGTGGTCGCACTGACTGCCATCGTGGTTTTCCCGACTGCGAGATTAGTAGGAAATTCGGGGTATATCAGCTCCAAGCTTACCATCGTAAAGCTTATGGAATTCTTGGCAGCGGAGAATCCGAACGTCTTTGCTGCTGCGATGCATCCCGGGATGGTTGAGACGGAGATCTTCCGACGTTCTGGGGCAGATCCTACGAAAGTTCCCATCGACTCAGGTAAGACATCAAAAGTTAAATTCTCAATGTTATGCTAATTCAAATCATGGTCAAGTTGATCTTCCTGCTGAATTCCTGATTTGGCTCACAAGCCCCGAGGCTGAATTTTTGAAGGGTCGTTATGTGATGGCAAACTGGGATGTTGACGAGCTTAAAGCCAAGGCCGATCAGATAAAATCAGGCCTTTTGCTAACGTCGGGTATCAATGGCTGGCCGTTTACCCCTAACTAACCGAGTTCGATGGAGGCACGAACATGACGCCTTTGACTTTACGCCAGTTATGCTGTCTTTAGCCCAACCGCACCATGCATTTTAAGAATTCGATTACTTGGGATTAAATTGAGCATTGCCATGATCGTTGGACTGGAGAGAGAGAGAGATCTCGAACTCTTATTATCTATAGTGGATCAGACGGCCGACGAGTGGAATCGATGCTTCAAATGAAAACGTTATTTGCTCAGTGATGACAGCATCCATGGATCTTTCATTAGTCTTTGATCTCTAAACAAAAACATGAACATCCACATGGCAAAGTCAATTCGAGTAGGAAATCTGTTGCACAAGCCCTGAATAGGCGACGGAAAATTTGTATCAACCAGGCTTTATATCGTCGGCCAATTTCGACTTGACAATACAGTCTTCACGTAACTCAAAAAATAATCTTAAACGACCGGGATTGGAGGTAAATTGATCTTTTAGATCTCTCCAAACCGACTCCATTGTCTCACCGTCTGGGACACTGAAGCGATATCTTCTGACAAGTCGCGCGGTGATGAGGCGCATATCATTCATCGCTAGGGTCCGACCTAAACAGCTAGTGTGCCCTTGAAGATCGAAAAGGTCAAAATTCCAATCCGAAAACGAAGGCCGAGAATACTTGCCTGTTCCAAATGGAGAAAACGCTGCCTTGTTGCGGATCATCCGGGGAGTCTTATACCACCGTTCCGGTAGAAACGTATGTGCCTGTTCAAAGCAGTCCTCGCCTGTGGTCATTATCAACAAGACAAATTATGTGAAGTATTCTTGGTGGAAACTGACGGCGTGAAATGCAAAATCTTGGAGCAACTATCGTCGTCTCAGGGGGAATGAAGGTTCCTCCAATAGTGATACCATTTTTCAAAGTCTTCCGGTTACCGCCCGTGGGAAGTGCCGGGTAGAGACGAAGAGCTTCAAGAATCGCACCTTCAAGATGGGGACAAGAAGAGCCTAGCGATCGAGCACCATCGCTAATGTCGACCCTTTCAACCTCCTGGTATATTCTATCAATATTATCAGGGGCTAGTGCTAACTCACAAAACAGTCCAACAAGCACAGCTGCAATCGGTTCACTACCTGCTACAATAGCAAGAATACTATCCCCGGTCAACCATGGAAACTGATGTGGATTTTCTCTGGCATCCTCTAGTAGGTAATGCGCGACATCGAGGGCTTTGGGAATATTTTCAACGCACTATACCAAAACGACTGTTAGTCTCACATTTTCAAGCTCGGCGATATTTGAGTATACCTTACATCGAGTCGTTCTGTGAGTCGCATCTCACACCAAGAAACCATCTGAAACCAATCTTTAAGAATCCATATCCGAGGAAAGAGTTTGAAACAGAGATGAAGAAACCAGGGTAAAGGACTGAGAGGACCTAGGAGAGATAAAGCTCTTTGCAGGAGGACAATTACATGGTGCCATTTCTGCCGAGACAACATGTTGAAAGTGCGACTGAAGATAAAGTCTCCCATGCGATCGAAGCCTATCCAGTACAGCAGATCTGTCATCTCCGAAGCTTTTTCAGCGGTTATATCACCATCGATACATCTTTCCAATTGATCGATCAAAGGTATCAGGCGAGATTGGTATTGATCAAGTGCTATATGCATCAGTATACCCGAGAGGTCACATCTGATGCTTGGGCCGATTACCTTGGGAGGTAAAGCCTCGATTCCACTGTCGACGTCGAGCTCCATGCAGCCTTTTGGTGCGAGCTGTTACGAGGGACTGATTGGGGCTCAACAAGTCGTACCATTCAGCCTTCACACAATTGCTTTGTGGACCGTCTATTGCCATGAAAACATCGGGATGGTAGACTGTAATTTCGCTTGGGCCTTGACTCATACTGTCAGTAAGAAAGGGGTTGAATGGAGGAGAGACTCACCAGTGCGAACAAAATCCCCATATTGATGATGAAGACTTTTTAAAAGAAGGTGATTCTGTTGGCCAAGTAGTTTCCAGGTGTGCCATATCTTGGTTATACGAGCACCCGCCGGACCTGGGAAGTGCTTAAGTCTGTGGAAGAAGATGCGATAAATGATGATACTTGAAAAGAGGCATATGAGATATCCTAGGAGCATCCATAATCCTTTGTCAAGTGTGGCTCCAACAATAGCGATGACTATTAGATGATAACAGAGCAAATCTGGTGCTCTTAGATGCCATTCGTGATGGATAAAAAGTAATAAGTGGCAAGTCACTCCCACAGCACCGCCGATTAATGTGTGGGCAAAGAATTTCATTCTGAGACAGGAAGGTACAGCAAAGAGCGTGGATGATCATATGAACTTATTGATCACACTGGGGTACGGTGAGGAGCGAGGGTTGATGCTATCAGCTCAGATTTTACTACAAAAGACTCATCACAACCACCAGTCTATTCCATATAACTCCACTAACTACTTCTTTGCTATACATTTGCGTTCAAGCATGCCATTTTCCGCTCAGCCACGCTTGGTACAACCACTCATCCTTATCTGGAAATTCACAGAGAGCAATTTTCCAACATTCGTCATCCCAAACTCAGCATTTGGTATCCTTTCAGCGTTAGCAGGGAAAAGACTCACCGACTGTGGGGAGAATGTCCAGACCGACATTCTTGCACGACGGATACCGCTTATTATCTTATTCAATTGGGCCAACGTTTTCATATTCGACCTGGCAAATCAACGCCTACCTGAAGCAATATTGGAGGACAAACTCAACAAGCCCTGGCGTCCATTGCTGACAGGACAAATCACCTCCGAGACAACACGGAGGGTAATGCTGTTTTCAATTCCAGCCACTGTAGCAATAAGCTTCGTGTTGGGTGTCGGATCCGAAAGTTCCTTGATCATGATTCTCACCTGGCTGTACAATGACCTTCGTGGCGGAGATGAAATTGTCAGAGATCTCATAATTTCAGCAGGTTATGCACTTTATTTCACTGCTTCACTGAGAATTGGCATTGATTTGGATTGCCTGGTTAGCACACAAGGGTATCAGTGGATTCTCATTGTGGGTGGAATCATTCTCACGACTATGCAGATCCAGGATCTGAAAGACCAGTTCGGTGATAAGACACGAGGTCGTAGGACATGGCCTCTTGTTCTTGGTGATCGTGTCTCACGTTGGATTATTTCAAGTTTTGTTTTGTTTTGGAGTATTGCTTGTCCATTCTTTTGGAATTTGCCAGCATGGGGATACCTCTGGTCGGGGCTTCCAGGGGTTTGGGTAACATTCCAGGTCTTACGGAAGAGAAATGATTCCGCTGCATGGAGATATTGGTGTGTATGGCAGATTGTTGTATATACGCTCCCCTGGTTGGCCACAGATTAGACAGTCCTGTAATACCTTGTGTGAAGAAACTGAGATTCAAGGAGGATGAATGGTCAGAAACAGCGTTTCATCTTGCGCGGCAACGATCTCAACGATTTTCTTTTCTTCCGGGATGGCTTAGGATGAGAGGATTTGGCCTGAAGATTGACATTGACAGTCAATAAGAGGGAGAACATTTCACCTCTAGTCTACAAAGAGCCTATAGAGAGATCTATTTCACTTACTCATGCTATCTCAAGCTCTTTTTCATTTATGCAACATAGTCGGCTTGACAGCTACCAGAGCATATGCCATGCATTTACTATTCTCATTTCTCGGTCTTATCCTAGGAAAAGCTGCAGCAGATACTACATGTCGCTGCTACCCCGGTGACTCATGTTGGCCAACTCCTCAACAATGGAGTGAATTCAACCAAACAGTCGGAGGCAGATTGATATCTATCGTTCCACTGGGCAGCGTCTGCCATACAGTCGGGCAATATGCGCTGTACGACGCGCAAGCATGTACGAACTTGACCGCCAACTGGGGATATCCCCACATGCACTACCAGACACCCTCATCACCGATGGCATCATGGTTCGCCAATTTCTCCTGTGACCCATTTCTCCCTCCAGAGGTCCCTTGTGAACTTGGTGGGTTGCAAAAATATGCCGTTAATGTCTCAGGCGCTGAAGACGTCTTGGCAACCCTGAATTTCGTTCAACAAAATAACATTCGACTGGTGATTCGGAATACCGGTCATGACTATCTTGGAAAATCTACTGCGCCAGGTGCAGTGGCATTGTGGATGCATCATCAGAAAGATACGCAGTATCTTGATTACACATCATCATATTACAATGGCTCTGCCCTACGTTTGGGTGCTGGCGTTCAAGGCTTTGAGGCTATGAGCGCTGCACATGCTCAGAACAAAGTCATCGTTACTGGGAATTGCGAAAGCGTTGGAGTTGCAGGTGGATATACACAAGGTGGCGGCCACGGTCAATTGGCCTCATATTTTGGTCTTGCTGCCGATCAAGTACTCGAGTGGGAGATAGTTACAGCAGCAGGTGACATCCTAACAGCATCACCAACTGAAAATGTGGACCTCTTTTGGGCACTTTCTGGAGGTGGCGGCGGGACCTTCGCCGTTGTCTTAAGCGTGACTGTTCGAGTCCATCCAGAGATGATAACCACGTCAGCCAATCTGACCTTTAGCGAAAAAGGTGTGGCTCACAGCTTGTTTTGGGAGGTTGTTGAGACATTTGTTTCTTCAGCAGCACTCATGGCCGATGCGGGAGCTATAGCAATTTGGATGGTAAGTAATTCGACATTGAGTGTGACGCCTATCACTTGGCCTGGTGCAACTCGAGAACAATTGCAAGAAAACCTTGAGCCTACTTTGGCTTTGCTTGAAGAATACAATATCGCTTACTGTACGATCCAGGATATGATCTCAATTTGAGGTAGAAATCTCTGATCAGCTTTGTACTAACACTTTATGCAGCATACTACATAAATGAATACCCCAGCTACTGGGACAGCTACAACGCAATGAATCCACGCAGTAACGTGACAGATTCTCAGATTGGAGGCAGGCTAATGCCTCGATCATTATTGCAATCTAATATGAGTGCGCTTATACTCACGCTACAAAGCATTGCAGATGAAGGTGCGGTAATATCGGGCGTATCGCTCAATGTCTCACAATCAGTCGGCATTTCAAGCTCGGTGAATCCAGCTTGGAGGAATGCAGCCATATCATGTGTTATCGGGATGTAGGTCTTATTTTCTCTTCTCAAAACGCCCTTTTAGACCGGCTAAGGGAGGCTAAAGTTTACAGGAACTACAACTCAAAAAATCGTTCTGCTGATGTGTGGTATCAATCGCTGATAACAGAAGATCTGATTCCACGCTTAGCGGCGTTGAGCCCTGGAGGTGGAGCATATCTCAATGAAGCTGACTGGAATGAGCCAAATTGGCGAGATACATTTTATGGAGAGAATTACGATGCGCTTGTTACTGTGAAGAAGAAGTGGGATTCAGACCATGTATTTTGGGCACGAACTTCTGTAGGAAGTGAAAAATGGGCTCAACAGCTCAATGGTCGATTATGTCAAGTTGATAAATGATAATTGGAGGAGTTTGAGGGGATGTATGTATTGAGAACATAGACTTAGAGATTAGAAAATTTACAGCCCTGGAGGTATTCGCTGTTCATTTCTCTGTGTCTTTTCTGGCGCAACACACAGACAGAGGGAAGAAGGTTCTGTATGTGCGCAGTTTGCTTTTTCAAATCAGGTGGCTTTCTCGGATAAAGTCTGAAGCTCGATCGGCCATGGAAGTAGAGATAGGATTCGCACGAGGGATGAGCAGAAAAATGCTTGCGCCAACAATGCGCAAATCCCGAGACAAAGGGAAGGATGTTCTGCATTTTTATAGCTTGCTTTCTTAAATCAGGTGGTTTCCTTGGATCAAGTTGTTTCCTTAGATCAAGTCTAAACCTCGCTCAGCCATAGCGTAAACAGTAGAGACAGGGTTCACATGAGGGATGCGCGGAAAATGCTTGTATCAAAAATGCGCAGATTCTGAACTGGGATAGGGGAAGGAAGTTCTGCATTTATGTAGCTTGCTTTCTCAAATCAGATGGTTTCCTCGGATCAAGTCTGAAGCTCGTTTGGCCATGGCATAGAGAGTAGAAATAGGGTTTGCATAAGGGATGAGCGGAAACTTGGAATCCTTGCGTCGACAATGCGTAAGAACCAAGCTGAGACAGAGGGAAGGAAGTTCTACATTTATGTAGCTTGCTTGCTTTCTCAAATCAAGTGGTTTCCTCAGATCAAGTCTGAAGCTTGCTTGGCCACGGCATGGGGGTTGTTTGCATTAGCAATACACAAATCAATGAGCAAATTCTGAGACAGGAAAGGAAGTTCTGTATTTGTGTAGCTTGCTTTCTCAATTCAGGTGGTTTCCTCGGATCAAGTCCGAAGCTCGCTCGGCCACAGCGTAAACAGTAGAGATAGGGTTCGCATGAGGGATAAGCGGAAAAATGCTTGCGTCAACAATCCGCAAATTCTGTATGCCATAGACTTTCAACTGCTCATCAACAACGCCACCGTCGGCCTGAGGAAACATTGCAGTGGTGCCACAAGCATGATGTGTGGTAGACCCCGTTGCTCTGATTTGATTCTTAATACCTTCGAGGTCGAGTTGCATCTCACCTACTTCAAAAAATGTACTTAAGGGTTCATGTGAGACGACTTGGTAAAGGTCCCGAATATGCCGAGCGAGTATTTCAATGTCCAATTCTTTGGCTGCTAAGCCTGCATCGACAGTTGGTAGATCTTGGGGATTATTCGAAGAGATGTGACTGCTGCCTCGGGAGAATGGAAAGCAGGAGATTGCGGCAATAATTGCTTTGTTTCCAGGGAGAACACCTATGAGGAAACAGGCCGATGCGTTGTCCGGATTTTGGAGAATGGATTTGATGACTTGTCCAGCCTTTCCGTCGATTTTGTGTGCCGAAAACAAATTGGAGAATTCTTCTGAGCTGAGACGAGTAAATGCAACTGCTTTCATTTCAGGTTTAAGGCCTTCCAAATGATCGCCAGCCTTGAGTTGGAATGTCTTAACGCTCATTAAATGTGTTTGGAAGTTTTCACCGACGCCTGGTAAATCATGGATAACTGGAATTCCGAGATCGTCGAGCCGATGCCGATCACCAACCCCCGAAAGCTCAAGTATCTTTGGTGTGTGCATGGCTCCCGCTGCAAGAATGATTTCTTTCGTCGCTTTTAAGACATATCTTTCACCGCTGTGGATGAACTCGGCAGCAGTAGCCATCGGGCCAGCAGATGAATTTTCAAGCAAAATACGTTCAACTGTAGCATTTGTGATGATAGTGACATTTGATCGAGAGGCGGCTATTGCGCCGTACTCATTATCTGCGCTGCTTCGAAGACCGGATGTTGGATCGATAGTGGCAGTATAGTCACGGGTACCAATGACTTTGTTTTTAGGAATGATTTCAACAACATGCTCGTATCCTTGATCTCTGAAGGCTTGATGCCATGCCTGGATAAGGGGCTCGCTCGCTTTATCTGCAAGGGCGGGGTATGTCACTTTGATCGACCCACTGGGAGCGGCGTCATTCAGTGTATCTCGGGTCTGTGTTTCATGCTTTGGCGGGGTTACTGTAATGCTTTTCTGGATATATGGACGAAGTGAGTCCCATGTCCAGGAAGTATTTCCGAGTTTTGCCCATACGTCAATTCCGGATGGCGAAGGAGGGAGGTACACCAGGCCGTTTATTGAAGAACACCCACCGAGAACTTTCCCTGCCGGACAATCTTGTTCTCTGTTCTCTAAACCGGGCTGTGGATCGTCAATGGATCTCTTCGAGAACCAGTGGCCGTGTTAGATATTCACACACCTGCGGCTCAATCTTCATCTTCCAGTCCAAATCAGAGCAACTTGATCGCCATAGCCGAGGGTCTCTCACGCGCGGGTCGGTAGTGGCGTCACTTCCGCTTTCTAAAACAATCACTTTAAACTCAGGATTCTCTGAGAGACGACAAGCAACCACCAGTCCAGCTGTTCCACCGCCGATAATAAGGAAATCGCTCATGGTGGGAAGGTCGACGGATGTCATGGCGATGTGATAGTTGTGGTGGGGGTGGAGTGAGGGCGAAGAGAAAGCTTGGCTCGTGAAATCCCGGGTTTGGTGGTCCCTGGTATACACTCACTTCTCTCTTTCTTCCGCTTAACCATTTGACGCAAGTCCGTGGGTTTTCGCTCTCAAACCTCGACGGAGTTTGTTATGTCGCCATCAATCACCTCCTACCCAGCATCTATCCGAACTCAATCTCCTCGTGCTTCAACTGCCTGTGGGCGCCTATGATACAACTGCAATCCTTGCAATGCCAGGCGCATCTCAACCTCATTGTGGTCGACTGGAATGCAGTATGTATCATAGTCAACCCACATATCCCTTGTTCTCGGGGAGTCGGCGTCCGCAAATGGCTTCCTGTGAAGTATTTTGGTTAGTATGAATATTTTAGAATCCCTGGAAGTGAACTTACCCTTTTTCATTGAAGAATGAGTAGCCACGGGAGATTATGAGGACGGGTCGAGCCAGATCGGCAATCATCTGCTTGACTGGTGCGTTGGGGAATGCCGAGATCACAATTGAGTCGTCGTCGATTTCTGCGAATCCACCTGCTCCGTGACGGCCGACGATTTGAAAGTCCTTCTTGCTGAGGATCTCTTCTGAAGACTCGCTGTAATCCGGGTCTTGGGCGAACAATGAACCCATCTCATTGCCGCAAAATCGAGCCATAGTGAGAGCTACCGCATGCTGGATCATTGCGTTCGATGAATGGTCCACGTCTGCACGTGTACCCCAGACATTGTGTTGCACTTTGAACCAGTGAGGAGCGCAGCGGGAGAAGTCGCCGAGGCCAAAACAAACAACCTTCTTTGCACCACGGCCTTTGCCGAGTAGGTCTTGGACAAGATTTGACAACATCTTGCAGGTTGTACTGTTCTGCCACAGCCAGTCCTTCTCGTCAAACACCCGTTCAGGCTGTGCTTGAAGCTCTTGGAAGTTTTTGGCGGCCTGGTTGTTCCATTCAACCATATAGGAGCTTTGGTACTCCTTGGTCTTGCCCTCCGGTGGTGAGAACACAAGCTGCCAGTATTCTTGGAACTCCACATATGGTTCCCTAGAGACAAGTTAGAATTATAGTTCGATTTATGTCTGATTAAGTACATACCAGATTGGATTCTCCTTCTGGTACATTGGGTTGACAATCTCAATAGTCCGTCCGTCAAGAAGACGAACGGAAAATCGAGCCATCAACCGACAGCTGGTCAACTGCCGTTCAATGTCCTGGAGATCCTCCTTGGTCCATAGCTTTGTCCCAGCTCTGTACAGCTCTTCCGCTCGCTGGCTACTGAGCATCCAGCCTGATGCATTGTTGAGAACCACCTTATCCTCCGAAGCTGACAACATCTTGACTGTCCAGGTCGAGTCGGTGCGTGGGGGAACAGAAATACGGCGTGAGAGCAGCAGGGGAGAAGTTCTGCGTGAGAAAAAAAGGGTGCGTCGAAAGAACACGCGCAAAGACGAAGAACGAATCAAAAAGCAGAGAAAAGCGACGATCGAAGAAAAGCAGTACGTTCAGGACAGCAGTGTGGTGGAAAAGATGTGCGTGTTGAGAACACGAGCAGGAAGTAAGAGAAGGGCGACGGCGGGGTGAGAAATCAACAAGAGGCATGTGATACCAGGCTACACGTTAAACAATCCGTTAAACAATCTAAGGCAATGGTGTTTAATGCGATGACAGTTCTCACTTTTTTTCAAGAATTGACAGCCTGATTATCTCTACTGCTAAAGGAGGACTTGCTTTCAGGATAGCTCAAAGGCGAGTTCGTCAGAATTGACAGAACGTGAACTACTAGAGATATGAAAATACCCAGCACCTAGAGTTTCAATAAGTTATATTCAAATACTGAAATAACACAGATTGATTTATTCACCTGATTCCCATACCTAGCACCAGAGCCTTCCCAAATCTGCCCAGATATCCATTCACTCATACAGCCAACCTGCCACACGGCGAGGATCCTTCGTGGCCTTGGAAATCCCTCGCCTAAGTTGACTGGGCCCACGTCTAAGATACTCACCATCTCCTGCTTTGCCTTTGATTTTACCATCTTCCCAAATAACCTGGCCTCGGAGAATAGTATATCGTGGCCAATTGGAAAATTCCATGCCTTCATAAGGTGTATCTTTATGAGAAGTACTGGTTAGTAGAACATCAGAAAGGGGTATCATAAAATTCACTCACAGTCAACATTATGGTGAAGCATATCGTTTGTCAATTTCAAGCTTTGAAAGACTTCCTCTGGGTGCCACTGTGTTCATGAGGGTTAATACAAAGCACATTGTAAGCATGTCGAGGTACTCACAATAACAAAATCGGCGTCTGAGCCAGGCATAATTGCCCCCTTCTTAGGATATAGTCCATACTTTTTCATGTTAGCTGCAATGACCATCACTCAACTATTGGGAAATAGAGCACATACCAGCTTCGCAGGATTTGTCGATGTCAGCTCTACAAATTTTTGTGGAGTAATCCGCCCAGTAGATAACGCTCCGGTATACAATAGTGGCAGTCTAGTCTCAACTCCCGGGATCCCATTTGGAATCAGTCTGAATGCTCCTTGCTTACGCTCAAGGAGATCTTGTAGCTCTTTGCCAGTGCAATGATGCTCACCCTCCATACTCGCTGCGTCTTCAAGGACACCAGAGGGTTTGCCATTGGGATGATCGTAACGGAATGGACAATGGTCAGAAGAATAGATGGTGAATGTGCCATTTTCAAGGCCCCTATTCACATTAGCAATAGTCATGGAGAATGAATCTGCTCAGATTCAACATACACAAAAAGTTCTTCTTGATCAGATGTGTCCGGCGGTGGTGGTGGAGAACAGATCATCTTGCTGTTCTCAAAGCAAGTAGGAGAATGAAATCGTTTCTTTATCTTTTATCAGCGACTCATGCGAGCAAAAAGTGAGCAGGAAGTAAATTCTTCGCCTACCAAGTCTTCCCATGTCAAGTGGAAATATTGAGGACATGTCTCTGCATAGACGGGAAGTCCCATGGTTTGTGCTCGGCGAACATTTGCGGCTCCGAGCTATATATGATGCTCTCAGTATGACTATTGTCAATTGTGGTGATTGAACGTACTGCAGATCCAACATGAACAAAGAGGATTGGGTTCTGGATCAATTGAGCTAAAGCAATTGCTCGATTAGTTGCCTCCCCCTCAACGAGGGCAGGACGGGATAGTGCGTGGTAATACGGTGCTATACACTGTTAGCCCTATACACTCACTACAGCCCTGTTGGGTGAGCAAAACAATGACTTACCGACCATCCCTTTGCTTTCAAGTTTTTCTGAAGATTAATGAGCATTATTATCAAGCTAATTGACTGGAACTTTCCTGACCTGTCAACCATTGAATCATATCCCCATTCTCGGCATGGATCATCTGTGGACCAGTAAGCATCGATTCCGGCAGCCCTAAAGAGCATTTTCAAGAAAATTTCCAATGCCTTACCGTGGTCATAGAATTCTTTTTAGCAGCAAACATGACATCCAAAAGTTGTGAGTCAGTCATACGCTGTGTTTCATAAGTCAAGAACAGCTTGCAGCTACTGATACCCCAGTCCTTCATCAGAACAGGCATCTCCTCTTCCAGCACATCAGCATCATTTCTCACAATTATTATGTGGAAACCATAATCAACATAGCTGCCAGTCGCCTCCGCACGGGCATTATATGCTTTCACAACATTGATAAGACTTCTGTCTTCTTCTGCACGAGTTTGGGTTGCGAAAGTAATGATGGTCGTAGTACCACCGGCAGCAGCACTTTTAGATCCAGTCTCGAAATTATCGGAACATTCACCTCCCAGACCATGAGGACCTGTTTTCAGATCTTGAGACAGATGCACATGAGCGTCGATACCTCCTGGCATGACATAGGCGCCTCTGGTCAGCTTGATTAGTACGATGAGGGCCAACTGGTGTGCAGATTGGCACTTACTGGGCATCTATGACTCGAGCTCCTTCCATCTCCTCTGGGTCAAAAGAGTCTATCAGTGTTCGGACTTTGCCATCTTTGACTCCGATACAGCAAGCACTGACATTTGTGTCAGACTTTGAATATATTTGAATGTTCCTGGATTCGAGTGGAGTTACCTGATATCGGAGGCGCTGACGACCTTCCCATTAGTGATAATCAAATCGAACTTGGCCATGGTATGGAATTGTTGATCAAATGTTGACTTCCAAGGTTTACTCTGAAAGCCAGAGCCAGCATTCATTTATTTGAACTAATTATCCTTAAGACCATCTCCCAATTCCGTACATCATCTTATCTTGCTGCTTATCGGGAAACATCCTTGAGCGAGATAAGGATGATGCTTACGCCCCGGGGCCGCTTTACTGAATTACTGATAACAAAGCTCCCAATTCTATCTCTCAGGCCGGATTTTATGGTACGATACCCAATAGCAGGTTCGCATTTGTCTGCTCTTCAATTCTGATTATCAATTTTCTTCAAGTTGGAACTATGTGATCCATGGATGGCAGATCGGGTATTTCCCGTGGTGGCCGCGGTATATACTCCCCTGGCAGTACTAGTAGTAGTAGTGTTGTGCCAGTGGAAGTTTTATGAGCAATACTAGTAGTAGTATGCTCGAATTCAAATTTGCATATGCCAATTCTTTCACTATTCACCATAAATTACAATTCATCAAAGATCAATTTTTATTTAGACGACTCTATGCTATAAGAGCCCTATTATCGGGAAGTTCTCCGTTCTACCCGTTCAATGTTCTCCGCATGCATTCTCCGCACTGCGGATTACGGATTATGGCTTGGCCGAACTCTTCTTCCTCCGATCACGTCACTCACAGAGACAGTCTCACCAACGGTCAATAGGCAGTCCTAACACCTGGATACCATCATGGCCATCGATGATAATGAGACGAGAATTCCCGCGACAGAACAAACCCCTCTGCTCCGGGACGACCCCGCCAACTCCGGTCCAGTGGGACAAGAACCGGAACCCGAGGAGGTCAGCACAAAGGAATTGATTATTATCTTGGGTTCTATCTGGGTCGGAGTATTTTTAGCAGCTCTCGGTATGTCAAAATCTCTATCTCTATGATAGTATCCCTGTGCACGAAGCTAACATTAATTAACCAACAAGATACAACGATCGTTGCGACATTATCCGCTCCCATTTCCTCCTCCTTCAACTCCTTCTCGCTGCTGTCATGGCTGGCTACCTCGTATCTGATCTCAAATGCTGCTTGTCAACCCCTCAGTGGCCGATTGACCGATATATATTCACGTCGTTGGGGTCTGGTTTTCTCCAATGTGTTCTTCGCTTTGGGTAACTTGATTTGCGGTCTGGCCAAGACACAGGGAACTATAATTCTTGGCCGTGTCGTCGCCGGTATTGGTGGCGGTGGTTTGACTGCGATCTCAACTTTTGTGACCTCAGATCTGGTTCCATTGCGGAAGCGAGGCATTTGGCAAGGCATTGGCAACATCTGCTATGGAGCTGGAAGCGGACTGGGTGGAGTTTTTGGAGGCTGGATCAACGATACCCTTGGATGGCGCTGGGCATTTCTCCTCCAGATCCCTTTCCTACTGGTTTCCTGTGTCTTGGTTGCGATCAAGGTGAAAATCCCAGTCAAGGAGACAGATGAGGCCAGGATCAAGCGTGTTGATTTTCTCGGTGCTATCACCTTGATCCTGACGCTCGTTACCCTACTGCTAGGGTTGAATACTGGTGGGAACCAAGTGCCATGGACTCACCCAATTGTCCTGGTCTCTTTACCCCTTTCCGCCGTTTTTCTGGGTCTGTTCATCTATGTGGAAGCTCGCGTCGCATCGGAACCTGTCATCCCCGTTAAGTTGCTGCTGGACCGCACGGTCGCAGCAGCTTGTTTGACCAATTGGTTTACTTCTATGACCGTATTTGGTCTACTGTTCTACCTTCCAGTTTATTTTCAAGTGCAGGGACTATCGGCCACTGCTGCTGGCGTTCGCTTGATTCCGCAGGCAATTGGTACCTCTATCGGCTCTTTGGGTAGTGGTTTCATCATGCGGTCCAGCGGTCGCTACCGAATCCTTAATACAGGTGCAATGGCTCTCCAGGTGGGATCCGTTGCGCTTATCTGCACCTTGACATTCTCTACTCCAGCATGGCTACCATTCCTGTACTTTTTCCTCCTGGGAGTCGCGTACGGCAGCATGCTTACAATCACACTTGTGGCTCTCATCTCAGCTGTGGATCATCAGCATCATGCCGTGGTTACATCTGCCTCATATGCCTTCCGCAGTACTGGCAGCACAATCGGTATCACTATCGCTTCTGCTGTCTTCCAGAATACGCTGAAGATTGGACTGTGGTCTCGCTTTGAGGGTCGCAAACATGCAGCAGAGTTCATTGGCCGACTTCGTGATAGCCTTGATGAAATTCACCAGCTTCCTCCTGATTGGGTCCCTGGTGTACTGGATGCTTATATGAATTCGTTGCGTGCTGTGTTCCTGACACTGTTGGGATTGACTGTTCTAGGCGCTCTGGTTAGCCTTGCCATGCGTGAGCACAAGCTGCACAATAACCTGTCTCGTCGCTGAAGACGATTGAAAATATTTAGAATGTTGATAGCGAACAAAAGCATTGCCAGTGGTAAATAAGAATTCCACATATTCTCTACTATGATATAATGAGGTCCAAGTTAAGCCAGTTAGTCATAGTTTAATCTAATTTAGTATCATAGTACCACTAACTAGCACTAAGTTCACGGGCTGCCGCTTCTAGCCGGCGCTTGACTGAGAAATTGTTACTTCCTATCGCTTCCCATTGGAGGAATTCTTCCTCCTTTCCTGCAGGGTTAAGAATCATTATCAGCTCCCGAATACCTTGCAAGTGGCGATACGTGGCGATGTGTGGGGAATCTAGAACCAAAGTACCAGATCACACTCAGCTTCAGGCTTTCAACTTGAACCTCGAGCATCTATTGAAACTCGAACAACACATAAACCCCCACCTACACCGCTTCAAAGCGTGCCGCCCCAGTTACACAAGTTAGCGTCTAGACTGGGCGTGCATATTCCAAGCATCGCATTGGGCCTCTAGTCACCGCTTCAAAACTGGACCCGATTGCCTGATCTCCCGAACCACAAAAACCTGCCCAGGTGCCGGATAAGCGTTTTCAGCACTTTTTCAATTAGACCATACTCATATTTCCTCGATCCTCTTTTCTCAATCTTTTTTTCTTCTTTTATTCCATTTGCAAATTTCTTTCACAATTTTGAATTTCTTTTCCGATTCAAGTACCACCTGTCTTGCTATAGACCCTGACCCGTCATTGATCCACCTTATAACGGCAGTTGACTTTCTCCCCGAACGTGAATAAACCTGCGCAACCAGCATTGCAAACAGAAAGGGGGACGTGAATCAGTGACATGGAGGTGGATGGTGATAGTGATGAGACGGTGATCGGTAGCAAGGATGGCTATCGAGTTTGCTGCGACCGATCTTTGCGGACAGAGACAACCAGCCCACGACATCGCCGAATACTCCTATCAACTGACAGCGCGTTCGCCGATACCGTTCTCCAATTGCTCGTTGACAATCCACACATTGAGCTGCGCTTAATCACCGACGAACCCTCCGCGCTGCTGGCAGGCACGAACAAGATTCCGCATTACATGGATACGGTGGATAGTACAACATTTGACAAAAAGACTGGCGCGCGTAAATGGCTCAAAGCCAAGGCAGCGGAGCTCTGTGAATGGGCAGATATGCTTTTGGTTGCTCCGATTGATGCTGGCGCTCTTGGGTCCATGTTGGCAGGTTTGACGAACACCTTGACCTTGGCACTTTTGCGTGGCTGGGTCTCGACAAAGCCTGTGGTTCTCATTCCTGGAATGACAGTGTCAGAATGGGATAACCCGATGAGTGGTCGCCAACTTAAGGAGATCCACCACTACTGGCCTTGGGTCCATATGGTTTCACCTGTGCTTTGGGAATCCAATGGACCAGAAGATTTAACCCAGTGGCCATGGTATGGTCAGAAAGACCTACTCAAAACACTGGAGAAAGCTTTGAACTTGCCGCCATGGGATGCATCTGTGGCTACTGCATCAGCTGTGAAGGGCAAATCAACTGTGGTGCAAACATCCTCAAAAGCACTTGCGTCACCATTATCTGGAAGCAATACAGTATCGGCCTTACAACATCTGCAAACTCATTGGCCCAACCCAGAATTCAAAGTTCGGTCACTTCCAGCAGAGCTTTGGCTCAACATCTTCGAAGTCCAGCTGGGAGATTGGGAAATAGCCAAAGCTGTCGGGATTCCAAATAGACTTCCTGTCCCGCAAGAATGGCAAAGCCATCTATTGAAAATGTCAACCCCCGCATCTCTCGAATACACAATCCTCAGGGGCTCATTCGCCGCTATTAAAAAGCGCATTGATGCACTTCCTCGATGGAAGCCTCTGTCAGATCTCGCCTGCCATCTTATAGTGAAATTCTCCCGCACCGATATCCTCTCCTACCTCACCGAAAACCATCTTGATCTTCTATGGACGACGTCTCGTCTAACAAATATCCCCTACCGCGCCTCGGCAATCTATGGCAACCCGACTGTCTTAACCTGGTGGCGTGACTCCCCAGCCCTTCCCACTAAAGAGTACATATCTGATGCGATGGATGGAGCATCGCGGGCCGGCTTCACCCATGTATTAGATTGGTGGCTCTACTCTGGACTTCAGCTCAAATACAGTGAACGTGCACTCGAGTCCGCCAGCGCTGAGGGCCGGGTTGCTGTACTTGACTGGTGGAAAGCGGCTTCAGCCAAAGCACCACGTCACAAACCTCTTCCCATGAAAGTCGGCAAATCCGTTCTCCTGGCTGCGCAGTCCGGGCAAACTGCATCTCTAGCCTGGTGGGATGCCTCAGGTATTCCATACAGTAATGCTGAGAATGTGGCCCGAATCGCTAGTACACATGGTCATGTCCATGTCCTGGACTTTTGGTATCGACTCAAGGGACCAAAGATGATCTTCGATAACCAGGTTCTTGTTGGTCCGACAAAGAATGGTCACGATCATGTCTTGCAGTGGTGGAAGGACTGCGGCCTTCGCGTTGAGTTCAAGACCTGTGATATCGAAGAGGCTCTTGAAGATGCAGCTCCAGGTGCAGATGTCCGTGTTCGCAGTTGGTGGGAGCGAAACGGTCTCAATCTAGGCCTCGGGACGAGAGAATGGATGAAGCCAAAGGTTCTTTAACTTGCATTATGAGTATTTTATCTCCGGGGTTTGGGGTTTTGGTTCATGCATTTTAGGCGATGAAACCTGTTTCATTTATCTTATTTCTTTTCCCCATTCGCATTCATTTGGGTTTTCTTGTTTCTTCCTTGGTTATTTGTTATTTTGTACTCATGAGACCAGATGATGATGACCCATAAATACCCATTTGAATATTTCTACTGTCAATTCTATTCATGTTGTCCATTTTGACATGAATGCATACTATTTCAACTTCAGATTGTGATTCTTTTCAAACATTCTCCATTCACTGTATATAGCAGAATATTCTCGGTACTACTACTCTACTAATTGCATACTTCATTTCCACTCCTCCAATCGCATATGCTTAATCTCAGAACCTTTTAACAACTTGAACTCCCTGAACTTGGCAAATTCTTTGAATCCCTCCGTCTCCGCAAATCCAAAGTGATCTTCCACTTTTTCCCATCCGCTGAATAGTACGAATTCCTCATCCTCGCCTTCTTTGTCAATTCTCCAACCCCCCAGAATACGCAAATGGAGCCGTATAAGCCCCCAGATGAGGAACCCCGGCTTTGGAGGCCGCATCAAATGCATCCTTATTCGCCGGCTCAACGAAAAACCGACTTATAGCGATGACAGGTGCATCGAGTGGAATCGGGGATGTAGAGGGCTTTAGAGTGCGAGTCAGCGCGGTCAAGTTCAAGTTATAAAAAACGAAAATCTATATTGAAGGAGGCAACTCACATCAATATCTAGATGAAACATCCACGCAACGGCAACATCATCCTTCAAAAGTCCTAAGTTCTTCTGATTCGTCTCCGACGTAATCCATTCCTCGGTGTGCACGGTCACGGATTCCCATCCTCCAACGATATAGCATATTTCCGGATCTTCAACTTGTCTGAAGAATCGAGCTGGGTACCCGGAGTACTCTGATTGTGCTTTCTGGGCTTGCTTGAGCTGGTCTTTCTTGGTGGGTGATGGATCTGTGGCCTTGAGGCGGAGACAGGCGAGTTCGGTGATGGGCATTTTTAGCTGATACTTCTCAGGGAGTCAGAGCAGTAGAATCTATGTGCTTGTAGAAAGTATGATGCTCCTGTGTACTTGTTTTTATACCTTAAGCTGGTCCGGCGTTAACTCCTGTTCGGGCCGAGCATCATCTTGTCTCATATACCAAGTGGGTCTGAGGCTGCCATCTTGTATGCGTGTTAAAATATTGGGAAAATTTTCCTAAAAGGGATTCCTGAAGGATTGGGTAACTTTGTTGGAGTGGGTTTGTTCCGTACAGAATTGGTGTACGTCGTCATTTGGGAGCCTGGGGGCGGAACTACTTAGTACGGGAAAGCAAGGATCTATATGAAAACATTCAAGCTATGCATCTAGAATGCATTGATTCTTGTGTAAGTACAACCGCCAATCAAACCACAATACAAATAAAGTGAGCACCGTAATCTTTCCAAGCTATACGCGGGGTAATCAAAGACAAATCTGTTCAAGTTGTTAGGAGTCAGACGCTCATACTTCTTTCCTGATGAAAAGTTAGTGATACATATTCGGTTCATAGGATCGGGATTCACATAACATACCAGGTGTAACTTGATTTTGCAGCAATTTCGGGCTTAATCGCATTCCGATCTCCAAAGGGATTATCCTCATCATCCTCTTCTGACTCCTCACTTTCACTCTCCAGATCCTGTAACGATGAAGAGGCAAGTGGGTGCTGCGCTGGACGAGCTGGTCTGGGTGGATTCACACTCAATCCACTGAAACTCTGGCCCATCTCATCATCCAATTCCGCCTTTGATCGCCAATTTCCGGATAGGATATCATCATCGCTGTCACTATCGTAGTCGACGCTCTTATCAAGGACCTCAAAGGCCATCAAAGCTGTCACAAGCTCCTCATTGGCATGAATCAATCCTCCAAGGAACTCTTCAGTCTCGATATACTGAATGTATCGCAGAATCTGGTGTCGCAGCTTCTTACACTTCTCAAATCGATTGATACATTCGGCATCCTCACTGACACGGGTAGTTTCTCGATTAACGAGTTTCAAAGCGTTCAACAAATTCGTACTCGCAACAGAAGCAGATGCAAGGTTCTGCAAGATTTCCGGTCTCTCACGCTCAATATTAAACCCTCGGCTCATACTGACAGACAGCTTCTTCTCACGCTTATCCTTCTTCGGCTTGCTCTTCGTCTTCGGACTCGCCAGCATGGTTGAGGGCCCATTACCCGCTGAGATTGAGACCGTGTGACCCATGGGCGGTTCATTTGAGCTCGGGTTTGCACCTTCACGCAACACCTTGGCCTTAGCCTGCGTTGCAGGTTGCTTCCGCTTCGGCAGCTGTTTGTACAGCGCAGTGATCTTGCTCATCCCCGCGGTGTCCTTGTAAGTGACGGCCCATTGTCCAAACAACACTTTACATTTTTGCTTGACGAGAGGATCGGAGACGGGGTCTGTTCCAGCGATTCGGAGTCGTTCGAGGAGGGGCTCATCGGCGAATTCGCGAAGGAATCGGTCCCCCGCATTTTGGATGAGGAAGTCGAGGATGACGAGGGAGCGGAGTTGTCGGTGGAGATTGCCGTATTTTCTGTGATAATGGAATGTCAACCTAGTTCCTCGAGCTATTTTGCTTCATTCATATAGGTGCAGTGGCGACTCACAGCTTCTTGCGTAGCGCACGGCTCGCTTCCGTTGGTCCGCTCGCTTGGATGCGGATGACCTCTACCAGATCAACGATACCGGAAGAGTCTTCGACTTCATATGTTTCACTTGTGAGGACCTCAATCTGTACTGTGACCGCCGAGTATGGTTTCTATGATATACTTCTATCAGTATGTGCCGTATTGTGCGACAATGGCATGATGGGTTTATCGAATGCTCAATATGGCGGGGAAGAGCTTACCGAAGACTGAAACATGGTGGGCAGGACTCAAGGTTTCCTAAATAACCCCATGGTTAATATATTAGGGCCATTTTGCAAGAGTGTGCGGCTATTATGTGCGTCTACTGACCTTGATCAGTCTGGTATGTAACCCCGCGGGTATTGACCCCTCTCTCACTGGAACCCTGCAGAGTTGAGAGTTGTTGAGAGTTAATGGAAGTGAACGAATGAATTATATCTATGAAGATATCAGAGGTCAAATCGAGATCCTAGTTCCAACTAGGCCGGTGTAAGTTGAGTATGAATGGTATATGGAGTTAAGGGTAAAGAAGATAAGTGACGTCGGAGGTGTCTTGGCGGGGATCAACATTGTGGGTACAAAGAGAGAAAGAGGGAAAAAAAAGGGACTGAGAAGCCCATCTATACTTGGTAATATATATGAAATTGGTTCTAAAAATCCACCTCATAAGATATTATTTTAGATGAAACTGCATTAATGATCCAATCTTCAACTTATCCTGGGAAGAATAGTAATATCTAATGAGAATTGCGGCCAACTGGTGAACTCCATTAGGACTAGGGGGGTTATAAGCTTAATCTTCATCTTCGGAGTACGGAGAACGGAATAAACTATTCATCCTTAGCTTATGAGCTAGGTCACTCCATATAGAGTGCTATATGAAAACTCGAAACAAAAGAAATACGAGACTCCAGATCTCATTCAAAAAAATCCTGCGCCAACCCTTATGATTACCGGGATCTCCCCTTTGGCGCGCGTCCTGTCCCGCTTTCTGCTCTTCTCCACCATCATTCTGGCTCTCAGCGTGGTTCTAAAGGCCCGCTCCCGCCTCTCCCTCTTATACCCCTCCTTCAGCACCCCTCCTCCCACATACCACACCACCATGTCCTACACACAAGAACGTCACATTGCCGAATTGGCCGTCCAGCGTGCCTCCATCCTTACCCAGAAGGTCTTCTTCGAAAAGGCTAAGGGTACCGTTTCTAAGGATGACAAGTCCCCCGTCACCATTGGCGACTTCGGCGCCCAAGCCCTGATCATTCAGGCCATTCGCAAGAACTTCCCTAACGATGAGATTGTCGCCGAGGAGGAGGCTAGCTCTCTCCGTGAGGACAAGGCCCTTAGCGCTGAGATCTGGCGTTTGGTTAAGGACATCAAGCTGGACGATGCCGAGAGCGATAACATCCTGGGTGGACCTCTGGCCAGCGAGGAGAGCATGTTGGACATCATTGATGAGGGCAAGAGCGCTGGTGGTGCCAAGGGCCGCGTCTGGGCTCTGGACCCCATCGATGGTACCAAAGGTTTCCTGCGTGGTGGCCAGTACGCTGTGTGTCTCGGTCTGATCGTTGACGGAGATGTTAAGGTCGGTGCTATCGGTACCCCTAACCTCCCCGTTGATGATGCCGCCACCATCGACGCCAGCACCGGTGCCCAGCAGGCTGACACCTCCGCTAACGGTGTTCTCTTCTCTGCTATCCTGGGTGAGGGCGCCACCAGCCGTCCCCTTGCCACCGGTGCTCTCGCTGCCGCTAAGCCTATCTCCATGCGTCCTGTCGCCGATATCGCACAGGCTGTCTTTTGTGAGGGCGTTGAGGCTGGTCACTCCGCCCAGGGTGATAATGCCGCTGTTGCTCAGCTTCTGGGCATCACTGCCCCAAGTGTCCGTCTGGACTCCCAGGCCAAGTACTGCTCCATTGCTCGTGGTGCCGGTGACATCTACCTCCGTCTGCCCGTCAAGAAGGACTACCAGGAGAAGATCTGGGATCACGCTGCTGGTGACCTCATTGTCCGTGAGGCCGGTGGTCAGGTTACTGATATCTATGGCAACCGCTTGGACTTCAGCAAGGGCCGGACCTTGGCTGCTAACAAGGGTGTTGTCGCTGCCCCCGCGGCCTTCCAGGACCAGGTCATTGGCGCTGTCAAGACTGTTCTGAAGCTGTAGATAAACAAAACGAATTTCTGATTATTTTGTGACGAATTTTGGAATGTCATTTGGGGGTTTTTGTTTTTGCGAGGATCACGCTTGATGCGTCTGAATGTCTTCATCTGTGATACCACCTTACAAAAGATATGGAGGTCTTTGGATTCAAAAAAGTACATATTTGAAAATGATGAACGGGGGATAGAGTACTATACAAATACAAGGGAACCCAAAATACCCATGGTCCACAAAACAAGGAAAATATAATAAACCAAATGCCAGACGCGAGTAGATCATTTGATCTTCTTCGCCTTGAGCTTAATAGTCTCTCCATTGACAAAGATACCCTTACCCTTGTAAGGCTCCGGTCGTCGCCATTCACGGATCTGCGCCGCGAACTGCGTCACCTTTTGCTTCTCCACACCCTCCAACAAGATACGAGTCGGTTGTGGTGTGCTAGCCTCAACGCCTTCGGGAATACCCAGTTCAATGGGATGCGAGAATCCGACCTTCAGGGAAACGAACTTCTGGCCGGGGTATGTTGGGGTGACGGTGGTAGCGGTAGTCTCGATAGTGGCACGGTAACCGACACCGACCATGGAAAGAATACAGATGTGTCCCTCTGAGACACCGGTGATATGGTTCTGGATGTGCGCGCGAATAGTACCTAAAGCGATGAATGGTCAGATATTGGAGCGAGAGGTACCGAAATGAAGTCGGAACTAGATTTTGGATTCAAACATACCCCACATAGCACGCTGGTGAGGATCCTCGGCGTCAATAATAGACAGCGTAGCCTTTTGGCTAACTGTATCGTGGTTAACAGTCAAGAAAGATGGGATTTCAAGGGTCAATTCGCCTATAATGACACCGAGTTAGCTATCAACAGTTGACATTGAAACAATCATATCTGGGACAAACATACCCTTAGGACCCTTGATATGCGCGGAAACCTTGCTGGCAGACTTTCCTCGGCCTTGAGTGCCGAAATTGGGTGCATCAATGAGGCTCAATGATACCTCGGGGGGAACGGAGATGGGAGCACCTCCGATACGGGATTGCGCCGGGGAGGTAGAGGAGAAGCATTGGACGCGAGAGGGGGAGAAGGCGGGGGTCAGGAAAAGAGGTAATGAGCGGCGCTGGAAGGGCTCGCGGAGAAGCTGCCGAGCGCAGCGTTGGGGTAGAAACGACATGGCGATTAGGTTGTTGATTTCGGAGACGATGCGGACTCGATGATTTTGTCGTAAATTATGGGGTCACGTGGCGGTTAGTTATATTGGCCAGATATTCCAGGCCTGATAGGCGAACCTTCTACATATAGTTATTTAATCTTTTCGACGTTCCAAATTGGATTCAAGTTGTTAAATTTTTATTTACTAGTACTGATATTTATGGGGCTCTATGTATGTATAATCTTGATTGTCTGCAGCCCTGGAGGCTATTATGTCGCCGCTTATGTACAGGATGCTCGAAACACTACTAGTACGGTAGTGGTAGGACTCAAATTTTTAAAACCCTGCCACGGCCCACTGTAGACCAGACATCTGAACCCAGTGACCTCTATACATACGGAGAACTTGAACTTGAACTGAATGCAACAAATATTACTGAAACCCGTGATTTTAGGTTCCAGTTGGCCAGGTGTCGTATTTTGGACCTGGAACGCCCTTAGCCCTTGGAGAGAGGTTCTTCGGGGCAACTGGTATAGGTCCCGGGGGCCACTGATTTCGAAAAGATGTGGTTTCCAGGTTGATGATTCCTTCCCCGATTGAAGGTGGTTCTCGCTCGTCTACTGCAAGAGGCTTTGGAAGATGCATACCACGTTTGGTAATCGAGATGAAGATATTCTTATGACCGTCAGGAACAAAACAGTTATAAAGGAGATGCCTGAAAACCGGGCCATCAACTCTAGCCGCTATCGCGCCAGTCGCGGCCGGGTTCCGAGGAACTCCAGGTACAATATTGCAGTCAATCATTGTCCAAGGGGTCATTCGCTTGAATTCTTCGTCAAGGAGACAGACTTCAACAATAATAACCTGACGTTCGGCCTCAGTATTGCTTCCATACACTTGTGTAGATCCAATTGTCCTGAATGTAGTGTTATTCGGGCCACATATAATCGGTATATCGCTATCATAAATCTCCATTCGATCAGATCCAGTGGCGAAGATGAAGTCCAGTTCAGTCCACCATTTGACCCCAGGGATCCTCACAGCAATTCTATACTATCAAAATAGTGAGCCTTGGTCGGGAAACGGGTGTTCAATTTGGAGATTAAGAAAGATCTTTTTCAAGGGGGCTGTACTTCGTTGAGATTTCTCCATCTTGGGTGTCGAGGGACAACAAGTCTGACCTCACTTCGGCGAGGGCCAGCTCAGTCGATCTAGAACAGAGAGATGTTAATATTCGAATTTGAGGATCTTCAGCTCATGTTCCTCGTAATGACCTACCCCCTCAACCCAAAATCCTTTGCTTCCTTCGTAGTGGGTGTTGATTGTTAATAGCTCATCCCAATTGAAAGGTCGAGGTTGGCTGATTTGAGTCCCATGAGACCAATATGTAACCAGATCATTGATTTCTAGCTGTTTAGACTTGTATGCCACTGTAATGGACTTGACATTCGCGCGTTGCTCATATGGATCGTCTAACTCCAATTTCCCCTGTAAGAACTCTAGAGATTCAAGTCGTTGGAGGACATTCCAGCTTAAACCATTCGGCCATTTCGATATAATTTGGCTATTCAACGAGAATTGAACAATCAGTATGAATCAACAAACAAATCTTTGGTCGGAACCTTACTCGCGGTATCCCTTTTTCTTCTCATATTCGTGTAGTCGCCACTGAAAGGCATGGGGCATGATATTATCCTCGATCCGCTGCTTGGCCCGTTGAATATTTGCATCGATATCTCTTAATTAAATGGATTAGCTCAGCCTAAACTGCAGTCAAATTTCAATACATACTCAGGATCTAGATCAGGTTCATTCATGTTCCAACCCTCAGGAAATTTGGAACAATCTGTCAATGGCTCTTTGCCATTACGAGTCCATCTTGGCTGTCTTCTCGACAATCCTCTGGAGCTTCCACTCTTGATGCTATACTTCAAGTTTGAATCATTGACGTATGATCTGGTCAAATCGAGGTCATCTATGTTTATCTGTGGGCGCTCGGGCATATCCCACGGTGAGCCAATCCACCCAGCTGCAACAGCCTCCTCATTTTCATCATCTTCATCATCATCTTCATCATCTTCATCATCTTCTTCTTCCATGAAAGCTTCATCACGGTGATGGAACTCATATTTGCGTTTACGTTTGGCTCCCCTTGCCTTGTAAGACAAAACTTCCATAATTGGTCTTATTCGGTGGATGTGTCCGATACTTTGAAGCTCTGAAGAAATTTGAGTATTGCGAAGGATATTGAGGTTGTTTGACCCGCCGCCATTGATTTCCACTCCGAGTCTTCAATTCAAGATTCTGCATTTTCGAACTACTACTATTAGTAGATGATGCAATGAAGAGTCTTTTTGTATTTGAGTCATGTCATACTGAAGATTAACTTGAATGTTAGAGTTCATGGAAGGAGTATAGTATTCAAGTACTAGTCGTCTTATTTCAAGTGCTCGATGTCAATGTAAGCTACCACAAAGGATGCCTCCCGAGTCTCTTTCACGGTAGGTTTTTCATTTCAAAATCTTTCAACGCCAAATGTAGAAATCAACATGAATATCATTCAGGGAAGAAGAAGCCTCAAGATCAGAGGGTCGGATTACTTGCCCTCTCTAGAATCCTTCTGAGTCCGGATGGGTAAATCACTCTATGGATGCTAGTACTATGTTCAATCTTAGGCAAATGGCATAAAATTTCCATCTATTAGTCTGATCTTTCTGACCAGTCTACAAGTTGTTCCAGCTTCCACTCCTAAAGAGGGTGTCCTCTGAATCCTCCACATTGAATCTCCCTGCCAGTGGAGAGTATAGTTGCAGTATCTTTGCCAGAGGTAGAACTGACAATGAAGCACTTCAAGTTGAGAAATAGATATTGGGAAATAGATCTCGGGATTTAGTACGGTTGACCTGGACAGATATCATCTGAAGTGATAAAGATTACCTGTGGGTTTAAAATTCCACTATCGATATGTTCTGATACTGTCGTCTCATCTCTCACCAAGCTTTGTGAGTCACTTCTCACCCATCTCACATCTTCTTCTTGAACTTCTCCCCACCTACACTTTCTTTATCACACCATTTCACTCCATGAAGCTTTGTTCAGATCGGACATCATGAAGTGGACCAGTCTCTGGTGGCAAAGGGTCTTGATACAATGGCTGATATGTATGACAAATATTGCAGCAGCTGGCCTTGTGTCAACTTCAGAACCTGGTGAGTCTCTTTGAAAGAGCTTTCATGCGCCCTGTTACGCGTCTGCTAATGAGCAAAGCTCACTTTCCTGCTATCCCCATCCCGAAAGATTCCGACCGGAACAATGCCATATCCTATCTCACAACAAAGAATCAACAACAGAACGTCATTTTTGAAGAGGCCATTCACTTGCTTGATTCCATGAAGTCATCACCATCGTGTTACCGGGTCGCAGCCACAAGACTCGTCGCCTCATGCCAGGCAATTGACGGAAAGGGAGCCCATGACTCCGCAGAGTATGCAACTTTGGATCGAATACGATCTGTTTATGCTGCAAGACTAGCAATCTGCGAGCTGGATGGGGCCGGCGCTTCCGTTCCAGCTGCTTGTCTGCCCTTGACTGCCACTCCGACACAAGCCAGACCTCGCTTTCTTTTCTCCAGCAAGCCCAAATCACTCCAAGAGTCTCCCGTGGATAACTACTCGAAGGAGACCTTGGGGGCTTGCTTGAAGACCCTCGAATCACGGCCTCAGTGGTGGACTTCTTATAGCAACAACCGGCAAAACGCAGTGGTCATTTGCCAGGCGGCACGTATGGAGACTGAGAAAGATGAACTACTGAATCTACATCGCTCCATTGTCAATAGCAGTGCAAAACTCAGCAATGGCCTAGATATTGCATTGGAGAAGGCGGCCATGAACTCTGTCAAGGATGAAGAATTTGCCGAAGCTGTTCGTGAATTGCAGAAGAGGATACTCGTGGACTTGGAGACGACGGATCTTAAATTCCAAGATAACTTCAACAAGCTACTGCATGACATGGAGTCCGGCATCGGTACCGTGGTCGAGAGATTTTCTTCAACGCTGCATAATATACAAAATGAGACAGCAAGTCTTGAAAAGGTAAATTGGCTATCTCCAGAAAGCGTCTTTCTACTATTGTTTTCCAAAGACTAATTTTATCAGAATCTTGTAGGCGTTTCTGGTCAGGTAGATGCTCTACAGCAAAGTCTCAAGACTGCAGAAGAAAAAGAACTTTCCGCGCTGCGAGTGCATGAGGAGACTGCACTCGCGTCTCAGCAGATCGCCTCGGACTTTCACCTTTCGTTGGAGTCTTTTATGGGCTCAGAGTTTCAAGCCATTTCTCAGAGAATGGCTAGCTTGGACGCGTCACTCGTGAGTTTCACAATCAACAGTTCTACATATGCAAGCTAACATGAATAGGAATGGTTGAGTAGTCGACTGATCCAAGTTCTCGAGCAAGAGCACAAGCTGGCTCATGTTGGTCACATTCCCAATATTAATTTCCTGCATATCTTCTAACTTTTTCAGAAACTCGAAACTATGGAAAGATCGGTTGAAGTCTCGAGCATCAAGGCCAATGAGCTACAAGTTGCTCAACATGAGCAAGCCAAGATTCTTGTCGCTCAATCTCAAGTTCACAAAGAAATCCAGTTCGCCGCTCAAGTTTCTACAGCATTAATTGAAAGAGCCGCAGCCACAGCAGCCAACCTTCAATCCAGAATCGAAGACGCAGCAAACAAAGCCAAGGGCATTCCAGAAATCACATTCGGGACTCCCTCTATATTCACTTTAATTTTTATTCTCATCCTTGCTATCAGTGCGCAGAATCGCATGGTTGCCATTGGCATGATATTTATGATCTTCGGTTGGTACCCCCAAAATCCTTTGTCTCTGCAAGGCTGACCTTTATCTCACAGGCCACAAAGTCGCGCTTTCACTCCTTCAGCGCTTCTAACTTTTTTATATCTCGTTACTGCTGGGGCAACTTTCACCACTTATTGCTTTAAGCCAACCTCGGCCTACCTATACCCTTTCGGCATTTATCGCCTACCCGATATGCGTTTCAAGTTTTGGCTTTATACTTCTTTCAATATCGATCACAACGGTACTTCATTATTTACAAACATCAAACAGGGTCATCAACATGCATCTCATGATAGCGACTCTTCCAATCTCTCAGCAGCTAGTTATAGCTAGATGCAGATAACATGGACAGAATTTCACTATTTTGACTCCTTACCATAGCCATGTCAGTCCAGACCGAAAGGCCAAAGGTCCTGAAACGAGACATATTATAAGGCAAGATAGATGCTGCTGCTCGGGTGGACTGAAGTAAAGTAGCCCAGCGTGAACAGCGAATAACAGAAATGATGCAGCGATCATTTCAACTAGGTATCAAATGGTCAGCAGAGCCTAATAGGCTTCGGTTAAAATTTGAAACTCACGCATCTGATTCTTGAAGCCAGTTGTCCAAAAGGTCGATAGCACAATCAAAATACTCATAGTGACAGAAGACAAGCTAATTGCTAGTGGCCTGCTGCCAGTGAAAACTGGTTGGATATTAGCCAGGCCTTCAAATGTTGTATATTGCAGTGAGTCGATTTGAGATCTTTAGATATACCTGACAGTGATTGTTGATTCTGAAGATCTCAATCATTCTCCTTTGGGCTTGAAGCCATATTTCCAGGTTTCTTAGACATGGTCGGTCTGGATCTCGCTGAAGTCTTCTTGCGTACCATTTCCAAGTAAGATCTGGAAGACCAGATTTGGGCTGACCGTTTGCTTTTGAGATTCAAATCAAAACATCCGATCTGAGCTCTGAGCTTTCAGAGATTGAGATCGAAGAAGAATGTGACAAGGCTGCGCATTATCAATTTTGTTGATCGCTGGAATGTCTCAGTGCCGGCTTGGCATCAAGACATGTTTATCGATCATAATTTGATTTGGAATTCTTTTATTTTACTTTCCGATTTATGATATTCTGCAATGAGTTCTATGTTGAATTGCAATATTCATCTCCTATGAGTATACTTGAGATGCGGACTCGCCGAGGTTGACTTGGACTCGGAGGACTTTCAACATGCAATACTGATTGGAGGAAATGCTCACATCTCGGACACAATAGGATTTGCACCTTGCTCATGCCGTAGAAGAATCTCTAGATTATATTGAAGGGACCGTCATGACTCATGAGAGTGGCCGTTCAAAATACGCATGCCTGAATTGATCATTATTCCTGGTATAAGAAGCATAGTTCTAGCCTCCAGATGTCAATCCTAAAACCTGAACATAGTATCGGATTCAAATTCCAAGGTTAGACTTGAGGATTCTATTCAAGTCTCTTCTAAGATCGAGTCCTTTGTATTACTTGTATTCAAATGTTTCAAAATAGGACCACCCACATAACTGTAGAAACAGACGGGTTCATTCAACCAAGCATGGAGATCTGGGCCGAAAATAGTGAGGCACGTTTCATCTCTTTCATGCACAAGAATAGAATTGGTCTCTAAGAATGCAAAAATAAGATGAATAACGAGATTAGGAATATAAATTAAGAACCCTTCCACCAGTCAGAAGAATACAGAGAAATTACAATTTCATCTACTATAGACCCCAGCCTCATTTCATTCCAAGGAAATATCTAAAAGAAATCTCATAGAGTCTACTGGAACACTCCTAGGCACACTCAGACAAAATGTGGTCCATTCCACATCATTTCCTGTTTGCCACCCTGATCCTAGACTACTACGAGGATCGACTTGAAGAGGGACAAAGCATGCTCTATTCCCGAGACAACACCATCGTCTGGCTATCTTTACTTGGCAGCCGTCTTTTCCAACGAGGTATCGACGTCCTCCGTGACGCTGGGAAGATTCTTGAATTCGAGAATGTTTATTATGCGGGACCAGGCCAAGTCGGCATGACAACTGTAGACCCCGGCCTTCCATATCGAGACCGATACTTTGAAATCGCAAGCTGTTTCGACGAGGGACCTCTTAGGGACTCGGACATGTGGCTTCCAAATGATATCTTGTTTCGGACTGGTAATACGCCCCAGCAACCGTATTGGTCCAAGATGCTAGCGGGAACTCAACATTCGGCGGATGAGATGGTACCAGAGGGCGAGTTGGCGCTTTGTAGGTTTTGTTTCACAGCTCTTTTGCCGAGCTCGGAGTGCTTGACTCTGCCGTGCGATCATTGGTTTTGTAGTTCGTGCGTTTCTTCCTGGCTTCGTGTGCATGATAGCTGTCCGGAGTGTTGTGAAGAGGTGGTGGTCGCTTCCAACTAAGCCGAGTTGGAGACTCGGGCTCGGGCTTTCTTTTTTTGCTTGGAGCATGGAGTATATAGGAATATCGGGGTGCAGAACCATAACCAAGGCTGTTGTTTCCTTCAAGTTTTCTCTTCTCTTTTGTGCGGTGGGATTGATTGCCAGTGATGTATGCATAGAATGGTGTCTGTCATTCCAATATACTAGTAGTACAGTGACTCTGTTGATTTATCAAGGACTGAAACTTCCAAAATAATAATTCTCAAGTTCAAATGTTCCCTATACTATGAGCATTATGGATCATGGATTGAAATGGTGAGCCACTCCTATGTAGTACTAAGCACTTGAGACGAACCTCTTGAAGGTCAGTAATAAAGAAGTAGTACTTACTAGTAGTCTATTTATTGAACTTATATCGGCAGGTGCGGCAGAGTAATCGATTGTCATGACTATGGATAAAATTTCAAAAAGAAATCACAGAAGCTGGAATTGAACCAGGGACTTTCAAAACTGGTGGGGACTGAGAAATCGGGTGCGCATCGAGGTGTGAGGTGAGATGCTGCGAACAGTCTCACTGGATACACCCATCACCACCATATAATCCCTCATATCTCACTCTTTTTTTTGGGATCTGACAGGAATTATAGAAAGACCGAGTCTGAAAATATTTGATATAAAATTAAAAAAATTAAAAAATTAAAAATCAGTAAGCCCAGCCGAAACTGATTCCCGCCCGCCCTCTGGTATACTAACTCGGCCACCGACAGGACCCAGGCCATCCTGATCAATGCTAATCTGTCCTCTTAGAGTCTGACGCCGCTATTCCGCTAGGCCAGCAGGGCTGAGTTGTTACTTTTCTCCCCCTCAACGAAATTATATAGGATCTCACCCATCAAAGGCTGGTGTTTTCAGCGTGTTTCCTTGTCGCCCAACTGACCCATCGGGTCAACATTTGAACTTAACAGTCAAATTAACATGACAACGATCTCCTATACTGAATCAAGATTCTTAAATTTACCCTTTTCTTCACCACCTGAAGCCTAAGGAGTGATACAGCTACTCGAAGTACCGACGCTGCATCTCATCGCATATGTTGATAGAAATCAATTTCAAGCCAAATGTAGCTAGGGTATCTTATTAAAGCTTCACAAGGCATAATCAAACAGGGGACTCGAACATTCAATCGCCACCGGATGAAGAAGCTCTATCTGCATCTACCATGTCAACATCACCACCGGCTGCAGCCGCAGCCGCAGCCTTTTCCTCCCGAGCCTTCTGTCGACGCTTGAGCTTCCGCTCGCGATTTTTGCGAGTTCGCTTCTCAGCATCCGCCTCCTTTGCTGTTTCGACTGCTGCCGCACGTTTCCGAAGAATAAGTCGTCGCTTTTTACCAGGCTTCTTGCGAGTTTTGGGTGACTTGGATGGAAGAGCCCCCTCAATAACATAAACCGGCAAAACGGGCACGTCCTTGTTCTTAGGCGGCAGTTTTGTCTGGTGTCGCTTCAGACTGATAACTCTCCATGGAAGATGACAACCAGGCTAGAAGAGTGTGTTAGTGATACAATCAAGGGATAAGATCGGCAAATCGACTAACCCATGGTTGGGACTTAGCCCAAGACATCATCTGTTCTCCAGTCACGGCTATGTCTTCAAATTGCTCCTTCTTCCTGGTTTGATCGGCTTCATCCTCTGACTTGACCTCGCTTTTGTTCCATAATGAAGAGCTGGAGAAATAATATTGCCATCCGCGGAACGCCTTCACGAAGCGGCCCTCCGAGGGATCGCCAGAGCCTGGAGTCGGTGACCGTACTCGAATCCGCAGCTTCTGTGTCTCTGAACCGGCTTTATCTCCGCCATCTGATGGTTTTTGTGTGGTATCTGGGGTTTTCGTCGGGGCACTGAACAGGCGAAACTCGAATTCCTGCTCCTCCTCCTCATTGGCGCCCGGTTGTGTCCCATTTGATGTATTTTCTGATTCCACATTGGGGCCAATTAAGTCATCGAGGTTGAGTAATTTCCCTAGACGGGCGTGTGCATCTTGAAGTTTTGATTCATCGACTGGGGAGGGTGACCGTGATGAAGCGGGGGATTGGACTTCATTGCGACGCACTCTGAGTAATAATTAGAAAGAATATTTGATAGAACCTAATACAATTGAGACATACCGCTTGGCTTCAGGTAAATCAAACATGTTGTGACAGGATCAGTGTGTAAGAGACTGATACTTAAAAGGTGTTCATGTAGACGGGGAAGAAAAAAAGAGGTCGGTACTTAATTTCCACGCGTTGCGGCCACGACCATGTTGCTTATCGATGACATCGCACGGACTCTCCCCAGCCTTCATCTCCGACTGCAACCTCTGAACCCGATCGAACTTTTTATTCCTCACACTCAACCTCCCGATCACTGCGCTATTTTTTTTTCTTCGTCGGTTTTGTTTCAGCATTCACCACACTCATTACTCCACATTCTTCGTCTTCTCGATCTAGCCTACCCCAACGAGGGGATTCCGGTCCCACCTTTGCATCGATAATTGGGAGGCAATTAATGCCTCGTGCTGCTCGCATCGTGCCCCTCCACACCATTTCGACTCGCCATTTTTAACCCCGCGTTCTATTTTGTCGCTTTAAATGGGTATCTGTTCCTCGTGCCTGGGCGGTAATCGCCATGAATCTCCCGAGGTGAGTTGCTTGGGCAGACCGCATCAACATGTTTAATGCGCATGACCCCGGCCTTATGCGCGAGGCTTGGCACGCTCTTCGAAAAAAACAACCTTCTAACATATCTTTCTCAAAGCCGGAGTCTTCTCGATTGCTAGAAGAAGATCCTTATCAGGCTGGGTATGGCTACGGCGCACTCAATCATGCCCAACAGGCTAATCAGCCGGATCCGGAGTACGTGAGACGCGAGAGGGAGGCACTGGATGCTATCTGCCAACGGACCTCCGAGTAAGTGTTTATCAACAACAGATGTTCATTACTTCTGTTCTGTGGTTATTTACTGATTTATTATGTTATTCTAGCTCTGTGATTGATATCTGGTCTCTGCAACCACAACCACATCTCCAGCCTCATGCCACTCTCCATGTTCCCCGATCTACGTCTACATCACCTACTACAAATGATGAGAACGCACATCTGACTGTCACCTCTGATGCTGCCTCGAATACCAGCCGTCCTAGTTCCGGAGGTACCGTGCCGAAACATTGGGGTGAAGTTGTTGTCAACCCGAACAAGAAGCGCTCCAGCCCAAACATGAGAGCCGACAGCCGCGATGTGTTTGGAGTCCTCAAGGTGACCTAAAAGTTCTGACGCCTTAATCTGGAGTATTTCTATATGAAGACGATGAATCATACGACAGGGAGGTCTACAGGAACAACGGTTATTAAGGGGTGGTTCAAGGAAATCTGGAGTCTATCGATATCAAGGATACCAACGTGTATCTCTGTATTTTTCTTTTCGTCACGCTATCCCCTCTTTCGTTTATTTGAGTACTTTGTTTTCTTTGCATGGATCGCCGGTCGACTGTTTCGCACATACATAGCCACTCTTTTTGTGTCTCCTATTTTCGTCCTGTTAATACCCACGGTGCAGGCCTCATCAGAATATTTCTTTTTTCTTTTCTTTTCTTGATTTCGAGTCTAGAGCCTCGGTGGTACACCTCTAAATCGATTATATTGGGCTATCTATTCTGCAAAACTGTGGATTCAATAGCTGTTTGGTCTCCCAGATGTACATCTCTAGATACATATGCTACGCAGATAACCACAAATCTGAGGTTCCGATGCCCAAAGTAAATAATGGTGATATTCCGTAAAAGTGAAGTTCCCCGAGAAAGAAAGAAACGGCATCCTTATGCTAGAGTAAGAAAGATAACGCACCGGCCTATCCCATCACTGACAACACCCGCAACGTGATAAATGCATGAATGCACGGTTTGAAACTCGAGAAGAGGTAAAGGGGAGGGGGCGGGAATAAAAAATCCGCGTAAGAAATAAAAATAAAAATAAATGAAGAAAACCTTCAAAACGCCCGCTGGTCCTATCCAATGAGTAAAATAATGAATCTCGAAGAGTTGAGAGGATGCAATATGGTTGTGCAGATCCAGTCTGAGACAAAGAAATGACACTGAGAAAGCCGAGGCCAGTGGACTAAACATCATCCATGGTACCGGCCGGCTCCTCACCACCAGACGCATAACTGCCAGCGGAGCTGAGCTCTCCCTCGGACTCTGTCTCTTCCTCGACCTCGTCCACGGCGTCCTTGCTGGCGTACTTGGCCACGTACTCTGCCACTTTGTTAGTAACTGGCCGAGATTATACCCCGCACGGATTACATACCCTTCACTTTCGCGTCGTAGGACTTGGGCTCCCGCATCATCAATGCTGCAGCCTCTCCATTGAGCGGGTCGGAAGGATTGGGGTAGCGAAGGAGCTGAGGAAGGAAGACTTCGAAAATGTTGATCATGTCATACATGGGGGACCAGGTTTGGTTGATAACATCAAGGCAAACAGAGCCAGACCTATATCGGGAATGGTCAGTATTTAATCTTGCTGGTTCTATCACCGAAGGCTCAAGGCTCAGGTAAAGAAGTATCTCACAGCTCGTCGATGTTGGGATGGAAAATGCGGTTGACGAATCCAATACTAGGGCTCTTGTATGGATACTGGTCGGGGAGCTCGACATGGATTTTCCAATGGCCACCAGCAAACGGAGCTACCGAGGGTTCAAGTCAGTATATAATCTGACTTAGATCCATCATGAGCAAATATTGATATACATACTCTCCTCGGGGCCCTTAAATCGGACGTAGAATTCTTGCCTGTTAGAATTCAAATATCAGCAATATTTCTTTGGTTCCCAACCCACGAAGTATAAGCCATACACTAGACTATGGTTAGCACATTGATCTTGCTCTTTATAAGAAGCCGCCAACTTACTGTTATCGTTGACAAGGGTAACTTCATAGTCACTCATCAACCTAAATCATCTCGTCAGTCATGTTCCCTCAATCCATATTGTTTCTTTTCGAGTCCAATCGAATAGGTTGCAGACAGAAGAGACTCGGGGAAGGGAAGAGGATTTTTAGGGCGTACATCCTATACTCGAGTTAGTATTTGTCCTCGAATCCTCAACGTTTGTATTGATTATTCAAATCATACTTCATAACCTAGAAGCAGTAAGGGAATCTGTTAGCTCATAGCTTGACTTCAGACGGGTAGTTGTAGCTCGAAAAGGTACTCACATCGGTCTCTATTCTGCGCTTTGGGCTGCTCATGATGGCGGATTGGCGATGTGAAAATAGAATGGCTCAGAGGGATTTGTGGTAAATTGAAGCTGGATCTACCAGTTCTCGGAGCTGTCAATGAGGTCACAGGGCAAGTACACTGCAGTCGGAGGCGGGGAATAGAAAGTGTTGTCTCTGGGGGAAGGAGAGGCGGCAAGAGAGGGTGAAGAAGTTGTGATGCCTGGAGATTCCAGAAGTTCAAAGAACAAGAAGAAGTAAGTGAAATCAGGTAACTTCGGAGTAAGTAGTTAGGCGTGAAGGTGGAGGGGGAAGAGGGGAACTGGTGATAATGATGACTGGATGAGTCAGCTCATTGTGAGATGGCCGTGGCTGGATCGATGGAGCCATGGAACTCCTAATGTCACGATCTTACAGCCATCACGACATCCACTTTTCTTTTCCGGTGATGCGGTTATTCTATTCTTCAAGGCGCTTTTAATCTTAATCGCGCACAAATTTCACTTTAGAATTGTCTCTGCGCTTGATGCCATGGTGGAGTGGACTCTCAAATTGCCATCACAACTAGGAACTGTGCACGAAGCCAGTTTTCTACAATCTTTGACCTCCAAGTATACTCCGCTCTTCGGTGAACTGTGCAAAGGGACTACTTTCATGCGTGAAACCGTATGCTGCTATCCATGACTATATGAGGGAACTTGCATGACTGGAATTATTAACATTCAGGCATCAGTCTAGGTTATCACCTAGCACACTTGGGCATAGTACGGGTCTGCAATTTATACTCCTTTTCTAACCATATGTTATATCCTTAAGGGCTCTTTTGACACGTGAGCCCATAAAATACTTGATAGCATATGACCCCATCAGTATTCCTATAATTTGCGTTGTTCTAGGACCTTGGGGATTCCACAAGACTTTTAGTGTAACGCCTAGGTAGCAGCAACTTGAAGAAATCAAGAAACAGGAACGTTTGAATAAACATTTGAATAAGCGAGAAGTAGAAGAAGAGATAAAAAGCTTTAGTAAATTAGACCAAATGAAAATATTGCCATATCCCTAGTTTTGCCATCTCGTGCAACTGTATGTTTGCTCTTGCTACAGTGACTCGGTGCTAATTAAGATTAGAAGATCGACACACCTTAAGTGTTCCTTCTTCATCACCTCTCCCAATACAACCTCCCCTCTCTTGACACCGAAATAAAATCATATTCTCGAAGAAAGCAGGTTTCAGACTATTGAAGTCTTTTTATCACAATGAACCCTTCTTCCCCCTCGGGGGACTCTTCTCAAAGCTCCCCCGCCATCCCACCTCGCACAAGCCTTAGCTATCGTCCCGGTTCTGACCGCCAAGTGCAATCACCAGAGTCCACATCACCAGGCATGACAGATGGCCCAATCCCAGATGATAATCATGGTGCAGATCTACCGATGAATATGACAGCATCCATCATGCTCACGGGTTTACCCCGCGATGCCCATCAGGCACTTGCCGACGTAGAAGCGATTGATGCTGGCAAAGGTACACCCCATCCCGCCGACGCCCAAACTCGGATTCAGGGTCTTTGGACCCAGATGCAGGACTGTATTGCGTGAATATTCTATTTCGATCTTATTGCTGACGTGGTCCCAGTTACTGTTCGCTTTCAACCTCTGCCTTCGGCCCCGATTCTCAAAACTCGGGTTTTCAAGGTTAGCGCTTCACAAAAGTTTGAAACCGTTGTCAAGTTTCTTCGCAAAAAGCTAGATTGCAAAGATACGGACTCCGTCTTTTGCTATGTTAATAGTGTCTTTGCTCCGGGCCTCGATGAAGGCGTCGGTGGGTTATGGAGGGTAAATTTGCATGGTTTTCTACCGGTCTTAATGCCTCAAAGCTAACAAAATGTTACAGTGTTTCAAAACAGACGATCAATTGATTGTCGCCTACTCTATGACGCCGGCATTTGGCTAGGCAGATACTAATCCGCCTTGCTAACCAAAGTGGGATGATGTTTCATGGGCTATGTACAGCTGATATGATACAAGACCATGCAGGGGGAAAAAACAAGAAAAGAAAATCGCAAGCAAATGTATGATCAAGGGGCATTATACAGTCATTAATTCGGGTACTTTTCATCCACCGCCTTCTCAAACTTCGCTAACTCCTCTTTTGTGATGGGGTAGGTGTATTCTGGCGAAGGGAAGGCGCGGCTCTTGACTTCATCCCGGTACTGAGTGATTCCTCGAGTAGCTTCACTCCAGACATCGGCATATTTCTTCACAAATTTCGGGACAAACCGACCAGGCTGGAAGTGCCCAGTCATGTCCACTTGAACAAGGACTTGGCCCGAGCATCCATTGCCAGCACCAATACCGATCGTCGGAACCTTGAGCTTACTCGTGATAAGTGTTGCAACCTCTGGTGGCATTGCCTCCAGGACGAACATAAACACACCAGCCTCTTGCATCACCAATGCATCGTGCAGTAGCTTCATCGCACTGGTGCAGGTCTTGCCCTGAACACGGAAGCCGCCAAGTGCATTCTGTCGCTGGGGTGTGAGGCCCACATGTCCAACAACAGGGATCCCGGCCTGGGTGATCCGCTTGATCGTTGGGCCTAACTCCTCACCTCCTTCAATCTTGACACCATGTACACGGCCCTCCTTCACAAGTCGGAGTGATGACTCGACCGCTTGTTCGGGACTGATCTCGTATGAGCCCATGGGTAAATCACCAACCTAGACATTCATGTCAGCTCGGCATTCAATGGCTCCGTGTCCACCTGAATTCAAAAACTTACAATGAAAGAACTTTTTGCGCCACGCACAACACTCCGACAATGCATGATCATCTCTTCCATGACAACTTCGGTTGTATTATCCAAACCTAAAGCTACCATTCCCAAGCTATCTCCGACCAAGACAACATCCATTCCAGCTGCATCAGCTACATGTGCACTTGGGAAGTCATGCGCCGTGAGCATGGTGATCGGTTCCCCCTTCTTATAGAGATTCTTCAATGTCTGCAAAGTAACCTTCTTGCGAGCATTGGGCGCAACGTCTGGCGAGGAGTAGGAGCTATGCCGGATCTGAGCGCAAGGTAGTGGCGAGGACGAGGAGGTGATGGATGGGGCGCGGAGGTTCAGGATATGGCTTTGACTTGTTGGGTGGTGTGATTTTCTCTCGACATCCGTCCTTAATCCAGACAATGCTGTCGAGAATGATCGAGAGAAAGGCCGCATCGAGGGCCGGATGGCTATTCTCGGCGCAGCCATGATGGCAAAAAAAGCTCAAACCGGAGTCGCACGGAATTCCTCAAAGTGATCAATGAAACCAAGCTGTACAACTCTTTCTCCTTGGTGTATGGATATTCCCGTCCAGATATAAAGAAAGTAAGCAAATGGAATGCAGCGCAATGACCTCACTTAAGTCCGCGGCAACTCGGCTCGCGCCACCAGGAAAGTTCGGAAAAGAAGTGGGTAGAATAGCTATTTCGTAAATGGAACTCCTTCGGCGCTGGCATCCATTTATATCATATCAAAGCTCCATCTGTCCGGATCTTCGTGCACATGTGCTGGGTTATGCGGCGTAGATGGGAGCATCTTAAGAAAAAAAGAGCAAAGCTATCATACTACCCGCCTCGGCTACAAGCAAGCCTCCCATCTAATTTAGGCAAGTTTTTAAGGCTAATGCAAGGCATCAACATACACCGCCTTTCATGGAGTTTCTTATCCACTTCACCGCCTAGACCCACTCTTCATATAACCCACTGGCATATACTCCAGATGTTATAGGCGTGAGAAATGGGATAAGAAAAAGGCTCAGAATATTATGTATGAATGAGAAGATCTTCCCATACTAGATACTTTCGCAGCTTTGATCAAATTCTTGGAGGTACCTCTTGAAATATGCATTTGAAATACAAAATACGGCAGAAAAATGGCAGAAAAGCGATAACAGCGTCTGGTGGCGCTTAGATCGGTCTAAAAGTTGCCTCATGGGAAATCTGATATGAGTTTAAAAGTAACCTTTGCATGGAGCTACAGGGGTCTGCATAATAGAGCAGTACAGTCAATGGATGTATGTAGACTTGTGGTAGCATTTCTCCGATAGGTTATTCGGAGTGGCCTCGTCTGCAGCGCCGAAGCTCCGGGCATAGGTAGAGCTTCCTTGTGCACGATCCCATAATTGCACAGCATTCTTGGAAATAAGCGTATTCCCATAGGTAATGATTTGGATTGATTACTTTTCTTGTATGCTACCTAGGTAATTGTGATATCTCTCCTCCAATCTTGCACCGTGGATTTAGAACCAGCAGAATTCCACCGCCTCCGTTTGCGTGGCCGAGGTTCATTCTACTTCGGGATTAGTGCGGGGAACTACATGGGTGTATAGTTGCAAGTCTGTATCATGTTAGCAAACCAGACATTAAAGTTTCTTTGAGATATTAATAGTTGCGTAAGAGTTTCACTATAATCTGGACGAACAAAAATTCTCAAATCTTGCAGTGCTTTGTTAGTACTTCGGCAACGCGGCATTCGTTCAGCTCCGCAGAATGCTAGACTGCAGACTACGGTGCAGAGTCGAGGCTGGATCGAAGCCCCACGCAACTCGAATAATAATTGGATAAATCTTCCGAGAGTTGTAGAAGGATCTCCACGTGTATGACTGTAAGGTACCGGACCAGCGGAGAAGTCATGGTTGCAGCTGGTGCACTTTGAGTTAGCCACTTAGTGAAGCTTAGCTCTTACAGGCATGGAGGTCGCTTGAGGGTCAGGGCATCATGATGGAAGAAACTGAGAAAAGCGAACTTTAAGCTACCTGTTAAAATGAATGCAAGAGTATCCCAATGATAAGGTAATATATTCGGTTCAACACTAAATTTAAAGAATAAGAATCAAAGACTCCGCTGCCTACACCGGGCAAACCCCGTAACAAAGAAGAAGCCGCCAGGCGGACAGAAACCAAAAGAAACGAAATAGATGTAAAAAAGAACAATTAGGCCCGTAGGCTTTCGTTGAGATGTGACCATGTAAACAGGACATGTCATGCAATTCCACCCGATGCAGAAATGAACCCTTCCCAACCATACTCAGCGGCCGATGACACCAGTCAGCCCTGCACATCTCCCTCCGATACAGATAATAAGAAATCAAGAAACATGAAAAAGAAAAATTCATTCAGGGCATGAGGGCGCACGCTCCACCGCTTGGCTGTTGGGCAGAAAGGAAAGGGTCATGATGCCCAATGTCGCCGACGTATAGACGCGTAATCGTTTGTCTTCCGTAAGATGACGGTGCTGATGCAAATTTTGAGTAGAAATACATGAGGGAAAGAAGGAGAAAGGGATCTTAAACGAGCGGACGACCTCAACTGGTGGAGGTCAAGCAACCTGCAAACTCAAAGCGATATTGACCGTCGAGAGGAATTGCGGTTGCCAATGCGAGAAAAAAAAATGAAACTCCACATTATGCAAATGTGTCGATGCTGGGTATTGATATGGGTTATGCTAACGAGCCAAGGTATGTGCTTCCAATGGCGAGACTCGATTGTCGATATGAAAGGAAATTGGGTAATAGAAGCCCGTTAATGTGTAAGAGGCAAGGAAAAACCGAAAGAGGCCAAGATGGAACAGAGGGATGTTCACAATAAGACAGCCTGGAAACAGATTACTCCTAGTCCAAGTCGTAGTCTTCCTTGAGAGGACGTTGAAGCTCAAAGAGGAGGGAGTCAAGCTCCGCCCAATTTGACATGTTTTGGGCGAATCGGCGATGCATTCGTGTCGTCGTGTGCTCCTCAAAGTCATCGAACTTATCCCTGCAGTTCTCGCAGTAACCTGGTTTAGGGTCTCGGCGCGGTTTCTTCTGTTCCAATTCCTGACTGTCGCGGCGACGCTTTGTTCCAGCTACTTCTGATGGATTGGAGTTTTCCTTATCAGCCCGACGAACCTCCATAACACGACGAGTATCCGTGTGAGTTCCGCGGTACAAAGCCATTTTGCCGATTGAAGGATTCTGAGGAGCAGCCATTGATCCATTCGAAATGGCACCCGTACCCTTCTCAAGGACTTTGCGTTTGAGGCCATGAACCTCTTTGCTCAGACCAGCCTTTGCACCAGGGGCCGCAGCAGTCGACGAGATCATTTGAGAACGGATGGCTGAGGTGACGTTTGATGGCTGCACACCTGATGCAGCAGGCTCACGGCCAGTGTAGAAAGGCCCCGTGCGGGGAAAGTGAGTAGGAATGAAACTTTCCGAGCTCTTTCGCTCATGGGCCTCATCAAGCAGCGGCTTGGTGGAAAGATCTGTCTTCGATGTAGACTTCTCATCCTGCTCACGCTGTACTTTGACAAGCTCGGTCTGAACTTTGGTATCGACCTTCTGACTGACGGCAGTCTGGGAGATCTTAGGGCGGGATTCATTTGCAGCTTTCTCTTCCTTCTCCTTCTGAGCTTGCTTCTGTCGCTGTCGGTCGTGTTCCTTTCGGCTAGGAGGTTCGTCAATGAAGGGACATTTTCCCAAAGGTGCACTTCGGAATTGCGGCCAAGTTCCCTCTTGTCGATTAGCGACGCGAGAGTATTCTCGAACCATGACAGGCTTCGTCTTCTCATTCATATCATGGATGTAGATAAACGGTCCCTTGAAAATAATCATTTCCATGGACGAGAATGGGTCGCGATCTGAAGGACCATTCAATAACTCCTGACGAAGAACACGCGACAGATCGTTTTCGCCACGGCCGCTAGCCGTACTTCCACCAGTAGCCTTGCTTCGAGATGCAGCATCGTTTTGGCCCCCAAGATAACCGTTATCATTAATGGTTATGATCATCCTTTGCAGTTTTTCGAGTGCCCAAATTTTCATCCCCATTTGCCGGGCTCTCTGCAGCACATCCATGGTTCCTTGATCACGACGGGCATCGTTTTTTAATGATACATGGCGTTGCGAGTCGGTGTTTCGTTCAAGAAGGGAAGGGTTTACGGTTTGCACATTGCCATCCCTGTTGGGACCCTCGACAGTCGACTGGTCCAATTCAGTGTGGCTTGTGCTGGGAATTTCTGGAATCGGGCGAGAGGTAACAACGTGAGTAACACATCGGGAAAAAAAAGTTTCTTCGCGCTATAGAAGGAAACAGTTAGTAAAGAAGAAAAAAACCATGGACTTGATCCTCTCCGAGCATATATTTTGGGTGAATACAATTCTCGAAGGGCGGACAAACAGAACAAGAATATCTTCGTAGACAAACTTACAGCACCAAGAGCAATAACCTGTCGAGAGAACTTGCGTCGAACATCTTCCGGAATACTATCGAAGTAGAAAACAAATGAAGGGAAAGCCTTGCGATAATGCCGTTGCCATTGACGAATTGTGTCGAGGGTATCCGCAGAAGGCTTCTCGCCCTTGGTCCCCTTCGCTAGAGACTGACGTTCCTTGTCCCGAGCAGCAACCAATTTCTTCTCGAATGCACTGGGATTGGCATTATTAGATCGACGTGCAAAAAGTTTCGATTCGTTACTCTGTTGAACCGTCGATCGGCTTCGAGTTGGGGATCGAGATTCCTGTTCTGCCGCTTCCATCACCTGCTTCTTCGGGGGAGGCTGGCCATAAGGTATTTCAAGTTGAGTAGACCGGACTCGTTTCGCTGGCAAGGTAACGGTTCTATGGGGAGAATTGGTTGCATTCGGCACGTTGGCGAGTGGACGGCGACTGGACATATTCAAGGAGGTTTGAGGAGACGGTGGGATAAGAACAGCAGCCATAGAGTAAGACTTTTTCAAGAGTTGAACGCGTGGTAGCTTATGTTATGGTCGAATAACCGGTCTTCGAAGAGGGGTATTCGAGTTCAAGCACGCGACGTGCTACACGTCTTTGTAGGTGCAATGAGGTCACAGTGAAAGCATGGTCACACAAAAGAGAAAGGTAAAGAAAAAGAAAAGACCAAATTAGCCTAAGGTATCCAATAAGGTACTTTGGGGGTAGAAAGAGAGGGTGGTGGTTGGTACGAAGTTTGGGGTAGAAGGAAAGGGACGAGAGGGCAAAGTCGTGTGGTGGAGACTCTCTCAGTTTGTTTTGGGCGTGCGCCGGACAACCACCGGCGTCGCGCGAAGCATGAACATCAACAACTACATTCTTGCTTCAAACGCGACGTGCCATACCTATTCTTACTTTATAAATGTCCTTAATTCATTTCTATGATATTCAGACATCTATAATTATGAGATTTCATTGCTGAGGGCATTATTCTTTACTATCTTAACTTGGTAGTCGACGTTCTATACCGAGTACTCCAAACAACAACCATCATTGCCAGCCACCTCCAGCCACCAAACTTTGAGCAAGGCACAATCTTGGGACGATTCAATATAATATTTAGCACGGGAACTGATGTGATAATGTGCTATACAAGAACTTTAGACCATTAGTAATCCACCAATGGGTGGATGTTAGTGTTTACAACTGTTGTTTGTATACATCAACCTTGGAAGTTGTCAACTGGTAAGCCCTCTCACAGGTCAACCTATAAAATACCTTCAACATTTGCATGATCAAGCACACGTGTAGCATTCAAAGAGAATTTTGGAATATATGCTAGTAAAATACTAACAAAAAATTGAGCCGTAGCCCAAGTGACATATTCAATTCTATCAATCTATAGATGCCACTACACCCTATTTCATAATTCCGCAACCACTTTAATGAGCGAAGACAACGGACTGTCCTTGGAATTTCCCTGGATGAGAATTATAGCTCACTCCGTCAACCTTAAGACCCTTCTCATTTATCAATGTGACCGTATCGGCGATGTTAGAAAGGTCAACATGGGAGATATCAAAGACATTAGTTGAATTGGCCTTCAACTCGGCATTTGCAGGTAACTTTTGGGCCTGGCCAGCGGAGTTCTTAATCTTCCAAGAAGACAGAGGAATTGTATGATCCGTCCGATTTGTGAGAGTAACCGAGCGGCGTCTGGTCTCAGAGGGATGCTGTTCGACCGAAGCCTCGTCGATGGATACAGAGGTCTCGATCAGATCAGAGCGCTTTGATGTTGAGCTCAGATAGTTAGGCCAGCGCTCCAATGAAATAGCATGGCCACAATTATCGGTGTGCACAGCTTGTCCAGCGAACCCGAGGAAGATGCCCACCCAATTGCCGGAGGTTGGGTACTTTATCAGAAGGCCTCCATCTTGGAAAATGCTATCATCGGATGTCCATTTCCCACAGTTGCCCTGGTTCATGTGGATATTGTGAATACCATTTTCAGTGTTGAACCTTTCTCCAAAGAGGTAGATCTCCGCCTTTTGATCGATTGCCTTTTGCACCTCGGGCTCGAGGATGTTTGGGCCTTCAGTATCGTGAGGTAAAAGTCGACCCCAATTCACGTTGAACAAATTGCCCCGGATGAAATCTAATCTGAGGCCACCAGGTGCTTTGTCCGCGTGTTTAAGCGAATTGAAGCCAGAGGGTAATTCGGCCAGCTTATTGACCATCGGGTTATCCTTGAAGTTTCGATTCGCCCAAAAAACTAGTCTGGATTCCTGCTTGACGCCAGACTTAATATTGATTGCTGCTCTGCTCAGCCCAGGAATTTCTACAGGCTTCGGGCCGCGATGGTGAGTCTTGTGGCGACCATGCTCGCGAAACTCGTTGGTAGAGCTGTAGTCTTCATTCTGTTCTTGTCCATCGTCAAAGTAGAGAGATAGATGTGGGGAGACGTTATCATCGGCATCATGTTCGAATTTATACATCACAGGGCGTGCTCTCCAGACGCCGTAGTCGTTGATTGGCATCTTGAAGATGGATGGGAATGTGGACTCACCTGCAGATTAAAGTGTTATTGCTAGAGATTCAAAATTGAACTTGAGCTTGAAGTCATGTTTCTGGAGGCAGTTAGTTCTGTTCTTATTTATAACCTCAACTGCTTGAGGCACTACGTACCGTTTCAACTCAAGTGAACCTTGGAACCTTGGAAATGTTAGGAGAGTACAGCACTGTCACTGGGGAAATGTGGTGGCGATTGGCCATAACGCCTCACTCTGACCAAAGAGCACTGTGGAGTTTGAAACATTGATTGAATATTGATAGATGATGGCACAACAGCACCTGCCAGTGCATAGTACCTTTTACTCGATACCTCTCGGCTCGCCACTCAACTATTGACCTCGGGATGGATAGCCAACAAGCTCAACTGTGATATTGGCATGAGACCATCATAGAGAGTCTAGATCAGACAATTGAGATTTGAATGTTGAATATCAGAGTTATTTGCCTTTGAAAGGCAAATTATTCAATTTGAATGAGCAGATACCTAGGTATCTGGAAGATTGCTCTGTCATTGTGGCAAAAAGAAAGGAGAGTCCAAACGACGTGCATCACTTCGAGCCACCTCACTACCTGGGCATCACTAACATTGAATAAGACTCGGTCTCGGGACTTAGGTGTAAGTTATCGTAGTAATATTTGGTAAGCTATGCTGTGGCAATGTATTATACAAGAATTTTTGAGGGTATCTGATTACTACTAATACACATGCTAGTATTGGCACCCTAGCTTCGAAGTGCCTCGATGTCGTCAACCTACAAAGATAGTTAATATCGTATCCTGAGTCCAGATTGCCTGATGAGACTTACTTCCTTGACAGCTTCAGGGGTCAGGACGATCGGATGGTCGTCTCCCACACAGACACTGTCTTCGATACGAATTCCAATGCCCCGGAAGTGAGCTGGCCATCTCTCATCATTAGGAACGTAGATGCCACTAAAATCATATTAGCCTTCTGTCAAAGAGAGGAAGATCTGCGGACGACGAACGGCTCAACAGTAATACACTGCCCAGCCTTGAGGCTGTAACCTCTAGAGTATCCAGGGCAATCGTGAACATCCAGGCCGATGTAGTGGCCAAGATGGTGTGGGAACAGGGTACTCATTGCCTAGTTGAAATTAGCAAGACCGTTTGGTCGAAAGTGAAAGGGTCTTTAGACATACATTGCCGGAAATATCAAATCCAAGCTGCTTGAGTTGGTCTCTCAGTCCATTCTCCGCGATATTATGCAACTGGTCCAGTGACAAACTGGCGCTCTGACGGCATAGTGCCAAACAACTCCGATGCACATTCAACACTGCGTTGTATAAATCACGTTGCGGGTCTGTGAACTTGCCATTGACCGGCCAGGTTCGTGTAATATCGGAGATGTAGCCTCCAAGCTCCTAGGCGGGGATCAGTTTCTGTACTCGATCAAATATAGGAAGACGGAAAACTTACACCACCGCCGTCCACAAGGACTAAGTCTCCATCCCTGATCAATTGGGTCAATAAGGTTTCTATCAAGATTCCATAATTCCATAGGGTGATTACCTTAAGACATCATCATTTCTCGTGTAGTGAATACTCAGCGCATTCTATTCTGGTTAGCATCAATTCTTTTTTTCCCCAAGAGAGAATGCTGCATACCTGGCCACCAGCAACTACAGGAACAAAGGCACTGCCGTCAGCGCCATTGACCTTGAACTGATACTGCAAAAATGAATTCAAATCCTTCTCAAAGTCAAATGTTTGTCGCATCGAGTCTGTAAAGGCCCTGCCGGAGGCTTGTCCCAGCATCCGCAAGTGGACCACCTCACTCTCAGACTTGAAAACCCTCATCTCGTTGAGAATTGATTTCAAAGGCTTGACCTTGCGATGGTCGACAAACTTCTTCAGCTTCTCTGACGCGACTGTTGGTCCGTATAGGTAACGGTGCAAGGATGATCTTGATCCATCGAAAGCGGGGATATCCGAATATACTTCTGTAGCTCGGGCCACAATCTTTGGTAAAATGTTTCCGATGTCTTCGATATTACCGGTCTAGAGGACAGAGTGTTAGTTCATATCCATTGGAGCTTTCACATAAGTGAGGTAGTATACTTCATCAGCATTGAAGATGTCGGCTGCAGCTTGGGTGCCAGACCGTGCGCCATCCCATAACTCTGCTTTAGGATCTTTCTCTCGGACAAAAAGATGGAATGTGTGATTATCGCCAGATCCGTCGTTTACGATGACCGCCAGCGCATTTGGTTCATTGAAACCTATCATGATTCAGAATCATACGATTAGCCAATGCCTCCTTCCCGAACCCGTGTCAACTGTCGTACCGGTCAAATAGAAGAAGTTTGATTCTTGGTGATATTCGTGGAAGATTCCTGGTGCTCTGTATTTCACTTCGGAGGCGGCAAGTATTGCGACAGCTCCCTCCGGGAGTCTGTTGGCGAGTTTGGACCGGCGCTGGGCATATTCAAGAGCAGTGATTCCTGGAGTGACTATTCATCCAAGGGTCAGCGGATTGAGGATGAGATGCAAGATACTTTAACCAGAACTTACGTTCACCAGGGCCCAAGAGATGGGGATGTGTCTCATGTAAGGGCTGTCCAAATTTGAGGTCCGCGGCGCCAACGGAGGTAGCATACGCCTGCGGAGAGAAATAACTGAGCTGGGAATCCTAGAATTGGATATAGGGCTCAAACGAGAAGGTCGACGTAGCTGAAGAGCGCATTGTCTGACAAGTGACCTGCAAGTGGCCATACTCATAATCCTTATACAGAGTCACAAAAGCTCTGTTGGTTCAATGATCAATGTTACCTCGGAACTGTCAATGCATCCCTGGTTGAATGGACCGCCGGGCGGTGTGGACCAATCACCAATTACGCGTTTGGCATCAAAACTATGAACATTTGAACATTTGAACTTGACTTTGAACACTTTGTTCAAATGTTTTAATTGATTGTTTATTAGGGGCTTTTTGTTCTAATTCTGTTCCATTCAATTTGAAAACTACCTAGGTATACATACTATCCACGTCGCAATGGATATGTAGGGATGAATACTACTACATATATGTAGTACTACATAGTACCACTAGTATACTCACCAGGGATTGGAACAGCCTGAGTCAACTCAAGTTAGAGCCTTGGATTTTGTAGATATCTTCAATAATATTTCCTATTTCTATGCTATGAATTATATTTCCCCAACACGTCCCTGTCTGCACCCATCGTCATTACGAATAATGAGCTTAAACGGTAGCTCGCTATCATCAAACCGAGGCTCTGCATAACCTTCTGGAACAAACATATGCACAATAAACCGCTTGGCTTGCTTGATCTGCACTAGCGGTCGAACAATGAAGGCAGCCGCATTCGGACCAAGATTCTCTGGGTGGAGATGGATGATCAACTCCTCTAGATGAGACATTCCAGTAAGGATCTCACAGGCAGAGCAGTAGCGGCGCCAGTCAACATAAAGATCCCCAACATAGCCGTAGGGATTATAGGGAAAATGATAGGTAAATCGAATGGAACGTATTTGGTCCAAACGGTTGGGCAAAAGTGTCTTGGATAGGCTGATTATACTGTCTGCATGGTCAAAAGTAAAGATGTTTCGATCATAGATCATGTTTATCGTCTCGGAATATCTGTGTGACATATCAACATAAGCACTGCTAGTAGAGAGATCCGAGCCTTGTAGATCAAGCCTGGATCTTCACTCACATCAACCGACAGGTCTGCAATAATGTGACAAAGCTAACTTCTTCCATATTAGAAGCTTGTGTCGAGTCCATATCCAATCTAGGCTTTATTGGGGACAACGCATCATGGAATGTCCTTGTGCAGGGAACCTTTCCCCAGCAAAGGTGGTTGCAAAAGGATCCTGCATTGTCTCCATGCTCATATGAACACTTTATTGCAGCTAGCCGGGTCTCCAAAGCTCTTGAATGACCTCGGTCTATACGCACGACATGTATTTGGTGTACACAGAAGTAGTATGTCCAGATCATCCACCGAATTTCGGGCGGAAGTCCCGCGAGCGGGGACTGATGCTGGTCGAGTGTACGTTGAACCTTTGATCTTCTGAGGAGTCTTCTCCAACCTGTCGGTGGCTCTGGTTCGGGAAATCCCAGGGGAGTGAGGGGCCGTCTTATCTCGGGAAGATGTTTGATGGTGTCTGTGCCGGGGTCTGCCTTGATCTCACCTGGTCGAGGTCTTAATTGAATACCACAGGGAAACAGACAGCCACTCATGGTAAACAGACAAAGAAATTAGAATCCAAAGAATCATTTCCAGAGGCCTTGGGAGCCCTGCTGCTAAGTAGGCCGTGTATCTTGTAACTGAGTGGACCGATAGGTCAAAAGGTGAAGGAGAGCTCTTTGTATGATCGGCACTGTGCAGTGTACACTGTTTGCCCCCACAGCCCCGCGTGGCTTACTCCAAACTCCCAAAAAAAACATTCTTTGAGCAAACCATCACTCCAACACGCGTTTCTTCATTCTTCTCAAGTATATTTAAAGAACTTCATTTCTCTTTTTACCTTGGATATATCTCAGATATTTCAGTTTCAAAATGACTTCGGTCGCAAGACAGATGGCTGGCATCCCTGCGGCAGATCTGCAGTCATTCACGGAACACCTCAAGAGCTGTCGACGAATCGTAGCTTTACTAGGAGCCGGTATCTCCGCATCCTCTGGTCTACCCACTTTTCGAGGAGCTGGTGGACTTTGGCGTTCTTTTGATGCTACCTCACTGGCCACGCCAGGGGCTTTCAAATCCAATCCGGGTCTAGTCTGGCAATTCTACAGCTATCGCCGACACATGGCCCTGCAAGCAGACCCGAACAGAGCTCATTACGCCCTTGCAGAGCTATCACGAAGAAACCCTGATTTTATCACATTATCTCAAAATGTTGATGGTGCTGAATACCGTTTACTTTAGAGCTCTTTTGTTTGGAAACTCATTTTTTAATATTCCATGCTGACGTTTGGCCTCATCATGCTTTCGATTTTTTAGGCTTATCACAAAGAGCACAACATCCAGCCAGCCAGCTACATCTACTTCATGGCACCCTCTTCGATGTCAAATGCACCTCATTCCACTGTGACTATATCCGCAAGGATGATTATACCGACCCGATTGTCCCGGCTCTTGACATCCCCAAGAAAGGGATGAATTTTCCCTCGTCAGCAGAGAATGATGGCGAGACAGATACAGATGCCGGAATTGAACTTGACATTTCTAATGCACAGGTCCCTATCCCTGAACTGACTCCCGCTGACCTGCCTCAGTGTCCCAAGTGCAAGGGTCTCCTTCGACCTGGTGTCGTTTGGTTTGGCGAGAGTCTTCCTTCAGATACTCTTGACTTTGTCGATAACTGGATTGATGAAGAACGAGTTGATCTTATAATGGTGATTGGCACTAGTTCCAAGGTCTGGCCCGCTGCGAGTTATCTTCATACTGCCCGGAGTGCTGGTGCCCGAGTTGCGGTTATCAATATGGACGCGGATGATCTGGCTGGTCGAAATTTAGAACCAGGCGACTGGTTCTTCCAAGGCGACGCGGCGGTCATCGTCCCGGAGATTCTGAAGAGTGTAATTGGAGAAATTTAAGCCCAGACCATATGAGCGTTTCTCATTAGTCGCCAGAGATTGATCTGCATTGTGACCTTTTCCCTTACTCCATAATCTTGTCTTTTGATTTGTTTCATTTTGTTTCAACTTTCCTTTTCTCTTCTGATTTTTTCTCTACCTTTCATGGATATCTTGTCCTCTCATATTTGATAGCGGTTTGGGTGCTCTACCTAGGATAATCAATTGTCATCGCTTTAGTTTAGAATATTCTACCTAGGTAGCAATTAGTAAACTCACGTTCAACCTCTTGAAAACTAACATATGCCCGCCTAGATGCTACTTAGTAGTGTTAGGTCCGAGTCTCACTCTCCAGGAGTGCGCATCGAATTAATGACACGTCTTATATCATCTTTTTGTCATACGAATGACTCCTCTCCAAAAATGTGTTTTGTTGCCACAACCCTTCTATACTTGAATCGTCACCATGTTTCAGCTTTGTTATTGATCTGAAGTCGCTATGTAGGTGCATGAATGCACGTGATTAATATACTGGGTATAATATTCGACTCGAAACCCCCCCTTTCTCTCATGCGAGCCCAAGGTACCTTTGCGATCTTTTGCGATCTATGCTTTTTCTCTTGTGCTTGGCAGGTTCTTCGTTCATTCCTTAGTCAAAAAAAGTACTACATTTACAGAGATGGAAAACAATGCTGCCACCACTGGGAATTATCTTCCTTCGAACAAAATCACAAAGTACGCCGATACTCAATTAACAGTCCAGTATCAGACGGGGCTTGACATTATAGGTGTTGGGGCAGCGGGCCAAGTCTACAATGTTGATGATCGAATCGTCTTGAAGGCGTGTAGAATATACCAGCGCCCTTCAAGTGAAGCTACTCCACGCGCCTTATGGGACTATGCCTCAGAAAGTATCTTTCACTTCTTTATCTTGAAAGATGAGAAAACCGTCTTGTGCCTGCCTTACAGAGCATCATCATCCAAACATCATAGAGCCCATTCACACGGATCATCCCGAAGGCATGTATATTCACAAATACCAGCCACTTTCCGCTCTCACACAAGAGTCTCAATCAGATCGGATCTTTCGGTATCAGGATATCATACGAGCGCTTGTGCACCTCCACGGACTTCGCATCGCCCATTCTGATATACGCAAGGATAATATACTCTTTGACCAACAAGGCCACGCTTTACTTAGCGATTTTGGCGCCAGTTGTCCATTTGGATATCCCAATCCTTCTTACCCAGTTCTTTCAAATGGACCATCGGAGACTGTCTCTGGTGCAACAGATCGATTTGCGATGGGCTCACTGATCTACGAACTGGAACATGGAATCCGATCGGAAATATCTATGGATGATCGTGACCGCCTTATTTTACCCCAGATCAATACAGGTCATGATGGCCTTGACTCGCTCATCGAAAATGCTTGGTGCGGAAAGTTTGATTCTACAACAGATATGCTGAACCATGCCGAATGTCTTAACGCCGTTCAGGACAGTCGCGGGCCAGTTGAACATCCGGTTTCAAAGGCAGAATTGATCACACGGATCACACAGTGGAGGAAGAACCGGGAGGAACAACATGGTACTCATTCGACTATGATCCCAAATGCTATAAGGAACCAGGCTAACAATATACTATACTAGGCTGCATCCTCTATTCCATACCAACCGAGTCTCAGCTGCAAATCCTAGCAGATGGCTATGGCTGGAAGATGGGTGAAGAGATGCGCTTTCTGGATGAAAGCTCTGTTCTTCCACGGAATGAATTTTCTGGCTGGTTTTATTTAATTGCAGAGGGGTTGTTCACATAGGAGATCGGTTCTACACTCTAAATAGGCTTAAATGCTAGAGTTTGGAGAAGAGCCAGTCCTAGTAAAAGAGCAGAAAAAGCAACTTGAAGTTACCATGGCTACTAGAATAGACACATCAACCAGAAAGGAGCACCGTCAGGCGAGGATGAGGGTATTCATCTCTCTCCTTTTTTTTCTCTCCATCCTTTCAAAAACGTTGTCCCCTCATAGCTGGTGGTCTGCGCTTTCTACCTACTCCTTGCATCCGTTTGATCAAACAGTATTTCCCGAATAGAAACATGCGTATCTACATGGCAATCCATGAACTATCATGATTTCAATTAACCTGGTCCATTCCTCTGTATTTTTGTAGAATTATGACATGTCAATTGATTCATGTTTGTTTGTTATTGTAAATTCGGCCTGATCTATAAGGCTGAAATTGTTGCTAGGGAATCCACCAAAACAAATCCCGTATCGATAACGTCGTCGATCTCATTCTTCTCAACTCCACCCCACGCTCGCTTTTTTTTTAGGAGGCTTGATACTTGGTAAGTGGGATGAACTTTGATGCTATCTCCATGAATCCCATGCCTTTCTTTGAATTCTGCAAGTGTCATTCTTGCAGATCTGCTTCTTGATATCTCTCCAGCATCTTCGAAAGCTTACAACTAGACGCTCTCCAGGTAAATACACGCCGACGTCACGCGCAAATACAAGAATTTCATACTGGCGTCTCCCAGTAATTGAAGAAACCATCAAAAAAAATTCCGAGTTCCGCCCATCAAACATTTGCCCGGCCTATCCATAGCGAGTAGCTTTACTGTCCACAACAATGGCCAGAGAAAGTGATGCTCCAAGTGTGCCCCTCACCCCGCGGCGGCCACATGAAGCACCAAAATCATCAGTTTCCCAACAACCCGAGTTTGGAAAGCCCTCGCCTCTTGGCCAACCGCAGCGTTCTTCCAATCATCTATTCAATATCCCCAAACACAACCGGGCGCGACCAGAGCATCATCGCGCTCCCCAACCCCCACAAACACAAACACAGCCGCAGCCGCAATCGCAACCAACAGCCCAGCCAAACCGCCTTCCTCAAGGTTTTCGACCACCAGGCGCACCAGGAGGTGGCTCAGCCACACCCTCTGCGAGCCGAAGCGCGGCATTTGACCCTTTCAAGCCTGTCAGGCCATCTGCATACACTGAGTATCGATCAGCCGTCCCACCGGGTGCAACTCCAATCAAACGTCCGCAAAATGTGAATTACACTACCCCTCGAGCCCCTCGAGCTCTTTTCTCGTCAAAGCCCTCAGCCAAGCCATCCAATTCCTCCTTGAACCTCCAAAACTTCATCGATCTTACGTCGGATAAAACTTCATTCAACCAGCCAAGTACCCCACGATATGGGGGAAGCTCAAGCTTTGGCTCCATTGACACATACAGTTACGTTGATGCAGAGAAGGCCAACGAGAACATTAAGGCTCTCCTTGAGGGTGCATTTGAGGAAGAGGAAGAGGAGGCTAAGCCAAAATCAAAGGGAAAGAAGAAGGGCAAGAAGGGCAAGAAGAACAACAAAAAGCAAGCAAAGGAGTCATCTCAAGCTGAAGTTGTCCCAGCTCCGAAGAAGGATGAGATTGACGACCTTGATGACTTGGCTGCTCAGCTTCAGGGCGTCACGGTGAATGACAAGGAAGAAGCGGCTGAAAGTCAAAACGAAACTGTGGTCGACGAAGAGAAGGACAAAAAGGTCGAGGAGGAAGGCGATGAAGAGGAAGACGAGGAGGATGATGAGGAAGAGGAGGAAGAAGAAGAGGCCTTAATCATCGAGGGATTGAAAGTCAACCTTCTACCTCATCAAGTTGAAGGCGTTCGCTGGATGTGTGACAAAGAAACTGGCCAACGCTCGGCTAAGGGTATCATTCCTAAGGGCGGAATCCTCGCCGACGACATGGGGCTGGGTAAGACTGTCCAGGCCATCTCTCTGATTCTCAAGAATCGCAAACCAGAAAACGACGAACACAGCGAAAATACCGAATCCGCCAAGAACAAAGACGACGAAGATGAGCCCCCAGCCAGTCGCTTGAGTGCGAGCACCCTCGTAGTTGCACCTCTTGCTCTGATCAAGCAATGGGAAGCCGAGATCGCCGACAAGATTGAGAAGACCCACAAGTTACGTGTCTGTGTATACCATGGAGCCAACCGCGCGAAAACCTCTGCATCGCTTGACGGTTACGATGTCGTGATTACCACTTATGGTACTCTGACCTCGGAAGCGGCAACAGCAGCCTCGGACAAGGCCAAGAAGTCAGGGATTTTCTCTGTTTATTGGTACCGCATCATTCTTGATGAAGCGCACACTATCAAGAATCGAAATGCTAAGGCCACACAAGCTGCTTGTACCTTAGATGCCAAGTACCGCTGGTGTTTGTCAGGAACGCCCATGCAAAACAACCTTGATGAATTACAGAGTCTGATCAAGTTTCTTCGCATCAAGCCTTACAACGACCTTGCTGCTTGGCGTGATCAGATCACTAGACCCTTGAACAATGGGCGTGGTGGTCTTGCCATCCAACGTCTACAGGTCTACCTGAAGGCTTTCATGAAACGACGTACCAAGGATGTTCTGAAACAGAACCAAAACGACGATTCCGATGATGAGTCCACCGGTGAACCTAAAAAGTCCAATGGGTTCAAGATCGTCAAGCGTGATGTTATCAGAGTTGATGCAGAGTTCTTGGAGGGCGAACAGGAATACTACGATCGACTTGAGAAACGTACGGAAAATCGCCTCGACGAGATGATGGGAGGTCAGAAGGTTGATTATGCGGGAGCCTTGGTCCTCCTCTTGCGTCTTCGCCAAGCATGCAACCATCCTGATCTCGTCAAGAGCGATCTAGCCACAAACAAGGATGTTCTCTTGCAGAATGGAAACCCTGGAAGCCAATCGTCCAAGGAATCGAAAAAAGACGAACTGGACGATATGGCGGACCTCTTTGGAGGATTGAGTGTTGTGACCAAAAAGTGTGATGTCTGCCAGGCGGAACTTAGCAAGAGTGAAGCTAAGAGTGGTGCTAGTCGCTGCAACGAGTGTGAGGCTGACTTGAACATCAACTTCATGGGCAAAGATAAGAAGAAGAAGAAGAAGAAGTCGAAGGTCCACAGACACCACGAAATCACTACAGTTGTCAGTCCCACTGCTAAGCCTGCTCGAGCCCGCAAGAATCGCCGAGTCATCCTGGACAGTGACGACGAGGAAGATGAGGCTGAGTGGATCGTACCCGAAGGTCAACGGAAGATGCCCAACCTCGGTCAAGCTGGCGGCTCCGATGATGAGGATGCCGAGGGCGGCGGCGAGTGGATCGGCTCTGATGATTCTGACACAGACGAGGAAGAGATTGACTCTCCGTCTGGAAAGAAGACTAGACCTATTGTACTGAGCAGCTCCGAGGACGAATCCGACTCTGACGATGGGGATGATATTCCCCACAAGGGTGAAAATGGCGAGCTGCCATCGACAAAGATCCGTCACTTGATGAAGATCCTCCACAAAGAGTCAGCAGACTACAAGTTCATCGTATTCTCAGTCTTTACCTCAATGCTCGACAAAATCGAGCCATTTTTGAACAGCGCGAATATTGGATTCGCACGTTACGATGGTCAAATGAGAAATGACCATCGTGAAGCTAGTCTCAATAAGCTGAGAAACAACAGAGGCACCCGAGTTTTGCTTTGCAGTCTACGCGCCGGTGCTCTTGGATTGAATTTGACTGCTGCCAGTCGTGTTGTGATTTTGGAACCGTTTTGGAATCCCGTAAGTTGATTATGCCATTCTATGAAAATCCTTTTTAATTATATTCTAACTGTTACAACCAGTTCGTTGAAGAACAAGCCATCGACCGAGTCCACCGTCTCAACCAGACCGTGGATGTCAAAATTTACAGAATGGTCATCAAGAATTCGGTGGAAGAGCGAATTGTGGCTCTCCAAGATCGCAAGCGAGAGCTAGCGAACATGACCATCGAAGGCAAATCTGCTGCTGGCAAGTTGACTATGAAGGACATGATGGCTCTGTTTGGCCGTGATGCCGAGTCAAAGTACCAAGACAAGCAGGAGACATTGGATTTCAAACAGACAACTCGTCTACTGGCTTCCAATGAGGACTCACCTCCCCCAAAGTCTCTGGTCACATCTAACCCTCGTTACCGAGATCATCGGCAACAGTCTAGTCGACCTGAGGATTCTGTCTACGGGCGACGTTGGTAAATGACGTGATGCGAGAATTGAAATTTGCAAGTGGAATGGATTGATAGATGAGATTTCTGTTTATTTCGGTTTCTTCTTATTTTATTGGCGTTTGTGAATGATGGATACTGGAATGCTCTGCAAATAGCAGCATGCTGGAGCCCTGAAGGGTAGCAGAATTCCTTTACTTGTCCATGTTTTACTTTTTCCATACATATGATGGAAATTTCTAGGTATTTGCTTTTAATTTTCATATTCATATTCAGTGTGTGTATCTTTCTCTCTATTGTGGTTTTTGTCTCTAGTGCAAGGGGAGACCCAAGGTTGGCTCTTCATGGCTCAACTATACTTACTCATGACTCCGGAACCTACGTCCACGAGTGATAATCTAGGAGGCAATTTCGAGTCACAAAACGTCTCTGCCTGGAAGTTCCGGGATGAAACCCCGGTCAAAAGACCTACTATAGCTACGATTATGGTGAGAGACATCGTGCTCACCTGCGGCCCTGGGAGCTATAATATTTGACCAATTTTGGACTTGCAGATCAATATCATCTTTCTATTCAAAGATCTTAGAAACAATAAAGCTCTCCAGGCCTTGGAACAAAGTTTATCATGACAGAGGAAGAGACCCGGATGATCCGCGCAGGGACCACGGAATGAGGCAATATGATACTTGTCTAGACCAGCCACAGACCAGGGGTGGTCCACTTCAGGGCTCCAGTTGAGCCTAGAGCAAGATGTTTCTTTCTCGCAAAGTGGAGGATTATTCCCCACAATCAAGGATACTGAAGCTATGCGCCATATTATCATGGTATGTTGCTTGAAAAAATGGGGTATCCAAAATGGAGAGATACGGTCACCATGATAATCCCAACGATTTCTAATAATAGTATTGTCTCATTGCAGATTTGGCCTTGTCTCAATCTCAATATCTCATTCCTATTGCATAATGCACCTCATTGCTCACCATGTATACACACCTTCCCTACATGTACGAATCAGTCATCAAGATTAGAGGCATGACTTGCTCTTCCTGACGGGACCTGCGGACTCTGCGGACACTGCGGATTCAGCAAGTCGAGGTGAAAGTGGTGTCCGATAGAACCCACGGTTCTATGGCTTTGGTTCAAGGATTGCGACTGTATTGCCGGTGGGAGTCCCTGACGAACCGGACAAAGGAACCGAAAATACACCTTTTGTGGAAGGCTTAGTGATCATTGAAGCGATCTTTTCATAGGCCTCTTTTCAAGGAGAATAGATGAGGAATCCCCTATTGTTTGGTACGAATGAGGCGAGAGATCAAGCCGTATTCTGGGGAAATCATAAACGTTCTGTAGCTTTTCCAACTGCCCTGGAGCTACAGCCGCGGCTTTCTTTGCTCAGTTCCCACCCATCTTAAATATTCTTTTCAGTTATCTTTGACGCCTTCAGTCTCCGATCAACTTGTTCAAATACAAGATATGAGCAAGCTGGAAGCTTAGGTACTTCATCGCACCCTCGAAACTTTCAACTTCAACAGCTGACACATCACTCTAACATAGCATAGACTTTGCTACATCTTATTCTCTGCTTGATTAAACAGAAACATGCACTCACCCGTTCGGCACGGAAATGAAAGTGAATGGAAAGTCATCTACAATGGACAAGACCATCAACACTTGTCCAATGACAGGCAGACTCTAGCACGACCACTTTCCATTCCAAAGTCCATGAGCATCCTATCCGACAAGAAAACAGATCTTTCAACTGTTACCGAGCTAGTCTCTCCAAGACTGAAGCTACCCAAGTTGGGGAATGACACTGTGGAAAGGGTATTCCCAGTTCGCTCTGTTGTCTCCTTCGACTCGACCCCTTCGTCAGCTCTTCAAACGCCTTCCTTGGATAAACTTGAGAGTCCGATCACACCATTTGCAGACTCAGTCCGGGCTAATGGAACGCCCGATGAGAGAACAGGAATGTATTCCAGGAAGTCTATGAGAGATACTGAGTCCCTGCCACGAAGACCGAATTACTTGACTCGCATGCGCCAACAGCCAAGCCTATCCAACATCTCGCCTTCCATCCTGAGGCCCAAAACACATGGTCCAGATTCACGTTCCTTTAATGACAGATCTCCTCACCCATCGAGTGGTAGGTCGAATGAAGACTCCAGTCTATCCGCTCAACTACAGAACACAATACGCGAAAGTGCAGATGTATTGGCAAGGGATGAGTTGACCCAAGGGCTCGGATATTTCTATGAAGATGAAACCAATTTGGTTGTTCAGCCTTTTGGTGCACTGCTTGTTGTTTCGTTCTTGAACGGACCTATCATCGTCCAAGCTGCAAGTAGCAACTCAGGAGAGATTCTGGGCTATTCCCCTGATGATCTGTTCAGTTTGTACTCCATCATGCATATATTGCCAATTTTGGAGTACAAAAAATTCTTCTCTCATATTGGTCGTGTCTCAGATGATGATTATGATGTGCAGTTGTGTGGGCCTGAGGTTTTCTCCCTTTCGATCTCAACGCGACAAGGTGGTACAACGAATTTCTGGTGCACCATGCACACCAGTCGAGTGTATCGAGGCTATATCATCTGCGAACTAGAGCGCGGTACACCTGATATCAATGAAAAACAAGAAGCCTCTGGCTTTGCAGACACTGCGCCAGTCACCGATTATCGAGCCAGGTTTGATGAATCAGAGCTTCTGAACACTCTTCCACGAATCGTACAAAAAATCTCAAGTACCCAAACACTTGAATCTCTTGTTCATCAGACCATGTCGAGTCTGCAACAGTTAACTCTGTTTGAGCGCATAACGATGTACCACTTTGATAGTGATCAGAATGGCATCGTTGTTGCCGATTGGACCGATGCATCACTCGATTTAGAGTCCTGCGAGGGCCTTAAGTTCCCTGAGTCTTCATTCCCAGATGAGATGAAAAAGCAGTATCTCCGAAATGCAGTCTCTTTTGCCTACAGAAAAGACCAAGATTTCGCAGAATTGAGATATCGTGCATCAACCATCAAGATGGGACTGGACTTGTCTCATTGTTATCTCCTAGCATCCCCAGGCTCCTCAGAGGTCAAATCAGATCTCCCTATTCAAGCATGTATATCGATCGGTATTTATGCTTTTGGAAAACTATGGGGACTGGTGTCTTGTCAATCATATGATGAGAACACACGACTTCGACCACTTGTTCAGCGAGCCTGCTGGCTATTGAGCGAAACAATTTCGAGCAACATCGAGCGCTTATCATACACCTTACCATTTCATGCGCAGCCAAATCCATCTAGCAGGGGCAGTGATGTAAAGCCAGAGCTTCAAACACCTTCTGGTGATCTTCTTGGTCTGTTTGGTGCGGATTATGCCGCAGCATCTATTTTGGGAGAGACGAAAATTCTAGGCAAACCACCCGACTCCCAGGAAGCATTAGCCTTACTGGAATATCTTCGTGCCAAAGAGCTAAGCACTGTTCTATGGTCGACAGACATCCTTTCAGACTTCGGGGATCTCGATTACTCCCCCGGTTTCCGCAATATTTCCGGTCTAATATACATCCCGCTTTCAGCAGATGGACAAGACTTCATCGTCTTCTTCCGAAGAGAGATTGGAACGGAGCAAAAGGCACGAAATGTTGAATGCAATCGAGCTGCACCATGGGGTCAGCCTAGCGACGGTGAGAACCTGAAGACTCGTCAGACAGAATGGTCGGCAGCCGAGCTTGGAAAAGCATCGATATTGTCCTTGCTATATCGCACCTTCACTGAGATCTGGCAAGAGAAAGAAGCTACGATGCAAAATAACCAGCTTATGCGCCTTCTCCTTGCTAACTCTGCGCATGAATTCCGCACTCCACTCAACGCTATCATCAACTATCTTGAGATCGCTTTAGATGGAAATATCAACCAAGAAACACGGGATAACTTATCGAGGTCCCACTCGGCGTCGAAGTCGTTGATCTACATTATCAACGATTTGCTTGACCTGACAAACGCAGAGAACGGCCAGAGATTGATTAAAGACGAGGTCTTCAATTTATCTGATACCCTTTGTGAAGCGACAAATATCTTCTGGGAGGAGGCAAGACAGAAACACGTCGATCTCCAGGTTGTGCAGCATGCAGTATTACCTGCAGTTCTTGGCGATCAACGGCGTGTCCGTCAGGTTATTACCAATTTGATAAGTAATGCTGTTCAGCATACATCAACTGGTGCAGTGACTATCGAATCATGCGTTTTACCCGAGTCTTGGGAACCAGATCGCATTTCGGTAGAAGTTGCAATTCACGATACCGGGTCTGGTATGTCTCAAGAGGCAGTGGAGACACTTTTCTGTGAATTGGAGCAAGTCTCAAACAAAGAATACATGCAGAATCCTCCATCCTATAGCGACAAATCAGATCTGTCCGCTTTGGAGACGGAGAGTGTTCTAGGACTGGGTCTTGCCTTGGTGGCAAGGATAGTCCGAAATATGGATGGACAACTTAGTCTCAAGTCTGAAGAGGGAAAGGGTAGTTGTTTCAAGATCCGATTGAAGTTTCCGTTGCCACCTGAGGAAGTTACATCTAGTTTTCCTCAGGCTTGCACTCGTGGAGGCTTGCAGTCTGATGCAGGTGCAGAGGAATATGATTCCCAGAAACCGAATGAGCAAATTCGCCACAGCCAGCAAGCAAGCGGTGGTCAGTATGAGTCGAACCGGGAGATCCAAGAAAAGGACGGAGTTTCTTGTTGCTGCGGTGAGCCCATAATGTCCGAATCTGCCATTGGTAGAATAGATAGTCCTCTCGTGGATGCAGATGTTACTCTTCTGAATGGAGAGTCGCGAAATCTCACGATTCTAGCCTCGGGCACCAAGGTTGAAGACGTGAGTACTACTCAAAGTTGCCACTCGATATGTGCTAATTCTTTTTTTTGGATTACTGCAGAAGGTGCCTTTGAGGTCAAATAAAACCGAACCATTCGTCAAGTCAAAGCCTATCTCTCCAGATGGGGTGGAAACGCCAGAAATTCCAATAAATCAACAACTCCGTGTTCTCATCGCAGAGGATGACCCCATTAATAGCTCAATCGTTCAGAAGCGACTTGAGAAGTTCGGGTATTCTGTTCGCATGACTGGAAATGGCAAGGAGTGTGCATCCGTGTACAACGAAAGTCCGAATTGCTTTGATGTGATTCTCATGGACATTCAGGTATGGATTGTTCCCTCAAAAACGAAGAAATATTTCTAATCATCTCCCTAGATGCCCATAGTAGACGGGTTAAATGCTACGAAGATGATCCGTCAACAAGAATGGCTGCATTCAACAGACCATGATAGGACTCCAGTTTTTGCCGTTTCAGCTTCCCTCGTCGAAAAGGATCGTCAGATCTACATGGATGCCGGTTTTGATGGATGGATCATGAAGCCGGTTGACTTCCAGCGAGTGCACCAACTTCTTGATGGAGTTTTGTCGGTAGAAAGTCGAATCAAGGATGTCTATGAACCTGGAATGTGGGAGCAAGGAGGCTGGTTTGAGTGAGGGAAATTGAGAAATATTAGTATTACAGGAATTTACAGCTTGAAGACTGAGCTTTCAGTAGTAAGAATGTACGCATATTTTTGAAGAATATTTACTATGTCATAACACATTAATAGTACTCGGGCAGACCCAAGCTTGAGAAATCCGGGACATCATCTCCGCACTTAAATGACGGCGAATAAGCCAGGGTTGGCATAAATCCAGCCTTCCAAGCCGCACGATAACTCCATTGTGCTGCTGATTCCGTACGCCAGGTCCAGTAGAACCAGCCCATTGCCGTTTCAAATACAGAAATTTGGGCTTCTGCGTAGTACAGCAGCCACTTCTTGTACGCATCGGAGTAGTCTGATACGTCGGCATTGGCACCGTCACAAGAACAGGTACCTTCACTTGCAGTTGGACAATACTGTGTCGAGGTACTCGTGTCATATGTCCCTTCCCATCGAGTGCCACGGCCGACATTATTAAGATATTTGGCACAATCAGTGTCAGCTTGTGACCACTCACCACAGATTGTGGGTCCCCATCTAGAAAGTAGGTTAGATATTTTGCAATTTAAACAATTGGAAGATATTTGAAGCTGAAGCTTACCCTGAGCCCGTGACATTGATAGCTTCTATCATGGGATACCAGCTATTGCAAATAAGCTCGATCTTCGCTGTGTGATTCAGCACGATCTCGCCAGTATTGAATGTGGTATATTGATGTGTGTCCAGATACATGTTATCTGGGTGCTCACTGTACATAGTGTCCCACTTGTCAAGATTCAAGAACCCATCATGAAAGACAATAGTGCTGTTGAGGCCGTTTTTTCGAGCAATCTCAGTTGTCGAATTTGTCCACTCGAGCACTGCTGCAGCAGACAGATCAAGCATCAGCGGCTCGTTTGCCACACCGTACATTTTCACGATATTCGTGTACCGATCTTGAGCAAAGAATTGCGTCAACTGGTCATGGATTTCCAGAGAACGGTTCGCAAAAAGGTCGCCGTCTGTTCCATTCAGCCAGCGAATTAGCCCTTGGTGACCACTATGCTCCCATCCATTTTGACTTCCTGGGACTCCATGGAGATCGAGATTGACTCGCAGTCCGTACTTGCGGCAATATTCAATTGCACGCAGGAGATATCTCCAGGCGATTTTAGGTACATATGGATCGTTGTCGTAGATTTTAACTGCCCAGTAGGAATATTGAAGGCGCACATGATCAAGACCAGCTTCTGCAATTTCGGCAAAGTCCTGCTCGGTGTAGAAAGTCGCATAATGTTTCTCAATTTCTGTCGCAGCATCGGACCCCAGCTGAGTTGTCAAAGTCCACTCATCTATGATTCCCTCATCTGAAGAGTAAGTATCAAACAAGGACGGTGTAATCCACGGTTCAATGGAAAGCCACCCTCCAATGTTGACACCTCGGATTGGTTGGGAGCCATAAGGGAATGATTCGTTCAATGGTGGAACATTATCATTGGGTCGGGCGGAATCATCCCATGAAGAGTTGAGGCCCATCATGTACAAGCCTCCCACGGTGTCGTTCGTAAACGTGAGGTTGAAGCCAATGGTTTCATACCATGTGAAAGGATCTAGGTATGTTCCCTGTGCCCAGGACTAGAATTCAGACAGTTAGTGGCCATACACAAGCCAAGAATAAGAAGACACTCACGGGAATGCTGTCGCGGCTGATAGTATCCAAATTCGCAGTCAGATTACTAGAACTTGAAGAAGTCGAAGAGCTGGAGCTAGATCTAGAGCCAGAGCTTGTGTCTTTCTTCTGGGACTCAACAACGGCAAGTGGTATAATGATAGCAAGCAGTATGAGGAGACCAGCTGCAGTTCCAAACCATATCCGCTTCCTCCTAGACCATGAGTCCCAAAATTTCCAGAATGGTCGTCTTCCAGCATTATCAAAGCTTCCCTCCCAGCTCTCTTCCTGTTTCCATGTCTCTTCCATGCCCGAGCCACCACCACCCCGGCGTCGAACATTCATGTCTGGTCTTCGACCTTCTTCTAGATAAGAGCCAGAGACAACTCGAGCTCCAGATTTTTGCTTTGAACGTGCTTCCAGAAACTCAGCACCAAGTGCTCCAGCTCCCGCACCAGCTAAGGCAGCTCGTTTCCGTTGACGACGCTCTCTGCGCTCCTCATCCATATTCCTCGAGCGCTCTCTCTCTTGATGTCGTTGCTCCCACTGCTCTGGAAGATCCTCATCCATCTCATGTTCAGAGACGTCTTCAGCAATTCTTTGAGCCAATGCATCAGCCGTCAATAGACCAGAAGCACTATTAGTAGACTCGGTACTTTTATGTTTCCTCGCAGTAGCAGCGGCAGCAGCAGCATCAGCTTCGAGCTCTCTCTCCCTCTCTCTCCGTTGCCTTTCTCGTCGTCTTTGTCTCCTCGCCTCGGCATCGGCGTCACTCTCCCCCTCTCGATTCCGGTGCCGCCGATCCCTCACAGCCTTTGTCGGACTCCCCTCATCCTCCGTAAGCTCCCTCCTCCGCCGATATCCATCCCGATCTCGTTCTCTATCCCTCTTTTTGATAGGTGACGTAGCAGGTGACTCCTTCGCCTTATCCATGGACTCTTCTCTCCGTCTGCGCCTTCGTTCCCTCCTCCTCCTCTCCTCCTCTTCAAACGCAGCATCACTCTCTCTCCTTTCATCCCGCTCATAAGAATCATAACCTGTCTCTTCTCCTCGGAAACGGTACTTCCCTTTGCGACCACTCCCAGGACTCGACGCCTCCCCCTCATCCTCATCATATCGACCACGAATGTACTCGCGCTCACGTTCAACCCGCCTTTCTCCTCGCCTCTCGCGCTCGCGTGTCCGTTCCCGTTGCGATTGTCCGTATCGATCCCGACTTCTCGATTGGTTTGGCATCCCCGATCACCAGTGACCACAGTCACTTCACCCTCCAACCGAACAATAGGTATCGTACACCGGGCGCGACTCTTAGATGTAGATTTTTAGATTGAGAATGCTAGTGCGGGGCGTATCTTTCTCTCGGATCTCGGAATGCTGAGCGCGTGGAAGCTTGGACAGGAGTGGCGTATGCCCCGCGAAACGTGTGAAACAGGTGGAATGTCGGGTGTTTCTTTTTCCCTTGGCTGGGATTGGAATTGGAATTGAAATTCGTGAGCGATTGATTTGTTGTATTATCTAGAGGAATTGGAGAAAGAGGATTGAATATTCCTCCCCTGAGGGTTGATCGTATGGCCGAGCGTGTTTTTCGGGGATTCGGAGTTATTGTTTTGCTTTTGCCTCTTACACGTTAGTGCTAGGATTGCGTGGACGCGCAGCTCGGGGGTAATTCCGCGGACTGGAATTTTGCCGGCTTCAAAAGAGGGACTGATTCGATGTGGTTTTATCGTTCCTCTAGGGTTCTTTATGGATTCTTGGTGGAGTCTGCGATCGATGTTGCGGAGCAACGCGTCAGAGGTGGAGTTCAGGGTCGTGAAGCCCTCCAGGGCTGAGGGTCTTCAACTTGAAGCGATCAGCGTCTAATTTCGAGACCCTACATACAATGGAACGGTTGTTCTGGCGAGAGGTGATTTGATGGATGAAGAAAATAGATATCAAGTTCGTATCTCAGTAATATGTACTAATAGTAGCAGTATAAGAAGGTGATGTATCCATACTAGTAATCGATTATAGAATACTAGTACCCGTAGAAGGCACCTGGGCATTCAGGTTTGGATGAATATATACTCCGTAGTAGTAGACGTTGAGATGCAATACTAGCAGTAGGTATGGTCAGCTGCCCATGTGGTCAAATAGCCATTTACAATCGCACTCATAGTAGCCCTAGAAAGTGATATGAAAAACGTGAAATGTACTACAAGCCCTGGAGTTTATATCATGTAGTAAGTAGATTTTTCTTGGTCTACTACCTACTCCATACAGGATAAGCATATAGTACTCCAGGGCTGGAGGCTTTGCATGTAATATTTCATAAATACCTTACCGTATTGTACTTTTTCTATAGTGGGTGATCTCAAAACCTCACCTCCCACCTGGCAACAGTATACCTATAATATTACGCCAATATGTTCTCCCCGTCATACAGCTTCAATTTTGAAGATAATAATTTAAAATAATTAATTCCAGCTGCTGAGCTTATCAGTAATACGTCCAAAAAATTTTCAGTGAAATATAATCGCTTTTGGTGGTTTCCCAGGCCTTTTTAAAAAAGAATTTCTTAACTATTACTACATCTACATTCTGACACTACATGGGGAATCTAGCACTACATGCGTAAACTAATACTAAATGCGCGAACTAACACTACATTGAGAATCTGGCACTACATGCGCAAACTGACACTACACCCACACAATCTGACAACTGCACCCATAATCTGACATTACACCCAAAATTTGACAGTACCCATATAATCTGGCACTACACCCACACTGACAGAACGTCTTTTCGAACAACTCTGCCTAGGTGATGTTTATTGCCAACAGCACTTGAGCTACCTAGGTAAATTACCTCTATCAAACTTCAATAGCTTCCATGCTATCTAGGGTGAGCTCCTAGTAACTTAAATACATTCTGATCATAATAGACACTACATAGAAATGCCAGTGAGCATCTGACTGGAACTTGAAGTCACAGCTACTACAAACATTGAACTAACATCCACATATATAAAAGAGATTCCATTATTCTGCTCTATCACTTAGATAAAACTTGGGTGCTATTTTCAGTCCTAGTAGTCAGATTATGAGTTCAAGGTTCAATATCATTTACATCCCCCTGTGCCGGGGCACAAATATTAAATACACCCGATTAAGCCATGAACAAGCACCAGTCCGATCTAGTTTAAAGAGAAAGGAAAAATAAGAATAAGACGAGAAAAACAGAATTCGTGTCCATCAATGAAGCAGGGTATGAGAACTCCGAGGGGAATGAACATGATTGTAACATGGCGGAATAAAAAAAAAAAAGCTCGTCGAGACAGCCTTCCCAATCGATCCAATGCAGTCATTTGTACAACTCAAAAAGAAATAGAGAAAATAATCAAGGATGGAAGAAAGAAAACAAAAAAAACAGATTGTCGCTGAGTCAGGGGAATCTAGAAGAATGAAACTGAGGTGGTGCCGCAGGCAACTCGGCCTCCTGCAATCATCAATGCAGGACAAAATGCGGGAGAAAGATCCATTAACAAGGTATAGTTAAGCCAGTAGGCTTCCATGGGCGGCATCTGAGCCAACCGAGCAGACGAAATGAGTAATAAGAAGCGTCTGGAAGACTTTTATCTCCTTGATTGATGCAAAGTCAGTAGCATACGCTACAGGCATGAGTATTGGAGGTACTTGATAGAGAGGGCGATGCAGCGTAGGCAATTTCCATCAAAGCCGCTACTTGAAAGTACGTCGATGGTAGGAATTCCCCAGCAGAGAACGACCCTCCTTAGCTGCTGATAATCTGGCGAGCCCCTTCCTTGCCCAGAACACCGGGCTCTGTAGGCTTGGGGCTGCGATCGCGGCCTTTTTTGCGACTGAGGAAGGAGAGCATTCCGCTATTGGAACCCTTTCCTTTACCTGGGTCACCCTCGAGGCCTTCTGCCGGAAGAGTATGGCTATGGTTGGCGAGTTCGCTCCAACTACCAGCCTCTTCCAACACCATTTGTACACCTCCTCCTTTGCTCATCTTGCGTGTGGCGCCGCGGGGTCGAGGGGTAGGGGGCAATGGGCGATGGAAAGAGGGATGTTGAGGTGGAGGAGAAGCAGATGCGCGGGTAGAGGGAGAAGGAGGTTGCCCAATAGATGCAGAGTCGTTCGGGTCAAGGTTTTCACTGATCGTTGGTGTCACGTCGGTCGGCAATCTTTGAACGGTGGGCTCGGTGATTGGTGAGTTGCGAAGGCTTGATTCAGGCTGGGAGAATTGTCGGATGTGAGAATTCATGACAGGAGGGGCATTGGTTGATGTATTATTGGCATTAGGGAGACAGTCCTCGGGATTCCTAGGATATGTTAGTCGAATATTCGAGGGGTCAATACCAGAGAAAGGTTCACGCACGTTGATGCAGCAATGGCATCTGCAGCGCTGCCTTGGTAATTAACAGTCGTGTAGTCGAATGGCTCAAACATGGTCTCGATAAGACGATGAAGTTCATCCTCTCGGATTTCCTTGGCCGTGGCATCGTCACGCAGTTCTGCGCGTGGCTTTTGGCGACGGGCTCGAGCCTCCAGCGGTGCCTCCTCCAAGAGTAGTTCCTCTAGATCGTAGGTGGCGTCGAAGTTCGTCTTATCGCTAGAAGGACGGAACACGGGTGGAATTTCCTTGCGTTCGAGAGCTTCAAAGTCGATCTCAGCGAAGAATTGATGTGAAATAAAGCTCTCCCAGCTGATCGCGCCGATTCGACGGCTCCGGTCGCGTTCCATCAAAGCCCCCAAAGCGCGCAGACAGGGGACCGAAACTGCCGGGTTGGTGACATAGTATTTCGGCTGTGCTTTTTTGATGTTTTCACTCAAGGTGTCCTGGCTGCGACCTTCAAATGGGCGCTGAGAATAAAGTTAGCGTCACAATTGGCTGGCTAAGCGGTAACTCTTCACATACCTTGTTGTAAATACATTCGTAGAATGTAACTCCCAAAGACCACCAATCCACTTCGAAAAAGTACCCACCACCCTCGTACACCTCGGGTGCCAGGTACGCTAATGTTCCCGATTTGCTCGTGAGAGGTTTGCCCGGTCGAAAGTCTGAGGCCACATTCTAGATTCTTCATTAGTTGATGAACTGCATAATGTATTGTCAAGGGTGTGTCACGTACGAAATCTGCCAAGTGAACATGGCCTTCTGAATCCAACAACACGTTATCTGGCTTTAGATCACGATGGATGATACCCTGGGAATGAATGTATTTCAAAGCACAACCAAGCTCGGCCATCCAAAAGCGTACAGCTTCCTCGGTAAAGCACTTGCGGGAGATATGGAAACGGAGATCGCCGCCATTCATGAGATCGACAACGATGTAACTGGAAGGAGTCAATTACCTGGACCTTCTGAACACCAATGACCAAGAACTTACATGTATTCCATGTCCTGGAAACTATAGCGCAAATTACAGAGGAATGGATGGTTCAGATGTTCCAACATTCTCCGTTCACGAATAATATTCCGTACACTCTCCGAACGAACCACTAACGTGGGATTAGCAACGTGTCTTGCGCCATGCAGTATAGAAATTGACGTACCCTCTTCCTTCCGAATGTATTTCAAGGCGAAAGTAAGGGCTGTATCTTTCCGCTCAACAATGCGAACCTTGCCGAAGGCACCCTTTCCAACCACGCGAAGGAGGCGAAAGTGGTTAAGGTTGACTAGCGGAAGTTAGTACGCTGTTTGGCTGATGGATACGACTCCCACAATTTAAAAAGTTTCAAAATTTTTTTATGAATGATCCGATATTATCACATACCTGCATCACTGCAAACAACGGGTTTTCCCTGAGTATTTCCCATTCTGGCGGAAGTGAACGATGTGGATGATTAAGACTATAATCTTTCCAACAACATTACACTGATCTGAGAAACCTCGGATTGCAAAGATTGGGGGAAAAGTTGTGTCCGTTAAACAGTCAACGGAAGGTCAGGAGAGATATTTGTATGTGGAAAGCTCAGAGCATGTAGTCCATGAGAAATGATGAAATGCGGCAGAATCGCGGAGCGGGGTGTTGCAATGGAACGCGGTGGGCGAAGACAATCGGGTGGCAGCAGCACGGTAGGAAATTGTGAGGATCGTATTCAAGAAGAATTGCGGGTCATAGAGTGGAAAAGAGTCCAAAATATTGAGAAAGATGTATCTCGTAGCAGGGGTTAAGTATACTCCCTCTGCGTAGAAAAATCGGGGACTAGAGTAAATCGGGGGGAGGCTAAAGCAGCCAGACGAGCCCAAAGCGCTCGGGAAGAGGAAATGAACCCTAGAAGATCAAACTGAAACAAATGTCTTGCAGACTCTTTGAACAAAAGAGTTAGACGTGTTCTGGAAGGATGTCGTTTTTCTTCCAAAGAAAGGGGAGAGAAGAGGGTGAGCGGTCAAAGAGTGGCAGTATAAGAGGATGGAACCAATCAAACTCTTTAATGGAGAAAGGGGGACTTGCATGATCGACGTTGAACTTCTTAATCTTTAATGAGAAGAGCGAGAGACTCATTCAATCATAGATTGTTAATTGGGGTGATGCTTTTTTTAATCTTTATCTCTTTGATCCCTTCTCTCCTTACTTCACTAGTAAATTTGATCTCTATATAGATCTATCACTATATCGAATAATTCTACATCCTACAGGAATGAACGCCCTTATGAACAGAGAGTCATGGCGGGACCCACGGGACGGGAAAAAGGATACGAGTACTATGAAAGACAAAGAAAAAAAAGAAATATCATTCAAGCATTCAATTGATAAAACTCCCGGTTGGATATGACATCAGATTGAGAATTATCAATATGAAATGTCTCTATGCGAATTCTTCTTAGGAATCTAGATCTATTAGAGAAACAGGGGCATCGGCTCTTTCAACCAGACTGGCCTTCGTCCGCTGCAGAATCCCTTTCGTCTCCGAAACTCCGTGCCACTCTGACCTGTCAGATCCGGACCCTTCCCCTCCTGATGTTCATATTTTTTGCATGGATATGGAATTGGGGTCCGTCTCAAGTCGATTTGTTGGATGAATTCAGACAAATAAGATTCCAACTGATCAGTCCCCCCTTTAATGGAAACGGACAGGGAACCATGTATGGGGGGCATTGCTCAGCACATCTCATCTTGAAGCTACGCGAATCAAGACTGGTAGTCGCCACGTTATTGACCGCCCTTATTGAGATGCAGGTCTCGGCTCTGTCCGTCGCACAGGAACGGCCGTAGAACACCTGCAGAACATTCGAAGATGACCTATCAATTGTCCTCAATCTCCACCAAGAGAGACCGCCCCCAAGCTATACGAAATAACTGCAGGGATATCACTGGATAGGTCTGATTATGATGGTAGATCAGTGGTGAAACTTCTCGGAATCGAGCATCAACCTGTCTTGATGGAAGATGCCCAACTCGCCGTCCGGAGTAGAAGTCAAAGAGAGAAAATCTCACTTGGCTCACTTGGCAAGTGCTGATTAGGTTATGAGGCCGGTCGCTCTTTGACCCACCCTGGACAGGGAATCTGTCGCATCCTGGTCGCGTGGGCGTTTCAGCTGCAAGATGACAAAGATGGAGCCTAAGCTGAAACGGGCGGACTCTGACTTTGCTTCAGGGGGATTATCTTCTGCAAAAGTTCCAAGAATGATCTCTATTTTATACTCCGTCGGATTTACTCTGCCCGAGCATTTGAAGATCTATCATGGATCTGATATGTTGGTTAGGTTACTATATTATTCAAGTTACTAATAGTGGCATGGGTGTAGAAGCCAACACCAGTTGACACAGGCAGTTTCAAACGCCAGGTGGGGTGTACTAGTACTAGTAAGTGCCGGCTTAAGACCGCTAGTCTATCTAATCATGCATGTGGCAAGATCCATATGAGACAAGCATGGAGCTAGAGAAGAATAATAGATATTAGAGCGAGTAAAACTTCAACTTGGAACATCTGGTCTCGTCTGGTCTCGGACGTTTACCGGTAGTAGCTACTAGTACCTCCCTGGATCAAGACCTAGATCGGGGCCATGATCTTTAGACCATGTCGGACGTTATGTCTCCAAGACTGGCTGTGATCAGTCCAATCCATACTCTTTGATCGTATAATCATGCCAGTTCAAGTTGTAATAGTTTGATCGCTTTCAATTCGGGAATTCCGATTGGCTCAAATTGGAATAGATGTAGAGCTGCCTGGATGAAGAAGCAAAGTCATCGACTCACCGGTTTTTCGTATCGGGCACTTTGACGTAGATTTAATCTAGTCCAGATATGCTAGGGTTCATCCTAGTCTACGATGGAAACTTGAAGGGGATTCCTGGCGTCCACGGGGAATAGCCCTCAAGTGCTAGATCAATCGAGATGGGCTGAGGAGGATGTAGAAACACTACTCTAGAACCGTTGTATATGGTTTCTTTGTGCCGAAGATACAAATCACTGAGTTGTGAGAACATACACCATCTGTACTAGACTTGTATCGATTAAAATAGTATGAGAATTGATACTTCCCAGATGTCTGGTGCCCAGGTGGTGATGAGGGAGTCCAAGTCACGGGAGTCTTGCACCTGCCTCCAGTTACTTCGTTACTTCCAAATTTGGAATCCATGCACATCTGGGCCTGTATTAGAACTTCCCTTCATCATCTCGCCCCATTCGTTTCCAATTCATCTCCAGCTGAGTACGTAACCATAATCTTCGCTCCCAATTCCTTCCAATATGGAAGGTCGTGGACAGATGCACCTAGATGTCTCATCGTTCACCATGCGTCCCCCAAATCTACTCGGCCAACCATCCCGGAAACAATCGGGTTCCGAAGCATCACGGTTGACGCAGCATCCAGCGGGCCCCAGTATTGATCTCAATTCTTTTTCTTTTGCCAAGCGAGTCCATCGTCAGCAAGCTTTTGCATCTCGAAATCCGGCCAAGCAAACTCCCCTCAACCCGGACACAGGGGGTTCATTTTCTCGGGCTGCTCAAAAAGTGCCAATGAGAGATGACGATCCATCGTTTACGCAAGCAAGGTGAGATGAGATGCACTCATCCCTGGGCAGCCCAAAGACTGATCCTTCTATTCTTCTCAGCGCGCTTGAACCATCTGTGGAGCTAGACTCACAGCTACCTGAAACACGTATTTCCTGCAAACTTATGCCTTCTTTGCCCGAGAAAGTTTCCTTGACGACATCAGCCTCCAGTCATGCAGAACCGTCTCATCTGGAGACTCAGCTTATGGACCGAACATTGAGCCAGTCTCCGCAGCCGGTAGAGGAACATAATAGTGAGCCTTCCAAACCGAGGAATGAGACTATCTCGACGGTGTGTTCAAGTCAAAATGATGAAGGCGTGGTATGTTTTCGAGATAATATTATTATTGACAACCGCTGATGATGTGAAAGCCAATTTCGTCCCGCCCTGGTTCATCGGAGTCGATTCAGGCCCAGGACCAAATGACAGACGCAGGCAAACCGACCCATCCAGGGCTTCTCAATTTACCGCGGCTAAAACTTGATGGTCAAAGTTCAGCACGCTCGACCCAGGTTCGAAAAAGCAAGCCTCTTCGACGACAGAATGCCAATTCCATGAGACCTGGACCTCAGAATCTCACGGAAGACAAACTCTTCGAGCTTCTTATTGGTAGAATGAGACAGCGTGAGGAGAGCGAGGCTGCTGCTGCTTGTATGCAGCGTGAGATTGAGGCTCAAAATGTTCAGTTGACAAAGCAGAATCAAGAGCTACAACAAAAGGTACAATTTTTCAACAAGCGCCTGCATGAGAGCGATGCTGAATGCCAAGCAAATCGTTCGCTGTTGGGCGAATGGAAAGCAAAAATCCGCAACTTCAAGCAAGTTGTCAATGAATTGGGGCATGGGTACGACTCCCTTGGAGATGAAGCGCAGAAGTTGAAAGACACTGTAATTTCCCTTGAGAAAGAGAAGAGTGATCTCACAGAAGTCGTCAACCAAATCAAGATGCGCATTGCTCAAGCGGAAGGAACTATTGAAGTGCAGCAGAACAACAGACATGAGAGTGAAAAACAGATCATGATGTTGGAACAGTATTTGCATGGCTCGAAAAAGAGAGAAGAAGTGGCGCAAAAGCAATTGACCGACCAGAAAACCAGAATAGCTACCTTGGAATCTTACATTCAAAATTGTGCTTCTGTCCAAGCTAGGCAGCTTGGTCTGATCAAAGAAGGCCAGCAAGGCTTACTTGAGAAGTTGACAGCTAGGATCACCACTATGACTGATGACTCTGTCAATGCAAAAGATACTCTGCTCCTGGCAATCAAAAGTGGATTTGAGGATTGGCATTCATCAATGCAGTCCTTAGCCGAAAAGTCCTCGGCAGAACAGGCAAATGTCGCGAGGTTTACCCAGAAGGCGCAGGATATCGTTTCTCAGTAAGCTCAACCGTTGTAACCCCGGTCTTAACCATGTAAGCTAACCATGAATTTCAGAATTGATACTTTGGCGACCCAATTCACTCAAAACATCGAGGGAAGCATCAGAATAAACAACGGCGTGTCAAAAACGCTCCAAAAAAGGTTTCAAGAGATTCAACATCACCTTGGCTCCGAGTCACCAATGATGAAGCGTCTTGATCATTGCGATGCCGCATACGAAGCTTTGAAGAACAAGCTTGATGTTATTCAGCCGGCACTCGGGACCCTGAGCAATTCCGTTCACACTTTCACTAGTACTGAGAATATGCTCGTTCACGATCTGGAAAGCTTGAGCAAGAAGCTTGAAGAGGTCCAAATCCCAGCAGGCAATCCAGCACTGGAATTGGAGGTCGCCAAAAAGTTTACTGAAAATACCGAGTTGCAAGTCAAGGTCCATGAGAGAAATTCAAAGATTGAGACTCTCAATGAATGTTTGAGTTCGAACAAGACGCTGATTGAAGATCTACAACAATCTTTGTCTGCAGCAGCCGAGAAACAGCATGAAACCGAAAACCAAAACAAACGATTGTCGACCGAAAAGACAAAAATGCAACTTGAAATGGAATCAAGCGAGCAGAGAATTCGCCAAGAACTTGACAAGCAGAGTCACGAGTCGCTGAATCGGATGAAAATGGAACATGAGGCACATCTCCGGGTTCTTCAAAACGAAAAGAATGATGTCGAAAGAAGCGCTGGAGAGCTTGTCACCCAACTTCAGTCCATTCAAAAATCCTTGGTTGGTCTTAATCATATCGGGCGAAAGGATACACTGGCTGATATCATATAGGTTGAAGCAAAGGAGCTCGTTAACAAACACAGCCATGAGCGAGAAGTTTCAGTACGTATTTCAGTCTCCCAAACTCATTGGTTTTACTAAGCCCAGCAGCTACAGGGGAAAGAGAAACGAATCGGAGAGCTCGAAAAGAGTTGTACAGATGCACTCACTCAGCTAACGATCCAGACTGAAGAGATCCAAAAGTTCCAAGAGTTGGATGCGACCTCTCGTGTTGAGAACAGTGATCTTCGCGATCGACTGGAGCACGCTCAACAAAAGATCCATGATCTTGAACAAAAGCTGACAGAGACTGGGACAGAGACGGAGAATGCAGCAGTATCGCGCACTGCAGGAATAGTACCGTTCGCCGCAATCCAAAACCAGTTATTGTCGCGGCCGAATACACCACTATATGGCGAATCGTGTGACTTCACGATGCTCTTCATGTCAGATGAACTAGCTCCATCAACGCCGCTTCACACATTTACCAACCCAAAAGCGTCACTCAAGAGCGTTGAAAATTTCGTCGACGAAACTAGCAACAAACCACGTGCCCTCAAAAACAAAGATACGGCAGTTGCTGGCTCGGAGAAATTGTCTCAGTCTTCCAAGGGCAAGAAACGCAAAGCCGTCAACTTTGAGACCGCGAAGACTGGACGCCAAGCAAAGAAGCCCACCAAGACACAGCCAAGTGGCAGTCAAGCTCAGGCGAGTGGTAACCTTGCTCAGCCAGCTAGCAGTAAAATGGAGGAAAGTCAAGAAGGACGTCCAGCCAAGCTATCCAAGCAAGTCCAAAAATGGACTTACAGCCGCGTTCGTAGCTCTGCTACTCAAATCCAACAGGAGGAAACTAGAGTTCCTTTTCATGCGCTCGCAGCTGGGCGACGACCAAGCCCACAGGGCCTGATATCTGCGAATACTTCGGAAGTCGTCACCCGTCCAAAGGCTCAGAGTCGGAGCCGACGCCGCACCCGAAGTATGCTTCCAACAGTTTCTTTTTTTCTTTTTCTTTACTAAGTCTGTCTGACTGACAATCGATAGGCGAAAAATACGATGCGCGTTTTAAGAATGAGTGAGCTTCTTTGCGACTGCTACCTTGGCGGATGAAGGCACCGGAGCGCGCTCGATGGTGCATTCGAGGGAGCGAACCTCATATTGGATGCTGGAGGAATAGTTTTTAAACATGTAGGCACTATGTATGTGTTAAAGGTTAACATGTTCATTAATCTTTGCAGTTCGCCAGCTTTTTCCAGGCTATTTGGTTATTCGTTCAATCTTTTTCCCACGAACTGCCCTCATACTACCTCTTATTGATCCACTCACCTGCGCAGTCGCCTTCAAATTTGAGTTCGAATATTGAGTTGTATATTAACCCCAAAATGACAAGCTCGAGATCTGATGGAATAAGAATTTTTATTTTCAGTTCAGTACCCAAAGCTGTAATGCTCTTAAACGCCAGACACAATGCTCCGTCAAAAAGGAGTAAACAAGAAACAGAACCTGACAGGCGAATTGTGTCACAGTATCGCCCAACTGCCAGAATTCCTGGATATAATGTACACACAAATGTTACAAGCCTCCGCATTTCATCACGACCATCGATTGCAAGCTTGTATTCCAAATTGACAACGCATTCCGTGGATATAATTGGTCCCAGGGAGCAGGATTCGAGGACATTATATGGTCGGAGGAGAGGATAAAGAATATGGGAGAGGTCGTCTAGCGATCCCCATATCGAATCGAATTGTCGTCGAAGGAACCCGGGGAAATGAAGATAAGCCGGATAAATCGGGACGCAAGTGGAGTATCAATTATCGAGATAGAAACAGTCGGAAAGCGAGAGTCGAGATTTAATAGATTTATTTCGCCTTTCCACCCTTGGTCGCTTCAAGGAAAAGCACCGTCTTCTTCACGACGGGGTCGTACTTCAGCATGCTAAGCGGACGGTGGACACGAGGCCGGATCATTGTGCGGTAGTAGCCCGTCATGGCCATCGAGATGAGGCGCACAGCGATAGTGCGTGACTTGGCTATAGAGAAATGGCACAATTAGCGGTCTATTGGCAAGTAATGCTTTGCAAGTTGTTTTCTGTTGAAGGTCTTGCGATCTCGACTTTAATCAGTGCAGACGGTCATTGAAGATTTGGTCCCCTGCATTGGACTCGAATTGATTGAATTGGCATGTCGCTTACATTTCTTGGCCATTTTGCTCGACGTCCCAAGGTGATTTTGGTCGTTGTTCGATAGGGTGGGAATTCGAGGCGCGGAGTTGGGCAAAATCACCGCGTGCACGTGATATGATTAGTCATGCAAATGAGACCGCCGCCCGGCGGTGGTGCTATCCATATTGACCAGTTGACAGGCAAAGACTGACTACGAAGTATATCAATCTCGGTTATTCGATATACAGTGCTCCAGGGCTGATTCGATTTTGCAAGTGCAAATTTACAATTTGTATTCGTTCAATTAAAAGTTTCTAGTTCAGACGAAAAGATAACCGGCCGTAACACAAAAACTCCCTTTGTCCACTACTAGGACTTATTTGTCTAACCTTGATGCGACCGGATTCCAGACTTTTAAGAATTTTCGGGCTTTAAGTACCGCACATTCGCTCCTCTCTTCCAAATCATTGCCACTGCCAATATTTGTGCTGCAGCGAATGCCCCAGCTAATTTCATCTGCATACTGTACGCCATCGCAAAGACTTCTCGAATGTATACCTGGCTCTCTGGTGATAACTGCTTGATGGACTCAGTTGTCTGTTGAAGTTCAGCAAGTGCCTGGGGTGATATATGACTTGCCAAGCGGCTTGTCAAGTAATGATTCAGAATGGTCGTGGAAGCTGCGATACCCAAGACACCACCAAGGGTTCTAAACTGAATTCCAATGCCAATAGCAGCGGCATGGTCCTCTCCTTCGACCACAAGGGGCGCTGCCATGTAGAATGCAGCTATGCTCAACCCAACTCCCAAGCCGGCAAGGACCAAATATCCGAACTGTCCTGTCCAGATGTGTGACGCACCAGCAATTCCTGAGAATAGGAACATGCCACTAACCTCACACGCAATGCCGGCCAAAATAATATAAACAAATGGAATGGCGAAGCGACCCGCTAAGACAGAGCATGCGATTATTCCCACTGGGCAACTCACCGAAAAGGACAATAGTTTTACGCCCGCGCCGAGTGGCGAGCTTCCATTGACAACTTGAAATCGTTGCGGAATCTCAATAATGCAGACAAATAAAGGTAGACCTGATGTTAAAAAGCCACTGGAATCATCGTTAGCTCGTTTGACAAATAAGCATCAACAGAAGGACAACACATACAAAGCAACACCCATGAACACTCGATGTTTCATCAGCCACCAAGGAAAGACCGGTGTGATAGCAGACTTCTTGGTGCAGGTAAGCCGCTCCCACCATACAAAGGCTATAATTGCGATGCCTGAAATGACAAAGAAGCTGATGACCAGGCTTGAGCCCCACGCATATTGCGAGTTACCTTCCTGCAAAGCGGCGATAATGAAGGAGCATGAGGTCAGGATCAATGCGGCACCAATGAAGTCTATCCTCGAGAATGATCTTGCATCAATCCAAGGGCCCTTTGGTTCTGACGGGTCTGGAGGTGCATCAGGGAAATGGCTCGGGATTGCGGCAAAGATCAGACCCCACGCTACGACGCCGACTGGAATACTATCACAATATTAGTTCGGTTGGATTCATCTGATTTCAGAAAACCTTACTTGTATAGGAAAATCCAACGCCAACTGCCATTGTTTGCAATAATGCCCCCAAGTAGAGGACCCAGAACTAGTCCGAGAGAGGAAATTCCACCGGCGAACGAGCTAGCCCTGTCAAAATGCCTGTATGGGAAAACTCTTACGAATGCATAGAGATTAAGAGAGTAGACTCCGGATCCACCGAGTCCCTGAAAGGCTCGACATATGATTCTGGTAATTTTGTCAGTCAATGCATTCTGGTCACAGATGTGGGGAAACATACAGCTGGCTGAGGTCATTGGAGGCAGCACATCCACCAGAAAACACAACAAAAAGAAAAAGTGCTCCCAGAACGGCCTTTTTCACCCCAATGATTGAGCTGCAATTTGACCAGATGATCAAAAACCCTATTATACACTACATTAGCTCTGCATGAATGCCCGAGTCTGAAAAGAAAATGGAATAACGGACCCGTATAGGTGAGTAGGTAGGCAGTAATGACCCAGCTACTTTGACCAGAGCCATCAAGATCATTCGTAATCGTAACCAATGATGTGCTAACAATCGTTGCTTCAATGCAGGTCAAAAATAACGCCAAGGCAAGCCTGTGAATGAGTTCCAGTTAGCTTGAATATCCGTCCCCGGGGGCCGGCCCCTATCATGACTCGGGGAACTATTTTGGGTACCTTACCCTATTGCCCCAAGATATAAGCGGAATCCATTGAGTGCACCCCCCCAGTCATTGTTCCGCTGAAGCGAACCTGAAGAACTTGAATCTTCAGCTTTCAGCTCCATTGACTCGACTTGATCCATCTTAGAAAGGCGCGCCTTGTGACTGGATTTCTCAAACGGAGAAATTTTCACTCGGTTGGAAGAAATCCAAGCGCCACAAAAGTCGTACAGGGGGTTGATCTCTGTAGAATTCATCACGGGGCATTTGAGCTGGTCTTCTGTGATAGATATTATGTGAGGAACTGGTGGCCTGGTCTCCACTTCTGTTTAGACGTACTCCGTACATATACATGAGGGGTAAATTCAAATGTTGCTCTTGGCTATGTCGCAGCCTCATGCAGGTTAATCAATTATTGAAGGGATCAACATGATTCTGAGTCCATTCTGCATGTGAGTGGTGGATTAATGACAATTTGTATTCATATCTTTAGAAAGATGCAATGTACATGTGTTTTGCTGGCCTCGGTTATACCTACAGATAATAGCGTGAAACTAAAGGAATAAGCGAGCTACACTGGACGAGATATTTATTGAAAATGGCGTCCTAACGGGATAATTGACAAGGATAATGCAGGGATTCATAATCCGTGAATATTGGACGTATTGGGTGCTTACACGTGTTTTATGCAGACTGTCAAGACTCAGGAACACCAACGGAGTACGCATAGACACCGATGCATACTAAAGATGCCTGATGAACAACCATGACACCGGCCGAGATAGCTTCGTATTCCGGTGAGTCCTGTGGAGTAAATCTCAATATGGGTCGCTTTTCCTGCGTTTGCCATAATGAATCGAGAATAGTGGATCTTATTTGTAAAGATGAATCGCATTGAATGTCCTCGAGCCCAATTGCTCATTGGTAGTATACTAATATGATGGAGACACTAGTATAGATTCATTGGGAGGACCCAGCGCGGGATATGTGATTAGTAGTTTGCCGGAGGATCTCGGGGCCATTCATCAAGGAACTTGCATGAACTATGAACGCCTCATGTTGTTAATATGCAGGATTTTGACCAAGGGGGTCCGAGTTGAGAAGAACATTATCAGGCCACCCGAAGAAACTTGAACTGACTTTGAGCCTAGTGGAGGAGATCGGCTAAGTTTTGATGACAGGAGTTTCTCGATTAACAAGAACTTCGGTTCTTTTGTTTCGTGCGACCCGCTCCAGGTAGCGCCTTTTTGTACAGATCAACTCTGTGTTTAGGCCTGTGATGGGTGGAGAGACGGTAGATCCGCCCCACACTATCCATATGGATCAATCTGATTCAAGCCCCCCCATCAATAAATGTACCACCATGGAGCCCAATCACGATATGACATAATTGATCAGGCGTATTGCCTAAATTTAAACACAAGGCACACCACTGATGGTTCGAACGGGAAATATCACCACGGGGCTCGTGAGAGTTACTGTATCAGTACTCCGTAGTGAAACTTGACATGGAAGGTTTTGACACGCAATGTGGAGCTCAGGCTGGTCCCAGGCCTGTTGAAGGACACATGAAATCTTATCCCGAGGCTAGAGGATTAGGGGATGATAGAGCAGCTCGTTTATTTTGCGGGCTAATGGATACTAGTAGTGGTGGAATATAAGGCTCGCATAGAGTAGGTATTGAGGCCTGTTGGGACACAATATTCAATTTATATGCACTGGAAGTCCGATTATTTAGATCAATTCTTCCAGAATTTCCACACTTCACCTGTTTGAGAGATTCTTCTTCAATTCAGAATACATTCAATCATTGGACAAATCAAATTCATCAGTTCTTTTTTCATCCCAATCCTTATCTGTCAGTGGTCTTCTGTTGACTCGGAAACGATCATCATGGTTACATTTATTGCTGATGTGAATGGCTCATCAGCTCATGCACCCATTGAAACCAGCACCATTAATGATTCCAATTCATCTGATATCATTTTGAATGCACGACATGTCCCTCCATCGATGCCCATAGCCATATGCGGCATGTCAGTGCGCCTGCCAGGCGGTATACACTCTCCACAACAACTATGGGAGTTTTTGCTAGCCAAACGAGATGCTCGTGGGCCGATTCCCAAATCTCGATATAATGCATCTGCATATTTCTCCGATGCGGCTAAGCCTGGTAGCATCAGGACAGAGCATGGCTATTTTCTTGACGATAGTATTGATATCGCCACTGTTGATACATCATTTTTCAACATGGGCAAGGCAGAGGTGGAGAAAATGGATCCTCATCAAAGACAGATGCTAGAAGTGGCACGAGAATGTATGGAAGATGCAGGGATGACCAATTATAGAGGAAAAGCGATCGGCTGCTATATGGGTAGTTTTGGCGAAGATTGGGTGGAAGCCTTCGCAAAAGAGAATCAACAATATGGGCTCCACCGTGTAAGTGGATATGGAGACTTTGTGTTAGCAAACCGCGTATCATACGAATTGGATTTGATGGGACCAAGGTTAGTGAGAAATAACACAGTATTTTCTTATCCGAAATTTGCTGATAGATATTCAGCATCACTATTCGAACTGCGTGTTCTGCATCGCTGGTCGCTCTTAATGAAGCATGTTCGGCAATTACGAAAGGCGATTGCGAAGGGGCTATTGTTGGAGGTGCCAATCTGATAATGGGCCCTGGAATGACAGCTGCCATGTCGGAGCAAGGGGTTCTTTCACCCGACGGATGCTGCAAGTCATTTTCAGCCGATGCAAATGGATATGCTCGAGGTGAAGCAATTTCAGCAATTTTCATCAAACCCCTTGACGACGCTATACGTGACGGTAATACAGTCAGAGCTGTAATCAGAGCGACTGCGACAAATAGTGATGGGAGAGGTACGGGAGGCATGCAAGTTCCAGATGCGCTTGCCCAGGAGAAATTGATCAGACACGCATATCAGTCTGCGGGTATTACCGATTTATCCCAGACCGCGTATGTGGAATGTCACGGCACAGGTACACCAGTTGGAGATCCGATCGAAGCAACCGCAGTCGGTCGTGTATTTGGGCCACATGGTGGGATTCAAATAGGCTCAGTCAAATCCAATCTGGGCCATTCAGAGGGTGCATCTGGCCTGACATCTGTGATAAAGTCGGTGCTCGCCTTGGAGAATCGCATCATACCTCCGTCTCTCCATCTTGGTCGGCCCAACCCAGCCATACCTTGGGACTCATATCAGCTTTCAGTTCCAACAGAAGCAGTATCATGGCCAAAATCACGGTGCGAGCGAATCAGTGTCAACTCCTTCGGAATTGGAGGAAGCAATGCTCACGTTGTTCTTGACTCGGCGAGAAGTTTTGGACTATCGCCAGTTCCAATGCGTCCAACCACAACACCACAGCTTCTTTTATACTCTGCTACCAGCGCCGAGTCATTGAAGAAAATAATCTCAAATTATGGTGATTTTGTTCTGAAGAACCCAGACCGAGTCAGTGACCTTGCGTTCACTTTAGCGAATAAGCGAGAGCATCTGCCTCATCGCGCCTACGCCGTGGTAGATCTCTTTGGTGGAGTTACGTCTTCATTGACATTCAAAACCAATGCAGTACCCAATATTGCCATGGTATTCACGGGTCAAGGCGCCCAATGGGCGGAAATGGGCCGATGCATGTTTTGCTGTGATACCTTCCCGGCCTTCACGGAAACAATTCGATCTCTCGATCTGCATCTGCAAACACTGTCTCATGCTCCAACATTGACTATTGAAGATGAGATCAAGAAGCCAACGAAATTGAGTAGCCTCAACTCTGCAGAGATATCTCAGCCTCTTTGCACTGCCATCCAAATCGCATTGGTTGATACTCTTGCTTCAATCGGAGTTTCGCCGACCGCAGTTATAGGCCATTCAAGTGGTGAAATTGCTGCCGCTTATGCGGCTGGTGCAATTGAAAGGGATCAGGCAATACAACTTGCATTCTACCGTGGCTATGTGACCAAGTTACAAACCAGGCATGGATCTATGGCAGCTATAGGGATGGGTTCAAAAGAGGTCCAAGGATATCTCCAACCGGGTTTAGTTATCGCATGCGAAAACTCGCCTAGGAGTGTGACTCTCTCTGGTGAAACTGAGGCTGTTGAGACTGCCATTTCGCGAATAAAAACAGATCACCCTGGCGTACTTGCAAGGTTACTCAGAGTTGACAAAGCGTACCATTCCCATCACATGGCAGAGATTGGTAGCTCATATCATGCGCTCATTCAAAGCATCTCTGCTAAGGCTCCTCAAATACTGTTCTTCAGCAGTGTTGAAGACGGCAAGCTTATCAGAGACGCGAGCCTTGGCCCAGACTACTGGCAAAAGAATTTGGAGTCGCCAGTGCTCTTCCGCTCTGCTGTGTTGTCTCTTCTCCGTCATGAAATCTCGAGGAACATGGTATTTTTGGAAATTGGGCCTCACTCTGCGCTCGAAGGGCCATTACGACAGATTCAATCCGAGACTTCGAACACATCTCCATATTCGTCCACATTAATTCGAAATAAGAATGATGTCGAGTCATTGCTAGGGACCATTGGGAAATTGCATTCTCTTAAATATCCCATTGACCTGCAAAAAGTGATCCCTAGTGGCTCAACTCTTCCCAACCTTCCAAGATACCCATGGGATCACTCGAAGAGATATTGGTACGAATCGAGACTCACCAAGGAATGGAGGCATCCAGCCCACCCACATCACAATCTTTTGGGCCGTCGTACCGCCGAGAGTACTGATTTTGATGTATCCTTTCGAAATTTGTTTCACATGGACAATGCACCCTGGATGCGCGATCATAAGATCGGCACAGACGTAATTTTCCCCTTTGCAGGGTATGCAGAAATGATTGGCGAAGCGTTGAAGCAGCTCAATGATTCTCAGAATGGATTCAAGTTACGGAGAACCGTTATCAGCACTGCTCTTGTTCTTCAGGATAATGGGAGTCCCGTGGAAATAATGACAACCATGCGTCGAAATCGCCTCACCGATGCTGTAGACAGCGACTGGTGGGCATTTACGATCGCAGCCCATAACGGATCAAGCTGGACAAAGCATTGTTTCGGAGAAGCTAAATCACATTGTGGTGAAGCTTTTCTAGAGCAAAAGATAACCCAGTTGGTTCGAAGGGTACCGACTAGCAGCTGCTACAGTGCCATGGCACGAGCCGGACTCAACTACGGGCCAACATTTCAGCGTCTGGGAGGTGTCTGTGCAGATACCCTCAGGCAAGAAGCCACTGCGGAGATCACGACGAGGGAATATGACACTCGAGATTATCATTTGCATCCCAGCATAATAGATGCCTCTCTGCAACTTTACAGTGCCGCTGCGACGAAGGGATATGCCAATGCCCCGGCCAGGATGATGATCCCCACCAGAATCGAAGAGATTTTTATCTCATCTTGTTATGAGAACATTCAGTTACGAGTCTCAGCGAAGAACACACCCAACGGCTCGATTATTGGAAATGGAGAATGCGCGACTCGTGATGGAAGAATAGTTCTTCGCGCATCAGGAGTCAAACTCTCTTGTGTTCAGGATGATCCTGCGCAGGGCCCTGATGGCTTTGCCCGGTTAGAATGGGGACCTCACATTGACTTCATGGATGTGGCTAGCCTGATAAAACCACCCACATATGATCGAGGAGCTTACATGGACCTGTTGACAGAACTGAGTCATCTATGCATGATCCAATCGAGACGAGCCATCGAAAAGTTAGATACTCCGCTGGTCTATATGCACAAATATCGAGATTGGATCAATCACCAACTTCAGTCAGCCGATGTTCAGCATCTGGAAGAGCTCCAAAGTGAACTCATTGAATACAAGATTGAGGCCATGATTGGCAATTTGGAAAATCCCCTGGCATCAATGGCTGCACTGGCGATCCAGAAGATATGCAGAAATGTGCCAAGGATTTTCACCGGAGAACTAGAGGCTCTTGACATCCTTCTTACCGATGATACATTGACGGAACTCTATGCTTTCATGGATCAGTGTGATCAGACACAGCTTGTCAGACATTTGGCGCACCGAAAGCCTAACTTGCGCATCCTTGAAATCGGTGCTGGGACAGGGGGCTCTACAGCACACATCCTCAGCACACTGACTGCAGACAAAAGAACCTTATACTCAAGGTACACATTCAGTGATATCTCGGCCGGATTCTTCCCTGCTGCAAAGGAGCGTTTCAATATGTATTCCTCCATGGAGTACACAACTTTGGATATCAGCAAAGACCCATCCGAGCAGGGATTTGACGGTCGCAAATATGATCTTATCATTGCTTCCAATGTAATTCACGCCACTTCTTCTTTGAATGAAACACTCTGCAATGTGCGCAAGCTGCTCGAGTCTAATGGTCACTTTATTCTCAATGAGTTGGCCCCAACTCATAAGTGGGTAAATTACATCTGGGGAGTCCTTCCTGGATGGTGGTGTGGTGAAGCCGATGGGCGGATCGACGAGCCATACATCAGTATCGAGCGCTGGCGGGAAGAGTTGACCGCTGCCGGATTCCTGGCACCCAATGCTGTGGTTTTTGATGCGGAAGAGCCATACCAGCTTGGTGCTGTCATTGTCACAAGACCCGACCGTGAGACTTTGTCAAAGAAGCGTGTCACACTTCTGGCACTCTGCCAGTCCAGTCCTGTGACACTTCTACAGGAGGAGCTGGTCAACAGGGGATATGTTGTTGATTATCGTGAATTATTAAATGACACACCCCTGCCTGCTGAGCAAGATGTGATCGCCATGCTGGATGAAGAGGTATCCTTCTTTGAAGATATGGATGACCAGCGCTTGAATTCGTTCAAGAAGGTTGTTGAGGACCTGAAAAGTTCCAGACTTCTTTGGGTGACAGGCCTATCTCAGATTCAATGTCAGGACCCACAGTTTGCCCAGATAAACGGCATTGCCAGGTCAATCCGCCTGGAGACATTGGTAGAGTTTGGTACATGCGAAGTTGACGACATCAGTCGTTCGGCTAGCAAGGTCATCGACGTATTCGAAAAGTTTGAGCTCCGCCAGGATGACGAAATCCTTAAACCAGACTACGAATATGCGATTCTGAACAATGTTGTTCATGTTGGACGCTTCCATTCTTTCAGTCCCGAAAGCGAGTTACTGCAGTCAAAGTCAGGTAATTCTGTCGCCCTTCGGGTTGGCAAGCTGGGAAGATTGAGCTCTTTGCATTGGTCATACCAGGATACTCGAGTACTGAGGAACGATGATGTTGAAGTCGAAGTGCATGCAACAGGATTGAACTTCAAGGTATATAAGACAGACACCATCATCATAATAGTTTAGATCACTAATTCAATACAGGATGTTCTATGTGCTCTCGATATTGTCGAAGCTCCAGGAAATGGGTTTGGCCTCGAAGCTGCCGGTGTTGTTCATCGCACTGGACCAAATGTGAGAGATCTCGAGGTTGGTGATCGTATCATGCTTCTTTCCTCCGACTGCTTCAGTACGGATGTGGTTGTCTCAGAAAAAGTCTGCGAACGAATTCCTGCAGGGCTGAGCTTTGAGGATGCCGCAACTATGCCTTGTGTGTTTGCAACCGCAGTTTACTCTCTTTTTGAAGTTGGCAATCTACAAGCGGGGCAGGTAAGTGAACCCAAAAGTTTTGCTGCATGAAATTTGCACGGGGACTAATGCATCAGACAGTCGATCCTTATCCATAGCGCATGTGGCGGTGTTGGTCTTGCTGCTATCCAGTTGGCACAAATGGCTGGCGCCCGGATTTTTGCGACGGTAGGAAGTGAAGAGAAGATCAAGTTTCTGGTTGACAGATACGGCTTGAGTCGGAAAAATATCTTCAATTCCAGAGATATCTCGTTTGCTGAGAATGTTATGAAAGCCACTGACGATGAAGGAGTCGACCTGGCATTGAATTCGCTCTCTGGAGAGCTGCTTCATGCGACATGGTCTTGCATCGGAGAATTTGGTAAGATGGTTGACATCAGTAAGCGTGATGCGATAGGTTTTGGCAAGCTTGACATGGTGCATTTCATCCCAAACCGGAGCTATTCATGTGTCGATCTGGATCATATCTGTCGGAAGAGACCGAATGTCGCGAAGAGGTAAGTTGGTCTAATATTCGAATCCATAGTCACAATTCGCTAACTCGAAATAAACAGGCTGCTCAAGCAGATCTCTCACTTGCTCAAGGAGCGCTATATTCATCCAATTCGACCAATCCAGATCTTCAAGGCTGACGCCATCCTTGATGCGTTCCGATATATGCAACAAGGCATTCATCTTGGCAAGATCGTTGTATCTATGAGAGATCCCCAAGGAGCTCTCACAGTACAGTCCAATATCCAGGTGCAACGAGCGCCTATCTCATTTGACTCCTCAGGTGTATATCTTTTGGTCGGAGGCCTCGGAGGTGTAGGCCGCTCTGTTTCTACATGGATGGCCGCTCACAGGGCACGCCATCTGATTTATTTGTCACCCAGTGCTGGCACAAAACTCAGCCATTGCGAGTTTGCAAAGGAGCTTCTGAGCATGGGTTGCCACGTTGATTTTGTGCAGGGCGATGTTTCCAGTCTCAAGGATGTTATCAAAGCTGTCACGCGATCCGAAGGACGATTGAAGGGTATCCTGCAGATGTGTATGGCGCTTGACAATCAAACACTTACACGAATGACTTCCAAGGAGTGGAACTTCGTCGTTGACCCCAAAGTCAATGGCACATGGAATCTTCACAACGCTTCGACGAGTGCCAATTGTGATCTCGATTTTTTCGTCATGTTCAGTTCCATTTCTGGAATTTGTGGACAGCCTGGTCAAACAAACTATGCGGGTGCTAACACTTTCCTTGATGCTTTCTCCCAGTACCGTTCGAATCTGGGACTTCCAGCCTGTTCCATCGAGGTTGGAGCTGTTGAAGAAGTTGGTTACCTTGCTGAGCATGAGGGAATCAGACAGCAGCTTAGAGCATCCAATGCTCTTCCCTCCGCCGTGTCGGAATCGGAGGTTCTTACTGCGTTGAAGTTGGCCATCTCAAAGCCTCAACCAAATAAAGGACAGCCATCTGCACTGAGAAACAACAACATCTGTCTTGGGCTGCGTTCAAGTATACCTCTGAACGATGCCAACAATCGATTAGTCTGGAAAAAGGACATTCGCATGGGCGTGTTTCACAATATAGAGAGTTCTGACTCTGCAGCCGGCACTCCTATCAGTGACGATCTGAAGTCCTTCGTCCAAGCGGCTAAGAAAGATGCTGCTCTGCTAGCTAATCCTGATTCCGCTCACTTTCTTGCTGTGGAGATCGGGAAGAAGCTATTTAGCTTTTTGCTGAAACCCGAAGAAGATCTGGTGACATGGTGCTCTCTGGCAGAGCTGGGAATGGATTCTTTGGTCGCAATCGAAGTAAGACAGTGGTGGAGACAAATATTTGAATTCGACATTAGCGTTTTGGAAATGCTGGGCATGAGTACTTTGGACGCACTTGGTCAGCATGCGGCTACTGAAATGTTGAAACTGTTACATGGTGCTCAAAGTTAGATAGAGGCTGTCATTCTTCTCTATGTACAAGTTTCAAGGCTGTTCTTATGAGTATTTAACCTAGACGTGATATAGAGAATATATTTCAGTATTATTGGTATATTTCAATCTGTAGGTTCGTTTTTCAAGATATAGCGACTCGGAATCGTGTCATATTCAAGTTGTCAAATTTTTTGTTTTATTTTTTTTACATGAAGCACCCATCAGCTACCTACCTATCAAGTTAGTCTATTAATCACCGGCGACTCTTGGTATTGCACATGTCTAAAAAAAGAATAAACAGCTGGCACTACTGCTCGTCGGTCACCTGATATTGCGGCTGAGCACGATGCGCGACTTGGACCTACGGCTAGCACTCTCACCCATATCTACGTCGCCGATCAGTGATGAATTCAATAAATTTCGGTGATAACAATCGAGGAGGCCAGGTGGGAATCAACAATGGACAAATCTACTTCCCGGCCGGTAGGCAAGACACTCCCCAGGTCAAGCTGACACTAACAACTTTTGGCTCAGAGCGCCCGGAAACTCCACCTGCCCCTCTATCGACCTTCCCGTTCCGTCACGACCCTGACTTTGTGAACCGTGGGACCCTGCTGGACCAAATAGATGAGAAGGGTTCTTTTCCAGGTGCTCGTGTAGCACTTGTGGGCCTAGGCGGCGTGGGGTGAGTTTGGGTGTATCCATACATTTTCAAACGCTAATATATCGTAGGAAATCGCAGCTTGCTATCGAATATAGTTATCGTGTACAGGATCGATCTCCAGATACGTGGGTCTTCTGGATTCACACGGCCAATGCAACCCGCTTTGAGCAAAGTTGTCGGGAGATCGCCGACCGAGTCAAGATACCTGGCCGACAGAATCCGCAGGGGAATGTATTCAAACTTCTTTGTGCTTAGCTGCATGACACAAGGAGAAAATGGATGCTTATTCTCGATAATCTTGACGATAACCATTTCCTATGTGAGCACAACTTTCTAGAAAATGACCTCAGACCAATCTGGGCGTACTTTTCTAGCCTCGGCGGCCTCATCCTCATAACAAGCCGGAGCAGACGTGTGGCATCGAGCATCGTGGAAGATGATGATATTGTTGCAGTGGAAGCCATGGATGAGAATCATGCCATTTTGCTCTTTAAGAAGAAGCTCGAGCCTCAAGCAAATATCGAAGATTGCATCCAGCTAGCCGCTGCGCTGGATTTTATTCCACTTACGATCGTGCAGCCGCAGCCTATATCAAGCAAAGAATGCCACGTATGTCGGTCACGTAGTATCTGAAGGATTTTTAAACAGGTGATCATCAGAGGATCGACTTTATAAATTATAAGGATGGGTATATTTGCAGGGACTGGGAAGCTGAAAGCGCCATTCTTCTCACATAGCAAATATCATTTGATCATATCTCAGAAAAAAGATCATGCGCGGCAGATCTATTATCTTTCATGAGCTTCTTCGATCGACAGGCAATCCCCAATTATCTGATCCAGCAAGACCAAAACTTGAAAGGCTTAGTTAACAGAAGTTTTGAGGATGATATGTTGATGTTGAAAGACTACTCGTTGATCTCCATCAGTGCCGAGGGAGTCAGCTTCGAGATACACCGACTAGTCCAGATAGCGATGCCGGAGTGGCTTAAGACCCACGAACAACTTGAGATATGGAAGGAATGCTTTATCAAAAAACTTCATAGCCGCTTTCCCGATGGGATATTCGAGAATTAGGCAGGGTGTCAAGTTCTCTTTTTTCATGTACTACGTGCAGAAGCACAACGGCCATTTGGAAAGAAGTCTTTAAAGGAGTTGACGGCGCTACTCCAAGAAGCAGCGTGCTTTGCATTTATTCGAGGATATTTCATCGACAGCGGGCGAATGACGGAGAAGGCGATGATCGCAAGAAGAGAGCTCTTTGGCATGAGGCATAAGGAGACCATATAAAGCTCTTTAATGCTTGGGCTAGCATATAGGCTTAATGGCCAGTTGGGAAAATCGGAAGAGCTACTGGTACAGGTAATGGATATCAGCAAGCAGGTGCTTGGGCCAGAGCATCCCAGTACTCTGACTAGCATAAGCTACCTGACATCAACCTACCTAAAGCAGGGACGATTGAAGGAAGCCGAAGACCTAGAGGTACAGGCAATGGATATCAGCAAGCAGATGTTTGGGCCAGAACATCCCCATACTCTGTTTAGCATGGGTAACCTGGCATCAATCTACCGACATCAGGAACGATGGAAGGAAGCTGAAGAGCTAGATGTATATGTGGTGGATATCAGTAAGCAGGTACTTGGGCTAGAGCATCCTAATACTCGGACTAGTATAAGTAACCTGGCATCAACCTATCGAAAACAGGGACAATGGAAGGAAGCTGAAGAGCTAGAGATAAAAGTGGTGGATAGCAACAAGCAGGCACTCGGGCCAGAGCATCACTATACCTTGAACAGCATGGCAAACCTGGCTTTCACAATTGGGGCGTTAGGTCAACATGAATCTGCTTTCAGATTAATGGCCGAATGCGCCCGACTCTTTGACCGAAATTTACGCCCTAACCACCCGGATACCACAAATTCAAAGGCCACTTTGAATAGGTGGCGCGGAATGCATAACGCTCAAAGTTCTCAATCTCTTCAAGCATCGGCCGGGATAGAAGCCCAGGGACATATGCAATCCATTACTGCACAAATCAATGAGCGACATCATGAAAGTGGTAGAAAGTTTCGGCGAGCAATCCTTTCGCGGTTGTTCCGCGGAAAATAGGAACCTTGGAACAAAATTTTGAAAGTACTTGGTGCAATCGCTACAAACAACGTTCATGGAATCTTTGATATCAATTTCGGCTACCTACTGTGTGTATATATGAAGACTAAGTATCCCTCAACTTAAAGTGCTGGCTAATTTGTATTGAGAGGAAAGTGGGTTTCGTCATGCTTTGATCATACCTAGGTAGGTACCTATCCATAGCTCATTACCTGCTTCCGAGTCAAAGATTCCGTCACGGTATTTCGATCTACTCAGGTCATAACTAGGGTAGTGGGGAAGGATGCCCTTCCTACTATACTTGAAAATGTACGATACCGTGCCATAAGGTAGTGTTCAAGTTGCTATACACTAGGTAGTCATGAATACACAGTTCTACACCTCTCTGATCGGACCATGAAGTTCAGTCCCTACATCTAGAACAACATGGTTTGACGTTATTGTTGTTGCATGTCGTGCTGTCTCCCGAGGTCCCGAGGTCTACCTATACACCCGTGGACGTGTATTCTGATTACACATCACTACGCCCGGGCGTTCCCCTCTTCCAACCTTGGAAGGTTCACTCGATAGTACACGGTATTTTGGTAAGGAATAATACAGCGCGGAAGGCTTCAAAGGTTCCAAGGTTGGAATCAAAGCTTGGAATAGTGGAAATTGGTGCACCAGTCACGGGACGTATTGTACAAATAAGCAGTCGAAGCATAAGGAACGTCATCAGGTAATGGCAAATAATAAGAGCCATCCTCTTACTTGGCTCTCACATGCGCAGCTTCAAGTTCAATGAAACATTCCATCCAGCTTATTATCATCGCCATGCACACCAAAAATGCCCTCCAAATTTTCTTTACCTCCCTACTTCTCTCAATTCCAACTCTTTCACAAACAGTAGACGGCTCCGAGTACAACAATTCCACAGCAGGACCGCCATCTAGGTAATTTACCGCTGTTACCACAGCCCCTATTGCAGCCTTGCAAAGCGCTGCAGCGAAAGCAAGCCAAACAGCGAAATATGCTACCCATCCTGTGAGCCGCAGTAGCGGTGCGACCAAGGTGACTATCCACAGTGACTGGTCCAACTTTACCGAGGTAACTTCCGGGTTATTCAAAGCTACAGAATTGAGCGTTTATTTCATATGGTTTACTGAATACTGTGGCTAATAGGGTACGGCCTTTGTATTGGTTGCTGATATGGATGTTGACTGCGATGGTATTGACTACAGGTGCAAGGTAATAACGTGCCTATTGGACATACTCTAAGTCGATAGACCAATGAGTGCAGATTGGGACTAAATTTTCTCAAGAAAAATCAAGATGGACAACCACAGACCAATTTCGGAGCATTAGCTGCTTACGAAGTCCCTTGGATCGTGATCCCAGATAAATTCGGAACCCAGTATCGAAGTGTCCTTCCGGGGAACAATATTGCTGCTGTTATCTGGTAAGATCTCTTGCTTTTCTTCGCAAGTCACTTCGAGAAACGAACACCAATTTTCTCTAGTGATGGAAAAATGTTCTACGGGATCTACGGTGACTCTGATGGTGACGATCCCGAAGTCATCGGAGAGGTATCCTGGTTGATGACGCGAACATGCTTTCCGAATGATAACCTCGATGGTAGCAATGGGCACACAGGGTTAGATGTAGCCTGTAAGTTTATTATCTACCTCACTTGAGTCGGGCTACTGGTGTACTTGCTAACGTCTTCCAGATATTCTGTTTACCGGAAACAACACAGTGCTTCCAAGTAGTGCACTAAACAAGAACTATATCACTAACTTTACTACTTTACGCTCTATGTGTGACAAGCTTATTGGAGGTCGCATGAAGAACTTGGGCAACACATCTGCTCCTTCAACGACTCCTAGAACCGAAAGATCTAGTAGCTCTTCTACTCCGTCATGTTCTTGGGAAAGGCATTGGGCAGGTCGGCTCAAAATAGCTGGCATTATACTATTTATTTTCGGGATGGCGCGTATCATATAGGCACTTTGTCTTCTTCCAGCTTGTCATGTTTGCTCAGATGATCTTGTGCATAAGAATGGCAAATGTGCCAGCCCTTTAACATAAATTGAATGAAATTTCCATCTTAAGATGTCAATATGATTCTCTATTTTAGGAGCTTCGTTTCGAGAGCCTCAGCAACAATATCTCAGAGTTTTTGGGGGCCTGGAAGTCCTGAGTAGCCTTAATAATAGTCAGTACTATTTGAGCACTTGAGGGTCAATTGGGGCACCTCGGAGTCCTGGTATCATTCGCCTCCGAGGGTTAGTCCATGCTCTGTTCGTTTCAAGTTCTCTTTTCCTTCCTGTAACAGAGGTGCTCTTTACACGTGCATATACCTCCATGTCTCTTCAAGTTGTTAATCTTTCTTGATCCTTCCAGTTGGGGGCTGTAGCATCCTTACACATGCAGTATACACGACGTACATCGCTTGCAGGACTTGAATTCTAGATCCTGTTCAGAAAGTAGCATCATGCATACCCAGATAGTATAGCAATTTGCAATAGTCTAAATGTGAAGAAACCAACATTCAAGCTTGAATCTCATTGAACGTCAATATATTCAATATATTGTATGCCAGTGCACTAACCCATTTAGGCAATTCCTAATTTGGAATATTGCCTATTTGGGCAGTATAAACTGGTTAGTCAGCGTGCATTTGCTCGCACATGCGGGCTGCCGGGCACCAGTTGGCCACTTTCAAGCATGAACCTGGCGTTTAATCCGTCGGAGATATGATCTCCCCCGGTGAAGGTCAAAGCATTAATTAATTCATGATGCATGGTGAGAACTTGGATGCAAGATCAGACTTCGGGGATGTAAAGTGAGAACCCGAGCACGACGCAGGGTTCAAGAAGTCAACTGGTCGCATAATAAATTGCATTCAATATAGGATTTGATTGACGGAAGGATTAACCCAGTGGACACCGGCATTGACAGTGATACAAAGCATTGGTTCCAAGACTACGGGGCAACTGATAATGTGTGGAAGGATTGAGCTTCGGCGGGGCACAACATAAAGGCATCAGAATAGTTGAAGTTGAAGGGATGGTATACAAATTAAACTTAGTCCACAGTGGCCCGAAGTGCTCTGATGCAATGCAAGCTAATACAATGCAAATGCATATTACCGGTTGAATTGTGCATTTCTCCATCTGGAAATCGAAGAACGCCTTGCGGCCCTTGCCCCACGGCAGATCAACAAGGACCCCGCAAGTCCCACATTGAGCCGTGAGTCACTTTCAAGCATTGAAATGATCTCACGTCGTGTAATGTAGAAAGTAAATCCAGATTGGTAGATCATGCAAAGTAATTTTTTCTTTTTGTTTTTGGAGATCTTCAAGTAGCCTAGTTCTTATCTTACAGTGAAAAGAGTAAATTTCAATCAAGACCATAGTATTCGGGTACCCGCTAACTAAACGTGTACTAGTAACTTGCTATCATCAACTCATCCGAATAAACATCTGCAATCATTCTTCATAAAGACAAAGGAAATTCATAGGACATCGGAGTCCAACAACTGTCGAGTACAAAGAGCCAAGTTCAAAATCGAGTGACTCACTCCCATAAGCCAATAAAAACGTGCAGCAAAGAACAAATCATGCATGAGATGAAGCATCCCTCCCTCTTTCCTATTGGCGGCATCCACACCACCAAGTGTGAATGGGGCGCATTCGCCAATAATGGGCCCAGCCAAGCGACCCGAAGTATAGGATCCCTGTAGCCAGGTTCGCCAGTCACATCAACAGAAGGATTCTTCCCTATCTGGGAGTCCGAGTGTCGAAATTCAAAATTCGAAAGACAAAGAGATTTCCGAGATGACTGAAATGAAGATCATGGGGGCGGGCGCACCAGGCAAGCCACTATCCCCAGGAATTGAGACCAGATTTCATTTGATTTCCTGGTTCTTCAATTTTCCTTGACAAAAAAGGAAATGACCGGCTGGCGGTCTGGGCACTCTATGCCCGTGGTATGGATTGAAGTGAAGGTTCCAGCAATGATGGAGTGGTAACCAGAAAGGCAGCATATTCATAGAAAAATGTTTGTAATTTTTCCCTTTTCATATTTTTTTTGGTCTTTTGTATTCAGCGGTGGTAGCGGTGGCCACGAGAGTCGTATCGTCGCTCTTCGCGGTCGAGGTGGTCATTGACGTACAAAGATCCTCGGTTGGAGGGGCTTTGGCTGGAGTTCGAAGATCGAGAGGATCGAGGGTAGACAATAACGTGACGCTTGCTGCTGTTCGATGGGGAACGCTCGATGATTTGATGAGGGGCAGGAATGTCCTCTGGGGTGATAGACCGAGGGCGCTGTTCAATGATAGGACGAGTAGAGCTGGGAGGACGGACAGGAGGAGCGCGGCCTCGGCGAGGAGATTGAAGACGCAGACCCTCAGAGACAGAGTCCAGAAGAAGGCGAGTAGCACTCGAGTCGCGGGGTAGCTTGACTCTCATGGGCTTTCCATTCTCCTTGTCCACAACAGCATAGTGCTTTCCGTTCACACTGTATAGATACTTGGTTACATCGACAGCGAGGAGGTGGCCTTTGTCACAGTAATTGTTCTCTTTGTTCTCCAGTGAAATTCCGCAGCGAGTACAGCGAGAGACATGACTTTCGAAGTCCACAAGGACGAGCTTCTCATCGTCGCGCAACTCACGCACGACGGTGGGCTCGATAACAACTTGAGCAGGCATTGTGGAGTTGCGGCGAACACTAAGGCGCCGCGAGGGAGAACCGGAAGATCTTTCTATTGTCGACAAAGTGTCGGGGTCGACGAAATAAGTAGTTGAGCGTAAGGGCGACACGGTGACTGATTTATTGATCACGCGTATAGAGAGGAAGGATGATCACGAGAGTGATCAAGTGAAGTTTGGGATGATAGATAGTAGATTTGATACTAGCAGATGATGTATTTATGAAAATGAAGTGGAGTGAAAGAATGAATTTTAGAAATGGAGGGGGAAAAGGAAGTAGTTATATAGGAATGATGATGTATAGAAAGCGGTTTCAACCTCATTGTAGCCTGGGGGAGAGAGGGACTAACCATAATAAGTAGTGAGTTGATACCCACTTAAAATCCACTTAATCCTTGGTCCTTTTTAGTTCCCCGATTCATTTTATTTTATTTTTTATTTTTTATAATATTATTATTCGATTTATTTCATTAAATTCAGTTCAACACCGCCCCTCCAACTGTTCTACAGTCTCTCTCACATCCATGATTGGTCACTAGTACTTCAAACCACGGTCTGTATTGGCCCTTTATCTTCATATTCCCTTTGTCTACTACCATAGGTAATTTCAATCTCGACTACCCTGCATGATGCCGGAACATTCTACTTTTTTTTTCTCATAATTAATTATTATTCACTTTTTTTTCTCCCTCTGCTGCCTGTCTGGAATTTTTATTTTTTTTTAGATTCATCATCGTACGGGTTTCGCTTTGTGTGGCTTGAGCCTCTCGTGTTCCTGCACCGGATGAACAAGGGGGGTCTCGTGCACCAAGAATGTGCTTCCCCCCCTAAACGTCATTAGGAAAGGTCAGAGTCAGACTCTCGATCGGAACATAGATGTCAACTTGTCAACTTGCATTGAGAGCCATTACATTTCATGTAGGTCATTTTAGACCTGAGCCTCCCTCAGTACACCTTCCCCCTCATTGATCGACTACCCGCTGCCCCCAATGCAAAGCGTTTACCGATACAATCATGGAACCTCCTAGTTCATATTTCCTGATCAGATTGAGCCGCATTATCGTATACCATTTTTGGTGATACGACTCGGTGTTTCGAATATCCAAAAAATAGAATCGCCCTCGATAACTAAGAATAGGGTCGCGGATCAACAAAACACGAGTCGATGTTTTAGACCCCACGACTATCCCAGACTCGGACCCCTCTATGGAGGATCCATCCCCTGTCGCCTCAGCCTCCAGCCACACCTCGATTCTAGAGAACCTTGTCCTGGCCAAGAAAAACACTGCCTCAGCCACGGAATTCTCACTCATGATTCGGTGGCACCAGCCACGTCTAAGCCTTTCTGTCATCAAGTTGACACGGGTTCCTGGAAGAGTCCCCGACATGCAGACCGATCAACCTGCAAGGAAATGACAAGCATACATGCATACAATGACGGTGTTCAAGTTTACGCGCGCCATAATTTCTAAACTTTCTATCCTTCCCATCCACACATTCTGACCTGGACCCTGCCTTACACTTTACACTCGCAGGCACCCGCCAATGTATATCCTCCAGGCGATGCCCACGGACCACAAGTTTCACCCGGGTTAACTGTTAACTTCCACAAGTGTCGAGAAGATACTCCGATTGCCCTGTTTCGCCCCTACTGAAAACTGACAAAAATTGCATTCCAACTTATACGCCTATACGATTGTCCAAGGACTCCGACAATTATCCATTCCCCTGCCAATGTGCTTACTTTTGAGTTCTAACAAATGCAATAGTGGACAGGCCTTGTACCTGTCGATAAGAATCGTTCTAAGCCTCTTGCCTTCAACCAGCCCTGCCGGGCTAGCTCAATCGGTAGAGCGTGAGACTCTTAATCTCAAGGTTGGGGGTTCGACCCCCCCCGTTCGGCTATTCCTACAAACAAAAACCTGAGAATTCTTTTTTTTTCTTTCAATTTTCAATGAAAAATTTTCACTTTTTGCATTCCAGAGTGATAAGTGGCTGAGAGCAGTATAGGGCGGACTCCACAGTGGGGACCGGCCCGTGAAAACGAACACATCGATGACCAAGACACTAGATTACTAAGAACTATGAGATCAGAGGAGACTGGCAAGTGACCAGGTCAACCATCTGGCCAACTTTGACGAGTGTGATCTTGAGGAGGGGATTCCTATTTTTGCAGGTAAGCAGACCATGTCTTGTGGCTGATGTGGGGCCCAAGCGCAAGGCAGATCGTGCTAGACTGTTTTGGAGAAGGTTCTGAGGTTCCAGGTTCAGCTTTACGATTTGTCAGATCTATAGGCAACAATTGTGATATGGCGTACAGTGCGGACTACAGCATGGAGTGTAGGTTGCTACCTGAGGAATCAGCCTTGGAGGCAAATTTGATAGAACTGATCTTTGGATCCTATCTATGCGGCATTATTTCGTAGTGTGATTTAACGTCATCCAACGATTGGATGACGATCTAATGATGAGATTTCTTACGAATGTGTGAAACCAGATCTAAATTAATCCATAGCGCTCGTAGGTAATACTGAAGCGTGAATTAGATGTTATTAGATGTTATCTTCTACCTAGTGTAGTGGGGAGACATGTCCTCACTATATTACTCATCAGTGCATTTCGGGTTGCTTATGTCATGTCATTTCATCGTTGCATACAAGAATGATCGCTGTTACTAGTTTAGAAATAAACTCTTTCACATTTCCGATCATGCCCCTGGGGGTCGTCTCATATCATTCATGCAGTAGTATTGTGGTTGTTGGTTTGTTCTGTTCATCCTCGACCCGTGTATCTTCGAGTACACCGCCTATAGTGTTCCCCTCTTCACTAGGTACTATCTAGTACTTATCAAGATCGATTGGTTCCGAGGATTCCGCCTTATCAAGGTTTGGCGCTTAGAAGGAACGACGTCAATGAGATACTCGACCTTCTAGCACAGACTTCAACTTGACCTTCAACTCAATTCCACTAACATAAACTATTTCCATCAAGCTCTACCTTAAACTCAATCTATCTCAATCTATCTCAATCAATTGACCAATAACTATTCCCAAAATGAACATGAAACTCGCCGGTACATCTATAGGACACCATTATGATCCACCGTTTCACGAAGCGCTAACACCAACCCCTCAGACACCCGCACCAAACAACCGCCCCTCAAAGCTCTCTTAGACAAATATAGACCAAACCTGAAACTCTTCGAAGAAATCTACCGCCAACTACATCAAAACCCCGAACTCTCCACCCAAGAATCCCAAACCGCTAAAGCAGCCTCCGATCATCTCCACACTCTAGACTTCGAGATCCACACAGATATAGGCGGAAACGGTGTCGCAGGAATTCTCCGAAATGGACCAGGTCCCAAAATACTTCTACGGGCGGATATGGACGCTTTGCCATTGGAAGAGAAGACCGGACTTCCGTACGCGAGTAAGAAGGTCGTGAAAGATCCATCCGGAAAACCCACACCAGTTATGCATGCCTGTGGACACGATTTCCATGTGACTGCTTTACTCGCTGCATGCACGCTCTTACATGCTGCGCGCGAATCCTGGAGCGGGACTCTACTCGTTATCTTTCAACCCGCAGAAGAGGCTCTAGGTGGAGCGCGCGCTATGATTGATGATGGACTCTATGAGAAGATCCCGAAACCGGATATTGTTCTTGCGCAGCATGTTATGTGCTTGAGGGCTGGAAATTTGAACATTCGCTCTGGGAGACTTCTTACTGCGGCTGATGCATTTGATATTCGCGTTTTCGGACGTGGAGGACATGGGTCTGCGCCGCAGACTACTATTGATCCTGTGGTTATTGGGGCGTCAATTGTGGTGAAATTACAGAGTATTGTGGCAAGGGAGATTACGCCGGGTGAGTTGGCTGTTGTTTCGGTTGGGAGTATTAATGCGGGATTTGCGGCGAATGTTATTCCCGATTATTTGGATTTGAAGGTTAGTGTGAGGACCTTTGATGAGGGCGTTAGGATGAAAGTGCATGATGCGATTCGGAGGATTGTTGAAGCGGAGTGTAAGGCTGGCGGTGCGACTCAGGAACCAGAGATCAAGTTGGTGTCTTCGACACCGGCGACTGTCAATGATGATCAATTGGTTAAGGATTTGGAAGGGACATTTGGGCCCTACTTTGGGGATCGAATGGTGGATATGGAGAGACCAAGTGCTAGTGAGGACTTTTCGCTTTTGGCGACGGAGGTTGGGGCTCCATATGTTATGTGGATGTTTGGTGGCATTGATGAGAAGACATGGGATGAAGCTGTTCGTAAGGGAAAGGTGAATGAGTTGCCGAGTAACCATTCGCCATTCTTTGCGCCAGTGATTGAACCGACTTTGAAGACGGGTGTAGATGCTTTTGCACTGGGAGCGCTGACATTTTTGGAACGGAAATAACATTTTCACTCAAATGCTGGACTTTGATTAGAGCCAATAGATTGATTGATACTCAGCTGCAAATTATGGAAAAGAAGAGTGTTAACCTTGAATTGCATCCTTTTGTACCAAAAATTGAAGACTCCGAGTGTTGAAGACTGCCATGACCAGCACATTTGCACTACTATTATTATCAAAAAATAATCATACAATGAGAATCAATGGAAGCCCTTGTGCCTCTTAGTTGCCAGTGTCCCAGGTCAGTCAATCGAACATTCTATCACCATCGAAGCTGCTTCGTAGTGTACTCAAGTCATTGACAATCTCTGTATCAAAATTAGCTGACCCCATTGAAAAGATAGTCGGCATACTGCTATCACCGCTGCTACTAAACAGGTTTGCACAAAGGGTGCCATCATAAAGTGAACATGGGGGATCCTCTAATAAAGCTGCTGATCTCTGTACCCCCGGAAAAAGATCCCTAGTAGTACTGAAATTTGCAGAACTACTGTGGCACTCGATCGATGACCTTGCATGCTGCACAAATACTTTTGCGACGCCTTCCAGTCCTCGAGCAAGTGAGTTCCGCTGGCCAAGATCTTTCAAGTAGCCTGGAAACAGTTCCATAGCCGCCAAACTTTGCTTCTTTTTATCGAATGAGCGAGTAGGATTTGGAACAGTGTCATATCGCGCAACATCTCGCTCTTATGAAGAAAAACTTCAAAGGCTATCATATGAAATGTTATTCAACGGAATGGAGGAGCTCGGGAAGAATTTTGCCTACTCTCTGCCCATCCAGCTGCATGGCCTTCGAAGGGGTTAGAGTCCCGAGGTACGGTTTGAAGTTTCGGAGCTTCATATCGAAGACCTGTATTCGTGCAGGGTTCCGAAAGAGATGAGAGCGCATCAATCAATCCCTGCTGTTGTGAAGTAGCATTTGTGCTCAATCGCTCGCGAGTAGCTTCTATATCAGGTGCCAGATGACATTGAACAATATCAATACTCCTTTCCGCTGTAGTGGTGATGGGTGTGCTCTTAATGGAAGCCTCCGAAGCGGCCTGGCTATAATCATGCGCTCTGCTTGTGCGCTTTCTCTTGCGACGAATCACACCAAATCGTGAGGAGATGCATTCGGTGCCAATATTGATGCATTGATTGCAGCCATCACTTTCTCTTGAGCAGGCGACCTACATCACAGTCAGTGGTAGTGTTTCAAAGTCGGTAATGTGAAATCACCTTTCTAGTTCTGCAACAGTCGCACGAGTATTTTTCTGTCAATTTGTCATGGTTTGTCTCCATTCTGAAACGCTCGGAGGATGGAAGTTATAGGAATTTACGAGATGAGTTTAGTGAGTTGTGGTCGGAGGTCACGGAACTTACCGGGACTTATGGGAGTAAACATGTCGATGCCAGTAAAGCCGCCAATTGATTGTTCAAGTGATAAAAGAACCGCAAATCCCTTCGGCTTGTAGTATGGAGATTTCACATGAAAACAATTTCTGTCCCAACTCTGTTCTTTGAATCTCATCAACATGATCTCACAACAGGTACCCATAGCCATCATTGGCGCTGGCCCTGCTGGTCTCACTCTTGCACGACTACTTGAACTTGCCAAGATAACATTTGTTGTATTTGAAACATATAATGTCTCAACGAAGATTGCAGATGGGGCAGGAATTGTTCATCTGGACATTCCAGGACAGTCCGGTGAAGAAAAGCCAGAAATTGACCGCAAAGATCTCCGGAAGATTTTCCTCGACTCTATACCAGCTCATAAAGTTCGTTGGGGATTCAATGCCCAGGAAGTGAAAAAAGACATCGATGGATCAATGTCCGTTCATGCTAAGAATGGTCATGTTGAATCTAGATTTCAACTTGTTGTCGGTGCAGATAGTGCTTGGTCCAAAGTGAGGAAGCTGGTAAGCATAACGCATATTGGAATTCAGTTGCTTGGGTTCTAACTCATCACACGTTATGTCTGAGCCACCGCAATATTCTGGAACTACATTCTTTACTTCCTATCTCCGGGTCAACAATCTAGTTTACTCGTCTGTTGCCTCCATGGTTGGAACAGGAAACTATCTCGCCTTAGATGAAGGATCTCAGATATTCTTGCATTATCTGGGTAACAGATCCTATCACCTTTCTGTGGGTATAAGAATGCCAGACGTCTGGGATGCAGAGGCCAGAAGTCTCCGTGATCCTTCGGCTATATTGCAGGCCATGACTCAAAATGTAACTGAGTGGGTTCAGGAGCTTACGGAGCTGATCAAGTCTGCCGATCGGAGTTTCCGCCCCTGGCCGTTGTACACATTGTCAAAAAGCTCTGTTACCTGGGAGCATATGCCTGGGGTGACACTGCTTGGAGATGCTGCGCACTTAACTTAGGACGTCCATTCAAAACATCCACAGGTGTAATAGTTTCAAGTTAACCTTGCTGATGATCACCTCTTCTAGTATACCCTCAGGAACAGGAGTAAATGCCGCATTGTACGACAGTCTAATGCTGGCTAGAAATATAATTCAGCATGACTCTGATGACTTGGACTCCACGGTGATAGAATACGAGAAGATGATGCTGCCTCGTGCTCTCAGCGCTATTGAGAAGGGCCAGTGGTATGCAGAGCACTTTTTCGGAGCTGATGGACCTCAAACCTTCCTGCGGGCCATTGGCGTGAATAGTGAAGAGAATTGAGAGTGCACATATGTATGATACGCAGTTTAGAATGAGCATGTGAATTCAAAGAAGTTCGACTTCGTTTATCTGTTTTGGTTCTGTTTCTCAACTCTGCCGGTTCACTAATGATCATTCAGCGACTCGAATCAGAATCTTGCCTCGAGCTCTTCCAGAGCATAGTTTATCAAAGGCCTCAACAGCATCATCAAAGCTATACTCAGTATCCACATTCACCTTCAGGCTCTTCTTCTGCAACATCTCACCAATTGCCACAACATGTGCTTGAGTATTAGCAAAAAAGAAAATACGATACTTCCTGCGCCCGCCACCCAAAAGCGAAGGCCATCCCACTCTTGACACATGAGTAGACATACCCGCAGCTCCAACCTGCAAGAACACTCCCTGCGGCTTCATGAAATGGTGACACTGGAAGTAAAGATCATACGGAAGTCCAACATGGTCAAAGATATGATCAAACACTACTCCCCGTTCCCGCAGTGCAGCAGAAAGATCCCCATTAGGGACGGTAGTATAATTAATCACCTCGTCAGCTCCGAACTCTCGACAAAGCTCAACATTTCTCGTCGAGCATGTAGCCGTAACATGACAACCCATATTCTTCGCGATCTGAATCTCAAATAACCCACAACCTCCAGAACCACCGTTAATAAACACCTTATCTCCCTCTTTCACGTATCCACTAATCGCCTGGAACGCACTCTGTCCCGCAATCCCAATCGTCGCCGCATCTCCAGGACTCACACCCTCGGGAACAGCGGCAATAAGATCCGCCGAGATGGAAAGGTACTCTGCTAGCGAACCAAATTTCACAGGTTGACTGTGACATCCGAAGACAAGCTGACCAGATGTAAACTGGGATACGTTCGCACCTGTAGCGATGACGCGCCCGCAGAAATCCATGCCCGGGGACGCGGGTAATCCGACTACTAGTTTTGCCGCGAGGCCGAATGCCATCGCGGGGACTTTGTAGTCGGCTGGATTTATGGATGCGAAGAGCACCTGCACGAGGACATCGTTAGGTCTTGGTGATGGGGGTGCACGGGCGGATGGGTCGAGATAGAGGTTTTTCTCGAGACCTCCGCTTGTGCTGGTGTATAGCCATGCTTTCATTTTTGTGGGGATTGAGGTAGACATGTTGATTGATTTGATTGATTGATAGAAGCGGTATGTGTGTTGATCCTTTTCCCCTAAGTTTGCGCTTTGGTTGCGCGGTGGAGTTCAGGGGGTCCAAATGCTTCTGGGCCTGTCGATGGGACCGGTGAGACCGTAATCCGTTTTAATGACGTGGACTTCGCTGATTTTAGAGCTGTCGTTTTCACCCTTGTCAGATCCCTGTCAGTTGCCGTGGTTTTTTATCTTTTGAAACAGTACGGAGTTAGAAATGAGGTGTGGCTGGGATTGAGTGGGTAGCGGAATGTCTGAGTGGGTCGAAGGCTTTTGGTTGGGCAAGTTTACCACTGGCACCAATGTTTCTGGTCTTGAATATTTTGAAGCGATAGTTTGAAGATAATATTTTATAACCTATGATACTTGATTTTTTTCTTCGAGAAATACTTCCACCTTTGCAATACCAGTCGTATCACGTAAAAAGCGAAGCATGGCCCCAAACCACGTCATTCGATGCGTGTAAGCCCGCTCCTTCATCGTAGCACTTTGATACGACAAAAAGCTAGTATAGGTGGACCAAAGAATGCAGTAGGCAAAAATGCCTGGAATATCCTGAGGAGACCTGGGGTCTGCCGAGCCATCTGGTGAAAGCTTGATAGAGTATGGTATGGTTTCGGCGATCTCATCGGTGAGGTTCACAAGAAAGTTGAAACCACGCTCCTTGAGTTCTAAGATATCTGTATTTGTGGGAGAGCACCGGGTGAGAAACTTGAGTATCTGGATCCATAGTCGGATACGCGCTGCGCGACACATGTTCCAGTCACTTGCTGCTACTGGATTGGAGTGCGTGCGCATATGGTCAGGGGCGCCCGGAATGATGAGCAGCTTCTTGGCCCAGTCGGGGCGATCAGTGTGATTCAAAGGGTGTCGCTCGATACAAGTCCACGCAGGAGGTAGACTCGCGGCTCATTCCTGCAACTGGTTATCTGAGTGCAGTGCTTCGTCCAGAGTCTCCATGTCTGAGGATACGAGATCTGGGTCTGTTCCCAAGGTGCATCGCTCATTTAGCTTTGCACAAACCACTGCAGTTGTTGACAGTAGACATGTAAGTCTCTTTTTAATTTCCGTATCAAAGGGAATTTGCTGAACCCAACCAGCCAGATGGGCGGGCGGTGGCTTAAGATCTGTCAGGTACCATACTATCTGCACTCATGTTAGCAGTTGTGACAGGCAGAGTCTCATCAAATGACCAACCACGTGTGTACAAAGCAAGGCGGGATGATTATTCCCATCCTGGGGGGTGGATCCATCTCTATGCGCGATGATGGCTTGTGTGCCGTGCATATGAGCGAGATATGACCCATCTCGTGTTGATGAAGTCAACATCTGTGTATAGCAGTTAGAAACACCATTACTATAGATGAGACGTATAACATTCGAACTCACTTCATACATGCTCATAGGAAAAATGACCATCAAGTTATCATCCCGCTGTATCTCTTTAGGATCAGCCATGATGGCCGCAAATCCTTGCAAGGTTTTCCCATAGTATACAGCCCCTGCATCTTTCGCTTCATCAGACTTGCATCTACTGTAAAAGTTGGCATACGCCACCGCAGCTACAGCAGAGCACAGACACGAGTCGGGAGGATTATTGAAAACTAATTTGGGAATTCTGCTCAAAGCTCCGGGGAATGGGGTGATGAAATCATAGCAGAATCTCCGATATGCGGGTTCATACAAAGAGGGCCCTGGGCTCTGAGCTGTCATGGAAATCGCAGTGGCTTCCTTTTTCGGCGAGGGATCAGCACGCTTGCGCCATTTGGTTATCGCAGCTTCTTTAGCTGAAATATTTTGATCTCGGTGAACACGGTCAAATGAATCTTGATATTCACATCTGTAGCTTCCTTTATTGCATCGGGAACAAATTGGTTTATCTTCGTCGCACTATGCACTGTATTAGTAGTGTCCGACCGAAGAGATAATCCTTTACCCAATCCTGATTGATTAAGATTGGGGGCAGAAGCGAGAAAAGACAAAATAAGTGGGGGAAATATATAAATAAATTTACTCGGACTTTCGATTCTCGACATCTGTAGCATCCTTTACTTGGGCCTCGATAATTGGACATTAGGAGATACTGTGTGCACGGTGACAGAGCCCGGATGTGCAATGTGCAGGAAGCCACTTCGCGGGACTTCAGCGCGCAATCAAAAGACGATGATGTGGAGCAAATATGCTGTGGCTAAGCTTCGAAGCCACATCTCCAAGTGTCGATCAACACCTGTCAGAGAGTAGCGTCGATAAACAACCGAACAGATTACCCCAAGAGGTATAGTGTACGCCCCCAGATGATGGATCACCAGAAATATTTGAGGCCCAATGATAGTTCCAGTATCGAAGAATCCCTTTTCTTTCGCTGTATACTCCATTTGGAGAAAAGATCGGATCTCGCACTCGCATTCGCTTCATGCACGCTGATGACAGGGCTGGGGCAGGATCCTGAGCCTATGATGGGGGCCGGCTGTGTACAGGGCTGAGTGGTCCCTTTCCGTTCATTATCTCATTGCCATTGGACGTATTCGGGATAACGAGGAAATATGATCGGCAAGTTCAAGCCTTTTTGTGTTGTGATCGGCATGGATGAGATGGTCTTGATTTAATTCCACAAAAGGAGGTTTGCGCGATAGTTTAAAATAGGAAAATAAGATTTGGGGGGGGGGATGTCATATTTGGAATTTGTATAAGATAACCCCAAGGATTCGTCCCCAATGCTCCATAGTTTCAAGTTCTAATTCTTTCCTTCTCTTCATTAAGCTCTTGGACCAAACTTGGCTTCTTTTTATCTGAGTTTGTTGTTCCTGATTGTTGATTGTTTTTTCGATTTCTATTCTACCATCATGGATACATTCAATTACCTCGTCTCTCGAGGGTCAATTTCTAATTACTTGACAAATGAAACATGTCCTATGCCAAAGAAACTCAATGAAGGTATGCTCAAATTTGGATTCTGAGATCTCACTGGCATATACTAATCTTCATTCTAGTGGAGGAACCCTTTCTGGGGAACATGACCTTCTACCACTTTAATATTATTGTATCGGGAGCATGCACCCTCATTACCTGTATCTTGATCTTCACACTACAGATGCAACATGCTACTCATTTTAGTGTTCCGTGCGAGCAGATCAAGTATGCTCAACGATCCAAACAAGTTGTTGCGTATCTAACAGAAGCCATTCTAGAATTATGCGAATTGTCCATATGCTTCCCGCCTTCTCGCTCACCTCCTTGTTCGCCATTATTTTCCCCAACTCCTACGTGTACTTGGAAGGATGGACAGAAGTCTTTCAGGCTATTGCTTTATACTCTTTTCATATGCTTCTCATCGACTTTCTCGCTCCATCTGAGAAGCAACGAGACATTTTCTTCGAAAATTTCAAGGTGAAAAAGAGCTTCAAGAAAGGCCAATACAGAGAGGGACTTTCCTGGCTAAAGGTGTGTCAACTTCGAGAATTAAAGAAGTCAAGTACTAACATCAAGTTAGTTGAGCTACTATTGTACTCTACAATACCCCATTGTTGTCTTCCTGGTCGCCATCGGTCAGTCCATCGCACAGGCCTTTAATGTATACTGCCTTGACTCGAATAAACCGGGATTTGCCCATATCTGGGTGGGTGATTAGGATGAATTTGATTAACCCCAGCCTATAAAGCTAACATCTTTACAGCTTGAACTTCTCCAAGAAGTGTCTGTCACTATCGCTATTAACGCCGTGATTCGCTTTTACGCAAACACCAAAGATTATATGAAAGAACACAAGCCACTCTTGAAGCTGCTTTCCTTCAAGCTGATAGTTGGTCTTATTTTCCTCGAACAGGTACGTCTCCCCCATAAATTTGTATCCTATCCTATCCTGTCTGGTGAATGTAATATTCTAACATACTCAGATCATTTTCATGGTTCTCGAATCCTCAAGTATCTTCAAGCCAACTAAGAAGCTGAGTTACGCCGATGTACACATGGGTCTCCCTACAATGGTCATCTGCGTCCAAATGGTCCCCTTCGCCATCTTCATGCACTTCTCATTCAACAAAAAGCCATACATCGTGAAACAATCTGGTCAAAACTTCGAGATGGTCCCAGAAGCCGACGAGAAAGGTCGACCTATCCCACGAAGCTACCAAGGCGGACCCGGTGGTCTCCACGCATGGCTCGCATACATGAACCCGATGGAGTACTACGCAGAGATGAAGTCCATGTACCGAACTCTACACCATGTGCACGTCCGCAACCAGAAACCAATCTACGAAGCCGATTTAAAGACCGAAGCATCATCCAACACATCGGCTCCAGTTGTGAACTCCGAGCTTGAGCAGCATACCGAGTATCCATCTCCGGAACCGTATGAGCCAATTCAAAGCCAGCAGACACATTATGCACACCCCGCTCCGTATGAACAGGCGCAGTTTGAGCAGTCCCAGCCTCTGATTAACCAGGCGGAATACCCTACTCAGCCTGCTCAGACGCATTATCCGGCTCAAGCTGCCGAGCAGGCTCATCAGTATTATCAGGCGGGGATGCAGCAAACACATTCAAGTTATTCAACGCAGCCTTATGACCAGAATCATGAACAGTCGCAGATGCTAAACCAGCAACATCAGCATACTGAGTATAACCAGACTCAATATGGTCATCAACACCAGTTTGGAGAATCTAACTATGATGGACGTCCGTACTCTTAATTTGTTTTATCCAGGGATTGATTCTTAAAATTTGTCATGTTCAATTTCTATGTTTGAGCGTTCTTGTCGTTTGACTTTTGGCAAAATTGGATGATGCCAAGTTGATCTTCACGCATCCTAAAGTTATGTTTCGTTTAGGTTGGATGTAGCTCAAGTGCTGAGCTGTTAAAGATTCAATTCAAATTCTCATATGTCATATCTTCATCCTAAAGAGCTGCATGTTTGCCAGGTTGATCTGGCAGTGGTGTAGAATAGTCATCATCTAAATCCAACTTATGGACTCGATGGACCGTCAGATGCTCCTCGGTCCGTGTATCAACTTCCTTTTGCATTCGCGTCTCTTCATCAAAGCCATCTTGTTTGTTGATAGCCTCCTGTGCAGCGGAAGAATCCGGATCTTTCACCCCTGCTTTTTGCTGATTCTGAAGACGTTCTTCCTCTTGCTTTCTGTCCTCAGCCTCAAGAGCAGCTTCCTCGCGTGCTACCTCACTAATATCAATGTCTTGCAATCCGATCAATTCAATGATCTTTCCCAGCAAGAACTGGTACCGAAGGTGGCCGCTGATCATCTCGCTCACATTGATATTATCAATACCTGACACATTCTCGACTTTCTGCACTCCCGCAATGCCAAGCTGAAGACTTGAGGTGCGATAGAGAAAAGCGAGGACGGAGTCATTCTCCGAATAGACATTTACAACTCGACCGCTGACGACGCTGCGGATACGCTGCCAATAGTCCGCATCAGATGGGGTCGGGGATCCCATCAAGATTACAGACTCGACTAGTCCGTATGCATCTCTCTTGGCCAAATTCTGAAGACACGAGAAAATTAACCGAGAACCCAGAGAATATCCGATGAGCGTTACCGGCCGTTCACCCTGGACTTTGCTGATCAGTGCGTCTGCTAGCACCTCGCCAGCCTTGTCAGCTCGAGCCTTTGCAACGCTGAAAGGATTGTCGACAACCCTGGCCACCTTCATCAGACCCAGCGGCAGCATGACAGCGCTCATAAGCGTGGAAAACACAGTATGCGCTAGAACCTGTCTTCCCGCAACAGACCATGCTGCACTAGTGACCAGCGAAGAGATCGCATTTCCAAGATTCATCAATGACTCCGTCTCCCAGCGCAGCGCAAACACTTCCGAGTCAGCACCGATGACTCGCCAGGGAACCACGAAGTCAGACTCTTCTTTAACCCAGCCGGTAACGCCAATAGTGATGCGCAACCGATGATCCTGTCGCGCAGCATCACTTTCCTTAATCAACCGCTTGCGCTCACCACGAATAGGCATGAAAGCAAAATCTTCCACTTCCCGCGCATACTTGTCCATCATACGACCTGTCATTCGGCCCCCATATGCGCCAAAAAGTCCACCGACAATCACACTGCTACTCGCAAGGACACCGAGGTACCCTGCAGCAGCGGTCGCACCCAGACCAAGCCCGCCCATAATCGTCCCGAGGCCAGCTGCTACTAATGGAGCAGCCAGACCACCAGTAAGACCAATCAAAGTAGCACCAGCGACCGAGGCAATTCCGACTTTCCATTTGCGAGAGTTGTCGCTTTTCTTAGTTTGTTGTTTGGCTTCCGGATCAGATAGTGCCAATGCGGTGTCGAGGAGTCCACGGGCCACTTTTGTTTCATTGTCATTTAGCACCTTGACGTCTATGTCCAGGCTGGACGCAACATGGAGCATCAACACGCGCGAGTAGGCACTGTAATGCTCCAAGCTGAGAAGCAATAGAAGCAAAGAATTTAAAATGAGTAACCGTGTCGCCTTGGGAAGTTGGGCTAATGGAGATTCCACAGGAGAGTATATCTCAGCCAGTTTCTCCTTTCGCTGAATATCCTCGTCAAGAGGTATTTCATCTGACTGCGTAACGGGATCTTTTTCCGCCTGTGCTGAAGGTTCCTCGTCTTTGTTCACAACCTCCCCAATGCGTAGTAGCACTGCATCTCTCCAATCTTCGAAGTGAGAAAGTGCTGACTTCTTGGCTTGAGCTTTCAAAGCTTGATTTTTGATATCTGATTTGGAGGCTTGTGGTTTCTTCTCCTCTGCTGGCAAATCATTACCCTCCGATCTAGGAGGAAGTGGCGGACCAGTGTCATCGTCATGTTCCTTATCTGTTCCAGACTGAGCTGGCTGCGAAATATTCTCTGAATTTTCCGTTGGAGTTTCAAAATTCTCCAAAATTCTGCCTCTCATTGATTCCACAATCTCCGCCACGAGGATTGTGAGGTCAGCTCGTTGCGACCGGTCCAAGATTGACGTCAGATCTTGGCCGCGGTCACTAGCCGCAGAGGCAGATTTATCGGATTGTTTGGACTCAAAGAAGGGGGCATGTTTCTCTTTGAAGTTCTTAAACATTGGGCCTGATGGTAGTAATTGAGAATAAGAGTTCGACTCTCGCAAGGATGAAGAGGTCAACTGGTATGGAACTTGGTAGTGAGGGGTGCTTGGCTCTCGCCTTACCCGGCCTGAGGCAACAATCTTATACGCCCGGAAACAGAAAAACGTCAACAATAATTCAAGTTTAAATGTTGCCTTCAAGCATGAATGTTCAAAATGTTCCACTTCTACTAGTATGCATATCATGATCATGATGGTAAGCCTACTGGCTGTGCTAACCTTCCCTTCCAGATAACCCTGTAGGTAACCCTGTAGGTAATCAATTACCTAGCCATATAGGATATTCTGTATGAATATAGTGATTCTTCATATCCAATTGTCTACGGTACACTACATATCATGATCCTGTAAATGCTAGGACGCAATTAGCCCAATGCTTAGACAACTTGGAATCATCGACCTTAAGTGCCAGTGCTACTAGTACTAGTAGACTACTAGATGGACTTAAAAGTCCCAAATATTCATACCTAGTTGCTAATCGGAGTCTCCATTTAGTTCATACTATAGATAGTAGCTATAGAATGATTCCACATGTGCAGTATCCACTGATATTGATACTCATTGCCCAGGTGCAGGATCCTGTCGCCAAGCGTAGGAGCCCTCTGGCTCCAGGCTTAGTATGTAATATTACATAAATACCTTACCGTGATGTATTTTTGCGATAGTGAGTTATCTCGAAGCATCACTTCCCGGTAGTGTGTAATATAATATTATTGGTTTCCCTCCTGTCATCCAGCTTCAACTTTGGGAATAATATGTTAAAATCAATGATTTCAGCTGCTGATTGTATCATTACCGTGTCCAGAAATTTTCAGCGAAAAACAATCGCTTTTGATGGTTTCCCAAGCCTTTTTAAAAAAGACTTTCTTAACTATTACTACATCCACATTCCGACACTACATGTAAAATCTGGCACTACATTAACAATCTGGCACTACATTGACAGGCACTACAAGCGCAAACTAACACTACACCCACACAATCTGACATTAAATCCACAATCTGACAGAACGTACAATCTGGCACTACATGCGCAATCTGGCACTACATGTAAACTTTCACATTACATGATCCACATTCTGACACTGCACCCACAATCTGACAGAACTCGAACAACATTTGAACTCTGGTGTTTATTGCCAGTATATAGTAGCAGCTAGTACACTACACCAACACTGGGCAACCTCCAACGTTCCATGCTACTAGGACTCGGAAGACCTACTAATAATACATTCTAACCTTGTGGGAGGTCTGGGACTTTTGAACATGCCCCCAACACAGTGTAGACACTATTTAAAATAAAATATGTGTTGAAAAATTAAAGAGCGGTGGTAGAGTGTTGGGACTGAAGATATTTTAGCACTATAACACATACCTTAGGGTGGACATATTAGATAATTATTTAAATGTGTTCAGATAGAAAGTGTGTTGGAAAAAAACTGGTACACCCTGGTACAGGCCAACTTTCAGTCTGGTAACTTTCATCTATATAGCTACATACTTCATACCTTCCTTCCTTATTCAGGTGCTTTACAGTGTATCCCTTTCCTTTTTCTTTTGATCTACAGGGGAATTAAACCCGGGACCTACAGTCTACAGTTTACAATTTGCGATTTACAATTTACAATTTACAATTTACAAGGCTTTACAAGTTACATTTTACAACACTACAGCTACAGTTTACCAACTACACCATCTACATTATTTTAACAGCTTCACACACCAAGTCACATCTTATACAGACCACATATTCAACAAGAAGAAATTCCACAGGCAATTCAACATAGGTAATTTAACATAGGCAGTTCCACAGGTTATTCTGTAGGTTATTCTACAGGTTATTCTACAGGTTATTCCACAGATTATTCCACAGGTAATTCCACAGGTAATTCCACAGGCTATTTTCCAGCCCTAGAGGCTATAGTAGTTTTTCTAGGCTATGTTATAGCCATATCAAAGGCCACATCTATCTTAGACCCATGTTATAACCTATAATAAGTTCTAAAATAGAATAATATTTTAATAGTCTAACATATTAAGCTCTTCAACATATATTTTATCTCCAAAACATATCAATACAGCCAAGATAGCCTACATCAGAACATGTTTTTTATCGGAAATAATACCAACACGTTCATTTCGCTTCGAACGATATTACCACTATTCAATTTTTAAAACTGTGTCTACACCGTTTTAGGGGCATATTCAAAAGTCCCAGACCTCCCGCATGGAAGGCTCTGATGTCCAATTCTGTTTTTCAAGTGCTTATGATGGACATCGTACAAATGTCAGGGGCATCCGACTCGAACTTGATTGTCACCATTACTAACATCAGTCGGCTCTACTGGTAGGACCTGTGAAATAGACGCCGAAAATGACAGCTTTTGACGCTAGAAGACCGCCACCTTTCCGCCATGGTGGGGTTACTGGGGTATACAATGTGGACCCTGGGCCCGCATCCTTAACTTGCCATCGACTATTCCATTCAGTGAGACGTCGCCCCTCCAAGCCTCCATGTCATTCTCCCTTCCTTATTATCGGGACGCTGGCCAATTACCGGGGCCTCTTCCTGAGCAGAAAGAGATTGAACTGGCAACACAGACCCTTCCCAACTTGAGATCGAATTACAATGGGCGCCTGATCGCAATCAGAAACAAAATATGTTGTGAAATGGGGCCCACTTGTCGATGAAAATGAGGGACATGCTCTACTTTTTGTTGAAAAACAACTCGACATCGCAGCACCACGACTCTACGCCATGTATCGTGATCGGGACATCCTGTATATCATCATGGAATACCTCCCCGGCATTTCTCTAGGGATGGCGTGGCCTCCGCTCATTGAGGCAAATAAATGTTCGATCGTTCGACAATTGCGATGCATCTTCGGTCAAATGAGAGCGCTACCATCGCTCGGATTTTATGGCAGTGTCAACAGAGGACCCGTTCCCCATAGGTATTTTTGGTCCTCTGAAAAAGACCTTGCTGTTACCGGTCCTTTTCAGACCGCAGAAGAATTCGCAAAAGGCATCGCACTTCGCTCAAAAGCTAGGTGGAGCGATACAAATATTCGCAGCTTTCACTCAGATTATCTTGCTCGCCACCTCCCATTAGCACTCCGCAATTATCCCCCCTATGTTCACCCACGGAGATCTCTACAGGGAGAATGTTCTTGTCAGAAAAGTTGCTAATTCTGTCACCAACGAAGAAGAGTATGAGGTCGCTGCTCTTGTGGACTGGGAAACGGCTGGATGGTATCCTTCATACTGGGAATACGCTCATATCTTTCTTTTATTACAGTGGATTGACGACTGGCCAGAATATGTTGAGAAGGTTCTCGATCCTTTGCCGCCAGAGGACGCCATGATGCGGGTTGTTTTCAATTATCTGGAGTTCTAAATTAGTTGTCATATTTGAATCCTCATTTGAAACAAGGACTCCTTTCACTGTACTGAAAAGGTAAAGTTGGACATTCGAAAAATCGGCATTGATTGTATCTGTCGATTATTTAGGCTTCACTAGCAAATTCAGAAAGAGACCTAGACCTTGATGCCTGAGTAACTATTGTCTCTTTACCCGTGTCTCTAGCACTGACTCATTGCCCCGTGGAGAGTCCCAAATTTTCACAAGCTCCAGTCCAACGGTGTCAAAAAGATTCTTCCACTGGGACACAGTTCTCTCAAGTCCCGCCGTATGAAGCCACATGAGGATGTCCATCTCCGCACCTCTGAGTTCAGCACCCGTATCTGGCAGCACGTACTCATCAATCAGAAGTGTTGAATACTCCGGATCCATAGCTTCAATTATTCGTGAGAGGATCTGAGCGCTCTTCCCGTCTGACCAGTTGTGCAGTATGTTTCGCAGGAAGTATAAACGAGATCCTAAATTCAAGGTCAGTATAATCCAGAGCAAGAGCTGCAATGATAGATCTACCTTTGACAGGCTGAGGTGTAAAAAAGTCATAATCCATAGCCTCAATCCCATCCGGTAACTTCTCGATACGGTTCAATGTGACTGGCAAGTCTTGTAAGACGAATCGCCCTGGAATTTCGGGGTATCGCTTCTTGAATCTGGCTAGTTCCTGGCCAGGCCCGCCACCAACATCGACCATAAGAGCTGCGCCGGGATTTTCACGAAGAGACCCGAGATGTTCGGCTACAGGAAAGATCTCAAACCACTGAGGCATATCAGCTACACGACGTGCAGCCATATAGTCATCGAAGGCTTGTTTCTGTTCTGCGTTCTTTTCCAACAAGCCGAAGATCACATCAGTGCCGTGAGCATATTTGAATAATGTGGTGGCTCCAGGCTCATCCGCAAATTGTTGAATGCCAGGTCCGCGCATATAGTCGACTAGCATCCCGCCCTGTTCATGGTCAGATGAATAGTTTTGGTGCTTGTACGGTTGATCTCAATCTCACCATCCCAAAATCCAGATCAAAACTGGGATGCTGTTAGTATTGCACATTCATTTGATACTATCGCTTAATGAATATGGAAATACTCACTGATGCTTCTCAGCAGCGATGGATCCTGGAAGAACCTTGAAACGAGTCTTGTCATTTGCCGCGTAGAGTTGGTTACCAAGCTCATCGCATAAGCCGACAGCAGTGAGAACTCGCATCACTCGAACTGCCAGCATTTTATTAGTATTGCACATGTGGGATTTAATCATTTGAGCATTCTGCTAAGTCTGCAACTGGCACATACTGATTAAGAGAAGATCTGATCCCGTTTCCTCAGCCAGTTCAGTGGCTGAAACAGCCTTCCCATCATGAGCAACAAGAACATGAAGGAACTGATGTTCGATCGCGACTCTTATTGCAATGTTTTGTGTTATCTAGTCATCGAATTTAGTTTGAGTCATCAATTCGAGTTCGGAGTTTTATGTTTAAGACTAACCTGGAAATTCATGCGAGATGTAGTCTCAAGGGGTGTCTCTGCCGCAAGCTGCAGTTCGCGAATAGCTCTGAGAAGATCCGCATGAGAATCTTTATTTCCAGACTCCTCTGCAGCAAGTCTCTGAACCTTGGCAATAGCTTCTGATACAGACATTTTGTGTCTCAAGACTCTGTATTTTGGGTTGAAACCAAGGTATATGATCATCTGGGTGCTGGGTGGGGGTAAGATGTGAAACGAGTAGCCTTAAATTGATGCAAAGCAACAAATGACAAATCTCGGGCTGCACAGACCGAAAAAGAAAGTATAGTTCAAGCAACTTGGCGAGATATTCTATGATATGATCTCCACTTATTTACAGGGATTTAGCTTGGATCTTCAGTCGGAGTCAGTCCCAGATAACCCCGTCTACGGTAACCTCTCTGTCTCCTCAATAATTCTGCAACTTTTGAAAGAGCAAGCAAAAGCATGTACATCGTAGAGAGATCCCGAGAATTTTCCTCTCATTTTGGTAGGTCCTCATAGTGAAAGACGCCTATGCTACTAATTATAGCTTAGGTCCCTTGGTCTTCAGAGTGTGGAATGAAAAATGAAATCATCTCTTCCATTGGTTCAATGATCAGATCAATATTAGGACCCTTATTAAGCATCAGTTGAAGTTTCAACAACACCAAGTACCCTAATATATGGTGAGCATGGAAACTCCGTATATCCACTGCACATGTGGCAGATTCCAAGGAAATAACTCACTCGTCCTCTCTGAGTATGAGATGTTCTTCTCCATCAATTGTTATCTTAGTCCCAGCGTACTATATGAACTGTCAACGTAACCTTCTGAGCCCTTTCATAGGATAATTGTGTACCTTTGAGAACAATACCTTGTCACCTGGCTTGATCTCCATTTCACTAACACTTCCATCTTCGAGGGTCTTGCCGCGACCGACTGCCATGACTGAACCCTGGACGGAGGATTTTTGCTCCTCTGCATCCGGGTTGACTATAATTTTACCCTCGAGGGGCTTGGTTGTCTGTATAATTTCAAGTTGTGAGTATAAATTGAACTTGGTCATTTCATTTTTTATATTCAAGTTTTACAATATCTATCAGTAATTTCGAAAGAAATGTTAAGAACGTACCATCTTTGCTTAGGGTCCCGATTGACTTTGAAATAAAATGAAGTAGTCATCTGATATAATTCAAATGTTCAGTTAGGTGGAACTAGGAGCTTAATTTATAATAGACTAAGAACGTTGACACTATGAGTAATATTAGTACCAATCAGTCTCATTATGGATAAAAGAGAGGAAAATACACAAAATAACTAAAATAACATACGTATCTACATAATATGCATAGTAAAAGGGAGGACTGTGATCTTATGTGTAACAGCACCTGGGCACTTGACTCGGAGCTTAAATTTGGTCAACCCTCCAGCCTGCCAGTGGGGCTGTAGAAATAGATGGACTAATAATCCAATCATCCATATGAGGTATATCTCACGCAATTTGGAGTACAGAGTAACGAGATAGATAGAGTAGCGAGATATATGAATTAACCAAGTAAGACATTTATATTTGGAAGGGATATCCATCTGGACATTCTCTACAAGAGAACATTTGAATTTGAGACAATAGGCTATGATTATATTGGGACAAATACTAAGCAGCTAGCTGCCCAGGTGTGCTACCAGTACGTGAGACTCATGTGCATCCATGCCATTTAGTTCGCAACACAATATGAGCACTTCCAAAGTTACGCTACTCTATGTGGATTTAAAATTCGACTTATGACAGCTCTGTAATTATTTTTGTGATTTCGAGAATCCAAAAATGGAGCGAAACCATTATGAATTGAAAGGAAATAGAAGCCAAAAACTAGAAGAAAAAAGCAGAGCACAGAGCTTCAGCCCCTAGAGGTTATCAATCACACCGTGACCATCCACCAATGGCAGTTGACGGGTACAGACTTCAAGTTGGCATCAGACCTGTACATGTGCCATTGCTGGCTGGGAGGAGGGGTTATACATAATAGGTCAAAAGTCTGGGTACACTCCATATATAAGATTTCGGCCGAAAAAGATAACCCCCACGTTAAAGAAATTCTTAAAAATCCAATTCTCAATATTCCGGCTTGAGATTGACTAAGAATACAAATAAATGAATAGACTTTCCCTTCATACACTAATATTTAGTGTAATACCCCCGAACGTTGTAAACCGCCTTACAACGCTTAGTAAATGACCGGATTAAGCCATCGATGATTTCTTGTGGAATATTCCACCAGGCACGCTTCAATAAATCATGAAATTCAGTCCAGGCCACTAAGGAACGTCCGGTATGTCGTAGATCAGGGCGTAATTTAAAAACCTTGCGTTTTAGCAGGAACCAGCAGACCTTAATTGGGTTTAAATCTGGTGAATGGGCAGGCCAACCCATGATGTGTATTCCATGAGCTATAAAAAATTCTTGTGTAGTCTCTGTGGTATAAGACCTAGCATTATCTTGCTGAAAGATTATATCTGATATGTAAGGGTATAAAAAAGCTTATTTAAGAGCCCACTGGTAAGATCTAGCTGAGTATCCACCACAAGGGGCTTTGGAATCACGCTATATGATAACTAGATCCGTACAGTTACTAATCCAAATACCACCCTAGAACATTTAGGCAATATTATGGCCATTGTTAGTTAGATTAACTAGGTCATATCAATAGGCCTCTAAAGCTAGTTCAAATACCTATTAAGTTATTAAATCTGATCACCTTTGAACTAAGCATTTATCGCTGAATACTTCTAATTCGTTGAAATACTGCCATTGATGTGTAAAATTCAGCCTCTGACGGATATCTCCTTTCTTTAATAGGATTCGACGACGGGATTTCCATTTATGGATCTTATAGTGGCGTAAGCATCGGTAGGCAGTTGATCTTGATATGCCTAGGCCTGTCTTAGCAATCAGGGCTGCCCAGCTCATTCTGGGGAACCTACGACACATCTGATAAACATAACGCGTAATTCGATTACTAACCAAGGTAGGGCGACCTGAGCGAGGACGCGACTTCATGTTGTTATGTTCCTGAAAGCGTTCCATCGTACGATATACAGTCGTGCGGCTGATTTGAAAATCACGCGCAATTTGAGCTGGTTTATTACCCAGTTTAACTGCTGTGCCGATAGTAAAACGTAGTTCAGCTGATAGCTTTGTATTTTTTGGTCGATTTCCATTAATCACCGTGCCGAAAGCTCTCATCTTGGTGGTATTATGAATTTTGGAAGTTGGTGGGTTGAAAAATTAAAGTTCTACAGAAAAAGTGTACCCAGACTTTTGAACAGGCATGTACATATACATACCCAAATTTTGTCCCATAATGTGCACCTTCAGATACATTGTATTCAAATAATCTCTCTACTAGTATTAACCTTCGCCATCTATCCTTCCTTGATATGCCTCTGAAGTTATTGTAGTCTTCTTCGTTACCAAAATCTGCTTTCCACTCGCCTCGACTCCTGCATCCTGCCTAGAAATTCCACTGTGGCGAGATGCACATGTTACAGCATTGCCTGGAAGACTCCAGGGTTTTGGTGTTTGTTCACTCAGCGGTACCCATGCCTGATTTTGTTCTCTACTGTCATCCAAATACCCCCGACCAGTAGAGCGTTTTCCCGAGCTTCGAGAGGAAAACCCGGCGGCGCTTTTTATATCTTGTGTGAATCTGACGAAAAATGGACGGAGGGTAGGAATGGAGCCGAATATGATGATGAACCACATCTCAGTCAACACCCAGGTGTTGAGTTTGTAGATCGCATAGGTCAGATCGGAGGATTGAAGAATGGAGGCAATTGCAATGGTCTTGTTGATTCCGGCTATTCCTGCTCTATACCTAGTCAGACGAAGAAGAAGATAGAAGGATTTTAACATTCAAGGATACCTACATCAAGCCGCCTCCCATAATTAAGCAAAGTCCAATTTTTGTGGAGAGTTTCATTAACTGGAGTCTTCCGATAATGTAAACAGGGTATGTGGCTAGGAAGAAGTCTGAGAATGCTCCGATACCTATTATTGACGAATTAAGCCAGAGGAAATTGGATTCACTTTGGGAGGAGGGCGCAGATGAAGAAAATAACCGTTGACACCACTTACTTCCTTGAGCATATCCAACCTGCGAGCAAAGAAGGATTCCATCGCATGTTCCCGGGAGAGAATTATCCCACAACTTTGCCGTTGGCGTGCATTGCTTGAATATCAGTCCGATTTCAATCACGTTGATGATCGCTTGAGTCGCTCCAACAATGTATAGAAGATACCTGCTCCTACTTCTAGTGCCGCTTTGAATAGTCAACAAGAAAGCAATAACAGCAATACGTGCGATGACCAAGTCAAGTATCGCTATCACTTGGGCAATCCAGCTCCATAAGTTTGTTTGCACAATCCTATGAGGAGACAGGAGGTTCTGGTGGGTTCCAAGTCCATACCAAACGCTCACTGTCATCGTACTCTCAGCTGCTAGAGCCACAGTCTGTCCCAGTCAGAATTCAAATCCGCCACATTCGAAGGAAATTGCCATTTCACATACAAAAGCAATCATCACCCAGACAAAGTCCCATCGCAGACCAAACAAGCCTGAAGATAATTGTCGCGACGGAGAAATCGACGCTGTCTTGGCTCGAAGGACGATTAAAATCAATGCGAGTCCCATTTCCGCCCATGTTACTCCCATAACTACGGGGCCCTTTCCTCCATTGGCAGTGGAAGAGCCATTTGTCATTGTCTTCAAGTTGACGTGGACAAGATCCGACGGGAATAATCACCAGAAGATCCGAGAGCTATTCCCGGGGTAGACGGGTTGTATATACATTCCAGTGAGAAGAATTCCCGTGCTGACATGGTGCTCCCTAGGACTCGATTGACTTTGTCTTCTGCCTCCTTACAAGCTTGGAATCCTGACTAGCGACCGTCACGTTGCCATCGGGCACCCGGCTTGTGTGACCCCAAATACTTTGACGAGTTTACGATCGGCCTCGAGCCTTCCGATACGCAAGGTCACCACCACGTTGAAAAGTCAAAAAGTCGGAGGCGTGGAGATCAGGCTATCCTCCACTACTAGCGTGGTTGGAAATGCTAAAGGATATGTAGATCATGCAAGCCAATTTTCTCTTGTTTGTGATTACTATTGAGCCCCTTGTTGCACTAATGCATGAAAATGCACCTCCAGGGCTACCTGCCTGTTTTGGACCAATCTGCGCTCAGTTGAAACCGGGGATCAGCATCAGCATCTCTTTCTGAATAGGAATTGTTGCAGCATCGAGTTTGATGGAGGCATTTCTTCATTCTTTTTCATTTGTTTCAGATTGGTTTGACAAAGCTTGGGAACTCTCCTTTTATACCAATTCATTTCATGAGTGACTTGTTCTAGACAATATCAATTACGAGACAAACCCCAAGAAAAACACCTCTCAATCAGAGTTCTCCTGTATCACCATGTGGTTAGGAGCGATTAGGCCACCCAAGCATATCGGCATGGCTCAAACTTGGTGGGTGGTTCAGAGAATTGTACTTTGTTACTAACCCCTGGGATTCGCCCACGTTTCCTCGATGCAACCATTCTACTGAAATTATAGACATGATTTGCCTGGACCAGTCTCTTGATCAGTGTTGTTCATCTACTGTGATCTACTCTCGATAGCTCAAATGCTAGCCTTGCTACTCCCCCTCGTTTTATTTCTCCGAGTTCGAAAAGCAATTTCAGTTTTTCCTCCTGTCTACCCTGCTTGTACGACCTCATAAGAATTTTCTTGTTCCACTTTGCTTTTTCGTTTTGTGTTATTCTTTGACCGGCAGTCCTTCATCATCACAATGGCCTCACCTATACCGCCATATGAAAAGTCGGTCAATCATCTAAATGCTCCTGGAGTGCTCGAGGAAGTCGAGGCTCTTGAGGGCTACGTGATCGATCCGAGCCATTATGCAGACAATGCAGCTAGGCTAAAGACCACCAAGGACGGTCGATTTGTTCTTATTCCACAACCGTTGGACTCTACAGAAGACCCGTTGAACTGGAGAGAAAGTAAGAAGCTCCGCATTGTTGCAATCATCGCGTACATTGCCTTGTTAGCGGACTACACAGGTGGGACAGCGATCATCACTGTTATTCCACAGTCTATGTCAGCATTCCACATAAGCATGGACTCCCTGTACATTACTAACTTTAAAATTATAGACAATGGGGCCTATCTCAAGAAAAAGTCCAGAGAGCCGTTGTGGGAAACCTCTTCACGATTGGTGTCTGTGGATTAGTTGTTGTGCCCCTGACAAGCTATTTCGGGCGCTGGCCAGTCACCTTGGTTTTTCAATGTATGATGTTGGGAACCTGCGTCTGGTCTGCAGCAGCCACGAGTTTTCCCTCGTATCTTGCAGCACGAATTCTTAACGGTTTCTTTTGCAGTGTTGGACAAGGAGGTGCGTTGTTATGGATCAAGGATCTATTCTATTTCCATCAACATCCGCAGGTCATCAACTATGTTGAATTCTCGATCATTCTGAGTCCCTACCTTGGTCCACTGATTACTTCCTTCATTGTATCGGAGGTGAGCTGGAGATGGGCATTCTGGGGTTGTACTATTCTGTCAGGAATTGGCCTGATTCTTGTCTTCTTTATGGATGAAACGCTCTTTGACCGCAAAAATCCTATCACATTGCGAGGCTCTTATGTTTCTCGTATTCTCGGAGCTAATCAGGCTCAGAATTGGAAGCACAAGAGCTTCTTATCCTGCATGTCACGCCCCATAGTGGCTATAGCCAAAGTTCCTGTGCTTATCATTATCATATACTACTTTCTCAACTTTGCTTGGGTGATTGGTGTGAATACAACCATCGCGATCTGGCTTAGCGATATCTATGGATTCTCAACCCGTGGCATAGGTGAGCCTTGAGCCTAGATGAGCACCAGATATCCCACAAACTGACTACTCATAGGCTACTTTTATTTCTTTGGAATTGTCGGCTGTCTCGTCGGCTGGTTCATTGGTCACTTCCTCCACGATGCTGTTGGAAGATACTATACCAACCGACATGCTGGACGTTTACATCCCGAGGCCAGACTCATAATCACATACCCAGCCACGATTCTCTGTTGTGTCAGTCTTATTATTCTTGGACTCGCATTTCAGATGCATTGGCACTATATGGTCATTGCGGTATTTGCTGCGACGCAATGTGTGGGAGTCATGATTGTCACCACTGCAGTGAATGCCTACTTGCTTGACTGCTACCCTGAAGGATCAGGTGAAGTAGGTGCCTGGGTCTCGGCGAGCCGAAGCTGGGCTGGATTTATGGCAACTTATATCCAAATTGAATGGGTGGATCGTACTGGGCCTGCGAAGGCGTTGGGTATCCAAGCTGGGATTACTGCTGCGTCGTTGTTTTTCATGGCTTTCTTGCAGGTATATGGAAAGCGAATGAGGAAATGGCAGGGTCGGATGGTTTTTCAAGTTGGGAATACTGTTTGATTTATAATGAGTTATGAAGAAGGTCGCGTTATAGTAAAAAATGGACCAGCTATACATACGAGGTTCTTGGTTACGACGAGTAGAATCCACGGCAGGAATCCCCCAATGGTTTGAAGCCACAATTACAAGAGACATAATTATTTTAACTCAAAAACAGTATGAGAACAATGATGAGTTAGGAGGCAGGCAGGCCAATAGCTGCTCCCATGGGGTATATTTAATAGTACAATGAGAGATAGTATACAGATACAAATGAAAGCCTTAGCTGCTGCCAGTTTCAACAACAAAATATTTTCCTTTTGTCTTGGAAGCAGAGCCAAGCACATTGCCATCCCAAGTCTCCCCATCCGGACGATCATTTTTCTTGTCCTGTGTGCGCTGAATCCTCCTCTGTCGCCCACTAACATTCTCCTTGGTAAGTGCATCACGAAGCTGGTCAAGCCCAATGGTTGTTTCCTTAACAGCAGCGGCTGTCTCATCTCGGATACTGCGCAGTGGCTCAACACCTGTGGTATCAACCTGCTGCATTTCTTTCACGAAATGGATTTGTGACTCTAGTGTCTGCAACATAGACTGCTCTTCTTCCGCGTTGGAGGGTTGTGGTAGAGCTGATAGACGAAGGAGATGGCGGAGTTGTTTCGGGGTGATTGAAAGAGTAGATGGCGTAGAATTTTCATCGGGGAGTAATGCTCTGACCGACCAGCTTGGTTTAGCAAGCATTGACTCCAGTTCAGCAGGTATTTGAGTGCTTGAGTAGGTGCGGATGATCGGTGTTCTGTGTCGCAAGGACCGAGGAAGGCGCGAGGCCGCGCGCAGAAGAGACATTATTATAGAGTGATTTAAATTTGCGTCTTAGGATCTGTCTGATCACCACGTATCACTGAATTATGAGACCTGACAGGAAAATCCTTTGTATTGAAAGACGTTGCGAATGTTGAAAAGCAGCTAAACTGAAATGCGGGCAAAAGAGACACCGCCTCCGCCGATCGACAACATCGATGAGATAACCCGATTATACTCCAACCTTAGCATTCTCCTACCCAACCCTTCCAATCTGAATCAAACCAAGGCGGAATACACAGATTCCTCTACATCGCCATGGCTCAAGATCCCCGAGCCCTCCTCCAAAAGGTGAGCTTGGATCTCTTTACCCCTCGTTATGCAGATGTACCTAAAGCTAGGTAATGACGAAAGCCCGTGATAACTAACCATGTCTTGCACCGAGCGGGGATATAGGCCGACAAAGCTCTTTCTGGCGCCTCAGGAGGCTTTAGCTGGTTTGGAGGACGCACTGAGAAATACGAAAGTGCCGCAGATCTGTTTACCCAGGCAGCGAATGCCTTTCGAGTCCAGAAGTTGAGTGAGTTCGCCCCCTCATACTCGCCACGTCGACTGTAGCTGTTTACTGACCTCTTGGTTGTTTCGCATATATTTAGATAAGGAAGCTGGTCAAGCTTTTGAGCGTGCGGCTGCGATTCAGACCCAGAATCTTAACGAACCCGACGATGGTGCGAATACCCTCCAGGAAGCTTTCAAGGTGTACCGCAAGTCAGACCCGGAGGATGCGGTCCGCGTGCTCTCTAGCGCGATTCAACACTACGTACTTAAAGGGAAACTTGCGCCGTGCTGCTACCCAACAGCAATATTTGGCTGAGGTTTATGAGGTTGAGCTGGGCGATATGAAGAAAGCGTTGGATGCATATGAGAAGGCTGCGGAGTGGTTTGAGAGTGACAATGCTGAAGCGTGAGTATATCCTTGTGGGGGAGACCATGTATAGTTGGATACTGTGCTAACAAATTGGACTATAGTCTCGCGAACAAGCACTTCCTCAAAGTGGCAGACCTCGCTGCTTTGGAAGGAGACTACTACAAATCCATCAAGCACTACGAGCGCATTGCCAGCCAGTCCATGAACAACCATCTCATGAAGTGGTCAGTGAAGGACTACTTCTTGAAGGCAGGAATCTGCCATCTTGCCACCAATGTATGTCTTCTTCCGCCTGTGTGCTTCAATCAAATCCATTAACCTAAATCTAGGACCTTGTCGAAACAAACCGGGCATTCGAATCCTACCGAGAAATTAACCCTGCCTTTGTCTCAGAGCGAGAGCACCAGCTTCTGGTGGATCTTCTTCAGTCTATCGAAAGCAAGGATCAGGAGATGTTCGCCGATAAGCTATTTCAATTTGACCAGCTCAGCAAGCTCGACAAGTGGAAGACGACTTTGCTTTTGCGTATCAAGAACAATATCGAGGAAGAAGAGGAGGACTTCTCGTAGAAGATGATTACTTGTTTTTTAATGCTTGGTTCTGATTCCCCCGCCTTTGCTGTGCAAGGAATTTTGTTTGGATGATTTTTCACTCTTGGGTAGTTGGTTGCCCTTCATTGTCTCTTTTCATCTGTATGGCTTGGAAATACATACACACAAGCCTTGCAGTGACACCCTGATGTTACGTACTTGAGTAGATAGTACATCTTGAAATGAATGCTAGACGATTCAAATGCCAGATCAGAAGCGAAAGTATACAAATTAAAGTACTATAGGGTTGAGGAAATTGGCGGGTATACATGCACAGCATGGTTTATGCGATCGTATAGGTGCACCTACGAGAAAACTACTACATCAAAACTCCAAATCGAAGACAAAAACTTGAAAAAATCGTCACTCATTATGAAATCTCTCAGATCTATTTACTTTTAAGGTGTATCAAGACAGAGTCCTGGAGTATTGAGGGTATCAAGAACCATCACCCATCGTCTCATATTCACAATAATATGACACTCATCCATCCCATATAACAAAGCGCCAGAATTGTGCATTTAAGCACAAACAGCCTCCAAAGCTCTGGCCTTGCGAGGGAAAACACGCTTGTACAGACTGATTCCAATGGAATCTTGTGGGTTGATCTTGGCATCGAATGTAGCCTTGAAGTAACCGTGCGTACCGAGACCCTCCTTGATGTATCCACTGCGGCCGCGACGGGTCCAGAGCTGCAGAGCCTTGAACCAGCTGACGTCTTCAGAATTGAAGAACATGTAACGGACTGTGACGACCTTCTTGTGGATCTTGTATGGGTGTCCGGTAAGGATAGCACGCTTGGCAATAACACGGGCTGGGTCGGGGGCAACGACTGTGCCAGTAGCGATAAGATCGAGTCGGTCCAAGGACAAAGGCTGTTCCTTGTCGTCCGCTGAGTCGAGGACCTCAGGGTCTTGCTCGACGGGCTTGTTCTTGAAGACAAGCACAGGGACAGCACCCCAGGTCATGGGTCCAATCCAGGATGCGATGGCGCTACGGCCTGGATGCAGGAAGCGATCGAACTTGTGCACGTTGTTGGGAGTGTTGTCAGAAGATGAGAAGATAGGGTTGACCACCATACGGCGAGGTCCACACTGAACGATAATCTCCTCCTTGGCCCTGAGAGGCTTCTCGACGTATGAGCTCATAGTCATGTTGATGTTAACAACGGTGTGCTTGTGCTCATGGCGGAGCAGCGAGAAGAGTGAAACGGGCTGGGGCTTGTTGCGGAGCAAGGCAGGAACAGCACGAAGGTGGACATCAACGCGGATACCCGGGTTAACACCGCCGACAAGAGCCTCACGGGTGACACGGTTCTTGGTACCCTTGTAGTCACCAAACTGCAGCAGTCTCCGCCAATCCTCAGGCTCGAAGGGGCGATCCTCAGATGTCTCCCAGGGACTAAGCTTGAGGTTCTTAAGACCACGGAAACGGGCCAGACGCTCTCTAGCCAGGACATTGGGGTGCAACTCAATTTCATCGGGGAACTCAAGGTCTTCTTCGGCCTCAGTCCGGCGACTGGCACGGTAATCTGCAAGTTGTTGGGCCTCATCCTCTGGCGATGGGTCAAGGAACATCTCTGATTGAGGGTACTCGGAGGGTCCACCCTCGGTCATAGCATCTGCATTGTCAGGGAAGATACCATCCTCGGGGGCACCGGTTGTATCCATCTCCATCTCCTCATCCTCCTCTCCGTCATCGATGTCAGAGCCAGAGTCGGAAACATCTTCAAGATACCAAGCAGACTGGTATTCAGAGGTACCCTTCGGCAAGCGCTTAGGCTTTTCGGGAATGTGTGAATCATCGTCTGAGAAGTAGTGGTGATCATCAAGCAAGACACCCTTACGCTCAGTTTCGGCTAAAGAGTGCATGTCGTCATCGTGGTCCTCCATCTCAATTTCCTCTGGCGCCACAGTAGCCATATCATCCTGATCGGCAGTGGGTCCATCCAGGACTTGAACAGTCTCGTCGGTGTCAACGTTCATATCATCATCACGCTTGCTCTTAGTGGCGAGCAAAGGAGCAGCAGTAATTGAAGCGATCTGGAAATCGCCCCAGCCGGGGATATGAGTGATTCGGTCCGCCTTCAATCCCATTCCACGCACAACACCGGTAATGACAACATCGTCTACCACTTCCGCGTTGACTTCTGGCCACTGGACATTTTCGATGAACATCCAGCTGCGCTCATCACGCCAGCGGATACCCTTAGGTGTCGCAGTGCAAAGTGAGCGGATAGCGTTAGAGCATTCCTGTCGCGAGTCCAGGGACATAACCTTCTCAACGGCGGGGAAGAAGTGGTTGATGTAAGACTTGAGAGAAGCAGCAACTTGGGAGCGCTTCTTGACAGGGTTCACCTGGTCCAGACCCTGGACAACAGTGATAACATTGGAGATACCCTGGCTTTCAATCGAGCGCAACAAAAGCTCGGCATCTTCTTCCAGCATGTCCTCGGCGGACATGACCAGAACAACGAAATCGGCCATACGGCATACATCTAAAGCGTGCAAAAGGTCGAATTTGGATGGAATGTAAAGAAGACTTTGGCGAAAACGGTCGATGCGCACACGGGTGACGCTGTCGGGCGAAACTGCAGTGGAAACATCGACGCTCTCGTTCAGCGCGCTGATGGCAGCCGTGGCATCGATCTGAGCGGACAATGGCACAACAGCGACGTGGCGAGGAGCACCATTTTGACCGGTGAAAACGCTGTTGGCCTGGGCCTTCTCCTGGTGCTTCAATTGTTGTCTCTGGCGAGCTTGGTTACGGCGATCGAGTCTCGACTTGAGCTGCTGGTGGGGGGGTTTTGCGAGTGCCCCGCTCTCCCTCGACTTTGCCTAGATGGATGTCAATATATGATACAAAAAATTCCAGTATATTTTGTGCTCAATTATGATTATGCATACCCTTAGCCTTCTCCTTCAGAGCACTCTTGGAGGCATGCTTGCTCTTGTAAGGCTTGTGGGAAACCTTGGTGGTAGAGCGGTGGTGGTGCACCTGGGTGGGCGCCATGTTGGCACTGGACCCTTTAAAACGATATGGGAGGGAGTCCAGTTTGAAGCGAAGAAGGATCTCCTCAAGACCTCTTCCAATGAGATTTTTTAATAGAGCGAGATGAATATAGACGGCGATGTCTACTAAGACAAAAAAAATTGCCGATAAGAAAACAAAAATTTGATAGTGGAGAGGATAAGCGGAAGCGGTGAGAGTCGGCGAAATTTTTTGGATTTTACGATTCTCCGCAACAGCAAGAGTTGACTCTTCTCTTCTTTTCGATTAGCTTGACAGCCCATAATTCATAATGGCGCATCCAACTTCCAAGGCCGTTATGTCGGCCGAAGAGCGTGCCGAGAAGCAAAGATTTTCTCAGGCCGAAAAGGTCTACGGCCGTGGCAAAGCAGTATCATCGAAGGGTGTTCATGACAAGAAGCTTCGTGCCAACCTTAAGGCGCAAGAAGCAAAACAAAAACAGGCAATTTTGCAAGCGAAGGATGCCGAGATTCTGCTGGAGCATGAGGCGGGATTCCTTGAGCCTGAGGGTGAAATCGAACGAACCTACAAAGTGCGACAGGATGAGATTCAAGAGAGCGTTGGAATCGAGACTGCGAAGAAGGGCTTCGAGCTCCGATTGAACGACTTCGGTCCCTATCGCATGGACTACACACGGAACGGTCGCGATCTTCTATTAGCTGGTCGCAAGGGTCACGTTGCGACAATGGATTGGCGAGATGGCAAACTGGGCTGTGAGCTCAACTTGAACGAGACAGTTCGCGATGCGCGCTGGTTGCATAATAACCAGTTCTTTGCGGTTGCGCAGAAGAAATATGTTTACATTTACGATCATCAAGGTGTTGAATTGCACTGCTTGAGCAAGCATTTGGAGCCTCTTTTCCTTGAATTCCTGCCCTACCACTTCCTTCTTGCCAGTGCTGTGAGTTTTCTGCGGTTCTTACTTAAGTTATCGGCGTAAACTAATCTCTCACTTTCTTTGTATAGCAAATGAGCGGTTACCTCAAATACACTGATACCTCGACAGGTCAAACTGTCGCGGAACTTCCTACCCGTCTTGGACGCCCGACTGCCCTCTGCCAGAACCCATCTAACGCTATTCTCCACGTTGGACACCAGAACGGAACTGTGACTCTGTGGTCACCAAACTCTCAGACCAACCTTGTCAAGGCTCAAGTGCACAATGGACCAGTCCGTTCTCTTGCAATTGACCGCCTGGGTCGCTACATGGTCTCTACTGGCCAAGACCAGAAGATGAATATTTGGGATATTCGTATGTTCAAGGAAGTTCACTCATACTCTTGCTACCAACCCGGTGCATCCTTGTCAATCAGTGACCGTGGTCTTACAGCCGTTGGCTGGGGTACACAAGTCAGCGTTTGGCGCGGTCTCCTTGATGCCGCACAGGCAGACCACGAGAAAGTGCAAAGCCCCTACATGGCGTGGGGTGGTGACGGCCAGCGTATCGAGAATCTCCGCTGGTGTCCTTACGAAGATGTGCTCGGTGTTGGACACGACCAAGGTTTCGCTAGTATCCTCGTCCCCGGTGCCGGTGAGCCCAACTTTGACTCCCTCGAGGCAAACCCTTACGAGAACGTCAAACAACGACAGGAGGCCGAGGTTCACTCGCTGCTTACAAAGTTGCAGCCGGATATGATCTCTCTGGACCCCAACGTTATTGGTCGTCTCGATACTATCAACGACAAGAAGATGCGGGAGGTGAAGGATCTCGACCGTCGGCCCGAGGAGCATATGGAGAAGATCAAGAACCGTGGTCGTGGCCGCAACAGTGCTCTGCGCAAGTATCTGCGCAAGAAGGGTCAAGGCAATGTTATCGACGAGAAGAGACTCAAGGCCGAGGCTTTGCGCAAGGACCATGCCGAGCGTCGCAAGGGCCAGCTTCAAAAGGCGCGCGACGATCTGGGCCCTGCCTTGGGTCGCTTTGCCAAGCGGGATGCTTGATCTTTCTTTGCCTGTTTCTTTTACTTTGCGCTCTCTTCTTTTATCTGTTGTCGATCGGCGAGGAAAAGCACTGTATATCTTCGGACAACCACCAGATACCCAGCCGCGGCTTCTTTGTGAGATACCAAACAAGACTCGGTGGCCTCTGCATTTCAGGCGTTAGGAACGGCATGAATAATGTATGTATAGAAATTTTATGGACAGCCAAAAGCAGTTGATTTGTATTATTGGAGAAATCCGAGCGCTTCGTGCAAGTTTAAATGTCACAAATACTAGTAATTGTAGTTGAGCTCTATTACGCGAATTTCAACTCGAAGTTTGCATGTGCTTAGTGAAATCTTCAACTGGTTAAACTTGAAGGATTAGCTCAGGCTACTACCTATGCATAAAATTAGTGTCTCCACTGGCATGCAGCATCTAACGATCGTTGAAACACCGCCGTGACACTAGTACAGGGCTCAATCCGAGTCGGTAGCATCTACACTGGCAGGTGACTGATGACCGACCCCTTTTTGTATGTAGGTACGTCCAGGGTTAGCTGGAAGGTTAGCTGGAAGGTTATCTGAAAGGGAAGGTTAGCACAGCCACTAGGCTTACTAGTACCATCATGATCATGATATGCATACTAGTAGAAGTTGAACATTTTGAACACATTCATGTTTGAAGGCAACATTTGAACTTGAATTGAACATTTCAATCCGAAAAGCCAGTTATATAGCAGCATATAGCAGCTACAAGATTTGAACTAGTCTTGCAAATATCTCCAGATATCTACTCATCCACGCTACCAGAACCACGAGGAGCACCCTCCTTCCACCTCTGCACACTAACATCATAAGCACCACTTCCCTTCCAAGCACTCAGAATCAAGTTAACAATATGATTCATTCCCTTTCCATCCTTAACAACCGCAAAGATAGTAGGACCATCCTCTCTCATCTTGGCCGCATCCCGCTCCATAACCTTCAAGTCCGCACCAACAGCCTCAGCCAAATCAATCTTGTTGACAATCAGCAGATCCGAGCCAGTGATACCCGGTCCACCCTTACGAGGGACCTTGTCACCACCAGCTACATCAATAACGTAGATAATAAAGTCCGCCAGCTCGCGACTGTAGTTCGCGGCAAGGTTGTCACCGCCAGACTCGATGAGGAGCAGATCGGTGCTGAATTGCTTTTGGAGGGTTTGCAGGGCCAGGAGGTTGGCGCTGATGTCTTCACGGACAGCGGCGTGTGGGCAGCCACCTGTCTCGATGGCGCGGATACGGGAGGGTGCGAGGGCTTTGTGGCGGGTCAGGAATTCGGCATCTTCGCGAGTGAAGATGTCGTTGGTTACGGCGGCGATGTTGTATTCGTCTCGGAGAGCGAGGCAGAGAGCACGCATAAGAGCGGTCTTTCCGGAACCGACGGGACTATAGAGAAATAATTCTTATGTTAGTTTTTAGATCTCATACTAGCTGCCAGTAGGATTTTGGGTTAACTGCTAGGATGGAGGTATATAGATCCGGGGTAAGCTTGGACTAGTAATAAGGCTGGATGATATATAGACATCCACCATACCACTAGTAATAAAAGCTTGAAGCAAGCCATATTCTAAACCCATATTTGCAGTTCTGTTTGTGTTTGCGCACTCACCCTCCAATACCAACAGTGAAGGCACGGTCCTTCCAGTCTCGACCCTCAATCAGCGGCATCTCGCGGTTGATGTAGGAGCCTGGGCCATCGAGGATATCGTGGGAGTGACCGTGACCGTTGAAAGGGTCATCGTGGGAATGGCTAATGCCAGCGTCATGAGAGTGAGAGTGAGCCATTGTATACAAAAGATCTGGATATATGAAAAAGTTGAAATTGGTGGGCTTGGAGGGGCACACAGCAAGGGGTGGAGACTATCGATAAGAAAAAAATGCCGAGAACTGCGATGACAATGCCCGTAACGCCGGACTCGGAGCTCTCCGAGATCATGAATAATACTTAAAAGACTTACTACAAATGGAAAATGATGAAATATATGTATGATGTTCACGCAGATTGCTGAGATATATGGATTCGTCAAATAGCGGCAAACCGATGAGCCCCGGTGTCATTAAGAATCTCAACGACCAGAACCAAAAGGAAACCCCCAAAATGCTCGCAGACGTATTTCCAGAAAACACAAAAGACCTGACGCCAGGTGCGATCGCCAACACGGATATCAAGAGTTTGGCCATATCAATATGACCGAAAAGCAAAGGGGCAAACGCCCAACCCGCAAAAAAGAAGAAATGAAAAAAAGAGGAACAATCCAAAAAAAGTCGTCAATCCCCAGGCGCAAAAAATAAGGAGATTCCAAATATTCCAGAGAACCCAGAACAAAGAATTCAGGCGATGATTCAAAACCAACAGGAAAACAGAACGCTGAAAAGGGAGATAGAGTACATTAAGGGTCGGAGCGGATATTGAGACCAATGGCGTATGAGTGATCAGTAACCACCTGGTGCCAGCTTACCCAGCTGGTAGGATGGGAACCAGACAACTCAACTGCATCGGGAAAGAAGCAGATTTTATCGTCAGAGTACCGAAACGGAAAAACGAAGAGAATATAAAAAAAGGCAGGTTAGGGCATCTGTTCAGGCATCAGCTGGCTCATAAAATGGACAGAAAAGACAAGGGGCAGGCAAATAAGAAATGCCTCGCTTTGGTATCCGATCATGCGCCGATCCCCAACTCTTGAAATGATGAAAAACGAATAAAAATAAAACGAAAAACGAAGACAATGCCAATTAAGACGCTGCTCCCTTCTGTCGCTTAGGCACCCGGGGGCTAGCTTTCACTTTGCCTGACCCAGGCGCATTCCCATTGACTTCGCCCTGGGACTCGTCATTCTCTTGCTTCACCGTACTAGCTCGCCGGCGTTTGTTGCCTCCGACATTAGGACTGTTATTCACACCAGCCGGAGATGGTTGAACCTGCATACCAGGCGGACCAGAAAGCTGACTCTGAGCAGGACTCGCGTGAGCTGAACCAGTCAGGTGGGGCGAGCCTTGGCCCCCAGGCAGGCCAAGATGAGCCATTGCAGGAGATGCGAATTGCGAAGGGGGTCCCATAGTAGGGTTACGGCCCATAGCCTGCATTCCAGCGGCCATGGGGTTTTGGAAGGTTTGATTGGGGTTCGGAGGAGTCTGATGGAAATTGCTGACAAGCCCTCGGAGAGCATCGTTGGCGGGTAGGTGGGGGTTCTGGCTGGAAAAGTTGAAGAGCAATTGCATCTGTGACATCGTTTCGGCCACCTCCAAGAATTGGATGACGGCACCAGGAACACCATTTGAGGTCACCATAGACTCGGGCAAGACTATTGATTGTGTTTGTTTCTGTGCTCTCTTGGCTGCACTCTTCGCGAGTTTGGGGCTTTGCTTCTGCTCCATAGTATCCAGGGACTGCTGAAGCACGCTGCGGGGGATATATTCATTATGACTCTGGACGCTGATGTTAAGCAACTCAATCTTGTTGTTCATATCAAAACTGGCCCGAAGAGTTCCGTGAGTGAAGACCTGGTTATATTAGCGCTTTCCTCATTATAAATAAACTTGTTGGGACTTACCTGGCTTTCATTTGTGTACCAGTAAATGAAAGAGGTACGTCCACTATCAACCACGTGACCGCCGTTGACACCTTCACATTCAGTGGCACCCTCGACAATCATCTGGATGTGGCGTATGCCGCTGGTGAATTGGGTCAGATAATATCTAGCCAGGGCTGGGGTTGAAATTTCGAATATCTTCGATCCAGTCTGGCTGTTCCAAATTCCCTGGCGCAATACACCCATCGGCGAAAAGAAACGATCGACGAAAGCCGTCCAATATGCGAGATCAAGAGCTTCACCGCGACTCTGTAGGAAAAGGGAAAAAAGAGGACATTGTTAGAAAAAGGGCACCCATATTTCATCTGGATAGCTTGTAAATACCTGGAAAGCACTGAGGTGTTCCGCATAGCTATTGAGAATCAAGGCTGGACTATTGTACTGCCTGTTCATCCGTTGTAGCAGTATCGCATTTTGCTGCACTTTCATCTGTTGCTCTCGCTGTGCGGCCAACGCTTGCGGATTTTGCGGGGTCGTTTGTTGACTCTGAGGGCCTTGCTGTTGCTGTTGCTGCTGACCGGGTTGTCCTGGTTGTTGGCCGGGTTGCTGCTGAGGTGGTAGCTGCTGTGGCTGGGGATTGGGAGTGGCTTGAGATGGAGCTCCCTGGGATTGAGGGGGATGAGTTGACGGCGGTTGTGAAGATTGGCTTGGCTGAGGGGTGCCGCCTTGTGGTGGGCCATGTTGAGACTGAGGGGTACCAGCCTGGGTTTCATGCATGCTTGGTGGTTGTGCTGAAGAACGTTGAGGGGTGTGCTGACCCTGCTGGCCGTTATTCGCCTGAGCCTGGGCCTGAGCTTGTGCTTGAGCCTGAGCCTGGGCTTGTGCTTGGGCCTGGGCTTGAGCTTGTTGAGCTTGATGAGCCTGCTGAGCTTGAGCTTGCTGAATAGCGAAGATCTGCTGTTGCTGAATATTCTGTGGCTGACCATGGGGCATCTGCTGGCCCATATGCATTCCCATATTCGCAGGTCGCATACCGGGGTTCGCTTGTTGCATGGCTGCCATCTGTACAGCATTCATTCCCTGGGAACCATTAGGTAATGATACAGGAAGACCGTGTTGCTGCTGTTGATGCTGTTGCTGTTGCTGCTGTTGGTGCTGTATCATCATTCGCTGCCGCATGAGTTGTGCCTGCTGTTGTTGTTGCATGAATTGTGGGTTGTTCGCGACTACAAGTTACGCGATAGCATTAGTATGCGCCCACAAAAAAAATAGAGATCGTTTAAAGAGCGCGGTTCAAGTGTTATCGATCGGAGATCGGTGCCAATATGCGCGCGACCCAGAAGGAAGTTGTAAAGGCGCAGTGTGCGTAGGTTTCCCTCCAATTTGGGACCAATAACAGTAAATCATCGGATGAAAGAACTCACAATTTTGGGGAAATCCCTGTTGCTGGAAAACATGCGCTTGGCCAGGATTAAGATGAGAGAGAGCATGAGCATTCGGCATCGGACCACCATGACCGCCATTGCCGCCCGGGGGCATTCCAGCCATCATGGGACCAGCCTGAGTTACTTGAGGACCACCAGGTGCTGATACACCTGGGTGCATCTGTTGCATCATACCAGGTCCAGGATGACCGGCGTTTGGGTGTTGACCGGCCATTGGGTGGTGACCAGGAGGCAGGCCGTGTTGCGGCATGCCTTGAGCGGGAAACGGTTGCGCCATCATCATTGCTAGCAGGTGGAAGTCACCGCCAACGGGGAGACTTCAAAAAGAAGCGCGACGAAGAGCGGCGAGCAAGCGGCGGATTCTATAAAGGATTGTCCGGGTGGGCGGGCGCGCCTGATAAGTATTGGGAGGCACCCGGTCTTAGCGCTTCGGAGTGGAGGCCCAGGCGGCTTAGTGTAGGAGATGAGGAAAAAGACCGAAGCATGGATCGGAGGCCTCTTTGGTCACCTGCCCTCAATGCAGGCCTCTGTCTCCTAAGAGGAGGGTATTAGTGGTGTTTGGGGGGGTTGACGTTGAGAGGGTTGATAAGAGGGTAGAGTTCTTTTGGGGGGAAGAGGCGGGAGAAGAGAACGGGGGTAGGTTGATGAGTAGGGGAATAGGGAGGCGTGGAGGGGCTGGGGCAACAACATGTAATAGAGAAAAATATATAAAGATATTGACTCACACCACGAAAGCCCAGGACCTCAGTGCTCTTCTCCTTGACGGTGAAAATGAGCAAATGAGTCAGAAAGAGAGGGTGAAGTTGTCAAGATCGCCCGTATATCATGAGAATGATCGCCCGGGTTGAGAGCGAAAGGAACTGGGGACGGAGGAACCGGGTCCGATGAGTGGAGGATGTAACCGAGCAAGAACAACGAGAACAGAGATAGGGAAGAATCGATATGATGATTAAGAATGATTTCTTTGTATTGATTTAGAGAAGAGGTTTGGGAATTATATTATCTATCTTTTTTTTTGCCATCTACATATTATCTTTCCCACTGTACTCTGTATTTCTCTCTCTCCTTATTGCAATTTTCCTAAAAACTGCAATTTTTCACGAGGGTGACCGCTAATCCCAATCGGGGACACCACGTGATATCCGTGTATTTCAACTTTTTTTTTCTTTTTTTCTTCTTCTTCATGTTGATCATTCTCTTCTCCTTCTTCTTCTTTTATTACTGGTTTTGCTTCTTCTTCTTCTCTGGAAAGCAGATGACTCGATTTAACACTCGAGTTATATTCATTCTTTTACCATGTTCTGAGATCATGTGTTATCATAATAATGTCTTATGATACTAGATCTGCCCACTAATCCTTGATCATCTCATCTTCCCAGATAGACCTGCCAAGGTCCCAAGAAAAAAACACTTGCCACATTGGCATTCCCCGAGGTTAGTACTTTTCTCTACAGAGATTCTTCTCTATGCTTTTTTGTTTTCTGTGTTGTTCGAGGATGTCAAACCCTTTTTACTTCTTTACCTTCCAAATCGCCTATGACGAGATAATTCGGGCCTTCCTTTCCCGGTGGGCCTGCTACTTGCCAGTATACTTTGTCTGAGAACACATTTCTATTCATTTATAATTGAAGCAACGAGCATTGCATGAAACATGAACTGATTGTTTTCTCGTTAGGTCACACCATAGCTGCTATATCAGCATGTCCGCCGTTGGGGATCTATCCATTGGGCATAGCCCTAGCTTAGTAAATAACACTCAAAAATAAACAAGTTCTTTCAATTTCACCTCAATTTCTATATTCAATGTTCATTCTGTGTAGATAATTTCAAATGTTTGTTTAGCATTGCTCTTTAGCCCTATTAAGAAGATCTATATTTGAGGCTAGAGTTCAGGAGCTACTTTAAATGTTGGACCTCTGGGACCAAAATTTTTGGTCAGCACTTAAGCATCAATCTTGAAAATCACCCATGGACCTCGTCGTAGAGCGTAATTCTTATATACTTATAATTGATCATTTCTACTAATTCATGCGTGTTCTGGCAATATATCATATTGTCTTTTAAATGGTGTGTAGAGGGTTATTCCCATTGACTGCTAGAAAAAAAACCGTGGATATAGTAGGGCGATTTTGATATAATTTATCTCCACGTGATGATATCTTCCGCGGAGAGAGATCGGGTCCGTAGCCTCGCCATCTCAAAACCACATGTATTCAATGTGCACGTATTTCCCTCTCCCTGATCTTGACCCTTAATTTCCAGTGGCTTCTTGTGCCCTGGATGTATTCGTCAATGCATCAGCTACGGCAATACGTCGTCGTACGCCCATGTCGCTTGATCTCCCATCGCCGGTATCCCACGCCTGTAGCCTCGCGCCGATTCCATTTGTCGCCGCAATGGATGTCTACGCCACCTCACGATCCTCATGACGACTCATCTGTACCATCCGATGCCATTGATGATAGCCAATCCCCGAATATTGAAGATAAATCTACCATCAATGGCTCGTCACCATCCTTGAAGGGCCAGCCGAGCAAGTCAGTCTCAAGACCGTATGGCTCTGCTTTGCGCCGAGCTATGAGAAATCGCCAATCCGAACAACCACAGAACACACAGAAAGACAGAACAACTAAAACGATTCCTGAATGGTTCTCAGATCAAAACTTGGTCATCCACGACTCGGAAAGTGCGGTGCAGATCAAACAACTCCAAATCACAAAGTCAAAACGCATGCCCGATCAGACGAACCCTGAACCGAAGGAGGTTTTTGCTAGTGCAGGCAGAGAAGATCCTTCTGTGTCAGATGGTCCCACAGATCCTAAGGATCCCCAGGAAGAGCTTGATTATGCCGTGCCGGAGGAGATATGGAGCGAGTTGCTAGCGTCAGTCAAAGCTGGCCTGAGATTACCACCCGTACAGTACGCTGAAGAACCCGTGGCGAGAAAATCACACCTCGTCCTCCAATACCCAGGAAATGACGGTATCCCCTTTCTGGATGCCGTTGTACGCCAAGTGTCAAAAGACCTAAAAACCGATCTGATTACACTCAACGCCCAAGACATCGCTCAGCTTTTTAGCGAGTACGACCTCGCAGAAACCGGCTCATGTTCCCCCGTACACTCATTAGGCTATGAGGTCCATCAGCCGGTGGCAACCCTGCCAGAACCAATCCATATGGAAGGAGAAGGGGTCGCTACTGCGGGCCCAGGAATGCGAACTGAAGTGAGCAATCCTAGTTTCATCACCATTGAGTCTGGAAAGGACTCTGGAGATATTCCATTGCGAAACTTGTCGGGTTTGAAGTCACTTTTAGCATCACTCAATGCCCAGGAAAACCAAGATCCAGCTGCGAAGCATGTCGGGCCACGAGCCGATCGACGCTGGATTCGCCTCTGGCATGAAATATTATCTTCACTTGGCCGAGCCCCCAATCCCAATCACAATCCCAACTCCAAGGACGCGGAGGAGTCTGCTGAGCTGGACATCGCATTCCCTGTGCTCCCTCGGGATACCATTGTTCACATCCAAGATTACCGCGATATTCAAAATGCGCAAGAAGGATATCGGGTGATTGACTTTTTGCAAAAGGTCATCAACGAAAGGCGCCGAGATGGTTCCAGGATTATCTTTATTGGAAGCATATCCGAAGAGCCTCGTCACTCCTCTTCACAGGATGGCGCAAAGGTTATGCAGAACCAACTCGAGGACAACTTTTCTAAGACCTTGATTGTCACCCCATCCATGGGATGGAACGCTCTTGAGAAGAGGTTCGCTCAAGACAAAAAGATTCGTACCATGGACATCAATATCCGCAACCTTCAGACTATGCTGCGATTCCGTCTCAATGAGACTTCTTCTCCCGTTAAGGATGATATCTTTAGCCATCGTGCCTGGCGTCTCGACCCGCTATTGATCAAACGATCTGGCATCAGAGAGAATTTCTGGTCCTATAATCACGTCCACTGGCTTGCAACTCTTGCCATTGGTAGCATAGAGCCTGGAGAAACTTTCGGTATCGAACATCTCAGACGTGGTTTTGAGCTGATGGATAAGGGCGATCGAGTCACCAACGATTGGTTGCATGACAACTCCCCCAAGAAAACGGATTCTCGTTACGGAGAAAGCCGAGAGCGACTGTTGGCTTCCTTGCGCAAGACCTGCACTGCGCATGAAAAGAAATTCCTGAATGGCGTCGTGGACGCAAAAAGCATCCGCACTACCTTCGACGATGTTCACGTATCTCCTGAGACCATTGACGCTCTCAAAACACTCACATCTCTCTCACTGATCCGCCCAGAGGCATTTACCTATGGTGTCCTGGCAACAGAGAAGATCACCGGTCTTCTTCTGTACGGTCCTCCAGGTACAGGTAAAACCCTTCTCGCCAAGGCCGTTGCGCGTGAAAGTGGTGCGACCGTCCTCGAAGTAAGCGGGTCGGATGTGTACGACATGTACGTTGGCGAAGGTGAAAAGAACATCAAAGCCATCTTCACTCTTGCTAAGAAGCTGAGTCCCTGCATTGTATTCGTCGACGAAGGCGACGCCATCTTTGGCTCTCGTATTAGTAATTCCAGCAGCCGCACCTCTCACCGCGAGCTTATCAACCAATTCCTCCGTGAATGGGACGGGTTGAACGCTGTCTCCGCATTCATAATGGTAGCCACAAACCGTCCTTTTGATCTCGACGACGCAGTCCTCCGTCGACTTCCCCGAAGACTCCTTGTTGATCTCCCTAACGAGCAAGAACGTCTTGCCATCTTGAAGATTCACCTCAAAGAGGAGCAACTCGAGCCCACTGTTGACCTCGCCGAGCTCGCCAAGCGTACTGATCTGTACTCCGGCTCAGACTTGAAGAATCTTTCTGTTGCTGCGGCGCTAGCATGTGTGCGAGAGGAACATGATGCAGCCGTGAAGCACCAGGGCGAAGAGCCATATCAATACCCGGCTCGACGTACCCTCACCTTCGCGCATTTTGAGAAGGGAATGGAGGAGATCAGCGCCTCGATCAGTGAGGACATGCCATCGGTTGCTGCGATTCGCAAGTTCGATGAGCAGTTTGGTGATCGTCGGGGTAGACGCGTGAAGCCTAAAGGTTGGGGATTTGGGCCTGTCTCTGATGGGTCCAAGACTGAAGGAGTCCGGGTTCGGGACTGAGTCAAACATAGACTCAGTCTCGGATATGATTTACTTCAATGTTTGTGGGATTTGCTCATTCCGAGTCCCCCTTGTATTTCTAGTGTATTATAGACATGTACCAATACATTACTGGTCGAGAGTACCTAAATACCAGACATATTGAGTCTACCTTTTCCTTCTAATAATCCTTATATACAGGGTCCTATACTAAGCATCCTAGGGGTAGCACATTCAGGTTACCAATAATTAGTGTGACCCAGTTCTTAGGGCTATAGAATTAAGAATTTAGAATTTGCTGCATGTCAGTTCTTTATTAATTGACAATAGAGTTTTCATAGCGCCTTGTGTTTCGTAAATAGATCACTATATAGGATATGGTGTGAGCCCGTGTGAGCCCGTGTGACACCGAAAGCTACCTAAGAGTCTGTGGTATTGATACTATTGTTAGACCAAAACTTGAACTTGAAGATGATAAAATAACCGTAAGTCTATTTGGAGTGAATTTTCTGAGTCACAAGTTCAAGATCAATATCTATATAAATATTATTCAATGAATTGTGATCTATATAACTTCGACTATTTGTTATACATTAGGCGGAGGGCACGTGCCCCATGACATCGGATCCGTCTCCACCCGCCACTTTTTCTCAAGCTTCACATTTCTCCAACCCCGCGTGGATACTAAGGTGGATTCCTGTGCCTGGGTTAATTTCCCGCACCAGGTGAACTGCCCTATCCAACTCGAAATCACAACTTGCTCATTTACGCCTGCTTTTGTGCTTCGTTATCCCGAAATATCTCCAATAAATTCACCTGCAAATCCATCATGAGTGCCAGTGACCCCTCTCGTGACACCGCCATCCGTGAGGCGAAAATATTTGTCCGTGAAGTTGTTCGTAACGACTGGGAATTCACCACCAACCCCGACGGATCTTATCTTTCCTTGCCTCCTCCTACCGACAATGACGCCGGTACACTTTATCAAAACCGCAAAGTGACCGAATGGCGAAGCAGAGAATTCGATAGCTCTGGCTCGGAGCTTGAACCTCAATCGTCTGACCAGGATTCAGACGATGATTCCCAGAAGGCTTTAGACGACCCCGCGACTGAATTGCGACGCAAACGCCGTCGCCAGATGGAGGAAGAAATGGCTTGGAATAAAGGACTACGGATGTGGATGGCTAGACGCGACGCGTGGTCTGGAGCTAGAACCCGACGTCAGATTCGCGCAAAGGGAAAGAACCGCGCTATTTTACAGCCTGGAAAGGACAGTTCCCAAGCGACTGGTACCGCTGCGGCGGACGGCTTGGATTCTGGGGTTGATGCTGCACCCCCGGCCCCGTGCTTGGGGTCTTCCCCGCACTCGGATCGTCAAAGTCAAAACACCACTGACGTCTTGGGGCTAGCCACCAAAACAGACTCATCGCTGTCAATTTCCAAGCAAGAAAAGATTGAAGAACGCCATCGTCGTGAGGATGCAGAGGAAGGACAATCCACTGCGGCCGATGAAGAAGCAAAGCACAAAGAGTCTACCGAAACCAGCATCACGGAGCCTGATTCGCAGAGCAACCCTACTCTTACCAAATTCCCTTCTATTGATGATGACGAACAAGACACAGATGAGGAGCTTGATGAACTTTTGATTCCTGTTGCACCACCTTTCCTCGCACCTGACAACCCTGTCCGCGCTACCATTACACCGACTATTTACCCCTCCATCTACACAAAAGTTGTCGTTCAGGGGATGACTCCCACCGTTCCAGTTAATTTGGCTGACCTGACCAAGGCAATGGTTCAAGGCTGGAAAGCCGATGGCCAATGGCCGCCTAAGCCAGCCGTTTCAAGCATTGTCCTCGCTGATGACGCTACCGTCCCAAAGAAAGCCTCAGACAATGCTGACGCTAGTCCTCAGTCGCGACGAAAGAACAGCATTACGAGTGCCATGCGCAAAGTTTTCCATCTAGGCTCCCACCCATTCCACCGACGCGGGTCCGCTAGTCAGGATGGTGGAAATGGGGCTTCGGCTGGTAATTCTGGCTCCGTTGTTTAAAAGTAATACGATGTCTCTTTCTTCATCCTGACATAAAGCTTAGGCTCTTATCGGGGAAGTTTTCTACATCAATGATGAACGATTATGACTCGGGTCATATACCCGCATGGGAAGATTCCCTGCAACTTGCATCCGGTGTTCATTTTGGGAGGTCCAGGGAATTATGTCTCTTCATTAATATCTCCTTTTTCGGTGTATTGGGCTGTGTTGGTGGATGACCATGGACTTCAAGTTTTATTTTTTTGTATCCTCGGACGCCATTATTTGTGCATGGTCTAATCCTACATTTTCGGATGATGATGATCCTCTTCACAAACGAAGCAAGCAGGTCTTGACGAACCTTGTTAATTTCACGATGTTTTTCTCAGTCACCATGGATTATTTTTTCAGTTCTTTTTTCCTATACCATTCCTCGTTCCTGACTACGTGTTGATTCAAACCCACCTACATAATAGACCTAACATACGGTGTTCAATTGCAACCCGAACCCGGGCCCATATTCACTGCCTCAATTATCCGATCCATGGATTATGATTCGTGCCATTCTGCTCTATTATTTATGGTAAAAGTCACACTCACAAATTTGTTTGGAAAGCGCTCAATGACTCCGCTGTCTCGAACCACCCGGTGTCTCGGTGATCTTTCAGGTGAGAAACTAGGTGAGAATACGATTATTAAGGAATTCCTGAGGAACGAGATCTTGGAGCTCAGTAATATTCAGTGCCTACTTCTGGAGGGGTTACAGATAGCACTGGCATGCATATTGGGTGAAAGCTAACATAGGCAATGAAGGCCACAAAGAAATACCAAGACTTCCTGCTCCAGACCCGCTGACTCATAAGTTCCATACTCTCCTCCGAAATAACGATGTCATGTTCAGGTCCACGGAGTGTCTCACAAACAGATTCGAACGGGATTGTTAAAGGTCCAGTGGCATGTATCATACCATCAGAATCTTCCGTTACTGTGACTTTTGTGACTTCCTATATGTTGAAATGGTGAGATCTGGTCCGAAGATAGCCGCTTATCGGTTCCATAGTTGAAGTAGTATTCCATGGTGGTCTTTGTCAAGGTCAATACCTAGTGAGCACAACCTGCATTGGAGAACATGAAGACTGGAGCCAGCATTCAGCATCGAGGAGCAAACGATGATAGCTCTCTGATAGCCCAACTTCCACAACGAATGAAGCACCACCGCCCGATAATACAATGGTAATATGGAATATCAGAGTACTCCCTTGAACTTCGAAGTTGGCAGTATCTCAATCTTCAAGTTGGAAGTAGTTTGCTATTTCATTTGAACGATAAGGCAACTAGCCCTCTACTGGCAGTTGTTATGTATCCCTCTACTATAGGGTGTGCAACACGATCACGGCCGAAAATCCCAACATCTGGACTTAATGATGTTCTCTTCAAACTTGAAAAGATTAGGTCACTAGAATTTGAAACTTTGCATATGTGAGTGTTTCATCGTTCCCGACCTTGGGAAGTTCAACTACCACTGTTCTTCTATAGGAATTGCGCGAATATAGGCTTTTCATTTGGAATAGGTTCACGCGGCCTGGGCTCATTCAAAGGTAAAGCGGGATTTGCAAGGCAACAAAGGTACCCGCTGGCTTTCCAGCTAGTTACTGACTTTTTAGGCACCAAAGAGCCATTTGGATAGAATAAACATGAAAAAGGTATGATATGGTCGAATGTAGTCATCATCGGGACCACGTTTGTAAGCGCCAACACATGCACCTGAGCATGCATGATGCCTGGGTACCTATTCAGAAAGCACCCAGCTCGTATCAGCCATCGCGAGACACAGCCCCTTTGTTTAAGTTGTTCGCAATAGATAAATGGGGTTTGCGAGGCAAAGGACATCTGGTCTTCCAAATTACGGTAAGATAAGCCTTTCATCCAATTCCCTCCTCAATTTGTCTCATCTACAACTCCAAAAGCAGCTTTTAGTCGAGCATCATAATCCCTCCGATCTTGACGCTTAGCAGCTGCAACATTCACATAGTCCTGAGACCAATACCACGGTACTATCTCATGAAAAGCCTCCTGATCCGGACAATGCTTGATGAAGCGCAGTTGGGTCTGCTTGTAGAAAACAGAAAATAGACCCATGGGACTAGAAAGTGCAAGAGAGAACCAGAAGGCTCCTGATTGCCAGCTTCGGTTCATTATTTCAGAAAGGCTTCTCGTGATTTGACCTTCCTTCCTCAATAAAACCCCCATGGCTTTTTCTTCATTTGCCATACTTTCAAGGAACTCAGACCTGGCAGCATCGTACTCGACAGCTTCCTCGGTGATTTCATCCATAGTTTTGGTTGTAAGCCAAGTCGATGTGCGTATCATCTCAATGGGGCGAGAACATGCCCATTCCAGGTCGACTAGAGAGGTGATATGCCAGTTGTCATCCACGAAGATATTGCTTGGATGAAGATCCGTGAAAGTGAATGCGAAAGGGCCACGGCAGAGATCTCGTGTGAAGAATGATGGGAATGTCGTCTGCATTGTAGCCAGGGCTGCTGTCTGGTTGATATAATCAATTAGGTGGTTTATTGCATTTCGTTGATGTCTGACTCGATTATTGTGCATCCTCAAAAGGTCTACAATATAAGACTCAACAGTTGAGTATGTATAATCTCGTAGCATATCCGTGGGTATGTGGTCATTCTCCAGGGCTTGAATCTCAACTGAAAGAGGACGGTTTTTCAATCGAAGATAACCATCTTTCTCGACAACGAAAGAGCCAATCGCAGGGAGAGATATACGTGTTAAGCTCAGTAGGATTCGGGAAAGATCGCGAAAAAGGGTCTGCCGATATTCAGAATTGTCACGCCTTTCTAGCCATGTTGACGAAAGCATTTGTCCCTTGGTCTTCTCAATAAGCTCGATTAACATATATCCTGTATTTCAAACACCATGCTCTTTTATGTGTTCTAAACTTGGTGGATGACGGGGAATGTAAGATGAAGGGAGTTGATAGCCTAGATATGAACGAAGTAGGCGATGGGAGTATTGGAAAAAACGATTTAGTAGAGGGAGTTGATCGATATGTGTGAGCTATGAATAATATTAGTATTATCTCAGTTGTAATCGAAGAACTATTATAATTAGAGAATATAATACAGTGACTCCATCTGAAGTAGCAAAGCCGTAGAGTCGCGGATTAGGAACATCAGGGCAGTTCTCTTCAAGCTAGGCGTATGTGCCTGCTTCACATCGAATCTTCTCGTCACAATTTCCTGGGCGGAATTCTTCGCCCAGTCGATGTGGGAGAGGAAGCCGAACGAGAACTCGACTTCCGGGTTGTGATCTGTCTTCCAATTCTCGATAGTGACAGGAATGCAGACATTGAAACTCCCATGAAGCCAACCTTTGACATCAGCTACTTGACATCGGTCTGTCGAAGAAAGTCCTAAATGGTGAGCTACGACGGCCTTGATGGATTCTGGATTGTCAGACAGCCTAGTAAAGAATGTCTGCTGTCGTTCGTAATACTGAAGTCGGAGAAGTATGTCCACTTCTTCCCTTTGAGCCTTGGAGTAAGTTATTTCCTCCCTCAGGAGGCGACGTGTCTTTGGCATGATCGAAGTAACTGCAACATTCAAATGTTGAACATGGAAAGTGAGAGCAATCGCCGATCACTTCGATAAGTACAACCCCTTAAATATCGACTAAACCCTAAGGGGTAAGGCTTCAATCGTATCAATTTCACCGCTTTACCAACTTACTAAGGCGGTGAAGTTCTATTCTATACAAGATGCTTCAAGGACATTGATCATTTATCGTGTATATAGATACATTGTGAGTTCAATCATTCAGCCGATCAGCTTATTAAACCAAGATGGATGAAATAACTGTGAGATAGTATTCGGTGGAGCATCACCGTATCTTGAATTTGATAAACACAATCACCGAACGCCAATGCTAAAAATGCAAAGTAGATAAAGAGCTATCGTCCATCTTTTAACCAGGCAGTGGTATATAACAAAAAGAAAAAAAAAGATACATCTCGCACTCCACCTTTCTCATCCAGACAAAAGTCCCAATCGATCAATAAAATCCAAATATTCATCTTTCGCATCCTCAAACACTCTCCTCGCTTCTGCCTCATTCTGAACCACCGCGACAATTTCAAGATCTAAAGTGACCTCCTTCGAGGCATGGCCAGGACGACTGTAGTAATACTTGCTGTCATGAAAAGACCAGTACTTAAGATAAGACTGGTGATCTTCGAAAGCAAGGCGTCGGCCCGTCACAAGATGCTGCGGTAATCCAGTTCCCAGGTTACTTGAGTTGAGATCTGAGGCGGGAATGCCAGCAATATTCATGTCAGACACAGGTCCCGAAATAGGGTTGTTCAACTCTAATGAGACGGCAGTGGACAGATCTCGAAGCCATTCAAGATAAGATATCACACTCGCTGCCTGATCGGTGCTACGGTCGAGGTAGTCAATCACAGGGAGTGAGGTAGATACCATCTTGAGAAACTCGGCGAGCATTGACAAGACAACAGGATCTTTGAATCGTCTTGGGTAGGCAGTCAAGGGCCGGAGAGCACGATACAATGACTGAAAGACCGCATCGAAAGATCTGAGTAAAGAGGTGACGCAAGCCGGGTCATAGGTATTGAGGCTGAAAAGAAGATCCTTGAATACAAGAGAGATGCTCTGAATAATGGGTCTGCTCAAAAGCCAAGCGGTAGGAGTGCTGAAAGACAACTCGAGATACGCTGGGAATACACACTGTAAAAGGACAGCACGAAGGGTGGGTCGATCAGTCCGTCCAGCCTCGTAGGTACCTTTCAAAGCAGTGTGTAGCTGATTGACTAAGTTGCTTTGTTGACGTTCCACCGTTGCTCGTTCGAGGATGCTTTGAACAAACATAGTCAAGGTTTGAACCTCCTTGTTGGAAGACAGCTTCGGCTCATAGCGTTTCAACTTGGCAACAATGTAACCTGGGTCTGTAGATGGTAGAGGGAATGAGGAGGGGTTCGTGAAGAAGGGGTCGACGGGTCGAATGTCGCTGGTGAGTTCTTGGAGGAACCGGATGATGCGGTGCACAAACTCGACATAGGCGCCCTGAGCAGATTCCACCGCTCCATTGCCTAGCTCACGGTAGTTCTCTTTCATTGCGGTCATCATCTGCTCCAATAGCTCGGAATAATCTTGTTTTGTAATCGACAACTCTCGGCTGCCTGAGACCTCTAGTTGTAGGACATGCTCACGCATATTTGAAAGGACACTGGAGATAAGAGAAACACGGCGCTGGCCAATGTCTTGTAGGGAAACATGATATCTGTCGTCTGTTTGGTCTTTCACGAACGGCAGATTTTTCAGAATCAAGTCGTCAGGTCTACCGTTGAGAAGCGCCTCTGTAAGACGGTGTTGAAACTTGAGCATTGGTGCGCGTTCTACTAAGGATGCCATCCAGATGCCCATGACGAGGTTCCGACTCTCAACAAGGATCTGTAAGTCTTTTTCAATACACAATGCCAGGAATTGAGCTGCATATTTCCGAGTCTGGATCGTCGGCCGAAGCTGGGCCCATGAGCGATCTCCGAAATGACTGAGATAGTTATCCCAGCGCTGAATCCCATGGCGAACAAGCGCACTTGCAATTGAAGCCCAAGCATCAACCACGTTCGAGAGAATTGCATCTTCAGGCGAATTGTCCGCACCGAAACAATTAGAGAGGAGGCGAAAAACAACAGGATAAAGGACTCGCTGCACATGCTCAATTTCTTCTCGTGGTGTAGTACTCTGTTGAACAAGTACAGAATCAATGTCGTTCCAGTCATCAAGACCTTCAAACTCTTGACTATCTTCTTCGATAGCCACAGGGGCATCATTGGGCACACTTGCAACAGGGGGAGCAGAATCTTTGTTAACATAGGTCTTTATCACTTGAAGGGCTTCCGAGACCACAGTGTTGACTCTTGGGATTTTCGGGTTGAACAGCCCAATAATAGAATCAAATGGCGTCTTCGAAATCACTTTGTGCGCATGTTCGAGTGAAGGAGCAAGTTCGATAGCAGTTCGTAGTCCAGAAAGACCCATGCTCAACAAGGATTCAATCTGTCGCTGGTTTTGGGAGATGAGGCTCTCAACGAGTTCCTTCGAGGCAAACTTGTCGCTTTTGCTCTGTGCTTCAATCTCACTTCGAGCCTGTGAATGCTGTTGCTGGAGCTCTGCCATGAAGTAGCTATGCCAATCTGCAAAGGGCTCCAAGCTTGAGACTTCCTCACTTGTTGACATTTTGAATCTGATGAGCCTTATCCACGATCGAATGTTGATGCTGCATGTTTCCTGATGCGAAGTAGCTGGGTGAACGAGGTTTCGAATCGTCTCTAGTCGAGGTCTGCACACTTCTGGGACAGCCCAGTACAAGGTACAAAGCAAGTCGTGGTGATTCCTCAAAGCATCCAAGTCCTCATGACGCAAAGGTTTTTCTTTTGGATAAACACGACCATGATTTGGAAGGAGACGCCAGGCAAAATTGCGAATCTTTTTCTCGTCGTATTTTAAAGCCAAGAAGCGAAGACCAGTAGCAATGATCTTCAGTAGGGTGTGAAAGCACGGTTCCCCAGGTCGAATATCCAGTGAGGGCGTCCCATCCAGCTCATCAAGAAAGGCAGGAGACCCACGACTTTCCTCGAGCTTTAAATTGTATAAAGTCTTCAGAGCAAAAAAGTCGTAAAGTGTGTCAAGAATAGCTTTGCATTCTCCCCATCCCCAAGCATTTATGAGACGGTGACATCGTTGAAAAATTGTTCGACAATAGGAATTGAAAGAAATAGGCTGCATAGCTGAATTGGCATCAGCATTATCCAGTGCAGGTGACAAGAGCTTTTTGACTAGAAACCAGTTTTGATGCGGTATCTTAAAGCGAGAATCATGACGTGCTATTCCATGGTGGTCAATCTCAATGAAAGGCTGAAGTAAGAAAAGATCACGCCACGCAGACTCCAGATTGGCAACATCCTTCTGGTTTCGAATAAGACCCTTTGTGCACACATCGATCTGAGTATCAGCAAGAACCCCATTGAAAGATTCTGAGCTGCGCAACAGCTGCTCAGTAACAACCAATGCAGTAACCGGAGCGAAGTCATCCCGAATTCCTGCATCCCGCTCTTCCTGCTTCTTGGTCTCCTCCAAAAAAATCTGAACACTCGCGATTCCAGCCTTGGATAATGCCAGAGAAATGACATTTTTTGCAGAGACTTTGACAAGATCCAATGCATCCTTAGAGAGCTGGTGATCAACGAATTTACCGTCGGCTATCTGGCGCGTTTGGTTTGCGAACACCAGATTATAACATGCCAGCATAACCAATTCATTCTGACCATCTCTCCCGCTGGCGACGAAAGCAGATATCGGTTCTCCGAGCCAGGAAACAAGTCCCATGGCTCTTTGGACAAAGGCTTTTCGATCAGTAGGATCAATGAATGATAATGTATCATTCACATAGACAATCATTGCTCGGTACGCAAGTAAAGCGGAAGACAGAGAATGAGCTAAACTCATTTCTGGGGCATTCGTGCATTGTTCGAGTTCAATAACCATGCTTTCAAACACCGAGCCCATTTGTGAAGAGACGTTCTCGTTCCAGGAGCTCCATTGGAAAACCTGATCCTTTATCATTATTGAACATGACCTCGAATTTTGATCTAAATTCCTTTTGGTAACTTGCAAGGACCGAGAGAAGTCGCCGCTCCCAATGAATGTGGATTCATGGAAAAACACACCATGTCGCAAGGGGGCGATGCCAAAGTCGAGCGCATACGACGACTGCCAGTTGAATAATCCGCCTACGCCAAAAGCAGCAGGACGGGATGATGGCACGGGTTGAGTCATTGAAACAGGAGTCAAAAGCTCTAGATTTGTTGCATTGAAATCCTGTGATTCATCTTGGTGAAATTCTTCTGCATCTATGTTGATTCGCTGGGGTGTGGGCTTCTTCTTCAATCTTCTTCGTTGCTGCCATTGCTGTATGGTTGGCTGTTTATCTTTTATCTGGGTTGGCACTTGTTTCGTCGGACCATCTGTAGAAGGACCCAAAGGTCCAACATCAGAAATATACCGATCTAGTGTCAGGCTAGGCTTGAAAGTCTGAGACTTATGCTGTTGTCGATAATCTCGATTAAGAAGAGTCAACGATCGACTAAACATGGTCTTGGATGCGGCTTGGCTACCGCTAGGTCCTGCCAGACTGGTCGCAGACGGGCGAGCAGTGTTGCGATGTAAAGATGAAATGGCAATATTTCTTCTAACAACCCATTGGTGACCATGTTTCTCTAGCTGTGAAGGCCGAACAGCTGCTACTTGTCGATTTTGTGGCATCTCAACAGGCGTCGCAGCCACATTTGCTGAAACATTCTCTTGCTGAATATGATCCTCATCGTCCACCATGATTGGATCAACCTCTCTGGGTGCAGAATCTGGAGCATGTTCAGGATACCGAGTCTGCTGGGCAACTTGCCGAGCTTGAGTACGCCGACTAGACAGATTTGCAAGAGGGCGCGACTTGCGAGGCTTTGATTGAGGTCGAACATTTTTAGATTGTCGAATTTTGCCTCGCTTCCATTCTTGCAGTGCTTGATTTGCATCAGTTGTATCAACCTTAGAGCTCAATTGAATGAACTTTCGGGTCGGACTTCGCCTGCCTGCATCTCGACGTGAGCGGACACCCCTCGCGGCAACCCTCAGAAAGAGCGGCTGCTCATCTCGTGGCCTTGATGCTACATCTGGTGCATCGAGAATGCCTAATCGCGGAGCAGATCGTGATGATGACTTCTTCGTCCGTCGAGTCCCATAGGACCCATCAGTAAGCCTGGTCTGTCGCTTCAAACGAGCCTTCTTCGCCAATCTTTCTCTTTCATGTGCGCTTTCCTTGGGCTTAGGGCGCTTCAAGCTTTTCCGTCTGTCAAGGGAAGCGGAATATTGACGTGGAACAGTCGGAAGCATGTAGTCGACTCGGTTATCTTCCATGATTTCACCTGCATCATTATCATTAAATGGGGCTTGGGAGGCGAACATGCTCCCGCCATCATCCTTCTCAGCAGTTTGATCATCCGCATTGCGATTGCGACCCTCATCTTCACTGTCATCTGAGTCCTCGAGATCGACAAAAGATATTGTTCTGCCAGATTGTCCAGATTTGCGCACAATCTTTCGAGCAACACCTTTCGCATCAGCCCGCTGAGTAGCCACATTTCGATTCTGCTGCGATGCTTTTTGTTGTTCAAGACGCTGTCGCGCTTCAAGTCGGACCCAGGATGCAGGGAGGACACCTTTAGTTTGACGCTGAATCCTTCGGATCTCACGCTCTTCAGCAGTTTCACCAGGGGCCGTATATGAGCCTTGAGAGGAATCAGAGGCCTCACTATCGTCAGAAGCAGCTTTTGAGTCTATCTGTTCGGCATTCGGTTGTTCGTCGACCCTTGGGGTAGCTGATTTTGAACCCGCAGCTGTCGTTGTAGTCGGAGGTGGTGTGAACCCTGGAGGAAATCGGAACCCATCTGCAGCACGCGGTGTCTGTGTCGCTGATGAAATACCTGAGTCTGGCGTTCTCGGATCTTTTCTAGGAGGTGTTGAATTATTAATTATCACCTGGGGTCTTGTGCCAACTTCTGATGTAGCATCATGCCAAGTTCCATACTGTGTTTTTCTTCTTCGTTTGATGACATGGGCAGATTTCGAAGGCGAGTTGTCTCTTTCGCGACGGCGTTCAGGTCTCTCGGGAGGCAAGTACTCTTCGGGAGGAGGACTTGAACGGAAGGGCTCGAATTCATCTTGTTCTTGGCTTTCGTCTGTAGCTTCTTTGGCTCGCTTTCTCTCCTCTTCCATAATTGGTCTAACAGGTCGAATGCCTCCTTCCTTCATCAATCTTTGGTATTTGGCCTTCTCTAATTCATACGGATGGATTTGGATAGCATTGCGTTCTCGAAATATTCTTCCTGCCGGTTGAGCCGCCTGGATCTCCTCCAAAAGTTCTTGTGGAGTATCAATTTCGGACACAAGCACCTCGGGAGTCTTTTGCCGGGGTTCCTCTTCGACCGCAGTGGCTTTTTCTGGTGTATCCTCTTCAAGAGAGGGTATAGACAAAGGCGCCGAGGACAATGGTGAATCGTTTTCTGAATCTTCTAGCGGAGGTTCTTCTGGCTCGTCGATTTCCTTCTCAGGGCGTCGTTGGGGGACTGGCTCTTCGACTACATTTAGCTCGTCTGGCGAGGAGCTTCGGGATCTTGCATCATGACCCAGTAATTGGGAGTCTTGAAGCTTTTGTTGCAGAACAGCAGAAGACTGAGGGGTTTTCGTGGGAGTAGAAACTTTTGGGGTCGATTGACGGCCACGGCGTCGTGCTTTCCGGGAAGACAAGTTGGGTGCAGCGGGGGAACTAGGAAGATCCCAAATTGTATCATCTTGGTGTGGTAGTTGGTCTCGTGTGCCATTTCTGTCATTCAAGTCTTTGGTTATTTTCTTCCCGCTCGACAATCGTTTCCCATAAGTATTAGTTGGTCGACGTGGTTTCGGTGTCTCCTCCTCAACAGATGCACTCCGTGGACGGTCCTTCGGATGATCTTTGGATTTCTTCGCAGATCCCTCGGATGGTAAATCCAGCTCTTTCGTATATACCTTCCTGATGACGGCAGGGCTTGTCAGAAGCTCTACAGAGCCACGTCGAGCCTCCTCTGTATCAGAAAGAGTCGTCGAGTCATTATCCTCGATCTCTTTATGACCCTCGGCGGGGCCCTTGGACTCGAGCACAGTTGCTGACGTCGTAACAGGAAGGTACTCGAGATCGATATCATGGTCACCGGTATCGTTAACGACCTCGTTATTCGATTCTAGGGATTCGAATTCGTCCTCCTCGTCTGAGTCTGGGACATACCCTCGTTTCCGCCATGGTTCCATTTGCATTCTCGGCGGGGCTCGCCCATGTCTCTAGGAATTCATTGAAAACGGGGAACCGTTAGAGTGAACGATCGGAGAGTCGTACGGAGGGTTTTCGTAATAGAGATAGCTCTTGGGCAGTAAAGTGGTTTTTTTCTGGTAGAAGAGAGACGCGTCGATAAGCAGTTTTAATAAACTGGCGACGCGCCGCTAATCAGTTCGATAACGGGCAGACCCGCATTCTCCGACCTCCACCTCTTCCCGATTACTCTGGAGTTCCGCTTGATGCAAATTGTTTCAATTACAGACTATTTTCACCAAATATGAGTCGCAACTTTATTACCGGTGCTGCCGTTATTGCTGTCGGTGTCTTCACTGGTATGTTGTCTTTCTTTATAACTGCGGTTCAGCGTCGCTCTTGCTAACACCAAATTCCTCCGCAGGCTATTACACTTTCCAACCGGCTTTCCAAGAGCTTGCCATTCAACGGGCACATGGAAATCAGCCTGGCTCCTCCCCTGACACATCTGCTTCCAAGCAAAATGCCAATTCTTCAGCCATCAATGCCCCAGTTCAGGCTCCCGCGCCCGTCGCTCCAGGACCAGAGAAGAGCAATTAGAGTCTGCAGGAATGGAATCGTACTTGCACACAAGCATTGATTACTCTTTGGGTCATTGCGGAGGGGGATGGCTTTTTGCTCCGATTCAGAGACCATTGCAGGCTCTTGATCATAGAAAGCTGTCACTTGGCGCTTCCCTCGAGCGCTCACAATCGCCAACTATTCCAGAATCCCAACTACACTGATGGGGCTCGCGAGCTATCTTCTGGTCTATATGTGTTACCGGACATATGTTTGGAATGGTGCTGTTGAGCTCAGTCGTGCTGGTCAACATGGAAGATACAAATCAGCCATGGTATATATGCCACTTAATCATATGGGCCTACAAAGGAAGCCTGGAAGACTGTACATAGAAGAAAGATAATGAGGATTTATTATGCATAGACCCTGCCTAGTTTGCATCCATCCTGAAGGCTAACTAATGGCACTTCAGCATGTAAACTTGATAATTGTAAAAGAAATTTGAACCTTTCAAAGGTTCTAACACCATGCCTTTTAACCCATTAACAGATGCTCCTAAAGGATGGTTCCCAGTAACGCCTTGACCCGAGATAGGCTCTTGTAATAGGTGACTACAGCTCTTCCACCATTTTTCCGTTCCCAGTGTTGGGTGGTCCGAACAGTCGCCCAGCCGGTGTACCAAGCCATTCCTCCGGTACGATCAGTTTGCAGCCTTTGGCGTTGCTGACCCATCGCACCATTGTGGGATCCGGCTTCTCAGGTTCTGCAGCCTCCTGATCGCCCGGAGTGTATCCAGATCCATCAGCTGCCGCTCGCCCGCGTCGCTTCGGAGGTTGCTTTCTGAGAAGCCGATTGATCGTATCCATCTTAAAGAAGTGTTAGCGTTTGAATTGATGGGCTTGATGACAATCGAATACTTCAACATACCTTTTCTTCTTCGTTACGCTTCTCACTCAGGTTCTTTCTGCGACGAGCCATTTCAGTTCGTCGCATGGCACGCTCCTCAGCCGTCAGGTGCTTCTTGACTTGGGGTTCTGCTCATAGATTAGTTTTCACTCTTGGCGAGGATTCCAGTTAGGGACTTCAGTGAACTTACCCATTGGGAGTTGGAGGAAATCGTTGCCCAGACTTCCACGTTGACGCTTGGTTTGCTTGCCACCGTCCATAGCCATCGCATCGCTGTCCATATCATCATCCAAGTCGTCTTCTTCGTCCTCCTCGTCCAAATCATCAACATTGACATCTGGGACGGCGCTCTCGTCTTGATCGTCAGGCTCGCCCTCGGCATCCGAATCGGTGTCTGAAATGTTTTCTTCCTCTTCATCATCTTCCTCTTCTTCTAATTCCATCTCTTTCTCTTCGACACTCTTGGCTCCTTTTCCACGACTGGATGTAGCTGGTTTGACATTGCGCCTCGCTGGCGGTTGTGGGGGAGCATCGTCCATATCCACATCGCCATCTGCATCTGCATCTTCATCATCCTCACCGGGGGCATCTTCATCTTCAACTTCATCTTCCTCTTGGTCGTCAATGTCATCATCATCCGATGTGGCTACCTCTACAATCTTCTTCTGATTGCGACTAGTTCGAGGACCAGAGACGATAGGATTCTCTTGGAAGACATTGACTGAGCGGCGTGCAGGCCGGCCACCAGTGGCATCGCGCAATTTGCCAGCGGGCATTTTTAATGTGAGACGAAGAGATCTGCGTGGCTCTTCGGGGGAATCAGATGCTGATCTTGAGACGGATACTGAAGCTTGAGCAGCAGTGTGTTGAGTAGGCCTCGTAGTTCTAGTTGGGACGTCAGCATCAGGATCAGACGGGTCATCATGGACAACTTTCGACCGGCGAGAGCGTCGAAATCCCATGTTGGTGAAACAATGATAGTAGCGATTGGAAACAAAGTTGAAGCTCAAGGTCAAAGGGATTGAGAAATGGAGGAAGGTGGGAAAGAAAAACAAAAGAAATATATGAAGCGGGGGGGTTTTAACAGAGTCCTAAGGTACACACGTGTGGCAGTACAGATTCCAGCCGCTCTCTAAGCAGGGAGGGGGAAGCAGTAAACCGCCAATCACCAGACCAAAAGAACGAGTGAATGATGCAAACCGGGAATGCACAGGATGGAGCAGGTCTTAGACGCCACGCTGGAGGATTAAACAACCAGTGCGAACAAAGCGCAACCACCAAGTTGCAGGGGGATCATGAAGGGCTTCCTGCCGTGTTCCCCGGAGTCCGGGTGGGAGAGATTGATCCCGAATACATGAGGAGCACAAAGACGACATAACACCAGGGCCAGGGGGGTTCAACTCACAGAGTACTTTTTTTCCTTAATTCCCAATTTGTTGTCACTGACACAGAACGAATGAAGTCACTCTCGCTCCATTCAAATGTTCTGCCGGGCGGTGACTTTCTTGCCCGATACATTGTTTACTGATTAAACGGGGAGATCTATATGTAGTACAGCTGGTAATATCTCGAGGGTATCCTGAGTTTTTTTGAAATGAGTCGCATGATTCCAAGATTGATTTAATCTGATCCTATTTCTAGTTGCATCATTATATGCCGATATTATCTGAAAATGATCCAGAGGTTAAATTAGGTACGATTGTACTCCATAAAGTGGGTCTCCCGCATATGCAGTTTAGTTGGGCTGCTAAATATCAAGACTGAATTAGCCTTATTAAATTAAAAAGTCAAAATAAATCAGGTTTAAGGGAGATCATTCAAGTGGTATTGATGATTGATAATGGTGCATATAGAATCAGTGAGTGAGTAGTACGAGAGTGCAATACTAGTATAGCGAAACATTGAATATTCAACTTGATCAGAGTTAAGCTTATATAGAGCCATAAACATTGAAAGAATAACATGATCCACTCAAACTTGAACATTCAATTGTATATTAAATAGACAACATAGACCTGAAGTACATTAGTATATCGTATTCATCTGGTTTTAGTCTAAGATACTCTAAGCCCTATAAACTAGGTATGTAGCAGCAATATGCCTATACTAGATGAAGACGGCAGGCATAGGCATTTAGTACAAGATTGATCCAATTAGAAGAAGCATTAGAACTGAATAAACATTTTAAATCTCAAGCTGGGCTTATTCTAAGCTAGAACTATGTGGATTTATAAGGAAATTAACAATAGAAGCTTGGTAGTAATATGGGGTCTAGTATGGTTCATTGCAATTTGGCAAGTCAGAAGGCATCATAGACATAATCCGTAATTTAATTGTAAATGCAGAGAAAAATGATTTTTCACTACAATTATATCTATAATATCTAGTAGTGGGTTAACAGTGCCCAGGTGGATGCCAAAGAAAGTAGAAGATCGGACTCTGCCGAATTGGGGGAACAGCCGAGGTCGGCTCACATGGCAAGTCCGGGGAACCTCCATATCTCGGTGAAGGTCAACTCCTCTGCTACAACACCACTACAGGAAGCTTGAACAATGTCGGATTCCTCTAAACCCCCTTCAATCCCCTCTTGGCAACGACAGCCTGCCTCGTCATCTACGGATCAATCCCCGACTCAGTCAGAATCACCTTCTCCATCGCCGAGCTCCGACGTTGCGCCCGAATCCACCTCACGAGAGGACCTCATCAACCAAGCAGCCCGATTCCTAGAAGATGAATCGATCCGCGATTCCTCCACTGATCGCAAAGTTGCCTTTTTAGAGTCTAAAGGTCTCAACGCCGAAGAAATCCAACAACTCCTCGGCGTTTCCCGAAACCTGGAGGCGACCAGCGGCAGCGCGAGCACAACCGAGGATAAGGCCCAGGAGACATCTGAGACCTCTCCCTCTTCATCAATCGTCGCACCAGAAGCTGCAAATTCATCTACTGAGACTACATCATCACCATCCCAAGCCTCATCCCAACAGACCACTATGTCTCAACCACGCGCATCCACCGCCACCTCCGCCTCTCCTCTCACAAGACGCGATGAGCCTCCCATCATCACATACCCCGAATTCCTCTTCCAGCCAGCCAAGCCTCCACCACTAGTAACCATGCAAAGTATTCTCTACACAATCTACGGCGCAGCAGGGCTTGGCGCTAGTATCTACGGTGCAAGCCAGTACCTCGTGAAACCGATGCTAGCGAATCTCACAAGCGCACGTCATGAGCTAGCAGAGACAGCACAAACGAATCTCCAAAAGCTTAACGAGAAGCTCGAGCAAACCGTCTCTGTAATTCCGGCCCATCTTACCGCTCTCAAGGGAAAGTCTTCCAACGAAGATACAGAGGAAGATAATGATAGCGAAAGCATAGCTTCCGATCCTACGGAACTCTTCCATCGCGATATCGGGACTCAAACTACACCCGATGTTTCATCTTCATCTACATCGCTAGAGTCAGCTTCGAAAGAAAGTGATGCAAAGCCTGCTGATGCGCCCGTGGTGGCAGTATCGAACCACATGAACAGGCTGGAGTCTATCCAGTCGCAGCTAAAGGAAGTCAATGATGTCGAGAAGGAGTCAAGCACCTTGGATGATTCTTTACGAACAAGTTTGAATGACCTGCATCATTATCTTGATGGCATTATTTATGCCGCGCCGAGCTACGCTACTGGTGCTTCTTACGGACTTTTTTCTGGCGGCGCTAGTTCTGGGACGAATGGGACCTCAACCGGGGTGCGGAAGTCGGAGGAAGATGCCATTGCGAGCTTCAAGGCGGAGATTCGCGGTGTCAAGGGTGCTTTGTTGAGTGCTAGGAACTTCCCTGCTAGTCGGGGTGGTAGACCTGCAGGATTTGCGGCTGGAGCTAGATAATGCGGGCTGAAGGTTGTTTCTTGTTGCTTTTTGTTCGCCCCTTTAGTATGTTCATGAGACCAGCGACATTTCGTTTCGATAGGCTTATTTGTACAGTGTAAATAGAGTCGAATTAAACTATCCAGAGGATACAGTGTCTACTAGTATTACTACCTAATGTGTTGTCGTGCATGTATCAAGGTAGAATATCTTGGATCGGTTTTCCACATCTAAGCAGTACAAAGGTTGAAATCTCATCTGAAACCGTGACAGTCTATTGATATCAAGTCATGAATTCTGTCTATCCTAACCGTCATCACACATAGCATGAAAAGTGCAGGAAATTTCATCTCACGATACAAGATTTTACCAGACTAGACCCTCAAGGAGCACATAGGAAAACGAAGAGAAAATGATAAACGCAAGCATTAATGGTAAATGAACAAGAAAAATAACATAAAAAAGCCAAACGCTTTATACCAAAGATCCAAACCACTCATTTTCGGCCAGGGACACATGTTACCATGTCAAGACTCTCAAGACCTACTGACCTGTTACAGAATTTGTGACTGAGAAGGAGTTTCTTCGGCTCTCCAGGTGGCTGAACACATCTGGATCAGATACTTGACTCCGATCTGTAGCCATTTTGTTAGATTGATGAAAGATCGTGATTCAAGATTGAGAGGTTTCTGCTTACCTGCAAGCTGCTATATTCATCGTTGTTGTTGACCAGAAGATCGCTGTGGATCTTGGTAGCAACATCGTATCTGCGAGCTTCAACGGCTTGAGCTAAGCCGACCAGCTTTGACACGGTCTCTGGCTTGAAAGTCTCGTTGTTGAGGCGATCGAAGATTTCATTCAAAGAGCTCGCAGATCGCTGAGTCTGCTTCTTGAACTTCTCTGGCGCACGAGGCTCAAGGAATTGGATTTTAGGGTTAAGGATCTCGTAGATGGGCATAGCGTTCGGGGGGATATGTGAACGGTCGCCGGCAGCTAAGAACTAGATTAGAAGGTATTCCAAGAAAGCAGAAAATGATTATTACTTACGATACTTGGATGCCGCTGGTGGAGGAGGGGCAGCCGCCTGGGATTGAGCAAGACCTGGGCGAGCACCTTGAGGTGGCGGCGGAACCTGGGCCCGAGGTGGTGGTGGAACAGCAGCAGCCGGGGGAGGAGGAGCAGACGCGTAAGGGTTTGGTGGCGGGGGTTGAGCAGCTGCTATAGGGGCGTACGGAGAGGCACCAGCCTGGGGAGGAGGGGCCATTGGGCCTCGGCCCTGCAGTTGTGGGTTCGCAGCCTGGGCTACCGGGCTAGGGGGCATACCGGTTTGATGGAGGTGGCATGCTCGGAGGGGCATTGTAAGGCGAGGGTCCCCGAGGAATAGACGCAGGAGGGGCCATGTGAGACACGGGCGGTGATCCAGGGAGGGAGGCATATGGATTGACCGGGGGAGGCGGGGAAGGACCAGGAGCAACATTTGAGGCCAAGGGCGATGTTACACGCTGGGGAAGAGCACCAGCCTTAGGTGGAGGGGGCACAGATGGTGCGCGTGGGCCACCCGCCGGCGGAGGACCCTGAGCGAAAAGAGGAGACTGGTTGGGGAATGGAGAGCTGATGGCAGCGGGAGCAGCAGCTGGGGTACCGCGACGAGAGACAGGCTTAGCAAAGCCCTCTGGCAGGTCATTCCATGCAGGGAGTCCAGTGGCAGTTGTGTAGGTGGTGATGGTGTTGGCAGGCGACTGGTTAGAGGCACGCGGGGGAGGCGGCACACCAGTAACTGCAGGCTGTGCACCAAATGCGGGCTGTGCACCAAATTGCGCTTGTGGGGCGTAAGCTGCAGGCTTCACACCCTGGGATGGCTGATAGCCTGCAGGCGTGTAACCACTGCCACCGGAAATTGCAGCATAGGGGTTAGTCGGCTGCGATGGGGCGGCAGCTGGGGGGGGGCATATGGGTTAATCGGTGCCTGGACAGCAGGAGCTGCGCTTGGAGGAGCATAGGCATTGATCGGTGACTGAGTAGGAGCGTAAGCATTCTGCGCAGCAACAGCAGGAGCAGCAGCAGGGGTGAATGTTTGTTGAGGAGAGTAAACATTCGGCTGCTGGGGAAGGGGCTTGAAGCTGGCCCTTGAGGTGGCAGCAGCCTGAGCCTTCTGTGGAGCTTGTCTCATGGCGAGTCTAATGCGGTTACGAGCCACCTCGGCTTCGGGGTGCTTCTCAGGAACAAGATCGAGGTACTTCTGAGCAACTTGGAGACGGCCGTGGGTAGCCACAACGTCTGCATACTCAATGTACTTCTCATACAGGGTTCCCAAGCGCCAGTCTGAATCCTTGGTTCGTTCAGTGTCCTGGAAGTTTGTGACCTGTCGGAAGATAGTAACCTTCTCGATCAGGCCTTGCAACGCACGGACGTGAATGGAGAAGGTAGAGCTGCTCGCATCACTCTCGATACCCGTCTGCTCGTTCTCTCGCAACTCCTCAACCCAAATAGCTACGACCTTCTCCAGCTTGGAACCAGCAAGGTAACAGAATGAAGCATCCTTGCGAGCGCTCTTGTCATCTGTGGCCTGAACCTGCTCTTCAAGACGGTCTCCGAGGGCGTCACAAAGATCAGGGAACTCCTTCTGGTCAGCGAAGGTGCACAACGCCGCCATAACCTCCTTCCAGTTGGAGAGATCAGCATTGTGGACAACATCCCACAGGTTCTTGCCCACAATGGAAGCAAGCAGGCGCATGTAGTTGGGACCACCGGTCTGCTTAGAGAAATAGTATTCCTGAGCCTTTTCAATGCACTTCTGACCACCGCAAATAGCGATCATGAAGGCATCAGACATACGGTCCTCTTGGAGGGCGACATCAAGAGCCTTGTCAAATTCACCGAGCAGCAATGACCGAGTGATCTTCTGCTCAGCTTCGCTTTCCGAGCCATTGAAGATTTGGAACGGGTTATTGGTCCGGGCACCCTTGGATGCAGCGAGATCTGACAGGAAGTCACTGTCAGGGGTAGCATCAAACATAGACTGAAGACGCTTGTGCTTCTTTACTGAGGATTTGGGCTTTTCGATAGCACCGTTGGTCTCCTCGTCCTCCTTCTTGTCCAATCCAAGCTTAGACAGGGTGTCGGCAACCTCGTCAGTAGACTGATCCTGGAAACCTAGGTACTCCACAAGGCCCTTGCGAGGGTTCTCAGAGAGCAGAGCCTCGATGACCTTCCAATCAGCCTTCTCCTCCTCATTTGAGGCACCGGAGGCACGGGTCTCGCAGAGAGTTCGAAGATCACCCTCCTTGAGAGCAGTCTCGAAGCTCTCGGTAGCATTGCCAACACTTTCATCAACCTCAAATGGAGTAATCTTAACCTTAGAAGCGCGCGAGCCCTTCTCAGAAAGACCAATGGAAACAACACGGCCGCCAAAACCAAATGAAGCACCACAGGGGCGCTCCATCCAACGTGGGGGCTTGGGAAGAGAGAACTTAGAGATCTGGGGCTGAGTCTGAGCCTTAGCGAAGAAGTCCTCGCCATCGAGAGTCTGGTTGTGGTCATCAATGGCCTGTGCACTGTCTGTCTTGGTGTTTTGAAGCGTCTGGATAGAAATCTTTCCGTCGAATGAGGCGGTCGCGAAGAAGTTGGGGTTATGAGGGTTCCAGCGTGTCTGGAAGGTCCAGTTGGTGACAACGGGGAATTCACCGTAGGCCTCACCGGTTTGCGGGTTCCAGCAAATGTTACGGTTATCCTTACCGGAGGAAAGGAGAAGGTCCGGGTCGTGGTCACACCAAGAGAGCGAAAGAACACCGGATTCGTGGCCCTTCAAAGTGCGTTCGGGGGCGTGAGAGTTGCGCAGATCCCATACATAGATCATAGGATCATCCGCCAAAGGAGTGGAGGTAATCAGCTTGGTAGGTCTCTCGGGGTCCCAGGCGACTGCGCTGACAGCCTTACGGCCGATGTTGTTGAGAGTCAAGCTCTCCTTCTTGGTCTTGACATCCCACACAGTCACAAATCCAGCACTGCTACCAGTGACCAGGATGTGAGCAACCTTCTTGTTCCAATCCAAGCACTCAATATCATCTGTTCGGGCCGCATTGTTGCCCAATCGGAAGGGGTTCTCGAGGTTGTTCAGATCGGAGAGGAAGAGCTCGCCTTTCGCGCCACCGGTGGCCAGGAGGTTGGAGTGCTTAGGGTTGAATTGAAGAGCCTTGATGGCGCCAGAGTGCTTCGAGGTTCTCGACATCAAGGAATCACTTGAGACCAGTTAGCGACAATTATCCCTTTCCAGGAGCCCTAGACACTTCACCCACCTTGATCCCGCAAGTAGCTTATCGGCACTCCACAGATCCAATGAACCATTCTCCAGACCACCTGCAATAACACCGCGACTTGTGTCGTCATACTCAGCCCATGCGAGGTCATTGAAGCTAAGCAGTCATAATCATTAGCAAGAAACTCATATCTCAAATGCAAAACAGTTGTATCATACCCAGCATCGGTCTCGATCTTAGCTAGCGGTTGAAGCTCCTCGCTAGCGTCCTGGCGATCTAAACCAAGATCCCAAAGCTCAAGACAAGTCTTGTTAGAGAAATCAACGTCGACGGCACCCGCCCGGGTTCCTGTGGCCATCAATGGAGATGCCGCACCAGGAGACCAGGCAAAGGTGGCCGTCCTTGGGATTTCCCGCAGACGGACCATGATGACGGTATGTGGGTGGATGTGGTTTGGGGGAGTTAATTAAATTTTTAAAAAAGAATAACAGAAATTCAAATGGTCATCCAATGAAGATCAGTAAGTCCAAATCCCACCCCTGTACATAAATTGGGACAACGGGGGGTGCGATGCTCTACAAGTCAACACCAAGTGGCCTCCTGGACTCTTGGAGGGACCGGGGAACCCGCGCTAAACCCAATTAGGCACTCGCCAAAACACACCCCCGATGCTTGTCGCACGTGATATCAGTACTCTCTGCAATGCGACGCCGAGTCTAGAGCTCACCCTCCTTGCGATTATCTACAATAAACCGAATAGTTCCCCATCCGTTCTTTTACAAGCTGCATACTTTCTTACTGGGATAATTCACATACCCGATCCGGTTCGAAACAACAGAAATTTTCTTTTCTACAGGACTAGACTTGAAATTCTTCACGACATCATGAGTGAAAGCACCCGCCTCAAGAGCACCATTTACGTTGGTGGCCTCGATCAGGCCGTCTCCACCCACACCCTGGCTGAGGCCTTTGTACCCTTTGGAGAGGTTGTCGAAATTTCACTTCCAAAGCCAGACCAGCCCAACTCAGGCGATTCTCATCGGGGTTTCGGATATGTTGAATTTGACCTCCCCCAAGATGCGAAAGAAGCTATCGACAACATGGATGGAAGTGAACTTTACGGTCGGACTATTAAGGTTGCAGCCGCGAAGCCGCAGAAGGATGCCAATGAGGGGCTAGGCAGCAAGACTGCTATCTGGGAGCAGGTACGTGGGATTCTACGAAGATCCTGAATTCTTTGTTGCTGTCGCATTGGTCGCAGTTATACTAATTGGATATGTTTCTACAGGAGGGTTATCTGGCCAAATACGCTGTCAGCGAAGAGGATCGCCAAGCAGCTGAAGAGGCCCGAGAGGCAGGCAACCGGCCGCAGGATCCAATGCAAGGTCTGGAACAGCTCGATGTTGCTGGCCCAAAGCCTGAGTGATGTACACAATAAAGGCCATGACGATTATGAACCACGAACGACAGTACTATTTGCCGAAAAACAAACCAACGGTCACTGCGAAGCCGAAACTATGTACACACGCTCCGGGACCGAGCACGGGCACGTCTTAATTTTGACCACTATTTTTTCTGGACTTCCAATTGTTTCAAACAATACAGGCGGACAAGAATTCAAGGAAAATTGGAATCGCATTCACAGAGCTCAAAAGGACACGGTGGTACATTTAGTGCTCACGGCTCTCGGGGCTGTTGCGGTAGAGACGCAGAGTCTTGTCGGTCATGAGCTTCTTGGTGCTGGCGTAGAAGGCGGCACCGAGGGCGACACTGCGGGGAGAAATGGGTTAGTTGTGGAAACAGAAGGATGGAGTGGTATCGATAATAATTCAATCGGAGCGAAATCAAAAGCGATGGGTATAGGAAAAGTTGTGCATAGTTTGGCAGATTCAACCGGGGAAGTCGGATTAGATATAACATACCCAAGGACGATACCTAAATTTCAAAGAATCATTAGTAACGTGTTTTAAGGCTTCATGAAGGTCCGGATATCATAGGGTACACATACCGAGAGGAATCAACTCTGGGGGGGCACTTCTTGATCATGCGCAGACGCTGGGAGATGGTGTGGGCTATTCAAATGCAATCAGTACAGCCGAACCTTAAGGTAAACTCTCACTTCAGCCACATGGCTCAATGCCCAGTGCCTCCACGAGAGTGTGGTGTTGGAAAGCATACCGCTGTGAGCCTCCTTCTGCAAACAGGAGTTAGTATTAACCGACAACCCGATCGTATGATCCCGAGGGACAAGAGACTTACAGGGGCGGGGTTGAAGAAAGCGCGCGAAGGCTGCATACGGAAAGCCTGAGTAGGGTACATGTTGAGAGAGGGGGGGAGGGTTGGTAGGTATATAAGACCAAGAGAAGTGGGAGAGGAGGTTGGAGTCGAGCTTTCCAAGAGCGTCGTTCTGAGTGGCTCGGGTGTTTTGGGAAAAGCGAGACTCTCAGTGGCTCTCGCTTGACCGCCCGCGGTCATACCCGGCACTTCACAGCTTCGATCACCCAACGTCTCTCGTTCTCTTGATCCTCTCCCACCACTCTCCTCTCTCTTTACCCCCGTTTAAACCGTTGAATCTTTTGTGTTCTTCAATCGAAGCTACACATTGCCAAAATGGGTGCCATTCCTGAGTTCGACCCCGAGGAGCCTCAAGAGACCAAGCCCTTCAAGTTCGTGACTGGTAAGTCCCAAATCACCCCCCTCTCCGTGGTTACAGGAGTAATCTCTTCAACTTGGAGTCAATTGCTAATATCAATGCAGCTGGTACGTATATAATCGATTTCCTTCCACTTTGAACGATTGGCGGGACACCATGAAATGGGTATCTCCGATTGGCCGGGGGACATCATAAGATTGACATTTTTCGATGCGACTACAGGTTACGATGCTCGTTTCCCTCAGATGAACCAGTGCGTCACCTTACCTCCTGATAATATCACGAAGATATCTTTCTAATTTTTTGCCTTTTTCAGAACCAAGCACTGCTGGCAAAACTATGTCGACTACTACAAGTGTGTCGAGGCTAAGGGTGATGACTTCCGCCCATGCCGTCAGGTACTTCTACCAACTCTATTTCTCTCGACGATTTATTTCTAACATCTCAATCAGTTCTACCACGCCTTCCGTGCTCTCTGCCCTAAGGCTTGGACCGACCGCTGGGACGGTCAGCGTGGTACGTCACCAAACCCGACCCTAGAAATCTCTTGTTCTACGCATACTAATCGCATATACCATTCACAGAGGCTGGCAACTTCCCCGCTCAGCTTGACCGGTAAATAACCAATTAAAGTTTTGAGTTGGTTATTGGGCTTTCGAATTTTTGTGTATCGACAACTACCAATGTACTCTACCTGGTCTTGCGGGAATACATTTCCTTTCTTACTGATTCAGTTCATCCGGTTTTTCAGAAAGGGTGTATATAAACTCGCCGTTTCGCAAAGAGATTGTTTTTTACTGGTTATTACAATTCTTTCATGACGTAAATTTTGAAAACATTGCTATGGTAGTAAGTAGTCGGATCCAAGGCCGAAGATGCCACAGTGAGGACTCGAGCTTAGTAGCTCTTTGATAAGAGTCAAACTTGTTCTTTTGGTCTGAACTAGTACTCTTGGAAATACTTAATGGGAAGAAAATAGCTTCAATGTTCCTCGCGGAAATAATCTGGATGCGATTCAGGTATATCTCTATGTCTATATCGTTCTAGTCTAGAAAGAAGCACAGCTTTCAATGCACTCTATGTGCAAAGGAAATGCCGCACCAAATCAGCAGGCCGCTGCCCACTGCAGTAAGGACATTCCAAGAGGAATGTAAGATATGTACAAGCTGAAGGTGCTCGTGAATCACAGTTGCTCCACCCAAAACAATTGGCAGAAGAAAACAGAAAAAAAACTCTTAAATGGGGTCATATATGACGAAAGATGAGAAAAAATGATGCAAACAATAGAGGGTCTCAAAAATGGAAATAAAGCAAAAGGCAAAAAAGAAAAACGAACAAACCTGGAGAGGATATAACCTCCATAGATTGCAACTGAAATCACATTTTAGATACCCTGCAACCTCCTGTAGAGCTTCTTGTGCTCTTCAAGGAAGATAAAGGTCGCAATAGTATGAGGGCCGAGACGAATGAAGCTGGGGACCCAACCACGGAAAGTCCAGCCCAGGCCTTCTTTGCGACAAATGTCACGAAGCAAGCCAGCGATGCTGTGGCCACGACTCTCAGCAGGAGAGGCAGTCATGATGCGAGTCTTAATAACATCCACAGGACTACAGACAGTGGTAGCCACAAATCCAGCCATAAATGAGGCTGTGAAGTGAGTGCCAAGGTTATCCTTCATGCCGGCCTTTTCGATGCACATTTTCTTGAAGGTATCATAAGATGCCAGCTGGGAGGCAGTCATAAGCACCGCGCGAGTTGAGTTTGGCCAGACACCACGGAACAAGGCACCGAAGCCCTCTGTGCGGGTCATCTGTACAAGACCATGGAAGGCGTGACGGTAGTTGCGGCGTTGCTCGATTGGCAAAGCGGCGTCCGATTGCATGCGAACGTTAAGCACATCGGCGGGGTTACCAGCGAATCCACCAATGAAACCTGAAATGCAGGATATTCCGAGAAGAGTGAGGAGACCTGGAGGTGCGGTAGGATCTTGGGAGTTCTTCATGACGCGGTTTTTGAGTTCTTCATAGATACCGAAGCGAGTAGTGGAATAAGTTATCTGGCGTAGGAGTGCGGCGGAGAGCTATATTGTAGAAACACAATTGATCTCTGGTTAGCTTCATTCTTGATCTGTATAAGGTGGATCGTCAGGGTCCCCATTCGAGGTGGACCCGCGCATGCTAATACTTACACCATTGTATAATCCAGTGACTCCATTATGTCTCACGATGTGTCCAAATGTGCCCACCATTGTCTTTGGCGCATCGGGCGCCCGTGTTTGTAATCGAACCTAGAATGCGACGAAAATTCCATGATCAGCGACGGAGCGATAAGAAGGCATGGGCGATTTCACGGTCTCGGCCTGAACTCCGGGGGGCGTAGGAAAATACCTTAACTACGGTGGCGCGAAGAGTCAGTACCAATGTCATAGAAGCAGTCGCAAGGAAATCATACCTAAATCTAAAGGGTGTGTCACACCCGCCGCAAAACATGATGCTGAACCTCCAAACCAAAAGGGATAGTGCACTTTCTTTGATTTGGACTGCGGGAGTGTCGATGTCGAGACTGACGCCACCCGTGAATGGGCAGGAGCCAACATCTTTCCAGTGTCTGCCATAGCCAGTTTCTTGAGAAACCTTGGACGACACTTGTGGGAAATAACGTTGGAGTAAAGGAGATTGTGGGAATAACCCAGGTGACAAAGGGATTTATTTGTGTAAGAGAATCAGCATTTTCTCTTGACCGTGAACCTATTTGACGTAATTTTGGATCTCAAATACCAACGGACACAAATCAGGTCGCCGAAGCCACTCTCGGCAGCCCCAGCCGACGGAGTCTTATGCCCAATCACATTGTGCGCCTTTATGGATCCTGGGCTCTTATACCAATCACACTCTCGGTTTTGCCTCCCCCCGGTGAATCTCCCCCCTGTAAGGAAGATACATGACCATGAGGGTGATCATTAAAAACAAAAGATCATGAACTACAATCATTCGGAGGCAAAATGTAGACTCCGAGAGATATACACGTCATTTATATTCGAGCATTTAAATCATATTGACCAATTATTTTGTTATCTCAGTTAAAATAGTAGAATGATCAATATCCTTGGTGCGGATATCCTCGGTGCAATTGCGGATGTTGAGCGGACGTAAGGATAAGATTACCGAGGGACGAGGGGCTCCAAGTTTTCCCCTCCATGAGATAATCAGTGGAGTAATACGTTAAGTGGGTGTAGGAATAGTCTACAGTCATGCTAGTATATTCACATCTTCAAAATCATTAAAAGTACAGGTACTAGTCACCTGGTAGTTTGATCACATGTCCACCAGTTGACGTAGTTGGGGCTGTACATGTAGTATGATGTCGATGCACTCACAACCTGCAAGGATCAATGTAGATAATACTAGTAAGATGCAATTGATCTTTATATGTAAAGTTATCAGCTTCTTACTAGTAGTATATATTCATCCTGGATATACCTACTAGAACTTGAAGCTAACTTACTAGTAGTAGTAAGACAATTTGTTCTGCCGGTCAATGCTTGACCAGTACCTACCTATATATCACCACTAACCTTGGAATACAGCTGTCCAAATTTAGTTTTATCTGAGAGGTGCTAGTAATCCGATCAAAGGTTTGAATTTGAAAATGAACCCCGAGTCCTCAATCAAAAAGTGCCAATCAAAACTAAAATCCTAAATAACTTGAAATGAGACCAAATACTATTGTGATCCAACTACATTGATCTGAAGATTATACCTCGGCGACTCATTTCCCCGATCCGGACATGTTTTCCACCCCGAAGTACAAGCATTAGTGCCAGCTACCCAAGTGCTTCAAGTTCCAATCACAAATCCTCATGAGGTTACTCGCAACCGGAAGAGCCCTGCGTGCCAGCAGCGGCAGATGGTCCATTCCTGCCGCTCGCTCCAGATTCTCAATTACTCGTGCCTACCCTCTCCACCCCATCCCGGCCAGCTCAAGAACCTGGAGCTCAACGGCAGCTCTCAGAGTAGCAGATAGTAACCAAGGCAAACCATCGTCGCAAACAAAATCCACTCTCCAAATCCAAGGCGACTCCCACACTACCGACCAATGGACAAATACCACTGATCAGATCCTTTCCCACGTGGGCCGACGTCTCTACTTGGACGAGAACCACCCTCTAGCGATCACGCGCAAGCTCATCGAGAGTCAATTCTCCGCGCCAGTCTTCGGAAACTATTTCGAGAAGAACCCCGTCGTCACAACTCGACAGAACTTCGATGTTCTCGGATTCCCATTGGACCACCCAGGTCGCAGTCGCACAGATACCTACTATGTTAACGACAAGACCGTCCTGCGCACACATACAAGCGCCCACCAGCAAGCGTATTTCCAGCAAATCAATCGCAATGAGCAGACTCGACCGGAGGAAGTCGGATACACTGTGATCGCAGATGTCTACCGTCGTGATGCCATTGACCGGAGCCACTACCCTGTCTTCCACCAGATGGAGGGTGCGATGCTCTGGAAGCGCCCGGATAACAACCCCCTCGCCAGCTCCGCGGAAACTGCTGCGCGGATTAAGGCGGATGTGGAGTTAATACCCAAGCATGATGTTGTTGTTGAGGATCCGAACCCTACAATTCATGCTCAGCGGAACCCGCTGCAGGCTGAGCACCACAGTGAAGAGGAGGTGGAGGCTATCGCGCAGCATCTGAAACGATCGTTGGAGCGTATGGTTATTAAGGTCTTTACCGAAGGAAGCAAGGCTGCTGCTGCTAGTGCTGGCGGTGCCGAGCCCGAGCCATTGAAGGTGCGCTGGGTTGAGGCTTATTTCCCCTTCACAAGTCCCTCATGGGAGCTTGAGGTCTTCTGGCAGGGTGACTGGCTGGAGATTCTGGGATGTGGTGTCATTAAGCAGGATCTGTTGATTAACTCCGATGTGCCTAACCGGGTTGGTTGGGCCTTTGGATTGGGTATTGAGCGTATCGCCATGCTTCTGTTCAACATCCCTGATATCCGGCTCTTTTGGTCTAAGGATGAGCGCTTCTTGTCCCAGTTCCGTGCTGGAACAGTCACTCGCTTTGAGCCTTTCTCAAAACATCCGGCTTGCTATAAAGATGTCGCTTTCTGGCTTCCACCTGCTGCTGTCACTGGAGGCAGCAGTGCTGCTGGTGGAGGTGTGCCTTTCCATGAGAATGATGTTATGGAACTCGTTCGTGGAATTGGTGGTGACCTTGTCGAGGATGTTTCGTGCATTGACGAGTTCACTCACCCCAAGACTGGTCGCAAGAGCATGTGCTACCGTATTAACTACCGTAGCTTGGAGCGCACTTTGACGAACGAAGAGACCAATGAGATGCATGAGAAGGTTCGGAGCAAGTTGGTTGGGGACTTGGGTGTTGAGCTGAGATGATCGGAAGTCATTCTCTTGTACTATTATGAATCTGTTCTATATCACTGTAAAATGTGTACAATATCAATCTTCAATCTCTCGATTGAAGTTTAACAACATGCTTGCTAGTGCTGATGGCCTCTACCTACCACATAAGCAGTTATCTTAAGAATTATACAGAGAAGTAAATTGAGATCGAGGAATCATTGCCTCTAGATGCTGGTGTATTATACAAAAAAGTGAGGAGAGAGTTATCAGAACACAGATTGTGCAGAAAGAAAAGGGACAAACCACCCTAACACAAGACAATCCAGACGCCTCCAGTCACATGCAACAAAAGTGTATCATACAGACCCCAAAGAGAAGCAGATATCAAGGAAGTAAAAGTTTTCCGGACCCAACAGCCAGCAGAATCCAAATGCCAATCCTATCGTGATCATGACGTATGATATATGGTACAGAGAGAAGGAAAAAGGAAAAGGAGATTATAATAGAGGATAAATTTAGGCGTTCTTGACGACACCGACCTTGGCAGCCTAAGAAGAAAAAGTAAAGATTAGCAAAAATTCTATACCGCAATGCGATTTCGGAAGAGAAGAACATACCCGAAGAACCCGTCCGTTCAGGCGGAAACCCTTGCTCTGGGTGTACATAACATCACCATCCTGCAGATCGGCGGAAGGAGCCATAAAGGTAGCCTCGTGCAGGTTAGGATCGAACTTCTGAGTCTGGCCATCAACCTTCTCAGAAGGATCGAAGCGCTCAAGGCCGTGTTTTGTGAGAGTGTTCAAGAGGATGTTCTCAGTCATCTTAAGACCAGCAACGAGCTCGTGCAGAGCCTTGTTCTCCTCGGTCTGAGCAGCAGTGAGCTGATCCGCGGGCACGGCCAGCAGCGCGCGGTCGAAGTTGTCAATGCTCTCCAGAAGGTCCTTGGCGAAGCGCTGAATAGCGAAGTTACGGGCACCATCCATGTCGCGCTTAGTGCGCTCCTGGAGGTTACGGAATTCGGCGACAGAGCGAAGGTACTTGTCCTAATAAACAGAAAAAATAAAACGTATTAGCTATGCAAAGACCAGGTAATGAGATGAATGACGTTGATTACCTTCAGATCAAGAATTTGCTTGTCCTTCTCCTCGAGCTGCTTCTGAACGGAGTCCTCGGCATTTTCGGCGGACTCGGCCTCCTTGGGAGCTTCCTTCTCAGTAGAGTAGAAGCGGGAGAAGGGCTGAGCAAATGGGCGAACAGCGGGCAGACGTGTTTGCAACTGTGATGTCCGGCGGACGGCCAATGAAGCTGATGTGGAAGAAGAAGCAGTCAGAGCTGACCGGGCAGCCTGGACTTGTCTGAGGATGGATCGTTGGAACATTATGAAAAGGTAGAGAAAGGAATTGAAAAGTGTAGAAAGATATCGAGTAAAAAGGTGATTGGACTTGTCTACTTCGATGCGATTGTCGGGCAAATTTGGTTGAATATCACCTGATCCCGGGAAAATTAAAATGCTTGCTCCGAGGTACAGGTGCCTTCCTAATCGGGTATGGACGTGGACTATCATTGATGTATGAAGATGAAGAGTTGATATGGTCATTGCAATTGAAACATTGAATTGGAAATGTCCGCCTGAAAGGTGTCATTTGCGGTCCTACTAAAGCTCAGTGTGCCTACGCAAATACTCCCAGCTATCATCCTGATCATCCGAGTCTTCACAGTGCGCCATTTTTGTCATCTCATATAATGTGAGAGCGTACCGAGTTGCAGCCTTCACTGAGAGAGACTTATCATTCTCTGAGTTTCCACCAACTATTCTAACATGTTCACCAACACTTTTCCGGATCGCTCTTTTGACCACCGATCGAGCACATCGGTTTCCCAACATGATCACACTCTCGATAGGGTTTGAACGTTCTCCACGTTCGTTCATTCTCCCTGTACCTCGTAGTTAGAATAATTGAAAACAATTTCGTAGGTTTTAATTCAAAGCGACATGATTGGTCTCACCTTGCAGACAGTCCAAAGTCCTATCAAACTGGTTCGCCAGCTCATCGATGTATTCAGCCTCGACAGCCTCTAGATCCTCCCAGCGAAGAACAACTGTTTCATAATCTCCAATCCACCAGTCCTGTAAATCGAGTGGCCTTTCGGCATAGTGATCATCGCCATCCTCGAGTGTGTCAATCTCGCTTGGATATCTAATACTCTGACTCGCAGTCCACAGAGCCGAGTATAAGTCCGGCTTTGAAGCTCCCTTTTCGACCTGTTGTTTCAATGGCCCATCAAATGAAGTAAATCTGTCAAACAACTTCTTTGCGATTCGCTGACAACCTAGTATATCCATTGGATATTTCATATGACACCTGCCATTTGTTGCAATATCAAAGTACCCAACTCCGTAGTCAATGAGTAACGAGTTTTCCCATGGCTCCGAAGAAAAATAATCAGTAACATCTTCGTCTAGTATAGAATTCCAAGGCCAGATCAAGTTTTTTTGAGGGAAAACGAGCGGGAAGGCAAGAACTCTAGTGATTCCGGCTTCAATAGCCGCTTCTTCAGCGAGTTCCCGAACATGGTCGCCCAAAAAGTCGGGAATAGTGATGACTGCACCTCGAATAGTGATGTTCATTGTTTCTCTGGCACCTTCTTTCAGGACTTCGAATGCCTGTAGGAATCCTGTCTTGATATAATCATCCGAAAGCTCTACATCAGTCTCAAGCTGCGAAGAGGGTTGAAATGAGCTCGATAATGGAGCGAGAAGATTGGACGTGAATTCACGTATTCTTTGAAATCCCTGTAGCAGTTTCTGTACTGTTTCCGAGTTAGAATCAATTAGAGAAGGTACTCTCTGAGACACGGAATTTTTTAGTGTAGCGATAGTGTCAATGATTGGCGATAACACTGGAAATCCTCTCGGAATATCTTCGGTCTCTTTGTTCAGACTTTCTGCATAATAGGCGAGACGTAGCTGTTGTATCGATCTTGCGTAATTTGGAATTTCGTCGCCTCGAATCATTTTTGGGCTGATCATGCTAATGTTATTCATTGAATGAGCATACGCCGCGAGTCTAAATCCAGGGAATCATATTAGCATTTCATCTGAAAATAGTCTCATTGAAAAGTCTTACAATGATTCCATTCCCAAATGAATTCCAATGGGTTGCATGTAATGGCACTCATCGTAAGCGTTGAGAGGCGTGCATAGAGCTGAGAGAGCCAGCATATGCAAAAATGCCAATGAACGCATTTTTGAACTGCGATGAGGTCCTATCTTTGCTGACAGTGCCTATGTGTTGATGACTGAATGAGAGGAAATCTCGGGAGTGGGAGCAGAGCCTCAGGGTCTCAGGGTCTTGAGACCCAGTCTAACCGGAAATTGTTATCTGGGGCTGATTCTTGCTATGGCCAATAATGCAAGACTACACAGTTCATGACTAGACAAAGACTCAACTGGAAATCAAACCCAAGAATGAGAGTAGGACAGTCATATTTAGCTGATTTATCATAATCAGATCACTTTTTGACACAAATGGTCTTAAAGCTGCCAGGTGACTGATATGAAGATTCTGGATTACAAAGCGGCATTGAAAAAATGGATACCAGATGGCTTCTGAAGACGTAGAATGCTTCTCAACTTCAAGTTGGCTAAATGGGATAAGTTAAATTTGCCCCAAGTTTACCCCATGCTGAAATGATGTGGAGGAAACCAACAGCGTTCATGTAGAGTCGGGATGTGGGGATGGAAGACGTGGATGCCCGCATTTCTCAATTCCAGCACTATTCAAGATTAAAACGATCATGAATGGTCACTTATTTCCGAGAGACAAATTTAATATTGTATAAGTCAAGTCTGACCCCATTAGCTCAAGATATATCCAATTCAAGCGCTTCTTCGATACCTCTCAACTATCAATTTCCTGAATCCCCGCAAGCCATTCCTGTGTCCACCATCAGACACCCTGGCTCCTACTACAGTTGTCAGACGCCTGAATCATTTGCAACAGACTTTAGGCACAATGACATCCCAAACTCTAGCCGGCAAGGTTGCCATCGTCACAGGATCAAGTTCCGGTATTGGCGCAGCCATTGTCCGCGAGCTTTCCTCTCGAGGAGCAAACACAGTCGTTAATTACCCCTTCGACAAGTTCAAAGAAGAAGCCGATGCAGTTGTATCATCTCTTCAGACTCCATCCATTGCAGTCGAAGCAGACATGTCGCAGATATCATCACCTCAGAAACTGGTAGATGCAGCACTCGCGAAATGGAACAGAATCGACATTCTGGTCAACTGTGTCGCATTAGCCGTGAACAAACCACTAGAGGAGCAAACGCTCGAGGACTGGGATCTTCTCGTTAATATCAATGGACGTGGCACATTCCTCCTAACGAAGGCTGTGCTACCACATATCACCAAGGGTAGTGGGCGCATTGTCAACATAGCCAGCATTTCGGCCCGGGGTCCACCTCCAAACCAGACTATCTATGCTGGTACCAAGGGCATGGTGGATTCGTTTACCAAGTGTTGGTAAGTGCTATTCTATCAAGCTTATTCGTCTATAAAATACTAACTAGTGTAGGGCGAAGGAACTTCCGCCCAAATACGGGTGCACTGTTAACGCAGTTAGCCCCGGTCCTACGATGACTGAAGGCTTTGCTGCTGCTGGCGAGGAGCAGATGAAGATCCTTCAGCCCATTATTGATCAGACACCTGTCGGGCCTCGAATGGGGCAGCCAGATGAGATTGCGTATGCTGTTGCATTTTTGTGTGAGGAGCGAGCGCGCTGGATCAATGGGACTCATATGATTGCTTCAGGAGGATTGTTTATAGATTAGGTGTCAATGTTTCTGCTCTACTCAAACTTGTTGGTATGCCCAAGTTGGGTATCGTTATGGATAACGAGAAAGCTTTGTTTGTTTACATGAAATGGGTCTTTTAGAGAAAACGAATATATCAAATGTCTTTCAGTATAGTATAGACCAGGCTCGTCGTATTGATAGGCCGTCCGAAGGTTTCACATTGGTAGAGGATGACAGTAAGGCTATATTGGTTAGTTGCTTTGCTGTTCAATTCCACATCAATTTAGCCAACAACATTACTAGAAAATAATAACTTGCAAATTGGTGATACGACACCGTATTCTTCATGTTTCACCCACTGTGGCAAGGCTGCCTCAACTATTTACCCGCGATTCTCATATAGATGCCCAGGTGATATCTTCTGGAGTAACAGGGCTCATTTGTCAGGCCCAGTTTGCACTGATGAAAAAGGTCCGCACAGCCTGCGCAACTAGGGACAAGGGGCTGTATGAATCAGACTCCCTATTTGGAAATTGAGAGCTTATGCCCAAGACACATGATAGTGCCGCATTGCGTATTCCGCCTTGTGGGGGCACAGACCAATACGGAGCTGATCTTGCAGAATAGTCCAATTTCAGGAGCAAGCATCATGAGGATCTGGAGATCGAGATCATGAGGCCCGATAGATGACACGAGGCGCGCGCAATTCAAATTTCCAGATCGGGTTAATCCTGTGATTGGTAGCCTCAGCTTGGGGTAACATGCAGTATCTCATCATAAACGTACTCCGTATTGTTAGCGCAATGCCCCTGTCTAATATTCCCCTGTTTATTGAGCTCCGTGGCACCTGTCGCGGCAATGAAGACCCCAGGCAAAGACAAACCACAGCTGCCAAGTGGTTCAAGGGGAGGGATTAGCTAGTAGCAAGCTCGGACTTTGGTCATTCCGCAAGGGCACTGCCCAGAACGAGAGCCAAGCCCCACAATGTATCTCCAGGCAGAACAAATAATCTTTATGTCATGCCGGTTCCCGAGGAGACTGAGGCGAAGCGGGAAGAACATTCGCCCCGGATATTGCGCGGTAAGTTGACCTGTAGGGGCGGAGCTTTTGGTGGAGGCGAGTTCAAAACCAAAAATGTGGCGTATAAGGTGTGGCGCATGTATAAATTGCATGAAAAACTACCCAGAAGAGTTTAGAGGCAGATGAGTGCGAGAAGGGGCTCAGCCAGTAGACGTGGAGAGTGGATCGCCAGGAACGGCGGAGTTGAACGGGTTGGACGGTTTCGTGCAGGCTGTGCAGGGTGACGATACACGGACCCAGATACCCTGGACTGCGCCTCTAAAAAGAAAGAAAAATTAAAAAAAATTAAAGGATAAATATAAGATTCTCTATGGCCATCTGAATCTTTCATTCTCTCACACCCTTTCAAGTTCATTAAAAAGAACAAAAAAGAAAATCTAGACCTTTACTCCGATTTAGTGGCGATTCCCAGTCTCCTTTATCTTCTTATCCGCCCACCGCTTTATAATCTTCAACTTGACAACTACCACACCTTCACCCAACTTCAACCCTCCACACTCATACACCACACAAAATGGTTAACTCAGTGTCTTCGCCGCCGCGTTCGCAGCCATCCTCTCCTGCCTTTAAGGCTACTAAATCCGCGCGATCATCACCTCGCCCTTCCCTATCTATCGACATCAACAGTCTTCCCCCACTCTCCCAGCCATCGCCTCCTTCAAACACACTCTTAATCACCGATCTCAACGACCTTGTCCTCTTCCAGCCATCTTCCCTGGATGAGATTCGCAAGCAGATTACTGCACTTGTGGCTTTGAACTCATTTTCCCCACTGCCATCCCTCCGTCGCATCGTCTGTTCCTTCCACTCCGATGCCGATGCAGTCACAATCCGCAAGATGCTGGAGGGAAAGCGTCTTCTGAATCGCAACGTGACTCCCCGCCTTTACTTCGGCGAACCCACACCTATCATGAGCGATGAAGGACCCAAATTCTTGCAGGCGCCTCAGAGTAACAAGCTGTTCTTTATCTCCCCGCCACCCAGCCCCCCGCACGGCTGGATGATGCGCAACGAGGACCCACCAAACAAGGAAGTGCATGCTCATGATTTGGCCCACGCACTGTCTATGCTGAAGACCGATCCCTCCGAGCCTATGCACGTTGATCCTGCTACTCCGGTTTCCATCTCATCGGATAAGAGGACTCCTAGCTGGCCGCTTGCGGGCTCGCAGCAGCGCAGCCGCAGCAGTACTATTATCTTCCACCCTGAAGATCATGGACACAGTCCTAATCTCCCGGCTGTTATGGTTGAGGATCACAGTCTGCCAGTGGATGATGAGGATGTTGATATGGATGCCGGTGATATGAGTCCGATCGAAATGTCGGTGAAGAAGATGCCGCCCAAGACTTCTCGCCCACCTGTTGAGCTGATGGGTTGAATATTCCTTGGATCATGTTCCTTTTCTTAATTATCCTGCATTTTCTTTGAGCGATATTTCTTCGTGTGCATAGACCTCTTTCGGTGCATTGCTATCGTCTGGCGTTGGGGATGAATTCATCTTTGCATTGCATGGATCCGGATCAAATATGTTTTTTACTGTCTTTTGAAAATAGACTTCAAGTTTATATAATAGTTGAATTCTATATCAAAATTATCTGTCCATTATTTCTCTCTTCACCATAGGATCGTAAGTGGAGCCTACTAGCAACTCGAGTATACTTAGTGCTCTCAGCATCAAGTCAACAACCTCCACAAAACGCAAGTACATCCCAAGGAGTGTAAGGTACTCCGTAGTCAAGCTTGATAATCATATGTTTATAGCTAAATATGATATTCAAGTTAAGCGCTGATTTACATCATAGTAGCCCTCGACGCAATAGCGCTCTCCATCAGCCAAGCTAAACTTTTTACCCTCTCGCTTTCCATCGTAGAATCATTCCCCAGCCACTGTTTGTACATTTTTGTAGCCATATCCCAGGCATGATTTGACTCAGCATCCAAGGGACGGCTACAAAGTTCGGTTAAAATGTAGCCCATGACATACCATTCTCTAAAACCCTTCCACAGCCACTTCCAGTCTTCAGTGAGTTCATTATCTTGCAACAGATGCATAAACTCCAAAACCTCAACACCAGTGCGAAATAACATATCCTTGGTGGTCGACTGGAAATCATCTGGTGTATCAGGTGATGGTAAATTGACAAAAAGCCATGCTCTTGATAAGTGGAGTCGTGCGATGGTGGCAGTCATCCACTCCAATGGCTGATCTAGATCGCAGCTTTGAAGATATCGCTCCTCCATTCTCTTCCCCAACATCTGTACAGCTTCTTTCCTTTGCTCTGGTGGAGTTTCGTCATGAATATCACTCAACCAGTGTAACTCGGTCAAAAAATGAGCCGTAACAATCGCCAATGTGATGTTCGTACAGCCGTTTTTCTCAGGTGGAATAACCTCCATATCTTTTATAAGATCGTCATCATCAATGTTTGCTGGAAACCCTATCGGACATACCAGGGTAAATCTGTCGAGGTACATCCTGGTCCTCTGATACAAGCATATACAATATGCATATATGCCACCATAATCGACGCTGCATCTCACAATCAAAAGGAGATAAAAATATCTTTTTTCCATCTAGATGAAGCTTTTGGCCTTGAGCCACGCCACTCGAATAACAATGGCCGTCTCAGCCCAGATACGTCTTGGGTCTTCGCCCACTTGAGAAGTAAGAAGATAGAGCACCGCAGCTTAGAGAACACTGAAGTTTTGAGTTGTGAGGAGCTTAGCTCGGTTCAAAGCATCGTTCACAGCAATATCGAGATTCTGTCTCGTTGTTTGATACTCTCGACCGATCTCTTCTTGACACTGTTCTGGTGTCATGCTGGCCACAGCCGCTGAGCAAACAGATAAACACAGCGCCTCATCCTCAGGTTCCAGTTCAAACCCAATTGACACATCATGGAATATGGAGAACACTGATGGATTATGCAATATGGCGATTATTGGTGCGACTCGCGTTAGGTATATTTGCCAAAAGCTTTTGAGCTGCGAAGGCTGAAAGTACTACTCATAGAAAGTTTCTCGAGACCAGTCCTGGATGAGAGGAGAAAAGTCGAAGAAAGCCGACGGGCTTGGATTCGTTCCTTTGAGAGAGTTCTCATTCGTCACTTGGTCACGGTTCACAGAACGAAGCTGTTCAACTTCCGCTTCCAGCTCCTCCAGGCGAGTGAGGAGCCCAGGGACTGATGGACGATTCAAGGTTCGCGGTGCTCGCTTATCTGGGTAAATGCACGGACTGCCAGATTCAGAACAGGCTTTGCATGGGTCCAGTCGGTCGCATCCAATTTTCTTCTCATTGCAGCGTTCACAGCTGCGCTTTTGCCGCTCAACTGAGGCCGAGATGGGGGTTTCCCTGTGGTTTATCCGGATATTCTTCGACATGTCTGTTGTCTTTCTCGCTCGCTAAGTCAAGCAGGAAGAACTGCATTTTCAAAAATCAAGATCCGGGGATTTATCAGGATTATAGGGCGGGACATTGTTGAAAGCAAATGCATGCGGAGTTATTTCGTGGCGTTAGGCCTCCCAGGGACCGGGGTTGAGTTCAACCCCGAGTATTATCAATGTAGACGGGGATTAAGAAGCTTCGCTAACTTCGGTCTTTTGAAAAGCATCGCATATTAAAAATTTGACCTCAGTTCGTATTGCGTGGTCTATATAAGGAGGGCAAAGTCCCTATCGGATCTACATCATCAATCAGTTTTCTCTTCTCTCGTGTTCATACTATACCGATATTCTACTCCCCGTAATACTTTGAGGGACTTCGGCAGACATGACCAAAGTTATCCTTGTTACCGGCGCCACTGGCAAACAAGGTGGCAGTGTGGTCGACAAGCTGCTTGAAAGAGATGCAGATGTGGAGATCCTAGCTGTGACTCGCGATGCCAGCTCCAACGGAGCTCAGAAACTCAAGAGCAAGTCTTCAAAGATCAAACTTGTCCAATGTAGCCTGGATGAGCCTGAAGCAATCTTTGCCAGCGCCAAACAAGTTACTTCGCAGCCTATTTGGGGTGTATTCAGTGTCCAGGTGAGTACATACCATATGCTCCATACTCCGCAATATCTGAGCTAATAAAAAGAACAGGTGCCAGTACTTACCGCATCAGTCCAAGAAGCTGAAGAGCGACAAGGAAAGATCCTAGTGGACGCGGCTTTAAAGAACGACGTCAAGTTCTTCGTCTACTCATCTGTGGATCGCGGCGGTGATGCATCCTATGAAACCACCACAGACGTTCCTCATTTCATCAGCAAGCACAATATCGAGCATCATCTAGTCGAGAAGACCAGAGGTACTGATATGATCTGGACAATCCTGCGCCCCGTAGCATTTCTCGACGCCTTCAGCCCAGATTTTACTGGGAAGTTCTTTACCACAACATGGAAGACAGTTGTACGACACAAGAAATTCCAAACCATCTGTTTAAGCGATATTGGGTTCTTTGCGACGGAAGCATTCCTAAACCCAGATGAATGGAAGAATAAGTTCCTCTCATTGGCTGGAGATTCGCTCACATTCGAGGAAATGTCGAAGATTTTCTATGCGAAGATCGGTCGCAGTGTTCCCACTACTTTTGGCTTTATTTGTACATTTGCTTTGTGGTGGTTGCCAGATTTTGGGAAGATGTTTCACTGGTTTTATAATAGTGGATTTGGGCCTGATATTCCTGCTTTGCGGAGGATGCAACCTGGATTGAAGAACTTCGAGACTTGGTTGGAGACTGAAAGTGCATTTGTTACTAAATACTGGGTTCAAGTTGATATGGAGTAAATGAGCGATATGGTGGATTCAGTTATAATCTGTTTGTTACGTGATCGTGTTTGATGTGTACTTTTGATCTTATCTCCAATCTTCAAGTTTCAGATAATGCACTGCAGTACCAATTGCGCCTTATTGAGATCAAAGTAATATCCACGGCTGGTATCTATCGTGCTGATTTTTATTCATATTAATTTTTAAAAGCTGTAAACCAAAAAATGTTCTCTAATTAGTCTGATTAATCTCAGTGTTTACTACAAAAACACCCGTGGACGCTTTCCGGATCAGAAGACCCCTGTCTAGATTTTAATACAGCATTGCTTCTGGGGTACATGCATTTGCTTCATAGTATACGCATTGATGAATACCTAGACACCTATCATCCAAACTTTTACAGACTTAAATCTCTTTTCTGCCAACGATTCTGTAGTTCAAATGCTATAAATTCAGCTAAATAGTATGATACATCGTGTCTCTAGTGTCACTATAGAATTACCAAGATGAGTGACAGCCTGAGTTATAATGTACATGTGTAGCCTAATAAACTGAGCTCGCCTACAAGTAGAAGTCCTTTTATAGCCCTGGAATAATTGGGGCGTACTTTTGTAGTTAATGCTAAAACATAATTGCTCTACTCCGCACCTGGGCATACATGTGCATGCACAATCTTGGGGTATTTGGAGTAAGATGCCGAGAAAATGATAGGTAGAATAACTCAGGCTGACTTTGCCGACGGGAAAGCATGACAGGGATTATATTCTCACGCTATTATGATTTTAGAAGGTGGCTGGACTCTTGGTGGTCGGGAGCTAGTCAAGCCACCAGATCAGGGGCTGACCGGGGACCACGCCCGAAATGGGCTGATTAACAAAGAACCGGGTACGGCACCCGGGCCCGTTTGTTTATATGAAGAGCGATACCGGCACGGCTCCCGTCATGCACTGATCATTAATAGGCCTGCTCGCTCATGATTATGAACGGAGTTGATGTCACAAACATCTCCGGCTTATTGCATGTTGAGTATCTTGTGGAAGGATTCTACCCGAGATCAGCGGAAGCTTTCCGAAACTAACTTGAAAGGATACGTTGTTAGTATTGAGGAGAAACCTATCGAATGGTTGAGGACTCATCTCAAAGGTACAGATCTCCTGAATGGGATCATTTGTGCATTATCTTCATCTTTCATAATACAGTTATCCAAAGCACATCACCTTTTCCTATTTCAAGTCATATGATACTAGTAGAATAAGTAAGCTTCTCCATTAGGTAAGTGTCTACGTAGAGGAAACTCTTGCCGGATAAGAGATTAGGATGAATTGGATATGACTCCAAAGTGGATTTACAAAGAATAGCAAGTTAGTCCCGGACCACTATTCAGATTCGTATGACAGTGGATCTCAAGCCGTTAGTTTGCGGGATTCACGAGAGAATCAACAAAATTTTGAACTTATGACGACGTAATTGCGGATTCCCCGCACTTAAAAAAGTGGACTCTAAAGGAGCAAGATGTGGTTCATTTGCGGGGGAGAACAGCGATCTGCCAAGAAGAAATCCGGGGTGGTATTGTCTGGGGGGGGGGCTACTAGTAGAGACATCATAGTAGATTCAATGCTACAAGAAAGGAATCACATTGAATATTCAAATGTTTAGAATAGATATAGAATTGAAGTACAATTAAAGACATCAGATTAGAACTAAATAAGATAATGACTCTTATCTATGGACTGTGGAGCCTGTTTCGCAGATCGAGATACGCCCCCCCTGAAGTCTTGGCCTAAAGAGATAACACTTTTTTAACCTGGGAAACCTGGGCAAGGGTTTAAGCCTAACTCGGGGCTGGTGAATGCAAGAAATGTCACCTTACATGGTTGACCCGGCCTTAACCGGTTAAGGACACAAAAAAATGGTTTAAATGCAGTCCCCGGCGCCCGATTCGAAATGTAACCTCATATTTTCATTTCTAACCTCTAGAGAGGTTTGCAATTCTCTCTCTTCTTTCAAATTTCCGTTTTTGTACGATTCTATGTCTTAAACATGTCGCTAGTGGACAAAAAACATGATGAGGCTTTATCGCCTACTCCATCAAATGTCGGTCAGGTTACCGATAGTTACGCTCATGATGCTGTGTTTGGTGAAATCACAGATGAAGGTCCTAATTATCGCAATGTATGTCTTTCTCAATTCCCCTTAATAGTAGTATCCACTAACAACCAAATAGGTAGGATGGCTTGGAACAGCTGTTCTCATGATGAAGACCCAGATCGGTCTCGGTGTCCTTTCTATCCCTGTTGCCTTCGATTCACTCGGCATCGTTCCCGGCGTAATAGTGCTATGTGCTATCGCGGGTATCACTACATGGTCGGACTACATCATTGGAGTCTTCAAGGTTCGCCATCGTGAGGTGTATGGAATTGATGATGTTGGAGAATTACTCCTTGGTAAAACCGGGAGAATTATTTTGGGAACAGCCTTCGTTCTCTGTGAGTCATTCCAGAAGATTAAAAAACTTGAAACAAACCTGGATTCCTAACGTATGACGATAGGGTGGGTATTCGTCGCAGGCTCCGGAATGCTGAGCATCTCGATTGCCTTGAACGCCGTGTCGAGCCATGCCACTTGTACCGCTATCTATGTCGCCGTTGCCTTTGTGATAACATTCATTCTGGGCAGTATCCAGACACTAGGACGTATCTCTTGGATTGCCTGGGTGGGTCTATCATGTATTCTAACCGCAAGTGAGTTTCCATTTCTATTACCACACCTAAAAACCCCATCATGGACTTAAATTAATCACATCATTAGTTATGACTGTTACCATCGCGGTTGGTATCGAAGACCGCCCAGCTCTAGCCCCCAAAGACGGCGTTTGGCAATCGGACTACAAAATTGTGACTAGTGCATCATTTTACAAAGCAATTTCAGCTGTAACCACGATCGTATTTGCGTATGCCGGCACCCCAGCTTTCTTCTCCATCGCGTCCGAGATGCGCGATCCCCGTCATTATAACCGCGCTCTTATACTCTGCCAAACAGTCGTCACCTGCTTCTATATCGCTGTTGGTGTTGTTATCTACTATTACTGTGGATCATATGTCTCCTCGCCTGCTCTTGGATCTGCCGGTGCGACAGTGAAGAAAGTCAGCTATGGCTTTGCCCTGCCTGGATTGATTGCCAGTACTCTACTTTTCATCCACGTAAGACTTCTCTTCAATCTTGATCGGGTTTCCAAGCTCCTCACTAACAATTATCTAGATTACTGGCAAATACATTTTTGTCCGCCTCCTTCAAGGCTCCCGACACCTAGTTGCAAACACAGTCACCCACTGGGTGGTCTGGCTCTCCTGCACATTTAGCGTTGCTATTTTCGCATACATAATTGCGAGTGCGATTCCCGTATTCAGCGATCTCGTTTCTCTCGTGGGTGCTTTACTCGGTACACCCATGTGTTTCCAGCCCATGGCTGGTATGTGGCTTTACGACAACTGGAGTCGACCTAAGCGAGATTGGAAATGGATGGCGATGGTCGCCTGGTGTGGCTTTGTTATTATCTCTGGAACCTTCCTCATGATTGCTGGTACATATGGGTCGGTTATTGCTATTATTGATGATTATAAGGCATCTGGTGGATCGGCTGCCTGGACTTGTGCCGACAACTCATCTTCGTAGATTGGGTTGATGTATTATTATGAATTTGTCTTGCTACTTGGATGAATGTCGCGGGCTGATAGTCAACATAGCTTAGGGCATTTAAGCCACATAACAAATGATTCATTATTATTTCCAAACTCCTGGTGATTAACACAAAAGTTTTAAGTCATAATATTCAGAATCCTTTTTGCTGTTCAACGGTAACTTTGTCGAATACCAACAGCTTTGGGCCCAACAAATAGAAATGGCTGGTGGAACTTTTTGAAAGGGAAAAAAGGGATCATTGAAATATTGATCCCAGAACACATCATAACACACTGACAATGGCTCCCAAAATAACATTTAGCGATTTTTAATATGTAAACTCTGAGCTTGAAGAGCTTGACATCTCCCTCAGCTCAAACGAGCCAGCCTCGAGATCGAATTCGAAGCCACTGACTCGATCTCGGTGAACAGGACAACAGTTTGAACAGTGTGAGATTAATCCAAGGAAAGCCTTTAATCCGTTGAGAATGAACTCCATGGCGGACTAGTTAACAAAGAAAAAGGAGGTTAGTGCAAGCTTTGTTCAAAATAACCTATGAAGAAAAGAACAAGCCGAGTATGCGATCTCTCGTGTCTCCTGTGCGGACTTTTCTTGATCAATAAGAACCTAAGGTAAGGATGTACATACTGTGAGCTCAAATCAAAATTTGAGAATAGGCTTTGTATTACTGGACGAATGATTTTTCAAGTCAAATGAAGATGTGAGCTAGCGACCTGTGATAGTTGAGTGTCTGAAGTTCATATAACATCTCCGTCATTTAAATTTCTCTCGAGACAAATGGGTTATAAAATAGTCTTGGTTCAAAATTTCATTTCTGTTATGGGTTTAACAATCAATCGGAAGCCCAAAGAGTGACCGGCACTGGTCTGTTTTCTAGCCGCCTCCTAATCAGAGTGCCGACGATGTAAAGTATGTAATATCTACTTAATTCTCAGACTGTAAAGATGAGTAATTAAGTTAAAGATACTTCATCACTAAAAATAGCATCAAGTTTAAATGTCCTGACTCCCCAGAGAGATTATCGTCAGGAACCTAGTCAAAGCTGGGAACTCACAGTCATGATCTCCAGGCCTCCATTGTAGTATGAGCTTACATACCCCAACTTGAAAAACACAAAGAGAGTAAAACACAAAGAGAGCAACCTTGAAAGTAAGAGCTAGGAGCAAAGGATACAAAGTTTGAAAAGTGATGAATAATGCATAAGCTTGGTGACATTAATTCAATAGAATAGGACCTCATACTATCTCAACTCCTTCAATAGTGATTATCATCTTCTGTTTATGAGATGAACTCAAATACTTCTGCTTGAAGCTAACCTCATTCCCTTATATCAGTCAACATGCTCAAATTCGTCGTACTCACTCCCTTCTCATATTGAATACAAAGTTTCAGATACCAAAAGCTCAGAATTACTCTACCTCAATCACGCTCCTGATCAACCTTTCAAAAGCCTACCTTTTAACCGACACTTGATCAGGAGCTCCCATCAGTACCATCTTTCGTGAAAGCTCACTATTTTCAGTTTACCATCAATGACCACATTACTTGATCTTACTTGCAAAATTCTTGGATACTATGACTTTGGTCAGGCTCGTTTCGGATCACCCAGCCACACGGTATATGTTCAAGCAGATTTATCGAGCTCCTGAAGTGGTACTGCGCATGCCTTGGGATCATAAAGTTGATCTTTGAAATGCCGAAATTCTGGCAAGAAGAGCCGTTTATGGCACAGAAATGAGCTCGAGTAAGAACCCAATCGATGCAGGCTTTTCTCCATACCTGCCCAGGACACCTACTAGTATTTCCAGGAAGATATGCAAAATCCCAATACTCTGATGCCGTACAGCTCTCAGAGATGGTTGCGCTTTTTGGACATCCGCCAAAAGAGATAGAGAAGTGAGTATGCTGCGCAGTTTTTCGATAGCAAAGGTATGGGAAGAGTCTGTCACATCATATTCAGATACTGATGGCATTCAAGGTCATTGAAAGTGGGATTCACTCAATCACTGTATGAATGTGGAGCCGTTGGAAGCAGCTGAAACGCGTCCGCAGTTCCTAGGTTCCATTTGATTTTTGCGCAAGGTGATCAACGAGGGATTCAAATGACCGTCCGCTGTGGAACTATGAACCGATCCGTGGCATCGGTGTTCGAAGTTGTGACTGGTGCTGGGTCTGGTTTTGGGTCTCAAGAGGTACAGTAGTGGACATATTAGAACCATGAGATGAATCAAAGCTTCCATACATAGCAGAAACATTCTGAATAAGTTTCTTTTTATATTTTCTATGAGAATTATGGACAGGGCGGTCTCAAAACCAGTTGATCATCAGCAGCGGTATCATATCTCACTCAGCATGGAAACTCCAAATTGCGCCGCCAACCCGCCAGAAAAATAAGATAAAAAAAGAAAATAAAAGAGAAAAGGAAGAAAATGATCAAACTCCACTCCGCATGCTCTGGAGCCCTTTTTGGTTGCCCTTTGTGCCCATATCATTCTTCTTCTAGAATCCATAAGCACTCTGCCCGTAAGGCGTAGCGCCATATGGGGTCTGCGCACTAGCGCCCCAAGCACTGGCAGCACCATTGCCGTACGAAGTGAGGTTCCCATCGATACCCTCTGGTGGCTCATAAGCATCTCCATCACCGGCACCCATCATGTCGTGGTCCTCAACTTGTCCGGCCTGACCGTCCTCTTCACCCTGGAGCACAGAGACAGTGGTGGCGAGCTTTCGTTGCAAGCAAATAATACCCTGCTGGATAATGGTGTCCGGTTCCAGGTTTCCAATACTCTCCACATCGAAGTAGAAAGTGTTCGGCTCGGCGTCGTAGTCGAAGGGCTGATCTGGGTTGGCAACCGGCTCCCATGCGGCATTCTCAGAGATGGGCCTTCACAGAGAAAGTCAGCAATCAAAATACATGATATCTGGAAAAACATCAAGCAACATACCACTCCTTAGCCGGATCCTGCTCATACCAATAATCCACATGACGCAGATTATTGTTTGGGTCATACTCGAAGCCGACCGCAGCAGTAGGCGCCCACTTTGCATGCTCCTTCGCTGTTCCCTTCTTCGCCAGACAAGTCAACTTGATCTCCTGGCCCTTTCGCAGCTTGCAAATCAATGGGCCTTTGCCCTCTGGATCCGTAATAACAGGGTCACCGATCGTATCGTTCATGCGCTCGCCCTGGACGACAAGATCTCGCGCATAGACTGGCATGATACCATTCCCGCAGCGCGCATGCAGTGAAAGTGTGACGCTGCATCGCACACAATGGTCCTCACAATCACAGTCACGGGTGTACTCAAGGTCCTGGTCGCAGTTCGTCGCGATCAGGGGAATCATACCGAGACGGTGGGCAAGCATCTCATCGGGGAGGACGGAGGTGTTGGATTCAATTTCGATGAGGTCGAGCGCGACATTGGGAACTTCAGCGAGGATTGAGCGGCGGAGAGAGTTGGCGACAGCAAGGTCAACTGAACTTAGACGGAAATCCACGCGGTTGAGTTCAGCCTGAAAGATAGGGGTTGCAAGGTTAGTTCAGCTTCAAATGGACTCTTTAGAGATATCTGTGGATGGTTGTGAAAATTCACCTCACGGACGGTGACCTGAGGGCCCGCGGGCTCCTCCATGTCCACCATATCATATTCCATTATTGCGTTGCGGCAGCGCCTGTAGCCGCCACCTGTGTTCAAAATTAGGTATCTACCGGCAATTCATGCAGTAGAATCTGTTTTTGATGTGTTATTGACGCGTTAAGGAGATGGGCGAGACAAGAAGATGGGTGAGGATGAGGTTGAATGCCGTTATTGAAGATCGCGGATTTGTTCTCGGAGCAATTTGGCGCTTTTCCTAATCGGGAACCGCCCTGGAGTATACTTTCACTCCTTCACTACGAGGATTACGATAGAACATCTGTAAATTTTAATTGAGAGGAGAATATCATTTTTGGAGGGCAGGGTCCAGAATAAAATTCAGGTGCTAGCTACTCTCAAGGCTAAACTGGGTAAAACCAGATCCCTAGACATCAGAGATCAGAGTCTCTAAGAGACTCTTCTATCAATTGGGCGTCAATTGAGCGCCTTCCACCACTTATCTGACCACGTAGAAAAAAGAAAAAAAAAGCACCATAGCAGCAGTGCCCCCAAGCTGCTTCTGAGCCTTGCATAACAAGGCTGACCGTCTATGACAGCAAAAAACCGAAGATCACAGACGCCAGGAAAAAAATGGTCATGTGTCGACCAGCCACGGGAAAAGGAACATATGCGATGCAAAGTTGAGATCAACGGAAAGGTAAAAGATCAGCGGAAAGGCCGATAAGCGAGAAGATCGATATCAGCGCAAAAGGCTAACATCAGCGGAAAGGTCGATAGTAAGAAAAAGCAAACAGACAAAAAACCGCCAGCCTTTCTTTCTTTTTTTGTCTGAGTCGTTTCGAGTCGTCATCAGGGCAAAACACCCCAAGGTTCAAGGTCCATGTATGAGAGAAAAAAAAGCAACGCAAATGTATCCGGACCATATGTATGCGTGGAGTTGACTAGCGCTGCAGGGAACTGCGGTTCAAAGCCTCCAGAAGCTCAGGTCGGTTTGCGAGAGCAGTTGCAGCCTGAGTGTAGCTAACCCACTTGCGCTGACGCTTGTGCTTCTCGGGCCACTCAGCCTCCTCCTTGTCGACTGTGACCTCGAAGAATTGGTAGGATGCCTTAGGCGCATTGGTAGTCAATTGAGCGGAGGGCCGCATATCGGGAATCACACCCAGGTCACGCTGCACGGTGCAGATCACACCAGCTTCCTCCCAAGCCTCACGGCAAGCAGCCTGCTGAGGAGTAGGTTCATCGGTTTCCCAACCACCCTTAGGAAGAACCCAACCACCAGGACCAGCAGACTGGATCATAAGAACCTTAGTCTTATCAGTGGAGAGAGGGACAACACCGGCAACGAGACGTTCGCCCTTAGAGCCGTAGCCTAAAAAAGTAAACGAAGTATGTCAGCAACTTTGAACTCATTCAACACGTACGCAACACGTGCGATTCTCGTAAAAAAGTGGATTTTGAAGCTCAACAAGGGTCATGATTCGATTAATCTAGTTGAATTCTTTATAACAAGGAGGAAACTCACGTTGATTCTTGCGCCCAACACGGGCTTCCATGGAACGGTTTTGAGCCATTGCGATGCGCCAAGATTACCCGATGCGGACAACGGAGTAAGAAGCGTTTATTTTTGCGGTAAGACGTCCTGTTGGACAATGTATGGAAAAAAAGGAAAAAAGAGTGAAATGGACCAAGGGTAGAAAGGAAAAAGAAAAGTTGGTGGGAAGAGAAAGAGATTGGGTCCAGGTGACGACGAAGAAAGTTCCTTTTTTTTGAAATTGTTTGAAGTGCTCTCTCTCTCACTCTCTAACTTTTTGCGCTTCCACCACTCTTTTTCTCTTAGGTCGGGAGGAAGTTCAGGCTTCCCTAAGGGCGGTCGGGGAAGGAAATTTTTTTTTTCCTTGATAAAATGCGGGGGATACGGAGGAATTGATATCAATTAAGTCTTCCCATTCATTCCCGTAGTGGACGGGAACCAAGATTTAGAAGAAGTACAAGGCATGGTGAATCAAAAATCTTGAGAGGAAATGGAGGAGAAAGATGAATTTAGGAGCAGAATAGGCAATGGAGGGGCAGCAGAACCGGCGGCGCACGGAAACTGGGCCAAATTAGGTGACTAATTTGGTTACGGGGGTTACGACCACTTTACATGTAGATTCATTTTTATTCTATTCATTACTAGTATTTCTTTGTGTCAGTGCAATTAGTTATAGTGACTTCCAAGGTTCTACTTATGTACTTTCATTTTGACTTATTGAATAATGTTCAAGTTGCTTTTTTTTTCTTTTCTTTTTTAGTATATAACAATATGAGTCATGTGATCTAGGGTTCATGAACTATATAACCTCATTATCCTAAGTTTTATCTCATATTATTTTTCTTCTTTTTTATTCTTCTTTTTTCTACTCCTTAAGATCTACGTTCAATATCAAATTTATATGAGCCTCGATCCCCTTTAAAACAGCCACATTTCATCTAAAAAAAAGAGGCCACAAATGGAGTTCTCGGGTACCAGACCCTAACTCCGGTACCGAGTAGTAGGAAAGTCGGAGCGATTCGATACAGATCTCCGCCGATCTGGTAACCGGGCACGGGGGGATACTCAGGTACCTATTAGAGAGAATCACTTGGGAAAAAAATCAGGAACCCGAAATTACTAGTAATCCAAAAAAAAGTTGAATTTTATCTTAATTCTCTAGAGCCTCAGGTCTTCATGAGATGTATCAGATACAAATATAACAAATAGCTGTAAAATCATTCCCCCGCCAAAATAATATCCCCCTTCTCTGATGTCTTCTTCCCCACCAACCTTCCCCCTTGAATTACTACCTTTTACCTAGTAGTTACCAACCCAGTCATTTATCGTTTTTTTCTTACTACGTACTTCGTGAAATCCTTCTTATTCGCCACGATCCACTTCGCTTTGTTTGTCTGCAACTTCCATCACCTCAATTTCTTGATCCCGCCGGGACCGCCAACCAACCCAAACCCATCAAATACACAATATGGAACCTGTTGACGCCGAACGCGCGCGACAGCTGTCGCTCTTCCGGCCACTAGGTACGTCCCACTTTTGCCCCTGCAGCGAGCCACTAAGGTAGGGCATTGTCCCCCCCGTGGCGCTTCCACTGGTCCTCAGGGTTGTTCAAGGGAAGGGGCAACTGGGGGGGCAACCACCCACCTGGGCAGGGTGGATGAGAGGGGGGAGAACCGGAGGCAACTTGGCGGGGGGGGATATACACTTGACCCCCCCAATACCAAACTCAACTCATAAACCACTAATGCGGGTCTGTTTTTGACAGGTTATCAACGTAACTCGTGTGGTTACTGTAAATCGGACAATGGAAGTATGTTCCTATGTTCCATTTCGTCATGCTCGTCATCATCAATCTCTTCTAGGAGGGTCCAAGCATGGAACTGACACACTGACAACTGACACGTCATGGTCTAGGCGCGTCATATTACACCAGCTCCGTGGCCGTGCGCCCCGAGCATTATGGAGAACTTATGGATCGGGGTTGGAGACGGTATGACAGCTGGATAGGGTCCATTTATTTTTTTTATTCAATCAAATGACTCACATTACTCCTAGATCGGGGACTCTGTACTATAAGCAGAATCTCCAGCGGTCCTGCTGTCCGCATTACACCCTAAGATTGGAAGCTTCGGCATTTCGCCCCCGCCGTGATCAGCGCAAGGCCATCAATCGTTGGAACAAGTTTATTCTCGGCCCCGAGTATATGCGAAAGGTCGCTCGCCTGAGTCCCCGTTCTCGAGAGTGTGTTCGCCTCTGGTTGGTTGTTGATCATTCTAGCTGACGATCCAATGCAGAGAGAAAAAGGAACGCAAGTGTAACTTCAATGTCCTATCCGCTGTCCACGAGGTCGAATACAGCAACCTGAAGCGCCCTATTGATCCGGCCACCAAACGAGCCATAGAGCCAGCACATCGCTTCGAGGTCAATCTTGAGGGTGATTCAGTCTCCCAGGCAAAATTTGATCTCTTTGTCAAGTATCAAACGAAAATTCATCGCGAGGATGTTTCCCGCTGGAAGTTGAAGGATTTTCAAAATTTCTTGTGCTCAGGAATCAAGAAAACCGAGACAGGCGAGAAAAAGCTCGGCTCATGGCATCAATGCTATCGTTTGGATGGGAAGCTGATTGCTGTTGCGGTACTGGACCTGGTGCCGAGCGGCGTGAGCTCCGTCTATGTCTTGTTAGTAGATTGATGCTGTACCCGTCTGTGAGTCCTGCTGACCGTTGATAGCTATGACCCTGAATATGAACAATGGGAATTTGGAAAGCTGAGTGCCATGCGAGAAATCGCATTCTCGATCGAGAACAAATATCCTTACTATTACATGGGTTCGTGTCTCATAACAAAACATTACGCCATCGTCACTAACCTTTACTGATTAGGATACTACATCCACAGTTGCCAGAAGATGCGGTACAAGGGAAATTATCGCCCACAGTACATACTTGGTTAGTAACAATCCCTTACGTTTTGTCGAACACTCATCTTGTCTTTTGAACTCTCACTAACCACACGTGATAGACCCGGAGTCAAACACATGGGATCCATTAGATGGCGAACTCACCGAGAAACTAGACCAACGACCCTACGTGTCTCTTTCCCGAGACCGGTCCTCCGGCGACGAGTCCATGTCCTCCTCCACACCCCTCGACTCCGATGTGAACGAGGAAGAGCTATCCCTTTTCGCCCTCAATATGCCAGGTGTGTTGAAGCTGGACGAGGTGAAGGCTCTGAATTTGAGTGACTGGTATCTACTCTATCATGGGTCATTCGTACAGATGAGTGTAAGTCAGACCAGCGCCATTTCATCACATGATCCACTTTTCTTACCTATCGCAGGACCTGGTTGGCTGGGAGGACATGCCCATAGACAACCCACAATCGTTGAGAGGCATCGTCTCAGAGCTCGCAGCCGTCCTCGGGCCGTCCATTGTCCGTAACAGTGCAGTGGTGCTTTTCGATTGAGATGAGCACTGGGATACGATTGGTTAGAGCTAGACTGCGTTTATGAATCACCAGACCAGCTGCATTGACTTGCGCATTTCATTCTCACATACTCACATATAGATCTCGCAGTTAATGCCCATGCTGATATAGTAAAGCTGGAAAGGGTATGCAGGGCGCGTAAGGCCTTCTGCACGGAAAGTCGCGGAAATGCCAATCTGATCGAGACGTTTTATTCGTTCAAGTACGGGACGTCGTAGCACTCAAGCCTTGAATGCGGAGGTGATCCACCATGATTGCTTTTTCATCGGGTTGGGAGCCCCATAATGCAATTCTTCATCAACAAACATTCGACCACGTATTCCCCACTATAAAGCTATCAAGGCCAATAAAACAGATAAAATTGATCAAGAGAATCCTTCCGAGGACCCCTCATCAATAAACGGATCCTTCCACCTTAGATTCACGGATCGTTTAAGCAATAAATGCGAGCTTACTGGATCTTCGCACTAGGTTGTTGATACTTGGCCCCCAACCACGAGCTCAAATGACCAAACTAGGGAAAGATCGACAACGTACTGCTTACCAAATAAGGTAATTCACTATCAGAATTACTACTTTCGTTAGCTTAGGAGCAACTAGGTATAAAATGACGTTTAGAAAATCCGGTCACTATCAGGGGGTAAGCATCTTAAATTTCGGCCAGTTCAACCAACTTGTTCAAGTTATTCTTCATATCTTCTTCAATCAAACCAACATGGCTACTTCATGGACAGTAAGTGCTACTATACTGTCAAAACCCATGAAAGAATCACAGATCAGAAGCTCACAAATACCAGAACAAGAAAAGCTCATCAGAGTCAGAGCGTCCTCCGAGATCTTCCGGAAACCTGAACAATGCGGCTCTAGGCTCCAGTGCGGATCAAATGCAAAATGAGGCTCAAAGAAAGCGACAGGCTACAGAAGAGAGTTTATCCATATATCGTCAGTTCCTATTTGGACGTCGAAATTCAAATTCCTGTGACACCACGCCTGTGCAGCATAAATTTTGCTATGATTTGCTAGGGTGAGTTTCGCTTTTCCAGTGCGATTGTTTTGAGACTGACTCGGATTTGATATTAGAGAGAAAGCAGCTGCTGGTCACTTTGCTCTTGGACCTTAGAGTCCTGGAGCGACAGTTATATGATAAAATATTGATGGATTTCATTCATTTTCTGCATTCTAGCGTCTATCACGGTGTACTCTGCCTATATCTATGCATGCAGGTATACCATTGCTTTTATCTCAACACAAGGTCAAGTACCAAGCTGCTTGACTACATTTCGGGGTTCTCGTTGCTTTTGTCTTTGTTCTCATTTGCTTGATATCCCAAGCCCTCTCAAAATTGACATCCTTTTTCTTTTGTCTCTTTTTTAATACTACAATCTATACTGAACTATAGGTACGAGATTGAGCAAAATAGTAAAATCATATAAATTGTGGAACTTCTAATAGTATGAACGGAAGTCATTGGCCAAGTAGTTTGGTGTTTCTGATGACTACCGTGCATAAGTTGGATTGAGAGAGGTCGGGTACAGGATCCTGGCCAACACGACTTTCACCGGTTGTCTTCTTCGGTCCATATTGCCTCGTTGAAGTTGTCGACGTTGGCGAGGCCGGCCCAGATAGCTGGAGAACATGTTGGAAAGCTTCTATGTAAAGTTCCGGAATTCCTTATAGCTGCGAGAGGGCATCGTTCAGGTCTGTGCGTGGCTTAGCAACCTTAGTCACAAGATTGAAGGCGCGAGATATCTAGCTGTATCCCAGCGGCATCTTTGTCAAGTTCCTGTGTGATAGCGATGCTAGAGTCGGTAAGGTAATTTGCCCTGCAAGGTGCTTTCCCTCATCTCCGGTTGCTTTCTCTATGAAAGGCTTCATCGTTGGTTCATGTTGAACGTAGTTGGGGGAATATGTTTTGTCCAGCCGAAACTAGTCATATGCTCTCCATCACCAGGTGTCGGAAGGTATAAATAATGAGGTTGGTAGATTTTCTGTATGGATTCCGAGTGGCTTGGTCCTGGCCTAGGTCAAGGCTTTCAAATGCCTCGGCTGGGCCCATGTCAATCGACTTACTCGGTCCAGGGAGCCAGCGGATGCGATATCCAGGGGGCTTGGGGATCTGGATAATGATAGGGTTTGGTGTAGGACACTGAGTAGCCTCTACTAATCAATGGATCCCTGATAGGTAATTTGTCATGAGCCTCAACCCACGGTATTGAAGTCCTGAAGAGGTGAAGAACTCTCCTGACAGCCCAAGTCTTCACGGAGTCTCAATAAGCGCACGTATTGGCTTATTTCTTGGTTGTGGAGGGCTCATCTTGGTCGAAGGGCTCGAACAGCAGATTATCCGAGCGGTAGTATCGCTTTTTTATGTCGAAGAAAGGATCGGCCCATGGTTGTAGAATGGTTGAGTGTCGTAGGGGCCAGGATAGTATATTAACAATCCCAATCTCAGAATTACGCAATCGCCTCTTCTGGTGATATATTCTCAGTCTTAAGCTTGACCAGCGAGATATGGGCAAATTGTCTGTCTGACCCACCGGGGAGTAATATGGAGCCGAAGTAGGAGAGGGTGGATTACACTTGCTCTGGCGTGTTCCTGGATTTGATAACTATCCAGGTGGTGGAATGGTGATTGTAGTCGTGCGCACCCACGTGGAAATCGAAAACCTTGAAGCTGTATACAGAACTCTTTCAGTCCATGCATATAGAGTATTTCCTTAAGAACGATGGCGTGGGCTAGTTTTGAGATTCCGTTGTATTCCGAGTGACTTGGATCGATATTTGACCTTGGCATGTCCATCGCGTTCAGCGGGGACAACGATCTCGCTTGTGGCCCAAATGGCGACACTCGAAACACTATAATAAGTTAATCTAACATGTACGTTCCGTCTATCTAGCATGACTTGATGAAGGCTGCGAGAGACCTGACTGTGACCGAGATGATCTATATTGAGTATTTGAAGCTGCGTTGTATGTGCCGATGGAAGAATTGTGAGGACGGAGCTTGAAGCCGGGTTCGGGAATTTTGTCGTAGGGAGGGGAGAAATGAATTCAGTTCAACTCTGAGGAAAAAGGCAACGATGTGTAATGTCAATGTTGTAAGCTGGTGGTGCATCCGTCAGAGTACGTGCCAACCCATGACGATGTAAATGATGCAGACCTTTCCTTTTGACTTGGTTTGGGTGATCACAACATGTTCGTTCGTTTAGACAGGCTATGTAGTAGTCCTTGTATACAACCACCTCACTATTCAAACCTCGTTGGTCAGGAATGAGAAAGTGAGATTCGATTCCAATCCATAGAAGAACGGAAGGTCGAAAGCTCTAGTTGGCTCCGGTTGAATACCAAGTAGATGCTTATCCGGGTGGAATTTGGCATCCCCGATCTTGATGAATGTATCCCAAGCGCTGCGTTTACTCTTCTTTGGAAGTGGACTTTATGAACAGGGGAACGAAGTTCATCGAACAGACCGGCGAAGCTAGGCGACGGTATAGTCTGCTGGGTCCCTCGCCAGGTGAATCACATGTCGGTATGCGACTTGGATATCCTGGTAACGAAAGAGGGTAGATCAAGCAGTTACCAGATTGGTTGATGGTAAGATGTTAGCCAGGTATTATCAACGCAGTGATGACCGAGTCGTGCATAATATCTGCCAATAACGGAGACTCATAACTGCGTGTCGCGTAGAGGTCGCTGGCTTGCTCGGTGGCATCTCTGGCTTAACCTTATCACTGCATTTGAAGCTGTAAACACGTCGTTCGAACCTTAGAGATAGTTCAGTAATAGGTGACAGTTCACCTGGTCGGAGTATGGGAGCTCTAGCCCCTCCAGCGCTCGAAAGCTGTGAGAAGTAAAAGATCAGTACTGAGTTGCGTCAAGTTGAAGAAGAGACAGAGAGATAGACTCGAAGCTCATATTCAAGGCTGTTTGTTATCACGTGAAACACGTACGAATGTTTGATTTTGTAACTCCTCTCACCAGGTCTTTTCTCTCACTTAATATTAGAAATCGCCATATTGGAAGTGGAAGTGAGCCAGGTAACAGTCGCAGATTTCTGCAGAAAAGGAATGAAATCCAATCAGTGAGATATATGGTAAAACTATCCTACAAGTCCAATTGGTTATAAAAAGCCCGTAGTTTAGTTACATTAAAATGACATTTCAAGTCTTAGGATTGGGTGATAAAGCCCGAATAGAAAGATAGTTCAATGACTAGAACCAATAAAAACCATGATATTTGTCCCCGATATGGATTGCAGGGCTATCCCAAGTTGACATGATGTATAATTGACTACAATTGGTCATTTAGTATCTCCTAGCATTAGTTCCGGCATATTCCCCCCTGGTGTCAGAGCGGGAAAGTGTTCAACGAGACCAAAGGGAACCCGCAGTTCAAAATCAAATTTTGGGTTGTCAAACTTGTCAGGGGTTAAAAGGGTCCACAACTCATAACCCATTCTACCCCATTTTTCACCAAGTCTCTTCCAAGGTTCTTGATCTTGTTTTCCAAGAGGGACGTGCTGGGAAGACACGAAGGGTAGTTGAACTTTGGAATACGTTTATTGTGACATGTCGACCCCTAACATTTGATCGATTCGCTACACAAATCAAGACTTGGCGGATATGATCTCCGCTTCCAAGATTGACACGACTGAGTCGGACACGGTTCATAAACCACTGGCAATCCCCACTTATGCACTCCGTACTGTGTTAGTCTGTGTTAGTCTGTGTACGACCTAGGGTTTGGGTCCGTGAGAATAATAAAAAAAAGATCCGTATTCGCACTGGCCTTATTCCTTCCCTTAACCTTGAAACGTTCACGCACTCATAATCGACCGTAATCATGGACGAAATCGAAATTGCTGTGGTAAGAGCTATGCTCACGTGAGATATTTCCACATAAGCAAGTTCAAGTTTCTTATCATAATTTAATAGGATTCAACTTTTCATACCATGGAAAAACCATGGGGGGAGGATGATTGGAAGTCGTGAGTGGAGTGATATTATCAATCGTAAATTCAAGTTCCGCTTACATTCAAATGTTCTCAGAGATACAACTTCACTGGCTTCGGAAATTGCTAGAGGTCGTGTAGAGAACGGTCGGAGGTATGAATATACTCAAATGAGTTTTTATAAATTTGAATGATATCAAATCTCCGAGTCCTGACAAGATTAATAGATATCAATCATTCAAGTCAGAGGAATACTGGTAAGATACTATACACTTCATCGGCATGTATTGATCACAGCTCACAATAACAAGGACCCCATCTGATGAACAACAATTCGATGCATATGAAACTGGGTAGGTTTATCATACCATATGATAAAAAGATGATACATCAACTAATCTTTATCCACAAATTTCAGCCATATTGTGTATCTGTTGATGGAAAACAGTGCCTCCAATCCATTACACCTAGCACCCATCGGTAAAAATCCCAAAGTGAGGATTCTTTAACCTCCAGAACTATATGTGCTATACTCATTCATTCCATAGCATATTCTCGATGTCGGTACCGGTAAAGGCAGTTGGGCAATGTAAGTTCCACGCGTCGTGTCTTCCAATGTTTGAGCAACAATACTAACGATGTCTAGTGATGCCGCAGATATGTACCCAAATAGTGAGACCACCCTCCCCAGACATACTGCTCCGACACTAATACTCAAAATTCATAGCTGTTGTGCGTGGCGTCGATCTGTTTCCTCCTCCGATCAACTGGCTACCCCCAAATTGTCAGTTCGAGGTAGATGACCTAGTACGAGAATGGACCTGGAGTATGCCATTCGACTTCATCTTCCTGCGTCATATGCTAGGATCATTTGACCAAGAAGGCTGGGCGACACTATATAAGAGATGCTACGAGTGGGTTCCAAATATACTCCCTTCCTCTCCAAAAATTGAACTCCTCCCGATACTAATGCTGTTGACTCCCAGAAACCTGGAATACGGCGGCTGGATCGAACAATTCGAATTCGACATCCGCGTCGAATCAGATGATAACTCCCTCCCAGAGGACAGTTTACTCGCCAAATGGGGAGAAACCTTCCTCGGATGCTCCAACCGAGCGGGTCGGTCCCTAAGAGTCCAAGAAACGATGCGAGATTCTATCGAGAAAGCCGGATTCATCGATGTACACGAAAAAGTCTATAAAGTCCCCGTAGGACCCTGGCCAAGGGATATGGTCCTCAAGGAAATCGGCAGACTGAACCACGAGCACTGGTCTACTGGTATGGAGGGATACGCCATGTGGTTACTTACCAAGTTTGGAGCACCGGAGCCATGGACTCCTGAGGAGGTACAGGTTTATCTTGCACATGTTCGGGCAGATTTGAAGAATCCTAAAATTCATGGATGGGAATATGCGTGAGTCTCCCTGGGTATGATTCGAATACTGGTTGTGGCTGACAGGGGGATTTAGACGTCGGGTGTGGGCTAGGAAGCCCCGAAAGGATGAAATTGATAGACAAGGGACCCCGATCACACCTGAGCCTTGGTACTAGTCTCAAGTTCAAGTTTCACTGATGACTTTAACGAATTTGCTTGTCTAGGTTGGGTGTCCTATTAGAGAGGATTGGGGAATTGCTCAAATGGCTCGACTGATTTCATGAATCTACTGGATGTTAGCAATTTTATATCATGCGGTGTCCTCTTCAATAGCTATCAGTGGGCCCGAGTCCCTAAGCCAGCTTTGTTGGATATGAGGTAAATTAGTAGAAGTACTCAAGGGCTCATCGTATCAATCACGTGGGCACATATGCAATATCTTCCAAGGTTTGACTGTACATACTCCTACCTTTCTACTCACATCAATGTGCAAGTCCTTGATGCCAGTATAGGCATTACTATTACTACATATCTGCAAATGAACGGATTATGATAGCACTAGTAGTGAGATCATGATGTTCACATATAAAAGCAACAAGCTTCATTCACCAGTAAAGCTGCTACTACCTATCAAATGGATTCACAAAGAGACGTAATAAAAACAGCCCATTCCGAGATCTAGTTCCTCGGATCTCGAAGATGATGTCATCTCTAGCTCATCCAATAATCTCAGTTCCACACCGACGCACCCACGCGATGATACTAGTAGCCAGGATGTGCACAAGTCAGCTCAGGCTACTGTACACATGTCCTACCTAGTTCTTCTTCCACCAGTGCTTGCCATGCTTTGGAGCATTCCAGTCTTCTTCGCCAGAGTCTTCGTCTGCGTACGCGAAGATGATCTCGATGATCCCATCCGCAGCAAAGTTGTCACTCTTCTCAGTGTCATAGCGACTGCCACGGTGAGGGACCTTGATACGGTAGGACTTTGAGTTGGAGGAAGAGCTCTTCTCATCGATTTCCTTGTCACTATAGGCGGACAGGATTTCGATAATGACATCATGATCCAAATTGAAGTCGGCAGAGCGCCCTGCCAGTGCATGGTCATGCTCTTCCGAGTCCGCTGTTATATCAATTGTTAACTTAATATATCTCTAGATGTCTTTTTCAATGCTCTTCCAAAAACTTACGGACAGGCGCGGCGCTAACGGAGACGGTAGCGGCAGCAATGGCCAGAATGAGAGCGGCAAAGTTCTTCATATTGGATGAATGAAGGATGGACTTTAGACAAGAAAAGACTTGTGGAGCTTGAGTTGTGGAATGTGATAAATTGAATGAAATCTCTGAATGATGGTTAGAGAAGAAAAAGATGAATTTTAATGGGAAATCTAGGTCTATTTATTACATCTAAACAGGCTCTTCCCCGCTCGCTCTCTATCATTCCAACATGAATTCCAAGGTCTAATCCAGCGACACGTATTTACAGATACGACGTTCTCCAACTTCTCAGTTTTGGGCATCTCATCTTTGGTTAATCAAAGCGGAGATACACTATCATGATGCGTTGATCCTGATACGGCGTTCTCCGACTTCACAGCTTTGGGCATCTCATTCCTGGTAAATTAAAGCGAAGATGCATTACATTGATCAACCTACTACGTTGCATTGCCGCTGAAGCTCGAGGAGCTTACTTTTTACGTCTAGATTGCGTGCGCCATGATGTTTATTGCCAACAAGAACTTGAAGCACGAAAGCTTAACTGCCTCGAATGGAGTCAATCCCTGGCTTAATTAGGAACTATCAATATAATACAGAATCCTGATTGCCAGCAAGAGCGGGGTGATACATTCCTGCCAGTGCTAGTCTTGAGATAGATATAGCCAAAGATAGATAGATACCTATTGATACGTAGGTCTATTGATCAATCAAAAGGCTCAAACTTTATAACTTGAAGTTATACTTAAAGGTGCATATGTATGCATGTGTACTAGAATGGCAGCAAGTGCGAAGGGATACCTATATGATCATTGCTCTTGTTCTTATCTCATACTCTTAGTGTTTGGTTCCAAAATCACATATACATGTGTATCTACTTCCAGGGCTGTAAATGGGCACTTCTCATAACTTGAAGATAGCTCAATTACTGAGCTTCCAAGGTTGATAGTCATCTTTCATGTAAACAGGCAATGGATGTGATGGCCTACTATCACATTGGGATTTGGGATAATGTATAGTACCCTTGGACATGTATATGCAGATATAGCCCCTCTTTGGTTGATAGGTCGATTTGCGAGCAGGAATGAAGATAGTGGCAATGGTCAAATCAAGGCGTTCGAATGTTATTGATGTTGCATTCATGCCAAAGATTACTGAAGGCTTGCATCCATTCCCCCGGTGCCAATCAAGCTAATAAGAGTCACGAAGAAATGTAAACGCCTCCAAATTGATAACTGCTTCCCCTCACTTTCTCCAGGAAAATATAGGATCAGACAGATGCCCCGGTATATCATGTCAAGCATGTCGCCCGATAATTATTAATGGTCTTAATTCTCTATTGATAGCTCTTTTCCCTATCCATGTTTCTCAAATATCTTTTCCGTAACTCAAACATGAGTGAAATGGTACACCCTACTCTATTCACATCCTGCCTTTTTCCATCAAACCAAAGAAGACTAAAATTTTATCTAGACTAAAGCATCCATAGAAAATTCCAAGCCCCACGACGCTGACTCTGTCAGCAACGCGTCATATGATAGTCTTCCACTGAAAGACTTCAATGAACAAGAAGTGCCGTTCTTGGGCATGCAAAAACTGCAGAAGAAGAAAAAGTCCAAGAAGACATTCTTTTTGCTCTTGCTGGCAAATGCACTTTTGTTTTGCATTTCCATTGCTCTCATTGTTTTTTCTGTTCTCAGAAAGCCTACCTTGACAGATGCACAATGTGACCGTATTCTTTCTCCATACTGTGAGCATCTCTTCCCCTCCCACAAACTCGGTCATTGGCCTATATTGGGACTGACTAATTTAACAAATAGCACCCGCACTTGAGGCTGTTGAGTACGAAACATACACATTCAAGAATAACTTTAGCCAGCCATCCGAATACCGAGGCCCACCTACCCCAGAGCGAGAAGCTGCCTGGAAAAAGCTAACGCATGGTATGGCTTCATGCAGTAGAGATGAGATCATCAGAAAATTGACAGAAAACATAGGTCCTGCAATCAATGTTCCTATGGAAAAGCTCTATCTGTTGAATAAATCCACCGAAATTGATTGGGTGCGCACACCAGAAGAGGCAGGCGGGGGCGCTGCAGCCCTTTTGGAAGTGGTTCACCAACTGCACTGCTTGGTATGCAAGCTGGAAAAATCCACGATTGGTATTCAGATAACTAATTCTCTGATGTGAGTAGGGCATGTTACGCAAATGGTCATACCGCGAATGGTATGAGGAAGCTCCCCCCGAGTTTGATGGCCCCGAAAATCTGATGCATATGCATGTTGGTAAGTTTTCCTAGAGTCAGACTTGGTGTACCTTCCAACAACAGAATTAAGTTGGGCTCTGAGATTGGGCTTTGCTAATTAAATACTCTCGATATGCTAGATCACTGTATAGAGATGCTTCGTGTGCACTTGATGTGTGCGAGTGATGTGACTCCTTTCCTGTCTACCGTCGACAATGATTCGATCATTGGGAAGCGTGCAGACTTTGAATCCATGCATAAATGTCGCAATTTCTCAAAAATACAGGAGTGGATGTGGGATAACTTGGCAATTCCGTGAAGGATTCTGCTGTACTCTGTGTGGTGTAGTTAGCACTGGTCCGAGTCCCTATATTACCCTATCTCGGGAATTGAAGATCGATGGCGAGAACTTGAAACCTGAAGACGTGCTTAGGAATTTGATTAGTATTTAGTTATCAAGGACTATGTATAAGTTACCTATGATACACTTAGTCCACGGCTCAGGCCCTAGATATCATATAAGGACTATGGAGTGGGTACTTACTACTACCTAATGAGTCTTAGTACAAGAACGTCTTCAGGACATCATGCCTAGGCGTTTCAATAGTCCACCGGTATTTGTCCCTTAAATACTAGTATATATCTACTAGGTATTTCCAGGGCTCTCTAGTATGTGCACATGTGTATAGTACTAGTAGTAGTGTATCCCTATTTAGCTGGTAGAGCACATGCAGTATTTAGTATGGATATCAACATGCCAGTGGCTGTGACTAGGTACTGCCAGTGTCAGTGGTAGTTGACCCTCCAGATGTCCTCATGTGCTTCAACCTTGGAAGTTTTCGTTTATAGTACATTATTATAGGTATATATACCAGTATGTATGTATAGTATTCATAGCACTTCCAACATAGAAGGTTGAGTACTAGTATGCGCTGTATCATGATGTTCAATGTTTTGAACCACCAGTTGACGTCACGGTGTAATGACTCGGAAGTCAATACACCTTTCAATTCCCCTGGGATATCTGTCAGTAAACTTGGAATTTAATCAAATCCAAACCACCCTGAGTTTTTGAGGACTCTGGATAGTGCTCAGTCCGGATCCTGCTCGAACAACTTGAAGCCACGAAGAGCATAATTGGTTCGTTTCCGGAATGTGGTGTAGCCCCCGCAATCCTTTGATACATATGAGGTAGATATTCTCCGTCTATACGGAGGAGTCTGAACATAATGTATATGGATAGTTTCCAAGGTTTTTGCCTATCCCTTTCACGCCGATCCCCGAGGTCGTTCACCAACTTTCAAGGTTGAACTTTAAGTTGAACCTTAGAAAGTCAATCGATTGATACAACAACAACAACCTTGGAACTCTAGGGCTTCCAAGGTTGGAAAAATGTATCCATCCAACGGCGCCAACCTATCTAGCCCGGTCCATCACTCAGCGTTAGCTTGGGTCCGAGTCCATATACCTTGCCTCTTTTCGACACAAATGCATGCATAATAGACGCTTATTGAATGGATTGTTCACCAACCCGGTCCTCTTCACTTCTGTAAATGGACATAGACTCCGAGATAAAATAAACTTTTATACTATCACTCCATATGTACAGCTCTGAGTCTGATTCATAGTAGGACGACTACCCAAGTGCCCAGGTGCTATTACTAGATAACATATACAGAAGTGCAAACTAGTACTCCATATATGCACTCACCTAGTTTCTACTAGTTCAAGTTCCACTACCCTGAATGTGTATGATAAGCGATTCAGTCTAAGTTTCAGAGGGTAAAAACAACATTTTGAACAGCACTTGACTCAGACGGCCCAAACTCATAACCTCGGGATAGTCAGTGGTGTGTGTACTGTGCAATGTGCAGTGGTAGTTCATGGAATAATCAATTTATCATTTAATTGTTTAAAGTTGGCTAGTCACATGCAATATCAAACAATTAACATTCCCCATTTCTAAAAGATACCATGCACTGGCAGGTGCAGGTGCCTAGTGAGATAATCCAAGTCCTAAACAGATACATAGTGTATTATCTCAACCAGGTCGGCATTTCAAGGTCTTTTGCACCAGCGCATGTTATTAGATATTCTAGTAACCTCTAGCGCCCGGGCGCTCGGTCCAGGTACCTACAGTGGCGTTAAAATGTTGTTGTGATTTTTATCACCTTCCAAGCCCTGGAGGCTTATTCCCACATTCTAGATGTCTGAATGAGGTTAGAAGCCCGAAGTACATAGACCTGGCACAAAGAACTGAATTAACAATAACATGCGCAGTGATACCAATATTTGATCCGTTTCAACATGGTGAGACTTGATAATGTATTAAAATGAACATCAATTATATAAGCTATAGGTGGTGAACTGGTTATTCAATTGAAATAATAAACCTCCCCTATAGAAAATTATAGCGGTAGAATAAAGGGAGTAAAAATTATTCAACCTTTTTAACACCACTGTACATACATACCTCAGGTGGCATCCATCCAGATGTCCAAGGTCAACCCCTGGGCATGGATATACATACTGTATTTTACTAGTAGGTCACGTCCCAAGGTTAGGTACTGTAAGTACAAGACCGCCCTGACGAATCTCACCTGGGGACTAGATCTACCCCGGGCCGCTCAGCTGAGCATGGACCCGTCCTTCGAAGCATTCTAACGTTCCAAGGAAACTTCCGACTACTGCATATCGCTGCGCTAACCCCCCTACTGGCTATCCCGGGATCTGTCACGGTACTTTAGGTGGAGGGTTTTGAGGGTTTAGTGCAGCTGAGTTGACATGTACTATACTTCAGTTGATAACCACATCCACATCTGAATTACTCCGCCGCCCAGCACCATTTGAACGGATGCATAGCTTAAACTGACACCGTGACCTAGGCCCCTTCTATGGCAAGAATCACCGCAAGATGCATGTCCAAATGCAATGTATCCATGGACGGACTCCGACGGGGAAAACGGTTTCCCCATTACGCCGCGGCTAGGGCTCCTAATGCCAGTTTCCAGATATCGATATCTGTGCATTATACGACCTTGGAAGGATTAGTTGGTACCAAAGAGATTTTACAGCTCTCCAGACCCTACTACAATGTTAGTTTATTTTACTCACTCCCTATTCCAAGCTTGGTGCTTCAATATACACATAATAAGACCTCTGAATGAATTTATTTTGCAGATTTCCAGTGTGAGGATGAAAAATAACCATGAAAGTTGACGGAACATGAACCAGCTGGCAGCTCTGGAGATGGTCGAGGTGCAGGGGGTGGCGTAGAATTACGTGTTCTTTTTAACTTGAATACCCCTGTATTTTTGCAGGCTAACTACTACTAGTGAGGTCGCTTCAACACTAAATGTTCCAGCTTCCAAGCCCTAGAGGGTTATTGGTGGAAGCATCGTTAAAATGATCCCATGATCTCATAAGGGTCAACTGGTCTGATTGGGCACAGCAGTATCTTCTCATTCATTGATGTTATTGGTGGGCTCTTATCATCCTACATTTTCTTTGTTCTTTGTTCTTTGGTGCCGCTCGCAGTCTTTGTGTCTTTCAAGTCGAGGGGGTATCTTTTACCTTTTACTGGTATACCTTTTTTTCACAACGGCCTGGGTGGTCAAGGTGCAATTTGGAAGAAGAAAATAATTCACCATTAAGGCTACCTGTGACTTGCTAATTTAGTCGCTATGCTCGAAACCTGTGGCGCTGGTAGTGACAATAATTTTGGCCCTCGTGTTGATGTTCACTGTCGAGGGTTCGATTTCACCCTTCTGTTCGAAGATGCCGTACTATCAATGGTACCAGCGGCTTTGTGCATTGTTTTCCTACTACTACGACTATATAGCATGCGAAGAAAGTCGGTGAAAGTGCTGTCCTACAAATTGGCGGCTTATAAAATGGTAGGTATGATACCTTTACTTGGGTCATATGAGCTTTGGAGTCACAGTGCAAGTTCTAACCAAAGATTGTGTCAAAAGGCGTTTCTTATAACATTATTTGTTCTACAAGTGATTTATGCAGCATTCCGGTTCAGAATACCAGTGTTGCGTACCTCATTGTCACTGCCATCTGATATTCTGAATATCCTTGTCACCGCTGGCGCAGTGACCCTTTCATTCCTCGAAGATCAACGCTCAACACGGCCATCTGACCTCCTAGTTGTCTATTTCTCTCTGCTGGTGCCTCTATGGGCCGCCCGGCTACGGTCGTTGTGGCTGATTCATACGTCAAGTCCCTGCAGAATCTTGTGGACAGTCATATACGCCATTGTCATCCTGGTTGCGTTCCTTGAGTCGACTCAAAAGACCAAAGTCCTGCGATCTTCGTACAAACATGTAAACGTGGAACAAGTCAGTGGTTTTTGGTGGCGAAGCTTCTTTGTATGGGTTGTACCTTTCATCAAAATGGGCTGGTCAACGATTCTCTCCGTCTCAGATATGCCGGAGGTTGACGAGAGCTTACAGGGCGATGTGGCACGTGTAAAACTGCAAAGATCCTGGGAAAAGTCAAAAGGAACACACCAGTTAATGAAAGCTGTCTTCCGCGCATATCTTTGGCCCGCTCTCTCTGGAGTTATCCCTCGTCTAATGCTCTGTGGATTCACCTTCTGCCAACCATTTTTAATTACATCTACCGTGGATTATTTCTCGCGGGACGCAGAGTCTATGCCCAAGGAATACGGACAGGCATTGATAGGAGCCTTCTTGATTGTATACATGGGGATGGCGGTATGCGCTTATCAATGAAGTCTTTCTGAGAGGCTGCTGACCATACTTCTAGATATCGACGTCTGTATACTGGCGCCAAACATATCGGCTGAGTACAATGATACGAGCAGGCCTCATCTCAAGCTTGTACCGACAAACCACACTCTTAGAGAGCGATGATGTAAAAGACAACGCCGCGCTCACATTAATGGGTACAGACGTGGAGCGAATTGTTGGCAGCTTCAGGTACTTGCACGAACTCTGGGCCTCGATCCTAGAGGTCGCCATAGCAATCTATCTTTTACAACGACAGATCGGGTTGTCCTGCATAGTCCCTGCAATAATCTCTCTAGGTGAGCCAGACCTTCTAGCAAGTCCCTAGCTGGGGATGCTGATGCCGTTTAGCATGCGTCTTTGGATCGGGGCCGATATCTGCAAAAACTGCACCAGCACAGAAGGCTTGGGCCGAGAAAGTCCAAAAAAGAATAGGTGTCACTTCCTCTATGCTTAAGGATATGAAATCGGTCAAAATCCTGGGTCTAAACGATGTGTTCTTCGGACTTATCACCAAGTTGCGAGTGGCAGAACTTAAAACATCTGCTCAATTCCGCAAGTTATTTATCTGGACAGTTGTGTTATGTAAGGTACGCAGGCTCTTTTAACAGAAGACAACTGACTGTGAATAGCAAATTTTCCTGCGGATCTAGCTCCGTACACCACATTTGCAGTTTATGCAATCATCTCTGTGGTCCGGAAAGATCAGTCCCTTGCCACATCTCAGGCCTTCACTTCACTTTCATTGATTTCGTTGATGACATCACCGCTATTGAGCTTTGTGCAAGCTGTCCCATCATTCATCCAGTGCTTTGGTTGTTTTGAAAGAATTGAGTCATATTTGGAAAAACCTGCGAATTCCTCGAGTGACGAACAGCTTTTTGGATTGACAGACGCAGAACAGACGCAGACAGAACTTGAACTTCTAAACAGGCCGACCTCCCCTCATGTGGTATCAATAAAAAATGCCGATATCTCGTGGCAATCCGATTCAGAACCCGTATTGCAAAACCTGAATTTGGAGATTGGCAAGGGAATCACAATGATTACCGGCCCTGTCGGCTCCGGAAAATCAGCCCTTATCAAATGTCTCTTAGGCGAAATGACTGTTTGCAAAGGGTCTGTGACTACAAATTTCGGCAATGTTGCGTACTGCCCTCAGATTCCATGGATTCTGGACAATACTATCCGGCACAATATCACCGGAGGCACAAACTTCGATGCGAAGTGGTATGACTTCGTGATTTCTAGTTGTGGTCTGAATGGTGATTTCCAGTCTATGCCTGCTGAAGACATGCATGTTGCAGGGAGCAGTGGTGCCTCCCTTAGTGGTGGCCAAAAGCAAAGAGTGGTGAGTCATACATGCCCTGGATGAGATCGCGTGTCGATGAATTAATCAGAGAGTACAGGCGCTTGCACGGGCAATTTACTCCAGGCTACCCGTCATAATTCTTGACGATATATTCAACGGTCTAGATTCTAAGTGCATTAGTGAGATATCTTCAAAGTTGTTTTCCGAGCATGGATACTTTCGCACTGCTACCAAGAACGTAATCCTGGTCACTCACACTGGTACGCATATTGTATTAATACCCTGGGTCGATTGAAGACTAAGAATCACATATTACAGAATCTCTACTGCCATATGCTGATGATGTTATCGTTCTCGATCATGGTGCGGTCTCTTATAAAGGTTCATATCAAGACCTTCCAAACAGGAACCCTCGCGCCATATTAAAAGATTCCATCTTTTTACAAGAGGCGGAGATTAATTCTAGTCCTCAATCAAGTCCTGCAGATAAGACCTGGTCTGATGCACCTGAGAATGCTCTAATTGATGGCAGTCAAAGAGAACTTGAAAGTGACATCGACTATTCTCGACGCGATGGCACTTGGGATGTGTATAAATACTACATCAAGGGCGCAGGCCCCTGGATCACGGCAATATTTGTCGCGTCTTTCATTTTTTATGCCTTTTTGAATACTTTCACGAGTAAGTCTAAGCTCTAGTATCGGTCCAATTGATTCAACTGACTTTACAATCCGAACAGCTCTGTGGATCCAGTGGTGGTCCGACTCGAATGATAAAGACCCCAACAGCAGGATTGGCTGGTACCTTGGCTTCTATACTACCTTCACAGTGGTCGGAATCTTCTTTTTCTTCGTCGGATGCGTGTAAGTCCTGAACTCAAAGAAAAATTAAATGATTGGTTTGCCAACTACTGACTTGTCTCCAGTTTATTTTTCATCAATATCATCAATGACACAGCTCTAGCATTCCACACTGACTTACTGAAAGCCACGCTAAGTGCCCCATGGAGTTTCTTCCAGACTACTGATGTCGGTATCATGACCAATCGGTTCAGCCAAGATATGGACCTCATTGATATGAAGCTTCCTCTCTGGGTTGTCAATACAGTAGCAAGTGAGTAGGCTTGACTCGACGGTAGTCTTAATTTAGCTTACTGACAATGATAGATGTCGCACTTGTCATAACGAACATGCTTCTTCTATGCGCAATAGGAAAGTATATGGCTGCCACTTTTCCTTTCCTAGTGACCAGCTTCGTGATCATTCAACGTATCTACCTCCGGACTTCACGACAAGTCCGATTACTAGACATCGAAGCCAAAGCACCTCTTTACGCACATTTCGCGGAGACCATTGATGGAAGCACGTCAATAGGAGCCTTTGGATGGCGTGATAGCTTCCAAGCTGAATGCAATAAGAGAATCAACCACTCCCAGAGACCGTTTTATATGCTAGCTTGTCTACAACAATGGCTTAGTCTGGTTCTGGACTTAGTCATAGCAGCAATGGCAGTTATTCTCATAACGGTTGCCTCGTCTCTAAGAGGTCAATTCAGTGCTGGTACTATGGGTGTGGCACTCAATCTTGTATTGAGTCTCAATCAGATTCTAGTGCAAGCAATTCAGTCATGGACACAGATGGAAACATCTATTGGTGCGGTTTCTCGAGTGCACAGTTTTAAGAGAGACACACCCTCGGAGGATCAAGCCCTCGAACAATCACCCACAGCCGACTCTCCAGGTAATAGTTCCATCGCTTTTGACAATTTAACAGTGGCTTATGGGTAGGATATCCAACTCCGATTATGACTTCAGAGATAACTAATTCTTATAGCAGTGTCGGTGGTCAATCTATCATCAGGAATTTGACTCTAGACATCAAGCCTGGAGAGAAGATCGCACTTTGTGGTCCGTCGGGCAGTGGTAAAAGCTCTCTCATTATGACCCTCCTTCGTATGACGAATATCAAGAGTGGGCATGTATTTATGGACGGGCGAGATCTCGCATCCATCAAGCCATCCAATATCCGCTCACAACTCAATGTCATCCCCCAGGACCCATACTTTGTATCCGGTACTATTCGATTCAATTTAGACCCTCGTGCGGCTATTTCCGATGATGACATATGCCGCGCAGCCAAACGAGTGGGTATGTGGGAGCAGATTGAGATGAATGGTGGCCTTGACGGAGACCTCGATGCTTCAAGATGGTCTATGGGAGAAAAACAACTGCTGTCACTGGCTAGAGCATTACTTTCACAAAGCTCAGTTTTACTTCTTGACGAAGCGACAAGCAAGTATGTTATTCCATATACTGGGTCCTTGACAGTGGCTAATTGATGGCAGCGTCGACCGTGAAACGGAATCACTCATGCAGCAAGTTATAGAGACGGAATTTACTAACCAGACCGTTATCATGGTTATGCATCGACTCCGTTATGTGGCTCGTTTCGATCGAGTGGCTTTAATGCGGAGCGGGGAGCTTGTTGAATGTGATAGTCCGTCTGCATTACTTGCGCGGGACTCGGAGTTTGCAGGGTTCTATACTTCATTCATGGGGTCACATTAAAAGACCACGCTCAGGGAAAACCTAAAATCTAATATGTCCAGGTGCATAGCGGTCAAGCAACTGCAATTTGCATTGTTTTTTCTTTTTCTTTTTACCTCTAAGTTTATGAGATTTAGTACTGGAGAAACAAATTTGACGAACCTTGATTGCACCATTCTTTCTCAGATATGAGCAATTTTAATCTCGAGATTTGACTTAATACTACTTATTGAACTTGAACTGATATCCTTAAAGCTCTAACAACATCTTATAGGCACTAATATACATCCATTTACACACATTTACACACCACAGGCCATTCTAAAGGCCATATAGGCTCCAGGGCTAGCACTATAAGCAGCTGGGTATGAGAACTTGTGTATCATCAAGGTTCGCAAATCCCCCTGGGCAACACATAAATCTCTTCAATACCGATATGAATCCAGCCCTGAAGAAATGACACCTGCCCAGGTGGGGTATTTTGGGGTTAAAATGCTTTCTGTAATGTAATGTACATCAATCATACATACCATACCGTAAAGAATGTCCACTGAGGCCGTGTACACACCGTATCAGTCTAGGGTTTTTTCTCAAATCCGTGGACTCCTATAAAGAAAATAAGCCCTGGAACATTTAGATCTGCTGAACCTGGGAAAGACTCGGAGTCTTCATGGAGTATTTTCACCTACTCTTCCAATTCTTCCAGTTAATAATTTTTGTTCTGAAATTCGAATCAATTTAAATTGCACTAAGCCTAGCTAGGCAGTTCCGAGAACAGACAAGTTTGGGTACATAGTACTAGGCCCCGTATTATTAGTATGCATCGCCTTATCGCACCCTTGACTATAGGAACAGGAATGTACGGCCCCGGGAGTCATACGGACCAAGACGCCACATTGCGTGCGACCTTAAAATGTTAGCGCCGAGTAGTCACTTCAACGTTCAGACCCAAGGGGGCTACCTTCGACGAGTGCCAGTGTTCCCCCAGGTGCCATCATCTTCTCTATTTTCATCTCTTCTCTCCATAATTTCCTTATAATCTTGTCTATGATTGGCAATTTTCAATCCTGCACAGCTTTGGACTCGGATATATATATAAATATAATTTTAAGAGGCCCAATGGCAGACATACCTGACACAATGAATGCTCACGATGAATATCAACTTTTATTGGGCACTGGCACCAGCCCAGAGTCGGACCAGATGGAACCTACATCGAAATCACAGAAGCTGACCGTGATGATTGCAGCATGCACACTTGTCCTCGCCATGGATTTTGGCTTCTATCTAACTGCTGCACCCCAAACAGAGGTCTTCGAGAATATCATCTGTCAGAACTACATGGCTGCTTTAGGAGAGCACGCAGATAAAACTTCAACAGAGGATATTTGTAAGTCTAAGCCTGTGCAGAGTGAACTGGCCCTGGTGAATGGATGGAAAGATACGTCGGATGTCTTAGCAGGTATGATAATTAAATGCATACCAGCATAGATCATTTACCACCGCAGGCTGTTGGTAATAATTAACAGGAATTCTTCTTTCCGTTCCATATGGTGTCTTAGCGGACCGCTGGGGGCGTAAACCGGTTCTTCTTCTGGGGATCCTGGGGGGTTCTTCTTGGGGAAACCTGGGTCCGTATTGTATGTAAGTGATGCATTGATTCTTCAAATATTGCATCGTGTTATTGTGGAGTGCATATCAGCTAACGCAAATAATGCAAGGTTTTTATTCCACCGCCCTCCCACTGCGATTGGTCTGGCTATCGGGTTTGCTGAGAGTAATTGGGGGCGGGGACCTCGCCATGTCATCCATGGCTCTAGTCATCGTTGTAGATCAGTTGCCAAAGGGAGAGGTGTAGGGAGTTTGACTGTTTAGCGATTCAACGTGATTATTTACTCATTTATTCTTAGAGCAACTGCCTTGTTCCGCATTACCAGTGCTACTCTTTTGGCTGAAGCCCTAGCAACTCCGGTCAGCGCGTACCTCATGACTCGTGATCCATGGATTCCATATATGCTTGGACTTGGAATTGCCACACTCGGAGCATTCAGTGCATATTTCATGCCAGAAACATTAAGCAAAGCGAAACCTGAGACTTCCACGGAGACCAGACTCGCCAATGAAGAGACGCAATCACAAGACTCACAATCGACTTCAAAGTACTACTCGATAAGGCGATTTATCATAGGCAAGTTACGGGATCTTCAAAGGTCGACTCGGTTTATCATGGGCAATCCAGATATTAGTGCCTGTCTCTTTGTAGTGTTCATCACATCCATCACCAAGCAGTCAACAAGTCTTCTTCTACAGTTTACGTCAAAAAGGTTCCATATGACTATTGCCAAGGTAAGTCTGATCGTGCACAACAACTTTTCCCCCATGGATTGATACAGTGCTGACGAACTTCAAGGCTAGTCTCCTTATTTCAGTGCGCGGCTCCATCACATTGGCAAACTTCATAGTCCTCATGCCAGCAGTGTCCTTCTTAATCACACGCTATTTCCATCTTGAGGGCAATTTGAGGGATCTGCGATTAGCACAAATCCTTTGTCTTATTTCTGCTCTTGGCTTCATAATCATGTCAGAGGCCATCTCCTGGGCGATGTTGATCATGGGCGTTGTTCTTCTCTCGTTAGGCGCTGCCTTCGCAGTGTTTGGCCGCAGTTTTATGACATCGCTGGTTCCATCAGAGCATATAGGGACACTGTATTCATCTGCTGCAGCTCTCACATCACTGGGGATGATGATTTCCGGTCCATTTTTGGCTTATATGTTTCGTTGGGGTCTTGAACTAGGGAGGTCATGGCTTGGACTGCCATTTATTCTGGCGGGGGCATTATATTTCCTTGGTTTTGGTTTTCTGATCTGGTTGAAGGTTCCTCAGGCTGATGATGTTTGTGAAGAGTAGTTCAAGTTTGCCACTACTATGTATTCTCTACTTTTCGGCTCGGCACCTTGAGCAACATTCATATTTGAAGACATGTTTCTATGAATCGCGGAAGTCGAGGGCTAGGTACCATTTTCATGTTTTTGGATTGATAGATGTTTTTTGCTTGCTGACTCATAAACACCATTTGAAAATTCCAGAATATTATCGACTCGGAGGTCAAATATCGTAAATTTAGAGTTGAATTACTGTTGTTTATGGGAAGTCATACATACTACTCATTTTGATCCTATTAATTTGAGAAGTGGGTAATATAACTAAAAATTGCCACTCTTTCTATCAATTGGCAAGATGGCCGAGTTGGTCTAAGGCGTCAGGTTAAGGTCCACCTTGACTCTTACGGTAATCCCGTTTCCTGATCTACGTTTGTAGGCGTGGGTTCAAATCCCACTCTTGTCACTTCTTTTTTTCTTTTTCTTTTTTTGCTTCATTTTTAATGCGATTGGAAAGCATGACATCTGGATAAATTACTCCTGTTGAGGTCTGGAATGGCTTCGGGTCTTTTCAATTTCCATTTAGGCGAGACCTGGATGCTCACCTGGGCAGGTCAACATTTGAATCAATCAATTGACTCAGATGCAGATACTAAATTTTTTGTGACACCTACTATATGGATGTGATGCTAGGCTCCAAGGTTTCTCTTTTGTCTTATCTCTATCACTTAAACCTTGGAAATATATATATTCGAAGGAAAGCCTGGAGAGCATGCAGCTAAAACAAACTTGAACATCATACATATTCATTTCTTGAAAATCAAACTATCCTGAGGTCACGATACTAAATGAATGCCATCTGCACACGTGTGAAATCCATTTCAAATTCCCAGCATCATCCATTACTTCAAATCCAGAACCAACAGTTTCTTCAATCTCAATGACCCTTTACCAAACCGTTTCCTTCCAGTCTCACCTGGGCAACTTGGTGCGCCTTGACTCCATTTCCAACCCGAATGAGTCTTGTCCATGAACATTTGAATCAAACTCAAAAATAGGCTATCATGAAACCATTCAAGCCTTAGGGTGTCTACCAGGGCCCTTGTTAGGCTTTCCACCGTAGGGAGGAGGGTGCGAGATCTCAGTCTCAGTGGTCTCCTCACGCTTGTGTCCGCCGTGGGGCTTTCCGCCGTGAGGAGGAGGGTGTCCATCCTCAGAGTTCTCAGAATATTCTTCACGCTTGTGTCCATCGTGAGGCTTTCCGCCGCCGCCGTGGTGAGGAGGAGGAGGGGGAGGAGGAGGATGGCGACCCTCAGAGTCGGCTTCCTCACGCTTGTGTCCACCATGAGGCTTTCCACCCTGATGAGGAGGCTGGTGAGGCGGGTGTCCATCTTCAGAGTCCTCAGAAGACTCCTCTCGCTTATGACCATCATGCGGGTGTCCGCCGTGGTGAGGGGGAGGGGAAGGAGGGTGGTCGTGCTCAGAATCCTCGGAGGTCGATACCTCACGCTTAGGGTGATCTTTGTGACCACTGTGAGGAGGTGGATGACCATCCTCTTCGCGCTTTGGGTGGCCGCCGTGGCCACCGTGGGGTGGTGGTGGGTTCTTGTGCTCGGTTTCATCCATGGTGGCTACCTCGCGCTTGGGATGTCCGCCATGGGGGTTTCCACCTGGATGATGAGGCTGAGGACCAGGCTTTTCAATTCCATTGGTGGCTGTGAAACGTTAGTTTGGAGAACTCAATGGCTTCATATAACGACGAAGGATAGAAACATACCGGGCTCAGCGATGGGAGCGGCGCCAACAAGACCGGCAACCATCAAGGTTGAGAGGATAACAGAAAGCTTCATATTGAAGAAGAAAGAGTTCGAAGCTGATGCTTAGAGAATACTTGAAGTGATGTTCGAAAGAAGATCTCGATGCTGCTGGATACTCATCTTTCCCTGGGTTCGACGCTCCTTTTATACTTCTTCGCCACAACCTCGAACATCTCAATGAGATACCCTTGTCCATAGACGTCGATAAAAATGTCTCAGGCGTCGTCAGCTCCAAGCTCTATTTCCCAATTCTGCAAGCCAGGAAGCCATAGCACATTAGCTTACGAAGACCTGCAGGATCCCATGATGCTGTCATTCCTGCGTATCGGAGCTATTGAATATATGACCTGGAATCAGAAATGTGAGATAGTCTTCCCCAGCTCCCAGTGGACCTTGGTCTCCTATCCCCGGATTTTCAAGCTCCTACTGGGACCTTTATTTCTGAAGCCCTTGAGGGACATATCGAATTGAGTTCCCTTGGAAATGGCCACGCGTGCAAATATTCCTTGAATCTGACTAGTTTTGTTGCGGAAAATTGTGGCAGAGATCAAGGATGCAAAGGGGAGAAATACAATCATGTACTCACATCGAGTCGGGTTTACAACTCGGACTTATTTTGACAGGTAAGATTGCATGCAGTCGGTAGTTGATTGATGTACTACGAATAAGTCGGGTAAAATTTCTATTCTTTTAAGCTCAGTTTCAGTAGATTCCAGGTGCTGACTATATTGTTGATACGAAAAAGCAAGGATATGGAGGTTTACAAAAACCCTGTGCCTTGTTCGGACATATAAGAAGTCAGAAACACATCAAGGAGTACTTTGTATAGGAAAACGGCTTTAGATACCCGAAGGAGATAAAATGACCGATAAATATCATACCAAGCATTCATAAACATTATGATATACTTCCTATTACCAGGACTGTGCTTATCCTGCATTATTATTCAGCGTGCATGGATATGCAGAGCCCACATTGAAATTCTAGCTATTTAATACTAGCTCAAGCCACGTAAGATTGCCTGCAGATAGACTAACCATTTTTCATTTAGGGACATCTGGAAGCATGTTGTGCATGTCCCTGACAGAATAAACGATAGTGCACGTCAAGTACTCCGATATAGTAACCGCTACTACTAGTACTAGGTGATGTGTTCAGGTTTGAGTGTGCATAGTAGCACAGGGATTCCCAAATCTGACATAGATTGGATGCTTGTTCAAATCTAGTGGCAAGAGTTCAAGTTACATGAACTTGATGGCGGTGAATTCCATTATTAGATCCCAATCGTGTGTGACCTTGTCTACAGCTCAGTCCTGTCCAGAATTTTTGCCCCTCTGCCCCCTCTTCTACTTGATTCTAAGAGTCAACATTTGAACCCAGACGAGATTTGAACTAGCCGTTGGTCAATTCTTTCTCAAATGACGGCGGCGATCTGGTTCGCATTCCACCTAGATGTAGTTTGAATATTCTGCACGTGCGAAAGGTTGTTTGATGTAAAGCAAGGGAGAGCGGAAGATTTGTATCAATCGATCTCTCATTCTATGTTTGACTCGGATAAGTCCGAGGTCTAGAAGATAGTAACATAGTCAAAATCACGTCAATTCTATCATTATGGAACAATATTCTGACAAGGATCCTAAGTACGGGTTAAATGCATTCCTGATGCTAACAAAGTCCTATCAAAAGACAAAAAATGAAACCAAAGAGAAAGAAAAGAAAAGACGAATAAAGAAAAAAGGAAAAAAAGAAGACAAAACAGACAGTTCAAAGAAAAAATTGGAACAAATATGTGCCACCATCCGTATATCTATCCCTCGTCTTGTATGCGCCCTCACCTGTCTCCGATTCGCCTGAGATATTGCACCAAAAGAGGCAAATCAGCAGAGCTCAAGACCGGGGAACGCCTTTGCCAGCCATATTCGTTGCAGGACCATAGTTGAACTATAGTCTCAGCCATTATGATGACTCCTTAACCATAACCAAGCCCAAGGGGAGCCAATAAACGCCAAAATATATGAAGCCCGAGTGAGAATGATGACAATGATACCGGATTCCATGCTTAGAACAAGTCAAGGTTAGGAATGAGAGTGTCGAGGAGGAGACGTATATGTGAAGGTAGGAGTGTGTCAGAGGGCGGGGGACCAAGATGGGAGTATAGCAAATGAGAAGTTTGAAGAAGAACAGGTAGTTTCCGGCTATGCACCTTCAATACCAAGTTCGTCTCCATCTATCCCTCCAAGTATGGACTGTGGTGGCTTTCGGCCAGACCCATATACCATCTCCATCAGTTTTGCTTTTTGTCGTTCGCGAACAGACCGCAGGTAATCGTATGTGCCCTCCAAACCCCGGATTTGCCCGTCGATTACAGACTCAACGGGTCCATGCATACGGCCTGCAGCACCAGAGTTCCCCGCTGCAGAACTGCCATCTACACTCATGAAGCTGACAGAATCATTGCGACGTACAAGTGGGCTGACTAACTTCCGGCGCAAGGTTTCAAGGTTAACCTTGAGGGTTAACAGGCGGCCACGATGATCGACTAGGAGATGTTTGTTTGCGACCGTGCGGCTTCGAACATTAGCGAGGAGTCGCTTGTTCTTTTCATATTTACGAACGGCGACGGCGTCGGGGCCCAGAACGCGGGTCCAGAGGGAACTGAGCATTTCACCCTCTGCACGCTCTTGGGCATCGGATTCCCGTACGACAGTTCGTTGGAGGTTCAGGAATTGGCGGTCGATAGACTCGAAAAGGGCGAAGAGGGCGGTGGAGTGTGTGAGCTCGCTATTGATGGATTCTTCGAGCACAGAGAGGAATTCGGTGAAGGTGCGTGTGATGGTGGCGCGGGTGCGCTGAGCAGATGTCGGGCCGAGGATGGCCATGACGAGATGTCCGAATGCTGTGGTTGTGGTTGTAGCTGAGACACTGCCATCTGAGACTTCGCCGGTACGTTCCAATGCGCCGAGTCGTGATAACATGTTGTGAACGTTGTCGAAGACGATGGTCGGTAAGGTACTTGGTGGTTGGGCAGATAATGTTTCAAGTTCACGTTTGGCCCAGTCCATGACGATAAGGATGGAATCAATATCCGAATCAACGTTGGCGAAAAATCGGGTCAACTCAAGAGACAGTGACTTTAGTGAATCGGATAGCTCATCGAGTTGCCGTACAATGATAGGCGCACTAGTCATGTTTGTTCCACGCACTGACTCACTCAGATCCCAAACCGCTACCCCTGTTTCTTGCAGAGTACCAATCTGCTGAACACCATTCTCCGAATAATATATTAATGGTTCGAAGGATCGCGCAAAGCCAGAAAGTTTCACCAGATCCGGAATCGCTTGCGGCAACCCTGGTAAGAACAAGGCGCGCATAAATGCGATTGAGATGAAAAACACCAAAACCGATAGTGTGGCATTTGATTTGGAGCTAGTGATGCGATCGAATTGTTTGCGCATATAGCTGCATAACGCAGCAATCGGTTCTCGATGCTGGACTTCTGCTCGCACTGCAAAACGGATATCTTCAAGACCATAAGCAAGAACAAGTTAGTGTTTCCATAATCTATAGAACAACAAATAACAAAAAACAATCAAAAAAGCATCCGACAACCGAGATTCAGGCAGTGCCTACAATTACTCAGATTTTCCGCCCCAAGGCCCAGTCTATCATCGTCAGTATGGGGTTGCGCCGCCATCACCGGTTTCTTCGGTGGACAAGGACTTGGAGATCGTCCAGTCTGCGGGGTCCCCACGTCCGCCGGTAAAGGCACATTTGCCGCGGCAGTGACATCAGAATCATCACTTGGTTTGTTTTTACGCGGCACTTCGAGCGCATCTTCATATTGGGGACTGGGTTCGCGCGACATTGATGGCGACAAACTGTGACCCATGGTTGGTCGCAGCTCTAAGCGTTCATCCAAATTCCCTCCTCTGCGCGAATAAGGTTGATGACGATACCAGCCACTTCCTTGGATGTAATCATGTTGGCGAAAGCCTGGAGCCGGTTCAAAACCTGGTGGCGACCAGCGAACGGCTGGTTCGGGTTCATCCATCTCACCATCTGATTCTTCAGAGCGAAAACCCGAATGTTGCGATGGTAAGAACAATGGGGACCGATGCGCATTGCTATTATTCTCAAAATCTTCCAGCGACGCATCCAGTGACGGATGGTCGTCGAATTCTTTGTCCAAGTCCTCCAGCATGGCGGACGGCGTTTGCCGGGATTGGCGCTGCAGGTCGGGTGGTTGTCGCAAGGCACGCAGCGCAAAAGCGAGCCCCTGCGGTTTGTTGGTTTACTTTGAATTACTGAAAATAAGGGTCGGTTAGTAGAAGCCGGACTGGGATCTCATGCGCTGATACAGAAGAAAGCTGAGATCAGAGAGTAAAAAAAGTCAAGAAACAAGTGGAAAGCCGTTTGAGAGACAATCGACCCCGCTTGATGCGATGCGAATGCGACAGCGAATGCGACGGGTAATGTTTGTGAAGAAGTGATATTGTATTTGTTGCGCGAAGTAAGTAGATTGGAAAAATGGATCAAGTTCAGTATGAAACAGGACTTCGAAGTGTTCAGGAGATCATAAGATAAAGCTTTCTTTTCCTCAAGTTGCGCCTCGAGCAATAATGTGGGATAAAGAAGTGAACTCCTCTTTACAAGGGGGGGAGGCTGGGCCAATCCGAGTCAGTAACAAGACACTCGGTCGATCATTTGGTATCATAAGTAAGTTGGACCCCCCCTGGTAAGTATCGAGTAAGTACCTGATTGAGATGAGATGTATGTCAGATGGTATGTTGATAGACAAAAGAACCTTCGAGGTACTTGGACTCGTGCCTGACCGCCCATTGCCGCCCAATCGATTCTCCTCATCGATCATTCTGAAACAATATATTACCATCTCAGATACAATCATCGTCATAAAAATGAGGTCGATCATTGTATGTACTCTGTATTGCTCTCAAGGTGGCTCAAGGTCCGCATGACCTGGAAATTGACATGTATCACATTTGAGATCCACTTTGCATACTATTGTATTGGCCACCCCCTTCCATCCAGGTTCTCCCCTAGTCTCACCTTGGTGATGATCGTACCTGCAGAAGAAGAAGAAAAAAAGTTATAGCTTATCATGAAAGAAACACATATTCAATAAAGAGAAGAGAGTTAAATCCAAATCTATTGCGGGTCAACCATGAGAATTTGTGATAATATTACATGCCCCGTCCCTCGGATGCCCGGAAATCAGCCCACGGCGCCAAAAAAATAAACCAATCCCAGACGTCTATGACTCCAAGAGACAGGGTGTGAAGGAGAACGAAATCAAAGGCCGTGTTGGAACAGTAGAAAAAACATGTCATGTCATTTAAGCGGTAGACTCCTTGAGGTAGCTGTATGGGAGAAACTCGTTAGTCTGATATTCGATATGGCGCATGTAATATTATGAGGGTGAAAACGTACGTGATGAGGTCGTTGCGCTCCTTAGCCTTCTTGAGACCACCGAAGGCCATCTTGGTACCGGGGATGAACTTCTTGGGGTTCTCGAGGTACTTGAACTATAGCGCGATAACCGATTAGTATCTGCGAAATATCATACGATACTTAGGGGCTTCAACTTACCAGAGACTCCTCGTTCCAGTGGACACCAGCCTGCTTGTTGGCATCGGTGTAGGAGTAACCATCGACCTCACCGGACTTACGGCCGAACAGACCGTTAAGCTTGGGGCCGACCTTGTTGGCACCGTCAGCCTCGACGGTGTGGCACTGAGCGCAGCGAGTCTGGAAAAGCTTGGCACCCTTGGCGGAGTCACCTAGAGAAAGAGTCATGTTAGTCTTGGTCTTTGAAGCTTCGATAGCTTTCTCATTTTCATCAGGACCATGCATAAGAAGAGCCAGCTCGTAATGCCAGGCCATCTCCCAAGCAGTCCAGCTCATGATGAGAAGGTCCCTAAGGATAAAGCGTTTGGAATCGGTTCTGAGGGGGGATTTGAGAGTGCGAAAGGATTGTTCGTTCCAATGTTGGTTTGATTGCAGCGAAGATGAAGGTTTGAAGAGAGGGTATGGTTGTTTTCATGGTTGAGTGGTCGAGGTGAGAAGTGACGGTGTTGCAATTGCGACGCGTGCCTAACTTGGGCAATGGCGAGGCTAGGTAGTGATTGCAGTACTTTCATCCGATCTCTTGTCCATGTGTTTGCTGTTTGCTGTTCTCTCTTGATCTCCTTCCTTCTCTGTCGCGCATGACCAACTTTTTTTTCTCTCACACTCTCTACCTTCCCCATAGAACCGATTCCAAAAGAGAATAAGAATTAAGCTTACCGGGAGCGAAAGAAGCTTCCTTGCCCATTTTGAATGTATGAGGATTAAAAGAAGAGGATAAGGGGGTATAAGCTGTACAGAGAAAAAAGATGGAGAGAATTGGCAAAGTCAAGATTTTCCCGCGTTTTTGTACCTGGAACCCCCGTCGGCTCCCGTGATCCAGTCTCTCCGCCAATCAACTTTCGGCTAATTCATTGCGAACGGGCGCAACCGGGATAAATCTCGGTGAGACTGTCATTTGTTTCTTGAATTTCCATGTTTGATGCGTGAGCAAGGATAAAATTAAACTGACAAAATCATAGAATATCATTGTTTTATTCTATACTCTATCCCCAATCTGCCATTGAATATGGTGGTGGCTAAATAGAGGACGCCACTTGTTCGAACTCCCATGATCTCATCATCCATCATCAGCCCGAAATGCGACCGGCTTAGAAGAGGCTCTTGATGACCAAGAAAATATACCTGTTCTCATGCATACTCATCCTACTCAGTACATATTAGCCTATTGATCAGGTTTCTCCCCGTTGAATCTATCTCCTTTGTTGGTGCCCTTGTTGGGGATTCTCTTCCCCCTTGAGAATTGGGGCCAAGTTTCTCCCCCGGTCCACTGGGGCTTCGAAATGCGCCCGCTATCATTCGTCCACGCTCCACAATACCGAACTTGGCCCGGTCTCTGTGGATCCTGAGGCAGAAAATGAACGTGGGTACTGTGGGTTTGTGGTCGGCAGTCAATGGAGTCGAGTGAATACACTCTCGGTGGACCGGAGACACGTAGTGCCAGCGTGATATTAGACCGCAAAAATAGAGGTTATGAATTGGCTTCATAGTTTGTAGAAACCGGCATGTATTGCTTGTCAATCTTTCATTCCGAGGTCCGAGACACGAAAAACCATACCGCAGTATTTCGAAACTCATGTTGACTTTTACTCGGCACAGTTGAACCGAGCTGCAGGTCCGGGCCGAGAATTCTCTTAACAGTGCATTATGTACTCGCATGTAGGAGCACTTCGTACCTGCAAGGATTCGAGAATAACCATGGAAAAGACCGGGGCGATCAATGCACGTGAACAAGAAGGGGAGGGAAATGATCCGGAAGTACCAGCCAACTGGTGTTCACTATAAAGTAGAGTACATGATACAAAACAGTGCTCGCTGAAAGTGAACGTGAAAAACTTGAAGGCAATTGCGAAAGACGAAGAACAGAGAACAAAGTATCACTGGCTATGATTCATCTAGACAATAGGAGGTTACTTGACGCCCAGTACCTCCAGTTATCTTTCGACTTAATTTAGGCTCTCCCAGAATAACTGCGCCGTCTTCATCCAAGCAAAGCGACTCGTCTGGGGTTTTTGACATAGAGTAGACATGACTGCACTCTGTACTTTGACCCTTTTGACACGCCTCAAATGTATCTATAGTGGTTGGTCTGGACATGAACAGCTTTTCGTTAACTTCAACTGGTTCTTGGAGCCTCCATTTCTTCTTGATAAAGTTTTCAGGCATTTCAGACTTGCCAGAATTAGATACTGATCTGGAGGAAGAGGATCCCATGCTCCGCATACTTGTTCCTGGAAGGGCTTGATGGCATCCGCCATACCTTTTGAGAATAGAACAATCATGTCAGGGTTCTCACGAATAATCCTGTAACATGAATCTGATAGATGATGACCTAGGGGCAACAAAGGCAAACGAATGCCCTTCTCCCATGATGGTCTGCAAGCAGCGATATCAACCAACTCCCAGCCTCGCAGACCCAAGGCTCCCATTCGAATATAGGATTCGTTGAATATCCTTCTTTGTTCCTTTCTCTTCTCCAGAGAGAGAAAGATCTCTTTCAGTTTGGACATGAAGTATAGAGGCTTCTCATCAGCATAGCCCTCTCTAAGCAGAAGTTGCTTATTGGACATCACTGCTTGCAAAGCCTCTTCGCCTCCTGCAGTGGTCTCAGGAAGGAAAGGAATCCTTGAGAGGAGCTCATCTCTGTCTGCCTGTCTGAAGGCCCAGATATGAAGGATCTGAAGGAAAACATTCAACTTGGGCACAATGAATCCAGTCTTTTTGCCTACATCATACAGCAAAGCTGGACTATCTTTGGAGTTCAGTAGTCTATCCTCCAGTCAAGTCTCTTTCGCCTGCACTGTTGCGAATAGTCCCTTTGCGATGATTATCTTGGCTGCAAGTCCAGCACCAAATATTCCCATTCCTCCAGTACCCATTGTCGAGGAGATTTCGCGTCCTATTCGCAAAGATGAGGAGTCCTGTTCCGCATAAGACAGCTGAAAAAACTCATAGCGAGAGTCCTTTGTTCCTGTTGTGACATGGGCGCGATTGCAGTACCCCACGAAAGATCTGCGCTTCCTGAGATCGTCGATTTCAAGGTCGAGTATCTCAAGATTCTCTGGGATACAATCCGTTGGCAAGTAAAGATCTTGCAAATCGGATTGTATAAAATGCCACTGAATTGTATCATTTGTTGTCCCAGGGGTGGGGATTAGCATTGTCGAATATCCTTTCAGCACCCTTCTGGACGGCAATTCGAGAAAGTATGAGACCCTTGCGAGGGTGACCATGATGTCAAATTGAATTTCCACTCCGATTTCCTCCCCTCGCCCTGGCACCGGAAACGATTCCGCTATCAAGCAGTTCTGGAAAAGGGAAAGCCAGCAAGCACCTAGTATCATGGAAGGCAAAACGGACACGCTCCCGAATCGAATTTCACAGCGGCGCAAATGCGCAACCGGGAATTCTAGAAAATTGATAGTAGGAGACAACAGTTCATCGTCTTGAGAGGTCGATTGACGTATGGTCACATAAGAATTTTCCGGCTGATTTAACCCTGTTTCCTCAATTTTCTGATGGAGACAGGCCGTCATCCAAGATACCAACGCTGCAAAGTTGATGACCTGTGCTTGACTGCCTGAAATCATGATCTTACAGCGTCATCCATCTATAATTTTGCAATATGCCTTGTATCTCAGCCCTGGCTCATCAAGGGCATCCAATTCCCAGTAGTGTTCTATATGCCGGTAAGGGAAGGAATAGATTCATCAGTGGAACGTCACATGGGAGATTCTTACCACCATGTTTCAATGCTACGATTAGATGCTCAATGAACTGCCAACCTCCTCTCCCCCCAAACTGATTGACATAATCATAGCATGTTGTAGCATAGGCTTTCTCCACAATGCCACTCAGAACTAGAAACTTAGCAATATCCTGAAAGTCAGGGACTTGGGCCATCATGCGGTCCAGGAAGTCGTCAGGGAGGGAAAATATGACAGTGTAGACACCAGAGGATAGTTCAGATCCAGATTTTCCCATTATGTCTTTTATTTGCCATTCAGCATGTTTAAAAGCTGCCGAGCGGTGGAGGATACGTAAGTCTGTATTTTCAGCGCGATGGGACTCGGAGGAATGAAGAGGCGAAACCGATCGACTCGTAGTCTTTTCTTGAGAGGTAGACGAACCATCACCTTTCTATCTCGGGATATTAATGTAATTAACACCACAATTCCTATTGCAGATAGATCCTTACCACATATGTGCAATCGCCACATGGTCTGTGCGAACATGGACATTGGGATTGAACATTATGGGGGCCCTCTCGGCATTGGCAACAGATGTATGTAGGCGTTGGCGCCATTCTTGTGGTATAGTTCTTACTCCCCTTGAAAAGTATGAGTATTTCTTGTCTAGATCTTTGAATTGTGAAAGTACAGATTCAAAGAGTCAAGGGAAGACAGGAATGTGGAAATCATCAGAGGCACAGAGACCTGCATGTGCGGGGATTCAGGATCATGTGCTGGACTCGGAAGAGCCTCATTTGGGCATTGATGCATAACATTGCGCGTTGTCAGATAAACACCCTAATAATTGCCAATGTATAAGCCTTGGAAATGCACAACATGTGGAATTCGATGTCGATTTCCTGATCGGTGTTTCGTGTTATGTTAGTTCAGCCAAAAATGAGTGATTAAGAAGCTCAGCGACCGATTTCCGATCCCCGCATGCTCCTGCAACATTAGCCAAAAGAAATCTGCAAACTTATCGGTAATTTCCTGTCCAAAATCACTCAATACTCTCTCGCCAATCTACATGGCAAATTTTTGAACGCCATCCCCCCTACAGCCCATATATCAATATTTTCGTGCCACACATGCTGCCAGTGCAGAAGTCACTCAGATGCACTTAAAGTTACCGAAGTTGCAGGAAGGAAGACATCATGTGTGTTTGACATAGCTAGCATGTATTAGTTAGCAACAAATAATCCTCATCGTGGAGCTAGGGGTCAAATCTCCACCGGATCACCAATCTTAACTATAAGCGTTGAGAATTCTGCATCATCCAGGACTCGGCGGGGACGCTGCAAGCTGACCAGATACTGCCGTGCACTGTTAGTAAGTTCAACTCCTGAGAACCAGCGAAAGTAATTGAATCCAGGCTCTGTCAATATTTCGCTTGGTGAAACCGAGTTCACGTGAATAGTATATTGATGGGCTCTTGTACTCAAGATATGCACCTCTGTGGACTATTCCCTATCCATGAATGAAGTTCAGTCCTTGGAGTAATTGCTTCGAAACTTCCTGAACGTAGACCATGTGCCGTGGCTTCTCACGAACAAGCATTACTTCACCATCTGATATCATGACTGGAAACACAAGACAAAGGTGTAAGCCATTAGGATATCGGTGTTCAAAATGATGGGGTAGCTGGAGAACATGATTTTCTGCTGGATGACCCAAGTGGTATCTATGACTCGAGGTGACGGAGAATAGAAAGCTCTCGACTATTACTCGAGACATCCGCTTTGGGAATCCTCAACGCAACGTATTCTTGAAGTCTATGCCAGGAGAAAGTGTCAGCTTGATACTGGGCAGTGGGAGGTCTAGTAAAAAGCCAAACAAAGAGTACCTCGTATGTTTGGCAAGCCGGACTGTAGAAAACTGGCCGAATGCCCACTTCACAACAACCTTGGTATCTCAGGTGGAAAGTATCCTCGAGATGAACTGAATGATATCCTGCCGTACGATGATCTTCAAAAGGCTTAACTGAACTTGTTAATTCGTTCGAAGCGACGTATCTTCCAATATTGGAGATAGAAGCACTACATGCTTCTGGGTAGCCAACATGGGAAGGAATGGAAGACAAGAAAGAAGCCGATTTGAGTAACGATAATCACGTGGTGGTTCAAACCTTGGAAATAACACAGCCTTTGATCTCAAACACTTCCAAAGTTCTTTTATTATTCTTCTTTGATTATAACTAGAGTATGTTCCCCAAAGAGTATTGTTGAAGACAATCTAGAAACCTCGGCCAAGGTACCCAGAGGGGCTATCTTCGCGGAAGCAGAAATGCACAAGAACAATCTTGACCCTTGAATATGGAGGATTTAGGCTATTATGTTATCACACAGAGCAAATTCACAAACAAAATATCTTCATAGGTCTTGAAGCTGAGCACATGGATATATTGTGGCGTGATTAAGCAGCTCTAAGGAGAAGTCAAAATACTTCCCTCCCATTGGCTCCCGAGTCCACCCGACCCATTATCCAAGGGCAGAAAAAAAAACATCCTCTTGAACTCCCTCTAGACAGAGAACAGAGTACATATTCCCATATACACCCGGGAATCAACCATGCCACCCTCAATCCCACCATTCCTCCTCCCAAGAGGACTCCCTACAACTCAAACTCTCCGCACAATCCGCACCCAACAAGCCCGCACCCTCAGCACAACCCGCAGTCTCTCCGCACGAAACCGCAAGCCCGAAACAGACAAGAGTCGCATCCTCGCGAAGCCCGATAAATTCAGACCCCCATCTCACCCACAGCGTATTGTCAACCCCGTTGTCCGGACTCCATCGGGTCAACCAGTGAACTATGGACCGCGATTGACATCTGCGGAGCGCGATGCGCAGAATAAGAAGCAGTATCCGAATATGTTCCCGCCGGAGGGAACAGTGATGTTTAAGTTTTTGACTAGTCGATGGATTCATATCTGGATTGCTATGGTGAGTGAACAATTCATCAACCTAAAGATTGATGCTAGGATCGGATCGGATCGGATCCTGGAATTTTATATCTCCTGTTCCCTGCTAACCAATCCCTATAGAGTATCCTCACAACTCTCGCTACTTTCACCTTCACCACAAACTTCAAAGCATCCTCTCCCTTTGCACACCTCCTACCATCTTGGTCTGGTCTTCTCACCGCACCTTTCGAGACAATCTCTCAAGCAATGTCCGTCTACCGTATGCACGTTCAACACGAGTCCATGCGTGTCCGCGAACAGCGTCACCGACGTATCGAGGATGCGGAGAAGCGTAAACAATACCGTATTGCGCATGGATTGGAGGAGGCTCCTGAGACAGAGACCGTGGATGATCAGAGTCCTATTGCTGTTGAGGCCTCGACTGCTCCCTCGCAGGGTAAGAGTGATGCTTATGTGGACTTTGAGGGCAATGTGAAGCCTGTTAAGAAGTGGTTTGGCATTTGGTAGATCCAACCTACTTGATTCAATGTATGCATTGGGCGTGTACTGTACGATTGGATTGATATGGTCATTTGTTCAAGGATGAGTGGTTGATATGACCTTGTATAAACTGTACACTATATTTACTTTCTCTTCTCATGGGGTTCTGTTTCCTTTAGAATGCATGTAATTGATCAATCATGAATCATGAATCGCGGGATTAATTTTGAAGTGGTATAAATGCAGAAGCTCCAACATAGTACAACATCGTTAGAGACTGAAAAACATAAGCCAGATTATTCGACCTCCACGCCCTCTAATCCAGCAAGAACCTCCTCACCAACACCGCCCTTCTTCAAGGAAGTCTTCATCATCTCCGCAAGCACACTACGCTTGATTCCACCACGTCGAGGGCGCCAGACACCAGGAGTATCCTCTTCAGCAGCAGCAGCCGAATCCGGACCATTTCCATTCTCGGTCTCGGAGTTGGCTATTCCGCGCTGCGTAAGTCTGGATGGGGGATCAATTGTTCGCATAGACAGTAACTTCAATGGCTCATCTGCGGCTGTACCGGAGTCACTGTTGCGTGTAAACGAGATAGCGAGTACGGCATCAGCAACGGCGATCTCTTCACGGCTGGGATCGAAGATCACGTTCTCGCCAACAGAGATCACAAGCAATGTGATTGGAGGGCGGACTTGTTGTGATGGGTTAGAGTTGATTGTAGAAGTACGCGGGTACAGATACTCCGCAGCAGCCCAGTCATCATCGAAGAAGGGGTCCTCCTCGCCTGTAGACTTCAATTTCGGAAGCTTGGTAGAGAGAAGAGCGAGATGTGTCGTAAGAGAGAGGAGAGGAAGTGGGTATGACAGAGGCTGAGAAAGTAGAAGAACCTAGTACAGGCAAAGTTAGTACACTCGTTCCTAGTATAAATGAACCTGGGGTTTGGCTTCCAACTTACATCAATGTACAACCTCCAGTGCCAGCGCTTATTGATAACCAATCTCCCCTTCAATCCTCCAGCCATATGCCTCTCTCCATTATCCCCATCATTTCCACCAACGGACCCAACAAGACTCTCCCTCAACATCTCCGCCAGGAAAACCGGCAGCGCATCATCGTCTCGGAACCCAGGAATCTCAATGGACATCTGCACCCATGATCCGTGTCCACCAGTCGCAGCGGACGCAGACTCCCCCTCACCTTCGCCGGTCTCAGCATCTTGATCCACATCCAAAGTATCAGAAATAAGAACAGTCCTCTCAACCTCTGCTTTCACACCGACGATAGCCTGCGTTCCATCTGCGAAGCCAATGCGCGCACTTCCATTTGTACCGGGTAAGATGTTAGATTCAGCAGATAGAGGACGGAACTGAGTTGGAGAGCGGCCGTCAGGTCGGATGGGGCTCTGGGGAAGGGCGAGAGAAGTGTAGAGGTAGGAGAGTTCGGCGGGGGAGAGGTGGGGGACTTGAGCGGCTGATGAAGCCTGGCGTTGAGACGACATATTGATTTTTTGTTTTTGAGACTGATTCCTAGTCTTGATTCTTTGTTTTTGTGTATCGCTGAGAGGGAAGAATGTGAAAAAGTTGTTTTGCGAATGAGCCTCGGAGATCTCTTATCGAGCTTGATGTCCGCAGGTTCTGCAGGCGTGGTTTCCTGTCAGGTGGTGCGGGGAATTTGCTTTTCGCTTGGGTGATAGCTGCAAGAATATCAAATTCTCATAAATCTCAAGTCAGTCCTCAAGAACTGGGGCTACTTGGATGTCAATTGCACAAGGTTAAAAAAGATTAAGAAAGAGCATGCTTAATCGGGAAATTCTAATTGATGCCGGATCATAGTCGGGCCGATACTATCAGACCGAAACTACTCCGTATATCTAACCAACTGGGCAGAGTAGGGATGATGACCTTGTAGTTGAACTTAGTAATTCTGTGCGCAAATCATTGACAATCATATATGGTTCCAGTCTAGTTAAAACTTGTACTCTATTCTATAATGAACTACGTACTTGAAGAGAAAATTGTGGTGAAAGATCAGTATTATGTATGTGAAGTATATGATTGGCAAGAGCCATAAGAGTCTATATTACAATATGATAGAGGACTGAAGCCAGCCAGTCAGATAGGGTAATAAATAGTACATGAAAGAGTGAACAAGTGGCTGGCAAAAATCCAGAGGGGATCAGGAAGATCGTAGATGTAGATGAGTGAGTGAAACGGTGCAGGGAAAATGATCGGCAGGGTGAGATGGCAGTAGCCAGGCAATGTACAAGAGACAAGAGTATATAGACAAAAGAAATTTGAGACACCGGGTTCATGGAAAGATGATCGGAGTAGGATGCAAATGATGGATGAGGTAGAGAATGGTAGAGGCGGCTGGCGCGTGGTATCAATGAAACAGAAAAATGGGTAAAAAGTATGTGCAAACGCCCTCTGTAGAAATATTCCAAACAAGATGTGAAAAATGACTCCAGGGATATCCGAGAGAAAAAATAACAGGGTGCAAGGCCAAATCCATCTATCAAATAGGCCTGTAAGGGTATGAAGATGTAAATGGTGAAAAGAAAGATAAGAAAAGAAAAACACTCCGCAAAGCATATGAACTCCATGCTTTTGCGTTCAAACGATAGCCAGAACGACCACACCTTGTAAAAGAAAAGAGACCGAAACCATACGCCGAACTCAGGCTATGCCGCTTTTATGCGGTTTCGCCAGACTTCTTTTGGAAAGCTGTCTTTAACCGATAACAAATGGAGAGAATAGGAGTTTTTCAAGACCGTCATCATGGCAGAAAAGATATTCATCACTTAGATGAAGTTGGACCCCGATGGGACGTAGTGAGAAGATGCCTTGCTACTCCACTCAGATTCCTCGTAAGGGGGAGTCGGCCATTGGCGATTCGAGTTCACAGGGTCAGCCTTGGAGATGCCCTGCTTGACAGGGGTATCGAAGTAGCTGTCACGGTTGGCCGCTGTGGGCGACGGAGTGGGATAAGGACTTGGTAGAGCACGAGATTGAGTCTGAGCTAACCGCCTAGCAGCCTTGCTGGCTGAGTGCAAAACCTCATCCAACAGCTCATCCTCCTCTTCTGGTGTCTCGTAGCGATGGACAGGGTGACTTGTCATTTGCAATGCACGGCGTGTCCTGCTCGAGATAGGACCAGGGTTGGTGCTGGTAGCCTGGGGCATGGACTGACGCTTAGTGATGTTGCCATCCGAGTTCAGCTGCACGGGAACATTGCCGAGAGTTGAGGAGTCCAATGAGTACTTGACGCTTTGAAGAGCCTTGTCAAGTTCAGTCAAATCAGAGTTACCCTTGGAATCGGTGATGCTAGCACCATCGAAAGCCATAGAGGAACGGTTAGACCAGGGGTTGCAACCAGCATTGGCTTCGACATCATCGGCGGGTGCTGCCTGATTACGGCCCGAAAGTCTGCGAGCACGCTTACGCAGGTGAGAGAAGAAGCTTTCCTTAGTAGTCGGTGTGAGGCTACCCGAGGCATTCAGCATTTTCTCAGCTTCCTGACGGTGCACGTCAGAGTAGTGATTGCCATTGGAGTTGACAGACAGCTGACGACCGATCTTCTTGCTGGCCTTGCTGGCCTCGCTTTCAGCCGACTTGAGTGACTCACTGTGACTCACTGTAGCATTGGCTTGAGCGGTCACTGAAGCTGAAAGAGGGGAAACAGGGCGAATGGACGGAAGAATAGGCATCGGAGCACCGTTAGCCCAAGTAGCCCGCTTGTTGTTTGCAGGACGGGGCTTCACAGGCTGGATTTCAGGGACGGTAGTGTATGAGACAACAGGAGGTCTCACAGGGCTATCGATCTCAGAGGGGACAGGACTTTCGGAACGTCCAATCAATGAGCGACGGAACCATGAGGGCTTGGTAGAGAGAGTTGGAGAATCGCTGGGGGTAAGGGTAGGGGACTTGAAGCTGCGCTCTGATTGCTTGCGACCAAGCAGTCTTGACGAGGTCGAAGATTTGGGGCGCAGAGGATCCATGGCATCAACAAAGTATTCGTGGTTCAAAGCTTGAGTCGAGGTTGGGCGATTCTTGGGGTCCCACATCAAACACCAAGTGACAAACTCAGCGAGAGCCGCAGGCCACTGAGGCTGCTGAAGAACTGTGTCCATCGCATGCGGTGCCATCTTAGGGAAAGTGAAACCCAGCTTGTGCGCTAACCTTGAGCCTTCCCGCCATTCACCACCACCAATTTTGGCACCAGACTTGCTGTACCAGTTTCCAGGGCTTCCCATAATTTCACACACACGCCAAACCTGATCAACCTCGTTTCCTCCAGGGAACAGTGGTTTCAGGGTAGCAATTTCCACAGCCATCGCACCAATTGCCCACATATCGACGGGGGCAGAATACTCTCCGGCACGCAGAAGGACCTCGGGTGCTCGGTACCAACGAGTAGATACGTAAGTTGTGTAGGGCTGCTTGGAGTGTGTTTCACGGGCAAGACCAAAGTCGGCGATCTTGACAGTGTAGGTAGGAGGAGTTGAAGGAGGAGTGACGAGGTTTGAGTAGCGACTAAAGGTCGAGTCATTGGGAGCGGAGGTGGAAACGAGAATGTTCTCGGGTTTGATATCACGGTGGAAGAAGTGATGCGCATGGATATGATCTAAACCAGATAGAATCTGGTACAAGATACTCTTGACGTGCTTGCCTTCGAAGTACTTGTGATCACGGGACTTCATCAGTTGGTACAGATTGCCGTCCATGTATTCCATACAGATGTGTAGTTTTCGGGAAAGAGGGTCGAGGAAGATGTCGAGAGCGGGAACTAGATGAGGGTGAACCGGCAAAGTTCGCAGAAAGATGACTTCCCGCAACTCCATGCAAGGTTGTAGTGAGTCGAAGGTCTTCTTCATTGTTTTAATGGCAACCTATATTTTTTAATTCGTTAGTATGTGTTTCTGGACGCAGAAGGGCGTCTTTCGCCGATCAACAATCGCTACGTCATTTTTTTGATCCGTACCATTGTTCCACGCCGCGCAATATGGGACCCAGCGGTCCGCACACGGGCAACCGCCACGCTACCGAAGCTGCCATCACCGACTTCTTTGATCACTTGAAATCGATCCTCCAAGGTCGCCATTGATGTGTTGGTTGGTCCCCGGGAGGGAGAGTCATATGTGACTGTCATGGTTGTTGAGGTTTTCTTCCGGTCTGCCCGCAGATAGAAGAGGATATGTACTGTATGGGAGGTATAAAATTAGCATTCACTTTCGAGGAAGCTCGGTTCGATTGTGACATCAGGGTCACCCAATCACTGCTCACATTATTGGAGGGGGAGGGGTTCAGAATTGGAGCTTTTCCCACTGTATGATGTGGATGGAGTAGTGGGGGATTGAGGAATTCAATTGGTGACAATGCTCATCATTCGAGGGAAGTTTGATTATGGTGAGCAAGGAGAATGGTTCTCTCCCATTTGATATAAAGTAAGGAGTGACGGAGTAGTTGGAAAGGGAGTATAAGAGGGGAGGGGAAGAGAGGTTCAGAGCGATCTGGAAAGACCGGGCGCGAAGCAATAAAAGGGAATTCCCACCAGAATAGGAGAGGACCCGTTGTGGGCACCAAGTCGATCGGAGACCGAACGAAGCCCCTGACGCGCGCTGACAGCTTTTGAAGCTCTGAGGGGGACGGGGCCGTGGAGACGGTAAATTAAACCACGTTAGGAAACGCAGATCAGTCCACTTTCTTTTTTGCAGAAAGTATTTGATTACTCTGTGTATAAGAGAGTACGGAGAGTAACGTTTTGAGAGATGTAGAATGAAGGAGAAAGAGAGATGATTTAGGAATAAAATGTGGTATATCTTGAAAAGAAGAGAATCCAGCGCATAAGAGGGGCCGGAGACACGACTATTGAGGAGATTGTAATGGTTGTATTGTGTATGAATACGGGATGAAGAAATCCCATGAAATCCTATGGGGATTTCTCAAAGTGCTGTAAATAATTACCATTTTGGTACCAGGTACATCATAGACTAAGATAGACTAAGATGAATTTGGATTAGAAGAAGTACACTATTAAAGGACCGGGGGCAGACTAAATGACTGGAGTTAGTTAATGACCATTCAGATTCACTATATAAATGGGGGGGATTTCCGTTTCCCACCAATTAAAGAATAGTGGATTCTTATTGGTATTTATTTATTTATTTATTATTTTTCATATTTATTTTCTTACAAGTTTCTTACAATTACTCCGTACACTCGATGGCATGATTTTATTTTTGATTTGTTTTATTTTTCTAAGTTTTCTAAGTTTTATTTCATTTTAGTTTATTTTTTATTATTATTTTTCTTTTGTTTCTTGTTACATTATTCCTACGTAAAAACGGTGAACTAGTGAAAGCGATCGAGGCAATTTATATTCACCCTAGTAAAATAAAATAAAAAATAGAAGAAATATTGGCAAGGAATCATTTGAATCCAAAGTTTAGAACAATTTTAACGGCTTTCTTTGTGTAATCCCGAGGTTCTTTATATACTTGGCTAAGGCACAATGCATAAGAATAGACGTTGGGCACCATATGTACCAAGGCAACTAGGGGCGGTCCTTCCCGTAAGAACCAACTGTTGTACCTCAATGCTGGGAGCCTTGGAGTGGGAGGTTGGGCCGCGTTGCGTAAATTACAGAGTAATTTATGTAATTTATGTAATTCATAACTCTTTCTCTGTTTCTCTGGTTCTCCAGGGTCTCCGCGCGCGCATATACCGCGTTGCTGGGACTTTTAACTTCGTCCACATGACGTTGCTTAACGATGAACCGTCTGGACCCAATCTATCATAATCTTCATTCGAACAGATCACCTTTTTACTCTCTTATTCAATCAATATGATCAATATGCTCTATCACTCGTATTTCTCATTAATTCTATGTTCTAGATTCCACCTTTCAATCATGTTCAGCCCTAGAGATTCATATAAATCACGGGACTCCTAAAATAACAAAGTCAAAGGTAAGGAGACTCTGGGCGCATGTGTTGATGCGATGTCATGTCCTACGTTGGACTGGTCGCAAGGACGCTCCTCCACTGTCTATTTACTGATAATCACTCAAGTGCTCTCCTGTTTCACTTCTCATTGGTGAGATGGTGGGTTTAATTGATTTCCCTCGTTGACCGGGCACCCTGTCTCGCCACCTGGGTTTCTGGATCCGGGCTTTCCTGGGAAAAAAAGAGGGGAGGCTATTGTCCATGGGTTTCTTTTTCTAGAGAAGATCTCCGACTGGTCCGAATCGCCTTCTGGATCATCCTATTCGTTATATAACATGGATTTTAGGTTCGGGTGGACGGATGCGTTCGCATCGGGGACTACTGTACGGACCATGGTCCAAAGGTCCCATTAGACTCCCCCCAGTACTCTCGACGGGGTAAGCTTAACCTGGGGATTTTTACGGAATAAATGCATCTCATGTATGAAGTACTCCGTACCGATCGAATGGGATTTTACCTATATCGCACATCTCGCATATGATATGTGGTTCCATCTCAGACGCTGCCTTCTTCTCAAAGACTCCCCCGGAACATGCGCCGATTGGGAACAGATGGCGCCTCATGATTCAGTTTTGGCTGTGACGCGACTCAAGAGAGAAAAGTCCTTTTTCATTTCTCACATTTTTAGTGTTTTATCATTTTTCTGACCCCTCCAAATTTCCCTTTGTCTCCGGGGGATTCGCTTCTCTCTCTAGTCTGTCCCGTGTGGGAAATTAATGACAGCGGTCGATCGACATCCCTGCACCGGGGAAACATATCCCGGTGGACAAGGAGCTTCTTATCAAAGGTTTTTGAGACTTTTTGATTTGGATTTGGGCAATTAGACGTGTACGGAGCATAATGACCATGATCCACTTGACAAACTCCAGGAACCCGAGGAACAGAGCCATGGGCGGTCGATCTGTCTATCATCTCAATTTTCAGTTGGTTTCTTTTTTTTTTTTCAAAAATTATGATACATATCAAAAAAATAATTTGAAATTACTAGGTGCAGCAAAATACAATACATGTACGAAGTAATGTTTCAAGTTCAAAATTGAATACCTGCAGGAATCGCACCTGTCAGACTACGACGAACCCTGGGGCGACCGTTTGGCCCGCAAGGATCCAGGATTGCGTCGCCCCCCCGTCACCACCACCGTCACCTGTTTTTTTTTTTGTTTTTTTATTACTTCGCGAGTTTATCTCATATGGTTGTTGCATCAACTGATTTTCATCTGATGTGATCCGTTTCTTTTTCTTCCTATTCTATACTGGGGAATTCCTATTTGCGTTGTCTGATTTATCCCTCATCAGCCACCCCCAATTTAGGACGCAAAGGCCCCCCCCCCCCCTTTTTAATGATCATGTGGAAAAGAAATGCCCAGAGAGCTCTATGATGGGCCGTACCGCCGGAGTACGGATCCCAAAAGATCCCAATTACAGCAGTGGGCCGTGAGAGGACTCGAGTCTCGAGAAAAAAAATCAAACCTTGGAGGAAATGACCCAATAGTGAAGTCTCCCCACCATGATGGTGTGCACAAAGTTGGAAAAGCTTGGGCATCATCACAGACAAAAATGGGGCGTTAACCGCGAATGAAACACCAACAATCAAAACAGCGCGTACATGCTAATGTACCAAATACCGATGGAGAACGGAGTACCATTATGGCTTTGTGTGGCCTAGCCACATGTTGGCCCTAGTGGATCCAGGTACTCCGCGCGTACCAAATAACATACATTGATTTTAACGGAGTACGGAGCCCTGGAGAAAACAACTGGGCAACTACTCCGTACAATCGGAAATATTCAAGTTCTTCCGAGACCCTCCTTGCACCAGGAACATACAGACTACATAATAAGTGAAGGATGATTGATCCTTTTCAAGAGTCGGTCTGTACTTCATTTTCGCGCCAATAATACCATTAGGTTATTTCGAAGAAAAAAACCCTCATTGGCTCCGCTATTGGGAACGAAAAACGAAAAAAGTAGGCCAAAAACGCACGAAGTGGATTGGTATGGTCCTTCGTCTCCAGGCTTCAAAATAGCGGTGCCCATCACACGCGTTCATTGCTGGAGGCGCTCACAGAGGTGGACCTAGCGCTGCGACGGTGTGTTCGGGGGACTACGGAATCTCCACCGCGTGGACCTTGTCCAGGCCCGTCCCTCGTACCCGAGAGCACCTTTACAGCGTTGTGTGTACTCCGTAGGAGGATCGCCTACCCTTCAAGTTTGCCACAAGTACGGAGTCTCATCCGCCAGGATTGGCACTATTTGCACCGGTGGCCAAACTGCCGGGTGCCGCCGTCAATCTATGACCTTCGAGAAGGTCACTCTAATATCGCTTTGACCTTGGGATCAATAACCTCATTATTCAACTTGCCCTGCATTTCTAGCGAGAAATCTCCATATCTAGTTCCCACCGAACAAAGTGGATGAGGCCACTTTGACCACACAAAATCCACTGTCGCTTGTGGCTTTGCAGCCTCCCTTTTTTTGCCCTCCCCTTTCCTTGTTCTTCCCTTCCCTTCCCCTTCCCCGGGGGACTTGTCCCGTACCCTTGAGCCGCCCCTTTATCCACACAAAATTCTCCGAAAACCAATCTACAACAAGAACACATCCCGCTATACGGAGTAGACGAGGATCAAACCCTGGCAAAAGCACCCGGTTTTGGTCTTAGCACTTGACTCCATCAAACCAAACTTAACCTGTAACTAACCTCACACAAATCTGGAGCAAATCAGCATAAAGGAGAAGGGACAAAACCGAGATAATCAAACACCTTGACCCACATCAATCCCCGACCTCAGTTTCTATTGTGTACATCATCACATCATATGGAGTATCCGTAGTGGCGCCCCTTAACTCTGGTCACCGGATAAAGCCAGAATTCCAAAGCAACGTATCAAAATCCACGATGACTCCATCTCCCCCTTTATGCATCATTGATCTCCCGATTAAGATCACAGACCCGGATCCGCCCCAGACCACGGTTGACGGTATCTTAGTGCCCGGGAAAACTGCACGAGGGGAATTCCAAGTTATGGCCCCCTTGACCTAAAATCACCGGTAAGTTCGGAATACGGAGTCCCTCTTGAGAACCCTTTACTATAGATGGTTAGTTTCAACAGTTTAGTTTCCTGACTACGAAGTCCTTAATCATCATTGCTCATCCTCGAGCACTTGTCTCCACTATCACTGGAGTAACGCACGCCCCTAGTTGACGCTATGCGTTTCTGGAAGGTCATTAAAATTGTTCTATGGAGACAGATGCCCACGCGGCCCCTAGTCTGTTCTGAGGTCACTGTGTTTTGTTTTGAACGTGCTCTTTCATCCTATTTCCAGAGGATTCCGGAGGAATTGATTATCTTGGCCCTAGTCTATTTCTAACTCGGATGACCGGGTCGGTTTTCAATTGACCCTGCCTATTATGGAGTACTCTAGTGTAATTGGTTTAATATACTCTCCTGTTTTGATTTGATATGTGAAGTTTCTGGAAACTTTCCCTTCCCGTCCCGCCTGGATGGCCAATCATGATACTGTTTACTTCTGTCATTGCCGCGATGCTTTTGGAAGCATATCCCGGTGGCTTGGCTCGCTTGAGTCTGGAGATGCGCAATTTCAAATGTTTAGAGGGCTTGAGGATCCTGGTCTGGAGGATGCTACTAGTATAAGCGAGCCCTGGAGGGCCTCGGAAGAAGGATGTGAACTAAAAAGGAGAATAGGGTGAGTTGAGATATTTCTTTGTCATGCCAGTGGGGATTAGCTCTGTTTTTACTACGGAGTACGGAGTATCTCCTTTACATACTCCTTGAGAGGCTATGCATGGCTGTGTAATCTTGAGGCTGTGCAGGTCAATCAATTTGAATTGGTGAAGGAGGATATCTGGAGCGTCTATGTACGTGTACGATTACTATTAATATTAGCTACATAGTAGGTAGTATGTATAAATTTACTATTAGTAGTACTAATAGCAGCAGGAATAGGAGTACCACTTCCTCAAGCCTAAGCTCTTCCAAATGTTAATATCATTACGTATATAGACCCTCCTGGCTCGGGGCTTGGATAGAGAGCTCCCCGCAGGAGGTAAACTAAACTAAACTAAACTGAATCGGACATAACCAGATATGAGTCAGAGTCAAACAAGTTCTTGGAATAAATCATCTCACCCTGGACTCCCAAGTCAAAGCTTTTACCGGGTCATACCCAAAATGCAAACCAGGGCATCTGATTCTGAGGGTGAGGCTCTAGTAGTTTTCTATAGTCACTTAGCTATCACTTTCCAATATCTCAATATTTCACCTTCAAGTTTTGGGTTATTTCTAACATTTGAAAGTACTAGGAGGGCATTGGAGAAGTTTAACCACTAGTTTAAGCAAAATTTACTAGTTTTTTGGGATTTTCCCAGGCTATGCCTAACACCTTAGATACACATATGTATATAGTAGTGAGACTACCACTCATTTTCCAATTAAGCCTTTTGTGTACAGCACTTGAGACGGCACATATCTTTGAAGAACTTGAAAAGGTTCTAAGATTGTCCCAGGTTGAAACTTTTAGAATTGGAGAAGATAGTATACTATAGTATTCTGGATAATAATACCATCATTGATCAACATTGGAATATGATGATCAATTGATACTACTATATAGGTATATCAATCTTAGGCTTCCAAGATTTTATTGCATGCACACATGAACTTGAATAGCTTTGTTGGGTTGGTTGAATGGTGATCACATGCATATGCATGCATTTTACCAACATTTGAAGATAGCTCAGTTCTTCAAGAATATCAAAAGACTCGGAGCAATCGTGGTACTAGTTTGTGATTTTTAGGGTATGCTTTTACTAGGAATGCATAAATAGAATCACTGTTACTAGTAGTACCAGTACTATAAAATTGCAGTCACAATATCTCTAAGCATTCAAACATTTGGACTTTTTGAACAAATGGATTCTGGCAAACTCCCAGCATTTAAATGTTATTAAAGAGTTCAAGCTCTCATTAGCGGCCAATGTATATCATGTACAAATTTTACCATATATATGTATATAATGCACACTATCATGGCTTAAGAACTCCATAGGTAATTCCATGAATCTATTCTCCAGAGAATATCTTACTGTCCTCATTCAGTAGAGCCCGGTACAGTCTCACTTTACATTCCAGGGCTTGTCTCTAAATGAGACTACTCAGGCGAAAATGCATTTTTGGATTAATATTTAAGCAAGCCGATCAACATTTGAACTTGCCTTTGCCTATCTGAGCTTATATCCAGCTCTCTCTTTCTGAAAATAAACTTTCACTTCTCTGACACCAAACTTCTTCCATCTTCCCAACACAACTACTTCCCCATCCATATCGCATCCGATCTGTCTCTCACGACGTCTGACATGTCTCACGAAAACAAGCCCTCGCTCCAAGAAGCTATGGATCTCCCCTCTAGTCTGTGGGACAGCCCGGATCCGTCACTGAAATCAAAGAAAAATCGTGCCTATGGCCGAGAAGGCTACAGTCGCGGTTTACAGCAGGCGTTAGTGGCCTGTCCTCTGCTCAATGGCTGAAAGGATTTATACTGATCGCTCTATTAGCATTACAGCCATGGAACTTCCAAATCCGTAAGTCGCGCATTCACTGACTAGCCAGGACTCATACTGACGGAGATAGAATCCGTTGCGCCATCTGCAAGGAATTTCGTCGTCATGAGGAGTATTCCAAGACCCAGTTGAATTTCCTCAAGCAAGAAGCCTATGTCAATGGCCCTGGAATTGTTTACGATCAGCGCATCGCCAAATGTCGTACCTGTGCCCACAGTACTATCGACGAGCTCCATTGTTCCTCCTGTGGCCATTGGAAAGCTGTTGATGAGTTCTCAAACACTCAGCGCCGCGTTCAGCAGCATGTATGTCCATTTCTTTGGAATTTCCATCTCTGATTGTTAGAACTAACGGCGCTACTCTTTATAGCTCTGCAAACGCTGCCAAAACTGGTACCAGCATCCGAGCACCTTGGAAGACGGCATTGGCCATATGAATGTTCTTGAAGAGGGAGCTCAACTCCCACTGGACTGGAGAATGGACGAAGTTAGTACCAGCAATTTGACTGGTGGGGGAAACTCCGATGAAGGATTTGATGGACTGCCCCCTGCTACAAAAACGCCCTGGCTGGATGATGAGGTAAGTTTCGCTGCTAAGTCCTAACTCATGATTCTTTATGAGTATTCTAGTTAATACGTGTCTACCTTTCTTACCCATAGGGCCGTCCTCTCATGGTGAAAGGGCGCGACGGTCTGGAAGATATTCCAGTCAGACATCCAACCAAAGACACCAGACATCTCTACCGTCCGGAGACCCTCAAGCAGCCCAGCAAGTTCGGGGCTGTCGTTGTGAGTAGTTATCAGTTTGAATACTTGGTCTTAAGTACTGACTATGATAAAGCGAAGAGCTCGTGAACACTCTGAGGACTGCGATCTACCCCTTCCCCCTCAAACCCCGCCTCCAGTTGACCCTGATGAGGAACTTCCGCCTCACTTGAACAAGGCAACATGGGAATATCTATGATCGACAGCCGGTTTGCAACAGAGCAATACTTCTCTCAGTTATTCGTGTTATTCTCTGTTTCTAACCATAAGTGGCGCTCGTTTCATATGGCGGCGGCTCTGCCTTGCTCGATAGCATTCGGTCAATGTCATCCCTTCTGCGGGCTTAGCAGTTTCATCCATTTCTATGCCGCGCCCGTTTTCCCCTGTGTTTTTGTTTTGCCTTTTATGATTCATTTTTTTTATCGCGTTGCGTGGTTCTATGGTCGCATCGTTCGACATTCTCCGGTTCGGCCCCTGCTGCACCGTGGTTAAGTCACTGATGGTACTGCCTCCCCACACTTTCCAAAGATGCAAGTTGATCCTTTGATCTTCAAGTGGCGTTTATGGTTTAAGTTATTTTTTTGCCCTAGCTACAGAATGAAAAATGGGACTTTTGTTTCTGAAGTCAACTAGCATATCGGCTCCACCTTCCTAGGGACTAAAATTGATCGACGAAACCTCTCTGGGGCATCGTTCGAGATTAACTACCCTCCATTATTGAAGAATTTCCAGTCGGTCCAATAGAGCTTCAAATGTTTGTTTCCATCATCATTGACAGCGCCAGATGATGCTATAATCTGCAGATCAACTAGCCTGCCCCATGCTTAACCCTGTCTATCGAAGTATATCAATACAATACTATACGACGCCGTCTCCGATTATTGGGCGGGAAACCCAACCCCTAGGGGTTATCCAAGTCGCATCCTTAACATATTGATTTATTTATCCATGCGCTTCTTCAGATTTGAAACGTGGCAGTAGCGCATCCCGATAGGTGATCAACCCATGTTCATCGATGCAAGGTATAGAGGGGAAAGCTGTTGAATTATATTAACCGCCGATCATGACGCTTACGACCAACCATAAAGACCTCGGGATATGGCATGGATAGTATTCTGGTTTTGCTGGTTGTTCCTGTGGCACTTGAATAGATTACAAAAGCGCCACATCGTGACGTTGGTACTTTTTTATCTATGAACCTCTAAAAGTCACACTTGAGGGACCCGGTGACGCCAGTTTCAGATCGCCACCTTTTTAGTTCTCCACTGCCCCGCCATGAGAATCTCACTGCCTTCAACTCTGCGGCTTACTTGTGTGCCTTGATTTTCTTTTTCTCTGCTTGCGCCCTAATATTTTCTAACAGATCCAGAGAAAGAAATAGAGAGCACACCCACATATATCATCATCAGTCTTATTTACCATACACTGAACACTCATGGCCTACGATGGGTATCAGCCATATCCCAATACGGGATACCAGATAGGCAACATGAACCCAGAATCAAACGATTCTCCTGCCCCAGGTGGTTATCCATCGGTCCCTCCTTATCCCTCGTACCATGAGTCGGATCATATCAATATGCCTCAACCACAGATGCCTCCGACCGCATCGCCAGCTCCGCCAACTACGGGATACGAGCAAGGCTACGAGCAGTATCCGGAACCACCCCACCCACAGAGCGCAAACACGGGGCAGATCAATGAAGCCGTTAGCTCGGCTGTGTATAATAATGCAAACACAAATTCTTATCTTTCACCCGAGGTGCTATCGCAGATTACCTCGACCGTTATTCAGCAACTAAAGGCGTCCGGTTTAAACGATATCCAAGGCTCTTCAAACCAAATCCCGCAACCCCATTACCCACCCCCACCCACATCGCGACCGCACTCTCAGACTCCGCAGTCGTCATGGTCTGTACCACCCACGGATCTGCCACAACGGCCGCAGACAGAATCTCCACCTGGCGTGGCGTACCCAGAAGGAAGGTCAATCCCACATGCGAATACTTTGCCAAATGGCTTTGAGATCAACCCGCCGTACTCGGAGCATCTGGGATACTCTGCCAAGCCTCGGTCGAGCTCGAAGTCCTCGGTGGACAAAGTGTCGCGCAGAACGGCTTCCATGTCGAGCCAGAGTAGTAGTGTGAAGATAGAGTCTCGACCGAAGCCACCAGACCGTGATACTACAGTCATGGAGATGACGACACTGGAGAAGATTTGGGGAAAGCTGTTTGAAGATGATAAGCCGACGAAGAGACTTGGTCAATTTTTGAGAGGAATTGCTATGCATCTTGTGTGTATTCTCGCAAAGCGATGAGAAGGATTTATGTCGCTGACCCAGTCTCAGATTGAAGATTATCCGCCCGGTAACACTCTCGTTATTACACCTCCAAAACTGCAGAAATTCTATGCAGACACCGACTTGGACTGGGATCCTTATCCATGGCAGGGTATGTCTCTACTATACTTGCGCCTCTCTCTGGTCATGTGCATGATCTGATGACTTGTTTTTACTATAGACATCTTTGATGATCGCACTTCTTCTATCTCGAGATTATTCCGTGAAGTCCGTGCAGAACACCATCTCGTTCAGGGAGATGATCTGAAAGAACGACCTGATACCCCTGGTCTAACTCCCAAGGGCTTCGAGACATGGGCCACTTTAATGATTCAAAGTCACCCGGATCGCGAGTACGAGCGCTTCCAGAAGGCCGTATTGAACATGCCAATCAGCAATCCGGATGATAAGAAGGAACGGTTCCCCAAAGAGATCCCACGCAGACTGTTCCCCGAGTTCGCTGATATCAAGCTGCGAGAGAAGACCGAGGAGCACCTGATGAAACACTGTGGTGTCGATCTACCTTACATTACCGAAGCAGAGCGAGCTAGAGCCAATCGCCCCAAGAAGTCTTCTCCCGTCTCTGCAAACAACACAGCCAATAAATTAGGCAACCTACACGCGCGTACTGGATCTACCGAACGAAGCCGGTCCTATGAGAGAGGACGACCGCCAACATCGGCTAATTCATCCTCCGCTGTGATCGATGACGAAGATGAGACCATCCCGTCTGCGCCCATCGAGCGCGAGCGCAAACCCTACTCGGCAAACCCTGGAGGTGGAAAAAAGTATGAAGAATCCGGCGGCTCGCGGAGCCACAGGGAATCGTTTAATACTTCGCGCCCCTCGGATATCCCAATTGCAGCACCGTCTTCCAGTCATCGTGCCTCTGCCTCTGCGAAAACGGGATCACCACTCCGCGACTCCCTATACTCGCGGTCTGGATCCGACGCTCCTTCCCGTCGGTACTCAAGGAGCTCGCGTAGCTCATCGCGCGGCATGGGCCATGATTACAGACACTCTGAAGGCGATTTGCTGGGCCGTGATCCCACACCACGATACGGCAGCGCTTCCGCGAATGACCTGTACATGGAATCACCCACCTCGATCGTTCCGCCTGAGTCAGATGAGCCCCGCCGACATCACGGGTCTCACCGTAACAGCCGACAGGCGGCGCCTGATGAAGAGTATTACCGTGGCATGCTTGGTGGACAAGGTGGCGGTCCCACTCATGAGTACAAATATTATCACTGATCTCTAGTTGTTTCTGTTTGGCTTGCAGCAATTTACTACTTAGCAGGTGTTTCGTCGTTGTACCTGACGTTTAGGGCTCATGTTACTTATGTTCTTTTGCCTTCATTGCTTTGTTGTCAGCTTGGCGTCCCGTTTGGCATGAAGATACCTCTTGTCTCTGTGCATTATGATGACTACGACTCTCATGTCTAACACTGTTCTATACCGTCTTGATCTTTAGCTTGAAAATATTTTGCATTAAAAGCCTTAATAAACCCTGATCTATCCTTGCGCGAGATAATAGCCATACACTGAACCCAAAGAGAGACAAAATGCCCAATAACACAGCGTGATTAAATAAGTGTGATGCCTTTCTATGTCTGCTCTATCCAATCTATCTTAAGGAGACTCCGAGTTCTCACCCCGTGCAAGTTTCGCCCTCTTCCTTTCCAAAATCTCCCTCATAATCCTCTCTCCCTCCTCTCTGCAAACCACAGCTTCTTTCTCCCTCTCTCGCTCCTCATGCTTGTACCTCCGTAAAATATGCTTAGCATCTTTCTCCTCCCTCTCAGCCCTCCTCTTAACCCTTATCTGAGCCTTGGACCTCTCCTCCGCAGCCCGTAAATCGCCATCCTCCCCTTCTCGACGCAGCATCTCAATCTCCTCATCAGATAATACCCACGGCGAAGAAAGCACCTCAACCAAAAACTGAAGCCGCTCATTCAGGAATACCATCTCCGCATTCGTATCTCGAAGAATATGAAACCGCTCCATATTAAGTTGAATAACCCCTCGCCAAGAAGTCAATGTGCCCTTCACTTTGACCATAGTACCGGGTACTAGACCCGAGATATCAATGATCGATTGATCCGTCGTACTGACATGCACATGCTGAACAAGCGAAACACCAGATTTGGGATTTGTATCTTTTGCATCAAGTGTAAAGTCTTCTTGGCTCTCTGGTTCGACCTGCCCACTGGTATTGGGGTTCGATTGGGAAGATTCTGTTTGTTTTATGCTTGAGCCTGGTTGTTGTTTTGGGTCAGATGAGTGTGGAATGACTACTTCTGCTAACGCGCCACTGCTATCGTCTATTGTCAGGATTGTACGACGATAGACCTCTGCTTTGGAGACGATGAGACCTGCTATGGTCACGAAGCGGATTGGGTGATTTTTGTAGAAGTAGATTCTTTGTCCTAGATCTCTGTTAATATAGGTATATGTAGAGAATGATTGAGAAAAATTAATCAAAACCATGGAAAGGGTGTATGGCCTGGAAAGGGATATCAAAAGGATGCATAGGTCATTTTATACATGGTAGATCTTGCCATTTCGAAGTGGATTAAGCCAGCGAGGAAGTTGCGTATCTGAATACCACATGCTATAGTTCCACAGTCCAAATGGAAAGAAGAAAAAGAATAATAACTCACCCTCAAAGCTTCTTGGCTTCTGTAGTCGATGCACGTCGGCTACCGACATCTTCACCCAGGTGAAATGTGTAGGCGAGGCCTTGAAGCAGAATGCAGGGTATATGACATGGTCCTTATAGTCATATGTAGCCATTTGATCATTTTCCGGTTGGCTATTTTTGGGAATTCGGTCAGCTTGGAGGTATAGAGCAAAGGTTGACGTTGTTTAACTGGAATTTCAAGGAAGAGCGGGGTCACGTGGAGTGGTCTGTAATTGTAAAGATTGTAGATTGTAGATTGGAGATTGACTCTTCAAGCGAGTCATCATTGGAATTTATTTAGAATACACGTCGAATCAAAAGTTGTATAGATCAGATGCATCATCGGGGGGATATTATCGAAGAATATGATCAAAGAATATTACCGCCCAACTTGTGGATCATGACAGGGGTCTGTAAACAAAGAACAAATAGCTCGTGGTTTAGTGGGAACTTGACCCGCGCTAACTCAGGCTAAGCATGGCTGAAGAGTTGGATTTTTATTCCAGTCTATATTGCACCAGTTGACGTAAAAACATCATATCATGCAGAACATTTTCATCTATTCATTTCCCTAAATCTAATAAAGAGTATTTTCTCCCTCCATCATTCTTTTCTTCGGATTCCGAGGCTGTGCCTCCCTTCTCCTCTGCTCCTCATCTCCTTCTACACCCTTTCCCATCTTCTCCAATGCCTCTCTCACCTCCTTTTCTGAATCCTCATGACCAGCCGTAGCGACCTGCAGAATCTCTCTCTCTAATCCAGAAACATGCTCCCACTCAATCCCCGCCTCAGAAAGCATCCGACACCCCACTGACGCCCCGACAAACGTCTCAGGCTCCTTAACACCAAAGTAAATCTTGTGGATCCCTGCCAGCCCCCCTTCCTTTGTCTTCACGATGCGCTGTGCACAGGGCGCATTTCCCGATAACCGCTTCCCGCATGGCTCCATGGTAACATACATGATGAGCTTCCGACCCGGCTCCACAGGAAGCACAAAGCCAACATCTTCTTCGGGAACCTTGTGCACAGAAGCGAAGTTTGAGAAGCAGCATTGTTCAGCATGTGTGTTGCCTGCTAGCTCCATCGTGTAGCCTGTGGAGAGAATGCGATCACCGCTAAAGGTGGGGTCGGTGTCTGAGCGTGAGAGGAGAAGGGCGCCAACGCGGAAGTTTGTTGGACGTGGAGGAGATTGTCCTGCAAGAGCCAGACATTTGCGAATATAGGCTGTGTGGTCCATGGTGGCCATTTTGCAGGTTGAGTATGGGAGCTGGATGCGAGATGAGAGCGAATGGAGAGGTCGTAATTTGTGGTGGTTCAGATAAATATATAGAGACTATATTTTATCCTTTTTTAATTGGCTCTTTTTCATTCAGAGAGGATGATTTTTCGCAATTCAAATAGCTGTTGGAAGGGGAAGAACTGACAGACGAGGTCGAGGATAAAAGGCGGGGAGCTTTTGGGATCAGCTATGACGAAATAGGGTACTGGGTGCGGCGCGTCTATTTCGTGTTAACCTACCGCGTCGTACTCGACATATCCTTTCCCCAACAACTTCACTTCTCGATATTCCATACAAATATACCCGACTGTCCTCCTTCTTCCCCTGTGTCCTAAATCTTCAACCCCAAATTTTCAAGCACGCGATTTTCTCCATGGCACGAGGCAAAAAGACGGAACAAATCCCCGAGGAGCCGCCCTCGGTCCAAGAGAATCTCTACAAGATCCTGGGCGTTGAAGAAAATGCAACCCCCGAAGCAATTAAGTCGGCCTACAAGAAAAATGCTTTAAAGCACCATCCCGGTATCTACTCCCGGTCAAATCTAGACAAAGACAGCAAAAACTAACACTCCAAAGACAAGGTCAGCGACGATGCCCGTGACGAGGCCCATAAAAAGTTCCAGCAGATTGCCCTAGCCTACGCTGTTCTATCCGATCCTCGACGCCGTAAGAATTACGATCGCACTGGCAATACCGAGGAAGTCCTTGGAGAAGATGGCGACTTTGACTGGATGGATTTCTATCGCGAGCAGCTCTCCGCCATGCTGGACACACGCGCCATCTCGGATTTCCAGAAGAAGTACCAGGGCTCCGATGAAGAAAAGGGCGATCTGTTGGAGGCCTACGAAACTCACAAGGGCGATATGGATCGGATCTATGACTCGGTTATGCTTTCCAATGTCCTCGAAGACGATGAGCGTTTCCGGGCCATTCTCGACAAAGCAATCGCAGATGAAGAAGTTGAGACCTACAAGAAGTATACCGAGGAACCCGAGAAGAAACGACAGCAGCGCAAGAAGCGCGCTCAGAAGGAGGCCAAGGAGGCTGAGAAGCTAGGCAAGGAGGTCGAGGAGAACAAGAATAAGAAAGCCGCAGCTGCTTCCAAGGCCTCAAAGGGTTCTGCTGGAGGTGAAGATGATTTGCTGGCCATGATCACCAAGCGACAGCAGCAGCGTGGTCAGGGCTTCCTTGCCCAGCTGGAGGAGAAATATGGCCAGCCTAATGGCAAGCGTGTTGCTGCTGATGAGCCTTCTGAGGAGGCTTTTGCGGCTGTTGGTGCTCGTAAGAAGTCGAAGGTTACGAAGCCCAAGTCCAAGAAGTCTAAGGCATAGACCTTGGATACTCCTTTCAAATTCTGTACAAATAGTCTTTCATGATGTGCATGAGCGCTTGATATTTTATGTTTAATGAACCTTGGAGTTTAGTTGAAATGCACGTATGTTATTAGGGTTAGTTAATGACTCGGAGATGGATCATCGTCCACGGGTGATTCTTCGAATGTTACTATCAGTATAAATAACATAACCTTCAAATTTCCGGGATATAGGCTCAAGTTGTTATACATACCTACCTAGGTACTAATTACTGATACTAGTACATAGCACATATGTGGTAGCTCCTGCACGTGTGGTCTCCGAGTCTTTAATGTTAAAACTTCAAGTTAAAAGCATTCCAAGGTTTCAATGTTGGACCTTTTCATTAGCCTCGGCAGTACATGTAGGTACTCAAGTTAGTGGCACTTGAGTAGACCCGAAACAAGCTATATGTAAATATCAGCTTCAAGTTGAATCTTGAAGGTTTTAACCTCGGAAGTTATAACAACCAGTTGACTTGAAACTCGAGCCATATACCAAGCACTTCAAGTTGCCGGTGGATCTACAGCTGTTACCTAGGTAAGATAAAGAGAAAGATTATGATACTAGATGTCTAGACCAACATTTGAACGTATACTGTTTTGTTAAGGCGTACCTCGTAATTCCGAGTCTTCACATGTGCAAGGTTCTCATTAGATTTGACCGTTATTCTACTAAATCCAAAGTGGATGTTGGTCATTATACTATGTATATGGATCATGGGCGCTGAATGGTTAACTCAAGTGCTCAGCCCTTCAATCACCGATTCACCACATAACGTCATTGCACATCGGGGATTGACACACTACTGTGCCTTAAAACACAACAAAATCCTTTGGTACAGTCTTCAATTATCCCCAGAATTGAATATCCTTACAGCCTTTGACAATCATCTCCGATTAAACAGACTACTCACGCACGATGTCGACTTCCAAGGTTCTGCCACTTAGTATATACTACTCCTACTATTCCCAGACTGGCAGTACATGTCTTTATGCCGGAGAGTTCACTTCCCATTATCTATATCACAAAAGTGCTATCAATCTAATATGTAAGTGAGCTGAAAGTAATTTGATAAAGAGCTTTATTAGACTCAAATTAGAATAATTGAAAAGTCAATGAAGACCTAGAATTATAGTATAGAGCTTCTCTAAAGTGAGGAACTTGACTCCGTTGCCTATTTAGGGTAATTAGGGTAAACCCTAAATTAGGCCCCACACTGACCGCTTCTCCCACCGCCTAATATGTCCGGACTCTCCTTCTACTTTACTCACCGCCCCTCTCACCGCCATGATGTTGTTCACTCCCGCCTGGGATACCCCACCAGGTTGGGAGAACTACCCGATCAACATCACGGCGGAGTTGAGAGGGAAGGTGCTTGGCCGCTTTCACATCGCGGCGAAAGGGAGGTTTGAGAAGCGACCACCCTGGCTCTTTCCGCCAAGAGTCTTTTTCGAGGGGCGAGGGGGGCCCACCACCATTTGCGCCATCCCCCTTACGCCAACAACACAACGCAGCCGACATGCCCTCAGCTCCAAGCTCGCCAGAGAGGCACCTGGCCGAACCTGATGATCTGCCCCGGCGATCATCTGATGAATCGGGCCGATGTGCCTCAACTGGCCAAGCTTCAGAGTCCTCCCCCGCCACTGAGCGTGCAAAGAAGCAGAGATCCCAAGGACGCAGCGCTATGGCAGCTATGATGTCAGGATTGGAATCACGTTTACTCCCAAAAAGTCTCACTCGCGGCCGCACTTCCAACCGTGAATCTAGTCAGCGTAACTCCTCTGTTGACTTTCTCTCCCCCGCCGTACATCCACCCGACCAACTCACTCCCTCTCACCGACCGGCCGAAAGATCGAAGCAGCCTCAAAGAAGCTCCAGAAGATGACCATCGGGGGAAAAACCGATCATATGTGGGGTCCATCAATGAACGAATCCGATGAAGCTTTCGCTCAACCATCCAGCAGCTCAAGTCTCCCTGGCTATGTAAAGCCGACCAGAGCCGAGCAAGGCGAACGTCTCGCAAAGGATGTGTTTGATAGTGAACACAACATCATTCACAGCAGCGACGATTCCGACTCCGATGGTGATGATGATATCTGGAACGAGGATATCCAGTCCACTGCGACACCGAACGATATCAAAGGCAAGCAGCCCAGGAAGTCCGCATTGAAGTCCGTGATTCGTCCCCAAGCATTCTTCGATAACCCAGCTCCAGCTCCACGATCGGCAGCTGGTACGCCATATGGATCGGATGACGAAGCAGAGCTAGAAGAAATCCACCGTGCTCAGAGACTTGCAATCTACGTATCCCTTATCGACAATAGTGTCCCCAATCGGTCCATTTGCACCATCATCCGCGGCAATTTTGAGAGTCTTCAGGCTGAAGCCGATGAAGGACGTCGTCGCCAGCGCAAATACCTGGTAGCCACCGATCTCAGCGATGAATCAGTCGTGGCGCTAGAATCTACCATTGGAACTTTACTTCGAGACGGCGATACCATGTGGGCCTTGTATGCTATCCAAGAGGATGCAAGCAGCTCATCTACTCATGTGGCGGAAAGTGCGCACAGCAACCAAGACATTAATACTATCGTGGGCAACCAAACTCAAGAGGCTACGAACCCTGGTCGCAATTACTTCTCTCTCTTGGGGTCAGCAATTGTTAAGTCTGCCTCCGCCGAAGGTCACACAGTCTCTGCCACAGAAGCAGAACGTGTCAAGGCCGTGAAAACCGTGACTGAAACATGCCTGAAGCTGTTGCGCAAGACCAGTTTGCAAGTTCGGATCGCAGTTGAGGTTATTCACTGCAAAAATCCTAAGCATCTGGTAACTGAGGCTGTATGTTCTGATCCCAAGCCACCATTAAATGTGCCCAAAATTGACCAATATTTACTTAGATCGATTATGTTGGGCCCACTGTTACTGTTGTCGGCGCCCGAGGTCAAAGTGCCCTGAAAGGGTGAGTTCTTGACCATTCATTGTTTACTGTTGTTTCAGTATGTCCTTTGCGTCGAGTCATGGATTCAGACTAACAATTTTTTCAAGTGTTCTCCTCGGTTCATTCTCCAATTACCTTATGGCCAATTCATCTGCCCAGGTGATGGTCGCACAACTCCCCAAACGTTCCTCCAAGAACGGACCGAACCGAGAGTACCGCTATCCCAATTACCTCCGAAAGCCCAAAAGTCTCACACAGGCCAGAGTTGATTAAGCCTATGTCCGCATGTTATGTTCTGCTCCTTTGCAAGTTCATGAAAAACGTCACATGCGAGTTATGGGTATCGCTTGACCTTGATCTCCTTACTCCCAACATCCCGTATCTCAACATTTTGAACCCATATCATCTCTTATCCATGCATGATACCCCGATAATACTGACGACCTGATGATGACGATTATTTGTTCGACTTATCTTTACTCCTCTCAACCTGAGAGTCTCGGCTTGTTCGGTCTACTTTGACCCGATACATGTATCCTTATGTCGAGTCAGAAAATCCCAAAAGAAATCAAAACTGGTCGAGAGCTATCCATCTTTCGGAAGCTCCCGCTTTTCAAATCAAAATCCATCCATCTTAACCCCCAATATAAGCTAGAAACAAGGAACATCGTTGTACATGTAGATTTATAAATGAAGTTGTCAATGATAATCGTCAACTGGTCAAGGCGCGGGCGCTTGTCGTCAGCCATCACGTGCCACGTCACCGCCCAAGCTATCGACAGCTTAGCCAACCTCGGAGTCGAGACCCTCCACATCTCCCCAGAAAGCCACCTATTCCTTGCTTTCGTACGATTCGCCCGCCATGGCTGAATTTGTCGATCCCCGGATGTCCTCCATCAAGCCCCGCATCCGCTACAACACCATCGGAGGTATCAACGGTCCGCTGGTCGTCCTTGATAATGTGAGAACCCCCGATACGGACCTTGAGATGCCGAGATGGAATTAAATGCTAATATGATCTCTGGGAAATAGGTTAAGTTTCCCAGGTAAGCTTACGGCTCATGCCTCGTGTGCGCAATAGAGCGCATAATCCGCAACAAACACCGCACTTCGATATTCGTATATCTTGCCTCTCCTGACTCCCCACCCTCCTTTTTATAGATACAATGAGATTGTTAGTCTTACATTGCCCGATGGGACGGAACGCTCTGGTCAGGTGCTGGAGGCTCGAGGTAAGCTATCGCAACTCCCTCTGTTCGGTTGGACATGAGCTAATACGTGGATTTGCTTGTCATAGGAAACCGAGCAGTTGTCCAGGTACGCAACCGATAAGAAACCACCCCGGAGCCGCTCCTAATGACTTTATATTGACGAGACGACTTGCTACTAGGTGTTCGAAGGTACCTCGGGTATTGATGTGAAGAAGGTATACAGCTATCTTGCAATTGGGATTGCGGTACATTGAGTGCTGACTTCAGGCTAGACCAAAGTCGAGTTCACTGGCCACAGCATGAAGCTCGGTGTGTCCGAGGATATGCTGGGTCGAGTGTTTGACGGTTCCGGACGTGCTATTGATAAGGGTCCCAAGGTTTTGGCAGAGGATTATCTGGATATTAACGGCCAGCCTATCAACCCATACTCTCGAGTAAGGAGCACTGGGCATTTACTGGAGAGTTCGAGACGCTGACATGCCTGCTCTAGGCATACCCCGAGGAGATGATCTCTACTGGTATCTCCGCCATTGACACTATGAACTCTATTGCCCGTGGACAGAAGATTCCCATCTTCTCTGCTGCTGGTCTTCCTCACAGTGAGTTTTAAGCTGATTTCCAGTGCGAATCACTTCATATAGACAGTGCTGACTGGACTAGACGAGGTCGCCGCCCAAATTTGCCGACAGGCCAGTCTGGTCAAGCCGACCAAGGGCATTCACGATGATCACGATGATAACTTCTCCATTGTCTTTGCTGCTATGGGTGTTAACATGGAGACTGCTCGTTTCTTCACTCGCGATTTCGAGGAAAACGGAAGTATGGAGCGTACCACTCTCTTCCTGAACTTGGCCAACGACCCTACCATTGAGCGTATCATTACCCCCCCGTTTGGCTCTGACTACCGCCGAATACTACGCTTATCAGCTCGAGAAGCACGTTTTGGTTATCATGTCTGACGTGTCTTCCTACTGTGATGCCTTGCGTGAGGTTTCCGCTGCCCGTGAAGAAGTGCCCGGTCGTCGTGGTTACCCCGGTTACATGTACACTGATCTGGCTACCCTGTATGAGCGTGCTGGTCGTGTTGAGGGCCGTAACGGATCTATTACCCAAATCCCCATTCTGACTATGCCTAACGATGATATCACGCATCCTATTCCCGATCTCTCAGGTTACATTACGGAAGGTCAAATCTTTATCGATCGTCAGCTTTACAACAGAGGTATCTCACCACCAATTAACGTTCTGCCATCCTTGTCCCGTCTCATGAAGTCTGCTATCGGCGAGGGCCGTACTCGCAAGGATCACGGTGATGTTTCCAACCAGCTTTACGCCAAGTACGCCATTGGTCGTGATGCCGCTGCCATGAAAGCCGTCGTCGGTGAGGAGGCTCTCTCCCCTGAGGGTAAGTACCAATTTCTAACCACCTACGCCACATGAAAATTTCCTCAACTAACAACTACTTAGACAAACTCTCCCTCGAGTTCCTTGATAAGTTCGAGCGCACCTTCATCAGCCAGGGTGCCTACGAATCCCGTACCATCCATGAATCTCTCGACCTCGCCTGGAACCTACTCCGCGTCTACCCCAAGGAGATGCTTAACCGTATCCCCAAGCGTGTCCTGGACGAGTTCTACGCTCGCTCTGCTCGCAAGATCCCTAACAAGGATACCAAGGATACCAAGGATACCTCTGCCGAGAACCAGAAGAGCGGCGACCTCATCGATGCTTAAAGAAGAGCATTGGGGCCGTTCTTTCGTGATATCTCAGTTCTGTTTCATGTTTTCTTTGTTTGCGCCAAGAGTGATTTGAGGAGGTTAGGTCCGGCCTGTGGCTAGTGATCATATAAAGGTTATGCTTATGCACATTCCTGCTTCTTCTTTACTTCTTGGTCTCATTGCATATACTCTACTGTACGGCTGTATCTGTTGTCTGTTTCCGTTTTTGATCTAAACCTTGGTTTGTGTAGGCGGTTAAACCTCAATCTATCTGTTTTTCACTTTTGATGATTAGAATATGGACTGGTGTCACTGTAGCGAGATGACAATGTTTTGGTTGATATAGATTTTGCGTATAGAGCCCAAACTTGAATAATATTGAGTTGGAGGCCAGTCAGTCAAGTCCAGTGATGTTAGAACCACATTAGTGTTTAATAAACACAGTTGATCTCAAGAACTTGGATTTAAGAATGATTTAAATCTACGGAGATTCAGTGAAGTATTCAATGCACAAGTACAGTAGTTAATTCGATGCTAAAGTGCTCAAGTGCTTAGACACATACATATGGTAGTACATCAGTGCGGGATAAAAAAACAACGCAACGGTCTTAGATGAAAGAAGGCCATGCAGTTAGACAATCCTCTTGGACAACGTATTCAGAATAAGATAAGAAAAGCATGACAAGATATGCAAACTCAGAAATAAATCGGAACTAGAAACTAGAAACAACCATGGCTAAGATGCATAACCATTAGCGCTTACCCTTCTTACGGGGAGCGACAACCTTGAATGCAGCACTGCTAGCTTCCTCTTCACGCTGGGTAGCAGCAGCAACGCTAGCAGTAGAGCCCTTCTTGGCGACCTCGCTCCATCCGCCGGAACCACTCTGCTCAGTACCGAAGGCGCTAGGAGAGACGGGGTCAACAACACCCTTATCAGCGAGCTTGCGGCGACGAATGAACTCATCAGCGAAGCGGCGACCATCCAGAGTCTGGGAGTTGGCGTAGACGGAATCGGAGATAATCTCGGCCTCAGCAGGGAGGAAAAGGAGTTGCTGGACGAAATCGTCGACGTTGATGTTGCTGTTCAGACCCTTACCAAGAGCTAACTTGGCCCACTTGGTGAACTCCTCGACAGCCCGGTTAGGGTTGGAGGATTGCTGGACCAGGACAGTACGAGTAGTGGTAACAGGACGAGGCTTGGCAACGGCTACAGGAGCTAGAGGGATGGTACCACTGGTTGAACGAGGTCCAAGAGGAGCAGCAGGAGGAGCTTTGGCCTTGCCACCGGCACCAACGGTAGTCCAAGCGCCAGGAGCGGATGGAGCAGCATTAGCAGCAGAAGCAGGGGAAGTAGAGGCAACCTTGCTGGCGAGATCGGCGTAACGCTTGCCGACAGATGCGGGAGGGCTTGGGCTAGCAGTCTGAGCTGCGGCTGCGGCAGCAGCAGCAAGACGCTGCTTGCGGGCCTCCTCTTCTTTTTGAATCTGGGCGAGAGTCTTCTTGGTAGCGGTGGTGGTGGGTGCGGGCTGGGTCTTGCTGTTCCACACTGATCCAGTGGTGGTAGGAGCAGGGGAGCCGGCGCTGGCCCAGTTAGCAGAAGAGGGCAGACCAGGCACAACCTGAGCTTGGGCTTGGCTGAGACGTTCTTGCTCAGCGAGAAGCTGGGCACGACGGGCAGCGGCAGCAACTTCCTCACGCTGGGCGGCGTTGCGAGCTTCGGCTTCTTGGATCTCCTTCAGAGAAGGACCCTTGGGCAACTCATTGGCATCCTTGGCCCATGGCGCAACTGAGGTGGGAGGGGCATCGACGGGAGTCTGAGTCTGAGAACGAGATCCCGCAGCGAGGGACTCGGCCACGTTCTGACGGTTACGCTGGGCGGCCGGAGCAGGGAGAGGCGATGCAGATGGTGGGGGAGGGAAGGGCTGGGGCATACCATTGTCCAGCTTGTTAACTCCCCACACGGATTCAGGAGTAGCCTGGGGTTGCTGCTGTTGCTGATCCTCTTCCTCTAGCTGACGCTGGGCGAACGCGGCCTTCTGGACCTGCTGAGACAAGGTCAAAGTAGGTTCATCGACGATAGGCTCTGCCTCGGGAGGAACCTCCAAAGCAGCTGCGACCTCGGCTTCAAGCTGCTGAGCGGCAACAGCGGCGGGGTGAGTAGGCAGACCCTCGGCGGTGCGCATACCAAGCTCTCCTTCCTGAGCCCGGAGAGCATGGAACTGACGAAGGCGTTCCTCACGAGCCTCCTGGTCGAAGGGGTCATTGGCATTAGCCTTATCGAACTGCTCCTGCTCTTGCTGAAGCTGAGCACGATCCTGGAGCATGGAGGCCACCTGCTGAGAGTGCAACAAGCTCTCGGGCTGACGTCCGGAGAAAGAAGAAGCCCCACCAAAGGCAAAAGGATCCTGTCGGCCAACGTTCAAGCGATCGAGAAGGGCAGGGAGTTGGTCCTGGGCAACACCACCAAGATCAGTGCCAAGCATACCTGGTCCAACATTGGACAGACCTCCCTGTCTCAGTTGAGCGGCAGAGTCAAAGAAACCAGGAAGTCCCTGGGACTGCTGTTGCAGAGCAGGCTGAATCGGAGAGGGTTGGTAAGCGCCCGGAGAGGCAATGCTGCCGAAGCTGGGCTGGCTGTGAAGGCTATGGGCACTCGACTGGTGTTGAAGCTGGGGCTGCAGTGTTGGTGGCGCACCGGGAACAATGGTCTTCAACATGGCTTGCTGCTGAGCCAGGTGTTCCTTCTGTCGAGCCATCAAGTACTGCTCTTCTTGCTTACGGCGCTCAAGAGCATTTTGCTGTTCGGCAGTCAATGTAGTACCGAAGCTAGGGAAGCTGCCGGGGAATGGCGGCTGGGCAGAGCCCTGGGTGTTGCCGGTCCACTGAGTAGCATTGGGCTCAGGGCCATGGGGGATGCCAATCTGGGGAACAAGGAAAGGCTCGCGAGAGTTCCCAATGCGACGCACCAGCTGGGCAAGCGGCTCAAATTCTCCATCTTCGAGCTTCTTGATTTGAAGGTCGGGACTAAAGAATCCAGCCTTAAACCAATCGTGCATTTCAAGACCAGTCCAAGGTCCTTGGATGTTACCCTGAGGGTCGCGATAAATCCAGCGCATCCGGTCTGGCATAACCATAGTGCGTTGCTGAGAAGCAGGGAGGGTGCCTCCAGGGGTCTGAACTTGGGTGGTGTCATGGCCCAAGTTGACAGGGATAGTTCCAACAGCTGAGACGGGTGTCTGCGATGCGGAATTGGATCCAGGCTTGCTTGCTTGGCCAGATTTGTCTTGAAAATCAAGCTGTCCGTCGGTCAGGCCAACGGAATCCGGTCGTCCTTGGTCATCCTGCATGTTAAAGAGAGCACCCAGTTTGCTTCCTCGTCCAATGCTTGCAGTACCACTCAGCCCGGCATGAGGACTGAAGAGGCCACCACCACCAAGAGTAGACAAGCTGGGAGATTGAAGGTCGCCCATGGTGCCAAAGATAGGATCGCCAAATCCTCCACCAAAAGCTGGACGCTCACGAGTCGGTGTACCAATAGCACCTCCAGCAGAAGGCCAAGCAGATCCTCCACCGAGGGACGGAAGGCCACCCAAGCTTCCAAGGCCGGAGAAAGTTCGGTTGGCATTAGCGCTCGAGTTCTGGCTGCGATCAATAGAGGGGAGGTCGATTCCTGAACCGACACGTCTCACAGAGCCGAACGGGTTCGAAGGATCGCGCAGTCCGCTGAGTCCAGGGTGCTGAGGGTGCTGAATGTCCGAGCCATCAGTATCCACATCCTCCTGGTGGTCCGCAACTCGGTCGCCATGAGGGCTTTGGTAAGGATTGGTATTGGTCGGGCTGGTCGGTTCATGTCCTTGGAGCAGATTCGGGGTAGGGTTTCGCGAATTTTCCTGGCTCTGCATCAACTCCCGGAAGCCAGGGATACTGGAAGTCATGCCGAAAGCACCAAATCCAGAATCCTGGGAAGGCGCTTCAACATCCTGGGAACCGCCCAGAGCAGCACTTCCACTGCGAGGTTCATCGAACGGATTAGTCTCACTGCGACCCATGCGGGTCTTCACAGAATCGCCCCATGGAGACTGAGCACGTCTGAGACCATCATCCTCCACCAGTCTCTCAAGGCTGCTCAAGTTTTTCTCCCTCGCAGAGCCCGCAATATCCTCCGAGCTGTCCTTGGAAAGTAGTCCCTTGAATCTACTCTCGCCGCGCAAGCTTCCGTATCCAGGCTTCTTCTCAGCTGTGGGTGTGGTAGCAGAAACGGAACCCGACGCGAGGGAGAAGGCGCCGAAAGCCCCCATCGGAGAGAAATTTGCACTCGCCGATGCCGATGCCGGACCCCAAGGAGAGGATGGTCCTACCGCGGTGTTCAACGGGTTGGTGGTGCTGCGTTTCAGGGAACCGAAAGGCGAAGCAGCATCGGAAGCCTCCTTCGATTTTTCGTCCGGTTTCGCGGCCGGGTCTCGAAAGTCGGTCTTCCGACGCAGGAGGGCCGGAGGAGGGGTAGAAGTATTCGCTTCGTCGCGGAAAAAGCGAGAGTTAGACGCGGTAGGAGACATGGGATTACCGACCGAGTCGCCCGTCTCTCGACGTCTCATTCCTGGACGAGTGGTATTGGGAGAAGAGGTATTGTAGTTATTAATGTGGCCTTGGGTGTAAGAAATAGACCCTTTACGACCACCACCAGTTACTACTCCGGTATTTTCTTTCGATGCGTTCGTAGGCGGAGGCTTGAGAGGGGAGTTGACAGACGCGGCAAAGAACTGGAAATTTTTTCTCGGGTTAGTTTTTTGATGATTCTCCCGCGTGGGAAAAATAGGGAATTCGTGAAAATGAAAGGGACCCACCTCCTTCTCACTCTCCGTCATATCATTCAAGCCCAGCGGTTCGGCCTGACCCTCATGGTCCCAACACACCTCAGGCCCCGCGGAAGTTTTATGGTCGTCCCGCTTCCCCCACGCTCCATTTGCGGAAGCTGAAACAGCATGAGGATCCCAGTCGGCCACGAAATAATCCTCCACATGCTTACCCAAGGATCCCGATTCTCTCTGTGTCTTGTACAAGTCTAGGAGTTGATCCTTGGAGTATCGGGCATCGCCGTTCCGCATTGCAGTAGACAAGGTATTTGAGCTCATGTGGGGAGGGACGTAGGCTCCCGAGGTCGGCGTAGAAGCAGAGACTGGGTGGCTACTCTCTCGAGTGTGCGAAGGGTTGGTCGCAACTGATGGACGGCGAAAGGTTTGAGTGGCTCCGTTGATGCGGGATCGAGACCTATATAGAAAAGGCTCTAGGTTAGCATCGGATATCTTGTTCGAGGCGAATTGAGCATCCACATGATCTCCCGATAATTCGAGAGAGCCGAAAGAATGTTGTTGACGCGATTATTTGAGAGATATGGGCGAGAGGGAGAGGTGCAAGTCGTGTTTAGAGACAAGGAACAAGATTGCATACCATTCTCCACCAGTACTTCCATCCCCTCTCCGACTGGGGTCCTGGGTGTTGCCAGCGGCGGCGGAAGCGAAACTCGACGGAAGTGGTGTAGGCATTATGGATAGTGCTGTTTGAAATGGAGTAATATCCCTCAAAAGACGGCCGGATTCTAGAGTTTGTCGCGAGACTTTTCTGTGGCGGATGATAGTGCGAAGTGTGGGATTGCGAACGGGGACGGGACGCAAAACACGGAAGTTGGAAGAGATCGAGAGAAGATGACAGCTAGAAGCTAGTCAATCGATGAGAGCTTGAGAGAGTTGGATGAGAGGGAATGCAGAATGCGAGGCGCCTAACAAGGTTGAAGGTTCAAGGTTCAAGAAACAGTCGAGTTTCGACTTCGCTAGCAAAAATGATTTAGCGGGCGCGTGGCACTAATCACACCCACTTGTGTCATTACCGTGTAAGGAACACCGTGGAGTCGCGTGCTTTACCTTAATTTGAGTGTGTAATACATGGTATTAATCTGTAATAAAATTACCTCCCTACAAGACAGTTTAAGATTAAGTACTAGATACATTTATCTAATACTATCATCTCACTATAAAATAAGTACCCAGTACTTTGATATATATGGCTACATTATATCACTAAAGACACTCTTCCGGATCAGTAGCAGTAAGAAGTCTGGATAAAGAATCAGAATTTAATGTTTATAATTTTAATAATAAAAAAGAAATATATAACCTTTGACCCCTTTTAGTCTTCTCCTTCATTTCTTACAGTTTTCTTTGGGGGTGTGTGGGGGAATGAATCTCCTTGACATATCTCTGGTGACGCAAAGTGTGGAATTGAAAATGTCTTCATCTTGTGTATGCATGCGGAGGTTGTGTATTTAAGATTGATATTGTATGGTAATATTAATGCCACGCTCTGCCCACAATTGGGTGGAGCTGCTTTCAAACGGTTCAGGTTGGATTGGACTGATCGTGAACTTTTTGTTACTTGTTACTTGTCATTTATGAAATAGATATGCTGGTGCCCTTGCGCTGATACATGTCGCTTTTTTTATCTTATTTTTTACAAGGTTCTTCTCTTTGATTTGTTCAATACTCTTGTAAGGTTCTTTGGAGAGGAGGGTTACCTGCATATCTAGGCCTAATCCTATCCCTTCCTTATGCTACTATCCAATTCCAGCCACCCTGCATAGATGGATAGAAGGACCCAGCCTGCATATTGTAGGAGCTTCCGTTGGGGTTCAGGCCAGTGGCTAGCCGAGTTGAAAATACTATCCTTTCTCTCCTGAACACTTGGGTGCCCAGAACTCCTTTATTTTGATGTATAAATGCCCAGTTTGGACAGTCTGGCCACTGACACGGTAGATTCGTCATACACCGACTAGATGCACGCCCCTCTCAATCCATCCCAACAGAGACCACTATTGAAATGGAATCAGAATGAAAGAAATATCTTTTAACAATGACTAGAGACCAAGCTTGGAGTAGGACATGAATGGATAGATCGTCCAGCCCTGAGTGACATGGCAAAACTTATTAACCTTTCCATCCGTCATCTCGCTCTCTATTCTTTACCACGACAAGACATTCTTTGGATCTATATCAGACATTGCAAAAGACTTCCAAGGTTGGCCGAAGAAAAGAGAAACAGATCTAGAAGCAGTTGTCTCCCTCCTACCCAGATAGGAGCATGTTCATGAGCAACCCGCCTCAAGCCCAGCGCAAAATGCGACATCCCAAACCCGATATCCCCTATGCTTGGTTCTGGCAGGGCAGGCCTCTACGCAGAGGATATTCCAGGGGCGAACATATCACAGCTGTCCCATTAACTCAGCAATTTACCCCAGAACCTTCCCATGCATCTCGGGATCCTTCTCCGACTAACAAACCCGCTCCTCCCCAATGCACTTGCGAGTTGCACGAACAAACAAGACCTCCAATGCCCAATAGTGGAAATGTCGATAACACAAACCGAGCTCATGGCTTTGGACCATACTGTCACACAGAGCATGAGCCAGAGCCTGCCCAGTCGGTGAAGAAGTGTACCTGCTCCGAATGTATGAGGTCCTCTGCTCCTTCCGCTACCTCTGTCCATCCTGGATATGAAAATCCAACCCCCTGCTCCTCTAGAACGATGACACCCGTCATGCCATTCCATCATGCTTGTGCCGCTTCGAGCTCCCGCACTGTCTATTGCTTGAATTGTCTCCAATACCATCATGAGTGCCAGTACCTGGCTGCAGTTCCTATTTCCGAGGCACAGCCCCAGCGTGCTGAAACGTCAGCTCCATCTGCGGCACCCATACAAGCTCAAGCTCCAAATCCCGCTCCGGTACCCCGCGCCAGCGATCCTCAGGTAAAGTGCGGATGTGCTCACTGTGTCGGTATGACTGAAGCTGTACCTGAGGTGGAGTCTCGTCACCATGGTTGCTGCCACCCCAAAGGATGTCGCATTGACAACTATGTCACACCTGCAGTGACTGATGACACCGCTTCGGTGTTTTCGGCGGAGATGGTTGGGGATAGTGAGAGTGTGGATGAATTTCGATATGGACATCTTATTATTGCATCTCCTATGCATTGCTACCCTGAGTGATGTCCTTGTAAGGCTGGTTATTTGGATGACTGTTGTGATACGTTCTGTTTTCTGAGATCTTATATAGTCGTTTTTGTTTTATAGAATGCCCGCCTATCGATTGATAACAATTCAAATGTTGATGATCTGAATATATTCATACTCGTAAGCGTCAAGTAGAATATGGATTGACCATAATCTGATCTACTTCAATCACATTTGGATAAAAATAGACTATTATCCGCCATGAAACCTTCCATGGTTTAAATGTTGTGTTGATGCAGCCCAGAATCCCCAAATTGGAGAAAACGGAGATCAATAAACCAAGGTTTATCCGTGGACCGAGGTCCCTAAACAGCTATGATGCATTCCCCCAAGACTTATAACAGAGTCTTCTTCCACTTTTGCAGGATTCATTGATTCAACTTCCATTTGAACAAAATTCAATAAAAGGGAATCATATTTCGAACCTATATCAACCCCCTCATATCACACTACAATTCCTGAATCTTCGGTTATCGATAAGCATCCCCGCACTCAATTATAAACCATACTCTTTAAGTTGCGTTCAACCTCAGACTACAAGCATCTCAAGTTCTCAACTGAGACGGACAAGAAAATGTCAAAAGCTGTGTATATCGCCCCAATTGATGGCAAACCTGGCAAGCCAGGCCAAGTATACTACCCCCTCACCGTACGAACCGTACCAAAGCCTACCCCGCAAGGCAAGGAGCTCCTCATAAAGCTCACAGCCGCCTCGCTGAACCACCGAGACCTCTTCCTCCGCCAACACTTATACCCAGGCGTCACATTCGATGTACCACTCCTAGCTGACGGTGTAGGCACTGTGATCAGTGCTGGGCCTGAAGTTTCGAATGCAGAGAAATGGAAGGGTAAGCGTGTGCTGCTGAATCCTGGTGTTGGGTGGAAAGATTCCCCCCGATGGACCTGAGGAAGCAACTGGATACCGAATTATGGGTGGAACGAAGTCCTATGATAAGGGCACATTGCAGGAATTCATCACTCTTCCTGAATCGGAGGTTGAGGAGGCGCCGGCTCATCTTTCTGATGCCGAAGCTGCGGCTTTGCCCTTAACTGGGTTGACGGCTTGGCGAGCTCTTGTTTCCAAGGCTGGAGAACGCAATTCGAAGGATGGGGCTGCTATTATCGTTACTGGTATTGGTGGTGGTGTCGCATTGATGGCTTTACGCTTTGCTGTGGCTAGAGGTGCTCATGTCTTTGTGACCAGTTCGAGTGAAGAGAAGATTCAGAAGGCTGTTGAGCTTGGCGCTTCAGGTGGTGTGAATTATAAGGAAGAAGGCTGGGATAAGAAGCTCTTGTCTATGCTTCCGGCAGGAAAGAAGAATTTTGATGCCATTATTGATGGTGCTGGTGGTGATTCCATTGAGAAAGCTGTTAAGCTGCTCAAGGTAAGTCTTCGCTCTATATTTCCGTTTTTATGTACAGTTTCTCATGCTCGGTAGGTTGGTGGTGTTATCTCTATCTATGGAATGACTGTCTCTCCAAAGATGCCCTTCTTGATGCAGGCTGTCCTGAAGAACATCGATGTCCGTGGCTCTACTATGGGCTCTCGCAAGGAATTCAAGGAGATGGTCGAATATGTCAGGGAGAAGAATATTCATCCTGTGGTTTCTCGAACACTTCAGACCGAGATTGACGATCTCGCAGGGCTTGACGGGCTCTTTGAAGACATGAAGCAAGGCAAGCAGTTTGGGAAATTGGTGATTGACTTTGGAAAGACCTCAAACAGCAAGCTCTAAACAGAGCCAGGTATGAGTCTGCCCTGGGTATTTTTATTATATAATTGATTTAACTTCATTTTTGTAGACTCTTTAAGAACTACGATAGCTGCATAGATGAATAAGTGGAATTGGATTATTATTTGGACTTCAACTTGATTTGCGGCACTAGCACTGGCAGAACCCATTATGAGATTCAAACCATGGAACGTTCAGATAATATTCGTCTCTGACACATCAGTCCCCTGCGAGAATGGTGGCCGGTGAGCGCGTAGTAGCGACTATAAATTGGAATCCATGGCATCATCCGAGACCACTATGTTGACGTTCTTCTTTGGCGTCATGTAGATCACGTTCCAGCCAGTTGTCAGCGTCACCCCATGACTCGAGAGGACGCAATGGCACCCTGTACAAATTACTGTCTCGTGAATCTCCTATATTTACTCCCAGAAGCCCACAATCCCGCTTGACGGAATTGAGGTCCTGTTGGTCCGTATGGCAGAACAGATTCCGATCCAAATAAAGGTGTATGGACTCCTTAGCTATACCGATGCTGACTCCAGGCCACCTTAGACAAGTTTCTTAACGGTCGCTTGTAAAGTGTCGAGAGTGTCGCCCCATGCTTTACTTCACTGCGGAGGATATTGGCAGCTGCAACAACTGAGTCGGGCAAAGAAGTTTCTGTGTTGGGAGGCTTGCCTCAAACAATTCCAGATGCGACCTGCATAATCACCTAAAAGAAGCGTCACACACAGCCTTCAATCAGCTTCATTACATTTGCAAGATGCCTCTCCATCGGCTCAAATTCCAATGCGTTAGGGTACACATGGCTACCCTCCAAAGAAGAGAGCACTTCCCTAAGGCGCAGCTAGAGATCATCGATTAGACGGAGGTTCAAGGCAGGCTGCTCAGAAAGGTCACAGCTGGGACATCTGTAGGAAATGAGGCTGACACAATTAAAGTCCAGCGGCCAAGACTCCTTTTGCATGGCCGCTGTCTGTGGCTGATTGACATCCTTAGACCTGAATCATAGCTAAACGCCAGGCTCTTGGATCAGTTGTCTTTCATTGAAACCGTTGATTGTTGAAATCCCTCTGGTGATTCTGAGCAATTTTATGTGGCCATTTTGATCGACTCAGTATCTCGCCGGCAGCCCAGTCTGCTAGAGACCAGAAACGAGTGCCCTTAGGTATGGTCAAGAAGCATATGATCGCCACTTTAGATCTCTGACCCCCACCAGCTTTGAATTGGCATACCGCTATTGTGCGTCAGTGCGGGCTGGGTTCAGATTCAGACACTCAGTCTCTATTTCAAGGGTGACTATGTATTGGCCAGCTTTAATCCTGAGTGTTCGTTGAATGAGCTGCATCTGACATAAATTATCGGCCGCCCTTCGCTGCTTTTTCAACATCCGGAGGGACTTCTTTCTTTTCTGCCTTATCGTTGTTTCCAAGCCCCAGGGCCAGATGAGCTGTGGTGATTTTAGGTTCGAAGAAGAAGGTCCAGATTGCCAACGTTGCAAATTTCCCTTGTACAACTGAAGGAAATTGATTTAGTCAATATCACGCATTTCCTTGTTGCGACCATCGTATTCCTCCGGTCGACGGTCTAGGACGTAACGGAGATCAGAGATGGTTTAGAAGTGGTAAAATACCACTCTGGCGCATGAAAGCATCGCCAATCGAGGATCCTGTTCTATTAATTCTTTTATGATGCTTTGACGTTCCGCATCATAGAATTCTGAAAACCCCCGTTTGTGTATCACTGGCATCATTAACCAAAGGTTGGTTCAGAAAGAGTAAGAGGAAACTCACATCATAGAGATGCTGTGAGAAGAAAGCGGATTGATCTCGCAAAGATCGACATTCTCGCTCCAAGGGACCAAAATGGCCACATTGGTGACAACGCACCAACTATAAGAAACAAGAATCCACCAGTGTAGATTGTTTGTGGCACTTAACGGACTACTCTCTGTAGTATCTCGTTCCTGGCCTGTGTGGAGTTCACGAGTCTAGTCTGGTGCAAGAGGACCACCAGCCAAGGGATCGGTTCTCCGTTCCTTAATCGAACAACACTGTAATATCTGCGCATAGCGGCTTCACATATCCTCAGACTGCATTATTGAATATGTCGCTTTTCAATCTGCGTTTTGCAGGGCTATTCCATGACCAGATCCTGAACGACTTGCTCATGAGATAAGACCAGTGAGAGAAGATCTCTCTCCCTGTATCAAGCCATACGGGGGAAAAACATATTTTCCCCGAGATTTTTTGGTCTTGTTTGCTCTGATCATTGAGCTCCGGTCTCGTCCAGAAGCCGGACGGTTTGTCTGATGACATTCCTGATTCGTTCGGTAATGTATGCCTTATTCAAAGGTATAACAAGCGACAGCATTGAGAGATTTCTTCTAGGTGGTTGGTGTCTACCCTGATATGGCCGCTTATATCGAAGTCAGCCCGATGCGCGAAATGGCAACTCCTGTTCCTGAACTGGTCTTTTCCCTGGCCAATGCCCAGAACAAAAATAAAGGCATTTTCTTTGACTCAGACATACAGTCTGATTTAGGATAAATGCATAACATCATAGATGGAAGATGCGAAAGGGTAACAACAAAGAAGAACGGAAAGGGGGCGAATAGTGAGATCTTGTGCGCCAGCCACCATTCTCGGTCATGCCGTTCGAGTTTCTCAAAGCAACTCCTCTCTCAGTTTTAAGTCTTGCCATACGACTCGAATGGTTGTGGGACAGGGAGAACGAGTACGGTCATCGACCCGTTTGGCGAACGTCGATGATGATTTGGCTCTCAGCGACTCTCTTGTTGTAGACCTCATGTTCAAGGCCGTTTACCACAGCCTAATTGACGAGGTCCTAATATGGCTGGCCAATGTTGGCTTGCTACGAAGGGTGTGAGGATAGGTCTGAGCACAGGCGCTGTCAGACACAATTGAGTTGATTTTGGCTTCATGGCCTTGGATCTCTTTACACCGGACCAAGGAGAGGAGGAGAAGATAAGAAACTCGTTGAAGAAAATTCGCTTAGGCAGCCATCCCAGTGATATGTGGGAAATGGTTAGGGTTGAGTCTGCCCAGAATCGGCGGGTAGGTAAATGGATCGGTGAAAGTAAGAAGGAGTGGAAGTCCGTTAGGAAAAGTGAGGAAGAAAAGTTGAAATCTCAATTCCGTGGAGAAGCGAGGGAAGCTAGTCTGAACGCAATGATGGGCTCCAAACCACGACAGTATAGCCGGAGAGTAGGTACTTGGTTCTGCGTGTATTCTAGCCCCGGAGCTCATAATGGGCTGGCAAGGCTTAGGATAGTATGATCGATTGAAGGGGAATTTGAAATTCTTTATCTCGCAAGCTCGTTCCTTGCCTCCTAGTCGGCCACTCTCTATAAAAAGATATCAGTAAGCGCAAGCCATTACCAACCTTGCAGAGTAGCTACTCACGGGCACTTTGATAATCTCTGCGCGGTTACCGTTCCACTGGTAGAGGCATCGTAATTGGGTCAGAGGAGAACAGAGCATCTAGCAAAATCAAGTCAATGACCACTCTGTCTGGCCTTGAGCAGTACTCTTACTTGATCGGTCTGTGATTTCTGTCGGATTTCCTCGAAGTGTGCAAGGAATCCTCTTTCCTTTGTAGTTCAGGATTCGTTGGATGGAGCGAAAAAAGGCATATTCGGATGTGGTCTTGTTTCGAGAAAAGACACTTGGATGTGGGTACGACTGAAAGACTGTGTACACAGATGGTTAGAGCTTTTAAAACAGAGTAATATGGGAGGGTGGTTACATACTAGATAGTATGTCACGTTGAAGTGCTAGAATTCTCGGTGGCAAAGATAAGAAACCAATACTCGCACTGTTTTCGTATACGCTAAGGTGTATACGCTAGGATGTTATGGTGTGGCCAGTCGATACCTGGTGCAATGAACCACACTGGATGGGAGATACACTGCCCGAGAGACACAAGAGAATATTAGTCGCGCGCTGACTGTATAGGGTAGATCATTCAGAGAATACTCTACCTTCCATATGCCTGGTGACTAACGAGCTGTCTTGATGTGCGCATCTGTTGGGTCTCGCAAGATCTGAAAATTCTCGACACAAAGGCCAGCCTCTGTATGAACTCATTTAGCTGAGGGGCATATTGCTCATCGTCAAGGAAGGGATAACCCAGGGGACTTTGACTTCTCCCACCACCTTCGATCGTCATCATCCTTCGAGATCACAGCAGGAGTGGTAGTAGACGTGGACTCCCCTTAGTCGGCATGTCCAAAGCGTATCTCCTTTGACTGAGATGTAACGATAGAGTTAAGCTTATCGCCAAAGTGTTTATGGGATCTTCCTTGGACTCCATGTTCGTCGCCAGCATCAGTTATAATCTCCTAGGATTATAGTGAGAACGAGGATCATTCTAGCTTGCAAGTTAGCATATAAGCGTATTATTTTTGTGTTTATTTCAATGACTTACCAGGCGTTTTAGGTTGATGATGTGAAAGAAGGCTGGCCGAATAAGCTGGCTCGACTCGCGAGTCTGGGACACTGAAGTACACAGCATGGCCTCGTTGAATCCTTGATAGGAATCGGTCGCCAATTTTGTATGTCCCTTCATCAGCAAAAATTGGATCTCCTCTAGACACCACTGATGTAAAGCGTAAGTCCATCGTTTAAAGGTGACGTCGAATTCTCTCGAATGTTCCGAAGTCAAAAGCCGACGTTGTCAGAGGTCCTACTCCCTGTTACGTAGAGATAAAGTATGAATGGACAGTTGACAGGATGATGATCAACTGGTCAAGGAGCTTGAGAGTTAGCCTCAGGAATCAACTAGTGAGTTTAATCACTTTCCTTCATCGACAAATAGAACATGAGAGGTTGATGGAAGTAAGAGTTGCCAGGAAGAGAAATCAGGTAGCTCAACGTAATAGTTACCAAGAAAGGTTAAAATGATGATCAGATAACCGTAAGAGGATTGATATTCTAAAATAGCTAAGGTTTGTAGCTGCGCTGACTGTACTCCGTACTAGGATCTCAAAAGATGAGATGAAGTTATAGATTGCTCAAAATATGTACAAGAATAATCGTATACCGCATTATGCACCTGTAGCTGACCCTTGCAAAAACGGTAGCTTACTGTGTATGTGTAATCTCACACCTGGCAAATAAGCTGCTACAGTAGCATCAGAATGCTGCCATACCAAAAAAGAAAAAAGAAAATAAAGCTTCAGACCGCTAAATTTTCGGGATCACCCCTATTACACAGCCACCAACGGCAGCTGCCCTTAGAATAAATGTTCGCTAACTTGAATTCGTCTAAGGATCCGTAGATCAGGCGGCGGGACTAACTTACACATGGCGAGCTGAAATGAACTAAGGGGCCCCAGTAATAAAAAAGCAAATTGATTTTGATGTGTGAGTCGCTAGGTTTTCCTTTTAGATTGTCACTACTGACTCTTTAGGGAATAAGCTTCAGATCAGGGCTTTGAATGGGCTATGGAATTGTCACCGTTACAGGCGGTCATTGTTGATACTCCATTATCCTCCACTACCTATCGATATACTCAAAATCGAGTTTTTAATCAATAAGAATAGTAACAATTTTCTGCTTTCTTTGTCTTTTCATTTTGATTGATTATTCTCAAATTGCCATTTTTATTTTATATTTTTGCCTCATTTTTATTTCGTTTCACTTCTTACTACTAGGTGAGACAACTGACCAGTTCCCGCACCACCGTGCAGCCGACTGGTGAACTGGCGGACCAGGTTATTAAACCAATAACAAGATCGCCTCATATGGGTCTAATTCAAGGACTCCGATTCGTCCCGGTTCGGTTAGGTTCCGATATCTCTGAGAAAAAAAAAGGCGACCGATGATGTCGTCAATTTCTACCGTCTATGGAGTAATACAGAAGAGGTGCAGTAGTTCGGCATTGGTGCGGGAGGAGTCAACATCCTAGTACTCCATACATAGAGAACCAAAATACTCCGTGCGGAGCATAATCATGCAGCCCGATTAGTAGACAATTGAAAGAATTTTCACTTCAGTGACCCTCGTATACCTCGATAAGCTCTTCTAAGCGAATGTTCTTTCAAGTTGTGGTATACCAAGACTCCAGTGCTGACCTATAAGATGGCTAACCGTTTTGAAATCATCGAAACACTTGCCCGATTTGGTCAAGTTCGAACTGTTTACTTTTTGTGGAGAGAAGTTGCAATTGAGTTCAAGTTCATGCTGTCAAGATGAAAAGCCGAGGTTCAATTCCAGTTTAGTTAGTTCAAGTTCAAAGTTCAAAGTTGCTGCCTACCTTGGCCGAGCTTGTGTACTTTGGTGCAAGTGGATGCCGCTTGGCAAATATATTATGCTTCAATCGTAGCCGAAACGAGGGAAATGGGGCAAGTTCCACATTCCCCATTTTATAATTCAATTTTTCTTTCTTGTTCTGAGTTTGCATCTGAATTTTTGACCCGTTTGGTTATTCTGAAAGGTGGATAAAAGTGCCATTGTTTTCTTCTTTTTCCTTCCAAGGTTCTTTTCCAAGAAATGGAAAAAAGTGGAGTATTTTGAATCGGGTCCGAGATAGAAGTCACCGAGCAAGATATCCAAACAAATCAAGGCAAAAGCAAAACTCTAATTGGCAAACTAGAATAGCACTTATCTCTCAATCCGGTTTAGAAGACTCGCGCAAGAGCAAGTCGGATCAAACTGGGTCCCGAGATCCCGAGCTTCTGTGGCGTTATGATTTGCTCGGTCTACTCCACTGTGTTTATGGAAGATCGCTTTTAGTGCGATGAGCATGGTATTCACCTGGGCACTGGAGGAGATCGGGATATCTGGAGCGATATATCTGAAGCGGCATTTACCGTGTTCAAGTTCTTCACAGTGACATGGGTTGTGAGTAATTGATTGAGGGGCAATCGGAACATGGGTTCAAATATTTAGTGTGTGGAATGGGGAAAGCGTTCGCTTCAGATTGATTTAAGTGGATTCCCCCATGCGTCGACTTCCTAGCTCCAAAATCCGAAAAGTTCGCTTTTCTTGCCGCACGTGCATGTTTGAGGAGTGGAAAGGTCCGTGGAGCAACATGAAACAGGCGTAGTTCGGCGGTGGTTTCAAGCATGGACGATCAAAGACGATCATCTTCAAATGTTCTCTTTGTTCCAAGGAGATAACTTCCAATGGGGTAAGTTCAAGGTTTTCGGGATTTTATCAATCTTCAAAGTTTCAATTTGACGTGTTCCAAGGTTCATATGTTGGCACTTGCAGATTCGGTAAAATTATCGGTTAATTGATCACCAAGATACTATTACTCCAGTTCAAGTTTTTGTCAATGAAGTTTACAAACATTTGAATTTGTTTGGGCCAAACTCTCTCCGCAAACCGTACTCCATTACTCCGTACTTTGTATGCGTAAACATAGCTTGATATATATCTGCGGGATGTCGATCACTGCCAGTGATGTCCTCGTGCCGAACTCCCATACTGAGAGTGGCTCGTGCTGAGACTATCGGATGACCTCACCAAGACTTACATGATTCAAGTTGGATTAAAGGTTTATTACTATGAAGAATGTTATTGAGGATAAAAACCATCTGAGCTATACAGAATCAAAACAGAACATTCATTTGAACACTAGAATATTATTAGAGCACCTGGGCATCTGACTTGGCAAAAGCGAACCCGCCAACCTACCTAAGAGTTGATTCACTGTTAAAAATAGCCAAAATTGTCTCACAACCCCTGAGCCACCAACAAAGCCACGAAGCAAGAACACTTGAAAACGAGCATCGAGATAAAATAAGAACTTTGGGCTGAAGCCACAAGACCGACTAAACCAAAATTGTACTTTCCAAGGCAAAACATCAAGATCGGACTAATTCCCCAGAGATAATCCTACAAGGAAGGTCCTTAATTCAACCATAAAAAAACTTTCGGCATGCCACCGTCAAGATCTCAGACGGGAAACGGGACATGCTTAGCATCCCAACAAAGACTAAGATCTACAAAGAGCTCCACGGTGCGTGGAGAGAATGACTGGCACCATTCCCACTAAGAAGGCATAGAGCTTTCTTCACACCAAGCCATACCAATTACGGATGTGATCATCGGCCACAGAGCGGGTGAGGGTACTTAGAATGGACCTGATAACCACCTGGTCAGTTCAGCTGGTGGTGAAACCCTTCCTATCGTTTTATATTTACTGAAACATTGAACGGGATGAGTGGTCACTAGGATTATATGGAATTATTCTGCGACATAACATATTCAGGTTTCTGTACGAGGTGCAAAACATCAGGGATGAAAAGTTGGATTTTGCTCTCATTTTTTTCGTTGCTCCGTACGTGGCTTGCATTGTATATGCAACTACAAATACAAGCATCAAGACACGTCACGATGGTCTTTCCTCATAACGCCACTAATGTATATTATATTAAGGCAGAAAAGTCAACTGGGGCATTTCATGACTTTAAACCATGACCGCTGTTCTACTAGTGAAGCTAGCACCTTAATTAAAAGCCAAGAGCACCCCAGAAATACAGTGTATGGGGCATAAAGTCACCGAGAAAGCACCGGAGAAGGACCGAGTCGTATGAGGTGATTGCCTGCAGATAATCGTTGCTTTTGGAGGATCAACTCACTCATCCACAACACCTCGATAGTCCATTTGAAGATGCCTAAAAGCTCTACCATGAATACCCAGCATCTTGGCATCCATGAAATCACCAGATATTTCAAGGTTAAAGTTAGTGAGGCTTTTTCTGTATAATCGTACCAAGCGAGAACTCCAAGCTTCTGAGTGGTTGATTAGGACTCGGCCCCAAAGCATAACCACAGCACACCCTCCACAGGATCAAACTATCAAATAATCGGTGCATATCCAAATAAAAAGGTGATTCTACCAGGATCGAATGAAAGCAAACACAATGAACCTTGTTCTTAACCCAAGAACCTGACACCGGAGTAGGATTCACAAACCAGACATTCCTCCGAGCTTAGCAGAATACAATAAACACTATCATCATTAGTCAGGATACTATTAGTCCCAAGGGCCACAATGTGGCTGAGCGTACTCCATCTACCGCAGTCCGTACGGAGTCGGAGTCGAATACATAGCCTCGCGGATCCACAACTCCAACCAGGTTTGAGTATCTCAGCATTGACCATGTGGGCGTTTGAAGATATCCAAGTTGAACCCCTGGCACGGGATCAAACCAGGAGCCCGAATTTTGATCCATTTCCATTAAAACATTGAATAGAGAGGGGGAAGGCGCCGCAAGGGTCCAACCTTACGGGATGGTGATGATAGACCCGGGAGGGGAGGGGTTTCACAACGATGATAGAATTTGAATTTGATTTTGATTCAAATGCAAGGTTCCTATCTAAAGCCCTGACATACACGAAGTCGATGAAATCATTCTCGATAATGCGTCATTAGATATACTTTGTATACAACATTTGAATGTAGCTTTTAGTTCAATGGTTATTAAGGAGGTATTTTTTTTTATCCCCTCTCATTTCAATGAGAAATTTAGCCTAATGCATAGTACTTAGTAAAAGCTAATTTTTGAGTAGGGAATAATGAGCGGAGCCTCTGATAATAGTATACGGAAAGAATAGTCGTTGGCAAATATGGATATATGGACAAATCGGGAGGATTACAAAAGACCGATACAAACCGACACGGAGAAGAGTCCCAGAAAGTTGTAGCTCCGACACCCTGAGTTTGCAAAGGATCCGCTTTTCGAACTTGGAATTGTAAAATCAATTCTAAATCAATTCTAAAATCAATTGTCAAATCTTGGGACGAATCGGGGATTTTTCTCCATTCCTTTTATTGTAGCCTGATCTTCCGTTGGTTTATGGAATTATTTCGTATAGCTGATTTTAAATGACGTTTTGGCCTTTTTTGCAATTTTTTGCATAATTTTTTTTTTTTTACTCGAGTCTGCATCTGCATCTGCGTTTACGTCGTGTGGAATGTGGCGGGTAAAGCGCCGAGGATCCGCCGATCCAGGACAAACGCCAGATCCGAGTCAAACCTGAACCCAAGGGATAATTGTGATCTGATACCTAGGAGGTTGTTGGTTTCATACTCTCCTTGCAAGGGTGATTGCAGGGGTCAAAATCGAAGTAGATGACTTTAGATGAAAAAGTCAACTTAGGGTGAAAGGTGTTGATACTAGCCGGGTAACAACCTGGACAGTGATTGGCGATCATCAGGATATGATTCAGTATTCTGTGCTCCATATTATGATACTCTTTTTAGAGTACTCCTTATTGAAGCTTCGCAGAAGATTGCTGATCATAGTCAGATCCACAGTCGCTTGAACCCGACCTCCCGTTGACTCCGGATGGTTCAATAAACCCTGCCCCTCTCTAAAACCCACCCGAGCCATTTAAACAGTATCCTTAGAGTTATTACGAGATAGGGTCCCACAGCTCTTTTAACGTGGCGAAAATCAATGGAGCACTTGAGTTTATGGAGTTGACCCTGAGAACCAAATTTTGAAGAGTATTTGATACTTCGATCAATATCCAAAATCGGGATCCATTTTCGGGCATTTACCTGCCATCGGATTTTTTTTTTTATGGAGTACGTCGGAGAAAGGCTGGCTCGCAGAGAGATCGTGGTGGCTGGTTGACATGCAGGTAGTCAATCTTTCTCGAAGGAGTTATGCACCCGAACCGTTTAAAGCCAGTGGTTCGTGGTGAAGGTCCCTATACGCCGGATCTCTTCCGTACTTGGACTCGATCTACTCCGAGTCTGTACGAAGGGGTTGGTCGGGACTTATCCTTACGTGCATGAATTGATTTCCCCCCCCCTCTCTCAGCTCCCTCGTTTTCCCTCCCTCGTTTTCCTAGAACCCTTGCACGTATGCGCTTTAATTCATGCGCGTGCTTGAATATGTATGTAATGTTTATTGAATACGTACATCGTGCCAGAATTTGAGGTATGGTGTACGGAGTACGGAGTACAGATTAGTGCGTATGGGTCACGTCGGGATTGTCCCGCGCCACGATGATCTGGTGCAAAGAATATCGGCACGATCGACAGGGCTCAACGTATAGGAAAGAAGCAATAAACTAGGTCATATTAAGCACTAATCTTGGAATCAAATCAAGATAATCAATATAAAGTAATGATCAACTTAAACAGAGACATCATAATGAAACGATGATCAAATTACGGGGACAAAATAGAGTTGTCATAGCCTCAGCTCTCTCTGGAAATAGAAACTTGAACTTTGCAACCAAGGTGACAGTGCAGAGTGACGATGGTGATGATACCGTCCCGTTCGCCAGGGATCATGATAAAAGTATGAATAAATCGAAAACCACTAAGAAATCACCAAAAAAGAACAAATCCCAGTAAATTCCCAGTAAATTCTCCCAAACCAACCTCAATTTGACTGGCAACACACAGAGCATCACACTAAACCAATAAGGGGTTAGTTCCCAGTTCAGCCCACCCAATCAGGGATCATATGCCCTTGCATTGTCAGGCCACCAAGTCACATGAGATGCAAGGTGTACTATGTTTAGGTTATTCAGTACTAAGAAGTAACCCGTGGACTCGTTAAATCCATACAGAGTACGGAGTAAAATACGACTAAATACGCAAATTATTTCCGAGAGTTCTACTTGGGTATACAAAGTACATAGTCTACGTAGGTGGGAAGTGTACATAGTACGAAGTAGATGAAATAGTTGGGTCAGGCGATGTCAAAGTTTAGATAAAACGCATGAGTACCTTTGAATCCATTATTTGGGGTAATCTCTAGCGAGATTTCACTAGTAACAAAGTGGGTATTTTTTTTTGACTTGCAGCCACCTCGTTTACAGATCCCTCGAGGGAATGTAATGTATGTGCATGAAATATCGCATTTTAGTTAAGGGCGCATGATGGCATCATGACACACGAGGGCTGAAGAACTGTACGGCCGAACCGGCGACTATGCTCCAATTGTTGCGCTCAGGGCGATCCAAGTGGACCTGGAAGTCCCTTGAAGTCCTTGGCATCTCTGGAGAAAGATTTGGAAACGCAGGGTTCTCTTGGCTCTCAGGCTTACCCCATTTAGGAGAGGAGATGTTAAGTAATGTCCCTAGGTAAAAAAGAAAAATGACCTTCCCTCCACCAGTTTGGGTTGTCCACTTTTTTTTTCTCACTCTTTTTTCTGGTTGCTCCTTGCTGGGTTGAAAAGAGTGGGATTAATTGGGGCCGTCACGGCCTAACTCCCTTTCCGAGACTAAGTTAGGGCGGGAGCTAATTATACCGGAGTAAGAGATTCTCAAAGAACAAGAGAATAGACGATAAACGATAAACGATGGGGTTTTTTGAAAGAGGAAATATTTGAATCTGATTGGAAGGGAAAAGCAGGAAAAGCAGGAAATATATGTGCATCATAGCCATGATTGGATCTATGCGTTGCAGTCCAAGGGGGACACTTTTTTTTTCTTTTCTTTTTCTTACATACATGATACATACCCGTATGTACTCCGTACAGCGACATTGACAGCCACTTGCTCCCATGATCTTCATGATCTCCGAGTCTTTCGTATAATCCGACATCATCTTTCTTTCTATACCATGAAGTCATATTCGGGGCTGAGAATCTGTGACCGTGGTTCTCTCCTAGGATCCCTTTTTTTTTTTTCAATTTTTCTCCGTTCAACCATGGGATCCACTTTTCTATCGCGGCGCAACCCGCCAGATTGGTGTTTACCCCGAGCGCATCAAGCTCTCTCGTCTTCGTATTACTTACTTGACCCACGGGCATGTACTCCGTAAGCCAACCCCCTCAAAAAAGATTTTTTTTTCAAGGATCCAAGGTTCTTCAATAATTGAGCTATCAGTATGATAAAGATCGATAATCAAAAAAAAGGATTGACAAACCAACCTTTTACCCTATTCTAAATGAGTTAGATGTCCGAACAGATCCAAGTAGATCCGGAGACCTCGGATCGAATGAACTGGCATCCGAGATGGATATACCGGGAGTGTGTATCAAAGTATGGGAGAAGTACTGTCGTACATTGTACATGTACCCCGGGCCGGTACAAATGTTTACTTCAGTGTTATTAGTATTACTCTTAAAGAACTCGATGATTAATTATCAAATTGAATTGTACACCATAATATAATACTATTTCTCCCGAGACTCTCAGTGTGACGATCTGATTCTCTTGTGTTGCTCAGTGTTTCCGTGGCCCCAGTTCGACATCTTGTGCATCCCCCGCCACGATTTCCCACTAGTCCCTTAGTTCAGGGTGACCCGGGAAAAAATCGAAAATAATAATGATAATAATAATGAAAAATAGAAAAATAATAAATATTATTCCATAATATTTCGCGAAAATCAAAAATAGATTTTTATTATTATTCCCATTTTCCCAATCGGCATAAGCGTAGGAGGTGACTCCACGCTCTCGTGGCCCTATACAGTTTAGGTCGGAGGGATTGGCACTCTGACCTGCTCGGACTCTGCCAGGTGCTAATAATAATCGTAGATGACCGTTCGCTTTTAACCCTTCTCCATCCTTGCATGATTTATCTTCTTTTTTTTCTCTCCCCCTCCCTTCCCCAAATCTTCTTGGATAACTATTATGACACCTTGAACGGTCCCACATTCGCTCACCCACGTTCGCTCTTACGCTCGCTTGTTCCTGCTACGAGAACCACGTTCGCTACGCCTTTTTTTTTTCTTGAAATATCCATTGAATTCATTCGGATCAACAAGAAAAAAAAAGAAACAAAAAACACAAAAACCCTCTTCCTCCAAAAATTCAATTCTTTACTGATTAAAAAGTGAGACCTAATAATTATTGTTATTGATCTCTTCTTTTTTATTGTGTCTTGAGAGGGAAAAAAAGGATACTAAAAAAGGTTCATATCGAATATTCTTAATATTTAATTTCGCAACGCCTTGCGCCTCACACGTTGATTCGTTGGATGCACCCTTGATTTGATATATTCCCACGATCTATCGGAAGAAAAGGGGAATTTAAATCGAAGGGAGATTGTATACGGCGTTTGCCGTTCCAAGTTCTCGATTGAAGTAGAAAAAAGAAGTGCATCCCGTTTGTTCTGCCGGATATCGAATCTCCCCCCGGGTTTGATCTATATCCACTTATACTACAATCTTCGAAGAAAGAGATCAACCCCGCCTTCAATCAACCTGATTGAGTTACGCTCGCTCTAGACCATCATCTCCATCTTCATCAACTTGTCTCAGCTAAAGGCATCCACTTCATTGATCCCGGTACGGAAAGCATTCATCTGTTTGGCAAGGTCTCAGCGCAAAGCCGTCAAGGGTCAAGATATTGCTCAGCTTAAGGTTAGTACAAATCAGAAGTTGATTACTCCACTTTTCTTCCCCCCCTTCGCGCCCACGGTCTCACTCTCCCCGTGCCTTGCATTTTTTCCTATTTGGATCTTTTACCCCGTCTCCTTGCAGTCAAGAAGTCGTGCTTCAAAGCTGCCCCCACCTGCGGGAGATGACGACCGTCATGGAGGGGGGATCAGTTTGGAGCTATTGAGAACGGAAAATTGAAGAGAGATGAGGAAGCTCGAGCTTTGGATGGGTCCTGTCGGATGGCGTTCCCGTGTCCCGCTATTGCATTTGATGTACGTGTTTGTTATTGACATCGGACTCTTTTTCTAGATTCTGGCGTCGGCCAAATTCTTGCATATTAGGCGACTTCGAACGACAAATCAGTCTTACTTTTTCTACTTCTTTTCAGTATTGATTCACTCGGTGAGTTCTTCCAAGACCTCGTCCATGCATCATTCCGACGCCGGCTTTTAGCCCTAAAAGAGGAAATCGAAAAAAAAGTGAAAGTCAAAAAAGTGTTCATACTCATTGCGAGAGTAGTTCGTCATCCCCGTATCTTGGTGCCCAAACAACATCGTTCCCGAAACCTGGTATAGGGAAATCAAAAGAAAGCAAAGAGAACCCTGTCAATCCCAGAACCTCACCAGTCATCGTTCATCGGATCACGCCTCCCAAGTCAATCCCGCTCCGTTCAATCTCGTGGATTCTCTCCAATCTCGGATCTCTCCGTCGCCACGAGCGGTGAATTCTTGTCTCTAAGTCTTGCTATCTTATGCGACAGGTTCTTCCCACAGTTGCGGTCTGTATGAACCATCTTGGGCACTTTTTCATTTGAGAAGTTCTCTTTTTTTTGCTGCAGCCAGCCTTCTCTAGTCTCAGCCTTGGTGGTGCAAATCCTGGATGGTGATTCGAGGCTTTGTATTGCCGACTTCCTTGTGAGACTAAACAGCCCAAGCTTCGTTTCGCCGTGTCTTCTGTCTCGGATTTTCGCCCCTTTCTCGTGTGTGTGCGTGTGGGTTGCTCACCAACGTGGTGTTGAAAGAACAAATAAATTCTCAGTCACTCGCTTCTTAAGAAGGTTCTGTCTCGTTGCAGTTTCTGCAACACTGTCAAGCTGGCTTACTCGAAGACACACGGTGTTTTGGTGAGATCTATTTCCCCATTTCTCTTTACCCCTGGTTTTTGTCTCTGGGTGCCCGCATGTTTTGCCTCTTGTGCCAAACCCAGTGCATGGTCTTGTTTGAAGCCACACCAAACCATTTTCCCCCTGAAAACCTTCTCTCTCTTGTTCCATGCGTTTTAGATCATGGTGGGCTGACTCTGGTTTCGTCTTTTCTCATTCTAGTTCGACCCGGATTTCCAAACGCCGTTAATCGTGGGTGAATCGTTGGATTTCTCGGATTCTGAAGAATCTCAGTTTCTCGGTGCATTTTCAGACGGCCTGTGGGCCAAGTCTGAGCATTTCCTGTCTATGTCTGGTTTCCAAAAGCCGGGAGCTAGCTCTGTACTTGGTATGATATCCATTCAATCCTTCTTATATTCTCCCTCAGACTAACACGGTGGATACCCAGATTACGCTGCCACACGATCGTTGCATGATGCTAGTTCGTTCACAACTTACGGCCAATCTCCCTACGTGACTACTTCTCTTGTTCCTTCCCCTATGGCCGACCAGGCTAGCCAGATCTCGGACTGTGTCCCATATATTCCCGGTACCGAGTATGGTAGTTCATACGAGGAGGCTCCATCCCCATTGATGAGCAACCGCTCCCGCCAACTACCCGAGATTGTTACTTACAGCCCTCAAAGGGGATGTGAGGGAACTCGGGTTGTGGTGCAGATCCAGTCTCCTTACGATCTGCATAGTTCCGCGTTTGGAACCCTATATGTGGCATTCGGTTCAAAGAGATGCGAATGCATCCCAACATTTTTGGGATTCGAGGGCTCCACTTTCCAATATGCCCTCGCCGCTGATGCGCCTCAATTCATTACCACTGGCTCGCCCTCGTTTGCTGTGCCTTTGCAGGTGGTGTTGGAAGCGCAAGGGGATTACCCGGCCGCAACCTTGCAAGTCGGTGTCTACACCTATGAACATATGCCACAGTCATCGGCATCTGGAGCCTCGCACAAGAGGAAGTACTCATCGTACTCCGACAACCCCGTGCCGGCGGCATCGGTCAAGCGACCAACTGGGCCGATCGCGCCTAAGGTCGATTCTCAAGAGAACTACTCCTACCGTGACAACACCCACAGTCGCTCCACTTCCACCTCTTACTCTCCATATGTGCAGTCTCTTCCTGCTATTCCGGGCTTTGTGGCTCCTTACCATGCTGCTTCTTCCCCTCGCACCGCTGCTGCTCAATACTCAACAGTCTCCGCCACACCTCACAACGGCATCCGTGCGCCCTCTCCTCTTACTCCCGCTTGGAGCCCTTCATTCGTCTCCGTCGGACCTGATGGCAGGGCAGCAAGTATCCAATCGGGTCTTTCCATCGCCCATGGAATCCCACAGCGCAGGGGACCTTCCCCAGGACGCGGCTCCGTTCCCACACTCATCCGCACCTCGACTCTGCAGCAGTCATCGACCATGGCTCACACCCAAGTCTTCAACCCTTATACCATTTACCCTACCAAGGCCATCCTCAAGTTGAACGGAGATCTGGATACTATGGCTGAGGGATGGAGCAAGGAAGAGTGCACTATTCAGCGACGTCTTGTCCAGTTCACCCGTTCCCAGTCCGGTAGCACAATTCACGCTGACTTCAAGCCTGTGACCCCTGAGGAGCGCACACCTAACAGCATCTGCATCAGCTGTATCGCCTGGGAGGGCAAGACTGAATGCTTCGTGACCAGTGTTGACACCATCTACCTGCTGGAGTCTCTGGTCGCTGTTCGGTTCACTGTTGAAGAGAAGAACCGTATTCGCCGCAACCTGGAAGGATTCCGCCCTCTGACTGTTTCCAAAGCCAAGGCCGACAGCGAAGATTTCTTCAAGGTCATCATGGGTTTCCCTGCACCCAAACCACGAAACATTGAGAAAGACGTAAAGGTCTTCCCCTGGAAGATTCTCAGCCATGCCCTGAAGAAGATCATTGGGAAATACGTGAGTAACCCACAAGTCTCCATTTTTTAACTCGACTAACCCTGTGTATCACAGTCCGCTAGTTATTCCTCCACCGCAGGCTCTTTGCACACCCCGATGACAACATACGCTAGCCACGGCACGGGCTCCGATTCAGGCACTGAGGCTCACACTGCCCCCTCTCCTCGCTCAGTCTCTGATGCTGGACCGACACCGAACTACCACGCCAACCTGGCGCCCGCGGTCTACTCAACACAACCAGATCAGTGTGCCTCTTTGACTGCTGCCGCTGATCTCCGGGCGATTATGCCTGCGGCCACACAGCCGTATACCACCATGGGTATGGGTAGCTACACCTATCCCGCCATTTGCCAGCCTCATGGCACCCACAGCTTGGTGGCCCCAGCTCCACGGTCAGCATGGGATATCCATGCTCTTGGTACCACAGCACCCTCCACGGCTGCACCGGCTAGCGCCTGCTACACCTATATGGAGCCCGTGTACCCGCTGCACGACTCGGCACCTGGTCATCATGGTCCATGATCATCTAATTATTGATTGATTTTTGCTTTCTGTTTATTGTTGTCGTCTTTTTATCCCCTTCTATTTTTATATTTCCCCTCTGCTCTGTTGAAGATACACGATTCTCCTTCCTGTCACTCCTTTGCCACGCCCAGACGGCGCTGTTGGCCTCACCCTTGGATTTCAAGGCTGGGGGCCTGACCATACTTGCTTTTTGATTTTTTCCACGATCTCACGTCTCTCCTTACAACATTTACGCCTGAATGCCCCCTACCCAAAATTTTTTCGCATCTTTAGATGGTGTCTTGTTCATTCCTTTTTATCTGGGTTGCATACTTTTGCCGAGCATTTTGGGCCTTACTCTCCTTTTGCATACAAAACTTCTGGGCTATTACTGTACGAGTACTTGGCATAGCATGGGCGCTGCAGTCATTCCTTACGCATTCGCAGGACGGATTTTGGATAGATTTGGTTTTTTGTTTTACTTTTTTGGGATTTCGGATTTGGAGGTCTGGGTTTTGGCTATTGCTGGTTTGTTTTTTTTTATCCCGCGCATTGCAGATTGAGGGGGTTGGGAGTATACAAGAGATCGGGCTATGTCCTTTTCTTCTTGGCTTCCTTCTTCTCTTACTCCTGCTGGTTAATATTGGGAGTATTTTGTTATTTTCCTGTTTTTTTTTTTTCTTTCGAGCTGAGGGTTCTCATCCTTTTTTTCTGCATTGTTCGGGCGTTTGGGCAGTGCCCTGATACTATATCTACTAGTAGTTATTACTTGAGTTCAAACCAAGGGTTTTGTTGGTTTTATCAATCTGAAATCATTCCAAATACTTCAAGTCCACTATAATCTTCATCCAAGACTGTAAGATCGAATAGAACCCTCTCTACTCCGTACACTCCTCCGTGCCTGAGCCTCCCACCAGGGCAGGGCTCCAGGGCTGGAGACTCCAAAGTTGACTAATCAGAAATCGTCCGAATTAGGTTAGCCATGCGGGTTGTTTATTTTCCAATCAGATCGAGGCATTACACGTGACTGGCCAATCTGAAAACCTTAGAACTCAATTCACGTGACTAGTCCCAGTTTTGGTCACGTGCTGTTACCCCGTTTCTTGGCAACACATATCCCATACCCTAACCGCCTGGCAATACCTTCATAACGACCAAAATAGCCTCACGTGATGATCAGATTGCCTTATCGCACGTGATTTCAGCGGGGCGACTGGCAAAAAAGGAAGTCGAAACTGACTCACGGCGATATTGCTACCTTCCCCCACAGCATTGAATAGTGAAGTGAAGAGTGAGCTGGTCAATTGCAACCCCGCCTTTCTCGACTTCCAAATTTCGCCCCTCTCCTTCTTTCCTCTTTCCTCCTCTATCCCTCTCAACCCTCTTCTCTCTCCCCCGATTACAACACTTTGACTTCAATCATGGAAGCCATCAAGCGCACTTTCGCTAAGTGCAAGGAAGCTCGCCGTGCGGCTCTTGTCGCTTATATCACTGCTGGATATCCCAGCGTCGAGGAGGCTGTTGACATTCTCCTGGGTCTGGAGAACGGTGGCGCCGGTACGTGTTCACACCCCTTCCACGCGGTGGCGGGGTAGACGTCAACTCACTAACACTCTCATTTATAATTCAGATATCATCGAACTCGGAATTCCTTTCACTGACCCCATCGCTGACGGACCTACCATTCAGAAGGCCAACACAAAGGCTCTGCAAAATGGCGTGTCGGTTACTACCGTCCTGGAGATGGTCCGCACTGCCCGCAGCCGTGGCCTGAAGGCTCCGATCATGCTCATGGGATACGTGAACCCGGTTCTGCGATACGGCGAGGAGCGTATGCTTAACGACTGCAAGGAGGCTGGTGTCAACGGTTTCATCATGGTCGACCTGCCCCCAGAGGAGGCTGTCCGTTTCCGTGACCTGTGCGCCAAGACTGGGTAAGTTACATCTTTTTTTTTTTTTAATATCTGAGTTGTTCATCGATCTGATAGATTGTGAACCTCTTCGATCCCCTTTTCTCACATGCGTTAATCGCTTGTTTGACGCAATGCCTTTTATCCATGGAATGATCGTTTGTTTCACGCAATGCATTGTTCAAAAACTGACTTTTTACAATTAGCCTTTCATACGTTCCTCTTATCGCCCCGTCCACCTCTGAGGACCGCATGAAGCTCCTTTGCAAGATTGCGGACTCTTTCATTTACGTTGTCTCTCGTATGGGTGTCACTGGTGCCACCGGCAAGCTGAGCGCCAACATCCCCGAGCTCCTCAAGCGGGTTCACGAGTACTCTGGAAACGTCCCCGCTGCTCTTGGCTTCGGTGTCAGCACTCGCCAGCATTTCCTTGATGTTCAGCAGGCCGCTGAGGGTGTTGTCATTGGCAGTCAGATCATCACTGTCGTTGGCCAAGCCGCTGAGGGCAAGGCTGCTCAGGCTGCTGAGGACTACCTTTCTAGCATCACTGGTCGCAAGCTTCAGCGTGATGCTCAAGGAACTATCATTGGTGAAGTCAATGTCATTGAGGCTGTCCACAAGGCCCTGCCTGATGCTGAGGTCCAGCCCACCAAGGTCATTACTGAGGCTGATACCCCTGCCGGCCCCGGTCTGGGTGACCAGCTCGTTGCTCTCAATGTGACCAAGGATCCCAATGTCTTGCCTTCCCGCTTCGGCGAGTTCGGTGGTCAATACGTTCCTGAGTCCCTCATGGACTGCTTGGCCCAGCTTGAGCGAGGTTTCAATGAAGCCAAGAATGACCCTAAGTTCTGGGAAGAGTACCGCTCTCACTACCCCTACATGAGCCGTCCCAGCAGCCTTCACCTTGCTGAGCGTCTTACTGAGCGCTGCGGCGGTGCCAACATTTACCTGAAGCGCGAGGATCTTAACCACACTGGTAGTCACAAGATCAACAACGCCATCGGCCAGATCTTGATTGCCAAGCGCCTGGGCAAGACCCGCATTATTGCTGAGACCGGTGCTGGTCAACACGGTGTCGCGACTGCTACTGTCTGCGCTAAGTTCGACATGAAGTGCACTGTCTACATGGGTGCCGAGGATGTGCGCCGTCAGGCTCTCAACGTCTTCCGCATGAAGCTTCTTGGTGCTGAGGTTGTCGCTGTCGATGCTGGTAGCCGTACCCTCCGTGATGCTGTGAACGAGGCTCTCCGCGCCTGGGTTGTTGATCTTGACACTACCCACTACATTATTGGTTCTGCTATCGGTCCCCATCCCTTCCCCTTGATCGTTCGCACTTTCCAATCCATTATTGGTGACGAGACCAAGGAGCAGATGAAGGAGCTCACCGGCCGCCTTCCCGATGCTGTTGTTGCTTGCGTTGGTGGTGGCAGTAACGCCGTTGGAATGTTCTACCCCTTCTCTAAGGATCTGAGCGTGAAGATGGTTGGTGTTGAGGCTGGTGGTGATGGTATTGATACTGCCCGTCACTCTGCCACTCTCTCTGGCGGTACCAAGGGTGTCCTGCACGGTGTCCGCACCTACGTCCTGCAGAACGAGCATGGACAGATCTCCGACACTCACTCTATCTCCGCCGGTCTTGACTACCCCGGTGTTGGTCCCGAGCTGAGTGCCTGGAAGGATGCCGACCGTGCCACCTTCGTTACCGCGGATGACGCCCAGGCCATGAATGCCTTCCGCACCCTGTCCGAGACCGAGGGTATCATCCCCGCTCTGGAGTCCTCCCACGCCGTCCACGGCGCCATGGAGCTCGCCAAGACCATGAAGCCTGGCGAGAATATCGTCATCAACCTGAGTGGTCGTGGTGACAAGGATGTCCAGAGCGTTGCCGATGAGCTGCCTCGTCTGGGCCCCAAGATCGGCTGGGATCTGCGTTTCTAAACGCGTTCCGTCTGCCTTTCTTTTTTTTCTTTTATATTTACCTTTTCGGCCTTTCAAGGCCTGACTACTTCTCCCGGCGTTTTTCTTTTACCCCGTCGTTCTACTGCATGAGATGATACGATTGCATGATTTTTCATGAAAAGCGTGTTTTCGGGGTTTCCGGGGTTCATTTTTCTCACTTTCATCTTCAATCCTGCCCAAGATTCCTTTAGATAGTTATCATCTTTTTCGGGCACATCTCTCTTTATTTCCCTTTGTAAACGTGTACTCTTTAAGATCAAGATATTAAATTTATAGATTTAGATTTAGTACCTTTATCCAGATGTCAGTAACTAAGTGTAGCCAAAGATTGAGAATGGCTGTGAATAGTCCTGATGTCATTCTGATAGAAGAACCATGTACCAGTGACAGCGCAGAGCTACTAAATTGCTCACTGGCATATCACAAACACATTTGTTCAAACATTCCAACAGTATCTATCATGGATTATTATAGTTAGCCAGAGCCTTATTCACTCACAGAAATCCCTCAACTTACGCATCTCTAAATGTCTTGGTATAGGGCTACTTGATCCCTCTGTACTCGATAGACCTTTGCTTCAGCATTCTCAACAGCAATACTGAGACCTACCAAACCAATAAACTTGAGCCATGTATTCAGGTAGTATTTAGGCTTGACTTTTAGACTTCGAAAATCCCTCTCAAAGCCTAAGGTAAGAGCCATGGCACTGCTGTCTTAGACTAGGCGGTGCATGCGGTGCATACACGAGTTAGTTTTACAAAGAGAAATCTTCAAGTGAGATGAGACACTAGTACATTTTCCATATTTGACATATAGTCCCATTACCATGACACTGGGTTCCTATGGTTCCTCTTGTTGGAACACGAGTACGAAGGTTCAAGTTGTATACGGGGACATCCGCGTGACTCCAAAATTGCGGAGAAACTATAATTAGGATCAAACTACCATGGAATTTAGCTTACCTATACAATTTGGACCTCCAATAGTAGGATTCGGGTTAAAATATCAAGTCTTCAATCCATGAATTCACCGTCTTGTCTTCTATAGCATCTGCGGTAATGCCTCGAATTTGTCTCACATGTGCAGAAATCAGCAGGATGTTGACTCTCACGGACGTCACCATTCTCATCGTATTACTATCAAAAGTCCATTCTATGAGAGCAGATATTTTTGGATCATGATGTACTTGATTCTTCAGCTATACAAGTTCCTGTATGCTGAAAATCTATAAAGTCCTCCATTCTGGACGTCTCTGGTGTGTTCATCAGCAACAATCGAGCATCTCATTCATCTGAATCACTCACTAGTACATCAATTCGTTCTTATACAAATACATCATGCATTTCATCACAGGACTTAGTCTTCTGGCTGCTCTCGCAGAAACCTCATCTGCAAGTCCCATGAAGCGAACTTCAACAGTTGACATTACTTTCATCGGAGCAGCAAATGCTCAGTTCTCCCAGAACTTCCCTACTGATGGCTCTTCTGTCTCTATCTGTATGCTGAAGACCTACCTTCTATTCAAATTTATCTGAGCAGAATCTAACATGAAACAGCCAACCCATTAAGCATTTCGCACATTGCATCCGGCAACGGAAACGTCCAGTGCACATTCAACGGCATCGACCACAGTGTGACAACCGTTACTGGAGCCGAGACTGTTGATGTCGGGCCTCCCCAGACTCAAACCTCTGGATCCTGTCATAAGATATCCAATCCCGTTGGACAACACGTCGTGGTTACTTTTATCGGGGCTGCTGGTGCAGAGTTCACCCAGAGCTTCCCAGTCAATGGAGGATCTGTTCAGATTAGTAGGTTCTCCGAATCTAAGTAATATGTGAAGTGTTTGAATGCTGACTGTTTTCTAGCTAATGTCTTGAGTATCTCTCACATTGAGATGAATGCTGCGGGTGTTACTTGTACCTTTGATGGTATTGATCATAGTGTTACCACACTTAGTGGCTCGCAGTTTGTGGATGTTGGACCTCCTCAGACTCAGGTCTCTGGTATCTGTCATTCTTAAGAGTGTCGATGACCAAGTCCTCTTTGGAGGCGTCAAGGACTCCAGGGACCTAATGTTTGAGCCTTGAAGTTAGGGTGAACAGGTCCATATGTGCTTCTTTCATTTTCGTTTTGTTGTTCTGAATTGGGAGAAAAAAACACAGAAAATGATATGTACAGATCCAGTTTATTTTAGTCAATTGCATTCTTAATGAGATCTTGAACAAGTTCCAAGGTTCTAAGGTTGTCTATGTACTTCGTTGGTAAGCAATTCCAATTTCATCTGGTCATAGATCCAGGGCGGGATGATCGCCGCTTACTAAGACCCACAGTGGGCTGGACTCCAGAGCTGCTTATGAGTTTCTGATTATTCAACATCCCGAATCGCTGACAATTATTGCCTCCTGTGTCCCATTGCCTGCTTATGCTCATACATAGTCTCTCTTCGATTTCGCAGATAAGCTCACAGGGCCCCACTCACTGTCCTGAGACTAACATTAACCATGCCTGACGAAAAACCTCCGACAGCTGAGCCTCGAAAGAGAGGTCGTCCGCGGGTTATCACAGATGATAAGGAGGTACCCGAGGTGGGTTATCTGATGCGTATCTAGTTTTGATATAGACTCACAATCCCCAGAGACGTCGCAAGCAGCTCCGCGTCGCTCAACAAGCCTATCGCAAACGAAAAGAGACAACTATCACTACCTTACAGACTCGCGTGGCAGACCTAGAATCAGGCATTGAGAAACTCAGCCAGTCCTTCCTATCGTTCAGTACTCTTCTAATCGAAGAGAACCTACTGAATTCTCACCCAAATATTGCCTCTGCACTCCAAGATATCACTCGACAATGCGTATCACTCGCCCAACAAAGCTCCAATGAATCAGATCAACAAGGCTCTACCGAAGTTGTGGAGGAGTTGCCCCGAAATGGACCCATCGTCCCACAAGTTGCGGTCAATCTAGACTTTGACGCGGAAATTGTCAGCTCGGACTTTACACTCAGTTCACTTAGCTCTCAAAGTTCACCGACACCATCTATGATGGGTATCAACCAGTGGACGGATCTATCATTTCCTCCTACACCACCTTACCAAGAACAAACCATGCTCCCGTTCGGAATAGTTTTATCAGAACCCACCTTACCTCCCTCACTACCAATTCCACAGATGTCAATGTCTCCTGAAAATCTAATACAGCAAAGACCGTGGACCCTCACACACCATATTGTGCGAGAATGCAGTTACCAGGGTTATAGATTACTCGCTTATGCACCGCACGATGCCGCAAGGATTCAACGTGTGTTTGGCACTGTTCTAACGAAATCGGAGCGCGACAATATCATATCTGGATTCTATAGCGTCATTACTGATTATGTGGGGGATATGGTTGACCAGCGCACCAAAGTTCTGAGTCCCCTACATCCCAGGAAAGATGTCTTCTCTTTGGACCAGCTGGCACATAGTTCCAGATCGTGGCAGCTAGTTGCTGAGTCCGGTCCTGGTCAATGGCTAGATGCCTGTGGAGTGCAGCGTTTTCTACAAGAAAGGGGGATTGATATCCAACCTGACAGTACACAAGACTCTGGTTTCCGAATCAAACCAGGCTTTGCATTTGATGTCAACACTTTTATAAGGGGTGAGTGGTTCTTCCTTTCTTAATACCATGTCCCTTACTAATTATACAAGTTATCTCTTCCGATTGTATATGCGTTGGTCCAGGACCAGCATTCAGGCGGAAAACTGTTGAAAAAGCACTATTACAAGCGACCTCTAATGACCCATGGGCCTATGTGCCTCCATGTACTATAACAGATCCAGCTTAATTCATCCAGCTATAATATTAAAAGAAGTTCGTTGCCTCAATGAGTTTCTGAAGCCGTTCATCTCGCCAGTATTTCTCCATCGCCTCTGTCTTCCAGATCTCCCAGTTTAGGTGCTGATCATCACCGAATTTTCTTGTCAAATCCTCACTCAACCCGTTTACGAGACCAAAGAAAAGACCCAAGAATCCATCCCAATCCGAGATATCATAGCCGCAGCAAAAATCAAATCGATGAAGTAGACGTCCAGTTCGTGTAATTTCACCCAGGTCGGGGTGTCCTTTCTCTTCCATCAGTTGCGCGAAGATCAACTCATCATCGCCGAGTCGGTTGATCCCATCATAGAACTCGCGCACTGGAAGAAGAGCAATGGGCGAATTAAACGCGATTGACTTCGGCGCTGTATACGCCCATTCCCAATCGATGATTCCAGTGATGTTGAAGTCTTCATCAACAAGAATATGATCACCCTTATCATCCGCATGTCTGAGATAAAAGTTCCCGTCGTCAAGGTCATTAAACGAGAAGACTCTTGCTACGGTATCCAGGAGATAGCGATGGATCAAGTACGCATCGACGGGTCGAGATGTGTATATCTCCTGTCGCAGAATCAAATCCAGTGTGAGATTGATACCTGATTTGTAATACTCTTGTATAGAAGAACAAGGGCTCGTTCTCTTCATCTCCTTTCCTCGTCGATCTGTAAGGGATTCAACAGCAAAGGGACCAACATTTTTGGAGCCTGGGTCATCAAATGAGCCCATTTTGTCAACCGGGTGTTTGAGAAGCTTAATATAAATGTCCGCAAGCTGACTTAGGACTTTTCGTCTATTCTCAGGAGACCACGTCATGGACAGAGAACTTCCCACGTTTGTACCGGGCATTTTCTCCATAAGGATATATGGAACACCGACGGGGTTATGCTCATCTGTTTCATAGTAATATACCTGAGGAGTTGGTATGTTGATATTGCTCAGAAACTGCAGAGTCGCAACTTCGCTCTGCAGAATGTAGCTCTGCAGTTCTGCAGGTGGAGATGCAGCGTTTGATCTTCGGATTCGCACGAGCCAGATGACTCCATCGCCGAACTGGATTTCAAGGTGGTAGTTCATACCCCCCATGACCTTGTCTCTGGTTTCAGGGTCATACTTCAAGCTACGAGGAATGGAGCAAGTAACTCCACCGCGTAGCTGGTTTGCTTGAGAGAGAAGAGCGGGTGCATTGATCTTCAAGAGAAGTTTGTTCATTTCGTCTCTTTCTGCCTTTCCAGCTGCTGGGAGATATTGATCTGTATCCTGTAGAAGATTAGTCTAGTACAATGAACTTGATGAATTGTTGATTTACCTTCCATGATGGACATTTATGATATTGGGGTTTCACATGAACGGCGCATAGATGTCTGTCACATAGAGTACATCCGCCTATTTGCCGGACTGCGGGCCTGCTGCAGCTCATAAAATCACAGTTCCACATGTTGAGTGATTGCAGAAGATGTATCTTGTTCGAATGTTTCTTTGGTCCTTGAATATGGAAGATATTAAGCCCAATGTATACCCCCTTGCGTATCATGTGACGCGGACTCATCGAGAATGCTCAGCGCTTACGGCTTCTTTTTTCAGTCACCCTGAAGAAGATGAAACAACAACTGATTTAATTTTCTGATCTAAACTACATGGTTGGATATTTTCGTCCCGTTACACATTGATGAGTGTTTCGGTTACTATTTTCATCGGAAAATTATGACGACTCATGTTGACCATTACGAAAAGCCGAACTGTGATCTGCACTCCAAGAATACTAGTACTCCACCCCATGGACTGTACTAAAAAAGGAAATTGTATCTTGCACGCTAATATTGTGAAGGGCTCAAATTGATGATCCATACATTTATGTGACTGATAGTATTCAGTATGTGGAAGGCCTGGAAGGCATACCTCATACCTTTTCCTGTCCAAATCTGAAGCGTAGTAGTCGTGCAGAATCCCTAGCACTTGCCGACCACGAAGTAAGATACATCCATATACGAGTGAGTAAAGGAAACCTCTCTACTCCTGATGCCTGTATAACAGGAACTGACTCGACTAGTTTTAGATGTGGATCAAGATCTTCTAAGACCACGGGATCATCAAGAGAAGATTGAAATTTAGCCCTCATATCAGTGACAGAGTTCATCCAACCCGAACGATTAAAGAACTCTATTGCCGCGGAGCCTATACCCTCGAATAGCATTTCTCCACAAGGGACTGTTCGACAAATCATCTGTAGAAGCCTGTTCATATCTTCTTCCCGAAAATAAGGTAGCAGACCTTCCATAATAACGAGAACGGGCCCAGAAACATCCCCCAGATCATGCATCCAGTTTTCTTCAAGAACGTCAACGCCAAGGAGAGAATAATCTCGGTCGGGAAAGGATATAGGTTGAGTTTTCTTTCGAAGCTGAATAACCTCTGGGAGATCAATATCGATCCATCGAGTATTTTCACCCCATTTAACCCGTTGCATGCGACTATCAAAACCACATGCTAGATGGAGGACCGTAGTGTTGGGGTTTTCCTGAAGGAATGATGATGTCCAGAGATCAAATTGGTATGTTCTCAGCACAATGCTCCTTTTCTGAAAATCTGTCATGGGAATGGCAGGGATGCTGAGTTTCTCCATGACTTCTCTCGCGTATGGGTCACCGAGAATAGGTCTGGGGAGGGCGTTGTCGTATCCACGGGCGATCAGAGTGAGCAGGCAAGTTCTTGCAACGCCTTTCAGATTGACCTCGATCTTGATCTTCGGCGTGAGATCCGAGTGGGGGCAGGATGAGATACTGGCTTTAGGCCATCCATGTTCCTCTTTGATATAAGCAAGAGCCATGTCGCTGGGAGGAAGTTGTGTCAATCTGGGATGAATTTGATCTTGATTTCAAAGTGTCAAGGAGCATGGCTGCTATTTATGCTGTTCATGGAGACCTCTTTTCTTTGTTGAGCCTCGAAAAATTCAGCTGGTATCCACTGGTCGTTGGGAATCGACGAGGCCATCTCCACTTCACTAGGCAATCCTTGTCGACATACGTAGCTCGCCATTTTGGTCCCATAGAAACCCTGTCGCTTGGAATACCGCTCTGATTTCTCATTTTCGAGATGTGATAAGAGATCACGAGCCCCGGAGTACGAAGTATCAGGCCCACCAATAGATGCGTGAAGGATGATGTGAATTGCAGGTCTGTCAACTGGTTGAAAGTGTGAATGGTAGTTCTTCGTTGACATATGAATCCATAAGAAGCATTTCAGTCCTTGAAAAGCCATAATTGAACATCTTGAATTATTCAATGCTGATTTATGTTCTTTCTGGGACATGTAACACTAGGTTGACATGCGAAGAGGTCGGTTTAGATCGGGGAATGACCATTCCAAATTCTGTAATTCTTGGAGGTTAATACTAGTAGATCCATAAAATTTTAAGCCTGAGAGATCTTAGATCTTAGATTTTTAAAATTGTAAAGTATGTGATCATAATCTTAGATTTAAACATGAGATCTACATCATCTATTAAGATCGATAAGTGTTCCCCGCTGATAATGCTTAGGTGGGGTTCGATTCTTATTAAGTAATATCAACCATTTAGTTACTCTATGTACTCATTCCGTTTCACGCCTTTCGGACGCCACGGGTGGGACTGGAGATAAAGTCCTATAAATCCATTGGTCTAAACCATACGACGAATTGTAAATTAACACTATCCGCTGCGACTAACTTGAAGCTTCTGGATACATGTTCCGTTGACTCATTTCTTCCCAATCCCCTCTGACTTGATAGAAACCTTTATATTGGACTGCAACTCCATTCTTTCATCGCAATTCTTCATTATTCAAAGTGAAAAGTAACTCGGATCACCCGGAATACTCTTGAAATCATGACTATCACCAGTGGCTCGGAGCCTACAGCTTTTGGAAAGCCAATGTTGAAGCATTGGCAGTTTGACCCCTCATATACAAATCTTAACCACGGTCCGTATCCGAGTCCCGAGGTCTTCAATCATGAAACTACTCGACATAATGCTAACGCATGATAGGTTCCTATGGCGCGAATCCCATCGTAGTCCGAGAGAAGCAACGTGCTCTTCATGGTCTCGTCGACAACCGTCCAGACCCATATATCCGGGTCGAGCAAGCGAAACTTCTCGGCCAAGCTCGGGAAGAGGTCGCTGCCATTATTCACGCCCCAAAGGATGAATGTGTCTTCGTGAGGAATGCAACATCCGGCGTCTACACTGTTCTTTTCAATCTGAACTTCCAAAAAGACGAGGCGATCATTTATTTTGAGTCTGTGTATGGAGCCGTGGAATATGGCTTCGTCTCTTTGCAAGAACACTCTCCTCTCCAAGCTCGCAAAGTTCCTTTCGAGTTCCCCATCGCAGAGGATGAATTGGAACGCCGTTTCCGTGATGTGCTTAGCAAGGCGCGCGCTGATGGTCTGAAAGTACGCGCTGCAGTCTTCGATGCGGTTGTCAGTAATCCGGGTGTTCGATTTCCTTTCGAACGGTTCGTCAAAATCTGTCGCGAAGAGAGTATTCTTAGCGTGATTGATGGTGCCCATGGTGTTGGAATGATTCCTCTCAATATGGAGGAGCTGCAACCTGACTTTTTCATATCCAACTGCCACAAGTATGTATCACTTTTCCAGATCTCCATCATCCTGGCATGACTCATTATGTCTGACCTGTTATCTAGATGGCTCTACACCCCTCGCGGCTCGGCAGTGCTTTACGTACCCAAACGTAACCAGCACTTCATCCGCACAACACTCCCCACATCGTGGGGCTTTATTCCTGGACCCAAGACTCCCGATGATATCTCATCCGGCATCCGATCTATGTCCTTACAGGACCAGTCAGCCAGATTCCAGCAATTATTCGCAGAGACCGCAACAAACGACGATTCTTCCTATGTCTGCGTTCCTGCAGCTCTGAAATTCCGCCGGGAAGTCTGCGGTGGCGAGGAAGCCATCATGTCTTATTGCCAGACCCTTGCCAACGAAGCCGGTGATCTAATTGCCGCCGCTCTTGGAACAGATGTACTCCAAGAACCAGATCTCAAGCCTGGCGAGAAGAGTAATATGCGTCAATGCTGCATGACTACCATCCGTCTGCCTATCGGGGTTGCGGGCGCTGATCTCGGGGGCGCTTGGGGAACCTTATCCTCCGAGGAGATGAATCTCGCAGTCGTGCATATGCAGCGATCGTTGGTTGCTAAGTATGATACGTTCCTTCCTATTTTCCGCCATGGTCCGTGGTTGTGGACTCGTATTAGTGCTCAGGTCTATCTGGAGAAGAGTGATTTTGAGTGGGCTGCTGGTGTCCTGCGTGAGCTGTGTGAGAAGGTTGCTCAGAAGGATTTCACTGAGGATTTTACTGAGAAGAAGCCTCAGATTGCTGCTAAATAGTCATGGTTTTGAGATTTGTTAAATTTACTCAAGTCCTGTTCAAATGTTCCAAGGTTTAATACATGTCTACCTAGTATGGATTATTTGCAACATCATTTGGAAATCTAATATCCCTCCTCCAAAGCAGATAGCATAGTTATCGCCATAGCATCAGTACCTACTCACAATGTAGGCTGGGTGGTCAGCGTAAAGAAAGGTGAATAAGTTTATTTCTGTTGTCGCTGTAGTATGGAGACGCTAACACGAAATGGTAACAAATTCTCCCTTATATTCGAGTAAAAAGCTCCCCAGGTAACCTCTCTACCCGGCTATAGTCTAGCGGTCTAATGACCCGTTTGGGGGACATTGATACGAAAATTAGGTATGCAGAGCCTGATTTTGGTGGGAGAGATGATCCCTGCGGGCGGGAGGGAATCAGCTTCGGCTGGAATAATGATTTTTGGGGGGGGATTTTTTTCCCTTTTACCCATGATACTTCTAGCCTTTCCCTTTCTATTCCATCTTTCAGATCCTCAAAATAAAAATAGTTGAGCGAGCTAGAAGGGATTATGTCTTGAGGATGGATGTATCAAGTGAGGCCACCGGGGCCACGCATTTCTGATTTCGAAGGTCTTGGGTTCGATCCCTGACCTTGTTGGATTTCTTTTTCTTTTTTCTTGTCACAATACTGAACTTTCTTTCTTACCATATAGGTACCTTCATATTTCTGGCTTGACTGATGCCTTGATGTAATACAACTCGATGAATGATATGGAGACTTTCATTCCAGATTTAAAAGCCCACAGAAGAGAGTAATGACCAGTTCCTTAAGTGGACACGTAAAAGACTTGAGATCTAAGCAACTATGGATTTCAAGTTACTACCTCGAAAGGGTTACCCTGCTACATACATTCTGCTCAACGATGATTCAGAGTGTGTGTTTGTAGTAAACTCTCAATTCATACCTAGGTATACTGTCGATTCCAGTTCAATCACGCAAGTCCAGTCATAGATAAATACTCCGAGTCATGATATTGCCAATCATTTCTGTATAAAATCAAGGTTCAGCACGCCATCCAATGCCAGTCTCATCACAGATCACCTCATACTAAAGCAAACATCAACTGCGGGGGAAGTTATATTCCACACATATTCCTCCTTTTCACCAAGGTCCTCTCTTGACTGCTAGCTTATAATACCATTTCCAACATTTGAAATATTCCATCATGTCAGTCGCCCGAGAATTCGAAACAGCGAACGGAAAATATGCCGCATCTTTTACAAAGGGTGATCTCCCTCTCCCACCCGCGCGGTAAGTATATCCATGGATCACACACTGTGGATCAATCAAATCAATCACATCTCCACTTTATCCCCACTGTGATATATCTAAAGCGCTAACATCATTTTTATATCTAGCAAGGTCGCTATAATCGCCTGCATGGACGCGCGACTCGGTACGTCACGATCTATTCTTACATCTACACTGGGAACTAGGTAAAGATGTTGAACTTCTCAACTGAGAACTTGATAACTTCTGGATATGCTCCGTATGTATGATCTATAACTAATTTAACAATCTCAAATTCCAGATCCCGCCCGTGCATTAGGCCTCGAAGAAGGCGACGCCCACGTCATCAGAAACGCAGGCGGACGGGTATCTGACGCACTACGCAGTATCGTCATCTCGCAGCAGTTACTCGGGACGCGGGAGATCATCATCGTGCACCATGTAAGCTGTTTCATACAATCAAGTTATTTGCCACTCATTGAGTCTGGATGAATCTTGATACATACTTGACTGCAGTTCAATGCTAATGGTTATAGACTGATTGTGGAATGCTTACTTTTACGGATGATGATATCCGGAATAAGATTCGAAACGAGCTTCAGCAAGACGCGGATCATATTGCCTTTTTACCTTTTCATAATCTGAGGCAGAGTATTTCGGATGATATTCGGTTTTTGAAGGGGAGTTCGCTTGTTTTGGATGTTCCTATTACGGGGTTTATATATGAGGTTGAGTCGGGTAAGGTTGTTAAAGTGGAATAATGCTATTGATTAATAGCATTAATATTGTCTGCTGCACATGTTACAAGGTTGTTATGGTCTTGATATTTCAATTTTGACCAGCTTACTACTATTATACTTCAGGACTACTTGAGTGGATGAGATTGCAATATATTCAACTTCTGATTGCAATATATTCAACTTCTCATAAGTACTGACCCGACTACTATACAAGTCTACTGTTACTGCACAGGTGGAGGGTGAAAGTATTGGCATACCGATAATATATTCTACCATCACCATAAATGGTAGTAGTATCATCAAGAAATAATACAGAAAGCATGGTGACTAGCCCGGGCACATCATGATCCGCCTGCGTACCGTGTGTGTAAACCTATCAAGAGAAACTGCAGCTGAAAATGAAAATGGGGGTATGAGGTGAAGCATAAAAAAAGAAAAGGAGCGCTCAAGCTGCTTGTATCGCCACATAAAACACAGGGCAAAAGAGATGTAATCCGAGGGGAAATGGTGTGTTGGAAAAATAGACAAGTTCGCTAGCTGCGTCATTCATGACATAGTCTTTAGTGGCTGCCAGACCCAAATCGACTCCAAACCCAGCCTGTAAAACCTCCACGTTGTCCATCACGACTGTGCCGACTGGACCGGCTAGATCGCCTCGTACCGGAGCCAGAAGCATTCTGATCAGGAGTAGGAGAATTGGGGACCGATGAATTTTGATTCGAGCGATTAGATCGAGAAAAAGAAGAGCGTCCACTAAACGATCCAAATGGGGAACTGCGTCGTCGACGTCGATTGGAAGATGTAGCGCCTGGGCTATCCTGGATAATAACTGGGTCGTCACTGGTGCCTTCACCAGTTGTCCGTGTGGTCCTTTGTGAAACATTTAATGTCAGCTGGGCTGGTCTAGGTTGGAGGGGCCGGGCTCATGAGGGAGGTGAAAAAAAAAACTCACCCACGAGCAGGGTCCTGAGCAGGGTCCGCCTGGGTAGGATTAATGCTCCGGCGACAATGTGGGCAGGTATTTTGTTGGGTGAGCCACATCTCAATGCAGTCGAAATGGAACCAGTGTTTGCAAGGTAACATGGCAACTTCCGTTCCCAATTCTACCGTATCCTTGCAAATGGAACATTCAGCTTTGCCATCCGATCCCAGCATCTGCTGGTCGGCCTTTTTCCTGGGTAAGGAGTGAATGGCCGAAGTGGGTGCTGGGGGTGGTGCAGTCCCTGTAGCATTATGATCAATTAGCTGGGAGATTACTCGATCTAGTTCCTCTTGTGAATAGACAGCATCTCCATTCCGGTTTAGATCTAGTAATGCAGAAAGCATCGCCAACGGGTTTGGGCCGGTACCAGTTCTTCGCGCCGTTGCTGGCCGAAGAGATTCAAAAAGCCTAGGATAGGCGACGTTAGCGCGTCCAAAGTGATTACGATACCTGGGTTTATGGAGCACATACTCAGCTAGGCTACCCTCTGACGGAAATGCGGTTCTTGATGCATATCGAGGCAACGCGGGATCTGCATATCGTGGTAACGCGGGATCTCGTGGAGCTATTTCTTCGGGATCGGGATGGTCGCCCAACCCCCGATGGAAGGGATCTTCCCAGCCTGATGAATCAGAATGGAATGGATCTATTGCAGCTCTTCTTGCCCCATTCTCAGTGTATCCGGTCTCCCCAAGCGATCGGAATATAGCATCTAGTCCCTGCAGCATGGTTGGCACGGTGGGAGCAGGTTGGGCATTGCCTTGTCGGGTTGGGAATCCGCCTGTTACCGAAGTACTAATGAAAGTGAATCGATGATTGGGTGACGAGTATGAGTGGGTAGTAAATGATGGAGAGCCCGGCATGCTTGAGCGTGAATAAGTGCGGTGCTCCGTTCGTCTCCAACCCGGACGATCATCATCTGTTGACTCATGGCGCGGGGATTCTGGTGCTGGGAATTGCTCTGGAGGATCATTATCGGGAGGAATTTCAATCTATAATAGCGTCAGTAAGAAGTTCAAGCTCGAAATTATCTTAGGTTTAAATTGATGCCGCATACAATCTCCGTAAAGTCAGATTCACATAGCGGGCAGCTTAAATCCGTCTCATCAACTTGTAAGGCTACCCCGCCACAAGCATGACAAAATATGCGATCTTCTCGGTTCGACATGGTTGAAAGTGAAAGAGAAATCAAGTAAATGCGTCAGGACACGCGTTGGGGGAGTAAAGACACTCAAGAGATCAAGTCGCCGGATATTGCGCGGAGCAGTCACGAGTCATGGCCTTATCAACGCGGGGCAGCTATGTGTTATTGGACTACTGCAAGTATCCGAGGTAACGAAGCAATAAGAAGATGGATTTCTTTAAGAGAAGCGACGTGTAATATTTCCAGGAGAAAAAGAAAAGAAGAAAAGAAAAAAAAGAAAAAAAGAAAAGAACTAGCTATTGAATATGACGTCGGGAATCAAAGCGGTTGCCTTATGGCAGTATTTAGGTACTACACGACAGTATAGAAATCCACACTTGGCATAAAACACCACGATTTCTTTCATGCACTATAAAAATAGAACCTGCAAGAATGATTCAAATTCAGCTTAATTTCATGTCTCGGAAGAATAATGATGCAAGTGGCAAGGAGTATGGAAGAATGTGAAAACTAAATAAAACACTTTATATACTACTACTACCTACTACTACCAAGTCGTAGTGCTATGTTAAGACTAAAGATATCAGAGTAAGCCTCCCAACATTTGAAGCTTCAGTCGGGATTGAATAATAGTTCGTTAAAGCCTGAGTAACATGACGAAACAGAAAGTACAGGTATAACGCCTGAAAAATGCTTGCATCATACAAATAAATCCCCCGATGAAAAGAAGCTAGGCAAAAGAACACCACTGGACACTATACAGAAATAGAAAAGAAAAAGAGTCAAAAAGCCGCGACGCAAGGTCGCCCCGAGCCGACTGTGCCACAAACCCTTGCAGCGCGTCAATCCTAACGCTCACCGTCTTCTACTAGCTCCCTTGAAAACTAGGCTGCCAACGACTCCCGCAGCTACAGCTAAGCCTCCCACGATCGCAATGCCCATTAGACCTTCCTTTGCCACTTTATCATCGATGAGGGATCCGAGACTGGCTGCCTGCAGATTGGCAGGTTCCTTCTCCAGCAGAAGATCATTATACCGACGAGCTTCGCCATAATTGCCCAACTTGTAGTTGCCTAGTGCGAGATAGTACAAGCACTCTCGTCGTCGTTCCGGTGCGCCACGGAAGATCTCTGACAGGAGCCGGACGCCTTCTTGTTGGTCGGGCCGAGTGTTTGACTTAATAAGACCCTATATTGAATTAAATCTCCGACATAAGCGGAGAGAAAGGGTTAGCCGGATATGTACAGTGATTGATTGCGTTTTCCGGTTGGGTAGCTGGGTAGCTTAGAGGGGTCTCATACCCAAGCATAGTTGAACTTCGTTTGGATGCCCACGTAGTCGCCTTCTTTCTCGTACTGGGCACGTAAGACCTGCAGCTCAGCGGGTTTCAACGGACTGTATTCGTATTAGATACGTCATTTTGCTTCGTCCCAAAGTGCTCGGAGCACTTTGGCATGGGAATTCCGACAGACCTTTCCGCATCGGCGGCATCTGGAACAGTGGCGCATAAGTTAGCAAACAGCGAACAGAAATGGGAAGCGGGGATAAGGGGCATGGGTAACCTACATGGGAGATTAGACATGATTCAAGATATTCTGTTAGAGTCGAGGAGTTGCAAACGGAGAAGACGGAGATCCGAAAAGAGTCCAAAGTAAGATCCAGAATAATCATAGGCGCCAACGTCACTTGCGGAGAAACATGTGGCGGTGCAAAGTGTGGCGGTTGCTGCCGCAACAACTAATCAAAACATCTCCAATTTCATCAACTTACACATATTAAACAGCCATCATGTTACTTGACGAGGATCCTGGCACGGTATGCTGAGTAAAATATTTATTATTCATTTGATCAGACACTAATACTCATTTTAGCTCATCCACCACACAATCGGCAACTTCAATATCCATCCAGATAAACAAGCCGTCACGCGCATCAATGACTCGCTCTCCACCCTCCAACAGTCCCGCGACCTGCGCATCCGCGAGGCTGAATCCTCCTTGCGCAAGCTGTCACGCCACCTCCACTCCCTGAACACCCAACACGAAGAGGCAGTCGCTGTCCACGACTCGGGTAAACATGCCGCGGAGATCGTCGAACTCGACACCAAGAAATTCCGCGTTGCGAAAGCTGCGACGGAACTAGAGATCGAGAGCGAGCGACTCGAAAGTGAGCTGGAAATGCTCAAGGAGCGACTGGCTGATCTTGAGGCGCAAGGTCTGGAGGGTGATGAGCCCACGCGACGGGAACGCGAGATGGACGATGCTACAATGTGAGTTGCGCCTTGTTCACTGGACTTGACTTTATACTAATCAGCCGATCTAGTCTGAGACTTAAGATCTTCCGATCACTGGGTATCGATATTGAGCCTGATGACGCGGGAAATTTCCACCGCGCAGTTATTCGTAATAGCCGTAAGGGTGATGTCCATGTCGTTAACATCGACCCCAAGTTTTCACGATTCTTTTACTCGAACTATTTCTGGCAGACTATGCAGGGATAATTGAGCTCATGGCGTTTTAGGGAAGGTGCTTGTCTGGCTGGAGTTCTTTTTTATACCCAAAGTTTTTGATATGAATGAAATGATTATCCATTTGGAGATTATTGTCCTTTCTGCTGACAATAGTGGTATCAACTATATAATACATATAAAAGTAAATTTTTATACACGCTTCAAAGCCTCAATCACCTTCAGCTGATGCACTTCCGCCACAGTTCCATCCGGATCTGTTTCTGGACAGCCACCAGGAAAGACCCTTTCAATCGTATCCAACAACACATTCTTATCAACCTCCAAGTCCTTTACCCAAGATTTAACCCAGCGCTCTTCCTCCCTCTCCAAACGAAGCTCAACAGACTCCATGTCCGGAATATCGGACCCATCCCACGTAAGTTCAACCTTCTTCTTAAGCTCCGAAGACTCAGTAGATCCATCCACCTCCGCATACCGCATCTCAACTCCCAAAGCTCCCAACCCCATCTCCTCCGCCTTAGAGTTCCAAAGCGCCTGTCTAAGCACTCCATCCCGCTCAATCATCATCCAGAAAAGCGGGAAGGAACTCCTAGCCAACGCATCCCGTACTCCCTTCGTTGCCTCGCGCGGACTAACCAAAACCCCCACTGTCTGGCCCGTGCGCCAACCCACCGGTGCTTGTCGCAAGGCACCTTCAAGCTCTCGAACAAGGTTCGGTCCTAGTTTCGTCTTGAATGCCTTGCACTGCACTAATACGCGGAGTGCACGCGAGTCCACGTGTTCGGGTAGGTGCCAGGTCCCTGCGAGATCGATGCCTGCATCGTCGCGGCCGCCAATCCGGTGGAGAGCTAGTGCATAGCGACGTAGACTTTGTAGAACTGTGTACTCGTAGTGCGTGCCTATGTAGACAGTACTTGATTCTGGAAGGGAGATTCTGGAGGCGTAGGAGAGGAATTGGGGGAGGTTGTCATGTTGTGAGGAGGGTGCGGAGGGTGCGGAGGGGAGTTTGTAGAGGCGGCGTGTGAATGGGGAGAGGTTATTGTTGATTTGAGTAGAGGAGAAGCATCGTGTTGAAGGAGGATTTATACTTTGAGAAATGAATGTGTAGATCGAGGATCTGGCACCGAGGCCATAATTTAATCGTAAAGAAACTCTCATTGACGAGTTGTTGTCAAGTCGAGGAGTGATTGCGCTCTCACCGCATTACAGCTTTTTCTCCGCATTTCAAGTTAACAGATCCACTTCTTCCAAAGTTCTTCCCTTCTTCAATACCCTCATTACTTCCTGAATTAAGCATCCAGTCGTCCACAATGGCAGACATCTTAACTCAACTTCAAACCTGCCTTGATCAGGTAAGAACCATATACTTCATTCAAACTCATTGATAATTCACCCAGCTAATACTCACCAGCTCGCAACCCAATTCTACGCAACGCTGGGCTACCTCTCAACATACCATGACAACAGTGCAGCAATACCACCACCAAACGTCCCAGACGCAGCGCCTGCTCTTGCAAAAATCTCCAAAAACACAACCTCCCCTCCAGTCCCAGCATCCATAGCCGCGAAAGTGGGCGATGCAACCACAGGACAAGCATCTCCCCCACCCGCACCACCACAACAACCCGGTGAAGGTCCAGCTGAAGGTGAAGATCCGAATCTCCCACCGCAGCCTGATTCACCGCGCACATTTGCGAGTCGGCAGCGGGAATTGGCGCGGGATCTCATTATCAAGGAGCAGCAGATTGAGTATTTAATCTCTGTGTTACCCGGTATCGGTGCCTCGGAGGCAGAGCAGGAAGCTAGGATTCGGGAGTTGGAGAGACAACTGAGAGATGTGGAGAAGGAGAGAGAGGATAAGGTGCAAGAGTTAAGAGCGTTAAGGAGGCGGCTGGAGGGTGTGCTTGGGGCTGTTTCGGTGGGGATTCATGGAGATCGAGAGGGAGGATTGAGAGAAGTTGGCAATTGATAATGAGTTTTAATTCAACTCTTGCTCTTACTCAAGGTTCCTGTCTCTCTACTGATCTAAGTTCTCATTGTTCGTTTTGGTTAATTTTATGCCCGAGGAATGGATGGGCAATGGCGTTGGAAGGTTACTTTGTCATGCTAGATACCAATTTATAGAACCTACTAATTCATTTCAAAAGATAAACATACATCAACTTAAATGACATAAGAACGTTGATTAGGGGTATTGGAGTGCAGCGAGCATCAAAATCTAAGGGCATGATAGGGCATCTAGATGAAACCATGCGTGTATCGGGTAAAGCATCGAAATGAAACTTGGTGAAGAGACTCAGACTAAAAGCAAGAAGAAATAGGAAAGAAAAAGAAGAGCAAAAGACCCGGTATATGTGCGCAAGGAGTATCATGCGCAGAACCTAGCGCCCGAGTAAATGACCGCCACCGCCGGGTATAAAACAAATTGTGAAAAATCAAAACCATCCTGCCGCCGGAATCCGAGTCTGAGCCGTGATTTGGGATGCGAAACTAAGAAAAAAAGAACCGGGGGAAAGAAATTGGGAACGAAAGCAAAAAAAGGGTGAGAAGAAGGGATACCAAAAGCAGAATCAAGGGCCGTACGAAAAAGAGAGATAAAATCATCCAGAACAATAGACACTTTGAAGATGGAATGAAAAGAACCCTCCAGGTTCTTTTGAAGGAGCAACCTTGAAGTCATCACAGGAACAGAGTACGGTATTCTTCCATGCGTTGTTCCTGAGCTTCCTTCTTATCAAGCTTGCCTCGATTCAGACTCATATCGGCCAGTCGCTGCTTCTTCTTCGCCAGTTCAAGAATCTTCTTTTCGATACTGTCATTCATGATGAACTGAATGGTTTGAACGGGTCGCTTCTGACCAAGTCGATGGACACGGTCTACAGCCTGCGCAACCGCAGCAGGGTTGTAATGTGGTTCCATGATATAAACCCGGGATCCAGAAGTAAGGTTCAGGCCAACACCACCCGCACCGATGGTAGCTAGCAAAATGGTAATGCTATCGTCTTTGGCAAAGGCATCCAGTGCTTTCCCGCGCGCTGCGAGAGTCATCGAACCATCAAGACGAGTGAAACTGTCGAGATCGGAATTCTTCAAAGCGATCTCAATCAAATCTAGATGAGTGGTCCATTGGGAGAAGACCACACTCTTGATAGGAGGCTCATCTACCAGGTTCTTGCTTTCCTCTTGGCTAACCTGAAGATGCTCAATCAATGCCTTTGTTTTTGTATGAGGCCCCTCATACTCGCCTAAGATTTTACCGTTGCGTCGCAGTTGTCGGTCTTGAGCCTGTTGAATGGTATAAGCCTCGAAACCTGCTGGAGTAAGGACGGTGTAAGCCTTGGCGATCCAGCCATCACAGGCTTTACACATAATATCTGTCCCAGAGGTAGCTTCCCATTCATTCTTCTGATTTAAGAAGCATTCAGGACAAATGATATCAAAGCATGGTAGGAAAACCGCCATGGCTGTATCTCGGTCGACTTCGCCGGATCCATTTCCATTACCATTACCATTGCCATTGCCATTGGTATTTGCTGTTCCACTGACTGCATCAGCAAAAGACTTTCGGCACAAGGCACATTGATCAGCGTTTGTTGCCTGCATCAGCGTGAACATTTCGTATCCCTTTTTCTCATCAGGAGGGCCAGTGATGTCCTGGGTATTATCGTCAAGATCGATGGGTTCATGGCGATTGAGACCCTTGATACGCTCTCGATCTTCAAGAGGCAGAAGCTCTTTGCCATGTGCACTGACTTGACGCAGGATCATCATTGCCTTCAGCACGTGGTGATAGACACGTCCTCCAATACTGGATTTTGTATCGTTGGTAAGGACCTTCATCATTTGACTGGATTCGGCACGGAAAAAGTTGTGAAGTTTCTTTTCCTCCTCAGAGAAATCGAGCATGATGAACGAATCCTCGCGGGGTGGTAGATCAATTCTGTCTTTGACACGGCGTAGCGTGAAGGAATCGATGAAGAGTTGCAAGCTACTCAGAGCAGTAGGATCACCACTTTTGAACCGACTAATGATAAACTGATTGAAATTACCGCGATCATCATAGGGGGGCAAGTCGCAGGAATCTTGTGACGGAGAGCAGATCCTCGAGGCGATTCTGCACAGGGGTTCCAGTCACTGACCAGCGCCTATTTGCATGAAGACCGAGAATGGCCTTCGTTTGCTGAGCGTTCTGTTCGCGAATTGTATGTGCTTCATCCAACACGATACGGAACATGTTCATTTTAGTCAGGGGACTGGGTCCACGTCCTGACCGCTCTTGGATTTCACTGAGGATGGTACTGTAGGTAGTAATGATCAGATCGTATGTAGAAAGCTCTTTGAGATCGAAGGTGCGGTTCGGTCCATGGAAAGTGTACCACTTCACGGAATTTTCCTGGAGGTGCTCTTGAATTTGCATCTCCCAATTCTTCACCGCACTCAATGGAACTACCAAAAGAGTAGTGCGAGTATTACGAACACCGGGGATTGCTCGGGCTAAGCCAGCTGGTGGGGGTTTCTTTTCCCACTGGTAAGCTTGTGGGAGTGACGAAAGAGCCAGAGAGAGGATGCTCAGTGTCTTTCCCAGACCCATCATATCGGCCAATAAGCCACCAAGAACCTGAGGTGGTTCTCGAGATACGACGAGGCCAGTGATTATCTCCCTGTATTCTGTTTGACCGTTAGTGTTGCTTTTGTTCGAGGGTTGAGCACGCCAGAGCGAGGTATTGTCTGCTTCGGTATTCCCAAACTTTCGTGGCTTTTCTTTCTCTGTCATAAACCACAAGGCTTGTTTCTGATGATGAAGCAGAGGAGTCAAAACTGATGCAGGTGCCTCCATCTCGGGGATATCAGTGTTGTGGAGTTGGTTAAGCATCTTGGTCACAGAGTCTGTAATCTCTTCTGCGGTTCGCACTTCGTACCTCTGACCAAAACGATCTCGCCCATTGTTGACAGCTGCAGCTGTAGATGCGACTGCCATCTCTCTTCTCTTCTGTTCATGAGGATTCCAAAGAGGAACCCCCTTCTCCACAAATGGTGGTGTGCTCAGCCATACGTTGTTATGACCGAGCTGTCGGCCAACAAGGTGTGCCCACTGGCGTTCACCGTACAAGATCAGTGATGCCTTGTAGCTTCGTGAAATAGGGTTCCATATAATCTCATCATCGAAGATGTTGCGCATATCCAGCCGAGCTCCAACATCGAGGTGAAGATGCTCTGAGTGAAGTAATGGGCAAAGTGCATGAGCGGTAATGGGGTCCACGAAGCCAAAGATTTTGCCATGAGGGTCCGAGACCTCAATGCGCTTGTCCATCATATTGGGTATTTGATGTAGATCCAGCTTGACAGGCGGCCACTGGCCAGCAAAGATAGACTTGGAGTTTTCACCTGGCTTGGGAACCAAATGCGCGTTGACCGTGGCTCCTTCAATCTTACCGTAGCAAACCCGTTGTTTTCTGAGATCGTTGGACCCTGTGACTTGAATCTCATCGTCGGTACTGTCCTTTGGGGGCGTGGCTGTCAAATCAACCACGGTATCTTTTTGATCTTCTTTGATAAACCGACCAATCTCGCTGTCACCGGGGATATTGACGGATTGACTGGCTGATCCAGTAGGCGATTCCTGCACCTTGATTTTCTTGGCAGGTTGCTGTCTGCGCTGTTCGACGTCGTAGATATCCTCAATAAAGTTCCGAGGTCGTGCAGTATCTTCGGCATCACTGGTTTCGTCGTAGCTGCGCTTTGAATCGGTGAACTGAACGGATACATGATCGTCAGGCTTCGGCGCGTCGGCTGGCGCAAGACTCGATGTCATGGCAGCATGTGAAGGAGAAAGCTTCCGAGGTATTGTGGTCGAGAACTGAACAGCCGGAGAAGTTCCAGCAGGTGCGATAGATTGGGACGAGGGTAACGCTGTGTCGAGACAAAGTAAGTGAGTTGATTCGGTCGAATCCACTGAGTGAAGCGCGGGGGAAGCCGTTGCAGAGTCAAGGGACAAAGAGGAGGGATTTTCTTCCCGCATTGTGTTGACTGCCACCTCACTGTTCCCTTGCAAGGCATCTTGGCTCTCAGAAGTGGATGAAGTACCGTTTTTCTTCATTTGTTTCTTGAAGCCCTTGGGGTCTAACAACATAGCCGCCTGGGAGGCCATGATGCCTATTTGATGTTGAAAATGAGGATGTCGTTCGGGAGTCGGTTTGCTCCAGGAAGGAGGCGTCGCGAACGAGAAAGACAGATGAGTAAGGAACGTTGGAAGCAGGATGAGGACGGGGTTGATCGAGGAAGAGTTATGAGCAGGTGACCAGCACGGGAACAAGAAACGCGTTCAGTCTCAGGTTCACGTCCTGTAGCACATCGAGTGCCTCGAGGAGGAGGAGAAACTGCAAACCACTAACAGTTGCTCCTCATGCCCGGTTCGCGTTAGTGTGTTGAAACTCGAGGATGTATTGAAGGAGTTGCGATCATGACCTCACAGCTGGAAAAGGCGGCTCGGAAGATCCCGCCGATAAGGAGGGTTTATCTGTAGTGGTCGGTGGGTTGGAACAAAAGGTGACGAGGGAAGAAAGGAAATTGGAGTAGAAAAACTATTTAACGCGGTCAGGATATGAAGAGAATTGAAAGGTGTAAATTGTATGGATTTCCATTGCATGTGTTCATAGTGGTTTTGCAACTAAGCGCTAGTTTATCAATCTATCTCTATCGCCTCGGGCCCCGCAGGTACAATCATAACAGCGATCATAAGAGAGGGAACTTGACTTAGGCACTAGATGCATGAATGCGTGAAATTTCCCAGAAACTAATACCATATAGGTTTAATATCTTAATTGTATTATATGTTATTAGCTCTTACCTATAGCTTCATATATGGATTTCCACCAAGAACACTCCATCTGTGCCAGGTGTATATCAATGGGATGCCCTAACAACCGCAAGGGAGATGAGGATATGGTGTATTCTACCTACTAACAGTGTCAATGGTGTGTACTGTGCCTAGTGGTGTGGTTTATGGTGTGGTTTATGGCGTAGCGTGTAGTGTGGCGTCCTGAATAGATAGCGCCTCAGGTCAATGACCAATACGTAGGTGTACAAAAAAAAAGATGGAGAAAAACCTAGTACATCTAGACGATGGTATCATGGAATTAGGTCTCGTCATATATGCTACATGAGGCGCTCAATCAATGCGCCACTACCCCAACCCGAACAGCCAGAGACGGTCTATATACAACACAAATTCTCCCAATCATGAGCGTGGCGTACAGAGCAAAAAGAGGAAATTGGGCAAAATGCGACATTTGCAGAAGCAATTGCCGCCAGGACAGGAACAGGAAAGAAGAGAAAGAAAGAGAAAATAAGAGAATTCAGATGCAGAGGACTCGGAAACCGGTCACTCTAAGCTCTGAGGAGAACGCTAAACGAAACAATGGCGGATTAAATAGTTGAGATGGGAAAATGCGACGGCATGAAAAGGGAATCGAGGGAAAGGTATCAACACCAGGTGAAAACAGGGTTCTTGCTCTTCACGGCTTCTAGGCGCTCCACAATGACTTTGCGTTGGTTGCCCTCCATGCCCTCAGCAGCTGCATATCCGAGGTCTCCTTCGAGGTCATCGCTGCCGAAGGTATTGATATGGGGAACACGGAAAGAAAGGGAACCACCATGCTTGCGATGTTTGTTTGTTCGAGCAGGAAGATCCGGCCATCCATCCAGGGACCGGGCATAAGTTCCATCCATGGTTTGGCGAGAATAGTCTCCTTCGTGGATAGTATCAGGACTACCAAAGGTGTCAGTAGCTCGCTCATCATTCCGGCCACGAGAGAGCTCGAACCGGTTAGGATTAGGAAGGTCGTTCGAAGATGGGCCCAGTCCCAGAAGATCTTCCTCATGGTTTGGTTGAGAGTACTTGGCTGCACCAATGTCCATCTCTTCATCTTCGTTGTCGTAATTCATGGCTTGGCGTCTTTGCATATCCGTAGAGGGTGCTCGCATAGGGATGGCAACGGGCACATCGACCAGATCATCCCAGACACAGACGCGAGTTCTTCGGGTCAACTCGAGAGGACCGTGATCCGCGTGCTTCAGTGTTTCAACTACGTTCCATGCTTGTCCCTTCATAACCGCGATTTGTCGAGCAAACATGCCCTCTTTGAAATCGTCGTCCTGAGAGAACACTCGGCGTAGCGCCATTTGCGTCCCACTCCACCAGGCTGTAGATGTGAGCAAAGGAAGAAAGTGGTCGCGCGTCTTTTGTGAAAAAGGTTGACCGATTAGTGAAACTGGTAGGAAGAGCCATCCGAAGGGGAAACTCCGCCACTGGTTTGGTGTGTTAGCTTTCAAGTAGATAAACAGATAAGGTCGAAGAGAAACATACCGCATCGGGATGCTTCCAGGGCCATGATAAACTGTTATCAATGGCACCAAGTTGCACAGAAGCTTGTTGCTCTGAAGAAGCCAATGGTGTTCCTGTGCGGCTCACTGCCATCATTGTCTCGCGTCTTCTGTAGGGGTTGGATCCGTTTGAGTTGACCGAAACCGGGCGAGGTGGGGGGAGGAGTTCGTCATCGTCATGCTTGGGTTGCGGCTCTGTAGTCTTTGGAGGATCTGCCACAATGGAAACCTGCTCGGTGGCCCAATCAATCTTGATCATCCAGTTATCTAATCCTCGATCTGTATTCCGCATGATGTAGTCCAAAATAACCAATTTTTCGAGTTCCTCGCGGAATGATTGCTTCAAAGTCTCGGTCCAGTTGAAACGGCGCTCGGCGCTTTCATCGCGCGGTGTACGAGATGCATTTCCAGCCTCATCATCGTCCTCGTCGTCAGATTGAGCACCCGATGGGCGACAGGCTTCGTTCCATGGTCGCTTCTTTCGTCTCGGCGCATCTTCAGCTCGGAAGCCTGAGTTAGTCTGATCAGGCCAAGGGTGTTCCCGCAGGAAGATATTCGCGTCTTTGTATCCTTTCAAGAAAACCTGGAAACTACCAGCCTTGGGAGGAAGGGTATTCTTCCCTTTCCAGGCCTTGCGGCGATCCCAGAAATCGTAGAAGAAGGACTTGGAGGACAGGTAGGCAATATCGGTATATGGAACAAGGTTTGTGCGCAGGCGGGCATCGAGAACATATGCGGCGGCTTCGGAGACGTAGGAGAGGTTGGGAATCAAACACGCTCGGCCAAAGAAACAAGGGAACAAATTGCGGTGAATCCATTTGGTCCATTTGGGATTTCGTGAAGCGTACGGTTCTTCGTCTTTGGGCTTAAACACACCCACGATTTTTCCTTTCGGGGTTTCGAGCAAAATAACTACCTGAACTTCCCTGTGAGATCATTCGTGGATGCACCCCAAGCTCAATTGCCAGGCGAACACTCTCAATGATCTCTTCATACTCCTCCTTTGCCCTGCGCTGCTGACCCTCAAATTCATCGGATTCAAGCGCCTCCGCGGAGATGGGGCGCACTCCATCGGGGGCCTGGAAGACCGAGTGATAGATTTCCAGCTTCTCTTCCTCATAGGTCTTGCCCTTGACTCGATTGATTTTGAACTTGGCGGCAATCTCCTCCGCCCATCGTTCCAGACGCGCATTGATAGCCTTGATGTCCACACCTGAGTTCCGACGACTTCGGCGAGAATACCCACTGTGTCTGCGTCGATGTCCTGGTGGCGTGGCGAGACCGGACGCCTGCATCTGGGCTCGAGAGGAGATAGGAGCATAACGAGGATTAGACGTTGATACGGTGGATGAGACCGCAGCCATTTCATCATCTTCGGAGTCATCGTGGATATAGCCGCGTTCTTCCTCTTCCTGGGCGAGACGGGCGTAGCCCGACGTGGCAGGGCGATTTTTCGGCATTGTAGAGGACACGCCGCTCTATGGGAGAGGAAGAAACAGGGAATAGAAGAGAGAGAAGCCAAGGGAGGGACAACAAGCTGTAAAAGAAAACGAAAGACAAGAAAAAAAAAGATTACTCCATTAGGGATAATAGTCCAGGTGCAAAGAGACTTGAAGGCAGAGGAATAACGTAGCCCGTCATGGTTAATTATTATGGCCAGACATGGCTTAAGGTAGGGGGCTTGACTGGGGCGGGTAATATAACTGGTAATTTACGAAACATAGCCAATAATACTGCGGGAGGGACCCCATCTCCCTCAATCTCCCTCCATCTCCCCGTCATCTGGCTCTAACTAATCAGTAATACCAATACGGCACCGCCACAAACTGCCGCGGGCTCCACCCCCTAAAACCCACCCACATAAAAGGGGGTTGCGCGGGCTCCAACTTGTTGGTTTATCATAATAATTGGACCAAGAAAAGGAAATGAGGTCTTTCACTGACCCACATGGTCAATTCGAGGACACAGTGTACGATGGAGCAACTGGGATCTATCAAACATATGTATGGAGTACCTTGAATTCATCAGTATATCAAGGTACTCATACTCCATATTGTTGATGCAATATGATTGATCTCTGAGTTGTACAAAGCACGTTTGACAAACTAATTGATTGAATCTATATAGCCTCAACTGACTTGAACTGAATGGTACCAGGGCTTAAAAGTGTCGAGTTCAAGTATTCAATCTCGACCTTGAATGTACCCGGCACTTGACAGTATATGGAGTACATGCCACCTAAGCCCTGATCAGCATAGATAGAGGAGGCAGGGTCCAATGCGACTCCATACTTCATGAAAGAGTTTATTACTACATTCCAGATATCCATTCAAGTGAAATATCATATTCAAGGAAACAATAGCCTAGATCCAGCTCCAATGTAAAGGCCTTCTAATTACCACCTGGGGGTACCTAAGCCTAGATACCTACTAAGTTTACCCTTTATCGTAGGACCCCAGTGCGATAAGTGATAAATCTGATACGCGATAATAACAATCGGTCCGGATAAGATCCATTTCTGATTTCGCATCCTCCACACCTTTCTTGTCCAATTGATCTTCAAACTAAAGACATCGGTCTCAATTTTGAGGGCGATCTGAACCCAGTCATTCCTTTGATTTTCAATTGATGGTTTGGTTTCCATAAGAAAGTCTTATCTGTCGCTGTCGCCTAGCGCTGGTGTCGGTAATGCGAGCCTTCCCTTCACTTTGATAATTCACTCAGCTGTGACTGACGAACGCGTTGTAAATCCAGATTACTCTCACTGTTTCTCCCATCTCCCCGGACACGCGACCCCGCGCTCCTCCTTCACAACACCGCACCCCGGATCTCGGCGCGCGTCCCGGATCTTCTCTTCTCCTTCATTCGGTCTCAAGCCGGATTTCCCATTTAACCTCATCTTTATCCTCCATTGTGGCTCCAATTCTCTATCGGGCTGCGCCCATCGATCCGGCCCTCAAACCTGGATCACCTGCGCACTCCCGTTTCGATTCGTCACCCGTCGAACCTTCCACCATTCGGTCTACTGATACCGACCTCCCCAAATCATTCTCTCCTGTTCTACCAGATCTAGGTAGTATCGGCAAGTTCGATACATCTGAGTACAGAGACACCTTCCCAGGATCAGTCTCTGTCAGTGCCTCACTTCCCGGTTTAGCAGCACTTGCCTCAGTCGCGTCTGCGCCTACATCTAATCTACGGTATGTTCAAGAATGGGCAGATGAGAAAAGATGAATAAAAGCAAAGGATATATATTCCGAGGCATCTTCCCCCCTCACCAGCTTGATACCCCTCTTCACTGCATGAGACACATTATCTACCTAGGTAGAATTGGGCGCGAATCGATTGGCTAACCGGTTTTCCTTCACATCAGAGAATCCAGTAATGCGAGTTTGATCATGAACAATATGGCGAACTCTTCTCCCGCTGCGACTACTGGTGGCCAAGGTGCCAACCCTGTGAGTTCTTTTTTTATATTGTTATTCTTTTATCCTTTTCATCTAGGTAGACTGCGGTGAACTGTATGGTCTACTGCAGTTCACTGCGGTTTTTTTTTTCACGTCATTCCCATATCACACCCTATCTATTCCTGATTTTCCAGGCTTATCGGAGTTGTTATCTTTGCCCGGAATTATTATCAGCAAAATCGGCGGGACTTGGCACCACCCGATCCGTGCGCCGACTTCTCTTATCGAGCCCGTCAAATCTCTCCCAATCTTATCACTACACTCCCCCCATCCCTAATCTCAGATTTCCTCTACTTGATCTATCATACCTCAATATGGCGTCCACATTGACTGATGACAAACAACCTCAATTACAGCCCATTTGCCGAAACTGTACCACCTCGACTACTCCCTTGTGGCGCCGCGACGAAGTGGGCAATGTCCTTTGCAACGCTTGCGGTTTGTTCCTCAAGCTGCACGGGCGGCCTCGTCCGATAAGCCTTAAGACCGATGTCATTAAGAGTCGCAATCGCGTTAAGACCGGTCAGGGTCCTAAGCGTAAGGTGAGTGATGCGGTGACTCGCAGCGCCGAGCTCCTAGAAAAAAAACTTTCATGGGGCCCTTCGATCCAAAGAGATGGTAGATAAGAATTTTCGGTACTGACAACCCATTGCGATCTGATAGTCTGGCGGCCATGTCGATGTCAACGGTCTTCCTGCGCAACCTGATTCTGGCACCCCACCTCTGACCTCCAACAATTACCGACGCAACTCACGCCGCAACTCCAACGGTCACTCTGATCGCTCGAACTCTCCCTTGTCGCGCAACGAGACCCCCGGATTTGGTTCCCTCCACGCGCACAACTCCAACATCGCCCCTCAGCATATGTTTGACAGTGTTACTCGAGGCGACGGTGCTCTGAACTTGTCCGGCAAAATGGTTCCCATCCCGCTTGGTTCCCCCTCTGGCATGAACGACTCCCCTCAGACCTACGAAAGCCTTCTGGCTCTTAACACCTCTCTTAAGACCCGCGTCAGTGAGCTTGACCTTATCAACGAACTTTTCCGTGGTCGCGTCGCCGAACTTGAGCAGAGTGACGCTAGCGCGCGTCGTTCCGAGATGATCGCCCGCGATTCCGAGTCTCGCCTGCGCGACTCTGAGGCCCGTCTGCGCCGCTCCTTGGAGGACGCTCAGCACCGCGAGGAAGGACTGAAGAGACGCATCAATGAGCTTGAGAACCAACTGACCGAGGCTGACGGCGACAACGGCGAGCCCTCCGCTAAGAGAATCCGCCTCTCCGACATGGTCGAGCAGTCTTCTGAAGAGTCTCCCTCGCAGACCAAATCTTCTCCTAAGAGCGCTTAAGAAACGAAAAGTTTCCTTTTTCCCCACCAATCAAACATTTGCGGTTCTTACCGGTTCTCTCGCTATTGACATCGAATCCCTCCTTCATTTCGACCAATGCGCTGACTGGAAGTCCCGATCTTCTCTGGTCTTTGTGATACCCTTCCTGACTCTCGTCGCCGGTGGCTGGAACTTTTCGCGTTTTTTCTTTCTTCTGTCGCACAAAAAAGCTGTCTTTTTATTGTGGATTCTAATATTTTTGTCCACCTTATGGTTTGATTTGAATGATTCTCAAGGGGCTTCGTTTTTATTCTTTATCTTTCTCGCTTTGCGCCCCGGGTTTGCGACAGCTTTTCCCACTATGTTTCTAATACACAGTTTTATCTTCTACTCTTTTCCTTTCCCATTGCTTTAGTTTTCCTGGCCTCCTGTCCTATGGATCTCATGTAGAGGGGAATGAGGAAGCCAGAACCAGTCCAGTAGCAGTAGGAGTAGCGAGTACCTAATGTCTAACTTCATTGACCTAACTCCCCCATGCACAAGATGCCATACAAGGTGCGCCACTGGTCAGTGGACAACAGAGACGATGATCTACACCAGGCTCAGCCTGCAAGACGCGCGAACGGCATGTCACTGCGGCCTTCGCTATAGCAATGTAGTACATAGCTGTTCAAAGGTTTAGTATAGGCCTCAAGTGCTATGCTGCCATACTACAAGATAGTCATTCCCACCATAGTTATTTCCAGGGTTACCTTCCACATCTTCCACATTTCTTATACTATCCCACAGTTAAGCAGCCCCCAAAATCTCACCCTAAAACGCCAAAGTTTCAATGTTTACAAAAGTATTGATCTCATCTAAACCTACGGCCAAGAAGTAAACTAGAGTAACTTGAACAGAATGAATTTTGGTCCCGGAAAAGAATCATGTACAATTTGAATTAGAGTCTGCCCCTTGGCAGAATGAATGAGCCTCCCAATCCCAAGTCTTTGCAAGAGAAAAAAGATGCAGCAAAATGCATGGAGTATCAAGTCTAAACGAAGAAAAAAGAAACAAAAATCAAAGAAAAGAATGAAAGCGATGAGCCATAAGGTTTGTATGAAGATCACATCAGGTGCGCTTTTTACGCAATCATAAGAGCTCAATCTTGGGGGATTGCTCTGCGCTAGTCATAGATGAATAAGAAAAACACCAAATACCCGAACTACTCCTCACGAAGAAGCCTAATTCAAGCAATACGGTGATCAGCCTTCTTGTGTTGTGTCTTGTGGATCTGCGACTCGCGCCAGATACTCCACAAACAAACACATACACCACAGAGGCCAGAGAAGAAGGTCACATAGTAGGCGGAGCGGTAGCAGGCTAATCCATCGGGACACTGATTGTCACCGTCAGGGCCAGCGACGGAGTGGTGATCGTAAACGGTACCGTAGATCAAGTTGAAGACGTTACCGCTAAGCACTGGGGCCAGAGTCATGGTTCCCCAGTTCTGGGAAAGACCACCAATACCGAAGGTGTGGGCGGTTAAGGAGGGGAAAACACCGAACAAGAAGCCGTAAGCAACACCAGTGAAGGCAGAGACGACAACAAGCGTATTTGGGTTTGAGATCGATGCGCCAGCAAGCTGGGTGATGGTAAAGACAGCGGCCGAGATGAAAAGACACCAGAAGCGAGACATGTTGAGTTTCTTAACGAGAATATCGGAGCCAATGCCACTGAACAGACGACCAAGGAAGTTTCCAAAGGACAAGATGGAGACGTGCATGACCTGGCGCTGCTGAATGAACTTTGAGGTTGCGCTGTCGTCATAGTAAAGCCAGAGGGCCTTGGTGCTGTTACCGATATTGTTGATGGTCATCAGTCCAATACCTGAAAGCAGCGCCATGGTCAGAAATAGCTGCCAGAATTCGGCATACTTGAGCATGGCCAACCCCCGGATATCGACGTGGTGTGCCTCGACAGCTATGTCATCCAGGAAGTCATCGTCCAGGGTATCGAAGGATGGCCGGCCATCGGGCTTAGATACCAATGATGAGGTTTCGTCGTCATGGATGTTGTAGCCTCCACTGCGGTGGTTCGAGAGGGTTGAATGACTGCGTGCATGCGCCGAGCTTTCATGGTCATAGCCAGTAGAGTCGTGGCCATCTGGGTGATCTGCCGCATTGCTAGATCGACGCAATCGTTGAGACTCGGGACCACCGGATTGTTCATGGCGAGGAACAGACGAATATGGCTCACTCAAGATAGCTGGGAAGATTCGCAAGAATGGGATTGACACAAATGAGAGGACGGTGGTTCCACAGGCGAGAAGCAACAGGAAACGACCAGTATCATCCTTGAAAATGATTGTCGACACATTGGACCAGAACAGAGCACTCAGACCAAAGGCAGCCAATGGAAAAGCCGTCGCGGTACCTCGGCTCTCGCCGAAGTTGGATGCGGCTGGAAGGGTTTGTTAGTCTCAGAGAGTTCAATCAGATGGGATGAAGTTACGACATACCAACTTTGATAGCACCACCAAATGCTGCGCAACCTCCGGTACCAGTCAGGAAGGCGAAAAGGCACAGGAAAACAATGGGAACGGATCCTTCTCCGTGTTGATAGGCTAATAGATGTCAGATACGATGTTACATCACAAGCCTCGGATTCTTCAGAGGCAATGGCGACGGCAACCTACCAAGGTAGATCGGGTAATACCCGAGGCCCAGACAGATTGATCCGACAAAAGTGACAAGCCGAGGACCTTTAGCATCGGTCAACAAGCCCATCGGGATTCCCATGGCATACATGCCCAGATTCCCCGCCGCACCCTGCCAAGCTGTCAACATCAAGATCCATTATATGGAGATACCTTGTTACACTACTCACGATCAGATTGCTCTCCGTCGATGAGAGCTTCATCTTATGAGCGAATTGTGGTGCCCATGCTGAATATGCATACTATAACCCCCAATTGTTCAATTAGCGATACGCGCCCCTCAAGTTCACCAGTTCCGAATCACGCACGTTCGTCCCGCAGGACAGAGCTATCAGAGTACCCGCAACCACGGAAATAATCCGGGCAGTTGTATGAGAGGAAGCCACAGTCATTGTGAAAAAGATTCGATCTTTATGCGTCCCACGAGGAACCGTCCACCTCGAGCGGATATTATCGTGCGAGTAAGTGCGTACGATCGGGTCACGCGTTCGATCGGAATGGGATATAGCTGAAAATGGGGATAAAGGAATGGGGAATGGGCCAGGGAAGGCGCATCGGAGCCGATAAAAGAGTGACGATAAGTGGAAATCCGAACCGAAAAGAGCCGTTTAACGAAAGGGGCCAAGTCGATGTGAAGTTTCAGGAGCGTCGTAATCGGCCTACGGGGAGGCCACGATAACGGGGAAATCGCTCCACCGGGTATGGACGGTAAACCCCCCGGTCGCCAAGCATTGATTTTATGTGCTTGTCTGAACTGTAGATAAGTCTGCATGGAATTCAAGGTTTATTCATCCGAGTCTATAGTTATCATGATCTATGTAACTTGAATTATCCGCGTCACTTCTGATATACTACATTCAATGTTACTCCGCGTTTCTCTTCAGCTGGGGCAGATTCGGACCACTATTGCGTCATCAGTAGAAAAATATTCTTACCAGTTGACAGCTGATGATGATTGCCGGCTAAATATCTCTCAATGACTCCTATCGAGAGATATGTATGGTTCAAATATTTTATGCCGGCTGAGATAATGCAAGGAGTGCAGGAATTGCGTGCCGTTTAGTATTAAGCTACACTATGCACATACTTCGTATACGGACTGTGTTACTTAACATGGTTTAGCGTCTCCCGGCAATGGTCAAAGAGAGGGTTCAACCTTATATCTATTCTAGAATGGCCCCTAAGTATATAAAGTTATTCTTAATTTTATACTACTAGAGATGTGTCTAAATTTATACACATAGACTGCCAGTGTTGGGGTGGGATAGAAAACAATAGTGTTAGGAGTAGATGGTAGAAGACTCCAAGTCAGAAGCTGGCCTTGATATGGTTTCTCAGTTATAGGGGTAAATTTGGGAGTCCAGATAACCATCCGCATCCCAGTAGCTCAGCGGGCTATCGTGTCTGTCCCGATGTGATTTGACACTATGATACTATAAGACTAGAATGCTGGGACTGAGGGTTGTCAAGTAGCATCAGCGAGCGTGAGACTTGCCTAAGTGGAACACCACCGTGAGAAAGCATGCAGCGGACTATGTGAAAGACTTCTGCGGAGCCTTTTTCTTTTTGCTCTTTCTTTTAATATTACTTTTCTATTTTTATCTATTTTATTAGATTTGTTATGATTTTTTGAAAGTTGAAGCTGGCATCGTCTTCTCATTTTGAGGCCTCACTTGTCACAAGCATCGTGAAATCTAGAAATCCCTGGTTCAATCCCTGCTCATTCCATTCCAAGGTTTCTTTTTAATTCTTTTCTTTTTTTCTCCCTCTCCTTTTCTCTTCCCTAGTGATGATTCTCAGGTGCTCTGATAGGAGCCACTAATATCTAATTCCAAAAAACCACTCCCAGGAACTCAGAGAGCTAGTAGGTTTTCTACTGCTCTCTCTTTAATTTTACTCAAAATATCATTAACACTAAACGTTATGGGTAAAGTCTGCGAGCAATGAAAGTTTACCCCACCGGGACCATATCCCCCTTGCTGACATTTAGATTAAGGCCCGCAACCTGAACTCCATATACAGGTGTTACCTTGTGCGAAGCGCGTATGAGAACCCAAATCTATAGGCTACAGCCCACGAGGCTAGGTATCTTTGAGCTATGTACCCAAATCCGTATTTTCTCCTTAAAACCTGAGCGTTCCCATCCATTCCAGGATCAAGCTCCGAGATATACGTGCTTGCCATGGCCACACCACAAGAACGACACCCGGATCTATTCCGTCCTGTAAACTATGAATCGCCCCGAGGAAAGAAACGAACCATTGCTCTAGAATGCCTGTGTCTTGGCTTCAACCGAACAGGGACTGCATGTAAGATGCCAATATCATATACCCCTGAAAACTATCACTGACCCACCACAACAGCGATGTGCAGTGCCATGGAGACCCTCAGCCTTCCCTGCTGGCATTCCATCCACTTGCTGGGTCCTAAATTCGGGGACATCGAGATGTGGCAGGAGGGTATCGACCGGAAGTTCTTCGGCGCGCCAGGTCCCAAGTACGGGCGTGCCGAGTTCGACCAGCTCCTACATGACTATGGTGCTGTCTCTTCAGACACGCCGGCAATTGCCTTCGCAGAGGAACTGATAAATGCTTACCCGGAAGCAAAGATTGTCCTCATTGAGCGTGAGATTGACTCGTGGTACGAAAGCTGGATGAACGGCGTGATCAAGAATACTTATGACCCATTCGTGGCATTTATCTGTATTATTGACCGCTGGTTCACTCGTCCAATTGGGCATATGCATAAGTCAAGCTTCGAGGGCTGGCTGGGAATTAAGACCCCTGAAGATGCAAAGCGCGTGAGTAAGGAGAAATATCGGGAACACTACGCGCTTGTACGTCGGCTTGCACCCAAGGACCGCTTGCTGGAGTTCAAGCTGGGTGATGGATGGGATCCTTTGTGCGAGTTTCTAGGGAAACCAAAGCCAGATGTTCCATTTCCATTTGAGAATGAGAAGAAGTGGTTAGATGAGAAGGTCCGGCTGGTCATGCAGCGAGGGATGACGCGGTTGGCGCGAAAGGTAATCTTGTATTTGATGCCTTTATTGGTCGCATTGGTGGCCTATAAGCTCTGGATTTAATTGGCGCCTCAATACCATATAAATGTAATTTATACTTGCATGAGACGAGCTCTCGCGGAATCAACATTTTGAATGGATTCAGTCCTCTGCTGATACAATTAAGTTCTTACATAAATATTTGAATGCACATGCGTTATAATGAATGCAGCTTTGAAAATCGGCAGTACTGTATGTGTAACTTCAGGTTGAACTTGGTAGCACTAGCACTAGCACTGGCAGTTACTATTTCCTGCCAGTGCTGTAAATCGATTGTAAATCAACATATTTACTAGTAATGACGAACATTATGCCCAGATGTAGGTACGGCTTCGACCGATGATGCCATTCTCAGCTCTATCGGCAATGGAATTTACATCTCCGAATGTGCAGATATTACTGGGCAGTCCTGGGATGAGTTCTACCCACATGTGTAGATATCTGGACTCAGAATTAGAGAGAGCGTAGTATTTGCCAGTCAATCAGACTTACATATGTCAATTGATAGGCTATAAGATTAATCCCTCCCAATACACGGATGGCATGCTCCATCAGGATCCTTAAGGGCGGATCTAGTTTAAAACTGGTGATTTGTGAGAAGATTTATATGGTCTACTCTGTTTCCCATCCATGTTACTTCACCCTGTTAAGAACCCTGAGGAGAAGAAGGGCTCCGGTATGGTGGTCCTAGTCTAATTCAGTCTATGTTGGACTGGCTTGATGACCTACTAATTCTGTATTTATAATCCTTATCATCTATATCCATGTATACTACTCAAGTGCTAGTACTAGTAGGGGTTGTAAATGTTAGCGTTAAAAATTCCATATCTTGCTTTCTCTCTTACCAAACATTGAATTGATCACTCTTGATGTCATATTAATTGTTAATTTGGAATTTCTAAGGAGATTAAAGGAACCTCTGGCTGCCTATTAGTATGACCAAAGGTAAGAAAATCTCCTCTCAATGCTAAAAAAGGCACCACCCAGTCCGATAGTAGTACTCCTAACTTTAAGTTATAAAGCCAAACTTGAAATCGCTTCTTTAAGTTACATACCTTCAAGTTACCTTCAAATGTTCAAAATATATTCAAGTTCGCGGAGGATTCCAACTTGAAGTCTCCACTGATAATCCACACTTGCTTCTAGACCAAACAGAACTAGAATCATCCCAGGCCTTAGGTTCCTTGACAAGATTATCCGCCTTAACCTTGGAACCTTAGAGGTATGTGATCACTGGCATGTTAATTAACCAAACCTTCTATCAGAGGAGGTCTTAAAAACGCTAACTTATTTTTCTCCCGGGCGGCACCTTATCCCTAGAAATACTAGCCAAGAGCTTTAAATCTTTCCTTGTTAATAGATTGTTATAGGCTCATTGTAATTTATGGACTGGACGGATTTGGACGTTTTGGGAGGAGTTTAGACCTTTAAAACCTGGTTGACGCCCAAAATTCACAGGCGGCTTTCTGCTGTGGTATATTTTAGACTGCTATCTTTACATCTGTGGTTAAGCCTCTGTTGTTATAAGAGAGTTATACCCTGGATAATAATATAACCTATAGTCAAACTTGAATGCTGTTATCCTATACTGCCTTTGGAAAGAGAGGCTATAGGGTGGTGGTATAAAAGCTACTTTATTATTCAAGTTGTGATATTAAGGTAAATATATCTAATAATTATGGAATATGTAATGGTATTATTCTGTGTTATGGAGTGAGGTGTTAAGGAAATAGTATAATAGCTACTTGATCACTCTGGTAGTAAGGTGAATATATTATATACCTGATAGATAAAGAATGATACCCTCTAGGTATTATTATATACTATAAAGTAAGGCCATGAGAAAATACCATAATAGCTACTAGTATAGTAAGACTACTCTAGTTTTAAGGTAAATGTTCCTAGTATAAGGATAATACTTCACTCTTAACTCTGGCTTTGAGATTAGGCTACCTGAAAATTACTAAGCACTTTCTTGGGAAAGTTTTGATTGCGAAGCCTTCAAGTTCAAAAAACGTGAATATATAATATGTATAAATAGCCACTCTTCAAGACCACCATGACATGATCTAACTTTCAGATGTCTATTACCATTTGGAGACTTCATCATAACCTGGAAGAAAAAGAAGCCCGATCAAGCTTTCCAAAATGGGGATCTGCCTTTGGGCAAATCGCTTCTCGCTGACAAGAAAGATGTTATGCTGTTAAATAAGCGCGAGATTAATGGCAAAGCAGCCCTGCACCATACGGCGAGTCTTGGTGACATCGGATCCATGGAATTGTCTATGGGTTTTCACGGCATAGAGCTTAATATGGAGGGTGATAACGAACAAACACCTCTGTGCTGGGCCGCTACCTACATAGTGTAGTGGGGTACCCTGTCCCCTACTACACGTCCCCTACTACACGTACCGTGCTAAGAATTACCGTTTGGTTACATCTCTGTTTTGTCATGTTTTCAGTCCCGTCTTTGTACGTACAAGAATACCCGTCGTTATAGTCTAGAATACACACTCCTACACATCTCTCATCCCACCCCTACGGGGTAGTCCGGCCACAACGTACATGTTGGTTGGTGTTATCCATTCATGCTAGCTGGATCGACCCGTGTATCTAGAATACACTGCCTAACGGTTCCCCTCTTCAATAGGTAGAGACGGTAATAGCAATTTTAGCAGCTTGCTGCTTAAAATCAATGGCATTGACCCTAACTTAGGTGGCTATAATGGTCAGGTGCATCTTTTTCAGGCAGCGCAAGATGGCGACGACGAAGTTGTTGACTTGCTCAAGACATCGACAGTTCAAATGTTACACTCCATTACCAGTAGAAATCGCCATCCGGAACAGACATCCCAATTCAAGCGATTCCTAGAAGACATGAGAGTAGACACCTGGGCAGACTTGGTCAACTTATGTAATCTTCAAGCAGAGCTCAATTTGAAAAGTAATATACTGAGGCTAACTTGAAGGTATGGAGCGAAATCTGCCGAAAATGTCAACTTTGGGTAAGAACCACTGGCATAGAGTGAGGACTATATATTGATCAATGTACCTAGGTATAACAATTAAGAAATTGGGGCTTTATATTCCAAGGTTACATATGGATACTAGTAATGTGGATATTCTCCATTCGCATTCTCTTCGCATTCGCCTAAGTTAGTGTCCTACGAGATTGTTACAGTATGCATCCATTAGGCACTTGTCCCGTGAACATGCTTTTCTAGGATGCGCGCCCTATAGACAATATGGCGTCACCTTGTCTACTCGTGGTCCTACACCTGTACCTATGACAACCTCCAGGGCTGCATCATGCACATGATGTGCGTGATTCAAACCAGTTCCGTAGATTCCGATTCCAAGGTTCCTCATCTCCGCACCTTCGCACCGTCGTATCTTCATGCGAAGTTTAAAGTTGTACTATATATAACTAGAAAGCTCGCCTTCCGACAACTCCTTGGAAGTAGAATCTCTACAACCTTCTATCCTAGGTATTAGGTTTTCCATTCTTATAACCGAAGCCAAGTTTTACAGTACAGAGGTACTAGTAAGCTTAAAAGCTTCAAATGTTTCTCTAATCTTACTATGGATTTTTACTAACATTAAAATATCCTAAGCCTCAACTTGAACCTCAAAATGCGGATCTCTTGGCCGTAAATTCTTACCAGCTCTCTTTGGCATAAATCTGTATGCTCCATGGCTTTAGCTCGTGAACGAAGCCCAAAATGATACCGCTCAAAGTGCCATGGAAGTAATAACTCTCGATCTTGAACGCTGTATGATTCCTGCGGAGGGTGTTGCACTCCTGAACACAACAGAAGGTGCTACTGGTTATTTTGCCCTTGATCCAAAGTACGAGGTACTTGAGCTTCAGCCGGGAATGAGCTACGAATTCAGCAACCACACGCTTGTTAAGCGTGGTGGTATCCATAGCTTTTTAGCCTGGAGCCTCGCTAACTGCAGAGGGAGTATTGAAGGCTATTTAAGGAACTGTTTATGCGCTGGTATATGCGTGGATTGGAATACTGCTGCGAATAGCGTACAGCTATTTCAACAGTATACGAACAACCCGCATCCCACAGCATCGGTTTTTGCCTCTAGGTACTGTACTGGCACATATCAATCTGTTGGCATTCTGTCGGGCGCTCTATCATCTTGTACCAACAGCCAGCTTGGAGGCCTGCGCTCAGCTTTTGTAAACTACAACTGCTGAGAAACCAATTTGGCCTTTCTCTGCACTTTGATACTACTTGCTTCTTCAAATTTCTTATTGGCTTTGTATAGTTGGAGAAATGCTACAGTCGTTGTATGGAGTTCCCATGAGGTTTAAGCTCGGCTGACTGGAAGCAGGGTGCCGATCTTTATCATTATAGAGATCATCTTAAATTCAAGCGTTGAATATCATGTCATCTCAAGTGCTATTGCTTGGCAATATAAGGATATGTTAAGTTGATTATTTGTCTTTGATCTCTAGTCAGTAATTGGCTATAAAGCATAATAAAGGGACTGACTAAGGTGGTAGTGAGTCCTCCGTTCACGGTTCTATACACAGTTCCCAATCAGGCAGAATACTGTCTATCCTAATTTGGCCTAGCCCCCCTAAACACCGCGTAATAATTACATAAGTGTCATGTGACAAAAATGACGAAGGCGGGCGATCGTCAACTCCACTCTCCAACTCCCTTCTCCAACTTGCCCTTACTCAACGTTTCGAATCAGCCTGCCTGTGAATACTCAAAGTCTTGTCTGGAAATTAAAGAGACCAGAGATAAGAGATAAAACCCGAAATATATATCATGGGTGCTCTTCTCTCTCTGCCGCTCCTAGCGGTGCCTAGCATGGGCACGGTAGGTCTATTCCGAGCGCAATCAACACATTTCTCGCTAATAGCCCTTCTTCGTTTGAATAGCTCCTCACGCTAGGTGGATCATGTTGTGGTGCAGCAACTTGCTCGGCGGTGTGCAGTGCGTGTGGAAAATTCCAGAATAGGTATGGGAGAACACTTGGTTGCCTAGTCCGAGGGTGTCGGTTAACAATAGAATAGTATGGCTACGCGAATCGCCTACGCATTCATCCTTTTGATCAATTCTATTGTGTCATGGATCATGCTTACCCCGTGGGCGCTCAAGAAACTACAAGGGTTGACACTCGATTATATGGAAATCCGCTGCGATGGCAAGGAATGCTATGGCTGGGTGGCAGTTCACCGCATCAACTTTGGTCTTGCTCTCTTCCATTTGATACTTGCCCTTTTACTTTTGGGTGTTAAGACTTCGCGGGATAGTCGTGCCGGACTTCAAAATGGGTTCTGGGGACCGAAAGTCATTCTATGGCTGGCATTTGTTGTCATGTCTTTCTTCATCCCCGAATCCTTCTTTTTTGTCTATGGCAACTACATTGCCTTCTTTTGCGCTATGCTCTTCCTCCTTTTGGGTTTGATCCTCTTGGTGGATCTTGCGCACACGTGGGCAGAGCTTTGTCTGCAAAAGATTGAGGACAGTGACTCGCGCCTGTGGCGTGGTCTGCTGATTGGCTCCACTCTTGGCATGTACTTGACTTCCATCGTCATGACAATCTTGATGTATATCTTCTTTGCCCGGAGCTCATGCTCTATGAACCAGGCAGCCATCTCGGTATGATTTCTCTGTCCCCCTTTTATAAACCGGGTTTGACATAAACACTAACATCTTCCAGATCAACCTCGTTCTTTTCCTAATCATTTCGTTCGTCTCTGTGCAGCCTGCTGTCCAGGATTCAAACCCTCGGGCGGGACTGGCCCAGGCCGCTATGGTCACGGTCTACTGCACCTATCTTACCCTCTCTGCCGTGTCTATGGAACCTGATGACAACGGCTGCAACCCTCTTATCCGCTCAAGTGGTACCCGAACAGTTACCATTATTTTGGGCGCGATTGTCACCATGGCCACAATCGCGTACACTACCACCCGTGCGGCTACTCAGGGTATTGCACTGGGATCCAAGGGCGGCCATAGCTACATTCAATTGGACACAGAGGATAATGGACATGGTCTAATTACACAACAACCTAGCGTTCGCCGGGAGATGCGGGCGGAAGCTCTTCGGGCTGCTGTTGAGAGTGGCAGTTTACCAGCTAGTGCCTTGGATGAGACTGATGACGAGGATGACTTTGAGACGAGCAGTAAAGATGATGAGCGTGGTTCGACCCAGTACAGCTACTCTCTCTTCCACATTATCTTCTTCCTGGCTACCACCTGGGTCGCAACCTTATTGACGCAGGGATTGCAGGTCGACACTAATGTCGACTTTGCACCCGTTGGCCGGACCTACTGGGCTAGCTGGGTGAAGATTGTGAGCGCGTGGGTGTGCTACACCATTTATCTGTGGACATTGGTAGCCCCCGTTGTGTTGCCTGACCGATTTGGGCCTTGAAATTATAGATAACGCAAAGTTGTATAGTGGAATTTTTGGAATACTTGGCGTTCTGAGCGATTAGTGGCTTGTGGCTTTTGTCTAATTTTCTTTTCGGAACATACCGCATTAGCATTGGAAATATAAATTGATGCCTTTTTGAACCTAAGTCTCTCACAGTTTTTGAAACTTGTGTATCTTTAATCATGGCGTCTCTACACTGCCCTGAGCGTCTGGGCGGGCGACCCATCACCTTATGTGGATCAAGTGGAGCTCAAGCTTGGCAGCGACTCTCGCGCGTTAAGTGCGACGCGCTCTCCAACACCCAAGACCATAGCATAATGGCAACCATCAAGGCCATCGAGGCCCGCTCAGTACGCTCTGGAAACAATGATTTAGTGAAAATTGGACCAGGCTAACTCCTACTCCCACCAGGTGCACCAAATCCAGTCGGGCCAAGTCATTACTGACCTTTGCTCCGTCGCCAAAGAACTAGTCGAGAACAGCCTCGATGCAAAGGCGACAACCATTGGTGAGTGTCTGAGGCAGAAGATTCAGGATGAAATAATAATTATGGACTAATTGTCTCCTCCAGAAATCCGCTTCAAGGATAATGGCTTGGACTTGATAGAAGTTCAGGATAATGGGAGTGGAATCTCGCCGGAGAACTACGAGAACGTTGGTGAGACAAGCCTCCACAACTCTATTTGTTATCTATAGTCTAATCATCTCGTGCTTTACCAGCTCTTAAACACTACACCTCCAAATTATCCTCTTACACCGACCTTGGCTGGCTCAACACTTACGGATTCCGCGGTGAAGCACTCTCCTCGCTCTGCGCTCTCTCTGACTTCCATGTCGTAACCGCCGAAGCGCACCAAGTCCCAATCGCCACGAAACTAGAATTCGAAGTATCTGGAAAGCTCGCCAAGAAGCAAGTGGTTGCAGGACGGAAGGGTACTACCGTCTCCGTGGGCACGATCTTTAAGCGTCTACCTGTTCGTCGACGAGAACTCGAGAAGAATATCAAGAGGGAATACGGCAAGGTTATCAATCTCCTACATGCCTATGCCTGTATCAGCGCTGGCGTAAGTTTCAGTGTCCGGAACACGGTCGGCAAGACAAAGAACGTCTCGGTGTTTTCAACGAACGGGAATCGTACGATCAAGGAGAATATTGCCAATGTCTATGGTGCAAAGACGCTGTTCGCTTTAATGCCTCTCGAATTGGACCTCGAATTTGAACCTTCAAATGCGATGAGACGGGCCAATGGTGACAATGCACAATCTAATCGGATTCAAGTTCGTGGACACATCTCTCGACCCGTCCTTGGAGAGGGTCGACAGACGCCTGATCGACAGATGTTCTTTGTAAACTCGAGGCCTTGCACCTTACCACAAATTGCGAAGGCCTTCAACGAGGTGTACAAGTCCTTTAACGTCTCACAGTCACCGTTTGTTTTCGCGGATCTGCAGATGGACACGTCTGCTTATGATGTGAACGTGTCGCCAGATAAACGAACCATCCTGTTGCACGATGCAGCGGCGCTAGTTGACTCGCTGAAAGCTTCTCTTACGGAGATGTTTGAACTGGCCGATCAGACGGTGCCCCATGCTCAACTCGGATCAAAATCTTCCGCACGTAAACAGCAGTCGCTGGGGTCATTACCAGGATTTGTGACGGCTAGGCAAGTCGCTCGGGGAGTCTCTGAATCTCCCACAACTACGAGTCAAGAAAAGGAAAGTACTCAACCTGATGGTGACGAGCCAGAGACACAAAAGCGGACGACACAGAGTGGTATCGGGCGGTTTATGAATTTGCAAGATGATTCGAGTCAGCCAGACTTTCCATCCTCGCCTATCAGATCTGACAAGGAGATTCGAAGAGATAGGATAACTACAGTGATAGATCCGCCAAGGATAGACGATGGGACTTCCAGCGTGCAATCCCAGGGCCAAGAAGAAGGCGTCGCGCCAGAAGAACAAAATGAAGACCCTGCAAATCCACCCCCGGAACTTTCATCCCAGCCATCTGAAGCGGAGCAAATGCCAAGTTCTAATACGCAAGAATCCGAAGAGACGCCAAATATGGTTCAAAATGCGTTTGACCGTATGCGCCCTCGTCGAATGCCGGCTGAAATGGCCACTATCACTATCGCTGGTCGTACTGTGACATCGATGGTGGGTAGTGGTTTACCGCGGAAACGGACGTCAAGCTCTGGCACGTCTACGAATGAGCCTTCGAAGCGCAAAAGACTAATTCATACGCCGTCAAGGCCAAATATCTTCGGAAAGCATATGCGGGCTTTCGCAGCACCGGGAACACAGACGGAAGAAGAAGATGACGAGGCTGACGACTTCGTTGGCATTGAGACGGAGCAGGTGGAAGAAAACCAATCCGAAGTGGATGATGAAGAAATTGAAGAAGTGGAAATGGAAACAGAGCAAGAAGTAGAGGATCAAGAAGAGAATGCATCTTCCCCAGCACCTGAAGATGACGAATGTGTCCCAGAAAAGGACATGTATGACAACCAAGAAGCGACTAGCAAAGAGCTCACTGTTGAGACGAGTCAAAGTGATCTTGATGAAGCGGAGAAAAAGGCCCAAGAAGACGCCAAAGTTCAGCGTCTGATTCACCAAGCCGAGGAAACCGCAGTCCTCCCAGAGCAGCATAGTGTCAGCCGCGCAAACAAAATGAATAAAGGCGCTACACATCGTGATGCTACTTTCAATCTCATCAGCACTATCGACACGTCAGTTTCCAAACTGCGTTCTCAAATGGACAAGCTACGGGAATGTCTCCAACCTCGAGATATCCCATCCCAAGCTGATGACCCTGATGTCGACGAGAAAACCGCAGAAGAACGTCTCTCGCTTACCGTCAGCAAGGCCGATTTCGCCCAAATGCGCATCATCGGCCAATTCAATCTCGGGTTCATCCTTGCTGTACGACCAGGCGATGACCACGATGAACTCTTCATCATTGATCAACACGCCTCTGATGAGAAATTCAATTTCGAGCGCCTACAGGCTGAAACTGTTGTTCAGAATCAACGACTCGTATGTCCCCAGCGTCTAGATCTAACAGCCGTTGAAGAAGAGATTGTCTTGGAGAATCGACCGGCCCTCGAGAAAAACGGATTCATCGTCACAGTCGACGAAAGCGGTGATGAGCCAATCGGTCGTCGATGCCAACTTGTTTCCCTTCCCCTGAGCAAGGAAGTTGTTTTTGACTCCAAGGATTTGGAAGAACTTCTCGTTCTTTTATCCGAGGCGCCGGTGAATCATGAAATCTTCGTGCCGAGGCCAAGTAAAGTGCGGAAAATGTTCGCCATACGTGCCTGTCGCTCTAGTATCATGATCGGAAAGACTTTGACTTTACGACAAATGCAGCGAGTCGTGCGTAATATGGGCACGATTGATAAGCCATGGAATTGTCCGCATGGTCGACCGACCATGAGACATCTCATGGGTTTGGATCATTATGAAGAATGGGATGAATATGGGCCAGAGGACCCAGAGGACCCAGAGGAGATGTAATAAATAGTTTGTACGAAATGTCAGAATGTGAATATATCAATTTCATTAAAAGTCACGGTCTCTTACTCCACCCTTTCCTTTCTTTGCTTCGCCCTACTACTTAGTAGATACGGACCAAACATTTGAAGCAAAGACTCTCAGCGAATTTTCTGAAATGGAAAGATCTCGCTCGGGTGGTGATGGTGGTCTTCCAGCGATGCGAACGAAAGATAAACAGAGCAGACCGGAGACATAAATCCTCCCTCTGGTATCCTCAGTGATAATGACACTATCGATTTCCTCGATGGGTGTTTGCTGTGATCTTGTTCTTACCAGTCGAGTCGATTGCGCCCACTGTTTGAAAGTTATGGAGTGATCGATATCGCTTATCTCAATCGTTAAAACAAGTTCCACTGGTGATCCCGGTACTTGTAACCATCCTTGGGCGTCGAGCATGAAATTCCGATGATCCAACTTCCACCACAAATGACAGGCGATCGGGGAACTGTCCGGGCACATATGAGGCATCCGGATCCTTGGTCCAATTCTGAAATCTTTGTGATGACCGTCCCCTACCAATGACGAGCTCAGGGTCTATATTGGCGAGTTCCATAAAAAAATATCTCTTGAACTCTTCCAGAGCTATCTCGTGTCTTTGCGAGGCTCTGACTTTTGCGATGAGTATTCCTTCTTGGTGGTTCAAAGTGAGTCGCGCGAATTTTATTCGCCGGGAAACTTCGGTTGCAGCTTCAGCGCAAAGGTCTACAGGTATGTTGGTAACGGCAAGGTATTGATATGATGTTTGACCTTCCTGTAGAGAATGTTGTAGACTGTGGAGCGCCGTTTCCAAGTCAGGAATAGAGGTAAAATAATGTCTCCGGCGTATGAGGCTTGCAAATTTGCAGAACGGAGTTTGATCCTCAGCAGGGGACAAGTTGAGAGGCGTCATGGTCAATTGGGAAAGAGTTCAAGTTAACAGAGTTGGAAGTCGCAACTATAGGTAAAGTATGGATGTATATAGTAGGTAGATATGGTTTAGAATTAAAAAAGTAACCTTGAAAGGTGAGTGGAGGAAGTAAAAGAGAAGCAGTAGGAAATGGCAATATTTATAGTTTTATCATCATGATGTAAAAGCTTCAATGGTCATATAAGGCTATAGTGAGAGATAGGTAAAGTGTAGGTGAGAGATAACTGAATTAAAAGGAATTCATATAGAATTCTTTCTACCCCTATACTTAGTACTTACTATTTATTTAAGTATTATTAATCTGATATTTAACTTAAAAGATTATACCTTACTTGATAGTACCTGATATATTTACTCTCAGATAGATATATTAGGCTTCTAAAGATATGAAATATAAGAATATGAATATATTGATTTCATTAAGTCGTCAGATATTCCAATCATAATCAGTATAAAAAAAGACCAAAACATAGAGATCCAGATCAAGATATCATCACCACCAAAAAAACCAACTCCACCGCTTCTTCTTGCCATCATCATGATCCTTATTACCGTTACCATTTCCATTCCCATTCATCAAGAAATCCACATCTCCATTCTGATCAATCACCTCATGATCAAAATCCATCTCATCAACCCTCATCTCATGATGATCCTCCTCATCCTCATCATGACTCCCAAATCCCTCAACATCATCCATCATACTCTCCAACACTAACAAATCCCTCTCAAGAACCTCCGCCCAATTCTGCACATCCCCAATCTCCTTTAACTCCGCCCTAGTCTCATCCGCCATTTTCTCCCATCCTTCATTCTGTTTCGCCAGTTTCGCACTATGCCCCGCTAACTCCGCCTCTTGCCGTTCCAGCGATACCGCGTTCGAGTTGATGATTGTTGCGCGTTCGCGAAGAGGTGCTTCGAGGTTTGTTCCAACGCTGTGTAATGTTGCTGTGAATGCAGCTAGGGCTTCTTGTTGTCGTGTATTTTCTTCATCTCTTTCAGTCGTGTTTCCGTTGGTAGGAAGTGTTGTGCTGGGTTTTGTGGTTGTGGTGTGGTTCAAAGAATAGGAGTCTTGGTTTGAGTTTGATGGACCTGGGGATGCGGAGGATGTGGATTGGGGGTAGGTCATTTTGGATTATAATGGATATTCCAGTCAAGTATATAGATGGGACTCGGAGTAGAGTTGAGTGTTTATTTTAGAAGTTGTGTTCCAAGGTTTCAAGTGGGGTGTTTGGGTGGAGTATGATAACGATAGACTGGTCGATACTAGATAGTATGTAGAGTTCTGATAACTTCAGGATTGTGGGGTCTGTGTAGTATTTATAGGCTGAATTATATCCACGTGAGTATGCAGGACCGTGACATGGATCAATAGATGAAGTTGAATCTGAAAGTTCGAAGCAAGAAATATAAATGCGGAGTCGGGATCGGCAACCCCACTTAGCGTGGCATGTTGTCAGCCTATTGATCTGATATGATATTTCACTTGAAGTTGAGACTAAACCGTTGTTGTCAGTTACATCAGTAGCATACAGTATTAAGTTATAACTGATCTTGATTTACGTGGGAGCACAGATAAAATTAATCACCAGATCCACTCTGGGCATTATGAGATTGCGTTGCGCCCGGAAGATACACGATGGCGGTTTATGAACCATGTCGGACCAAGATATTCAAAGAAACAAAATAATAAAATCGCAGACCAATACTCGCTCGAAAAGCGCTCATCCATGCAAGCTCATGCTCGGAAAAATAGAAACAGAAACAAAAATGAGGAATGAGGAGTGGAAATGCAAAGACATCCAATCCATCCCGATGACGGGACCCCAATGAAGATATTAATAACAAATGGTGAAATAAACCGCATGCTCATCTAAGATCCGACTTTTGTTGTGAAAAAAGATCTTGAGAAGCTAGTCATAGCTGATTAGAGAAGACCGGAAAGTACAGCCTCGGTAGCTAGAGTAAGATTGTTAGTAAAATGTAATAAGCTAATACGCAGAGGGGAGAAAAAACATACCAGAACTAATGTACGGTCGCTTCGGATCGAGATTAACCCCAAAGCGTCGCTCAAGCTCTTGCTTGATACTCTTCTTGGTCACGGTCATCAGATCGGCTGTTCGTAGAATCTCACGAATCTCAGTTAGAAGAACATCGTCACTTGGTAGATGACTCAAGTCCTCCATGCCAATATCCATGTCTATATGACGACTGAGCATTTCCGACGGTGCGACAGAAAGACGCGAACCTGTTCCAAGCAGAGGCAAATCAAGCTGGGAAGCAGGTCGGGAACCAGAAAAGCCATACTCAGAATGAGGTGTGTGGAAAGCGTGCGATTTAGTACCATATGAGATACCCGAGATCTCGGAGTGATCATCACGAGAAGTCTGGGCCTCCCAGAGCTCGACCTGGTAATCTTCCCAGCGCTTCTTGGGGATGGAATCTGGGTCAAATTTACCCTCATCGGAGATAACAACCTTGAGGCCCTTCTCTCCCGTGATAACACGAGTGTTACCCCAACTGAAATCATCCATATTCCAGAATGAATACAGCGGCAAAGCAAGGGAAAAGACGGGAATAGCCATAAGGTAGATAAACATCCAGCCAATCATCTCCCATTTGCGGCGCAGGATAAAGACGAGTGCTTGTAGACCGTAGATCACACCAAGGAGAACGAATGAAATCCACGGAAGAGACGATGTATCCTCGACCAGCCAGACGATCAGATAAATAATGTAGGCGAGGGTGACGGGTTGGATAATGGTACTGAGCAGATCAATGAAGACGATGAAACGCATACTGAAACAGCAGAAACCACATAGCTGCTGCAGGGGAATCAGCTCAACCAGATTGTGTACGGTTGAATTGATCCATCGACGACGCTGAGATAAGAAGACAGCAAAGCTCTCAGGGGCCACTGTGAAGGCATGAGCACGGAAGATGTACTTGGTCTTGAACTTCGGGTGGTGCTTGAGAAGCAACGTGGTCAGATATCGGTCCTCACCCAGATGGAGCAGGTTTTTCATATGAAGAGTGTCCACACGGATCTCCGAATAGTTTTCGATAACTTCCTTGCTGACGAACAGGGGTTTGCCAGTTTCGGATGAACGGACGCGATACATGGTGAAACAACCAGGTAAACAAGTGACTGACCCAAACAGACTTTCAAATGCTTTGGTCAGATTGTGAGAGATGTAGTACTCGTAAACTTGGATCATGGTCACCATAGAAGTTTTGGCATTGGATAGAGAAGTCTCTCCACATACACCGATAAGTCTTGTATCAGATAAGAACGATGAAACAAAGCGTGTGGCAGCATCTGGTGCTACCATGGTATCAGCATCGACTTGAAGAATGAACTCGTAGAACGTTGGATTGACACCGATAATGTTTCGGACCTGGTGATGCATTTCAAGTTCCATAGGACTCATGGGCAGGTTGTAATGGATACGGTTCAGGAATCGCATAACGATCATTTGAGAATCACGCTTGCCACGGTTACCGGGACGAGAAACCTCAGAAGGCTTGCCGACCTTGACCACAACCAAGTATGGAACAATGTGACCCATGACTTCGTAAAGCCCAGAATACACTTTACCCATATTGTGCTGTTTCATGCCCTCGCCAAGAGACTCAAAACTAAGAGGCTCTGGATCCATATTTTCAGGGACACCCAAAATGTCTAGCACAATTCGAGGAGTAGGCCGATCGTTGCCTTGACCGATAATCATACCATCACAGATAATCAGCAAGAGTTTGCGCTTGTCATCGTACTTCATACGAGCCATAGAGTCGATAGCTCGACGGAGAGAGTCTTCATCCTCCGTGTAGGCCGGGACTTGACAAATTATAAACTTGTCGAGATTCTCTGGCAGATTCTTCTTGCCAAACTGCAAGGCAGCCATGAACTTGAAGACGACAACCAAGCAGATCAAGACGGAGATCGAAAGAATAAAGTATTGTGCGAACTGACACTTGGGCGAGTTTCGAGTATCGACGTGCCCAACGAAGAACAGATTGTCCATGCACAACTGCATCCGGTTTCGCATGGCAGTATCAAAGGGTAGATCATTCCAGTATTTGGTGACGTCTTTACCGGACTTTTCCTGGAATAGGCTCGTGATCAAAGAGCTCATGAAGTCGGTATTGATGTTGCTGGTGGAGGAGTTCTTTCCCGCGGGGAAGCGAGGGATTCGAGGACCAGCCATGTAATAGGTCATATCATAGACTTTGCCATTGATACTTGCTATCATCTTATCGTCATTGTCCGCCAGGTCCTTCATGTATGCAGAAGTGTACCCAACGTAGCCTTTCTTGTAGCTCGCTCGCAGCATGATCATCTGCTCGTAATACCAATCTGGACGATAGTCACCGGTAATCCAATAACGGAAGTCATGATACTTGGCGTTTGCATCTGTGCCAGTCGTCGTGGATGACGAGGTAGAGCTGGTGTTCAAGTTTGATCGATAATCCAATGGCACACTTGGGTCCACACTCCCGTCCACACCTTGACACAAAGCCGACACTTGAATTGGGAAAAGGTCGGATGCATCAGTGCCAGCATAGGTCTTGAGAGACTTCTGCGGAACAATGCTGGGATAGTGGGAGGGCATGAAGTTGCCCAAATTAAATACAACGCCAGAAATGGCAACGAAGGAGCTTTCCTTTTTCTTGCCGTTGTGTGTAGCGAGTTCACCCTGGGAATAGACATGTTGCGTGGGACAAATCAAACCCGGGAAACCAACGATCATGAAGACAGCACAACCGCAGGCGAACCAAATGATGAGGTTGATGGCCAGTTTCTCTCGCCAAGCAATACGCACGTCTTTGCGCTTCATGCGACCGACCCATTTAATAATGAAATCGGGAATGTAAAATGTAAGCAGATAGACCAGAGCCATCCAGCGCTTGCGAGCTCCTGACACAGGCACCTCATCCACCTCTTCCAAATTCTTCTCGTTGCCCTTTTCCAACATCTGCTCTCGTGTTTCGAAGTTCCGGAACATATCACCAGAGTTGAATGCTGAACCTCCTGCCTCGGAGCGGCCATCCAGCTCACGGCTACCAAAATAACCCTGCTTTGCTTCGTCGCCGTAGATGTATGCACCAGGAGACTGGTCTGTCGGATGAAGCAGGCGGACTTTGGCGTCTGGATTGCCGCCTGCCGCGTTGAAATTCGCATCTCCATCGTCAACGCCGATACCCCTGTATGAAGGCACCACACGCTCACCGATCCTAGCAAGATCTGCCCAGCATCGCTCGCTCAAGAAAATACCGGTGCTACCCACACGGGCTTCGTTGCCGGGCCATCGTCGCTCATCCAAGACGACCTCGGCTTTTTCACGATCACTCCCCACGACCACATTGCCGATCTCAGCCAACCCCAGGAATTCAGCAAATGGAAGGAAAACGCTAAAATCGGCGTTGCGCAACCGTTGACTGATCTCTGCAATACCAAAAGTTTGGACTTGCATGCGAACGCACTTGCTATCGAATTGATTGGCAATACGACGGTCGTTCGGCTTGAGACAAATCACGAAGTAAGGATTCACGTTTGCCGAACTTAAACACTTGTTGATCACCTCTAGTCCGGAGAGGAACTGACCGGCTGCACCTTGCTCTGGACCGGTCATAGACCCGCCCTTGCGGTTACCCGCATTGCGCTTAGAAGTCGTGCCCTGACTGTCAGTATCAGCTGGGTCCTCGCCTTCTCCGCCAAATACATCAGGGGTTGCTTCATTCACAGCTGCAAGACGAGAATGCCGATTAACCTTGCGTCTAGCCATACTCGGCATTCGAATAGGCTTGGAGGATACTTGTGCTTGCATGATGGTGGCTTTCTCTTGAGGGTGCGAAATAGTCTGTAGTGCTTCTTGACCAAACAGCTCGCGTACAAAGTCACTTCGAGTAGATTTCATCAGATTCATGAGATCACCGGAGATCACCTCTCCGTTCTCTTCGAGCAGACCAGTGATAGAATAATCGACCTCGCCGGCATAATGTTTGACGGTGAACGCACTTCGGGTTTGGGAAATGTAAGCGCCAGCCCCAGAGCTGGAGCCACCGACAGAAATGGCCGGGTTCTTGTTCTCGAAACGCTTGCGAACGCTCTCCAGGAACTGATTCTCTGATCGACCGCGGCGAGTCTGATCATCCAGAATACTTAACAAACCGTTGCCCTGCTTCAGGAGACCCTTGACGGCATCAGTGTTATCAAAGTAGCTGGTGGCAGCGACTGAAATCTCCTCTCGGTCCAGTACATCGGCCTTTCGGTCGAAGAAGGACTGAAGACAAAAGTTGTACAGCGATTCAGTGGCTGCATTGTTGAGGAGTTGATCCAAAGTAGAGCCAGTAGCGGAGGACTGAGCAAAACCAGGGAAATCGACAATCGAGATCGTGTTGGCCACGCTATCCTCTGCCGCACAGATCTTTTGATTTACAGTCTCAATCACATAGGTGACCAGCAGAGAGTAAATAGTGCGGGCCAAAGCATCGGCATTCTGTCGAGCACCCTTTGGATCCAACATGACTGTAACTCGCTCCCGTTGGATAGTCTTGGTCTTGTAACCCAGACTGTTCTCCAATGCCTCCACGCTGAGACCAAGGAATGCGGCGACATTGGCGAGAACATCCTTATTCTTGACCACGGTGACAGTCTCACCACCTTCGTGGGAGTAGCCACCGCTCTCTTCGGCATAGGTAGTTGTTGACTGACCCGACACAAAATCGAGTTGTCCGATGTGAAGAATACTTGCAAGAGTCTGGCAAATCTCCGCGATTTCACCACGCGAAAACTCTAGCTTGCGAAGAGCGGTCTTGAAATGCTGAAATCCTTCGCCATCGTTGACTCCCACCTTCAATTGGGTCGGGTGACCCAGATACCGCCATCGCTTGTGGCTCACCGAACCTCCACCGCCAGTAGTAATGTGAATGGAATTATCAAATCCCAGATGCGACTTCTCGGCTCCACTAGTACCCGCTAGAAGATAGTACAGGACATGGAAACTACGTTCACCAGTGGGTACAGAAGCGAGACGGCTCCGTTCCAAGCGGTAGTCGATAATTTTACCACCAATCAAGGTCGGATTCACTGAAGATGAGCCATCGTATTGTAATTCGAGGAACAGACCAGCTTTGGAAGCTGTCGGGGTGGTAACGGACTTAGTTGTAGTCAAGGTGTCGAAAACAAACGCTGCATAAGAGAGTTTCGAGGATAATGGAGTTGAGGAGAAAGATAAGAAGGATGATAGCAGATGCGAACGTAGAGTTGTTTTTCCCGAGCCACTTTCACCTCTAGATCCATGGATTAGCACATGTGCGTCCTCTCGAGACCATGGAACCACTTACAAAAACACCACTGCTTGGTTCTCCGCCCGGGCTCCTAAGCGCGTGAACGCACGACGGGCGAGGTCCTCGGCTTCCCCCGCAGCACTTCCTTCTTTCTTGCCATCAGGACCCTTTGTAGCCGAGGTGTATGTGTTCAATGCAATTAATGCTTGAGAGGAGAGACGTGCTGTGGGTAAGCCGACATGGAAACTAAGATGCGGCTGATATTAGCACGCGTGGTGACCCTGAACGTTGCAAGGATCTACGTACCGACTGGCCAAGTGCGCTGTCAGATGTGTATCGGATTGGAGATGTGCGGGGAGAGCCGGTAGCGAGGATTGGGCGTGAGCTGGTGTTGCTATGAAATTTCCCGAATTACCTGCCATCTTGGATTGAGGTCCTCTGGACTCTGCGCTGATGGCAAGTGGGAGATAACGAGGGTATCAAAGGCCCCGATCAGGGACCTAACCTGGAAGGCGATTGAAAGTCTCAACTTTGATTGGGAATGAACGTGGAGTGAAGAATGTTGAGAGGAATGAAGTGACCCCTAGCGAGTGATGGGGGTTGTACACATTGACAAGCGATGAGAATCAAATGCGAGAAGAAAAACAATACATGTAGCGCGAGAAAGTAAGAAAAAAAAAGCAGGGATCGACTGTGAGGGTGATCGAAATCCACCTGGGGCACCTGAGAATATGGAGTGTATTGTTTGTTACCATAGGTACGCGGTCACACACTAAGAATAGATTACCAATGCATATCGGGTAAACCCACACTCCACCTGAGACAGTGATGGGTTACATTTATACGAGTGTCCCATATGTTATATATTATACCTAGGTATTTTCCATATGAATAGGTATAAAATTAATATAAGATAGTACTATAATTCAAGTTCTTCTGAACAATGCTTACCATTTAAATGTTCTTTTCTACTATGAATTTCATATCACATATAATGCACTAATAGACCGTATTTCTTTCGATTTCTGCACTAGTGGTCTAGTACTGATAAGCGCCCCACATATATAACAGGGTCCCGTCAACTGGTCCCTGAGAGTCCCTGAGAGTCCCTGACTCGTCACTTTGCATTTTGCATTTGCATTTTCAGGGTCTCAGGGTCTCAGGGACCATGTATTCTATCCACCTGTGAACTCCTTGCGTGTTGGCCTGATACTGTGCATCTAGACCATAATTTATATAAATACTAAACTTTGACAATGCGATCTATCACTCTTTCCTAATTGACTAAAAAAATATTACTAATACGGCACACTGACTCAATATGACCTCGGGATGTGGATCGAGTGAAACTAGGGGGGTTCGTGGCGGAACCGTAAAGGCAAAAACCTTGGGTGGCAAGGTGAAGTGTGAGACATGCCAAATATAGACGTAACAAAGCTAGGTAACAAAGCGCTGTAATACCTTGAATATTCAGATCTTTCACAACGTAACATTAGAACTTTTGGGAATAATAAAAACAGATTATAGGAGAACAGATTATAGGAGACCTGATCATACCCAGGGTTTTGTATTATATACCGTAACAGTCTTAATATATATCGGGTATTGGGGCGGGGAGAAACAACAATGATCCACATAAAGATGATTGCTGACAGATTCTCAATGTTTTCAATGTTTTCAATGTTGTGTTAAATACTGGATGCCGTGTGATCTTTATTTATATCATTACAGAATTATTTCATCTTTACTACACAGTAAGAATATTACCTAGGTGACCTACCTACTATAGAGAATATTCTTAAAGTTCCAAGGTTAATCAGACCATCACATATTTGAATATTGATATACAATTTTATTATAACATTTGAATATTCCCATTATACGGAGCACATATACACAAAAGCTTGTCGGCGGATCAGCAACGCGGGATCGGCAGGATTATTTTCAATGGACAGGACTAAAATCAGGACTAAAATCTGTAAATCTGTAAAGTAAATAAATCGGAATGACCTTTTTTTCATCGTTTTCACTAGTAACCGGTATTTTACCTCTAAAATGTGGCCAGGTGTTCCAGCTATCCACATGGGTCAAAGTAGTGGTATTCAGCTTGTATGGAATATCGTACACAATACACAGTGGAGGTGGACCCTTCTCCCCACGCCCATCACCTTCCCTTATCTCACTCTTTTTTTTTCTCATTCCTTTTGCTCCAGCAGTGACTGGCTTCTTTCTCCTGATCTTCTTGCAATCTCTTTCTCTCAATTCATCACCGTCTCACCCAACCCCCTCCAAACTCCCCCCCTCTCCTGTCGCTCGCTTGTTTCCCCGGAGTATACAGCCACGGAAGTTCACATTGTTGACGCGACAACTCTATCCCTCTCCCAAATCAAACTTACCGTCACATAAGAACTCTCCTAGATTGAACCTCGGATGCTGCAGTGAGGAGTTCCCCTCATTTATCAATTCGGGACGGTTGTTACACCTCGAGCGTTCGCTATGTCGAACCGCTACTCCGTCTTCTCTACCCACTCTGCTGGGATCTCCGCTGGGCCTCGGCCGTCCTCACAACATACGGGCCAGGTCTCCACCACAACCTTACTCAATGCTCTACACTCCTTCTACAACGCTGGTCAACCTTACCAGCTAGATGCTAGTACTAGCTTGGTTGTCAATACGTGGGTGACGGCCGCGACCATTCTTCCAGATGGCCGAAATGGCGCAGCTATTGATCGAGATCTGGCAATTCGAGCCTGGGAGCATGCTCGCCGTCGAGCTGAGGATGGCTGCATCCTTCTTTGGTACGTTCATGGCGACAAAACAAAAACCCAACAATTATCAATATTTGAATCTTGAATATGGCCCATTTTCTGACACTATAATAGCTCACTCCATCAATCCACTCCATCTTTGCTGGAGCCCTTCCTCACCGCGATGCCGCTGACCACCCCAGAGCTCGGCTTTACAGCACTCGCTGCACTGAGACCGTTCCTTGCAGCTGTCACTTCATTCAACCCATCCTATTCTTTACATTCGGCCCTGTCTGCCTCTTACACATTAACCCTTCAAGGTACTGTCGTGGGATTTTCCCTGGCACTCTCATCCTCCGGAATCAATGTGCCAAAGGGTCTATTGGAGATCCCGACAGAGAAGGGATATCGTGCATTTGATGTCTTCTACTATCTGCTCACATCCGCATCTACTCCCGCCGAACGTGAATTTTTGGACTTGAAAGAGCCCGCTTCATATACTCTATTGAATCGATCGGGAACATACTCGCCCCCGTCCTATCTTCCGACCGCAGATGATACAGCCGCCGCCGAAGACCTTCGAGCCAATTTGAGGACTATTGGCATTAAAGGTGCTGTTCAACGTAATCTACTTTCTGTTCTCGCGGGTCTGCTTAAGCTTGGCAATGCTATTGGCTTCATGGTGGACCAAGAGGAGCTGGAAGAGGTCTGTGAGGATGTCGGTGGTCTCCTGGGATTGGATCCAGAGGTTCTCTTGCATCGATGCTCTACCGACGAACGTGAGATCCTTGTCGCTGGCATCTACGAAGCTCTTGTGGATTGGGTCATTTTGAAAGCAAATGAAGCTATTGCTGTCGATATCCAGAATGCCCTGGAGAATGACTCGAGTGTCGGCGGAACTGGTGCCCCTCAATGGACCAACGAAGATACCGTCAGTTTGACTGTGATTGATGTTCCCCGCCCGGCTCTCGGAAAGGCGGTCGCGATGAGAGGCGTCTTTGATGACGATCTTGGAATCAATGCTGAGATGAAAGATGATGGAATCGCCATACCGTCTCTTGGCCAATCTGTCATCAATGAAATGAAGGCTGCTGTGTCCCAAGTGGAGGCAGATCTCGGAATCGCGGGCACCGCCCTCCGCGAACGAGAACACGATTTTGATCGACGACAAGGCGTATTGGAGAAGGTCGGCGAGGAGTTTGAATCGGATGCTTTTTTACGTCAGCTCCTTTTCCCTGTTGACGGAGAGGGCATTTCTGTAGGGAAACGGGGACGTTTTGATCTCGCGACTACTCTTTTGAGCAGCCGTGTTTGGTATCATCTCTCCATCCACCCTACAGATGAACTACCGGAGAAGCTCAATAGCTCAGCCCCAGCTTGGTCAGCGGGCTCAGTGTCACGACAGCTGCGAGATTGGCGACTTCCCGAGTGGGCTAATCGCCGCTTGAAGCAGCTTGATTTCACCGCTGATTTTGACGTGGAAGAGTTTGTCGGTCGCTATTCTCGACTGGGTTGTCCTGAAGGCCAGGATGGTGTGGAAAGCTGGATCCTTGAACGGGGATGGAGCAACGGGGATGCTGCTGTCGGCCACCAGCGAATCTGGATGCGAGAAGGGGCGTGGTGGGAAGCTGAAAGTATGCTTGATCTCAAGCCAGACGAGAACCCATCGAATCCATTTGGATATGGCGCTGCTTTGTACGAACCCGGAATCACCCCAGATGGGCACGTCGTGGGCGAATCGACCAACCTGCTAGGAAGCCAACCAGATCTCCTTATGAACCAATCCGCCATGATTGCTCCAAGTGTCATGGGAGGTGCTAAGTCGGTTGCCCCCAGCATGCCTTATACTCAAGCTCTCTCCCCTGGTGACTATGGTCTTGGTCACAAGGGTGACGACAACAAGGGAGATATTGCCTACTATGATGACTTTGGTCGGTACATTGGCGATCTAGACCCAGAGTTTGGAGACCCCAAACACATCGAGAAGAAGGATATCACAATGAGCCGTCGACTATGGACGGGTTTTGTATGGGCAATGACTTTCTGGATCCCATCCCCCCTCCTCCGCCACGTTGGACGTATGAAGCGTCCAGATGTTCGCATGGCGTGGCGAGAGAAGCTTGTACTGGTCATGCTCATTCTGCTTTTCAATGCTGTTGTCTGTTTCTACATTATGGCTTTCGGCGACCTTCTCTGTCCCAACAAGGGCAAAGTGTGGGACAACAAAGAGGTGAGCTGGCACACTGGAGACGACAATTTCTACGTCAGTATTCATGGTCGAGTCTATGATATCAGCAAATTTTGGCGATTGCAACACAGTGATGATGGCACGGATACGACTTCTACCAATATGGAGCCCTTTGCAGGGTTGAACCTCGATGCTTATTTTCCTCCACCTCTCACCCAGTTCTGCAATCCCTTTGTTACCGACCAGTCGGTCAAAATGATGAACAATGACACTTCAGCCATTCTCTACTCGGATGCTGAGCATGACTGCGGACCTCTGAACTATCCCTCGAATACCACAAAACTTCACGAGATCACTTGGTATGGAGATACTTTCTTGCCCAAGATTGCAGATTACTACAAGGGCGAGCTGGTCTGGTCCAAGTCCACTATTGAGAAGCAAGCCAACGATTATTCACGCTACTGGGTTATTGTCAACTCCAAGATTTACGATCTGACAAATTACTTCTACACCCTCGATTACTACTCCACTGAGAGTTCTTACGAGTTCCTACCGAGTGCCGTCACCACTCTTTTCAAGGACTATCCCGGAACAGACGTCTCAGATAAATGGCTGGACACTAAAGAATGGCAAGAGGCTACAAGATGTCTCGATTACGTCTTTTATGAGGGCAAGGTCGATTTCCGAGGTGATGCTCGATGCACAGTCAACAATTGGCTCCTCCTCTCATTCACTGTTCTCATTTGCTCTGTGGTCCTGATCAAGTTCTTGGCTGCGCTACAGCTAGGTTCCAAGCGACGACCAGCCCCCCCAAGACAAGTTTGTGATCTGTCTAGTCCCTGCTTATACCGAAGGCGAGGACTCGCTGCGGAAAGGGTTGGACTCGTTAACTGCTCTGCAGTATGACAATAAACGGAAACTCATTTTTGTCATCTGTGATGGTATGATCGTGGGTGGTGGTAATGACCGACCTACGCCCAAGATCGTTTTGGATATTCTGGGTGTGGATCCTAAGCTGGACCCTCCAGCCCTGCCGTTCAGATCGGTTGGCCAAGGTAGTGACCAGTTGAATTATGCCAAGGTTTACTCCGGTCTCTACGAGTACGAAGGAAATGTCGTGCCCTATGTTGTTGTCGTCAAGGTTGGCAAAGAATCGGAACAGACCAAGGCCAAACCAGGTAATCGAGGAAAACGAGATACACAAGTCCTGCTCATGCACTTCTTGAACCGCGTGCACCATCGAGCTCCAATGTCCCCAATGGAGCTTGAGATCTTTCACCAAATTAACAATGTCATTGGTGTGGATCCAGAACTGTACGAGTACTGCTTCATGGTCGATGCCGACACAAGTGTCAAAGAAGATTCTCTCAACCGTCTGGTCGCGGCTTGTGCGGCAGATGCAAAGATTGCCGGTATCTGTGGTGAGACAAGTCTCCAGAACCAAGAGCGCAGTTGGTGGACAATGATTCAAGTCTACGAATACTACATTTCGCATCATCTCTCCAAGGCCTTTGAGTCCTTGTTCGGCAGTGTGACATGTCTCCCAGGATGGTAAGTCAATCATTTCATCAAATCCGAAGCCAATTTATCTAACAAGTCTTTGAATTAGTTTCACCATGTATCGCCTTCGAACCGCGGACAAGGGTCGACCCCTGATTATCTCCGACAAGGTTATCAAAGAATACGCCGACATCGATATCGATACGCTTCACAAGAAGAACCTGCTATCACTGGGCGAAGATCGATTCTTGACGACTCTCATGACCAAACACTTCCCAACCATGCGATACAAATTCCTTCCTGATGCATACGCGAGTACGGCTGCACCGGAAACTTGGGGAGTGCTCGTCTCTCAGCGGCGTCGCTGGATTAACTCCACAATCCACAACCTGGTTGAACTGGCTGCTCTCAAGGACCTCTGTGGTTTCTGCTGTTTCAGTATGCGTTTTGTCGTTCTGGTAGATCTCCTAGGAACCATCATTCTTCCTGCTACCTGCGTCTACCTCGGATACCTGGTGTATCTCATCGCCAGTGGCAGTGGTCCTTTCCCCTTGATCTCTATCATCATGTTGGCTGGTATTTATGGTCTCCAGATGATCATTTTTATCATCAAACGTCAGTGGCAGCACATCGGATGGATGATCATCTATCTTCTTGCTTTCCCCATCTACAGTTTCGTTTTACCACTGTATTCTTTCTGGAAACAGGATGACTTTACATGGGGTAGTACCCGTGTCGTTCTCGGAGAGAAGGGCTCTAAGCGTGTGATTGCCGTGGAGGATGAGACCTTTGACCCTCGCAGCATCCCGTTACAGCGATGGGATGACTATGCAATGGCAAACAACCTTCCTGGTCGGCGTGGAGAGCCCGGAAGCGAAAAGGTCTACGCCACTGGCCAGTATGTGGATGACATGGAGATGGACGAGATGCACTCACAGTACTCCTCAGTCAAGCCTGCTTCAACCATCCTCACCGGTTTCCCAGGACATGGCCGCCACGCGAGTCCCTATATGCCACCTCAGTCACCAGGTCCGATGATTGGTGGTAACGTCCCTGGAAATCGCAATTCGCACATGTCCAACCTCTCTCGGTACACCGATTATCCCCAGCTAGGAGCTCATCCTGCTGCTGCCTCTCGTCACATGTCTATGGGCAGTCTTAGCGGTTACCAGGATAGTCCTGGTCATGCTACTCGCCACAGCATTAGTTTCATGAAGAGCACTGATAACCTCATTCGTGCTCGTAGCCCGGGCCAACTTCCTTCCCGGCCGGCCAGCACTGCCTTCGATTTCCGCGGCGTTGCTGGTCCTGATGAGATCTCCATCACTGATGCTATCCGCGCCTGTCTCGCAGAGGTGGATCTTGACACGGTTACCAAAAAGCAGGGTAAGTCTACATGCTCATCATTGCAGTGCATTACCCATCGATTAACTTTTATTTTCTAGTCCGCGTTCTTGTTGAACAACGCCTTCAAACCTCGCTTTCGGGCGACAAGCGTGCATTCTTGGATCGTCAAATCGATCAGGAACTCGCCAACATGTGATTATTCTTTCGCGCATACCTTTAATTCTTTGTAATATGCATCTATCAAGCGCATTTTGACCTTGTTCCTGTCTTCTTTACTTGTTTTGCCTCTGGAAAATTTCGGCATGTCTGGCGTCATGAGTTGGGATAGGCGATAATCATCACTTTTTTTTACTCTCAGTAAAGAAAACATTTAGCGAATTGATATTACAAGCTGGACGAACCTTGTTTAATGATAATATGGAACTTGATTGGAATAACTACTGTAAAGCTGACGTGTTGATTGGAGTAGCGTAGGGTGAATAGAACGTATACACACCAGTACATTCAACTTCAGTAGTAGTAAATACCTTCCATCTATTTGTCGTGGGAAATTGTTACCGCTAACGGTGCAAAAACTGTTTTCCCTGCTCCACGAGCTTCTTCCATCCCTTCGCACCATGCATTTGGACACCTACATGGTGATAGTAGTGGTCCTTTGCGGCATCCATGATAGCCTTGACTCGAGCAACGGGGACCTTTTCCTTCCTGTCATAGGAATAAAGTCCATTGACCTCTTGTTCGATATCACACCTAGAAGTACAATCAGCATATTTCATCTCATACCATCGATCAGGTCTTCATTTTCAACACGTTTGAAGCCTAACCCGGTGTAAACTTCAGGGAAGGAAACTCACAGCTGCGTGTAAACCAATCCACAAGAATGACCACCCTTGACGATACCCATAGTCAATTTCTCGAATCGAACGAGGAAGTCCTCTACATCCGCCGCGGTAGTATAGCCCCAGTCTCGCTCTCCAGCAGCTTTACCATCTTTCGGTGGTGTAATATTCACGCCTCCGAACTCAGTGCAGATCACCGGAGCTCCTGCTTTGTGCTGTGCACCGGAATCGAGAAGTGTATGGCCCGAGAAGCCAGAGTAAATAGGCTTCGTGAACATGTCATGACCACCCTTAGGGCCTAAAATACCACCTTCCATCTTTGAGCATGTGGCTGTAAGCTCGGGGGAATCAGTGTAGTCATGGTAGGTTGTCAGGTCCGTGAGGACATGTTCCCAACCACAGTTGTCATTGATAGGTCTACTTGGATCTATGGATCTGCTTCTATGTTATTTCTTTCTGTGCTGGGATGCGCAATACTCGAACTGAGCAATAGGAGCAAAGGAGAACATACTTGGTCAAGTAGTACAGCGAGCGAATATGATTCCGCTGCTCGATACTCCCCTTAAGATCCGTATATGCCCAGCTCTCATTAACAGGGGTCCATGTTACAATGCATGGATGATTGATATCTCTCCTCACAGCGTCTGCCCACTCAGCATCCATGCGCTCCACGTAATCCACTCCGAATTCATACGCATTCGCCATTTCTCCCCAAACCAACCATCCCAAACGATCGGCCCAATATTGGAAGCGTGCATCCTCGACCTTCTGATGCTTCCGACACCCATTAAAGCCCAAAGCCTTGCCCATCTCAATGTCTGCTTTCAAAGCCTCAGACGAAGGGGGCGTCAATCCGGTCTCAGGCCAGTATCCCTGATCAAGGAAGAGCATCTGGAAATACGGCCGTCCATTCAACCGGAACGTCCCATCTCCAGTTGTCCACGAGAGCGACCGCATACCAGTCGTAGTCTGGATCTCATCAATCAAGACCTGAGACGAATCATAGAGTCTCAGTGTGAGATCATAGAGGATCGGATGTTCAGGTGCCCACAGTGCCACAGCCTGGTCATCAGCTGCATGCCAAATATCCTCGGCCTTTAATGCTGGATCAATCTTCTTCACCTCCAAGATCTGCTCCTTAGACAACCTCACACTAGTCTTGAGCTCTGCCCAGTCCCGACTATCATGCACATCTGCCTGTGTCAAGCTAACCTTCACACCCGCCAAACAAACCTCAACCTCCACATAAGGCTTCTCCGACGCCGCACGTCCCTGAATAGCGATATGCGCACTGATTTCCCCAGACTCGATATCATCAGCCCGTAAAACTGTACCTCCACTTCCATCACAGATCCTCATACGCGGAACGCTTTCCAGCCAAACAGAAAGCCAGATCCCGCTTGTAGGGGTATAGAAGATAGACTCCGGGACTGGGCCCCAGAACTGTTTTCCGCGTGGTTGAGCCAGATCAGTGGGTGAGTCTCGCACACGGATAGTAACTCTAGCTTCGTCTGCATCTGGTAGAAGTGCGTCCGTGATATCGATATCAAAGGGGACATGGCCACCATGATGACCACCAACGTGGGCACCATTTACCCAGACGATACACTCGTAGTCTACTGCTCCGAAACGAAGGAAGAGTCTGTTTCCCTTGTTTATCTCGGCTGATGTGCGGATGTCGGTTATCTGGCGCTCGTACCAGAGGACTTCGTGAGCTTCGTAGAGGTTTATTCCTGATGCTGGGGTTTGGAATGCGTAGGGTACGTTTATGGTTTGTTTCTGGTGGGTGTCATTGGTAGACTTGTCTGGAAGGGGATTTTTTTGCCATTGGGTTCTTAGACCTTTGTCTGCATCGTCGAATAGAAAGGACCAGGGACCATCTAGGGTTTGCCAGTTTGGTGATTTGCGGGTGAAATCTGGACGAGGGTAGGCCATCTTGAAGTGTTTTTTCTCTTGTTTTTTGGAGTTTGATTTGGTTTATGAGAGGATTTATGGGAATTGAGGTAGATGTTTAAGTTTACTGTTACTGAGTTAAGAGTGGAAGTATGAGGGGATGTTGATGTTACGTAGAAACCCCGCGTTGATTGCTACGTCAGCACTAAGATCGCCATGGTCCACTTGAACTGATCAATTATTACTACAAATAGAAGGAATTATGGACTACAAGAACTTATGGTGTCGTCTAAGGTCAAATCTCATTGATGGGGATATCAAAAGAGTAAAACAATAACAAATTCCGAGTCAGTCCACAGAGAGGTATCACATCAAAGACTTCAGACTCGTTAAACCCAGTCCTCCCATGCACACCGAATGACAAATTGCAAAGACAAGGCATAAAAAAAACAAACCATCGAATCGGCGGAGAAGAAATTGTCTCCGCTCTATCTCACACAGATCTTGGATATCTCGTTTTCTTTTCTGACGCCTTCGTTGCTTGCGTTCCGTGGTATCAATCAAAACAAAATAAGAAGAAAACATAAAAACCAGATGATCAAAAGAGGAAGAAAAGGGAAGAAGAATAAGAGTCAAAAGAAAAAAGACACATAGACCGAAACACACGCTGGAAAATAAGATCAAAATCAAATCACATCAAGGGTATACTGCTGTAAATGGATATTTTGTGGTTTAACGCGGTGGCCCAATTGGGGCCGGGTATCCAGAAGTAGAATTCGAAGTGCTAGGACGACCACTGTCAAAAGAGGCACGAGGGTCATGCTTGGGTGTCATGTCCCCAGGTGCAGTACCGAAAGGAAACTTGGTGTCGAAGCGTGCGGGCCAGCCATTGTTGCTGTTGCTGCTCTTGTGGCTGTGCGAGCTCCCCAGCACAGGGAGATCATCCTCGGGGAGATTCACGCCAGAGTCATTCCAAGGATTGCGGTAGCCACTGTCCCGCGATTCCATTGAGACTAGCGATGCCTTGGAGGCGTTGCTGGACGCATGCTTGAAAAAGGAGGCAGGGGATGCCGAATGGTTCTTGCGACCGATGAAGGAGGAGAAAGATGAAATGCTACCAGGCTTGCGGAGACGCTCAAAGATCGATCCACGCTCGCTGACTTCGTCAACAAAGCTAGGACGAGTCGGCGAATCAGTCACAAGTGGAGCCGGAGCGTGTTGAAGCAACTTGGAATCGAAGAAGGGAAGTGACTCCTCGAAGGAGTCCGACTTGGGTCGAGGGATAGCACCCTTGACGGTATTGGCGTCGAGACCGTGAGCGACAAGGCGGGAGATAAGGAAATCAATGGCATCCTTGAGACCACCAGCATTGTTTCTGGTGTAACCAAGCACCACACGATCCTCCGGAGCCGGGTCAGGGGAAGAAGCCCCCCTGTCATCCTCATCCGGAAGATCAGCACTGGTGTCAACATTGATGTCAACCTCATACTGTTCCTTGAGTTTGGTGCGAACATCTGCAAGGAAGTCAGGAGCCTTGAAGTACTCCCGCAGCACTACAGAGCTCTGGAAGTGAAGCTCGTGACTTTCCGGTACCATACCCAACAAGGCATCAACGGCTTGAGGAACCTGGTATTCGGGACCCGAGATAGTCACAACATCACTGGCAAGCTCAGTGCTGGGGAACTCGATCTTGCAATTCCATTTCTTCTCCAGCTCATCGATCTCGGTCATACGAGCCAACAGTTCGCGGTGGTACAATCGGTTAATGACAACTCTCTCCGAGACATACTCGGCGTCCTGCGGTATCACCGTCAGCTCGGCATTCTTCTGTGCTAGGGGGGGCAAGATAACAAAGGAGTACTTACAACTTTCTCAACCATGTCCATGATCTCCTGCTTAACAAGGTCCAGGCTCTGGGCATTGCGAGCGGGAGTTCGACAGATGACATTGTCGACCTTAATGTCATCATCTTCCTTGCCCATACCACCACGGTCCATGGCGTTGGAGAACTTGACAAAAACGGAGTATTTCTTCATGATACGCTGGATGTGCTGTCCACCGATACCAATGATCCGTTTGTGGTACTGATCGGGGACGTGAAAGGAGATGGAAGCAGGCATCTCTTGCTCGACTAGATCAAGACCGTTCTTGGTAGACTCGTACTGATTTCCACAGACATCAATATAGAAATTGTACTCGTTGAAGCCGTCAAAAATAATTTGAACATTGCCTGCCTCATAATTAGCCTGAGTTTCATAATGGAAATTGTAGATCAAATACTCACTCTGACCCATGATCTTGTTGATCTTGCCATTCTTTTTCCCGCTAACGAACTCCTTGTGCTCATTAGCCAGCTCGATCTTGACTCGCATCTGGTATTGGCTTCGGGTAACAAATGGAATCTGGTTCACCACGGTCATGGCAGCCTTGACGGCATCGTCGGATCCGTTGATGGTGAAGGTCAGATTATCGAAGCTAACCTCAGCTTCGGAGTTGGTGCAGATATCTGAGAGCATCGACCGCACGTCGGCTGTCGAAGGGGAGCGAATGCCGCCCTGGGCAGGGTCAGGCATGATGATCCACCACGAGGCGCTGTAGAATTGACCAGCCTAGAGAAGACGTAAGTTAGTCGAGTGCCACTGAGAATAATTATCATGCGTGTATCATACCAAGGCCATAATCTCCCGAACGGTGCGCTCAACATGCAAGACCTCTGTGCCTTGAATGCGAACAAGCCCACGTTGGCTACCCAATTGCGGGAAAAGAACGTAGGAGCCATTCATCTCCATCACTTTGCGGACCTTGTCCAAGCGGTCCAGCAAGATGTTGTCAATCTTGCTCGAGTTGACCACCACATCCTTCACGTAAATTTTCACGCCCATAACCAGCTCCCGCAACTTCTGCTTCGCGCGAGTGATTTGCTCCGGCGTCTCACCAGTAATGTAGACCTCATCTTCACTTCGACGGTTTGCACCAGGTGGGGTATACCCAAAGATTCGAGGAAACGGCGGAGGGAAGTAGATGGCGGTGCCGGTGGCAGCTTCAATGAGCTTGATGTTCTTGCGAGTGCGACCACACACCAAGGTGTGCATGGTCAACTCCAACTTGATAGCATCGACATGACGTTTAAGCTATATAATGTTAGCTGACAAGATCCTAGGATGCGTAGATACAAGAAGAAACTCACAATCTGATCAATCATGATCAGAACCCGAGTCTTGGCATGTTCCGAGCTTTCCATGTCACCGTAGATAGCGACTCGGAAGCGTTGGTCCAAGCCATTGTCAGAAGCATATCCATACGAGGAGACGATCGCACTATCCGCATCGTGCAGCTTGGGTGTAAGCAAGAAAATATCGGTTCCGGTGTAGGCGGCCAAGGTGTCCATGTGTTCCAGAACGCTCGCTCGAATTCCTTTAGGTGAACCATCCATAATCAAATGCATATCCACGTCGACGGTTGCACATCGCTGAAGAAAACCGCAATCATTAGCATGGGGGCCTCTTTTTTTCTCTTCTCAAAATTTGTGTTCTGTTCGCTATTCTTCTAGCAACCCTCGAACAGAGCTTTCAACCAGCCGAGACGGACAAGGGGAGAAAAAAAAAATTCAAAAACTTCGCCCACGTACCAACATAATGGGGGTATCATTCAAAATCTTCGCACGCATCTTACGCGCCGTCTCTCCATCGCCGGTAACACAGACATTGGTCACCAGGCCGTTGGGTCGCCGTTGCAGCGATGGTACAGCCTTGGGTTCTGAAGATGTGACCGTGGCTTCGACGCGGCCACCACTGTTGTCGGTGATCTGGCGACATAACCTCCGCAATCCATCGACATTGCTTGTGTGCACCGGTAGTTGGTGGACGGGGGTACCTTCGGGAGTGCCTTCAGGAAAAGTCCAACGTTGTAAGGCGGCGGGACTAGCATGTAGCACATCTTCGACATCGGGGCCGGCCAAGGTAGAGGAGAAGGGGACATTGAAGGACAGGTTGACGGTAGGATCGATACTGGTTGGAGGGGTCATGGGCGGAGCGCCATGTGGTCGACGAAAAGCCATGTCGGTATGAGGCCTAGACATCCCGAAGGTTGGCGTCATTCGTTCCCAACCATGACGGGCCTGGCCCGTGAAGTTGGAGATCTTGTGCATGAGAGAAGTAGCGGGAATCCTTCTCTCTCTTACCCCTAGTGAAATTTGGGGGGTTAAGAGGGAAAGGGGGTGAGTTTTGAAGGTGGATGGAGGTGGGAAGAAGATCAAGAGCGTTCTCGACAGGGATAGGAATGACCGCTGTGTGGGCGTTTCGGGAATGGTGGGAACGAAGATCGATCGATTGGGGGAGAACAAGAGAAAAAAAAAAAACCAAAACCCCACGATTAAAAAAAAAGAAAAGAGAAATAGTTTCTATTGAGAACCAACTTCGAATTTGATACAATCAAATAATTAGAAATATCTAAAAAGATTGAAGTTGAAGTAGATTTGGGAGGATAAAGTAGTAAAAGGATCGAAGTTGTCGTCAGTTGTGCGGGTCATTTCAGTACGGTAAAGGTAAAAAAGGCGTTTTCTACTATACAAAAGTATAGACTCAATTGACATGACCTTAAGGACGGAGGATATCCTACTATGAAAAGGCTATATCTTCTTCATTCTCCTATTCAATCTATCAATCTCCCATTTTTTAAAGGGGAAGTGGTACGGAGTACCAATCCACATTTTAGCACTGCCTCGTTGGCAAAGAATGCGGCCGATCCGACAGAATGACCAAGGGTGCTCTTGGCACCTTTTGATAGTCATATTAATTAGTAGGTTATATTGTGAGATGAAAGGTATTGAAGGGATCAAGAGGAATATAACTATATAAGGATATCTTGAGTAGAAGAAGAGCTACAGAATACTATAGTCTGTACCTAGGTATATTGTTGAAGACTCTATGCGGTCACGTGACTGTATCACATACAGCCTGGAGTGTCAGAGTTAAGAGTGTCAGCTCACCCTCTACTCTTCCAAGGTTGTTTTCTCACTCTTGAGTCTTGACAGTACAGAGTAGAACCCAGTGGAACCACATCTCAAAAGTACAAACACTATGGGGGCCCAATCTTGGCTTTGGCGCCGTCGCCGTTGGTGCATCTGATGACAGATCCAGAATCTGGTCCATTGAATCAGAAACGACGATCCGAGTCCTTCCGCGTCTCCTACAGCATCCATACCACCAATCCTGCTTCTCATAGGTCGCGGGTTGAACAGCCCTGTACCACCACCGTATTTGACCCCGATCCACTCTGGAGTGATAGGATAGTCCTGGGGCCCGGCTAGCCCGGACACGGCCACCGACTTGAATTTACGGAGGAGAGAGGAGGGGAAAGTCTCAGGGCCCTAAGTGGATCAGAAGGAAGCTACTACCGCAGAGATGCTGATGCCTGGAGGACAAAGAGGGGGGGGGCAAAAAGAGACGCGCGCGCTGACCTCCACCCCTCCACAACTCCATGTCTCCACGGGGAACAAGTTGACCTTGAAATGAGTTTGAAAAAAAGCGGGCCACAGAGCCATTGTTTTTCTTTAACCTGTACCACTTTGTAGTTACCGAGTCCCTCGATACACTCAGAGCCCTGGAGTATGTAAAGAAATAACATTTGAACAGTTTAAATCGGGGGGAAATTGTGGTAACTCCGTACAAGGTTTTTGCGTTAAAACATCCCAAAATGGTCGACGTCATTCTCTCGTATGGTGCGGTGGGTCACTTCATTCCCAGTGTGAAGACTCGATGTCTCGAAATCACTTCCGACTGGAGGGGGACTAGAAGGGACGAGGGTTTGAAAGCTGACTGCAGGAGCCGTGCCGCATCCCCAGTTTTTTGGCCCCCATGAGTAGGTGCAGTCACCAAAGCGCCAACATTGCAGATATTCACTTCATATCACCATGAATGTTTGGATTGAGCCCAATGATTGGCTTAATAGTAGACATATCACACAGTATACCCAATTAAGACATCATGATTAATCAGGTTTAGATATGCGCTGCCTAATACACCATGAGACTTGTGGACGTTTGATCCACGTATTAACTACTTCCAAGGTTATGTGTACTAAACAAATGCCAAGTTCCTACTTCAGGGTTGACCAGGTTTGTGCAGCTTAAGACCCTGTTTTGAAGATTCAAATCTTCAAGTCTGTTCAAATAAATCCATGTTCCAAGGTTCAATCAATAGTCCCTGCTTTTCTGTTGCCCCTCAGTCTCCATCTCAATCCTGGAAGACACCATTGAAAAGATGCATCTGCATCTGCATATGCATATGAAACAGCAAGTCACCAGACAATACCAGAATGCATTCGGCATTTGACAGAGCACCTTCCCTGCAAAAAAAATCGATAATGCAATATCAAACAAATAATAGCCTCTCACACATCCAACTGATTAAGATACCTACCCCAAATCTTCAACGCCTCCTCAAACTTTTCAGTAGAGCATACAAACCCCACTCGAAGATACCCCTTAAAATCTCCCTCCCCCTCTGTTCCAAAAGTCTCCCCACCAGGTACAATCAATAACCCACACTCCCTTATCATCCTCTCACAAAACATCTTATCATCAACCGGAGCGCCGCTCTCCGGATTAAGCACCTGCACGAACGCCGAAGACGCGCCACTCGGCTTCACCCACCTTAGCCACCGCGAATGATCCACAATAAAGCGCTCTAAGATCGTAAGGTTGTGGCTGCATATAGCTAGCGATCGCTGGAGAATCTGGTCCTGTACAGGGGCATCGAGGGCGTAACTTGCTATATCTTGGTCGACTTGTGAAACGGAGATAGTGATATAATCTCTTGCCTCGATGACTTGATTCACTAGCTCAGCGTTGGGCGATATCACCCATCCTACTCGGATACCTGGTAAAGAGTAGGCTTTCGAAAGGCTGGATGTTGCTATGAGGTTTTTATACCTTCCCGCGAAGGAGATAATTGAAAGTGGGGCTGGATTTTCTGGAGACATGTCATGGAATAGAGGGCGGAATACTTCGTCGCTGAATACGATTATATTTCGTTCAGCGGCGAAGTCGACGATACTTTCCAGGATGTCCGAGGGGATTAATGCGCCGGTCGGGTTGTTGGGGTTGCTATGAAACTGGTTAGAACTGCAGATAGAAGTAAGTATAGATGAACCAACTTGATGATTATCATTTTGGTATTCTCTTTAACGAGTGAAGAAAGCTCATCTATATCCGGAATCCACAACTTCTCCGCACAGGTTCCCCAGAGCGAGACCTCTGCTCCTGCGCGTTGGGGCACATCGTAGAGCTGCTGGTAAGTGGGATACTGGCAGATGACATGATCTCCAGGGCCTAAAAGCGTGTCAAGGACTAGGAAATTGGCTGAAATTGCACCCTGAGTGACGGAAAGAGAGAGCTGGTCTGCAGGATTACCAGTCTCGCTGGCGTAGAGCGAGAGGATCTTGTCTTGAAGGCCGCGACTTCCCAGTACTGAGCCATATAGTAGTGGGTTTGAGGTATTTACAGGAACAGCTGAAGAATCGGTGGCACGGAATTGAGAAATTTGCTGTAAGGACAGTGGATCCACGCATGTATCTGATATTGTTAGATGAAAGTATCATGAGGACTTGAATTAGAGCATACCGTGCAGGGATGCCCTTGCTGCAGGCTATCATAGTGTTAGCTGGTCACACCATACCCATTGACAGGGAATATTTTTCACTTTGAACTTGCGGACTATCCCAGATAAGTGCCATCAGCATGAGGTTATTTTAGAGTCATGACAGGGGTATCTTTAAACCTACCCCAGTTATCCAGAACAAACGGCTTCACTTGAACCATTTTAGTCTTGCTTAATTTATGCCGGCAATAGTTTCAAATTCAGATTGAGTTGAGGGTATTTAACCTCCATTAAATACATACAAGTAGAGTTATCGAGCTTGATGCGTCAGACTGTAGATGCTAATGAGTCATTCTTATCTGTTTGGCCCCTTTCGAGGCACCGTGCATCAACGGGCCAGATATTACGAGTGCTGTATGAAAAACGTGAAGGAAGAAAAATGCTCAAGCCCTATTAGTTTAGTAACTTTAGATTACTAGTAAGCTGGAAACTATCTATCTCGAATGTCGTCAAATTTTCCATCAAGAGTTCCAAGGATACAGTATTCAACCGACCCCATACTAGCACGCAAGGAACGAGTCATTCTATACCCCACTGCTAGATATCAATGCATTTCTCTTGAAGTCCAATGATCATCATTTACAATCTCTATGATATAATTTCCGAGAGCTCTTTTTGGAAGTCCTTCGCATCATTGATAAGCTTCACCACCTTCCTTGCCGCATTCCGAGCAGAATTCTCTCCAACGAAGAAGAAATGGCTACCCTGCACTGGAGAGAACAGTCGATCCGGCGCAGAATGAACAAAATCCATTAACGTCTGCCATTTGAGTGTCCCTTGTACCTTCTGTAATCCTTGTTTCCCAATCATCGCTTCCAGTTGATAGGTAAGCAAGAAGCCCCAAGTGGCCCTGTCTGCAAGAGCATGGCTAGCATCAAGTATACTAGTCGGGTATAGAGCCGTGATGAAAGGGATATTGGCTATATCAAAGACCTTCGTATCCTCTTCATGAGTCATTTCATCTGCAATAAAAGAGCCTTGTCCATTATATTTCAACTGCACACCGGTGAGATTGATCGGAGTTCCTCCAACATATTCACGTAAGAATATTTCCCGAGGAATAGGAATCTGCTTATCATTGAATTCCCCCCATAGCTTCGACCTGGTGGTAAAAGTTACCAAGTCGATCTGGTATACAGAAATACCCTGCTTCACTGCAGGCCATTCCAGGTGCAGGATTGCGAATGCTCGATATACCCGGCGTAGCAGCAAAACTGACTATTTGCTGTACATTCAGTCCGAGCTCCTTTGCTGATATATTGAATGGTACGATCATTCGCCCCGCCATACTCCATGGTATCAAAATAATAGACCGTGTCGACAGGTCTCTGTCCTCGATGACTTTCTTGGCAATTGTGGCTACTTGGTGACCCCAGTCTTGAATTCGAAAGGTTGGAGCTGTGGCTGGCATGAGTTCAGGACTTGATTCGAGTGGGTAAGACACTGATAGAACGTTGAATCCATGGTTGCTGAGATGGTATGCCAAAAAGTCACTTCTTTTTGATCCTTCGTGTCCGCCGTAAAATATTCTGGCAAGGTGCATAGACCCTGGAGCGCAGACCACTAATGGGTTTGTTTTCTCACTGCCATTGGCTTGTTGCTGGCTGGATTGAAAATGGTATATTGTGGGGAAGCCGGTCACATTTTCAAGCAGCTCGTCCGGGTACAGCGCTGGGATTCGGGTGGCCTCGGCCGTCATGGTGCTTTAGATGCGAGGAGCCGGGTTCGCAGGGTCTTGGTTGTGGAAGAAATAAACAGAACTAATTGAGGACATTCCAAGGTTCCCCGCATTTCCCCCAACTTCTCCAGATGGATCCGTTTGTCGGTCACGTGTAGGCTGAATGGAAATGAGGTTATTGGGTAGAGCTGGGATTGTTCATTTACTTATTATATGGTTATTGGCGGCCAGTACAAACATTAAAAAGGGAAATAAGCAAATTAAAAAAAAAAAACTGTTGAAATTATGGGCACTTGGGTATTTCCGAGTCTATAGCCTATATAACATCCAGTCTATTCCTCCATTCTCTTTTTCCTGTACACGGCAAATTTGCCACTTGTTAAGGTGTATGTGCATATCTTCGTCAAGAGGCGTATTCCCACTTATCATGACATAACTTTATTGATCAAGCCACTTCAGTACTGGAAGAAGCTTCCTTGGCATAAGCATCAATATTATCCGATGCGGTATAGCCCATGGGTAGCTTTTTAGCCACTCGAACGGGATCAAAGATCGAGTTGGACTGAATAAAGATTTCATCAATCTCCTCCAGTGTTCTTCCTCGGGTCTCGGGGTAGAACAGGTAAATAACAACGCAGCCCGCAGCACTGGTAGCAGCGTAAACAATATCATATTTCCATCCAATGTTGTCTCGGGCAATTGGTGTCACTTCAGCGACCATGAAGTTGAAGAGCCAGCTGGAAATAGCTGTCGTCGCCGCAACAATGTGACGGATAGACAAGGGGGCAATCTCCGAACCGTACATGAATGGCATAATGAACATGCCGATCGGGAGACAGTACATGGCGAAGAAATAGAAGAATACGGCCGCTTTGCCGTTGGCTTGTTTCGATAAATCTGATGTCAAGCCTGAGACCGCTGCTTGGGCAAGGACCATGGAGCCGGTTGAGAACAGCATCAGAGGGCGACGGCCAACACGGTCGACCAGGAAAATGGCAGTCAATGCTCCAAGGGCCAGAGCGACCTGCAGACAAGCGGAGAAAATTCTCGCATCACTGCCAGAGTAATCAAGGGTTTCTTCGAAGATGGAGGTAGAGTAGCCAGCGATCACGTTGATGCCGGACATCTGAGTGAACATCGTACCGCTAGCCGCGATCACCAAGCGGTGCAGATGTCTGTTTTTGTCCATAGAGAATGGGTTGGCGGAGTCCTTGCCTGGTTGACCTGCGTCTCTGTTGAGGGCGGTTTGAATGAGGGCAATCTCCTTGGCCACTTCAGTGTCGGTCCCTGGGAGAGCCATCAATCTGGCCATAATGGCAGTAGCTTCTTCAATTCTTCCCTTTTTGATCAAGTACCGTGGAGATTCAGGTAGCCACGGGGTCAGCGAAAGAATGACCGCGATGAACACCAGTGGAAGTGCCAGAGGAAATCGCCAGCTCACTGAGCCTGTGGTATAATACATGCCGAAGTTCACCCATGATGCAATGGCAAGACCGCTCAGAGCAAATACACCTTCGACTAAGACAAGCTGGCCTCTCTTTTCAGAGTCGGACATCTCGCTCACGTACATCGGAACAGTTCCTGTGTAGATTCCAATGCCAACACCTATGTCCTCTAGTTAGTTGAGTGTTCACCAGAGAAGGCTGGTATAGTCACATACCGGTAACAATTCGACCAACGAGAATCTGAGCTAGAGAGTAGGTGGACGCTTGAATGATCACTCCTACTGTGCAAATAGCTCCTGCTACCAGCATTGATTTGGGACGACCAAGTCTATCACCAATGAAAAGACAGGAGAGGGCGCCAATTGCAGAGCCAAGTTCAAAGATAGCCACGACAAGACCTAGAGGTGGTTCGTCAATATTGTTGATGTCTAAACAGGGAATTGTTGCCCAGGTGCATAGATGTATGACTAACCTAAGATTGTCGAATTATGCGCCTCCTGGGCGCCGGTGGTGTTGACCGTATCGACCTGCGGAATTGCGGCCAAAAAGCTCGGCAATGTAGTGAAACCATTCATCACCGACTGATTATATCCTTGAACTAAAAACGCGACCGAGCCAAGAACCGCGATTACGCGCTGTAGGCTTTCGCCCTGGACATTGAGGATCCCCATATCCGCCAAGGGATTCTAAGACGACAAGCTTTTTCTAGTGCTGATTGGAAGTGTTGAGTATCCCCAGATATGAATTGATGTCCGAGTAAAAATAGAAGTTGACGTTAGTTCAAATATTCAATTCCAGAAATGTGCCGATCAATTAAAAAAAAAAATCGAAAACCATGACAGCGAGGAGTCATCGATCTTGGGAAGGGCAGCAGGCCTCGGAGTTATGTCTCTAGTCCCCGAGTGGACATGATCGACGAGGGATTTCCATTCTGATCTGGAGTGCATTAGCATTAGCTTGATTGGCTCATGGTTTAAGAAAGAGGATCCTCTTGGGGGGGAACTTGGGGTTCAAGATGATCAAAAAGTGAAGAGAAGTAGGTCCGATACCGGGATTAAGCCAATAACATGAAGTACTCAATTTCATGTTATCCACTTCATCCACCTAATGAAGTTAATCTAGTCCGCACTATTGGGATTTTCAGCTCAGATGAACTAAGCCTGATTGAATTAGTTAATGATCGACTTGGGTTGATATACATGAACACGTGTATACTCCGTACAGTCGTCTATAATCTTAAGAATCAATTACTAGTAGTGTTTTTATGATTTCTATAGTAGATATTACGGATAAGCCTGAAGAACTCATATATAAAGATAAGTTATAGGTATGAATTATTCAAGAATTGAGAGCTTAAAAAATATTTAGATGGAGATACTTTAAATACTTCCAAGGTTGTATCTAGTACCTAATTATCAATGCTAGATAAATGTGTATAGTAAGAATTGAGTATCATTTGATCCTACTGGTGCTAGTTATGTCGTAGTTATATTTTGTAAGAAGATGCTTATAGGATAGTACCTAGGTACTAGGTAGTAGTTAACACAAACTGAGTAAGAATTTTAGCAGTGAATCTTTGAATGATCGGAGAGCAACTCGACTAACCTTGGAAACAATGTAATCTTCTCTTATTCATAACTCACAACCTGAAGCTCAACTCCTCTAGAGCCCGCCCTTCAATATCTTGACTTGATTAGTAGCACCAGCGGGAAGCTCAAATCTAAGAACAGGTTTGTGAAGTCTTTTTTATATCACCACTACAGCTTAACCCTTGAAACTGCCAGCTAAAACACGTCTTAGTTGCTTGCGCGGTGTTTACCTCACTCGCCCTCAAACTGCACCGACACATCCCTCCCCCCCCCCTCCCTCCTCTCTCTCTCTCTCTCTCTCTCTTCCACACACACATACATTCACTCAGTCAGTCAGTCAGTCAGTCACACCCACTCACTCACATCCCCTGCAATTTTCTTCAGAGAGAGGTCTTGGCTCGCATAGGATGATGATGAATCCTTCAATGATCCGAGTTTACCATGTTGAATACTACATTGTCACTCTGATGTGAGCCAATTACCTCTGCATCATTACGAGCTCCCATTCATCAAGACCCCGCATCTCTGGCATACACTACCCATCAAGTGAGCAGCTTGAAGAACGCCAGGAGCCTGACCCTTCTTAGGTAACCAAAGTGCAAGTCAAGACTTTACTGGTTTACTTCCTTTCCTGACCTGATAGATCCATACCAAAAGAATTTCTTGACGCGAATCTTGGAAGTGACAACAAAAACAATGGGACCCCGAAAAAACGCGAAGCTCTCAGCTGCCCTACTTGAAACGCATTCAATCTTGAACTTCACTCCACATTGATATCTCTGCTCGAAATCACAAATATTCAAGAAACTAACAGCTGGAGCCACATGAGCCTCGCGTCTTTTCTCTTTTCTGATCAACGGTACGTTTTATAATTACTGTGATCTGGCAGACCTGCAAATGATGAACCAATCCAACTTTGATATTTTTTATGTGATAAGCTTACGAGCAATCTTTGAGATCTGAAAAATTCAACACTGCTAGCTTCTGATTGTATCGCAAGGCCAAACCCATTACTGACTGTGCTGCGTACCCCGTCAAGGTCTAGGATTCTTCACGAACACGTCAGAGAGAGTCAACTCTCTAGATCACATCCCCGCCCCTCATTTTTGAAGATGCAGACAACCTCCTTAGGTCAACCTCTTGTTCCCTCTTCACGATGTTGATTGAGCCTTGACCAAACACCTCTCTGTCGCAGAAAGCCATTATAGATTTCGTTCACCCAGTTCATTTCGACCGGATAAGACATGCGTGAATTCTCCAAGTGCCTTGATACCCGAAATACAGGTGAGCAGTCTGGAACTTCATGCAGAATGAGACCAAGTCAGAGCCCACCGATCAAGACCCAACATGATGCTTATATACAAGGCGGGGAATATTGAAATGTCGATCGAGAGAGCACCACTATGCTTCTCGTGAATGTCATCATGATGCTATAAATATATGACCCTAAATCTATTTGGGCTTGAAACTCGGGTTGGCGATGAAACTGAGTACTATGCATTGTTTTCGAATCATGTGCTAACTCTACTCTATTGCCTTAGGTTTACCATTCTAGACCACGACCTCGAGATCCTTCCGTCTTTCAGCTACCTACGTACCGCCGAATGAGAAACAGTTACCCAAGTCCTGCACATGATGACCACAAGTTGTTCCTAATTCCAAGATGATATGTAATTCTGAGATGATATGTAATTCCAAGATGATATGTAATTCTGAGATGATATGTAATTCTGAGATGATATGAATTTTCATGAGTCTGATGCGAGCTTGACGTATGTCTACTTCAAGTTCTACCTATTCACTTGGCGGGCTCGATTTGAGAACATCGACGAGTAGTACTTCTATGCCCACAGGTCATGTGTCTGATACTCAAATAATGAGGAACAAGTTCCGGGAATACAATTTCGGGTTCTTTTTGGCTTCCATGATGGCTTAATGCATCTATGCCGACTTTCGGTTCTCTCATAACTTCCAGTATCCTACTAATAATATCTTAAAGTAGAGAAAATGCAGTGGTCAGTGTCAATTACACCCAAGTCGTCCATTCGTGATCATATAGCGAACTTAGCCTACCTACTTCAAGTTGATAATGCTCATCAATCCATATTAATCCCGACTCAGAAAAGTATAGATCTTTCTCAAGCTAGAAGACTCGCCCAGGGCAAGTGATGTACAGACTCGGAGTAGAAGAAAATACGCCTGGACATAGATACTACAACAGGGACTAACTAGTAGAGCTGATTTGGAAATCACATTGGGAAATAAGTTGAACTTTTGCATTAACAAAATTGCAGATGCATCATAATGTCATTGTACACTAGTTTACATAACGAATTGAAACTTGAAAGGTTCAAGACCTTTCAAGTTGGATCATGGCTGCAGATTCATCTTGCTCAAAATATTCAACAACTTTACGTGTTAAATGTTTCATAAAGCACATGGCTGTGCCATCCTTTTATGCTTATGCTTGTGCACCCATCTTCAAAGAAAAATACAAGCGCCTTAGTAATGCTGAGAAACACGATGCACAGACTCCGCCGTCCCATCCAACGCCATACGATTCTCCTCGTCGTAATATCGTCGCTCACGGACATAATATGGCCGCTCAACATAGTCACCAATAGGTCTCTCCTCCAGGTACACGCTGACTTCACGAGCAGGCCCAGCAGGACCAGCAGGACGGGTGCTACCAACACGTTGGATGACATCATGGGGCTCTTCATATCGATGTTGTGGTTGTTGTGGACGCACACTAGCAGTCCGAATCACTCTCTCTTGAGGGATTGCATGCTCTTCTACATAGGTTTGGCGACGGGGAAGATATTCGGCAACTTGTACGCTGCCTGCACGAGGGTAAGGTTCATGAGCCTCTGCAGGAGTGACATACACCTGTCTATCGCTAGCAGCAGGGCGAGCATAGTTGGATGTGACACGTCTGTAAACAGGCTGGGGAGGTGGCATCTCTTGTATGTAGCGACGCTCAACATATGGGTCTTGATGAACAACCGAAGGTGCACGAACACTGGCGGGGCGAGCAGGAGGTCTGTCGTCGTAGACTTCGCCCTGAGGAGCGGGAGCTCGAGAAGCTGGTCTGGGGGGGAGGTGCCATGACCTGGGTCCTGCGGGATGGAATCATCTCATACTCATTTCCATGTTCATCGACAACATATCGGCGTTGAGGGGGAGGTGGCATGGCTCGTGCGGGTTGAGGCTCTTCATAGTACTGGCTTCGGTAGGCTGGTTGTGGTGCATCATCTTCAACTTGAATGTACCGTGGTCCATAAGAAGGAACATCTTCGTAGTATCTATGCTGTTCCGGTAACCGTCTCTCCACAACAGCATAAGAAGCAGACCTGGCAACATGAGGGTCATGTCCAATGTACTCTTCTTCGCGGTATTCAGGCTGTCGACCATACTGTAAACTAGCAACTCGTCTGAGATCGGCATCGTCACGAACCAAACGTCCAGCCTCCACTCGGGAAACTGTCCTTGCAGGTCCTTGATCGGTAGAGATCTCATGGTATGGATCCAGTTCATACATAGGTGCAGCATTGGTTGGCTCACGTCGCTCCACATTTGCTGTGTACTGAGGGGAGTCAATTTCGATATACACAGGCTGTCGGGTTCGCACAACAGCAGGGTCATCAGTGAATGGTGGTGGGGAAACCGGCTCTTCCTTGATGTAAGGACCAGAGGGATCAGCATTCTGCCTCTTGTATGACACACGAACATCTTGTCCCTTCTCCTGAACCCTTCTTCGCTTGCGAGACATGATTTGCGGAACTGGGGCATTGGGACTAGCACGACCGGACTCCGGATCGGAGTAGAATCTATCTACCCCTTGGTCGAACTGATCACCTCGAATTTGTTGAACTGCAGGAACCTTGGCAGTTGCAAGAGGCGAAACGCGGGACGGACGAGGAGCTGCTGGAGATGTGATATGGTTTCGGACTACTGTGAGATTGTTTCCAGATCGTTCCTGCACATCCTGTGATGGCTCAACGTATTTAGGCCGGCTTTCGTCGGTCGCAGGTACTTGCTCATAAGCTCTTTGGTCAATCGAAGGTGCAACTGGGGCGGGTGGGGAGTATTCCGGCTCTTCCACAACAACAGTCTGCTGAGCTTCATGGAAACGACGGGTTGTCTCCGGTTGACTGGGATGCAGCTTTTTCTGGGGAGGGGGTATGTGCTGGTCAGCAACAGGGTAAGCATCTCGCATTTCCTGATCAGATGCAGGTCTGTTCAAAGCTTCAAGCCGCTGCAACTCAACTGAGTAATGCTCTACTGGAGCCGCTTTAGAGACATTGGCTGGACCAGTCGGCATGACTGGAGATTGTTCTTGGTGTTCACCCATAGGAGGCGGCGAATCAGGCGCTTTACTGGAGTAATAGGAATTCTCATCAAAGGAGTCTGGCGCGTTGATCTCAGGTGGGTCATTAATCGGGCCAGGTTTCACAATTGTCAGCGCCCTGCTGAACACATCCGACACATCAAATTCAGGTTTTGTATCCTGGGTAGCGGGCTTCTGCTTTGAATCCTGCTTTTTGTGTTCCAATTGATCACGCAGTGTTCTTTCCACTCGCTGACGTTGTAATTGTAGTTCTGCCCTCACCAGATCATCTGACTTGGTCAAGAATATGGGATCGATCTCAGACGCGGGCTTGGACGCAACACACGCCATCGGTTGTGCATTCTTGGGAGAAGGAATCGATGTCATATCAGACGCGGATGCTTGTGCTTTGGTATTATGGGGGTTGTGCGATATTTCCGATTGAGGGGCGGGTTCTGTAACCGAAGGTTGATTTTTCACTGCCTGCTGAACCAACGGGCTATCTTGGCCTGGTTGAGTCTTGGGCTTGCGGACAAACTTCTGGGGGACTTTTAGGCGCGGGTGTGATCCAGAGAAGATCTCCTCGCTAAGTTTCAAAATCCTCTCATATTCTTGAGTCTCTTCAGCTGTTATCGGTGTAGAAGACACCATCGGCCCTGCTGTAAGGTGAGTTGCGGTCCCATTAGCTGTCGCCATGATTTAGGGAAGCTTCCAAGCTTTCAGGAAGGGGGGGGGCAATCAAGTTGAAGCTAAGCAGAAACAGGTTGAGTCTTTGGGGAAGGGAAGAAAATGTGACAACTATTAGGAGAGTAGAATCATATCCTTCATATCCAAGTATTTGGAGAAGATAAACTCTAGTCTTAATACTAGTCAGACCGCCAGAATGGGGGTTGGTGAGTTAAAAACAGAAAAAAGTGACGACGATGCGCTTTTCACGCTAGAGCGGATTAGGTAACGCGGTAGGTTCTCCGCGCCCTCCACTTGCCCAATGATACAACTCAGTCTAGCCATCCCCGTTCTACTTTGCGACAGGTCTTTTCCCTCTCAATGAATCGCGTATTCTTTGGGTTGCCTGGTCGTTCGTCGTTTCGTCCTTCTTTTACAATTCCTCGTGCTACATTTGGGTTTTTCCCCCGAGCAAGCCCATACTCTACAATGGCAGTCAACGGCACAAATGGCGCAAATGGCGCAAACGGGGGTGACTCACGACCGATCTTCTTCTTCGACATCGACAATTGTGTACGTATGATTAAGAACCTCAAGTCTGGACCTTCAAAAACCGTGACAAATTTGCTAACATTCGGTTTTACCAATTAGCTTTACTCTAAACGTGTGTCTATGATCCTCCACCTCCTAACAACAAGACTGACCCCTTCTCGTAGAATGCAATATCCATGATGAGATGCAGAAGTTGATCAGTGAGTCATCGCAATCTCTTGTTCAATTATACTGTTGCTGACTTGCTCATCTCTACCTTTCTAGACAAGTTCTTCTGCAAGCACCTTGCTCTCACTCCCGAAGATGCTCATATGCTCCACCAAAAATACTACAAGGAGTACGGCCTTGCCATTGAAGGCCTGACACGCCACCACAAGATCGATCCGCTCGAATTCAACTACGAAGTGGATGATGCTCTCCCTCTCGATACAATCTTGGAGCCCAACCCCAAGCTGCGTGAGCTGCTGGAGGCATTGGATACCAGCAAGGTGAAGCCCTGGCTGCTCACTAACGCTTACGTCAATCATGCAAAGCGGGTTGTTCAGCTGTTGGGTATCGAGGATCTGTTCGAGGGGGTTACATTCTGTGACTATGCTCAGCTGCCGTTGATTTGTAAACCCAGCCAGGACATGTATGCGAAGGCAGAGAAGGAGGCCGGAGCGCCTAGCACCGAGTCGTGTTACTTCATTGGTATGTTACCTTGAAACTTGCCACGTCTCCCCATGGCAATACCACCGAACACCATAAGCCATTATTAACCATTTTGATTTTACAGATGATTCATATCTGAATTGCAAGCATGCTGAGGCCCGAGGCTGGTCAGTCGTTCATCTGGTGGAGCCAGGTGTTGAAACCCCTCGCGTTCCAGCTTCCAAATACTCGGTTTCTAACCTTGAGGAACTGCGTGGCCTCTTCCCAGAGGTTTTCAAGTCATAGAGCAACGCAGTTTCGATGATGGAGTACGACTTTCGATGATTATATGCCTTGTTTATAGAGTTCTTATAATAAGTGACGTGGCGGATGCGATGGCTGTATATATTTAGTGGGCTTGAAGTGAGCACAATGTCTCCTCAACGCCATGTGTTTCCGGAGGTTGGCCATGGCAGACATTTGAAGACTTGGGTAGATGAGTTGTCAATTTCAACATTTGAACCTGAACACACCGGGGGGGTGAATTTTTTGCTTCAGATCCATGTTCTTATTCATATATAGGGAAACTTCTACTTTGCCATGCATGGTCTCAATTGCTCAAAGAACTTGGGCTTTCCATAGCTTCTGAAGAATGTTGTATTAATGTATTGGTCATATCAGTGAATACATAGTCTACTATAAGGAGCTGCTAGCATCTACTTTTTGAATATGAGGTGGAGCCAAGACTGATTGTGATTGACGAGCATGAATATTAACAAACAAAGATGAAGAGGTATCAACCTCTGTACAGGATTTAAAAGCCATGAGAAGGAAACAAACAAGAAGGTCAACACCGGATTGACCAACCACCCAAGAAGACCGAGGAAAGACCATGATGAAGGACCGAAGTAGAGAGAAGACCGAGATGGAGATTATATGCTATATGCCAATGTAGAGATGGCAGGCCAAGGTAGAGAGATGGCAGGCCAAGGTAGAGAGATGGCAGGCCGAAGTAGAGATTGTGTGCCAATGTAGAGATGGCAGGCCGAAGTAAAGATTGTAGGCCGAAGTAGAGATTGTGTGCCAATGTAGAGGTGGCAGGCCGAGGTAGAGAGATGGTAGGCCGAAGTAAAGATTGTAGGCCGAAGTAAAGATTGTAGGCCGAAGTAGAGATTGTGTGCCAATGTAGATGGCAGGCCGAGGTAGAGATGGCAGGCCAAGGTAGAGAGATGGCAGGCCGAAGTAGAGATTGTGTGCCAATGTAGAGATGGCAGGCCGAAGTAAAGATTGTAGGCCGAAGTAGAGATTGTGTGCCAATATAGAGATGGCAGGCCGAAGTAAAGATTGTAGGCCGAAGTAGAGATTGTGTGCCAATGTAGAGGTGGCAGGCCGAAGTAAAGATGTTAAGCCAAGGGGAGGCAGAGGAGTAAAGTATTGGAATGGTCAAGTAGGTCAAGGGTGGTTTGGTCAACAGGCGAGGACAACGTACAAAAGAAAAAAAAATCAAAGCTCGATAATCAGTAAAACAGTTGAGGCAGTTGGCAGGGTCGACCAGCAGAGTGAAGGCCGGAGAAGATGATTGAGTTGAAGTTGGTTGATTGGAGGCCGACAAGGTCAAGGCCAGAGAAGGTTGAAGGTGAAGTTGGTTGAGTGGATGGAGTGAATACCGACCAGTAGAGTGAAGGCCGGAGAAGATGATTGAGTTGAAGTTGGTTGATTGGAGGCCGACAAGGTCAAGGCCAGAGAAGGTTGAAGGTGAAGTTGGTTGAGTGGATGGAGTGAATGCCGACCAGTAGAGTGAAGGCCGGAGAAGATGATTGAGTTGAAGTTGGTTGATTGGAGGCCGACAAGGTCAAGGCCAGAGAAGGTTGAAGGTGAAGTTGGTTGAGTGGATGGAGTGAATACCGACCAGTAGAGTGAAGGCCGGAGAAGATGATTGAGTTGAAGTTGGTTGATTGGAGGCCGACAAGGTCAAGGCCAGAGAAGGTTGAAGGTGAAGTTGGTTGAGTGGATGGAGTGAATGCCGACCAGTAGAGTGAAGGCCGGAGAAGATGATTGAGTTGAAGTTGGTTGATTGGAGGCCGACAAGGTCAAGGCCAGTGGAAGGTAAGATTGAGGCAGACACCCAAGGCAGAAGCAGGACATTGAGGCCGATGGCTCAGATGGAGAAGCCAGGTGGATTGTGGATTTTGAGTTGAACAAGGCCGACAGGTAAAGTTGAACAATGCGAAGTTGAATGTAGTCAAGGCCAGAGGATGTGTCGTGTCAAGGCAGAAGCGGATATCGAAGACTGACAGGTCACAGGTGGGAACCGGACCGAGTGGAGTGGAGGCACACAGAAGACTGAGTGGGGACCAGGTGGAGACCAAGTGGATGTAAGTGGGTTTGACAGGCCAGGTAGATTGTGAGTGGATGTATCAGGCCAAGGTGGGTCGGTCAGGTCAGGTCAAGGTAGACAACAGTCAGTGGAGACATGTGGGTGATGTCGATGTGGATGTGTCAGGCCCAGCAAGAGGTAGGATGCTGACATAGATTGATGGAAGGTGTGATGTATCCGCTTCTGCCATGAGCTGCTTCTGCCTTGAGGTAAAGAGGTAAGTAAAGATGAGTCTGTGGTTAGTGCTGTACCACTGTAATTCATTGTCGACATGTGTGGGCTACAGCAGCTACCACGGTGAGGGAAGATGGTTAGAGCTTGATGGAATGTTAGTCGGAGCAGGAGGAAGAGAGACTGTAATTCTTTGTCGACATGTGTGGGCTACAGCAGCTACCACGATGAGGGAAGATGGTTAGAGCTTGATGGAATGTTAGTCGGAGCAGGAGGAAGAGAGACTGTAATTCTTTGTCGACATGTGTGGGCTACAGCAGCTGCCACGGTGAGGGAAGATGGTTAGAGCTTGATGGAATGTTAGTCGGAGCAGGAGGAAGAGAGACTGTAATTCTTTGTCGACATGTGTGGGCTACAGCAGCTGCCACGGTGAGGGAAGATGGTTAGAGCTTGATGGAATGTTAGTCGGAGCAGGAGGAAGAGAGACTGTAATTCTTTGTCGACATGTGTGGGCTACAGCAGCTACCACTGAGAGAGGGAGGGAGAGAGAGAGTGTGTGTGTGTGTGTGAGGAAGAGAGAGAGAGAGAGAGAGAGAGAGAGAGAGAGAGAGTTGGGGAAAAAAGAAAAGAGAAAGTGGAAAGGGAGGTTTTGGGGGAATTTATACCCTGGGGAAGGGGCCTGGGAGATCACACATCGAGGGTTCAGGATCAGCCAATCAGAAGCTTGGGAGGTACACAAGCATCGCTCCTGATACAAAACTGACAGACACGCAATGCGTAGTTACTTCAGGGTCAGGATCAATGTTTGCGAACCGAAGATCACCAGCCTCGAGCAAGCGAACCAATCATCATCCAGGATCACAGATTCTAAGCGAGCCAATTACGTACGAGGGACTCTGGAGATGTACTCCAGCATCTCTTTCCGTAGAAAATTATCTGCAATACGATGCTTGTTTACTTCCCCGCCATCGCAGCTCCAGGATCAGCGAGGCTCGGCGGGAGATCATCACCCGCTTAAATTAAGCGAGCCAATCACGGGCCAGAATCACCAGGACAGTCCTTGGTCCCTTTGGCATCGCGCCCCCTATCATAATAGCAGTACACTTGTGCTTCAACATGTCTCGATAATTTTAATCCCCAGACTTTGACCAAGGAGAACATTTACAATTCCTGATCTTGACTCCGATGATGCCGATGAGGCACAAATCATTATGGGGATTTTGAGCTTTAATATGGATGTTTATAAAATCGCAGCACTGATGGCTCACGAGGCTCCCAGGTGGAAAGATCAGACGTCGACGCTGTAATGCAGGGGAAACTTTTGGATCGGGAAAGTGTGAGGCTATTCGAGTCACACCTTAGCCTTGAAGGACAGCTACGACACAGGAGCGCCCACTGGGCAGCCTTCCACACCGTAAATTCCAATGTTACTAATATTGTACTAACAGACTTCAAGTTTTGCAAGTCCTTACTCCGAGTTGGATGTCATCCATACTAGCACCCAAAGTAATACGCAGGCTTGACTCCCGAGGTCGGAAATAATGTACTATTATGTCTTCCACTGGCATCGATCATGGATTGCGATCTATATATATTTCAGTTGATACAAAGGCAGTATGTACCTAGGTATGTAGTACATATGTACATATGTACTACTAACATTTGAAAACGCCCTGGAGCATACCTATGTAGGTACTAATGTAGGTACTATATGTGCTAGTACATACTACTACATAGCACTTGCACATGAGTACACACTATGCCTTCAAGTTGGAACATTTGAAGTGCTACTAGTAGTAGTAATTCCAAGGTTGGCATCACCACATGTGTACATAACTTGAACTTGAATTAATACGTATCTGGACACCAGTGCGTGCTAGTGCCCACTGGCAGGTGTCCACCAGCCGGCTGGTGGTGCTGGTAGTTACATATATATACTACCTATGCATGCCATGTGCAAGGTCAACCGGTAGTCATAATCACTGGCAGCCTGAGCCCTGGAGGTGGATACATATTCTAGTACACATCAATGTGCCACGGCAGGGGCATCAATACTAGTACTATCGGCTGCTCCCAGTAGTAGAATATTATTGAAATTCTTCGCGCAGCTCGGGCGATACCCCAGGTGCTGACTACCCTACAGTCATGGTGTAGCACATATGGTTAGTAGTAGTAACATTTTTTGAATCACAGAACCTTGGAATCTGAAGGTCCCCCACATAAAACATGGATTGGAAGGAGTGATTGGAATTTCCAAGAAAAACAGCAGCTTGATATTGATTACTAGGTACATATAATCAGACGTGCACGGCTTGATCTTCTTCTCCGAGAGGTAAGACGCGTTCTAAATTTAGGAGCATAAGTACACGCATGCAAACAATGTCATCGAGTCTGAGAGGCTTCAAAGCTAGATCTACTACAGGTAGTGAAATTTATCCTTCTGAGTTGAGCAGCTTCAAGTTGACAGAATTACAAACTACAACCTGTGGGATAAGCAACATTTGAATATACTGGGACGCATACCAGTGTGCGGTATGGTGCTGAAGAGTATAACAAATCCTACTCATAATATGCGGGGCCTCTGGCAGTGTTTGAATTAGACACTAGGTTCAAATGCTGCTTGCGAGGGCCAAGGATCATCAGACTCAGCTAGATTTACTCGTGGATCCTGCACATATTTTTTCATCTTGAAAATACCAGTAATAGCACAACTCCGGAATTATCAATTCAGATAGAACTCGAGGCACAAAACTTCGTATTAAGCCACCATTCACGGTGCCGCCCATAGATAAACGCATTGTCACTTCTCTCAAAACAACTGGGACCTTCGGAACCACGAGCACGAACAAAAAATCGTAAAATTCAAATGGGTATTTGAAACGGCCATAATAACCTTGGAAAAGACAAAGAAAGAAAGCGTAACACGTATTTATGTGAAAATAGCCTGGTAAAATTGGGCTTCGTATCTTGGAAACACATCACGTCGTGGCTCAGCCATTAGAATGCAACTCCGATTTCAGGTTCCCGAAAGACCAGCGAGTCCTCATGTCGAAGCGAAGCAAACGCATTACCGGGCTGTCGCACTTCAGGCATTGTTGGATGGAAGAGACCCAGCTCGACATCCTTGTCCTTTGAGATTGATGGCTTATGCAAAGACACTCGTGGTGTCGAGAAACCAGTAGTTGAGCTCGAGATAGAGTTATTCGGTCTCCACCAGTCAGTACCGCCTGGAGCCGTAATGTTTGAGTCGACCGTGGAACCACTCATGGTGCGGGTTCGCTCCCATTGGAATCCATTCTCGTTGGGGAGGGAGACTTGAATAGGGGATGTGTCCTTTGCTGTTCCTGGGAAGAACCACTGCGAGAGACGGTTTGGAAGCGAAGGCGATGCGATGGTTTTACGGTTGTCTGTTGGGGTGAACGAGGGACTATGTAGCGAGAATAGACGAGATGGGAAGGTGCGAGAGCTCGCGGTTGATGGGGAATCCCACAGGAAAGAAATTTGATTAGGGGAATGTCGGTCGCTTGTCGGGGTTCCATCCATCGAGCCCTTTATGGTCACCGGGGTCTGAGGAAGAGCCTCCAGTGTTGATGAGGCTGGGGAACCCGTCGAGTGGTCGTTCAAGATATCGGTGTCCAGTGTGAGCTTGCTCTCGTTGGAATGAGTTCGGCCATGTCTGAGAGGAGAGACTGGAAGGTATTCCGCTGGAGAGGGAGTATTGAAAGGATTGAACTGAACCGGAGATACAACAGAAAAATGGGGGATCAACGGGCTTGCAACGTGGACAGGCGTGCGAGGTGAAATGAGCTCCATGTTGCCCAAAGAGCGACGATTATCTCCGGATCCAACAGGCTTGCGATTCACCTTGAAGCCAGACGCAGTTGACACACATCGTCGATGACGGATGTTAGGTGGAGTGAGAGCTCGAGGTGGTACTGTCAAGGGCTGGTATTGGTGCTCTTCCCAAACTTGGAATAAATCAAAGGACGGCAGGTCCGACAATCGATTTCCCGACCGATGGATGCTAAGTTGGAGAGGCTGATACTTGGTCGGAATAGGGTCACGATATGATTGAACCCTACGGAAGTCCGATGGCCCACTTATCTTCAAGGGTGTAGTAGTGTGCCTCTTCCGGGATATGGTCATACTGGATGCCCGCGTCGCCAGGCTCCGACCCTCCTCCAGCCATGATGACATCGACAGCGATCCCCGGACATGGTGCATTCGAGGACTTGGGAGAGGACTTGGGGGATCATCATACACCTTCAACTTCATGGGGGAAACTAGATGTGGCTCGGAATGGCATACTTGCATCTCCCGTTCGACACCTGTAGATTAAATACCATGTTAGACCCATTAATTCTGCGAATATGGCGATATTCGAGACAGTGTTGATGATGGGATTGATGACTGACCTTCAGGAAGTCTCGGCGCGTGTTTATCGTTCTCAGCGTCATTCTCGTCCTTCTCGGCGTCGTGGCCTTGGGACAAACATGACCAGCACGACTGTATCCAACCAGTGAATAGCGACCCCGCTTGGTCAAAAGCCGTTGTGGCCATCGCGGGAATCTAATCCATCACCTTTCCTGAAGGAGGGGAGTGGAAAGAGACGCGCGCTGATACAAAGGAGAGACTCGCGTTAGGCAGAAGAAAACATTTGAAGAGATAATTTTCTTAAACAAAGAAGATTTAGTAGTACAAGGATCACACACCAGCCTTCCTACTACTAGTACTTTCTTCCCCTCCTATGTGGAATTCACTAAAGCCCGTGCACCATATATTTTCCTGACTTATCAGGAACCATAAGTGAGACGGTTTGCCGCTAAGACTGGGGCTATACCGCACAGAGCAAGTCAGCCTAGCAAAATTACACTTGAAAGGACGGGTTGGTGGTGAGGATCATCTCTGCAGAGCAAACTAAGACATTTTATTTGTGGAGATGAAGTGGAGCTGTCACAATTTCTGTGCTTATCATGGATTCCGTAGCTTTTGTTCATGTATAAGAAGTGGGGCTGTCACACAGTTGGGCGCGTATAAAGGATCCCTTGTGTAGTCTGATGTAGTCTGGTGCAGTCTAGTGCAGTCTGATGCGTTGGCTCTTCTGCACCTCGCTTTCTTTTAGGGAAATATTAGGCAATGCCCCGCGATCTAGTTTGATCATGTCTCGTTTCAGAGTCTGAAATATCTCCCTATTGGTTCATTGAAGGCTGGTTTATATACCTCCTACGTAGTAGAGCTTCAAATAAATCTACGATGCTCTAGAAACCAATCAACTCTGAAGACTAGAATGCTTTCCAGGTAATCAAATAAAAAAAGAAATTACACCTAACAACTAATCATAACTCTTTATTTGCCCCACACATTGTCATCCTCCAACGCACTGTACCATCGCGTGGCAGTTTGATCATGGACCGGTTTGTTGGAGTTGGGGGCTGGAGCTGGGGCTTCGGGTTCGGTTTCTTCATCAATTGGTTGTCCAGTTGGTCTTCTAGAATATTGGGGAACAGGGTTAGTCCAATAATAATTATAATATTTTTCAAACACGAGAACGAAGATGAGGGGGGAAAGTAAAACAGAATCCATCAAAAAAAGATCATGAAAGTGTAAGGAGCTACTTACGAGAAGCGTCGAGCATCAGCTCCAGCCCAAGCAGACCCTGTTTCACGTTGGGCCTGAAGTCGTTCTTCCTCCTCTGCTTCTTGGTTCTCCACTACGAGGTCAACAAGCTGGCTGCGATGTGACTGGTGGGAGCTCGTGGAGCTGGCGTTGCGCTGCAAGGGACCTGGTCCATTGGAGCTCTTGCTAGACCTGCGCGAGGAATTGGGGTCTCGTCTACTCTCGCTACCCGACCCTCGACTTTTCCGGTGAGTGCGGGACTTTTTCGTATGGCCCCCAGAGTGCGAGGAACGGGATTCTTGGTAGCCCCTTGTTATTGGTAGTCGCTGGTCTCGGGGGGATTTCGTTGGCGGTGATGACCGGATACTATTCATAGTCAAAATTAGTATCTGGTACAATGAAAGCCACACATGCGGGACTTACATTCCAGTCCCCAAACTCTAGCGCCCGCGCATTGGTGAAAAGATGCTCATCTTCCTCGTCTAGGGTGACTTCAATCTCACTATAGGATCGAAATCGATCTGCGGAACTACGACTGCCTCGTTCACTGCGACCGCGTATACTAGATTCTCCACCGGCGAGAAGTGGAGTGCGACTATCAGCATCCCCGGGCTTGCTGGCCTCGCCAGGTTTGGGAATCCAGTACTTGGCCTTCCCTCCTCGCTCATACCGCATCCCCTCCATGACTCGCTTGACTCGCGATTCAGACTCTGCATGAGCAATAATATTGTCGCCCGAGTCAAAAATTCGATAGTCATAATTGTCCCCGCGGAAGGTAATCTTTGTATCCTCGACCAGATCCCTAATTCCGAATGCGTCTCGAAGTGCATACTTCACCGGCATTCGTGCAGCAGAAACGGTGGGGTCAGCATAATCATGCCAGGAGAAGGCATACCAATGTGCAACTGCAAAGAAAGGCATCTCAAAACAGAGGAGACTGTCTTGGATCGCAGCTGCAAGGTTGTCCGGGGTATAGCCTGCAACACCATTGCCTAGTGCACCCAGCCACTGCAAGATGGATAAGAAGAATCCTTGCCAATACGAGGCAAAAATGATCAGTTTGACACAGAGAAATTTGGGAACTGGGCGGAATGGCAAAAGGTCGTCGTGCAGACAAACCCAGAACATCGCCAGGGAATACAGGCTAAGAGTCACGCTAACATTGTATATAATGCCAGTCCACAGATAGCCTGATCCGATATCCAGATAACCTTCATGGTATGTATCGGTTGCTTTCATCACAATGGAAGCGAGGGCCAAGATGGGCTTCAGCCAGGCATATTGGAGAATGCCACGCTTGACAGCCAGGAATGTATGAGGGTCGGATATATCCACCTTCGGGAGGAAATGGTTGAGAGGCCAAGCATGCGATACCGGTGGTCGGCCATGGGCCATAATAATGAGTGCTCGTTCACCCCCAAGGAAATTGATCAGGAGCTGAAAAAAGGTGTAGATAGTGAACGCCTATTCATCCGTCAGCATTGTCCTATCAGTGCCATCGTTTGTGCCATAATACCTCATAAATATCGCGGATTGGATCGAGGAATTGAGCTGCAGTGAGCGATACGATGCTTGTCCATGATGCTGCAGCAAATATTGGCACCCTTATCTCTGTCAGCGAAACCGTCAAAGCTTCTCGGTGGCCCCTGAGCCTGCGAACGTAGTCGGCCAGCTAATACTCACATCAAGAGAATGCGGACAACGTATCTCTGCAGTAGGGGCTTTCGGTAGTTTTTGCTATCGGAAAATCTCGAGTTAGAAGCTATTGGGGATAGTGATCCGAGGCGAGGTCGTACATTTGGAACCATATCGATCTGTAAATAGAATCGAGAAATTAGCTTCATATTCTTAGCGAGACTGTGCTATGCACCCCTCGAGAGACCAAAACTCACATCACAGATAGTAGCGATGCCACTAAAGCTGAGACACCAGTCACAATAATGATCGCGCGAGCTAGGCTGGAGCCTGTTCCTCCGCCGGGGACGGTCTTCACAACAGCCATGGTCGTGAAAAATGGCAAGTGCGGATGGGATGAACCGCGAATTTAGATACAGCGATTCATTTCGTAAGCTCGTCAAGGGCGTAATTCATCTTGGACTCGGCGCGCAGAGGGCGGGAGAGCTCAGGGAACCAGGAGGCGGGCGTGTTCCGATGACGACTATTCTCGTGACACCGCCTTAGATTAAACATTGCGGACCCGCATCAAGCTTCGCGACTTCCATGATCTAATTTACCACATCTGCCTTGGATTTTGAAATCTTGGAATGATAAGGCTCATTGACTGGGCTCGTCGGTCGCGAGTCGCTCTGTCTCGCTGAAGATGTTCACGCCAGCTGGCGGCATCAAGGAGAAATGTCCACTACAAGCTTAACGGCCTCTGATCTGACGCCGGATCCAAGCTTCAATTGGTCTGTTAGAATTCGAACCACGGTCTTGCATGATTACTGACGGATTTTTTCATCGATTAGGTTTTTTCTCTTGGAGCTCATAGTTTGTTGTATTCTGTGAGTGTTTATGCGATTTGCTAGTTTGATTGTCACTAACGTTCCAGTGTATTATTCTTCCTGCTCTACTTCAATCGACTATTTGCGACCCTGCTTTCGTACGGAATCCGAGCCTACACCTGGCATTACTATCGCGTATATGTCGATATCAACTCCTTACAAGTGTCATTGCTAGGCGGCAGGATATTCTTCAAAGGCATTCGATATCATGGCGTGAATGAGACTATCTTCATTCATGGAGGTTTCATAACATGGCGGTACTGGAAACGACAGGTGGAACGGACCAACTTTTCCGACGGTCAAAGTCAAGTAGACGAGTCCAACTCCTCAAAGAAAGGGCTCGATGCCTCTGCTTCCAGTGACTATGTAGCCCCTGGCGGCAATGCTGCCGGGCTCGGAGAACAAGGCGGCTTGGAAAAGACAATTGAATTACCCTGTCGGGTCTCTGTTAAGGTTTATGGACTGGAATGGTTCATCTACAATCGTACTCCTGCCTATGATAGTATTCTTGCTGGCTTTGGCTACACACAGAACGATTGGGATGAAAATGAGAACGGTTCAACTTTCCACACTGATGAGCAGCCACGTCGCACTGAAACAAATTTCACTATGGATTCTGTCAACAGTACCAAGCGGAGCTTTGACAACGCCTCGGCGCACAGTACGACTGAAAGAAGACCCACTGACTACCAGGACACTGAAATCCGCAGGTCGGAACTTTCAGAATCCGTGTCAAATATGCTCGAACTTCTGCCAATCAAGCTTGATTGCTCTAAAGGAGCTATTGTGATGGGGAATGAGCATACTCATTCTGTTTTGACAACAACTTTTGATAAGGCAACGGGAAACATAGCTGCTTGCAAGGCCGGACCCCTGGATTTGTACCGGCAGCTTTTTTCATTTCAGTTCCAACATCCGGTGATTCAAATGAGACCAAATCCTGATTTCAAACAAAATCAAGTTGCCACCGCGAAAACACTCAACTCTACAGAAAACGATGAACCTGTCCCAGAACGAAAGCGAAACTTTTTCAGCTATCGGCTTCAAAGACGCAGGATATGGCACAGCATTCGTGACCTGGTTCCTTATTTCCAGACCTCCGTGGAGTCGTTTCATGTCAACTCAAAGCAGGCTGGAAGTATGCCCAAAAGTCAAGCCGAATTTCCAGATGCCATTCGTTGGACGGGCCTGTCCCGCTACTTGGACCAGGAGAATGATGATGATCATGAAAAATGGAACTCAGTAGAATATGCCCGCTTCTCCACTATCCTTGATGGTACAAGCCTGGACTTGACGTACTTTTGGGATATCCCCGGGGCGCGTGAGGCCTGAACATACAGGATCTACTGAACATACAGGCAAGGATATCAATCATGCTCTTCCTCCGGAGTGGGGGGATTGATCTCAAGATCAAGGGTGGAACCATCAACTATGGCCCCTGGGCTGACAGGGAACGAATTGGGTTGCAAAATGTTTTCTTTCCTAATTTCTATCGAAGTGCAGAGGCAGCCGAACCCTTGACACCCGGGACCTTAAGACAAAGTACAGCCTTCAAGTTACGCGTTGAAATCAGCGAAGAACTTACGCTCCGTATTCCTACCCGAGAGCAGTCCAAGGACTGGCAATGGAAAGGTCGAGCAGATACCATCGGAGGAGCTGCAAGATCCAAGAAGCCGAAAGAGAGAAGGAAACAACGGCCAAAAGAAGGAGAGAAGAGCCACCTTGGTCCGGATATTCGTCCTTTCGGATGGCTTTCTCTTCGTGTCGGTCAAGATTCTACCGTAACCTATTCAATGGACATGGCAGCATCGAGTGCTGGGTATGATAATGAACTTTCTCTTGATTTGCGCGACTCGAAACTCTCGTCCAGTGTCAACCATGGGCTGCTCTGGCAATCTCCTCGACAGCTGGTCACATGTGACCTTTCCAATCCTCTGTGCTGGAATAGCTTGCGATCGTGGAGATTTGGCGTGGAGAGTCATGACATGGAACTTTTCCTCTTGAGAGACCATATTTTTCTTCTGACTGACCTTGTGAGCGACTGGGCATCCGGACCTCCTTCGGATTACTACACTTATGTGCCTTTCATCTACAACATCGATCTCACGTTCTCAAACTTGCAATTGTTGGTCAATGTGAATGACAGAAACATCATTAGTAACCCGTCTGATCGAGAGGATAACCGGTTCATCGTCATCAAGGGCAAAAAATTGACATCCAATGTTATGATTCCGTTGAACAAGTATCAACCTGAGCAGAATACGGTCGAATTCAAAGTCAATCTTCAAGATGGTGGTGTGGATCATTTGAACCCTGGCTGGGATACACTCCACGCCTTCCTGCCTGAAACCTCCATGGCAACCTTGAACAGTCTTTACATCGACGGGTCATATACCTACTTTCTTTCAACTTCTCCGGATTCGACAGATACTTTGGTACTGAACATCAGTGGAGTTTCGCCTCGATTGTATCTCTACGGCTTCCTGATAAAGAGCTTCATGGCCGTGAAAGAGAATTATTTCGGCGATGAAATGCATTTCAAGACATTGGAGGAATATCAAGAACTAGCCTTTGCTGAAGAACCCCCGGCAAACCCAACGGGGGTCAATCCGAACCGAAAGTCGAATGACATGGATGTCTTGGTTCATGTCTCTGTGGACGATCCTTGTGCTTTACTACCAGAGAACATTTACGATCACTTGAAGTGTACGAGGCTTCGCGCTGCTTCCTTGGAAATCGATTTGCGATTCACCAACTATTACATGGACATGCAATTTTCAATCAGCCCATCCAAATTAGACATGCAGTCTAGTCCAACAGGCGGTTCCACTTCCATCTCCGAACCTCAACTTTTCATCGATGGTGTATCGATTTATGGTCATCGTATTTTTGGATTGCCTCCGGTGGAGCCCACTTATGTATGCAACTGGGACTTCGAGGTTGGCAAGATTCTGGGCGAATGCTCCACAGAGTTTCTTGCATGTTTAGCCTCCAGCATCAAGAGCTTCGACTTCACGTTCGATAATGAGGAAAATACCCTGCACCCACTCTTTCCGCCCGTTCTCCACGACGTGACCTTTTTGAGGGCTAAGATAAGCTCGATCTATATTGCGGTGTTACTTAATCAGACAGCTCTCATCGTGAGCTCTAAACCGGTTACAATCAACTTCAATGACTGGGCGAATTCTAAGTTCTCCAAGCGCATGAACTTCTTAATGCCGGACTTGACTGTTGCTGCAGTAGACCGTCAGTTAGCGACCCAGGCTCTGCGATCACCCGATAGAACGGTTAATCCTCTGGGTATCTTTCAGGTGACAATAGGGTTCAAAATGGCCCTGAGAAAACACGACATTGCGGAAAGCCGACGCTTACAGCAAGAACACATTCGAATACACGATCAACGAACCCACCGAGCTCAATGGCTACTCTTTGACTGGGAGGAAATTGCTCCCATTTCGTCTCGTACCCCTGCGGAAGGTCTTTCAATTCCAACCATGGAAATACCTTCAATGCCAGAACCTATCCACCGACACCTTGGACCGGTGAATGCATCATCATACAGAGGCTTCTCGAGAGCCCGATCTGCTGGAAGTGCCAGAAGTTTTCTTGTTCATTCCGAAACATCAAGCCTCAAGAGTGCCAAATCTCGTGGCGATGGCTCAACTCGCCCTGCCTCAAGATCAAGCTCTGGGTCAATAAAACGGCCCGTAATGTCTCCGCGTGATGGAAGTTGGGGTGCAGTACGGGGCAACCGAGGCAAAGATAATGAAATTACTCTGTATTCCACTTCCAGGGGAGCTACATATTCTCAGGCCGCGATCAGGGATGCGAATCCTTGGATCCTTCCGCAGTTTTTCTATCACAAGCTTTCTTTGAACATGTCTGAGTTACCGTCACCACTGAACCTCCAGCTGGACGAGAATGATAACGACGCGTATCCGAGTCCAAGATCTATCTTCTTGACTTTTGAAGATGACGATACAACATACACCAATCTTGCTTTGGATTTACCGTTGGGTATCAGAGGGTTCTGTACTCCAAGATTTCTATTCGCTTTGGCTGCCTTGCTTGATGGTTTGGAACCAAAGCATCCAGTTCAAATTATGGATTCTCTGCAGAAAGATGTGATCTCAGATATAGTCGGCTATGACGAGTCTATGAGCAAACAACCAAAGAAAGCAACGAGTATTGCTCTTCGCATTCCTTCCATCCAATTGAGGCTCGTGGATATTTCGGAATCGCCCAACAACAAGAAGATCGAGTTGAAGGACGAGTACAGCATTGAAGTCCGACGTCTTCGATCAGAGATTCGAAGGCGTGTTCAACGGCAAAAAGGTGATCTCCTAGAGGGACTCAAACAAGACATTACCGCCCATGCTGTGGCAGATCACTTTTCTTTTTGGGTCGAGGGAAGTCGAACAGATGCTTTCCACGACAAGGCCTTGTTTAACTGTAATTTGAGTGATATGAACTTCTGGCTCGTGACGTCTCCAAACATTCGTGCGCATTTGCAGATGCGAACATTTAATACGGTCACATCTCCCAAGTCCGTCGAGAGGTTGGCCTTTCTTGTGCGTCGAGCAACAACCATGTTCGACTCTGTTGCATCATCATTTCAGCAGGTCTCAAATACAAGCAATCGGCGTCTCCAATATCTCATCTACTTCACAACTCAATCGGCTGGCGACATCTCTGACCCGATTTTCCTTGCGCGTATTTCATATGTTCTTCGTGTCGCGTCAACTCATCTTCGCCAACATGATTCTTGGAAAATCATTTCTCGCATCCGAAACATTTACAAGAATCTTCCACTCCACCGTCAACGTGAGTTAGACCGTGTGTGCCTCGGTGACAACCTGCCATTGCCGGGCAATGCCAAGTCTACGGTATTGACTGGATTTGACCAGTGGCGAGCATGGGACCTCGCACATGTGGAGAAAAGTTATGTCATGCGCAAGATCTGGCCAAGCCAGACGTCACAACAGAGTGCTGCGGCGCCTTCTATTTACCTATCGTGTACTGTGAAAACATTCCGCTTTTTATTGGACCCTGGGCCAAGAGAGAGTGGTTTTATCGTGGAAGACCTATCCACAGCCACATCCGTCGTGCCTGACAAGAAGGTTCAAGAAGGCGATTCCGTGAAGCTTAAGAAGCTTATCGTTTTTCAAACATATTGTTCTTCCGCAGCTTTGCGTTTGCGATGGGAGATTCTGGATCTTGTCGAAAGTGTTACAAAAGTCATGTCGACTGTTACTCTTGAATCCAAACCAGCTCAAGCAGCCCATGGTGAGGAAGCGAAGGGAACAACGGAGCTTCAAATCGTGCTCGGCACAGATTTTGGATCCATTACTCTTGATGGGATCAATGTTAAACTTGCACTTGTTTCCAAGGCTTTACGAGGCTCCATTGTCCACAGCTCACAGATTGCTGGAACGACACATAACAACAATCTCGCTGTCCTGTTCAGTGCAGATGCATGCTCATCCGAACTCATGAGTCAGACCGGGTCTCTGATGTTGACGAGAATTGCGGATCCATACATCTATTTCTCGCTCGTGTCCGAAGGCAATGACGTTGAGGATAAGAATGACTGGCGAGTCGCCGCCTCATGCAGAAAGCTTCGCTTCGAGATGAAAGAAGACCCTGTAAGCTTAGCACATACTGCCGACCGTCTGATTGAAGATGAAGTCAGGTATATCCGACAACTTACCGACAATGTGAAACTACCGAAACCCACTACTCCAGAAGTCGAACAACTACCAGCATTCAAGAAACCCACGCATCACCGTATCAATGTGGCTATGTTTTTGGACGACTATCAGTTGAGGTTCTCTCTCCTGCCGTCTTTGACCTACCTTATCTCCGGTGATGTAGCCCGTATGTCGGTCATGCCTACCGAGTCATCCAAGATTGAGGTCGACTTTGATGTGAAACAGAACTCCCACCTCTTCCTCTCGGGAGAGGGCAAGAAGCTTCGCGCGCTATCCCAACTCGATATTCCCCCTGTCAATGGCCGAATCCTCGCAAACATCTCATCTGGATGCAAAGAATTGGAATTTGACCTTACTATTGAGCTTATTCGCCTTGAGGCTAGTGCAGTGCGAAGTATCTTGGGTGTTCTGACTGGGCCTGACGTTGCCCATATGTTGGACGACCTCAAACAGAATGTCGAAGTCCTTCAATCTCACCTCAGTGATGTGCTTTCCCTTCAAAAGGCGACATCGAAGCCCAAGCCTGCTTCTGTTGCCGAAGAGTCTGCCATCTTGTATAAAGCTAGGCTCACTATGGCTGGCTTTGAGATACATGCTATTGCACCCGGTTTGAACGGAAAGGATTACAGTGCAGAGATGATGTTTAGTCTTGGAACGATGCAGATGAGTCTGCAGAATGGCCTGGACCGCGGTTATTCTATGGAACACCCAGAGTTCAGCATCGATGCCTCTCAGATAAGCCTTCAATTGCGGCGTCTTGAGAGGACTAAGACCAAATCTTATGGAGGACTTGCATTTGCCGTCAAGCTTCTTGGAACATCTACAGTTCGTGAGAATGGAGAGGTTTCGCGAGCATACCATTTCACAAGTGACAAATTCGACATTGAGCTTTTTGCCGAGACAGCAGCACTTGCGGTAGATGTCGCCATTCACATGCAAGAGCGTATAAAAACGTTGGATCTTTCTCATGAAGTCAACCGCCTGCGCAGACTCCGGCACCGAAACCACCACCATGAGTCAAATGAAACCCAATCTGACATGCCGGAGATCCAGGTGAATGATCATGATTCACCAGAGCCCTTTCTCAATGCACTTTACTCTTTCAAGTTTCGAGACATTCAAGTTGCGTGGATCATGTCGACTCTGCTCTCTGCAGGCTCCGGTCGCCAACCTGAAGACCTTGTCTTCTCTATTCGACAAGTTGAACTTTCAAATAAGAAGAAAAATGCGGCCAAGCTTCATATTGAAGATATGCAACTCCAGATGGTTCCATTCCGTGCTGACAGGAAGAAACGTTCGCTGAATTCCGCACTCATGCCTCAATTGGTCTTCAATGTTGCGTATCATTCCGTGGGGAAGGAACTTTCGCTTGCTTTCCATGCAGCTGGGAAATCGCTCGATATTCGTGCAACTTCTGAATTCATCATCCCTGGTAACATGATCCGTGATTCCATTGCGTCCGGAATCGAGGCTCTTCGTGAGGGTAAGGCAGCTTGGGCTACAAAGCCGTCTTCAAATCAAGAGAACAACACCAAGAGCCAGAGTCTCTTTGGCAATAGACGCCTGCGATCAGTTCTTGTAGATGTTGATTTCGCTGGTGCTACCGTTTCTCTCCAAGGCAAGCAAAGCCATGATCCTCAGAATTTAATGGTGGCCGCCATGAAGGGCAGTCGACTCTCTGAAGTCAAGTATGGTGAATATGTCCAGGGAGACTCTGCAACTACCGCAACACTCAAAGCGCCTGGAGTGGCATTGAAGGTCCATTTCGATGATAATGGCACCGATGACCCGGCTTTGAATGCTGAGTTGAAGGTCGATCCATCCTCAAATGTTCTGTATCCAACTCTCGTGCCCCTGGTCAAGCAAATGACTGCCACGGTGAAAGAGATCATGAGAGACAAGGATCAGAAAAGCCGGTCGCGGCGTCCGTCTACTGCGACGAGACTACAATCTCAGAAGCTGATGCAAGAAACCCCATTCGGAGCACCGGATCCAAACTCCATTCTTGGGAGATGCAAGGTCAATCTTGGGTTGTTGTTTTATAAGCAAGAGTTCAGTCTGAGCTGTCAACCAATTGCTAGAGTCGCAGCTACGGCAAGATTTGAGAGTGTCTACGTTACAGTTAACACGATCATTTCCAATGAGCAGGGACGATTTGTTGCACTCTCATTAGCATTCAACAACTTGGAAGCCTCTGTGAAGCATGTTTATTCAAATGAGTCTACGGCAAGTTTCGAAGTTGAGTCTATGGTGCTCTCTTTGATGAACAGTAAGCATCTTGGCAGAACGAGTGGCATGTCAGCTATCCTCAAAGTGAGCCCCATGAAAGTCTTGCTTAATGCCAAGCAAGTTCAAGATTCTCTTCTGTTCCAGGAAATTTGGCTCCCATCAGACGATGATCCTAGCTCCAGCCCAACTATGCAACCGGAGGAACCTCAAGAACCAGAGACTCAGACATACATAGTCCAGCGTTATCAACAGGTCGCTGCAGCATCCGCGTTCCCTTGGAATACGACGGTTGCTATTGAAAAGCTGGAAATTCAAATGGACTTGGGATCAACGCTGGGCAAGGCTGAGTTTGCCATTGACAACTTTTGGGTGTCATCAAATAAAACGTCTGACAGCGAGCAAAGCATGTGCATAAACTTTGATTCCATCGGCATTGAGAGCAAGGGTCGCATGAGTGGTATTGTGGAATTACGATCCCTTAAAGCTCGAACTTCAATTCAATGGCCAGAATCTCGTGAACCCGGTCGCACACCTCTCATTCAAGCCTCGATCGCTTTCCAACACCTCCAAGCCAAGGTCTCCTTTGACTACCAGCCTTTCCTTGTGGCACATATTGCGATGTTCAACTTTTTGATGTACAATGTTCGCGAACCCTCTGGTCAGCAAAGTCAACGCCTATTCAGTATCCTTGAGGGAGATGAAGTTCAAGTATTCTGCACGTCGTTGACAGCGTCCCAGGCGCTGGCACTCTTCCAAGCATGGCAGAGACTAGTTCAAGACAAGAAATCCGCGTATGAGGCATCTCTCCGCGAGATCGAAAGATACCTGCGTCGGAAATCCTCTGCGGTTCCCGATCGGGTGGAGGCCCGGGCCAAGGAACAGACGCAAAAGGAGGAGGACTCCGAGAAGGCACCTATTCAACTCCACACTGGTGTGGTTGTCAGTATTCGTCATGTCAATATCGGAGCATTCCCAAGCTCGTTCTTCGACAATCAGATCTTCAAGCTCGAAGCGTACGATGCTCAAGCCCGCTTCGCCGTTTCGTTAGAGTCCATGAAAATCCACAGCGCTCTGGGCCTCACCCTGGGACAGCTCCGGGTTGCCCTCTCCGGGATTAGTCGCCCCAGCTCCGCTCAGCTCGAAGACTTCTCAGTGGACGAAATCGCCGAACGAGCCTCTGGCTCTCGTGGTGGTACTATTCTCAAGGTGCCCCGACTGGTAGCCGGTATGGAAACCTGGCAGGTCCCCGGAAGTCGCGAGATCGAGTACATCTTCCACAGTACCTTTGAAGGCAAGGTTGACGTGGGCTGGAACTACTCGCGCATCAGTTTCATTCGTGACATGTGGGAGACTCATTCGCGTGCGTTAGCGTCCCGTCTTGGTAAACCGCTTGCTCCGTCTGCAGTCCGTATTACAGGTGGACCTGGTAGCAGCAACCATGGCAATGATATTGAGGGCGGTGGCGCGGGCTCTGAGCAACAGGAGAAAATCACGGCTGTTGTCAATGTTCCGCAGTCCAAGTATACCTACACAGCGTTGGAGCCTCCGGTTATTGAAACGCCACAGTTGCGGGATATGGGAGAGGCAACGCCACCGCTGGAATGGATTGGGCTGCAGCGTGATAAATTGCCGAATGTTACGCATCAGATCATTATAGTGACTTTGTTGGAGATTGCGAAAGAGGTTGAAGATGCCTACGGGGCCATTCTGGGGACTTGATAGTGAGGTTTTGCCTGCAAATGTGGAGGTTCTTTTGGTTGCATTTGGATTTCCCCCCCCCCCCCTCTATACCTTATTTTCCCCTTCATTTTGTTATCATACTTATTTTTGTCTATTTTTGGAGTTTCGTCTAGTATGAATACCCACTGGCAATGGAAATAATGATTTGAAATCAACATCAGCTGAGCTTACTGGTAGTACTAGCGGTAGACCTGTCCTATCCTAGTATATCCAAACTGGTATTAGTACTATTGCCAGCCTGAGTGAACATCATCTCTAGTTGTATGCAAGTGTTAGATCTGCTGGGTATTGCTACTACTACATAATAGGTGGTACTGGTCTGAAATACTAGCATAAGCATTGAGTTTCTACTAGTATAATGCCATTGTTAGTACTAGTATGAGGTATATTGTGCTGACCAGGTCCTTCAGGTGGGATGATGTGTATTATTAATCATAAATGACCTAAATGACCCCGCGTAGTGGGAGGCGGTGAAGAGCGGGGCTGGTTGCACGTTCGATTATGTGGGAAATATACATGATGTACGCTTAAAAATTTTCATTTCTTTTTTTTTTCACTATCAGTTGACCATAATTAGACTCGGAATTCTAAATAAGATTGGTAGTAATATCGGAGCGGCAAATTTGAGCTCGGAGTAGCTAGCCCCCTGGTTAAGGTGGTGAGCAAGAGCTCGGAGTACCACGGATGCTCTCGGAAAATGAGTCATTAGATTTCAAAGCTACATGGATTCCAATAGAAATAAAGGCAAATAATTTGAAAGTAAGAAAGTGAGAGATTGTGACTTGGAAAGAGTCAGAATATTCCAAGGTTAGAATATCTGATTTTGGTTTTTTAAGTAGGGTGGGAAATTGAGATATACTAGTACAGTAGTAAAACGCACACAAAAACCCGTGAGCGGGGCACACAAGAGAGAGTCCCCACTTTCGCTCTCATTTTTTTTCTCCCACTTTCTCCTGCACCCCTCCTCCCCTTCTCTCTTCTTCATCTTCCTTCCCTGGAGCAGTTGCACATAGAGTTGCTTGATTAGGTCCTTGGTCCTGATCATCTGTGTGTTCTCTTGCTTCTTTTATTTTCTTTGAACTTATTCCCCCGCCTCTAGGGCTTATTTGAGGAAAAAACCGTCAAAATGGTTAAGTAAGTTATCCATCAAGACCCAAGATCGACCTTGTATCCAATTTGAGTGAACATTTCTTATCAATCATGATTCTAACAATGGGTTTTTCTATAGCTTCACCATTGAGGAGGTGTGTACTACCGTCAAAGCTATCTACAAGACACTGGAGGATATAGAGGGGAGGATAGATTGTCGATGATCTACCCCTCCCTCTCCAGTGGTTTATGTGCGGCACAGAGAACTAACCTTGCATCTCAACAGATCCGGTCCTTGATGGACCGTCCGGCTAACATCCGTAACATGTCCGTCATTGCCCACGGTATGTACTCTATTGAACACATTGAACAAAGGAAAAATCAAGATTAGTGGTCCAAGGTGGCTAATTTACTACCTATAGTCGATCACGGAAAGTCCACTCTGTCCGACTCTCTGGTCCAGCGTGCCGGTATTATCTCCGCTGCCAAGGCTGGTGAGACCCGTTTCATGGACACTCGTCCCGATGAGCAGGACCGTTGCATTACCATCAAGTCCACCGCCATCTCCCTGTACGCCAAGTTCCCCGAGGAGGATCTCGTCGAGATTCCCGAGAACACCGGTAACGAGTTCTTGATCAACTTGATTGATTCTCCCGGTCACGTTGATTTCTCCTCTGAGGTTACTGCTGCTCTGCGTGTCACTGACGGTGCCCTTGTCGTCGTCGACTGTGTCTCTGGTGTCTGTGTCCAAACTGAGACTGTCCTGCGTCAGGCCCTGACCGAGCGTATCAAGCCCGTTCTGTGTATCAACAAGGTTGACCGTGCTCTGCTTGAGCTCCAGGTCTCCAAGGAGGATCTGTACCAGTCCTTCTCCCGTACCATTGAGTCCGTCAACGTCATCATCTCCACCTACTTCGACAAGGTTCTTGGTGATTGCCAGGTCTACCCCGACCGCGGTACCATTGCTTTCGGTTCCGGTCTGCACGGTTGGTGTTTCACCGTCCGCCAGTTCGCCGTCAAGTACGCCGATAAGTTCAAGGTTGACCGCAAGAAGATGCTTGAGCGTTTGTGGGGCGACAACTACTTCAACCCTAAGACCAGGAAGTGGACCAAGTCCTCTACTGATGCTGACGGCAAGCCCCTCGAGCGTGCCTTCAACATGTTCATTCTGGACCCCATCTTCAAGATCTTCGCCGCCGTCAGAGACAACAAGCGTGAGCAGATCATGGAGCTCGTTGAGAAGCTCAAGATCACACTCACTCAAGAAGAGAAGGACCTCGAGGGCAAGGCCATCCTCAAGGTCATTATGCGCAAGTTCCTGCCTGCCGCCGATGCTCTTCTGGAGATGATCTGTATCCACCTGCCTTCCCCTGTCGTTGCCCAGAAGTACCGTGCCGAGACTCTGTACGAAGGTCCCGCTGACGACCGTGCCTGCATTGGTATCCGTGACTGTGACCCCAAGGCTCCCCTCATGCTGTACGTCTCCAAGATGGTCCCCACCTCCGACAAGGGTCGTTTCTACGCTTTCGGCCGTGTCTACGCCGGTACCGTCAAGTCCGGTGTCAAGGTCCGTATCCAGGGTCCTAACTACACTCCTGGCAAGAAGGAGGATCTGTACATCAAGGCTATCCAGCGTACCATCCTGATGATGGGTCGCTTCGTTGAGCCCATTGAGGACGTTCCCGCCGGTAACATTGTCGGTCTGGTCGGTGTCGACCAGTTCCTGCTCAAGTCCGGTACCCTGACCACCGACGAGACTGCCCACAACCTGAAGGTCATGAAGTTCTCCGTCTCCCCCGTCGTCCAGCGTTCCGTCGAGGTCAAGAACGCCCAGGATCTGCCCAAGCTGGTTGAGGGTCTTAAGCGTCTGTCTAAGTCCGACCCTTGTGTCCTGACCATGATCAACGAGTCTGGTGAGCACGTCGTTGCTGGTGCTGGTGAGCTCCACCTTGAGATTTGTCTTAAGGATCTTGAGGAGGACCACGCCGGTGTTCCTCTCCGTATCTCCGACCCCGTCGTTTCTTACCGTGAGACTGTCACCGAGTCCTCCAGCATGACTGCTCTGTCCAAGTCCCCCAACAAGCACAACCGTCTGTACATGACTGCTGCCCCCATGGATGAAGACGTCTCCCAGGCTATTGAGTCCGGCAAGATCAGCCCCCGTGACGACTTCAAGGCCCGCGCTCGTGTCATGGCCGATGAGTACGGCTGGGACGTTACCGATGCTCGTAAGATTTGGTGCTTCGGTCCCGACACCACTGGTGCCAACTTGCTGGTTGACCAGACCAAGGCCGTTCAGTACCTGAACGAAATCAAGGATTCCGTTGTTTCCGGTTTCCAGTGGGCCACTCGTGAGGGTCCCGTTGCTGAGGAGCCCCTGCGTTCCGTCCGCTTCAACATCCTGGATGTTACCCTTCACGCCGATGCCATTCACCGTGGTGGTGGTCAGCTCATCCCCACTGCTCGTCGTGTCCTGTACGCCGCTACCATGCTGGCTGAGCCCGGTATCCTCGAGCCCATCTTCAACGTCGAGATCCAGGTTCCCGAGCAGGCTATGGGTGGTATCTACGGTGTCCTTACCCGCCGTCGTGGTCACGTCTACTCCGAGGAGCAGCGCCCTGGTACTCCTCTGTTCAACATCAAGGCTTACCTGCCCGTCAACGAGTCATTCGGTTTCCCTGCCGATCTGCGTTCCGCCACTGGTGGTCAGGCCTTCCCTCAGTCCGTCTTCGATCACTGGGCTGTTCTGCCCGGTGGTTCTCCTCTGGACCCCACCTCCAAGCCTGGTCAGGTTGTCACTGAGATGCGTAAGCGCAAGGGTCTCAAGGAGGTTGTCCCTGGTTACGACAACGTAAGTTTTTATTCAATTGATGAACAAAGCTTTGAATCTTATGCTAACTATATCACTCCTAGTACTACGACAAGCTGTAAAAATGTTCATTGGTCAGATCGCCCTGCTGCCAGTCGACGCGAGGAATCTTTTTTTATGAGATTGATGAATGCAATACAATTTCCTAGTTCAATCAAAAATCCATTCTCTCTTCGATGTGAGAATGTTTATTCTTTACACCACTTTGCTTCTTAGAACACGCGGGGCTTGAGGAAGATTCCAGAGGTCTCTCAAATGCTTGTCTGCTTCTGTTTCTATATTTGCTTTTTTCCTGATACGTTTTGATGCTTTTTATTTTCTTTATATTTTCTTTTTCTTTTCTTTTCTTCGCTATGGTCTAGTTTATCACATTTGGTATGATAATCAGCATGGTATTCTAGACTTATTTTCGATCAATAATGTAAGTCTAACGTAGAGCGGTACAACCTTGGAATGTGGTTTCCAGTAACTGGGCTTGACTAGGTACTAGGTACTTGCAGGTTTCCATATGTAAGTAATAAATGCCAACCTGAAGTACCTCAGGCTCTCGATGTATGTACCCTCTTTGGCTTCACATTGGTATGAAGTGGGTTTACAAACTCCATTGTCTTTCCGTCTTTTCCCCGGATTATGCTGAGATTTACTTGGATCAGTCCACCGTTAAGGTTCAATACTGGGTTCGTTAAGGGACGCTGTCTTAGCATTGAAGCTATATAGGAATTGATTTCTACCCTGGAAATGAAAAACAAAAAGACAAAAAGACAAAAAGACAAACTTGAAAAGACCAACAAACAAAAACGAATTAAACTGGAAAGTTTCCCACTGAGTCTCGTCGCGTTTATGGGTCATCATCTCCTATGGCTGGCACAGCGCCAGCCTCAAGAAGTAACTTCGCAGCATTGGAATGACCCTCCGAGTCTTGAGCTGTGCATGATAATGGGGTCCGCTGATCAATATCCCTTGAATCAACCTCTGCTCCAGCCTCGAGAAGTAATTCCACCACATTGGACCGACCCCGGCCTGCTGCGAGTGATAATGGGGTCCTTTCATCTGAATCCCTTGAATCACCCTCTGCTCCAGCCTCAAGAAGAAATTTCACAACATCGGAATAACCCTGGCTTGCTGCGCATGACAATGGGATCCGTTGACTCATACTACTCAGATAAACATCTGCTCCAGCCTCAAGAAGTAACTTCGCAGTATTGGAATAATCCTCCGAGTCTTGATCTGCGTATTGTAATGGGGTCCGCTGATCAATATCCCTGGAATCAACCTCTGCTCCAGCCTCGAGGAGTAATTTCACAACATCGGACCGACCCCGGCGTGCTGCGTGTGACAATGGGGTCTCTTGATTTTCATCTCTCACATCAACCTCTGCTCCAGCCTCAAGAAGTAATTTCATAACATCGAAATAACCGTGGCGTGCTGCGTATGACAATGGGGTCTCTTGATTTTTATCTCTTACATCAACCTCTGCTCCAGTCTCAAGAAGTAATTTCACCATATCAGAATAACCCTGGCCTGCTGAGTATGACAATGGGGTCCCTTGATAGTGATCCCTCGCATCAACTTCTGCACCAGCCTCAAGAAGCACTTTCACCACATCGGAATGTCCCTTTTTTGCTGCGAGTAATAATGGGGTCCGTTGATGATGAGCCCTCGCGTCAATCTCTGCGCCAGCCTCAAGAAGCAATTCCACCACATCAGAATGGCCATGTTTCGCTGCCCACGATAATGAGGTTCGTCTGCGCCTTGAATCGGTAGATTCTATGTTGACCGAGCCATCTTGAAGTATCTTTTTAACAACACCCAAAATGCCAAGCCAAGATGCTGTTATCAAGGATGTCGCATGCTCTGGTGTGCCTGGCCCAAATATCTGCGAGTTGTAAAAAGGAGACCATCTTGCGTACTCCCTGGATCCGGCAGTGCAGACTTGAACTGCCATATCCAGGATCTTCTCTTCTTCCTTGTTGTCGGAAGAAGGGGACGCTCGAAGATGGATATACCAGTGTAGACTTGCGTACGTCAGAAAACCTTCAAAGCGTGGCCCCAACAGATCTGAGTGGAGAAACCAGATACATATTTTTCCCAAGAACACTGTTCAATTCGTGCGTTGAAAATAAGCCTTGCCATTTGAGTGTCCCATTTGATGTCAGACTCGGAGGCTTGTCTTGAGGTGATTCTTTGAGGACCAGAAAATCCCTAACTGTTTGGTAGAGCAGATAAACCTTGTCATCACTGAACCACAGCAACAACCCGCAAAGACCTCGTATTGTTGTCTTGAATCTTTCAACGGGCTCCATATATTCAAAGACCTCATCGCTTGTTTGGTCTGCCCGCTTTACTGCCATCGCGACAGAGAGCTCCTCCAACGAGAGCGGTCGCTTTGCAGCAAGAATGATTTGGAGCAGTCGTATGGCTTTTTCTTTTTTTTAGGACTTATTCTCCGGTCCAGTATTTTCTCGTAGGCTTGGTTCACACTCTGAGGGATATCTGTACCCAAAGCTTTGCGGACCTCCCCTTTGGTAAAGCTTTTGGTTTCCTTGATGAATTCCAAAGTCAAAGTAACCCAGAGATACGTTCGCTCCGGGTCCTTCCGAGTATCCAGCTGCTCAGTCACGAATGCATGCTCATCATCAAGAAGCCCTTTATCACGAACGATGTTTTCGATTATATGTTTCACCACGAGGTTAATTTCTTGAGAAATCTTTGCCACCTCGGCCTCGGATTCGCCACTTAGACGAATTTCGGGAAAGTTATCTTCGAGTTTTCGGAAATTGCAACGTATATCGTCGTACGGACGACTGGTTGCCAGGAACTTGAAATTGCAGACAGAGTTTGGTTCCAGGAGAAGAGTGGTCAGACTATCGATCAACAGCTTCAGCCCATGATCACCAAATTCATCCAAGGCATCTATCACAAAGATGACTTCCCCTGCTTTTGGATTTCTTGCGAAGGATAGAAACATATTCCAAAGCCCATGAAAAGAGCTGGTTAGCTTTCTCCATCTTTCTCGGCGGTTTGCAGAATTGCATTCGTGACAAGAGAAGGTCGAACATCGATAAGTTGTCGTAAAATACTCGAAAGAGCACTGGTGGCGGTCTTTTGATCTGCAAAATCATCTTTGAAGAAGAAATAACAGACCGCCCGATCTGGTGCTGGGAGCACCTCATCAATCGAATACTTGGCAAGTACTGACTTCCCACAGCCTGGATCGGCGGAGACCCAAAGAAGACGAGATTCACAACCATCCCGCCATCCCTTGAAGCGCTCGTGCTCAGTAAACCATTCGCAGGTCCCGAGAACACGGTCGACATTTCGATTTTTGCGGTCTTGATATTGGCAGGTGTCTAGCGTTTGCAACAATTTGTTGATTTTTTCGTTCCGGACTCTCTCTTCCGATTCTCGCTCTCCAATTAGGCCTCCAAGCTTCCTCGCTTCGCTTTCAGATAACTCTATCCTTTGAATCAACTCTGTCCAGGTATCCTGTTTGAACATGTTGCGGACTCTCTGAGCTGGTGCGCCTTTTTCAAGGTAATACGACGCTCTGGCCTGAAATTCCAGCACGTTGGCGCAAAGACTCGTCAGAATTTTGTTGAATCCTGTCATGAGGTTTGTGGAGTCATCTGATTTAGAATATTTTCTTTGCATCTCATCGATGCGAGGAATCAAAGCTGTTGTCTTCTCAATACCTTCAAGGAGCTTGTCTGACTCTTTGGCAGATTGTTCAAACAACTAATCATGACTTGGTTAGAATATACTCTGATATAGGGACTTGTATTGATGTGAAAGGGGGTATTACCTCTAGGACAATTATCAGCCCAGCACAGGCAATTCCTGCTGCGAGACTTGAAGATGCAGCTGTGCTTCGCCCCCAACATTGTTTTGAAAAGCTTTCGAATCCGAGGATGGGAGGTAGGTTTGTGGGATCTGTCCTTAAAGAAGCTGGCGAGCTTTTGGCGAATATCCGAGTCATCTCTAATGTCTAGCTCGTTTTTGAAGATTCTCGAAGCATTTTCCATGATCTCTTTTGTCTTTGGGTCCTCTCGCAACTTGAGCTCGGCCTTCCCCCACAAATCGATCTGGGACGGTGTGGGGTCCTTTGGCGCAGACGGATCGTTTTGTGTAGACACATTTGACAGAGAGGGCTGACTAGGCTGTCCAGCGGTTGAACTTTCGGATCGCTCGATTCGATTTAGTGGGTACTCTGATGCTTCTGGTGGCAGTTTCTTGTTGGACTTGCGACGAAAACAACAGAATGACATTTTGTTAACTCAGATCTAACCGCTCAAAAAGTTCTAGCCTTGGAGGTTAAAGAAAATGGAGTTATACAAAATGGAGTTGTAGGAAATGGAGTAGAGTACGGAGTAGCAACTAAAGAATCAGATTGATCTACCCAGGAGGACTCTGTATTGTCTGTGGGAACTAACAAGATCAATCCATTGCACAAATGGAATTTGAGGCTGTGTGCTTTAGCGCCAGGAGAGGGGGCGTGAAATTTGTCCATCGGGTGAATACATGTGTATACCAGCTCACTCATATCGTATCGCCCGGGCACCTACAGTAGTAATCCTCTCTAGGTGATGATCTACGTCTTTAGTCTGAGATTTGTATCCAAAGATTTATAGCAGGGTTTTAATTTTTCAACCAATAATAAATTGACTGTTGATTTACTATATGTTTTATTTAACTATTTTCCAAAAAAGGTCAAGGTACCCATGTCTTGTGCGATGTACAACTGAGTCACTGATCCGGATTTACTAATTAGTAATGAAATTGATAGAACACGGGTGCAGAACTAGCCCAATTGGGTTAGTTCAAACCAGTATTCAATGGAGAGCTCTGATTGGTCGAATCAGAATGGATCACATGACCGATCAGGTGATCTCCAGGCAGAATTTATGTGCGTAATTATCAGAATGAGAAAACCAGACCTGTTGATACATCCCATTGGCGACCGCCTACTGCATTAGACATTGTAGTCTGTCAGAAATTTTAGTGCTTGTAAGAAATTTAACGGTTACGAGATAGTTGTGAGATAATTACTCTATAATCATTGTAGTACTACATGTGTAGTTCTACCTTATTATTATAACTTGATTGAAATAACCTTTTAAGGTTGGAAGCTTGCCTACTACCTAAAGTTCATTGAGTTAACTTAACCGTGGAACCATTATAGATATATTACCATAGGATATGGTAATCTCGTGGCGTATGGGCACGTTTTTTTGTGTTTTCTTACCAAATTGATACGGATATCATATCCACCTGGCACCTAGGCTAGGTACTGGGCAGTTGGCGGCAGTTGGCACCTGGGGTCCCGGTGCCAAGGCGGATATCCGCAGTAGAAAAGCTGACGTTTTCTGTCTCATTGAACTTACCTTTTACTATGTAATAGTTTTCCCATCCGTATGCACATGTCTCTAAATAATATTCCTCTACCAATCTCGGTTCATCCTGTTTCTACAGGTCTATGGTCCACATTTGTGTGGAGAACGGTGTCCATCTGCACATGTGTTCATTTTCTCCACTTTGGGCATTCCTGGAGGTAAGACAGCCACGTCACATTGGAAGTACGCCGAAGTACGCCAATTTATGAGTACAAACAGACACTGGCAGCATGAGGAATATCAATGTCATCCACGGATGTCAAACTTGAAGGCGCTCTGGGGGTGATCAACAATTTTGGTCAACTACATACGTAGTACTACCTAGTAATGACTTAAAACTTGAAGAAGTTACATATTCTACCTATACTGCATGTGCTACGTATACTACTATGTTTCCTATCAACAGACAGACTTGACGCGGCGGTAGAAATAAAACGAAGGATCCAATGTTTTTGTTAACTTAAGGAAGATGAAACAAAAAAAAAAAAGTGAAAAGGTGAAAAAGTGAAAAAGTGAAAAAAAAATATAAAAATATAAAAAAATGAAACATTTGAGCAAAATAAAATAAAATTAAAAGGTGCAAAGGCCCGAGACAGGATTGACGGGCTCGCGCAATCGTTATAGCCACACTATGGCCTAAAGCGCGAAGATTTGAATCATACAGTTCCAAGGTTGCAAGTTGTTAGAATTCAGATCAATTACTGCAGATTTTCGGCTTGAAAGCATAACTAATCTTATCTTATCTGGAAGATTTTAGATACCTTGAATACACATGCCCAGGTGTGCATCCATGTAACCTTGGAAGTAGAAGAAGTCTTGGATCCGATATATGCGCTTCGCGACTGTAGCAGCGAAATTGGGACATGAAATCCATGTACTCAGAACTTGAGGGCTTGGCTGGGTAGGAAGCTCGGTTAAATGGCCACACTATATCATCAAAGATTCATCATAGTCTGATCATCTAACTTATAAGCGCCCGCACGGTACTAGTACACCCGCCCAGGTGTGTTCTGGAAAGCCATATTTACATAGGGACTCAGTCAGTAGTATCTATAGGTGACCGGTGACCTGGTACTCGATGTATGCACATCAGTAGCTACAGAGGTAGGTAGCTAAAGGTGAAGGCTAGCTGCTATACAGTTGGACAGATGATAGAGGAGTTGAGATGATTCTGCCACTCAGGTATTCCGTCAGGCGGTGGGAAAACTGACAGCAACGCCTATCAGCCCTGGGTGAATAGTACGAGCACAATCTCTACTCTGTAGTAGGTCATGTTCTCTTGTTTCAAATATTTCTTGTACTAGAATATTCAACCAAAAAAATATTGATCTCATATCTCTAGGAGTACTCTATGCATGTATGATTCGACACAAAACGTATTTAATCATATCTATTTCAATCTCTATTGTGGTATAATTTATGCTCCTTATCGAATTTCTCGGGAGTCACGTGTCATCGCGCCTTCGCGTTTTCAGAAATTCTGTGCTCCCAAAGCTTTTGTACCCACCACGACCCCCTTGTCATGGCTGGACCTATTTCGTGATTGCTATGATACCCTATTTGAACTGAGATCCGGAAACTATTCATTTAAAAAGACCATCTCTCCAATTGTTTGTTGTCGCCTGAACCTGACCGCGAGCCCGGATCCCTGCACCTAACCACATCTTGGATCTATCTCTTCTCCGAGGTTTCGATTTCAGCTTCGTCTGAGTCCGTGAAAACAATTGAGACACCGTCGCAATGCATTTCACCGATTCGGAAGCTGAGGAGGTGAAGTCATGGGTGGTAAAGAAGCTGGATGATATGTGCGTCATTTTGAGAGACCCGATATTTCAAAGCTCCTTGATTCGAGAAACCCGGCTAATTTCTGTCCCTATTGTCTATAGCTCTGACGCAGATTCCGATGTCCTTGCCGACTACGTCCTCGCGCTCATAAGGACGGACGCCCCAGATGAGGAAATCCAAAAAGCCTGCTTAGAAAACTTGGATGATTTTCTACGAGAACGTGCGCTGAAACCCTCACCTACCCTTTCAATTGTAGCCATCGCTAATGAAAACCAGATACCGAATCTTTTGTGACTGAGCTGTTTACATACATTGCCGCAAGAAACGCTCCACCCGCTCCCCAACCGCAGCACATCTTCTCTGCAACTGCCCAACCATTCAATCCTCCCACCGGCCCAAGAAGCGATGCCAATAGCCGGAAACGGTCATTCAATGAGGGATTCCAGGGAGAACAAGACCGCGATGATGGTGCTCTCCAGAACCGCGCTTTCAAGACCCCCCGAAGAGGTCGTGGCGGAGGTCGCGGTGACTGGGGAAGCCATCTGGCCCAGTACGGTGGCCAGCCATTCGCCCAGCCGCAGCAACAACAGCAGCCGCAGCCGCAGCAGGGTGGGTTCCCAATGATGTCTGGGTTCCCTGGATTTGATCAGAATGATCCTATGGCTGCTATGATGGCGATGCAGGGGATGGGTTTCCCTCAGATGCCCGGAATGCCACCTATGCCCGGAATGGCTGGCCAGCCTGGCATGGAAAACCTGGCAAACCAGCGCTGTCCGTTCTATGATACCCAGGGTATCTGTTACCTGGGCGCTGCCTGTCCATACAAGCATGGCGAGGCTGGCGGCAAGAGCGAAGAATATGATCCCAGGACGGCCGGATTCATGGCTAGAGAAGGAGATTCTTTCCGGGGCGGCGAGCGTGGCCGTGGTCGTGGACGCGGCGGGTTTAGTGGACGAGGACGTGGCCGGTCCGATTTCTCGTCTGCTGGCCCCAACGAAGATCGTTCAAACACGACAATCGTGGTGGAGCAAATTCCAGACGAAAAATTCTCGGATGAAGCCGTGCGCGAGTTCTTTGGTCAATTTGGTAACATTGCAGAAGTCTCACTACAACCCTACAAGAAAGTGGCTCTTGTTAAGTTTGAATCATTCGCCGAGGCAAAGCAAGCGTGGTCAAGCCCCAAGGTGATCTTTGATAATCGATTCGTCAAAGTTTACTGGTCTAAGAGCAAGTCAAATGACACAAATGGGGAATCTCAGCCTGCATTCAACCAGGAAGAATTCGAGAGACAGCAAGAAGAAGCCCAGAGGGCGCACGAAGAGAAAATGCAAAAGCGACAAGAGACGGAAAGAGCCAAGGCAGAACTTGAGCGCCAAAGGGAAGAGCTCATGAAGAAACAACAAGAAGAAAAGGCACGTCTGATGGAGCGCCTCGGGGTCTCAGCGAGAAATGGCTCTGATGCGACTGATGGTCAACCTGCCACAGATATCGATGATGAGAATGTGAGCGAGGAGACTCGGCAGCTACGCGCGCAGCTGGCCGCTTTGGAGGCAGAGGCGCAAAGCCTTGGCATTGACCCTGCTCAGGCTGATGCTGCGGGCCAATTTGGTCGCGGTGGATACCGGGGTCGTGGCGGATACCGCGGGCGTGGTGGATACCGTGGACGCGGAGGCTATGACCCTTCATATCGCGGCGGCTACCGTGGTCGTGGTGGGTTCGCCGCTCGTGGCCGTGGTGGTGTGCTGCGTTTAGACAACCGACCTCGACGAGTTGCTGTGACTGGTGTTGAGTTGAACTCTGACAAGGATGAAGCCCTGCGTCAACACTTGATGGTAAGTTAGAACTTTTGTTTATACCCAAAAATAAGTTACTCGAACTAATTGATTATCCAGGGTGTTGGCGAGTACGAGTCCATTGAGCCCAATCCTGGCCAGTCCGACTCTGTCGTCGTGGCCTTCAAGGAACGATACCAGGCCGAGAAGTTTATGTTCAGCCCCTGGAATATTCCCACTGTGGGCGAAGTGCAACTCGCCTGGGTTCCTAACCCACCGATCACATTACCCGCTGCCACATCAACGGAGGCGAAGAACGACATCGGAGATTACGAACAGGATACTGTCATGGATTCAGCAGATCTTGCACCAGCAGTGAACGCGCCACCTCTCCAACCGCCACGCGATATGGACTATGATGTTGCCGAAGATGATAGCTGGGGTGCATAGTAATATCTCTTTCATTCAATTTCATGTACCATTGAAACCCTGTGCATATAGGCTACATTTATCTACATGTTGCTCGGAGCAGGAGCCTTTCGATGTTCTCCCTCTCTGCTTTGAATCTCTTCCTTTTTCATCCATTGTAGACACAAGTATAGATACCAAAACCCATAGAACTTCAAGTTCAAGTCTGAGCTCGATTCTAAGCTTGAATGTCCTGTGGTATCAACTCAACCATATACCCATCCGGATCAGCCACCATGGCAAACTTCTCAAAAAACCACGCATAATCCGCATGAAACTCCCCCTTCCCAATCCCCCTCTCAGCTTCCCATTCACTTAAAGGAACAGACTCCCTCGAACAAACCCCCGGTTCCTTCAAAATCGTCACCCCAGCTCCACGCAACCTCTCCACCGCACTCACAACATCCGGAACCGTGAATCCCAAATGCGCAAAGCCCAAATGAGGAGGAACATTGCCATTCGAAACAGTTGTCTGTGAATCTGCACTTGACCCAGTCTCTCCAATCCCATTCTCAGTCCCATGCACATGGTACAACTCCAACAATCCCTTCGTCCTCATCAAAACGGGTATCTCTGCCGTTTCCCCCGCCCATTTCCCCACCTCTCCATCTTTTGTCTCAGGTGGTGGGTGTCCAAGATAATAGATCGTGAATGGTCCTGCATTCATGCTGAAGATTACTCGCATGCCTAGGAGATCGATGTAGAAGTATAGAGAACGAGCTGGTTCTGTAATGCGTATTGCGAGGTGATTTAGGTGGTAGTTCTTTGTTGCGGTGTCTAGATTTGGTGGGTTGAATGTTGGTGTTGGACCGCCCGGGGAGAATAGACCTTCTTTTGAGAGAGGGAGAGGGGATTGGAAGGAATTGTTTTTTATCATTTTTGGGGTTAATGTTCAGATTGATCCCGTTAACTTCAAGTTGCTGTGTGTGTTTGTGTTAGGTGTTTTGTAAGTGATGTTGCATGGGATAACTTGAATATGTTGCGGGGCTTCGATTGATTGGCGTGCGACTTGGCTCTCAAGGGTTGATACTAGCCCTGAGGTATGTAAATGTATACTTCGATGTTAAATACTATTGAAAGAACTGCTTGGATTCGGAATGCATCACTTATTAGTAATGAATGACTCTGATTTAATTCCAATTAGCTATGCTTAAGGCCTATGTGGTCTGTGTATGGGGATGGGTGAGAAATCCTATATAATTGAGTGAAGGGGAAGAAGGGTAACAACTCAGCCCAGCTGGCCTAGCGGTCAGCGGTCTCTGACTCTTAAAAAGGACAGAAATATTGATCAGGATAATGTCGGGTCCTGGTCAGTGGCTGAACTCACACCGGCGGGCGGGCAGGGAAGTAGCTTCGACCGAAGCTACGGGCATTCTTTTTTTAAAAAATTTTTGATATTTTTTTAGAAAAATTTTAGACTTGCTCTTTCTACTCCTCTTTTCAGAAACCAAAAATAATCAATATTGATTGAGATATCAAGGATTATGGTTTGGGGATGGATGTATCAAGTGAGGCTATTCGCAGTGACTATGTATTTTGCACAATGAAAGGGTTCGATCCCCGCGCTGACCTTTTATTTCCATTTCTTTCCTCTCGAGTGCTCATAAAAATGCAAGCTTTATTTGAGGTTCTTCAAGCTCCATGAAATATCCATACACAACATTTGAGATGACAGGAGTACTAAGTCATAATATACTATCTAAGATCGCGATATTCAAACCAATTCCTGTCATACCGAGCTCTCAGCTGCCAGTGAGTCATGCTTTGGTAGAATATTACCCCGTTGATCTCGCCAGAAAAACCACGAGATCGTAATAGCCCCCTTCAAAGCAACAGCAAACCACAAGCTACTCGCCATATCTGTGGTCCGTGAGAGTCCCCCAGAAGTCATTGCACCTAAAAACAAAGCCAGAAACGACGCAATTCTCCTATTCCGTTTGAGATTCCCAGACCAAGGCCGTGTATATAACTTTGTATCCGCCAGTAAGTCACACAGGAGAGTAGTAACAACAAGGGTTGGGATCTCGTCGAACGCCAAAAGACGCGATGCGCATATCTGTCCCGCTGCTTGGAATGCTAGCAGTGTTATGGGAAAAATTTGGATCCATGCGATCGGGGCTCGTGGGTTCTCTGGTCTGGGATCGACGATTCCTGCCTGGACTACGGCCGCGGCAACGATAAGCGCGGCTGTTTGCAGTCCGAAGGAGAGTATCAGAGATGATCGACGGACGGGATTTAAAGCGCGAAATATATGGATGAAGAAAATGTTGCTTAGTAGGAAGACGACGATGGCGATGAGGGATTTTGCCCAGAGGTAGGCAGGGTATCTGGGCTGACCGGATACGCCGAGCGCGAGGAAGACTGTATTTCCTGTTATTTTGTTAGCTGAAGCTTTGAGATGGTTGACTGGGTCGATATACCTGTTTGCATACTGGAGAAACTACCCCATGCGTTGAAAGATAAACCATCAACTAGGCCGCTGACGAATCCACAGATGATTAAAACGATGTCCGCGTGTTTGGGGTCTAGCTCCATGAGCAGGTATTGTGCTGTGCGGGTAAGAATGCTGGCTGCACTTGTTTTTGATGTCGGATCACGCGGGCCTTCAATATCAAATGTTACCCGGAGCGTGTTATCGACAGGCATGCCACTTGGACTCAATATAGACCTGATATTTCTATCAGGACTGTGCTCTGTCGTTGCAGATGAGAGTGAGCGTGTAGAGCCGGGCATTGTGTGTGGTGTAGAGCCCATGTGAGATAGGATTATAGTATGAAACAAAGTATTCGACTGCGGTTGGTGTTTCATAGAAGGATTTGGAGCTTAATCCTTAGCTTGGGCCAGTATAAATACTCGTAGCTTTTGGGTAGTGATTGACTCTGATACAGAAAGAAAGAATATCTGAAACACTGCCTAGCAAGGATCTGCGAACGTATGGGTTTCGTGATTGTCTTGGTATCTTCGTGTTTTTCGTATAGCTGATGCCCAGTCTCCAAAACATGTGCAGATTGACTTGGCTTGCATTGATTTCAAGGAAACCACCTGGTCTCTTGCTCAAAATACGAAACGGGTGCTAACATGCAGCACATGGGTCTAATGATAGATCATTCTGGCTCATGCACATGTGGAAAGTGGGGTTTGGTTCTTCTATTTAGCAACATTGGCAGATAGATCATTTCCAGGGAATAGATAAGAGACTGACGACATAGATTCTTATCATATAGCTTTGCATATTGTGAGTGAAGCTTCTTCATGTTTATCGCCACATGCAATTAAAGATCTGGGTTGCGCCAAGTGCATTGCCTCAGCGGTCCACGAATCTGAATTTCTCTTCAACAATTGCTCGTCAATGTTCCTGTGACACAAACGAATGCTGATATGAAATATTTGATTATAAATTCTTAATAATCTTTGAGGAAAGAGCGACAAGAAAAACAGTGAGGAAATAAATAAAAAAGTTCAAGTTAGCGAGGAAGGGATCCCGGATCACCACTAGGTCAGCAGCCCCTGGTATTAGACGAAAGGATCTTTATCCACGAATATAACTTGTTTGTCTCATCAAACTTGAAATTAATGTAGTTTGTGATATTGACGATGATCGAAACCACAAGTGAACTCGAATAGCATGACTTCCAAGGTTTCGATGGGTCAATCACACCTGGTGATGCATTACTGTCCAGTGGAATCATATTCTTAATTGGCGCCTAGAGCAATTAGATCGATGGGTCCAAGATGATCGACAAAATAAACCTTGGAAATATCTCTATTACACTCTATGGTTCAACTGGTTCAACATCGCCTAGGCAGGGTTCCAATGTTCACGAATCACGCCAAGGTTCCTCCGCTCGGCGGGAGCCTAGACATTCCTCTGGGCGGAATCCGCTGAGAATTCTTACATTGTCGTTTCATCCTTGCAATTGCGGCGCACGACATCAGATGTAAACTGACATTCTTATTCTCAATAATACCAACAGCCTTGCCATGTACATTGTAAGAGCTAGGGAAAAGTACTAAGGCTGCCCAGGTGTTCTGAGTTCATGCAGCGGGAGCGTTGTGGCGAAGAAATTGATACGTCGCTCATTTTTGGAAGAGCTAGCTGGATTTCACTTGACTAAGAGTTCCAAATCCTGGGTTGAGATATTATGAGAATCTTTCAATTGAATTGAGAGAATGCACATTTGATATAGTGAAGAATAAGATAGACGCCGCTCGAATGGATATCCTCATGACCCACGTAATCAAAGGATAAAGGTTTTTCGCAGTTGTGGGTCAAAATTGAGAGGAGAAGTTGGACAACAGGTCAATCTGAAACCGTGCGACGGATACTCCGTTACGGAGTATCCGTAGATATTGCGGAATTTGCGGTGTAACTATTGAAGCCAGAAACCCCAGAAAACCCAGGTAATACTGGAGCTGATTACAAATTCAAATAAACCTTCCACATCTGGAATAAAAATTGGAAGATCTTAGCCGGGAGGTGAACATTTTTGAAGTAAAAGAATGCAATAGGTCAATCTGTACTCATCCATTGAATTCTATGACAGATTACTAATTGTCATATTTGAACCATTTCCAAGGGTTCCAAGGTTGTTTCGCTGCCCCGCCAATTCCCCCCAATTAATGATTATTCATATGAACTAAATGTTCTGTAATATCGGATCCATTCAGGGGTATTTAAATAACTTGAGTTCCTAGTAGAAATGTTGCCATAACTATAAAATCTTGCTCATCTTTGCGTGAACTCCTCCATACTTCCTCACGAACCAGTACCTTTGCTTAAGTGCTTGTATCATTCTCTCCTACAAAATGTCTATCCCATTCTACGACACCTCTATTGCCCCTGTCAAGCAGGCTCTTACCTCTCTTGCCAACATCGTCCGCAAAGGAGAGGAGCACGCCAATGGTGCCAACCTCCTCACTGCCTCCCTTCACGATGACATGAAGCCATTGAGCTTCCAGATCTGTCTTGTCGTCAACCTTGCCGAGAAGCTGGTCGCCAGAGCCACCGACACCGCGGTCCCAGAGTCCGTTATGGAGCTTGCCTCATTCGCTGATGCTCACGCACTCATTGAGCGGGGTCTCAAGGCTGTCGACGGTACCGATAAGGCCGCTATCGATAACAACGCCGAGAAGGTTGTCGAAGTTGGTATGGGCCCTGGTGTCAACTTCCCCATGCGTGTGGACAACTATGCCCACGCTTTCACCATCCCTAACATCTACTTCCATGTTGTTACTGCCTATGCTATCCTGCGAAAGGAGGGCGTGCCCCTTGGCAAGATTGATTACCTCGGTGCCTGGATGGGACCTTACCTTCCTCAGAAGGAGTAAGGTATCCGGATTATCGAAAAAAGGAACGGCAGAATGGACCACTATGAGTTATGAAACAAACATCAACAATAAATTCAAAAAAGCATTGCATTGCTCAATTTTTACTTCCCCTCCTTTCTTTTGAGATGAAAGGAAAAGAAATCCTTCAAATGTAGACTGAGTAGCTTAACCGTAGATATTACGGACAGGGTTTAACGCCACTGACAGGCATGTACAGATCGAAAATGGAATCATCGGCCCCATATCGGGTCTGTGCGGTCGCGCGGCTGTAATTGCTACATCAATATCCAATAAGAAAACCGAACCCAAGCTAAGGCTAAAATTGAAACAGCCTATTGAGACACAGCAGGTACTTTCTACTCCGTATATCGCGCATTATATGGCTGGGCCGTCATCATACGCGATAAGCGACAATCGGGTTGGGCTTCTAAGGCTATTGTTACACTAGTTATCGCAAGCTGTGCAGGTGGAATCCGAGAAGACCTGAGCATAAATAATATTGGACAAAAAGAAAATGCAAGGATTTTTGGACCTGAAGAACTGGGCCAGCAAGTCATCCAGATGTGCAAATTGTAACGTAAGGCAGCTCCCTAGCCTAAAGCTGTCAGCCTCTTATTGCTGCATTTCCTGGAGTTTTCATGTTACTAGAACCAGCTGTAACTCGGGACTTCAAACAGTTGATAGAGAAAGAGAAGAGATTCAGGAGCCGAACATTTAGCAAGTGAAACATGTCAGTACGTAGACTCGGAGTTTCAAATTAGAACAATGATCAACTTGAAAGAGGCCGAGGGGCGAACCATAACAGGGAGGTTTAAGCAATCCTCAGAGTCAAGCAGACGATCTTAACACTCGGGATTTAATATTAGTAGTGAGCATTTTGACTGACCTATCAAAATTAGATGAATTCAAATATTTGCCTCGGAGTGTCTTCCTGAGTTCATATAAATGATAATATCATATCTTCGGACATCTGGAGTGACCGAATATAGTATTGAAATCACCCATACTAATATTCAAAAGGGCGTATGGACACTCGCACAGCCCCACAAATGACTGGCGCTTTCTTTGGTCTTGAAGTTTTCTGAACTTGAGATAGTACATTGAAATTTGGCTTAATAATGTCTAAGAAGTATTTGTTGGATGAATACAAGTTATCAGGACCATGTAGATAGACAATGTAGATAGACATTTGGGTTTGATTCCTTACTAGTAAGTACGTGACATCTTGAATAAAAAGAAAAAGTAAAAAAAAAAACTTGAAATATATAGAGTATTTGAAAATATCCATCATATATCAGCACCTTTATGTCTGAAAAGCAATGATCAACCCCCGCAAATATCACAAGAGAAAAAAAATAAAAATGTCAAAATCTATGGGGCTGGTGATGTTTCTATGGATCTGTCCTATTGTAAATTGCCATATGAATCAACTAACAAGTGGATCACTGTTTGACCTGTCACCTGTCTGATCTTCGCCCAACTCTGCAATTCAGGAGCGAGAAATAATAACCATGGAACTATCTCTCATGAGTCATTAAGATGTGAAAGTTTAAGTTGAGCAATAATTTGAACCTTGGAATACTAGTAGTACCTAGTACTATGTAGTAGTAGTAGTTTAAATATAGTGATAGTAGTCAGGTGACAACCTTGGAAGGTACCATCACTTACTACTACCGTTATCTTTCTTTCCCTCTCTTTCTTCACACATTAAAACGCGATTCATTTCTTTTCATTGACAGCTTTTAACCTCTACTGGAGTGACTGCCTTATCGCAGTCATTCTCGAGATCGTGATTACATCTCCCCCCGGAAAAGAAAAAAAGGCCCCAAAGGTGGGGCTGACAACAGTGAGAAGTCAAGATCGGCTTGATTTACCTCCATTTCTCTTTAGCGCCTTGACAACCCACTTGTACCAAAGTGTGACAACATGGACTTCTTCACACCCTCTCGAGGAAACATTGCGTCGTGGATGAGTCGGACACCTGTTCCGCCTAACGATGAAGGGAGTCCCATGTTCCAGTTGTGGCATCAATATGATCCTGTTCAAGGCTGGGTCTCCACTCGCTGGGATGATAGCGACCCGGCAGAGTCAACCAACACAAAAGATACATCCAATATAACACTCCTGACATGGAACATCGACGCAGCAGCGTCCCGTGAACCGGAGCGAACTAAGGAGATAATCAACTTCATTACTTCGCGGGATCCTAAAGTCGATATTGTTTTCCTGCAGGAAGTCTCAAAGTCAGCCTTGCGACACATCTTAGAGGACGAACGCATTCGCGAGTCCTGGATTTCAAGTGAACCAGATGACTCAGCTTGGGGCAACCGACCATTTTCAACGATGACCTTAGTATCCAAGACGCGTTTTACCCTAAGGTTAGACTCTGGAATCCGCAGTATTGCTCGTGGTCTCATCTGGCGCGTGAAATATCCAAGCCACTTTGGTCGAGATGCGCTATGTTGTGATCTTATTCTTCCTCCACAAGGGTTCGGACAATCAAGTACGCGAATACGTCTGGCCAATGTTCATCTGGACTCACTACCGATTAAACCATCCCATCGACCCACGCAGCTATCTACTCTTACTTCCTTTCTGCAATCTGCAGGCTGTGGACTAATAGCTGGTGACTTTAATCCAGTTCTTCCGGAGGATGCCATCCTTGTTGAAGCAAATGGTTTAACTGATGCTTGGAAGGCTCTTCATGACAACGACCCTGGTTTTACATGGGGAGTAGATGGAAAGCAGCGCTTCCCACCAAGCCGACTCGATAAAGTTGCTGTTTTGGGACTGGTGCCTCACAGTATCGAAGTTTTGGAGCCCCAACTTCTTTCAACTTCGGTCCAATCGGAACACGAAAATGATGACGCTCCAGAAGAGGTCTTCTGGAGTGACCATCACGGCTTGCTTTGCTCTTTCAATCTTTCTTAAAGCAAGCTCCTGCAACTTTTGCTGGAAGGCTGACCGGGTATTATTACTGAGGCTCGCAGGCAGGGCCTCTTATGCCGAATATTCGGGTTGAAAATGATAAGCAATTACGAGCACCTGAGGTATCAAAGTGGAGATTTTCTTTTCATTGAATGCCCGATGCATTATCGAATCTTTTGGTACAAGTGGTAGTGATAGTTGGAGCGGAGTTTTCCCCGCTGTAGGAGTATGGAAAAGCTTTGAATCCATGGTCATGATTATGGAAACACTCTGTAGATCTGCCTAAGACTGGGTTCTCATATTTCCGTATTGCTTTCAAAGTTTTTAGTCGTCGAAGAATGGATGTTCCATTAATTCGCGAGCAGTCTTCCTCTTCTCCGGAAGCCAAACGAGCATTTCTCGCACAAAGGATAAAAATCCCTCTCGTTCCTTTTCTTTGATAAATGGGACTGTATCCTCTAGACTGCGGTCTGGAATCAAGCCCTTGCAGAGAAATTTATCTTGAGCACAGTCAGTATTTGGACACTGGAACACGGCAAATCGGCGAACCCACCTTCTGCATCAAATCGGCGAACCCACCTTCTGCATCAAAGAAAGGGCCACCGAAACATTCTTCGGCGCTATGGGATAATATTTCAGTATGATCGCTAACAGGCCCAGGCCAGCCGAACTCTGCCATCTTCTATGATTTCGAGAGCCATTCTTCGGGTGGCGGCCCAAGTAGCGCAATCATTTCGGCAAGGTGTGCTTTCGCGTCATATCGACCATATTCGTCTTGTACTTGTTGAAACAGCACTCTGTGCCCTAGCATATTCCATAACTAGCAACATTTTCAGCAATTAAATGAAGTAAAATAAAGGGAATCATGAATTTTGGTGAAGTAGATTCAAATCTTACCATCACGCCAAAATTCCAAATATCTGCCTTGAAATCCCAGCCAAAGCCAAGAATGATCTTTGGAGCACGGTAATGATTAGGTTGAATAGGATTAATTCCCAAAGCCACACCCTCTACTCCGTCTCGAGGGGGTGGCTTCTCCAGCCTAAGTGCATTTCCGAAATCAGTTATCTTAGGGAACATCTTTCGGAACGAGAGGACCGAAGTTGTTATGACAGAGATAAACAGTCCGCCCCTCTGCATCAACTTTGAATTCCATTGCCTGTCGTCGTTTAACAAAGTCAGTCAAAATTTCCTCGTTTTCGAAGCTCATGAATTGAGATCTAAGAAACTCGTTAAATCTTTCTTAAACAAAAAAAAACGTCATATTGGCAAAATTGACAATGAGTACTTACCAGCATGAACGACTTCGCACTCCGAATGAAGATAATCAAGGCCATTAAGAATAGAGTAAATGTAGGCTTTTGCTAGAGGCAAAGGAATCTCCCGATCAACGAAACGATCCTGGAAAAGCCAAAAAGGGTCCCTCAGCGGTTCGTACACAAGACATTTGTGCTTCCCATTTGGCCCAGTTACACGAGTTCATCAAGACATGCTCGTACAATCATATGTCCAGGGTGTTTCGGATTTTTCTGCCTGATGTAGCTTTCAAGCTCCTTTGCATAATCGGCTTTGTCGGAATCGTTACTGTTGATGATTTTCAATGCGACTATGTTTTCAGCTTGCCATTTTAACCTGATCATATAATTGTTAGCACTTTGACACAGCTGGTATGAGAGACATATGTAATCAGCGTGATTGGAATTGTTCAATTATGACTCCAGGGCTCGGAGTTGGATGTAGTATACCTTGAGATATCTCGGGCGAACCACACAGTTGATTGTGTTCCAAAGCCGACTTTCAAAACTAGTTGGAATTTATCCGCTAATAATTCCCCTTGTTTTGCTGGATAGTAAGCTCCTGAGTCATACCCAGGAAACTTCTCCTCGTCAATAAGTTTGTGTTGGGGAATTGAAGGTCCAGGGCTGGGTGGAAATTGCCAGAGTGATTTTCGGGCAACAGAGGTCAATGTACGCCGTTGTGTCAAGGTCAGCCGTAGGAGATGTACCATTATGCCATCCAGACCATTTGAATTTCACTGTCAAACGTAGTAGAGGGAATATCAAAAGATTGAGCTCGACTGTCTGTCATAAACAGTCACTGGTGTGGAATGACTAATCGCCACGGAATATCCATCCCCGGGGGCCTTGTATACTTACAAAGGTGCGATTGAACACAAGTCCTCACATGTGCACGCACTGTAGCGGTGAGTTTTGGAAAGGTATCTTCTCCAGATGTCAGTACTCAATATTTGAAGTGCTTGCCCAGAAAGCATCCTATTCACATTAACTTGTAAGCACCCATGCAGTACTATACCTGCACATGTGCAGGTATGTTCACGTCTTCTCAGGCAGCGATGTTCACATAGTTACTTGAATACTCAGTTAGTAGTATGTAGCGACAACTGGTGACCTAACCCTCTTTGTATGTAAGTACCTACGGGATTATCTGGAAGGGAAGGCTAGCTGCTATTTAGTTGGATATAGACAACTAGTCTAGGGATGAACTATGGGCGGATTCTGACCATCTGTGTATTCTTCCAGGCAGTGAGGAAACTCGAAAACCCCCTGCCGAATTAAGTTGTTAAGTGCACTTCTTCTACGCTTGCAGCGTTCGAACACTATTCAGGATGTAAATCACAAAGTTCCATTGAAAATTGATGCATTGAACACAAAGAAGCAAATAAGAATCGAAATGATGTGCATGGAGGGTATCTTGACCAAGGCATAAGGATATGCACCTGAGTATGAGTATGCAATGGGAATATCAACAAGAGAAAAGGCACCACAGGTATTGTACAAGTCCAGATCAACCAAAAAGTATGAATCACTCTATAGGTACAATTTCCACGCCGTCTGGAGCAGGCCCACTAATGGAGCCACCCTTGCGGTGATTCTGCATACCAAGAATTTGCCATGCACGACCCATCATGCCATGTCCAAGACCCTGAGGGAACTCGACAGAAGCTTTGTGAGCATGTTTCGGCATACGATCACGTAAAGCACGCTCGCGCTTAGCGGCTGCGAGACGGTCCTGTTCACGCTCGTGGTTGACAATCTCATCGCGCCATTCGGCCCAGTGCTCGTAGTGCTCGCGCTGTTGGAGCACCTGGTACCGGAGCCGAGACTTGGCAGGGCGCCATGTGGTACGATTGGCGGAGCTACCATCATCGGTTGTCGATGGGATCATTGTGGACTTCAGGTCAGAAACACGTGAATCCTTAGTCAATTTAAGCAGATGAGTAAAGACATCCCGGCTTTCCAGGGCAGTGCGTTGAATCTTCTCTTGCTCCACTGTAGGGTCCGCCCGGGTGAGAGGAGCGTCAAGCCAGGAGTACATGTCAGTCGACTGCTGGATAGAGTACGGGTCCATGCGATTGGCGCGGCGGTTTTCTTCGCGCAAGAAACGAACAGCTGATTGAAGGCTCTCAACCTCAGCACGCAGAGTCTCATTCTCATGCATAGCAGCGAGAGAAGCTTCGTTGTCGATAACGAGACCATCGCCTGTGGTCTTGACGCCTGCAGTACCGGAAACACGCTTCATGCGTTCCAGGCGAGTCTTGTATTCATCCCGCTCTGCCTCGGCGGTTTGGAGTTCTCTCTTCTGTTGCTCAACAGTCTTCTCCAGCTCCATTCCATTATTCTGGGCCTCTTCAATCTTCACTTCCAGATCCTTGACCATGGACGCCTTCTTACTCGCCTCCTTCATTCGAGATTCCAGAAGTTCAATCTTGATGCCCTGCTCCTCGATCGTATTGTCCTTGACACCAAGAGCAGTGGAAACTTCGTGGACCTCGTTCTTCAGACGACGAATCTCTTCATCAGCATCAGGCGAAATGGTCTTGTTGGACTTGAGTTCGTCTGCTCGCGCGATCCAGGGGAATGTGCCCCTCTCAAACTCGCTAGTACGAGAAAGATCAGTGGAGATCGAATCGAGCTCGTCCATCTGGCCAGCCAGCGCACGCAGTTTATTCAGAAGTAAAGAGAACGGATCATTACTTTCTGCGGGGCTTTCTGATCCTTGGGTAAACTCTGCGCAAGCTTGCGACATGCTATCCAGCATCTCTTTGAGGGTGTAAGGTTCGACACGACCTTCGTCACTAGTCAGACTCAAAACAGCTCCCCCGAGCCTACGGGAAAGTTCTGAGAGCTCGCGAGTGAAAGCCTCGGTCTGCTTAAATGGCTCATCGGCCTGCTTTGAAAGTGCAAGGGATCTCGAGCGCAAATCTTCGAGGGCCCGATATATCTTGCCCATGGCTACCTTGTAACCGCGGGAGTGAGAAACAAAGGCATCGAGCTGCTTAAAAGCAAAAGCTCTTTCTTCCATGCTGTCATCACTCTCAGTAGGGTCGTTAGCCTCATTGCCTTCACTGCCCTCCTCCGCTTCATTCTTTTGTTCCGGAGTTGGTAGTTTAGACTGGATGAGAGACTTCAGTCGAGCGATGGCTGTCGCTGCATGATCGAGGTATGACTGAGATAGATTTGCTCGCATGGTCAATTCACCCGCAAAGGTCTCTGGGCTGGGTGGTAGAAGGGTTTCTGCCAGATGTGCCAGAAGCGCGATCGATCTCTGCAATTCCACCGCAAACTTCTTCATATTGACCTCATTCTTTTTTAAGCTTTCAATCCAAAAATTGAGAGTGCGTTCAACTGGTTCCATCTCAAATAAAGCAGCCTTCATACCTTCGAATTGATCTGGCGTGCAAGCGTTAATGTAGCTGACGAATCGGTCACAAACGCTGGAGATCCACAAGAGGTGCTCAGAAACTTCCAAGGCATTAAAAATCTCTTCGTGGCTAGAAATTGCTGACTGCTCAGCAATACGCTCGCGAATAGTGCTGTTCATAACAACAGACTTAAAGCTGACACGCTTGAATCGCAGCAGCGCCAGAACAGCGTTCCGTTCCCCGTCGAAGTACTCTGGTAGATAAAGCTTGACAATTGAGAGATGCTGCGCAGCCTCTTCGGATTCCATGCGGTTAAGTTCCACATCGATAGACTTGGTTTGTGCCTTTGATACGGAGGCTTGGAGCTTCATGTTGAGGTCCATCATAGCCCGTGATCGGGTTGTGAGGTTAGTAGCTTCCACCTCTGAGATCTGCTGGGATGCTCGCATGTCTTCCAAATCAGATTGAAGATTTGTCACCAACTCTCTGAAGCGAGATAGTGTATATTCAAGGTCCTCAATAACCTCATCTTGCTGAACAATCTTCCGGGATTGCTCAGTGAACACGCCCTCGCGATAATCAATCTCTTCCTGGAGTTGTTTCTCAGTCTCGATGTGGGTATATTCCAGCTCATCGCTGATCTCCCTTAAGGCTTCCAAATCTTCGATGGCCGCTTTGAGCTCATTGATTTCTTCTTGGTACCGCATGTTCTTATCGGCGAGTTCTTCTATCATTTCTTCTGCGCCCAGCGCAGTCTCCAATTGTTGTTTGAGATCATCCACATTAGTCTCTGCGACCAATAATCTTTCCTTGGTAGCTTCGAAATCGGACTTCACTGCAGAGTATTCCTCGAGGTCTTGTTCCAATTCCTTGATCTGAGACTTCAGATCAGACTCTTGCTGCTGTGTCATATCACGAAGTCGAATGAGTGCCTCGCGAAGTCGTTCATTTGTCTTTTCCATTTGTAGCCACCCATGGCTGGATCGCTCTTCGGGGCTTGTCACTTGAGCAAACTCCTCGTTCTCCTCTCGGAGAACCTCCACCTCCAAGTTAAGTTCCTCCATCTTAGACCGGAGCGCATCACATTCGTGTCTGAATGCCTCCGCGGTTTCTTCCGCCATCTCTCGATCAAGCGCAGCCATTTCCATAAGCGACTCATGCTCAGCCTGCACTCGTTCGACTTCCTCCAAACGAGCCTCGCTTTCTTTAAGCTTCTTGCGCAAGTCAGTGATCTCCATTTGCTGGGGCTGATATTTCGACTGCAGCTTCTGAATGATAGACTCAAACTTATCACGCTCAGACTGGAGTTGTTCGAGAACCTTCATTTTTTCGCGGTCTTCAGTTCGCTTTTTCTCCATCACGCGGAGCTTGGTGTTAAGTTCTTCCAGTTCTCGGGAGACAGCAGAGCTCTGCCGTTGGGCTGTAGATCCTGGAGCTCCAGGGCGAGAGGCCGCAGAGCGGGTCGCAGCCATAGATTGTCTAGGTGGCTTGGCCGACGGTGCAGATCCCGCGCCCATGTCTGGCGAACCATCATCAGCAGCCATAGATTCGTTATCTGTTGGCTCTTCCGAAGGTCCGCTCACCCCTGTCTCATCCGATGCCTTGGTAGGGGCTGCTTGGCGTAAGGAAGGACGTTTTGACAAGGCAGGGCCAGTAGTGGACACATTGCTTTGGGAACCTGGTCGCGATGACCGTGTGGAGCCGGATATAGACGGACGTGATGCTCTTGGTGCTGCTGTCTGGGTTGTGGATGGTCCGACCGAGGGTCGGGTGGTAGGTGCTGGGCGAGGCCGGTTTGAAGCCACAACAGAAGTACGCGAAGCACCGCTGATCGAAGCACGGGGAGGAGCCGCTGAAGATAGATGTTTTGTCGGAGACTTTGTGGGAGACTGTCACATTACACATATTCATAAGTACTTGCGCGATGTATCAATGAGGACCAATACATACTCTCAGAGATGACCTTTGAGCCCCCCTCGGAGCCGGCGTAGGAGTGGACGCATTGATGCTTTGTCTTTTTAAAGCACTGGGCGGTATTCCTGCTGGTTTCTTCGAGCCCGCAGAGACTGAGACCCTGCCGGTGGACGTATTGGTACCGGGTCGGGTCGTTTGTTTACTCTCCCGCGGAGCTTGTTGTAGAACCGCGCCGATGGCTGTCGGCCGGATGAACATGCCAAACCCTGCCTCACAATCGAAGTATCGCTCTCCTTGAACCGCACCATCATTCTTTCCAGTCGCTTCTGTCAATTCCACGCCGATCCAGTCTCCAACTGCGAAGTGTGTGCTGCCGATGAAGCGTACGGTGGCCTGTCGTCCGTCGGTCAAGGTAATCACCGATCCAGGCGAAATATCTTGACCAGACATCTTGTCGAGAGCCAAAGACCCACGGTGCGCTGGAATTGTGGTCGAATATGTATGTGTTTGTCGGGATGAGTTGGGGGGAAGAGGGAGCCTCCATCTGGAGCACTAAGGAGTTACACGCGAACGCCGATCATTGGTGGCCTAAGGCACCGATGATGATATACGGAGTACATATACGCTCCATGTTCTTTCTGCGATCGCTAAGTCCTATAATATTAATTCAATAGGACTGACTAACTATTTAATCTGTGTTATTAATACTTCAAAATTCATTTCTTTCACAGTATCAGTGGGTGCTCAATAGCATGATGTTCAGTTATGCAGAGTACGCAGCGGCAAGATGCACAATCTGCATTGTAGATTCAGCTTTGAGATTCAGCTTTGTGCCAAGTTGAGATGAATAATTTTCATTCAGTCTTGGAGGGCACCAATATGGCTTCCTCTCCACTACGAGGCAGTTGCATGCTCAAAAAGCTGATATAGTATAGCATGTCGGATACTAGCACTTGAGTAGACGCAAAGATCGAGAATTTCCAAGATTCATTCACTCATAAATCAAACATAGATATAGATAGTAAAGAACTATGATATGACAGCCTTGGTTAGACCTTGGCAGATTCTCACTGATACACAATCATCTCCAGACCTCCAGCATACGGCATAGTAATTCTCCGGAACCGACTATCCGGCGCATCAACATACGCAAACAGCTCAGCATATCCAGCAGCAGCCTTGATTGTATTATCCGCAATAATCATAGCACCAGGTCGAAAATGCGGTTCCACGAGCTTCAGAGCCGGCAGGGCTAGTGGTGTCCAAACTAGAATGAGATGATTAGTCCTGACTTCGTATATCGAGTATCCTAAAAAGACAACAGAGATGGATGAAGGAAACTCACTATCCAGATGCAAAAAATCGACTGTACCAAGACCCTGTGCAAGCGTCTCACGAAGATCTCCAATTCGCAGATCAATCACACCATGAATCTCCTCTCCAGCCTTATCCCAGTTCTTCTGTGCTACCGCTGCCTTCGAGGGCTCCTTCTCCGTACCAATAACCCGAGCCTTGGAACTACCATCGCGAGTGGCATTCTGAGCTGCAGCAAGAGCAAGATAGATTGTACTCACGCCAAAGCTTGTGCCAGCTTCAACGATTGTCGTGGCGTTGATACTGCGGAGCAGCTGATAGATCAGTTCACACTTGTCTTGATCGAGTGCGATGAACTTGTCGCGCATGATATCGTCGAATTCATCGGTCGTTTGACCAGGTAGAGACTTCCATTCTATCTTTGATTCCTGGTTGAGGGATTGGGAATGAAGCTCCTGCAGAAATGATAGGAGTTGCGGGGATGCTGTGAGGGGGCTTCGAGGCGCCATAATGAATGGATGTTGGGTTGATTGAGAATTTGGATGAAGTGAATCGGAACCTTGATATACTTGCTATCGATATGGTGGAAATATGGATTCGGTTAAATACAATAGTCCACTCCGTGGATATGGCGTGGGTCAGTGAGTCAGAACGACTTCCAGATGAACTATGACGATGGCATGGATCTCTCGGCATCAGAATTGCCGGTCGGAATTGTGATCTGATAGATGTGCCGTATTTCCTCTACTCCTCCACGAACTCTCTTAGTACTCATTATAGTTGACTTAACGTAATAATTTCTGTCTTATATGACTATCGAGGACTAGTAGTTTCATCCTAGCTTCATTATTATCTGATCTAAACATTCCCCGCACAAGCCAAGTCTCCACTATCCGGCTTGTTCTAGCAACTCCGCATAACTACTCAATGACCTTCCAATCAAATTAACCATTTCCCAAATATAATCCGCTGTGAAAAGGCGCGCCCAAAGGCGGGTCACTGCAGCACTAAGCCTGGTATTAGTGGCTAAGAGCCACTCCCTCGAAACGCCATGCTGCACCTCCATCACCATTTCAATCACAAAGTCCCGCAATCGGGTCTCTTGCTCCGTTAAGGCCGAGCCTGGATTTGGCCCTGTCACCGCTTCTAGCCATTTAGCTAATACCACGGCACATTCAAGCGAGCACAGCGCATGCTGATTTGACCAGAGTGCAACTTGCGAATGCGCCACATAGCCGATCCCCAGTTTAACGGGTGTGCTAAGTGCGTGGGCACAGTGGAGTGCTGCTCGAGTCAGACGATCGCCACGTTGTACAGATAGATTGTCTTTAAGACTCTTCGCTATTTGAACCGGATCCCAGGATTGAAGCTGCCGTGCTGAACCACAATCGGCACTGAGTCGAATATACGCTAGCCGGAGTAAAGCCGCTGATGTGAAGGAGACTGGCCCGTGAGGGCTCAATGGGTCAATGGATGACTCCTGATTACGCTCCCAGCATTGACACCACCGCTCCAGTGCCTGCTCAAAGGCGTTGAGTTCTGGTGCCGGTGCTATCGCCAAGTTGGCGCGGTTGCTGCGGGATAAAGTGAGGCGACTGGCTTTTGTCATAATCCAGATATCCTGAAGCAAGGCATGTATCAAGACATAGCCTCCGAGTGAAGAGAAGCGCCCCACCTCGCCGTTAGGGTTGAAAAGCGCAGAGAGGGCATCTTGAAACTTCGGCTCTCCAGGACTTTGGCTACGAGCCGCCTGCCATGCGTCGGGTCCAGATGCCTGCCATTCTTTCTCAGTGCATGGCAAGTCCAGGCTGAGTTCCTCTGTAAGAATAACAGGCGGTATATCGAATACAATGGTGTGGATGTTGAAGAAGCAGAACACAATCAAATTTGTGCGTTTGACTCGCTCGCGAAAGATCCAGCTCTCCCAGGATCCGTCTTGTTCGGGCAATTGATTGAGACCTCCTTTCCTCAGAAGTGCTCCCATTGTACTTCGAATAGATAGCGCCTCCCAGTATGGTGGGTTGTTTAGAAACCATGAAGAAACGGATATCAAGAAAAGCAATGATTGGATAGTTTCAAGCATATCAACGCTATTTGTCGCATCTGCTTCTGGCAATGAGCCTGACTGGAACGTCCGTCGAACATGTTCCAAAGTAACAGGCTTCGCAATCTGATAGAGCCACATGCTAGTATCTGGCTCACGGCAATAGCGCGCACCTAGGGCAGCCATGGAAAGAAAATGGTGGAGGGATATAGAATCAACATCAAAAGTCGGTCTATGCACAACCGGGTAGTGATCATGATATCCCATCATATAACCTGTAAGACATCGTGATAAAGCATGCCGCGAAGGGAGAGTCGGATTTGGGACAACATTTGAATATTCGGCTAAGCCATGAAGGATCTTTTCTCGGCATTGCGCTGTTACTGGAATGAATCCTGTAGGTTGCCTTGCTTTGACGGCTGGAGATTGATATCCTTCTGGCTGGAGAGATGGTAGTTGTGCTCCATGGCGTGGAAGAACAGAGCTTGATGGTGTTGAGGCCGGCTCTGTCGTTGGTTCCCTATCGGATGTTTGCTCATACTCTGGGCCAGGAGAAAATTGTAAGGGAGGAAATAAAGGAAGTGGCTGGAAGGCTGGGGAGAATGGGTGGCTTGGTAAAGGAACACTATCTAAGAAAGACGTGAAATCATTCCCTTCATAGATACCGGTGGGAATACCACTCATTGGGTATGCAAAGTCAGATCCCTGAAGGGGCGTGGTTGGCCCTGCTGGAGAATTTCCCGGGTGAGACAGCTGCGAGCCAACCATGGACCCACGATGTACAGGCATAGTGGCCGAGTACTGGCCATGGCGCAGGGATGGTGACTGATGGATTGAATGCGCATGATCTGTCACGACCGAGGCTAATGTGCCTAGGCCATCTACGGTTGGATGGGCCGGGGATGGTGATACTGTTTGGTGACTACTAGCAGCGGGACTTGTCCCTGCCTGATGGGCTAGCCGCTCATGGCGCGCAAGTAAGTCTCTGGATTGAAATTAGAGATGTTTGGAATACAGTATGTTTCGAATCCCGCAACGTACTTGCGCGTGAACGCCTTAGGGCATTTCACGCAAACATACGGCTTCTCCTTGGTATCTAAGTCGGGGGTTAGTGGTGAAAAGCACTCATTGGACTACGGAAGGAACATCTTACGTGATCGATCATGACGTTGAAGATGCTCTAGTCGAGCAAAGGATCTAGAGCATCGCTGACACTGATAAGTTTTGTTGTTCATGGCTTCATGACGGGTGAGGTTGTACCGAACGGGAAGAAGGTGATGTCAGTCGGGGAGTTACAAATGAACTCCGATGATCTACCATTTTTAGTATTACCTGCAGACGATTGTCTCAATGACTCCGGTTATTTTCTATATCACTTAATTCTTCAGTTAGATGTTTTAAATTATTCTAATATAGAAAATTCAGTTGGATTTTGACAATTTTCTATATCTTCTTACTCGATCAATCTCATTCTTTGTCATCATTCAAGTTGTTTTAAGTCCCCGATGATCTCCAATTTCCTTCTCCAAATTGGAGATTTTCATGTGGAGAATCAGTTTTCCCTATCAGGAAAACATTAATAATACTAAATAAAAGGTGATAGAATTGAAGACTTGCATGAATCCCTGCATAATGATTCGGTAAGATCGCCGAACTACTTCCTTCTAGAAGTCATTTGTCCATATACTCCGTACTCCGGATGTAATTCCTCCTCTTTTTAACCATCTCCCATACATTGGCAGCTTATCAACTTCCCGGCCCCACAGAATCCATGTTGTCCCTTTCTTGGTTCAAATGTTGGAGATTTGCCGATTTTCCAGATTTCTCCAATTTATTTTTTCGGTGACTCTTTCCACCCAAGCTTATAAGTTGGGGCTCTGGCCCATTATGGCCCAAATTTATCCAAACGTGAGGGGATCCTGGTTAAGACATTCAACAAAGAAACAAAAAAATCCATTCGTGGGATAAGTGGCGTTGAATGGCATCTCATACATCTGTTGAACCCAAATTTGGGCCCGCAACCACTATGAATGAACGGGAGTCCAGCCCCGAGTCGTTGGTCGAATCGCAAGAGATAGAGTATCTCTATCTTGAACTAGAAACGCCGCTACCCACTCCATGCATCACCTTACCCCCATCTGCTGGCCAGTCTGCACCACCCGAGGCACCAAGTCTAGAGGAGTATACTTCGCCATTTCTGTGGCCAAAATGGCGTAAATGGATGATGACTTGGATTGCTTGTGGTGTTACAGCTTTAGCTGGTTATTCCGCGGGTGAAGTGAGTCCGGCATCTGAGGAGCTAACAAAAGTGTGGGGTATTAGCACGGTGGTGTATAACTTGAGCATTACTATCTTTTGTATTGGTTTTGCTCTGTCTCCTATGATTCTTGCGCCTTTTTCCGAAATCAATGGCCGTCGTCCTATTTTTGTCGTCAGTGGTATTGTTTTTGTTGGTATGTATAGTATTTACCTAGGGTTATCAAGTTATCCACGACCATGCTAACCAATCTACTCACAGCTTGTCTGATTGCATGTGGAGGAACACATTCCTTCGCTGGTCTGCTACTCGCCCGTTTCTTCCAAGGTTGTGGTGCATGTGAGTTCAAGTTTCTCTGTCAATCTTCATCCTTATATCCACATTATGCTAATAATTCCTCAGCTACATTCTCAACTATGGTTGGCGGTGTCATCAGTGATATCTTCCACGCTGAAGACCGAAACACACCCATGGCACTCTTCTCTGGAGCTGCATTGTTTGGAACAGGCCTGGCACCTATTCTGGCCGGTGCGATCGTCACGCATACCACCTGGCGCTGGATCTACTACTCTCATGCTATTGTTTCCAGTGTATTTGTGGTCATCATCTATTTCTTCTTTAAGGAAACTCGTGGCAGTGTTCTCCTTAGTCGCAAAGCGGGTGCTTTGAATAAATACTACGAGAAGCTGGAGGAAGCAGGCCATGTCGGCGTCATTATGTGTACCGAAGGTCAAGAGGCAGAGAAGAGCATCCGACGTATTCGATGGAAGGTCAAGAGCGATGAGCAGCGCACATCACTTGTGACAGCCGTCCGAATCTCCGTGTCTCGTCCCTTCCGTAAGTCCTTCCACAAATTTTTCCAAATATTCTCGCTAATACCTCTTCACAGACATGCTCTTCACAGAGCCAGTGGTTTTCTTCTTTTCTCTCTGGGTTTCCTTCAGCTGGGCTACCCTATACCTCCAATTCAGCTCCATCCCTCTCGTCTTCCGTATCAACCACAACTTCAACGTCGAGCAAACCGGTGCCGTCTTCACCTGTAAGCCAATAGCTTTCATTCTGATTAAAATGAGTACCATCACTAACGAATATTAGCAATGTGCGTCGGAGTCATCATCATCACCTGTGTTAGCATCTACCAGGAAAAAATCGCCATGAAATTCGGTAAACTCTCCTCCTCAGCTGAAGGTCGTCTCTACTTCGTCTGCGTCGAATCTATCCTCCTTCCTATTGGCCTTTTCTGGTTTGGATGGACTTCTTACCCCTCTGTTCCTTGGATCGTTCCTGCTATTGCTGTCGGCTGTTCGACTATGGGTATATTCTCCATCTACCTCGCTACATTTAATTATCTTGCGGATACATACCATCGGTATGCTAGCTCCGCTATCGCTGCACAGTCTTGCTGTAAGTTTTCTTTTGCACTTTTATGATGAACTATGAGAAAGGAGACGATGTTAACATTCTCCCATCCCAGGCCGAAATCTGCTTGGTGGTGTCTTTCCCCTGGTTACCAGTGCTATGTTTACGAACCTTGGATACCCTGAAGCATCCAGTTTGCTGGGCGCCATTGTGAGTTATGGATCTATGATGTCTTTTTTGGGGTTTACTAACAGAAACTGTGTAGGGACTTGTCCTCACTCTTGTTCCTTGGGTCTTGGCTTTCTACGGACCAAAGATCAGAGCACGAAGCAAGATGGCTAGTGTAAGTCTTGAGATGATATCAATCTTGAAACTTGAATCTCATACTGACTTTGTTTACAGGAACTGAGCCACTGAAAATACCTGCATATCTATGAGCAAAATTGAAGTCACATAATGCCGATAGAGATACTACTAGATTAATGTACATAATGCATTTGAGAACATTATCATATTGAAGCGAATGCCTGACATTGAATGCATTATGAGCAATGATACAATCATCAGACCTTGGAATGGATCATTATGTACCTAGATACAGAAAGTCCAAGGTTCTTGGTAGCCATTTAGGCTTGTATGAATAAACTCGACCTTGAAATCGGAATGCAAAATGCAAAATGCAATTGCCCCAGAATGCCACCCTTACCATGAATGTATGAGCCGTAAACACCTGACAGATAAATTGATCCACCAGACACCAAATCAAAATGATTGTTACCTCCAAGAAGAGCGGGAAAAAGATTCTACCATTTACCTGCGATATCCATGATACCCCTTCGATGTTTGCGTTTGGGCTCTAGGCCGGTGCGATGCATATCGCTCATCATCCTCGCTGTCACTTTCCATCTGATCTAGAATACGATCGATCTCGTCTCCAGCATTCGACTCCAACCCAAATCCAGATGGTCGGAGCTCGAGCTCAAAGTTCCTTCTATTGTGTGATTTGTCGCTTTGAGAACTCTGATCACTGACTCCGTTGAAGTGCGACTGGATTGATTCATTCAGACTGAGTTGTGAGGCTGGTGGTTGTAAAGGACGTGGACTAGATCGGTAGCCAGAGTTTTCAGGGCTGGACATGAATAGGAGTGTTTCAATTGCATCCTGCTCCATGGATGTGCTTTGTGAATGGGTGCGTGATCTGTACACTTCGTGTTGTGCTGATAAAGGCATCCGGGCAGACGGAGGAATGTGTGGTGTATCTGGGCCTAGCACAGGTGGTGAGCCCAATGATTTCGTTACCGATGGCTCTTGCACTGAATGGTGTCGACGATGATGCCGAACATAAGGGCTGCGATTGAATTCTTTTGGACCCGTATTTGGGTTTGGCCGGCGTCGGCGCGAATCTCCATTCGATGAGATGATATCAACAGGAGGCGCTAATTTAGGAAAGGGAAGAAGTTTGCCAGGGGAGGAGATAGTTGATTGGGAGGGGTTATGAGAAGAGGAGTTGTGAGATGTGCTTGTGGATGTTAGGTTCTGTGGGTGAGAAGTTGGTGTTAAGCCTGACGGTGGCGTTGAAGTAGCCCCACTGGGGTTAGGTGTGCTCGCTGATGATAGAATTTCAAGTCCGCGAAGTGCAAGCTGAGTGTCTTTTTCACGCGCCTGTCGGGACTTTTCTATCTTTGCTGCCGCGTATGATAGACGGGTACGGATGTGCACCGACAACTATGGACGCGTTAATAGAATACCAAAAAGAAAATTGAGCAGAGAAGGTAGTATTACCTGTGCTATTCTACTTCCGTATGCTGGCGAGCCAGTGCTTTTTGAGCGTCGCCGTGCAGCCCCGAAATTGTCATCATCTTGATTTGGAGGTATTGTAATACTCGAGGCCATGGATTTAATATCCCCAGTTGCCGTCCTTTTGTGTCCTGGCGCAAAAGAAACTCCATTTTCTGGTCGTGCCAGTGGGTTTGAATGGTTGGGCGATTGTGGTGGGGATAAGGATCCATTTTTATGTTGCCCTGAAGTATGAACACCTTCTTCCATTCCATTCCCGTTCTGTTTCACTGGTAAATGTTCTTGTGGGGTCGAATAATTCGTTGGTGTTGGTGTGATCTCAACGGAGGACTGGGAATTTTCGATTTTGATTGATTGACTGGAATCGTTCAAGGAAGAAAGGGGAATACTGGACAAAGAGTCTGCGAATGTACTGGCGGACTGGGGCTCCGGTCGAGGGGTATCGGTCGAGGTATTGCTACCACGTTCGGATGATTCAACGTAGGAGGGAAACGAGATGACTTTATCATGAATACGTGCATTCAGTCCATCTATCTGCAAAGACAATGGCTGTGGTGATCGAGGAACTTGAATAACTTCTGATCGAGTCAGGCCTCCTGGCTCTCGTGACGTCGATGCGTCCACAGACCCAGTGTTCGCACTGGCCTCCACATCGGGAGCCCCGCGACTTGATGGAGCACGTTGGAGGTCAGTCATAGTTCTCACAGCAGACTAGAAAATAGAAACGTCGGTCAAGATGAGGGACGAGGAAAGGAAGGCGGCCAAAACGCGATCACGCAGCAATTGCGAAATTACGCGGCCGCACGAGGGGATCTAAACACGGCAACAACTGAACAACTTGCGCCGAGTCACCGCATAGAGACGGGGTACCGGGGATGTCCGACGTGAAGCGACCAAGGATATTCTAGCCACGCGGTCAAGATCTCAATATCCTCGAGTGTTGTCGGGTATGTGCAGTGTTTCTGATGCGGGCACTAGGGCCAGCCAAATCCAGTGGCGATCGACCAACGCGCGCAGGGTTAAGCACGAGCGGTAAAACGGTCAACTGGCAGCCTCTCCACTGGGGCCAAAACAGGAGATTCTCTGATGAATTGGCCCACGACTAAAGGAAAAACATAGATACGTGGGTATGATTTAGAAGTAGAAGACAAGTAAAGAGGAAATATCAAAATTTGCTCCGGAATCGCTAGAGAACGGAAGTCGAATGTCGCCTTCGGCTTTCCTTCTGCGGCGACGCGTGCGAAACACGGTCACGTGTGGCGGTGCCACTCCGTTAGGTGATTATATAGAAATGAATTTAGGTATGAATTTATCTGATCACTTAAGAAAATAAGAAGTATTTACTATTAGAGATTCGGTCCTTTAGAGTATTAGTCGAAGGGAAAGCACAGTTCGATTCCAACTTGAAATAATGTTGCTGATCAACAGCAACTCTACTAGTAGTAATACTACTAGTCAACCTTGGAAACTATATACATTTATCCCAACAAGAAGTTAGTATACTCAAGTGCTAGTGCACAAACAGCTTTGATCCTCTGAGTCAGAGATTCAGAGGCTCAAGTCTATCATCTTCCTGATTTGCTCATTAAATAATTAAGGGCAGCCGCTGGAAGGGTAGTTACAGCTGCTAGTCTCACCACCGCCAGTGATAGAAACTCCAGAGAAGCTGAAGTCGGAACAGCTGTCGCTACCGCAAAGAATATAGTAGTCCATACCATCATCGGTGGCAGTACCAGTGACATCAATGAAGGAGATGTTGGTAATGTTGACACCGTTGGTTGGGGTGCCAGTAGCACCACCGTTCTCATAGTCCTGCTGGACATCAATACCGTAGTCGGAAATGTTGGAGAGGGTGATGTTCTCGTAGATGACATTGCTGATGCTACCGGTGGTATCGGCGTTACTCTTGATACGGCAACCGTTCTCGCTGTTAACCACCTGAGAGTTACTGAAGGTGACAGTGTCGACAGTGTTGTCGCTCTTGCCGCCAATAGATCCAATGCTCAGACCGTGACCACCGGAGCAGTAGAGGTTGTCAATGACGATGTTAGACCCACTGGTGACAGCAACACAGTCATCCTGGTTGTAGACGTAGGTGTCTTTAACAGTGACGTATGTACTCTTAGAGATGTCGAATCCGTCGGTGTTGTGGGCGGCGGCATCACCGTCACTTGCGCTGTTGGGAGAGTCACCGGCAGTGTTGTTCAGCATAAGGCCAGAGATCGTAAGGTGCTCAACATCCTCAATCTCGAAACAGTGAACAGGCCAGTTGACAATGTTCAGGTTGGTGATCTCAGAGTAGTAGGCATCCTTGACGACAATGAAGTGGTCAGGCCTGGATAGAATGGTCAGCATCACGTTGTTGTAAGGCGTTGAAAATTTGCACTAACTTGTCCACTCCACCGTTGGAGCCTTCACCATCCCAGTAGGCCTCACCGTTACCATTAATAACATGGCCAGAAGCACCAGTGATGGTGATGTTGGTTCCGGAAATGATGATAGGATCAAAGTCGTCATCGTAGGTATCACCGAAGGTCTATTGCTTGTTAATATATATTCATGCTAGGTAGCTAACGTGTTGTTACTCACGGTAGTACCAGCAAATGTGACAGAGGCACCAGTCTGAAGACTCGACAGGTCGATGGTGCTTGAGGCTGGGGCGTAAAGGTTGGACAAAACAATGTTGGTGCAAGAGGCGACAGCAGAAGAGAGCGAGGCATATTCGCTGACCACACAGGCGGAACCGCTAATGGAAGCAGCCGCAACAGCGGTATCGATGACTTGAGAGGTGGTAGTGGTCGCAGCCGCAGTTGTTACCGGAACATCCACGGAAGAGGTTGCAGTGGTCGCAGCCGCAGTTGTTACTGGAACATCCACGGAAGAGGTCGAGGTAGGTCGAACGGCCTTCACAAAGGTGGTCTTAGTGGCCGACGAGGTTTCGGTAGGCACAACTTGAACGGGATCAGCGCTACTGGTAGAAGTCACAGCAGCGACAGCTACAGATCCAGCCTATGATGTGTTAGAGATATACTAAATTTCAAAGATTCATTTCATCCAAATGCTTACACTGGCGGAGTCGGTGGCCCAAGCAGTGTCCAGACAGCTGCAAGCACTTGATAGGTGCTTGACTTTGTAGTCACAGGCAGAGGCAAAGGCAGGAAGTCCAGTAGTGGCAGTCACAGTACTAGCTGTGAAAGTGGCACAGAACTCAGCAGCCTCGGAGCTAGAAGCTGTGTATGCAGAAGCACAAGCATGGCTCTTGGGATTATCACATCCCAAGACCAGCAGGGGGAGAAAAGAGAGGACCAGCGCGCTGCGCATGATGAAGATCTTAAAGAATGAATAAAGTGAATGACAAAAAAACAAAAAAAAGAATGAACAAATGAAGGTTTGATGAAAAGAAAAATGAATGAATTCGAGAAATGAAGGGTATCTTATACTATTCTAACAATGGACGTTTTCATGGTTCAAGCCACAGACCACACTAAAACACTACACCATGAACTAGGCCCACCTATTTGAAGCAGTATAATATGGAAATATGGGTTGAATGCATAGATGATCGTAATTGTTGATTAAGAAAACTCCACTCTTCTCAACTTCATGAGGGAGACTCATGTATCCACCAGTATGATCCTTGACATTGTGAAGCATAAGCCGAGTATTATGCAGTAGGAGGGATTATGGATCCTTGATTACGGAGTATACACGAATACAGAATCCTCTTTTAATTAAAACCTTGGAAGTAGGAGCACCTAGGGATGGAAGAAATATTGGATCCAGGTATAGTTTATGCAGGGGAACTTGAAATAGTCCGGCGGCACTATGTTACTAGTATCAGGGGAACGTTTCATGTTAAGGAGATTGATGTGAACGTGGGCGGTTTAGGGTATACGTAGTTAAGACTAAGCGAGCCTCACATTTCAAGTCTACGGGTCTTAGGTTGTTCTACTTTGGGGTTAGTTATCTTCGCTGAAACGTAGACACATTCTAGGTGGCTTTTTTAGCCCGAAGCAATTTATGGTAGCTGTCACAACTATGGAGTAAGTGGTTCGAGCTCATGAATATTAGCCGATGTTTCCGAATACATGACCCACTTAGTGTTAAAAGGAACTTGGAACTCTGGCCAGCCCCTTCTTCTGGGGCTTGTTATTCTTTTTGAATGGAGAAAAAAGGGAGAAAGGAGAGGGGATGTAGTATTTGCCGAGTATATTGATTGGTCTAATCCTGAACTTGACGCCGAGGTTCTACCGTACATAACTTTGGAAGAGTCCGAGATTAACAGTTACGAGTATATGGAGAAACTTGAATCAGGTTAACATTGAACTACCGGTTAAAAGACATGAGTAAATACCAGGAATTAGCAAATAGAAACTATAGAGGCTCCACAATGATTGAATAATGAATGTACAATTGAATTTTTTAGGGGGGCTCTTCTAACGCCGTCTATGCAAGAATCAGATAGATCATGTCAACTCAGACATGTACAAAATTTAAGGACTAAATCATCTGCGCTTCTTTCCACCACCGCCAGCATCGTCGTCATTCTTGCGTTTCTTGCCCTCGCGGCGCCAGTAGTCATTGCGCTCTCTCTTCTCACGAGCTGCCTTTTTCTCCAAACTATCAGCAACCTTAGCACGGTAGACTTGGCGGCGCTCTTCCTGTTTAGCCGCACGCTTAGCCTGCTTTTCATTGCGCATAGTAGTCAGCTTCTGCATAAGATCGCGAGCCTTCTTCTCCTCGCCTCCAAGAACAACAGCACGCTTTTGCATGTAGGTCTGGTCCTTGCGAGCCTTCATCTTGGTGATCTGAGAATTGTAGGGAAGCTCGGCGGCCAATTGGCGAGGCACACGAAGAGGGTTGAAGTGACGCTCCTGGCGCTCGATCTTGCGGTATGCTGAGTCCTTGTTCATCGGGGTAGGAATACCCTGATCACGACGGACTTCACCAGTCAAACGCATTCCCTGCCAGCCACTGTCACCAGAGCCACCTTCTTCTTGGTCAAGAAGGTTGGTGACAGGGTTGTAGAAGCGGTGGGGCTTGATAGGGTACCAGGCCCGTAAGAAGACAATATCACTCATTAGAATCTTATCTTCAAAGGTGGCACGGTAGTAACCATCGGGCTTGCTAAGAGCTCGCTTGATCTGACCACGAATACCGGATACGGTACGAATAGAGGCACCTTCGAACTTGGCAATCTCCAAGGCAGAGTTGAACATATCCTTGATGAAAGCGGTGTTCTTGAAGATCTTGTATGGCACACCAGTGAGTTTCAATTTCTTGACAATCTCGGTGTGTTCGTCGACATTTAAGACGACACCAGTAGCGGCAATGCGGAAGCCAGGGTTCTTGTTTGAGAACGATTGAACACAGCAGAAACCAGTGTTAGGAGCGACCAGAGGGCCGTAGAAAACACCAAAGCAGTGCATATGCTCAGGTGTATATTTCAGCATACGGTTTCTTGTTCGACTGTCCGAAGTGCTGTAGATGGGCATGGACTGGAAGCGACGCCAACCAAGAGAGAAGATGAGGGGATCGTTACTCTTCAGAATCTTCTTGTGCCAACGGTGACGCTTGATACGGATTTGCACATATCCAAAGCGGTCTTCAGTGGGAGCCAAGCCTCCGACGATGATAGGGAAACGAGGGCTGAACTTGCTAACAAACTCGTATGGAACTTTCTCCAAAACAATTCGGGCATAGGTTCCAGCCTTGTAGCCTTCAGCTCGGGCACGGGAGCTTGGGTCAAGGTTGTCGAATTCCGCACGGTTGATATCGAGCTGCTTTTGCATCTTTGCTTTCTGCATGTCATACCAGTCGTCCTCGCCGAACTCCCCATCTCCGCCATCACGCGTGCCTTCTTTAGCGTTTCCAAAACCTTCACGATCTTCCTCCTCAAAGCGAAGCTTCAGCTCCTCCTTCTTCTTTGCATTGCGCTCACGCTCGGCTTCCAAGTCAACAGGGCCCTCGGGCTCTGCCTCGTCATCGTCTTCATCATCCTCGTCGCCATCCTCGTCGTCATTGTCGTCGAAGCCGTCAAAGGCCTCACCAGTCTCCAAGTCTTCGAAGGCACCGTCGCCCTCATCATCCTCGTCCTCGTCATCGAAGTCGTCCAGATCGTCGTCATCATCCGAACCACCACCACCAAGCTTGCCAGTAACAAAGCGTTGCTTCAATGACTCGATCAGCTCCTCGTCGCGCCACTTGCGCTCAAGCTCATCGTAGTCGTATTCGGGAACAGCACGGTAATCAGCTTGGTCCTCCTTTTCGGTGTTTGTCTTTTTGAAGAAGTCATCGCCCTCCTCAGCCTCAATGTCCGACTCGTCTGATTCATCATCTCCATCCTCGCCACGCCAAATTTGGATAACGTCGGCAGGACTGATAGATACATCATACATCATGCGAGATAGATCAGTGACACGGAAGGGAGGTCGCTTGCCGTGGAGAGCCTTTGCGTTGTCAAGCATGTTCTCTTTCCATCGAGCGTTGCCCTCTTCGTCTTCGTCGCTCTCGTCATCGTCATCGTCACTTTCCAAATCCTGCTCATCGCCTGAAATTGAACCAAGATCGGAGTCACTGTCGGCAAAAGCGACATCATCACCCTCACCATCATTTTCAGTCTGACGTTTTTTGAAGCTGGCTTCGAAATCCGCTGGTGCAGAAACGTCGACTTCATCTTCGTCGTCGTCAAAATCACCTTCTTCGTCCTCATCATCGGAAGCCTCCTCGTCGTCTTCGTCGCCCTCGAGATCCTCGTCATCAGATGCCGCCTGAACACGCTCGGAATCGGCGAGTCGAGCGTGTCTGCGGTGCTTACGACCAGACTCTTCCTCTGCATCATCCTTGGAGATTGCCTCACCACCGCGGAATAGACGGACACCTTGATCACCCTCACCCAGCAGACGTCGCTCGCCCTGGAGACCAACAACGAGCTGCTCGCCAAGGCCGCGGTTCTCGTCTTCCGAGTCTTCGTCATCCGAGCCTCGGTTGAAAGTGTTTGTCTTGATATCAATGTAGACAGCATCCTTGTCGACCAAGACACCGCCAACATCAGACATAGGGGGCAAAAAGCAGCTTCTGCTTCTCACCCAGCTTACGTCGTGAGGATTTTCCACTTGACTTGGCAATTTGCTGGTCCATGAAGGGAGTCGGGCAGGGATCAGGCAATCCCTCAATGGCAGAGACAGTCAAATCACCAACACCAGGAACATGGACTCGAGCACCATTCGCTGGGAAGTTAGTACCTCGAAGATAACCGTAGAGTGCAACCGTACGGTCACACTTCGGGTCTTCTTCAATCTTTGTTGGAGGTGTGATATCCAAAAATCGATCTGCCAGCGCATAAGGGTGGGAGTTTCGCCAGATCAGCGGACGTGGGTTCTTCATAACCGACAGGAATCGGGAGAGATTGTGCACTTCACGATCGGGGTATCGGCCATTGATTACACCAGAAAGATAGAATAACTTGGCACCCTGGTAAAGTTCGGTCCAGAAACGATGCTTGAGTCGCTTCTTGGTCATCTTCAATGTACTTTGCTTCTTGAACAGGTCAAGATGCGTAAGAATTCCGAAGACGTTACCCGGCATACCACTTGTGGACAAGGCGTTCAGGAATTCCATGGTTTCCATCTCAAATCCGTAGTTACCATCGATCATAAGTAACACGATATCGGCGATCTTAGAAACATCAATCATGGCGGCGAGAGAATCGGAGGGACATTCGAGGAAGGTGAGACGCTTTTTCTTGGATGTCACGATGGTCAATGGACCCTGGGGCGAACTGAGTGTCTGCTTTGTATACCGACGAATGAGGGACTTGATGAGAGTAGTCTTGCCGACCTATGTATTTTGAGAACATGTTAGAGACTTGATGCGTCCTCTTGTCTTCTGAAGGATTATCACTTACACCGGGAGGTCCAACAACCGCAACGACTGTTGGGGGAGCCTCCTCCGGCATGCGATCTACCTGGGGCACATGGAGTCTCTTTTCCTTGACCTAAAAGAAAATTCAGATTAGCTTGCGACTCCAAATTTGCGATGCTTTGAAATCGTACATCACCAGATCGCGCAGCCTGTTTACCGAGCTTGCCCGGGTTGGCATAGGCAAAGGCCCTGGGATTTTGACCTATTGTTCAAAAAAATAGTCATTAGCAAATCATGCGTCGGACAATTGGGTCTCGCATGCAATCTTTAAAGATTTGCAGATGCGCTCTAGCAGCACTTACCTTCATATTTCTTCTTCTCCTTGCCAGGCCGATGAGACCTATTTGATTGCTTCTCCATGGTGCAAATTAAGAGGCCTCAAACCTCACGTCTGCTCTTTGTTTAATTCCAAAGAACAGAAGCACCAAGCACAGCGACGACAGCAGTACCTCGAAGTTGCTCGGCCAAAAATTATTTCTCGGGCGGAAATATGTGGAGCCGGCCCAGAATCTGATTAGGATTAGCGCGAAATTCAGATGTTGAGATAATTTCTCAGGCATCAAGGCACTTGTCAGACTACAAGGTCTAATGCAGTAGGCGGTCGCAATGGGACGTATCAACAGGTCTGATTCTCTCATAACACTAATTTACACGAATAAGCGTCTGCTGCGACCGTAGATCACGTGTCTAATCATGTGATCCATTCTGGTTCGGCCAATCAGAAGCCAGAATTTAATCGTGTTAAAACCGTCCCAATTGGGCCTAGTTTATCACGTTATTTTGGCTGACATGATTATCAACATCTCTTATCGCTGCCCCAGGTGACTGGCCCGGAATATGGATACATTATTGTGACCCCCTCATCGGGCTGATACATTCTCCAGGGCCTTTCCCACTTTGTATAGGGAGTGTGAAATAACAGTAACCGACATTGGAACCATGTAAAAGCTCAATTGCATGATACTGCTGCGTTGTTGACTAGGATGCCAGATTACCCTAGGTCAATTGGGGATAATATTATGTTTTCAAAACAGAATCGCCAAATCTTCTCAAGTTCGACTCATAAGTACTTTTGAACTAGAATGCGGGGCAGGATCCATTATGCCATTTCAAGTTCAAGGTGGTTAGATAGCGGGATTACCCCCGAAATGTTTACGTTTGGGCCTCGGAGATCCCTGGGACCATAAAATAGAATGTATACTACCCCGACTGCTGCATGGTTCAACTTGAAGTTCACGGATTGATGTTGAGTGGTTGGCTGCCAGTGTTCGACGCAACTTCAATTTATATACTAGTAGTGTTGGATGGATCCTTCTCACACAGCTCGGTAATACTATCAACCATCCCAAACTTTCCTACTATTAGTTTCGACGATCCAACTCTGGAGGAGATCATTACCTTTAAGTCTCATCAATACCAGGAATGGCCGTTTCCCGACCTCCCCCAGCCTATACGGCCCCTCCTGATTCAGGAATCCATGCAACCTCGCAGCTTTACCAGTCCATTTCGCAGACTGCATCCGAGCCCTCCGCCCGCATACCCCAAGAGTCATTCACAATCCGACCATGCTCTGGTCAGGCATGGGTAGTTCCCGCCGGACATATCTGCCGCCTTACAACGCCAAATGGCCCACAAGTTGGCGACCTCAACATTTGGAATGCCAACAATCCCCGGGAGCGAATGTGGGCCGCCCGAACCCGACAGATCCACGCCTCGCACGTCTCCGTAGGCGACCGTTTGTGGTCTAACCTACCATACCTGAGACCGCTAGTGACCATCACCGGGGACTCGCTGGGTGGCGGGCAGTTGCATGATGTTCTAGGGCCCGATGGGAAGCGAAGACCAGATGTCGTCTTTGGCACCACGCAATTCGGGGGACGGGTGCATGACCTGATGGGTACTCGCTGTGATCCTTACGTGAACTTGCTCATGGGTGGAGAGACCTTTGATTTCCATTGCCATTCTAATTTGACACGAGCCGTGGTTCCCTACGGATTGACGGAGCTAGATGTTCATGATGTATTGAATGTGTTTCAAGTAACCGGGCTAGATGAAGAGGGGAAGTACTTTATGGAAACCTCACCTGCAAAGCCGGGCGAGTATTTTGAATTTTTTGCCGAGGTGGAGGTTCTATGTGCGCTTTCAGCATGTCCTGGTGGTATGTATCACCACATCTTAGGCAACTCTGGCGCATATGCTAATGTGCTTTCCCCCTTTCCCAGGCGATTTGTCTAATTGGGGCTGGGATGATAAAGGAGGTATGGGGGCAACCTGTCGCCCATTGGGGGTTGAGGTGTACAAATTGGCTGATGAGAAGATACTGGATGGATGGAAGGCACCGATTAGTCCTGCATACAGAGGTATGCATGGAATGAGTATGCCTGGTCCAGCTGGACGCGTAGCGGACGGACAAGTCGGACTGTGAGTTGATCCGAGATGTCATAGCACGTGAGTATGCCCCGCGTTTACGCACGTCATCGAAGAGGCCCGGACTCATGCCGCATTGTTACATCAGCGGATGAAATTCAAATAGAAAAGCCTGGAGGTCAGGGATGAGGAAATAATCCATAGACTGTGGATGATTGTACCTTGGCTGTCAGACTTGGCTGTAAGTAGCGCTGACAGCGGCTGATTTAATTCTATATCTCTGGTTCAGGCAACTATTTTTTTTTTCTTGGTTACCTAAATGTATAGATCCAATGAACTGTAACCTCGAGTTCTGGTAAAGAAATCACGACATCTTTGTTGTTGGACAATGTGGAGTCGCTGCGGTGTAACAACTGCTTGATTGCAAGTATCAAGACAGAATTGTAGAAAGTCAAAGGAAAGTGAGGCCAGAGGCTTAAACAACGGAATAAGAATCCCCAAAAGGTCCTTGGTAACTGAATGGCGTAAGACCAAGCTAGCCTCTTATCAGCTCTGCATATAAAAACCAACTTCCCCCTCCCTCCAACTCCGCTTTCTCTTATCTCCACCAGCCTCTCTAAACTTAACCTTGTCATCTACCCCCACGTCACCTCTTCCCTTTCCCCAACAATCACACGCGATCAAAACATTTCATTCAACCAAGATGCCTCAGTACAATGTATGTTTCAATATCACCGTTTTGTCTTGGCCATGAGGCTCTGTTACTGATATTGATTTTCAACAGGTTACTCTCAAGACCGACGCCCCTCCCGAGGAGTTGGAGAAGTCAGTTTCGCCCTCTTACCTATCACCCCCGCACTGGAAAAACGCCGAATAACTGACATTTTCTTCTATTCACTTGCAACAGGGCCAAGCAGCTTGCGACCGAAAAGGGTGGTGTCATCACGCATGAGTACAGCCTCATCAAGGGCTTCATGTATGTTCTCTATCCATCGTTCAAAATCATCCCAATAGTCGAGATACTTACAAGTCTACCGTGCAGTGTGGAGTACCCTGAAGACCACGTCGATACCCTCGAATCCAGCGAGCATATCCACGTCGAGCAGGATGGCGAAGTGAAGACGCAGTAGTAGGCTCGGGTGGAGCTTAAAGCCAGAGAGTCATCTGTGGGACACCTGCGAGGGCACCAGCCCGAATGCCAATCCAACCACACATACGATGGGGCTTCCAATTCAGTTATGATTCGATACCACTTTATGCTTAGCCACCATTCGTCATGTTATGTATTCATTTTTCTTTTTTAGCGAGCTCAGTAGCTGCCACGGCGATGCCTGCAGCTAGAGACGATTTTTTACGACATTCAATATGAACTCATTTCAAATTTGAACCTTTTGTTCATCGAAGCGGTCACCTCGTAGATTCTCTTAGGCTATTATCCGATTCCAAGCTTGATAATGCGCTGTAATGACTATAGAACTGATTGATAAAGGCACTTGAGGATGTTCATTGGCAGAATTTTGCCGAAGATATCCGCTCCACATTGAAGAACTATATGAGTAATGCACATAGTGGTACTAACCTTGAAACTCAAAAGCATCATGATCTTGATCAACCCGCCGTGACCTCATAATACATGTGGCACTGCCAGTGGGTACAAGACATGCGCTAGTGATGGTTGCATGGGTACTATGCAATTTAAAACACCGTCGATGAGACTCCTGCATGCACGAACGTCATGATCTCGGAAATGATATTTGAAAGAACAGCGGAATGACCCGGAATTGTCGAAGGGTCAACTGTATGTACACGGGTAGTTTTCGTACTATGTATGCTTTACTACTATCTACTAGTACTCTTCGACTTGAAGTGGATCTGCAGAAATTTCGTGTTAAAGCACAATGGGGTGTAGATGTTTAGAGGGATCCTATCATGATTGATGAACTTGGACTCGGAGTCGGCGAGGTTCATTACATTTCTTTAAATAAGAGCCTTGAAGGCCAACTAGATGTTTGGAATTAAAAGTAAATTGGAAGCAATTTTAAGCATATGTGCTAATTTTCTTGGCTAAGATATCGGCTGTACTTTTTACAATGTTTACTATTAGTGAAAGGCTGATGGATACCCAGGTAGGTTGCGCATCGATTAGTATGCGAGTGCCCCGCATGTGTAAACTCGGTGGAGATAACAGGTTGAATGGTTACCGAGATGGAGGTTAAGAGTTCCCAATGGCCAAGCGTGATCAATTTGGATGGTCGTGTGTCCATGCGTCCAGTGAGATGTTTAGAAAACAGCGGACATTGACCGCTATAAGAATAAGACCTGTATACTTCGTCCAAGCACATTAAGCTTATCACGCCGATGCCGGCGATAGCCTTATCTAGGCGGGGCTCTTTGTCCCTCTTGTTCTGGTATTACCGTATCTCTCGCGACACACCGCTAATTTATAAAGGATCTTTTTGTACTGTGACGTATCATACCCCTCCGCGCCCTGCATTTGACAAGGTAGCAGCAGCTCCAACGTCAACAGCCACGAACACCATGACTACGCGGGGCCACATTAGATAACAGAAATCGATTCTACGCTAGATTACTGGCTCGATTGCCTACGGATCTCCCCCAAAAATGCCCATAGATTCATACATTCCGACCTGCATTGATGAGTCATGGGACCCAGCCGGAACCGCTGCCGGGTGGATTAACACTTGTGAATTCCACCGGCTGCACCAATTCGCCTTCGTTCCTTATTTAACTCTTGCTTTAATCTCCTCTGCTCTTGCGCAATTGCTATAGTCGCAAGGTAGCATCGCTTTTTTCTCGATATCATCATATAGTCAGACACTGTTTACCCTGAACATAACTCCTACCAACCGCCTCTCGCACAAACCGCACCTATCGACACCGCAAATTACCTTTTCTACCCGCACTTTGTCAATATGAGCCCGCCTTCTGCTATGGACATTGAGATTAAGGCGGTCACCGATACCAGCGCGGTGGCCGTACCTGACCCTTTGACCATCAATGGTATCCCTGCGTGGCGCGAGAAAGTGGCTAAGATGCCGACAGGTGTTGCACCGGAGTGCAGCAGTGACATGTGGAAGAGCCCGGTATGACCTCGACACCGAATGAACATACTGGAGATATATCATTTGGCAAGGAAAGTGAAGGAAGAACCAAGGGCTGATCAATTATGCGTGGTTACACAGGCTTGTTACACCAAGCCCAAGGCAAAGCGCTTTGAGCGTGAGTTTCTATACTTCACTATGAAAGCGGCTCAATGCTTGCACATAGCTATATTGAAAACAAAATATTTACTGATATCTGGTTCTAGACTTCCTGTCTCAAGAGGCCAAGTCTCGCAAGGTCCGTATCGCATTATCCGACTAGGGAATCCTGAGAGTCGGCACTAAATTGTTTTCTAGGCCTCGACCTTGAAAAGTGCTGCTGGATACTTGAAGAACCCAGGTAGGAACAAAAACTTGAAATTAATTTTAAGGCTGAATGTTAATTTATGCCTGCAAAGGTATTATCTCTCTTGGTGGCGGTCTGCCCTCTGCCGAATATTTCCCAATTGAGCACTTGGAGATGAAGGTCCCTACAGCACCGGGCTTCACTCCTGAAGAGACTCAAACGTCCGGAAGCATTTTACATGCTGGAAAGCACGACATTAAAGAGGGCAAGAGTCTGTACGGTATGTGGGAAATCAAATCCTGAACTCAATTTCAATACACATGAACTTATTACTGACGATCTTCTGCGCAGACCTGGAAATTTCTCTGAACTATGGTCAAGCTACTGGATCCCCCCCAACTTCTCCGCTTCATCACTGAGCACACCGAGGTATGTGGACCTATCTCCATTCCTTTTGCTCATCAGTTCTGACTCCGTCCAGCTTATTCACAACCCTCCCTACTCTGATTGGCAATGCACCTTGACTTGTGGTAGCACCTACGCTTGGGATACCGCATTGCGTCTGTTTACCGAGCGGGGTGACTATATTATGATGGAAGAGTACACATTTGCTAGTGCTGCTGAGACTGCTTTCCCTCTGGGCCTGAAGGCTCTTGCCATCCCAATTGATGCCGAGGGTATTGTTCCTGAGGGCATGGATGAGCTTCTCAGCAACTGGGATGTCCAGGCCCGTGGTGCTCGCAAGCCTCACGTTCTCTACACTATCCCTACAGGCCAGAACCCCACCGGAGCTACCCAGTCCGCTGAGCGCCGCCGGGAGGTGTACAAGGTTGCCCAGAAGCACGATGTCTACATTGTTGAAGATGAGCCATACTACTTCCTGCAGATGCAGCCCTACGCTGGCGAGGGAGCTGCTGTTCCTCCTCCTCCTGCCACCCACGATGATTTCATCAAGTCTCTTGTTCCCTCTTACCTGAGCTTGGACGTTGATGGTCGTGTGTGTCGCTTGGAGTCCTTCTCCAAGGTTGTGTCCCCCGGTTCTCGTGTTGGTTGGATTGTTGCGTCCGAGCAGATCATTGAGCGCTTCGTGCGCAACTTCGAGGTCTCCTCGCAGCACCCTAGCGGTATCTCCCAGATTGCTCTTTACAAGTTGTTGGATGAGCACTGGGGTCACACTGGATACCTCGACTGGCTTATCTCCATCCGCATGTCCTACACTAACCGTCGTGACGCGCTTCTTCACGCTTGCGAGAAGCATCTTCCCCGTGATATTGCTCACTGGGTTGCCCCTGCAGCGGGCATGTTCGTAAGTTCACACCAGAAAACTCTACTCTGATAGATTAATTACTGACGTTTAAACAGCACTGGATTGAGGTTGATTGGCGCAAGCACCCCGGTGTTGCCGCCGGCAAGACCCTTGAACAAATCGAGGAGGAGATTTTCCAGTCTGCAATTGAGCAGAATGTTCTCCTGTCCCGCGGAAGTTGGTTCAAGGCCGACAAGTCGGCTACCATGGAGAAGATGTTCTTCCGCGCCACATATGCGTCTGCTTCATTTGATCGTATCGATGATGCGATTGCCCGTTTCGCTGCTTCTCTGCGTGAGCAGTTTCGTCTGTGAGATTGGAACCGTACAAAGTTCTAATGTCGTAAGTTCGCCTTGAGCTGTGATTACATTAATCTGGGTGAAGTTTCCAGAAGTGTACATACTTGCGGGAAACCCAAATATCGGAGCCACTCGCAGCATCTTGTGAAATTGTCGGCGCTGGGTCAATTTGTGTTTCACGTTCCCACACATTTGCATCGATGTCCTTGGAGATGAACAACCTTACTTTTAATTGCGAGGCATACTTTTTATACTCTCATAGATCGTCAAAATTGATATTTACTAGACTCCAAATCAAATAATCAATCATATGTAACAGGATGTAGTGAAATTAGAAACCACCGACACCTCTGACTCGCTTCACTGCACCAACAACACCCTTCGCCCAACTGAAGTGTCCGGGATCAGTGCCAATTGATCCATCAGGGATCGCTCCAGTAGTAGGATCATGCCAGCATCCATCCTCGGAGCTTGCAGCACCATACTTGGCAGTGTTCTGGTTGCGATCAATGGCTTCAAGCCACGCCTTGCACACAAGAGGCGAGTCAAGCATCATGTTGATTTCCTGACTGTGGAAGAAGGACTGAGTATCCAAGTTTCCATTCCCTGCAAAGCAAAATTATGTTAGCTTGATATCACACAGAAAATGACGGATATTCTGAAGACTTCGTACCTTGGATAGCAACATGCTCATCAATAATCATCAACTTGATATGACAACTGCGCTTCTTGAACGAGTTATGAATGGGCTGAATCTGATCCTTGCCAACATAGTAATGGACCTGTAGTCGAGCCTTTTCCTCGGGAGCTTCGAGAGCATTATATAGTCTATTCGCGATCATCTCGTTGGTTCCGTTCTGGAATGGCAGAAGTTCTCCTGCGTCGTTATATCCGAGACATAGGTAAGGTTTCACAATTACACCACGTCGGATAGCACCAAGAAGGGGCTTAATGAGAGGTTCGGCATTCATGTTGGGGGTTTGAATGAAAATCGAGTGCTTGGCGTGGTTAATCGCAGAGACGAAAGCCGCATCCTGAGGGTTATGGGTGCTGCTATGGTTTGGGGCTTGGTGATATCTTTAGAATTTTGTTTGGGGATATTGGACAAGATTTTGGTAGCTTACATCCATAGGGCTCTCGGTTGACCATTGCCATGGGGAATAGTTCATGTTGTGGTAACAGACTGTACGGTGTCATTTTCAGATCCTGGTCAGAATCGGGGGCGTTGCCGGCAGTGTCCGGTTGAATTGTTGTGTCTGTCGATCGGTTAGTCTGGAGTCATTATGTTCTTGAATTATATTACGTACTCAGAAGACGGCTGACTGCCTGAGTTGGCGTTTCATCTCCACGAGGGATAATGCTGTTGTTGACTCTCTTTGCTTCGCTCTCAAAGTCGATATCCCAATGAGGAGAAGCTGCTGTGTTCTGTGGCAGATCTTCAGGCAAAGTCTCTGATGCAGATCCCAGCTTCTGCTCCCCATGGTGGCAAGGAATAGGAGCACTCTCAGCTGGGGAATTCAGAAGAGGCAATGGAGGGTCAAGCGGCTTGCCCCAAGAGATTAAGGCCGAATCGTAGAAAGAATCAACAATAGGTCCCTCAATATGAGCCAACATTTCTAGATTGTCGTTATCTTGAATATTACTACTTTGCAGGAGTGCGATACGGCGGTCGATGACAGTGAACTTCGAATGGAATGTTCCAAAGACCGGGCGATGGTAATTAATGACTTTCAAGTCAACATTTGGGATTTCATGCGGTGCGGGAAGTCGGACTTTGTCACTAGTTCGCTGTTCACCATCAACTTCGAGTCGATTATCTAAGACCTGGTTGATTTGTTAGCATTGATATTGAGTCGAGTTTGGATTCTCTTTGACTCGCCTGCTTTGGATCTCCTCGATCATACACCATCTTCATAACCACTTTCTGGCCACGCTCTCCAGCCCTCTTGGATAACTCCCGAATGGCATTGGTAACCAATGTCGCGGCCTCGGAATGAATCCAAAAATTTGTACCCAAAAATACTTCATGTTCAGCACGGGCAATACAGTTGGCAAGATGACGGCAAAGATCAGGCAACGGGGCAATAATTGTGAGGGGCACAACGCCTCGGCTACCAATAAGCGGGGGCGAGACAACACCTGTGCTGGGTTCCTTATCCAGAGATCCTAACACATCATGGTAAATCTAGAATTTCAAATTGATCAGCATTGAAGCTTTTTTGTCTTATGTTGGAATCCTAGAGCTACTCACTTGAAGGAACAGTTCACTGGGTTCTGTCGATCCCCAATTTCCGGCAGCAAGCGCTTTCTCGACAGCATTTTTCTTTTCAAACTCCTCAATTTCTTCTGCTGACAGACCGTGTGCACCATGCTGGTGATGCGGGTGTGGGAATTCATGATGCTCATATAATTTCTTAAAGATTGTTGCTGCAGTTTGCGACGGATCTCGAGAAAGCTCCGAAGTTACTGTCTGCGAGTGTTTCCACAGACCATATACCTTGGTAGTAACCATAATGAGAGTGATAGTATGTTAAGGATGAAATTTCTTACAATCGAAAAAGATCTTAGGGACTCGCACTTGCGGGGCCGTCTATTTTTATTGCAAAGGCTAGAATCGCAGGATCCGGATCAGAGGTGACGTAGCTAAATTTAGGGGGGTTCGCTTAGGGTCACTCGCAGACTTAGAATCTGACAAGCGCAAGTTCATCACGTTATCCATGGATATTTCGATATTTTATTGGTGGACACAAGGATATTAGTTCAAGTTGTTTAACATTTAAATTAATATCGATGCCTGGTACGTGACGTAGGTTGTTTGGTGTTTTGCATGCAGCTCTCGGCGTGGTCCGTACAGGGCTGAATGACGTACAAGCAGCCCCGCAAAGCTTAGCGATGCTTGTTTATCTTCGCTTTGTTCTTGGGGATCGACGTGTCTGTGATATAATCATTAAATGCTACTTTGCGAGTAGTTTGAATTATTTCTACTCAAAAGCAACACAAAATAGGACCGATGGAAATTCCCATGTATCGCTGTTGGTTGCAGATCAAATGCCAGGGAAGTAGGAAATACGGCAAGGTCGTCATCAGTACCTTTCCAAACTAAGACCCTGTATGACAGATTCTCATTTTGGTAATCACACGTGGCTCAATAACAGGGATATGAGCTCAAGAGGCATGGAACTGTGATCAAAAAGAGAGACTGGAAATGATTTAATATGCCAATTTAATTTCCTATGGTTACAGGAGAAATCAAGACGGCCCTTGAAAACAATTGATTCTTTGGTCTCGATAGCAGGCGACAGTTCCCCTGCAGGGCTGTGCCTGTGTAATTATTGCCAAATAGACTTACCTGTCCATTTAAACCGACCCGAGAACTGTGAACCTTGCCCAATCTAGAATGTTCAGCAGCCCCGTCTTCGCGGTTATACCTAGTGTCTATGATCTCCAATTTGACGAGATCACTGTCGAGATGGTACGAAGTGAGAGCGTATGTACAGCCACATTTGGATGGCTTGTGCCCTTGTTATGAGGTTAGAACTTCGCTGTTGTCGCTGTAAAGTCGTATTTCCACCGTTCTCTGGAGGTTTCTCATTTCTGTAACCAGCTTTTTAAGGAACACAAGCTTCCTTCTCAGCCCCATATAGGCCCCATATTCGGCCCCTGTGTTGGAGGCAGTCACACTCCATGGTATAGTTCAAGGTCCTTTGAAGATCAAAATGTAGGCGTGCGTGATATAAGAATATCCACCCATCAGTGAATTTCATGCCCTTGTTGTTGGCATTGAGGGGTCCACCTAAGCAACTAGGCGTAACATGTTGGCGTTTTCTATCAAGTTTAGCCCCATCATGACTGTCTCCACAAGATGTCCGAGGATTTGCTTTGCCAGATCGACAATGTTCGAGCATGCGTGTGCTGCTCATTACCTACTGGAAGTAGAAGAATCGGTATGTGTGTTGGAACTTGAAGAGCTATTATAATCAGTCTGAAGCCGGGAAACAATCCGACAAGAAGTGTGGAACCATCTGTAGGGCAAGTTATGAGAGCGTGGCAGCCTATAGCATAAATGATGACGAGGGCACAGCTGCGAATTCCTGGTTGATTTCCTCTCATCGGTCGTCTTGCTCTGCCGGGGAAAGTGGCCCAGGCTGGCTTTTAATTCTCTGCAGCGCCTGGCGTTTTGAACAGGGGGTGAGCGTGCAAGTAATAGAGATCATGACTAGAATAGCCGTGCTGTAAATGATGGGACTCAGAGGCCCGAGAGGAGTGTTATATCTCTTGGTCAGATAAGAGGCAGTAGTCAAGCGGTGGGCCCAGTCGAATAGGCCTCAGACTCACGGCACCAGCTTATCAGTGAAATTGAAACAACTTGGATCACAATCACCCGAAACCCAACGGGCATTTTGGACATCATTGGGCCATTATATTTATCCTTCTAACACCTTTCCAGAAGATCACCACGAAAGAATGAGCGAGACCTACTTATTTCGCAGGCGGATTTGGCAATCCTTGGAAATACTGTTTTTGATACAATAGGATAAAAGAGTGTGCTGTCACTAGTTTTCATTTTTGCTGCCAAGGTGGTATAATGATAAATGGCTTTTTGATTAAACTACGAAATTGTATTGCATTCAATCTCTCAACATTGAAAGCATTACCAAAGGCGATCTGGCCAATGAACGAAAATTCCCCATTTTCAGGCCTGAGGCAAGAATATATTGATGCCTTAGGCTCTCAGATCACGTGTATTCATTGGCGGGTCTGTTCACTTATTGTGAGAATGACTACATGTATTTAGTGATACGCGTTAAGCCTCATTCACTTGCTTTCAATCTAGCTCACGCATCCTAAATCCTCTCTTCTAGATTAGCAAGGCTAGATTCTATTCTTTTGTCGCAAGCTGGTAATTGTGAGAAAAAGGTGGACACGCGGCATAAAAACCCCATGTTGATCCACCCCAAAGGCGAGTGAGATACATACAAACTACAGTCTGCCCTGGTGGTTAGTTTCGACGACTCAGCGCGACGACTCGGCACAACGACTAATCGACGACGACTCATCCATGGACTCACCATCCATCGACGACTAATCGACGACATCATCATAACAAAAAATCCGGTATGTTCTACAGGCTCTCACCATGCCCAATTACTTTCCCCTGTCTGTCTTCTTCCCCTCATCCTCCATTTTCATCACCATCCCCTCCCAAATCCTTCATTTTCATCAGCCGAGTCACTCGGAAACCATACAGGCACCCGAAACAATGACTGACCACGATTGTAAGGAGCAGCCACTAGAAAGTGACCTCAAGCTTTCTCCAAGTGAAAGCAATTTTGTGCTTCGCCTGTTGGATGTGGCTCAGCAGTCTCGTGTCTCACTGATCTCGGAGCCTGAGCCTGAGCCTGAGGCGAGACCAAACGACAAGACATCTCCCATCTCGAGTTCATCCATCCCACAATCATCCAACGCCGGGGCCCATCCAATTTCACCGAAGTAAGCTTCAATGAAAATAGTCTCATCCTGCGTCTCTTTTGATACTGACATTATTCCAGGAAACGCTTCCAGCTCCCGCAAATCAAGAGCGGAGATTGCGGCCCATTGGGTGAAATAAATGAATACCAGGAACTCCGATCCAGCACTGACGAAGACACATTCATTGCTGAGTCGGCTAAATTGATCTCGGAACTGTACCAGATACTCGGGCAACTTTTGCCTCCTCCGAGTCCAAGTTGTCACCCTGCCTGGCTCAATAAAAAGTCTCCAGGGACTCCACCTACTCCATCGATCTATCGCAGTATCTCCTCGGAGACATCCAGCAGCTTCTGTGATCCTCCTATTGCTGATTATCCAGATTATTCTCCCACATCTGAGAGAACAATTACAGCTCGTCCCAGCTCCGCACGTTCATATCAAGAACTAATCGGTCGTTACCCATCAGACTGGAGTTACGATTGTACCCGTCTAAATTTACGAGACTATCCTGAGAACTGGCCTTTGCGGGAAGCCACCGGCAGAACTTTCCCAAGAAGTCACACTGACATTCAGATCAGTCACACTGACAAGTGCACACCCTCGTCTTCCGACTGCATTCCCCTTTCGAAGTCCTGTCCAACGTCTCCATTTACTGAGTCTCGTCCTCGGCGTCGTCAAACATTGACCAAGGTCAAGGATCGCCTGTCTAAAATCTTTGGCGATCGGGCGGCGAACCTCTAATTTTGCTCAGTTTAAATCCATTTTTCGCTGTGTTTGATCCCACATCCTCCTCATTTCCCCCATCCTTCTCATCTTCACCACAAACATACATCATCCAAAGTCGACCACAGCCACAAAATGGATATCCGGGGGTCTCGGTTCCTAGACCCATCGTCTGCGATGGCAGCGATTACAAGACACAAGGCTGAAGCGATTAAGCTAGCACGAGAACAAGGAAACGCCGTGAAAGAAATGTGCCGTCGGGCAAAGACTGAAGTTCCGCCTTATGAATTCGAAGAGTTGATTGGAAAAGGAGCATACGGTCGAGTTTACAAAGGCAGAGAGATGCCATCTGGCCGCCTCGTGGCGATCAAGGTGCTGGATATTGACTCGCTGGACTACAAGTCCCTGCGAGATTTCAGAGATGAGTCCATCAAGGACTTTATTCACGAGACAAAGGTTATGAAGCAAGTCAAAGATTCTGGGGCAAAGAATATCAACGAACTTATCGAGGCAATATCTATTCACTCGCAGCTGTGGCTCGTTTGTGAATATTGCCCAGGTGGCAGCGTTCGAACATTGGTAGGTCTGACCTTCTGTTCCTGAAAGTACCGAGTTCTAATCCAGTCTCCTTAGATGCGTGCCACTAGTGACAAACTAGAAGAAAGATTCATCATCCCAATCGCTCGAGAATTGGCGGTTGGCTTACGTGCGATCCATGAAGCTGGGATTATCCATCGGGATATCAAAGGTATGACGCAAAGATTTATAAAAAGGGCAGCTCACTAACAACCTTCCAGCTGCAAACATTTTGATCCATGAAGAAGGGCGTTTAGAGATCTGTGACTTTGGCGTAGCCGGAATCTTGCAGTCGCAGCGAGATAAACGATCGACTTGGATAGGTACGCCTCATTGGATGCCACCCGAAATGTTCTCAACTCGAGGCCAGGCCCATCAATATGGCAGTGAGGTATGTCTTTGTTTTCTATATCTGCTCTTTAACCTCTACTGATGTGTCTAGATTGATGTGTGGGCATTTGGCTGTACCTTGTTCGAGTTCGCGACCGGCAATCCTCCTAATTCAGGTCTTCGTGAGCGAATGCAGATAGGGCGCCAACTAACTCGCAACACCCCCAAGCTTGACAGCAATGATTACAGCCAAGGTCTGAAGGACCTGATCGCCTACGCTCTTGACTCTAACCCGGCCACCCGCCCTTCAATGGCAGACATCATAGCTCATCCATACATTGCCGAAACCGATGAAGAGTATCCCACATCGTCTGTGGGCGAGCTTGTCCGAAACTATTACCAGTGGTCTCAACGGGGAGGCCAGCGTATTTCATTGTTCCACCCAGGCGGTGCCGCAGCCGCAGAACTTCCAGGTGCTGAAGAGTCTGATGATGACTGGAATTTCAGCACAACTGATGGCTTCGAGCGAAGATTTTCTGTCATTGATTTAGATCAGATCGCTGCTTCTTTGGCGGAGATCCAGGAAGCCATTAGCCCAACCACCCCCTCGCAAGATCATGACTTGAATGAAGACACCGATACCGAACTGGATCCAGAGCAAAAAGCCAATTTCGATGAGCGCGTGCGTCGGGGCGCAGCGGCAATGGAAGGGCTTTTTGATGAAGAAAAACCAATGTACAAGTACGAAACTAAAAATGATTTCGTGCCAATTCAGCCTCCACAGCCAGCTTCTGATCTACCACTACGAACAGAAACAGATCGATCGTCTGTGACCTCAACATTCATTGACATTGATATTGGATCCTTCGATTCATCGCACTACGCAGCGGGTGCACCATCGGCACAACCTTTCCAGTTAGCCGACGCAGATACCATTCGTGCAAATCGGTCAAGTCTTCGGGTGCATCGAAATTCCAACGACAATAGCTCTCAGTCATCTACAAGTGGTGGCGAGGACGAAGAATTACAGACTGAGGATTTCCAGCCGCAGTCAGGTCCCCGCCCACCAACGATGGACTGGAAGTTTCCGTCTTTCATGCAAACAGAGGAGGAAAATCAAGAGACTCCCGCCGCAGCACCAACAACAACCGATCAAGCAGTTGATGAACCCATACAAGAAGAATCATTCCAAGCCGAAAAGCGCGCAACGATGGAGTGGACATTTCCGGTCATGTCAAATGCGTCAACTCCACCAAATGGGGAAACTGAGGATCACCCACGCCGAGACGATACTCTGAGAGCACCACTTCTCCCTCTTCACCCACACCCCACAGAGGAACCTCCTGACTCTCGTCCTTCCACCTCCGCTTCTACTCTTTCCAACGCATCGGACTCAGATTACGATCCTTTCCGACTTGACCGCCCACACACCCCTTCAGACACACCCATTACTACGTCCATCCGAAGTCTTTCTATTGATTCCACATCTTTCAACATGGCTTCGCACCAGCTCGATTTGCCTCTCGAGATCCCCGAGGACAACGAGCTCCACCTTGATGGTCCTGGACCTGACGAAGAGGAACCCGATTCAATGTGGAAGTCTCCCTTGTGGAAGGACAACACCGAAATCATTGATCCTCATGAGCTTCCCCACGGCTTCGTTGCTCGCAAGCAGGTCAGTTCTGTTGTTGCTCATTACTCTCAGCCCGAATCTCCTGTCTACGAAGATCTTCCCACTGCTCGACTGGACACCTCCGCCGAAGCCAGTAGCATGAACACCACTGCTGAGAAGTCGACTGAATTCCCTATCCCTAAGCCACCCAGTGCGAAGAGCATGATGGAAGGTGCCGATGATGCCGTCATTGAGGCAGAGCTTGATCGACTGCTCGATGATTTCCAGAATGCGTTGACCAAAGTTGGTGACGGCATTCGTGAACTTTCCGCTGCCAACTCTTCCCAGGACTCTCCTGATGTTTGAGTCTGCAAACACTTTTAGCGACTTCCTGATGGTGTATCTGTTTACCAGATGACAAATGCTTTGCTTTAAACTGATGATGATTTTTATCTTTTTCTTATGCTGCATGTACTATTATTGAGCGATCACCATGTGCGCCCTCACAATTCTTTTTATGAGTTAGCAGCAGAATCATCCAGTTATTATTATCCATCCTTTCTCTTTATTTTGATTCGTAAAATAATGATCAAGAATATTAGCTAGACGCGTTCAAATCTGGGAGCTTCTCATAGTACATAGGTAGTGGGCATTCAAGTTAGTCCTATAAACAGTCTGACAACAAACGTCCAGTTCACGTCACATCAACGCGTCTGTCTTCCATGCTTCTCTTTGTTTTTCAACCCCCATCGTCACGGCAATATCATTACGGCAATCAGACTGCTAAACAATTAAGATCGATTCACATCTTCTGCGCACTTCTCTCTTAGGCACATCAACATATCAGCCTTCATCGCCACGGCGATGGGCCTACTGGGTCTAGGCATCCAAGATCCGATTTTACCTTTTGACCCAAATATTCCACCTGTATTTTAGTTTCTGTCACCATGCTGGGCGGTTTCTCAAGCAAGAACGGTCCTCCATCATTTGCTTTCCCCTCTTCACGACCAGCTCCACTAACAACCAAAGATTGGAAAGACACATTAATGGAGGTCAAACGCCTGTATCTGCAGCGACAGTACAAGCAATGTGCTGCTCGCTGTGTGGAACTTCTGAATAAGGCAAAGCCTACGGTCTGCTAGCACCTGATTCCTGTCTGCTCCCTCCTTGTGCTAACATCCTAGTATGATACCAGGTCCATCCTATCTGCAAGTCTTTCCTGTCCTTCTATGCCGCAATCTGCTACGAATTCTTGGGTCAAGCTGCCCATCCGTACTCTGTCCACAAGCTCACCCTCCTAAACTCGGCTCTCGAACACTTCATCCAGTGCGGTGATGCTCTTCCTGCACCTATTACCCTTCCCCGACTGTCCAAGACCGATGACGATCCATCTTGTCCATCAAGCCCAACTTCCCCAGCTACTCCAATCACAGTGGACGAATGTCTGGCTTTGTTCCAGTTGCCAAACCAGATGTCTCCACAGCGAGACTCAGTGATAGCTGGAATTTCTCGTCTAATCGATGCCTCTCTTCAACAAATAGATGATCCTTTCTTGGACAGTGATGAGGATGATATTGAGGAACTACTCAAGCTGGCAATGATGACGACCAGCACCAGTGAGGGTCAAATCACCACTACTACAAATTCTCCAACCTTGCCAATCACCACCAAACTCACTCGAGACTCCGTGAAGAGAAGAAGTCTCCTGCCCTCACCCCTAAGCATTAACAAGACAATTGATGACAACGCCTCTGACACCACTGTTGTTCCTTCCAAGCCGGCTTCGGGGAATGGGAACCAAACTCTGTCTAGTTCTAGAGTCCACCCTCCCAGACTTCCTCTGAAAATCATACCTACTGCGAATCTCAATGCTGGGGATGAGAGATCCAGCCCGTCATCCTCATCCTTCTCCTGCTTTTCGAGCCCGATTTCGACTATTCAGCCCCTTTCTATCAATCGTCCTCGTTTCGAAACCCCGCCTACCTCTCCCCTTTCCGATGGTCTCGGCAAGGGCACACCTAGCATCGCACTTGAGAACTTGACACCCGTTCACGCAGCCCGAATCGTACGCTCTAACCGGGGAATCGCATTCCTGCGTGAGCAAATCACAACAAGCATCCAGGAGATCCAAACCCATATTCGTCGAGTGCAGGAACTTCAAGCAATTCGCCGAGCTCGCAAGATGCAGCGCGCGGCATCTTTTTGGAGCTTCGATCCTGTTACCGATTCAGAGAATTCCGAGATGGGTTTAGGTCCTGAGTCTACGATCGATGAGTTTGGGAATCTGATTTTAAAGGAGACTAAAGAACAACGCCTTGTACGTCTGCGATCTGAGAAATGGGAGACAGTTGGGCTTCGCTCGCCACGTAGCACATGGAAGGGTGCACGCTATTACCAGGATTTCTGTGCTATGGTTATGAATGAGATCAATATGGATTCGTGAGAGTGATACGGGTACAAAATTCAGTGATTGAAGATCGCTTTGGATAAAGACTTGGGGGTGTGCTGTTGATGGTCTTGAAGGAGTCTACCGGGACGGCTTCTTATCTTACGATGTGGATTTGGACCAAGATGCTCTGAATGGTTCAGGTTCCTGGTCCTATAGGATGGATCGGGTGTATTATACGGTGTATGTAATGGTGATCAGAGCCTCTACAAGGAGTCACGGTTGTGAAATGTGCGAATGCCATAGTTCAAACATTTGGAGTGAGGTAGAAATGTGACTATTAAAACAACTCAAGACATGTCCTATCCCCGCGATTATGGTGCATCATGATCGACTTAGTTTATAATCCCTTGCTCAACACTGATCCTAGACCCTCTCCAAGACCACCCTTTCCAAGGATGCCTCCAAGTTGATTCCCCAGTTGATCTTGGATCTTGCTCAAATTTTCGTCCTCGGTAAGCTTTTTGGCAGTCAGTCTGTCTGGAGACGTGTATTAGCACATGTGCATTAAGTCCTTCGAAATTCCCTTCAATCATGTTTATTACTCTTCAGTCCATAAGAGACTTTCGTTTCACCCATGGTATCAAGAATGATTTCTTGTAATTTCTTTTGGTATGGATCCAAGGAACCAGAAACCCAAGCGCCGAGAAGGATAGTCTGCGAGAGGGAGATAGAGGATGAAATAGAACATTGTAGGTCAACTGATGAGCTGAAATATTCAAATGCTTCCAAGGTTGAAGGAATGATTATTTTGGTTCAAGTTCCTCATGCAAATGAATTATGCAATGCAATGCAATCTTGCCCATCGGGGTTTTATATGCAAGTTCTGCAGATCTGCAACTTGAAGCCTATGACGTCCTGGGCGTGGGATATGACGATGTCGTGCGACATTATAGATTGAGTGGAGTCATGAGCCACATCTTCTTCCAATGAGCGGGTATTGTATATATTAAATGTAAGAATACTTTCCAGTATCATGATCTTTACCTAGCTTATAATGTTGTTCCTTTTTTCAACTTCTTACAGAAGTACTATATGCACAGATATGCCCGCAGGCATTACTATTGTTCTAAATACTGTCCCAAACAGAATACTTCACTCCCGTAAGAAATCTGGATCATCAAACACATAGCAACTAGACGAGGAAATACAGTATAAACAGACTCGGAGGAAATACATGCGGGAAAAGACAGGATGGATAAAAATTCATGCATCTTTACTAAGATGCGCAGTTTCCCATTTGAGCAATGTATTGGCACACGACACAGTAGAAGGATGAGCGGGGCCTAAAACTCGTTGCTGCTTAACTACACAGGTGCGAATCAAATCAATTGCTTCGGCATGCTTGCCTGCAGATTCCCACGTGAAAGCTAAGTTGGCCATACTTAGCAGCGTGTCAGGATGGTCCGCGCCAAGTTTCTTCTTGCTCATCTCCATAACTTGCAGCCCGAGATGCTCTGCCTCTGTATATCGGCCCTGTTTCCATAAGGCCAACGCTAGGTTTGCCATGCTTGCCAGCGTGTCAGGATGGTCCGCGCCGAGTTTCGTTTTATGATTCTCTATGACCTGTAGCCCGAGCTGCTCCGCTTCTTCCCATCGGCCCTGGTGCCATACTATCAACGCTAGGTTGGCCATACTTGTCAGTGTGTCGGGACGGTCCACGCCGAGTTTCGTCTTGCGATTTTCCATGACCTGTAACTGGAGCTGTTCTGCTTCTTTCCATCGGCCCTCGCTCATTAACGTCAATGATAGGCTGGCTATACTTGCCTGCGTGTCGGTATGGTTCGCGCCGAGTTTCGTCTTGCGATTCTCTATGATCTGTAACTGGAGCTGCTCCGCTTCTTTCCAACGGCCCTGTCTCCATAGCGTTGAGGCTAGGTGGCTCATGCTATTTAGCGTGAAGGTATGATCCGCGCCGAGTTTCGTCTTGCGAGTCTCGGTTATCTGTAACTGGAGCTGCTCCGCCTCTTCCCACCGGCCCTCTAGTTGGTATACTTCTGCTAATATCGTAGTGCTTTGAAGGGTCTCCTGATCTTCAACACCACGAATCTTTATTCTCTGCTCCCTCGACATAGCCGCCATGTCCTCCGCCACTGAATTACTGCCACATTCTTTCGCATACCACGCCCCTTTGTAGAGTAGCGTAGCCCAGATCCGGAGTGAATCTTGTGATTTCGGTCGATGTACAACGGCTGACCTGACATGTGGGAACAAGGACCGGCATTTCTCCCAATTGTCATATTGACCAGTCGGAAATTCACGATAAAGGACATTAATGAAGCAATCCTTCCACTCCTCCGCCTGGCCATGGGTTTTCAACCATATACGTACTGTTAACTGTACCAGCCGATGCATTGTGAGCACCGTCCTATCTTTACTTGAAGTAATAAACGAATAGTCTTTGAGGATCGTAATATCGCTCTCAAAATCGTTATCTACGTCGGCTTCAGATGAGGAATCCGTATCCTCATCACTCGATCTGTTCCCAGCGTGTTGTGGAACCTCTGAAGACTCATGGTTTCTGTACATGTCTTGCATCTGTAGAAGATCCTCCGGGATCCCTTGCCAGTCAAAAAAGCTCATGAGAGACAGCAAATCAGCGGCAGATTGTCTGATTCCTCGAATATGGTCGAACGAAATTTGCCAAGTGCGTAGAATAGAGTTTTTAGCCTCCCAATCTCGATGCATATGTTTTCCCTCGTGATCAAGAAGTTTCGTTGCTTGCCGATCACTCTGCCGAAGCTTTTCTAGGTATTCTAATGCTGAGCATCGGGGTGAACGGTGGTTGATATAGCTAGCTGCTTGGGCAATTGCGAGTGGCATGAACTCAAGTTCATGGACCAGTTGTACCAATTCCTCTCTCTCGGCAGATTCGTCTAGCTTCTTCTGTAAAAGAAGTAGCGCCTCGGCTGAATTCATTGGTAACACATCAATCAGGTTCTTCTTGTGGCCAGCGATCTCCAATGCTACTGCTTTATTCCGGCTCGTGACAATGATAGAGCCATTCGAGCTTTGAAGGAGGTACCTCAGCGGGGGTTGCGTTGGAGTATGTCTCTGGGTATCCGCTTGGGCCTCCATCCGAGAAGTTAAAGGTTTCTGAAGAAGCTCATCATCATCGACATTATCAAGGACAAGAATCCATTTTCCGATCTTCCCATCTTGCAACCAATTGCCGAATACTTGGAAAATATTCGAGTTGCGATCCTGGCGCCCGGGAATCTTAGCACGGTCGGCAAGGTTGCGAAGACTTTCCTCACACCGCGCGGTGTTACTCGCGTGGACCCAGAAAACCCAGGTGTCGGGCGATTGCTGCCGTACTCGATGGCAATGTTCGATGGCGAGTCGAGATTTTCTTTGGCTAAGTTAGTCTTGATAAGACTGTCAAGGGCTAGCTTGGCCTTACCCAACCCCTCCTAGGCCAACAAGAACTATTCTAGACGGTATCGATGATTTTTCGTGGATTTGATCGAGGAGCTCATCGCGACTGACAAAATCTGGGTCATGCGGGAACGGGACGGTTGATAGTGGCTCTGGGCGGGGTTCCGGTTGCTCTGGGACCACAATTAGTCCAAGTCCTTCATTCTGAGTTTGATTGTTTAGGTGATTGGAAACTCACCGCTGGCAGATGCATAGTATATAGGCCCGTTATTGGTACCCACCTGTAACCCCTGGTTTCGGTCGCCAAACGAGATAGTGGTCATGATATAGACAATGTTTATGTTTTGCACTTTGTGGGTACGAAGTAAAAGAAAGGTGTCAGACGGTACAAGACCCCATTATTTACTAGGGCCTATATCAGCATGCAGGGCTTACTCTCAGGTGACTTCGTCGCGCTAACTAAACAACTTGAACCTTGGAAACTGTCTACGCGCCTGTTAGGGAGTACTCAGCCACTGGCAATTAATACCAGGACATTCAGCCAGTGGTATATGGACATTTCCCGTGACTTCTCGAGTTTCGAAGTGGAGACTTGGGCATCAATTTGTATTCCGAGTCTCTATGATTGACAAGAATCAGAGATGTTGCAAAATTGAATACTGCCCAATTATTACAGAATGATATGCACCTGGGCAAATATGTGTTGCGCTCTGCTTGCATAGTCACATGTCATCACAGTCAACTGGTTCAACTGCATACGGAGTACATGATGTTTACTCCACTTGAACACGAGGATCATCATGCCAGTGGCTTAAGCCGTTTAACTGGGGCACTGAGATAAGCCTTGAAACCAATTGACTAACTAGTATTCAAGGTCTGTACTGATCTGCAACGCATCTGCAATCCGGAAATATCTCACATAGCCCGATGTACGAGTGTTCGTGGGTCAATAAGATGCTTGTCATAAAAAAGCCCGATGTACCGATGGGGGCTGAAGGAATGAATCGAATGATTGGTTCGCAGTTGGATTTTTAGCACTTGGAGGGGTCAAGACTCAAGGCTGTACTTCGTAGGGCTGTTTTTTAACTTGAATTTCATAATGTTCTATTTTAGTGTTCTTAGAGATTATGATGAATATCAATATGATATCTCACAATTCCTAATAAAATTAATAGTCGATCTCCCCTAATTTATTTTCACTCCCACTCCTATATATGTACTGTTGGCCCCCAAATGTGTTTTCAACTGTGGCGGTGCACTGTTAACTCCCACGCCAAGGCTCCACTCGTAGAGTCCACTAAACCCTACAGACCCCCCCGTTATCGCGCGCATCTAGATCTCTTTCTCTCTCATATACTCGAGTTTTTCCCTGTCTCATTTGCTTCCTCAATTCTTTTTTCTCAAGCTTGTGCTTTTTTATTCTGGTAAGTATCAATTTCCCCTTTTAGCGTATCACGGTAGCCTGATATCTTCTGGTCGCGATCTGCAACCTCCGCCCCCCGCTTCATTCCTGGAAAAGCTGCGACCTGTCTTTTTTTTATTTCCCATTTCTCTCTGGCTCACATTTGGAATTTCTTCTACAGCTCCCTCGAGAAAATTCTGCTGCGCAACCGGAGCAACCTCAAAATCTCATTGCCTTCTACTCTCGCCCCGCCATTCCCTCCGTTGCGGGGTTCATAAACCCGCTTTTGCTACCTAACCGGGTCCTCTACCTATCGCACACGAATTCTAGTTGCCTAGGGTGCTTCTAACCCTTTTCTCCACATCATGAGTTGTGAGTCAATTCAATAGAACAGTGCTTTCGGATCTCGCGGCGCTCGGCCGGTGCTCCACCATCCACACCATCCACACCTCCTGCTCTTCTCTGGTCTTGCTCTCAGCTCGCCCCCTCGACCTGAAACCCCATGCCCAGAAGGGCACGTTGGGGCGAGCGATAACTTGATCATGTTTTTTCCAATGCCTCTTGTCTATGCTGCGTGTTATTTGGCGGATTTGGTTCTGGCGCTGTTCTCTTTCTGGTGTTATGGTCTGGTCAATGCGCATCCCCTATTTGACTCGTTCGGCGTTTGCCTTTTCCGCTACTTGATTGGCGTCATGACTGTGGATTGGAACGCGATTTGCTGACATCATCTTTCAGTCGCAAATATGCTGAACAAGCTGTCCGGACAGCCCGAAAGCTATGAGAAGAAGTATGTATACCCCCGCGATTCATGTTGCAGGACCATTGCTGACAGGTCTTTCCCTCTCCTGTATAGGTCTCTCTACAAGTTTGGACGCACACTGGGTGCTGGCACCTACGGTATCGTCCGCGAGGCCGAAACTCAAGACGGAAAGAAGGTTGCGGTCAAGATTATCTTGAAGAAGAATGTCCGGGGAAATGAGGATATGGTGTATGATGAACTGAAGATGCTTCAGACGCTCCAACACCCCCACATTGTGTCCTTCGTGGATTGGTTCGAGTCCAAGGTGCGCATTGCGTTTTTGGTCCTGTTGAGGTTTACATTATCTGACAAAAAAAAACAGGACAAATTCTACATTGTCACACAACTAGCCACTGGCGGCGAGCTGTTTGATCGAATCTGCGAGTATGGCAAGTTTACTGAGAAGGATGCGTCTCAGACTATTCGACAGGTGCTTGATGCAGTCGATTACCTGCATAAGCGAAACATTGTCCATCGCGGTAGGCACTCCTTGTTACCCTCCATAAACACACGTCGTATCTAACGCACCCATAGATTTGAAACCAGAGAATCTTCTGTACCTTACTCGTGCGATTGATTCTGAGCTCGTCTTGGCGGATTTCGGTATTGCCAAAATGTTGGCCACTCCGTCCGAGGTTCTGACCAGCATGGCAGGGTCCTTTGGCTACGCTGCACCGGAGGTCATGCTTAAGCAAGGCCACGGAAAGGCTGTCGATATGTGGTCCTTGGGAGTCATTACCTACACATTGCTTTGCGGTTACTCGCCCTTCCGCTCCGAAAACCTGACCGATCTTATCGAAGAATGCCGCGCTGGCCGAATCATCTTCCACGAGCGATACTGGAAGGATGTATCCCAGGATGCCAAGGATTTCATCATGTCCATGCTTCAGACTGACCCTCACAAGCGAGTCACTTCCGAAGAGGCTCTTAAGCATGAATGGCTGACCGGAGAATCCGCCAGCGACCGCGATCTGCTGCCCGAGATCCGGGCTTACATTGCCCGTGCACGTCTTCGCCGTGGTATTGAGATCGTCAAGCTTGCCAATCGTATTGAGGCTCTGCGGATGCACGAAGAAGACGAGACAGGTGAGGATGACATCCCCAGTCCCGTTGCAATGGCCTCTGAAGGAGAGCCTGCCTCTGCTGGTTCAAGTGAAGAACAGTCCCCCGGTCACACCAAGAAGCGAAGTTTGAGCAAGATTGCCCACGGTGGCGCTATCTTCCGTGAGGTTGTTCTGGCTAAGGTTCGCGAGGCAAAGGAGAATGAAGAGCGCGAGAAGGTTGAACGTGAGGCCCGTGAGAAGGCTTCTCATCATGCGTAAAAGCATAACTTTGTCTCCTCTGTCATTTTCATTTTTCCTCTACCATTTTCCTTTATACATCCATGACCTATTGTTTGTCTATGCCGTGAATTTCCTTTTTGCCATGTTTCTGGAAATAGTTACTTGATTCCCCAGTCAATAATAGGTTTGCATATTCTCAGAAAATTATAGGACTTTTCTCAACTTGTATTTCCGCTTTAGTGCTCACCCCTTGCCGCTTTTTGTAAGTATATCTGATCATAGCCCTGGAGGTACCCGGACTACCTAGTGTAGTGAAGAACGCAGTACTACTCATACCTAGTACAGGCATAAGAAGAACTACCTACGAAGGCTCGCCTCTGGGGGCAGTATGGGTATGGAAGGAGACCACAGGGTATATGGAGAAGGTGGAAGAGGTCTGAGGTTCTACTGTCACACACGTAACGACTAGTATGTACCTAGGTAGTCATATGTCACACCGCTAGGTACTCCTGTCTACACTAGGTCCACGGGTAGGAGAAAGGACCAAAAAGAGCAAAAATAGCAGTGGCCGTGAGTCGAACACGGGACTTCAAGATTTGCAATCTTACACTCTAGCCAACTGAGTTACCACTGCTCGTTATGTCATCATTAAGTTAGCATTTTGTATTTATCAGGTTATTGATTAAAGTAACCAACAATGGGCAACTTGAAGGATGGTAAGTATAGTAATGGCCTGAAGGTAATGAGTAATAAGAGTACGGAGTAGGGCGTATAATAATATATGACCTATAGGGAAATAAGTCTACCAGTGGCTATATAAATAGGAGAACCTTGGAAAGGACTAAAAAAATATGATAGCAGCACGTGGCCGTGAGTTGAACACGGTACTTCAAGATTTGCACACTGTGATAACTTGAATTAGTATGAATTTCGGAACTATTGATAAGAGACGAATCCTTACTATAATGCAGCATCGACCGCCCGCTTCACATGAAATGGACTTTTAGGCAAACTTTTCATATTTGACCATTAGTTATCTCTCTTAGTTCTTTCTGTTCAAAATGCTGCTTCGAATGTCTGTCTGACAGGCGTCTCAGTGATCTCTAAATGATCTTCAAGGTGAGAAACTACATTAGGATGGTAATAAATTCGTGGGGGAACTTGAAGTGTAAAGTAAGAATTTAAGATCTCAACAGCGAACAAAAATAAGTATCTCGACAACAACGCATACAGAACCTTGGAAACCTCTGACCTGTCGATTAGGTGATATTCTGAGATCTGGAATTTTTCAATAACACTGTCAATTTTAGAAGAAATAGATGAGGTAGAGTCTTCGAAGCCTGATTAATTTCAATGTGACCTAGTATATCACGTGCAACGCGCAACGCCCTGATCTTATCTCCCCGCATCGATCAACTTGTGTCACTCCTTGTCTATATTGGATACTTTTTTTTTACTATTCTTCTTTGCACCGAAGTACTCGGATAGAAGAGGGGTTAATACGCTCACTTCTACCCACCTGCCCCGCTCACAAGGCTCACTTTATCAAGCCTCACGTTTAATTGCCGTTACTCGAAACCTTCACTGAAGCTTGCTGGAGCTTTCAGTCATGGCGATGGCATTTGCAGGCAAACGCTTGAGCAAGGTACGCAAACATTGTCGGGGCGTGGTGCACTTGTGCCCACGGGAAATATTCTTGCTAACTAAACTTTCTATATTCAGGAGCTCTTGAAGGTACTTTACTCCGCTCGTCGATTACCACCATCCTTGAACGATTTGCACCACGGACAATTTATTTCTGCCATGCATTGACAGCCACGGACTCGAAATCACTTGCTCATACTTGATGGTATTTAGATGAATGAACACCTTCCACCCGGTATCACACTCGTCAAATCCGATACCCTAGAAGAATGGCAGATGGACATTAAGGTCCTGGACGACAACCCACTCTACAAGGACCAGACATACCGATTGAAGTTCACATTTTCAGATAAATACCCCATTGGTACGTCAAATACATCCATGTTTCTCACACTTCAATCCCTTCCGATTTACCCGCCCGAGCCGCGCCCTCAATTCCTCGTCCTCATACAATAGTCCCTCAATTTACACTTTACTCTCTAGAACCTCCAGAGGTCCAGTTCATAGAACTACCCACCACCTCCGATACTCCTCGTCCTATTCCCATCCACCCGCATATCTATAGCAACGGTATCATTTGCCTTGATCTCCTCGGTCGTTCAGGCTGGTCTCCCGTGCAAACCGTTGAAAGCGTCTGCATGAGTTTGCAGAGCATGTTGACAGCCAACACGAAGGACGAACGACCACCCGGTAATAATGATTTCGTTGCTTATAACCGGCGGCGGATTCGGGACATCAACTTCGTTTACGAGGATGATAACGTATAGGCGGGTATCTATTTTCTCATGTCTTTCTGTTCTCAGCGCAGAATGTCTGTCTTTAGAGGCGTTACTGGTTCTTTTTCGTGAAGGGGTGCCTCATTGTGTCATTGCGAAATATTGGCGAGCTCCAATATGCGGTGAGCTCCTTACTCCTAAGTATTTGCATGTTGATGGCGCTGGTGGTGCGGCGAAGATTGAGGCTACTTAATTCTTAGTTCTCTTCTAACACGACATGAATCGGCGGTTAGGAGAGCATATTTTTCTCAGTATCATTATGAACAAGATTCTAATAAATTTCTCTCAGCAAGTCACCTGGCCAGCTATATTGGTATTTACCAAATGTAGTTCTTTTATCCTGGGATTTGCCAAATTTAATAACTCCAATCCTCGTTCATGGAAAGTTCCATGGCAATTTGTTCGGCATTGTGTATTGACCATAGGCACTCCTTCCAGCACTCGAGTCTATGATTAATCCCTCACTCACATGTCCTTTGCCTTGTACTATAAACAGTTATCGTGCTTTTGCTATTCAGCTGATGCGAGTCCCCGGTGCCTGGTTAGCGTACATAGCCCTAAGCCTCATACGAGTCATACCAACCTTTAATCGCTCAGTATTTCAAGTTAGTGCAATTCTTGAGCATCTGCAGAACTTGAATCATGGAAACACATTCGTCACCCTGATGCATCAGCCCTGGAACATCTGAGTATTAAACTCAAACACCCTACAATCCAATCATCATATACTCTCTTATCTAGGGCTACAATGCATTTCGTCATCGCATGAATCTCAATATAGCACCTCTTTCACCAAAAACTCAAAAAGATACCAAGACGCGTATACCAACCTGACATCCGAACTCCCCCCCGAGCACGGAATCACAAATCCCAGATCCAAGATCCAACCCAGACCCCGGTAAACCCGGCAAAGATTCAAAATCCAAGCCCCTTGAGCTCTAGCTTCGAAGATCAGCTGAGCTATACGCCTTTTACTAGTCAGAATACAGGATAGGGAGGGATCCGATTGGCGCTATTAACATTTGAACCTGACGTTGCTAAATTCTTGATAGAAATAGGGTAGGAGCTTAAGGGAATCCTTGCATATCATCCGACCTGGACATCAGATTTTGTGGTATAAATGTAGAAACTTGCATGGCGATTCGCTCTCTTTTAAAAAAGTTTCCCCCTGCATTCTTGTGGTGAAAAATTTGGTGTGCTGGTTGGTGGGATTCTGCACGCGAAGGCGTGTGGAATGTGGTGAAGCTGTCGAGAATTATCCGATCAATTAAAGCTCTGTTGGATTTTGTAGATATAATATGTAGGCTTGGAGCTCTGAGGATGTAGATTTGTGAAGAGTGATTTAGTACTTGTTGAAGTTTGTTGGATATTCATCATGTCGGAAAAGGAGACTACTGATCGAGGTTTGCGGAGGTTGAATCTCGGCATTGCTTTGATGTTAGCTGCTTCAGCTACGTCTGGGTATAATGCTAGTCAGATTAACAGTTTGTTGGTGCTGCCAGAGTGTAAGTTCCCTGAGCTTGGATCAGTCTGAATCTTGCTTCTTTTTCTTCCTTCTCGCACTCTGGTTTGTTCTATATGAAACTGACGAACATCGCAGTTAAGGATTACTTGAGTGATCTCAGCTCCAGTGCTGAAGGCTTAATCATTGCTGCTGTTTCGCTTGGTGCCTTCTTAGCTTTTATCCCTGCCTCCTATGTTGCCGACCAACTAGGCCGTCGAATCTGCGTTTGTATCGGTTCCACCCTCGTCATCCTCGCGGCTATCATCCAGGTGGCAGTCACGCATCCATGGGTATTCTTCGGTGCTCGGATAGTCACTGGAGCGGGTGTGGGCTTTTCGCAAACAGCTGCACCATTGCTCATCGCCGAGGTAGCCCATCCTCGTCAACGTCGAATTCTCACTGGACTTTATAATGCGGTGTGGTTCTGTGGCTCGATTACAGCTGCCGCTATAGCCTTTGCGACCTTATCTATTCCAAATAGTTGGTCATGGCGAGCTCCATGTGTCTTGCAAATACTTTATCCGATCTTTCAGTTGATCGGGTTGTTCGTTATTCCGGAGAGTCCCAGATGGCTTGTTTCAAAGGACAGAGTCGGAGAAGCCCGGGCTATGTTGACACGGTATCATGGAAATGGCGATATCAGCAGTCCGCTTGTCGAAGAGGAATTCGATCAGATCTGCAATAGTATTCGTGCAGAGGCCGATCTTAAGGAGAGCTCGGGGTGGAGTGCATTCCTGAGAACCCGAGGTAATGTGCATCGGCTATCGATCTGTATTCTGCTGGGTTTTATGCAAGAGTGGACCGGCAATGGTATGTGTCAACGGATATTTTCCCGATGTTCTACTTTATTCAGGATTCTAGTCTCTAACATCAAACTTAGGTGTCACTTCCTACTATCTCCCTCCTATCCTAGGTTCAGTCGGTATCAAAGATGCCTCGCATCAAGCAGCTGTCAATATCAGTCTCCAGTTTTGGAATCTCATATTTGCTGTTGGTGGCGCCAGCACCTCGGATAGATATGGACGACGTACTCTCTGGCTTAGTGCAACGACATTAATGACGATCTTCTTATCAACATCAACAGTCATGGCAGGCCTCTTTGCTCAACTGCATATTTTTGAAGCAGGCATTGCCGTTGTGCCCATGCTTTTCCTCTTCTGTGCAGCTTATGACTTTGCATATATGCCACTGTTTATCGCATACCCTGCTGAGATCCTCCCTTATCAACTTCGTGCCAAGGGTCTCGCCATCACATTGACAACGGATTCGCTGGCTTGTTTCTTTAATCAGTATGTTAATCCCGTGGCGTTCCGGGCACTTGCGTGGAGGTACTTTTGTATCTATATTGGGTGTCTTGTGTTTTTCTTGGGCGTGATATACTTTGTGTTCCCAGAGACACAGGGAAGATCTTTGGAAGAAGTGGCGCAGATTTTTGAAGACTCGGATGATAAGGATGTGAAAGCTATCAGTCCTGTCGAGTCCGAGGACTTTCACACTGCTTCCTTTGCAGCGAAGTCTGAAAGTTGAGCATGTGCATCTCAGTGGGAAGAGCATATATTGTATACGACTGTTGATGGTTGGGTTCCATCGCGCTTGGTTCAGGTTCAAGTTGTCTCTTATGTTGGGCCATTGTGGCGATGCTTGCAGCTATTCTTATATATTGTATGTGGAGGTTAGTTTCAACGGGGTTATTACTAGTTTACCTACTAAGTAGCATTATATAGCAGATGAATTTATTGATTAACTACTGCATAGAAACGTACAAGGAGATTTTATTGTATCAAGTAAAATGTCTGTTCATCCAAATTTCAAGTTCCCTTCAAGTTGATATGACTTCCAAGGTTGTTCCAAGGTTTGAAAAATAATCTCTAGGATTATGCCCAGGTGGCAATAATCACCAGCGTTCCAAAGTTCTTTGGGAAATAATATCAGCCCCAGAGCCATACCTAGCACCTGGGCAATAAACACCACTGGCAGCGCTCCCAGGTTGTTTGGGAAAACATCACCTGATCCTCTCACTCAGCTAGGTACTGCCTGGGTAGGTATCCATATATCACCTTCATTCTGACCACCCAGGTGGTATTCTTTACTACTACTACACCATGACCACATGGCTGATACTAGCACATTCCATCATCTATCAGGTACTCCAGCATCTTGATATCAGGCTGATTACTTAAAGTTGACTCCACATGTGCAACTATACTTCCAAGGTTACCTCAGGCTTTCGGCTTTAAACACCGAACTCCGCCGGGCATCTGGACGAGTCCGATCAATGTCATTTCAAGTTTACGTCTTTGTATACCTAGGGAAATAATCAGTCTCGTCGATTCTTCTTACTAGGTAATACCCTACCTTGACTCATTGCTATTATTGGATTGTTCTCATGTTCTTTACTTAAACTCCGCGACAATGAGTTTCAAACGATGGATTTGAAGTATCTTATTTGATCCCCTTGCAGATGACAGCAGTGAGCACTACAAACCCTCTAGAAACAATATCTCCGGAGTAATTCCGCCAAGTATAAGACCAACAAGGATTCGGGCTTATGACCCCTCATTGATGATTACAAAACTCCGTCTCAAAGACTCTACATACATCGTGTCAACTCTCCGTCTATCCTTTCATCTTCATCAACTCTCAACTACCCTTTGCTTTCTACGATTAACAAACAGCCATGGCCGCAGTACCTAACGGCATTCATAACCCCGGAACCGCAGATGGCTGGCATGGCGTCATTCCCAGTGCTGAATTCCCAGCCGAAAGAGACCGCTATCACCTATACATCGGACTTTTCTGTCAATTCGCCCATCGCGCAAATTTTGTCCGTCATCTCAAAGGCCTGGCGGATTTCATTGATATCAGCATCGTAAAACCGTATCCGAAGAGTGACGAGGGATGGCGATTCCCAAGCTCGGACGAGGAGTATTCCGGTGCGACAGTCGACCATTTGTTCGGGGAAGATTACCTGCATAAGATCTATTTCCGGGCGGATCCTGAGTACAAGGGTCGTTACTCGGTACCCGTGTTATGGGATCAGAAGGCTGGGACTATCGTTTGTAATGTATACCACCCAAGCCTCATTCCACTCATGTCAGTCCAATACTAACAATATGCATAGGAGAGCGCTGAATTACTTCGGTGGCTTCCTACAGCTTTTAACGAGCTTCTCCCTGCAACACTCGCATCGGTTGATCTTTACCCATCGCATTTGCGAGCGAAAATTGACTCGATCACGTCCTGGATGCAAGATGATATCAATTTCGGTGTGTACAAGGCAGGGTTTTCGCCAACCCAAGAAGTCTACGAGAAGAATGTTGTGCCAGTCTTTGGTGCACTGAATAAGATTGAACAAATAATTGCCCAGAATGGAGGTCCCTTTGTCTTGGGGAAAGAAATCACCGAGTTAGATATTCGTCTATATGCGACATTGATTCGATTTGACGTGGGCTACGCTCAGTATTTCAAGTGCAATCTGGGTACTATTCGACATGACTACCCAGTGTTGAATAACTGGTTGAAGGGAATGTACTGGGACGTTGAGGCGTCACGGGCATCTACTAACTTCAAGCATATCAAGGAAAATGTAAGTCCTATACTCAGCTGCTGGGTTCTCAAGACTGATCAATTTTAGTATACCAAGAGCACCAATCCAAACGCAATCACACATATGGGTCCATTCCCTGACATTGAAGAAGGTGTCGAAAGGCATTGGAGTAGATTGGTTGTAGGTGGAGTTAAGCATCCGGCAGTCTTGGAATATGAGCAGACTTTGCCAAATCTCCCCTAGATTTTATCCCTGCTATTAAGCTCTGGGGATGAACACAGATCAACTTGAACACAATGATATCATTTCAATTACAGGCAGTCAACACAGATAGTATACATAAAAACGCCCAGCCAGAGTAAGATGCACACGAAACCCTAGTATATACAAAAAACGTGAGACATTAAATCATTTTACCGGGTAGGCCAGTTTCCCTTCCATTGCACATAGTGCTGTTCTTCTTCGTCATCGATAACAATCACCATCCACACACCGACTTCCCCATTATTCGCCAATAGTGGCGTACAGTGGATCCAGCGATATCGACCATTCTCACTAAATCGTGTCACCCACTTGATCCGGGCTGTCACACTGCGACCCGCCATCATAGCATGCAAAATGCTATCTCTCTTTTCACCTGTATCTCCAATCCTTGACAGGAATGATGACTGCATCATACCGGGAATCTGCATAGAGGGGGAAGTGAAGAGAACGCGGAGGGATGGGTATGGTCGAACTAAGAGGTACTGATCAAGGTGTTAGTATATTGATATTCGATTGAGTATCACGGGAGAACATACGTGTTGGTAGACACCAGTCAAAGAACCACCGAGACCTGCTGATGGTTTTGGCAGCTGGGCCTCGCTAAGGCGTTTGTCCGCCTCATCGTCAGGGCTTCCGGGGATAAATAGACGGCTATTTGTTGGGTTGACCCTTTCCTCGATAGGTTGGAACAAGTTGCCACCATACGCATGGATGTTTTGCAGCTCACGCGGGCTGAACAGTTCTCCCATTTCTTGAAATTCGGATTTGGGCTGCTTCCATGGTTCTTCCCTATCTTTCTTTGCCAACTGCTCGGTGAGATTCTGTAATGATTCCATTTGTGCACCTTCCATAGCAAGCCCGGAAACATCGATTTGTGCACCAATAAAGTAGCGAACCTTTCCTTGACTATCGCAAAGAGGAGCGCATTGAAGGAGATTCATAAACGGGGACCCATCGCGGCGGCTGTTCCCATTCGTTAGTCGGATGCTGGAGAGTCAATTGTAGGGCTGGGACGTACTAATTAAGGAAAAGCTCCGAGTGATGCCTCCCGGCTTTAATGGCTTCTCTGAGACGTCTGACACTGTTGGGGTTGGTCTTGGGTCCCTGCAAGAACCGACAATTGCGTCCAAGAACATAGTTCATGCCATATTGTGTAGTTCGGTGGAATTCTGTAAACTGTGGTCAATTCGTGCTCATATAACGTACGTCGGAAATAGCTCTCACCTCCGGAAGCGAAGATAATCGGGTTATCAGGTCGTGATGGATCCGTCAAGCAAAATACTTCTGCCAACGCATCGGCGGTACCCTGAAACTTCTCCGGAAGAGTTCCACGAACCCGTTCTTCCACAACTTTACTTGTGATATTAATGCAGGTAGATGTGATAAAAGCCGGCAGTTCTTCTGCCGTCAAGGCGTTTAGCGCATCTTGCACACGGGCTTCCAAGGCTAAATTAGTGGTAGGTCCCACTGGTTGCTCTGCCGGCTCGATCCCGGCCGGAGGCACATCCACTGAGAGTCTGACCAGAGCATTGACATACTCCAACGCTTTCAAAGCCTTGCATGTATTAAGGTAGTATGTTAACACTGGAGTTGATCCCGGTCGCTCTTGGAGTATGAACTCTCGAAATTGCGCAAGGTATCGCGGGTTCTTCAGAATGGCTAGCATATGTGCTGCTGAGAACATGGAATCCGCTTGGCGCTCAAGTGTGTGTAGTGGGGCCCCATCGCCCTTGTATGGTGCGACCAAATCGTATGATCCATCTTCTTCATCTTCGTCGACGGGGTAAAACTCCTCGGCGCCATTGTTTGGGTTGGTTTCTTGCAACAGAGGCAATTCGTTTACGGTAAAGTGACGGCGTAGTGTTTTCAGTGAAGGCTGTGAGTGCAGCGAAGGCTGCGAGTGGAGGTCCTGGCTAGATTCAGTCGGTGGAGTGGGACTGGTTCCGATCAGCGGCGTATTTGCAAAATTTCTAGAATTGTTTTCTTACCATTGCTCAATATGAACCTGCTCATCTTTGGTGCTTTCGTCATATTCTCGTTGTTGAGCTTTATACTGCGACTCTGGATATTCTGGAGAATAATCATCAAGTACGATCGTAGGCGAGGTCAGCACCGAGGCTGGCTTATGTGGGCGGTCGTCAGGAATGTCGGGGATCTCCATCTTGGTAGTTTTGAAAAATCTCAGGAATTTGCCCATCTCGCGCTGGAGGATCAAGGTCCTTTAAGAAGCTAACCCTGGTCAACAAGTCATGGCCAGATCGTTTAACCGCGTGTCGAGAGCATGGCTTATTGAATTCTATCCACGGTTCCTCTTTCATCCTGAGCGAATGGAGTGTATTTTACACCGCTCCAGTAGAAGAGATCTACATGAACGCAATTTTCGCTCGTACATCTCTCGTACATTTCTTCGATCGATCGGGCGATCGTCAGGTCCACGAGCATAAGATCAGATGCCAGGACGGGCAATGATGTAATTTTGCAAGGCACGGCAACCAAGTGGGTCAAATCCCGATCTTAAACACTTGGAAATGTTCTAAAGTAGTGGAGACAAGGGGTCAGCATCAATGGGCTGAAATCGACATCATAGAAAAAGTTAAGTCGATCATGATCATGATGGTGGATCGAGTTAGATCGGAGAAAAAGATAACCTCGGTCTCTTTGTATAATGAGTACCCACATGAGAATTCTCCTGGAATTCTAATTCAAATCAAATGTCCGAGCTTGAGAATCATAGTTCGAGTTGACAAATTGAAGGAGAATGGATTATTTGTGCCCAAATTCCCCTTCTCACCCCCTAACTTGAGTTTCAAGGTTTGATGCTCGATGCCCAGATCGGGAAGACATCTGAGGGTATTCTTTACCACAAATAGACTAGAACTTCACTGTGCATGTAAGGTAGAAACTTAAATGTCCATGTGATTCAAATCAAATTTTCGTATACGTTTGGCATATGATATAGCATGCAGAACTGACGGTGTCAAATCTGTATTGGGCTCGATATGGATATAACAGCGCCAACGCTATCAATAGAAAAGCTAACGGAAAAAAACAAGCAGGAAAGTTCGCTTTACTGCATAAATCGAATACGGAGAGCTGCAGTATATTGCACAGAAACATTGAATTTCAGGATCTCAAGGGCCTCTCTGTATCAAAACAGACCGGGGATGAATCGTTTAGTCGAGCGATGCCAATCTTCCCATTGCTTTCCAAACTTCTCCTTCAACATGTTCTCTTCGTCTCTCACTCTTGCACTCAGCAACAAGAGACAAATGCCCAGTATAGAAACCCAAACAGTATAGCCCCACCCTGTCATGCCAGTGCTTGATTCTCCGATCCAGCAAGCTGGGGCCGCGTCCCACCTCATGAAGAGTAACATACACCCAACCAATATCGCATTTTGACCTGCATAACCAGGATGCTGTATCCAGCGGTAAATGCCACTTGTCACAAGCTGGTCCGGTGCTGCAAGATTGAAAGTAAAATTGCGACCGAGACCTCCATATGCAGACAATCGTACAGGAGCCCCCACAAGCATCAAAGTGATTGCAATAATCGAGGTCTTACTCCAGGAAAGTAGGGCTGGGTTAACCGATTCCAATTGTGGGCAGATCTGCGCTGTGATATCGGGGAAGTAGCCTGGAACGACGATCAGGAGAGCTTGGTAAATCACGAGAAGAACGAGAACTCCGCGAAAGATATATGGGAATATTCCAGAAAATGGTGCAATGCGATCGACCTTGTGCATCCTTTTCCGCTCTAGAGATGGATTGGGAGGTGTACAGCAAACAGCTGCTAGATAACCTGCCACCACCATGGTGATGGCTAGTATTATGGAACTTGTTTCTGCCATGATAAGAGTTTTCGATAACAAGGCAAGTCACGTCAAAAAACCGAGATATGCACCAGAAATCCAACCTTCAAGCTTGAAGGTTGTTTGTCAGTTCGCGTTGCTGGCGTTCGGAGCCTTGTGTGATCACCGCCAGTCGCTTATCGCTGTGGAGTCGTCGGATGATGGCCGGGGCGAACCCGAACATTCTTCCTTGAAGCTATTTCCCCCTTTATTAGAATCTGATTGAGAATCTCTTTCGTATGGATGTAGAGCGTTGAGCGTTGTTAAATGAGCACTCGAAAAATGATACAGGGATATATCCATGTCCCCTTCGCCAAATTAGGTTTAACCTAAACCAGTTGACAGCAATAATAATAGATGATGGATTGGAAAAGTTAGGAGTGGTACAAATAAAGAATCTGGAATAATTGATTGGAGAGATAGAAGCTTACTCAAACTTGAAACAGCTGAAGTTGAACTGGGAACATTGAAATCGGCCCTGGGGGTGTGTATCAAAGTTGAAGTGAGATGCGAATAGCCTCACTTCGTGCATTTATCATCACACCATCCAGGTGTCATCCTTGATATCTCACTCATTCTTGATTGTTTTTCATTTCGGTGACCAATTATAGAAATTTGGAGTCTGAAAGTATTATAGAAAAAAAATGTCAGAAAAAAACAAACAAACAAAAAGGATTGTCCCCAGGTGAAGCTAGATTTCCGCCGGCTCTCCGGTGTCAACTCAGCCATCGAGTAAGACCCACACCCTCCTGATCCATACCTCTGCCTTAAGAGTCTGAAACCAATATGCCACTAGGCCAGCAGGACTGAGCTACAGTTCTCGTCCCCTTTGACTCAATTAAAAGGGATTTCTCACTCTACTCCGAGTCCTTAAGTTTGCACATGTGCAGCTGCTATTACACGTCTGCCTAGCTCCACTAGGTATGACCGCATGTGTGCACAGGCCTGGGTCTATATTCCTTCCTCATCTAGAGCATGACATCCTTCAGGTACTTCCAAGTTGCCAGTACTACAAGTACCTAGTAGGAAACTCTCATCATTATCACTGGCAGCACGTATGGCATTCCAAGCGATAGTATATGTATACTATTATCAAACCTCAAGTCCTAATAGTGTGAGTAGTACTATTGATTAGACATCTACTACAGATGATACGGAGGAAATACTAGCACTACATATGCCACTTCAAGTTTGCACTGGCATAATCATCTCTCAGGCTCTTCTCTAATACATAGTACTATTACATTCATACTACCCGTACTAGTAGAGTCCTATTATACTTTTAGTTGACCGTGACGAGTCCCAATGGCAATTGATGGCGATAGCCAGAACATTTGAATGGATTCAACGTCAAATCTAATTGCCGTCAAGATTATTTAAGGCGCCCACTGTCAGTCGGAACTCGGATGGAAAAATTTAACTCTCCGCATTGAAAGTCTCCGAATTAGTTATATGTATTTCTAAGCTTATCAAATGGCATAATGAAATTCATACCGAGCATCATTGATGTCAAATTGAGGCTATTATGGTTTCTAACCATCCAATTTGAAAGAATCATGCCTCCTGGTAGTGACATGCAACCTTCCAAGGTTGGAACTATATGATGCCTTAGTAATTGCATGATGCATGGATCCTGGGCCTCGGACCGCTCCCGAGTCGCTGTCAAAGCACCCTTCAACCATCAATGCACAAAGAGTTGGTCTGGTTTGTCAAGTTTCTTTGGATTTGTTATACCTGCATCCTTACGGCCAATTGATGGCTTGTAATATTTGACTTCATTATAAATCTCGGGCAACGTGGGCCCAGACTGGTACTAGCATGTATCAACTGGTTCAAAAGGCAGTGTATAAAAAGTCCGAATTTCCCTCAGTTGAGTACTCCCTTCTTGTACATATTCAAGTTTCCAACACAGTGACATTGATTGAATGATCAACTTTTGAACTTAACCTCACTTACAATCCATATTTATATAAATAATCTTGAGACTATCAAAATGTCTTCGACTGGCAAACATTCCTCCAAGCTCGCCAACCAGCGAGTCCTCATTCTAGGTGGAAGCTCAGGACTCGGCTTTGGCGTCGCCGAAGCTGCATTCGAGCTCGGTGCCCACCTAGTCCTCTGCAGCTCCAATCAAAGCAAGCTGGATGCTGCCGTCGCTCGCATCAAAGAAGCCTATCCCACCCAAGCCGAAAAGCAAAGCATCATAGCCTGCGCTGCCGACCTCTCTGACGTAGCAAACCTCGACGCTACCTTGGAAGCCCTCCTTCAAAAAGCGACAAACAATGGCGCCAACAAGCTGAACCACATCGTGTCCTCGGCTGGTGATGGAGTTGTTTTATCACCGCTGGAGAAAATCAACGCGCAATTGATCTACAAGGTCATGAATGTGCGCCTCGTCGCCCCTGCCACGATGGCCAAGTACATTCCAAAGTACATGGAGGTATCCCCCCTCTAGCTCAATTACTCTCACGAGTGGTGTGCGTGGTCGTCAGCCCCTCCGAGACTGGTCTGTCATTACGACTACTTGTGCCGCGATTGAGGGTCTTAGTCGTGGATTAGCGCTGGATCTGGCTCCTATTCGAGTTAATGCTGTTGCGCCTGGTGTTGTGGATACAGAGCTGTTCGATTCCCTTGCGGACGAACGTGATGCAGCAATGCAAGCTCTTGCCAATGACACGCTTGTTGAAACTCTGGGAAGACCGGAGGATCTAGCAGAGAGTTATGTGTATTTGATGAAGGATCGTTTTGTGACGGGCTCGGTGATTGAGTCGAATGGAGGTGTGCTTTTGAAGTAGACTGATCTGTAAATTAGTATAGGTTATTGAATTTATCTCCACTCTCCACTCCCTTTCACTTTATCTTCCTGGATATACATACATATATATATATATATATATATATATATTCTTTTTGGTGGTAAAAAGTTAGAAACTCACTCATGCTTGTTTCTCCAGGGCTATAGATCTTGCCCGGCGGGATGAGTGGCAAGCCTGAGTCAGCTTAGCTCCGTTATCTCCGCCCGCTGCAGGTTTCCTTGCCCAGGTGGGTTCGAGTCTCTTCACCACATTGTCCGACACAGAGCTGTCATCAGCTCTTACCACCCGCTTCATAGCGCTGGCTGGTTGTTTATTTCAGCAGGGTAGTCCAGAAGTGCCCACGATCATTCAAGATGCAGGGCTTCAGTGAGTTCCATCCGCCCGCCTCAAGGTCCGACACAGGCTAACATGCAATTACAGATATGGGACGGTTCGTCGCAAATCCCCGAGTCCACCCTACATACCAGCTAACATATAGAATAGTTATGTCCCACCGGACCAAGAAGGCCTTATATCTGCGAACAAGTTAGCAGGAAAACACCCTCTCGGCGCGCGCGCCCGACACCTCCACACAACTGGAGCGCTAATCGTCCGCTTCGAAATGCCCTTCGCAGTCTGGTGCACAACATGCAAGCCACACGAAACTATAATCGGACAAGGCGTACGCTTCAATGCCGAGAAAAAGAAAATCGGCAACTACTACTCTACGCCCATATACAGTTTCCGCATGAAGCACACGGTATGCGGGGGGTGGATTGAGATTCGAACGGATCCGCAAAATACGGCGTATGTTGTTCATCAGGGTGGAAGGAAACGAGATACTGGTGATGATAAGGAACTACAACCTGGAGAGATATCTCTACGGATGCCGGGGCTAGACCCAGATCCTGCGGAGAAGGACCCATTCGCGAAAATCGAAGGCAAAGCGGAGGATAAAAAGCGGGCGAGTACGGAGGCTGGTCGGATTATGGAATTACAGGATAGACAGTCTCGGGACTGGGATGATCCATATGCGCAATCTCAGAGATTGAGGAATACGTTTCGGGTTAAGAGGAAAGGGTTAGAGAGCCTTGAAGCGAATCGGGAAGCTTTGAAGGATAAGATGAGCTTGGGTATTGAGCTTGTTGATGAGATAGAGGAGGATCGACAACGGGCTGGACTGGTGGATTTTGGTGGAGATCGGTCTGCTCTTGAGGCTGAGGCTGTGCGAATCACCCGCACTCGACCTATGTTTGAGCAAGCTGGTAAGAAGTCGTCTGATTCTCAGAAGCGTGATAAACATTCACGGAAGACTCGGCGGGATGATGAGGCGGATCGAATTTCAAAACGCAAGGCTTCCTTACGGCATGAGCTAACTGGCAATACGCGTGCGGTTGTGGATCCATTCTTGAATGATGTTGGTGAAAATCAAGATATTTGGAAGCTGGGTGTGAAACGGAAGAGACCTGCCTCGCCAGCCATAAAAAGCGATGCAGAAGCAGATGCCGATGCCACTGACTCCTCCACTGAGAAGACTTCTAAGTCTAGTCCAGTGGAGGACTGTTCAGAGAAGAAATACAACGGACCGCCAGCTGGACCAACCCCAGCACTGGTGAGCTATGCATCTGATTCAGACTAAAGGGCATTAATATGCCAACTTGAAGTATATATACATAATTTGATACCCCAAAAGGCCTTCAAGGTCTTTTCAATGTGCCAAAAGCTCTCTTCGTAGTTTTAAGTATACCATCTAAAGTCTAGTAGCCTTACTAGGTAGTTATATCGGGTATCATATTGCTGTCAACATTCTATTTGGCCCAAGGCGCCTTTGTGGGCACTTGACCTCCATCTCCTGGCAGTGGCGCAGCTTGAGAAGCTGCCCAGGGAGCTCTCGTCGGAGCCATAGGGCCGGGAGGCATCCGGGATGTGTCGGGAAGAGTTGAGATCGAAGCCGGAGGGCCATTCCTTTGCGCAGCTGCCCAAGGTGCTGCAGTAGGTCCCATAGGAGGTGCACGAGATCCCGCTCCTGCAGTAGCCCATGGTGCCTTTGTTCCTGCATCCACTGTTGGTCGAGCAGGAGTCGATGACACACCTCCATCTGGTACAACAGGCCGAGCTTGGGGACCAGAGGTTGAGTGCACTGTAGTGGGAGGTGCTACTGCATTGGGATCTCGTTCCCAGCTAAACAAAGATCCAAATGGGAAATGCTGTACCACAGGGAACTTGGACAGAACCTCTGCGTTATACATCTTCACCATCCCCTGTAGACAAGATTCATTAGTGGTGAGTTGAATACGACTGAATATGAGATGACACACCTTGTTGATCTTGCCCCAGCCAGCTCGGATGCCGGAGATATCATACAGCATGGGGCTGTGTTCCCAGAATGGACCCTTTTTCACATCATGAATGAACCCAACTGCTGAAAAGTACATATTGGTCTTCCTTTCCCTTTCAACCGCGTTTGCCTTGGCAACTCCACCTGGATCAGGCGCGCCTGGGAGTGAGCCTTCTTCAGGAATGAGATCTGCCTTGTTGATGGCTGGGGATAGCTGTGCGGAACCAAAAATATAAGGAATGAAAGAGCTATCATCAAGTCCCCAGACACCATGAGACCCAGCTGGTTCCAGGGTGTATGTTTTTATCAAAGCCCGAATCAGTTCAAGGTATCTAGATTTTCGTTGTTAGGTCATCTCAACAAAGGGGGAATGGGCGTTTTAAGCATACGGTTCAATAACCCCAAGGACCATAGCTCTCTCCTCGACACCAGACTCTGATTGTGGGAATCCATTGAGCTTCCAGATAGCTGCCAGAAATGCCAAAAAACTTAGCTCATGTCCAGTTCCATAGTCCAACCGTTGACCACTTCCCCAGCTACCAAGAAAGTATGCCTTCAGTTCAGCCTCTGCTGTAGGCCCAGCTGGGTCTGCTGAGGGGGTATCCAAAAGCTCCGCAGGCAAACAATCCCTAAGCAGATCTGAGGCTCTTTCAGCCAAAACTTCATGCCATCTTCGAAAGCTGATATTTCCAAATCGCCGCGGTCCATTGTCCGGTGGAACCTCCTGTATTAAATCTTCGACCTTGGAGAGCAACACTTGAAGCTGGCGGATAGGCGCAGAGAACTGGACTGCATCGGTCCCGATGGGCCAACTCTGTGAGGTTCCATCGGGAAGTTTCGAGGGGAACATCGAGCGATTGAGTTGTAGAAGGAAGGTCATGATATCAGTGTAGGCTTTTGACACCAAGAAGGCGGAAACATCTTGCGACTCGTGGATCTTTTTGCCTGGAGCGATAAAATCGTGAGGGATTGACGCATCCAATTTAGAGAGATTACGGACAGAACGGCCGTCCGTATTCATTTTGAATTATTCGTGTAGGGGAGAAGTTTGCAAAAGCTCGAAGACTGTTCAGAATGAAAAGTGTTTAGATAGTGAGCGGGGTGGAGGGGACATCTGGAAATCAGGAATGACGCGTGCGGCAGGTTCGCCGAGATTTGTTATATAGACACCCCAGCTAAACAACTTGTGGTTTGCAAGCCCCTATACAACATTTGAAGTATACGGCCACCAAATAATTATCTTCTCTAAATTACTAAGTCCCAATTCCAATCTTTGGAGGTCAAGCTACTACATGTAAAAGAGATTTCTAAAGGTAGAATAGCAGGTACCTACAGAGGTACCTATACTACAGGTACTTAGAAGCATAAGGAGGTAGGTAACCGTACCGCCAGTGGTAGATAAGAGCCTTGGAATGATTAGAGGAAGATAAAAGCACGAATTTACTGGTCTAGCCAACTACTATAAATAATAGAATATACAAATGCCCATGGGTATCTGCTTATACTGGCCCCGGACAAGTTAACCGTATTCAAGGAAAGGGGTGTCCATTTAACAAGGCCTAATGCTCCACCCGAGCTTCTTCAGCTCAACTCTTTACTCCACCAGAAATCGGGATCCCTTGCATTTTAGTGTGGTTTTCCCACGCATTCGCCTTTGACACGCGACTATCGCTCGCGATGCCCTTGATCAAGAAAAGAAGGCTTCACAATTCTACAAATCAATCTCTGAACTTCCTCAATGAAATTAATAGTAGCTACGCGCCGCGTCAGAAAAAGACCCCACGTACAGATATCCACGATATTCCTGAATCACCGGAGCCACCGACTATCCGCAGAAATGGAGTACAAAATCGACTTCAAAACCGAGATCGAGAACCGCTCTCAACATTAAAAGACGTTGAAGCCGATGAAGAGCCCTCCGAGTCCTCTTCAGATGATCAACAGACGGACGATGCGCCTGTACAGGTGCCCCTCAAAAATGGCGACGATGAACACGAGAGCGATGAGGAATCAGAGGATGAAGAGGAGAACCAAATGGGGAACCAGTTTATACAATTAGGACTACAGGGGGGGAAATGTGCGATTAGAGGATGCGGAGGAGTCACAAGTACTCGAGGCGCCAGAGAGTCCTGGGGTTCAGGAGTCAGAGGAGGCTTCTGAGCCAGAAAAAAGCCCTGAGCCAGAGGATAGCCCAGGGTCAGAGGATAGTCCGGGGCCAGAGATCATCCAGGCGCCTCAGATGCCGGAGGGGGCCCGAGAGTCGGGGGGGGCCTCAAGAGTCCCAAGAGCTTCGAGGATCAGAAGATCTCCGGCGGCCAGAGGATTCTTGGAATCCAGAAGATTTTTGGTGGCGAGATGACTCTCGGAAGCAAAAGGACTTCCAGGAGCCAGCGGAGCCAGAGAAAGACGAAGACTACGTAGAAGGGAGCGAGGAGGAAGATGATGACGAAGAAGAGAATCAACGACCACCTTCCGAAACACCCCAGGCTGTCATTGAAAACAGCACAACCGTCGTCATTTACGACAAAAATCAGTCAAAGCAACCACAGCCGAGAACTCGGTCGAACAAACGACGTCAGGAAGCACTTCAGACTGAGACGGAGGAAATTCAAACAAGTCAAAAGCGCTTTCCCGATCCCAAGGAAGACTTTCCGGATTACGAAGATCTTCCTCGGGATGACCCTGACTTAATGGAATGGCTAAGAAAGAAAGTCGAAGGAACTCGCATGAGCGATGATTGGCTAGAGTTCTATGTGGGCGCCTACAAATTGCCTGAATATGTGTCTGGACCCATGCCCAGTTCTTTCGAAAATGCACTTGAGTTGCTGGCACGTCAGCTGGAGCTGCATGTTGACCTGGAAGATCGACCAGCTGCCCAGAACGTACCAGTTAATTTCAAGTCTGACGCAAATAATCTGTGCGCGGATGTCATTGCCGAGGTCGAAGGGATACTGAATTTTCCTGATATACCGCAGTCTGAAGCTGATCCCGAAAAGGCAGGAGAATTGGTCGTCGACCTTGAGGGCTACTTGCTGCCGGAACTAGCGTCCCTGGTAGTCATGGCGTTCAAGACCTACACTCGATTTGGACCTGGGGAATCGGCCAGCTCTCCTCTCCTCAACAGTCTAGACGTTCTTTTCAAAATCGCCAATCGTATTGATGTGCTAAGAGACTATTATATGACATCGCGCAATCGACAACGATCATGGAAACTTGGCATGTTCGCCAAGCGTATCAAGGACGCTTTAAGGAAGGGCAAGCTCAGGATGTTTGTCACGGGCGATGCTTAGAACCCCAGCGAGGACCGTGACGTGGAAGATACCCCATCCGTGTTTGACATGAGGTTATGAAGAGGCGCTCCGTGACACATTACGGAGATAAAAATCCGAGACACAGCTGGCTGGTCAATTCACGGTCCAAAATCCCATACTCCAAGATTCAGAGCTTCAATGTTCGCATAAACTTGTTTGTTTCGGATTTCAAAGATGTGGGTGGGTGGATGGTATGCTCTCCACTTTTCATCTTTTCAATTCTTGTATAATAGCACTCTTAATATACCCATTTTCCTGTCAAAATGTTTCAATATCATTTCAACTTGAATCTATACTGTAATATTCTCCAGTTGTTCATCTCAGAGATCTCGGGGTTCCGGTTGGTTCGGGTTACGCGGGCGTGAACCGTGGATCCCATTGTTTTGATTCAGAAAAAAGGGGTTTCGCGTGTAATCAAGCTAGAACACCTTAGGTATCTGATGAGTTTCAAATTGATTGAAAACTACCAGCGGGGATTCTTAGAATTCGAGGTTGAAAACCCCCCAAGGCTATACAATGGGGTCTGTGATTGTAAATCTGGGGCAAAGAGGTTAAAATATAGTGATCGACATTGCCATCTCCTTTTCCATCAGACTCATAGATTGTCAATTGCCAATAAATTGATCTATAGCCGTATAATATAGGAAAAGAAAAGGCTGAGACAGCACATATGATAACATTGAAGAATTTGAACTCTTTGATTAAAAACTTGAACCCCAGTCTTCCCCAGATCCTGCAGAATAGAAGGGTTTGTTCATAAACGCGCGCATGGACATTTGGAGCAACGACGATCCCCCTCCTCCACACCGCTTTCAAAGGTTTCCGCTCTCCTTTTCCTTCCTTTACTACTCGAACACCTTGGGCAACTTGAACTATTTCGTGTCATTTCGTTCTTCATTTCGCGGGCTTTGATTTCTTGCTCGTGTATTGAGGTTTATTCCTCGAAGTCTCGAAGAAGCCCCTGAAGCTTCACAATTCTGCGCGCAGTGCGTAAGTAGAACCCTGTTTCTTTGATACACTTCCCCATTCTCTACAGGTTATATACAAGCTCGACTTCCTGGAACTCTTTGTTTGTCTCTGCAGGACCATTGGGACTGTTTCATATGGGAGGTCAATTGCTGCTTTGAGCTTCAATGTTGAATACTTGGGACTATAAGCTTCGAAGCTCTCAGAGCTGAAGCTATGACCTCCACGACAGACCATCTGTTATATCCTCCCGTGGTTGAGAGACAAGGGACCTTTTAAATACATTTCTCCTATGGGAATTCGATTGGTCGATTTCATCTATGGTTGCAATATGTGCTGATGTATGTAGGCTGTTGCTCTTCCCAGGCCCCTTTTCTATACATCGGAACTTTTTTTTTCTTTTTCGCTCGCATTTGCTTCGTCCGGAACTCTCTCCTTTTCATCACATCAATACCTACGCATAATCCGACAAGATGGCATCCACCGAGGAGCCCATGCCTATTCCCTCGGATGTTGAGGTTGACAATGTCCCCCCAGCGACCCCCGTGGACTCTGCGATGCTGTCCGGAGCGGAGGAGACATACAAGTCTAGCCCGGAGGCTTCCAAGGAGAATACTCCCCTGTCTCCTGCCAAATCTACTATTAGTACGGCAACAACATCAAAGCGTCCCGCCACAGGTACTACAGGCCTCAAGCGGCCTACTTCATCCTCGGCTGCGGCGAAGCCCGGAACTACTTCTACTCGCACCAGTACGAGCAGCACGCTGAGCAAGCCTCCGACTCGTCCTACAACCACTACTGCTACTCGAAAGCCTTTGAGTACCTCAACTACTTCGTCTCACCGATCTCGTATGTCTGTCAGCAGCTCAGCAGATGAGAAGCCCCGATCAGTCGCAAGCTCGGGAGACGAGAAGCGCGGCATTTCGAGCACAGCGAAGCGAATGTCGATGGCCGGCACTACTTCTACACGTACTCCCTTGAAGTCTGCATCCACCGCGGACCGTAGATCAAGTGTTGCTGGCTCCGCTCTGGAGAGAAAGACGGCCACATCTTCTACCGCTACACCTCGCACGGCTACTTCCACCAGCCGACCAGTTGGCAAGCTGACCTCTTCCACCACCCCCACCACCCGACCTACTTCGGGAACCACAGCTACTCGTCCTGTCACAAGTCGTCCAAGCTCCTCGGCGACCGTTACCCCTCGTACCGCCATTTCATCTGCGACAGACCCAAAGAAGCGGTTGAGCACCGTATCTGGGGCGACTTCCAGAACTGCTGCTGATTCCGAAAAGTTGCAGACTTTGCAGACGAAGCTCTCGGAGAGCGAAGAGACCGTTATCAACCTCAAGGCTGAGCTTGAGACTGTCAATGAGAAGCTGACCCAGCTTTCCATTGCTGGGCAAGAACCCAAGGATGAGGATGCCACCGAGGCTCTTCAGGTTGAGCACACTGCCGAACTTGAAAAATTGACCTCGGCTCACGCAGAGGCGGTTCAGGCTCTGCAGGTTCGCCTCGAGGAGGCCGAAACACAGCGCAAGCAGTTGGAGGAACAGTCCCAGAAGGAACTGGAGGAGGCTAAGCAGTTGGCTACTTCTAAGGGGGATGACCAGGCTGCTGCCGCCATTGATGAGCTCAAGGAGACACATAAGGCACAGCTGGAGGTTCTTGAGAAGGAGCTTGCCGAATACAAGGCTTCTGCCACGGCCGTTGAGGGTCAAATTGAGGCTCTGAAGAAGGAGCTTGAATCACAGAAGACCGCGTTAAGTGAGGACAAAGCTCTAGCTCTCGACACTCTCGAACGAGAACTCAAGGGTCGTGATCAGGTTCTCGAAAACTTGAAGGCTGAACTCAACAAGCTGGGTGCTTCTAAGGATGAAGAGATCCGCGCTGAGAAAGAGGCCGCTGAGAAGTCTACTTCTGCTCTTAAGGAGCAAATTGCTTCTCTGGAGGCTAAGATTGCCGACTCTGAGTCTGTCACGCAGCAAACTTCTGAAGAGACCACGGGCTCCCTTGCCCAGAAGGACCAAGAGATTGCCGAGCTGAAGCAGACCCTCGAGAAGCTCCAAGAAGATCTTAAAACTGCCCAGATTTCATCCTCTACCGACCTTGAGACCAAGCTCAAGGAGCTGGAGACTACCCACGAAGCCGCAGTGGCTACCTTGAAGGCTGAGCATGAGCAGGCTTTAAGCTCTCTCTCAGCTTCACATGCCGATGAACTCTCTGTTGCTAAGGCTGCAGTGGAATCTTCTGGTAGTGAACACTCACAGCAGCTGCAAGAGCTCCGTGATGCACTGGAATCTGCCAAGGCTGCTGCCCAGGGAGAGAATGAGAGTGCTATTTCAGAACTCAAGACTGCCCACGAGCTTGAGCTGAAGACTCTTCAGGTGAAGATTGAGGAATATGAGAAGGCCCTTAGCCAATCTCGTCAAGCTTTGGAAGAAGGACATATTTCAGCGCAGGAATCTGCCCTCCAAGAGATTGAGGCTCTTCGCCAGAAGGTTGGTGCTTTGGAGACTCAAGCCTCTAATGGTGCTGGCAAGATCGATGCTCTTCACCAGGAAGTCCAAAGCAAGCAAACTGAAGCAGATGAGCTCTACCGCAGCTTGAAGAATGTCGAGAGCGAGTTCAAATCCAGGGAGGGTGAGAAGGACAGCAAGCTCAAGGCCCTGGAAGACAAGGCCACCGAAGCGACTCGTCTCCTTGAAGAGCATACCTCGACGAGCGCCACTGCGAGGGAGCAGCACACTAAGGAACTAGAGGGTCTCAAAGCTGAGCATGCCGCCAAATTAGAGCAGATTACGAAGGAAGCATCCGGTTTTCACACAGATGCTTTTAACGAACTTCAGCAGAAGCACGACGAGCTCTTGTTCAAGAATCAAGAGTTGGAATCAAGCCACGCATCCCGCGCATCCCATGTTGAATCGCTTGAAGCAGAGTTGAATTCTATTGCCGAGCGTCATTCCGGGGGGGGTTGACAAGTTGATCAAGTCTCATGAGTCTAAGACTGCTGAGCTTCAGAGCCAGTTGCAGGAGTCTCAAACTAAGTTCGAGGCCTTGCAGTCCCTGTCCAACGACGCCAACGACGCTCATACAAAGGAAATCTCTGCACTTCAGACGGGCTTTGAGGATATCAAAACTCAATTGCTGGCCGATATTGAAGCTGCCAAAAACTCCCGTGCTTCCGATGCCGATGCTGAGCACAGCAAGGCCATTGAGGAACTACTCACTGTCCAGGAGGCTAAACTGACCAACTTGAGGGATGAGCTTGAGACAAGCAACAAGACTAAGCTTGACGAATTACAGAAGGCTCACGAGGCTTCTCTGGCCAGTGCCAACGAACAGCTCTCACAGGCCAAGGCTGCTGCACAAGATACATCTGTTCTGGATGGTCTGAATGCCACCATGGCCGAGCTTGAGCAGAAGCTGGCTGCTTCAGAGAAGTCGCATGTTACTTTCCAGGAATCTGCTGCTGCTGTCACTCGGGATATTCAAGAGAAGCATACCGCTGAGATCACCAAGATTCAGGCTCAGCACTCGGAACTTGTCTCCAAGCACGATGCGGCGCTTGCTCAGGTTGGAGAGCTTCAGAAGTCTCTTGCTACTTCCAACGGCAAGAGCTCAGAGTTGGACTCTATCATGAAGCAGCTTTCTCAGTCTGAGGAGGAAGTTTCATTCTTGAAATCAAAGCACACTACCGTCAGCCAAGAACTGGAGGAGACTCGAGCTTTGAAGTTGACCATTGAGGCGAAGCTTGCTGCTGGCGAACAGAATCTGAATGCCCAGATCGACAAGAACATGGCTCTTCTCGAAAACCTCGGCGATTTCGAGTCCAAAATGTCCACTGGCCGTCGACGCATCCGCGAGCTCGAGACAGAGCTGGCTAGCTTGAAGGAGACCAATGAAAAGAAGGGGACCGCGGGCTTGGGAGCAAGCCGATGGGCCTCCGCAGATGAGAGCGACGAGAAAGCTGAAGATGGAGGTCCAGCCGCAGAAGGTGAGGACCTTGGTTCATCCATCGAGGGAACGGTGGGAGATCCCCGTTTGAACACTTCCTACTCCCCAGAATTGCCCATTTTCCATCCATTTACTTGAGTCACAAAATTTTACTTGTACAATCACTAATCAAATTTCCCGTAGATGGCGAGCATTCAGGAACAGCTTAAGCATATTCGATTCGCAAACGATGAGTGGTATGATGAGCATCGCAGGTCAGTCTTTCTCTCCCTTGATATCACCCCTTACTTTCAGGACTCGTGGCTAACGTATCCATTCAAACAGACTGATGGGAGAATTGGCTCAGCTTTCCCGTCGAGCTACCCCCAACCCTCCCAGCCACTCATCAACTCCAGGTCCTGAAATTGCGGCCTCTGCTCCCGAATCGGTGAGCGGCCGTTCTGAGACTTCTAAGCGATAAATATCCAAGTCTTCTTTGGATTTTTCTCGTGCTTCCGGTGAGTATCTCTCCTTATTTGAGATATCTGTTTCCTGGAGCACGATTTTCTCTATCCTGTTTCACTCGTTTCGTCTTCGTCCCGTTGCTTCGGTGTATGCGATAGGACTCAGGATACCCTGTTCGACTGCCAGAGGTTTTATCCCTGTATTTGGTACTTAATATGTTCTTAAGCTTAATGTCGATATCAGTTCCCTTACTTTCCGGAGCTGATTGTCTTGTGTATATTCATGTGAATAGTAACTACAACGTTGGAAGGCGGGAAGTTATTCAATTGATTTTTTTTCCCACACTACTCTAAACTTGTTTTGATGATTGTGATCTGGCAGGGCTTGAGGTACTAGTAGTATGTACATGTAATGGATAGTAAATCTGATAGAATATCTCTAGTTCAAGTCATCTGTTAGTGAAGCTTGCAACCTCCCGAGGTCGGAAAGACTCAAGTGCTCGGAATGTTGATTCGATATATGGATTTAATAGCGTAATTAGAGTATATTCATTCAGTCTAAAACTTGCATCATTGTTTGAAGGCAGATGAAAGGCAATAGAAGCAAGAGAAAAAAAAGGGAAGATGCATCCATTATATTTACGAGGATATCATCATACAAGTACAAGTGAGGCTCTACTGAAACTCTCTCTATCCGGAGATTCCATCGCGGCCCAGTCCCCAACGACCAACCTCGCGCATGGCGTCATCGCCACCTTCCACCAAGCGACCATTGGCATTAGAAGGATTCGATTCACCCAAGACACCAGCAACACATTGCCATCCATTCCGACCACCGCCCCATCGAAGGACCTCATTTTTGTATCGCTCACCAGCAGCTCGATCCACCGAAGCTCTACCAGACTGGAAAACATCCTGCCAAAGCTTATTGGCGATGGCGCGATCAAAGATGTAACTGTAGTAGGTTCCTCCGTAGCCGTAAAGATGACCAAAGAAGCCTTGCCAGGAAGTCTGGGGTCGGACATCATCCGGGTCTGGGAGACTAGAGTGCTGGGAGAAAACCTTGTGGTAGATTGCGGTGGTATCAATGCCGCTGGTAGCCTCCTTGCTAGGAATAGAGTGGTAAGCCTGGTCGACGAGAGCCATGAGGATCTGAGCCTCGTTCTCGACGGCACCGTATATAGAGCCGTGAGCTGTGCGATCCATTTCCATGCTACGCATCATACTTTCAGATAAGGGCTCGTTTGTCTTCCAGTGTCGGGCATAGAGGGAAAGGACCTCGGGTGCTGTAGCGAAACTCTCCATCAAGACTGAAGGGAGTTCGGCGAAGTCGGTGGCACAACGTGTGCCAGAGATCGATTGCAGTGGTGTTTGTCCCAAGATGGAGTGAACGGCGTGACCCATCTCATGGAACAGTGTGCGGACACTCTGCTCACTGAGAAGAGTGGGTCGGCCTGAGCCATTTGTCACTGGTTCTTGGAAGTCGCAGACAAGAGCGATGGTTGGTAATTGGCGTAGAGTCTTTGTCTTAGGATCCACAGCCGTCGCCATGCCATCGTTGGGATGCGCAGATTGATCCATCGAGGCGCACTCTGCGATCTCCTCAGCAGAGATCTTACGCGAGCAGCGTAATGTGAAGTGTGCTGGGTTGGGGTGTTTTGTTGGCCGACTAAACAGATCGCAATAAACAACTGCGATATGTCTGTCCGCCTCATCAACCACGTCTAAACGGCGGACATCAGGGTGCCAAGTCTCTCCAGCAGCAGTCTCCTGAGGGACGAGGCGGATACCATAAAGACGGTCAAATAGTCGCGAGAGCCCTTGCATAACTGTACCCAGGGAGAAGAACTCAGGGACAATGCTCAGCTCTCGAGATCGACGAGATTGGGAGTACTCCAACACCCTTTTATGCACATAGAATGCATGATCCCATGGCTGTAGGGCGCTGCCTTTCAGCTGTTGGAGTTGAGACAGCTCTTCTTGAACGGGGCCACGGTTATTGGCGATGAGTGAAGTCAAGAAATTGGATACAGCCTCTGGAGTCTTAGCCATCTTATCACTGAGGGTCATGTCCGCGAAGCTGTTGAATCCTGAGATCTGTGCTAGCTCTGCTCGTTTCATGAGAAGCTTCTCCAAGCGGTGAACTTGGCGCGAACTGGAAGTCCGAGTAGCTAGATAGACCTGCTTCCTGACGGATTCATCTCGCACAGATCGTAACACAAGTCGAGGAATGACTCCCATAGTTGGCACCGGTGCCTTATTATTCCATCTCTTGATTTGCTGAACCACAATTGGGTCTAGTCCTTGAAGGTTGTTCGCATTGAACGTAACCTGGGATCTAGCCGGTTCTGCGCCATTGAAAAACGAGGAGCCAACTTGGCTGATATCGTTTGAGAGGTTGACAAATCGTTGCCGCTCACTTGGGGGCATGTGAATTGCAGATGTGGTAAAGTCTTTCATCAAAATCTGGGCCACAATTTTCTCGGCTTCTGTCCAGTGCGATGTGACCTCAGGATTGGACAAGGCCTTACTGAGTTGCTCATGCAGGCCTGTTGTGGTGTTCAACACATTCATATATTCAAACATAAGAGCGTACGCCTGCGTCGCTGCTTCTTGAATCTTTGGATCGTGGTGGATGGTTCGAATAAAATCAGAAAGGTCAATGACTCGACATAGAAGATCGCTGAGTCGATCTAGGTCTCGTGCCAATGATCGGTATTCGTCTACAGTAGAAGCTCCCAGGACTTTGGACACAATTGCCTGGCATTTTTGTAGCGATGCATGTGCAAACTCCCTGAATCCGTCAGGGCTTGTCAAGTATTGGTTCTGAACCAGCCCAGCCCGCTTTGGAACGGCCGCAGTTCGTTGCTGCGAGAAATCCTTCCAAAAGTTCTGTGAATCGAAAACGCGTCGCAGAGTCTCGTCGTCGAGGTTCTTATTCGGGGCATTATTGTATGCGGGAACAGAATCGAGGGACGATCGAGGAAGTTGTGAAGCAGCGCTTTCAAAGGTTCGAGTCTGGCGCTGGAGTAGACATTGCCTGCATGTCCATGGCCGGCGCCCAAGAGGGCGAAGCATGGTATGAGCTGAAACGGGTATAAAGGTGGGAGGTAAATTATAAGACCAGAAGAGGGAAAATGCGAAACAGCTATCAGTAATTCGACTTTCACTGTAACAATTAAAAGCTGGGGTAGAAGAGCAGCTTCAAAGAGACACGGGCAATGACGGAAGTTTTCATGAGGTCCGAGCCGAAGAATTCCACCCGTCTTGGCTGCGAATTCCGAACCGCTTCAACCTCTCTCTCTTACTATCTCCTCTCCCCACATATCACCAACATGTCGTTCCGGCCGATCTTGCAGCAGGTATGTTTCCTTAGATGCGTTTGCATCTGCTTCAATCCTGGCAATTGACCCAATGGCGGAAACTAACTCGTGTCTAGCGGGCTGTGGCTCCGATCGCAGCCACCCTCCTGGCAGGAGGCATGGCTCTGTACCCCAAGCAGACAGTCTTCGCGGAAGAGTCTCGAGAGGTTAGACTATCAACCCACTGACTTTATATGTGGCCAACTGTGGTCAACTGGGATGAAACTTATCTGACACACGACTGCCTTCCGAAAACAGAGGAAACCCATCTACGACGACTTCGCGTCTGAAATTCCCGAAGCTATCAAGGCCCCTACGCCTGCGCCTGCGCCTGTTGCTGCATCCGAACCCGAGGCTTCCAAGTCTTCCTTCTCTCTGCCTCTGCTGCAAACATCTCCTTCCTCGCCTACTCCGACAGACATCTTGACCTCTCAGGTCCGCCAAGCCCGTCTCTTCATTTACTCGCACTCTCTTGCCGCGGAGAACGGCTTCAACGACTTCCTGTCCCGTGCTCTGCACATTGAAAATGCTTTCACCAACACCGTTGCATCTCTTGCTCCCTCCGCCGAGTCCGGTGAGCGTCTGACTCCCGGCGGTGTCTACGTCGTCGTGGCCGCTATGGCCGGCTCCATCGTGTCACGCAACCGCGGCATCTTCCTTCGCACTCTGTCTCCTCTTGCCTTCGGTACCGTGGCTGCTTACTCTCTCTTGCCTGTCACAATGAAGAATGTTGGCGAACTTGTTTGGTCATATGAGAAGCGATTCCCCGCCGTTGCGGACCAGCACATTGCCCTTCGTGAGCGGGCAGAGCACATTTGGTACACTGGCATTGCGCACAGCGGAATGGGTCGCCAGATGATGGAGGACAAGATTGGTGAGACTCGGAAGAAGCTGGAGCAGCTGGTCAGCAAGGGCCACTAGATGTTGTTTGGTTTTTATACCACGTCCCCCTCATTTCAGGTGTGCTGAGGGAGTTCTTTATTTTTCATTTTGTTGCATATGTACGTTTAGAAGAACTCTTTAGATCCGAAGATATAATCCGGGTTAGTTCCTTTGTTTGAAAAAGGTGTATGCAATGACACTTGGAAGTTTTATTTCAAATTTGGTAATTGATATAACCTGGTATATTTGCTGGTAAAAAATAGTGATGAAGGGAGCTTCAAAATCGTTCTCATCTTCATCTTCGAACGCTACATGAGTGAAATCGATCATGCCTCCTGTGTTGGGCCAGGTGATCCCTCCACAGGTGCTTCAGCTGCAGGAGCCGGCGACCCTGTGTTGGTTGGCGAAACGCCGATTTTAGGCGGGGGTGGCAGAGGGGTTCCCTTCCGTGAAGGAGCAAAGTCCTGCTCTCGACTCTTCTGTTCACCCTCGGCAAAGTAATCATCAAATGTCAGGTTAGCAACATGGCGGGGCTTGGCTCGACGATTCGACGGTGATCGACCCTCTGGGGGCGGAGAGGTCACTTTAGGATGAGATGGAAGAGGTGGGATAGATGCCATGTTTGCCGGTACTAAAAAGTTACCCCCAGTCCCTGCGCCTGTCCCAGGGACGGTGAACTCTGGCATTGGAGAAGCAGTTCCATCCTGGCGCGTTTCAAACACCACTTCCCCAGGCCCTTCCACTTCCTCTCCCAATCCGATGGGTAGTCGGTGCAGGGCACCGAAGCCTAACTCAGCACCAACAGCGCCCTCGCCACCCCATCCTCGAGTTGGGACCAATTCAACTTCTCGAACAACATCGAATTCGCTATTGTACACCCATAGTACCAGCGTGCGGTCGAGGTGGTCCTCTACTAGCTCTCCAAGCGCGGATTCCCCACGTAGTGTACCACTGGGTGTTCCAATAATATAGTCTGAATGTGGCAGAAGCCCTGCACGGAAAGCGGGACTAAGTGATGAAGGAATTGAAAGCACATGCCAGATGTTTTGAGTGGAATTCAGAGGCGCAAGCTGTAATGCCAGGCCGAGGGAGGGGTTCGTAGAGGAGACAGGCACGTTAAAGGTATGTGTTCGTTGGCCCTGCAGCGAGAACATAAGATCAGTATGAAAGAATTTGATAAAATTAGGACGCATTTGACAAGTACCTTAGCACTCCAGACTTCCAATGTCAAGCTTGATCCTGCGCAATTGCGGACTTCCGTCGCAAAGAGGTTTGGATCAGGGTCCTCCTGCAGACGAATTTTAGCAAGATTTATCAGCTATTTCCCAAATTATGAGGACACATACAATAGGATGACCATTAATGCCCACAATAAAATCAAACCAAGGCTCTAGAGGTAGCGCAGAGTCTTTATTGCGGAGAACCTGAAATCCGAAGGCGTTGTCACTGGGTCCATTCCGAGGTTGCTGAGCAGGCTCGCCGTCAAGCCGGCCAATAAATCGATTGAGAGCACCAAACATTGTAATAGAAGCTCTTCTTGTTTAAGTCCGAACAAGTACTTAATAAACCTGCTATGAGACTTGTTTGGGTGAAGCTCTTGCGGGCATGTGAGCTGGCCGGATGATAATGCAAACACCACAAACACCCGCGTTTATCCAACGTTATCGCTGTTATCGAAGACTCGATTTGTATCAACTACAATCCATATTCACCATGGAAGATTTGGAAGAGGCTCCCCCAGAGGTACATCATTACAATGAGCTCTATGAAGTTCCTTGGGATATTCAAAAGTGATTATCAAGCTTCTCCTCACCTCCAAACAACTATGCTGACTCTTACAGCTATTGGTCACAACGCCATCGTATTTTCTCCAAGTATGACGAAGGCATTTGGCTGACGGATGATGCTTGGTTTGGAGTGACCCCAGAGCCTGTTGCCAAGTACGTTTGCAACCTTTTGATGTTTGTTCCCTTGAAATACTCAACTAATATCGCATACAGCAAGATAGCACAAGATATCGCCGAGGCAGCTCCTGCTGGACGGAGCATCTTGATTGATGCCTTTGCTGGCGCTGGTGGCAATACTATTGCATTTGCAAAGACCGGTAGATGGAAGCGGGTATATGCAATTGAGAAAAATCCAGCTGTTCTTAAATGCGCCAAGCACAATGCGAAGATCTACGGAGTAGACCAGCAGATCACTTGGTTCGAGGGTGACTGCTTCGAAATCCTCAAGAACCAACTCAAGGACCTTGCACCCTACAGCATTATCTTTGCAAGTCCTCCATGGGGAGGTATGTCTTTATTCTCTGATTTTCCTTGTCGACGGAGCTAACGCGTTTCGATCATGATAGGTCCTGGGTACAGGTCCGATGAAGTCTTCAACCTGCGCACTATGGAACCATATTCTCTCGAGGTTCTATACAAAGAGTATTCTGCATTCACCAAACACTTTGCCTTGTTTTTACCACGAACCTCTGATCTGCAACAAATAGCGAAATATGTTCCTGATGGATTCCAAGCTCCAGTGATACATTACTGTATGGAAGGACACAGCAAGGCATTATGTGTGTTCTATGGCGATTTTAACATGTCATAGTCATTTCTGTTTTTTAAATACTCTGCTTTTTAATCAGGAATACCATGGGGTTTTGACGCCCAAATAACAGTGCTCGCTTTCATTTGGTATTTTACTCTGTGGTCCACATAGATCTCAAGACTCAAAGTTCTTGATGCAAACCATAATCGGATGTTTAAAGAACAAGTGCATACTCTTGAGTTCCTATGAAGAATACATCGTAAAAAGAGTAAAATATTCCCAGCATTCGCTTTGCAATATCTCTTTTTAAAAAAAAATAATTTTACCTTATCCCCTCCATCCACTACATATTAAGCTTGAATGGATACTATAGTATTGGGGCGGGTGGAGCCAATAGAATAAGAGCACCTCCAATTCTGCCCGCCGCCTTCACCTCTCACATTCACTACTCTTGCGATATCTCTGGACTTCACCCACACACCGGTGCTACGCTCATTCACTCTTTCCCTATCTTGATTTGCGCTTGCTTGTATTATTACATGAATGCGACTTAATTTACCAGATGTGCTCCTCCTGAATCCTCACTGGCACGCGCCTTGATATCTCGCCAACGCAACTCTCTTGTGCCCTCCTCACAAGACTCAGTCTTGTAACACGGCGGTTTCGTCCTCGATCCTTCCAAAATGCCACATGCTACAAAGAGCGCGGGCTCTGATGCCCAGGAAGATGCAGAGTTTGAAAATGTGATGCGACAGCTGAACAATCTCGAGAGTAATCAGGACTTTGAGTTCATGAGCCGAGACTTGGATGTTGGAGAGAAAGCGGACGATGCGGTTGATTACGAAGATTTCGATGATGACGAACTCCCCGAGGAAGAAGATGCGTCCGTGCCGACGCGTCTACCACCTACCGATACCGCCGCGCCGGACCCGTTATTTGCGGACCTAGGACCTGATGATGGTCTCTTTGGACCAGAGGATGACATATTTGGTGATGGCGGCGATGATGCCACTCAGGACCAGGGAGATAATCTTGATGATCTTTTTGGAGATGAGCCTACATCTCCTCCACCTGGTGATCAGGTTGACCACACCCAGGGCCTCTTTGAAGATGAGGAACCGTCCTTGTCAACCCAGCCAATTGAGCTGCCTTCTATCCCTGCAGAGCCTGAACCTCAGTCCCAGGCAATGTCAGTAGATGATGAATTCGCCGATGATGAAAGTGTTCTCTCTGAGGAGATGGATGCAACGACTCTTCGTGCTTGGAAGCTTCAGCAGGCATTGTTTGCCATGTCAGGAACTGGCCCAGATCACCCACCAGCACCGCCAGAGAATAGCGAAGAACTTCTGCACTCTCTGTTTCCCAGTTTTGACCGCAACACTCTCCCCCGATGGCTAGAACTGATTCCTCACAAGAAGGCATACTTTCGGGGTAAGCCGCCTCTGAAGGTTCCAAAGCCAGTGCTTCCAACAAAGGTCAATATCGAGTTGGCTCCCGATCAGGAGCGATTCTTTAGAACCGGCCAGCCCAACAAACGTGGTCTCGACCAAGAGTCCATGGGACTAGTCATCATTACCGAGGCTGCCCAGGAAGAAGAACAAGAAAGCAAAGATGATTCCGAAGCTGCTGAAGCGGATTCTGATGAAACTCTTCCGGGAGGGTTTACTATGCATGACCTTCGAATACTTTCCACCACTTGGGATATCAAGGATGAGGATCCCTCGATGTGGGAGCCCGAGGAGCCACGCGCTCAGCCACAAGCCCGCGACATATTTGATGATGACGAGCCGGATTGGCTTATCAACGCGGATCACCCTTCGAAGAAACGGAAAACAGGACCAACACCAATGGACGTCATTGCTCTGGCACATCGTGATATTCCCATACTAGATGATCCTGAGCTAGTCACTAAGCGAGTTGCCAAACGAGTCACCATCGATATGAACGATCCCAATATTCTAGTTGAAGAACGACAACTGGAATCCATCATCAATAAACCAAAACACACCATCCCGCGCACCAGAGACGAAATGGACACTAACTTGACCCGTCGTCTAACTCAGCGCTACAACATCTCAAACGACCAAGCATATGATATGCTCAAACAAAACCATCAGAACAAGATTCGGAGCACGCTTGGCAATGTTACTCTTGAGCATGCTATGCCAGCTCTGCGCTTGCAATGGCCTTACTACAAGACAGAACTGGGCAAAACCGAAGCTCGATCTTTCCATCGGCCTGCTATGGTCTTTCGCAATGGCCAAACATCATGGTTCAAAAACCCTCTACACATCAAACGCAAACAACAAAAAGGCAAGGACGCAAAGGCACTGTATGGATCCACGAGTTCTCTATCTTTGGCAGATAACTCGAATGTTCTTTTGGTGGAATACTCTGAAGAAGTTCCTATGTCACTGTCCAACTTCGGCATGTGCAACCGTTTCATCAACTATTATCGAAGAAAGAATCCAGAAGATCCTACCCGTCCCCGAGCAGAGATCGGAGAAACAGCTGTTCTCCTTCCACAGGACAAGAGTCCTTTCTCCATTTTTGGACATGTGGACCCTGGAGAGATTGTACCTGCAGTCTCCAATTCAATGTACAGAGCACCACTCTTCCCACATCAAGCCAAGTCCACAGATTTCCTTGTGGTCCGAAACACCACTCAGTCCAAAGGCAGCAACTATTATCTGCGCAACATAGAGAATTTGTTCGTTGCTGGACAGCAATTCCCATCTGTCGACATTCCTGGTCCCCACTCACGAAAGGTCACGACTGTCGCAAAGAATCGCATGAAGATGCTTGTCTATCGTCTTCTCAAAAAGAATAGCGAGGAGCGCCTCGCCATTAGTGATGTCACGGCTCATATTCCAGGCACGACTGACATGCAAAATCGACAGAAGGTGAAGGACTTCCTTCAGCATGATAAAGACACCAAGTATTGGAAACCTTTGGACCCGGTTCTTCCGGACCAAGATACCATCAGATCTTGGGTTCAACCAGAGGATGTCTGTCTTCTTGAGTCGATGCAAGTGGGCCAACAACACCTTAACGACACTGGTTTTGGCGGCGAAGCTGAAAATGCGAACGATAACGACGAAGATGAGGAAAGTGAAAGCTTCGAGCAGCAGATGGCTCCCTGGAAGGCTAGTCGTAACTTTTTGTTGGCTTCTCAGGGTAAAGCTATGCTCAAGCTTCATGGTGAAGGTGATCCTACCGGTCGTGGCGAGGGTTTCAATTTCATCAAGACGTCTATGAAAGGTGGCTTCAAAGCAATCGGTGAGAGTGTTGAGGACAAACTGGATGCACAGCGACTCAAAGAGCTTGGTGGCCATAGCTATAATGTTGCCCGTCAACAAAAGTCATACGAGACCTCTATTCGACGAATCTGGGATTCGCAGAAAGCAAGTCTTTCCTCGACTGTCGAACACTCCGATCAAGAGAGCGATGTCGATCAGGGAGATGAAGAGGAGTTCAACAAGCCCACTCCCCGTTCCGAGGCACCAACTCCAGCTCCTTACCGTCGCGATGATGAGACAACCAGTCAATTCAGCAAGATGAGTTTCGCCAGCCAGAAGGGTAAGGTCTTGCGTATCACCCGCCAGTTCAAGGCTCCGAATGGTGAAATTGTGCAGAAAGAGCAGCTGATCTGGGACCCACGAGTCATCCGACACTACATACAGCACCGTCACCGCTCTGAAGCCCTCACTACCAAATTGGACTCTCTACAACCAACCGGTGATCCTGAGGTTGATGCTCGGAACCGCAAATTGATCGAGGCCGAGTTGAGCCGTCTGAACCGTAACAAGGAGCGTCGTTTTGCCCGTGAGAAACAGAAGGGTATTACTCGCGCCGGCGATTCCCCTGCTGATGGCAAGCCTACTGGAACTCTGCGAAAATGTGCCAACTGTGGTCAAGTTGGACATATCAAGACGAACAAGAAGCTTTGTCCATTGCTCAATGGTACGATGAAGCCTGAGGACCGAGTCACCGACTCTGCTTTCTCCATGAGCGCACCTGTTCTGTAAAACCGGTTGCATGGAACGTTTTTACATCCGCATTTTTCTTCAACACGGCTTTCGTGAATTTCATTACAAAATGATATCCCCCTTTCCTTTTCATGATGATTTCAGCTCCCTCTTCTCTACAATTTGCTATTTTCGCTTCAGCGCTGTATTCCATTTTCAAAAGCATGGTGCATAACTGGTCCGAGACCTTTCCGTGCATATCTTACGTTACAGAGTGTTCAGCCGTATTTCTAAGCTAATTTATTCATGTAATATTATGACTTTCAACTTCCAACCAGGCGATGCTAGTGCTGGGTGTCTAATACCTGGTAGTATAAGTCCTACTACTAGCCTCATAGCAATAACAAAATGTTGAATCAGCCACGTTCAAATTTTTGAAAAATGTTCTTCAATGTTAGCTTTCAGCCTACATCATCACGAATTTTTCTTTTTCCGTATTAGTTCTTTTGCCAAGGTTTCCCCTATAACAGCCCTGGAGATCGGTTTATTTCCCTCAGAATAACCTTGGAAGTCACCTTACCTATACATCCACATCATTCTTCATGCTCTTCTCCAGTGCGACCTTTGAATCCTTACTTTGTCAAAACAATTTCCGCTGCGAAGGCCGACTGCAACATTTCAAGTTGGTTTCAAACAGATTGTGGAGACTAAACAAAGTCCCGACTCGGAGCCACAGTCGATATATGCACACATATCGTCGCCTACAACTCGGCGTTGAAGATGATCTTGAGAATGGATTTCAAACCCTCTTGTTTCTCATGGAAAATCCGGAGCTAGCAGATCTACGTCATTTGGAAGTTCATGGGAGTCGAAATGTGTCGGATGGCCTGAATATTGATTTCAATAAGCCACCTGATGAGCCTCGACAGCTAGAGCCGGATGATCTTGAGAGATTAAAGGCTATCATCCGGAGAGCTGGGTTTATAGAAGGGAATGAGCCACAAGCGGTGCTGCATATGCTTCTCCAACCTCGTACGAGAGACCTGTATGTGGATTACTTTTCCATTTCCATTTGCCATTCCTCTATCCATCCTTGATTAATAGATGACTAACAACTGAAAAGATTGAACCCCTCTCACTTATGCCATATGGCCTTCAAACAGGCCCTTGCAGCGCTACTTATTGCTATTTCACCCAAGCTAGAGACCCTTGCTATATTCCATATTGGGGAACCTAGTTCCAAGACCAAGGATTTTGCTCTCCTGACAATGCTTCGTCGTGCAAACAGGACCCCTTATCCAATTCCCTATCTACAGAACCTTAATCGGATAATTTTCCCTCCAGATGAGTGTTCATCAGGCAATGATGGCTTTTATTACAACATCGCTGAAGATTATTATCATCGACTGAACCTTGTTCGACGACTCCCAGCGCTCATGTCCGTGTCTTTCAGTTTAGTTTCGTGGAATAATGAAGCTGGCCTGCCTCCTCCGCCAAAGTCGGCAAATTACAGCGATATCAGTTTCACGCACTCAAACTTGGCAGGAAATGAGTCTGATATGTGCCACATACTTGATTCTTCTAAGGCTCTGCACAAGTCCACATATACCATTGGTGGGCGTGCTTATCCAGAGGGAGGTAAAGTAAGTGTGAGTCTTACATCTATTATAAGATGTCTTTGGAGACACCGTCATCATCTTGAGGAACTTGATTTAGATGTTGAAGATAATGTCTCTTGGGGCGAGATATATGGTAATGAGAGCTTCAAGTTAGAATCTACTGAGGGCATTGACAGAGACGAAGATATAGAGTATGAAGAGGTATGGGAAGGAGAGATGGATGAGCTTGATATGGAACTTGAGACACCGCCACCAAACCTGAACATCTCCCTGATTTCCCAAAGCTAAGAAGTCTGAGTCTTGGTGTCCACACACTTTGTTTTCTGGCAAGGGGAATAGGTCCATACTCGGATCGACTTGATGCTAAGGCGTTCTCTCTAGTGCATACCTTACCAGCCTCACTGAGAAACCTACGACTTTATGGGAAAGGAGAAAAACTTGGTGATCCAACATTGAACCTGAAAGACCACTGGCATGAGCCTAACTTGGATGTTGATGCTCTTTTGGAAAATCTGGTGGCTGAAAAGGATACAAGATTGCCACTGCTGAGAATTGAGGGCTTTGATCCTGTCATTCCACGAGCAAAAGAAGTCCCGGAATATGCGGATGAGGATCATCCACTTCTTTGGAAGTAGTACAGTCCGTACAGGGGCCTATGTAATTAAGAGGTCTAGGTAGCTCACTTCAAGCTACACTTAATGTATTGCTTGTTTCTATTCACAGCATGTCGTCCTAGTGATTGGGACAGCTCAATGATAATGTGATACATGATATTAGTGCTAAGGATAAACAAATAAGGAAGGGAAAGCATTCAAGCTACCCTACCCTCTGAATGTGGACCAGCAGTGCCGCGCAACGAAAGACTCGCAAAGAAGGACTCGGAGGACATCGATAATGCGTGTGTCACGGTGTGTGTATAGTAGGAATAATTGACGGCGGGAGGTAATGTTCTCGCCAGACAACAAGATTGTAGTGCAGGATCTCCAAGAGCGCTTTCTTCAAACAACGTACATCTCTGTCAATTGGCCTCTTACGAATGACTGACGTCCACGCTCACTGCTTAGAGCCACAGCCGCTCCTTTCGGTCGACGGTATGTATAGCCTAAAAAGGCACCTCTCTTGCGTATCTCCATGGCCGCTCGACCAAGTTTCTTATCTCGAAGTATTTTGTCGCGAGGCCGTTTCTTCTCTTTTCGCTTCTCAGCATCCTGAGCCTTCTGGGCGTTTCCATTGGCTGCAGGACTAGGATCTGGCCCTGGCTGGTCAGGTTGAGGAGAGTTTGCCATAGAGTCAAGGTTGTCTACGCCATCAGGATCTGGCTTTTCGTCGCGGTCGTCATCGCTCCCTTCTGAGTCACTTTCATGAGATGCTTCCTCAATATTGCCAACAGACTTCTTCCACTCATCGAAGTACCTGGTATCTTCCCAGTTCCTTACTCGAGGCACCCGCGGCGGCCTTGTTCTGTGGAGCTCATTCCACCGAATACCCCTGAAGAATGGATGGGCTTTGATGTCAGCAGCGTCATTTGGATACACAAAGTAACTTTTGATGGTCTTGTATCGTGGATCCATAGAGTAAAGAAATTGTGCTGAGACGGGGCGGCCGGCGAGCATGTCATTTGCTTGATATTTCTGAGAACAGAGTCTGAACTGGCGCTCTTGAAGTATTTGACTAATGAGATTGATAGCATCTTGTGAAATCAACTTGTCCGTTGACTTGTCTCGCGGAAAGTGCAAGCTTCGTGTATGTTGCTACCAGAGTCAGTCTCCTTCATAATATTGGATTCCATGGGTGCAACAAACCAGAATTCTGATTTTTGTATCATGCCGATTTTCGCAGGCAAAAGGCGTGAATCCATAAAGACACTAAATAATTCATGAGAACGGGCATTTTCCTTTGATATTGAGTCTCAGATAGACTCACCTCGTAAAGAATGACACCTAGACTCCACCAATCGCAACGTCCATCATACATCTCACCGCGAATGACTTCAGGTGCCATATACTGACTTGTTCCAACAACACTTTTCGCAAATCTTCTCCTCTCTTTGCTGTTGCGCCAGCCCAGAAGATCTTCGGATGGAACTTGGTAATTTGAATAATCGACCGAGCCCTGTGGCTCCGACGAAGGCTTGGAGTTCTTTTGTGCCTCCGCAGAGTTCTTCTGGTCCTCTGCATCGCCAACAACGGTAATGCCAAGTCTATCCAGCAAAGAATAGCGATGGTTGTTGTAATAAGACTGATCATGCGACCAATGACCATTGAAAGCCAGACCAAAATCGGAAATTTTCAAGTGACCCGATGCAGATATAAGGAAGTTGTCAGGCTTGACATCGCGATGAATCCAACATAGTCGATGTGCTTCTTCAATGCACAAGATCATTTCGGCAATGTAAAATCGTGTCCATTCCTCACTCAGGATATCTTTTCGAATGAGCAATCCAAGAAAATCTCCTCCAACCATGTAGTCCATGACGAGGTATAAATGATTCTCATCCTGGAAACTTGTTATCAATGGAACCACCCAGCGAGATCTTTCAGATGCGACAAGAAAATCTCTTTCAGCACGGATATGACCTTCTTGCGAGTTTCGGATCATGTCAGACTTTCTGATCACTTTCATGGCATAGACCTCCTTCTTCTCTCCGGTCATGAATTTTCGGCGGCTGTGCTTGGTCCCATCAACAGCGGATCTTAACATTTCGAGAGGGCTGCCGCGAGCGTTAGGCATATTGTCTTCCTGGATTGAAGAAATTCCCTCGGGAAAATTGCTCTTGTCTTGATTCTTCTCGCGTACCAACCGCACCACTCCAAAGCTACCCTTTCCGAGAATTTTGATTGTTTCATAACCAGCGGCTAAGATAGTATTGGCGCTTCGGATACATCGCATATTTGTCCTGAGGTTTCGGCACTGACGTAAATACTCATTCTCCTGTAATAGCCAATTGCATCTTGTTGTAAGCTGCTCTTCGGGTGCAAGTTGAAATGAGTACATATGCTGTTCCAGCTCACACTGCCGCTGTTTTCGTGGGTCGGCGTTTTGGAAAATCGAGTTGAAGTAAAGCTCCAGGTATACCTTGGCAACCGCCACTGCTTCTACAGTCACGATTGATGGAGAAATGATTGGTACTTTGCTCCCTGGGGTTTCTTGAGGAACAGTGATATCGGAAGTTCGCGCTGATAGAAAGGCCCAATCTGTTACCTGCGAATTATATCTCTCAATCGAAGGCGAGGGCTCCGCAGACGTAGCCGGAGTTGGGGGAGTTGAGTGACCAATTGGGGAGCTGTTGCTACTGGGCGCTGTTGAAGGGTCCGAGCTATCATTTGCTCCATCGCCTTGCTTGAATTGTGTGGGTGTAATTGGCGACTCGGGGAAAGGAATGCTAGGTCTTGGACGGAGGTGAGTTCGACGAATCACCGTGGGGTTACCAAATGTCATGGAAAGTCTTTGAGAGAGTCGGTTGACCAATTTGGGACTTGGAATGTTCTGCTGTTCATTTGATCCGGCACATCCATTGTTATCATCGTCGCCATCTCTCTGTATTCCTCCTCCAGACTCGGTCACTCTCCCTTCGGGCGATGAATCTCTAGTGGCTGGAGAAGATTGATCGGGGCTGTCATGATCTGGATTAACTGGAGAAACACTCAGGGATTCGCCGTCGAGGTATTGAGCAGAGGGTGTATAGCCAGGATCATTTCTTTCCGTGGCAGGTGTAGATGTAGTAGTTCGACGTTGCTCTGCACGCTGGTGGTCTTCGCATGACCCAGATTCTGCACTTGTCTTATTGCCTAGCAGCTGTTAACAAATATGAGCCAATGACTTGGATAATATTCATAGTCTCACTGTTTGAGGAACTTCTCAGGCCAAATAAAAGAAGGATTTTGGAACCACTCCGCGTCAATCTCAATCTAAGCCGATCTTTGCCCGGCCCGGGGTTGATAATAGGTTCAGAGGTAGGACTTGCGTCCGAAACGGGAGACTCGGGTGAAATAGGATCACATTTGTTATTCGATGCGACCCTGGTGGGAATCCAAAGACCGAAAACACTCTTTCGTCTTCTGATCTTTTTTCTATAAGAGATTGTCATATCGGTGGATGTAAATCGGGACAAGGAGTGAGGTGCTGCTATGGTAAGAACGTCCAGAGCTTGAATTAACGATAGAATATTGACGATGCTGGGACAGATGAGCACTGTAACTCTGGGCAGCTGGATGGTGTGAACTTGAAGTTGCTAGATGCATGAGTTTCATGAACTTGAAGACGCCTGTCAGTCTTGGGATAAATGGAAAGAGCCATCATGACATTGACTGCTGCATGTACATTGTGTATCTATCAATTTAGGGCTTTTTGGGAAACCACGGGCATCAGTGTCACCAGTTGACGGTGCCGAGGCCAAACTTGAAAGTTGGAGCTTGAAGTGCCTATATGAGAACCCACAGGCTTGTTCTACGTAAGGTTTACTACTAGTAGCTTACCAACTACCTGGGGAAGATTCAAATTCAAGTTTAAACAGACAAAATACATTTCAGATATAAAATGCGCAGATACACATTACAGGTCACAAAATAGGGACTTTTCCATGCAAAGATTTTCACTTCTCCGTGATAACCTTCCTCGAATCGATCGAGGTAAAAACAAAAACGAGCCGGATATCACGGGAAATTATGCAATCAAATCGACCGAACCACAAAAACACCCCTGCGAATCAAGCGGTACAAAAAGAGACAGAGGTCAAGAAATTTACTTGATCTCCAGCAGCTTAATGTCGAAGATCAGCTTGGAGTTGGCGGGGATGCCGGGGAGGGCCTTCTTGCCGTAAGCAAGCTGGGGAGGGATGGTGAGGCGACGCTCAGCACCGGGAGCCATACCGGCGACACCGATGTCCCAACCCTTGATGACCTCACCGCGACCGAGCTTGAAAGTGAAAGGCTTGCCCTTCTTGTTGGAGTCGAAGACCTTGCCGTTCTCGAGCTTGCCAATGTAACGCATGGCGACGGTGTTACCGCTCTTGGCAGCAACGCCCTTACCGAGCTTCTTGTCATCGATGGTGACACCACGGACCTCCTTCACTCCGAGAGTACCGGTAGGCTTGTCACCGGAGGGGGTAGGACCCTGCTCGAGGTTCTTGGCGAACTGGACCTTCTTGTCGGTCTTGGCCTCCTTCTTGGCCTCCTTGGGCTCAACAGCGGCAGCATCACCGTTGTTCTTCTTGAGCTTCTTCTGCTGGGCCTTGGTGAGAACGGGCTCCTCCTTGGTAGCAGTCTTCTTGGCACCCTTAGCGATCAACTCGTCAAGAGTCTCCTCCTCGGCAGCGCGCTTGTTCTTGCCCTTCTTGCCCTTAGCCTCAACAAGCTTGGGGGGCCTCCTCCTCGCTGTCAACCTCAGTGATGCGGGGGTCATCCATGCCGTCCAGGTCGTCACTCTCGTCGCCATCCAGGGCAAGGAGCTCCTCCATATCGAGCTCCTCCTCATCGGGAGACAGGTCGTAGTCATCCTCATCATCGTGGTCATGGTCGTGGTCGTGGTCGTGGCCCTCATCAAGACCAATGACGTAGTTACCAGTGAGGTAGACGGTGTGGTTACCAGTGACCTTGAAAAAAACTTGCTCACCCTCGCAGACAGTGATGTCCAGAGTTTGCTGGCAGTTCTATGAGTTTGTTAGTCTTGAATTTCTTGATAAAGAAGTCAGGAAGAGGGAAGAAACAATTTTACCTTCTCGGGGTTCAGAGTACAGATGACACTCTCGTCGAGGTCAAGACCCTCATCGGACTCATCGTCGGAGTCCTCGTCATCCAAAGCGGGGCCCTTGCCCTTAATAAGCTTAGAGATAGCGGCCTTCAGATCAAAACCACCATCGCTCTCATCATCGTCCTCATCCATAGCATCTTCGAGTTCCTTCTGGGCAGCAGCTTGCTTCAACTTGCGAGCCTTCTCCTTGTCACTGGGACCACCGTTGACCTCCTCGTCGTCAGAGTCCTCCTCATCATCCTCCTCGTCGCTGTAGTCCTCATCGTCCTCATCATCCTCATCGAGGTCGAGACCGGGAGGAGCGCGAACAATCTTCAATGTGGCGCGAGCGGGCTTGCTGGAGTCGCCATCCTCGTAGTCAGGCTCCTCATCGGGATCGATGGCGGCCATGCTGACACGGAACTAGAATGTAAGTCAGTATATGATGCGCTGTGCGTCAAAAGTTTTCATACTGACCGAAGCGGCGGCATTGGGCACGGCGGGAACCATAGCTCCGGGAGGAACCCGGAGGGCGTAGACTGCGACAGGCTGGACAGCAGACATTTTGAATGAATTGAGAGAAATATGAGATACAAATGGAAAAGAATGTCAAAAAAAGGGGAGAAGTAGAAAAGGAGATGAACCACCGAGGAAAACAACAAGTGGGTGAGAGGAAGAAAGGATGCGGACCCCAGCAGCAGAGATCGTCCGGGCAGAAGCTTCTGCTTTTTTTTTTTTTGCCTGACTTTTCATCCAATGAGATGAAGATAATCCACACCGCTTTTTTAATATTGATGATGTAATCTGGTTCTGAGATAATGCCCATGGTGGCCGCTATCGCCTTCCGTAGACATTCTGCCATTGACGCGTGAATTGGCCGCGTTCCCATCTATTATCGAAAAACTTCTATCACTGTTTGATCGATCTTGGTCAGAGAGGCTTAGCCCAGTATGGGCTCTCGTCTCGAAGAAAATTCAGATGCTATGCGTAAGCGCATTGAAAACCGCAAGTCTCCTCTCTAGATGCCTTAATTAGTACCACTATCTAATCAGAACCGTGATATAGATGACTTCCACGATGAAACTGGCGAGGAGTATGAAGCCTCCAGTTTCGGAGGGTTTTCAGACTATATGCGACGTAAAAAACTCAAGCTGCAAAATCTAGATGCAGAAATCCGAGCAAATTCCGGGGATTGTCCCCAAATATTTCGTGGCATCGTCGCGCACGTCAATGGCTATACTCAGCCTTCCTTACAAGATCTCCACCGTTTGATTGTCAGTCATGGCGGAGGTTTTCTTCAGTATCTAGATGGCAAGACAGCGGCAACTCATATCATTGCGAGTACCTTGACTCCCAAAAAATGCGAGGAGTTTCGTCGATACCGCATTGTGAAGCCCTCTTGGGTCACTGAGAGCATCAAAGCCGGTCGACTACTACCCTGGAATGACTTTCGAGTTGTTGATGAGGGCCAATCTCAAAAGGTCCTGAAGTTCGGTGGTGGACGCATTAGCAGCCAAGCAAGTACACCTCGATCGGGCTACAAGGACCAATCCAGTACAAGCTGGTACAATACTCAACTTCAGGCAATGGGTGCGGATATGACTTCTAATGAACGAACTCGAAATCATACTACCCCCTCAAAACCAACCCCATCAACACCTACTTTGCCACTTCAGTCTCCTCGATCAAGTAAACGCCATCGTTCTAATTCACCTGTCGCCAATGATATCAAGGCCACTCATTCAACAGAATCCCAAAGCACTCGATCACATATCATGAAAACTCCATCAAAGAGTGCCCCCTACAGCTCCAAATGAAGATCCAGATGAATTGGAGAGTCCTCGTAAAGACGATTCGGCTCGAATCCAGGTCGACCCAGTCCTGAGCAATAGTGCACATAAACCCTTGAACTTATCCGGGTCTCAGTTCATTATGCCCCCTGCGCCGGAACCCAAAAACACACCTGCGCCTATGGGAGACATTCGATCAAAACTAGGTGCTCAAGCGAAACCTCGTGATAATGGATCTCCTTGTCCTACCCGTGAAACACCGGAGGCTTCTTCAGATAGGAGAGAAAATCTTTCTACTCACCCTGAACTTGATCCCGAAACTCTGGCTGCATTACCAGAGGATATTCGCAAGGAGGTTCTAGAACATTACAATCAGATGTCTGCGCAATCTGAGTCAACTTCACCACCAGCCCCTCCGCCATCGTCGACGCCAATGCGGCCATCTCCGTCGCAAATAGCAGGATCCAAAAGATCTGCTTCGCCACTGAGGAAACCTAGTCGGCCATCTAAATCCGGAACGGGCTCTACGAGGACATTGATGCAATTGGGATTTGTTTCACGGCAACCCACTACCTCGACCCCTGATATTAATTCCACGCCCAAGCACTCAACAGTATCAGCAACACAGCCACAACCATCATTACCTGTACCCATTTCAAATGAACAGAGTCCCCATTCTGAAAAACAAAACCTCGACAAAGATACAAATGAAACCAAATCCGACCCATCTGATCGACCTGTCTTCACATCTAAGGGACTATCAAATATAGATGATCTTCGCGACGCCATTAGTGCCTGGCATTCAGCATTTACAGTTGATGGACCATATAAAGACGATGTGGAGGCACTTTGCACATATCTCCGCCGAGTGACTACAGAAGAGAAGGATGTTGATAAGGCTGTATCGGTAGTTCGTTGGCTTATGTGGCTTGTTGATCAAGATTCTCGTCAAGGGGAGAAGGATTCGAAGAGTCAGGTTGAAGAGGATGTTGTTACCTGGCCGGATGCTATTCGAACTATGCAAAGTAGTGTACAGTCTGCGTTGGAAGCAAGAGGGTTACCTGTGGTCAAGTTTGAATAGTGTTTACTACAGATGCTTGACATTCTCATGTCGCTATGATAATGAATAATGCAATAATTTACTTGAATAGTATGCACCTAGCTACTAGTAGTATGGGGAAAAAATCTGCCAGTAGCTAGAGATGTAATTCGTCAACTGGTATGGATCACCTTTTCGTCCTATGTTAACAAACTGACAGTATTATGGGACCAAAGCCTCTGGGGGTTGATGTACGCTAAAATCCAGCTTTCTGATATCTACTGGGCTTGTGGTTTAGTGGTATAATACTCCCTTAGCATGGGAGTGGTCCGGGGTTCGATTCCCCGCGAGTCCATCTTTTTGTCGATCTTCCCTCCACTCAATTCAAGTTGTTAGTTCAGGAAGAGTGGTTTTTTGGGGTGAATTTTCTTTTTCTTTCCTGTGTATTCAAAATTCCAGGTCATTAATGGTCCCAGGTTTAGAGTAAACTTGATCCGAACATTCATAGATGCCAAACCCGCATCAAGAAATTTTTTGATGCACCCGGCAGATTGTGAGGTCACGACCCAGTTATGTAGTATATATAAGCGGGAACGACGGATCCATGGACAACGTGAAGACTCGGACCATCATCACCTTCAAGTGGGAAGAAAGTAGCAGTATGTAAGGGTATCTTATTCAGACAAAAGTTAGAATAGTCTCTAATGCAAAATTAGTCTAAAAATGACCGCGCATAAAAACAGACATAGGAATCGGTAAAAAGCACCGAACCTTGGAAGCAGAGATAATCCCCGTCAACTGAATGGACAGAGTCCACCCCCACTTATCCCTGCAGGTGGACACAAGGACCAAGGTAAGCGTATGTAGCTCAAGTTGTCTAGAAATTGAAACCAGACGGGTCACTTGGGAAACTTGACAGAGCCTGCAAAGGAATCAGTAAATATCCATCTCGAAGAGACACAGAACAAGTGACAAAACATACCCATGAATCAAGCTGAGCCCACCAAATAGACCCCTCAAGACTCTCAAGCAGTCCTGCATCCTCTATCGGGTTGATACCAAGCTCAGGAGGCTGTAACATGGCCGGCATACTCGCAAAATCAAGACTCTGCGCATCGAAATGAACGGATCTATCAAGCCCCTTCGTGTTTCCGGGACTCAGAACCAGATGACGTGCTTCAGACGCAGCAGGTGTCTGATCGATACTACTAGCCTGATCATCTGATCCAATTTGACGATGCACTTCACGTCTAAGCTCCTCAAGAATAATGCTATATCGCCGACTAGGACAATTCTTCCGTGTTGCTTCAGCAAGATGCTGCTGACATGTCTGTGCCAGAACAAAGAGATAGTGCATTTTATCTGGATCTGCAGGGCTTCCCGCCGATGGACTTGGGGCTGTGGATTGGCGGTGCTGCTGGATGATATGGATGTAGACGACGAGAATCGCACAGAAGCACACATAATGTGTGAACCAAAATGATTGGATGAATACTTGTTGCTGGGCCAGACCATCTATTAACGTCATCGTGTCTTCGGCTGCTTGGATGCACTTTTGTACATGTGTGCTGGCCATCGATGAAGGATCTCGTGGTCGGCGACTAAGATCGGTGAAGTCGCTTAGGAGAAATGACCGGGTGACATGAATCATGGCGTGAGAATAGGCTAGTTGCAGAACTTGACTCTGGCGACATAGTGGTGGGATTAAGCTGGTAGGTCGGACGCTGTTGAAGAGAGGAGGAACACTTTCCTTCCATCTTTCTAGTTCTGATGTAAGGCGAATGGCGGTGTCAAGTGGTGAAGCACCAGAAAGGGGATTGATGCTATAGAGTTGGCGGGAGATTTCGCCCAGTATACGACCAAGCCTGTGACTGTTAGTGGGAAGCACTATGTCTTAGCAGTAGAGCCGTGTCTCTTACCGATAATGAAGGACAGAGGCAATCATCATGCTGTCTGTAGATCCTGTTCGGCGCGTTGGATCTTCTTCTAACAGGTCCTCATCATTCATCTCATCCGGCAACTCTTGATCTATGTCTTCATCATGAAGCAGTCGAGGGCGTCCAAACATAATACTTAGATATTTATCTAGTGTATATACGCTCCAAAATATTCGCTTTCGAAGCTCAAGCTCAAGATATGAACATCCCTTTTTTGACCGTTTAGCGGGCCACTTGCGATGAAGGCCAAGTGCTGTCACGACCTGCAACGCGGTTCCAAACGAGTACCAACACTCATTGGCTCGAGAGGACGATAGGAGATAGAGACACTGTATCAATCGTACCTGAATAGTCTCTAACCGCGGAGGACCCGATTCCAGCGAGGTCAAATATTTGGAAACTGTGAACCAATGTTCACTTTCATCCGAAGGTTATCAGTCCGTCGTCCAAAAGAAATAAATCCAAAAACAGAACTCACCTTTTACTATGGACATTCATCACATCCCCAGGTTGAGGATCTTGATGAAGTGTGCTTACGGCAAAAATCATAAGAACAATCGCGGTGCGGGCCAGCATATTCCCCACAGGAAGATTTGATATAGAGATGTCATCCTCATACATCTGCCGAACCCAGCCCTCTACATTGCCTCGATGTAAAAACCGGTAAGTAACCATGGAGAAGTCAAAGTAGATAGCAATCAGTTCCATGGCCTTCTCAATGGACGGCAAATCAAAGTCCGAGTTCGCATGATAGACATACGGCTTATCACCAAACATGAACACCCCAGTATTCTTCGACGACTCATTCTGAATTTCATCAGGGATCCGCGTCTCATCATGATACAAGCGCCTCCAAACACGATTAATAAACGAAACCCCGGACGCGGGACCAAGATAATTTCCTTCAAAATCCGTAGATCCAGGCTCCGGTGAATTCCGTAACGAGATCGCATGATCAATATGACTCGCAGTAGCCCTGAAACTACTCACAGAATCCCTGATAGAAGGATTCCCCTCACTGCCTCTGGAGCGGGAACCGCCTGACACCCTAGCATCGGAGGACCTCCGCTGGTCCGGCGCCACGGGGGTAGTGGGCGAAGCAGGTAAAGGCGCTGGTGGCAAGCCTCTCGAGTAAGCTGCATTATATTCGCATGGCAGCGATAGGCGCGTACACCTTGTGCATGGAAGCGTGCCTGTGCATTTAGTTTTTTTGGTCTTACATGAATCGCACGCCCTGGTCGTCTTTTGACGGGTGGCGGCATTTTTTGTTGGTGACAGGACGGAACCAGAATCAGACGCCTTTCTCTTTCGAATCGATATTGGCGCTACATCGATAGCCCCGGTTGATTCCTCGTCTTCGAACAATCCAGACCCTTTCGACCCTTGCGTGGCTGTGCGGCCCACGCTACTAGTTGGAGCCATGTCAAGATCGGCGTTGGGCTAGCTATGAAGCGGCACATGAGCGATACTGCTTCATTCTAGAATTTGAAATTCTTTTTCCCCAGTCCTTTCAAGCAGTGTGTTTGTGCTTCGAATTTTTTTTCCCACCTTGGTAGAAGCGGAAACTTGAGATGAGGGGAAGGAGAAGAATCCGGGGAGGTAGAAGTGGAGTGGAATCCCACGCGGTGTGCGGCCGAGGGCTCCACCTTTAGCCCCAGATTCTTTGATGGGTTGGTTTGTATCGATAAATGATAGATTTTATTCTTTTTATTCCCCTCCAAACATTCCGATCAGATACCACACGGGATATATCCACACAGCTACTCTAGAACTAGACTAGGGGCTGCACAGTAAAATAATCACCTGAGTGATCAGCACTGCAGAAGCGAGGTGACCATTGCGCATTTGGCAGTGGCCAAGTTCAGGTACCAGTGCATATCCCCCAAATTCATCACACCCGCGACAAGCTGGGATGATCGCAGCCCGGGCTGAAGAGTAACAAGCAAGTAGAAAGCCATGTTTTAATAGCATATTGGATTGAAACCTGCAAATGTGTTATGTTGTTCACTCGAGGCCGAATACGGCCGTGGTTTCAATAGTTCGTTATTCATACTATAGCAGAAAAGCAAAACTAATCTTATATACATGGACCTTGGAAATCATCCGAAGCCTTTCCCCGCGAGTTCGCATTAAAACTGGCATATTAGAACCATCCTTACTAGACGCAAAATGCGGGTCTCTGAAAAAAAAAGACCCAAATTAGAAATCAGTAAAAAGCGAGAAAGACCCAGGGTGCCAGGTATCAATCGAATGTTACAGTGATAGTGAGGATCTCCAGGGCTGGCCTCTAGACGATCGGTGGCAAATATGCGCGTGTGAGGTTTCATCCAGCTGATCTTGGTCGCAAGCCCTTGCGAGATTGGCGCCGAATATCGCGAGCGAAATTATTGCCGCAACTCTTTTCCGGTGTGTTGATCAGCTTCGCTTCGGTACCGTCCGACATTGGTCTCCATAAGCGGAACTCAATTCTAGGACAAGATCCACAGATTTCGTGACGAAAATGATAGCTCAACGCATTCCGTGTGATCGGAGCGCACGGTTGTTGAAAGGCAAGACAAGCATAACTCCGATGTGGGGATGTTCATCAGCTTGAAATTTCCAGGTAATAGGATAGGATGAAAGCCCTTCGGAACTCGGGAAGCCACCAGAAAACCTCGTATAATTTGTATGGTGTCTTTTCCTTTGGTGTGACATGTCGCAAGTGATCCCTCGAGGCACTGAAAAAGCACGGGGCGACAGATACAGGACTAGGGCTGGGTTTGAAAAAAAAAGAAGAAAACAATGTACAAATGCTTCAAAGCGATGGTTTGTAAAATGATTCTTTATCGGGAAGGTTTAGTGCACATATATCTCTCCGACATCTGGAGAAAGCATGCCACACTTGAGGGTTGCATATTGGGTAATGATCCATAGACCTTGCAAACCCCCTGGAGAGTAGATAAACGATTGAATAAGAGTTCGAATGTCAAGTCTCCGAATAAGATCCAGATACTAGGAAAAAAAAAAAGGGAAAAGAAAAAGGAGCAAACGAAGCTAAGAGGAAGAAAAACAAACAGCCATCAACTTTGAGGGTATATATATCAAAAGTTGTTGGTTTTTATGGCATGAAATCGGCCTCTTAAGGCGTGTACTTCGAGGCTGATGCGTATGCGACAGGTCCAGTTGGGACGATCAAAAACTGTGAGTCACTCCAATGGGATGCAACGCTCCTGGTATAATGCGGGAACAAGATCAACGGGGATCATAATAAGGACTCATTTGATCATTTATCATTTGATGTTCCATCGGATGATGCGATGGCCTGGTAGGTTGCAGGTGGGAGCGGGCCTCGAGAATGGCATTGCGAATAGCATCGTTTGAACCCCCGGAACGAATGGTGTCGACGACATGCTGTACATGTATGGAATCCGGGTCAAAATCCCGAAAGACTCCTAACAAATCATCCAAAAACGTTCGTAGGCTGTCAAGTTCCTCTTGGGTTTTTCTCGCCGCGGCCTTGCGGCGTTTATCGGATAACTCGTCGAATATGCAATCACGGCCGTGTGCCTGACACTCGGAGCAAGTAGGCAATCCGCTACACTAATTTGAAGAAAGAACGAACGTCAGACATACGTAGATGTGTATTTGGATTGTCATCGGGACTCGGATAAGAGAGAGAAAAAAAACGAGGGGCAAAATGAAGAGAGAGAAAAAGGACAAGAGGGAAAGGGAGGGATCTTTCTGGGGGGGAATAGTCTATCGCGTACCCTCGTGCGCCTTTTCTGACACTCTTTGCACGCGGTTGAGGCTCTTTTCATTCGACCATCCTCTGGAGGTCCACCACCCGTAGGAGGCTGATGCCCACCTCCACCACCTGGAGGGAAAGTCCGTGGGGCAATGGGCCTAAAGGGCCGGGCTACGTCGCCCATCGCGAGCAAATAAGTCGGGGAGTTGCAAAGGGTTGAAAAAGGAAGAAGAAAGGAATTGGAGGAAAAATGAGGAAAGGCGGGATAAAAAAAAGGATAAGAATTCCGAAAGTAGAAAGAAAGGAGCTTAGGTGCAAAGGAGCTTAGGTGCAAAGGAGCTTAGGTGCAAAGGAGCTGGAGCCAGACTAGTCTCTATCAAAGTAAGCCACCACTCTAAGACAACATATTCAATCTCATGCGAATCATATCAACAACGGAGTCGTCCGAAGAGACTCGAAACGTTAATTCGTCGGGCGCGAGGCCAGGCCCCTCTTCTCATGTAATTTATACAGGCCAGACAAGGAACGACGCACTGGTCCCTGATAGTAATAAAAAAAAAGAGAAAGTGGAGGTGGACGATCTGAGATGGGGGGGGGGGGGTAATGGGTAAAGATGGTAACAAGGAAAAAAAAAATTAAAAAGAAAACAAGAAAAAAAAAAAGAATACTGAGAGCGAAAGCGAACATTTTGAAGAGAGTAAACTGCGTGTGTGGCGGGAGTGGATCTTTTTCATGACATTCCCCTACATAGTGTTTCGGGGGGAGAGAGGGGCTACCCATTAACCAGGAAAACTCCTGTTAGCCTTAAAGACCGTGCTACCGCTAGCGTCCACAGCCAGGAACAACAGATCTACTGCTGAATTTACAGCCCCAGCACGGGGCTGTATGCAATTCGGTCTTCGTTTTTTGTAGCGCCACACGCACAGATCATTGCCCAAAAGTCCCAAACCCACAGGCAATGCACTTTCTGTGGGACTTGAAAGAATTGTTCCGAAAAAAAAAAAATTAGAATTGTAAAAATATGAAAATATGAAAAATATAAAAATAATGGATTTATTTTATTTTTATTTTTATTTTTTAATTAATACCGGTCCGAAAAAATGGGGTTGCGGAAAAGATAAACGACAGGGGGGAAAGGGGAAAAAAGGAATGCATATCCACTTTATAATATGAACAATCAAAAGGGTTTAAAATAATGTTTTTTTTCCAAGGTTATTTTATTCAATAGCATAGCCCTGGAGACCCTACTGTACCCGTGTACAACGGAAGCCTATGCTCTTTTGGTAGTGTATCCGAGTCCCCAGAGCTCTGGAGCTTCTGGCTTATACCTAAACGACCTATTATATCAGAACTAGACAATGCTGATAGGTAGTTAAGATCCCAAGGAGTTGGTCCGATAGTGTGACCTGCCTTGGCTTTCGGGCACTTCCCGGCTCCATGATTTTTGGGACGTGTCAATATCATGTGTAATCAACGTTCAATGAATCATTGTTTAAAAATGTGGTTTTTTTTCCTTCTGATCTTTAGGGCAAGGCCAAAAGAGGAACTTGGTACCAAAAAACAATGGGGAATAATGGAGTTTGATGGAGTTTGATGGAGAATTAATCGTCAGTTTTATCCTGAAGTGGATAATTAGGGAGATCCATTATGGTTCCCAGAAGGGGTTGACCCCGGAATTTATTTCCATAAAGAACGATAGGCTATGGTTGAACCAATTCGGCGTTTGAAATCAACATTTGAACGAATTTTAGCTTCGATCGGCGAATATGCACTTCCGGTATTAATAATTGGTTGATCTGAACACTGTTCTAATCTTCGTTCCAAGGTACTTATGTACTTAGTGCAAGATACCTCCAGTCTCCCCTTCACTTTACTTCAATCTTCAAAAGTGAATAATACATATAGTATTTTTTTGGCCAAAAATCTAATAATATAAATACAATGCGTATCCATTACGGAGCCCCTCTAACCGGCGGCAAATATGATCTGCATTCCATTCCACCGGCTCCAAGAGCATGGCTCAATATCCCAAAAAAGGTTAGCCGTCATCTGGCATTCCTATCGTGAAGAAAATCATCTGCATCCCCCATGCGTGGCAGGCGGGAGAAGAGGGTTCGTCGCTTACACTGACATATTTCGGATACCATTGGGATTGGTGTAAAGCCCATTAGGCTGCAGACTGTCCAAAAAAATTGGTCAATCTCCACCAAGCGAAGTTATTGACCCCACTGTGGCTGGTTTTTCCACTCAGAACTCCAATCTATGTATCTATGTATCTATGTATCTAATGTATGTATACGGGATCCATGTATGGGGGGGGGGGGAGGGCACTTACTAGTAGTATGGATGAGGGGGGCCACCTGGGTAGAGGGGCATCATAATAGTTTAACGCTTTCTGTCACGTTGCAGCGCCATTGTTTTTTGGTGCACGTTCGACGTGTCCATGTCCTTAAAAATCAAGTTCTAACGGGGCTGACTTCTTTAACAACGGTTGGCCGGAGCCTTTACCCGCACGGCCCGGACGAATGGGACATGACAGCCAAGGCGGGCCAACAACTTGAAATTCGCCACCGCTGGCGCAATGGGCGTCGTTGGTTCTGTGCCCTTCGTGAGGTAACTGTCACAATGCGATACGAGATATATGCGAGACCCTGCTAACACCTAGGTATATGTACGAGGCACGCTGTACTTGAATGACAAATCACTTACTGCCAGCTGGCTGAGAAGATTGATACTGGATTCCACACCATCGGGCACAAGGTAATAATAATTTTGATGGTCTATAATCACAAGTTTCTAATTTGTTCATTCTACTAGTTGGAATACAAGTAATTTTCATTGGAATCATTGAAAAGATACGAAGCTCCGATCATTTCGATATGTCTTGTTGGTACCACGTACTACACCGTGAAATATCCACATCTAAAATCTACAAGCCAAGAATCCCCAACGAGATCGCGGCTCTCAGATACCCCGATATGAAATTATGAAACAAAGAAAATGATCAATAATCAGGAAGCTCCGCTAAAACGGCCTACCCAAGGAAAATGAAAGTGGATCGACTACAGGGGTCCTGAGTGGTCTCGGCGAACAATTCCGCAGCTTCATTATCCCAGCTCTTTCCCACTCACTGCAGCTTTCGCATCCATGACTCACTCAGCGCACTATCCAACCCTCAACCTTGGAAGTATGACATAGGAGGGGGGGTTTCTGAAAGTTTAAATTACATACAAGGTGCCCAACCCACTTGTCCCATAGGGGGTATCAACCGGAGGGGGAGGGTGCGCCACAATTCACGTTGACGCTTGCTGATCCTCAGGATACTTGTTCCGAGATCGAATCAATTAATCAGGACTAGCCGAGCAGATTCCTCAGCCGAGTCGCTAGCTCTCATTCGAGCGTTTTCTCGTTTGGGCGAAATGCAACCCGGCCCAACAACCGGGTCACCAAGATACACTAAACTCGGATCGGTCCCTGCTACTGTGCCGGAATGGAGAAGCTTTCTCTGTCAATCTCCGCTAATACCCATTCTATGGGTGATGATCTCTGTGGAATGCCCCTTTTGTACTCACACTCCTCCGTACTATGCCGCTGCTTTGATTAACGGCACACTAGTTTCTTGTCTACCAAGGTGAAATTAAGGAAACTAATATCGATGATTTTCAAGGTATATGTAAGGAGCTTTCAAAGTCGGTTACTTGGCAATACCATCCACACAGGGTAATGCTGCTGCTGCTCTTCTCCTTGGCTGGTCCTACTGCTAGTATCCCCATACTTATCCATGGACAGAGATGAAGAGCCCACATAGTTCAATGCTAGATATTCCCTCAAGGGTTGTAGGTCAATTTGAACAAATGCATGTGCAAGATGCATAGATTCTTTTTATAAACTGATACTAGTACATACATACGAGTACGAAGTCTCTACGAGTACTAGTACGTAGGGTAATGTCACGCTGAGCCCTCATTACTACCAGTCTGTTTAGCAGATATAGCTAGGTACATTATCAGAGTATATAATGCGTTGTTCTAGGAACATTTTGAACTTAGTACATCATCCAGCCTGAGATTCTAGTATGTGTGTGTGATAAAGCCCCTCTCTAGTCCCGAGTCAATTCCCTACCAGGAACATGGACACCTGATGGCTGAAAATCAATTCAATGGCGAGTGCCAGTTTGCATCATCATCATGATCCACAACTTCACGTATATGGAGCAGCACGAGAAAATATATATTATTCCAAGGTTTCAATTGTAATCTCTCTTAAAAGAAAATAAGAGAAAAAGAGTAGGTAACAGTCCAAACTTCTCTGACAGAGTTCAGACTGATACTTCAGGAAAAGAAAAAATAAGATCAAAAAGAAATGCCCTCATCCAGACTCGAACTGGAGGCCTGCGGATATCGATCCTGTTACCAGGAACTTCATATATAAGATATGAGACCGCCGTCATAACCACCTAGACCATAAGGGCTGATTGTTGAATAGCAGCTCCAAATTAGGATACAACAACCAATTAAGCTCGATAGACTTAAAAATGTCAAAAGTGACCTCGGAACACTATTCCTAACTTGCGAGAATAGTTTCAATTGGTCATTTTTAATGGATACTTTGTAGGGCGCTTTGTCCGCATCAGATAAGCGCCCGGCCGATTCTCAGGCTTAGTCATCGAACGCTGGAGCTTCTAAGGTTTAACCTCACTTGGATCTATTCAAACATTGAAAGTATACATCTATTTTCTGTAAGACAACTGAGAGATAAATTTTGCTGCTGCGGTGGCGAAATTCGTTGGAAAGCACCCAGGTGCCATCTACGGTACTCGTCCACTGGTAGTTCTCCGTACCGCTGTCCCTGCTTGAAGCACTTCAAGTTGATACTACTAGAGTCCAACAGCCATAGTATTCAACTTGAACCTTGAGCCTGGAATTTCGAATGCTTGAGTTTCAATAGACGTGTTTCCTATATTTTTCTAATAATCTAAGACAAAAGGAATTCATGATCTTTCTAATTTAGAATAGTCCCTCACACATTCGTATTGTGGTGCGTATTTGATAAGTAACGAATTTTCCCACTATTTGCTAATAGTGCCTACCTAGATAGTTCTTCATCTAGATTGCAATCCCAATCTTGGAAGCTTTATCTTTTCCGTCCACGTCATAATTCACTAGATGAATAGTCCGAATATCTCTCATCTGATATCGAATTTCCTTTCTCTCTTTGGATGAATCAAATGTCATCAGTGGCGTTGTAGGGCTGCCATCAGGTTACCCGGGTGTGAATAAATGGGGCCAGAAGAATCGGGATTTGATCCACAATCCGGTATTTCAAGATGTAATAAATATGTACAGAAGTATCTATATGAGAGGATGGAGACCCGAGAATACCATACTACGCAATGAAATTGCCTTCATTACTCATTGGTCCCATGGTACTCAACATTAACGTATGCGAACTTCAAGTTAACCAAATTGTAGGTATCGATTCGAAGCTGCGTCATACATACTAGACTGGGCAAGGCGCCAAAAATTGAAAAGAAGCCTTGCAAAGTTCCCCCAGTTTCTAGTTCCACTTCCATACAGTAGTCAGAACTTGAAAGTGAAAGCGAATGCAAGCCACAAGAGGGGCACTTCTCGGCGATGAAAAGAAATTTACTCTATATGCCCCTCCTCCTTGCCTACGTAGCAGTATCCACTTCGAATATTACTCTGAAATCCATAGGATGCAAAGTGGAGTGACTAGTAAACATGCCTGCCACCTGGACAGCATGTAGCGTACATATGGAGTATACTACGCTGGTCATAATACGGATAAACCAGTACTAGCACTTCATTAGAATTAGATGCAGTAGACATATTCCAAGGATTTATGGGATCAATAGATCCGGTTAACCGAGAGAAGAAGCGGTCAATTGAGATGGTACTTTTGGTTAGACAAGGCGGTTTTTGAGTGTGGGCTTAAAAACCCAAGTTATGGAAATATTATCCAGACGCTCCGCGCATTAACCTTAGGGTTCAATTTGGGATACACCTGCTACACCAGGATAAAAAAAGTCTTATTAGGGCTGATCATTCTCATATATATGGAGACAACCTTTGGGTTTACTATAGTATGTAGAGTATAATGCAGTCTACAAGAGGTTCGCATTCGATTGAGGGGCAAGAAAGTGGCTTCGAAACGAGGTGCAGCTATTATGCCGTCATTTCTCGCGTGTCTCGGCATATGATTGGACCGAGCCGCATATACGTATTTTGTCATGAAGATATTCGAGTTCAGTATCGTGTGAATCTTCATCTGCATCTCAGATGTATGCATGCGCACGAGAAAGTCAATCAACCGATCATAACGCAGAAGCTAGCTCGGGGTCTGCTTAGGAAGATTAAGTTTACGTCAATGGCTACGGAGTAACTCAAAAAAGAAAAAGAAAGTCATACCCATATTGTGTATTGTGCATGGATGGAAATGAGAGTGTGGGACAAAAAAAAACTCGGAAATATTAACGTCGAGTTCCTCATACGCCAGTTCGGATCGAGTCTCTACCTGGGTTACTAGTATGATACCTGATATGTACTCTATCCTAGTTGGGATTATTCAAGAGAAATCACTAGCTACGGTTCTCGAAACGCCCATGTCATTTTCCCCCTGCGTATCGATGAACATCAGAATGTCGACGCCACGTCGGTCCCAGTTCCCAAAACGAGTAAATCAAACTAAAGAAACATTTGATTTCAACCCTTGCCCCGGGTGACAGCTAACCCTTTGGGTCTGACAACAGCCACATGTCTGTGGACCCGCCCTCTAGTGTACTGCACTAGTCTACCCGGTTCATCGCCGAATAGGCGGGTCAATTGGTGGTGTTTTCCCAAGGATCCGAGGGATTGGAACAGGGGAGGAATTCCCATCTGTTCATTTGCCCATCGGGATTAACAGACAGATGCATACATGTATATTCTCATCCTAGACAAATTTTCAGTTTCATACATCATGTAACTACTTTCTCACACGTGCAGTGGCCCCTCACCGTTCGTAAAGTGGAACAATTCTTAGTGGAAGCACAGAATTGCATAAGATCAACGAGGGGCCATGGAGCTAAGCCACGCCGGGATTTGAACCTATGTAGGTTCGGAGACCACTGTGTCGGGTTATGGATCATCAATACAAGATCATTTGGTGAGTTGGCACGGGAAAAAGTGATAAGCAACTAGAAGTTTCTTTGAGCTAATCTTATAAAGTAAAACGAAACAGCTGTAGATTTGAAAAGGGTATTGAACATAAAGGGATAACAGGACGGATTGCAATAATCAGAGATGTGCAATATGTACTAGTGGCAGAATAAGAGATTGGAGGGGGAAAATGGAAGCCGTACAAGGTTGACAGAAAAGTCGCAATAGCAAAGGCCGTCTCTCATGTCTCGCAGAATTTGAAATCAAGCGAGGATCCATAGAAATCAATGCACCATAAGATGCAGAGATGCCCAATATACAGTCCCATTCTCTTTGAAAGTGGAGACAGTTAATTTAGTAGATCGGACGGCCCTCATCCCAACGGCGGGCTTGTCTAGGACTAGTAGCCAGGTCGTCCTTGCCGCCGTTATCAGCCACGTGATCATCGGCGTTCCGGCTGAGCGGAGAAGACAGGGATACTCGACCACTTCGTCGACGAGCACTGTCTTCGATTTCGCCGCTGTTGCCGCCGCTAGGACCAACGCTTCCGATACCGCCAACCCACTCCCAGCTGCGGGCGACATCACCACTGCGGCCTTCACGAATAGCGGAACGTACATTAGCGTTGCCTTCGACAATTCGGCCGACTCGACGCCACAATTCTTCGCGCCGCTTGCCCTGTAGCTCGAATCGAAGGACGTCATCGCGCAGCTGCCCTATGGAGATGTAAGGCTCTCCGGCTTTGTTACCGGCATGGAGAGCAGCTTGTGTGGCCAAACGGTCCAAAGTAATAGCAACTAGTTCAGGCACACGCGCAATATCTGATCGCCGGGCGAGAACCCGAGCGCGAGCATATATGAGACCACCAATGCTTAGAATTAGAAGTGAAAGAGGGAGTCTATACGCGAGGAGAGCGAGTCGAACGTAGCGGCGGGCCGCGCATGTGAAGGGGAGTCGTGCTGTGGATGTTGATGTGAGGATGAGGACGGCGGAAGGTCTGTGATGACGATGTCGCCTCTGTTAGTTCCGGTACACAATGTCAGAACCAAGACCTTCAATATGAAATAGGTTTCGGGATATGAAAATCCGGAACGATTATCGTAGACAAATAAAAAGTGACAAGAATATGCCCTCCATCAGGGAAAAGAGTGAAGACTTACTGCTTGGTGTTGGTCACAACTTCATCTTTACCAATGATTTCTCCAATAGCTCCTTTCCAGAGGTCATCGAACTCCATATCACTAAGACCCTTGCGGCGCTTCTTTGCAACCTCTTCCTTGAGCTCCGGTTCACTGATCTCAGGAGATGGCTCTTTGCCTTCTTCATTCAATTGACCGCATTCCCACTTGGCTCTGCGATCTCGTAGCTCTTCTACAGCCTTATCTGCGACAGCCTTAACACGACGTGCCTTCTCACTATCGGCTTCACATGTTGGAGGTAGAGGAACAAGCCCATTCAAAGAGAGAGGATGAGACTTGAGAATGAAATCATGTTCACAGCGTGCCTCGAACTCCGGGTAACAAAAAGCATGGGGAGGACATGGCTCACAGCGTGGCTCCAAGACATTGGCCCATTCGGGGACATTAGTCTCAGCCAACGACCAAGTAGGCTTTCCAAGACCACAGTATCCAATTTCAATCTTTTCCTTGCGCCACCAAGCACCGAAGCCACCAAGCACTGCAAGAATCACCAGCCAGGAAGCTACTACGCTTGAAGAGCCTTGCTTGGTAGGGCGTTTTCGGACCTGGGTGAGTGGTGCGTATTGCTGGGTTTCAAGAGCAAGCTGCTCCTCGGGTGTGAACTCTTCTCCGGCGCCAAACTCGCTCTCTTCATCGGATTGCTCTTCAGATTCTTCAGATTCCTCCTTTGTGGGTCTCAATCGGGGTGTAAAGTCGAAAGATTCCCTCGCGGGGGCCATGATGCCATCCTCCTGTTTGATGCTAGCAGGAGTAGCAGACTTCCGTGACCGCAGTCCACTCTTTATCGGACTTTCAGTTGATAGGCGTCCACTGCTCCGACGCTTGCCATCGTGGCTTGATGTCCTGCTTCGTAGGATATCAGACGGGCTGCCACTCTGGAATGGGTTATCGTCTGTAAAGCCGCTATCGTTGTTCGACTCGGTTTTGACGGTAGGTGTAAATTCTTCGGGCTCTGTTGAAGGGAGGACCTCACTACGGCGTAGCTTCCGGGCGGTAGACTTGCGGGGCGAAGCACCAACGGCGGCTACTGGAGTCGCCATCAGGTCATCACCGGTCTCTGTATCGGAAGCACGAGGGTGCTTGCCTACAGAACGCGCTACACTTGCTCTCTTAGTTTTTGCGAGAGGAGTAGACGGAGCGAGGTTCTCGTCTGTATCCGCAGTTGATGCACGAACACTGCGTCGCGACGCGCCTCGTCTTGTGGAACCAACAGTCGACGGTGTTGGGGGAGGAGGCATCGAGTCACGATCATCTCTTTCACTGGCAACCGATGAAGCCCGACTACCCATGTCTGTAATACCCGCACTTGTCCTTCTCACTCGCTCACGATCCCTGAGCAGCTTTCTGGCTCGCGGAAGGACTTCATCCTCTAGGATTTGGATCAGTTGCGCTTTCTTTGCGGAGGCAGGATAGGGCACATCATGATTGACGAGGATTGAGCGTAGGCGAGGAACTGTAAGGGAATTTAGGTCGAAATCCGCCTGCAAGTAGTCTAATTCATCCGCCATGGTGGGTTGGCGCGTGGGGGGAGTGTCGACAAATTTTTTTTTTCTCTTAGCCAATAGGCTCAGGTCGCCAACGCACGAAACAGAGGTCGTGACAGAGAGTAGCGTGGTAAGCTAAGTGAGTTTCAAGGTCACGTTAGGAAGGCCACCGATCGCTCCTTGTTCTGGAATGTTGCCTGAGGATGAACAGGGGAAAAATGGAGCGGATGTTTGTCCAGCTGTCAATTAAGCCCGACTCGGTTGGTCAGGCCCGTAGCCACGGCAACAAGTGGGGTAAATTGAAGAAGTGTGCTGCTAATGCTTCCAGCTGCCCATAAGATAGGTAGTGTCTATCTTCAGTGATACAGGTGTAGATTTGAAGCCTTCTGAAGTGGTTCATGCAGAGAAATTGATAGAAAACGAAGTTACCCAAGGTTGTCGTACGATGACGCACCTACCAAAACAAAGACACGTGACTCGTTTGCCACCACTACTAATAATAAGGGGGCATCATATGTACCTTTAACCAATTCAAGGACATTCATTTATCAGAGGAATTTATCAGAGGGCTATATTTAGTTCTTTATCACCATGATATTAATACCAGGGTTAAATCAACAGCTTCATAGGTAAAGCAGACTCCTGGTCTTCCAACTTCATTGTTTGTGCCACAGTACAATGGAGAGTCGAGACTCAATCCAACCAATCTCCGTCTTACGACTTGGTCATTGGGAAGCTCTTCTTCTACAGCATTTGAAATCTTGAAGGGGTATCTGGCTCCTTGTAATGCGAAAAATCCCACATAGTATACCTAGCCTTAACAAAAATTTGAATGCAAGTGATCGAGGCCTAGACTCGGACCTACTATAGAAACCATAGGTGGATTCCGATACTATAGGATTAAATTAAGAGCTATTATTCTCTGAAAAAATGAATGAAATTGGCGATACAATTGTATGTTTTGAGTTCTCAACACTGCTCAGTCGTAATTCGACTTCCACCCTCGTACTATTTGACTTTGCTGGACAATACCACATGAAGTAAAAAGGACCCCACGAAATGACCTATCATCACCCCGTTGATGAGGAAAAGGATGGTGAAGGTTATAGTCTGAATTTGATATTTGACTGTATTAACGTCAAATACGTTGGCTTCGGCAGCAAGAATGAGACCTTGGCTAAACGACGGAGCATCAAAGTGGTCATGCCAGTAGCTGTGGCATGAATCATCCATGCTGCAAAATCTACCATTATCACCGCTAGCCCTCTCTACAGTTATCAATTCATTACCGAGATGATCAAGAGCACATGCGCAAGTCCAACTCAAACTCTTGTACAATTACTCGGATCCACAGAGCCCACTCCAATCTGGATTATGCCAGTCAAAACCACGAAAGTGTCTCTGTACACTTATGGGCCAACTCCGAGTCCCCAACTTGCCCGATTATGGTTATTTGATATGAACAGCAGCTCCAACTGTATTGGCTCACGACCTCTTCTGGTAAATTTTATTTTGGAAGACAGATCGGGCCCAAGCCCATGTGGCACTTCTGATCTCCAATACATCCGCGTCGAATCGAGATTTTGAAACGGGCCAGAATCGAGCTCGACCACGCTATCCCGGCTCAGACAAAACACATGAAAAAAGGATATTCTGCTGTTCTGATTCATTATTTTGAAGCAGATCATGCGGTGGTACCATGGCATGGAACACATTGTCTCATCATGGGCAGGCTATGCAGATCGAATCAAATGTAGAAGATTTGTTAGAAATGATCCGAAACGAAGCATGATATCACATTCTACTACTTTCTTTACAGGATCTCCGGATTTTTCTAAATTGGAAATCATAATTTGGACCCTGAAACTCGATCTGCAAATGGAATCAGGCAGGAAATCAAGAGGCTGGGCTGGACCCACATATACCCTGCGCCCGCGGTGTATCAACATCCTTTTTTTGGTGGGATTATTATATCATTGGGATCCATAAAAAGTTCAAGTACTTGTGGGGAAAGACTCAGAAGAATAATTGATACATATTTGTTGCATATCTTGTATAATTATTGTTGAATACAAGGCATGGGATGGAATATAAGATGATGTTAGTACCCGAGACCCTTGAATGAGCCCTGGACCCTGGAACTAACGTGGCTGGATCTGCATGCTGATTGGTCTAAATAGAAATTAAGACCCACGGTTGACACGGAGTATTATAATTCGATTGGAGCCGCAGTAAACCTTGAATGGAAACCGCCCAGATGTGCGAAACCGCCAGAAATCAAGGTGGCTGGCACTTTCCCCCTATAAAGATAAATAGAAAAGTGCCTCAACCGGCAAGTACCGAGGACAAAGATCAGACGACTGCCACCGGGTAGATTGTGTTTCTTCTGTTTCTCTTTCTGTTTTATTTACTTTCTGTGCAACTCCCCGCTCTCTGTTCCCCAACCTTTTAACACATCTATCTTCACGTTTACTATCAAGCTTGCATACCACATTCATATCCAAAGCTCTTACCCACCATGCAGTTCACTCTTGGTGTGGTTTTTACCCTGGTCCTGGCCGCTATGGTCTCGGCCCAGACGTACACCAGCTGCAACCCACTTCAGAAAAGTATGTTAACAGACCTCATCCTGATATGCATCGAATTCAAACTTGAAGATACTGATCTATATAATTCACAGGCTGTCCAGCAGACCCCGCGTTTGGCAAGGCCGGCCAAACCTTTGACTTTACCTCGGGCGCATCGTCTGCATTTACTGCAACTGGAAGCGTGACCTTTGATTCTACCAATGGCGCAGCGTTCACAATTGCCAAGCAGGGTGACGGTCCTTTGATTCAGTCTAACTGGTACATCATGTTTGGTAGAGTTGAATACACTATCAAGTCTGCGCCTGGTACTGGTATCGTGAGCAGTGCAGTGCTTCAGTCTGATGATCTTGATGAAATTGATTGGGAGTGGCTTGGGGTTGATAACACCAAGGCCCAGACCAACTACTTTGGCAAAGGAGACACTAGTACCTACAGTCGCGGCGCCTTTAGCGACAATGCTGGGAACCACGAATCATTCCATACTTACTCTGTGGATTGGACTAGCGAGGAGATCGTTTGGGCCATTGATGGCAAGACCGTCCGTGTTCTCACCCCATCTACTGCAGACACAAACCAGTACCCACAGACTCCAATGATGATTAAGGTTGGCGTATGGGCTGGTGGTGATCCAAACAATGCAAAGGGTACCATTCGTAAGTGCACTGGCGACTCTGGGTTCTCCCCATGTGTACTGATTTATACTAACAACATGATATGCAGAATGGGCAGGTGGTGAGACAGATTACAGCAAAGGTCCCTTCGTCATGTACATGAAGTCACTGAGTGTGACCGACTACTCAACCGGAAGCTCCTATACCTACAGCGACAAATCTGGTACCTGGCAATCCATCGTTTCAGATGGAGGCAAGATCAACGGTAACAGTGCCGCGGAGCCCGTATCAACCCAGTCTGCCCCATCCGTCACTGCGACCGTCGACATTCCCATCCCATGGAGTGGAACACACAAGGAAACTTCGTCTTGGGTCACACCCGATGTTTGGCCTTGGGTCTCCACAGATTCCCCATCAGCCACCTCAAATGGTTTCACTACTTCTGGCTGGGAATCTAGCTCTGGCCATGTTCAACCACCCGATGGGGGTTCCCTGAGTGAGCACTCCCCTCAACCCACTCTCCCAAAGGAAAAAACCACTAAGACTGAATCCATGTTGCAGTCTACATTCCTCTTTACGTCAGTAGCATCGGCTTCCTGGTCGGATTCGTTTTTCCCCTCTGGCTATAATACTGCAGCCTGGAAGAAGAACGTCACTCACACTTGGCACAGACCCACGATTCCACACACTGAGAAGTCGGGCCATGAAGGCACAGCGACTGCCGTGAATTCCCCCAGTTCCACTCCCATGCTAGGTGGCGGGGTGAACTCGATCATGGCTCCCGTCTTATTTGGCTGCCTCTGTGTCTTCTTGGGAGGCATATTCGTCTTGCTCTGAGCATGAGCATTTTTTTTCGCATTGACGACCTGTATTATTATGACTCATGATGGGATGAGATCAACGGCGTTAATGACATTTTATCTGACCCCTAAGTTTATGGGTCTATTTTATGCTTGTATTGGGGCGTTTATTGTTTGGGGACTTGAATTCTTTTTGTTTCATTATTACTACGGACCGCGGGGACTCTTTTGGTTTTTTTTCTTTTTTGCCAGTATGGCTTTTCTTTCATGTATCAATGGTTCCCATGGAGATAGTTTTTAATCAAGAAGTCCCACTGAAATGATCTCAATCCTTAGTAGCATGTAGTCCAGGTAGATTCTCTGCCATTTTGATCATCGACTGGCATCGCCTCAATTATTTTAATTTATAAGCTTAAGACTTAAAGCATTTATTACCTATCATGGACACGATAATTTAACTGTTCAGATCTGACAAACAGGCTATCATTGCTTTTTAACATTTGAAGATTAGAAGGGTTGACACAGAGACAGACAGGATTCGAGGCACACATCCAGTCAGAAAGCTCTGAAGAATACATCACATGAGAACTTGAATTTTAGTTCCAGTTTCAATACAATTAACACCCAGATTATTGCTCATTTCTACATAGTAAGTGCTGGCCATATTTTGTCTATGTGGTATCTGCAAGCCAAAACTCTCAAAGGCTCTGCTACGCCCTTCAACGCGAGCGAGCCACCCGGTCCGAATTAAAAACGACAAACAAGATGTGCCTATCAGAGACCAGCAGAAATAAATAGATAAATCAATAATCAGAACACTACAGTTGACCAGACTATTAACATAGCTTAAGAGAGTAGGAATTCCAAACAGTTGGGGTATATCATTAGACTCTTCACCCACCGCCTGAACATGTGAGATAAATCATGTCTTTTGTAGGTAAAAGGGAGCCTCAAAGTACGGTGGGAAGAACACAGAGTATTTCTAACTTGAATATACAGTCACCTCTTTCCGAGTCTTTCGTTCTTTCGTTTCTTCTTCGAGTTACTAGGTACTAGTAGTTTGGACCGTATCCAACATTTGAACCATCTCCAACCAAACATCAGTAATACTTTCAAATGTTCCTATCAAGCATTGGAAACATTGGAAATTGTGTACATATACATGTATAGCCCAGATGAGTAATTTGTTTTCGGGAAATAACCCTAAATAGGAAATTAGAGGACTTTTTAGCTATTCTTCAAATGTTGCCCCCGTGACCATGCAGTTGGCAGCATGGTTATGCGAGATGTGGTCGTGGACTAAATCCTGTCATCCATACAATGTCATAAGAGTAACCATTGCATTCAAGTTGTCAAGAACATCAAGTTTGCCAATAGTATTATAGTATGATGGCTTAGGGATGAAATTTGCTTGAGATGAAAAGTAAATAGTTCTCATTGAATCTCATAATATCATCAAGTATAACTAAGCCCCATTTTTACAGAATATTCCTCTTAGCGAGGAGTCTTGGACTGCTCTGTGAACCATCATGTCCCATAGATCATGTCATTTATCAAACCGGACTTTGGAGGGCCACACTCCTTCTATGCAGAGGCCCAAATAGTCGCTTAATTCCCATCCAAGGAGTGTTGACCGGGCTATCTAATCCAGTATACAGGAAAAAATCATATATCCAGGCACCAAATATACAGCCCAAAAATGGTGCAACCATAGGGACCTGTGAAGAGAGATAAAGTTAGCAAAGCAAACATGGTATTTGATATGAGATGCACATACCCAAAAATAATAATTTCCTGCTTTCCACACCTCTTGTCCGTACCCAAGCATGTAGGATATGAGTCTTGGTCCGAAATCTCGGGCTAGATTAATAGCATATCCAGTCTCCCAGCCGAAACATGCACCGATGCCGAAGATCACGAAGAACAGAGCCAGGGGCATTAAATGTCCCGCGCCGAGGTTGCCATCATCTTTGAGCGCAAATATCATGAACATTAATATTGCACTTGCGATAAATTCTGAGAAGAATTGGCCTGTCTTCGTCATAAAATCTACTGGGTAGGTGCAGAAGATTCCTCCAGTCGCTGTGCTCGAGTATCCTGGTACAGTGCGAATACCTGGACCGCCCTCGAAGACGTCGATCGCGGATTTGTAATTCCCATATACAATTGCAGCACCGCACATGGCACCGAGGATCTGGGAGATAGCATAGACGGGGAATTTGCGCCATGGAAAGCCTCTGAAAACACAGTGTGCGAACGTCACGGCTGGGTTGATGTGAGCACCTGAAGAGCCACTGACGTAGACTCCGAGCATGACGCCCAGACTGATGAAGAGTTGGTGTCAGGATATGAGAATCTTGTCGTAGAGAGACGAAGTGGAAGAACTTGAAGACTCACCCCCCAGCCCCAGGATATTGATTGATAGTCTCCCTTCTGGTCATGACTGAGTAATACCTGTGCGACAACACCGTCACCGAAGAGAATCAGAATCATTGTTCCGAAGAACTCGGAGAATGCATCACGACCGTACGCTCTGAACCTATGCCAAAGAGATGAAGGAGGCGGAACAGAGATCTCAGACTCTGTAGTAATGCCATGAATCATTGATGTCTCCTCTTTACCTCCAATATAGAGAGAGGTACATCCACTATCATGACTTCCAGCAGAACATATCTCTTTATGCGTATTTGACACCGGCTCAAACGTGGCATTCGGCCAAGAACTCATGACAGCTTCAAGTTGACTCGAGTCTTTTGAAAAAGAACTTTGGAATAGTCTTAATATTGCAACAAAGCACAAAGAATCGAACAAGAATCGAACAAGATCAGAAGACAAAAAACGAGTTCGCCACAGCGCGGTCTCTCAGAGATATATCAGCGGCCACCGAACATAGTCGTGTAACGAGTGCAAAGTTTTCGTGGACTTCCAAGGTTTCAAGGTTGTCTTGTCACGAATCGGCTCAATTGGACAGTACAAGACAGTGCCGGGCTCTCGGAAGAAGTGTAGTCCTTATTATTGAAATGTTCGAAGTCCGCGTGAGCATGCAGCGAGAATAGCCTCGCGGTGGCTTAATTGATATCAGCCTGACCCCAAGATGACGGGACATCTTTCCCTTTTTCATTTCTCTTCAGAGAGACTGGTATATTTGGTCAGTGGGTTGTTAGTAGAAAACAAATTGATAGCACACATTCTTTCCCTTGAAATGCGTTTGCCCGCCGTTTGAACGGGTTAGGTAGCCGTGTAGCTGGAAAACGCCGGTCAATTACTGCCAGTGATTACTTTATTTTTTTTTCATCTAATTTATTTTCATTGATTTTCTGGGGTTGGAGTTTACTCCTGTTTCTTTCACTTTTGTATTGGTGACACGGTAAGTTGCCCATTGGCATGTATGCGCTCATCCCACAAGGGGCATGGCACTTACTTATTACGGATGCGACACAGGAAAGCTTCTATGCTTCTGTTACCCATCTTCAATTTAGACCCAATTGTAATTTCTAGAAGTTCGAGCTGTCACACATCTAAGGTTTCTCAATTGGACATAGTTGGGAAGAAGACGGTCTTTATCTTGATAAACAAATACCGGACAAGATTGATCCGAATCGGGAAACAGGGAATTATTCCCGAGTGATATCACGAGAGTTGATGGTAGTATCTGATGCTTGATTTTGAATGATGACACCCATCCCAACCCTTGTGTGACCATATTATGATATTCCGAGGGTTGTAGTATCACTCCGGCCCAGCAGAAGAAATAATAGGTTGATGTAAACAAAAGTGGCATCATGTATAGGGAAACAGTTCATTCAGAAAATAATAGGAGCAAAGAATAGGAGAGAAAAAAAAAATTATACCCCACAAAAGGCCTAGATTGATGATAGCTGCATAAGCACTCACCGACAGAATAAAGGCTGGAATGGTAATAAAAGCACTGGAGAATGCGAGATTCTGATTCTAACTTACGGAGTTTCAATATGGGCTGATTCGGTTAAGGACGATATCTCACGCCCAGCCTGATCAATGCATCGGGGAAGTGTCAAATCCGCGTAAGTACAGAGAGTTTAAGTGAAAAGGTTAGGTAAGATTAACCATTTAGGACGAAATTGATTGTATTTCTCCAATTAGATGTATTTCGTGGCTCCTTTGCATCCATCAGAACTAGGACTGCTTCCCCTAGCTATGGCAATGCGGCCTGGTGCCTAATGATGCCTAAAATAGGAATTTCCTACCCGTGTGCAAATCTGGGGTAATTTCAATATTTGGACAAGGATCAGTGCCAGTGATTCCTAGGATGTGATGGTAAGTCTAGTAATTGGGCTCATTTTAGGGATGATGACTCTAAATCCAAGTCTGGCAGTGCCCAGGCTTTTACGCTATTCGGTAAATTTCCATATATTGGATAAATGGAGTGTTAAAGTCAAGTTCAGAGACTTAGAATACAAATAAGAAGTTGAAGTATGTGGGTTAAAATTAGACCGCCAGATATAAAATTTAGGCAGAAACCATGTGAGTCAGTTCTTGCGGCTGACTTTCTTAAAGAGAAATACAAAACAGTCTCAAGGCGCAGCATTTGATCATGCATTTGTTGCCAAAAGTTTGAGATAGGACATTCTCACCTCTTTTTTCCAACGCAGAAAACCTGTATTCTACCTACGAATCTCCCGGGCGTTCAAGTTGCACCGATCAATCATGTCACTGGAAACGCTAGACACGAATGGCCTTTACATACTCCTCTTCATCAGAGATGACCCACCAAAGCCCGACGAGTTCCACTGGGCCTACTATTTTCATCGTGATGCCAAGCGAGGAGGAACTAAGTACCATGTACGAGGTGTTGGTGGAGGATGGATTACAGGACACGAAGATACTCATGCCGTGATGAAGGAATTTCTTCTAGTGGGACTTTTCAAAATTGCCGATATTTCACCCAAACACCAAGAAAAAATCGATCCAATCATGAGAAGCTTTGATGGCCAGTTGAATAGACCAGAGATCACTTGTCGTGTCTGGCTTCTATGGGTTCTCGCTCTTCTTCAACGCACAGACGACGGAGAGAGAATCGTGAAGTGCGATACGTTGGATGACCTCGAGACAGAGATCAAGGATTGGGGAAACCAGCACGCTATGAGCGCTGCAAATAATGTGCAGCCGAGACCTGTGGGGGCATCTTTGATCTGTGAACTTTAAGATCTCCTATGCGCATGATATTGATATTTCAAGTCCATTGGCGATGGCACGAATCGTGCATTATTGGGTAGAATAATCATGGAGGGAATGAGAGTTGCAACTTACTCTTATGCTAGTTTTATTCCCACGTTTGACATAATGAGATGAAGAGCTTTCGTGTTGCGTATGAAACGAACATTTATCATTGCCTTCAAGTCGATAAAATCATGAGCTATAAACTACATATAAGGATTGATTTCCGTAACGATGTCTGGACTATGAAGAAACACCCGTCTGAGAGCGCGCGAAATCTTCCCCTTCTTTAGCAAACACACAATTAAATTCTGCACCAGGGCTGAGGGTAACCTCGAACCTCAGTATCGGGTCCTCAACGTGATCTTTGCCACTGACCGGAAGTGCGATGACTCGCTCGTAGGCTTGCAAGATGCGAATGATAGTATATCCCATCTCAATGGTTGCAAACTGTTGACCAATGCAAATACGAGGACCTCCATTGAACGGAATAAATTGCCAAGGACGTGGTTGCCATCCCGCCACCCAACGGTCTGGAATCCACTGACGGGGATCAAAGTAGTTCTTCGAGTCAACTCCATCATACAGATCCGGATCTCGTTGCATTAAAATGGTCGAGTAGACTAAACGGGTGCCAGCAGGAACACCGACTGGTGAACGTCCATCGGAGCCACCCCCACGAGGAAGGGTGGTATCATGTAGCGAGAAGCGAACGTTGAATGGAACCACTGGGTACAAACGCATTGTCTCGTTTATGACACCATTGAGATATTTCATTTCTTTCAGATCATTGTAGCTGGGCTTTTGGGCATCAGCACCGACACCGAGACGATCACGGATTTCCTCGCGTAGCTTGGCGACAACTTCAGGGTGTCGGGCGAGCTCAAAGAGACAGAATGAAAGGGTTCCAGCGGTAGTATCTCGGCCTGCGAGAAGGACGGCGACAAGCTGATCTCGCAGAACTCGAGGATCCCGCGTGAAGCGGGCGAGGGCATCTAGAAACGTTTCGCGCTTCGATAGCTTCTTATCTAATTCGTCAGTGGACAGAGAGAGTACAGTCTCGATGTAAGGTTGAATGAACTGGTCCATGATCTTGAGGTTTCGACGGAACTCCTTGCGTGACATGAAATTGGAAAAGACCCTGTTTCAGATTACACAGATTAGGTTCCATCGATCTAATCGGAAAATTTACAGCATCACACAGGAAATTTGCTTACCCGGCACGGAACATCTCGGCTTGTCGCTGTTGTACAAATCTGAAGGCCTCCGCAAAACGAGTCGCAGGGTTTTCTAGACTGTCTGTACCCTGACCCAGCAGATAATCTGTGGCTGCGTCGAGGGTATAGCGGAAGAACAAGGAGCCAACATCAACAACTCTGCTCGCATGGGGTGATGTACTTCCGCCAAGGAGTGGAATGAGCTTCTGGACATGCTTTTCAAAGATTTCGGTGTCGACAATTCGATCGCGAGCAAACATGGGTCGGATAAGCTGACGAGAGCGAGACCACAGCTCACCATCAGTAGCGAAGATACTGTCGCCTAGGAACTCCTTCCATTCTCGATGGAATGCTTCTCCTTTGCCGTAGTCGGCGAACTGTCCAGTCAGGAGAGCTTTGATATTCTCAGGGTCCACGGTCATGACAATACGACTGGAAACTCCAGCATCAAGTTCGGCAGTCTTCACATTTGACAGGCCACCGGCGTTCTGGATGTTTTCCTTCCAGAATTCGAGGTCGTTGTTTGCCAAGTTGGCTTTTTGACTCTTGTATATGAAATCCACAGCTAAAAGGGAAGGACTGAGTGAGCTCCTGAGTTGATAATCCAACTATGAGAGGGCGGACGTACCATATGGCAGACGGAATCTGATCTTGGGGGCTCTAGAGCCAAGACGTGCGACCCGTGCCGAAACCTGAATCATGCGAAAAATGCACGCGAATGTGAATAGCCCAAGGAGCCATAAAGCCGCCCTGCTGGGCGTCATACCCTGCAGGAGAGTCTCGATCATTTTGAAGTAACACTCTCAAGCTTCAGTGATAATCAGAAATAAGAGATCTGATATTTTGGCGAAGGTAAGCTAAAATTTGGAGTGGGGTACGTGGCATAAGAGAGATTGAGGAGTAACGAGGTTTATCTAACGGTTCCAGCCCCGGTGGAGATTGGATCAGATCTTAATATGTCATACAGTCCGCACATGCTACAGGGCACGAACCTCTATTTAGACTGCATTCAGTTCAAAATGTTCATTAAAGTTAGATGGATTGGTCCATTAACATGAAGGATTTACCACTCGGGGCACAATAGAGCCGATTCCATATAAATTATTGTGGATCATCCTATAATAGAGCTCCGGGATGAACCCGGGCGGCAAAATCCTTGATCATTCTAGGTATTCTTGCGAGGTACTTCAAGTTCCCCAGGTAGAATGATTTCATCCCGTCTCCACCCTTGATACCCATACTTTAAGATCACACTGGCATGGTCCAATACTAGTACATGCCTTCAAATTACAAGGCAGCTATAAAAACAATTGTGACAGCACATTAATACCCCCTTTTCACTCTTTATTTCCTATTTTGAACCTTGGAACCCAAAAAGTAGGTTTGAGAATCTGGGGGAGTTGGGGGTGGACCTCGGCTGCCCCATGGCCCCGGCTTCATATGATGTTGAATAGGGGATCGACATCTGCATTACAGTGGGCATAATGCATGCCAAAAATTCTCCCTAGATATATGCATTTTGTGCTTAAACGTTGATCTTTGAAGACCTATCGATGTTAGTCATACTTAGGTAGTTTACAATCCTTTACCACTACTAAGCTTCTCACAAGGACAAGATGCAAGATATCTAGCAAGGAAGTGGCTTCTCACCAAATTAACCCCCTTCTCGGCACTGGCACCATGACTTGAAGCTTATTGGACTCTATCACCCTGACAATTCTTGTAACTTGCGTCTTGGCCAGATCAACAGCTTTGGAAATAGAATATTCTGACCTAAACCCCTTTCCTGCCTTCTTGAGATGTCAACGGTGGATTTCTGACTGTGTGGGAGGGGGAAACCGGCAGTGTCCGACTTCAAGTCGTATATAACATCAACATTTGAATAATCCGGTGAAGATAATAGATAATCACCAGAGCATAATGTGGAGAAGCAAATATTTGAAGATTTCATAGTATTTAACTGGAATATTGCTATCTGTATCCATGCTAGAATCTGATTTTGGATACTGAGACTTTGCTGATTCAAGTTTCTGCATTCAACAGTCTGAGACTGCCAAGTAAGACTGTCTATAAGCTCATATCGCTGATTTGGGCTGTTTCAGTTTCGCAATGACATACAAAACATCAACTAAACCACCAATCTGAGTCAACTGGCTTTGGGTATCAGCATAGATCTTCCAAGGGCTACCTCAAATTGGGTTCGGAGACTCAGTCATATCTCTCTGTCCCCGACCACCCAGGCACAGAAAAATAGCCCTGAGTCTTTGATGCATGAGCCGAAACATGAGAGAATGGATGGAATTAGTAGCTTGGATGCAACTGTCAAATCCTTATTGGTGAATGGTGTGTTTGCAATGTTTGATTAGATTTACGTAATGTCACGTGAGATTAAACTCGGAGTCGCATTTTCGTCGCCGAAGCTTCTATCGCGTCAACCCACTCTCTCAACCAAAGATCTTGATTACAGGAAAGATCTTGGCCACAACACATCTCTAAATAACGCTCTGTGCTGCACACGTTGATAATTGTTTTATTTTCGTTCTTTGATTTGACTGAAACCTGCCAAGCCTTATCTTTTCTCCGGTGGCGCACTTCACCATCTCATTCACCGTCCCATCTAGCAGCCACGAGACGTCCTCTTACACCTCACTTCCCCTACTTCTCATAACATCGATTCAATATGTTGCCAAATATTACCCAAGACTCGCCTCTTGCAGCTGCAGTAGCCGGCGTCATCCAGCCAAAGTTGGTCGAAATAGGTTGGAGTACAGACGACGGTCAAGAAGGGGCGCTCATTGAATACATCGTTCTCATGCTAGTGAATGGTAAAACTGAAGAGGAACTCGCAAATGAACTTTCAAACGACTTCCTTGGATTGGAGGAAGGTGATACACAGGCTCTTGAATTTTCAAGGTGGCTGTTTGCGCAGGTTGAGGCTCTCAACCAACAGATCAACGGAGGACCACCAGTCGAAGCTCCCCCCCCAACCAGTACCTTCATTCGACCAAGAATCTCCCCAAATATTCCAAATGGACGGAAGCAATATGGATGCAGAGATGGGTGATGCAAGTGATATGTAAGTTCATAACTGACTTGAGGAGTGATTTCCAAATACTGATCATTGCCTCTCTATTTTAGTCCTACAGGACCAAAGTCTATGCGCAACAACCGAAATGCTGGCAAAGGAAGAATGCTCAACCAAATCAACCGCAACCTAGATCGCCAACACGATGGAGCTCTTCACCGAGTCCGCGGACAGCAAGGAAACGGACGAATCAATGGCCATGGCAATGGTCGCGATCAAATGAGAGGTAACCGACGTGGTGGCCGGAACATGAATGGCATGGGGATGCAAGGTGGTCATATGGGTGGACCCATGATGCAGATGACTCCTGAGAACCAGATGCAACTCATGACGATGTTGGAGGAGCAGGCTAGAATGATGTCTCAATTGATGCCTGGATTTGTCCCTCCTGCTGTCAACCCTGCTTTCCAGAACGGCAACCAGCAAGGTCGGTCATTATTTGATCGTGTTGAGCGACAGGGCCAGGGGCAGGGCCAGCGTGGTGGGGGTCGTTTCAACAAGCGTGCCCAAAACCAACGACCTCAGGGAGCTGCGGACGTTGATATGGATGCTGAAATGGGTGGCGAACAGACTGAGAGCAACCCTGATGGTGTTTGTCGCTTCAACCTTCGCTGCACTCGCAAGGACTGCCCATTTGCCCACCAATCCCCTGCTGCCCCAGAAGGAACCTCAGTTGACGTGTCTGATGTCTGCTCATTTGGAGCAGCTTGCAAAAACCGCAAGTGCACAGGTCGCCACCCCTCCCCAGCCGTCAGGTCCGCCCATCAATCCGAGGAGGTGTGCCGATTTTTCCCTCGCTGCACTAATCCCCATTGCCACTTCAAGCACCCCGACATGCCACGCTGCCGCAATGGTGCTGATTGCAAGGAAGAGGGATGCAAGTTCACACATATCCAGGTCGCTTGCAAGTTTAACCCATGCATGAACCCAAGTTGCCCTTACAAACACGCTGAAGGTCAACGTGGTGCTTTTCCAGACAAGGTCTGGACGGCAAACCACGTTAGCGAGCGCAAATTTGTGGCTGACGAAGGCGCAGAGGAGCTCATCAAGCCTGAGACTGCTGGAGACGGATCTCAAAACCAGGATGAGCTTATTGCCTGACTCCGCCTTAACTGAAGATTACGAAAACTTTACTTTCCATGAGAACATTGCTTCCCCGCAAGCAGTATCGTGTACAATCTCAATTTCAATTTGACTCCGTGATGATGAATGGCGGTTTGGAGACGGGCGTTCATATTTTGATCTATTTGTTTTACTCTCGATACTGCAGAGTCTCCTTTACTTGTACATAGATATCCCCCTGGTACCAAAAAGAATTACCAAACGAATTGATATCCAAGCATTGCTTAATACAGACATTTATCATATTCCTGAGTTGCATATCTAATGCTTTAATTTCCATTAGTATGTAGGAGATCTCCTGCATATATCTGCTTTTCTACCTATTACTAATAGTATTTACCAAAATGGTTGAACATACTGGAAGTGAACTTAGCATCAGGGGTGCAGTTCAATTCATCGGTTTCTCCGTGCCTGATATTAAAGTTGAAATTTGATAAGATAAGGCCGGCTTAAGTAAGGAATTGAATTCCCGCGGAGCAATGACCGAGGCGCCTGCATACAACTAACACTGAATCTCTGTCGCTGAGATGCGGTCAATATGTGCCTCCAGTATTGGCAAACTTAGACTCCGTCCCCGAGCGACTGTTCTCCATTGTCAACAGCGTACATTCAAAGCGGCTGTGGTTGGAGGCGGTGTTACCGGCCTGACAGCGGCATGGCAACTGTCGCATGACTCTCAATGTTCCGAGGTTACCGTGTACGAGAAGTCCCCCCGCCTGGGGGGGCTGGATGAGTTCTGAATTGATTCCTGTTTCAGGAGGGGATGTTTTATTTGAATACGGTCCCCGCACATTGAAGAGCGGAGCGGAGTCATTCGGGACATGGTGGCTGGTAACTCTCCTTTCATGACATGCTCTGACCATGGCATAAGTAAGACTAATCTGATTCTCCAACAGGCCAATCAACTGGGAATTGAAGATGACCTCTTATGGACTCCAGTTGACAGCGGTGCTGCAATGAATCGATATCTCTACTATCCAGATCACCTCGTCCGCGTACCAGTTCCTATGCCAGGGCTATCGACGTATGGAAACATGAAATATATCCTGAATACCCTGAGGAACGAACCAGTTTTTGATACAGTGATACCGGGCATTCTTTTTGAAAGTTTTAAGCCTCCACGAACGGCTGATCAATGGTCCAAGGATGAGTCCATCGCCGAGTTTATCTCACGCCGTTTCACGCCCGAAATAGCAGATAACCTGATTTCAGCTGTTATGCACGGCATATACGCAGGAGACATTGATAAATTAAGCGCTCAAGCCCTTCTTGGTCGGCTACGAAACATGGATGATACTGGAATCATACGCGGTATGCTCGACAGACTCGTGATGCGGAAAGGATCCGGGTTAATGGACCACCAGCTCTTCCAGCATGCCGCAGTAGATTCAAGGATCAGATACCCAAAACCCTACAATGAATTATTTAAGCTGATCGAAAAGAACATCAAGCATGCAGCTACTTTCTCATTCAAACGAGGAACCCAGCAGCTTACGGATGGATTGGCTGATGCCCTGTCCAAGTCCCCCAAGGTCAAAGTCCGAACCAACTCTGCAGTCCAGAGTATCAGAAAAATAAAATTCTCGGATAGCATCTACGTATGTCTTGAGTCCCCCCAAAATTCCATTACCCATGCTCGTTCCCAAGCTAAACTCAGGACTTCTCTTGCTAAAGATTACGGCTCATGGCAACCAACGTAACACCTATGACCGTGTTATTGCCTCACTTCCAGCCCCCACGTTGGCCGGTCTTCTAGGCAGTACCACAAATCATCCAGACCAGGTTATGCCCCATCAATCAATCAAGAAACTCAGTCAACATAACTATGCCACCAGTGTCATGGTCGTGAATCTCTATTACCCGAATATGAACCCTACGGATTTCAATGGCTTTGGATACTTGATCCCACGATCCATCCCTTACGGACAGAATCCTGAATGCGCGCTTGGTGTAATTTTCGCAAGTGCGTCTAGTGTTGGTTGGAAGTTTACCAATTTTGACCTTAACTTCGTTAATCAAGACACTGCGCCAGGGGCTAAATTCACTGTGATGATGGGTGGTCACTACTGGGATCACTGGAAGGACTCAGATTATCCTGACGATGAGTCTGCCACGAAAATGGCGCGCAGCGTCCTTGAACGACACCTTGGCATCACTGCCCAACCCGAAGTTACGCGGTGTAGAATGCAGAAAAATGCAATCCCGCAGTATACAGTCGGCCACCTGGACCGTATGTACGATCTATCCGAGACTGTGCGAGAGGAGTTCAACCGCCGTCTTGTTCTCGCTGGCAACTGGTATACCGGTGTTGGTGTGAACGATTGTGTGAGATCAGGTTTACTTGCTGGAAGCTTTGGCACTGGTAGCCGTAAGCTGAGTCAAGATCCCTACATAAAGGGTAAGTGGATGGACCACAACTTTTGGGAATGGAACTTGGAAGGTGGCATTCCTACCGCACCAGTCAGTTTTTACTCCTAGGGTAAGTGAGATGGAAATGGACTACATAGACGTTTCCGCATCTTGTAATATAGTCAGAAAGAATTTCTATTGTGCATTCTGGACTAGACTTGAGTTTTGATTTAGATGAGAGAGTTTAGTGCTCTGTATAGATGTAGCACTTGAGCAGTCCAGACCAATGGACCCAAATCATATTAAATGACATCTTCTATCAACCTTCAACTTTATCTCATCGGTATGGTGGATGTATGATATGTGATGTGATGCGTTGGTGTCCCATGCTGTACAAGTGGGCTTGTAGATAGACCAAGGAGCTCTGGAATGCTCATCTGAAATGATAGATGTATCATCTCCAAGAACCCTTTGAAGATATCCACTGCTTGCCTCAAAACCAAGCCAATGTGGCCTGATGTGTGTTGATTGGGCAGAAAGTATTGCAAACTTCGATGAGGATGCTCCTGGGTGCAAGAGGTGTTGGAGGGGTAGCTCGGGTAGCTTCGACAATGGTGTTGAAGATAGGGAACAACATTGGAAGTAGGCAGCATCACGCATAGCCATATATGTATGGTCTAGATGCATGTGGAGAGTCCGACCACGCGAATCGCCATATCTCACCAGAGAACTTCAAGATGTGTTCAGGCATTCTCAGTCTTGGGGTCGCCATTGGCATCGAAGCCAAGTGTTTCGAGCTGTCGAACCAGTTCGTTGATCTTGATGACCTTTTCCAACTGCTCGGGCAGCAAAGCCTCACCCTGGTTCTTCTTATCACGAAGGTCGCGTGCCTGACGGAGCTTCTTCTTGAGATTCCGAGCTTTCTTCTCCTTTTCTGCCTCAGGATCAACAGGCTCCTCGGCGGGATTCTCCTTTGCAGGTGTGCGCCAGTTATCTGACTCAGAGCCCTTCTTTTCGGTCGCGGAGTTGAAACCGTCAGCTTCCTTTGCCTTGCGCTTGGCTTCCCGACGTTTGGCGTTCTTGTTGCTGGCAGCCGTAGTATCTGCGGGAGTCGAGTTGGGCATCATTTTATCGTCCCCACTACTCAGAGCCTCTGCGCCTGGCACCCCGCCTTTTCCACGAGTTTTCCATGCAGCGGCAGCACGGTTTCGGTAAAGTTCGACATCCTCTGGGGGCTTGTAACCGGGTCGGACGCGAATCTCACGGCGCTTGGAACCATCTGCGCGAACCGAGGAGGGGATGTAGCGTTCACCAGTAGCCTCATTAGTGGTGATGCCGGCTTTGGAAACGGAATCAGACATCTTTTATAGATGTTGAAACTGGTGATAGAGGATAGAGGATAAGTATGATGAAAAAAGAGATATTCTTGTCGAAAGGCGACTCAAATGAGCTCGCTCACCGTGAAGGTCAATGCAAGTTGATTATAATACAAATTAAAGAAACAAAAACGAAGACGGAGAAACCGGAGTGGTTGGTCACAGTGTTGAGCGGGCCAATCAGCGGACCGGGAATTCCCGCAGCTTTTCGTCTTGGGAACTTCCAATCTTTCCCTCTCTTCTCTCCCTCTCTATCCCCCCCACACTTTCTTGCTCTCCGACTCGTGTCAATCCCGTCGTCATGCCTGTATGTGATTCTTTCAATTCTTCTCATACTCTGAATTAGTGAATTGCGCCGCAAATTGGGACCTCTAGCTAACCTCCTCGTGACAGATCTCTAACGCCATCTACACGTCCGTCTCTCATCTTCAATCATATGGTCGCAATTGTCGTCCTTGAGTCTAACAATAGCTTGTGAATCTACAGTTCTCTTTTCCGCAAGAATGCTGTCTACTTGACTGCTATCTTCGCTGGTGCCTTCGCCTTCGAGCTGTGCGTTACATCTCTGAACTCTTCCCGTGTTATGCCGAGATATACAGACATCCTGACTTAGAGCTTCGAAACAGTTCCTTCGATACCGCCTCCAACAAGATCTGGGACTCCTGGAACGCCGGTGTATGTTAATTCTTCATCTTCGATATCTCCTTCCTATTCCGACCATACCAGAGACCCATAGATACTAACCAGCACCTCTTCTTCACTTATAGCGCCAATGGAAGGATATCAAGCCCCGTTACCTCGTCAAGGATGAGGAGGAGGACGATGACTAAATGCATAAAGGGGATGAGCATCCGGGATCTACCATGTAGATATCCCTTATAAAGGGGGGTGATGACGATGGAAAAGCGGCCCATTGAATGGTTTCCTTACTATTCCCCATTCTTGCCGCGATTTTGTACGCGATAGAGCTTTTTCTTTTTTTTATTCTCATTGGAAACCTGTATTTTGACATAAAATATCCTTCCTTTATCTAAATGATGTATATTTCCGTAATAAGTGGACGATCGGGAGATAGAGCGTGGATCGCTGTGGCGTTAGGAGCGAGACCGCTCCAACGATGTCATAGCGAAAAATGCTTGAGAGGTCGCTTCCCAACTTTGTCTCCCTATATTTACAGCTACACTTTTCTCATCTGAAGGTGTACGATTAATCAACTCCCTTTCGTCCAATACTTCAAACACTGAGACTCTAATACTCATCAAACTGAACTCCTCACTTTTTACTTGATCCACTAGTGTTTCACCCCCACTACAATTCTTCAGTGAGGTCGGAGTGCGATCGATCACAGCAAGCATACATGTATGTACTAGTAATGCGGTGTGAACTACTTCAAGTTTGATTGTGTGTTTGCCTATTAACAGAGCCAGATAACTATATCTTTTCCGTCTAGTTTCCCCGATTTCTTTGCGTCAACAACCTTGTCAGTTCTCACCTTGTCCCCGAGCGGCCCCAACCCTCCACCTCCGCCCGAGCGTCTTAAGCCATGCTCTTACTCACGGAATGTGAGAAAGTGCTCGGCGATGGCTTGCTTCAACTACCCGCCAAGCATAAATATCGGTACAGCCCACAAGCCGAAAAAGATCTGCTGGAGCTATTATTCCGGTCGCTAGTGGGACACAATGAGGAGTTGATACACCACCTGTTTCCCAACGGCGCGCCCACTGGCGCCTGGAAACTCGCTGAAGCTCAAGGCGCCAGGGAAGGCGCTGAATACACCGAGGCAGCACGAGGTAAAAGATGCGGTCATATTTTCCGCGCCGGAGAGGCTAACTACCGCTGTATCACCTGCGCCGCCGATGAAACTTGTGTTTTATGCAGCCGATGCTTTGATGCCTCAGATCATACAGGTCATCAGTATCAGATTTCTTTGTCTTCGGGTAACTGTGGTTGCTGTGACTGTGGTGACGATGAAGCATGGCGACTACCTCTCTTTTGTGCGATCCATACCGACAGTGGGAATGCCAAGGGAAAGGAACGCGCCCAGCGACAGTTACCGGCTGACTTAGTGTCTACTATCCGTCTAACTATTTCGCGTGTCCTTGATTACTTCTGCGATGTAATTTCTTGTTCACCGGAGCAGCTACGCCTGCCCAAGACTATCGAAGGGATCAAGCAGGACGAGGAAGCATCACGACTAAACCCCGACTGGACAAATGCAGCCGATGAAGAAGAAGAGAAACCTGAATTTTCACTGCTGCTGTGGAATGATGAAAAACATACCATCCGAGATGTTGCCCACCAGGTCAGCCGTGCTTGCCGTGAAAGGGATAGCTTCGGTGTTGCTCGAGCTCATGAGACAAATGACATCGGCCGGAGCGTTGTGAAGCATGGAACAGATCTGCATAAATTGTTGGCTGTGTCTAAGATTATCGAAGAGATTAAAGTCACCGTTACCATTCGTTCATCACGCGACACCTTCCGTGAACAGATGTGTGGGACGATTGTTGAATGGTTGGCTGATATTGCGGGATGCAGCATCTTGGATGATAACGAGATATTCCGTCAAGTCATTTGCGAAGAGCTACTTATTCCCTGGCGGAAAGGAAGTGGAGCTTACAACGCTGAAATTGGCATGAAGGGTATCGATGATCATGAAAAAGCAGATCACTTGCCTGGCCGTACTTTCATGCTTAGCCTCCCTACCCATGGAAATCTGATTCTACAAACTAACGACGATGATGACGAGGATGAGGATGAGGATATTGCTGATGAAAATAATGAGCAAGAGGACGATGAAGACTATGTCGAAGCCCACGACGATGCTGATGACGAAGATGACGATATGGACATGGAGCTCACACGTCTCCAAGCTGAAGCTGATGGCGATGGTGATCAAGATATGGATTTGGGCGGGGAAGACTTTGGACCGGAAGAATTTGCTATGGCACATCAAATTTTGGCAGGTCTAACTGGCATAAGACCGCCGTCTCCGCGTCCTGCTCCGGAAGAAACTGAAGAGGAGCAGACCTCTCAGCAAGAGCAGTCCACTTCGACACCTCAAGATGTCGGAAATAACCAACCCTCCGACCCGACCTCCTTCATCTCAATTCCACGGACTCCTTCAGGCGCTGTCAGACCTAGACCAGGAAGAACTGAAGGGCACTGGCAAGTCCGACCTCCCCTTCCAGCCCCCGGCGAAAAAGTTGCTGCATATGAAGATCTGTGGCAGCGAACCCGTCTGGACTGGCTTATTCTCTTCGACTTGAGGCTGTGGAAGAAGACACGCACTGATCTACGGGATCTATACATCAGCACTGTCGTTAATGTGCCTCAGTTCAAGCGCATCATGGGCCTTCGTCTATCTGCCCTTTACACAGCTCTGGCTCAGTTGTACTTGGTCGCGGATCGTGAACCAGATCATTCCATTGTAAACCTCACATTGCAGCTTTTGACCACGCCGTCCATTACAGAAGAAATTGTGCTTCGTGGAAACTTCCTCACAAAGGTCATGGCCATTCTCTACACTTTCCTGACTACAAGACAAGTCGGAGAACCTCAAGCTGTCAATCCAAATGCTACATTGGCATTTGATGCGGGCTCAGTGACTAACAGACGCCTTTATCATTTCTTCTTGGACCTTCGGTATCTTCTTCAGTCAGAATATGTCCAGCATCGTGTACGAACAGAGGAGCAATATCTGCCCCAATTTCTAGATCTTGTGAAGCTTTCTCAGGGCATTTGCCCTAACGTTCGTGCAGTTGGTGAGCATGTGGAATATGAGACAGATGCCTGGATCAGTGCTTCTATCCTCATGCGCGAAATCAACCGTCTTTGCCGCCAGTTCTGCGAAGCTTTCAGACACCCTGAAGTTGACAACGGACACAACCTTCTGCGAGCAATCAAGACCACAACAATCACTGCAATCACTCACTCAGTGGGTATGGAACGTAAACGTTTTGATCAAGCAGAGATCAAAGAGGAGGTACGCTTCAAAACACTACCTCCATTCGATTTTGAGGTCGGATCTTCCGGTCAAGTCCCCTGCCACCGCGTCCTTGAATTTGTGGTGGAAAAGGGCTCTATCAGTTTCCACCATGCCCTTCACTATACCTTGTCCTGGCTCATTGAGTGCGGACGCAGTGTCAACAGCGACGTTCTGCGTCAGGTCATGTTTGAGGCTGCTCAAAGTGCAAGAGAAGAGCTCCATGCTGCCAAGATTGCCAATAACGTAAATGTTGACGATAGTCTCTTGTCGCTTGGCCCCGAAGATTTGTTGTTGACCATGTTCGATTATCCTCTCAGGGTCTGTGCTTGGCTTGCGCAGATGAAAGCCGGTATGTGGGTTCGCAATGGGCTCAGCCTTCGACACCAGATGTCCCAATACCGTGGAGTATCCTCGCGCGACTTTGCCTATTACCGTGATATTTTCCTTCTCCAGACCGCCCTTGTAACATGCGATCCAAGTCGGGTTCTTGCTTCTATTGCGCACCGATTTGGTATGGTCGATTGGATGTCTCGCAACTACCTACCCCGTACTGGCTACGAGGACTCTCAGATCGTTGATGTTGCCGAGGAATTTGTTCACCTCCTTGTCATTCTGTTGACGGACCGAACCTCCTTGACGGCCATTGATGATAGTATTGACATGACTAAAGAAACCATTAGCCGGGATATCGCCCATGTATTATGCTTCAAGCCTCTTTCCTTCTCCGACCTCTCGGCCCGCCTTAGTGACAAACTCCTGGATCTGGATGAGTTCCAGGATGTACTAGAGGAAGTCGCCAACTTCCGTCCTCCTGAGGGCCTGAGCGACTCCGGAACATTCGAGCTGAAACCTGAATATCTGGACCTAGTTGATCCGTACAGTGCACACTACACAAAGAATCAGCGAGATGAGGCAGAGAACATCTACAAGGATTGGCAGGCTAAAAAGACTGGTAAAAATGCCTCGGATATCGTCTTTGAACCGAAATTCCGTTCTATTAGCTCTGGTGTCTTTTCTGACCTTTCACGCTTCACCGGAACGATGCTGTTTGCGCAGCTTGTGCATCAGTGTCTTGAATATGTCATCTCCTCCCACGAGTGCACACCGAGTATCCCCCCCAACTCGCGTGGAGACGTTCCTTCAAATCATCCTTCACCTTATTCTTGCTGCAGTACTTGAGGATGAAACTCAGGATGATAGCATGGAAACTGAGCAAGAGCTCTCCTTCAACCTGCATGCGCTCTCTAAATCTCGTGAGATCAAGGCCGGTCATTTGACAATTGTTGGCCTTTTAGAGAAGATCTCGGTGACGAACGAGTTTTCCTCATGTGGTCCTAAGATTCGACACATTCTCAAGCGTCTGTGGCAGAAGCGTCCCCGTACTTACACTTCCGCTACCGCTTCTCTCAAATTCCCATTTGACCGTATTGAGACAAATTCGCCTGCAATTGATATTGAAAATGAGAAAGAAATCAAGAAGAAACAGGCTTTAGAAAGACAAGCTAGAGTGATGGCACAGTTCCAGCAACAGCAGCAAAACTTCCTGAGTCGCCAAGGCGATATTGATTGGGGTGAGGAAGACTTCAGTGATTTGGAATCTGAGAGTGAAGCTGCACCCGAAGTGAAGGTCTGGAAATACCCAACTGGCACGTGTATCTTGTGTCAAGAAGAGACCAACGACTCGAGGCTGTACGGTACCTTTGCATTGCTGCAAGACAGTACCATCATGCGACAAACTGATATCAGGGACGCGGATAGAATTCGTGAAGCACTTAGAACTCCCACCAGCTTGGATCGATCTGCTGAACATGTTCGTCCCTTTGGTGTCGCTGGAGAGAACCGGACGACGATTCGTCGCCTGGACTCATCTGGTGGTGAGGTGATTAGTGAGAAGGTTGGTCTGAGTAAAGGCTTCAATCCAAAGAGTACATTACGTGGACCCGTAACAACTGGCTGCGGGCACATTATGCACTACTCTTGTTTCGAGGCTTACTATACAGCCACTCAACGACGACATGCCCAGCAGATTGCCCGAAACCACCCGGAGAACACCATGCTCAAGGAATTTGTGTGCCCACTGTGCAAAGCCCTTGGTAACACTTTCCTGCCTATCACTTGGAAAGGAAAGGAGGAATCATATCCTGGAGCGTTGTCAGCATCTTCATCTTTTGAAGAATGGATGAACACTGGTCTCAAAAATTCATTGAACCAGCAGCAAAATATCTCTGTTCTTATGACCGAGAAGGACAAAGTGTACCAGAATGCATACACCGACCTCTTCGCCGACTATCTCTCTAAATCGCTGGTTCCTCCGCTAGCTTCCAATGTTGTTCAACTCATGTCTGGCTCATTGCATCCTCCAATTAATATGCCAACAATCACCCAACCGATGCCTGGGCAATACATCCAGCCTGCAATTCGGACTGAGATGCCTGGGTTTTTCCCTACCACCGAGGAGATCCCCTCGCCATCAAGTCCACTTCAGCAAGTTTCTAACCCGTCGGACAGTCCTATGACTGAGCTGCTCCTGATTTACAAGCGCCTCAAGAAGACTATCAAGTCCAACCACATCATCTCCTCGTTCAACAACAACCCTGATTCGACCAACGGTGACGATCTGGTGCACACGGATTGTTTGATTCGGAGCTTCGGACATAGTATTGCTGCTGTCGAGATCGCTCAGCGTGGTGTTGAATCTGAGCCTGGCTCCACACTCTTGGATAAGATTCCTCCTTTGACACTGACGCACCTTCGTGTTTTGGCCGAGACGGCGCTCAGCTATGCCGCTGTTGGAATCGTTTCCGCGCGGAACAATGCCAAGAGTCGTCCAGCGCAAGAGTTCCAGGAGATGCATCGGCAGAAAATATGCCAACTCCTTGTCGGACACCCTTGTCTGACTAGCACTCCGCTGCTGAACGATGTCCGTAACATTGAGCCCTTGCTTGCCATAGATACCTTCGTTTTCATGGCGGAATGCTCTCTATCATTGCTACCGGTTCTGCACATTGATATGAAGCATCTGCTTCAGATGTGTTACATGGCTGAGATCGTCAAGGTCGCTGTCACCTTTATTCTTTGGCCGCTGGGGTTGAAGGAGGAAGTCGCAACTGAAGGAGATGCTGATCTTACGGAGGAGGATCTTTCAAGCGCTCGCTGTAACATCACAAAACACTTTTTCGAATCTGTTGTCTCGGAGCTCAAATCAAACTCTGTTGGACGAGCCGAGGGGTCCTCGTGGCCTGCCGCCAGTGGCTTTGTTAAGGAGGGAGAGTCTGCCACTACTGGCGTAATCCTTGCCTTGCGCCGCCTCATTTCAAGCTATGCTCTTACCTTCCTGCGCAAGGCTGTCATCCTCCTTCATGTTCAACATGGGGTTGAATTCCCCAGTACTGGATTCACAGATGTTGGCTCGTCAGAGCTGGACCGACTCACCAAGGCACTGCATCTCCCTACGATCGATGAGATCTTGATGAATGTCAACCCTGCCCATACCAGCGCAAACCCATCTGATGCTGTCATTTCCGGATGGATCTTCCACTGGAATGCGTCGCGCTCGGGAATTCGATTTGAGGACCACCGCTTGTGGCCCAGCCTTCCTCACCCAGCAATCTTCGAGCTTGTTGGTTTGCCAAAATACTTTGATAATTTGATTGAAGAGGCGAACCGGCGCCGTTGCCCTAACTCCAAGAAGGAGCTCAGTGATCCAAGTATCTGTCTATTCTGCGGTGAAATCTTTTGCTCTCAGGCAGTCTGCTGTATGAAGAACAAGCTGGGCGGATGCAACCAACATTTGCAAAAGTAAGTTTCCATGCATGCAAACGTTATTTTCATAAACACTAACCTGTTTTAACCCATAGGTGCGGTAAGAACATCGGCTTGTTCATAAATATCCGCAAGTGCACGGTCCTTTACCTCCACAACCAAAATGGATCCTGGCACTATGCACCCTACCTTGACCGCCACGGCGAAGTAGACCCCGGTCTTCGACGCAACCGCCAGCTGATCTTGAACCAAAAGCGGTATGACCGACTTTTGCGTGATGTTTGGCTGTCTCATTCCGTTCCCGCGACTATCAGCCGCAAACTGGAGTCCGAGATTAACAACGGTGGATGGGAAACAATTTGATGATCATCACCGATCAAAAGAGAGTTCTGATTCTACAGTACTTGTCTGCGAAGTATGATTTTTATTCTGAGAGCGAAATTTCGGATAGCGGCGATGCGGCCTTGTCTTTGTCTACCACTTCCAACATAGTTCCGTTCCTCATCTTGATTTATTTCTTTACTTTGAACCTGTATCTCTCTCTTTTATCGATGAACATCGAATTACAAAATATTTAAAAGTTCCAAAAACACATCCCAATCTACACTATTACTTAGATTGCCAGGGGTGTAGGAGTGGTGCTCCGCAGCAAGCAAGCAGACACCAAGGCACAACTTCAAGTTGAAGTAAAATTCAAGCCAGACATCGTACGTATATGAGACTGTTAAAGCCTTTTCTTCTGAAAATTTTCGCGAGTATATTCTTCCTTCTTCCAGGTGTTTATTTTCATTTTGAATTCGGTCTTTGACAGTTCAATCACTCATTGTCCTGCGGTATCAAGCCCCGATAAGCCAAACCTTATCGCGCGCCAAGAACGGCCCTGATGCTAAAACTGACGTCGACCAACAGCGTTTTCGAGGCCAAGTGCGCCAGCATGAACAACGAACAGTTTCGTCGGCTACTGGCTGACAACTCATCGTCAGCCAAGTCAAATAATAAACCCTCACCCTCACCCCGAAATGCTAGCTCCGGGAATGCAACCCCGGCCAGCGGGCTACTCGGCTCCCGAATGCGCTCCAGCATCCCCATGACCCCGTCAGTAGACTTCGGTTCTCACTGCAAAAGTGCTGGGCTTTCTCCCCGTACTCACTAGCTAACATTCCATCTTTTAATCTCCAGTCGAGCTGTCTCAGGCGTTGATTTCGCCCGTCAACTCGCAGAACAGCGCCGCGAGGGTGGTGACCGACCCACCAAACGATTCAAATCCTCCGCCGCGCCAAAAGGCTCTAAGTTACCGTCCGGATACCAAGATCGTGCCCATCTACGAAATGAAACATCGGAACAAGATGAGGATGACCTCTCCAAGCGGATCAAGGCCCTAGAAGATATGGTGAAACTAGGCCAGATCGACCAGGCGACATTCGAGAATCTGCGCACGGAACTCGGTGTCGGAGGCAATACTAGCAGCACGCATATGATTAAAGGTCTAGACTGGGAGCTTCTGCGCCGAGCGAGAGCAGGCGAGGATATTGAGGCGCAACCTGAGAAACCTGAACCTGCACCTTCCGATGAGCCGGTCACTGCCGAAGATGCAGAAGCGGAATTTGAACGATTAATGGAGGAGAAAGGCACTGAGGAGATCCAGGCTGCACCGAAGGAACAGAAAGAGAAGAAGAAGGGAAATATGGCGCCTCCACCGGCGAGCAAGAAGACTCGAGATGAGATTCTGCAAGAGTTGAAGGCTAAACGGGCTGCTGCTAGTGCGCCTGCTCCACCACCGGAATCGATCTTGGGTGCTAAGTTCAAGAAGCTTGGAGATGGAAGGCCGGAGAAGAAGCGGTTTGTTGAGACAGATAAGAATGGCAGGAGGAGAGAGGTCCTCCTTATTACCGATGCGGAGGGTAATACCAAGCGGAAGACGCGGTGGCTCGATAAACCTGGTGAATATGTCAAACCCGTCGCTGCTATGCCCATGCCAGAGAAGGATGCCAAACCTCTTGGGATGGAAGTACCAGCAGAGATTGCCGCCAAGATTGCAGCTAGTGCTGCGAAGGAAGAAGAAGAAGATGATGATATCTTTGCGGGTGTTGGCGCAGACTATGATCCTCTGGCTGGTATCGAGGATGAAGAGGACTCTTCTTCCGACGAGGAAGGAGAAGCTGCGGATTCTGCTAAGACTATACGGAAAGAAGCGGATGCTCCTGCCCAAGAAAAGGACCAAGGCTTGCCAGGCGCTACAGCTCCTGCCTCGAAGCCGCGCAACTACTTTGCTACCAGCTCCTCTGCTGCTACTGCTGAGCCGGAACCAGAGGACCGATCCAACCCTCTCACCAAGGATCCCACTATTCTCGCCGCACTCAAGCGAGCGGCCGCTCTTCGGCAGGCCTCGCCGTCCGCTGAAAATGAGGCTGAGTCAACAGAGTCCTCATTGCGACAGAAGCGCTTTCTCGAGGAAGCTCGACGACGTGATGCCATGGACGATGCGGATATGGACTTCGGATTCGGGGGCAGCCGGAACGAAGACGGTGATGAGGAGGATGATACTGTGCTTCTGGACTTCGAAGATCATGGTGGCAAGAAGCGCAAGCGTGGACCTAAGAAGAGGAAGGGAGATAAGGATAGCGCAGAAGATGTGATGCGCGTGCTGGAAGGACGACAGAAAGACTCGGCATAGATTTGAAGCAATTATCATGTCTTGTATAGTCTAATAAATTATTTTGACCTACTCGTCTGCTACTTGATCGCCGTCTGTCTTTAATGAAGCTTTCTAACTGTTAGGCGTATAATAGAATTCTATCGTGGGTATTCCTGTTAAGGGTATTCCTGTTAATATGAAAACATCGTGAAGTGCGCCCTGATGCTGATGTTCCTACTCGATACTGTACTGCGTAGCTCCCAACTGAGGATGCAGCCCTTCTATCTTGATATTTTCTATATCCCTACCAGTACACTACTTCTTGTAGATAACCTTGGAACCTGTCTTATGCTGACTGGGCTGCTACTTTCCCTAATACAGAGCCCGAGTCCCAGACAGACCTCGCCGGCGCTGTGAATGTCCTGTCATTTCCAATTTAGGCAATGTTGTGCTCGTTAGGGCTTAGGTCCTGGGGCAGGCCACAACGAAGTGAGAGATCGTCGACCTTCATTCACTCTCACTTCCTCAAAATGTGATTTCGCTTATTTTCGACGCGTCTGCCTGCCAGGTATAAATAATTCTCCCCTCTCTTTTTTTTCTCTTCTTCCTCTTCCTCCTTCCAACTTCCCACTTCCCCTTCCCACTTCCCCCCTTCTCCATCTCTTTGCTTCTCATCCACTTTCAACTTCGTTCATCCTTTTCATCATCCTTCTCTTCATCTTTTCCATCTTTCTCCTTTTGTTTCTTTCCTCTACCCTATTTACATTTGCCTCACATCTCCTTTTCCAATAAGTTACAACCTTCTCTCATGTTGTTTACCTTGCTACTCACTGCTGTTCACTTTGCTAACACGCGTTCAGGACTACATATCATTTTCAGTCAGCTCTCAGCGCGCCTTACGCGCTGACATCATGATGGGTGGCCAATCTTTCTGTTCTCACCAAGGTAAGAACTCTAGTAACTTCTTTTTTTCCTTTGTGGTCATCCTTCTTCGGTGGGGTTCCTGCATCGGTTTTTTATACTTCCATGAGACCTGCTGCCTACGCGCGCCGTCTCGGGGTGACTGCTATGAAATATTAGCCTGGGGTCACCCCCGTGCACCTGCCCCCTCCGCCTCCTTCTCTTCTTCTATCTTTGCCTCCGCCCAGTTGTCTCTCATTAGCCCCCTCGGTTCTTCAATCTTTGTCCCCTCACCCCTTGTTTTTCCCATAGTTGCATTGATGAGTGGAAGACCTTACCAGCATCCCGTGCTGACGGAGGTTAAAACCTCCAGTTTTCTAGATATCTACCACATCGGCGTCCAGCGTCAATCAGTTCGCAGTTTTTATATTGTTCCAGGTAAGAACTCTAGCAGCTTCTTTTTTTTCCTTTGTGGTTATCCTGCCTCGGTGGGGTTCCTGCATCGGTTTTTTATACTTCCATGAGACCTGCTGCCTACGCGCGCCGTCTCGGGGTGACTGCTATGAAATATTAGCCTGGGGTCACCCCCGTGCACCTGCCCCCTCCGCCTCCTTCTCTTCTTCTATCTTTGCCTCCGCCCAATTGTCTCTCATTAGCCCCCTCGGTTCTCCAATCTTTGTCCCCTGATCTGCCCCATTCTCTTTCTCATAGTTGCATTGATGAGTGGAAGACCTTGCCAGCAACCCCAGCTGACGGAGGTTAAAACCTCCAGTTTTCTAGATACCTGCTACGTCGGCGTCCAACATCAATACTTTCACAGTTTGGGTGTTGATTCAGTCAGGTGAGCTTCCCGTGCCCATGGTCTCATCCTGGGATTTTTTGTATTTTTATTACTCTACGGAGCCCGCCCACGGTGCCACTAGCAACAACTTGCTAAGAGGAGACTCATTCGGTCTTCTCAAGACCCTAGGTCCCCAACTTGAAATCCGCCGCTGACCCCCAACTCAACATACTAATTCAGGTGAGATTTCCGTGCCCATGGGTCTTGACCCTGGGATTCTTCTGCTCAAAAGGTACTGCTCATAGAGCACTGCTGCCTTTACTGCTACACCTATGCCGCTGTGGTCTTAGAAATTCTGAGCTTTCCCACGGTTCCACTAGCAATAAATTGCTAAGAGGAGACTCTGTTGGTCTTCTCAAGATCATCTAGGTTCCAACATCTGCCATGAACTCCCAGTTCTATACGCCAATTCACGTGAGTCTTTCGTGCCCATGGTCTCGTCCTGGGATTCTGTATTTTTAGCTCTACGGAGCATTGCCCACGGTGCCACTAGCAACAATTTGCTAAGAGGAGACTCGTTCGGTCTTCTCAAGACCTTAGGTTCCAAAATCTCGATCGGTTATTATCTTGACTTGGGAGGCCTTCCTGCATTTATCACTCAGGTGAGCCTCCCGTGCCTAGGATTCAGACCTGGGATTGTGCATTGAGCTCTACGGAGTGTTGTCCATGGTGCCACTAGCAAAAACTGGCTAAGTGAAGGTGCTTTCCGCTCGTCTTCTCCAGACCATCTAGGTTCTATTCCAAACGTACCGTTGGCGTTGACTTAACTTGGAAGCTTCAAGATACCAGTCATGCAGCCTGCAGGTGAGCCTCCCGTGCCTATGGCTGAGTTCTGGGATTGTGCATTCATTGTCGACCGTCCCACTAGCAACAACTTGCTAAGCGAAGATGGGGTTTTCAGTTGTCTTCTCCAGACCATTCAGGCTCCGATATTCTGTCGATACGGTTGGTCATTAAGTCGTCTGGTCTTGTCGCTCAATCAGCACTCATTTTTCTCGTCGCCTGCGGCTCGACCGTTCCTGGCTGATTCTTCCTTCAACTCTAACACTTATCCGCTTACTATGTATGGTCTCGGCTCTTCATTGTAGCTCGACTTGGAGTCAACCTTGGAAATTATGCATGTCCTTAACCTGGATATTTTAGATGCTTCAGTCTTTCACTCTCCAACAAGCCGTCTCGAACTCTCCATAGCTCACTCCTAATCCGTTGGATTAATATTTTCTAGCCTTCCTCTGTGATGCTGTATTCTTTTGAACATTTATGCCACTCCTTCTCTTCACCGGGTTAAGCGATTGTTTTTCAACAATGGTGGGAACTAGGTGACAGTAGCTTAGATACTGGTCGGATCCAAAACCAAAGCTTGTATATTCATATATCATTCAAGAAATTAACACCGACTCAAGAGACTCACGTCACACTACCAACGACTTCGTGGATGGATATCGAATGTGAACTCTACAGAGCATCCTAATTCCTGATTCCTAATTAGAAACTAGGGAATCTCCCGAGATCGGGTCCGTGCGCCATTACACATCATCACCAGATTCACCACACCTACTTCTCTACCTACATTTTTCAAGTCTTTCATGGCTCTCCAGCGTTATTGGAGGCCTTTATGTGTCTTCAATCTATTTGCATCTTATTCAAACCATACTCGAGCAGCCATGACAGGACACAAACGCAGTGGAGCAAAGCACCATGCTCGGAATCCTCATCTCGAGAAGCGACCTTCTTTGACGCATTTCCTCTGCATACCGCTGGTCAACTCTGCATCAATTACCCAGCTTGAAAAATCGTTGGCATCTTTCAAGGAAGATTATCCTTTCATTTCATCTTCAGGCCTTCCAGAACGGCGTGGTCAGTCATCAAATGATCATGTTTCGCGACCACTGATCCCCGAGGGTGCAATCCGCCCCTTAGGCACACTTCATTTAACGCTCGGAGTCATGAGTCTTCCAAATAGAGATCGTCTCGATGAAGCAATTTCATTCTTTAAATCACTCAATCTAGACGAACTATTACGGGAGGCTGAGCGGGTAGCTCTCCAGAAACAAGCAAAGAGCCACAACAAGTACAGGTCTAACCGTACAAAAAATGCAACAGAAGATCCCCCGCAATTTTCTCAGAACTCCATACAACCACTTACTGCTTCGCTTGAGTCTCTACATGCCATACCGAGAGCAAAGGCCGCTACAGTTCTACATGCCTCTCCTGTTGACTCCACAGCACGACTATATCCATTTTGTCTAATGCTGCGAGACAAATTCATTGAAGCGGGATTTATTACTGGCGATTCCAAAGAAAAAGAAGAAAAGTCAAAGAAGAATGATGAAGCAAGTGAACGGCAGACAAAGACTGCAGATGAACCCGCTTCACCTCGACATGATGAACCAGACCAGTCGAATACATCGACAATATCAGATCCCTACACTGCGGCTCTTGCACGCACACCAAAAATCCGGCCTCTACTATTGCATGCGACGATTTTGAACACGATCTATGTTCGGGGTCGACTGAAGTCTGCACAGGGACCCTCTCATACACATCAGAAGAGGAAAAATGTGCAGAAACGCATTGAAATTGACGCAAGAGGTCTGTTGGATAGGTATAAGAATTACTTCACGGATAATACGAGGACAACTCCTCGTGTACTTGATTCACAAAGCTCTTCTCCTCGAAGAAAAGAATCGCCAGCTCAGAACGATGAGCAACCTCGTCCGAAGACGGATTCTTCTGAAGTTATGAACGCCTCAGCACGAACTGAGCCGCAATTTCCCTTTATTTGGGCAAAAGATATCCCGATTGATTCGGTGTGTATCTGCGAGATGGGAGCGAAGAGGCTTCCTGATCAAGGTCTTGATGCTGAAACTCTGGATCTTAATAAGCGTCTCGGTGAAAAGTATGTTGTTGTCGCGCAACGAGCTATACTAGATTCATCTAGTTGAAATCCCAGATGTCATCTCGGTTTGCCTGATATTCCTCGGTTTGGGACATCGGATCCATGGAAGCTTGTACAATACATCTACTAGTAAATGCACAATTGGGCTCCTTTGGCACTCCAAGGTTGTGAAAATCGATGTTCATTTCTATTATTCGTAGCAGTACGATAGATATTGCTTGCTTGCTAATATGAGGTAAGGAATATTCCATGATCCCAAGCCAGCTTGGAGTTACCATAGATTCTTGTATACTGCGCAATGGCTTTAAAATCGTTGTTTGTTTCTCCCGATTCCATCACAATCACCTCAATCGGCTCATGATAGTCTCCATGCCTCTCTCCACAGACAACTCGGCAGCCTTAGCCTTGACGCCACTGACCATGCTTCGTTCAAAGTCATCACGACAACGCAAAACAGCTTCGATCCAGGAAAGTTGAAGATCCCAGTACTCCAGCTTGAATGCTTCATATACATTGGCCAGGCCCATGCCCTTCTCAGCCTCGAGCAAACGAACCAGCCAGTCCACAAGACGCCACTTTTGCTTGATGGTACCCTCAAAAGAGTCTTCGTATTTCTGGAAGAAGGCAAAGACGGTGAGGACGTCGTCCTTGAACTTGTCTGTGAATGGATCGGTATTGCGGCGGAATTTGACACTCTTGTTTCGTACTGAGGACAGGTAGCGGACCAGTAGCTCGTCTGACAATTCCTCAACCAAGATATCGGCAAGGGAGGGATGCAGGACTGGGGTGTAATCGGCCATGTAGTCCTCAAAGGTAGACGTGATTCGTTTGATTGCGTATTCACCGTACCATTTCGTGGTGAACAGGTCTGGAATAACGGTAGTCAGATCCACAGTGAAGACAACCTGCACAAACTGCGCCAGGCAGTGTGTGCTGAGATCCACATAGCCATCGCGCAACGCATCCAGCTCTGCATTTGCCCGTGTGGCCATGTACTTGGGTGTCACCAGTGACTCGAAATCGCGCTTGAATCTGGACAGGTAGCCCAGCTGGCCGGTCTCCTCATCATCATCGATGCAAGCAATTTGATCGTTGGCCACACCAACCAGCCAATCCTGTAACAGTTGAACCCCTTCAGCCTGTTCGGGGCCTGCTGACTTGGCCTTCGTGCACTCTTCGTCAATCAAGGATTGCCATGCGACCTGTCGACTCTTCAGTGAGCGGAACATAGCATCGATAACGCCCTCGACGACATCGGCTCGTTCAGAGGCACCTGCAGCACTGATCTGCTCATGAAGCATACGCCACATATCTGCCAATGTCTTGGTGCGGAAGTAGCCTTCTGCGTTGGTACCCAGTGCATCTGGTTGTCTGTCCACGAGCCCTCTCTTGTCGGCGTCGAAAATGCGATCCATCCATTCCTCCACGGCTTCGATAATGACACTCTGCCACTGGCGCACCAGCTCCGGCTCGCGGTCGTCGAGGATATTGGGCATCAACTCGTTCGGCATCCAGCCCAACTTCTTCATCTTCTTGTAATACTTGTCACTCCAGTGAATGATCGTCAGCAGATTATCTGCGGGGATCTCGGGGTCATCAATCATATTCACGAGGAATTCGTGCATCGTGCGATGATAGATATCAGTGTAGGTCTTGTAGATCTTCCATTTCTTCGGTACCAGCTTCTGCATGCCTTGCTTAACCGTAAACAAGTCATTGAAGAACCAACGGAAGCTCTTTTCCAGTTGATCAGGGTCTCCGAGAAATTCGTCTTTGGTGTTATCGAATTGATTTCGGGCATAGAACTCGATCGCCTGTATAAGCTTCTCCTTGTAGCCGCGCACAGTCTTCGGACCGATTCTCATAGACTTGAACCGACTCGCCAAATCCTTGTGGTCTTTCTGTGCTTCCTGAAGCGCACGCACAGTATCATCATTTTTCTCTTCGTTCATAACCACAACAGCCAATCGAACCACCATACTCTTGTTATCCTCCTGAACCAACGGAATCAGATTCATGCAAGCTGTTCCGAGATGATCGTCAAACCAATCAATCACAGAATCCAGACCCTCGAAGTATTCCGTAAGAGTCGTCTCCGCACTTGAGTCCTGCGCCTGGCGAATCTGATCCATCGCCTCATCCCTGAAATCCCGCAATCGAGAGATCTGCATATGAGCTCGTAGAAGATTCGGCTGGTTCTCAATATCCTCATCATCCTCTCTTAACAACTCCTCCACCTCTTGTAAATCAGCGCTGAAATTCTCCAGCCCTTTTTTCATCATCAACGTCGCATCAAAGTCTCGTTGGATGCGCGCTAACTTGTCGATTTGCGCGAAATCCTCCACGCTGTCTTGTGACTCGGCGCATAACTTGTCGATCCCTTGCAGCTCGTCTTTCGTTTTCATCACTTGTCTCTGACCTTCTGTCAAGGTCGCAATACTGCGCTGTACGGCTTCGAGTTGGTCACGCAGTCCCTCGCGGAGTCGAGAATCAACGGCTGTCTTCTTGCGTAGGTATTCGGCTTTAAGACCATTAATCTTGTCCAGGTCTTCCGGGTGACGAAGAAGGTCTTCTAGTCGTGGCATCGCGACAGTGCCATCGGCATTGGCGGTTTGTGCCATCGTGGTAACTTTATCCATGAATACAGGAGGGGTATAGGCGTTGGCGGGTAATCAATCAATTGGTGGGAGGCAGCACCGCGGTGCGGCTCGAGTATTAGATACAGGCTCAAGCCAGAGATGCAAGCATGTAACCTAAAAAATTGCAATAGTCGTTTGCGAACTGGTTTATTGGATATGATTGTGGTTGCTTAACACGGTGAAACACAACACTGCATTACCGTGTAACCGTGTTACCGTTGAGGTCCACCTGGAGATGGAGAGCTGCGGAGCTACAATGGAGGAGTGGCAGAATGACTGCACGTGAGTCACCGCCCAGGAATTTGCGGACTCGGGATTTGAGAGCATCAAGTTGATACCGTTCATCATCCATTAATTCTTGAGCGCACCACGTCTCTCTGCCATTCCCTGCGCTGAAACTCTTCAATCAGCCTTCCTTTACACGAATATTTCCGGGTTTCGTCGAGTTCCCCAACTCCCACTTCAACCTTCAACTCCGAACGGCATCACACTATCTATCACGTCAAAGTCTACCTCAACTCCTTCAAAATGACTTTCTTCCGCATCACCCTCCTGCGTTCCGCTATCGGTCTGCCCCGCCGCTCCACAGATGTTCTCAAGGCCCTCGGCCTGAAAAAGCGTATGGCCACAGTTTTCCACCCCGTGTCTTCGTCCGTGGCCGGTCAGATCATGAAAGTCAAGGAATTGGTCGAGGTACAGGAAGTCGACCGCTCAATGACCAAGCAAGAGGTCTGGCTTGAGCGCAAGCCTGATCCTGGATACTATGTTGAGAAGACCTCTGTGCAGGAGCGCGGAGAGATGGGTCAACAGTAAAGATGCTCTTTATCTTTCTGCTTCATTGATCTCTATCTTTATACTCTTCTTGCGGTGAATAAATGAGATACCAAGGGATCAATTGGCGATTTTTGGTCCCGTCTGTACTCTATTTCTCCTGCCGCTCTGCATGGGATCTATTTGGTCTCTTTCTGTCCATTTTTCTTGGTTTTTCTTGCATGGAGCGGGCTTTTGTTTCTATGTCATGTATTCTATTTTTCGATCTCATGGCCACATGATTATATCGTGGCTTTCTCTTCTAACTGGACTATGTATTATACGGGTTGTTGATTGGAATCCATCTGAAAAGAAATATGTGCAATCTGAATTAATCTCACTATGAATAGAAAAGAATAGACACGCCAGTCGTGTTTTCGTATCATTCGCTTGGGTGAATAGGAGGCGTTCATAATAGTATCGCGAACGCCGGAGGACCCAATCGGGACTCCCAAAAGGGTCTATGTATGATCCATGGCTCCCATAGAACACATGGAGTTGTTTTTTCAGTAATGTAGAAAGAAGGAAAGGAAGCAATCACTCCGAATGTACATTGAACCAAGACATTGCACAATTCTCGCAGCCTTAAGCCTTGTAAAGCGTGTCGAGGAAGCCTACTGCCAGACGACTGATGACACTCTTATCTGGGATACTGCCAGCAACTCCGTACAGTGTAGATGTATCGCCGCGCTGCAGGATATACGACTTGCCTTGTCTGCGGCGCTCCTCGGCCTTCTCAAGCTCCTTCCCAATGACCTCGGTCAGATCAGTAATCAGCTGGTCAACAGCCTTCGCAGTAGGGATAGTGAATGCGCAATGCATAGCCGGTGGTGACTGCAGAGCACTTAAATGCCATCCCTTGGCGGAGAGATCATCGGCAATGTCGTAGATATCGATGGCACCGTTCTTGCTGCGGTAAGCAATAACACTGACAATCGGGTTGCCCACGACCTCCATATGTGCTGAGATGACGGGATGTTCGCGAATAGCAGCCTCGAACTTGCGCGTGGCGTTCACAATCTCTGTACAGCTGTTGATATAACCCGCTTCACCGACGCTCATCATACTAGCCCAGCAGCCAGCGATAAGAGCGCCGGGCCGGGAGCCAGCAATCGAAGGCGAGGCATAGACACCACCAGACCAGTCGGGGTAAACAAAGTACTGATAGCTTCGGTAGGCCGAGTTGCGGTACAACAGAGTGGAGTTACCCTTGGGCGCGAAGCCGTATTTGTGAGTGTCCACACTGATGCTAGTAACACCAGGCTGGCGGAAATCGAAGCCACCTTCTTCCTCATATGGAGAGGGGAAGCCAGCCTTCTTGAGAAGAGCAACAACGAATGATCCCAAGCAGCAGTCAACGTGGAGAGGAATCTTATACTTGGTTGCCAGGCGAGATAGAGCAGGGATGTCATCAACAATTCCGTGGGGGTAGTTGGGAGCGGATCCAACGAGAAGGACGGTGTTAGGGTTGATCAAGCGACGGACAGCATTGACGTCAACCTTGAACTCAGGCTCAGGGCAAGGAACTCGGTGAAGCTTGATCTTGAAGTAGCTGCACGCCTTGATGAAAGCTGCATGGGCTGTATCAGGGATGATCCTATGTACTGTCAGTAATCTCGTACATTATTAGTCCCAGATACTTAAGATAAACTCACATCTCTGGCTCATTGATGCCACGCTCTAGCAGTCCCTTTTGCCGGGCAGCCAAGCAAGCCATAAGGATTGATTCTGTACCACCGCTTGTGCTAACACCAGCACCATCGGAGGGAGCATTGAACATGTTCAGAACCTATAACAAGTGGTCAGCTTCCAATACTTCGCCATATACGGATTCGCGCGCATAGATCTTTCATGCATGACATACCATAGCAACAACCTCTGCCTCCATCTTCCGAACTCCCGGGAAAACATCCGGATGGATCGGATTGGTGACGCCAAATTTACCAAATGCCTCAGCCTGTAGTTTCAGAAGATCCTCACCTCCATGATAGACTGCGCCGCTGACCCGGCCATCTTCCCAGCGCTTATGTTTCAAGTCGGCCAGTTTCCCGAGCTCTTCGCGGACTTTATCCGGAGTCCAACCTTCCTTCGGAAGCGACAGGTAGCGATTCACGTCTGGACCACTGGGGACAAGCTTTTTCTGAAGGTCAACGATAGCAGTCGATACCTCTTTATCGATCTTGCCGCGAACGCCGGGCAAGCGCAGGAAGGTGGAGACGATGAAGAGGCGAACGGCGAGATAAGCATTGCGAATGCTTCCGAAGATACCGTAACCGCGGAGGGAGTAAAAGGCTTTGCGCACATAACGGAGGATAAACAATATGAATACAATGTTGCGAATACTATAGATTCATTGAAAGAGCGTTATTCGTCAGCGATGGCGATCATCGGAGGTTTCGCGGGGGAAGTTCAACTTGAAGCCGGCGCGTACTTACATGTCCAAGTTTAAGGCAGATAAATGGGCGCTGGACGCTCGACTATAGCCGAGCAGTTTATTCTGCAGGGCGACTGGGAGCGCCGAAGAACTCATTTTGGCCCTTTGGAATGAGTTTAGGGAGTAATGATGCAAAAGATGGCACCTGGAACTTGAAGTTGGAGAGAGCGGAGGTGGACATTAAGTAAGGTCCGGACTCCGGTCCGTTGGCCATGCCGAGGCTGCCCACATGAAGAACTACATCATGCTACGAAGTTGTACTAGAGGTAGATATGGGAATTGCGGTGAATTGAAGATATAATTTAACTCAGACCTCTTCGCATTTATTCTGGAATCATGATCTTAATAACGAATGGTTCTAATAGGAATTTGAAGAATCGACTATTCATTGCTGCAGCCGATTAAGGCTCCGCGCTTATATACAGTAGAGAGAACTCTCTCCAAACACCACCCTTTTTCTCCCTTTTCCGGGTTCCATATTCCATATAAAAAAAGACTTTTTCAAAACCTGAGAATAAGACAATAAGGAAAAAAGCTCCAAACATAAATCACATCAAATCATCAGAGATTCCGCGATGTTCAACTCTCACGCGGGCTGCCGCTGTGCAAAGTTCATAAAGTCGGGAAATAATCTGGCGAACGCACGCTATTGAACAAAATGAATAAGTAATGCGGGAAGGGCGTTGAAGCTTAAAGGCCGTTGACTTTGGCCTCCTGGGCAAGCTCCTTCTCTTTGGCGGCGAATTGGGCCTGCTCCTCGGCAGTCAGATCCAGAAGAGGCTTGTCCTCACCGGACTTGAGGTTACGGTGGTAAGCACGGATAATACTGTCAGCATCATCGACGGCAATAGGACGAATATCAGCCAGAGCCTTGATCTTGGCAGTGCACTCCTTGTACTGGGCATCGGTCATCTCCAGCTTGAGTTGTTGAGCACGAGACTTGATGGCGTTCCATCCGGTCAGACGAGAGGCAAAGTGCACGTAACGGCTCATACCGAAGTCGGCAGGGTTGATGATCTCGTAGGTGCTGGGGTTGTTGAGGATAGCCTTGGCGTGGATACCAGCCTTGTGGGTGAAGGCACAGAACCCGGTGATGTAGTTGTTGAAAGGAATGTTGACCTCGACAGCCTCCGCGACCAGGTCCTCAATGTCCTTGAGCTTCTCGAGCTTGTACTTGCTCTTGACGTACTCAGGGGCGGCGACAATCATACGGGCCATCAGACCACCAAGAGGGGTGATACCATTGCGCTCACCGATACCCAGAACGGAGGTATCAATGTGGGTTGCACCAGCCTCAAGGGCACAGTAGGCGTTGGCAATAGCACAACCGGTATCGTTGTGGAAGTGGGTCTCAATATCACAACCAACAACACCACGCAGGACACGGACAAGCTCGTAAACCTGACGGGGAGAGGCACAGCCAACAGTGTCGGCAATACCAACACGCTGCACACCGACCTTGTCGACGGCAGAGTAGATAGACAGAAGGTCAACCAGGTCGGAACGGAAGGAGTCCTCACTGGAGAAACGGATCTCGATACCCTTGGACTTGACGAATTCAATGACCTCAATGGCGGTGTTCTTGATGTAGGTCATATCCTTACCGTGAGAGTGCTCACGGAGGTATGAGGAGGTACCGATAACAACGTCGCTGTAGAATAATTAGATCGATTGTTCCATTCTCAAGCTTGATTTTTTTTTCTTGGGATGACTCACACTCCATCAACACCGGTCTCAACAGCAACACGGGCATCATCCATGTGGCAACGAATGTGAGTGAGAATCTATACCATAATTAGCTTTCCTGCTTGTATCCGAAATCTCCCATTGTTGGAGGATTTGCCACCGAGTGAAAGTGGGGGTTTGGTTTTGAAAACATACCTTGGCCTTCAGACCAAGCTTGCAAATGGCCTCGCAGTCAGCGCGGGACTGCTCAGAAGCACAGGGGCTAGTGAGCTCAATCTATAGGAACATTGTTAGTTTTCCCCTTAATTCCAAGTGTGTATATCTCGCGATTGGCGGCAAATGACTCACGTAGTCAACACCAAAGTCATCGAGAGCCCTGGCGATCTCGATCTTCTTCTCAGTGTCAAAGAAGGCATTGGCGAACTGTTCACCCTCACGCAGAGTACTCTCGATAATCTTAAAGCGGGAAACATTGCTCAGGAAATCGGTCACGCCCACATTGTGGCCGTAGGGATTGCGGGAAGCGGAAGGGTGAGGGTTCTGGCGAGTCTCAATACCGGTGAAGCCGGGGTGGTCACCATCTAAAGATCAATTAGTATATACTTCCGGTTGAAACAATATCATGGCTCTTGGAATTGCAATTCATACCAACACCGTTAACACCATTGGCTTGCCCATTGGGCTCAGGGTCGGCACCGGGACACATTGTGGATAGTAGTGGGGTTTGGAGGGGTAGTGGCGGTAAGGGTTCACTTGAAGGTATAAAGAACAAAGAAATGACCAAGTTTAACAAGTCAAATTAGAACTTCAGATGATATTTAAGTCAAAGAGGGGAGAAGTAAGAGTCATAAAGTGGAGTGGGCGGTGTGGTGGCTTATTTGCGTAGTAATCGTCGTTCGATCTCTCGGCGGCAAAAAAAAATTGGAAAATTTCACTTTGCGGGCTTTGCGGGGTGGAGCAAGGGGCCGAATGCGCTACACTAGATGTATGACTCAATTTCATCGTTCTTTATAGGAAGTCATCTGCATATATGTATCATTAGACTATATTCAGTTAGATCAATCTACTCAATTTGCCACATAGTTTTTTACTTTGCGCTTATTATTATTATTATTCTCTATTTATCAGCCTTAAAATATTCACATATTATCATGGCCTATAATTCAACTTAAGGGTTCGAGCTGTACTACTGGTCCCCGACATCGGCATAGCGGGGGTGAACCAAACCATATAACTACGTACTACATACAGTGACCGGTGGAATTCGCCGACAGTCTAGTCCCGATAATCTAGTCCAAATTGATTGGTTAATACTCACTTCAATTTTTCTTATGTTATCACCTGTGGGAACTTGAAGCTCCAACTTACTATCATATTGTATGTCGTCATATACTACACCTTACTATAACTAACCCTACTTCGACAGAGTCATACTACGGGATCTTCAATGCGACCGAAAAAAAGATCAGATTTCTTCACTCATCTCCTACACGAGATGAGAATAAAAAAACAAAAGAAAAAACAAACAAGACTGCCCCATGGGCCTCACTCTCTGGCGATGTAGGCCGGGGGAGGAACTGTTGGTACTTCCCCCCCCGAGCCAGTCGAGTTCGACAGCAGGCTCAGGTCGTCGGCGCTTGTGCAGGGCATTCCGCAAGCCCGCGATGATGGTCCGCCAGTTGAAGTCTGGCCGGATGGCGGGCCAGCGCTTACTGGCGACCCACCAAATGATGCCCAGAATGAAAATCGTCACCATACAGCCGGTCGTCCAGATGGACCACTCTGGCATGGTGTCGTGATCGCCGTCGTCGTCCTTGCTATCAGTGCTGTCTATGCCACAAGTCAATTATTATGTCAACTAATCATTAATAGGTATATTGAAACTCACTGGACAGTGGCAGGGGAGGGTCATAATAGACCTCTGAACGGCGGCCAGGAGAGAGGGCCAGAACGGCATCTAGTGAGTCAAACGTCAGCTCCACATCTATTATATACCTCTCTTTGTGGAGTTTCTTTATTCTCATAAAGGACCCAACAGGTCACTGAGGTTCTCGTCAGTTGGTACTTACTGGTGGAGGTGATGGCGGGGGTGATGGTGGTCATTATGGCATCGTCGATGCCCGCAATTGCGGCCTCTACCGCGGGGAAAGCAGCGTAAAGGTACAGAGAAAAGAGAAAAGCGATGAGAATCGCGTACATCTTGATGAGAGAGACCATCTTATTGATGGGAAGCTTGGTTTTTGGTGGATGGTGCAGATCTGTGTACGCGATTGACTGGGGGAAGATGAGAATGAGAACGCGAAATTGTTTATAAACTTCCTCGCTGTCGCCTATCTCTAAGCGAACGCGTGCCTAAAGTGAATGCGATTCACATGGTATTGATTATCGACTTATCAACTTATCGATAAAGAACCAAGGTAGCTCAGTTGACGCCTGTTTGTTGTCCCCCAATTCGTCATTCATACTCAAGTCCTGTCACTCTAGTCCTAAGCTACACAGAGATACTTTAAAGTCTTCCTAGGTAGAACATGTACGATATGAACCTTAGAGATATTGAAAGATAATTGACTAGAAACTGTTCAGATTCAGACCATCTAGTGTAAGAGAGTTGAAGGTTAGTAGATTGATGGGTATCAACCTTGTGGGTTGCAGAATCATAGTGTTAAGCCCCCTCAAATGCTGAACAGGAATTCTGAGCTCCACATAAGTGTCAGGTTTCACAGAGAGTAAAGCACTTGAGTTATCCGAGTCTTTGATTTTAATAGTACGTATATCAGGGTAGTTATGGGGAAGCCCTAAGTCAACTTGTATGCGTGCTGGGAGGTCACTGAGGACTACTTGGTAAAGTGACAGTTTCCATATACTAGCTAAGGATAGAAGTACTATTTGAAAAAATTTGATCAGTTCTACATAGGTCTTAATCGGAATGATTTAGATGCCTACAAGTGGCTAGGTTAATTTCTGGTATGGGAACATGAATCCAGCTTCGGTTAGTTGAGTTTTTTTTTTTATCGGATCTATTTATATAACAGGTTACTCTTTTATTCAAGTTGTGTTTCATGTTCTAAATAATTAATACACGCATAATAAAGTGAGATATAAGCGATGATGAGATTAGGGTGGAAGTGTGTTGTGCTATTGACAACTTAAAGATTGATATCACCAACTTGAACCTTGGAATTTGATTTTTATGTACTGCAGTGCTCTTTGTTTCCACATGGACTTTGAGACTAAGAGCTCAAGCTCTGCCATAATTGTTAGATTTCTTTTATATTTTCAAGCTCCTTCTTATACTTCCTTCAATGTTGGCTTGAACATTTGAACAATATACTACATAGTAGTACTACTATCTCCCATTCCTTATATTAAAAGTTGGCATTGGCACTTTTACAAAAAGAAAATGCTTGAAACTGGTTTGAATGATCAGGTTATATAAGGCTTCAAGTTAAACGTCAAAGAGTTTTTCCAAATATGGTTTAACTATAACACTTATGATATAGTGTACTGTGTGGAGGTAAATAGATCCGACTAATGTGGTCCCAGAAAGAGGCGCTGGACTAATGTAAGTCATCAGATGATCTTGATGGATCCATATACATTATTTCAAGTTGGACTCTGTTCTGAATTCCATTTTAACATGGAATAATTTAAGATAAATTATATATCTTCCATAACTATGATCCACACCCCTTTTAAATAGTTCATTCATAAATTTCCGCAAAAAGCAAGTCAAAAAGAACATTTAAAGTCAATGCGGCTATAGCGGATCCCCCCCGCGTGCAAGTTGCGCGCCCGTGGTTGGTCCACGCTCAGGCCAGCTGGCGTCCTCCAGGGCGAGAGACCATCTTCTTCTCTCCTATCCACCCTCCGGTCCGCGTCAATTGATCTACCTGTAAAAGGTAAAGTATCCAGATTCAAAGATTCAAAGCGCCATCTATCTGCTTATAGAATCATCATATTCTATCACAGATCAATAAAACTAATACGTGTCACAGCCAAGATGCACTTCACAACACTTGTCGCCCTCCTTCCTGCCCTTGCCCTGGCACAGGAGCAGGTTCCTCTCGCCGACCGCGTGCAGGGATGGTTCAACAAGGCCAAGTCCTATGTGCCCACTGCTGTCCCCGCTGAGCCTATCGTGAAGCTGTCCGAGAAGGTCGCGGAGAAGCATGTCACTACCCTGAACCTGGAGAACTGGGAGTCTGTCCTGGCTCCTGCCCAGGAGCCTGAGGACTGGCTCATCTTTGTGACTGGTGGAAACAAGACCTGCTTCGGTCGCTGTGGTCACGCTACTGATGCATTCCAAGTAAGTACCGGTGAAAGAAGAAAAATAACACTGCTGTCCACTGGAATCCATGTCGCAAGTCGCGCGGAAAGGGCTTCCTGGAAATAGAATCAAGAAATAATAAACATCCCATTAGGAATCCGTCTCCCTCTTCGCCGCTGATCCTATATCCCCTAACCTCGGTCTGCTGGACTGTGAGGAGAACCGTATCCTCTGCTCCATCTGGTCTGCTGGTGCTCCCACCGTCTACTACTTCCAGAAGCCTGCGGCCCAGCTGGAAGGTCGCGCCCCTACCCCCTTGCACATCATCTACATGAACGCCACCACCGTGACTCCCCAGGAGCTGTACGAGATTCACTCCGAGAAGAACTTCGAGAAGGTTGAGAAGTACGATGGCGCCATGCACCCTCTTGACAGCTGGCTCGCTCAGAACAAGCTGAACATCCCCATCGGCTGGGCTCTCTACGGAATCAGTGTTGTTCCTAGCTGGATGTTCATGATTGGTATCAGTTTCTTCAGCCGGACCTTCATGTAAGCCTTTCCCGGTATCTGATTATCTCATGCGATGGTCCCTCGTGCTAACATGATATTTTCTTAGGGGTCGCCGTATGGGCAACATCGGCACACAGCCACCTCGCGCCGCTCCTGCTGGAAGCGCCAACTAAGGGATTAATTTACATGGGGAATAGTTTGGCATTTTCTGGTTGTATATAGCGAGACTTGAGACTTCACTTTTAATTCAGTGCGATTGATCTGGCATGAATTCTTTACGGGAGACTTTAGATGTTTGTTGGAATCGAGTGGCTGTGAGTTGCTCAATAGTTTTTTTAATCAAGGCGGTTCTCAGGGTTCATTCGCTTCAGTAGACCAAGATGGCCATTACTCTAGCTCGGTCCCGTTTCACCAATCTCCACTCACCCAACGCGTCTGGAGATCATACATACTGGATAAGTTATAACCTCAACAAGGACCATAATGGATCCCTACGCCTCGATATTGCAAGTCTCTCTAAGTTTCTTCTCATGTAGGTTTAAAACAATTCGACAAGGAAGAAACATTTGCAAGCATTATTTACTGTGAGCACCATTTGACCGTCTTATCCCAAACCGCGCTCTGCTTGTCCTCATTCACACTATCTGGTGGCCCTTCACCCTTCTCTAGCATTGTGAAATACCCACTCGTGCCTTTGAAGCGGTCGTTCAGCGCTAATTCAATGACGTCTTTTCCAGCAGACTCGGCTGTCCGCATGAGCGGATCTACTATCCGGCGTAGTACTGGTCCTAGAGGGTGAATCACAAAGCGTGATGCGAACTGTAGCATGAATGGAGTATTGCTACGAAGCGCGCGTGAATCGCTCAGGTTTCCTGGGTTGATAGCGACTGCAGTGATATCTTTGAGGTGCGCATTCTCAGGCTGAAATAATATGTTAGCTATAAAAATATATAAAGGAAGAGAGCAGAGAATAAGCAACCTTCTGTAGATGTTTATTCAACGCATACATCCAGGTCACAGTAGCCAACTTTGAGAAGGCATATCGTTGGAAACCATGACCCATATGATCATTGTTGTCAAGTCCCAGATCTGGCTTTGCGAGGTCATCAAGGTTCTCTGGTAGACGAGGTGGATATTTTTCAAGACCATTATGACCAGGGAATATGGCGTCACTGCCAAAGACCACAATACGTCCATACCGAGGACTGGAGATATCTAAAGGCCCGAAGGACTCTAAGAGCTGCTGCACAAGAAGTGCATGGGAGAGGTGATTGATTTGGAAGGTCCTCTCAAAGCCATCCTTGGTGAACTCTGGGGCTGTGACAAGATTCCAGTAATAGGCGTTGCAGATGATGCTGGATAGTGGCGGGATTGAGCCGCTGGTGATATCAGTAGCGAGGGCAGTGCCAAAGCCACGTACAGAGGAAAGGTCGGACAAGTCAAGCTCACGAATAGAGGCTCGGTTTTGGAAGGGGTCAATGATGGCGCGTAGTTTCTGAGTGTTGGGGTCAGATGCCGAAGCATTCCGGACGGTTAGAACAGCATGGTGAGTGGCATAGTTTGTAAGGAGATGTTTGATCGCGGGAAGAGCAAGAGAGCCGTTTGCTCCAGTAATAAGAATAGTAGAAGTCATTTTTATACTGCAAACTGGTTGTTCATAGATATCTGGAGGAGACAAGAGTACATATAGGGACCCGGAACCTTGAAAGAGATTGAAGAATTGGACTCGGAGCAACTTCAAGCCTTCCAAGGTTCCTGCCTAGGTACAGGGTTGGCTGAAGTTGAACATTTGCCAGCCTTGGAGTAAGCTCACATCCATGGGTAGATAACATTTGGACTCTCCGTAGTGGCCAGTAGGAAGCGGGCGAGAATGCAGAGTGGGAACGACTAGCAACACTGAAGTGCGAGATGCACTGGCACGGCCCCCGGGGTTACAGGTATTAGTCTTTTGAGTTACAACTAGTCATAGCTCTCGGCCTGTCAGCGTCTAGTACATCAGGCTTCAGGTTCAGGATTGATGGAATATCATGTTGGGAAGAGTCTATTAAACGTGGCTGCTTGGATCAATTTATCAGTTTATTTTAAATATTCCAAGGTTTTATCCCGATCTGGCCTTGTTAATTTAAACATATGAAATGGGGGGTAAAAAAGGCTTCCATGGGTTCAACCTTGAAAGTTGAGTCGCTGAACTAAAATGTCGCCGCCGGATATGTAATCATTTTCGGCAAGCCCAGCCCTGCGCCAACCATCAAACGTGAATATTGCAGCCACCAGCTCGAACTCCCAAGTGCTCTCAACCACCATAATTCTCCCTAAAATGGCCGCACCTGTACCTCTGGATCGGCTCCCTCCCACCACAACCGCCTACGTGATTGCGACCGCTATTCTCGCCGGCGTGACAGGCTACTTCATCGGCCAAGGTTCCTCACTGCACCTGTTCAAAGAAAAGCAAGGATGGCCAAACGGCTACGACGTCAAAGTCCACCGGGACTCTTCTGACGAGGAATTCGAAGAGGAATCCGAAGCCGAGGATAGCGAGGATGAGGGAAATGGGGAGGAACTGGCCGACTTCAAGGAGAATGCGGAAGAAGTGAAGCTTGTACTGGTTGTTCGAACTGATCTGGGCATGACCAAGGGTATGTTACGTTGCACTCTGCATGGAATGGTAGCTCTTGAGCTTCAAACATTCTACAGGCCCAGAATTGGGACTCGAAGGAGTTTTAACGTCATCTATTGAACTCAAGTGCTTCATGACTTACGGACACAGTGCTGACTTCTTCTCATTTTAGGCAAAATTGCCGCCCAAGCCTCTCATGCCACGCTCGCCTGTTACAAGTACTTTATTACGCATGCGCCCGATTCCCCGATTCTCCGCCAATGGGAGCGTATGGGACAAGCGAAGATCGCATTGCAGATTAAGGGTGAAGATGAGCTGTTGACCCTGCAAGCGCAAGCCATGAGCCTGGGTCTTTGCGCGCGCGTGATTCAGGATGCCGGTCGCACGCAGATTGCTAGTGGGAGTCGGACAGTCTTGGGTATTTTAGGTCCTAAGAGTGTTGTGGACGGCGTGACGGGGCATTTGAAGTTGCTGTAAACTATCTTGTTGCATTTTTCGCCTCATCTATACCCAGCATATTGATATGCGATAGCATATAATGATCATGATCATGTTATGAAGATGCCCATTTGCATGCTGTACTTTTAGAGCTACATGTACTCGTAGCGCTCGAGAACACGCTCGTAGCTCATAGCAACGAGTGGAGACCTTGCGCGGCTTGTTGGAGAAATTTTCATGCGACACAGATGGATCTGCAAAAATAATTTACTTCCAGTACTGAGTACAGTACTCCAGACTGCTTAATGCCTATGTTGAATAGACTTAAGGTGTATTCGGGTTGAGACGATCCATCTCTGATCTACAAAATAAAAAAAGTTCTATATAATAGGGATGTAGGCTAGTCATGGTTATTCCCTAACCTCACAGGCCAACGGCCATCGGTAAAGGGATCAGGAATATGACGCCGTCTACAACCGGGCACCGGAGCCGAGCTCACCAGAGGGAGCTCAAGACCCAAGCCACACCCAGCGCAGACTTTCAATCTGAGATCCGTCGACTGGATACCGTAAAGTGCCATACATGTTAGAAATGGATGGCTCCATGTCGTCGAGCTGCCCAGCTCTCAACCGATACACAGGAAGTAAACTTCCCATGACCAGGAAATCTGGACACAGATCTATGGTTGTGTTTGGTGAAGAAAAGAAGAGAAAAACGGGAAAAAGATTCTTTTTGTATGATCTCAGGAACACGCTAGTTCATTTATGGAATAGCGGGTAGTGTCACATGACACCGATTAAATCAAGTGGAACTTGATATTGATAGCGGGTTCAAGCCGACTTTCTAATCTGGACCAACCTTGACTTGCCTTTTCTTTCCTATCTTCCTTTATTTCTCCCACTTCTCAGTTGTACGGTCTCTGAGATACCCACCCGTCACCATGACGGACGCCGTATCCATCGAACAGACCAATAAAATCCGAGTCTCACTCGGTCTCAAACCACTCCCTGTTCCCGGTGCCGACGCCACCGGTCCAGATTTCAGAGATGACGATTCCTCGAGCGGTTCCGAAGACGAAGAAGACCCTGCGAGTACATTAGAAACCCGCCAAGCGGAAGGATACGCAAACTGGAAGAAACTTCAAGATGAAGCCGACGCGAAACGCCGACGAGAAGAAAAGAACGCCGCGATCAAAAAAGCACGCGATGAAGCCCAGCGGAAACTCAAACTGGCAGGACCGACCTTGGGCGATACAGATAGCGCCGAACTTGACACCAAGGCCTGGCTGATGCAGTCGAGGAAGCGAACGAAGAAGATCGAGAAAGAGCGTGCGCGCAAACTTGCGGAAGAGCTTGAAGAGCGAGAGCGAGAGGCTGCGATTCAGTACACTTCTGCGGACTTAGCTGGTGTCAAGGTCGGACACTCCATTGGTGCCTTTGAGGGCGGCGAAGATCATATTCTTACCTTGAAGGATGCTGGTGTGGACGATGATGAAGAAGGCGATGAACTCGAGGATGTGAATTTGGTGGAGAAGGAGAAGACCGAGGAAAAGCTTGAGTTAAAGAAGCGCAAGCCTGTCTACGATCCTACGGCTGAGAATCATGGAATTCTCTCACACTACGATGAGGAGATCGAGGGTAAGAAGCGCAAGAGATTTACGCTAGATGCCAAGGGCTCCACTGAAGAGGAACGAGAGGCTAAGCGACAGGAAGTCTCGAATAAATTGAGGATGGGTGCCATCAACCTTGATTTGGAACCTGAGATTCCAACTTCCGATTATATGGATATCAGTGAGGTCAAGATCAAGAAACCAACAAAGAAGAAGAGCAAGACTACCAAACAACGAGCCACCATCGAGGAGGATGACATATTCCCTGCCGCTGAATCAAATGGAGCGTCCATGGATATTGATTCGGCTAATGGAGTCCCCGTATCTGCTCCGCGAAAGCCAGTGGATCAAAATGTTTCGTTCGTGGATGATGATGACCTACAAGCATCTCTTGCCCTTCAACGACGCGCTGCGTTCAAGAAGCGTAAGAAGATGCGTCCCGAAGATCTTGCTCAGCAGCTCCGTGAAGAAGAATCACAAACTCCCATGGAAGTGGAGACACCTGGGGAAGACACCGAAGAACCCGGTCTCGTCATCGATGAAACCTCTGAATTTATTTCCAACCTACAGAAACCTACCCTCCCTGAACGAGAAGAGAGACGGAATTCTACACCCACCACAGAGGCAGCTCCTCAGCCACAAATCGAAGACGAGCCAGAAGATGTGGACATGGAGCGCTCCTACAATGATATTGAGGATGATGAGGACCTTGCCGAGCGTCTCAAGCGCGAGAAAGCTCAACAGCCCAAACAAGAACTCACAGGCACTGGACTGGAGGAAGAATCTACTCTGGATCAGGGTCTGGGAGCTACATTGTCTATGCTCAGACAGCGTGGTTTGGTGAAGGAGACCAACAGCAGCGACCAAAATGCTCTCATGCGGGATCGTCAACGTTTCCTGCAAGACAAGATGAACCGTGAGGTCGATGTCGACCGCCGTGCCCGCTTGCAACGTGAACGTGACCGTGCTTCTGGCAAGCTCGACCGCATGTCTGCCCGTGAGCGTGAGGAACACGCACGCTGGGAGAACAAGCAACGTGATCAACAAGAAGCGCGACACATGGCCGAGGTGTTCAACAAGGAGTACAAGCCCGATGTGCAACTCAAGTATGTTGACGAGTATGGCCGTTCGATGAACCAGAAGGAGGCATTCAAGCACCTCAGTCATCAATTCCACGGCAAGGGCAGTGGCAAGATGAAGACCGAGAAGCGGTTGAAGAAGATTGAGGATGAGCAAAAACGCGAGGCCATGAGTACATTGGATAGCAGTCAGCATACGGGTATGAACAATGCCATGGGAGCTCAAGCACGAAAGAACCGTCAGGCTGGTGTGCGACTTGGTTGAAGCTCAATTAGCTCTTATTTCCCTGTGTATAGAGTTGTGAAATGACCACTGTCATGATCTATTTTCTATTCTTTCTCTTCCATCTACTTCCCACTAAGCCGAATCTGTCATGTCCTGCCGAAGGACTCGGCATGCTACGTAATAAGTAATTCGGCGCCGGGTCGATCAGACAGCGCCTCTCCAGTTGTCTCCGCGTGTGGGGATTTGCATCATACGGGTAGTTTATCCCCATATTTAACCGAGTTACTTATTTTTTGCGTCTCTCCATGATCCTCTAAGAGCAGAGCATCTCGTATTCAGAGATAGTCTCACACTATTCGTAAAACTCGTATTCTCTAATAAACTCAAATATATTTTTTTTATATTGGTCTGATATATTTTTATATACTGGAACCGGTTATTACCCCAATTTTGTGTGAGGGGAAAATGTGATGGTGTGGAGCTGCCATAATCAGCTCACCGGGGAATCGAATCCCGATGTCGCGCAATATTGGACTCCCGAGTCTTATACTACATTTACCTAGGTACGTTATACAATATCAGTTTCATGTTTCGTTATACAGCGGGTGTTTACCTTGCATGCAGAACAGGGCTGCATAGTAAAGATCAGATAATAGAGATCACATAACTCTATATAAAATAAAATGAAATAAAATAAATTTTAGGTGGATATTATCATTTCCCAACTAGTCTCTCCAAAAAAATTCTGTAAAGCTCAATGATCATCATCTTTATCCCTGTAGTACAGTAATAATGTTCACTGTGCGGAGAGCCAATACTAGCAATCCCGCCCTTTCGCCATCACGGAAGTACCCGGTACCAATGTTAACTATGTAACCCCACACCGCAGACTTTGTACCCGATACCATCATCACATGAGTCAAGGCCAAAACATCTAATTTTCCCCCGGTTCTTCCCTTCTTCTCCTTCTCCATCTCATCTTTTATTTTTTTCGTTTGACTTCATTTTTTCGTCACACATTTATATAAAATGCTCTCCACTCTGAGAGTCGCCAGCCGTTCGGCTGCTGCCCGCGAGGCTAACTTGCGCATGGTTATTGGTGCTCGACAGGCCTCGGCTTGGTCCAAGGTGCCTCAAGGTCCTCCTGTAAGCTTTGCTACCTTCACTTTTTTTTTGGTCTTTTAGCTCTGCAATGAGGCACACTCTTTTTTCAATTGGATAATTGAGACCAATTTTGACCCAATGAACTCATTAGGATGCTATTCTGGGTATCACCGAGGCCTTCAAGGCCGACTCCTTCAAGGAGAAGATCAACCTTGGTGTCGGTGCCTACCGTAAGTGACTTCTCACTGGATACTCATTGAAACAAGGAGCTGGCTAGCTCCGTACGCGCGACAAACACAGAAAGGCTAATTGAAACAATTGGTAACAGGTGACGACAAGGGCAAGCCTTACGTTCTGCCCTCTGTCCGCGCCGCTGAGGACAAGGTCGTTGCGTCGCGCAGCGACAAGGAATATGCTGGTATCACCGGTATTCCCGCCTTCACAAACGCCGCCGCCGAGTTGGCCTACGGTTCCGACTCCGCTGCCCTCAAGGAGGACCGTCTGGTCATCACCCAGACCATCTCCGGTACCGGTGCCCTGCGCATTGGTGGTGCTTTCCTCCAGCGCTTCTACCCTCACGCCAAGAAGGTTTACCTGCCCAACCCCAGCTGGGCCAACCACGGTGCCGTCTTCAAGGACTCTGGCCTTGAGGTCGAGAAGTACCGTTACTACAACAAGGACACCATTGGTCTGGACTTCGAGGGTCTGATCGAGGATATCAAGACTGCTCCTGAGGGCAGCATCATCCTCCTGCACGCCTGTGCTCACAACCCTACCGGTGTTGACCCTACCCAGGAGCAGTGGCGCAAGATCAGCGATGTCATGAAGGAGAAGGGTCACTTCGCTTTCTTCGATATGGCTTACCAGGGCTTTGCCAGCGGTAACGCTGACACTGACGCTTTCGCTCCTCGTCACTTCGTCAAGGAGGGTCACAACATTGCTCTGTGCCAGAGTTTCGCCAAGAACATGGTAAGTCGAGAACTGCATTCAATGGGACATGTAAATCCTAAACAATGAACATGGACATGAAAAATCTAATGGTTTGTTTTCTAGGGTCTCTACGGTGAGCGTGTCGGTGCTTTCTCCCTGGTCTGCGAGTCCACCGAGGAGAAGAAGCGCGTTGAGTCTCAGATCAAGATTCTCATCCGTCCCTTCTACTCCAACCCCCCCTATCCACGGTGCCCGCGTTGCCTCTACTATTATGAACGACCCCGTTCTGAACGAGCAATGGCTCGGTGAGGTTAAGGGTATGGCCGACCGCATCATTGAGATGCGTGCTCTTCTCCGCAAGAACCTCGAGCAGCTCGGCAGCAAGCACGACTGGTCTCACATTACCAGCCAGGTAAGAATCAAGAATCCCCCAATCATCACATCCAGATCTGTCATCTAATAAATTAATATAGATCGGTATGTTCGCCTACACTGGTCTGAAGCCCGAGCAGATGGATGTCCTTGCCCAAGAGCACTCCGTCTACGCTACCAAGGACGGACGTATCTCCGTTGCTGGTATCACTACCGGCAACGTCCAGCGTCTCGCTGAGTCCATCTTCAAGGTTACTGGTTAAATTGGGGATAGATATATAGACGTGGGCACTTTTTAGTAGAAGAAAAGTTGCCCTATGTATTACATGATTCCTACAATGAATTGAACGGACCGGAACCTGGATAGGATACGAAGGAAAAAGGAAATCGAGCCCGAACGGAACCGATGGGTTGTGGTTATGGGCTTTTGTATTGATATCTCATGTCTCTGTTTTCATTTAGCATGGTTTGGCTTTGTCCATCTCAACGGAGATTCTGGATTTATAACTTAAATTTGCACAGTACTCTATTCCAACCTAGTGTGTTTGTCTTTCTTCATTGATTTTGTTCAAAGTATAGTTGGATTAATAGCTTGGAATTACTAGTCCTCCATGTACATTGAGCTCTGAGCACTCAAGTGCTTGAGAATGCTAATGGCGTCACCGGCCAGTTCATTGAACTTGAACTACAGTACTTCTTAGCATGAGACTATATCCTCTAGTATGATGATCAAAATTAAAATGCATAATTAATTACTAGTACTCATATATTCCGAGTTTGCAGTTTCTTCACCTCCCAGTGTAGAGTCTAGCCTCCGTTCAAATTTACTCTCAACCTGAAACTGGATAGGAAGAAAGTATAAATTGCGACCAAAAGGGCAAACCACATATAATCCATGTAAGTAGATCGAACACGAGCAAGTAAGAAAGAATTCTATTGCTCAATCTCAAGAATGGAGTATATGAATTCTCAGTAAGATCTATCACGAAGTATTATGGCGCGGGTTCCCAGATAAATTATTCTAATAGGTTATTCTTCATGCAGCATGACCTCAGCCCAACCTTGGAAGGCTCAAAAGAGTCAACTGGACCATGATGTAATCTGCCCAGGTGTATTTTTACAAAGTTCTCGTAATAGTACGAAACACATACGGTATTGTAATGATTACCAAGAATGGACATCCACCTGGGCAGTCAGGTGCAGATGGGTCCCGTGACTTAAGCCATGTGGAATTGAACCAATCAGCTTAATGATAACTGGTGAACCAAAGATTCGCTGATCCGGGGAAATTGTAGATGGATCTACACATCTATATGGTACGTGAATACGAGGATGTTTCAAAATAATAGGCTTTGTCTTTTTTTTTCAATAGTTTGAGGATTCTTATAACACAAATTGGGGAATGAGTAAATTTTTTGAAGATTTGATGGAACCCGCTCCGGGCGGATGGGAATATGAATATGGATGCGGAATTGAGGAATCGAGATGCAAATGGGGGTGTCAATGATAAGTCATGGATGCAAATGAATATCTCATGAGATGCGAATCATGGGGAAAGACAACTTGGGAAATTAAATAAAAAGAAAAAAAAAGTGGAACCAGAGAACGCCGAGCTGTCGATTTAGGGGGGTACGGTCAATATTCACGCCATGTTGGGTGAGTGCGGATGATTCTCGCTGTCTTCACCATGCAGAAAGAGAGAAGGGGGAGAAATAATCAGGAATAAAACACAAAAAGGAGAAATAAGTATGAATTAGAAAAAAAAAAAATCACGAGAGAATACCCTCGCGTAAACGTCGATCTTCTTCCCAGATTTCCATTTTTTCTTTCTGGAGAAAATCGTGCTGCCTCACCAGTTTATCCAGATCGGCTTGAGATGGGTGGGCCTGCGTCTCAAGGTTCTTATGCAAGGTGCGGTACTTGGCATAATTCCTCTTGAATGTCTGCGACCGTTCCCACAGCCGCTGCCGCGCAATGTCAAAGCTCATTGGTGGGGATGCACTGCCTGTACTTCCTCCACTGGAGGCACTGACTGCTCGTCGCCGCTTATGGTCCAGATTCCCGCTCGTACGTACAGGTGCTGCATGTGCCGCTGATGGCTCCGCCTTGCGCTTCAAGGGGTTTGCGCCTGCAGCTGCAGACTTGGTGACGCCATTGGATGGTCCTGAAGGTTTTGACGCACGTGCAGCTGTCAAGCCCTTGTTGGCTCGAGACAGTTGAGTAATGAGAGGGGAGGATGAAGATGAACTGGAGGACTGGTTGTGACTATCGGAGCGGTTGCGGTTTTGCACATCAGAGGCGTTGGCAGGAGGCGAAGATCCAAGTGGAGATGGCTTCTGAGGGGAGGTGGATTGTCGAGAAACAGGTTTCTTGGAGGCAGTCCTCGGCTGAGAGGCTTCCAACTTGGGAGTTGACGTATCAGGCTTTGCAGCCGTCTTGGATGCTGTATCCGCGGGCCGTTTGCCAGGGACTGGGGCTTTGGGAAGGTTCTTCTGAGGCTGAGGTCTCTTAGGCGGAGGAGCCGCCTTCTCTTGCCGCGGAGGTGGTGGTGCCGGGGGAGAAGGTGGCGTGGCCTCGGGCATATCGGAATCTTCATCGTCCGATGAGTGTACAAACTCTTCAGATTTGAACTTCGTCTCCACCTTAGCGAGAGTCTTTCCGCCGGTCTTCTTGGTAATCCGACCAGTCAATGTGCTGTTACTCACGGGCGCCGTAGTCTTTCCCTTGGCAGGCCGTTTTGCGGGCTCTTTCTTTGCAGCCGGGTTTGATCGAGGTGCAGCACCATCCAATCCCATGGAAAAGCTAGAACTAGCAGAACGGTCCTGCTCATTGCTCGTGCTCTCATCATCTCTGGCTCCATCTTCAGCTCCGCCGACTTGGATACGAGGAGGAGCAGCGGCCTTCTTGATAGGACCGGTGCTCAGTTTGAGACGTGACAGACACTTCCCTTTACCTCGCTCCTCCTTCGAAAGAAGCATCTGCCAGAGTTTATCAGAGCGAGAGATCCGCATCCGATCGAAGGCAGAAATGGCATTCTCGATGGCCTGTTGTCGGTCCTCCTGATTGGGATAGGGAAATTTCCACACGTCCAGGTCCTTGTAGGATTTGTCCTTGAGATCGAACTTCTCGCGGTTGAGTCGGTTCTCGGCGCCATACTTCGTAGCGAGGTTACTGCAATCCTCAATGGAAGAGCAAGTCTGACGGGAGAGGAACTTGGGCGAGACGGCTCGGACGGCGAGAAGGTGAATGAAAGGGGTCTTGAGAGCTTCGAGACGGGCATTGTTTTTGACCTGTGAAGCAGGAGCGGAGGTCGGTGTGAGGATGGGCAGTGGGGATTTGGGAGCGCCGAGGACTGGGCTTGAGGTGAGAGATCGATTGGCGGCAGTTCGAAGCAGTCGGTCCCTGTCCAGCTCTGATTTGCTCTTAGGAGCTCGGTGAGCACCAGCAGCTCGCAGGGCTTTCAATTCATCGGGATGCTGAATAATGTGTGTTTTCTTGGACTCCTTCCCTCGCTCAAAGGCATTGAGACTCTCCTCAAGATTTGCCAGTGCCTGATCAGTAGCTGCGGTAGCCTGTTTGGCCTTTTCCACCTCTAAGCTGTGGCTCAGAACACCAGTGAAGTAGAGGGTCCGATCGTCGGTGGAACTTTGGTAGATCTCGGAACGGTGTGTTTCGGGGTAGGCATGAAAGGATTGGGACTTGCCGCCATAATGAAGAGACGGGTGTTTCCCCAGGCGGACTCGGGCAGGTTGGTCGTTTCGTAGACTTTGAATCAGTTCGTCCAGTGTGCTCTGCACCAGGCTCAGCCGCATGATCTGGGCGGGTTTTGCCGAGCCGGCTCCGGACTGCTCTTCATTGCGAAGAGTGAGTCCGGAGGCAGGAATTTTCAAACCAGAACCTGTCATGGTTACAGTCACTGCTTGAGGAAGGAGGATTTAAAGCAGACTTCGAGGTTATGAGCAGGGACGGATAGCAGCGTGAGGGCTGCAGGTCAGGCGGCCAACTGCACGTAGAAGTGAGGCAACACCATCCGCCATAAGATCGGGTATGATCCAAGGGGGAAGAAAAGGGTGAATGCCTGGGGGTAAGAAGGTGAAGGTTGAAGAGAAGAGTGAGTGAGTGAGGAGAGACGAGGCGAAGCGGAGAGTGGGGAGGGAGCTGACGGGGCGATTCCCTGGGTTGAAATGGTAAATTACAGGGGACTTCCCGATGGGTTTATTCGGTTTTTTATTTTTATTTTTTTTTTAATCAGGTAGATATCATTATTTACTGTATTTTATATTTATAATACTTTCCTTCTATTCTTCCATGATTATATGGTTTTTTATTTGGGGAATATCCCTCAGTTTATAATGCGTCAAGAAGTGACCTTTGTTTCGTACACATAAGGAGGCAATTTCATAGTATTCCATAGTACTTCTAATACTCAAAGTATTCAAAGATTCTCCCCCTAAAGATGTTCCAGGATAGACAAACCTCTCGGTTTTGTTTCCTTTTCAGTATTCTCTTCCAGGATCTTTGTTCTATAACCCAGGTGTAACTAGTTGACACATCGTGGGAGCGGGTCATGAAACGGCTTTGAAGTCGAATATAGAAACATCAACAAGGAGGAATAAGTGATTGATTCCTTTCAGTTTGAATGAATCATCTGGTTTCCTCATTCTATCACTTTGTTCCCATTTAATGTTTTTTTTCCTTTCAAATGGTTTGACTTCCATTTCCTCCGAGCTCCGGAGTTGTAACGCTGTACGCCCCCAAGCACAGACAATGCCAACTAAGCGCAGCCGACCTACTCCATTTAGGTACTTTCAAAGCAATTATTATTCCTGAAATTCTTTGGGTAGCAGTCAAGAACTTATGATCCAATGAGAAAGACTTGATCAAGAGCATGTTCATCCCAATCTAAGTAGATTAATACCTAGGTATAGAGAAGTTGAACTGGGAAAAACCACTACAGTATTGCTAGATTGTACTCCGGCCAAATATCTCCACTCTCCGGTGGTACACGGTGAGGAGAAAGCGCCATCCGCGGGCAAGAAAAATTCCTAAAAAATAAAAATAAAAATAAGAAAAAAACATAGAAAATCCATGATAATTAACGGAACAAAATAGAAAATATGGGGCTTCCCGAGTGTAATTCAGTCGTACGGTGCCCACTTCTCCTCTCCAGCGGAGTCTTGGGATTTTATACGGGTGCGGCCGGGATCCGAAGTGGTCCATAATTCCTGTTCAGTGATAATGATACTGAGATTTTTTTGGTCGGGCACCCTTTTCAAATGTTCTCTCTGTACTCCGTAACAAGTAATAAGTAACAAGGGTAACATACCAAGATCCGCGACGTGACGGCCGATCACCCGCCAAGGTACATGGGAAGGAATGTTGTCGGGACTCGGCGTACGGGAAGTACAATTGTACAAATGACTCTCAAGGTTCATTTTAGTATTTGCCCCTCGTTCGTAAAGAGTGTGTAACTATTTTAACAGTTGAATTTTCCCGACAATTCGGTAGTGGAACTTGTTCACCGGTTATGATATTAACTCAAGCCATTTTCTTCTTATGGGGGGGAGTACACTCAAATCAGTCTAGTTTAGCGAGAGAAAGAGGAGAAATAAACCTTAGATTTCTTCTGAAGTACTAGGATACCATGGTAAGTAAGTAACTACGTGGGTAAAGTTGTGAATGTATTTAATTATTTAAATTATTCTAGAGAGAAACTAGAAGTCCAATCCGGCCCCAAAAGGTCATCGCCTGATTAATGTGGGTTTTAGTTGCACGGGTCATGCATGGACCTTGGGAACGCAAAAGCCTGACGCTTTCAAATGGTTTAGCTAGGTACTAGTTTTTTCATTTTATTTCACTTGATCTGATCACATTCAATTTAGTCCTACTATGAAAGTACGATACTTCGTACAACCACTACCTTGAATATTTAAAGATGTAAGTTTAAATCGGAGTTATTTAATAAACCGGTTTCTTTTACTCTCCTTGGAACCGAGAGGGGCATGTCCCCCCGTGGATCCCCTTGCAGCCCAGTGGGCTCGGATTACCATAGCGTGTTCATAGTCCGAGACAGGGGAGCTAATATTTATCACTAATTATCCTGCATCGGTTTCCTGGGATCTCCCCGAGAATTATCCTACTGTACTAAAGTACTAAAATGCAATGATAAATGGCGAGGACTCCCCGGTTCACCTGGGAGACCACGCGAGGTTCCAAGGGGTCAGTGGGGCCTAAAGCTTGGTCTGGCTAAACTGCAAGGTGTTTCTTCATGTTTCAGGGTTTGAGCACTACAAATCAATATGGAATGGACCCATAGACCCATACAGGGGGCTCCATGGCTTCAAATGTTGAGGATCAGTTGATCAGATGTCTGCAGAATGCACTAATCTCAGCTATTATCACATTATTAAATGATTCTATAGTGAAGGGCATAGCTCACTCCTAGTAACTAGGAAAATCAATATTAATTGCAAGGTACTCTCAACTATGAGATCAACCCCGCCAATCCCTATGTAATCAATCCTAGTAATGTCCAAGTCCACCTGGCACTGGCAGTACTGCTCATATCATCTTCCAGCCGCCCGCGGCCCGCACTGTTACTTATCACCATAATGTCAATGCCCTGCACAGATACTGCATCAAGAATACTAAATTCCAGCCTCCTGTTAAGACTCTTAGTAAATCCGTTATTTGTCTGAAAGAAAGGTGAAGGCTGCAGTCCTCTGGCGCTATGGGAACCTCAACTCCGCGGATCATCTCCGATCTCAACATGAAGATGCTTACGGGTGGAGCACGGATGACCGTGGGGGCTGCACGAGGAGACTGGTGGATAGGGCGGGTTTCTTTTTTAGGGACATGGCACCCGGAGTTTCTATTTTGGTGAGGATCACTTGGGGCGGATAATCTCAAGGCTACTTTCTGAATTTGAAGAGCTATTCAAAGATCACAGAGACATATTCAATGTGTTGGAGGATTTTTCGCAATCTAGTAGCATCGGGCTACGCAGGCGGGCTAAGAAAAACTCGAACCTCCTTAGAGCTGACACATACACTGCATGCGCTCCTTGATGACCTACATATGTGCAGTCCATGCCCTGATCTCATACTTGACCTCGGTTTAACAAGGATATAAAGTTTTTCTTCCTGCAGGATGGACCTTGTGGCTGGAGTCTGGGTGTAATTGGACATCGTTCTTGAATTCGTAGCACTCAAGTGCTTTTAGCCATGTCGTACTAATGTGAGTTCAATCTCATATATAATACCTACGTACTGCCAATGATCCCTATTTTGTGCAAATCCCATTGACACAATTGTTCCCGTAGCAACAATTCTCAGCAATAAGGCATGGACCGCCGTTCTCTTGACATCCTGGCCATTGCTTATCGGTGGATCTGCACAGGGTTGCAGCGCAGTAGCCAGAGCAGCAATTGCCAAGGGTATTACCGAAGTCGCATTTAGCTGCAAAATAATCAGAGCTGAATTTGTCTGAATTTTTCCCCCTCTTTCAAGGATTCTCTGTGCTTACCATAGACGCCTAAACATGTCGGAGTGGGCACGCAGGTGATTATTGTGGTCTGAACGGGTGTTGTAAAAGTCGCCGTGGTGCAGATCTCGGTGCCGATACAGGCATCGGAGTCGCCGCACTTTGCCTTTGCTTCCCCTGGTGAATAATGTTAGCTGATTACTCAAAGATTTTTTAAGGCTGCTCATGCGTTAGTATTGAACGAGGCTCACCACATGCAGTTGCTGTCTGGTAGAGGCATAGCAGGGTAAGAAACTTCAAGTTTGAGAAGTGCATGTTTCAAGTTCAAGTTCAAGTTAGTTCCAAGGTTGTTTGATTGAATCTACGTGTGTTTGACGGGATAACCCAGGTAATAACTTCATCCAAGTTTACCTGGGCACGAGTCCTATTTTCATTTAAATAGTACCTCTAATGCTCCCTCGAGCAAGGGTCACGTTTCTCATCTACAGCGGTAATCAACACGAGATCGTGATATCATGACCACTGTTCAAACTTCAAGTTGAAGCCATGTCTCTCTTTCCGAGGATATAGATGCCCGAATCTGCATCGGCTGCGCCACAAAAATACGAGTATGATACCAACGATTGGATATTTGAAACCTTTGAATACGAAGTGCCCAAAGTCATGCCAGTGATTTGGAATCATCTTGAGACATTGTTTATGGCCTAACTTATGACTCGTGTTAAGAACAATAGACCACCTGGGCATGACCTTGGACATCTGGAACAATGGATGGGAAACGAAAAATTAGCTGAAACAAGGCATCCCTGTGCAGCCACAGCTCAGCCTCGAACGTAGATCGGTTTCACGGGGGACGAACCATGCAAGAGCCTAAACTATTGATCGCGATCGTCATTTTTCTTTCTTTCATCCATTCAAGTTCTTTCATCTCATTAAGGGAAAAGGCGTCTTTGAGAATACATGTAAATATACCTAGGTAGTCCATAGCCCTATTCCTCTTTTACAAATTAAATAAGCTTACATTTCCACCAGAATAGATCAAAGAGAAAAAAAAAACTAACGTTTCAGCAAAGAATGGGGGGGGTCTCTTTGGCCCCCATTCGCGAATCAGTCAGGGTACTTTGGGTACGCCACCCGAGCCCGAACCCCCAAAATTCAGAGCTTCAACTCATCACTCATCACTCCATCACCTGGGCATCAAACATCCAAAATTTCCGTATATGTACTACATACAGAACACAATCCTTTCCTTTCATGCATAGCATCTTCTCCCAAGTATCAAAATGCCACGGTGACCAATCCCACTACATCCCTGGCCCCAGACAAGGCCAGCCCTTGCAGACGATCCTTCCGTACCGGCGTCTCATATCCAATCATTTTGCGGTGGCGGCGAATGTCGCTCACGGTCCATATTTTGGCTGTAGCACAATTGGTTCTCCATGTATGTATACACGTATACACGCAGCTATGTGCTACACTGAGGGATAGGTACCTAAGTGGCGCGCAAGGTACAGTGCCGAGTACCGATTTAGTACTTGAGTGTTGCCACACTCCAGGCTCGATCTACTGTATCACTCGTGTTGTAATTAGTGTATTTGTACTTCGGAGGCACTGTATGCAGTACACAGTGCTGGCAGCACGTAAGATCTGAGTCCTGATTGGAAAATTTTGAATGTCCAAACTTGAAGTAGATACGCGGGCGTTTCCCCTATGGTTCTCATGTCTGCGAATTATGAGAGGTTATTGTAATCGCCTGGGCATGGATTCCTATTTTACCCTAGTTCTGCTCTGCATTAATTAAAGATCACCTTCGGTAATAAGCTACTGGTCCTGACTCCGAGTCGTCACTGAGCCCTTACGGATAATAATGGGATGATCGACAAGCCATCGCCCTATTTTGGATGGCCACCTGCGTCACTTTTTGTCTTTAAGGCTGATGCAGGTGTTCGTGAGGCGAAGAAAATCAGTGGATGATATGTTTGTATTTTCACAAGCTGGAAAAATAACTGGGATTTGATATTTAATTTTTGTAAAATTCAAGTAAATGACAATTTTGAAAGGGGCTGAAGGGGAAAAGAAAAATACTACCTAATAGTATACAAAAAGCTTTGAGCAAATGCTGACTATTAGTAGCAAGTGCTGGTGCACATGTGCTCTTCATGAACCTGAAAGCTCCTTCATTTCTTTGGAGGATCATCAGGTTGGTAAATCAATCCAATACGACCTATATCGTGACAACTCAAGTAGACTCCAATAAGGGTCGAATTGTTCGGAGGCTTAAAGATATCATTAGATGGTAAGTATGACTCGTAGCTTTCTGTGGAGGCGTCATCTCTGCACCAAACGCGCTGCCTGATACCTCCTGCTGAAGCAGTATCGATGGAGTCAGTATCGATGGAGTCGTGGGGGAAATCGGTAGGCAGACATAGCTTGCTAGTCATAGGCTGCCCATTAGACTGAAGCTCGAACTCGATTCCCGTCAGTCTCTTTTCATCGATAATGACAGATAATCCAACAACTTGAGAATCTGGCGGTAGATCAATTTTTTTGAAAAGTGCCAGTATCAAATTCTCCAAGTTTTGCAATCTTTCCAGACTGGTAGACAAAGACAATCCCGATAATTGCCTGGTCTCGAATGAATGCCTTTATTGAATTGGTGGTCTCGACGGTACCATCACTGTTGGTTTGCATGAAGTAGAGTCTCCGTAGCTGATCATAAGGAGGAGTACTTTGTTCCGGTACCAGTATCTCAGGTCGCCGACGAGTGTTCGGAGAAGCAACTGCCCGGATACGATCATAACGCGAGCTCAGTACCCACGAAATGGCAGTGAAACCCTCTCCAGATTCAGGGTCACTCTGGTACTGATCCACAAACATCTCACGAGGAGAAGTTTCAGCTCGGGAAAGGCAGAATTTCATATTGCGAGAATCAGATGTCTCAATAACAATGACCCTAAATTGACCTAGTTTGACCCCTCGGTACTCTTCGGAAGAAAAGCCTGGCGACGTGAGCCAGATAGTCAAAGATTGAATTGTTTCACCAGGGGAGAATCAAAGCCATCATCAACTTCCTCCATCCACTGGCCCAGTAATCTAGGGGTCGAATTATCGAAGTACTCGATTCTCAAGCCGGATATGCAATTGGGGCTTCTGGATCTTCCTTGAATGCCTCTTGACGCCTGGATCTTTCGAACATTTCTGAGCGAGGCATAGGTTTGATAGGTAAGAAACCAGCCTGCGACTGCGAGGATACCGAACTTTTCGTCGTATTGAAGCTGCTGGTCTGGGGCATGGTTGCACCCATAATCCATGATCTCTTCTCCCGTAGAGTTCTTAGATTGTTCGTCACATAGCTGAGATTGAACCCCGATTCGCGAGAATCTATTTTGGAAACCTTAGAGATGGTCAGATGATATCTCTACTTTCTGAAAGAACTAGCACATACATCTCTGATGGCAATCAAGCCAGTGATGGTATGATTTGGCGGCAAATATGGCAGTGACGTAGTCTGGCCCGCGAGTCGAGTGCGAATAGGAGCAAAGCTAGCAGTTCTTCCCAGGGTTGTTGAAATCTACATGCAAAGTTAGCATCTTTATATGAGCCAGAAGAAGATATTCTACGAACATATAAGCCATTGAGGCTTATGATCGGGCCAGTTTCCGTATTGTCAATCCTGCCGATATCCCGATTATATGGGTTATCTTCATAGATGCCAACCTTGTCGATACGCTCCCCTTTTGCTCCGTCGAGAAAAAGAGAGAGCTCGCAATCAGTCCTTGTACCACACATTACAGATCTGCCATCTGAATGGAATATTTCAATTTCGACCAGTGGGCAATTATCTTTGGTCATATAACATGTAAACCGTCTCACACTCCCAAGGAACAAGCCCTTCGGTCCCCCGAAGTCAATGTTCATCAACGGCTCAAACGCACGAGAGGATTTTGATAATGGCAGCAAGGTGCTAATTTCTACACCTTTCTTATTCGGAGCGCACGGTACCCACAGCGAGGACTGTGAACCAAGTGAATCAATCAGATCATACGAGGGTGATTCGTTGACTTTGCTGAGGCCTAGAGAGACAATTTTAAGATAGTCTAAGCCGACCAGCAGATATTGACAATCTGATCCTTTGTGAATTTCTAGGGTGCCGAATGCAATTCCCGGACTTGCCGTATCACCAACCCATTTTGATGAAGTCGAGTCCGCAAAAGCAAATCTGATCCCTCTCAGTCCTTCAGAGCAAAATGCCACAAGGATTTCTCGCAGACTGGAAATATGTGGCATCTCTATCCAGTTCACGAATCTTGGGGTATAATAACCAATAGAACAGTCAGCAGGCCAGGATTTTGCTGGTCCGAAGAGGTTTATTCCTGATATAAAATTTCGTCCGCCCAGTTGAACGGTGGAAATTCCTATTTGGTGTTGAGTTTACTGAAGCCGTGGTATAAGTAGTTGTGCCCTGTGATAGAGTACACGACATCCAGTATAAGAAGGCAAGATTGTGTTACCAGAAGGAAGTAGGCCGGAAAAGGAAGACCCTACTTGCAGACGCAAAAGAGGCTTCTCAAAGGATGACAGGGAGGTATCACTGTCATTCGCTGGGCAGAAGGCAGATCCGTAGGGTTCACTCCCCAGAAAAACACCATGTAGCTCTGAAAATGCCGCAATGGGTTCTAACAATTTCCTGATTCTTTTTCGATTGACCAATTCCAGAGCCTCTCTCTTTAAGGAAAGATTGGTCCGGTTGAAAAGTTGCGCCCAGTCTTGGGATTCCTTGAGATTTGGGAAAAGAAAGTCGGCCTCTTGACCGATAAAAAATCGACTTCGCCAGTATGACTGTGAGAGTGTGGAGGTGGTTGCAAATAAAGCGAGAGCTCGACACACAAGCCTTAGGCTCAAGACTTCGCGAAAGACAAGTAAGAGAAAATTTTGGATCTCAGTTCAGGAGTTAATTCATCGAAGATGCAGTAGCCATGTTTTTCCATTGGGCGAATTCTGTCCGCTGCATCTTGAAGAAAGCGTAAGAGAGTTGGCACTCTCTTTGAATTGGAAAGAGCAGAGTCAAAGATGGTATCTTTGCCATTGAGGCCGATATCTATCTTGTCATTTGAATCATCACTCGCGTTGATTTCTGGATCCTTTGAAGATTTGATTATACAAGGATCAGCGTAAAGAGCTGAGCCCAGGTCGACGGCTTTTGCCCGCCTGTATAGCATATGCGTTTTTGCGGCGCCCTCATAGTCATGGCCGAATTGAAAAATAGAATGCTCAAAGCAAGGAGTGCAACAAAGTTGATAGAACAGCGAGTTGATGATGGTCTCATGTTTTAAGGCTTTCTTTTGTTTATTGCCGAGTCTGAGGAGCAAGAGTTCCCAGCAAGAACCATGGAAACTGAAGCACCAATGTTCCTTTTCGGGAAAGCCGCATACTATCCACTCCTTTAGTGTATCGAGATCGATACCCTGATCAGAGTGGGATCGGTGGCTTTCAGGTGGAGCGTATAGAATGTTCCGACGATGAATGAATCCCAATCCAGTCAGGCGGATCGACCTCGGAGCCTCAGTTTGGTATATTCCTCTCACTTCTGCATACCAAGGGCGGCACTGGGCTTTTTGAGCCCAACGATTACGGTGACGAATGTCCAGCATAATAACCCCACAAAGGGGGCAGTAGACATTGCGATACATTGACGTCAAGCTTCACAGCTTTCCAAGGCTCAGTGGTGCTGACTTGTGGAAGGAGAACATGGGCATCGTCCGTATTGACTGGGCATCGTCCGTATTGACGAGAGAGGATCCTCCGCCCCCACCCCCACCAGTTAACCCTCACCTGGGCAACATGTCACAAAATATGCACCACTATCAATCTATTAGCGCCTGAGAACATGTGCCAAACACATCCACCTGTAATCAAACAGGCTCGGCGGCTGCACCTGAGTTGGAGTAAGTACGCGCCGATGATTGCAAATTATATTCAATCTTCCTAATTTTATCGCATCCACATTTACTCGGAATCTTTGTTCAAATAATACAGCCCCTTGAGTCTTGAGTGATCAAATGCATTCCTTCGGCCCGTCTCTCCAACTTGACGGAAATCGCGTCTTTCATAATGCTTTGCTACATGTCAACCCACAGAGTCCCGAACAAGTAGTCCAAGACCTGTGGACAGTGATACTTGCAACATGGTTCTCTCCCGATGATGGCTATATGTTAAAGTTCAAAGCCTCTACAATTGCTACTGAGAGCATGCCTGATAGCATCATTCAAGTCATTGGAGTAGTTTGCAATCCTGAAGTTTCAGATAGTTTCATTCAGCGCCAAGTCCTCATGGTCGAATGCAAGCGCCCATCTGCTGATACTCCTAAGGGTTGGGAAACCGCCATCCAAAACCAAGTTCCCGATGACATGTCGCAAAACTGGAATACTTCCGAAAGATATTACAGTGCAGTTGCTATTGGTACAAAAGTGAGATTCTTTAAGTGGGATGGAGGGGCAGTCGATAACTTGAAACTGTGTCCGCTTCATCAAGGAACCTTTGACCTGGGATCTGCGGACGGCTGCATGCAGGTTGAGGAGATGGTAAATCATGTCAAGGCAGACGGATTGCATTGGGTGTAGTAGGAAGATGAGACTGAAATGACTGGAACATTGGAAGACGATGGAGGATAAGTTTGAGATCTCGGGTGCCATTCTAGTGACCTCAAGCTACAGAAAACCATCACAGTTTACCATTTTTGCCGTTTAGAAAGCTTGGTCCAAATCTTATAAGGGTGTGAATGCTAATTACTCTCCAAATTGAAGCGTCAATCATTGCGTAGAATTAATCTCTATAAATCTCCCATTGCTGCCTATTGCTGCCTGGTGGTAATGCGCCATTAGCACTTGAGGATTAGCGCCTCATACTAGGCGCCAACACCACGATCCACCTACTAGCCCGGGGCTGTAATCAAAAAGTCCAGCGGCTAAACCTACAAATAACCACAATCTTTCCCAGATCATCTCTTTCACTTCTACAATCATCTCATTCCCTATATCAATACCGAAACAGACATCCTCCCAGAATGGCTTCTCCTCCCTCTCTCCACAACAACATCGGCTTCGACTATTCTATACATTTAATCAAACCAGACCCCCCCCCCAGGTAGAAATCGAAACGATGTGGAGCGGGATACTTTGGACATGATTTCCGGCCAGGAAGAGCTATCACGTCCATCACAGTCTCTCTACACCTGCCCCCGCAGATGCACGTGAAGCCCTCTTCCAGGCTATTAAAATGGTCAAGGGTCCCGAAGAGACAAGTGGCTACGCCCGGCGTCAACTTCTCATCGTCAAATGCAAGCGCCCGGCCGCTGATACCCCCGAGATCTGGGAAGAGACTGTCTGCGGACAATTTCTGGGAGATATATCGACTTTTATCACCAACACTTCTCAGAGAGTTTTTGGGGCGATTGCTATTGGTACGAAAGTCAGATTCTACTACGGAATTCATCTGCCCCATTGATGCCGCTTCATGAAGGGACATTCGATCTGAGAACTGAGAATGGTGTTGAGGAGGTGGAGAAGATGCTGGACTATATCAAGGCTGAGGGATGGGATTGGGCGAACTCGGAGTCGGAGATTGAAGAAATGTCGTGAAGGCTTTCATCGTTACAATTGACATGATGTTATTGCTTTTGTTTAATGTCTGGTTATAGTCTCCGAAGCTCGGATCAGGTGTGGGTACTGCTGTCTATGAGGATCCAAGGTCGAGAAGTGGCGATTTCCCCGCTTCCCCGGATTCGAGTGGGGGCTGTTAGGGTAGATGAGAGTTTTATATCCAAGTTTTAACTTCAAATGATGGATAATATGCCTAGAATGAACTTGAAGATGTGCTCAATTGGTATTCATAGTGTTCAAGTGCTACTCTGAGTCTTGATCCAGGAGTGTAAGATTTTAGATCTAGACTAGGTACCTCGGCTTTCCGGTTCTCATTTCAATCTAGTCAGTAGAATACAAGGGCACCTGGGCATGAAACGAAAATAAGAATGGATGACATATGAGATTGATTTGACCTCGGAGATACTGAGACTCGTGAGCATACCATAAGGCTGCTATTGTGAAACGTTGGACAAGAGTGGATGAAAACCACACACATGACTTTCGGGTTGATCTGGTCATTCTGGGTGCTCTGCTGGTCGCCTGGTAGATGATTAAGGCATTTGTGACTTTCGCGGGAGATTATTATTGAGATCATAGTCTGGCAGAGTTCAGAGCAAGGAAACTCCAGGTCTTGTTCTAGTCCGCACGTATCAAGATTACCGTGTATCTACCATGGGAATGGCATGTGCTAGATTTGTTTCAAACAGCTACTGCCTAGGTAGTATTGAGCGAATTCTTCGAGAGAATTGAATTGCCGCAATTCTATCACAACTATGATACAGGAATAGGATCGATAAGTGGTAGTCGACCTCTTTTACAGAGTGGTATTTGATGCGAGAACAAAACAACACAAAAGAAATGACACAGGGAATAAAATAGCAATGGAAAGCAAAAAAAAAGTAATAGCAATACACGAGCACAAATTAAGATGAATATGCAAAACAAAAGGGAGACTAAACAGAAAAAAAAAGCAATTCAGCAATGCGACGCCAAACCCCAATAAAATCCATATCCCAGACACCGCAGCTCGGCTCTCCCAAGCATAAGAACCCCATGTTCCCAATTCCCATATCCGATACAATGTTAAACCCATAAAAATCCCAGATCCCACGCTCTATCTATGCTATTCCTCGTCTGGTCGTGTCTCGGTAAACAATGTCATCCGCAAATGATCAAAAAAAATCAAATGTCACAAAGGGAGTGTAGGCAATTTGGATGACAATCAGAAAGCAAAACTGAAACAAAAGGCACTTGAGACCACAACACGATCAGACCAATCCTGACTCCATGGGGTTTTAGTTTCCCGCAGTATAGATACAAATAAATCAAGATGCGCAAAAGAAAAAAGCAATACAGCGCAATGTGGAATCAAAATGAACGGTGGAAAATAGTTGCTTTCCGTGGGAATCAAGGAAATGATGCAATAAAACAATTTGACAAAGGAAATAGCGAAGCGTTGAGAGATATCAATAGAAATGATGTCTCAACGCCTATCCATGCCATTCATGACTCTCATCATACCGGTGTAGACCAGGTATGGTCCCCCATCCGCGACTTGCTATCATAGTTGTCCGGTTCGGTACTATTGGGCCGACGAATGGTTGAGTTGGGGAAGTACATGTGAGGAGGCATGGATGTTGGGTATGCTGGCCCGCTGGGTTCAGGGTAGCCAAAATCATTGGTTGACCCTGGCGAAGGCATACTGCCATGAGAGGGAGATGCCCAGCCCAGACTGGTCATGTGTGGGCTACCGTTCACACTGTTCGGACGGTGGTCATTGTTGGCCGGGGGCTCCAGAGGTTGCGGAGGTGCGTAAGGGTGTGAAGTCATAGGAGGGCGGGCGTGAGGAGCACTACCATAGCTGGATAGCGAAGGGGATGTGGCTGTTGGAGAAGCGCGGGGACTGGCTTGAGGGAAGTCTCCTCGCATATGAGGTGGAATAGGACCACTTCCCATATAGTAGTCTCCAGTTGAGCGATGCATGTTCAAGGGTGGTAGATCACCTCCTGGAGACATGGATGGGTGCTGGGCAGGAGATGGAGTTGAGCCCATTGAACCATGATCCGGGAACATACCCTCGCCAGGAGCACGTCGTTCTTTGTTCTGACGCAGGTTGGCTTCAGTCTCAGCAGCAGCTTCCTCGATCGTCCCCGTGTGATGATTTTGGTGGCGGGTCAATGTCGTACGTCGAGTGAACGTCTTTTGGCAGTTGGCGTAAGGGCATTTGTAGGGTCGCTTTCCGGAGTGAATTCGACGATGTCTGGCAAGGGATGACGAATCACTGAAAGGCTGTATGGACATCATATGTTAGCAAAATCAACCTAAAAAATGGACCCAAGCAAAAATAGGGGAAATAAACAAATTTACCTTTCCGCAACGCTCACACATGTGGGGTTTTTCTCCAGTGTGAACTCGAGAGTGCACGGTCAGTGCGGACCGTTGAATAAATTGCTTTCCACACCCCGGCCAGTCACAAGCATGTGGTCGAACACCAGTATGGATTCGTTCTGTGAGGGTTCAGTGTCAGTTCATTCAACAACATTATTTCGAGAAGAGATAGCCACATACCGTGACGGGCAAGGTCACTGCGTCGAGCAAATCCCTTGTTACAAGTAGAGCAATGGAACGTCTTGGGTGGAGCCTCCGCGCCAGTTCGCCCAGAAGGAACGGGGGCCTGCTGCATCTGAGGTTCTCCGCCATATCCACCAGGGACATACCCCATGTTTCTAGGAGCGGAGCCCTGAGCTTGGGCGTAGTAAAATGTCTCCGCCAGTCCCTGGTCCATAGGCACACCTGCATGGGGAGGGTATGCGTTCACAGGGTTGTCCGCAGCACCTGGTTCAGGCTTCATGGCTGGAGAATGTTGATTCATGTGTGCACTTTGAAGATATTGTTGGTGTAATTGTGCTTCTGCGGCGGCGGCGGCGGCTGCGGCAGAATTCTTGCGGTTCAGAATAGTCGTGAAGTCCATGACCCGTCCCGCGAATCAGCCTAAGACCGTAGTCAAGGACAGCGCAAATGGGGCGTCCTTTCTGTTTCAACCGTCTTTCCGTATCGAGTTGCAAGGATCCGTTGCACTCCGCGAAGAAACAATACAAGTCGTGTCTGACGAGTACCGGATCGCTAGGCTGTGCGAAGACTGCGGAACAGAATACCCCCGTTTGGAAATGTGATTGCAATAGTGTGATTCTCGCGATGTTTGCTCGTCAAATTCGGTGGGGCCTGACTTCCGGGTGTTCTCAAAGGGCACGCGTATATAACGGCTCGACGACGTAGATATCGCCAAGTTCTTGAATTCGAATCCGAGATCAAAGTTCCAATGAAATCACCGGCGTTACTGCAAAATGTGACGACTCCTTGGCGAATCTTTGGGATCCAAATTTCGGGACTTTGCGTATCAACAGGTCTTCCGCCACGGAAGAAATCGTAAACCTCGTCTGACTGTTTGATACCGGGCTCTGTATAATGATCGTGATCGTGATGCGAAGGAGGAGACGCGAGAAAAGACAACCGGCTAGAAACGGATGGTGTGGTGGGTGGTCGGGATCGTCGTGAGGGGGAGGAGTAGGGTGAAAGGGTGACAATCCTATCAGCGACAAGCACGGTCAGCCTGAATTAATTAACAACCGCCTCTGTCGTAGCCCGCCCCGTCTATTTGACCCTTGAGCCTGAAATCAAGTTGTCCTCGGTTCTTCGGGACTCCACGGCACTTTGTCCAGATATCTAGAACGCGACGAACTCGTTTTCATAGACAAAGAGGGTTGATGCAGATCCTCCTGCAGCGGGACCAGGAACTTGAAAGCGTCACGGTAACTGGGGTCAAGTACCAAGAGTATATGAATAGGGATATGGAGTACCAACGTTTGTAAAGATGTCAAGATGTGTTAAAAGAAGCGGGAAGGGGGAGCCGAGATGGATCGGAACGGAGAATGTAAAGGGGAAAGGGGATGAATTAATATAATATTAGGTGTGGTAGGTGCCGTCTACAGAGAGAGCATAACATCATTATTTACAAGGGAATTTTTTATTTTTTTTAATTTTTTTTTTTCTAATTTTTTTTTCTCTTTAGGTTCTCCACTTATATAGGGAAATTGAATCCTTAATTATAGCATCTTTTTTTCTATATAACTTGTTTCTCTTATATAATTGAAAATATAGTGCTTTTTTTTCTTCTTCTTCTCTTTCTATGCAGAGAGTATTATAATTCATAGCCTCAATGGGTAGGTAATAACTTGGAACATGAAAAACCATCAATTCTACCCTCCTATTTAGTAAATTTCACCCTTTTCTTATTTTATTTTTCATAATTCCCCAATTAAATCAATGACACTAAGCCTTTAGTTCATCCCTGCATCGTGACCTAACTAGTTTTCCCCTGGGACCCAGCGAAGTCCGCTAGAAGGAAACCGGGCGGCACCAGAAGGCTCCCGTCAGCATTCCGGCTCCACAACGTGCACTTTTCCCCCGTCCCTGCACGCATGTAAAAATCAATAAATCATAGAATAATCATGGAATCCCCCAGTGGATACGAAGAGAGGTCGATCTGAATCCGAAATCATAATAGAGACACTAGCCTTAACATGTATGGTTTCTCTCCTTTCAGCCACGCCATATCTTTTATGACCTTATAACCCCCAAATTGAATAATCTTAGCTTATTCAACCTATGAAACTACCCCGTAAATCACAGCCACCCAAGGTGAAACGTGTATGCATGAAGAAAGTTTTTTTTTCAAGAATTTCAATATTTCTGAATAGGAGAGCAAAACTTGAAATAATAACATATAATAAAATAAAATTGTGTCAGTAAAGAAGGATCGGAGTGATCTGCTCAAGTGGATCGATATCTAAGGGGAATCCCACGGTGCATGTGGCACTTGCCCCCTGGTCAAAACATAAGGCAAGATGTGGCTGAATACCTTACATTATGAGCTCGTTTTACCTGTATCATGTTCCTATTTTTATATGCACATGTGGTATGTTTAGAATCCCACTCAACGGAGACGATTAAGAAAAAGCAATTCACTTGGAATCGGAAATAGGCAGAAATGTTAAAAAAAATAAATAAATAAATAAAAAACATGATGACATGCATGTTCTGTGATGGTGCGACACAACCTTGACCCTATAGAACATCCGAGGAACGGATCCGAAGCCGAAAGTCATGCGGGAAAGGGATTATCTCGATAGTCTAATAATCAGTTCCCACTATTATTCGATGGTCAAACTAAAAAATCAATGCGTCCTTCTAGAAGGTTTCGAACCTTCGGAGACACGCCCCTAATTGTCATATCCCCACTCATGCTCCGTAGAGTACCACATCAACTTGTAACACACGGGGCACAATGAGAGCCCTGGTGCTGTCATCATTATTCCTCTCTAGAGCATGGATTATGGATACGGATATCCGTGCAACCTTTTCTCCCATTACAATCCTCACCCTTTTGCTCTGGTGTTAAGAAGATCCCAGTGGAGACCCCTGAACATCGGGAATTACGTCTTCCCCCCTTTTCCCTTTTCCGGGGACGCTAGAGAGTTCCGGTCGAGACTCAGCCTCTAGTTATCTCCACTCTCCTGCCACTTGGAATGGGGACGGGCTGAGAGATCGCTCTGGATTGGCTTGCCAAGTCTTCTCCTGACCTTCTGGAAGGACGCCAGAAGGGATTTGGAAGGTCTATGGAAGCCGTAGAAGCCGTGGAAGCCGTGTGAAAGCAAGGGAGAAAAAAAACAATGAAGCCGTTTGCCCCATTTACAAGAGGTCCGAGCACTAGACCCAGGGCTTCGCAACTTTTTACCGGTAGAAGAGCGTTATTTAGAAGATCATTACGGAGTATGCATTTTATGTCTTTTTTCGTCCAAAGAAAATCTTGATTTAGTCAAGTTTCGGTGAAGATAATACAATACAACTAGTACCCGATTCCACCGAGTACACATATCGGATGCCCAAAAGGGGGGAAGATCGAATGAGCAGATCAAGAATTGACGAAAAAGAAAAGAAAGAAAAAAATACCAAAACAAAGAAAAAAAGAAAAATCAATCCGGAAATAATAACCCGGGTGATCAATCACCTTTCCTATTATTGGTTCAATATTCTTTTCTCTCTCTCTCCTCCCCCCTTCTCATGATCGCTCATCCACTCCAGGGCTGCACCCCTGACCGTTGTGACGACAACGCTTCGGAGCATAAATACCCATCCCGGTCGTGCGGAGGTTTGCGGAGATTATGCCACTCTGGACTCCATTCACATAATAAAAAAAGAACATTTGAATCCCAACAAACAAGATCAAAAGTATAATAGACAGAAAACACGTTGGAATGGAGTACAGTATACGCAAAGAGAGTATCTGGATGTCTCAAATTCGCGTCAACTCTATGGCCTCACACCTATCAGAAGGTGTTTCTTGATTTCTCAAGTAGCTCGATGTGCCTGACTGGGGGCCACACAATGATCATTGGCCACCCAGCACCGAGCAATGCCCACATGGTTGTGGCTGAGACGTGTCTTGGTGTATCAAGTTCACGCTAGGCTCCATATTTCTATTAGTAGAACGGGGTTGTCCTACCCCTGGCACTGTATGGTGATTCACTGTTCCAGAGATTTTCAAGTAGAATTGGAACGAGAGATAAGAATTAAAAAATAATAATGATAATAAAAAATAGAAAAAAAACCCTCATCCCCTATTCTCGCACTTGAAGAATCAATAGAATCAGGATATCATAGCCACATCAACGCTATGACCAAGGGGTACAATTCCAACATGATGTCACTGGGGAAATCGTGCACAGGCCGCCGCAGTTCCTCAACCCAGACCCATAGAAAATAAATAGTTCGGATCGATTAACGCCTTGCTCATTTCGCGCGTGCTTAGTGCAGAAAACGATCTCCTTAACGAAGGACCCCAATGAATGTGGGTGCTTGGCGGATAGTTTTTGAGTCCTGTACGGAGTACATTATCCCCTCTCCACTCGATTCTTCAGGTTCTACGGAGTAGTCAAAGCGGATTCGAACACGCCATGTACATGTAGTGCCATGTGGTCCTCTAAATGGGAAATGAGGCAATTAGTGCGTTTCGCGCGGTAGATCCCCACATAAGGGACACATTGTAGCCCATGAATTTTTCTTGACCTTGCCTTGCGCCGCTCCTCATTTATCGGCTGTGATTGCTTTCAGTGGGGATTTTCTTTCACTTCGCTTAAATGGGTGGAAATATTGACGTCAGGATATTTCAACGGTGTCCACGGGTTGTCGATCGATTCAACTTCCAGGAGTAGGTACTGGTCCAGGCTTGTATCGAAGGATCGAAAAAAGCAATGATGAGAAAAAAAGGTTGTCTATTGTCAGCTGCCTTGCATAATGACTTAGATATTCTCCGATTATTGTTAAGCCGCCAATAGCGCGAGGTACAATGCCTAAAATGCTACCCTAAAGGAGGGGATAAAACCTGCTTGTACGGAGTACTAGTAGTAGTACCATAGATAGACTTCGGTAGTAGTACCAAAAACGTACATCCATCTGGACAACAATGTTTCTCAATGTCTTGTAAAATATCAGATTTGGGTTCAAGTTCTCACTACTGTTATATTCATTTCTACAGAGTACTAGTACTACTAGTAGTCTTTATCTTTCATGATCTTCAAGTTTCATATCAATCAATTTTATCCAACAACCTATTCATTCATTTGATCTTAAGACGAGTACACCGTGTTGATGCCCCAGTCACGATCATCTTGATATTCACATAGTACCCTCGCGGCCCATACCAGAGTGCTTGATACCTCCAAAACTAATAAATATTAGTGCCATTACTCACTTGCAAAAGATAGGATCAACTTACGGTGCAGCAGAATCAGAGATCACCCCAGTATTGATCGCAACCATGCCTAATTGCAATTTCTCAGAGACTTAGTGAGCCCTACTCAGGTCACTGATCATCAGGTAAAATGCTAGACCAACCTCTCAGTTATTTGCTCGGTCAACAACCTCGTCTTTTGTGGTAAATTTGGAAAGCGCAGCCAAAGGCCCGAAAGTTTTCTCCACACCGTTTGTTAGAGGATCGTGTGTGACAACGGTATTTTGTCCATCCCCAACTTGAGACTTCTTCATCTCCTCAACAAATCGCTGACTCAACTTCTCGTAGATACCTTCTTGAATGAAGAATCGGTTTGCACACACACAAGTCTGGCCAGTAACCTTGAACTTGCTGGTAACAGCACTCGTAACCGCAGTCTCAAGATCGGCATCATCGAGGACAATAAATGGAGCATTCCCACCAAGGCTCAGCTTCTTTAACGTGCTGCTAGATTGCTGCATAAGTAACTTTCCAACGCGAGTCGACCCGGTGAAGGAGTATTATCAAGAGCAGTCACTACGTTAAAGACACCCTTTGGCACACCCTCACGCTCGGCGAGAATAGCAAGGGCATTGGGAGTGAATGGTGTTAGACCATCAGATTTCATCACAACCGTGCACCCAGCAGCCAGAGCAGCAGCCACCTTGCGAGCTCCCATAGCCATGGGAAAATTCCATGTGTAATCAGGCCACAAACACCGACTGGCTCCTTCACGACTTGTGTTCGGCAAGAAGGATTACTATGAGGGATGACATCTCCATAGATACGGGGTGCTTCCTCAGAGAACCATTCAAAGAATCCAGCCAAGAAGAGCGCCTTGCCCTTAGCTTCACCCTTGGTTTTTCCATTCTCGGCTGTGATGATCTTGCCAATGTCTTCGTTGTTTTCGACTATCAAGTCGAATATTTTGCGTAGGATTCGTCCACGCTGGCGTCCCGACTGAGCTCGCCAAGTTGGGAAAGCTCGCGAGGCAGCCTGGATAGCGGCGTTGATGTGGTCTATCTTTGATTCGAGACAGATGAATGTTTTGGTAGCATTTTTTGGTAGCATGTTTGTAAAAGTTGAAGGTCCTGTTCGATATTGGTGAAATTCATTGGCCGTTGATATATGACTTCTCAACAGAGATCAGGGTCTTTCAAAGTGGTGGGGAGTCCGGCCATATTGATGTGTTGTCTGTATGCTGAGTGATTGTAAGATGATAGGACAGTCGAAATGATGATTGTTTGAAGAAACCTTGGAAGAGAGGTGAGCTGATATTCTTTTATCGGAAAATTGAGCATTTGACATACACTGGTAGATCAAATTCTAGTGTTGATCTATACTGCACATGCGTATAATTCATCATGAAAACACGAGAATCCTGAAGTATAGAGCACTGTATGTGTCACACTGAGGAGAAGCCCGAGATGGAGCTGGAGATTCAAGTCCGTCATAATTCCTTGACTGAAACTCTAATCGCTTGACTTATTCTATTGTCTCAAGAAGCCTATTATGCTCACTCAAAGAGCAAGACACACAGAAAATGCGTAAGTAAACACTGCCAGTCTGTGCGATTCGACGCTAATGAGTTCAATAGGTGCGCTGCTTGCCGCCATAGCAAAATCAAGTACTCTGGTGATGATTCTTGTATTGATTTTAAATGCTGAGATATAAGATGCGACTTTACGGAGGGTACCAGTCGCGTTGTGGTGTCGGAGAGGTTGCTTGATTCCCGTTCTAGACGCAAATTTACTATCAGACACTGAGACAGGCACGCGACAGATATCTACGACAGCTAGAAGCACAAGTGCGAAGTCAACAGGTGCTTAATGCACGATTTTCTCGGCTGCGCAGTCTCGATCCAATGCCGGAGAGCAAGCCGAATTTTCAGGTCTTCCTGTGGTGCAAACTTGAAGTGAAGCACCCTCGCCAGCGCCAACAGCAAGTGATGCTCCCAGTATATGGACGAGTCCCTTCAGCTTACCATCAACGACCATTAAGAATACAGAAGGGAACAAACGTAGTTGAAGTAAGTAGTTGAGCCCCATATTAAGGATCGCCAGACTGAATCTGTAGTTTGGCTCGCTCCCTGTCTATGTGGTTATTCACAACTCGCTTGACTATCCTCATGATAGAGAAGCACTCAACATACCTGAATAGTGCTCCAACTTTGGTAGCAAAGGAAGTGTATCCATTATGATGGAACTCTTGTGCATCAAAAGATTTACTCGATACAAGTGGCTTACCGTCCCTCGACTACGCTCTCCATCTCTTCGAAACCATTCAATTCCATTTGGGCCAGAGCTATTGATTTTTCTTTCCTTTGAGACGGCATTCCTTTGTCGAACGAAAGGCGATGAGCCACCGTATTCAGTGTTCTTCGTCCGTGCCATGTCTCTAATGCCTGATCATGCGTCCCTGCGGAAGGACGGCCTACTTGGAATTGAGGGTTTAGCCAGGACAGGGCTGTATTTATATTCAGTTGACCAAAGGGAATTAAAGTGGTAGTCTTCTTGGTATGCCCTTTTTCTCTGAAACACTTGATTGGCAGGCCTTCGGAGAAGAGGCTTATTCCATTCTAGATCAAATGATCGGTAACAGGAATAAGGTAGCTCAAATAAGACTTAAAGAGGATTTGATTCATGTTGGAAGGTTATTCTTCGAACTAGCTACGCAAGCTAAGTCGAATGGACTCCAGCCTCTTCAAATGTTGTATTGTTTACGGAAGAAAGGCCCACAAATGAGTCTGCCATTCATGAGGAGCAGCAGAGAAGAAAGGGGAGTTTGTGAATATTATGGCTCCGATTGATCTACCTTGTTATGAATATGCTTCCTCGTCCTATCAGGAAAACTTGTTGATACCAAGCACTAAACTGCTGGATGATATTCAATGTTGGGGTCTCCTCGGCGGAGTTTTTGGCGACTGTGGATCAGTTTGGGAGTGTAGAAATGTCTTACTCTATTCATGATCTTCAGATGACAAGGAAAAATGACATGTTGGATGAATAGTCCAGATGTCTGTCTCTATTTGTGTGACTCATTTACTTTTATTCTCAACTTGAAGGTTGATTAGCAGGCATTAGTTATGAGACTGGTTTCCAGCTGTCCCAAATATTTGAAAGAAGGCAACACGTATGTTCAAATGTTTATTCCTTGTCACATTAAAGGCGAATCATATGTGGTAGTATCACCACAGTGACATGAAAACTGTAAAGGTGTATCACCAATCTATAAACAAGAAGTTGTAAAATGTGCCCAAGACCAAGCGCCGGACAAAATGAGGAAAGATTGGCCAAAACAATGAGCCAATTCGCACCAAGAACTCGCTGACAATAGCGAGCCTATGCAAATATACTAAAACACCAGGGACATGAAAAATTTACATCTCAAAACATTGAAATCAAACGATTCTCATGACTGTTTCCGCCATGAGAGCTCCAGAACTTCATCTCCTTTTGAGTCACGCTTGACGTACCACTGCTTGACAGCGCCACTGGGCTCAACCACAGAGTCTGCAAGGAGATAGCTGACCTTCTCCTCATCTTTCATGCGCAGAGGTCCAAGCTCGTGAAGGTAGGATTCGGTGTTGGCACCATTGTGCGGCTCCCATGTCATTTCCATGGAAAGATCACCCGGCGGCGGCGCGTAACCATATTTAATCACCGAGAAGCCGTTGGTCAGAACCCACTCGTCGTTGAACTTGAATTGACGCAAAAGACAGTCTGGGCCACAGAGCTCGGAAATAACGCTCAGTCCGGGGATATCAGCCTGGAACCATGATTTCCAGTGGTGCACGGAGAGCGGGAGTTCCCGACCCGACTCAAAGAAACCGGAAGCATCCTTCATCAAGTCCAGTTGATGCAATCGGTGATCAACCGTCAAGCGGGTGCTGGTGTATTGGTATATGCAGTTGGCGATACGGCGATCACCAGTGAAGGTCATTCGTTCACATATGTCATAAACACCGCTCAACTCAGCCAAGAGCGGACGCGACAAGAAGACGCCAGCGCCTCCAAACGCGATCATTCCAAATATCGCAATCTGAGGAATTCCCTCAGACACACTGCCGATATACATGGACTTGGTGTGGTCATATTCGGCGAGTGCGTTGACCAATGCAGGCATGGAAGGGAAAAAGGTGTCATCATCAATGATACATCCCCATTGCGTATCCTCGCGCATGTTTTCCTCTAGCAGGGTAATCAACGAGAAATACCGGTTCAGGTAATTATCCTCCTCGATCTTGATATGCAGGTTGATTCCCAACAGATCCGCCTTGGCCCGCACACTGTCCAACGCCCCTTCATCATCTTCTGGCTCGACCGATGCGAAGATCCGTGTGCGTGTGTATCCGGCCCAGTGGGTAAACTGATCTAGGGAGTCGTTCAACCGTGAGACTGTGGTGGCGACTCCGAAGGCAATGTGCGAGGCATCTGGTAGCTTGGGGGGTCTCGGGACCTGAAGCGTTACAGGGATAGGAATCGTGCAGCCGTCGATTTCGGGATTGATCTCGTCCGGACTCGGGGTAGGCGCCTTTGCTGTGACTTCTAGGAAGGGTTCATCGATATACTGCGTGATGGGCAAGGGGTCGGAGGTAAGTTGCGCAACGATCTCGCGGCGAGTGTATTTGAGTAATTTTTTGATCTCGAGTCGCTCCAGAATATCGACATCAGGATTGCACCTCACACTCGAGGCAACTGTTATGTTGGAACCTGGGTGTATCAGGGCGGTGGTCGGATGAGACGGCCATAGCATGGCGGCAAATCCAGCGACGGCGAGAAAGATCACGACAAAACGCATTATCTTCTTCCATGCCCAGGAAGCCGGAATGGCTCCTTCCCGTGATTGAGAGATCATTGTGTCTCTACTTCCTTTTCTTAATCTTTCTCCTTTTTTTCGTGTGACTTTCGGGAGGCTTTTTTTCGCGATTCGGCGAGCCGGGTATTCTGGAGGTTATGCTCGTACTCGTACAATTTGGGGTATAGGCTAGCGGCAAGCGATCCGCATTGCGGAGAAGACGCGCTCCAGAATTCAAGGGTCCTAATGGGGCGAAGAAAGAATATATATGTACGAGACAAAAAGAAGGAATGAACAAAAGTATCTACGAAGAAGAGAGAGAGATAAGAAGAAACGAGATCAGGGACGATCACGGATCCATGGATTCAATTACATTAAAAGGGGAATTTCATTTTGGATTTTTTGGGCTTTTTTTTTCTATTACGGTGACGTATTTCCTCACGTGTCCTCGATACAATATTATAAGAACGGGTCAAGTTGATATCGAATCCCGTATGGAGTACTCCGTACTGACGCATTCTCAGTTCTCCATATTTCGTTTCTCCATTCTCCATCTTTAGCAATTCGATTTATAGGGGCGTATTGAATCTCGTACATTTATGCCAAGAACTCCGAAGCATCTTTGACTCGTCATTCCGCCCCAAGTCCCCACGTCCGCGCGTCATTCACGGCCGCGCACTGCCCTGCTTTTTGCTCTTCCCAGTGGTCTGTGTGAGATTGTAACACATTTATGGAGACCAGACGTCTCCAGGGATTATATTATCATCAACATATCACCATGCCACTGCTGACGAGTTCTTCCCGACTTCGGCCTGGAAAAATATTTTAGGAATCGGCATTGATACTCCTCAATGTTCGAAATCAACGGATATTGCTTCTTCCCGTTCCAATCTATTTCGGGTGGTGGTGGCGCCGATCAACCCCTGTCGATGATCGTCTAATTGGAGCTCACCGGTATCTCAATACCCTGCGATCCAAATCAGATGCTGGATGTTGGATTTATCACTTTCAGGTGGGACTAGCTTGTCAGAGTCAAGGGGTTCTGGATTTCAGGGTCCAGTGAAAAAGACTTTAGGGCACTCTAGTGTCTCCATTGTGGCCAAACCGGCAGCATGCATTGGCCGTCATTGTTGCCTGGCCCCTTTTAAAAGGAATGAAGCTTTGCACCGCCTTGGTAGTGCAGATCCAGGGTCCAAACAAGCGATTTTCATGAATTGGGATTCTACTGCCGAGCAGTTACCTAATAATGTTCCCACTTGGAGGTTCAGTTCCACTCTCTTGTCTCCGTATCCTTGGAAGTGAGGGACGATGCTGCTCCACGGATAGGTCATAAAGCCATCGACTCGAAGATCGTAATATGTCGTGTTGATGGAGTGCGGAGTATCTTTTTATAGAAGGTCATACTTCCCATTCCGTATGGAAGACCAACCACATATGCATCCATGGATGTTTCAAGTTACTTTGAGTATGCTATACCTCCAGGCTACGTATCACTAATTTTTCCCTCAAGTAGAGATGTCCGGGTTTTGATCCAACAGGCTACTGAGGTATTCGGCTAGTGAAGACTTAAGAATTGAGAGATTGATATGCAAAAGATCTAAACAAGCAATATGAATTAGTCTGATAAACGTTCAGTCTAGATATTGGATATCACTGAGACGCAAGCAGTATAATTTGCTTCTGTAGTCATAGGAATGAAGTAAACAGTAAACTTGTAGTATCCTTTCATTGTTCAAATAAGCATTTGAATTAGATTGGTCGATTATTGCGAATGGTATTCCCAGCAAATCGTAAAATGCAATCAAGTGCTCATTGCGGCTCCAACTGATCATAACATCATAACTCAGATCTAATCTACTACAAACTAAATCAACCAGTTGGCCACCTCCTATCATGTGATTGATACGGCGGGGCATTAACCCCCACCGTGCAGGACTTCCAAATGGGGAAACTCCAATCCCGCACACTCTGGTCTTGTGGAGAGGGACAAGAGACAGATCACTGCAATTGCGTAATTGGGTCTTATGTCAACAGATCAAATTCGCATCTCCAACCCCTTTCGAATTCGTATTATAAAATCGGTTTACACCGCGACCCCGCTATGGTTGCGCAGTCACTAAGCTCGCTTTTGGAGCGGGCCTCGATTGACGATCATGAGGAAGTCCTCAAGTCCTGCAACGAAACCCTTAAGAAATCCAAGTCCGATTCGACCGCTCAATACATCAAAGTCATTGCTCTGCTGAAGCTCGACCGCTATGAAGACGCTTTGCGAGTACTGGAAGCCGGAGGTGATGCCTTGAAGAAGCAGGCCGGCCTGGAACACGCATATGCACTGTATAAATGTGCACGATGGGAGGAGGCTCTTACTGCGATCACTCAGGCTAGCGCGAGTCGAGGTGCCAGCCACCTTGAGGCTCAAGTGGTATGACTTCAAATACCCTCATTTCTGTTGACTGTGGCAACTCACATTTATCGTCTTAATAGAGTTACCGCGCTGAACAATTCCGTCGGGCCGCCGATATCTACGAGAAACTCTCCCAAGACCGAGAGAGCTCTCGTTATGAGGAGCACGATCTCAGCATTAACTCTTGGGCGACTGATGCCCAGCTTCAGTGGAAGGGAGAGTCGGAACATGTGCGTCATCAACGGCCTTCGCGGGAGGATTTGGAGGCTTTCGAAACGGCATACAATGCTGCTTGCCTGAACATTGCCAAGGGAGAGTTTCCCCAAGCAGAGGTTCTTTTGAAACGAGCGAAGAGTAAGTCCAATTCAACCAATATGCTTGGTATTGTATTCAAGACTAACGCCTACCTAGATATTTGCGAGACCTCCGAAGACCTGTCGCCAGAAGACCGAGCTACCGAAATTCTTCCAATTGCGGTCCAGTATCTCTATGTGCTAATTCGGCAAGGCAAGACGGAGGAGGCCGAGTCCCTTCTTGAGGAAATATCTGTGGAAAAGTGAGTTTTCGTCGAGTGACTGTAGTCAAATGGTTACTAAAGGGTGGAACAGCATCCCGGAACTTTCAACTAAGAGAATTGCCCGAAACAATATCGTGCTCGCTCGCCAGACTACTGTCAACCCTTACCTCCTGTACAAATCCCTCCACGAGACTCCCGAGGCCATCAACAACGATCGATTGTTCGCTTTCCAGGATAACACACTGCTGGGCAACTCACACGCCGCAGACCTTCTTGCTCAGAAATATGATGGCATGATCCGATCAACGGCAAAGGGTCTCTCCAAGAGCTCTTACCCATCTATTGAAGCTAGCACGAACCTTCTCTCCGTGTATAATGCCGCAGGCCACGCACAGGGCCAAACCGGGTCCAAAGGCCTGAAGCAGATCCTCCCCTTATTGGAACGACGACCAAAGGATCTTGGTCTCCTCTTAACGGTTGTTCAATTATACGTCAGCGCTGGCAACACCACCTCTGCCATTACCGCTGTAGAGCGATCACTCCGTGCTCTGGAGGAGTCCATCTCCGAAACCGACCAAGAAGCCCGCTTCAACCCCGGTCTTCTCAGCGTTATTGTTTCCTTGTACCAACTTGAGGGTCGAAAACTCCAGGTCCGCACCGTTCTCGCACAAGCAGCCTCCTTCTGGCGGACCAAGCCAGAAGCTCCTGCAGGTCTTCTGCGCGCCGCCGCAAAGTCCCTCCTCCGCTCCGATGCTTCGTCTGATCTGGCTACAGCAGGCGACCTCTTCAAGTCTCTTTACCAGAAAGATTCTAGCGATCGCATTGCCATCGCAGGATATGTCGCTTCCCAAGCTACACTAGATTACTCCCAGGTTGAGTCACAACTCGACCATCTGCCTACCATTGGCGATCTTGTCTCTGGCGTGGACATCTCTGCGCTGGAGTCAGCCGGTATTGCGCCCTCCGCCTCTTCTAACGCGGCTGCCGCTGCCGCATTCGCCGGTGCTCGTAAGCGCTCTGCGGCAGACAAGGAAGACCGCTCCACGAAGCGAGTGCGGAAATCCCGTCTGCCTAAGGACTTTGATCCTGCCAATCCTGCCAAGAAGCCTGACCCTGAGCGCTGGCTGCCTCTGCGTGACCGCTCCTCTTATCGGCCGAAGGGTAAGAAGGGTAAGCAGCGCGCTGCGGACCGCACACAAGGTGGACCAGTGTCAGAGAAGCAGGAGGAGTCAGCTCCTCAGCCTCAACAGCAGAAGGCTTCTGGGGGAGGCAATGCTAAGAAGAATAAGAAGAAGGGCAAGCGGTAGATGTGTATTAGATTGGGCTCGATGTATTTTGCTAATAAAATGATGGCATACCCAGGGATTCTTGTGCATACTACATAGATGAAATGAGATGAGATCAAGAACTTCGAATTAAAACCACTTTTATTTGCCCTGCATATTAATGGATACCTGCTAGTTGGCCTTGGACTTAATGATACATATCGCTTTTGAGAAGGAAAAAATAGACTCCGAGGCCTACCACTGCAACTTGAAATCGCCCGAAATCCCACTCTATCAATATCAACCCTCAAGAATTTCCAGCAGCCCAGCTTCCTCGTCACACTGAAACAGCCTCTAACCCAAAGGTGTCCGAATAGTCCCACACTGTCGATCATAATGCTTAAAGATCATACGCAGCAGCTTCAGGTCCATCCACGCATCATCATCGGTCGTCTTAGCCTCCACACCAGACTCAGGCACATCCGTCTCAGTAAGATAGGCATGCATAGCGAGAAACTCCCGCTCAAAAGCCTCCGCAGCAGAGCTCACAAACTCAGTTCTCTTCACCCGGTGACGAAGTCCGCTCTTCCCATTAACAACCACATTCTCGCTCCCATTAGCACCGAGCACTTTGTCATCATCACTCTCGCCCTCTTCCACAATAACTCGCACCAGGCCTCCCTCACTCGCTTCCGTGGAAGCTAAGTAGGGAAAGTCATATTCCACGGAAATCGTCTTCGTAGCCCCGTAAACCGTCAAATGGGAGTCACATCGGGGTACAGAGTCCATACCCGTTTCATACATGACTGTAAACGGATGTCCATCGAGAATTTTGGCGTTCTCTCCCCCATAATCGCCTGCGCCTTCAATCGACTTCTTATCCCTTGAATCCGTGTAATGGAAAATAGCCGAGTAAAACGGGTCCGTGATAGCTACATTCGCGACTGCATCAGGAAACCCAAGTGACTCGCGCATCAGTGAGAGATCGTGACAACCCAGATTACCCAAGAATCGACAAAATGCGACACGGTCTGGTGTAAGGTCATCAGTTGAGCCGAAGACCTCAGAAAGAAGGGCATTGAATAGCGGGAGTGTCGGGATAGACAATATCCCATTAGACTTAGCTTCAGCCTGGAGTCTTGTGAGGTTTCCATTTGAGCGCACACGAGGATGATTGTTTTCTTTTGCGGATTCAGGTGCAAGGAATGTTGGAGTTGGGGTAGGAGTTGGAGCTTGAAGAGGAGGTTGGGTATGTAATGGACCCGCGATATTACGGCATCGTGCATAGTGGATGCGGCCGAGGCTGGCGAGCTCCTTTTTGAAGATATCTGTGAAACAAGGCGCGTAGCGACGGGCACATCCGACAAAGACTTTGGGTTGAGTATTGGCTGTTGTGCCTTTCTTTTTGGCTGCACTGATGCGACGGAGACCGTTGGGGCTCATGCTCAAAGGTACCTCTACCATGACGTGCTTGCCTGCCTCGAGGGCAATGATGGTGTATGCTTCATGGGATTCAAATGGGAGAAGGTTCACAACTAGATCTACCTCTGGGTGGGTGATAATGTCACTGGCACATGTTGTGCTGTGGGGGATTTTGAACTGGTCTTGGTAGACTTTTGCTGCTTCATTGCTTGGGTGGTAGATGATCGTGAGCTTGAAGAGGTTTGGGAGAGAGTGGATGGTTGAGAGTAGGGTGGTCTGGTTTTTTGGTGATGCGCCTAGGATGCCGACGCGAAGGACTGATGGCGACATTGTTGTAGTTGGACGCGATGTTGATATTGAAAGACGCGATGGAGAGGATAGAAAGGTTCTAAGGTTAGATGAGGAAGTAAGGAGGAAGAGACAGATTTGTCAAAGGAATATTTTAAATGTTTCTGTCAAGCTCTTCTTTCGACTTTTTATTGCTGAAATTCACTGAGTGTTGTGACCAGGATAACAGAGAAAATAGTACCATGAGGTCAACTGATCTTTATTGATCATAAGATTGTAAAGGGATACTTTTCACTATTAAAGCAACTTTTCAAACAAGTTCATTCCAACAAGTGACATCAGAACGGTTGAACCTTTGTTATGAGACAGGGGCCGGAGTATCCTACTTGGATCGTTCCAATAAAGATGCTAGAATGCACCCATGGGTTCACAAAGTCGGCACTTCCGGGCCCGATTTAGCAGATCCGGGGAATCAGAGGTCGATCGGTGTTACAACGGATCAACATAGGGGGCAAATCGCAATCTTCAGTTAATGGAGTATTTATCTAGTCAATTAGATGAGACAATCATGATGAGGGTATATGATCAGTGTTCTGCCTAGGTGGAGGTAGAGCACTAATACTATTAGACCTCAGGTTTCATATTTTTACAAACTGGATGTGGTTTCATGATTGATCTATTTTGAGAATATTGATGCTCAACTTGAAGAATAGTAGAACTAGAAGTACTATATCCCCTTTATAATATAGAGTAGAGACCCGTGCACTTCTACTATACTAGTAGGCATTATACCTAGGCATTGCCAGTGAGTCAGACCGAGGCAACCATGCATCCTTTGAAAAGAGCAAGTTTTACTCACATATTAGAAATCAGAACAAAGAGACACTTGACTAGATCTATTACTACATTAGCTGCATCTTGATCTGGGTGGAGTTTTAAGTGGATCTCAGTACGCATCAGATAATGTATAGGTGTCTTCGATTATCCCATATTAGGTACTATGGAACATTCCAAGGCTGAACAGCCCCCCCTACTCCATACAGATGACAACCATGACACATATCCATGTTGATTTTAAATCATGCATGACACATTGAACGTATGATCTAATGTCGTAAATCCAGGATTCCCTTGTGTGTCACTAGGCTGACATGGGCTGTGTACCCCACACCCACCAGGTGGACACTGGACAAAGCCCATGCTCTCAGCCTTGCCTAGTTGGTAGTGGCGTCTCCATACTTACTCGTTTACTCGTCATCTGCTGACTCTCTCTCTCCTTCTTAACTCTCAACTCTCCCCTTAACTTTCAGAATGGGTGTAAGTTCTCTTTTACATCTATCTACTCTTTAACATCCTGACACAGCCTTCAGTTCGCTTCAAAGATCGCTGCAGCTCAAGCCAACTCTCAAGCTCAACCCGGCCAAGGTCCGAGTCCAAGCCAGAATATGTCTAGCAGCCAAGGCACATACGGCGGCGCACCGCCAGCAGGCTACACTGGAGGACCTCCTGCAGCACTGCGAGCTGGTGGATACGTAAGTCAATCAGCTGTCACAGCGACGTCATCCCGTAACATTCTTCATGCAACTAACATGAGAGTAATAATAGCCGCCGCAACAACAGCAGCAATCGCCACAGTATCAGGCTTATCCAGGATCCCCACCTCCTAATCAAGGATCGGTAAGCTCCCTAGCGTGATTTTGGATTTTGGATTATTTCTTTGAAGTCTTTTCTTTCCTCAAAATTTTGGTGGTTTGAATTTGTTACTTTTTTTCCTTCTCGCTTTGTTTTGTTGTTACCTGTTTTTTCCCCCTCTATCCGAGTTACCCCTCCACAAAACGCCGGCTGTTCGAAGGCTACTCCCCCAACTTGAAAAAAAAACCCCCTCATCATGTCGGATCCCTATCGACAGGGCTATCCTCGGTACGGTAGCTCACCAGCTCAACAAAACCAGCCATATCATACACCTTCTCCGGCCGCGACACCTTACGCCAGACCTCCTCCGCAACAGCCTTCCCCTTACCCCGCATCGGGTCAGCAAGGTCAGCAGGGTTATGCACGTCCTCCACCACCGCCGCCTCAAGGTCAGCCCTACGGATCTTCGGGATCGGCATACCCTGGACAACAACCTCCTTATCCTGGGCAACAACAACAATATACTCCATACAATGGACAGCAACAGCAACCCGCGTACCCTGGACAGACTCCCCCTTATCCAGGACAACAGCCTGTGCAACAACCATCCTGGACGCGTGATCAGCCACAACAGCAGCCGACCCCGCAGCCTTACCCTGGACAACAGCCTGCCTATGTACAGATGAGCCCTTTGTATTTTTCTATGTGATCGTGTACTACGTTGCGCTTACGTGTGTTTTCTTTTTGGCATCGAAGTCATCGTGGGGGTTTTTTTTGTTTTTGTTTCGGATCGAGTGTGGTGCTGACCAGAAATAGAATCAAGGCGCGTACCCTCCTCAGGGTTCTCCATACCCCGGACAGGGTCGTCCTGGACCTGCTCCCGGTCCTGGCGGACAGTATGGTGCCCCCGGCGGCGGTCCTCCTTCCCAGGCAGCCCCGCCTACCCCACAGCAAGTTTCAGCATATCGCCAGCTGTTGATCGACACGATTCAAGAGAAGCAAATCCAGAGCTTCTACCCACCTGAGCGCCTGGACCGTCTTGTTCAGTCCTTGGCAAGTGAGGCCCCAGTCAAGCTTCAAAGATTGATCCAGGAATGGAATGTTCCTATGGAAGTGGCTACAGATGTGATGAAACTCGCTTTGTTCGATGTGATTCTCTACGTGGATGACAGTGGATCTATTGAGTTCGAAGAGAAGGGTCTTCGTAAGGACCAGCTGCGCCAGATTCTTGGAATCGTGGCAACTGCCGCCGCCACCTTCGATCAGGATGGTGTCTCTGTGCGATTCATGAACTCCCAAGAGAGGGGCGATGGTATTCGCAGTGTCGACGACGTCAACAGACTGGTCTCACAAGTTCGATTCTCTGGGTTGACTCCCCTTGGTACCGGTTTGAGAAGCAAGGTCATTGACCCCATGATCGTTGCACCTGCTCGGGCTGGCCGTCTCGACAAGCCTGTATTGGTGATCACCATCACTGATGGCCAGCCTGCCGGTGAGGCCCATAGCAGCGTCCACGACGCCATCTGCCATGCTGTCGAGGAGACCTCGCGCACTCGCTACGGACGTGGTGCAGTCTCCTTCCAGTTCTCGCAGGTTGGTAATGACCAGCGGGCGCGTGAGTTCCTGGGTGACTTGGATGAGGACCCTCAGATCGGTAACCTCATTGATTGCACATCGAGTGAGTTAATCTATGATTTTTGTTTGCAGATGTAGTCCTCTTGATGCTGACCATTATCGGCAGACTTTGAGGTGGAACAGGATGAAATGTCGCGTGCCAACCCTCCTGTCCACTTGACCCGTGAACTTTGGGTTCGTTTCCCCATTCTCCCCCATTCTCATTTCTATATTGATACTGATTCATTTGCAGTGCGCCAAGCTGATGCTCGGTGCGATTGACTCTTCGTACGATACCAAGGATGAGAAGGCCTCTGGTCGTGCCCCTGGCGGTGGAGCCCCTCCCGCTCCTTTTGGCGGGTACAACCAACCGCCCCAAAGTGGACAACAAGGGTATGGTGGTCCGCCACCTGGTTATCAATCCGGCCCTCCCCAGGGATCTTACAACAGCCCTCAGCCTGGATACCAACAGGGTCCTCCTCCTCCACAGCAGCAGCAGCAGCAGCAGCAGCAGCGTCCTCCTCAGCAACAGCAACAAGGCCAACAGCCTTACTCAGGCGCCCAGCGTGGATCTCCCTATGGACAACCCCAAGGGTATTATCCTCCTTCTAGCGGAGCAGGTTATCCGCCACCACCACGCCGTTATTAGAGAAAACTGGGACCTGACGTCACGCGCCACTTAACCCACTTTTTCTTCTTTTCTTTTTCTAAATTCTTTAACGTGTTCTCGACTTTTTCTCGACTTTTTCCTTATCCCGTATTTCTGTAATTTCTTTTTTTTTTTTTCCCCACTGTTTTTTTCCCATGGAGGATGATAGAATGGTTGGAAACTTGGGGGTATTTGATGATGCATATTTAGCCGATAGGACAATGATCCGACGGTCTTTTTATTGAAATTCAAGAAAAATTCGAAAATCGAAATATGTACGAGTACGAACTAACCTTGGAACTAATCGTAGTACGTACATTATCCTACGGACTAGGACTAGGAGTACGGAGTAGAGATCACATACTCCGTCTCCGTACCCCCACGTGTTAAATCTAGACTAAAATAGTCTGAAGTCATAAGGACCAAACAGGGCTCTTCTATACGTCTATCTTGGTCTATCTTACCCTATCTAAGAAGAGATCAGCATAGATCCAGCCCTGGGGGCATTGGCCAAGGAAATCTTCATCTCAAGGTGGCCTAAGAAGAAAAAAAACCATGATTCCAGGCTGAAACGTTTAGATAAAAGTACAAGTCACTACACAGCATATACAGTGTAGGAAAAAGTACCTCCAATCGCCTAATATTAGCATACTCTTGCATTGCCACTTAGAAAGCGCTGGGACTGCATGCAGTTCCATGGTTGCGGTTAAGCCTATTCGTCTTTACTTGTGTTAAACTGTACTTCTTGGTGGCTGTGTCCAACTTCTCACACATGGATGCAACCATCATTGCGCGTTAAGACTCCACTTTGAGTTACCAAGTTAACTTTTTTTTCTTATTTTCTCATTATCTTGAATTCTCTCATTTGCTGGGGTGTTAGCGTGGCCTTTAACCCGCTTTAAGTGTGTTGCCGCATTCGGGGTCGAATTCGATCTTTCCAAGGCAACTGTCAACAACTTCTACTCTTTCAAACTCTTTGTGGTCTCTTAGTCTTTGACTCTGACTCTCGTTTTTATTTGACAAAAGTCATTTCTCTCTCATTCGTTGCATTGGCAATTTCTATACGCCAACCCTTCCATGTGCTGAGACAATACCTGAGACCTCAAAAACGCGAAACGGAGAGAATGACCACTTTACTACTAACTTGGTCAATCTAAAGAATTTTGGGAACACCAAACGGTCAACACAATTATCATATTTTTCCGACAAAGACTCTAGAGAGCGGGAATCAAAAAATTGTTGAGATCGATCGGAAAACTGCGAAGTGCGAAGTGATCGACCTTCCGGTCCAGCGCCGGCACGATCTCGCATTCCCGACATGTCCAACCACGATGAGAACCCCAGCAATCCTCGACAGTCCCAGGATATCGCGCGACGGCCCTCCCTCGTTTCGTCTCGTGCCATGTCCGATTCAGGACAGCGTTCCTCTCAACAATACCATGTGCGATTCTCCACGGAGATTGAACCTCCTGTCGATGAACAACGCGATCCCTCGTTAGCCTCACATACCTCACCGGGGGACCGGCGTCCTAATTCCCGCGGTTTGACCATTAACACGGCGCTGGCGCCTCCAAATATTCCATCCGCGGCTCGGTCTCCTACTTCCCCCCTCTCGCCCCCGAATGCCAATTCAGGTCCCAGCCCCGGTGCCACTCTCTCCCCAACGTCTCCGACAAGTCCTGATTCCAACGGTCGGTCTCGGTCGCGAAATCGCGGTTATTCGCTGCGTCGATCCCTTTTCAATAAAAATATCCTGTCGCAGTCGGAAGATGATGTGGACGCTGCTGAACTGGGTGAGGCCAGAGGACCGACACGTCCTAGCCAGGATGAGGGTCCTACTCCTGCGGTGGCGCCCAGTTTGGGTCCGGTAGAAGAAAAGAATGAATTGGTCGTTGCGCCCACTGTGACAGCGACGTCTGATGTCAAGGAAGCGGCATCTACGTACCTCTCGTCTGAACTTTCAGACACTGGGTTCAAGAAGGATACTTACATGTCCGCTGCGCAGGATAGCTGGTACAGCAAGAAGACAAAAATGGCTGTGCTGTCTGCCAGGCTGGATGCGTATTTGCTCAAAGTCCAGAATTTCATCCTTCGCGTCAAGGAAATCCCACCTACTGAGAACGGTCGCCACATTGATATGAACCCTTCTATGGTTGATACCTTTCTGGATGAACGTACTGGAAAGCCTTACATCAAGAACTGGATTCGATCGACCCGATACAGCTTTTGGAGCTTCTTCCCTCGTCAATTGTTTGCGCAGTTCACGAAATTGGCCAACTTTTACTTCCTTGTGGTGGCGATTCTGCAAATGATTCCTGGATTGAGTACTACGGGTACTTACACGACCATTGTGCCATTGCTGATCTTTGTCTGTATTTCCATGGGCAAGGAGGGATATGATGATTTGCGCCGTTATCGTCTGGACAAGGAAGAGAATAACCGGATGGCTTATGTGTTGAGGGCTTCTGGGAATGCCGACGAACCGTTTCGGGAAGATATGTCGGAAACGCGCACATATTCCTGGGAAGAAATCAAGTGGGAAGACATCCAAGTTGGAGATGTCATCAAGATCGAGCGCGACGAGCCAGTTCCTGCTGATATTGCCTTGATTCATTCCAATGGGCCCAATGGTGTAGCATTTATCGAGACCATGGCCCTTGATGGAGAGACGAACTTGAAGAACAAGGCACCGTGTCAGTCTGTCGCCAAGGTGTGCTCCACTGAGGACGATATTGCTCGCAATTCCCTGCATTTCGTTGTGGAGGACCCGAATTTGGATCTGTACAAGTTTGATGGTCACGTCATCGTCAATGGCGAGGAGAAGCTGCCATTAACTAACAACGAGATTGTTTATCGTGGAAGTATCCTGCGAAACACTGATTGCGCATTCGGCATGGTGATCTATACCGGTGGAGAGTGCAAGATCCGTATGAACGCCAACAAGAACCCTCGCATCAAGAAGCCGGCCTTGCAAGCCAAGGTGAATCGCGTTGTTGTTCTCATTGTGCTCATCGTCGTTATCATGTCTGTGGCCTGCACAATTGCCTACCGCTACTGGGCGAAGGATGTGGGAAAGCACGCTTGGTATCTGGAACATGCTACCATCTCCTACGGCCCTGTCTTCACCTCCTTCCTCATCATGTTCAACACCATGATTCCTATCTCGCTTTACGTGAGTCTGGAAATTGTCAAGGTCATCCAGATGTATCTTCTGAACGATATTGACATGTACGATCCTGAATCCGACACTCCGTTTGAAGCACGTACATCGACGATCAACGAGGAGTTGGGTCAAGTGAGCTACATTTTCTCCGACAAGACCGGCACTCTCACCAACAACTCCATGCGCTTCCGCAAAATGAGTGTCGTTGGAACTGCTTGGCTCCATGACCTAGATCTTCAGGAGGAGGCTGCTCGTGAGGGTGAGAAGCTTATTCACAAGAAGCGAAATGTCAAGGGTAAGAAGGCTATCGGCCGGAAATCCAATCTTTCCGAAATACAAATGCCTCGTCCATCCAATGTCTCTGCCGCTGAGGTCATGCGCCGCTCTGCTCCGCATCGCACTACTGAGATGATTGAGTACATCCAGCGCAAGCCTTACACCATTTTTGCTCGAAAGGCCAAACTTTTCATCCTGGCTATGGCTCTCTGTCACACTTGTATTCCCGAGGAAGATAAAAATGGCGATTATACCTTCCAGGCTTCTTCGCCCGATGAGCTGGCTTTGGTCTTGGCTGCTAAAGAGTTGGGATACTTGGTGATGGACCGACAGTCAAACACTCTGACTATCCGCACACAGCCCAACAGTCCCGATGAGGCTGCCAACGAAGAGACTTACGAAGTTCTGGACGTTATCGAGTTTTCCAGCGCACGGAAACGTATGTCTGTTGTTGTGCGCATGCCTGACCAACGCATCTGCCTATTCTGCAAGGGTGCCGATACCTCGCTCATGCGTCTTCTTAAGCGTGCAGACCTGGCACAAGAGAAGGCAACCAAGATTGAGCGCCGTGCCAGCCAACGTAAAACCGCAGAAGCCAATGAAGTCATTCGCCGGAACAGCGAGTACAACAGTCGGAAGGACAGTGGCGTTCGAAGCAGTTTCAGTCGTCCCAGCTTTAGCCGCCCCAGCTTTAGCCGCCCCAGCCTTAGCCGCCCCAGTTTCAATCGCCGCCGCTCATCCATCTCCGGTCAACACACCTCTACTCTTCGTGCTAGCATTGATGTCTGGTTGCGTGATCGTGAGACAGATGGAGGCCGTCTCACCCGGGAAGCCGATAGTGAATACTACTCTCCTCGTCCCTCTGCACAGATGGGAAGACACTCAGCAGTTATATCGGACTCTGGTGACTCGACTAATGGCGAGGAAGATGAAGATCTTGTTGAAGAAGCCCTGGTTGTGAATGAAAATGCCATTTTCGAACGCTGCTTCCAGCATCTCAACGACTTTGCCACCGAAGGACTGCGCACTCTTCTCTACGGTCATCGGTTCTTGGATGAGTCGACTTACGAGACTTGGAGAGCTGCATACCACGATGCTTCTACCAGTATCATTGACCGACAAGAGAAGATCGAACAGGTTGGTGAGCAGATCGAGCAGGAACTTGAGTTGACAGGTGCTACTGCCATTGAGGATAAGTTGCAGAAGGGTGTCCCCGAGGCCATTGACAAGCTGCGACGTGCGAACATCAAGCTGTGGATGTTGACCGGCGACAAGCGTGAGACTGCTATCAATATTGGTCATGCCTGTCGTCTGGTTAAGGACTACTCGAAATTGACAATTCTCGATCATGAGAACGGCAATGTTGAGCAGCTGATCGTTGAGCTAACCAGTGAGCTCATGCAGGGTCGTGTTGCCCATTCTGTGGTCGTTGTTGATGGTCAGACTTTGTCGACAATCGAAGAGAATGAAGTTGTGCGCAAACGTTTCTTCCAGCTTGCTATCCGTGTGGACTCGGTGATATGTTGCCGTGCTAGCCCCAAGCAGAAAGCCTTCCTTGTCAAGACAATTAGGACTCATGTCAAGGATGCCATTACCCTCGCTATCGGAGATGGTGCCAACGACATCGCTATGATTCAGGAGGCGCATGTTGGTATTGGTATCGCTGGTAAGGAGGGTCTGCAAGCTGCGCGCATTTCAGACTACTCCATTGCTCAGTTCCGATTCCTGCTCAAGTTGCTTCTTGTCCATGGTCGGTGGAACTATATGCGTGCGTGCAAGTATACATTGGGTACTTTCTGGAAGGAAATGCTTTTCTACCTTACTCAGGCGATGTACCAGCACTGGAACGGCTACACTGGAACCAGTCTGTATGAGTCGTGGAGTTTGAGTATGTTCAATACTCTTTTCACTTCTCTTCCTGTGATCTTTCTGGGCGCCTTCAGTAAGGATTTGGCTGCGTCGACTCTTCTCGCTGTTCCGGAGCTCTATACCAAGGGCCAACGCAACGGTGGATTCAATATTCGACTGTGGCTGGGTTGGTCACTCATGGCTACCTGCGAAGCAGCAGTCATCTTTTTCACCATGTACAGCCTCTTCGGTATGATCGAGATCAACATCAGCGATGTTGACACTTTCGCTCTCGGCCTACTTGCCTTCACCACCTGTGTGATCGTCATCAATATCAAGCTCCAGGCTTTGGAAGTCCACAACAAAACCTATATGAATCTCATCGTGATGATCATTTCCATCGGTGGCTGGTTCCTCTGGAACATGATTCTCTCTGCGCGCTACACAATGAGTTCTGGCAAGGGCGTCTACGACGTCCCAGGAAATTTCCTCCACCATGTTGGTCACAATCTCCTCTTCTGGGCTGTGCTCCTCCTCGCTGCCATGGGAGTCATCATGCTAGAAATGATGATCAGTACCCTACGCGCCCTCTTCTTCCCTACAGACGTCGACATCTTCCAAGAGTACGAACAAGATCTCGACATCCGCAAGCGATTCGAAGAAGCTGCCGCCACGGAACTCCAGCAGGGCTGGGACCACGGCACGAAGAAATCCAGTTTCGAACGTGTTCGTGAAACCGCTGAGATGGATGCCCGCGAGCGTCAAGTTCAGGAACTTCTTTCCCGTCCTCGTGTCATGCCAGACTCGAAACCTGTTGCTCAGGAATTTGAGCTGGAGGGTTACTCTACCAGTAGTGCCCATGTGAGCCGCACAGGTAGTAATACTGTTGAGCAGGCACAGACCGCTGAACATGAGCATGATCTTGGTGTTGTACCTGGCTCTCCTGTCGAGTCATGTGCTCCGCGTCGCTCTGTTGAGATCCACGAACTATTCAGTAAAGGCTTCGGTGCTATTCGCAAAGGCCAATTGAAATAGAGTCTCGTGATTCTTGACTTTTTCCTTTATTTTTTATCATGTACAGTGCATGATGCATGTTTTCCGTGTTTCTTTTTGCTTTTCTCATAGCGAGCGTTTGGCTTTTTTCCTTCTGTTCTTTCCTTTATGATACCATCATTCCCATGTGCCTGTCCCATACATTCCCTTTTAGGGATATCACGGCCTAACTAGAAGGCGTTGGTGTTTTTTAGTTCAGTCTCTTACAGACCTCGATTTCGATACCCCGACTCTGTTGGAAATTTGATTCCGTTTCGGCTTTCTCTTAGATAATTTTTGAAGTCTTTACGTTGGCATCGAATTCGTATTCTCATAATGTCATTTTTGCGTAAACGATTCAAATGTTGACGACTGGGCATGAAGTCTTCCCCCTTCTCTCTCAGGGTAATATAATTTCTAACGTTCTACGTATGGACAAGGACCGTTGCATGCGAAGATGGCCTGCTCTGAGTCCAAGCCCTGCCTAGATGGAGGTTGTGTTTTTGAATTAAAAAAAAAAAAAGTTGAGACTTATTCACTTGGATCAAATCAAAAATCAAAAGTATACGATTCAAATTGAGGGTTGAAGACTGCATCTTTTTCATACTATACCAGGGTTGTGCAGTATATGCGGTAATTTTGGCAAAGCTATCAACCAGTGGCTGGTTAGCTCAGTTGGTAGAGCGTGAGATTCCAACGGTTTCAACTGTTAAGGTCTATATCTCAAGGTCGTTGGTTCAAGCCCTGCACCGGTCATTATTTTTTTTCTTTTTCCATCATTCTTCTTACTATCTATCATCTACGTGCTATTAAGATTTTTCCCTTTTTTTTATTTTTTAATTTTCTTTTCTACTCAAAGATATTGTAATACGTAATGTAATGATCAGGGTCTAGGTTTATTCTTATACTCCGTACCTAAGGTACCAATAAGTACTCCATATGGATTTTCTCGACGGACCCAAGGGAATACAAACTAAGTTATCACAAATCTAGTAATTCCTAGAATGTTTTATGTGTGATAACTTTCTTGACGTCAAATGTAATTGGCTGGTTAGATCAGTTGGTAGAGTGTGAGATTCCAACGGTTTCAACTGTTAAGGTCTATATCTCAAGGTCGTTATCAAGCCCTGCACCGGTCATTGTTTTTGTCCCTTTCATCCAATTTTTTCTTCACTTTCTTCCATTTTTTCTACCTTCTTTTTAATATGTCCTCTTCCTGTAAAATGTTCTATATTTTTATTAGAAAGAATGTAGCTTGTCATCTAATGTGTACCTTAGTGAGTATGGATGATGATGATGATATATAAACTGCCAATGGTACTACATATGAGTAATCACGTGGTAAGTTCTATGTACTACTGGTATCCCTTTAATGTTGCCAATTCACAGTGCTAGCAGCATTTGAGTAGTCCAATGGTGCTAATTAAGCATGGTACTAGTACACTCTACTCACTGGACATGATAGAACGAAAATATCCATGTGTATCTAGTTGCCTACTCCTTTTGGGGAGGTGGACTGGTGCTACCATGGGTTAATTAAATTAGAGTTCATAATGTCAAAAATGGCCATCCTTTCACAAGCCTTCCGAATTGGTGTAGTGGCTAACATCGTCGTCTCTCACACGACAGCCGGGGGTTCGATTCCCCCATTCGGAGTTTCTTTTTTTAATTTTTAATTTTGTCTTCTTGCGTGAAAACATTCAAGAGTAGGTAAAAAGTTGTCTAACTTTTTGGGTTGATTTCTTTTTTGTCTTGGAGCCCCAATAAACAATTGGGCTATGTTGTTGTTGATGCACCGAAGCTGATATGCCCTACTGTTCATCATCAATGTCAATCAATCAAACTAGAATCCAGATGAGTTACATTTTGAAGGTTGAAAGCTTCCAAGGTTGGTAAATTTTGTTACATATTGAGCTAGATTTCAAGCGGGAGCTGTTACTGATGAATTGATCCTATGTCTCAAGTTCAACCTTACATTTGGATTGAATTTAACTATAAGCTAATTCGTCGAAGTATTGTAGTATAGCCTTAAAGATTCAAAGGTTCTGTTTCATCATATTAAAACGTAATCGTAGCGCAGACAATTGCACGCGTGGTGATAATATACACTGATGCCCTCCAGGGCTATGGGTATCCCGTAAAAATGTCATGTCATACATATCGATAGCATGTATGGCGAAAAGAAGGATATTCGGTTATCCACGTCCCAATTATTCCCAGACAACCACCCGCCATTGAAATATTCTCGCAACAATACTCAGGATATTTTTCCAGCTACTTTGAGCTCCCGACGACGATTATAGATATCTCGTGCCTGGAGACAAATATCCGGATTAGCATCCTTAAGCAACAGAAGGATTTGCTGAGTAGTAAGAGGTGTGAGGCGTAGATAGCGATCAATTTCTGCTTGATGAGCTCGTAGATCCGCTCTTCGGTGGACAGGATGTGTAGATGGTGGCGAAGGCTCGTGGTTGTGTGTGATGTTCGCGTGAACTAGTAGCCATTCTTTCGATGGCAATTGTCGGCGTAGTGACACAGCAAATGGACATCGAAGTGCGCGTGTTGATGTGTTGCGACTCCTTGGTTGCCCTTCATATTTACCTCCACGGTCACACCGCAAGGAAATTAACCTCAGTTCACCCTTCTTCGATGGCTTCGATCGCGCCTTGACCACTGCATACCCTTCCCCGCGAGCAAATGTGTTGATTTCAGCTAGCCCGGTCTCCCATGACGGCCATAGCTTTCCTGCAGGGAGAACAGGGAGTCTGTAGATCTCCGAAGTCGTACTTGTAGGTTCATCTGCGAGATCGTCTTCAGGGTCGTCTTCAGGGTTGTCCTCAAGGTCATCCTCAGGGTCTTCTATAGTATCTTCTGTAGGTTCTTCTGTTGGAGTGTCCGTAGGATCCTCTGTGGGGTCTTCTGTTGTAGGGTTGTTTGTAGGGGTTTCTGGCGGGGTCTCTGGAGCGGTTGCCTGGGGATTTTTGGGTGCTTCCACCAGAGGAACAGGTGGAGCACCATTCACGATGATCATATGATGCATCTCGGACGTAGGCGGCTTGGTGGTAGACTAGAGGCTGAGCAGCGAATTGATACTAGCTCAAATGCCCGGGGAGTATAATTGGTAAAATTATAGAGTGAAATTGATGTGTCTAGGTGGAAAGCGGTGTATATTTTGCACGAATTGTCTCTTCAATGTTTTATGATTGGTCAAACTAAGAAATGCGGGTCACTCGGAGAAGAGGAATGACACTTCCGAGCATTTGTTCTCGAAATGGGGCGTCTAAATCGGAAATGGCTTCAATATCGTGCAGATCTAAAAAGTAAATATAGTTTTTATGTAGATCACCTGCAAATATTGAATCCGAATTTTAGCTCCACAACTTGAATGTATCTTCGACACGCAAAATGTACAAGAGTGCGGATAATTAGGCGAAAGATATCGGCTCACTTACTGCATTCCAGGAATACATCTACATGTACATACATCGCCGGGCGGTCAATCTAAGGTGAGGAGTCGGCAACATTACCGTTTTTGTCTTGGCTCGCCTCGGTCGCCTCGTATCTACCGCGACGACTTCTGACCTTGATAGGTGGTGGGTTGGGAATAACACAAATTATTGTCGATCCTCTGAGGAGGCATGCGCTCTTATTCTGGCTGGTAAATTTAATTTGATCATTGGTTTGAATGGGAATTATCTAATTCATTCATACAGTTTGACTTGTAAACGCAGACGCGTGAAATGCGATGAGGCAACGCCGACCTGTTCCAGGTGTATGAAGGCGTCCCGCGACTGTAGTTATGGCGAAAGATCCATATTCCGAAGTCAGGAGATTGTATTAACACCAGGAATCAAGCGACAACGTCCAAATCATGATGAGCAACAGGAGCTGGCTAGTGGCCGCCAGGAAATAACTACTAGTTGGGTAGAACTTCCATCCGAATGTATGCTTCAACCTCTCGTTGGATGTGCAGACACTAATCCAATAAAACCAGTCACTTTTGTTCAAACAGAAGATCCCTGCGACCATGAGAGATCAAGGGCTAGGGGGACTGGTGAGGAATTTGTGGAAGCAGGCAGAAGAGACACAGTTGGGCCAGTGATTGCCGATGAAGGTGATGAACTTGCTTCATCTCTTCCAAATCCACATCTTGTCTCAGCCACACCACAGTCTTTCAATCAAATAGCATCGACCGTTGGCCATTATACGCCGCGAGAACTCGGGTCCTCTGTATCTTCGCCTATCCGAACAGAGTCGGACCCGTTCGAGAAAGTCCTAGTCTCGTATCTCATCAGACACTTCAAGCAAGGCCCAGGCCAGTGGTATGTACCATCAATACTCGAAACTAGGAGTGAATAATGGGCTGATGGTATCGAAAACCTCAAGGATGGATCTTTTCGACACTACGTCGTACTTTTCTTCCAAAGTGCCAGTTCTCGCCACGTCGAAAGTCCTATTGAAATCAGCAGTCTGTGCACTCGCATCCAAACATCTCCGGCATCTTTGCCGAAATATGAGCCAAGGTGGCAGAAATTCGAAACTTCTTTCTAGCTATATCGGCCTTCCGTCTTCAAACGAAGAGATGTGGCGATATCACTCAGCGAAGTATTACGACCAGGCTCTCAATCATCTCCAAAATGCTGTCAGTACGGGTTCCTACTGCAATAGTATATCGGATAAAGAAGAGATGCTCGCGGCGGTCGCTATTCTCTGTGCTTTCGAGTTAATGGACGCCCCTGGGAGTGCATGGCGTGCTCACCTGAGCGCACTACCCCTGTTCCATGATAGAGGTGTCTCTGCAACAGAGCATGCTTCAGTAATAATTCCCCAGACAGCTGTGAAAGGACCTATATTCTGGAGTCTTGCGAGGCAAGACTTGCTATGTGCCTGTGAGTTTCTATAAAATTCACCCAATGTAAGTAACATCTCTGACCAAAGAATTAGTCATAAGTGAGAGTCCAACAAGCTTGGACTTGAAAGATATGCGGCTTTGGCAAAATGCAGGCTTAGCCACTGATGAGAAGGGAAGCCTCCTGGCTTATAGCCCACGAGACGTGATGGAGAGCCAAAACTCGTCTGGGTTTGAAGAGGATAAGAAGAGCAATGAACTCACATGGATTCTAGGTAAAATTGCAAATCATATTACCGCAGGAGATGCTTTGGTTCCAGCAGACAATACTTTACCGCGTCATCAGAGACCTCGGATTGGATTGAACCAGGAAAATATATTAGAAAGATGGAATATATTGATGAATGATCTATCCAACTGGAACGAATCTCTTCCTCAGTCCTTCCGCGCAACTGCTCGCACGCGACGATTGGGCAACGTGCCTCCTGGATTTGAGCTAAGCTTTGATACATTCGAGCAGATCTGGTTTGATATCCCGCTGTGCGCTGCCACGATGCAAAGCTACCATCAGGCAAAGATTCTGTTATTGGCAAACGAGCCGCAAGAGTCAACAGCGATCCGATCAACAGTATCAGCACGTTTGAGATCTTATCGGCATGCTCTTCAAGAAGTCATATACCACGCCCGGGAGGTCTGTGGTATCAGCCTTGCAAATTCAACTGATTCATTTAGAATCAATTCAGTTCAGGCGCTATTTGTTGCTGGCCAGGTTTTCCAAGAGCGCCGAGAACAAGATGCAGTTCTGGAGCTGCTTTCTGGAATCGAAAGAGATTTTGGTTGGACTACGAGATATCATGTGGCAAAGTTGAATGATGAATGGATGAAGGGAAGGGAGGGTAACCATGTTGATCGTGATGGACATGGACATGAGTCTAATTGGTTTATTTCAACTTCAAGTTCTTAGGCCTGCTTGAGGCAACTTGAAGCCTCGGCGAAATTCTTGGATTCCTTCCTCAGGCTGGGAGTAATTCAATCCCGATGTTAATTTTAACTTGGATCATTCGAAGTATCTGCGATATTCTACGCTCGTTTGGTATTTCATGGTCTCATTGCTTAAATCTCGGAAGGAAATCGATGAGTCTTAGTTAACCTGAAAGACTGACCTCCCAAGACTCTCAATGTATTCATTGCACATGTACTCCGTTATACGGTGAAGAGTTTGAGAAAGCTCAACACAGGCTTTATCAGTCGACGTTCGGCGACTCAGATCGGAAAATGGGCCCCAAACGTGCACTTTCTTCCAACTTTGACAGAGGATCATCATGAATGGCCTCGGCAGACACGCCATATATGATATAAAAATCCCAAGTTTCACCAACGGAGATTATTCCGACCATTGGAGGGGGGATTTCAGTCCCTGCTCGATGCTCAAAGGCCCATAGAAAATGTCCAGCCACCCAAGCTCCTAGTTGAACCTCGGCTTCCATCCGATTTCCGTATTGAGGTTTCACCTGAATCCCAACACCTAGAATTTGAGTGCCTGTATGAACATGATCGACATGGTTGAAATATCCGTCTTCAAACTTGATACTGGCTTTTCTATATAGTTTCTGCCATGAATCTGAAGGAAATCCAATAACGTAATCAATTTTGCGATTACATCGGTCTCGGGCCGTATACTGAGGCTGATAGCAGGAGCGGACCGATTCATTCTGACTAAAGGCATCATTAGCAAAAAATTCAAGTTTTATTTCTGAATGAGCAGGCTCAGGCTGATGCCTGTGATGACGTACTGGCCCCAGAATTCTAACTTCATCTCCCCTTGAGATAACAGTAGCATAATTCTTGTGACTTCTGTCACCCATGAACTCTCACTTCTTTGCTGTGTTGAGCATTTCCGAGACCCAGTCGATGCCTCTTTGATTTTATTCATGTCAGGGCTCCAATCCGATGCTTGGCTTAGATATACGAGCAAAGCCTTTGCAGCTTCATTTTTAGGCTCGTCTTGTTCGTGGACATAAATGACTCTGGGATGTGTGTTCTTATTTGCTAATAAAGTTTTTTGGCGAGCAGGACTTGGAGATCGCTGACCTCCGCTGCCAACGGAAGATGGCCGAGATAGAGACGGGAATGTAGAGTCATCACGCAATGTTGGGATTTGTGACGAGGCATCTGAATTACAATCTGATGCTGCTGTGCGGTTCTTCTTATATGGGTCTATTTTATCTGAACAATGTGTCCGATGGCGTTTTCTTGTGATAGATGGAGAAGATGAGATGAATAGCGGGATAGGGCACTGGCCTGCAGCGGCAGATTCCGTAGCACAATTTTCAAGCCATGCCTGCACCATACTTGCTGTAGAATTGGCCATCATTCGAAATCAGTAGGGTGATACCCCGTAATGTTGGAGGCTTTTTTGCTACCCAATGGCGGTATGCCGGATTAAGAGCCCCAGATGTCTCTTTGTTTGGTTTGTTTGTTTGATGGGGCCGTCAGGATGCTTCGTTTGGTTGTCATAGGCAGAAAAATAATATATCATTGGTTTTCTTGGATTTCGTAGTGTTGTGTATGTAGACTTCAAGTTCAAATGTTCGAATGTTGGAGGCTAACCTTGAAATCATTCAGTGACTGTACTAGTAAATATCACTCCAAGTCCAAGTTGCACCATGCAAACCACCTTGTAAATTCTATTTTCCCTTCTTACAACTCCCCAAAGAGTTTATTTGGTAGGAAGTCAGCAGCAGCGGAGGTCAGAAGGCAGAATGATCGACTAAGCAGAGAGAAGCTATTGTAAGTGCGTACAAATATGATACCCCACAGATTGAGCTAGCCAGAGAATTGAGGTTCGATTGAAGGACTATGTACAAAATTTGAACATAATCATAGATACCGCATTAGATCAAACTTTTCTCTTGGGTTCGGAATGCACGGAGCTCGCGTTGATGGCAGCATGCACACATAGTAGTGCAATGCGAGTAGAGGTACATAGCTGGTCTTTCCTTTGGAACTTCCCCAAAGGCCCGAATTTTCTCACAGCAGCCACATCCAAATGTACAGCATCCGTCTCGACCTGCACAGGTGAGTGAATGGGTACCATGTTTGGTAGCAGACGTTTTTCTGTCATAATCTCGAATCCACGCTCCCCCAGGGCTCTCAAAAGAGAGTTGTTTGATGTTTTTCCAGTTTTCGTGCAGTTTTGGCGATAGATCTTTGAGTTCCGTCTGATGGTTGTCGATGATTGATTGTGTTCCTAGATGCAGGGCTAGATCGCCTCCTCGTCGTCGAAGATCAATCTCTTCAGCCAAGAAGACTTCTCGCTGTACCAGCTCATTTGCTTCAGTCACCAGCTTTTCCTTTCTTTTCAGGTACTGGAGTTGTTCATTCTTTTCCTGCTCCGAGGTCTGAAACTTGGCAATGCACTTTGTGATTGAGAGAAGAGGTCTGTTGTTCGCAATTTGATATTTAAATTCCAAATATTCCCACAAATCATTTCCGGAGTATTCAAAAATGGCGGCCAGGCCTTTCAAGGTGAGGAAAATAACAATAGAAACGGCAGCGAGTAAAGCGCAGAGGATAAGAAGACAAAAGATGATGATTAATGAACAAAGACTGACTACTATCACGGATTTCTCCAGATATTTTAGATCCATGAGGTGTGGAATATGACTGAAAATTGTAATATGAGATAGAAAAGATTGTTAGTTGAGGTAGAGGAAGAGCGAATGTCTCAAAAAATTTGAGAATGCGTAGAGCTGAGCTTGAGGCTGAGCTTCGCACTGCCCCATTCAGACCAAACTAAATAGCTAGAGTAATCCATAGGCGGCTAACAAATTTCTATTTGGTTGACCAATCAATACATAGGGTATGCTCAGGTGGTAATTCAAACCTGGTTTATCGCAAATTAATTACGAAACTAAGATCCAAGGCCACGTAATAGGGCCACTAGTTTACTCCCACAGACCTCGGGAGTATAGGTCTTTACGAAGTATTACCGGAACATTGAATCGACTTTCATAAGGGTATGTACATATCTTGATGAACTGCCTAGGAAATTCCAATTCCTGTCTTTTTTTCAATTTAATAAGCTACACACAGGAAATTCTCAAAGAATTTCATGAATATTATGATTTAGGATAAAACAAATATTCAGGCATGATTTTCATAATACCCCCGGGGCCGATTGCAAAGGGTCTACAGAGACTCGGAACAGAATCACAGAAGAGGTTACTAGATTCTAACCTTTGAATAAACTTAAGAATATTAGGAAAAGAAAGCCTTATAACAAAAGACAAACCTATACATAATAAGATAATTATAAAAAAAAGTACTAATAACTCCTTAATAGAATATACTACCTACTAGTATAACAGGAACAACAATAAAGTAGTAAGTCATCAGGTACCTAAGCATGCACATGTGACACTTGCACATGTAAAGACATTCCTCCAGCTACTATAGCAAAGAAATGTTACAGGATAAACCAATAAAGGCCCTGAAACATTTGAATAGAACTCGGACATTTGAATCCATCCTATCTTTAGCTATCTAGGACATACTGCATAGGCATTGGTGGGGTTTGCCCCGCTCAATTGAGCTTGCCTGATTTGGATTGACCCTTTTTTACTCGTCAACAATCCATCTATTTCAACGGAGATGAACCAACTGCCTAGACACGATGGTTACAAATATTGAAGTTACCATGAGTGAATATCGACTCCCCATAGAGCTCACCATGCAGGTGATCTCCTATCTCATTGACGCAGGCGTCGACCCTGCCCCCTATGCCACTGTCAGCCGAGAGTGGCAGATGCTCATTGAGCAGCGCATCTTCAACACCATCAATCTGAATACAAGTAAGCAGTTAGCAGCGTTTAAGCAGATTGTGGCTCAAAACACGCGACGAAAGACATGTATCCGCAAGATCAAGCTGGTTGTAGAGTTGGAACCATATAGCATTGAGGCTCGTGCAGAGTTCGAGACTGCGGAGGAGCACCGCCGGAATAATGGAATTTTCGTTCCAGCAATCCAGTCGCTGTTTAGCATTCTTAAATCTTGGCCTGAAAATGAGCCGGGTATCAATCTATCAATCGAAGTAATGTCTCCTAGCGATATTGTGGATCGTCAACGGGCGAGACAGGCTCGCAAAGATCCAGAGACAGATCTTTGGCAGCGAAGGTTTGAGAGGAACTACAGTAAGGATCATCTAGAGCGCCTCCTAGTGATTTATATAGTCACAAAACTCTTAATAGGAGGGAATGGGTACCTTAAGATAGCTGATCTTGCCAACCAGTGTATGCCTTATTTTATCTAGGCTACCTAAATTAAATACACTGTGAAGGGCTGTAGCAAGACTTGATTCAATCTAACTAGGCCGGCATGCTGTTTACATTAATCTTGAAGAAAGGAGCTTTCCGTGTATGTTCGTGTGTCAACATGTGTGGTCGGTCACGTGCTTCCGTGACCAACATAGGGCTTCGGCCCGTGACATCAAGAAACTTTATCTTATGTTTACTGGTTATGCTCCTGTAAATCAGGACTTTGCTCCTACTAATCTAGTAGATAGGAAGATAGAAGACCCCTTAAGTTCCTTCTTATAGGACTTTTCTTAGCAGCTTACCTCCTTGTGCCTTGACTATACTATAGTAGGGAAAGAACTCTTCTGGCCTATTAATCCTACAGATAATATGAAGCTCCCCACCTGGCTAAACCTGATCCATATTCACCTGCAGTGTGGGATGACCACCCCATCTGGAGAATGGTTATATGAACGAGATCCAGAAGAGGTCGAATTCGACCCGAACGTTGACCCTGAGGAAGACCTCCCAGAGCATAAGATGCGAGCGCCAGAGGATCGTGTTTCGAATACATTCCGATTAAAAGCATCACCTACGCTGTGCAATGGATTGTACATGTCCTCGGCCCGTGCGGCACAGCGGATGCCCCGGCTCAAATTTATGTCTATCCGTACTACAGAGGCTCATTACGAACTATCCTTCGAGTATAAGGTCGATGGAACGACTGCGAAGGCAACCTGGGACTGCTGGAAACTGTTTACGCTAGATGAGCCGGTATTGAAGGCTTGGAAAAATGCTGCCTTTCAGCACACAGGGGTGGAGTTGGAAGTACAGTTGACACATTGGGAGAACCCTGTTTAATATCTTTTCTTTTCCTTTTCTTTCTATACATTGTGTTACATGTACACCGTACAGGGGAGGTGCCTTCTAGGTAGAGTGGCCCTGGAGCCCTCCAGCCCTGGGCTGGAGCGTAAAAACTGCTGAAGAATCGCATATTCGACACCTGGGCGGGTGGGCATCAGTAGTCGAGATATCACCTGAACTCAAGTGCTTAAAACCATGGAATATCCGAACCGAGCCACGTGATATGCATTCGTAACCTTGGCAGGAGGGGCTGATCGCCAAGCTCTTGGGTTTTTTTTCTAGCCAAGGTAGATCGTGGTCATGGATTTTTCAACGCTTTCTAGCGAAAAACGTGGCAAGTCTCAATGGTTTTCCCTGGGAGGTTATCTTCCGGATGTCACATTTGTCGCACACGGAAAGTGAAGGTGAGAACACCCTTCCGAAGCTTAAACCTCCTGAAATCATATTGAACAAGCAGACAGTGTGATGGAGTAAAGCCAGAATGCCGCCGTTGCTCTCAACATGGAGTGAAGTGCACAGGGTATCCAGATAGGTTTAGCTTTCGTGAATACAAACCGCCCAAGGATAACAAAGTTGGAAAATCTGCATCATCCCGTTCAAGAACTGCCAGCCCCCGGCCAGGTTCAAAAAGTACCTCACCGAGTACCAGCGAGAAACCCATACAGAACCAGAACTTGAATTCAAGGTCCGGAGTAATTATCGCTGCTCAATCACCTTCCAATGCTCTATCTATATGTCCAGACTGGCAATCTGTGTGTAATTTGATGCACCAGCTCGTCTTGTCAGTGCATCGTTCTCCTTGCGGAGGCTATCTAGCATTTCTGCCTAGACTTTTTTAAGAAAAGGGAGAGAGCCCCTCTTTAAGGTATGCTATTCTAAGTGTATCATACCTTACGCTCTCAAAGTTACACAGCGGCGCCGAACTTCAAATCAAAGCCCGTAAAAACTATGGTGCCTGCTTGAACGCCCTGAACCAGGCAATCGGCTCGCAAGACAATGCAATCAGGGCTGAGACACTTGCAGCATGTCTGTTGCTCAGTATGTTTTTTGTAAGTATTCAAATCTGAAGCATGGCTTATTCCTGTTCCGTTCAAAATGTTGGCTCTATTGCTTACAGACATCTATTGATGCAGAATCTTGCCCATGAGGCAGAGGGATTTCTAGACCCCCATATGGCAGGGGTATTTTTTCTCTTGTCGTTACGTGGCCAGCAGCAGTTTACAAGCCAGTATTTTCGAAATCTGATCGGATGGACCATAATACAAACGGTGAGCCTTCACACTAGCTTTGTGGTGCTTTTTGTCTCTATTTCTGACCTCGATTCTAATCATTGTGTAGCAAATTCAAGCTATTGGTACTGGAAGGTTCCAATATGCAAAACTTCCAGAGTTTATCAAGGCCAAGCCCCGGCCTTGCAACGTGTTTGGTGCAGGAATATTAAATAGTCTGATCTCTGAATACCTGCAGTCGTCCAGCGTGCTACTTAACACGTCAGCTATCTCAGATCCCATCTTAGATCAGACGCGATCAGAATCGATTCAGTCCATGTTAATTTGGGCATTCGATTTGATTCATCAGATTGATACCTGGGAAAATTCCATCCCACCTCACTGGCAAAAACAATATTGCAAGCAAAACACTCCTGGGGTAGTCTCTATCTTGGCTGATCCATGGACTACTACTTTTCTTGCTGTAACTCATTCAGCCCAGATTCTCTTCTACCAGAATGTTATTGCCCTCTGTGATGAACTGACCATGAGAGAACCGGCAATGGGATCATTCACGGACAATCACCAACATATAAAACTTCGAAAAACCGCCGCGGATCGAATCAAAGCCCCTTTGGAGGTCGTCTGTTTTGCAGTCACATCCAGCATTGGAGAGTTGGACACAGATGGCCAGTTTTATGCAAAGCCGACTGTCCAGTTGGCAAATCATAGAAGTCAAACTGCTGACATCTATGGATGCATCCCGAGGCCCCCTAAACCCTAGTAAGAAATATGTATAGGATAATTTGGAGAATGAGACTGAAAAACCAGCACGTAGGTTAGACACAGGACGTTATTAGTAGAGTATAGTAATGAGAGGGAGATAATGATAGAAGGGTACTGGCACGTGCAGGACAGAATAGGAAGGCGCGAGGTGTGAAGACTGCACAAGAGCTACCCCTCCAATTCATCTCGTTCCTTTATTCAACCCATCAAGTGGAAATTTATTAAAAACGGTATACCATGTTTCATTTGATTGTTGAGTTTTGATTACTGATGCATTGATAGAAAAATATCTCAACTGCCCCCCGCTTGCCTCCCCCCCAACCAACCCCACCTCTCCCAAGCGTGCAAGGTTGAGCGATGCTCCCAAGAAGAAGAAGGTTCTTACAAGGTGGACTTGGGGCTTCCGCTGGAAAGAATGAACGCGAGATTCGATGATGTTGCTTTTCAGATTGCTATAAGGTGGAGATCCGAAGAATTATCGGAAAGGGTATGCCAAAGGACGCTCGTGAAAATTTTGATACTGAGAGATGGTTTTGTGATTAGCATTGCCAGCAGGTCAGGAGCAACTTGAAGAGGGGTGTTGATCCGGATTTCGTCCGCACACCGGGAAAGCAGCAGGGCAAGACGACATAAGGAAGAACGAAAACGCAGTTGGATATGAGGTTGGGAAAGGGCGCGCTGAGGGATGGGAGATCAAAGTTGGAAGCTGGGGGCTCAAGGTATATCCGAGATCTCCTGGTGGCTTGATCATGACTGATTCTAGATTGGTTAGTTAAGTGAAAGAGGAGCTCAGGAGGATGGCAAGTAGGAGGGTGGGAGCGAAGACGAGGGCGAGGACCGGAGAACCTTGAGAGGATGAGGATGAGGAGGAGGAGGGGGCAGCAGTGGTGGCCTGTTTTCAAAAAAAGAATAAGGTGAGTCAATTCTTACTTGTGCTTGTTTGATTCAGGCTGATGTGAGGTTATTATAAGAGGAGGCGAGAGAAGATCACAGTGTAACGGCAAAGTTTTCAACGAAGCAAGGTGCAGAACCACAAGTAAATCAATGATTTACTACACGTGCACATATCTCGCTTTCAACGCATTGGGCCACCGAGTTTGGTACCGCGCGAAAATATCAAAATGCTTGATCCTTTTCCAGAGCGTTGATAAGCCACCTCCACTCTGCATCCGATCAAGATCTCCCAAACTCGACTGAGAACGATATTCCTTGATTCACAATTGGGATTATAGAAGCCAAATATTGCTCGACCTCTCTTTCTGATCTCTCTCTCTCCGCTCATCTCCGCTCATCTCCGTGCTGCGCGGTGGGCCGTTGGTTTAGGCTATAACCACAGCTTGCGCGATCTTTATGATATCTATATTGACAACCTCCGAGCCACTATCGCATTTCAAAGTATCAAGCAGGATTGAGCCCCCACTCTCGCTGTGTAAACCTAGCAGCTGACTTTGCCTTGATCCGTGTACCACAAGTTGACTATTCTTGGGGCTGATATCCTCTCATCCTCGCCAACTCTCCACACGTGTGGTTGACTGCTGAGTCTTGGTTGAGGCAGCAGTCAACCACTGCACATACAGCAAAATGCTGGAAGTATCTATACCAGCTCAAGCAATCGATTCAATGCAACCCGGAACCTACTTGATGGGCTCCACTGCGGAGCATTACCCCATCCGCACAATGGCGACTGTTGCTGAAGATATTGTTCTTTCATTCACTTCGTCGACATGTCTACAAAATCTTCGATCGCCTCATTGTTTTGCTCCGAGCGGTGCCCTTGCGATCTCGCCCTTTCGCCAATCCTGAGGCTAACGGCAATCCATGAGAACGTGCTAACCGGCGAAGAAGACATGAAAAGGGGAGGAAGATGAGATTCAGACGCGGAGCTGAGACGAATGGCAAATAAAGCTGCGGATCCCGGCTTATCTATCGTATGCAGATTGGAGGTTGAATCAGATTCAAGGGACGATCTCGCGGAGCCACCTAGATCGCCAATGTGAACGAAGATTCGCCCGCTTCAAGAGAGTATATTTCTTGTAATGTATCTCTCTCCCCCTCGAGCTTAAGAGCATTTCCGGCGACGGAACACGGATCCCCACCTCCGAGTCGATACACTCTATCTCCCAGTTCATCCTGTGGTTGTCGATACTACTGCTTAGTATCTTCCACATTGGGTTGTTTCCACATAAAAAGGCCAATGTGATCGTCTTTTCAACCCAACTAATGCAAACTCGATCGGACCTAGTTCAATCTGGTCGGCTATCGTCAATCTACAGATTCCCCTTACAGGAAGAGGTGGCTAATCTCCATATGACGTCAGGAGCTGTCATAAAAATCACTCTGCAGCATCAGTGGTGTCAAATCATAGTTACGATTTTAAAGAAGGGTGCAAGTTCTTGGTACCCCTTGAATTCTGAAGAGAAGGAAGGGTTATCGTGTGGTTACAATCTATTGAAGCGATCAAGGTATGTGCAGTTATATACTACAGACTTACTGAGGAACTCAATTAAGGCCAATGCAGGATCATGCGTCAGATGAAAATAAGGAGGAATAATCATCGCCATTTAGACTGAAAGAAGGAGGGAAAAGGAAAAGCATGAAGAACGGAAAGAAGGGAGGAGATAGTAGGGGAAAAGAACATGGAGAAGAGAGATGGGTATGTCACTTGGTATAACTGACCATGTTTTGATTGAAACTGATCCCAATATAGCTAGGGGACAAAGAGAAAAGGCGAAGGATGATTCAACAATATGACAATATGACAATGAGGGAGGAGGGATCAAATATAGGAAAAGGAATTAGATGACAGAGAGAGAATAGTGAGTCATTTCTATCTTATTCTATTATCAGATTGAAACTGATCCAGGCTTCTTGTGAAGTTCCGAAGGCGATGATGTGGTCATGGAAACTCCCAGCACGACAAATCAAGCTCGATTTAGCTATGGCCTTACACCAATTTGCTTCAACAGGCCACCCGACCTCCTAAGGCTCGGCTTTGCGATTTCCATGTCCTTCACCCGCCTTCCTTTGCAACGTCCTATAGAAATCCACCAATGGGGTGTATATCCTACTCATGCCGAGGTTGAATGTGGGAGTATGATTTCATACAACAAACGGTACGCCAATTCAATTTCCGCCACGGGTTTGACCAAAACTGACTCAATTTTGTCATAGAACCGGTGATTTATCACGCACAATGACATATCATGCTCTTTTTCAAGTTCTTGTTCAGGTGTCTATCACAACTACACATGCATTTCAACACCACTTGTCGGAAACAAGATATATAGGAGAACTAAAGGTTGACCCAATCTTGTATTTATATGATTCTTGAGTTGGACCACACAGACGAAATCATTTACTGGTCTCAAGATAGCCAACCTCACGAAAAGCTGATTTTGTGGCAACGAAAGGACTCAAAAGACCATGGAAATGGAGCAGACAATCCCCGCAGCCTTTTTTCACGGAGCAACATCCTATCAGTCCATTTGCAAAATTTCATTTGTGTCCACTTTGTGCCTTCAAGAATCTTTCAGCCATTTCCCGATAGTACCGTGCTAGATCTCGGCGACCATTCAATCCGGTTTACCTTGGCTCAAATGAGCCCTATCCAATTTTCTGTTATAACGAGGCGGTATGATGGCATACCTTCAAAATCAAGCAGGTGTGTCAATTAGCATTTTTTGATGATGGGTCAATCTAAACTAATTCAGTATTCTGATAGTGATGTCCAGTCATACGCAGCTGCTCAAGGTATACTATGTTAAAATTCTCAGGGTCACTCTTTATCATGACCACGGCTCCGGCCAGTCAGAGACTATGTTGAATGATGGGGGTTTTAACATCAAAATCTGCATCAGCACGGATTTCTCTTCGCGTTCGTTCTTAATGCCTGGAAAGGTCCGACATTCCGAGTCTTTTAGAGGGCTCGTGGAGAGCGCTTCTTATGGTACCGGGAGAACTACATCGCGACCATCGATAAGTACCAGGAAAACACGGAATGTCAGGAAATCTTCCCCTTGGCGATTTTCAAATTTCATGGGAACTTTGCAATGCGAGGCATCTGTAGTTGGGACAGACTAAAGCGTAATCTGGAGGCCCTCGAGCACGATTTGATCACCGTACTCAACAGCTGGTCCACCGCGGGCCTAGATGCTCTCGCCAATGACTCTTTTGTCGCTCATAAGCTCAAGGGCAAATTCGAGAGCCTCAAGGAAACAATGTCCGAGTGCACTTTGGCAGAGTGCGCACTTCGGCAACCTGTGTTCTGGATTTGGTTGATGGAAACCCTTTCATCTGGCAACTTACCTGATTGGTGACAATTATCAAATGGAACTCATACTCTTTATCACACCGGTCTTCTCCCTGCGATGCATTGCTTACAATGAACAACGTCAAGATTGTTAAAGTTTTTTTTGTATGCGTCAGGTAAGATGTTATTCCTGACCTTACTGCTATCAAAATGAGAGATATAGTTCAGATGTTCAATACTTACATCACTGCCACAGATGCCAGTTTGCGCGACATGAACAATCACATCGTGGGGGTCTGAGAGCACAGGCTTAGGACGGTCTTCAATGACAACATCCTTAATGGCGCGAAGGACAAATGAAGGGTTCTGAAACTGAGTTAGTCTTCAAAAAAATACAACACGCGTTGAGTGTTTTGAGATGGACTCGGAGCTCCAAGACTGGAAAACGTACCTCCATAGCGATGGTTACGGTGATATGAGAGTCTGGTTTTGTTTTCTCTTCTTTTGACCGAGGAGACTTCTCTCTTTTATATCATTTCTCCAGAGCATCAGCACACCCCCTCCTTATCACCTTCATCCCACTTTCTATCTTTGAACAATTGTTCTCGGCCCGAATTCACTACTGCTCCGTACGCAATTATTGTACATCATAGATTCATAGCTCCGGGGAACCCCATAGCCGGAGGAGTTACCTAAACGGGTAATTTTGGCGGCTCAACTCTGATCCACATCGCGAGATTTACTGAATTTATCACACTCACCAGATCTTCATCCTGCTTGCTATGGCTGATTTTCTCATCATGGCAAATTTGGCAGAGAGGGGTATCTATAGTGGAGAATCAATTCAAAGCTCCCTTGGATCAAGAAAATCCAAGATATCTGGCCCCTGAACGTACATAAGTCTGTACCCCGCGGCGGGGTATGTCTTTTTTCTTTTTCTTTTGATTCATGATGCTGTAAATATTCTTCATCTTTCAATTTCAAAATACCAACGCGTTCATTCATCGATTGATTCTACAAAATGCCTATCTCAATCCCTCAGGCAGACCGATTGGTCGATCTCTTCAGCTTGAAGAACAAAGTTGTTGTCATCACCGGTGCCTCTAACCCGCGTGGCATTGGCTACGAGGTTGCTAAAGGATGCGCCGAGATGGGAGCCTCCGTTGCAATCACCTACTTCAGTCGCAAAGAGGAAGCCGAGAAGAATGCCTCTCAATTAAGTGAGGAATTTAACGTCAAGGTCCAAGCCTACTATTGCGATGTCTCAGACTATGTCGCAACGGAGTCATTAGTTCAGAGCGTGATCCGTGATTCTGGTCACATTGATGGATTCATTGCCAACTCGGGACAGGCCGTTGGATCTGGAATTCTCGATGGATCCGTGAATGACTGGAATAACATTATCCAAGTCGATCTGAACGGTCCCTTCCATTGCGCCAAGGCTGTTGGCCCGCATTTTGAGCAACGGGCAACAGGCTCCTTCATTTTCACCTCTTCCATGTCAGGCCACATTGCCAATTTCCCCCAGGAGCAAACATCTTATAATGTGGCCAAGGCTGGATGTATTCACTTCGCCAGATCTCTGGCTAATGAGTGGAGAGACTTTGCGAGAGTGAACTCGGTCTCCCCGGGTTATATCGACACTGGGCTGTCTCATTACATTCCGCAGGAGACTAAGGACTTACGGCGTTCGATGATTCCTATGGGCCGTGTCGGCGTGGCTAAAGAGTTGAAGGGTCTTTATGTGTACCTGCTCAGTGATGCTAGTTCCTACACCACTGGCTCGGATATTCTGGTTGATGGAGGATACTGTGCTCGTTGAATGCATTGAAACAATGAATTAATCTATAGAAAGAGACTGGAATTATCTCAATGAAGAATGGATTTCATAAAATGAAAGTTCGTTAGAGTCAGAAACTGAATCAATGAACAGAGTTCAAAATAGAACTTGAATTCCATCTCTGTTGCATGTGCTCTGAAATGATTGTACCGTTGAAATGCGCAGAGTTGATTTTCTCTCGAGTTATTTTTGAGTCGTTACTTGTCCGCCTCAAAGATAACTTTCTGGCATCTCATGTTATTGAAATCATCATAGCTGTTTGTGATCATATATTAGCATCCATTTATCAAATGTTCTGGATGGGAAGCTTACGCTTGAACAGCCTGAGAAAGTGGCCGGATATCCTCTGACATGAAACTGGACATCGTTAACTCAGTTGAAAAGCATCATTTCCTTCATTCAAATACTTACTCAAGATCATCTTGCTTTCTGGCCAAAAACTCCATTGCCTCCCCAAAGATACCTGACGGTTCAGTTATTTGATAGCTCACGCGATCTAATATGGAAGAACTTACTTCGTACAGGGCACCGTCCCATCTGGATAAGCAAATTCTTTCCATACGCCTCATTGCCAGTCCAAGGGATCTCACCATTGTGCACTCCAACACTGGATAAGATTCCCCATGGGCGCAACATCTCAAATCCCATTCGCAATGCGCTGCTATGACCCACAACCTCAATGACCACATCGGCTCCCCGACCCTCCGTCAGATCCTTGACTCTCTGTCGCAAGTCTGCTTCATCTTCCTGGAAGTTCCAAGGTTCTGCACCCAGCTTTCCTGCAAGCTGAAGACGAGATGGGATACTGTCGATTGCAATCAGATGCTTGGGACGATATTCTAAAGCACTCACAAGAGCACAGATACCCACAGGCCCACAGCCAAACAAGAGAACGACGCTGTTTTGAACCTCTGCCGTATCCAGTGACTTAAAAGCATTCAAAGCTGCGAAGTAACCAGTCGGAAAAATATCCGCCATCAACACCAACTTTTTCTCGTCGATCGAAGGGGGCGCATGGAATAATGTTGAGTCTGCGAGAGGAATGCGAACATACTCCGCTTGCCCTCCATCCAAAATTACCGATCCATATAGCTGACTCCGAGCGCAGCGAGATGAGAACCCGCGTGCACAATAGAAGCAAGAGCCACAGCTGGTTGTGAATGGCGATACCACCTTATCCCCCTTTTGAAACGTCTTGACATCTTCGCCTGCTTCCACGACCACCCCCGTGAATTCGTGGCCCATAATGAATCCTGTATTCGATGCTTGGTGGCCTCGGAAGACGTGCAGCTCGCTAGAAAATTTCAGTTTTCTGTCGTTTTGATGGGAAAGAAAATGAATCAGCCCACCTGCCACATAATGCCGTGTAATGAACCTTCAGAATGACATCTGTTGCATCTTGGATCTGAGGCTTTGGCCGTTGCTCCAGAGCAACCTGGAGTGGACCTTTGAATACCACAGACTGCATTTCTGAGAATAATCAAGCAATATAAGCAATAAAATGAATCCGAGAGGATAGATTTGTCCGGTGAGCTTGAGTATGAAGTTGCGGGGAATGTTGGTGTTCGTACACTTGAGGGGTTGAGCTTGGTTGTTTTGCGGGTTCAACTTTTGCCTCGGTTGTACTCGGGTCATGCGGGGTGTGTTGTTTCACAGCATTACTTCAAATGTTGAGATAGAAGAGACTTCATTTCAAAAATTTGATTCATGAATGAATTTGAAGATTTTCAGCAGGTGATGCTGAAGATATTTTTAAGCTTCCAGAGTCATCTTGATCAAACTAACCTGGAAGCCGCGCACTTGGTCTTAGTCAACTGGTTTCAAGCCCTGCTAGTGGAATCAGATCGGTATTTCCAATTTGCGATAGATGAAACATTCAAATGCACATGTGTTTGAAGGCGGGAGGAATATAAATACTGTACATGTTTGACTGAGAGAAAGAGGTTTACTCCTAACTCCATGATTTAATGGTAAATTATACATAGTACCTAGGAGGTTTTGTTCCGCCGTTGAGGTTTCCATGGCACAATTTTGCTGGAAGTGATGACCACATAAAAGTCAACCTACCAAGTGAGGTGAATAGGGGTTAAGGAGAGAGTTTTCCAATGAGAAGATGTCAAAGTCGGCTCTGAAATTATTTATGGCTGAGCACCCTGATAATGCCTGTGGTGTCGCACAAGGTACCTGCCAGTGGCCCATTCATAATCAGAGGCATTGGGGAAAATTGGAAGTTAAGTATCTTGCTTCAGGTCAATAGAATTAGTTTGCCAATAAAGGAAATGACTAAGAGCTTTATAGACCTTAGACCACTTCAAGTTTTCCTACTTGGGTTGCAGTGGTTTTTCGAGTTTCCTCACGAGTCACCGTCTGGTAGAATACTCAGAGACCATCATGATACTGTCTACTAGTATATCTCAGACCATAAATTTACAAATAGAGTTTCCGTTTATTCATTGCATCTGAAGATGAGTATATCCCTCCTAATTCAGCTATCTCTCACTTGAGATATCCAACTATATAGCAGTTAGCTTTCCCCTCCAAGTAATCATGTAGGGAACCCTGTAGGTACTTACATACAGAAAGGTGTAGCTCATCACTCACCTTTACCTATATGCTACTCCTATATGCTACTGACTCAGACTGAGACCTGTACCTAAGTATGTGAACATGATCCATGTCTGAGAGGATGTAGATATATCTGGCCAAGCACTCGCGTGCTGAGGACGTACATTTCCTGATTTAAAATGCTTGCTGCTTCACTGGCAGGGTGAGGACTTGTGATGAATTACTTGCAGAAGGGGAGCAAACTACTATGTGCGGCTGTGGCATGGAGAAGAGAAGGCACTTGAGAGAAGGTCACTGCCGGTGAGGCATGAGTTATACAGCCTGAGGCTTCCGAAGATCTTGGACCGACCTAAATGGTCAAACTGCCTTGTTAGTCCAATAGTATTACTTCCAGGCGCTATCTAAATACGCATCTCAACCCAGAGCCAGCTTCAAGACTGATTTACTTCCTATTTCTGGAATCTGTGATTGACATAGTTGAAACCCACTGGCAGTATATCATAGTTAGAGTACGAAGCTAATAGTAAACTTCAAGTTAAACTTCTCGAAGAAACCAAGGATAAGATTGCTCAACGACCAGGATCAGTCAATGGGGTTAGCTGGAGTCGTGATTCTGTTACAAATTATGCGGATTTCGACCTCCTAGCGTTTGGGCCATTATGAACTTGGCCAGTTGCATTGAGATTTGAATTATGCCCTTCCTTATGAACGGGTCTGTGCAGCCATGCTTCTCGATGCAATATCATGAGCAAACTAGTATCCACCTGGCATGGATCATATTTTAAAGGTGGTTAGATGGTGCCACATACGTACCCCAGCTCACATGAGAGAACGCCTTAGAGCATATATGATGGATGGAGGCAACTGTCTCAAGATCTCTTTGTCAATTCCCTCCTTTCACCTAGATTCTACGCTATGCCCATGATCAGTTGACTGATTTATGGTCAGCTCACTGAAACTCAACTGCACTCAGATCAAGATGACATGATCCACCTGGAGATCGAAACATGTGCCTTGCTTCATTCAAATTCCTCGACACTCTCATATTCTTTGGGCTCACAATAATTATTAGTTCCCGTCTGTGCAGAAGGCTACGATTTCACTACCCACCAGGTGCCGAAGAAATGAATGGCCCCAATGCTACAGTCCCGAGGTCTCCACCTAGCCCCCCCGAAATTAAGCCGAGTGAATTCTGTTGCTATCCGATGATACTCATCCAATTTGGAATAAAACTCTGAATTCTATGATGGGGCGTAAGCGCCACACAGATGATCAGGCCAGATGAAAAGCCTGGGGAAGGTCTTGGTGTTGTCAATGCGCCAACTTTGTGAGCAGGGGAGTAAAAATTATTATTATTAGGCGTCCCCACATTACGTGCACCAGTGTTGTTGTCGGGGAGAATAAGAGATTGATTTCTGAACCTCTTACTGGGGGAAAATCTATTAGATTTCTCCGTATCCACTGCCAGCAGGGGTTTCGAGTTGAATCGCATCGTCACATGGGCTCACGCGAATGTCAGTCACCTACAGCGCATGAACGGAGTAAGTTACTGTGTATAGACATCGGGGCGTCTTTGTCATCTAGGGAAGGTGGAGTTCCAAGGTTCTCCACATCGACTCGGAGGTCTTTTTTTTCTGGGGATTCGTGTACATATCTGGGGATGTCCATAACCTTGGAATCCCAGCCGAGGTCCCTAATACTCGGCACTCTCATCTGCCCAGGTGGGCACGGAGTCTCACCCATTTTCCAGGGCTCTACCGTCAACTCCCCTTGCAACATGAGCCGGTGAAAAGCAGGTTCAAATAATTTTAGAGATCATTTGAACCTCCCATGTACTCCGTTCTGGATCATAGGATTCGGGTTCCGGCCTGTTAATTCCGAACTGTAACCAAACCAAGGCTGATGCGACTAATGTCGATCTCTTCGTTTTAGGTCCCAACCGAGGCGCCACCGGTATGGTGGTTGGCCGCTAGACTAGGGGGGCGCCCTTGGCGTTTTCTCTTTCGAATCTTAGTTAGATTGGTCCAGCGCACAATCATTGGTCGAAGCGGCCTAGACGGCCGATGCAGGCAGGTTTCCCGGAAAAAAGTCATGGCGTTCGGCATGCTAGAAGTCGGCGCCACAACCCGCGACCAAGCTTTGCCAACCGCTGCCGGAAGTACCGTAGAAAGCTAGAAAAAAGTATGTTGTCGACTTCATGTATAAAGGAAAGACTCGCTTAGAGGGATAGTGGAATATGAAAGGACTTGTTCAACGGAGGTTTTTTGTGCAAGACCCTTGGAATCCGGATTGAGACCCTCCTGCGGGGAAATAGAAACAACGAATAAGAAATAATGAGAAGAAAAATCAAACAAAAATTATCATGCTCCTTGGAACCCAAAAAATACAAGCAAAATTAATTCTTAAAAATTCGATTCGTTGTGTTGGAGCCCACTATGTAACCGCTTTTCCCCATGGGGGTTGCTAACATTTGAAGCTTGCGCGTCCTGTCAATACTCTCTCATAACAACTCCTATTCAAAGTTTCTGAGGATCGGACCAGGGACGGGCCATGCGACATTGCATGAAACTAACTCAAATGATGAATAAGTGCCGCAAACAAAGCTCCGAGTCATACTTAGTGGGTGCGAGCCTTCTTTGAAACGCTCGAACCCTGCATCTTGCCGCCGATGTCTATATAACCTGCTCTTGTGCCCACTTTCTCTGAAGCCAAGAATTATTCCATTGTCAACTGGCTCTCTTCCCCGATATTCATCATGGTCATCGGGAACATCTATGTCATTGCGTCCGTCGCCGTCGTTGGCGGCGGTCTCTTTGGCTTTGATATCTCGTCCATGTCTGCTCAACTGGATGAGAATTCCTACAAATGCTACTTCAACCAAGGTCCCAATGGTCCTCCATTCAATGATGACTCCGACTGCAGTGGTCTCAGCTCCTTGAGACAGGGTGGAGTGACTGCTTCTATGGCAGCCGGTTCCTGGCTCGGTGCTTTGATATCTGGCTTTATCTCCGATCGACTCGGCCGTAAATATGCTATTATGATTGGATGCATTATATGGTACCTAGAAGATTCCCCGAAGAGCATTTTACGGATGATGAAGCAGTCCATAACTAACCTACCTCTCTTAGGGTCATTGGCTCCGTTTTAATCTGCGCTTCACAGGACATTGCCATGCTGTGCGTGGGCCGTGTAATCAACGGAATCTCTGTCGGAATTGAATCAGCACAGGTCCCAGTTTACATCTCCGAGCTTGCACCTCCCTCCAGGCGTGGTCGATTCGTCGGATTACAACAGTGGGCTATTACCTGGGGTATTCTGATCATGTACTAGTAAGTGATCCTCTGCAACCATTGCTATTTCAACTTCAAACTTGAAGCTTGTCACATTGAAGCTAGGTTGAAAGAATGGTGTTCGGCTAACTGCGTACTAGTATTTCATACGGCTGCTCCTTCATTGGAGGTTCAGGTTCAAGCAACTATAGCACTGCCTCTTGGCGTGTTCCCTGGGGTCTGCAGATGCTTCCTGCCATTGGGCTCTTCTTCGCCATGATGCTCCTGCCTGAGTCACCTCGTTGGCTTGCTCGCATGGATCGCTGGGAAGAAGCTCACGATGTGCTGGCCTTGGTTCATGGTAAGGGAAATAGGGACCACCCATTTGTTGCTATTGAGCTGTTAAACATTCGTGACATGTGTGAAACTGAACGTCAGTTTGGAAATGTCACCTACTTTGACCTGTTCGCCCCGCATATGGCTCATCGAACCATCATTGGATTGTTCACCCAAATTTGGTCCCAGATGACCGGCATGAATGTTATGAGTAAGCCTCTTGACCTATTTTTCCTCCAATGAAACTTTGCTAACCTCTTATCTTCTCCAATAGTGTATTACATCAGCTACGTTTTCGCCATGGCCGGATATACCGGTAACTCGGGTCTGCTCTCCTCTTCCGTGGAGTACATCATGTGAGCGCCTCTAGAGTCCAGATCAACATAACTTTGCTAACCTTGACACCTAGCAACGTGGTAATGACTGTTCCAGGAATTCTTTATTTGGACAGATGGGGTCGTCGTCCTACAATGCTTGTCGGGGCAGCCCTCATGTCGATACTCATGTTTGCGAATGCTGGAATTCTCGGTGGCAAGGCTATAATTATCCCACTGGATGAGCGCAGCAGTCCAGAAGAGTCAATGTCTCTGACCGGTCCAGCAGCAAAGGCTCTTGTTGCCTGCACATATCTCTTCGTTGCATCATACGCACCCACATGGGGTCCCGCCTCTTGGACCTACCCACCCGAGCTATTCCCCTTGCGTCTGCGTGGTAAGGGAACATCGATGGCCACTTCTGGTAACTGGGCTTTTAACATGGCTTTGGGTCTATTTACCCCATCTGCCTTTGAGAATATTACCTGGAAGACCTATATCTTGTTTGGCGTCTTCAATGCCGCTGCTTTTATCCATGTCTACTTCCTCTTCCCTGAGACCGCTGGTAAGACGCTGGAGGAGGTCGAGGCCATATTCGAAGACCCTAACGGCTTCAAGTACTTGGGTACTCCAGCATGGAAGACTCGCAAGACCCGTGCTACTGTGGCCCTGGAGCGTGGTGATGTCGAGACTGCTAAGGCTGAGGTGGCTCGCGAGGAGGTGGCATACAACTCTGAGCATAAGACAGCCACTAAGTGAGTGGCAGTGCTGCCTTTGAATTGAATGAAATATTGTTTACTGTAAATAGTCACTGCTACATAATTGTCGTTGTTGACCTTTGTGCTTCTTAGATTTTGTTTCTTTCTTGGAACATAGTTTTGAAGAACGAGAGAAATACATACATACATATGAATGATGGATTGTTTCAATTTCAAATCAAAATCTAATGCATATGAGACATAAATGACCTGGCCTGCCAAAAAAAATAATCCAAATTTCCGAGGTTATTGATCTCGAGTTTTATAATAGGACAGTTCGTGGATGTCTCCAAGTTGGATATCAGTTCAACTATATACCAGTGCCTAGCTTCGTTCATCATATCAATTCTGTGTTTTTCCTGAAATAAAGGAGCCCAAATTCAAAGTGCAGCGCGGTTTCGGCCATCTACAGCGCGTAAAATCACGTAAAGCGTCTCGAGGAAGGGGGCGGATATCCCTAGTTCCCTCGCCTTGCGTACAGGAAAACCAAGAATCACATCAATCTCCATAGGACGCCCATTCTTACAGTCAGTCTGCATACTACTCCCAATCCCAGGCAAAGCATTGATTTTATCCATAAGCTGGTCCACCAGGCCATCTTCCAGCTGCACCCTACAACCACGGGCAATACTAATCACCTCCCTCATCAACTTACGTGTGAAGGGCTCAGCATCTGCCGAGGAATGAAGCCAGGACTGAGTATCCAGCATGGTCAATGCAGTGAGCGAGTTCCAAGCCACATTCCACACGACCTTCTCCCATCGCTGACGCTGGATGTCCTCCATAATCTGGAATCTGGTCTTTCCATGTGCAAGAAGGTCGGTGAAGGTCTTGAGTCGCTGTTGCTCGGTCGCAGGGTCGACTTTTGAGTTGGGAAATAGGCCGATTTGCATATCCTCGGATTTCATATGCTTTACAATACCCGGTGTGCTTTGGATGGCACCGACCCACGTCTGTGATAGTCAGCCATGGCCCATCGTGTCCCACTTACGTGCCGGAAGATCGGAATTCAGCTTACAACGCATGTTAAAATTGAAGCGTCAGGGAATTGAGATCTGAATGGCTCTTCGTTTCCAACGCCATTCTGAATAATCACAATCGTGGTCCGACCTGCCTCCACAACCGGACTCAACTCCGCTGCCACCTTATCCTGGTCGATCGCTTTGCTGGCACAAACAACCCAGTCCATTGGCGATGATGCATCTGCCGGAGACTTCACGACTAAGATGAGAGTCAGTTGAAACCACGGTTTCTCGTGATATGAGTGCCTTACCTCGATATGGGTGGAAGGTGTGCTTTCCATGATTTTCGCTCTCGAGGGTGATTCCCTACCCGCTGTCAATTACCATTCTCTATTAATGACGTAAAAAGATGCCCCCCTCACATTTTTAGAGACAGCATCATAGTTGGATCGAGCGACAACTGTGAGTCGGACACGGTCGGATCGACTAAGAATGAATGCGTAGAAGGATCCGATGCTGGAACTGTGTTAATGAAGGGAACATAGTCAAGAATCTCCAAAACTTACGCCCCAAGGCCGTATAGAAGGACATCAATCTGATCGGGCATGGTCAATGATACAGAGCAGTTTGAAGTTAGGATGTATCTAGAGTTTCAAGTGACTCTTGATCCCTGCAGTTTGAGCTCTTTCAAGGCCTTAGTCCACGGTGACCTTTACGAATGATCTGCGGGACCTGGACTTCTCCCCGCACTTGGAATGTGGGGGTTCGGCGTATGTCCGCGGCGTGGGGGTCAAGTTATAACCGGCATTTGGAGATTGGGCGCCAGTCACCTGGACCATGACAATGTGGAGTCTCAGACCATTTATCCGGCCACGGCTGATGCAGGAGTCTTAAATGGTGGTCATACTGAGTTGCGTGTTGTGACTCGAGTCTGTATGAACCTGATATACTACGCACCCAGTCAATACTATCAAGGAATAGACTATAAAGAAATCGAAAGATAACATTTTGAGATATAGAAAAACTAAGGAGGAAATTACAGAGTAGACAGTTTCCAATGTGACCGAAGTACTAGAAATTTGAATAGTTTGAGTCTCAGAACAGAAATCCATCATTCGGGAACCACTACCACCTGGGCATATATCATAATTTCACACTACCAATTAATTCTCGCTCCAACCGACTAGCGTTCACCATCTCAGGGCAAAGCTCGCTGAGACTAGTTGCTCCCAGAAAAGTCATATTGGACTCAATTTCATGTCGCAAGATTTTCACCATTCGCCGCACTCCAGCTTCACCATAACCCGCCGAGAGACTGAACAGAAAAGGCCGACCCAGGCCCACTGCAGTCGCGCCTAGAGCAATTGCTTTGAGAACATCAGTACCCCGGCGAATACCACCGTCGATGAAGATTTGCATCTTGCTGTTTATCAAGAAGGGAGCGAATTTGCGAATCTCCAGCAACGTGAGCAGTGGTGATTGAGCCCTGTAAAGTAAATTAGAAGATTCTCTCAGCTTGAGAGCTGCTTGCAGCATTGAATTGATTAATCTTACGTATCTTGGGAGCGGCCTCCGTGATTCGATAGGCATATGCCCTGGACGCCAGACTCGTAGGCAATTACCGCATCTTCAACACACTGAATACCCTTGATCACCACTGGCAAGTCTGTCAAATTTCGCAGCCAAGAAAGTATGCTCCAATCAATGAATGGAGATATAGAGCTTGCTGCTGTCTTTGCAACACCTTGTCCTTCTTCATCGCTGTCATTTGCCTGTAAAGAAGACTGGTTAGTATATAATATTGAATGTAGCTATGCTGGACCTTACCATGAAGCTCAAGTTAAGCCTTTCATCCATTTCCCGCTTACCAACAACAGGAGAGTCGACCGTGATCCAAATCGATTGAGCGCCCGCTTTTACAGCTCGCTTCACGAATTCAACTGATTTATCGATGTCTCGGTTGACATACAGTTGAGCAAACAAAGGCTGGTCGGAAGAGAGACGGGCCTCTGCTACCTGCTCAATGGGATAGCTAGCCATATTTGCAAGTACCTGCACGAGCCCTTCTTTTCCGGCCGCAGCTGCTAAGGCCAATTCTCCCTGCGGATCCGCAAACTTAGCAATGCCAGTTGGAGACAGGTACACGGGCAAGGAAACAGAATGACCGAGAATTGATGTCCTTGTATCCACTGCCGCGATGTTGCGCAAAATTCGTGGGCGCAGTGAGACTTTTTGATATGCTCGAGCGTTATTCTTTTTGCTGATCTCATCATCAGCTCCTGAGGCGTAATAGGCCCAAGCATTGGCTGGTAGGTATTTTTGGGCGACTTTTTCGAAGTCATGGAGATTAATCAGGGTGCTTAATCGCGGTGGACCTTCATTCTTGACGTCTGATTTCGCACCGTTGGAGGAGTTTGCGGAGTCATTGGGGTCGCACAGCTCGGCAGGATCAATGCGGCCTTGGAGAGCTGTCGGTGGGAGCGCTTCATTCAAGAGTTCGGGGGAGTGAACTGAGTCGAAATCGGATGTCGCGTCTTTTCCTGCACATCGAAGAATCACTCTGGCGCCACCAGGGTGTGAATCCAAAAAATCTCCAAATTGTCAGTTCTATCTTTCTTTCCCAGCAATGCATGCATTCGGCGTGGGGGTTTACCTGTCACATCGTAGACTACCCCATGGATAGCTACCCAACAGGACTTTCGACTATTATGTTGCTCAAGGTCTGCACGCGTGAGATTCATGATTAATATCTGAAGTTCAGCCTTTGGCCTTCGGAGGTGACTGGATACAAAAAGGTCGGGTTACTGTATCCCCTGTACTCCGCATTTCCTGACCAACGTCAGGATCCCCACTTCTCCCTAAAATGGATCTTCCCGAGGGAAGAGGGAAGCGTGGGGGCACCACTTCTTTGTTTTTGGCCTCAGACCACGATCGGCATCATTGGACCATTCCTGTGGGGGAGTGGCGGAGAATCTGGGGTGAGCAATCCCCAATCCCCCAGACCAAGGATATCGTTGTTGGCTGGGAGGTATAACATCCTCCATACTCTGGACCAGCCTGGTTATCAACAATTTTACACTATCTATACACTCAACTTGATTCATGGCCGGAAATGCTCATGATGGGTCTAACCCACCACCAAAACCTCCAGCAATGCATGTTGAGGGCACAGGAATCCCTTCCAACACGGATAAAATCCACGATGGTGATGCAGCACTAGCCTTGTTCGATAATCTGGCAGATATGCATGATACCTTTGAGCCTGCGGAAGAAAAGAAACTCATTCGCAAAATTGATCTCATGATCCTGCCATTTTTGGCGGTATGTTATGCATTCTACTATGTACGATTTCCTCTGACCAAAAGTTAAATGGACCGGACCGGGCTAACCAGACAGATTGACAAAACAACGCTCTCCTATGCAGCTATCTTTGGCATCGAAGAAGATCTGAACCTTTCCGGCGATGAATATTCCTGGCTATCAAGTGTTTTCTACTTTGGCTTTCTTTTCTGGTCGCTACCAACAAACCTTTTGATGCAACGATTCCCAGTTGGCAAGTATTTGGGCATCAATATTTTTCTTTGGGGATTTTTCCTCATGCTGCAGGGTAAAATCCCATCCTTCAAATCTCAACTGTTCAATAGCTCACATTTATCCCTCAGCTGCTGCAAAGAACTTCACACAACTAGCCGTGCTACGTGTCATCTCAGGCGCCGCTGAAGCATGCAGGTCAGATTAGTGTCCCTCTACTTTACAAGAGCAATTGGACTGACCTTACTAGTGATCCCGCCTTCATGCTCATAACGAGCATGTGGTATACTCGACGAGAGCAACCGATTCGAATTGGGCTGTGGTACACGGCCAATGGCTTCGGTATAGCCATCGGTGGCTTGCTAGGATATGGAATTGGTCAAATCAAAGGCTCTCTTCCGTCTTGGAAATACGAATTTCTCATTATTGGAGCTTTTTGCTGTACTTGGGGAATTTTGCTGTTCATATTTCTTCCCGACTCCCCAGTGACAGCACCTCAACTGTCAGACCGGGAAAAGAGACTTGCAGTTGAGCGACTACGCGACAACCAGACAGGTATCGAAAATAAGAATCTCAAACCTCGACAGATCCTCGAAGCTATTTTGGATTGGAAAGTGTGGGTCTTCTTTCTACTTGGCTTCTCAGGTAACATTCCAAACGGTGGTATATCTAATTTTGGAACGATCATCATTCATGGTTTTGGCTTCTCCACCTGTAAATAATACTCATTCATTGCAAACCTGAACAGTGCTAACATCATCGCAGTGGTCACTTCGCTAATGCAGATTCCATATGGTGCATTCATTTCTGTGATGATTCTTGTGGCAGTCTTCGTCAATGATCGGCTGCCTCGCAACAGCAGATGTATTGTGGCTATTGTATTCCTGCTTCCAAATCTGGCGGGCTCATTTGGTCTACACTATCTCCCATCGTCAAATCAGGTTGGCAGGTTGATTTGTTACTATCTGACAGGTTCCTACAACGCCTCGTTTGTGATCATCCTTTCCATCCTCACGGGTAATATAGCTGGCCACACTAAAAAGGTTATCACAAACGCGATGATATTCCTCGGAGTTTGTGCAGGCAATATTTCTGGGCCATTCTTTTACAAGTCGAGCCAAGCCCCCGGTTATTCCCTGGGTATCTGGTCGATGATTGTTGCCAATTTTGTCGAGATTGCCCTGATTGTGGTACTGGGCCTTGGACTGGCATGGGAGAATCGACGTCGCGATAGGGCCCAAGGTATTTCTCCAGGTGATGAAGCAGACTATACGCGGGAACTTGAGCTGGATCGATCCGCGTTCAGTGATCTTACAGACAAGGAGAATCTCAACTTTAGATATCTATACTGAGTACATAATGACCCGAGAGAGCTATATGAGAACAGTGAAATGTCAAGAGTCAAGCCATTGTACATTTTGATCCTAAATACTAGAAATTTTAAATTCATCCCTATACATCAGTAACATAACTAGCGATGACGATACCCTCGGTAGATCATCCCTCCGACCAAATAAGCAAACATTCTCTCTTCCTGCACTGCTACTCGACTGCTCTGATCCCCCACTCGTGTGCATTCAAACTAGTGTTCTTCCACCAATAATTCAAATCCTGTAGTCGCGCGTGGGGGGCACATCGGATATCAGGCTGATTTCCACCCCGGACTTCTCCCGAGACTTCTCCCGCGTGGGGAACGTGGGGTGCAATATGGGGGCATCAATGATTGATGCGAGTTCATAAATGATACCCCGCTCTCTCCATAGCTTCGAAAGCTTTCTGATTCAAGTTTGAATATTTTGCATTTCACTTTTCTTCGCAATCATGGTCAAAATCAAGTCGATTGAATACTTCCGCGTAAAGCCTCGCTGGCTGTTCGTCAAGGTTACCGACGAAGAAGGTCAATTTGGTTGGGGTGAAGGTACACTTGAGGGTCACTCACTAGCTGTTGAGGGAGCTCTTGAGGAGATCATCACTCGGATTATTGGCTATGAAGCAGAGTTCGTCGCATCAATTCCATAACGTAAATTCTTGCTGACAGTTTGAATAGTGACATCGAACACATTTGGCAAACGATATGGCGTCTGGGCTTCTACCGCGGCGGTCCGGTCTTCATGTCTGCCATGTCTGGTATTGATATCGCACTCTGGGATTTGAAGGGCCGTCGATTGGGTGTTCCGGTGTACCAGCTGCTTGGTGGAAAGGTCCGCAGCAAGGTGCAGGTATACGCCTGGATTGGAGGAGACCGACCAAGTGATGTGGAGGCTGCAGCGTAAGCTTAACCTGGAGAAACATTGATACTTTTTGTTGCACTACTAACGAGTAATATCCAAACAGAAAGGCACGAATTGCTCAGGGCCTTAAATGCATTAAGATGAACGCGACCGAAGATGTCAACTGGCTTGACTCACCCGCCGTCCTACAATCCTGCGTCGAGCGTTTGAAGCAGGTCAAGGCACTTGGCCTTGATGCCGGATTAGATTTCCACGGTCGCTTGCACCGCCCAATGGCTAAGCAGCTGGCCAAGGCATTGGAGCCTTACCAGCCCCTTTTCATTGAAGAGCCCCTCCTATGCGAACACCCCGAGGCGATTAAGCAACTTTCCAACTCTACAACCATTCCAATTGCCTTCGGAGAGCGACTTTATACTCGATGGGATGTGAAGAGGTTCCTGGAGGATTCCTCTGTGGATGTTCTGCAGCCTGATATTGCTCACGCTGGTGGAATCTCAGAGACAAAGCGCATCGCCACATTAGCTGAAACTTATGATGTGGCTATCGCTCCTCATTGTCCCTTAGGACCAATTGCTCTCGCTGCTTCACTTCAGATTGCTGTCTCTACTCCCAACTTCGTCATTCAGGAGATGTCATTGGGTATGCACTATAACGTTGAAGCTGGTGATATTGATCTGAACAGCTACCTGATTGATAAGACTGTCTTTGATATTTCAGAAGGCTTTGTCGGAGCTCCAACCAAACCAGGTATTGGAATTGAGATTGATGAAGAGTTGGTGCGCCGTATTAGCAAGGAGTCTGAGCCCTGGCAGCCCAAGGAGTTCTTTGGACCTGACGGGTCAATTCGCGAGTGGTAACTGCTCAAGCACTAGAATAATCTACATCAGCATTTCGAAGGTAGTCAGTCATCTTATCAATATTATGGGATTTATCTATAAAACATCAAAGCTGGTTGTTCACTACTTAATGCGTCACTCGATCTTGTAAATGTTTTGATTCAATTCCGGACCAAAAAAAGTCAAATTTGAAAGTCCCCTGCTCATGGGTAATAGGAAATGCAATGGCTTTTCCGCGCTATTCTCCACATAAATTCATCATAGTATGTTCTAGGTATGAGTGTGGGCGGCGGGTTCCCCGCGTCTGCTGATGAAGCTTCAAGTGGGGTGAACGTGGGGGTACCCATGGACCCCTCAAGTATGCTACACACGATCGTGGGGTACGATATATATGATCGCATTATCCCCGTTCCACTGACAAGAACCTCCACGATTTCAAAACTAGCCCTTTGAACTCATTTTGAGGAGTTTCAGCAAATATGGATCTTTTCACTCTCACGGGGAGGACTGCCTTGGTTACGGGAGGTACCCGTGGAATTGGCCAGTCCATGGCCATTGCTTTAGCGGAAGCTGGGGCCGATATTGTTTTGGTTCAAGTGAGTGGATATTCATGGCTTTGAAAGACCTACTATGCCTGAAGCAATGGTCAAGAATCTACACCCTACTAACAAATCCACAGAGAGACACCAGTAACCAAGCGACGAAAGAGAAGATAGAAAGTTTGGGCCGAAAAGCAAGCATATACACAGCAGACCTCTCATCGAAGGACTCAGTTTCAACTCTTGTCTCTACTGTCCTCGCAGATGGACATGATATCAACATTCTCATCAATTGTGCGGGCATTCAGCGGCGACATCCGAGCCATATTTTCCCAACCGAAGACTGGGATGAGGTATGGCTTCTATGAGAACTTGAACCGGCTGTAACAATATTTAACAGTGTGTCCAGGTTTTGCAAGTCAACCTATCCACAGTCTTCACTCTTTGTCGCGACGTCGGCGCATATATGCTTACTCGCACCCCCAATGGATCGGGTCAGCGTGGGAGCATCATTAATGTCGCCTCCCTCGTATCATTCCAGGGTGGACTTACAGTGCCGGCATACGCAGCTGCGAAGGGTGGCGTAGCTCAGCTCACCAAGGCGCTATCAAACGAGTGGGCTTCCAAGGGTATTAACGTCAACGCGATTGCCCCGGGCTATGTGGCGACGGATATGAACACGGCCTTGATTCAGGACAAAGATCGTGCGGCAAGTATCTTGGCACGCATACCGGCAGGGCGATGGGGTGACCCAGATGACTTCAAAGGCTCCATTATATACTTGGCTAGTCGAGCTAGTGCATATGTTAGTGGAGAGGTCTTGACAGTAGATGGAGGCTGGATGGGTCGTTAAAATAATTATGGTAGAAGCCGACATCTTGGGAAGTGATGCTTGTGTTGATTTTCACAAGCTTGGAGCTCATATGTGGCATGGGCAGATATCTATACGGTATATACTATTTGCAAGTGCTCAGGTGGTTGCCTAGTACCTTATGTTTCAAGTCATGATTTTATAAGTACATATATGGATACCTGCGCTAGGCAATACTCTTTAGATTATTCCAAGGTTGTTCTTAGAAAGTACTCTTTTTCCTACGCCTACAGTAATCTTTAATAAGAGGTACATCATGTACCTGAATGATGGCCCTGTAGAGGAGCTCACAGCTGAACATTCATTGATAATTTCTCCGATGTATGTACATTTAACAGTAAGGCCGAGGTAGATTACTTCAATGGATGGTAGTGTTCTCTCACCTTGGAAAATCTTTGCAGTCCGCAACATATCAACTCTGCAGCCAACTTCTTCCCTTAACAACACAAACGCGCTCCATCAAACCTCTCTCATCTCAGGTGCCTTTATTAGTCAATATGTTGCCAAAATCCCTGCAAGGTAGCTATACTCGCTACAAGGATGATACAAACAGCCTAGCAACCTGGCTTCTCGAAGCCGCTAACAAGTGTGGTTATCAACCCGATGACCTTGCCTCCACCGCCCCTCCGCTAAACTCCAAAGAGAGCAAGGACAAGAACAGAAAAAAGCAAGAAAACGTCTCCTCAAATCCAGTTCAATACAAAACCACAGTCAAGAACCTCCAAGTCCTCGCCGATGTCGTTGCCAAATCTTCCCTCACCGTGCCTAGACCCATTATCGCCATCGCCAAACGAGCTATAAAACTGAGAAAACACGTTACTTCTTGGTTTCTTGGAAAGGGAGACACCGAAGAAAATGAACGGCATGCACACTTTGTCTCTGCGTTAGAACGGGTCTGCGAGACGCTGGAATGGAAGGCTAGCAAATTTCCCAAGCCTGATGCCAAGCAGCCTCGTCAAACTGCTGACTCCAAAGATCATGATGCGGACATTGGCACATTCTTGAACAGATTTGCTGTTCTTACCGTTGAAGAACCCAGCGAAGCACATACATCTGAACAGGAGCAGATAGTTACATCCAAACCACAGAAGGTCGTCAAGGTGGAGCTCATGGAGAACGATGAGGATGAGGCAGAGAATTATGAAGATTATGTGTTTTTCAAAGCGCTCTGTTTGTTCCAGGATTTACAAAACATGCGTGGCTTCATTTCCGATACCTGGTCAGAATATCGAGATAAGAAAATCGATCTCATGAATGCTGCCCTGGTGACTGATGGCGCGTTAAAACTCGCAAAAAGCTTGGTACAGGAGGTGTTAGAAGCCTGGGATGCTTCCCCTCTTTCGTCAGTATGGAATATTCAACAATTCTTTTTCCATAAGGCCTGTGACGCCCGGGATATCCGCCCACCTCTATCTGATGATTTTTCGAGCAACAAAGATGTGGCCGATCTAGCTGATTTGTCATATCTTCCAACATGGCTTATCTTGCGTTCGTTCTCTCATACGTTGAAATGGACTGAAATACTCGCGATGAAGAAGGGCTATTTTGGTGTTCACAATCCTAAAGCAAATAGAGAAGTGATGTCTCCACGTCAAAAATCCAATGAGGACAGTTTTCTTCTTCTAGAATTCCTCTTGGAGTTTCGCATGATCTATCCGTCTTTTCTTCGTTGCCCTTTTGTGGATTCAATTACTGGAGGGTTGATTGAGTTTTTCCGAACCAAAAAGATTAACACTTGGCTTTGTTTCGCCTCCCAGATTTATCTTGATATTTATCATCTCATGCGGCACAGTACTCTAAGTGCATTTGATGACCTCCGAATGTCGGGACTACGCATCAAAAAAGTGGTTGAAGACTACTTCAAGTTTTGCAAGACACACCCAGAACTAAAGTTCTGGACCAAAGAGAGCGATGAACCAATCCAGGCGCTCAACAACGCAGTGCATACATTAGTAGACAAAGATCAACTCTTCGAAATTCTCTGTTCTGACTTCCCAGAGAAAGGACCGTTCGAAAAACATGCCTTTATTTCTCGAAGTCCTGTTATGTGCGGGTTGAGCTCTTTTTTCCTCAATACCTGGATGCAAGATCTTGGTCAGAGACTTGTCAACTCGCGGTACGATGTTCGGTCCCTGGCATTCTTGTACAATCTTGTTAACGCACAAAGCCACAAGAGCACCAAGTGGCCTGATATGGAGACATTCATCAAGATTCATGGCGAGTCTCATATATTCGTTGGGTCTCGCCCCAAGAATGCCTCTGAGTCATCGAAACAATTCAATCTGGCTACCGGTGAATTCTCAGCTGCTAGGTTTGCCCGCGATGCCCGCAACAGGCCACACCTTGGACCTGATCGCAAGGATTCCATACCACTTAAACGAACAACGACAATTACAGAAATCCTCGAAACGCAATATCTTCAACGTTCCGGTGAAAGTGGCGATATCGGAAACATTGAGAAGGTTCTGGATAAGCTTTCACAGGAACTTTCTTCCAAATCCAGCGGCATAGGGCTTCAGTCATCCAACTCGCAAGTAATGTTTCAACGGAAAGGCTCTCATGCTCACAAAATCGATGCACTGCAAATTTTTGCTCTCATGAAGAGCAGATTGGCTGAGGAAGAACCCATGGTTCTGTTCAACTATTTTGGCATGCACCAACGATGTATTGAGATCCTGAGATTGATCCAAGGAAAAGAGCATCAAGAGTTCCTACGGCATTTCGACTCTCCCTCTTCGTATATGCACTTTTGTGATGGCCCGTCAATCTCAAGCATTGCGCTGCTGGTTCTGCAGATTGCGGAAGCCACAGATGAGAGTCTCAAATTGCTGAGATTTGTACCCCCAGTAAGCAGTGACAGCTATTTTGCTTGTCGACTTGTCATAAGCTGTGGGGAAGTGATGAAGGAATATCTTCAACGGAATGGGGATGTGGCATGCAAAGAGCTAAGGGTCTTTTGCAAGAACAAGAAACCATTCTATGATGCGATTGATTACGATAAGGAGAGTTCAGACACAGATGACTTTATCTGTGTTGATATTGAAAAGACTATGGACCCAAAGACTCTTGCCTCGCTAGAGACTGGAATTCCAGTGGCGTAGGGCGATGGAGAACTTGAGCTTAACCATGGGATTGAGGGAAACCCGCAACCCTACGAGACTCATCAAAGAACTGCCGCAGATTCAATGTAGAGACAAAGTTCAATGGGACGGGCGTATGGATGATGTAGGCATACATTATTGCTTTTGGACAGTCGAGGGGCCTTCCAAGGTTCTATTTCAGGTTAACCATTTCAAGTCAATTCATTATTGTGTAAGAAAATAGGTATGTACATATCTATTTGTTTTCACTTTATCTTTTCTTCCATATCCGAAGCCTTTCAACGGAGACATCTTTCGGAGACAATCTGTCACATTCGCAATTCCAAATTCCACATTCTATTATTTGCATAGTGAGTTCAACTTAAATATTGTTCCTTCACGAAATCCTCAACCTGCATGTCCTGAGGCTGGCAACTGGGTTAACTTGAACACTCGCTTGTCACATCATCACGACTTGGAGACTGCCCAAGTGATATAAGAAATACTAGTAAAGTGTCCAGAACTGACTCGCTACCTAATATGAGGGACTTGGGGCCTGGGGCTTCCCAAATTTCTCGTCTCGTCGATTAGAGAAATATCCTTGGTCGGTTTAGTGGGTCGACTTTGGGCCAAACAACTATCCAAGTCGGCTCCACATGCTCACTCACTACTAACAGTTCCTGCTCTCATGCAGTTTGGTTACATATCTTATTTTATATATTAATGAAATTTATGCACTGAATCAGTGAAGCAGACTTGTTAGCACGTTGTGTGGACCGGTTGGGTAAATCAAGTCTTTCGACATCAAAGCGAAGGGTGAACTGCGATCTGATGAGGTTCAAATGCGCTAATAAGAAGATGAATTTGAGGATCTACAAACTAGCTTGATTTCCCCATGGCACGCATCTCCATGTGGGCCACTTTGAGGGCTTGATGCCGATAGCAGAACGAGATCAAGCTATAGTCTCGTCATGATCGGATGATGTCTTTATCGCTATGAAGTGGAAATTGCCATTCGCCCGATAGATAGATACGACGATCATCCACTCCTACTACATAGGATTGATCTAGCCAACAATTCACCATTTCACATGTACCATGGAAGTTGATCAATATGCCTTGCATGGCGTGATGCTCATGTATGATGTCTCAGACCATGTGCACTTGTGTGGGGAATCGGCATCACTCTGAGATGCAAAATGCCGACCCCAACTAGCTATAATCACGAAATTGGCCAATAAATCAGTGATGTGGAGAAGTTCCCCATCTTTTCCAGGGTTCTTCAGCGGGGATTATTCGCGGTTCGCCTGATTGATGGTTGAACCACTCGGCCATTTCGCCAAACCCGGCGATTTCAACGGGGATCGACGGATCGACGATCGGTACCAGTTCCTCAAGTCCCTGACCCGAAAATTCAATTAGACATTTTCTCCAATGATATTTATGGGAACTCTCATGTTTCAAGGCCAGATATGACTGGTCCCGGGGTACATTCCTGATGCGTCTATCAGCTCCACAGTTCAAGGGGCCTGGACAGTGTTATCTCCCCTACTCCATCCACATGGGCCATTGCGATAGTGTGTCCTCCAGGTGAACCAAGCTTTTGAATGTGGAGCTTCTTAATTTCAGTGACTACTTTTTAATACCAATTATGGAGAACGGCACTGCCGAGGATCAACAATTCACGCACGTTTTCCATAGCTTACCCAGGGGAAGCGCTCCAAACCAGGCCTTGGATCTACGGTTGATCGCCAATTAGTCTATTTTTACAGACGCTGCTTGATATCATGTTCCTTTGGACAAACCAAGACTTGCCGATCTGGAAATCGAGATGTCTGTTCACGATGGGCCATTGCACAATTTTGTCTCAAAACTTGGAGAAGTGATGTGCTCCACTGTTCCTGAAGATAAGCAACATGGTGGCGACTCCATCGGCAGTGCTACAGATAGGCAAAGCTCACAATACGAAGTATACGATAAGATGCAAATCTATTGCCTTTGATGATGAAAGTCCATCTCGCTCTTGACAAGATATAAAAACCCCCTCCAGCCCATCCAGAATCTCTCATCATCAACCAGAATCAATCCGCTTCAGACTCACTACAATCTTTACTACTTTTTCCCTTCTTACTTCATAATGAAGGTCACTCCGAGTCTTTCTCTCGCTCTCGCCCTAGCGGGCTCTGCTATGGGCGCCCCTTTCAATGGCTCCTATGTCTTTCCCTCTTCCTCTGGGCTTCCCGCCCCTTCGCGCACTCCTAGTGGCACTCCCAGTGGTGTCGCCGCAGCTGCTTCAAGTGATGCTGCATTCCCAGACTCCTTTGCCTCATCTGGAGCCAGCCAGGCCGGACCGACTGGCAAAGCCTTTGGCTCAACCCCAGTTTCTGTGATCCCTGATCATGCGAAGCGCAGTGGATCTCTGACCATTCCCACTGATCTTTCCTCTCTTGGTTCTGATGTCGAGTCTGCCATCAGCTCGCTCCTTTCCGCTCGTGCTCAGAAGCGTGGTTCCGTCTCTCTCTCCACTGATCTTTCTTCCCTTGGCTCTGATATCGAATCGGCCATTGGGGCTCTTTCTTCTGCTGGTGCTCAGAAGCGAGACGGGTCCATTGCAATCCCCACTGATTTGTCCTCTCTGGGTTCAGACGTTGAGTCTGCCATCAGCTCACTCCTTTCCGCTCGTGCCCAGAAGCGAGACGGATCTATTGCAATCCCCACTGATTTGTCCTCTCTGGGTTCAGATGTTGAGTCCGCTATCGGCGCCCTTGCTTCAGCCGTTGTCAAGAAGCGTGGTTTCACAACCAAGGCTGTGCCCACTCCCTCTCCTTCTGCTTCTCCCGCTGACAGGTCATCCGCTGCGCCCTCCGATGTTCACTCTGAAGCTGCCAGAGATAGCCCGAGCGGTACACCCCCGGCTGGTTCGGGCTTGCCGCTGGCTTCCGAGAGCGCTACTCCCTCTGCTACTAAGGCTCAGGCCTCTCCTTCTGGTCTCTCCCTCTTTGGTATTCCGTTGACTTAAATCTGCCTTACTGGATAATCAAGGATACTCAGCTCCTATACTGAGCTACTGAGCTACTGAGCTGGGTTCTTGTAGTTCGAATTTCTGTTTTTCACTGTATGTATTTTGACTGACCCATGTCTCTCATTTCAACTGATGAGTTTTGTTTGCCCTTTGTCTTTCATTTATGCTTCTTAAATCGAATACGAGAATGTACCTATATTATTGGATTATAGCTGGCGTTTTGAATATAGTTTTCTTGAAATCTTAAACCTCTGACTTCCCAAAATAAGAATTACTAAAATGGAATTGGGATGAGCTCACTAGATGGTGAACTCCTACTATGGCATCAGTCGTTGAAGGATAAATAGAAATTGATTTCTCTACGAGTATTATAGATACAGGTACTGAAATTGTTGTGCAAATCAGCTTGCAAATATATCGATTTAAATAAATTAGAATTATAAAGCTAAGCGTCTTGAAATCGTTTCATCGGGCCATAGCTCGAAGTCCAAGCTCGCAGCGGGCGGCCACAATAGTACAAAGGAATAGCGAATAGAACGCTAACAACTTGAATCGCTGTCATTTCTCCAAAGACAGCAACAGTACCTTGTCGTGTAATCCAATCGCTCGCATAGAGAGACAAGAGCATACCAATGGTATTGCGAATGACGAAGATGATGACCAGGGCCTCACCGGTGACCTAGTAAAAATTAGTCTACGATCAACAAGCTAGCGTGTACAAGCTATCACTCACTGGCTTATAAGAGTCGAGGGAGTATGTTACCGCCACGTTGGAGATAGCAGCCACCCCAAACGCTTGCATAGCATATCCGATCGCCGGTCCAATCCAGTGTGTCTGGTGCGCAATACAGAGTCCAAAGATGAGAATACCCGCAGGGCCGATTGTACCGGGGACTATAATGGCGGGTAAACGGTACTCTGGCATGCGGACTCCTCCGTGCTTAATCGTACTTCGATTCGAGATAATATCGATCAAGCGTCCACCCAGGTAGAAGGCAAAAAGACATCCAATAAACCCGGAGATGGATAACAGTCCAAGATCACCAAGCTCCCAGCTGTAAGGTGGCTTGAGGAAAGTGCGAGAAGATGTCAGCTGGACGACGATATTCCTAAGCGGTTGTCAGTTAACAAGTACATATTAGCTCCACGGGCATCTCGAGAATAACGAACCATCCAACTGAGATACCAATGGTGAGGGAACACCATATCAGTGGTGGATAAGCGGCAGAAGCGAGGATATCCAAAAATGCTTGGAGAAACGACGCATCCCGATTGAATCCAATTGTTAAAGACATCCACTGCAACTGCGATCGTTTCTGTCCAACATTGCGCTTGACGTATGACGTCTCTCGAATAGTGAAAATGGCGACCATCCAGACAACACCAACAGCAATAGCTAGGAAGTAGCACATCCAACGCCAGTTCTGCTGTTGTACTAGGTATGCATTAATTAAAGGCCCGACAAACAAACCTGCTGTCATAGCCAGGTGGAAAAACATCATATAATGACCCCGATCCTTAGCTGGGACCATATCAGCCACCACGGCTGGCACGGTGGCATCTGCTGCTGCTGCTGCAAAGCCCGAGACAATGCGCGATGCAAGAAGTTCCCCATAGCTGGTGCATTGGCTTGACCAGATGTTTATCATGCAGAGTAGCAGCATGGCGATTAGATAGACTGGGCGTTTTCCGGTAACGCGCATTAGGGGGACCCAGAAGATATTTCCAACTCCGAATAAGAATACATTGAAACACACGAGTTGTCCGGCCTTAGTCTGGCTTACACCAAACTCTTTTATCACGGCTGAGGTGGCGACCGTGAAGTTACTCGAGTTCACATTGGCTAGAAATGTGAACGAACAGATGGTAAGGTAGGTGGAGAGCTTGGCTAACAGAGACCAATTCTACCAAATCAATTAGTATCATTGCGTCATAAGCTGCAGTCACTGGATTGATGTGTTTACCTGAGGATTGTTCACATCTTCGTCTTCAATAGCCGATTTCAAATCTTCTACCGGAGGGCCGTGCTCATCGGCCAAATTCTCCTGATGAGTGAAGCCGCGATATGACTTTGATTCTTCGCCAGTGTCAGCCATATTGTATCAGGCTCGGATGGCCACCAAGAAAGACTTTTAACTCCCTCGTGAAATTTATAAAAAATGATGGATGTTGGGATTGGGGAGGGGGAGACGAGACCTTATCTAGTCACCAAACCTACCCCAGCAAGTTCTTCCCCGCAATTCCACTCCTTTGCAATATCGGATTCCTTCCAAGAGCCTGTTCAACTTTGGAAGGGTCCCATTGGATCTCAAGGGAAGGGCATGCTCGGCAATTCCGAGTAAGGTGGCTAAGTGGAGTTTTTTTGTCTCCACAGCCTTGTGTTTCTGTTAAGCGTGCATTCGGGATATGGATTTTGATCCAGAGCTGACAGAGCCAAGATTTAGACACTCGGCATTTAAATTGAATCCTTGTTTCTCATGTTCTCGGTAGCTAACATCCTCATACTCGGTATATCCAGAGAAAAGAAATGAAATCTTCCTGGTTCAGTCTCTTGGCTCGGGATTCCCGATTTTCACCTGATGCGGCGATCTTCTCTCACAATGGATATCTGGACATCCTGAGCACATTCCTACACAATCAATCTTCAGATATTTCACAGTTGAATCAATTGAAACGTTTGAAAATGAAAACATTAGACAATTTGAGGACTTCCTCAACCAGGACAACCATGGAAAATGGATAACTCTATCTAAATATAGATTTAGCTTATATCCAGCTCCAGATGTCTCCTCGAACTTATAACACCAATCAATATTTGAATTCTTAATAAGTAGTCGTCTAGCCAAATTAATGTTAATGGGACTTGGAATACTATTTTCAATGCTCTAGCCCTGGAGGCAACTTATAGGTTAGACATAGGGATAGGAACAATCACTTCTGTGGCAGTCCACGGGTGTATGTCAATTTAGGCATCACCCTCCTATGATCTTTCAATCTTCATAGGTTAGCTATACTTGAAATCATGTAATTTTTATTGAAATTTTGATGGTAGGGAAGAGAGGCTGAATCGATTGGTTCTGAAGGTATATCTTCAGACATCTGGATAGCCGTATAAGAAGTAAGCTTAAGCTTGAAGACATTTTCAAGGGCAATAGAAAGGGAGTAGTTATAGATGGTAAGGTAGGTAAAGGAGGCAGAAATTATGAGACGCGAAACTGGAGGAGAAAGAGAACCTTAGAAGAGGGTGAGGTTGTAGATTATATCATGATGACAATAGGTCTCGCACAGCTAAAAGAAAGAGTAGTATATTAGGCTCAAAATAGCTAAATATCAACTTGAATAATCTTTGCAGTGTATCAAATCCAGATATTTTCTTCAAATCCTACTAGTAACTCCCCTCTAGAGCTTTTGACTTAAAATAGTATAATTACCCTAGTAGATATAGGCCACTACTAGCTGTTCGGTACACATTGGCATGTGTATCACCAAGTAGAAGATTAGATGTTTACCACTACTTAACATTTTCTTTACATATGGAGAGCTTAATTTGAAAAAATGTGCCTAGTAAATCTACAAGTTAGTTGTGATTTATGTTAATAATTTCAGACGAAAATACTAGGCATAGATCGGATCTATATTTCCGCCTAGTATGAGGTTCAATTTTAAGCTAGGATTCCAATTAGTAGTAACTTTTGAACAGTGCATAATATTAAACAGCAAACCATCAATCACATATAGAGATAAAGTTGAATGAGATTTCAAAGAATCATTGTAACCTTGGAAGCTTATGAAACAAAAGGCATTGAAGTTGTGAAGTTACAAAGTACCCGCGGGGAGCTCTCGTGAGTCGTAACAAGGAAACTTCCGTTGCCGCCTTCTCTTTCTCCGCAAAACTCCAATTCATCTCCAACTCATCTCCCCCCCTCTCATATCACCCACCTCCCTTCTCCAGACTCGGAAAACACCGGAAAACCTTAGAAGCCATGGGTCTGATCAAGCGCTTCTTGAAGATTACCGCTGCTGGCAGCGTAGCCACGGTCGGTGTCTTCTGGGGTGCCACGCGCAATGACGTCTTTGAGCCGATGGACGCCTCCGATCCGATCTTCCAATCCCCCTTCTACAAGAAGTACAACCCCGAACAAAACCCTTCGCTGCATGACCTCTGTGTCCGTCGTATTCCTCTCGACAAGATCAAGCCCGAGCTCCTGGAGAAGAAGGGCAAGCTGACTGAGGCCTTCTGTGCTGGTGTCTGGGGTGGCATGGGTAAGTTCAATGCACTTTGATCCGATCGCGTCGCGTGCATTGTCTAACTGGTTTGGCGATAATCACAGGTTACATTGCCCAGCGTGCCTACTTTGCAAACAAATTTCAGGGTCCCGAGACTGCTACTCACCTCTGGGAACGTAAGGACCTTCTTGCCAACACCTACGAGGTCGGCACTTTGATTACCGATCACTTCGAGGTCCTGGAGAAGACCGAAGACTGCATTACTGTTCGCTGTGGTGATACCCCCCGCAACCCCGATATTCGTCCCTCCGATGGCCTCTTTGAGATGGGTGCGGTGATTAAACAGGAGGAAGGTGTGGCTGAGTTTACTCTGAAGAGCTGCTTCTACCAGGGTCTCGGCAAGGCCGACGCGGCTCCTATGGGTCCTGTCATTACCTGGTTGCACCAGCAATACACCAAGTTGTGGATGGAGACTGCTATTCTGAAGAACTGTGTGCGGTAAAGTGTTGCACACATGCATGTATGAGTTGTTGAAACTTGTGGATCGGCGCGAAAGAAACCCGCCTGTAAATATCTTAATGGTCTACGAATAAAGGAATACATGTTCTGAGTTGAAAGCCGAAGAAGCCCATTCTGTTAATGCATAGGTGAATATTATGATATCATCGGTTTATATTAATTGTATGCGTTGATTGAAAAAGCCGACCGTGCTTTATTCGCGGCACCAAGTTCAATTAATATTCCTTCAACTCAGCAGTTGGCTTGTCCGAGGAAGGAGAAATGAGATCATTTGCCGCAACTACAGAGTCGGTATCGCTGTCACTAGTAAATGTGACAGCCAGGACTGCAGGAATCGCAATAACCAGAGATCCCATGCACATTCCCCAATCCATGGCAAACTGAGTCATAGCAGGTTTGCCCAACGCGTTGATGCGCCAGGCCATAGCACCACCAGCACTCTGGAAAGTCTTGTATGCACCGACTAGGATTGCCGTCACAGCTGGCGAGTTGGAGCGAGCGCCCACTAGCCAGTAGCAGAAAGACTGCCAAAATGCATCGTATGCACCATAGAAGATGTAGAGGAACATCGGCCCAATGGAAGTAGGGCTATCGGTGTAATCGATATCCTGTTTAAGACCCTGCGCCATACGAGCAGAAGACCATTTCTGGAAAGCGTATCCACCACCCCAGATGGCCATCCCGGTCGCAAAGAGGAAGACCCATGCAACGCGGGCGCGAATAGGACGGCTGAGTCCGGGGAGGTCGAGAATAAGGCCGATGACCAGTCCACCAAGCATCTGAGCAATCCAGTACAGGGCACCATTGAGAGACCGAGAACGGATATCAAAAGTCATGCCGTTGACCACATTTTGCTGGTAGGAGTAGAAGACATTGGCCGAGTAGAAGAGCGGTAGCATGCACAGGACACGCCAATCCACGATTGTTCGGATTGAGAGGCGGAGTGTCTCCTTCCAAGTGCTTTGTTTCGGAGGAGTAGATTGTAGCTGGGCAACCCGTACTGATGCTGGGGGACAGATAAATACACCGAGTAACCAACCAATACCCATAAGAATCAAGAGAGCAATGTAAGTACCATCGGAGACTGTTCCACTTGTCGAGTTGTAGTTCAATCCAAAACTGGCAAGAGAGCCAACACCACCGCCAAGGTTGAAGATAACCCAGAATACCGCAATGGCGCGTCCTTTTTGTGATTCGGGCACATAAGTCGTCATTATAGCACCTTGAGCGACCCATAAAAAGGATGCACCCACACCGAGGATAGCGCCGGAGGCGATGACGAATGCTCCATTGTTTGTTGCTATTGCAGGGAAACAAACCCCAGGTTAGCCATTTGGGCCATGAAGAATTGAGTGATAGATGCATGCAAACATACAGTTAAAGCACAGGAGACTCCCCGAATACAAGGGATATGCCCAACCTCCGAGGAGGAGACAGACTCGGGGACCAACGCGGTTGAAAATTGGACCAACAATAAATAGTGCCGTGGCTGCAGTTGCTGCTAAGAGAGCGACGGTCGCATTTGCAGCAACAGTTTGATTCACTTGTCCGGAGCCTCCAAGTCCAGTGAGCGCATTGTACATCTAATGTGTGGGAAAAAATTGCATAATTAGTCTCCTGATGTGGGGATTGCCGAACGTGAAGAAAGCAAACTTACACCAGGACAACAGAAGCAAATAAAACTGATTAATAGGATCTGGAACCAGCTATTGGTATAGATCTGGTACACGCTTGTCTTCTTCTGTTCTTGGTTTTCCACAACCATAGTCTCTTCGGTCCTCGTTTCGGCCTCCATGATGATTGTAAAAGACGCGATCAACAACCTCCAACGTCCGTCTGTCCAAGAAAAGAAAGAGAATTAAGAGTAATTTAAGAAATTCGATCAGTCCGGGGCACCCCTCATGAAATACGAGGCGGGTACAGAGTTCTGTTATGTTTGTGACCCTGTTAATGCAAATCCCTGGATTCCAAACACGCGCAGTGGTATCTGGTGTGGAGCAGGTCGATCAAGCACGGGCATGGACATCTCATGACAGGCGTTAGGATCGGACTGCCTGAGATAGATATCTGCAACGTGAATAAATTCATTATAACCTTCAAGTTGCGGAGAGAAGCGCTTCTCTTGTTCCATATCGAGTAATCGCTGGGGAAGATGATTCTCCACACGTTATCGCGTGGGATGAAGAGCCAACCGCGGTTCGGTACCATTAGATACCAGATACCACCACGATCCTCGTTACGACTCTGGCTCGTAACGTGGGGATGGAGATTTTATGTTAGCCATCGGCATTTCTCCGAACAAAGAGGGTGATAATATGCGAATGTGTCAAAGTGTGTATATCATCGCCGAGTCATCGGTAGGAGACTAGGAGTAGTCTTGGGTCCGAGTCCTGGTTAGCGTCGGCTTTGCGAAATTAGCAATATGAACCATTTCTTTTCGATCTTCATTTAGTCACTTAGTCACTCATTCATCTCAAAAAGCTTCGCTCAATAATATTTGTGATACTGGTGACAATCGCGCGAAAATGGATCTCAGTAGCTTGAGCAAGCTACAGACCGAAGGGGTCAACCCCCGCACAACCAATATTGATCAAATGTCGACATTGGAAATGTGTGCTGTGATCAACGGAGATGACCACCTGGTAGCGGAGAGCATTATACCATGTCTACCAGTGATTGCTGGCGCGATCGATGATTTGGCGTCGCGTGTTCGCAAAGGGGGACGAGTGGTCTATGTTGGGGCTGGTACAAGTGGAAGGTTAGTGGAAATGCATATCCCTAGTGGAAGAAAATAACCAACCAAGTATGAAGACTAGGGATCTTGGATGCTTCCGAAATTCCTCCCACATTTGCCGCTCCTCAATCTCAATTTATTGGTCTAATCGCTGGCGGAGATGAAGCAATTCGACAGGCTCAGGAAGGCGCCGAGGATAATGAACAGGCTGGACATGATGACTTGAACCGACTCAATCTTAATCCCGAGCTGGATAGTGTTATTGGTATCGCCAGTTCAGGACGCACGCCATATGTTCTCGGGTGTCTTGCTTTTGCTAAGAAGCTGAATTGTCTTACTATCGGTGTCGTATGCACATCGCCATCGGCCATGGCTCGGTCGGGAAATGTGGATTATTTGATTGCTCCTCTCCCTGGTCCCAGAAGTGGTTACTGGGAGTACTAGGCTCAAAGCTGGAACAGCCACAAAGATGGTTTTGAATATGCTGAGCACGGGTACCATGATTAAGTCTGGGAAGACTTATGGGAATATGGTGAGCATCATGCTTCTGGTCTGGAAGGACTATGACTAACATTGGATTTCATAGATGGTCGATATGGTGGCATCGAATCTGAAACTTGAGCAGCGATCTCGCAATATGCTTCGACGGCTTAGTGGAAAATGCAATGCGAGGTCGGACTCTGAACTGGATAGTCTTCTTTCTGAATCAAACGGCAGTGTTAAACTTGCAATCCTCGTTGCGGAGACCGGCGAATCCGTTCAGACGTGTCAGCAGTCCTTAGATTCAGCGGAGGGAATCCTTTCAAAAGCCTTGGCTGGGATATCTCAACCTAATCAGCCACATATACACGGCGAACGACAGTTCGTTCTGTGCATTGATGGGGGCGGCAGTAAATGTGCTGCCGTTGTGGCAGATAAATCTGGAGTTATGAGCTATGGCTCTGCTGGACCATGCAATCTGTAATCTCAACCTTTAATTCCCCCTGTTGATTCTGGTTAACGAGCTAACTAATTCCTAGGACGGACAATATTGAAAATATTGACGGAATACTGGCTACCTTGACACAAGCTACTCTAGATGCACTCAGAAAGCATTCTTCATGTGCCAACGAGGGGATAGTATCCAATGAGAGGAGTTATCTGCAATCATGCTTCCAATCAGTCTGGATTGGTCTAGCCGGCATGGATCGAGCCGGTCTGCATCATATCTTAGCACCAAGACTTGCCAAACTGTTCGGATTGGAGGAAAAACAGATGACATTCAAATTGACGAATGATGTGAACCTGCTGACTGCATTGGGATCGGCTGACGAAAGAAAGCCTTCAATTCTTGTCTTAATTGCAGGCACTGGCAGTGTGGCGATACGATACAATTGGAGCGATAACAAGAGCTACAATTGTGTTGCCCGAGCTGGCGGTTGGGGCCATTTATTGGGAGATGAAGGTGGCGGATATTCCATCGGCCTTGAAGCAGTTCGACACACTCTAGATATTCTAGAGCAACGGAAGTTGGGTCTTGGACCCAATAACTTGAGTGGATTTGATCAAGCTGTACTTGATAAGCTGGGTTGCTCTTTCGGGAATAATGATGACATCGACCTTTTAAGCGAGATTCTGTCGCAACGTGGCACGCAGAGTGCCAAGGCCCGTATAGCTGGTCTAGCTGAGACTGTGTCCGAGCTGGAGGATGAGAAAATAGCTCAAGCAATTATTGACCAGCAGGGGTCCGCCATTGTGAGTAAGACACTTGGTCGCCTTGTCGATCCCAGGTCAAGTGGCTATGTCGCGCCTGAGGAGACGGAGTTGGTATTGGTTGGTGGTTTATTTAAGAACAAGATATACCAGCAAAAGATCCAACAGATTCTTGCTCACAAAGGCTTGAAGTTTCGAGGAATTCAGGTGGTCTACAACGTTGCCGGGATGGTAGCGAAGTACATGGTGTCCCAACGCATTGACTAGCGTTAACGTCTGCCCCTCTATCATTCAAATATTCAATTTATCTTGATTGTAAGAACACCATAGAGAATAAAGTTGATATAGACAAATGTGCATTTAATCTCCCGTTTATCATAAATACTTTAAGTGACAATTAGTCGAATCAGATTAACCACCAGTCCGGGTCGGTCTCTGTGTGCCCATTTACCCTCTTATTCTACTTTTGCAACCAGACCTGTTGAGATGGGAACAGCCTCAATAACAGACTCCATCCCAGGACTTTGACTCCAGATGCCTTCAATCTTTAATCCAGCACTATGAAGCAAGTCCCGCCACTGTCCTTCCGACCGTTCAATTCCTGCACCGATACTCATCATCTGAATATCCAGAGAAGCCTGCATGAGAGGGGCATCTGTATCCGACAAGACAAAATCCACAATCAAAATTCGCGAATACTCGGGTGCCATAGCAGAGACTGTGTTGCGCAGGATCTGATGGCATATCTTATCAGACCAATCGTGAAAAATCGAACGGAAATAGTAAACCCGAGCTCCCTTGACAGGCTGCGGATCAAGAAAGCTGTAGGGCATCACTTCAATACTAGATCCAAAGTTGGACACATTTTTCACAACGGCGGGCAAATCTTGTAAGATCAATCGTCCAGGGATTTGACCATGAGTTTGCCGAAAATGATTCAGATCATGACCCTGGTTACCTCCAACGTCGACCAGGAAGACGGTGTCATCGCATGGAACTGCTGGACCGAGAAGTCTCTCCACCGGGTACATTTCGAACCATCTAGCCTTTCCTTGTCTCCGACTGGCCATGTATGAGTTGAACAAAGCTTGTTGTTCTCGATTGCGGGCTAACCATTCGAACTGACTGTGGCCAACGGTCCATTGCATTGGCGATTTTTCGTAGTCTTGAGGATTGTTATAACCGTGGACTCGGAGGTATTCGGGTAATTGGCTTAATGTGGGAACTGTGAGATCATATCTATTGATGCGTATTTTAGTGAATTTGTTCCAATAAAGCGGAGCAGAGCGAAAGAAGGAGAAATCTTACATGCATCGGACACCATCTCGGCCAATCGGCTGTGTCAGTGCAATGGTCTTCTCGTTGGCTCGGTATAGTGCGGGTGCTGGAGTTGCGCAAAGACCCAGAGAGGTCATAACACGCATCAATCGAACTATTCAATTGGATCAGTAATGAAGGTGGGGTAAGATAAGAAGATGAAGAAAATAGGGCACCTTACCGATCAAATCTTGGTCTGCAACAGTGTATTCTGCTAATTTTGCAGCAGATATACCTGTGTCCTTGTATTCCTCCCGGCTGATTATATGAAAGATTCCTAAATCGACAGCTGTCTTGAGAGCAGCGTTTTGAGGAGGCTAGTACTGATCAGTTTGAATAGAAAAATGACTACCAGGTTGATCAAGTACCTGATAGATGAGACGAAGCACCGTCTCGGTCGGTGTTTCTACTGCAAGCTTGAACTGGTCAATCATCTGCAGCAGCTCAAAGTGTGTCTGAGCAGACGGATTGATGGTATCCTGGAGAACAAGCTGGCCGAGATGGTTGACCATCGAATGTAAAGGTGTGGTGATCGTCATATTTGAAGGTGGATAATGAACAATATTGGGGAAACCAGCTTCCCAGGTGGGAATAAATTGCATGTAGTACTGACTCAGGCCAGGATGCAGCTTTTTCTCTCTCAAGTGACTTGAAATTTCTGGCTAAGTAATCTTATATACACCACGAGCCACGGGGCCATATTGTTACATCGTCAGACACAGCTCTCGGAGGGTAGTCTCCAAGCCACAAATAGTGAACTGTATTTACTGACTAGAGACATCCATTGGATCCTAAAGCAGCTTCGGGCCCAACCTGTCAGCAAGAAAAATGGGGTCTGCACTCAAAGTCCACTAAGACAGAGAATGTACATTGTTAGATTGGTTCGGGATTAAATTCTGCACACTGTGGCTTGGCCCCCATCCCTGTCGCATTAGCGCACATGTGCACGCAAGTACGGGGTACTTTTTGCGACAAAACGTAGGTAAAACATGCGACTCATGAGAGATATTTGCTTTAGATCCACCTATCATATTCTATGATTAAAACTTATCTACCCGAATACCTCAGCTTCAAGTTCTTAGTGAACCATTTTTGAAGGCGACGGCTTCGAATGTTCTATTTGAGGGCTGACTATATCGTACCTGAGAACCTTTTAGCAGTAAATGTTAAATCAGCTCAGCCACCGTGATTTCTTCAGTTCTAATTAACGATAAAGTTTATCATTTATCCCTTGACGTAATAAAATCTGCCATCTGCGCTCCTGGGAAGTGGCGTGGTATCGATCTTACTATCGCGTATAGCGCCCAGGTGGACCCAAACCAGCAAACTAGTATACATCGGGGAATAATTGAGCTCCGTGCTACAGGCCCTGAGATACTGATAAAAATGTATCAGGTCCTATATGTAGTACTGGTACATAAGTTATTTCTGCAGCCAAGTCAAGTTGCTTCGCATACAGATTAAAGCTGAAACTTGAATTCCTATTATCATGTCAGAATGAATACCAGTCAACTTTCTATAGCTGAATACTAATATAATGATCAATATTACCTCATTATGAAACTTGACGAAGAATGACACGCGAGATCAATGATTTCATAGCAGTCTCAGACTCGGAGTTGATCACCTGCCCAGGTGGAAATGAGAGATGATCTTCACTTTGAGTGTTACTTATTATACTTCAAAGTGGCAACACATAGACTCATTCAAGTTTTCCGCCTCAGAACTTGAACCTACTCTCTATGGTCCAAAAATGTTTCACCAGATCCGAATTAGTATGTCTCTACCTAAGCTTTAGTTCTGCATGTCGATTGGCCATCTATATCGACACATTTGTAGGACGCGTCTTCGTATGTCCTGGGTGGACAGCTAACGGTGTGTTGGGGTGTAATACACTCGTGCATAACATGCATAAACTGAATGTTTGGTGAAGTCATTTTCCTGGCTTATGCTCCAAATCGAAGCTTGAAGCTCTAATCCGCATCCAAGTATTCGGGAAGCATTCCAGTTACACGATTGTACCTCGATGATAAGATTGAACTTGGATTCGAAAATGCTCCACCGTAGCCAAGAGTTTTGTTTTGAATTACAGCATCAGATCATTATCCACCTCCCGAGGCCCACTAGGCAAGCTTCCCGTACGGAATACTCCGTGCCAGCGGTCGGGATCAGCAGAGACTTAGCGGGAAACACATCCTGTCGATCTCTTCAAAGTCGAGGGCGCTTGGAGCAGGGATCATACTGAGTACTTTGTGCTGTGATAAGCATTCAATGTTAGCCAAGGTGGAGTGATTTGAAGGATCGACATGCAGAATCCGGTCCAAAGGGAAGCATTCTTCGGCCGAACAAACAGCTGTGATCCCGAAGACAAAATGAAGACTTGGACCCACTGCAGATCTCCGTGCCTAGTACAGGTGTGCTGCAAAGTCGTTGGACTCGAATAAAATATAAAATCAGTTCCGCAGGATATCTGGTCAACTGGTTAGAACTTAGAGGCAATTTTGGTATCATGTCAACATTTGAATATCCGGGGTACCTAAGCCCCCGTTCCCGTTATCCGTCCCCGTTATCCGTCCCGGTTCAAATGTCACTAGATTTGAATGTTAGTTCAGGAGTAGAGTATACTAGATAAGATCAGAGATAGATCTTTGTTTTTTTTTCTTTCTTCTTTTTTGGTCGAATAGATCTCCTTATTAAGATCTATCTCCGATTCGTCACATTTATGGGTCGGTTCAAATTTCCGAGAAAAAGGAATGAAAAAGAACTAGAATGGTCGCTTGTATTTTCCGCCACTGTGGCCATCATAATTGGCATCTAGGCTCTTAGACTTAAGAGGTGGCGTTCCCGAAGCGCTGAACTTGAAGCTGAGCAGCTTTGATCCACAATTTTAGGAGATATGCTTTGCTTACGACGTGAATATCTTTCATTCGTGGCTATTGGGCAAGCTTGAGGATCTGATTCGTCTGATCCATCGGTCTTTTTTCCGAAATACACAAAGATCCTGGACTTTCAGCTCATCTCGCCTCCACATGCATGTGTGCAACTATCCATATCCATATCCCAAGGAGATTTCCGACACACTTACCGACAGATGTCCGAGTACATATTGTCAAATCTGAGACCTGTCGCTTTGAGCAATCACGATCTAATTTAGCGCTGTGCCATCCCAACGGGATTTGATTTCCAACCACCTGGAGGGGTCATTCAGGCACCTCTGCAGTGTAACCACCGCTAATGGCGTATGATTCAAGAGGTAGAAGCACCTGGGCTTATCATGCTCATAGTGCGTTTGCTCGTCCCGTTTCGAATAAATCACACTTCCCGAAATCCGCGAAATCATACCCTGATTGGCCTTGAAATTAACGAATAGTGGCAATTTCGTCACATGAAAACTCAGGAAACCCCAGATATCAAGGAAAGTCTTATGCAACTACAGATTCTTCATATGTTTTCATTACACCTAGGCAGTAGGATCTACGTATGGCTTACGTTAGTGCTTAGTGCTCGATGGAGACAAACACATTGTCCCCGATACCTCCAGATGTTTGCAGCTCGTTTATTAAGGCTAGTTTTAGACAGGATGGCCATCTTTGACCCACCGCATCCTCCCGGCCATCCCGAGCTCGATCGGCAAACATGATCAGTTCAGTAACCGGGGTGAGGCTTGTGTGCTGAAAGCCAAGTCATTACGCTCTCATAGATAAATACTACCTTTATTTCCTCTACTGTAGTGCTACTAAAGCCTATTTTCCGCTCTGAGTCCCTTCTTCACTTCGATATTTATCTGAATTCGTCATCATGGGTATCCAGCAAGGAGATCAGGCAGGACCAGCGACTCCGTCAAGAAGTATTGATCCGTTGGTTCAAAAATTCGGCCAGCTTAATGTGTTGGATGATTTGATTCGTCTTCGAGCAGCAGATGTAATCCAATATCCTATTCTCGCATATCCAACTTCTAAAAATGATGCGACAAATTACGATTACTATAGTGGTCAGGATCTAGATGAGATGATAGATCAGAGAGTTTCAACACTGATAGAGGATGGCTTCAGACCGGTTCGTATCCACATAGATCATAAATAGACTCTCAAGGCTAATATTCACTAGTCCCAGAGAGACGGGTGTATAGTAGCCATCCTTGCTCTGTCTGACTTGCATATGGTTGTGACCTTTTTTGCGCTCACTCGACTGGGATACACGGTCATGATGCTCTCACCCCGTCTATCAGGAGAAGCATGTGCATCCTTACTTGAAGAGGTCGGATGTGAGAGTATCATTTATGGCAATACAGCAGCTATTCGCACAACCATGGGCCACATCATTCAAAGAAAGCCAATGGTTTGTCGTCCAATGCCTGTCCATTTTGAAGAAAAATCGGAAGATTCTCTGCTAGTACTTCACAGAAGTCGCAACTCTGCGAAGCAAAGAAGCAAAGTCGCCTTGGTATTACATTCATCGGGGTCAACTGGTACCCCAAAGCCATTATATCTCACACATCAGGCCTTGATGACCCATCCATTGAGGGGACCAGGCCTGACATCATTCAATCCACTCCCTTGGTATCATCTTCATGGGCTTTCGACTGCACTTCAGGCCATGTGGATGAGGAAAACAGCTTTCATGTGGAACGCTGAGTTACCACTAACGGCAGACTCGGTCATTTCCGTCCTTGAGGCCTCCAGGCCCGAATCTGTTGCTGCAGTCCCGTACATGCTGCAAATATTAGCGGACAATCCTAGAGGAATTGCCGCACTTCGAAAATGCAAGATCGTGACTTATGGTGGAGCGCCTTGTCCAGATGAGCTGGGTGATCATCTTGTTCGAGAGGGTATCCCGTTTGCTGGGTCCTTTGGCTTGTGAGAACATCGATCCATCCTTTATTAGATCGCGTTAACATTTTTACTATTACAGAACGGAAGCTGGACTAGTTGCCGAATCAATCTCTCGACCGGAAGGTGATCCTTACTGGAATTATTTGAAATTCTTCGACAATATTCAGCCTTACATATGGATGAAGCCTATTGGTGACTCGCTCTATGAGTGTGTTTATCTTTCAGGGCATCCAGCATTAACAACCTCGAACTCAAATGAACCACCAGGCTCATTCCATTCTAAAGACGTGTTTACTCCGCACCCTACGATTCCAAATCGATGGAAATATGCTTCGCGACTGGATGATCGAATCACCCTTGTAAATGGAGAAAAGGTTCTGCCACTTCCTATTGAGGGTCGTATCAAACAACATACTCTCATACACGATGCAGTCGTGGTTGGAATAGGACAGGCGGTCCCCGGTCTTCTGGTCTTTCAGACTCAACATGCACAGAACATGTATCCTTCAGAAGAAGAGTATATGGATGAAATTTGGGAGGCCATCAATGCGGCCAATTCATGTGCAGAGAACTTTTCGCAAATATCTCGAGATATGATTGCCGTATTGCCATACGACTCACCAGTTCCACGAACGGATAAAGGCTCAATGATCAGAGCGCAGGTATATCAACAATATGCGGAGCTTATTGAAAGCATCTACGATCGAGATGAAAAATCAGAAGGGGATATTCAACTATCCACTGATGAGACCGAGACCCTTCTAATGCAGCTGTGCCAGGATCATCTCGGTATTAGCCTCTCAAGCCCAGAAGCAAATTTCTTTTCCGAAGGAGTCGATAGTCTCAAGGCAATTCACCTCCGACGTCTAATCCTCCAGAATTTTCAGATGCCTACGGACCTCTTTCCACGAAACGCTGTATACGAAGCGGGAAGTGTTTCTAAGCTAGCTGAGCAAATCTGTGCGTTGCAGAGTGGCGAGGACTTGATCACAGAGGAGGACCAAATCAGTGCGATGGCAGAATTGATCCAGAAATATTCTACTTTCCAACAGCACATTCCTCACGATGTCCCAGCAAGTAATCAAGCCACTGTAAGTTAGCTCAACGTTCTGACGTGGAATCACCTGATACTGATTATATCGCAAGATTCTCACTGGAGCCACTGGCTCTATTGGTTCGCACACTCTTCACGAACTTCTCAACGATGATTCCGTCTCAACGATCTTCTGTCTAACCCGACAGGAATCTCCTTTCGAGGCGATTCTCAGTGGCCTCATTGAAAAGGAGCTGTATATTACATCAGAAGAACAAGTAACGAAAATTGTTGCACTGACTGCCCATCTTGACCAGCCAGATTTCGGCTTGGACCAAACGATCATGACTCACATGCGCAGCTCAGTCACTCAGATTCTCCATGTCGCGTGGCCAGTGGATTTCAATCTTACGTTCACTCAATTTGAGCCGCATATTAAAGCACTGCATAATCTCATCCAGTTCTCGCTATCCGTTCATCAACCCCAACCCGCCACTGTGATGTTTTGTTCATCCGTTTCCACAGCTCTTGGTGCAAATTTCTCTGAAATCACAGAAGGTCCGATGGCCCTGGATACTGCTTATATGGGCTACGGGCGGTCTAAATTGACAGGAGAGCACATTATCAGTGCTGCCCGTCAAACAGGTGCAAGAACATACTCACTTCGAATTGGACAGGTGTCCGGCCATTCAAAGAAAGGGCTATGGAATGACACCGAGTCTCTTCCACTCATGATTCGCTCAGCCTTGACTCTAAAAGCCTTACCCGATCTACAAGAGAGTTGTTCCTGGCTACCTGTTGACAAGATGGCCGCTATCATGTTAGAGTTAATGAGAACTTGCTCAGCGTCGACCAAAGAAACATCGAACGGCATACCATGCCTGGAAATAACAGAGAAGTTTGAAGATGATTCAGTTTACAATGTGTGCAACTCACGTGTTTTCTCTTGGTCCACTCTTCTCGAATCACTTGCTCGAAATGGGTTCCAATTCGAGGTCGTCCCATTCGAGAAATGGTTAGATCTTCTTCGAGAAAGTGAAGCGAAAGGCGAGGAATATACGAACCCTGCTATCAAATTGATTGATCACTATGAGGCTATGTACGGGGCGAAGTCGTCGTCTCTCCTTACACCAAAGACTTTTGTGGTGGAGAAAGCAGAGCGTGACAGTCTTACACTACGGAACGGTCGGTTGAGAATCATTGAGGATGGTATTCTAGACTGCTATGTTCGTGACTGGGTTTCACGGTGGATGAGATCTTAGTAGATCAACTAATTCTTCCGGTGTTTTTCCTTTTGTCTTTTTTCTATGTCATTTAATTTTTGGTAAATAGATAGAGCTCAACAGATATGATATTTCATCTCTCATATCAATGACATCCTCTTCCACGCACGTGCGTCCAAGCAATGAGTGATCAGAATTTTTTGTACGGCTGGATAGAAAAGACCCTGCGGCTTAGACTTAAACAGATCCACTAGCAATATTGATCTGTTGGTCACAAATAGGATTATCGACAGGGTCGAGACTCATCCAAAGCCATTATTTCGTCCTCGGCTAGTAGAATAACGATCAGTATTCGTGTTCGCATCGGTATCCGTATCCGTATCTTATGATAACGTACCCAATTTTTGATATGTCTCCGTATAGACTGGAATCATGGAGTCCTTTGGATATGCCGTATGTAGCGGCTCGGTGAAAGGACTATAACACGGCCAGCAAGTCCCGTATGATTCATTCACGGCTTGCTCACAGGTTGGTGGTGGAGTCCGCCTATCAAAGCTATCATCTTGAGTAAGAAATGGGTCAGACATATCGGTGTCTGTCAGTGGTTTGCGCTATGCTTTTGATGGAGATCGGATCGGAATTTTCAAATTTTCGAATGTTCAAATATTTTGAAGAGTTCAATTCAGTTTATTTTCTGTTAATATAGGACTTGGAGGCTCCCGTTGACAAAAATGAGGTAAAATGATGATCATGGCCGGGAAAGGATTCCGACCCCTTTTAATGGTGTTACTTGAAGGTCAGATAGAATTTGAAATATCATCATTAAAAATGCAGACTTGAGATGAACCATGGCCTACTATTAATTAGTCTATAGTGGATTCTGCTGATATTACAAATTTGATTTATACTTCTTGGGATTAAAGCATAGACTTCCATCATGGTATTCCTAGGCAATGATTCAAAGTGTATGGCAGGTCTTATTCTTGAGGTGCATCATGATCAAGTATTTCTTCTGGCTCGGGCCACTTCCGAAACAGATCTTGCAAGTAATCCAGTGGAGCCGTGATCAGTCCAACTGCAGTCTGATATGGGGGTCGATCGGGTGCACTAGGATGAGCACGAGTAGGAACGAAGTGCTTAGTGCGAGCAAATGACGCCGCTAAGCGCTTACTTTCCTCTTCACTTATAGCATCTTCCAAGTTGGTGAGATCTATCTTCTCTTCATGGTTGACATGGGCAGCCAGATCATCCATGAGCACTGCTACCGTGGGCATGAAGCGAGGATCGTTGGATTTCAGGTTTTGGAAAACTGCTAACTTGTCTTTAATCTGAGAAATTCTTCAGTATATGTCCCAAGTCTCACAGTCCATTCATGAATTCTCTCACCATTTGATGTTTTTGATGGTCTTCGACTGCATCCTCCTGCAGGTGCTTCTTTAGCGCCGGGTACAGCACTAGCTCCTCGCCTACCACATGACGTGCTAGTTCCCACGTCAACATATTTTGCCATCGAGTCTGTTCATCTTCATCTTCTGCTTCGAGGATTCGTTGATAGTATGCCTTAAGATCTTTGTGGTCGTTGCAGATGACATCACTGATGCGACTCATATTGGATAGTCACAAATTGAGGTGAAAAGCCAGTTCCTAATGGAATTTTCACAAGATGAACAGGGAGTCAAAGCTCAGAATCAATATTGATCTACGAATTCTTCAAGTTCAGATGCACATTTGAACTCTTCTATGATCAATTACTCCTAAGTGACGTCCAAGCTCCGTATTTTCTCCGTCTATTCCCCGTGGAATACTGCTCCGTGCGCCCATAGACCCATAGGCCCATAGCGCTATAGCTCCAACGCATCTAGTGGGGCAAGATAGTCATACCCCGTGTCTTTTAGGAGTCAATGTGCTGACAACACAAATACTTCATTTCCTAATCCTCCTATGATCTGTTTGCTGTGGGGAACCCCGTTTTAGGGGAAGATCGTTTAACTCCCCCCTTCCTTCCCCCTCTTGAGGTATTTTTTTCCTTTCTTTTATAATAAGTTTTTGTTCCTTTCCTCAACTCAAGTTCTCGGATTCTCAGATATCTTCACTATTGAAAGCCCAAAAAGACTGAGAAGAAAAGGAGTTAAATCATGGCAGTTCCAAGGTTCGTATGATCGACCCGGATCGTGCCCCGCGTTCATGACTAAACTTGAACTTATCAGGAATCAAACGCGTACCGACACGTTCACTCCAAAATCTCAACCAGCAGTCGTTTCTCGAGGTGTTTGTGATCGAATTTCGAAATGGATATGGTCTGGGTGGGGCAGTTGTGAATCTCACGGTCCTTCGTCCCGCCAACCACATCGAAGCACTCCCACCGACTGTAAGGCATGCCGAGAGTGGAAGGTTCCTTGCGATCATGCCCAACCTCAATGTGATCACTGTTATCAACAACAAATACTCTGCTTCTATGTCAATCCTGATCAACCAAAGCGGAAAGGTCGTCCAGCTGACGCGTCAGTACCCCGGATTCGCGAACCTACCCCACGAAAGAGACTCGGCTGAGGTCAATGCGGATTTTGCCTTGGGTTCTTTATGAAACGACCTCACCTATGGGCTACTTTATTCCCTCATCCTTTCTTGTATCTTCTCGTTTATCCTAGCATTTTAGAGCGTGGCGAGATCTTTTTTTTATTCGCATTGTGGGAGATCTGGATCATCTGATGTCAGGATCGCCCAAAACAAAAAGTTATGGCTATGACGTGGTAGAGCGTTTCATATCATCTTTCTCCTAATAACAAACGGGGCTCATTTCAAGATGCACGTGTAGAAGTGATTTCGAATTCATATAAAGCTTTTTCCCTATGAAGGTAACGGTACTAATGGCCGACGGCGGATAGTGGAATCCACTTTTCGGTCTACTAGACCAATGATGGAAGAGGATGAACCTGTATAGAAAACATTGGAGGCCAAGACTTGTTATACGGAATTGGTTCCACTATTTCCTGGGCTTCTATTTAGTTCTTAATCTGTTTAAGATCTGTGATACATACTAGACAAGTGTGAATGTGATAAAAAAGCGCATTTTATATGGAAAAGGCTGCAAAGTGGGTCTATCCAATGCCATAGCCGAAATTGTGCCGTATATGCGTGAGTCAGTGTGACAAAAAGTTCGAAGTTGACTGTACATGAAGAATGAAAATTGAAAAAAGAAAAAAATCGATCATCACTCATAGCTCAGTCCGTGCCCGAACCGGAAGATAGGATCTTTGGTGTCGAATGGCACATCCGACTTGGACTGGCATACAGCCTCTGTTGAGGAAGGAAGATCAAATGGAAGTTTGCCCTCCGGTCTATAGACACTGAGCACAACATCCAGGAAAGCATCTACACTTGCACCGTAGTTGAACAACAGAGCAGAGGCTTCTTGTACAATTTCAGGGATAACAGCGGGACGATCAACGTACACATCCACAATAACGGTGGGGACAGCTGCGAAGATGGCTGCCTGTCGAGCCTTTTCTTCATCGGTGAACTCCAAAGATCCAGCATGAAACATGGATTCGAAAGCACCTGGTCGAGGCGTGAATGGGGCTTTCAAGCGTACAAGAGCAATGTCTGCACAGGTCGGATCGGAAACCACCTCCAGCCCCCTTGCTTCAGCAACCTCAGCGGGAATTCCATCGAGATAAAACTTTTTCCCCTGATTAGCTACCAGAGGAAGAACGTTTTGATTATTGGTCAGAAGCGTGTAGCTGCGTCTTTGAGCCTCGTTGGCTAGTTTGACAAACTCAGGGTTGCCAACAATTCGCTCTGCAGCATCTTCATCCACAAATGGAGAGTCGAATAATCCCAGAACGAACTTTTCGCGAAGCAATCGTCGTATAGATTGGTCAAGTCGCTCTTCAGAGATTTTGCCCTTGGAAACAAGGCTGCTTAGGAGCTCGGAGCATGATTCACCACCCAGTTGATCGCATCCAGCATCTATGACTTTCTCCAGGCGTTCTTCGGCCGAGAGATGTTCGACACCCCAAGCGCGTGCAGGCATGGGTTCGCCAAAGAAACTCTTATCATTCAATACTGCCCAGTCTGTGCAGATAATTCCCTGGAAGCCAAGCTCTTCCCGAAGCAGGCCAGTCATGACACCTTTGTTAAACGCAAAGCCCACTTCCTCGTACTTGGTGCCAATTGGCATTCCATAGGACGGCATTATATGGGCAGTGCCTACCTCAACGGCAGCACGGAACGGCTGAAGGTGACCCTCCCAGTTATCACCAGGGTACACTTGCTCTCGACCATAATCGAAGTGTGGATCCTCACCATCCTTCTGAGGACCTCCTCCGGGGAAATGTTTGGTCATAGTTGACACTGATTGCGGACCCAGAGTCGTACCTTGGAATCCACGAATATAAGCCTTGAGCAAGCTTGAGGTAAGGTCTGAATCTTCACCAAATGTGGCTGCGATCCGAGACCAGCGAGGTTCCGTTGCCAGATCAACCTGGGGGTGCAAGGCAAGGCGAAGACCGATGGCTAGGTATTCCTGGCGGGCAATGTCGCCAAACTTTTCCACGAGCTCTGTAGAACGGATAGCGGCGAAGCCTAAGCTCTCTGGCCATTGGGAGAGAATACCTGCTTCAAAGCCTGTGCCCACATTGTCGGTGAAGTGGTTGCGAGGGTCCGTGGATAGGGTGACGGGGATGCCCAGTCGTGTGCTTCGCGCGACCCGTTGCAGATTGTTGTGCCACTTGGCAGCTGCTCGTGCATCGGTAACAGGGCCGAGAAGATTGAAATATGACATTTTTCTCTCACGCACCATATCCTCATTGCTGATCATGTTAAAATGAGGTTGGGCTGGAGCAAGAGCGCCATTCTCTCCCATCACAATCATGTCCTGAAACATCAATCCACATTTTTCATCCACCGTCATACGCTGGATCAAGTCCTCTAGCCGTTCGTCAATCGATAGTGTTTGGTCCCAGTATGGGAAACTTGAACTCTCTCTTGCTTCGCTCATTTTGCCTTGGTGTAAAATATATTCTAGTTTGGGCGTGACTTAGAGCGAACGATATGATGAGAGGGGAAAAGAAGGAAGTGGTTCGGTGAAAATCGAATCAGAAAATGGGAAAATGGAATAAAAATAAAAAAGTACCGAGAGGTGTCCGAGTTTCGGCAAAACAATAGCTACAATGTGTCCTTGTCCCGGCCGAGCATTTATATTGATAACTGACAGTCGGTTTTCGGATCGTCTGAGTATTCAACTTGAATACGGTAATGATATTGTCGTAAAAAAAGGCGTTGGCTTTGGGCTGAACTCCACCTGGGCATCTGCCATCGGCTTTTGTGAATACCGAGTACTCCGTAAATTGGAGTAAAAAACGGAGCTAAGATGAACCCGTGTCTTCAAATGTTCTCTAGACCAGGCAGAGCATCGTATTCGTGTGGCGGTACCATCGAAGCGTATCAAGTCCTGTTAATTCCTACGGAGATGATTAGTTCAGGCTTGGAACAAGGGTCTGGCTTGGAATCATCTCTCCGCATTCTGATTCTTGGCAAGGCTTAAATGCATCTTTTCGGGATACATATGCGCAGTAATGATTAGAATAGAACCAAAGCGGCTCCCAGATGTCGATCTAGATATGCTGTATAGACTTATCTACAGCTACGCAACACCAGATCCAAATAAGAAACAGTATAGCAAAATTCCATTGCGCCTAGTATCAATCGACAATCATCAGTTGACTTTATTACCAGGTGAGTCACCGTGGGGATACCCAAAGACTTGGAAATTCACGAAGGCGGGGGAGTGGCGGGGAGCCGGCGGGGAGCCGGTGGAGAGCCGACACTAAGAACGATTTCAAAGAGAAACACTGCAATCTATGTACCCCAGAATCGTAAATCCAGGCTAGATTAGCCGAAGAGATCTGGCTCCGGAATGTGGAGATCCAAAGGTCCTGTCAGTATGAACTGATATTTTCTTTACAAACATTGAAGTGGAGCCGAGATTTAGTATAAGAAATTATGTTGTCTAACAATCATTTTGCTCAGGCCTGCTTGCATTGGAATGTTCACAAGCCCCAATTAGTGACTAGTCGTCTTCAAAAATTGACAAAAAAACAAAGAAATATAGAAATAAGAGAATCGTACTATGCATCTTAGTCTTTTCAAGTTAGATCAGGCGTTGGCTGGTTCAGCTCGGTGCGGCTCACTCGGCAGTGGATTTAGTTAGGCGTTGGCGTCTTCCAAGGTTTGCAATAGACATGCACCCCAGAGTTTTTATCTCCACCTGGGCACATGGGCTCGTATTATAATACAGATCTTTCCATTTTTACAGACATTTGACACCCGCGTAAGGCTCGGGTTTCTGTGGGGGTACCGAGGTTTCCCCGGTATTACTAGTATGGATCAGTAGTCATTGGCAAAGACAGCAAGTTTACCAAATATGCGTACTAAGGAAGGATTTGCCTTTCATGCTGGCTTGCGTGGTTTACAAGAAAGTTTTACGCCACAATATATGAGTTTTTACTAAGGAGAAGGGGTATATAGCCCTGCCACTTGCCTGCTTGACTTTTCTTTGCACCTCGCGTTCACCAACACTTATCACATACATATCACATTTTCAATGGCCCAAAACCTGGAGATGGAGGAGAAGGCCACAGGCGATCACATGGAATGGACTGTCAAGTCCGAGATGGAACTGGCTGCCGGCAGTGATGATAACGTTTCCATGTGGCAGCTTATGAAGAAGAATAACTGGGCAATCTTATACTGCTGTCTCATGAGTATCAGTCCAATGGTTTTTGGATTTGATGTCATCACTGTTGGTATCGTTACAGCAATGCCGGCGTTTCAGTAAGTTTGAGAATTTCATTCCACCAGACCTCCTCGCGCATTCAAAGTCCCAAGCCGTTGCTTACGAATTATCCTACAGAGAGTCATTCGGAACCCTCACCGATGGTACATACCTTCTTCCGGCCATGTGGCTGTCACTATGGACCACCATGATGCCAGTTGGTATGATGTTTGGTTCATTGAGCGGCAGTTTCACCACGGATAGGTTTGGAACGAGGTGGTCCATCATGCTTGGAGGACTCTTCGCAGTAGCCGGTGCTTTACTCACTTTATTCTCGGACCGATTGCCTGATCTAGAATCAAGACGTGGTCTTTTCACCGGCTCCAAGGTGGTTTTGGGTTGGGGTCTGGGTTTTATGCTTCCGGCATCGCAGACATATGTGTCCGAGGTAGCTCCCGTTCGGCTTCGCGGAGCTCTTCTTTCATTTTTCACTATATCCATGGTATGTTGGACGTGTTTATTACCACAGCTTTATCAACCTCTCTCTGTTCCAGAACACCCTCGGACACCTTTTCTTCCAGACACTAACCACGTTGGTTCAGCTCATTGGTCAAATTATTGCAGTCGCTGGAATTGATGTTCGCCTTCTCAACTACACTCCGTCTTCATACCGTGTAAGTCTAACCCGATATCCCCATCGAGCAAGCCAATTAGAAAGCGACTAAACTTTCGTTTCTGAATAGGTTCTATTTGCAGTGGAACTGGTCCCAACCGGGCTTTCAATCATCGCAGCCATCTTCTGTCCGGAAAGTCCAGCAATCTACGCCAAGCTGGGCAAGCGTGTACAAGCAATTTGCGCATACACCCGAATTTTCTCTTCAGAAGGAGCAGAGGAGGCAGTTACAAAGATCGAAAGCTCTCTCGAGCATGAGAGACAAGCACAGGTTAACGATGAAGCTCCAAGCTATATTGAATGCTTCCGAGGAACAAACTGGCGCCGTACTAGAGTTGTCATCTACGCCAATATGTTACAGAACTTTGTCGGAGTTGCTATGGTGAACCAGTGCACTTATTTTATGGAGCTGGGTGGCATGTCTCCCTATATCTCCCTGAATGTGACTACTGCACTCCTGTGCGTGGCTCTCCCGGGTTATATCTCCTCTTGGTACACCATGAACGTCTATGGTCGACGCAATGTCATGCTTTGTGCCAGCACTGCCATTGGAGTTCTCTGGTTGGTCATTGGCATCATGGGATGTTTTGGGGCCGAAAAGATATTTTGGTTAGTTTTTCGTCGAAGATGTACTTTCCATACTTTGATACTAATATTTTGCAGGACTATTGGATGTCTCATTGTGGTCATCAACTTTGTCTATGCTATGGGTGTTGGTAGTGTTTATCCTGTGGTTGCATCAGAGACCTCAACCCTGCGGCTTCGTGCTAAAACACAGGCCATTGGGTTCTGCGTCCAGTTCCTTACCACTTGGGCGTTTGGATTCTCTGTGCCATATATGTACACGACCGATGAAGGTGACCTGGGCGGTAAAGTCGGCTTCATTTTTGGATTCCTTTCTGTCGTTGCGTGGGTGGTAATCTACCTGGAAGTCCCGGAAATGATGGGTCGCACGATCGCAGATATTGATGAGCTCTTTGAGCGAAAGACTGCGACAAAGGATTTCCGCAAGACAGTTCTCTAAAGCTCCAATCGTGCAGTCTATTTCACTTTGAAAGACTATAGCATACCACATCCAAGAACAGAACTGTCAAACATTACCCAGTGAGATTTATTACAGCAAAGTACCATAATTCAATCATAATGACTTAAGCGTGTGCAAACTGGTACCCATGACTATTTCGCAGATCCAACATTTGAATCTTAATGCTAGATATTTTTCAGACATTTAATTCCCCACAGAATGTTTATTTTTCCAACTTTGTTGAATATCAAGTAGAGAACGCAGAAACCTTGGAATGAAAAACCTCGCCCCTCTCCACTCGCCCCTCTCCACACCGCTACCTCCGCTATTCAACCCCAACTCGAAAAACTTTGAACGTTGCTCCCATTCCAAGGTTACGGAGCACAGGGTACCATTTATGACATCTCCAATATCCGTCTCGGATCAATCCCGATTGCGGTGTGTTTAAGTCGGAGTACTGTGACCCGCTCCGGACACTGTGCTCCGCGCCTCCACTACTCTAAATAACAAGGATATCTGGGAATCCATCTTGAGGGGCGTGGACAACGATTTCAATCAATATCACAAAGACTATACACAGGGCATTTACCATGATGCGTTGATTGGATCCGCCGTGAGGCTCTTAATATCTTATCTTATTACGTATACCCGAACACGACCTTATAATTCCCGCAAATTTTAATTGTGAGTAATGCAAATGATAATCCTTGTTCTTATTTCCTTCATACTAACTAAATTCAAAGATGGATTCTGAATACCACCGATTGGCGAATGCCATTCTGGAACAAGCCTCAAAGTCTCCAAGACGACGGTATCTCGTCGCAATTGCAGGGATACCCGGGTCTGGCAAGACCACCACAGCTGAAGCGATAGTCCAACAAATAAATAAAAGCTCACAAAGTCACGCGGCTCTTCTTTCAATGGATGGATTCCATTTATCCCGAGCAGCTCTCGATAAAATGCCGAACTCCTCAGAAGCCTATGTTCGTCGTGGTGCCCCGTGGACATTCGACGTGGCTCGTTTTGTCGACTTCATTCAACGACTTCGTGTCTGGGCTGATAAGACTCCCTTGGTCACATCTAAATCAAGGAGTGCTTGGTCTACCACTGACATCATACACGCACCAACATTCGATCATGAAGCCAAGGATCCAGTGGAAGACGGGATTGCAATCACACCGGATACATCGGTAATCATTATCGAGGGGAATTATCTTCTACTTGATGAGCCGGGCTGGCGGGATCTAGCTTCTCTGGTTGATTATCGAGTTTTTGTTGATGCTGATCTACAAGAAGCTCGTGATAGGACTGCCAAACGGCATGTGCGAGCAGGAATTGAGAAGAATCTGAAAGATGGGTATCGACGGGTTGATAGTAATGATTATTTGAATGGAGTCTCGATCAGGGAGAAATTATTGGCTCCAGATATGGTAGTGAAGAGTGTGACGGTCACAAGTACGACTTAGCACCTGAGACATACTACATGCAACTTGAACGAAAATAATGACAAAAATTATGAAGTAACGATACTTCGTGCTATTTTCCCATGTCACATACTAATAGATGTCATAATTCTAGTAGATTTCCTCCTTGTGGAACACATCTTTCGTTATTAGCAGGTGATCAAAATTTTGTGGAAGAATCCAGGACTCACTAGGGATTTCTGGCATCCAGCCTGCGCGACTTTTGCAGAAGAATTCTCCTTTAGGAGGTAACAGCTCCGGATCGTCTAGTGAGCCTGAGCAAATGTATCGAAAATGATCTTTCGCCATCTCCTATGTGTCATTAGCATGGAGCTATGCATCAATTTAGAGTGTTGATTTGGAACGCACCCCATACTCTAGAATAAAACTGCCACAATTATCACAGAATTCCCGGTGAATCACTACTCCCGATCCATTGTCTGCAGTATGCTCCTTAGGCTGGCCGGATATGAGATGAAATGTATCTTTTGGGACTTTGGTAGTGAGTCCATAATTTGTTCCAAATGCTTTCTGGTTTCCCTCACGATGTTAGCTGTCCAGTAGAATGACTTAGAGGGTATTCCGAGAAAATCATGGCTATGTAGTCATACTTTGCAATTTTTACAGTGGCATAAGGACGTGCGCGCATCTTCTGGTGAAGCTAGATGTACTTCATACTGGATGCTTTTGCAGAAACATGAGCCTGTATAGGTTGGCATCCTTTAGTTTGGTCACTTGTAGATTCTTCCTTTTTCAAATCATAAGTAATGGAAAATTGGGAAGAATTGTAATCTCTCATTTATCATCGAACTTGAAGGATATCCAAACTTCAACCCTGATGTCGACGACTATAACATAGACTTGTATAAGTGACTTCAAGTTCCCCGCCCGCAGTTCTATGATGATGACATGACACCACCTCGAAGCTTCATTGTTACTAACATTCCAAACAAAACCAAGAATTTCACTTATTATCAAGATTCTCTCATAAATTACTTTTCGTTCAATTTTGTTTTTCTCTAAACTGCCAAAAATGTCAGTTCAGACTGCAGACAACATACGGCACAGCTTCGTGGTGGCTTGCTTCATCTTCAAGTTCTCAAAAAACAACGCCACTCCGCAAGTTGCTTTATTTCGGCGCAGTGACCAAGTGAGAACCTACCAGTGTGTTATGCTTAGTTTTTTTCATCTCTCCAATTATCAATCTTACCTGGGGCCGACATCCTCTTTTTACATATGATGCAGTTCAAGCTTCTTCAGTGAGCTACAAGCTAACCGAATAGACACCACATAGGACCCATTTCGGGAGGTATAGAGGCAAATGAATCACCAATCCAAGCAGCTTGGCGCGAGATAAATGAGGAAACTACTTTGACTCCAAATGAACTTGATTTCTGGCGCCATGGGAATCCATTTACCTTCACTGACACTTCAGTGGGACGAAAATGGACTATCTACTCTTTTGGATTTCGCTTGAAATCTCAGGAAGAGCCCAGTAACGGTGCCTTGGCCATAGAAATTGACTGGGAACATGAGAGTTGGGCATGGTATAATCCGGCAGAGATACTGGATGAGGAGCACTTTGGCGGAGTCCCTCGCCTCGCAGAAAGCTTTCGACGAGTCTTTTTTGAAATTGATATGAATGAACAGACCAGCTTGGCTTTGCAGTATTGTTTACAGGAGCTGAAAGAAGACCATCGCAGCGGATCACATGAACTGACATCTATTGCGCTGAGAGGATTCCGAGACGTGCTCGTAAATCTCAAGTGTGACTCAACTCCATGGATAACCGCTCGCACGGCAGCATGGCACATTTGGAAAAATGGGCGAGAAAGCATGGGTTCAGCAACTTTGAACGCTCTCATCGGAGCTCTTGATGATATGAGAGAAATGCTCGACCGGGATGTTATCAGCGAAGCTTGTTGGGATCAAGTTCTTTCGGTGGTCGATCATCACTTGGAATACCGCCGGAAAATGCCACTGCGAATTAAACAGTCCTTCGTCACATACCTTCAAGATCATTATTCCTTGTCTCAAGGCTCCAACGGGTCACAACCACCACAGACCCTGACTCTCCTTACCCTTTCTGCGAGCTCAACCATTCGGGATAGTATTCTCGATGCCTTTGCAGCAACCTCGATACCCAGGTTAGATCTCCATATCCTTGAGTCGCGACCTTTATTTGAAGGAGCTAGCATGGCGTCATCCATCATCACCGAATTCCAAACCAAGTTCCCGCCATCTTCAACTCAGTCTTTGAATCTGACTATCCACACCGATGCCTCTGCAGCTCTTGCATCTGTGAATGTGGACCTTGTTCTTCTTGGAGCAGATCGGATATCCAGCTCCGGAAGCATAAGCAACAAAACAGGGTCACTTCCAGCCGTTCTCAGTGCTAAACATGTTAGTCCAAATGTGAAGGTCTTGGTATTTAGTGGGCTAGAAAAGGTAGCGCCAGACACGGAAGCCCAGCATGAGGCCGAGGAGAATGATCCCGGTGAAGTTGTGAGCAGCTGGCTTGCCAGTGATATTAAAGGTGTCCATCTTCTTGGAGAAATGTGTGACACACATACCAGGAATGCCAACTGCACTGCTCAGGTGCGGAATGTCTACTTTGAGTGGGTTCCTGCTGATCTTATTGATGGGTATATTTGTGAGAATGGTACGCTTGATCGGCCAGCGATATATGCAAAGGCAGAGAGCGTGAGAATGAAGGCAAGTGAGTACTTTAGCACGGTCTAATCTTGGATATGTCAGCGGGTAATCATTGCTTAAGATATTATGCCATACACTGGCACTGGATTTCATTATGGTTGATCTTGAAGATTGCTGGTACTCGGGACATTCTTTTCTTACAGAGATGGCCTTGCTGTCTGACCCATCATTTGACAGCAACAAGATGAAATACGTCGCTTTTGAGTATTCGAATATCGAAAGAAAGATTGAAGGCCCTATCTGTGCATTCATTGAACCGACTACTTAACATCCATACAATCCATAAATCCAGCGCCAGCTAAGGCCACGTTAAAGTCAGAGGCTGCGTAGTTGAGGTAAAACAGAGGAAAATCATAAGCCCATCCACAAAACTCCAGAGGTAGAAGACGGGATCGTAAAGAATTCTACCTCCAACAAAGGAAATCCGACCTATATGCAAAACGAAAAAAGGTATCATCATATTCAAGAATCACGGACACGCGCCTGGCGTTTAGCGGTGCCAATGTGGGTGTTGTGTACTTTGGTGGCAAACTTCAAGCTTGTCAAGGTCTCTGAAAGATGCGCCTGTAGAGGGCTAACCATGACAAACATGAGTGTCTTAGAGTTGCCACCAAGAGAGAATTGGAGCAGGTATGTAAGCTGCGAAACGAGTTAGAAAATGGATTGGATAGAACGTTATCATAGTAACTTACTTTGCTGTTTCGGTACGGAACATGGCCTCCATCTTTGCCCTGGCCCAGGGCTGCAATAACATCACCGAGGGAGCTCAGACTGCGATTGATGTTCTGTGTCTCCTTCAAGCGCTCTCCAGTCGCTTGACTGTGACTCAATCGCTCACTTCCGGCCAGATCGACCAGATTAAGGGTGCCTTCGCTGCGCTCCCCGGTGACATGGTTCTCGCCGGTGAGCTTAAGGATGAAGACGGAATGGGATCGGGATGAGCGCTCATTGGCCTTGGTGGCGGCAACGGAGCGATTGGCATCTGCGTTCTTCAGAATCCTGCTGACCATTTCGGGGGAGTCGAGCTGGACAGTGGTGATATCTGTGATGAAAGTCTTGCCTCGCTGCATGTCATGGCGAATCTCATGCTTCTTCTTGTCCAGGTCATCTGGATTGCCCAAAAGATCGTTCAGGTTTTCGTTGTAGACTTCCACGAAATTGCCTTCCATTGTGTACCGCCAGCCCTTTTCCTCGAGACCTTGGGCGGTCTCATAGATTTGATGAACAGCCCGAGGGATCATACCATCCTGTGAAGACATAGTATGGGTCTTACCACTACCAGTTTGTCCATAACAGAAAATGCAAACATTGTATCCATCCAAGGCACTTTGGACCAATTGACTAATTTCATCAAAGACCTCAGCATTCTGGCTAGAAGGGCCAAAAACACGATCAAAACTGAACGGGTTGTTCTTGCGAGACACAACGCCAAGGGTATTCTTCTCTTCGGGCCCGATGATGTTGATCTCTTTTGCGTCTTCAGACTCATCGGGATACAGCATGGGTGCGATTTGGGTTGTCGGTTCACTATTTAGGGATGGACGGACACGACAGAACACACGGATGTTGCCCTTGAGTTCCTGTACCTGATTGTGAAGCTTGCGACGGAGGGTTTCCTCTCTTCGAAGCTTCTCCTTGATCTTGTCCGTCTCTGAGAGAGCATCCATCATCTCTTGGTTGCATCGCTCAAATGCCTGTGACTGTTCCTCGCGTCCGCCTTCAAGGAACTCGATACGAGCTTTGAGAGCCTTAATGGTGGATTCAAGGGTGACACCGTTGGTGGTAGCTGTATCCAAATTTTGTCGAAGATCATGGACAGTCTTACGCTCACGTTCAATATCGGCCCTCATGTTGTCGAGCTCACGTTTCAAAGTCGTGATTTCGCGCTCTTTGTTGTTCAACTCGAGCTGAGACTTTTGGATATCCATGGTAGATTGCGTAGCTAAGTTACCAAGCTCTCGAACCCGTTTGGCTTTCTCATCTTCAATCTCGCCCTCGAACTTGCGCTTCAGGTCACGAATCTCATCTGCATGTTGAATCGCTAGCACTTCCTTCTCTTTCTTGCTTTCGTGACTGATAGTGGCAAGTTCGATGCGGTGGCGGCCTTCGAGGTCATCAATCGCGATGTCTTGCTCTCGGCGGGCAATTTCTAGGGCATTCTGAGCGAGAGTAAGCTGGGTCTTGATAGATTCCATCTCCACCCTCTGAGTGACATTGGTTTCGGTCAGAGAGTCTCGATCTCGTTCCAGGTCGGCAACTGCACCCTTGTCAGCATCATGTGAGTCTCAAAATTGGATGATTGACTTACTGCGGGATTTATAGACCTCAACAGCGTCTTTCAATCCCGAGGCTTCTTGGCCGTTTTGATCCATTTTCATCAAGAAGGTCTGGAAGATTTCAGACATGTCTCTCTCTTTGGATTCATGGTTCCATTCGGTATCTGCATGATAGTCAGGATTTATCAGCTTTGTGCTTTTTCTTAAAAATTGCGGCCGTGGGGCCTTTGATGGTGATTTTTGTGGGGGTGGACTGGGGACTCGGAAGGGCTTGGATGGGGTAAGAATGGGAAGCCTGGATCGTTGAGCTCCCTGTACTGGGATGATTGCTGAGTTGTACTCGGGATGGGCAGTTTGCGCAGTTTTCGCAGTAACGAAGCTCGCGTCGGAGGAGTCATCATCGAAGACCTTTTCATCAGACTCAACTCCGACGGATGCTGGGCGGCGCAGACTATTATGGCACGAATGATTCTCCAAGGTTCCAAGGGGGCCAGAAGAATGGAAAGAACTAAAGGAAGAGGATCGCATACCCTTTCGTTTTCCAAGAATACTTCCGGCACTATCTTCGATGTGGGTGTTCAATGAGGTAGGGCGCTGTAGCGAATTGTTGGCTCTGCGAGTACCGAACGAAGTTTGAGCACGAGGCATGCCGGATATGCCACGGGATCCATAGCTCATAGTACTGGCGGAGAAGTTGGGTGTTGGGCGAGTAGTCGTCGATCCGGACCGGGAAACAGTGGATGAATTTAACGAGTTTCCCCGCGCATGTACTTTCGATGCAGCCGATGCTGGACGGGAGATTGGGGCTTGTTTCTTCGGTTCCGGAGAGGTCATTGGCCTTTGACGGGTCGCTATGAAATCCCGTTAGCTGCGATACTCCTTGCCCTGAGAAGACCTATATCCGCCCTTACGCGACACTGCTTTAGCAACAAGGGTTCCAGGCGGCATGATTCCCGACCGAGAATTAGCAGATGCAGGGTTCATTTCTCGGAGGCCACCAGCCTGAGGAATGCGCGACCGAGTCACGGGTCTGGATTGAGCCTGGGGGACATGGATGTCAGCGTTTGCGCAAATGCGACCAGATGGGGATGTTGTTTACCATGTTCTCGTCCTCCATGGTGGGATTTGTAGCGCGCCAGGTTACCGGTGAGTAGATAATCCGGGCAAGTAAAGTAAATTCTCGTCCAGCCACTGTCTCAATGGCCGGCTAGGCAATGGGGGAAAGATGCGCGACAGGAGTAGGGAACATGCAACAGGGTCGAGGCGCTGGAGATCTGGAAGCTCCTCTGTTTCTGGAGAGACGGATAAACAAAGCTGACTCAGCCATCGACGATATTTGCCTATTTTGGACTAGCGGTATTTATATAAATCACGTGAGCTTGAAGGCGGTGTGATGACGAAGGCGGTGGATATTACCAGTAGATTTCATGACCGATACCGCACGTGAGCAGGATGATCATCAACTTCATTGTTTGAACTTCTCATGAACTTGATTTTGTGTGATTAGATTGTGCATGATCTTCTCATCTCATTCCTTCTCCACACTCCATACATTTTGAAGTGCAATTTCCCGGAAATTAAAGACCAATTGGATGTGGCATTGGTTGAAACCGTTGATCCAATCCCGGCGCAGACTCCACTAGGCCCGCTTGAAACCCCCCAAAGGGCCCCAGTTGCCGCATTCCCTGGCAGTTGGAGGGCAGCTGCTTCTTCTCCTTCAATCTACTCCTTCAAGCTTCTTTCTTTTTTCTTTTTCTTACCCCCATTTTCCCCCGGCTCGGTACCGACCATGTCCGGCCGTTTTGTGCGTTCATCCAAGTACCGTAAGTCTTGATATTAGCGCCTGCGATGTAAGCTCTTTGCTAACCTTTGGGGAAGGCCACGTCTTCGGGCGCTCGACGCGAAAGGTACCTACATTTGTTCCCAAGACTGGCCATGCGAGATCTCTTTGTTGATCATGATTACAGGAGCAATGCTATGATAACCTTCGAATCTCCCGAAATGCCTGGGATACCAACTTAATCAAGGTTCGTCAACTTGCGCCACTGCCCCTTATCCTGTGCTACAGGGTCCCTCGTGAGGCTAACAAATCTCTCAAATAGGTCAATCCGAAGCATCTCGCTGTCAATTGGGAAGCTGGTGGTGGTGGAGCTTTCGCTGTCATTCCCCTCGAGGAACGGGGCAAACTCCCAGATCGCATCCCTCTATTCCGAGGTCATACCGCAGTAGTCCTCGACACCGACTGGTAATTCTGATTCCGGCAGACAAACAATTACAAAATACAATGCTAAACAGACGAAATTTAACAGGAACCCTTTCGACGATGATTTGATCGCTTCCTGTTCCGATGACGGCAAGGTATAGACGAACACAAAAAGGTGTTTTGAATTTGGATACTGATTTAAAGGTCTAGGTCTTCCTCTGGCGGGTCCCAGAGAACTTCACTGTCCGCCCCGATGCCGACGCCGATGACATCCAGGACATTGCGCCTGTTGGCAAGCTCAGCGGTCACCCCAAGTATGCAAACGTGTCTCAGATCTCGACGTTGGGGATGAATGCTAATACTTGCTTGCAGGAAAATCGGCCACGTGCTCTTCAACCCCGCGGCGGAAAACGTGCTGGCAACGGCCTCGGGCGATTACACTGTGAAGATTTGGGATATTGAGGCGGGTCAACCGAAGCTGACCCTGAACATTGGCGACATTGTGCAGTCCCAGTCGTGGAGTGCCAACGGCTCTCTTCTCGTTACCACCTCTCGCGACAAGAAGCTCCGTATCTGGGATGTTCGTCAGGAGCGCCCGGCACACGAGGGTGCTGGACACTCAGGCGCCAAGAACAGTCGTTCCGTTTGGCTGGGAGAGCGCGACCGGATCGCGACCACCGGTTTCTCCAAGATGAGTGATCGCCAACTGGCCCTGTGGGATATCCGTGCGGCCCGAGAGCCCATCAACGGCTTTAAGACCCTGGACTCCATCTCCGGTGTATCCATGCCTTTCTGGGATGATGGCACTAACTGCCTGTACCTGGCTGGACGCGGGTGAGTTGATAACAGCTAACAATCTGTCTACATTTCAGTTTTACTAATATAGGTTTGCAGTGATGGAAACATTCGCTACTTTGAGCTTGAAAACGACAAGTTCGAGTTCCTTTCTGAGTACAAGTCCGCCGATCCTCAGCGTGGCGTTGCCTTCATGCCTAAGCGTGGTGTGAACATGCACGAGAATGAGGTCACTCGCGCATTCAAGACTGTTAATGATGGCTATATCGAGCCTGTCTCCTTCATCGTCCCTCGTCGCTCTGAGAACTTCCAGGACGACATCTACCCACCCACCTTCGGCCTCACCCCGGCTATGGGCCCGTCAGACTGGCTTTCTGGCAAGGAGGCCATTCCTCCCAAGATCTCCATGGCCAATCTGTTTGACGGAAACGGCTTGAAGGAGATTTCCCCTGTGCAGGAGAAGCCAACCGGCACTATGGATGCTCCCGCGCCCAAGGTTGCCGAGCCTGAGATCAAGCAGCCCGAGCCCATGGCACCCAAGACTGCTCCCGAGCCTACTCCCGAGCCTACCCCAGAACCCACCCGTGTGACCCGTCCCGCTCCATCTATGAAGGAGCAGGGTGCCTCCATGGCTGCTATGGTCAACAAGTTTGCCGATGATGAAGAGACCGCTCCCGTCGAAGAGGATGACTCCAGCTTCGAGGAGGTTTCTAAACCAGTTGAGCGTACTGCTCGCTCCCCCGTTGCCGAGTCATCTTCGCCACGGGTCAGCAGCCCATTGCGTCCCAAGGAGATTGAGACTAAGCCCCAGCCTGTTCCTTCCGTCCAAGTCGTATGTTCACTCTTATATTTCATCCTTTCTGTGTTCCCATGCTAATTGTCTCCTCACATAGACCCCCGTTGCCTCGTCGCCCGCCAGTGAGAGCAGCGTGTCCACTACTACTGTTTCCAAGGAGATCGAAGAGATTAAAAACTTGATTGCTGAGCAGACCAAAACCATTGCCGAACAGGCCCAGCAGGTGCAGACACTGACTGCAGAGATTGAGGCGCTGAAGACCAAGCTGAACTAAGTTGTTAATTTCCATTGTTGAATATCTCGCAAGCATTACTGTGGTATGTATTCTGGGGAGTTGTGAGACCGACCTTACGGGGCCGGTATTGATATTCTTGGTGTTGCCGCAGATGAAGGCGCACTACTGTATGTGGATATGCGCTGTCGTTTCTTTTTAGCGGATTTGTCAATACATTGGCCTTCAAAATAGTAGATTTTTCTTTCCATTTTTGTAACTCGTAACGAACTTTCATGCTCTTAGTCTCTAAGGCTTCCAAGTCTGGCATTAGGAATCGCCATTGAAGATGGGGAACTACACATGTACGAAAAATTCAAGTTCAAGATGATTTATATGGAACACTCCATTTTATTAGATTATGTACTAGTACGGTAGTACTCAAGATTGTGCTTTGTGCAAATTTCGCAATGTACAAGCAAGAACCAGCCCAAATGCAGATACGCAAAGAAAGAACAACCAAACATACCAGAGACCCTTAGTGATGACTTCGAAGATAACATCCTGTTCATCATCCGGCAAGCCTCGAGTAAGGCTCGCAGTAGAGGTAGACGCTGCAACGATCTCAGCAGCTAAAGTCGATCCTAAAGCCGCGACCAATTTAGCTTTTCTAGCCGCGACCTCGTAGTTATAGATCACAGTAGCCACGACGACAGAAATGGAGGCGGCTATTTGTCGAACAAGGGAAAATGCAGCTGTGGCCTGACTCATCTCCGTAGGCGATACATTCGCCTGAAGAGCAATCAACGTTGCTTGGAAGTTAGGACCTAGTCCCAATCCTGCAACCATCTGGAACAGAACTATACGTGACCAGGAGGCATAGGGTTGAAGATTCAGATAGAGTCCATAGGCAAGGGTTGTGAAGAACATGCCGAAGATGATAACCTCGCGGAAGCGGCCTGTGGCGCGCATGTACCAACCTCCCAGGCCAGAAGAGACGGCTAAAGCGCCGACGAGGGGAAGAAGGAGGACACCACTCATTATTGAGCTTTTCAGTAGGACGTTTTGGAAGTAAACTGGAAGGTAGAAACATCCTCCAATGAATACCACCCCGTGACAGAAGTTGATGAGAAGGAGTGCGACGTTTTGTCGGCTGCTGAACACTGCTAGCGGGATTATTGGGGAAGCTGGGAAGCGTTCGTATATCCCGAAGAGAATCAAGGCAATAATTCCGAAGACAATGAGGCAGATTACTGTTGCGGAAGACCATGCGAACTGATCACCTCCGAATTCTAGTCCAAGAAGGAGCAGGATTGTTCCGGCGATGACGAGGCCCACACCAATCCAATCGATAGCTGCTAGGCCATCAAGTAGATTCTTCTTCGTGGTGTCGATCTTTAAGAAGAACATCAAGAAAAGAAAAGCAATACCGCCGACGGGTACTTGTGAATGTCAGTTCTGATAAAATATCATGATGAGAGAATTGGGACCAGTCAAAGACTCACAGTTGATATAGAAGCACCATCTCCAAGTCACATAGGTTGTAAAGGCACCGCCAATAATAGGTCCCACTGCACCTGCAATGGCCCATGTGGCGCCAAAAATGCCCAAATAAGCAGCGCGTCGTTGCACGTCGAAGAGATCTGAAACACAGATATTGGCCATCACGGTGATACCACCACTACCCACGCCCTGCAGGGCGCGACCCGCTATTAACATGTTGACATTGATAGCCAATCCGCAGATCAAACTGCCGCCGAGAAAGAGAATGATGGAGGAGCTGAGGATAAGCTTTCGCCCCCCAGATATCACTCAATCTGCCCCATAGACCGACGCATGCTGCATTTGCTAGTAAGTAAGAGGAGGCGATCCATGAATATGCTGAGTCGGAGGCATGGAAATGAGCGACGATCTCAGGGAGAGCGGTTGAGACGATGGTCTTCAAGTTGTTTAGTTAGTAAATTACTTAGAAGTGAAATATTATCCATTTTCATGGATAGTGCAGTGCTCCTTACAATATCTAGTGCAGCAAGAAACACAGACAACTTTATATAGGAGAACCAATTAGTATCCAAGTCATCTCCGAGTCGTTCAGGTTAAATTCTTCACTTACGCCTAATCCAAGCAGGATGATCACGATTCTCTGCTTGCTAGGATTGTCTTGGTATGTGACATTCTCAGCAGGGACATCTTCCTCTGCAAACTTTTCAGGGACCGTGCTGGCGGCAAGTTCCTCATCGCGGGCGTGAGCACCGATTGAAAGACGGTGTTCTTCCTTTTCCGAAGACATGATGAGCGATCGGAGAAGGTCGGATAATTAGGATAAGATAAGAAATTAAGAAAACATAGTTGAATGAGTGTGTATTGGATAAAAGATTCAAGTTTAAAAGAAAAAGAAAAAGTGGTAAAGATGAAGAAAATAGGAGCCTGCAGAAACTTGAACTTGATCTTGAATAATGGGGTTTAATCCACGTTATCCAGGTTATGTGTATGTCTAACGCTATTCCTATTTAAGCGATATACACTAGAATCACATTTGCCGATATCAGAGCCCTCTGGAGTAGAACAATGTATTAATGCCAACCGTCCATATTCATTAGACTGCAAGCGGGGAATAATCTTATCCAAAAGCGGCCCCTAAACTCGAATCGAGGATTTTCACTGTCAAGATCTTCTTCACCACATGGACGTGACATCATTCTACTCCACCACAACCAATGAGAGAGACTCGGTTCGCTTCATTAGGACTAACCTGAATGACTTTCACCAGTGAGATCGAGCGGGAGCTGACGAAGACATCTGATCTGGACTTTAGCCGACCCCTTTATACACGTGTTCCAGGCCCCTATTGATAGATCATATAGTAAATGGTGTAGGTTTTCATCATGATAATGAATTTATCTGAAGTTGAACATCCTGAATAGCTTATTGAAATGAAATCAATTGAGACATCCCATAGCATCTAACCGTTTCAAAGCATTTACTAGTACTCCGTACATACAAACATTCCAAATCGCATAAGAATCCTATATCTTCACCCATGAAACACTCATATAAATCATGATACCACTGGCTGACACTTATTCCTCCTGCTTATCAGACACAAGACCTTGAATACCCGCCAACCCACTACTAGTGACCTTCTTAGCAGACTCAGCACCTTGAGCCACACCTGAACCAAGGGTATTAATACCCTTAGAACCAGCATCCGTCAAGGTGCCAAAATTTCCATAAGACCCATTCTCATCTTTGCCATTCCTCTCAGCGCGATTAACTCCTTCCTTGGAGACAAATTGACCAACAGGCTTGAGTAGTCCTTTATCGCCAAGTTGATTCCCGAGGAGATTGTTCGTGTCGTCTTGGAGTTGATCGACTTGGTTAACACCAGTGACCTTTGTCTTGGAGAGTGAGTCTATCATACAGAAGATGTCAGTACCATTTGCACACATGGGAACATGGATTCATAGAATCGACGGTGTAAGATTTTTGGTAGACAGAGTTACCTTTAGTCGCATAGGACACTTTGTTATCACCCTTTCCAAACCACTTCAGATACTGGTCTTCGATCCAGGGCATCCATCTCTCGTATCCATTGTTGTATGCTTCTTGGAGCCATTCTTTGTATGTTTGTTTCTCTTGGCTCTGGGTGTTCCCACCAGAGAATAGTTGCTGGACGCTATTAGGAATGCTCATCTTGATACCGGTATGCTTCGTCGGATTTTCAGACGTCAGTATAAGATAAGAGGATCACTTCAGAGAGAACTGGGAGTAAATATACATATATATCACCCTCTAAAACCGGGAATGATATAATTGTTGTCATATTTAACTTCGTATAGATTAACTGGACACCCGATGACGTCAATGGTCATGATCTCAACATTAGAGGATGACGATAGGCACAGGTACCATCTGAACATTGGACTGTATACGTACATCGTACAATGACCTATCAGTCCTGTGTACTTAAATAGGTGTACTATTTAGTAAAGCCAGCTGGCAGTAGTACTACTAGTAGATAGTGTTACGTAGATATAGTATGGGTGGAATCCTACCACTAAGCTGGGCAAGTTGAATATAAGGCTGGTTATTATGTAGTATCTCATTTTTATTGGAAACTACTTTGATATGCACCTCGACTACTACTAGTAGTTCGTATCTATCGTACTAGAAAATCGTTCACCTCGAGGGGACCTCGCGATAGATGGCATGTAGATGTTGAGAAATCATTTCAACAACATTGGAAAGACCGGTAGAAACCATCCAGAACGCCATGTCCATGCCATGAAACTGAAACTGAAACTTTTGTTGATGCAAAGGCCGGGGAAATCACTGAAAATCAAGTCTAAAGCTCATCTTCGTACTTGCAGCTGATGAGGCGGCCGGCCACCATACGTTCTTGTCGACTACCACGACGTTGGCCTGATTTGGCTTTCTCACGGCGCTCTTTCTCGCGGAGCAGTCGTTCACGGTTACGTGCTTCACGCTCGAGTGTGTGAGGGTCCTTCTCTTCAGCTGCCGCAGAAGGTGCCGCGCTGATTCGGGGAGGATCATCGTGGTGGGTTTTGACACGGCGAGTTCGCGGGTTGGTAGAATATTCACTGCCATTGGCAGACTCGGATCGGTCACGGCGTGAGCGCTTGCGGTCCTTGTCACGGTCTCGGCCACTTCCTCGGTCACGGTCGCGTTCACGTTCACGTTCCCGCTGGCGATCCCGATCACGATCCCGATCCCGGTCACGGTCACGGTCACGGTCTCGGTCTCGGTGACGGTCTCTATGCGAATCACGGTCTCGATCGCGGCGGTCTTTTTCGCGCTCTCTATCATGATCTCTATCATGGTCACGATGGCGGCTATCTCTGGTTCGATCTCGATCCCGGTCTTTTTCACGCTCACGCTCCCGATCGCGGTCATCCTTCTGATGGCCAGGTCGATCTCGACTTGTTCGATGGGAGTGTCCAATCCGAGCAGCGAGCTCACTGGGGTTGATTTTGGGTTTCTCTTTGGTACGACCATTCCGATCCTCTGGAATAGGTGATAGGCGATCGGGACGATTGTCACCCTTCCGAGCTGTGCTGCGGCTGCGGCTGCGACTGCGGCTACGGCTGTGGTGGCGACGTGATCGGTGTGATCGGTGGGTGCTTCGTCGCTCTCGCTCTGGTTCTGGTCCTCGCTCTCGCTCCCGGTCCCGGTCGAACCCACGTTCACGATCACGGAAAGCGTCTGAACCAGGTCCCGTCGGCGACAAAGAGCGGTGCTCGGTATTAGAAGTCTTCATCTGTCTGCTGCGCCTTTTCCGACCCTGATTTTGGGCGGAGCTATCGGTCTTAGGAAGATTGTCAATGGACTCTGGGCGGGGTGGTGAGGGTGATCGAGACCAAGATTGACCTTTAGGCGGGTGAGGTTGAGATGGTCCTTGAGATGGAGAATTGGTCGCGGCCGAATCCTGAGGAGTATCGGGGTTGCTGCTGCTTGAATCAGATCTCGACCTTCTAGTCTCATAATCTACAAGATGCTTACCTCTGTGCTGTCGCTGGCATATTGTTTCCTGCCGAGGGATTCCCTTGATAAAAGCCTCGCTGTCGCAAGACACTTGTATTAGGCAATCCTTCTCTCATTGCACGTGGCGCTGCAGGTGCTCCTTCAACCCCAGGATTGGTTCCTTCTAGATGAGGTTGAATCCCCGGGTTACCCCAAAAGGGTGGCTCTCGCATGTAGCCCCTGCGATACCCCATGCCCATATGTCCTTCATAGTCACCTCGTCCACCGAGCATAGATTCATTTAGGCTATCAATTGTGGGGATACCCTGCAACTGTTGAGCATCATTTTCTGCTGATGGAGCTTCCGCATTCGCATTCATATCTGCCGAGTTGGTATTGGCATCTGTCGTGGGCTCAGTACTACCGCCTTTAATCGCTTGAGAATCCTCGCCACCAGCTATGTCATTGGAGTCTTCCAGGGGGTTATCAGACAGAAGCGGGCGATCAGGGACGCCAGAGTTAGTAAATGGAGCAGAGTGGCCTTGGCCATGGCCTCCAAATCCACCTCGACCAGAGGCGCCTTGGTAATATCCACGGCCTCGGCCTCGGAACCCACCATGGCCATATCCTGAGCCGTAGTAACCAGACTGAAAGGCAGGGTTAGGGTAAGACATATTAGATCCGCCAAATGCTCCTCCATACGGAGGGCCCGAGCCATTTGCAAAAGCATTTGGATTGAATTTATCTTGTCCTTGGCCACCTTGCCACATGTTTTGCTGTAAGTTGTCCCATCCTAATGAACCATACATGCCCTGACCGTTGTAGTTCATCCCCATGTTCATGCCCATACCAGTCATGTTCATCCCGTAATCTCCGAACATCCCCTGATTTGCGGCCATCGGATTCATTGCCCCAGACATACCTATGATGCATACTGTCAGTCAATGAATCAGTGAGCTGGAGTGTGGTGATACTGCATACCCATTTGATTCGAAAAAGGAAACATTGAGTTAGACATGAAGGCATTTGTTCCATTCATACCACCAGTGCCACTAGTGTTGTTCCATCCCATACCGGGGAAGCCACTAGTATTTGTATTCGTTGCATCTGAGTCACCTGGTTCAGCACCCTCCTGTTGCGTCGAAGGGGCAGATGCGTTGGGAGCCGTTCCATCTGTGTTGGTGGAATCTTCGTGAACAGGAGCATCCGCGTCTAAGGGATCAACCGGATGCATGTCCTGGTCATCAGATGACTCATGTGGCTGGTTGAAAATGTCAGTCTGAAGGAACAGAGAGAGGAAAAGAGGAGGAACGAACCTTATCTATTGCCTGTTGTGACTCAACTCCATTCATATCTCCCGTGCTCTCACTTTGCACAGGTAAATTCTCGGCTGCCAGGTCGCCTGCGGGTTCCTGAGGTACTGCTGCGTCGGTCTCCCCGGGGGATACCTGTGGCACTGACTCCATTGTGGCTGAGCCAGTAGTAGGATCAGTGGGTGTATTCGCACTCTCTACTGGTGTCGGTACAGTTGGTGTTGGTGGTGCGGCTGCTTGACGTTCCTTCTCACGTTTCTTCTCTTCAGTCCGGAGGTATGCTTTCAGCGTTGTGCGCAGTGCTTTATTGGGCTTGCATAGATCTGGAGAGACTGGAGTATGTGCGCAAACGGGACAGGTATTAGGCAGGGAAGTCTGGCCTATAGACAGGTTTCTCAGTTAGCGGTTGCTCTTCTGGATTTTTTTTTTCTTTGAACCGTTGGTGCAACAAGATTTCACGCGAAGAAGCTTACAAGATTCGCAGATTGACTGGTCACAGCATGGCAGGCGAAATGCATTTACCGCCAGCGTGTTGCAGATGGCGCATCGCAGCTTCATGGGAATTTCGTCCCGAGACATGCTGCTAAAGTGGATGTTAGTTGGTTGAAGAAATCGGTGGTGGGGGTGAGGGGAATTCACCTGGCGATGTCCATCAGACCAGCTGGCGGATCTGCCACGGCCATGGCGACTATGAAAAGCTAACGGATGAACCGTTTCCTGTTGTGAACTTGGGTGCAAGATGATCGTAAAAAGTGACGAACAACGCGATATGGAATTGAAGGATCGGAAAAAGGTTTCCCCGATGCCATACAATATTCTAGTCAACTGGTGTGCCCTTAGATATGGATATAGGAAATGGCTATATAAAGCCCTGCACATGTGGATATTTGGAAGAAATATTTGCTATTCACGATCTATATAAAATAAAGAACAATCTATATACTTTGTCTCAGATTAGATCAAGTAATTTATGGTCCTTCATCAGTTTCCTGCGATACCATAGTGGTGTCATCAGGGTTGCCTCGGGTTGCTCTATCATCATAGACAGGGATCGGATACTAGAGCCGATCCAGAAATGCGACAAAAGAAAGAATAAGAATAAAAAGAAACGGAGTAAATAGAAGACAAAAAGGGAAAATCAAAAATAGAAGCAACCCTGAAGAATGTTCAAGGACTCCTATACTCCTACTGGTAAGCACAGAGTCTCCAAAGAAAACGCGTCTATTAAGTAAATATGGAGAGGGGAAACATAATAGATAGGATCAAAAAGAGCCTACATACTACACAAACCAATAGAATATAATCATGAAAAAAGATATGATCATATGTAGTAGAGAGTAAAACAGCCCTGGAGTAAAAAGAGTGAAGTTAAACCCTGCACATATGTGTAATGAAGGGAGAAGAAAAACGATCCACCGGGCACTTAAAAAGTCGTGACCGCCCCAAACTTCCCGCCATCATTTTCTTCCTCGAAACAATCCCCCACCACCGACCTCCATGGAATCTCTTTTGTTCCCCTGCTAGTGAAAGCTACAGCATGACAGAGGACAACTATCGACCAAGATCTCCTGATTTCTCTTCTCCGCTTCCCCCGAACCCCACTCAACCTTACGCGCCCTTGAGTAGCCCACTAGCGCATCGCGCTTCCTACGACGCCTCGCCTTTCTTCAATACGTACCAGCCTTCGAGCTCGAGTCGCGTTCCCCAGCAGTACGTTCCACCTGATCATATCGCCTTTCAAGACGAAATGGCCCGACGCTCATCACGCCTGCAGCCCGAGGACCCGCCCGTCCCCGAGCCCGCAATGCCCGCAACAATGCCTGTCGCGATACCAGAAGATCCCCCACAGACTCGCCCCGGCGCCGGTATCGAAGTGAAAACCAAGTTCCCCGTGGCACGAATTAAGCGCATCATGCAAGCAGATGAAGATGTGGGCAAGGTCGCGCAAGTGACTCCCGTCGCAGTTTGTATGTGCAACTCATTCTTCTTCTCCCATCTTACTCCCACGTCGAATTGTCACGGGATCAAAGCTCACTAATTGTTTTCTTTTCCATATTAGCCAAAGCACTCGAGCTCTTTATGATTTCTTTGGTCACCAAAGCCGCCCAGGAGGCACGGGACCGTAACTCGAAACGCGTCACTGCAGCCCACCTCAAACAAGCCGTTGTCAAGGATGAAGTTTTGGACTTTCTCGCTGATATCATCGCCAAGGTCCCTGATCAGCCTGCCGGTCGGAAACACGAGGACGATGGTAGTGATCAGAATGAAGGTCGCCGGAAGCGTGGTGGACGTCGACCCAAGGAAGAAAGCGACTAAGTATGTTGCAAAAGAGGAGGACAAAGAATCTAAAAAGAACAAAAAACACGATTCACGACATCCTAGAATGGGGAAAGGCAACTGGCGCATTTAATGATTGGTGGGGATTTGGATTTTTGCTCTGTGTTTGATTGAACATGGAATCTTGGGGCGTTGGGGCAGGTTGGATTCGACTTAGGAGCGCATTTTCATGTGAATACTTAATTTTCATGCGGGTATTGTCCTGCTTGGTGAGTCCTGCCATGGACTGACATGATCTTCAAAAGGTTTCTATTCAAGCCGTAGTCGTAAGTGTAGTCATGGCCTCGAGGTTGGTATGCCTCATGTGGAATAACTTGGTGTAGGCTGAGATGAAGTCAGAGGATCCATTATAGTTGAGTGAAGGGGGAGAAGGGTAACAACTCAGCCCAGCTGGCCTAGCAGTTAGCGGTCTCTGACTCTTAAAAAGGACAGAAATATTGATCAGGAAAATGTCGGGTCCTGGTCAGTGGCTGAACTCACACCGGCGGGCGGGCAGGGACTCGGAAGTAGCTTCGACTGAAGCTACGGGCATTCAAATGTTCTTTTTTTTGAATTTTTGACATTTTTATATAAAAAACTTTGCTTTTTCTATTTCTCTTTTCAGAAACCCGAAATAATTAATATTGAGTGAGATATCAAGGGTTATGATGTGGCGATGGATGTATCAAGTGAGGCTATTCGCAGCGACTATGTATTTCGTACAATGAAGGGGTTCGATCCCCGCCCCACCCCTTTTTTATTTCTTTTTGATTCCCCATGAAGTCTCATGTCAGTAATCAATTGACATATGGACCTGGTGTTCACTTTTGATTATCTTCAAGGGCCCATGTTTCGTATATCAGCCTCTTCTATCAATTCCGAGTCAACTTGATCCTTTCAGCACCCATCTAAAATGGCTACTAGCAATGACCCAGATGAAGTGCTAATCCCCTCTTACAGATCCTACTTCCAATATATGTCCGAGTATCCATTATCACCACAATCCTCCCCGGGTCGTACAGAGCGATCTTGATTATCCATATTAAACCTGCCGAGGTCGGAAGCGAATACCCCCAAAGGTTCTCATCGATTATTAGAGATACACATATCAACGCGTATTTATGCCCAGTTCGGAGCTCCCAGAATAAATTGCTTACTACAAGCTTTATCACTTGACCCGCGAGCTGGACCAACTAGGCTTGTCGCCCAAGTACATACTCGGACAACACCAACACCAACGACAAGCTGGTACTTGGTGTTGAGTTGGCCATGTGATGGATTATACTGCCCGTGCTAGGTATGCAATCGTGACTGCACTGCTCTACACGAAGACATGATGATGGATTTACATCCTGAAGTTCAAGTTGCAGAGGTCCCTGATGCCCGGGGCCTGCTAGTGAGATACACTTGTGCGAGTAAAAATGGCCCAGGGTGGATCGCATAAGTCATGATTGCTCTGACTCGGAGTTTTCTTCAAGTTTCCATGGTTGAATACACATGTGAATATATAAGTTCATATTACCCCTGTTTTGGATTACACTGAACCGACGATGCTTTAATAAGTAGTAGTCCTAGTTGATGAGAGTTGTCGGCTCGGCGATATTATATTACACAATGCGCTAGTCTCAGCCATCAATTACCTAGAGATGCAGAACAACTTGAATTCAACACCCATCTGAACGGTGGCTTGGCTTGAGGAGGTACCTTCATATTCCAACTTGGACAAGTATTTCTGCCTGATAACATTTTCATTCAATCACAGAACACATACTCGCACATATGGGTAAAAAACATGGTCTATGAGTACACGAGCCAGCGAATTGACACTGCAGCAGCTACGGTCCGTCAATCCTGGCCTGAAATACCCTGATTCTCTGCGCGGCGCTATTTTCACTCGCAGCCTCATTTCGCACTCAATTAGCGAATTGGCAACCGAGGGATTGAAATCATATGCGAAATTACAAGGGGAGTCAGGAGTTATGCACATTGAACCACGTATTTACTCCAGATGTTCCCGACTCGGAAAAAGGTTCTACACCGCTACTAGTAAACCAAGCCCTGAGGTACTAAGTTTGAGCTAACATTGCTGACTCCGTGTTTTGGTGAGGCCTTTAGATTGGAAGAAGCTCACGAATAAATACAGGATATTTGGGTGCTCTTTGCTCATACTTGGACAATACAAGCGTTGAATACCGATGCAATCAATGCTGTTGCGAATGATCAAGATTTGAATCCTGAATTCTGTTGTCATCAAACTTGGAGCTTGAATAGATTCCTGTTTGAAGCCAAAGAACAATTTACAGCTGGGCACTATAGTAGTACAAGAGCACTACTCATTTTCGGTGTGTTTAGTCCAAAATGCTTCCAGATTTCATAAAATCGATGGTGAGGTCATGAATAAGACACGGAATTATGTTAGTGGATACTAGCATTCGTCAAGGCCACGCACGAGGCTCTGCACTGTTCAGGTGAATCTAATCCACTTCTTCGATGCATTGATACATATGGTTACGGATTGATGAACATCCTACTCCGTAAGGTTTCAATTATTGGAACATCATGATATACTGGGCTCCGATCTACATATGGAATGATATACCTACTCACATCATGATGTGCAGATCTTGATATAGCTACTCGCCGGCGGAGAATTGATTGGGCAATTGCCCGCTGGCGAGGAACTTGAATTTGAAATCCATAATTATTTGGCCCTAAAATCCATAGATAGCCACTCGCGAGAAGTCGGAATTGAAAATTATTTTGAACACTCAAGTGATGCTAGGAGCTGACTCAGTGAATGGTAAGTCACTAGATATTTTGAGTCAATATCAATGTGTACTAGTGCGAGAAGCTATGCAAGCTCACCTTTTCCCTAAAATAATATTGTCGAAGCTCAAGATTTGTAAACCCCTAACCTCAGACCATAGTGGGCCCTCGGCATCTGCGGAGTTACAGGCATCATTGGTATTAACTGCGCTACTTGTAGTGGCCGGAATACCGGCAGGATGGTTCTGGTCGCGTGGAATTTTATGAAGTTACGCTATTGATTGATCTAACCAAAAGAATCCAAATCTAGAATAAATTATTATGGGTATTGTTAATCTAATCCATACCACCACGTGTGCACTAATCAACGGCGCCTAATCACGCTAGAACATTGTAGCTTCTAGTCATCTCCGAGACATCAGTCCAGATGTCTTCAGCTTATCTACTCTCACATAATCATGATCGCTTAGGTCGCTAGGAAACGTCCTGTTCGCATGATGCTTCCACATCCTGAGTGTGGCTTGCAACCAACCGGAATCCTTCCGATATGACATTTCCTTCTTTTGGGACCTCATTCTGTGCGAGTTCTGATAACCCAGATGGATATTTTCAAGTTCTTCAGGGTCCTCAATTTTGAGATTTTACGTACAATTTACGTACAAACATAATTCATAGATCAAATAAAAAAAATCGTAAAATTCGCTTCCCTCCCTTTAAATAATACTAAATAATAAATATGGTCTCAACCGATATATTTTGGCATCCGTGTGGCTTTTAACTCTTCTCAACAACAATCTCGGTTGTTTTCCAAATTTGAGGGTCCCCAGGTCCATCACCCTGGCCAGAGCCGGATCGATTGCTATCGCCCGTAGATGCGGCCGAAGTATGTGCATACTTCATGTTGTTCATTTCGATAATGTGCTCCCGGCTTTCACCAATAGTTCCCATGCTATACATTGCATTTGCACGGCTGGATCTCTGATCCACGCCCGTTCTCGCCCTAGAAGCGGCTGCAGATGCGTCTGTTCCGTATGGTCCATACTTGGGTGTGGTTTTTGTGTTATTGCTGTGGGACTTGAGGAAGCTCACTGTTGATCGAGCTAGGGACCAGACGAATGGTGCGTTTGTTACCCAAACACCGATCGAGGCTTCGCGGAGGTACCAGAATTGGTAGCTGCTGTCGTAGATGTCGTGGAATGTGAAGTATTTGGAGATGATTGCGCACAGAATCTGAGGTTTTTTGTTAGTTTATATGCGGAGGGTTGAAGATTGGTTGTTTCGTTATACTTACCACCACGATACCCATTGAAAATACCACTAGAACGGGGAGCTTCGTTCGCATTGGCAGACGGGTGCGGAATAACATTGGTAAAATGACTAGCAGAATGGCAATATCCGAGCTGAGATTGAAGACACATTGTACGATTTCATATCGGAAGTAGGTGGCGCATTCACGATGCGGTGGTGGGAGAGTCCAGTATCCGGTCAGAGGGTGACAATTGAGGAATAAAGTCAACTCGGTGGCTAGCCAGCCCAAGAACGTATAAGCGGCGCAGATTTTCACGAGTCGGTGCTGTTTAAGATTGGATCTGCCATATATCAGGGAAATTGTCCAGGGTTTCGTACATCGTTGTGATCACTTACGTGAGGCGGAAATACACCATCAACATGCATGCCTTTAGAGAGTAGATGGTACATAGCTGACACTAATAAAGGTTAGATGGATGAATAACGAGTTTGATTTTTGAACAACGTACGTTCTCCGAGGCAAACTCGATCTTTGATCCCAGAACTCGCTCACGGATGTCTTGCGCAGTAAAGGTTTCAAATTCACCAGGTTCATACAATGAACTACCTCCACCCTCGGCAATTTTGATATTTGTAACGACGAAAGCAGTGTACCAACTCTAGTTTTTTTTTGGTTAGTAACTGAGTTCCAATGTTTCACGTAGGGTCTGGATGACGAACTATAGCCATAAACATAAGGTAATCCTCAATTTGTAGGTGGAACTTCATTCGTTTATATCGGGCGTATCTGTTGCCAAGTCAGCCATTTCTTCAGTCTGAAAAGCTTAAGAGATCACTCACAATCGGACGACGAAGAACAATATACCAATGCTGTACATGATCCATGACTCGACCACGAGCTCATGCGGTGACCCTCCGCCCTGGTTTGTCATGATGTTATTGTGACAGTTTAGAACATTGCTCTAAAATGGTGGAGGAGGAGGTTCGAGAGCATGAAATGTATGTGGGAAGTGGGCGTGGCAATGTGTGGAGCACGGGTTTCGATCGCATCCTTTTTCGCACTAAATGCACTAAATCCAATCGTGGTCGAAGACCGAGACCACACCATATACGGAGTATGTGGGGACTATCTCAAGAACACCGGGGTGGATCCTAATTTATTCGTATGTACAATGTAATTGAAGGATTCTTGACGGAGTAATCCATTCAGGAGGGGTACATCCAGCTTCCAAATTTTCATTTTATGGAGTGTTACTCCGTAGTGACGCCAACCTTCCAAGTTAGAGTCTAGTTGATCTTTAGTTGCGAAATTTTTCCAAATATTCTAAGGACATTCCCGGCGGAGTCCGCATTTTACACCTAGATATTTCCGATGCTGATTGAGAGTAAGCAGATCCATAGTAGTATACCCTCAATGAGTCTTTTTTTTCTCTCTTAAAAGAAAAAAAACCCCTCAAAATACTAGTATTTACTTGGCCTCCCATAATGGCAGGGATTGTCAGACAGGGATTGGATGATCGGTACCTACTCCTCATTCTTCAGCAAATGTACCTCTACGCCTTTGGTACACTAAGCAGGGGTCTTAGTTCGAATGTTCCTGATAAATTCATATCAAATTGAAAAATTCATGCAAGCCACATGGGCATGAGGATTCAAAGTTTGACCAGGATTGTTCTGTGTGCAGGGAAGATTATAAATTAATTAAAATCATAAGAGAATGGTGGCCGATAATTCCGTCCGATTGGACTAATATCATAGACTAGTATGTAAACGAGGACCTGCAGATGCCCAGGTAGTATTTAGTACAGACTAAACATGCAGGGTGACCCATATCAGACTCCACTTTACGCGTACATGTAGGCTGATCTCGGGGGCTGCATGTTGATACCTACTCTTTTTGGTCTTTAACCCATCGCCGTGCACATGTGCACGAACCATCATTGCAAGATTCTATTCCAAGGTCCTGGTTAGAGGGGCAATTCCATTAAAGATCGCCATTGATTTTTTTGATTAATGTGATGGGATATGGATATCATTAATTCGGTTTTTGTACATCTCGGTAAATAGAAATATGAACTTTTCCCTTATCGATCATCTATGCGAATGCGAACCGAGCCGTCTTCTGGGCTAAGCCCAACAAAGCTTGGAACAGCTTGGCGATGCTTAGATCTGTAATGACATGGAATTGTTCCAAGATTTTTTTATAGCTGATAATTTAGCGTTGCTTTCAATTGGGCCGCGGAGTTCCTAGTTTCGGAGCCCTGCATTTTAGAACCGGCCGACCGCATTGATAGGTTCCCCCCCCCCCCGTGCATTGTGCCACATCCGACTTTTTACATAAAACTTCCTAGCGGCTATTACTTTCTGAGGCCTTTTTTCTTTTTTTTCTTCCTTTGTTCTGTGCATGAGCCCATTTAAATATTTGACTATATAGTCATTTCTTGCCATTGTTCTGAAAGGCTAAATCTATTTTTTTTTATATTTTTTTTGCCTTCGAACATGGTTAGCGAAAATGGATGAGGAGAAGGGAATTCAGACCCCTACGGTCACCTCTGAGCCATCATCATCATTAGGCCCGCAGAATGCCTTTACCCGATTTAATGATCGCTTTACCTCGCTTGACTTGGTTGAAGCGCGCGGCATTGAGCGTGTTCCTGAATCACAGCGCATGAAGGATGTGACTGCCGGTGATTACATGCAGATGGCCCTGCTTTGGTTTAGTACCAATATTACCGCCAATAATATGGCCGTCGGTATGTTGGGTCCTTTGGATTACTCTCTCGGTTTTGTCGACTCTGCCCTACTTGCCACCTTTGGTGCTCTGCTGGGTGCGGCTGGTGTCGCCTATATGGGAACCTTTGGTCCTGCCAGTGGTAACCGAACCATGGTATGTTATATCTCCTTCTGGATATGATAAGTATTACAATATGCTGATTTGTGTATAGGTCATTGCTCGTTTCTTCATGGGATACTGGCCCAGCAAGCTGTGTGCCCTGTTGAACATCTGTATCATGTTGGGTTACGGTATGGTTGACTGTGTCGTCGGTGGACAAATTCTGTCGGCTGTCTCTGGAGGTGGCATGTCTGTCGTTGTCGGTGTTGTCATTATCGCTATCATCACTTGGATTGTTGTCCTGTTTGGTATGCGTGTGTTCCACATTTACGAACGGTACGTTTCTCATACTACAATCTATTTCCTCCATATGCATACTAACATACCTCCCAGATGGGCCTGGATCCCCCAGCTTATCGCTGCGTTTGTTCTGGTTGGTTGCGCTGGTCCCAAGTTTGACACTTCAATTCAGACCACTGGTGATTCTGCTACTGTCGCTGGTAACCGACTGTCTTTCTTCTCCCTGTGCTTGTCCGCATCGGTCGCATGGGCCCCCGCCGGTGCCGACTTCTACGTCTACTTCCCTGAGAAGACTGCCAAGTGGAAGACCTTCACCATGACTTTCCTCGGTGTCGGTCTGTCTCTTACCTTTGCCAACCTTCTCGGTGTCGGTCTTGGCTCTGGTGCTATTAACAACGCTACCTGGGCTGCTGCCAATGATACCTCGTCTGGCGCGTTGATTATGGCCGGTTATGAGGGTCTCGGTGGCTTCGGAAAGTTCCTCGGTGTGCTGGTCGCTCTGGGTCTGATCGCCAACAACATTCCCGGTACCTACTCCGCCTCTCTTGGCTTCCAGATCCTTGGTCGCTACGCCGAGAGACTGCCTCGTTGGTTCTGGTCTTGCGTTGGTGTTATCATCTACTTCGTCTGTGCGCTTGCCGGTCGCAACCACTTGTACGATATCTTCGAGGACTGGCTTGCTCTGATGGGTTACTGGGTGTGTATCTACCTCAGCATCTGCCTTGAGGAGCACTTCTTTTTCCGCTGGAACACAGGCTTCGTGTGGGAGGACTGGGCGGACCAGTCGAAACTTCCTATCGGAATTGCCGCCATGGCAGCCTTCCTCATCGGCTGGGCCGGATCCATTGTCTCCATGGACGAGATCTACTATGTCGGTCCCATTGCGAAGATGGTTGGTGATGATTACGCTGATCTTGGTATCTGGGTCGGCTCTGGCTTCGCACTAATTGTTTACCCACCCCTGCGCTGGCTGGAGCTGAAGAAGTTCAACCGTTGATTGGTTGCGCTTTGTATATTTATGTACATGATTTTTTTGTTTCGATGATGTTGATCCGACCTTTACGCTCTTTCCCTATTACTAGAATAATAGCCCCCAGTATGTCTGGGGTGCAAAATTGGATTGATTGCGGGCTTTGATCTTATTCATCCCATCAATCAGCGAGTCACGCGACCGCAGATCCATATATCCGAAATACAATATGAATAAAATTTATTTCAATCAATACTCAATTGTTCCTGTTTCAAATATAGCACATGCAGTAAGAGAAAAAGAAAATAGAATGCAAATTTGCACACGTGCGTCACGATGCAATCTACACGATGCTAGAGCTGCACATGTGTCCTCCCGCAAGGAAACATTCAAAATGATTGACAATTCAAGTTCGATTCACCATATGTCTGACCCTAGGGACTCGGACATTCAAGTTCAAGTTCAAGTTGGTATGTCACTGGCAAATGAGACTGGACAAGCGTGGAATTTTTTGTATTTCCTCCTTACATATGCACACTGGCATGTGTCACACGGTGATGATAGTATATATCAGCTTGAAGATCAAGGTGTACATACCTAGGTATGTATATTTAAGTTTGTAGTATGTTTTGGTAGGCATCCCCAGAGTGTAAATCTGAATAATATGATTCGAACTCCAGGGCTTGAATTGGGACTTTAAACCTTCAAGTTCAAGTTGGAACTGGAATTAAGAAGAACTCGATAGTTATCAAATGCTTGCTTTAAGTTCAATCTTCCAAGAATTGTTGAATCGATGTTAGGGGCTCGAAGATCAATGCATCAATCTCAACTAGATAGAGCACAAGATTCGAAAAGAGAAAATTCGAAGCACTGGCAGTTGAGAGTCACGACACTTCCAAGGTTAGAGCTCAACAGTATAATATAAAAGTGGAAAGAGACCCATCGGCTTGCCGGACTATGCACATGTGCTCTCAGCATTGATCCAGTGGTTGGACATATCCGACTCGGACTAGTTGACATCAAAGTACTATTTACTCCTTCTCTTTTCTCAATCGCTAGATGTCTCTCTGGCCTATATGAAGCTTTTGATCGAGTGCAATACAATAAAATATCAGCAAATGACTCTCATTGTTACAAAATCAAGGTGTTTGTATTCAAAATGCTCGACATCAGGGGCTGAAAAGACCATTTCGAATTAAATTTACATCTTTATGTTGATTGAAATGAGAGCTAAAAGGAGTAACAAAGACGACTAGAAGTTGACGAACTCAATTACTTTCGTAGTCTCCAGGGCTGAATAGTTCATAAAAGTCCAGCCCATCGGGGCTGCGGAGTCGATCGCCGCAACACGAGATTCCACCCCGGGGATCCACTCCCACCATCAACCCCGTCTTCACTCTTCTCCCAACGCGTGGGATGATGCTGTTGCAGCATGGATTTTGTGTGTATTACCAACAGAAGTTATGGAATCGCGTGGTTGCTGACTACCCCTAGTGGTCTCGTCTTATTGGTGGCTCGCGCGCACTGTCTAAGAACTCCCGAGCAACCTCCCCGACTGAGAGGCTAACAGCATTTAAACGCGCCTGCAATGGTCTTCAGGTACTCCATTTTCCAACGAAAGCCGCCGCTCTGATCTGATCATGATTCTTTATAGCAAATATGGCGATCGAATAATACCCCCGCGGGTGAACAACCCATCGCTCACGCGCGTACCTACATCGAACGATTGAACTCGATCCTCAGTGACGAATCCCGAGGACCGGCTCCCCATCCCTGTGTAGCATATGCTGCGTCTTCACAGATCTTCGTGACCGTCACCAAACTTGCTCTCTCCTACTACGATGAGCAATTGCTTCGTTCCGCCACGGTATTCTTCAACACCCTGATTGATGCAGAGGTAGACGGCGTGGTTGATAACCGGCTCTTTGCCCGTGCAATGGTAGATCTGGTTCGGCGAGCAGACAAGGGCTCAGATGAGACTGAAGGGAGATTAGTGGAGCTGCTATTCGGTATTGCCAACAACATCCGTCTACAGCCCACCATTCTGCCAGCGTGGTTCGTGCCTCGAGTGACCCCAGTCAGCCAGGACGGGGACTCAGGTGCGGCCCCTGGGGCGGAATTTGCGGGTGCTACGCGTAAAGACGAGTTCCCATTATTCTACCTTCTGGTCGACTACGTACATAATGAGGGCCGGGCGGGTGACTTTGCACGAACTGGTCTCCTATACTTGATCGAGACGGCGTCGCGGTCAAAGAACTTGGAGAAATGGTTAATTGAAAGTGATCTGGCTACACTGATGGCTACGGGTCTAGGTGCATTGTACAGCCAATTGGGAAGGTGAGTAATAGTTGGTATCTCCAACGATGAACGAATTGCTAATAGATCTCAGTCTGTGCTTCCCCTCCATTGATGAGGAGACTCCCCGTATAATCGCACTTTCCGATCATGCCGACGAGATAACGGCCCTTAAACCCGCTTTGGGGGAAGCTATGGATGCTTTCATGTCATATCTCCTGTTCTGGCAAGACACAATCGACCACTGCAAATCTGCGGAGGTCAACGATACCCTTCTGGATCATTTCCAGGTTCTTTTCCTTGAGCAACTATTGTAAGACCCAGCTCAGTTTGGTTCATGCTTCTGTGTACTAACGAATCCAGATACCCATCTTTATTAGAATCCTCCGACGTGGCTGGTGGTTCAACGGCGGCTGTATTGACCTACCTGTGCCGCATTCTGGATTCCATCGACCAAGGTGAATTAGTCCACCGGATCCTGCATTTTCTTTTGGCTTCATCGCCACCACCGGAAAAGCAAATGGATATGTCGGCCAGTCGGCGAAAATCGCTCACTGTGCTGGCTGCGTTGGCCTCCGAGGTGGCACAACCTTCTCCATCTCTTTTCAACTTGCGTGATCTTGCGCTTCTAGGACTTCAGTCCACCAACCGCCAAACCGTGTTAGCCACACTGCGTCTCTTGAATGTCATTCTTCAACGCCATCATCCATTTGCCCGGGCACTTATTCATACGGTCCCTGGTCTGCCAACCCAACAGCGCTCCGTTGGTGCATTTAATGCGGAGCTAGAACAACTCCTCGCAATGGGAAAATCTCTGATCAATGAGCCGACCCTGAACGAGTCTTATGATAATTATGTCGCGGATGCAACTTGGGTACTTGAGTCTCGCCTTTGTCTCCCCGTCTCCGTGGAACAGGACGAGGATTCAATCCCTCTGCCTCTCCAGCTCCAGCAAGATGATCCGATCGTACAGGCTCTACTGAGCTGTGTTGATTCCTTCTTCAGCAACAGTGTCATCGTCAACCTGGCACTCACTGGAGTTCTCATGAGTCTGGCCTCGTCTCATCTGTTCTCCCTGGATGGATGGGTACTGGTCGACCCGGCTCAATACGACTCTTCTGAGGAGTCTTCGGACGAACTCTCTCATGTTCGTCAAGCCTATCAGTCGCCGACATGGCCTGATACAGCTAATCCCACATTGACTTCAGCCTTCAAAAAGCTGGTAGATCAGGTGCACCAGTGGCAGCAAGATCTACCGGACTTTGATGTCCTGGTTGCTGCTCGCCGTGACCTGCTTCACCGTGAGGACCGTCCACAGACTCCGACACGTCCTTTGGAGTCTTCTGAGACCCCGGCTCCATTGTCCGCCGATCGTTCGCGTCCCTCATACCCTGGATCTCCAGATCAATCAGTTCCTGGCTCACGTGGTCGATCCCCTCAGTCAGTGAACACCTCAGGAATGCAGCCTAGCCTAATGCGGGGTGAACCATCTGGGCGTCCAATTGACTCTCGGGGCTCCTCGGTTTCCCGTGCCTCCGCGGCGGAAGCTCTCCGCCAGCGGCTAGCCATGCCATTTCCACCCCCGACACCCGGACCTCCTGCAACGGAAACTGTGGAGACAAGTTCCGAGCAGGACGCCGATCATGAAGCACGGCCAACTGTTACTCTAGGTCACGTTCTCACCAATGTGGTAATTCTTTATGAATTTTTACTTGAGTTATCTGCGGTAGTGCAGGCACGGGGAAGCCTTTTTGAAGAGGCTGGATATACTTAAGGAGGTGGGTTTCAATCTAGGAATTGATTGTATAGAACTTGAATCTTTTCAAATTACCAAAGGCTATTTATATACATTTATGTCAGTTCTCAATGTAGTTATACAATTATTCAGTCTTAAATAGTACTAGTGAGTGGGGCGATCTGACGCACGCTATCTTGGCACGCATGGTATCGTGCGGCCGCCGCTTGCGACGATTGGGCCAGCCCTTTACGGGCCACCTTTCATTGAGGGTATTACTGTACTACTGCACTATTGGACTCAGCCATGTGCCTCTTGACTCTTTCTCTCTAATTATATCACCCCTAAGTGAGAGTTAGTATATATACGGAATGACAGGCCATGGCCCCGGATCTTGATCTCAATCGCGAGGATCGCGAAGACGCTCCTTTCCTCACCCCCGAACCGAATACGCATTTATCAGCATCTACCCCTGGCCCCGTCCTCCATAATGAACCAAAACCCATTTCACAGGGTACCGCTGGCAACTATGCGTCGGTACAGAAGATCAGCTTTCGGCTGAAGTTGATCTTATTCTCAATGATCCTCGCGGTCGAGATTGGGTTCTCCTTTCTCGAGGGCCCCCAAGTCCGCATCTTCGAGTCCATCGCCTGCCGACAATATTACTCCGTGGTCGATCCGAGTCAGATTGGCGCCAATGGTCAAGTACCGGAGGAAATGTGCAAGGGTGCGGAGGTACAAGCGGAACTGGCGGCTGTGAAGGGCTATCACATGTTTTTCGATGGGTTATTATGTAGGGCTGAGTCGATAAGATAACGTGAGGGTACCTCTGGTCTCTAACCATGATATAGGCGCCCTCCTGGCTATCCCTTATGGTCTGCTGGCAGACCGACGAGGCCGCAAGTCGACTCTCCTCATCGGATTACCGGGATTCTTCCTAAACTCCATGATCACGGTCGCTGTGATGTGGTTCTCTGAGACTATTCCTCTTCGCGCGGTTTGGTTATCCTCATTGGCCTGGTTGCTTGGAGGTGGGCCTGTCGTCACATTTGCTATCATTTGGACGATGATGTCGGATGTGACGACAGAGGATGAAAGGTATTTTCATTCCTAATACCTCGAGGAATTTTTGATTGCAAAACTGACATGTGTCACAGAGCCGCGCTGTTCTTCCAATTTGCCGTCGTATCAATGGGTGCTGAATTCGTCTCAAGTGCTTTCGCCTCATACTTGATGACGTTGAACCCATGGATCCCTCTTAGCATCGGCTACGTGATCGTTTTCGCAGGGTTGATGTTGATGATTGTGCTCCCTGAGACAAAGCACGTGAAGCTAGCTCCCAATAAGCCTGAGCCCTCGAATGTGGAGATGTCGGAATTGGACCACGATCAACCCGAACCTAAGCCTGAATCGAGACCATACCATGACGACAGCGATGTGGAGATAGGATCAGACCATGGAGAACACATGTCCTGGAGCTATCCCTCGCGCCAGAACCTATCCCTCTGGGGAAGAATTCGGGCTAATGTTCGATTTTACGTGCAACCCTATTTATTCATCTTGAACAGAAAGCCCGTTCTCCTTCTCTTGTCGGCTTTCTTGGTATATCGTCTTAGTCGTGGTTCATCCTGGTTCCTAACCCAGTATGTCTCAACACGATACCACTGGACCCTGGCCCAGGCCAACTTGCTTGTGTCGTTCCGACCCACAGTATCCATCCCGGTGTTCTTGTTCGGCCTTCCCTGGCTGAAGAAAAATTACCTGGATCCACGACGATCGTCCACGGAAAAAGATCTCTTCCTTGCTCGTGGAAGTATCGTCTTGTTGACTGTGGGGACACTGGGAATTGGTCTCTCGCCTGTCATCGGCACCTTGATTCCTAGTTTGATTTTCCAAACCTCCGGATCGGGCTTCGTCTTTTTGACCCGCTCCATTATTAGCACCCTGGTGGAGCGAGACGAGACTGCTCGTTTATATACAGCGATTGAGATCCTCCAGTCTATAGGCAATGTGGTAGCCAGCTTGTCTATCACGACGGTGTTCCAGGTCGGTCTTCGCATGGGAGGATTCTGGGTTGGATTGGCATGGATGATGACTAGCACATTATTCTGCATGGTCGGAGCTGCAATTTGGTGGTTCCGACTCCCCGATACCCCTCATGCTCCGGAGTTTGTGGTAGATGATTTTTCGGAGGATGATTGAGTCTTGCATCCTGCATCTCCAGACATATATAGATTCGATCTTGTACAGTACGAGTTCCCCTCAGCATCGCACGGTGTTCACCTTTTCTTTGGGCGTTGGTCTGTTTTTTCTGCCAGTGGTCACATAATTGCATCATAGAATTAGCATTATATTGATTTTGTCTGAAGCTTTTCAAGTTCCATGGTGTATCTATTTTTAAGTTGATGGGTCCAGTTGTCTAAAGTGACCGCGGCACACTACTGGCATCACGTGGCTCTCACATGTAAAGCTCCCATCAACTTTTTTAGGAAAGTACGACATCCTCCACTTATCTAGTCCCACACTGCAGGTGCGATGGAGAAATTCTCCCAATTTCGGGATCGAGGTATGTGATATCATCTATTAGTATATCTCATTCATCTTCTGAACCAGTCCTGAAGAGCTTCCATGCTAATACCTGGCTAGGTTCGGGCATCGCGCCCTTCCTGCCCATTCCCTCCGAGTCACTCGGCTTACAGGCCCCTCTTCGCATCTTTCTATTTTGTTTCCGTCTACCCCTGTTCATTTTTGTGACATTGGCCTATTTTGTTATTCTCCAATGGCTTCCTATAGGTTCCCTGGGAAAGAAAGCAGCTCTTTGGTGTATATTAGGTGTCCCCAGCATCTGGTGGATTGACCTGCAAGTGGATGGAGTAAAGAAAGGGTACGGTAGATCAGCTCGAGGAACCTCAAGATTCGAGAAGCTAATTCCCTGCGCAATAGCTCTTTATCAAAGCACCAACAAGCTCGCCTTCCCCAGCCGGGCTCTGTGATTGCCTCCTCCTTCACCTCTCCTATCGATGCTGTATACCTGGCCGCTATCTTCGACCCCGTCTTCACAGCCGCCTACCCCAACACCCGTCAGGTTGAGCGCATCTCCCTCCTTCAGGCAATCCTCCGTCCCTTCGCTGCACCCCGAGCCCAACCAACACCGGGTTCGAAACTCTACGACCTCGCGACATTGGTGGAAAAGTATCCCAACCGACCCATCGTCGTCTTTCCCGAGTGCACCACCACCAACGGCCGTGGAATCCTCCCGCTCAGTCATGCACTGCTTAGCGTTCCGTCCAAGACGAAGGTCTTCCCTGTTAGCCTTCGGTATACCCCAGTGGATGTGGTGACTCCAATCCCAGGAAGCTACATTAGCTTCATTTGGACGCTGCTTAGCAAGCCTACTCACTGTATCCGTGTCCGCATTGCCGAGTGTGTTATGAACAACCGTGGCTCAATTGATACCCCGCCTGCTCGATCTACCCGCCAATCGACTTATATTTCCAATTATCTTGATACCCTCGAGCAGGACACGAGTGAAGACGGTGTCACAGCGGCTGAGAGGGCATTCCTTGACCATGTCGGGGAATCGTTGGCTCGTCTGGGTCGTGTCAAGCGGGTTGGATTGGGAGTGAAGGAGAAGCAGGAATTTGTTCGAATGTGGACTAAGACTCGTAGTACGTGGTGAGCTTTGTTCTGGTTCTGTGGAGGACTATGATTATAGAGTGAATCAATGAAAGTCATGACCAGAGGTTATTCTTATAGGGACATCTTGTGCCTACTTTTTAGTCTGTGTAGCTCAAGGCAGCATGATCATCTGATTTAAGGTTTATGCGTGCGGCATGATAGCCCACTTGCATGACTAGTGCATAGGGATCAAGAAGTCTAATCATTCTAAAAAGCGTCTCCATTCTGTTCATTCGCTGAGTCAAGCAGTTTCACTGGCATGAGACAAGTCCTTTGTCCAGAGACACCTTTGTTATAGCAAAAAGATAGTCAAAGGAACAATGTCTTTCCTGGAGCTCTTTGGTCTCTGAAGACAATAGAGCTAGTTTTCACCCATCTATCAGTGTATACAAAATACTAGTTAAGCCCTCTCTTCCTCAAACCAATCCAGCTACTACTCTTACTCAGGACCCAAGACTCTCAGTAAAGTCTATCAATCCCCAATCTCCCTGAGCCCGGAAGGGATAATGTGTATCCAATTCTACATAAAATTCCAATGTGGCCACACGTCCAAATCTCGTCTGGAGTACTGCGAAAAGAAATTCCGACTAAAACGGAACGAACTCACCTCCCCTCAAAACGAACCAGCCAACATTTGTCACGACCCCAAGAAGCAAAAAGTTGACGACTTTGAGGAAAAAGCTGGAATGTGTCAGGAATGCTCTATTGCGCTGTATCAGGATTTCTGGATTCAGAAGTGGAAGGTGAGGGATCGGGTGAGGAAAGCAGCCCGGATTGCGGCTCGTGTGGGGAACACCACTGCTAATAGGCCTGAGAATTCGGTATTCAGAGACCGAGAGTCAGATTCTGGGGAGTCAGGACATGTTCTCAAGAACTTATAAGGTTTAGTGTTGACTCCATTGGATCCATTTAGCAATGAGTTTAATCTATCAAGTTCGCATAACTCAGTTGGTAGAGCGCACAACAGTACTTCCTCGGAAATCTTGAAGTCTCCGGTTCATCCGGATGGATGTGAGCATTTTTTTTGCTATTTTCATTTTTGTTTATACTCTCATGTATGTAGGCATATGGAGATCTTAGTAGGTATAGTCAGTCCATAGTATATCATTGATTGATTCAATGTTGCATTTCCAAAAAAAATCTGAGAAGTATCTCCAACATTTGAAGTAAAATAATTGAATCTATGGGGGCTACTATCTACAACTAGTAGTAAACATTGAACTTGAACCACATGTGCAGTACGGGTGGCTCAGGCTATACATATGTTACGTCAATATATTTTAGTCTAAGTGCATGTGTGTACTAGTAAATTCAATTATTGATCTCTAGGGCAACACCTTTCTGCTTAGTCCTCAATGGTTGCGGTAAGAGTGGCGTGAACGAATCCTTCAAATGTTTCCCCGAGTTCAATACTTGCCACTTGGATTCTGGTGTGATAACAACTTGAAAGTTGCAGTACATTTGGAAAGTCTGGCGATACTAGTCTGCTGTGAAGAGAGATAGATACCAACGGGTCAAATTGTGGGAAACAAGCTTCAAGTTCTTAACATTTTCCCAGCTGCACTGGTATCAGATCCTAAGGTGAAGCTGGTTATCTGAAGCGTAGCTTATAGTTCCCACAGGGTCCACCATTCTCTTTGACTATAGGCATCTGCTGGTTTTCACCATTGATTTAAGCCCTGAGGTCGCCTTGACAGACATGGCTAGACCAAATGCTTCAGCTTCCAGGGTATGCTCCGTACACCCATTTTGGAAGAAGATAAATCTCGCGGTATCCAGATCGTAGAGCGCTCGCTTCAGCCAGGTGAGACAGTTCGGTTCCCGGACCACGCGACTCAGACAGTCGTCTAGACGCGCTCCACCGATTCCTTTGTACTTGGGATGATGCCAATTCTTAGAGCGACAAGTAAATTGAACGAGGATGGAACATTGCTAGTTACTGCAGCATCATACTCCCATTTGTGACCTGTCCGAATGTTGCAGATCATTTGATATTTCTTCCTATGTTTGGCGCTATGTGCATGGTAGAGACCCCAAGATACCGCTGTATCTCCCACATGTCTGAAACTAGGGTATAGAGACCATCAGTCTCCAGTTCCAAGCCCATATCGGAAGATTCAAGTTGGGATATCTGGATGAGGTTGGGCAAGACTTATTGACAGTCTTCCTAAAACCTGGGAAGGCCAATGAGTAAAGATTTGGTAGAATCTGGAAGATGATTTTTGATCAATGACACTGTCCCCTTTTATATCAAATTGGGTAGAAGCCGATTCAAGTTCAAATTATATCTCAGCGTCAATATAGTACAAATCGAAATGGAGGCACGGACCCTGAATAACAGCTCATACAATATTCCTGACCAATAAAAAGCCGATCACTGGGGTTTCTCCAGCCAATCCCCGCAATTTGTTTGCTCTTTTGTCCAGTCAAGGGTGAGTCGTGACCTCCATCAGCCATCAACCTCGATGACTGCATCATCCAGCGACCCCTCTCTATTGCTCTAACATTCTTTGGTGCTTCTAAATCTATTTTGCAGTACAAATTCATCAATCAAACCAACAATCTAAGTTCATGCCCCGATTTTGAACTCGATCCCTCCAATATTAGCCTCCAGATAAACGTTGGACTCCTGAAAGCGCCACGGGCTTGATTGTGACTCCCAGCTGACGTCCTAGAAACAAGGGTGCGTCTCATTCAGAATTATACTCGCTCATATATGTACCAGCTACTATATTTGATTCGACGGTTCCACGAGAACATGGCTAATAGTTGGGCTCATGAAGGCGCTAAAAGCGTGATCGTGACCTCCAACCGGCATTCTAGGAACAAGAGTGCGTCTCGGTTAGAATATTTATCTATCTACTGGCTACTATCTTCGGTTCGATTGCTTGACCACCGGAACATGGCTAATCATTGGGCTCATGAAGACGCTGAAAATTTGATCGTCACTTCCAGCACCCCGTGAGAGACGAATATACTCGTGGACGTTTCCGCCGAGTATCGACTACTTTTAATTCAGTTGGCTCTACCTAAGTGCCATCTACGGGGCTAATCTGCTGTCGGAACGTCTGTTAAGACCTGGAAAACTCCCAAGGTCGTAACTTGCACATGTGAGTCCGAGTCGTCTTCTCTTTGAACACGAATCTCTGCGGGCGTATTCACCTGCTGGCCACTCATCTCGTCGATATTTTTTCACTAAGTAGTCAGCTTCAGAATAGATAGTGCAATAGGAAAATTCCTACAATTTGAGACAAGATTTCTCCAGTCCTGCTTGAATGAACGTAGGGAAGCCTCTGCCCCAGCATCTGGTTGTATTCTGGATAGGAGATACTGGGCTGCGAACTCTGGATCTAGGGCTTTCTCAATGAAGTCTTTCAGCAGGAGGTGCTCATTGGGCGAGAGATTTGCCGAGGATATGGCCTTCAGTGCAATGCTTGAACTGGCCATGGGTGAATGAATGACAAGTAGAGCGATGGGCAAATCGAAAGGAGTAAGACAATCTTCCAGGTATTTTCTGATAAGAATATGGTTTGCAAGAGGCTCAACGACACCTTCGGGGAGGTTCCGGAAGATCTGGATACTCTAGTCCGCCGTCGAGATGGCCTAGGTTGTTGCATGACCAACAATTTGAGGTTGAGCAAGAAGCCACCTGCGGAACAAAGTATTCCTTTTGAAGCTGTCCAGCCGGCATACATCATTCATCCATCGATACTTCGAAAAAAGGTCAGAATAGCAGCCTGATTATACACCTAAATATCTGACAATCCTGTATTTCTAGGGCGCGTCTTTGGAAGTTCTGGAAGCATTCCTTTCTCCATCGGGCTTTGCACAACTGAAGTCTCTAGTGGGTAATCACGACGATATCCAAGCTGCTCTGCAAAACGTGTGGTGCTTATCGCCTAGCATGCATGGGGCAATTTGGAATGGTGATTTAATTATATGGGATCAAGCTACTAGATATATCCAAAATCAGAATTCGGACTGTACACTTAGTGACGATGAGATGCGCGAGAAATACAAAGACACGGTAAGGGTATTTCTAACCTGAGAACCATAATTGTACTGACAGTTTTCTCCTTCAAGTATATCCTCACAAGATGCAGGTTGTGGCTACAGATTGAAGGTCTGAAGTATGCAGATGGCACTAATTGCACCGGCTATGCCTCCGTTCATCTATCTTCATCTGACTCGGCCCTGAAACTACCCAACAAATTCCTGTCTCACATTCATGAGCGTTTCGCACACGCACTTGATTTTTTCTCCATCGAGGATGAGATTGCGAGGGGTTGGCCGAAACCAGAAAGAGGTATGTTCGAATATTCTGCGCGATTCATTCATAGCCCCTAACATTTCCCCAGATCCCATTCCTCGTTTCCTCCGACAAGCATTCTACTATCTCTCACGTTTAGTACCACTATGGGCACGAATGAGGTTTTATGTTCTGCTCTGGAAGATCGGAAACGGAAGCTGGCAAACTATAAGTCGTGGATGTGTCCAGCGACTTCCCATTTCGTCTAATCATGAAGGAGTGTCTCAAAGCTCCCCAGAGTGAACCAAATGCCCTGGAACTAGTTGAAAAACATACCACTATTCCAGCTTCTCGACTCGTTGATGTTGGACAGTATGATGGGAAGACCTATATGATTATGACAGTACTCCCCGGAGAGCAGCTTGAATCCGTGTACCATCTCATGTCCTACGAAGAGTGCGACCGTCTTGCTGAGGACCTAGGGGATTGCGTCGCTCAGCTTCGACGAATCCCTAACAATACACCTTATCGCTTCGCTAATACCGCTGGAGGTCCTATATATGATCATCTTCTCCCGGACGAAGAACCGGTTGGTCCATACAATAATGAATCCGATTTCAATAATCATCTTCTGGGCTATATTGACTGCACCCCTGAAGAGGCTTTCCAGTCCAATGGCGAAAACAGGTCTATGTGCCAGGATCATCAGTCTTATTTTACACATGGTGATTTACACTCTACGAACATAATTATGCAAAATGGTCGGCTGAGTGGCATCGTGGATTGGGAATGTGCTGGGTATATGCCTGACTACTGGGAATGTATCAAGGCCCGGAGAGCTTCTTGGTCTAGTCCAGTTTTGTGGGCCATATATGGTCCTGTGTTCAAGCGATTCGGAGATTATGAAGAGGAATGGGAGATCGAAAGGATCTTATGGCGACATACTCACTAGTGAGCGAGTAACCAGCTGGAAATTGTATTGATATTCAAGTTTCTAGTTCGTAGCTTTCTCAGATATTCCTCTCATTTCAATTCGCCCCCTTTTTTGCCGAGTCCTTGCTTTCAAGTCAACTAGAGTCTTTGGCCTCATCAAAAATACGAAGCTGCAAAACCTTCGGGTTATTGCTTGCGATATGCATGCGATCTATGCGGAAAAGGAAGGGATTTTGACACCCACACACGGTTTGACATAGGCCAATCGGTTAGCCCGCTGTATAGTATCGTATAAGGACTACTAAAACTTGAAATATCGTTGAATGATAGCGAGTTCACATTTAAACAGGGCACGCGGAATATCTTCCAAGGCTCCGTTGTCGTTGGAGGCATTCAGATTTGAGGCGAACTTCAAGTTGGATCGGAAAACAGTCAGGGATTGGATGAAATGAATGTCAAACTCACTTCTGTTACTAATGAATCCAGATTTGAAGAAAGTTAAATGATGCGTTAATACAAAAGATCAAATTGTGAATGAAAATTATATAGCACAGGTACCCAACCGAATACATCGCTTTTCATGCTCGGGACTATGCCCGAGGATATCAAGAAACACCAAGGAATCGTTTACTCTAAAGCGTCAGTGATGCAGCCGTGGCTAGCATCCTGGACAGATCGGGCATATTTACCCAGGGTACCACGCATGGTCAGACCAGTCTCAGGCAGCTGGCCGGCAGCCTTGCGGGCCTCCCAGTTCTCTCTACGCTCGACCAGAGTCTCGTCAGAAACGTCAAGGTCGAGGCGAAGCTTCTCAGCATCAATAGTGATGACATCGCCATCCTCGACGAGACCGATGGGTCCACCAACAGCCGCCTCAGGGACAATGTGACCGATCAGGAAACCGTGAGAGCCACCGGAGAAACGGCCATCAGTGATCAGAGCACAGTCAGCGCCCAGACCGTAACCCATCAGGGCAGCGGAGGGCTTGAGCATTTCTAGAAGGGAAGGTTAATATGGATTCCACAAACTGGATGAAAGCGAACAAAACTTACCAGGCATACCGGGGCCACCCTTGGGACCACAGTAACGGATAACGACAACGGTCTTCTCGCCCTTCTTAATCTCGCTGCGTTCCAGCGCAGCAATGAAGGAATCCTCATCGTCGAAGACACGAGCCTTTCCAGTGAAGGAAGTACCCTCCTTACCAGTAATCTTACCAACACTGCCGCCAGGAGCCAGAGAACCACGCAGAATTGTGATGTGGCCAGTAGGCTTGATGGGTTCAGAGAGAGGACGGATGATCTTCTGGTTAGGAGCCATGTCGGGGACCTTCTCCAAGTTCTTGGCGAGAGTCTCACCGGTGACGGTCATACCAGAGCCGTCAATCAGACCCTCTCTCAGAAGCATCTTCAGAAGGGCAGGAGTACCACCGATCTCGTGAACATCGGCCATGACGTACTTGCCAGAGGGCTTCAGATCAGCCAGGAAGGGAATACGGTCAGTGACGGCCTGGAAGTCGTCGATGGTGAGCTTGATACCAACGGAGTCGGCAATGGCAATCAAGTGCAGAACGGCGTTGGTGGATCCACCGGTGATGTTGACAACGACCATGGCGTTCTCGAAAGCCTGGCGGGTCATAATATCACGTGGGCGAATGTCCTCCTTGAGCAGCTTCTTGATGGCACCACCGGCAGCCAGACACTCGAGGTACTTGGCCTGAGAGTTGGCAGGGTTGGAAGAGGAACCAGGGAGGGTCATACCCATGGTCTCAATGGCAGTGGCCATGGTGTTGGCAGTGTACATACCACCACAGGCACCCTCACCGGGGCAAGCGTGACGAACAACATCGAATCGCTGGGGCTCAGTGATCTCCTTGGCGATGAACTGTCCATAGGCTTGGAAGACGGAAACGATATCAATCTCGGCATTGTTCTGGGTAACAGCACAACCGGGCTTGATAGAACCACCGTAAACCATCAAACTGGGACGGTTCACACGACCCATGGCCATCATGACACCGGGCATGTTCTTGTCACAACCGGGAATGCTGATGTTGGCGTCATACCACTGACCACCCATAACAGTCTCAATGGAATCGGCAATCAGGTCACGACTCTGCAGAGAGTAGCGCATACCAGTGGTACCCATACTGATGGCGTCACTGACACCGACAGTGTTGAATTGGAAACCAACAAGGCCCTGGTCCTGGACACCCTCGCGCACCTTGTTGTTCAGGTCGAGCAAGTGCATGTTGCAAGGGTTACCGTTGAACCAGACGGAGGAAATTCCAACCTGGGCCTTGTTCATGTCCTCCTCCTGGAGACCGACAGCGTACAGCATAGCCTGGGAGGCACCCTGGGACTTGGGCTGAGTGATGTGTCGGGAGACTCGGTTGAGACCTTCATCTTTCTGGAATCGGGGGAGGGTGGTTGAAAGAGAGCGACTACAGCCAATGCAAGAGGTCAAAGGTTAGCAACACCATCACGTCGTCCATCCGGGGTCATCACACTCACGCTGGGATAGTGGACCGAGACAGGCTGCGGAGAGCCGCGGGCACACGCGCCCGGGTTTGAGGGAGCATTGTGACGGAGATTGGTAGAAAGAACCGGGGAACTGTCGTACACAATCTAGAATTGAGGTGAGAAAGGTGGTGGGGGGGAGGTCGGGGTCGCAGTAAAATAAGAAAAGGCGGAAGCTACGATGTCGGAGTTGTCGTTCCTCTCCCCGGCTCCACTATTCTGATTTAACCAATCTACGAGCTCCAATTGTCATCGCTAGTCACCGAGCTTGAATCTGCGAGTCAGACACCAATTCCTTTTTTGAGTCATATTTGCATAAATGCATCCACAATTGAATGATCTATCTGAAGATCTTCGCAGTTTCCCCCGAGTTCGAGTCGGTGTTGAGGCCGATATTCTTCTTCAGGAAATTATGATGCCTTAGTGCCTTAGAACAGCAGCTCCGATCCACTTTTATTGCGGATCATGCTGTGCATAACAGGTAATGCAGAGACAACAGCAAGACATAGGTGGATTATGCTCACATATCTCCGTATAGATTGACGTTCTAGATCCACAAATATCGATTAGACCTTAACCCTCCACCTCCATCGATATCCCAGACAAGCCCACCGCGCCATAACAAAACAACAAGCAGCAAGTGCCAAAATACTACCCAGGACAGCTACTAGGCGTGAAGGACCAGCTACTTGCAACAGCTGGCCTCCAATTGGAATGCCCACCAGTGTCATATGCCACCATGTCAGCACGCATGGATGAATTGCCCATCGAGGCCAGGGAAAATCTCTTACCCAAAACTAGCCACAGAATAACAAGTCCCAAACCAGACCCCAAACTTGTCCGTATCACATATTTGACCAAGGCATACAGGAGTCAGACTCAGGATGGTACCTGTACCAAAACCTAGAATTGCACAGAATGGATAGAGAACACCAAGATAGTGGCCGAAGGGATACCACATAACCCAGATAATAGCAGCTGTTGTGGAGATCACAGTACCCAAGGTGTTGAATCGTCCGAGGTAATCGGAGCACATACCAGAAAGCCAACGACCAAATGCCGACCCGCTGCTTTTGATCAGTATCTCCCAGAAAAAAAAGGATGATGACCATTTACTCACGCATTGAAGACAATCAATAGATAAAAACCAACACCGGTATTGAAGCCTTGCACGACGGCATATGTTGGTATGAGACCCAAAGCTGCAAAAAGGACTATCTCTGTCACTGTACGCACACATATCAGCATTTTTATTAGGTCTGATAATAGAGCCATGGAGTGAACATACAAAAAGCCCCAGCAGTGATCCAGATGAATCGAGAATCAGTGAAACATTGCAGATCAATCGTTCCAGTCCGCTTCTTGCTTGGGAATCGACTCCGAACACAGATATTGCCAATCCCAAGAAAGACAATAAAAATGAAACCGATAATCCTCACTGCCCAACCCCATCCTAATCGATTAAGTGTCGTTTTCAAAATAAGTGGAAACATGATTCCACCAACGCTGGCACCAACCATGGCAACTCCCGTTGCAGTTCCGCGACGGTCATGAAACCAGTGAGATAGCGATGCCATACTAGGATCTGAGAGACAAGCACTGCTGATTCCTCCCATAACCCCAAGACAAAGCATAAACCGGTAGTATACTTTGCAAGATCCTAATAGGAAAAATGAGAGAGTGTATATCATTGAACCGCCCAGCATGATCCATCGTGGACCATAGCGATCAAATAGTGGACCAACCTGCACTCCTAGAAACAGGTTGAAGAATGTGAATAAGGATGAGATCCACCCGATTGAACTGGAGGAGTATTCTTTCAGTTGATGCGTTTCCCAGTATGACTGTAGGACTCCAACTGTACCCATCACCCCATAAGTACAGACCAGTGTCATGAATGATCCAAATACTACGGACCATGCTTTGAGTCCTCGATCGGGATATTTGTATGCTGTTGCGCTGAGTGTTCGCTGGTCGAGTTCATTATCGATATCGATGGACTCCATAGTAAGTTTGCTTAAGATGCTTGTCTCTGTCCAATACTCAAGTGCCGGAGCTTTATTTTATTTCACCACAAATTCGCTTTCTCTTCGATCTTATAAGCATCGAGATGGATGGTCAGGTCGCTTATCACTCAATAATCACTGAATGATATTTGTCTGCGGCGCCGAAGGTGAAATGTGGGGTTCTTGACCCACTGTGACTTGAGGGAAAGGGAAAGCCACCAGTGTGGAGTCTTGCTTCCAAGGTTGTGATATGTACTCCGTAGATCCATCCATACCCTATGGTCTTTTCTTTGGTCAAAACGGATTTCATCCCAAAGCATCTTATTGGCAAATTTAGTGTAGATGTGATATTTTCTTGTATTCGAAGAAATTGGTTCAAGGATGTCAATAATAAGGATGATGAGGTCCATGTACCCGATTGAAATTGCACTGTGATTGTAGTATGATTGCACTCCAACTGTACGATCACCACATAAGTATAGGCTAATGTGAAGGGTCCGAATACTACCTACGGAGCGTGTGTTGGGTTCTTGATCTGGATATTCATCTGTTGCTGCGCTGAGTCCACGGGTCTCCGTGCTTTTTTTTCGAACAGATCCACCTGTACTCCGTAGCTTTGCCGCCCCTTTCGGAAAATCCAAAGTAGGAAAAATCTGAAGCGACCACCCCTGAGGACTGCAGCGTGGTCCGGTGGTCAGACAGACAGGGTATTAAGTACTCCGAATTACCTTCCCTGCCGATAAATCATGATCTTTCTTTGGCCAGAACTGATTTTATCCCCAAAATTTAGCATGCACGTGATATTGTCCAATTAGGGGGGGGGGGGTAGTCTGTTGCTGTAATTCACCCCCTTGCGAGCAGCACAATTGAGTGTTTTCACTGACACTAATCCCCAGTATGCTCCTCTTCTTGCATATTCTACCCGCATGATCATTTGCATCAACGTCGCTCGTCATCTACTTGCCTTACGAATAGCCAAAAAGTGTCGCCATCCTCCTAACGGAACCGTGAAAGTGCACCATGTCGAGCATGCTACCATCCTCAGTAGTATAAGCACTGCAAAAAGCAGATCGAAAGCAGATGCAGCTTGCAGGTATCGGTTGTTTTGCACAGGTTTTCAAGATAGCCGACACCGGCTTCGTCATTAAAAAAGCTATGGATCATCCCGTGGTGGGAAATATTCAGCCGACAGAAAAAGGTATCTATGAATGACTTGGCCATCATCCCCTGATTCTGCGATACTATGGCGAATATTGTGAGGGGGATGGTCTTCCGAACGGACTTGTGTTTCAATACCAAGTGCTGGCACCCTTATGGACAATCTTGCCTTGTCAAATTATCCAGAGCAGCGAACTCAGTAAGTGCTCTCTAATTACTGATAGATCATGACTGACTTCTTGAAGATGGCCAGTGCAAGCCGCCGAAGCTTTACGGTTTATTCACTCTAAGAATGTGATTCATAGCGACTTTGGGAGCCATAATTTCTTGATCCAGGAAGACGGCGGCTTGGCCTTGGCAGATTTTGGCGGCTCTCAAATTGATGACACTTCACCTGTGGTATCATATTTGACCCGATATGCGAGACCGGGCTCTGATAGTGTTGTCTCTACTGAAATCGACGACATATTTGCTCTTGGAACGATGATCTATGAGATCAGCGTTGGACATCTGTTGTACTCCGATAGATCTAGCAGAGAAATCCAGAAATTATTGCGTCAGCATGAGTTTCCGGATCTAGACACTGTTGCTTCAAATCTCCAGGTAATAATCAGGAAATGTTGGTCAAACGGTTACCAGACTGCAGAAGAAGTTGTACAGGATTTAGAGGCTACACCCCCTCCATCCAACTCGCACCTACTCTGCGTTACTGGACTTTCTTTGGGAATAGTGATAACCGCATTTGTTATGAATAGAAGGAGAAGCTAGCCTACATCGGCATTGAACAACCTAATGGACATAACGTCTTGTTCCTTTGACATGGTAAGAGTATCTTATTTGTGGATAAATTGAGATGTTGCATTCAATAACCATTATTAGTCATTGTAGAGACCCTTCGCTTGGCAGAGGGGACAATCACCCTTTAACTTAGTTGACCCAAGATTAGATGGCCATTTCACTGCGTTGGCAAAATATCCATCCTTGTCTTTCTGCTGCACACAGGAAAGCTTGTTGATGACATCTTGACACATGTTTGGTTGTATTGTCTCAATTCTGAAATTCATTGGGATGGAATGATTTTCGTCGGCCGGCAAAGTGCACCGAGAATAAGTCTGTACCATCTGAGACTAAACACACATATTGACCCGATAATAATGAAGTTGGGACCCGACACGATAGATTCGCCTCTTGTAAAATTGAATGTCTTTGGAGCTACCTAGACTAGTATAAATGTCAACTGATCGTCACAGAGGACCCTCTGAGGAATTCTAGGTATACTAACCAACCACCTTGTACTGCGGAACGCTGCCAGGTGAGGATGATTCGAATGTCCAGACCTGGTCTGGATCCAGAATAGAAATAAAACAGCCTCAACTTTGGAAGGACTTTAGATTGGGGATTTCTAACTGAAAATTCCGAGTGCCTTCCAGATTAAAATTTGGATGAAAGAGCGATCTCAACTGCAGGCCCCGGGGGCCGCCTCTTAAATACATACCAGTGTTTCCAAGGGCCGCTACCTAAACAACGATCAACGCCATCAATCTGGAGAGGTCTGTGCAAGTAGTACATGTAGTACATATGCGTGTTATCGTTTTAGTATGCATTAGATCTCACTGAGCACAGTGGAGGAGCACGCATCGACGAATAAAATAAAGAGGGCCAACTTGAATTCACGCAATCTACGCATTGACTCATTTGCGGAGTCATCGTGATATATGATTGGGTTCAAAGGCTGCTGCACCAGTTGGCATGTGTGGGGCGCCATCGATAGTTCAAATGTTTTGAACTACTACTAGTAATTGATACCTACGTACCTAGTATCCCTAGGTATGTAAACTTGAACCCAGAAAAAATGTGCATAGACTACTAGTATGTACTAGATATCAATGTATCTAGATAGTGTTCATACTAAATGTTGAGTACGTGGACACAGCCACTGCCAGTGGCAGTCACTCGTGGACGGCGGTGCCAACATGTGCATATATGTAGCCACTATCACCTACCTAGGTAGTAGGTACCTACTCCGTACATATACTACTAGTACATAGGATTACTCCGATTACTCCGAGTCTGTCATGGTGCTTCCGCTCAACACTTTTGGGCCTTGACCTTGGAACACATCAAGAGATTGGAGACCAGATCTTACATTTTCACTATTGGATAAACTGACGGTCAGGTCGCTTATTACTGAAAAGTCACTGATGATATTTATCGGCAGCACCGAGGGTGCATACATATGCATGTGGGGAATTATAACCCTGGGACATCTGGGGCTGAATTGGGAACCCTGGGATCTGATCCAGTCCCCTCCATAGAGGTTGACGGGAGTTAAGACAAAAATTGAGCGACATAAGTCAACAATAAATTGGTTCTGTAAAGTTCGCCTAGGCTAATGTTGCTTTCAGGCATAGTATATAAATGGGTATAACAGTTGGTCTAGCCACACAAGTATGAAGAAGAGAGGACAAAAAAAGGGATTTAAATCCAAAATCAAACACAGCCCAGAGGGTGAAGTAGGACGAGAAGAGGAGTGATAAGAAAATAATAAGGGAACATAGTATGGTATGGTGTAAGGTTGAAAAGAACAAGAAGAAAGGAATATAATGGGGATAAAAGAATGAGTAAAAGTCAAGAAGGCATGCGAGGCCGGCTCTAAGGCACTTCTTTGTCACCTCGTTTCAGTCCATCAGGGACATCGATAGCATCGCGGACCCACGGGATAGCTGCGATCTGATCGAGGGTTTTGCGACGGGTGTTACGTTTGAGAAGACCTTCCACACAATCACGAGCACCGTCTAAATCGCGACCCTTCTCAGGATCCCACTCTTCATCTTCGTTGGCATAACGGTACCAGCTCCACTCAACACGTGCGATACGATGAGGAGTTCGGGCTCGGAGTTTGGCAGGGTCGCCGCGTGTGCCAGGAAGAACATCGAAGGGGAGACGATTCTCCATGATGGCGTACAGTAGCACACCCAATGCCCATGCGTCTGTCGCACGACCATCATAAGACTGACCCATGAGGATCTCAGGGGCTGCATAGTCTTCGCTGCCGCAACGAGTTTGCAGTAATGGGCTCTCAGGAGGTTCTGGAATACGTCGTGATAATCCAAGATCACTTAGAACGACAATTGCTCGATCATAGGTGCGCCAATCTTTCACGTCCTCCAGAGCGTGGATAGGCATAGTCAACAGGACATCTAGTGAGCTATGTTAGCGAGAGATTGTTCACATTAGAGTAAACAATCACGTACTTTCTAACTTGATATCTCGATGGACAATGTAGTTCGAATGTAAGTAGCGGACTGCGCTGATCAATTCGGCAAAAATGCGGCGAATTAGGCTAGGCGATGATGGTCGAGCCCCCGAGGTCGCAAATTCAAAGAGGTCACCACCGGGGCAATAGTCCAGGACAAGCAAAGCTCGTTTATCGTCACTGCCGAACGCCTTCAATTGAACCAATGAAGGGTGATTCACGGCCTTCAGAATGTCTACTTCGCGCTTGAGCGACACCTCCAGTCGTTCCTGATCAGCACCACCCGCAGGGCCATGCTCGATAACCTTGACAGCCACAAGTTTCTGGGTAGCGATAGGCGGGCCCATATTCGCAGTACCATCATAGGAGGGAGACAAAGGCGTTTGAATAGGTTGCTCAATGCGCGCCGCCAGGCTCACCTGACTGAAGGTTCCTTGTCCCAAAACTCGTAGTTTGCGATACATACGAGCTTGCTGGGTACGAATCGACCGAACTGAGTAGATCTCTTCGGACGTAAGAGGAGGTGGGTGCTGGATCACAGGTTCTGTGTCGCTATCTCCATACCCACTTCCAACGCTGCGAGGTGGACTTGGCGGGCGAACAGAAGGGATTGCAATACCCCGGTGGACTGCTAGATATTGCTCGCGATGCAGACCAGTGGATTTGGAATCCGTACTAGATGACGGAGGAATGGTCGGCCCTGTACCCGAGACCGCAATGGGCCGAGGAAGCGACGTGCGACTGGGTGGCGCATAGTCACTGAGACTGCGATTGCGAACATGCTTGGATTGCGATTCCTGACGATTTCGATTGGCGATTGGCGATTCATCGCCTAGTTCATTCAGACCCGTGTAAGGTTTCGCCGGAGTACGTGACGTGGAAGGAGCTGTGACTGAAGGACCCAGCATTTGCGACGAGTCACTCAGTCGTAAACTCGACCCACTCCGGGATGCTGTCGAGGACGTGCGCGATAACGAGGGAAGTTCGCCCCGACGCCAAGGTGAGGCCCCACCGATGGGAGAAGGTAGTGGAGTGATATCGGCCATCGCATTGAGTTGAGGCGATGAAATTATGGAGGCTGGGGATAAAGATCCGCTGGAAAAGTTTGGCGCTATGAGGGCGCGCAAACTTGGGGTACGCCGGGGAAAGCTGCCGGAAGATACACTCAGTGAAGCAAGAGGATCCGAATCACGATGTGAACTAGTTGGACGATGACTAGGAAAGTCGGTGCGAATCTGTAATGATGGAAGCGGCGACACAGATATTGGTATTGGCATCAAGATGGAAGGCGCGTCATCTTGACCAGTATGTCCTGACGCATCAGTACTATGACTTGTAGAAGCATCAAACTCGTCATTTTCATTGATTGCAGCCACAACATGGCTATTCTGGAATTTCAGAGCCAAACCAGACCTCTCGGTCGGTCCGGACTCGGAGTTCACCATTGAAATTCGGTGAAAATTGTTATCGCAAACGGCGACAACCGAGATGCGCAAATCACGAAGGAAAAAATGATTGTACGCGTGTCTCAGCCTCCCGAGGGTCTTGGCGGTATAGAAGACCCGTTAAGGGTCAACTAATATGTACTCCCGAATTGCAAGGGGAGAGTAAGGATTGAAATTGAGATGAATAAACAAGAGAAACAAAAAAAAAGGAAGAAAGAAAAAAAGAGTTCCTCAACCCGTTTCTATGACGATCTCGAGGAAAACTCGGGGGCGAATGACTCTGCGAGGTCAGCTGACGGGGGAATTCACCCCGCATTCGGAACCAGATTCATGTTTTATATTTAGATTATGATATGATACTACCGAGTAGTATTCTCTAAGGTTCAAGTTAATGAGGATATCATATCACAAATCACAGATAACACATTATGCAGGAATTTTAGTGCAGTTGTGGCTGTACTCCGGAGTCCCTCGTGCTTAATAGTACAGAAACTACATGCATATCACTCATTGATCTCATATAACTACTGTAAGTACAGTAGTCCCTTGATTGCCCTCATTTTAAACAGATAAATTCAATTCTTACTAGTCTTTAAGAGTATCCGGGTTCTCGGGATCCTTAATTCGGTAAAAGCGAGGTTTATCTGCACAGCAAACAAGGAACTGCACTGTTGATTGGGGGCTGGGGGGGAAAAGCCGACCCGTCTCCACTACTTTGAGGGGACAAAACGCCCTGTGCGTCACTGTGCACTAAGAGTTATGGACTTTACTCTTTATCACTCAATGCATCCATTTTACTTTCTGATCATATCGATTGAAGAATGAAAATGATCCAAATCATGTGGGTAAGGAATCTATCAATGTTGTGATCTCGAGAAATGTACAAATTGCTATCAGGTAACAGGCTAGACTCGACCTCGGTATCATGCACATCAACACTACGGCTATCGGAAAGCCCGCGCCGAATATAGCCTCAATATATGCCAAATAAGACCACCGGTTCACCTGGCAACTGGGAACTAAAATGTGTTTTAAAGCTTCAGTCGTCTGGCCACCTCAGAATATGCCCCTTCAACTTCACTAATGTCGGTTCCTTGCACCCAATATCCCTTGCCGTTAGGATTTCCAGCCGCCGCGGCTGCAAGGATTCCCCATGCAGTATCCTCAGGAGAGCTCTTCAGCGCATCAGACTGAGTCGTAAGGGTAATTTCCTCCACCATGGGAGTCAATGTTATCCATGGTGCAATCCACGAGATGCTGATTCCAGCCTGAACCACATCCTCCTTTTGTGCCGTGCTGCGAACTAATCCCAGCACTGCATGTTTGCTAGCCGTATACATTGTATTGAATGGACGCGACACGTATGAAACGGCGGATCCAATCACCACGATACGTCCCCCACCGTTCGGCTTCATATAGTGAATGCCTAGTTTAAGCCCGAAGATCACCGAGTTGAGGTTGACATCGAATATCTGAGTAGAGGGACGTTTCAGGGAGGGCTCCGAGTCCGAGTCCTTGGTATCTTCTAGTTCATCGGCGAGAAAATTGTAGTAGACTTGATTATTCATCTCGGCACGTTTTTCTGGACTCATTTTTCGGAAACGAGTAACTTCGGGATTCACACCAGCATTGCAAACAAGGAGACTAATGGGTCCATAAGTACTTGTCACTGTTTTGAAAAGCGCTAGTTGTTGGTCCCAATTGCTCACGTCGCATACATGGTAGGTAGTTCGGAGTCCAATCTGTTCACATGCACGTTGCAGATCGATTTCGCGTAAATCGACTAGAACCACACGAGCCCCGTGTTTGGCGAGTAGGGAGGCAGTTGCAAAGCCAATACCTTGTGCCGCGCCTGTCACAATAGCCACATGGCCTTCCACCAGGTCTCGGACGATTTTTTCGCTTGGTCGAAGAATAGAAGTCATTTTGAGTGACTTCAGAATAAAAAAATATCGATCCTGGTGCGCCTCTTACTCTCGACTCTGGGAGGATATCCCTCTTTATAGGCTGTAGATTCGTACGGTGAGTGACTGTACCTCACACGACCTCGGATTTAGAAACTCCCTGCTACTACGGATTACACTATAGGTTCAGGCTATTACCATGGCGGAACTATCCTTGTACTGCATGCAGGGTTAATCTCTATGGAGCCACCTTACCCTTTGGTTACTAGGAATGTGATCCACTCCGTATCACGTAAGAGAGTATTGTATACCCAGGTGTAAATTGGTACTGTATATGGCACATGGGTTGATTGAGCTACAACTTGAATGGACCACACCCTTCTACTGTCTACAATCAGAGAAGTACAGGAGCGTCCACGGGTGTATTTCGAAATAACTAGCACTCGCAACTTGAATCTTCCAAGATTCCAAAGTTGTATGTATAGTAACAAAACATAAGATAAGAGCACCACCTGGGCAGGATCTACATGTATGATACAAATAGAGACACCGGTCCATGTTACAAGAAAGGTTTATTTGGATCCAAAATTGAAGCATTCAAATGTTCCAAGGTTGGTTTGGGTAGCAGCTGCCTGACGCCGTGGCTCGCCGTGGCTCGCCTTATACCGCCTAACATTTGAACAAAGCGGCCCGCCTAACCTTCCAAGGTTATCCATTATTAGGTTCCCAGCCTCGGGAAGGGTACAAAACTTCCGTTAGATCACAGTAATTTCATTCATTATAGTGATTTGACGGATTATCTATAGACTGCAGTATTATGACTAAATAAATTACAAGCCTGTATGATGAGGATTATAAAATTATACAAATAATGTAAAATAGTGATCAATGGTTGTAGAACGGTTGTGGGATGATGGTTATTGTGATATAAGCTATCAATTAGTAGTAGTGTTGCATATGTACCTAGAACCCTGCATGGATGTACAGGGATCGCCCTCCCGGGAGCCCCGGGGAGCGTCCCGAGCTCGCTCTCAACCGTGGAAGTGTCATTACCAATAGTACATACTACCTATGGTACCTATACTAGTACTCGAATGGGATATATTCCAGGTGTCCCGAGATCCGAATCTTACTGAAGCTGTGCATGCACATGTGTGGATATTCCAATGCTTGCTGAAGCAAATTTCGAAGTATAGGTACATTGTTCAGATGTCTAAACTTGAATCAACATTTTGAACGATTTCAAGACGCATACATATCAGAACTTGAAGCACCCCAGCTTCCAAGTCTTGATGGTCTCGGTACTGTACATATCATCATATATCAATAAGAACTAGAAAGAATTTGTTACTACATATTGTGTACTGGTAGTAAGACAGAAAGCATGTAGTCGCTTCTCTTAAGTTCGAGTTATATTCAGCCATCAATCGTATCTACCCGAGTAGTACTATTACTAGTATTTACATGCTAGAATTTGGATATAGCTCTGTCTCTATTCGCGTAACACTTCTTTGTTGCGCTAATTGATGGAGCCAGCCCCTCAAAGCCATGGGGAAGACCAGGGTACATATGAAACTCCACAGGAATATTAGCCTTAATAAACTTAATAAACCGAAAAGCGTAATTCATGCCCTCAGGCAAGAAGAGATCCAGCTGCCCACATTCAAGATACAGTGGTGGAAGACCCACCACGCTCTCCACACGGACTGGAGCCGCGTAAGCATCAACTCTGTCTGTACCCATATCCTCGCCAAGATACGCCGTCCAAGCTGTCTCGTTATCGATTTCATCCCAAAATGCCAATTTTCCAGCGTGATTTGTTCTAGTCCGATCGTCGATCATGGGATAAATGAGGATCTGCTTCGCGATCGGTGGTTGCAATTGTTTTTCGCGAGCCATAATGGTAAGACCGGCGCATATTCCACCACCTGCACTCTCTCCCATAAGAGCGATGCGTGTGGGATCAATGGAAAGCTGGCTAGTATTGGCTCATAGCTATTGAAGTGCTGTCCAGCAATCATTGACCGGTGTAGGGTAAGGGTGCTCTGGTGCCAATCGATAGTCCACAGTCAAGATTTGGACCCCGGTTCTTGAGACTGCTCCCACATGGTCTGGCGAGAGCTGTTCTGCAGTCAAGGAGATGAAGCCACCACCGTGGATGTGAAGAATGGCTGGTTCACCCTTTAGGTTAGGCTTGTTCCATAGGCGAAAATGATGAATGGGAAGTTGAAAGCCATCCTCTGTCGGAATATGGTAGATCAGCCTCTCCATATTATCAGGTATAGGCGGGAGAGGACTGCAAAGTGATTCGGTCCACGCACGCCTGGTTGCGACGTCATGGAGAGCAGGCTTCGGGACTGATCCCATCAGCTTGAGCTTGGGACCTGCTTCCGCGAGGAACTCCGGATCGTACTGGAGGGTCATTTCGATTCAGATGGGATGAATCGATCAAGCTCTTAACAAAGAGGTATTTGGCCTTTTCATCCTCGTTATCCTTTAGCCCACCATGCCGTGTTAGGCTTACGACGACTCCACTCCCGGCTCAGAAGTTTTCCGGCTCCGTCTGTAGAAAGGACCATGATTCTTCCGCTCACAACATGGTTCATTTCATTCTGTGTTTCTTTCATACTTCCATACACCCCGGAGAGTGTAGACTCCCGTATCCGAAGAGTGAGTCTGAGTGACCATGTTGGTGCAAAGATCGACAGCGCCACAGCCGAAGTGGAGAAGATCGTTCAGGAAGTTGACGGCGAAGAACAAGGAACTGGCACAGTGACCCACATTACCCCCGATTTTCCAGGCAATAATTCATCTCTCTGCGGGGTTTCTCAGTTTCAACAAGAAGTTGTCAGATATAGGAATATCGAGGGTCCTGAACACTTGGCCCACAGAGACGAATCGGAGGATTGAAAGTTTTGCGTAGCCAGATCAAATTTGTGAGACATCAAATCCAGTTTACAAAAATATTCCAAATGATTCCCAGATTTGACGATCTGCCTCCTGTTGATGGTATGCCCCAGGGATGTTCCTGGGGAACATTTGATAAAGATGGCAAAAAGGATGTCTTTGGAACGCTGAACCTCTTGACACCACAGGTGGTCAAGAGTGCGGCTGCTGAGGTACGCCTTGGAATTTCCATTTCGTTGAAGTGAGTTGAGCGGGGGAGGAGACAAATAATTGATGAGTAATAAATTAACCAGTCGCCAGTTGGCCTATTGGGAGTATAAAAATCCATGATTTCTTTCGAAAGAGTCTTGAGCACAATGTCCTCAAACTCGAGGACGAGGAGGTTGGATTGCACTATGGATTTGATGATGAGGTAGATATTCTCATTTTGGTATTGGAGCTCATGTCTAAAATATTCAAACTCTAGGTAGCATTCAATACCCAGGCGAGTAGTCAATGGGATAGTCTCTGTAAGTTCTCCCATCTCAATATGAAGCCTCTCGCCTCTAACTCATTGAAAGGCCATTTTCTCCATCTTCCGACTCGAACCGCATACAATGGTGTCAGACCCACATATGAAGAGATGAAACAAGGCTCTCATTCCACCCAGAAATTTCCTACACTGGATCGTAAGTACTGATCGAGCCCCTTTTCTCTTATGTGATACTGAAAAGATCAGGCTGGCATGAGCGCGGCTGTGTTGCTGGACGAGGCGTCCTAATCGATTTCAAGTCTTACGCCGAGGACAAAGGAATTGAATATTCTGTCTTCTCTAGCTTTCGAATCGGAATGGCCGACATTGAAGCTGTCGCTGCATACCAAGGTGTCACATTTCAGCATGGTGATATACTAATTATCCGATTCGGTGTCACAGAGGAACTAGGAAACATGAATGCACATGAACAAGCATGCTCTATGGCAAGTCACCATGTATGTGGAATTGAAGGTAGCAAAGAGATGGCACGCTGGCTATGGGATAAACACTTTGCCGCAGTGGTAAGCGACAACATCGCTGTAGAAGCCATGCCCCCAATGGAGAATCGCGTGGAGCTGCCTATGACAAATCTCGTCCTGCATCAGTGGTGTCTCAGCCTCCTTGGTATTCCACTTGGAGAGCTTTGGTATCTGAAAGATCTCGCTGATCAGTGCAAGGCGCATGGGAAATACACATTCCTTCTAACTTCATCTCCACTTAATGTGCCCGGAGCAGTTGGAAGTCCACCTAATGCTCTGGCTATATTGTGAGAAGATCTATCGGAATTTTTGAAAGTCTGTCATATAGCAATGAAATATAGCCTCGGCAGCCACTTAATTCGAAGAATATTTGAAAGACTCCATTGCTGCAAATTGTCTCGGCCAATACTCCTAGCTTGAAAGACTGATATTATACCACTCGCATCTCCCTGGATTCAAGCAATTAATCTGTACCATCAACTGGAGGTCACCGCTGATTTCTTCTGGTGAGCTTTGTTCCACTCAATATCTCTGATACCCCAAAAGAGCACTAGCGCAGCTGTTGGACTTGCGAATAGTATCAAAGGAATACCTAGCATAATATCGACAAGGAAAGGACGACTGGTGGCATGTACGCGGCGGAGATCCAGCCAAGCAAAAGTGAGAAAGACCAGAATAATCATTTCTAAACAGGTGCTCTTCAGGCTTGTCGTAGAAAGGCTGGTAACCTGGTTGAAGTCAAGGAAGACGAGGAGACGATGCAAGAAGCTATTCATCAAACGCACCGACAATAGCTGGGGAATTAAGAGAAAATATGATGTGAGTGAGAGGTACTTGATGTGTGAGTTTCTCGAAATCATCTCTATCGTCGGCTTGGCTACTATCGATTCCGGAGCAAGCAGATTCGATAGGTATACCATGATGGGAAAAGCGATGTGCGATATATCCCATATCGTTGACGAGAACGATATTAACGTGAGAGTTAAATATAGAGCAGGGCTATATGCCATGATATAGACGGGCACAAGGAGTATCAGAGCTCTTCTGTCAATGAAACGAATTGACGGGTAGTAAAAGTTCTTTTTACCAGTCTCAAGCAGGAAGCTATGGAAGTACAAGTTTGCCCCGACTAGCCATCCAAATTGTGATGAGGTAAGGGTAAATATCAGAGCACTAAGGTTGTATTAGAATTTTCTCACACAAACTTGGGAGATATCGCGGGGTTTGAAGCTTCATACCTGTTTAGAAGCTTCATGGTATATGTTCCGCGATATGATTCAACCACCATGATGCTCAAAATGCCGGTTACAGCAACATGAAAGTACAGTTGCTCGGCAGCCTCGCTGTTCAGCTGGAAAGGTAACTTGCTCCCCGAAGTAGGGAATGTCTGCCCATCCCCATACCGGAAACCTCCATTGAATATAAGCATCGGGAATATGAAGAGCATCGACCATACTGCGTTACTGATATTTGATCTGGTACCAGGTTTGATTTGAATCTCTTCCTGTGAGAGGATCATACTACCCGAAGAAGATGGGGGTGGTAGATAATCTAGTATCCGAGTTGAGACATGGGGTTGAACGATACCATTCATGAGGTTGGTAATCGGTAATCGCGGTACAATCTTTGTAGAGATAAACTTCAGAATTTGATTCTCTTGTGCATCCATTTGCTGCATCGTATGACCCATTGAAACGATCATAGAAGTTTCAGGCTTCCGAGTTTCCTGGTATTGCTGGAAAACTTGCTCAATGCGAGTCATATCGGGCTTGAAGTCACCTCTGGTGATGGATTGTAGTTTGTTTGCCAGAGTAGCGGCGGATACCAGACAATTATTTCCTCCTTGGCCCAGAAGTGGATTGCTCTGATAAGGTCAAGTTAGTAGTTGCCAGTTAATATGAGATAAAGACACACCTTGTGGAATGAATCGCCCACCAAGACGATTCTTTCATAAAAACACTTCTGGAGAAGCCCTTCTTGGACTGGAAGCAGCGTTTGAGACGCCTTCTTTTTGTACAAGTCGCCAAAGGTGAGGCCAGGAATCAGGATATCATTTGAATACTTAGCAGCAAGTGCATCACACTCTTCCCTGGTATATCGTGGTATTGATGATCCTCGCGTCTTTTCAACTTTCTCGAAGAGACAAAAGTAAAATTTTCGATTTTTACCACCTAAACACAAGTAACTCCGACCCTTATAACATGTTCTGAAGGCCTGGTCGTCTCGCACGCCTTCAGGTGTGGGCCCAATGCAAAATATGCAACGGTATGTGCACTCGAATTCTATCAAAAGAATGTTAGTTAATGCATATGAAACATTGATTCGTAATCTGGATAGTTACCGTCTCGTGTGAAGAGCTTGCTACCCGGTATACCAATCTCAGCCAAACGCTGCATCTCATCCAGAACACGGCTGTGAATACCGTCTGCACCCACGACAATATCACCCTCAAACATCGACCCGTCTACCGTTTCGACCTTCACACCATCTTCTGATGAATGGATTTTCACAACTCCTTGTGAGGTATGTACCTTCGACTTGTCGCGCAGGTTGTCGAGCAAGACGCTGATCACTTGCTTTCGGTCTTGGCTTTGAAGCGTGTATCCCAGCCTTCCCCAAAAAATAAGTGATAGATCTCAACGCGACACAGCATGAACAACTTACAGACTCTGCATCCATGAACCTAGGGGGCCAGTGAACTATTCTGTTGATGACTTGACCGGATCCATCGTATATATCGAAATAGTTCAGCCGCGAGCTGACCTTCAGAAGTTCTTGGTAGCAACCGAGTTGATCCATGATACGCAGTCCATTTGGTTGAAGACCCAGACAAGCTCCAAGATCCGGGCCAATGACTTTATATTTCTCAAGAAGTACATAGTCGATGTCGCATCGCTCTAGCATGTTTGCAAGTGCTAACCCGGCGACACTTCCACCCACAATCACTACCTTGAATGGTGCCATTTTGGTCGGTATGTGCAATTTTTCTTTTTTCTTTAGAGAAAACAGCAGTTCATTACGAAATTATGAAAAAAAAAAAGATTGAGGAGATAGTTATCGCTGATGAGCATCTGACTAGGTTATTCGCGCCACTTACTGTGTTTGGCGTTATGTTGCGCGGCTGCTGTGGGGATGATCCTTCCGAGGTCCATGCTTCGATTAAATTGATGCGTCATTTTACAATCTCTCCAAGACATTTGTCATTCTTCCAATAAGGTGAGCCTTATATTAATACCTAACCAGTCCATGTCAAAAGTTCCTGTGAACTGGCACTACTCAGTATCCCTACTAAATGTAACAGGGACATCGAAACCAAGGTCAGGAAATTTTAGCGGCGCGAGTACATATACCAACCTTGGAAGCCTTGGAACCCAGCGCATTGTGCCGACGGTGAAATAGTCTGACGAGCAATGCATTTGACTACTGAAAATGAGACAGAACAGAGCATAAACTCACTGAATATCCCGGAAAACATGTATACAGAGCTTTATTCCAGTATTTCGTCATTTCAAACGGATGTTGCGAAGCCTTCCCAATTCTCTAGAGAATTCATACATGCCTTCCACCAGCTGTGCATACCACCCAAATAAATAAGTGGCTCTCGTCGTTTCCCTGGAATATTCGCACCCATATACCAAGAATCGGTTCTCGGATATAGAGTGTTCCGGCTCACAGCCACAACTTGCTCTCGCCAAGCCGCCGCTGCGCTTTGCGTGGGCTCAATAGCTGCAACACCTTCCTGTTGCAGTTTTGAGATGACCTTGCAGATCCAGTCAACTTCCATCTCGATAAAAGGTGGATCGTTGGCGAGAGAGGTAGGTGCCTGTGGACCATAGACCATAAAGAGATTAGGAGCATCAGGAACCATCAACCCAAGATGGGTTGAGACTCCATTCTTCCACCTCTCTGACATGGGTACCTGATTATTGTCCATGATTGAAAGGTCCAACAAACTGCCCGTGACAGCATCATAACCAGTGGCAAAAATCAACACGTCGAGTTCGAGGTGTTGGGACACTTGTGCATTTCCAATAGTCACACCAGTGGCGTCAAATTCAACGATGGGTGAATTTTTCAGATCATGTAGAGTAACATTGGCTCGGTCAATCATCTCGTATTAATCTTGTTCCAAGCTCGGTCGCTTAGTTCCAACAAGCACGTGTTGCTTTAGCGGCGCAACAAGGTCCATTTTCGCGGGGTCTGTCATACGGGCTCGGATCTGCTTTACCCAGTAGTCGTAAAAAATAGAGTTTGCCTTTTCATTGAGGAGAAAGTCGTAGTAGTTCGATACCAAGAAGCTATATCCACCTCGGGCCCAAAGTTCATCAAATAGCTCTTTTCTCTCCGCGGGAGTGGCCTGCAGCGCTGACTGGAAGAGCGTATTGTGAGGGAAGCCCGAGGCAGAGTTGTAGGATCGCTCAAAGATACCATCGTAGTGCCCTTTCATCATCTCGGCTTCCTCTGGTGGGATTGAGCGTTGCTTCATGGGGATGGCAAAGCAGGGAGTTCGGATGAACACATTCAATTTGCAATCCTCTTTTGCGAGATTCTGCACAATTTGAAGACCGGAAGCTCCATTTCCAATGATGCCAACATGCTTTCCCTTGACGTCAAGCTGCTTTGGATAGTCTGCAGAATGGACTAATTGACTGGAGTAATTTTCCAGTCCATTGAAATGAGGGATAGTGCTTTTTGTACGATGATCCAGTTGCTGCGATGACATATTTGCAGGATGCTGTAAGGCCAGTATTTGTAGAGATATTCCAACGACCCGTCACATTGTATTGTACGCCTGTGACAATAGTATTGAAGAATGTGTCTTGACTTATACCAAGTACCAAGTCAACATGCTGGAAGTAGCGTCGGAGTTCGTCGTCGCCGGGGAATCGCTCAGACCAGTTCCATCCTTTGTAGACTGCAGGAATGTTGAACTGGTATGATGGCATTTCAGTGTCTACACGGGCTCCTGGGTAACAATTCCAGTGCCATACGCCACCGAAGGCATTGCCGGCCTCTATCAATCTCACAGATAGGCCGAGATTTCGAAGCTTGTAAAGCGAGTTGCATCCACCAAAGCCGCAGCCAATGACAATGGCATCGACCACAATGTGGGAGTCGTCACGAGTCATGGTTTCTGCAGTAATGAGGTAACCGATAACAGAAACGTCAAATTCTGAGAAGCTGCATGGTCTGAAAGTCTATGTTTTAACACCGAACATCTTTTGACAACAACTCAGGCTCGGAAGCCACTGAAAAGCATCCGCGCTCCGAGCCATCGCAAATACCAAGGAAGGGTGTTTGGATTCAACACATCCGAAGCTGTTGAATCTGAAAAAGAAGATATTCAAAATACGGTCGGATCGGATATAGATCTAGGACCCAGGAAAGGAAGCCCACAACAAGAAGGTTTCTGAAGAGACCCACATCGGCACCAGGGCTTTTCATGACCAGTCCATGGTTATGCAATGTCAAATAACCTAACTTGGGATGTCCTTCCAATAATGTCAGAGACCAACCTTTGAGCATAGCACCGGAACGGAGAGTCAAATCATCCGAGTCGGAGGAGATGAGGCTATTAAGTTCCGGATATGCAGTACAATGGCATAATTGCTCACAATGCAATTAGCTTTAAATGCATGTCTCGTATTCAGCATTGCTAAATAGATCAACTTGAATTTCCGCTTTAATTGTCCAATAAACTGAAGAAATGACATTCCAAGTGAAGGGTACAGCATTTATCACTGGCGGAGGCTCAGGTACGCGTTTCGTGATGATAGGTGTCTGCGGGTTGATGATTGATCCCACATATTGATTCCTAACAGGCATCGGCAAGGCCACGGCAATCACCTTAGCCGAGAATGGCATTAGCGCACTTGCTCTTGTTGATTTAAACTTGATCGTCCTTGAAGCGACGCGCGATGAGATAAAGGCTCGTTACCCACATGTTCAAGGTAAAATATTTAAAACCAATGTCGCAGAGGAGGAATCTGTGGAGGACGCTGTATGCAAGACTGTGGAGCTATTTGGTAGTATTGATATTGGAATTAATTGTGCTGGTATCAGTGGTACTCCAACGCCGACTCATCTCATGTCTTTGTTGGAATGGCAAAAAGTAATCGATGTTAACCAAACTGGCGTGTGGCTTTGCCAGAGGGCATTGATTAGACAAATGTTGAAGCAAGAGTTTGTGGCCTTATTTCTGTGATGCAAAGGTCTAAGCTGACAAGGCTTCTTTCAGATCTAAAGGCATCCGAGAGGGTCGTGGGCTAATCGTTAATGTCTCGTCGATGTTCGGGGTTGGTGGTCCTCCAGGTCCATTTAGGATCCCGCATTATACGGCTGCAAAGCATGGTATGTGTTGAAAGTCCTCATATTGACGGTGGGTTTCAAGTTTCTAACAACATCTTAATCCCATGAGCACGGTGTCACAAAAATGGTAAGAAGCTCTTCGTCGTGGCGTGAAACACTGAAGCTATAGACTAAACCTCATCCAGGATGCCAAAGCGTATGCATGAGAAGGAATTTTAATCAATGCCATATGCCCCGGATTTGTTGACACGCCCATCATTGGTGAACAAATCAAGTCAGGGTCAATGAATCCGCAGTTTGAAATGACGCCGATTGGGCGACCGGCTCAGGTGGAGGAGATTTCCGATGTTCTTCTTTTCCTTTCATCTCCAGGGAGCAGCTACATGTGCGGTGCTGCTCTGGTGGCCGACGGCGGATACACCGTCTAGATAATGCGTAAATGCCTTCAAAATGTTGTTGTAAAAAGTTCTGATGTACAGCACGCTGCCAGTTGACTAGAAAACTTTGAATAAAGCTGAGAGAACCGGCCGATCAAAGGACATATTGTTACATTCAAATTATAGTAATACTTATACAATCATAATATCGAAATCAGCCTCATTGGCGATTTCCTGCCATTTTATTTCCCGAGATGTTCCCTCGCGTCGCTGCCAGAGGGCCTTGACAATTTCGCAAAGCATTTTAATATTCTGAATCCCATGACGGCCTTTGCGATCGAAATAGGCTATCATCCTAGCTTGTAGGTTGGGTCTCTGACATTCAGCTGCAACAACAAAGCTAGCCCAGTTGTATGCACAACCGCCCTTTTTACCATGAGTCAAGCTCTCCATGGCTTCAAGCTCTTGAACTGCCTTTTCAACCAAGTCCTGGACGTCACAGAGAGGAGCATGACGGAGTGTCCGACGGAAGCAAATAATCGATGCATAATAGAAAGAGTTCAGTGCATGCTGAATGATGATTGACTCAGGCTCATCCGGCGCTGAAAGGGATGGGAAGTTGAGGTGAAGTTGAAGTTCGAGGCGATCCAACTCTTCCGTAGAGAGATTCGCATTAGAATCGATGATTGTAGTGATCCGCGCCAGGAACTGAACTAATGGGGCTGTAATTCCATGGGAACGTTCCAGATAGTGGCGTAGCTCAGCTGGCCCATTAAGCAGAGCCATAAGTTGGGTAGACATTGGTAAGCTGCATAATGAAGAAAGTGAGAGGTAGCTTTGAAGTAATCGGGATGCCGTTGGGCCTCGTATCCAACCACCGTGTATCTCATTCTCCAACAGGCCGAGTCCACCAGCCACATGAGCTCTCCATCGACTCCGTCTTCCTGACATTGCCTCAGCAGTGATGCACGTTAAAACCGCAGCTAGAGTTGGTTCATCGAGACGTTTTGCTCGCTGGAGATTCTGTCGCAAATGAGACAATGCAAGTTGATCATGGCGCATGGCAACCGACTGGTACTGATGATCACCGCGGAGATGATAGAGGCTGAATGCTGAAGATGCACATATTGCGTGAAATATGGATAGATGAATACTTGATTCTTGACTTTCAAGTCCCTTCAATGCCAATGGCATGAAGACGGTGCGACAAGGGTTATCCGGTGTGTCAATCAACAGCATGTTGCCGCTCAAAAAGACTACCCAATGATGTATGAGTTCAATCTCTGGTCGGGGGATCTGCAATGGAGTAATTGATCTAATCGATGGCAGTCTCGGGGTTATCATTGGCTCAGATAGAGGTTTGAACTCTTCAGAGGCCTGGATATGGTCTGAATTTGACAGCACATTGATAATTGGCATGAGAGTGATGCTGGTATCATTCTGCACGGGTTGCCTGTCTGTTAGAGACAAGAATAGTTTCCCAGGAAGTTCAACCGACTGCAATGTTTTGTTTTCATCTCCCTCTCCGGGATTAGCCACTGATGAATCTTGGTCAAGGGGATGAGAAAATGATTCGACTAGATCCTCTCCATCGACCTGCGAAGGAGAACTACTCGTTGAATAATCAAGAGATTTTGAAGACTTGAGATTATCAGAGCCAGAGCAGGAAGCGGAGAACACCGAGAAAGGTCCTCGTTGCTGGGCACCGCCGTTGGTAGAGCATCCGTCCAGCTCCGCCAAGAGAGCCGTTACGGCGGTAGAAGATAAGTCATGAGTGGGTATTGGGGTTGAAGAGCGTAATTGGCGACGCTGAGCTCGAATCCCTGGCGTTTGCGACCACTCCAGACGAACGCCATAACCTTGACACTGCCAACCACTGCGTCTGCAGCGACGACAATGGGGGTGTTCCTCGTCACACTTCACTCGGCGGGTCCGACACGTCCAACAGCCGGTAAATGTTTTGGTACGCTGTTTTGAGGGCTTCACATTTTCTGACAAGGATCGCTCGGTCATTCCCACGAGCTGCGCTAGCAAGGGGGTTGCAGAATATTGGGGGTGTTGTAGTGGAGCAGCCGAAATTATTCAGTTGATTTGCCTCCCGCATCGGTAATCGCCGGGCCTTGATTCTTGTGGATATGCCCTGGAGATACAACATGCGAAAATTTGAATGTCAACATTGAACCAAGTTTCTTCAGCATATCCATTAATTTTTCTCAACATATTTGTCACGTAAAACCTCGTTTGATCCATCTTTAACTTCAACATGAACTTCAAGTTCAAGTTGAAGTCGCCACTGCCAGTGCACATGTGCCAGTGAGAATCCATCCGCTCCACAATCCCAGATCAATATACATCCATGGATAATACTATCGCAACTCCAAGTTCAACTTGGAACTTCATTCAAGTTCTGAGCTTGAACCACCCTGGCAGTCATGGCTTCACTGGCACTTGAAAGGCCTACCTAACTACTAGTATTCAAGTTGATATCTGAACGAATTCAAGTAAATTACATACTAACGTTTCTGCTCGCTGATCTCGAGAGCGAAGCCTCTCCTACAGCTGACCTCAGCCCTGGAGGGAGGATAACATTGAAGACTCGGCATGGATGAATACAGTGAGTGGATGCGAGTGATCACCTGGGCAGAGATCTATAGATCTATCCATGAAGCTCCAATTTTATCCATGGGGTCTATTCGTGTCTGATTCTCTAGGTGGCAGGCATTACCGGCCACCACCTTACCCAGACGTCCAACATCAGATCAAAATTCGATAATCGCTGGCATCTTTCTAGGTCCATCCTGAGATGAATATGGATACAATGATCTACTCGAAGCCTAAAATAGAATTTATTTTCGTCTGTACAGTGTAAATTGAAATATATGATACGGGGTAAGACATCCTCCACTGAACCTCGTGTATAGTACTAGTATAAATTGATATCGCCAGTACTATTTAACCACAAAGAGAATAATTAAATGACACTGGCAGCCCTTCATTCGGTGTTCTTTGAAAAAAATATTCTCAGTGATCATGATCCTGTTTACTATTCTATAAAAAAAACTGACGAAGAAGCTCAAACTTGAAATTCAGCATTGAAATGTTGGAAGTACTCGAATTTCACGACGCTTCATCGACATCATTTGAATAATAGTACTTGCAATTGAAGCTGTACATACGTTTGAGCACTTCATATAGACTTCAAATAAGATTCCCAAATTAATCTTGTGTTATCATTAACGGAAACATCTATTTTGAAAGGAAATGTTTCATTTTGAGATGACAGCGCCCCACGACGGGGCTATGGATTTATCCACGACGGCAATTTTCAGGCAACGACCCATACTTGGGAGTAAAAATGACCTATCGGTGAATCCGGATGCTGGTTTTTAGATTTGCTTTGGGTCGGAAGAGGGTTTTCTTGGATATAATTCGTGAAGCTCCGTCATTAGATCCTCATTAATATTGAATAGTGCGGATAAGCCAAGACCCTGGATATCAAAGTGGAGAGAATGACAGAAATAGCATACATACGGATGGATGATCTTGCCTGTGAAAGGACGTATCATGTCGAAGCTCCATATGGGCTAGTACATAGATCGCCCTGAGCTTGAGACAGCGTCGTAAGCATTCTGGTAGCCGAACGACCGTTTGGGTAGACACAGCAGAAACTGGGAAGACCCTAGTGGACCTCAATGCATACAGGGACCAAATGATCAGTCTAGATGCCGGATCAAAGACCCTCAGCCCCCATAGAGGCTATAAAGCAGCTGATCAGAGTGGACACTGCCAAGGGGTGAAGGGAAGCATCTTTTTCCACAGGCTGGATATATCCGCTATGGGACGACTCGAAGTTATATAAGAGTCCTGAGAAATTTCCCAAGGTCATAACTTCACTAAGCACATTCGTTTAAATTCATTCAATTCAGAAAGAAAACTTGTTTTTTTCATTCCATTCGTTCATATCGAAAGAAATCCCTCCATCCAATCGCTCGTTCCACAAAGCCTCTGTTCAACGATGTCTACCACGAGCACTGCAACCACAACTGCGGCCTCGGCCACCTCAAGCTGCTATAACAAGCTGTACGACATCCCAGTACACGATGCTGCTTGTGCGATGCCGATGAAAAGCAACTATTCGTCAATCATGAGCAGCTGCTGTGACGAGGCCTCCGTTGTCGAGTATGATAACTGCGACTACTACTGCCTCGCACAAGGTCAGACAGTTGGAGATCTTGCCGAGTGCCTCATCAAAGCTTCTGAGCCTGGTGAGGTTTGGTGCAACACGAATGCGAATGCCACCGCCACTGCAACGGCTACCGCTACTGGCACCGGAGTCGTGACCCTGGGTGCCACCGTGACTGATGCTGACTCGACCGGCTCTGCTACCTCCAGTGGTGCCACTTCAACCTCGACCTCGAACGCAGCTCCTGCGGTCTTGGCTCCTCGTCCGCTCTCGAAGTCTGCCATTGGTGTTGTTGGTCTCCTATTCATTGGCTCTGCGGCTGGACTTTTCCTGTAAAGTTCTGTTGAGAAGGACATCTGGATGGTGAAATATGAGTAACCAGGGGAATCGGTCATCAGATGCATAGTGCGTTCTAGCAGCATGGCGTCTTCAAGTTGAATTCAATTCTTGTCAATTAAAGCATATTGGCGTTTACGGCCTCTTCGATGTGGACAGAAAAGACATCATGTTCTATATCCACCTGGGTAGCCGTTTATCTCTCTTTGTACCATATAGCCAAGTTATAGATCATTGAGAAAATCGTTCAGAATGCGTAATAGTTTCTCTATTGGAAGTCACTCGCAGTATGAAGACACTTGACTCAACACATTAATCGTGCTAAAAGTCAACCAGCTCCAGATTATGCAGGAGACTTTTCTATGTACACGTACAGAAGGAGGAAAAAGTACAAACCCATTTGCACACCCCGTTCCCAACCCACGCAGAAATGCGAAATATGGATGCTTTGAGCGCCGGAGTGAAGAGAGATCGGTAGAGAACAAGAAAACGAAAAGGAATACAGAGATAAAAAGCCGTTGTAATACATAGCGGGTGGAAGGGCAAAGAGTAGGCGGTTATAATCAGCCGTGGGTTAATTCGAGGAGGCCAAACCGGGTATAGGCGTTTGGTTCATTGGAGAAGCGTTGGAGAAAGGGAGGAGTTGCCCATTTTTTTAATTTAGAAGAATGCTTTCCGTGTCACCTGTCGGGAGTTAGCGGGATACATTCAGGGTTTGAAATGAGGATCGGTAAACGTACGGCCCAAGTGCCAGCAATAGAGGCCACGATACCGCCAGAAATCATCATGGGCTTGACACCACGAGTACTCTTGAACAGCATTCCACTCAGTGCACCCGCAGCAACGCTGTTTGAAGCGTCGTGCTTGCCACGGGCGTATCCAATCGCGGAGTTGAAACCATTGTAAACCATCGCAACAACACCAGCGGAGTTACCGAGGAACGGACCACGGCGGGTGATCGAGTTAAGAACACCGTTCAGACGAATCTTGGGAGGGGCGGTAGAGGGAGTCTTGCTCAAGCCTTCAGCCATTCCCCATGCACCTCCGGCAACCAGAGCAGCAAGGTATGTGGTGCCAGCACCATAACAGAGATCATCGGACCATCCGCGGGAAGGCAAGACTGAACGGGAGCCGGGGGTCGCATCAAGGGCGGAGTCTTCGAGAGAAAGGTAGTCAAGAGTGTCTTGGTTCAGGCCGGCCAGGGGATGGAGTCTGGAAGGGTCGGGAATAGCGACTTCGGAGAGGAAAGAAGTAGCGTCTTGTGCAGCGGGCGCGTCATAAGCAGTGGTCTGCTCCTGCTTGCGACCGCTGATGGAATCCCAGATGGCCATGATGAAGGGCTGTGAGGGAGTTTGATAAAGATTAATAAGATGTAAATCAAAAGACAAGGAGGCAATATTCCCTTGAATCACGCAGCTCCACTGGACTCGCGCCAGCAAAAACTTCGGTCCCGTGATCTGCGGCTGTCGGCACCGGATAAATCATCCCACCGGAGCTAGTCCCGATGTGGTAACACACGATAAAAAACTATTGATGCCTGAGGCTCTGTCGCGGGGGATCTTTCACAATCTTTTAGAATTCATGCTTCCTTCTAGATGTTTTATACTGACCCGGAAAGGGATGCTAAATTGAGTAAAACATTTGGTCATGGAAGGTGATTCATTCCGTGGGTCTCCAAGCTCTATGCCGAGCAGCATGGAGGCCATTGCGCAGAATATACAAATTCTATCTGAAAAGACCTTACGAGACATTGCGAAGGGCCAATTGGTCAAATTCACGCGGACATGCGATGAGCAGGGGTTAGAGAACTGCCTTTTGAATTCGAATAATAAGATATGAAATATACTAACTTGTCCAAGATCCGTTACCCGTGTATGGCAGTCATTATTCGACACACTTTCGACACCATCGCTCCCTCATGCGCAGATTTCTGCAGCATGCAATGCTACCTCAGCATTTCTTGATGCAGCAGTGGAGTCTCCAGTTCAACTGACTAGGCAAATTGCTTTGTCTCCGGAAGTTTGGCTATCCATCTTTGAGATCTTTATCACAAGATATGAAGATGTTAAGCCAAAGCCTATGAAGCAGCTCTTGAGTTCTCTCATGACCATTCTGGTCAAGAGCCATGTGGGTGAGACTAAGCAGATTATTCAGGTCACCATTTTGAAGGCTATTTTGCCTTGCATCATTCTTGGCGAGCAGCGTTCTCGACTTAAGGCCGCCCTTGTGGTCCTTGAGATGTGCATCCGAAAGGGTGCTATTTGGCCCGTTGAATTCCTGCAATTAGTTCGCGCCTGGGCCATCGAATTTCAAGATAAATGGGTTCCAGTTTTTAAGAAAGATTACGAGACGATCTATCCAGGAGCCTCTGACCCTGCGGTCATGTCAACCGAACCGTCTGAAGAAGTGGCAGGCCGTGTCTTTGTACTTGGTCTTTTGACCCAAACCAACGATCGTGGAATGTCAGGAACATCCGGCAGCATCATGTCTTTTTTCCTTGAAAAATCCAAGATTGAAAATCCCGGCCGCCAAATGTCATGGATTTGGGTGTATCCAACAAGGAATATTCTTCTACAGCATCTAGATGCATTGGAAGTTCTTTCCACCCAAATTATCCAGCCTCTGTTTACATTTGACCCACTGGGATTTTCTGCTTTTATTCAATCCCTCCCGCTGAAAAATCTAATGGCTGGTGACATGGCTGAAGCATCGCATTCGGAATACATGCTTCTTTTTGTCTCTCTGCAGGTTGGAAAGAAGGTTAATTTAGTCCATGATGACTGTGAGTATAAAAAAGTCTCGATCGATGTATGCCACAAATTGAGAGCTAATTTTTGATCCCCTCAGATGATATCTCCATCGAACCTAACCCCAACAGTTTGGTTCTTAAAAGTGACGTGATTGGGAACTTCCTGCTCCACCAAGACCAAACCATTCGCATAGCAGCTTTGGCTCTTTTGGTTTCGTCGTATTCCACCATGAAGCCGTTGACTAATATTGCAACTGGTGCTATTCTTCGAGGTCTTCCATCCATGCATGCGGACTGCGACGCCTATGGCAGAGGAGAGATCATGACCCTCACAAGAAAATTCATCACCCGCTTGAAGAGTGGCATCGTAACCCTGGAAGAAGCTTCAAGGGGCTCGAAGACTACCAGCAATGGTCGGCCCTCCGCTTTACTTGGCAGTGATGTCGAGACCAGATCCTTCCTCCAAGCCTATCTCCAGTTTATCGAACATGATCTTTGTGTCACGGCATCATATGCGCGTCATATTTCTGCTTTGAAGGCATTGAAGCTTCTGGTGGAGTCGGGTCTTGACCCTCGAACTAATATTAAACTAATGAAAGCTGAATCTCAAACAAGCTGGAAGCTCAAGCTTGAGGTTTTTAGTCCTCAGCTTCTCAGACTGCTGATTGACCTCTTGTTGGATCCTTTCGAGGAAGTTCGACAGACTTCGCTCTTGACCATCAATCTTTTCCCTTCACAAGTTCTCATGGGCGGTCTTTTTAGCCCGGACCAAGAAACTTCACCTCCTCCTGGAATGAGCATTCTGGACGCGTTAGACAGAGCTGAGACTATTGCAAGTAACACAAGTCGTGCGGATCATGCGGATGCGGTCGCTCGTCTTTACCATATATTGTTCACTGCGGCTCAATCGAATGAGTTGTCTAAGGTTCCCTCTAATTGGTGGGCCACCAAGTACTCAGTCGTTGACACAATCCTTGCTCGACTGGAACAGCGAATCTCATCTTCTACCGGCTTGCTTGGCTCTACCATGCAGCAGACCCCTCTACACGGATACATGTCTGGATTGAGGTAAGATATCTCGTACTTACACAGTACTGTGTCATGCGCAACGTGCTAAATACTTCGAAAGATACATTGTTCTCACGCCTGACTTCCATTCTTACATTGAGACTCAACCTGATAGCTCGAACTGGAGGGCAATTCATAACAGAATAACAAATATCTGCGAGATGGTATGGCTAGCAGTAAAGCCCGTACTATGTGTTGACTCGCCAGAAGGTCATACAGATGAGCCTAGCGATGATCTCATGGTTGGACCTAAGGATATCCTGTCCTATTCTTGGAGATCTTTGCGGGAATCCAGGTATGTGGGCCTTCCACCATATCAAATCAATATTTTATTAACTATGATACCTAGTCTCTTGTTACATGCTACATTAACAAACGTCAGCTATGGGCCTTCAACTGGGGAAGGTCTCCATCGTGCCGACTTTGAAAATGTTGGTCGACTGAGCTTTACTCAATTGGCAGAGCTGCGTCATAGAGGTGCCTTTTCGACCGTTTCTACGACCTTTGCCACTTGCTGTCAGCGATGCAGTACCTCACAAGACCCATCGATTCAGCAGCTGCCCGTTGATTGGTACCAGGAAGCTAAGACCACTATCTTCGAGGCATCTGCCAAGCTCACTCGACGATCTGCCGGTCTTCCTGCGTTAGTGACTGGAGTCCTATGCTCCACTGCGGGTACACCTTTCTTCAAGCAAGTCATCAATGAGCTTGTCGAGATCTCACACCTGCCGATGGATTACGATAAGGACCAGCAGTATCTCAAGCTCCCCCAAGTTCATGCAATGAACTGCTTGAAGGATATCTTCATCAACAACAAACTTGGCCCTCATACCGAGTCATTCGTCATGTCAGCTCTTACTCTTTCTGCAGAGAGATTGGGATCACCAATGTGAGTAGAATTATTCAAGCCTTTGTCATATCAACTCTAACGATCAATCTAGTTGGAACCTCCGAAACTCCGGGTTGATGCTTTTCAGAGCTCTGCTATTCCGCATGTGTCGTGCCACTGTAGGTTCGACAGCTGGATTTGGTGGTGTATCTGGCGCTGAACCAGGATCCAAAATTTCTTTCCCCAAATACCCTGGTCTGCTCGAGCTGCTTTCAACCCTCCTGGCACCTACCGAAGGCACTACAGTGGAGGGTACTGATATTGTTACGGAGCGTATATTCCCTGCTCTTGAGCTGATTGGCGAGAAGATTCCTACATCAAATGATCAAGATGACACTACTCTGCGCAGCCTGGTTGTGCAGCACTTCAACAGTCCAGTCTGGGGCATCCGAGAGCATGCTGCCAAGGTTTATGCGTCATTACTGACTCGCAGGGACATTCTGAAGGACGCACGGGCCCTTGTGGATATTCTTAATGGGGAAATCTCCCAAAACTATCTTCATGCGAATATTCTCTGTATCCAATACTCTCTTCGCCGCTTTGCAGACTCCACTGATGTTTTCTGGGCATCGCACATCGATGAGATTCTTTTCACCGTCCACAGGGTCATCAACATGGCCTTGCCTCTGGCTAAGTCTCCCTTCGTTGCAACAGCGCTAGTTGAGATTATGAACGACACATTGGAACGAAGCTTTGAAGCAGGCATTGAGGCTCAAGTTTCCGCTTCCATCTCTACTTTGTGCGAGAAAAATGATCTTCAGGGAGTGATGAGCTACATCTTCGATGCTTCAAGCTCTGGCTGGAACCTTGCGAGTCGCACTAGAGCGTCGTCACTACTCAGGAGAGCTCTGTCATGGTGCACCGCTATGAGAATCTTTGCCGCCCAGCAAAAGGACGAGTCTCTGAACTTTTTCTTAAGCATCTCGGCCTTTGATGCCGACGCCGGCAACTGGATCATTGAACGACTTGATGAAAAGCTAGGCGAGAAGGAGAAATACCGCCAGCATTTGGTGCATTTGTACTCTTCTATCATCGTGGGCCAATATACCACTGATGTACGAACAATCGCCGTGGCCAACCTGGCATCTAGTCTTGAGCAGTTGCTATCGTCTCATCCCGAGGCAGTCGCAGACTTGATCCTCCCTTGTGATGATTTGATACAGGGATTCCGGCCTGATCTTGAGATTGAAAATTGGAACAGACAGGCTACTGATGCAGAGCTCCGTCTCCAAGGATGCCTTCACGGCGTTCAGTTCATTAAAAATGGGGCTCTCGACGTCGCTTCGTTCAAGTCTACCATCTACAGCTGGGCCGTGAAGCTGAGGTCCGCACTAAGCGAAGAAACGGTACGCTATGGTTGACTCTTGTATTATTCCTATTGCCCAACTAATGTTTTTTCGTCTTGATTTAGGAATTCACAACCAGGTACGCTGCTGCATTATCAGTCCAGAGCTTCTCTCGTGGCCTTCGTCCAGCCAACAGTTCACCCCGTGTTGATGATGCTTTGCTTGATATCTATTTGATTTTGTACGACATGCTGAATGACGACGATGATGAAATCCGAGATGTTGCTGCATCAACTGCATCCTGGGTTCTTTCTTACTCGTCTGTTTCTCCCAATACAGCAGTGGCTCTTGGACCCTTGAACTCCAGTTCGCTTCTTGCCACTCTCATCACAAACCATTACTCTTCATCACCTCGTCTTGCTCGAAGGGTGATCCGCTATCTTACCGGTCAAGAACCACGCATCAGTGGCTCTGATACACCACTCAATATGAGTTCTGTGCCGGCTTTGATCGCAGAATATTCCCAGGAGAGCACTGTGCTATTTGTGGAGGAAAAGCAGAATCTGTTCATTGATGATGTCCGGGAAATTGATATATGGTCTAAGGTACTTTCGAACCTCAGCAAGGATGCATTGCCCGAGAAGTTGGTCGGTCAATTCTCAAAATGGGTTTTGGAAGGATTGGAATATATTTCCACACTTGTCGGTCAGCCTTCTGGCCTGGATGGACTTCTTGGCTGGATTTCGAAGCCAGAGTGCTTTACTCTTGGGATTCGGGTTATTAGTCTTTCTTGCGTACTTGCATCGAAGCAATTTGGCGCTTCTCAGTTCCTTTCATTTGATCCTTCATCATTGAGGGTGGTGCTTCAGACTCTTCTTGAAGCTGGCCCGGGTGCCTCGGTACACGATGAATGGCTTCTTATGATCAAAAATGGCTTGGATTTGGATGTTTAAATAGTTCATCAGCAAACAAAGATAAAGAGACAATAACAAACATAGACCTGTTTAAATTCCAATGAGTTTGCTTAAATTCGAATGAGTTTTTCTGAACAACCGCGGGGTTCAGTGTTGGTACCTGCCTTGTTATTGTAGCATGTTTTCATGTTGATATCCTCTGCCCAAACACTTACACTTCGTCTTTCCAACATCTCTGAGCAACACACAATTTCCTGTCACCATTCTGGCTATCATTGTTTGCTGATGCAGCTTTCGCATTAGGTGCCAACGCAGATCACAAAATAATTTGCCTTCCCAGGTTGTTTTGGCTGTTTGATCACAACCGATATTCTCGGACGTTCCGTCACTGTGTGAACGCGCTCCACACCCCATCAACAACCACAACATACCCAAAGCCAAAAGTCATACACAATCATTTCAATATGCAGGGAAACACTGTTATTGCCCTTGTGATCAGTTTTCTGCTGGTCGTGGGCATGGTCGGGTGGATGGCCCACTGCTGGTATGCACGCCATATCGGATACGGGGTAATGATCAGCCAGGCACGGGCAAAAGCAAGTGAGACACTTCAAAATTTGCGCCGGAATAGTGGTGATGCGACATTTGACGTGGAAGAAGGAATTGCGACCGAGCCGCCTGCGTACACCCAGAAAGGCTGGATACGTGCCAGCAAAAAGCCAAAAGACAGTGACCGGGTTCGCACCCCATCCTATTATATTCTCAAAGGAATGATACCCGGCCAACGCTCGCGCATGGGCCCTGTCCTGCAAGGAAGCCTCATCAATTCTGTGGACCAGAACCGACTCCGCCCAAGAACAGAAACCATTTCGCTGAACAAACAGGTCAACCAGGGCAGCCTTCCGATGCATGAGTCGAAGCAACAGAGTGTGGAACAACAGGCTGAGCAGAAGAGCGAGGCAATCCAGCAGCCAACCGAGCTCCTAAAGGTCCTGCCTAAGAAGAAGAAGAAGAAACAGACGGCGAATCAAAATGAGAGCAACACTCAAGAGGATGAGCAGAATGATCAGCGGGATGAAAGCCAGAATAAAAGCAAGGACAACAATCAGAAAAGCGGCAGCCGTCATGAGAAAGACAAGAGCTCTGGAAATAGCCGGAACAGCCCTAAAAAGAACTCCCGGAACTCGCAGCAAAGCCACACGGAAAATTCAGGAAGCAAAAACCATGGAAATGGCAAGAAAAGTCCAACAAAGGAGTTTGGGCACTCTCGAAAGAGCAGTAATGCACACAGAAACCACAATGAGGATCACAATGGAAACTCGAACAGAAGCGGAAGCAATAACCACCATGATGATAATCGCCGAGACAACCGTTATTATGAGAACAGAAAACGACACCGAGGTTGGAGCACCAGCGATAACGAACATGCTGATAGTCGATCCTATGATGGTAGAAGCAAACGTCGAGGGTCCCAAGGTCGCTCAGCGTCTCGCAGCCCCCCGCAAAGTCAAAGTTATCATAGAGACTACTTTCCACGGTCTCACTCATGGGTAAGCCGTCGTGGTTCCGAACAACAAGATATCCCGCGGAGACATACCACCAAAAAAAGAAACCCACCTCGTGAACACCGCAGACGTGGCATTGGTCGCCGTCCCCAACAGAACAAAGTGACAGATAACATCAGTGACTGGGGTCAGAGTGGCGCACAGGCTGATAATGACACCTGGGACGGCCATGATAATTCACGCGCGGATAACGACACCTGGGACGGCCATCATAATTCACGCGCGGATAACGACACTTGGGACGGCCATCATAATTCACGCGCGGATAACGACACCTGGGACGGCCATCATAACGCACATGCGGATAATGACACCTGGGACAACGGGCAGGATGAGGATAGCTGGAACGCCCATAAAAAGGTTGACAAGAATGGCCGGAAAGAACATCATAACGCAAATACTGAAAGCGACACCTGGGACGGCCATAAAAAGGTCGACAACAATGTCTGGAAAGACCATCACAACGCAAACACTGAGAGCGATAGCTGGAACGCCCATAAAAAGGTCGACAAGAATGGCCGGAAAGAACATCATAATGCAAATACTGAAAGCGACACCTGGGACGGCCATAAAAAGGTCGACAACAATGTCTGGAAAGACCATCACAACGCAAACACTGAGAGCGATAGCTGGAACGCCCATAAAAAGGTCGACAAGAATGGCCGGAAAGAACATCATGACGCAAATACTGAAAACGACACCTGGGACGGCCATAAAAAGGCCGACAACCACGGCTGGGACGGCAATGATAGTCCTCAGGCAAAGTGGTAGTGAGATGCGGAGAGCGGCGCCTGCTTTGTGGTTAAGTTGAGTTCTCTTGAGCGGGTTCCACCGCAATGAGGGTGATGATCTGTTGTTCATTATGATGGCCTCTCCTATGCAGCAGATGATAGGAATTGCAAGACTCGAAAGAGCATTCTAAGGTTGTATTAGCCCCTGACCTGGAGAAGTTAATTTGGTTAAAGGAAAAAGGAAAAGAAAAAGAAGAAAAAAATCAAAACTGCATTTGTATCAGTGAAACTGTTAGAAGTAGCAAGTATTTCCACCCCAGATGATTGATGCCCTCCAGGGCACACATATGCATGAGCTCCTGGTCCAGTGAAGGTAATTCCAAATTCCTCAACCTTTCAAGTTCAACCGATTTTCACAACAATAGTGGTTAAGTACCATCTTCAAGCAGTACATGTGCAGAGTTCACGTCAGCTGTTAAGTTCCCCTCATCTTTAAAGCAATCATGACTCCAGTCATCATCATGAAAGGGTTGATGTGGATTGCAGGGTTAGCAAAGCCATTTATAGATCGCCTCACCGCCTTCATGCCTCACCGCCTTCAGCCCGGTGACGTTGAGGCCCCCGCAGATCCCCAGGCAAACAGCTTCCCAACCTCCAATCGTCAGAGGTTCCCACGATCTCTACTGCTTCCATTCAGAATGTGGAACGACGAGGACAATAATCCCTATGGGGCTTTTGACCAGCATGAAGCCCATCTAGCAGACTCGTTGCGCTCCACCGTCCTATCCCCCCCGTAAGATTCCGCCTTCTGCCAGAGTTCGCACTGTGTCTGACATTTAGATAGCAACTTACGAAGATGATACTACTCCACCGTCCAGTCGGGACTCCAACCTGGACCCTCCGGATTTCTTATCACACCCGGAAGACCTTAGTGATCCCGAAGAAGAAGCCGACTATGGAGCCGCAAGTCAACAATACCCGCGGAAGAGTGTTTACGATAGCCGCATTGAGCAGATACTCTATGAGAATCCGGAAATGCCAATCCTGATCACAGACGCGGGCAAGAACCATGAAGGTGGGGGCAGCTTTATTGTCTACACAATTCGCACTGCGGTATGACATTCGAGAATATTGGAAATAGGATTGGACAGGCTGACAGGACTATATTAGGACTTGGAAGTGCGCCGCCGATACTCGGAATTTGCGTCGCTACGCCAGACCCTGGTGAATCTCCATCCTACACTCATTGTTCCTCCAATCCCCGAGAAACATAGTATGGCCGACTATGCTGCGAAACCTACCAGAGCCAAGGAAGATACTGCAATCATTGAGCTTCGAAAGCGCATGCTCGCTGTGTTCTTGAATCGATGCCGCCGCATGAAAGAGATTCGAGAAGACGGACTCTGGTGGCGATTCCTCGATCCAAACGTTAGCTGGGTAAGTGTTTGTTGCTAAACTAGAGAGACTTGACATGCTGATCTGTGATCTAGAGCGAGGTCTTGCATTCCCATCCCGCGTCATCCGTACCCAAAAATAACCTCAAAGCGCCCCCTCTGGACCCCGCAAACCCTACCCAGGCACACAGCTGGCTTCCAGTCCCACCCTCATCAGCAAAACTCAAGACCGCAGGCGGCGCAGTTGGATCTGGATCTCCTACGTCTCCAGGAGGCAACAATGCCGAGGCTCCTCAGCAGGTTCCAGGCCCAGATATCGCCGGGCGATTTCCGCCAGAATCTCGAAAATTGACTGAACAAGAGCTGGATCCGTACTTCGACAACTTCGAAGCTTCGACCCGCGAACTGGAACTGTTATTGCAAGGTAACATAGAAAAAGTCAACCGCCGAACATTATCACACCTATCATCCCTATCTGCAGATCTAATGGAGCTCGGCGCCCGCTACAATGGATTCTCCCTCTCGGAGCAGTCGCCTACGGTGGCCGCTGCAATTGAGCGTATTGGTCAAGCCGCTGATACGTCTTACATTGAAACCGAAGAGCTTTCCTCGGCATTAAGCGCGCAATTTGCGGAACCCATGCGGGAGAGTGCTCAATTCGCGAGCGTTGTACGCAGTGTGCTACGGTATCGGGTATTGAAGCGAGTTCAGGAGGATATGACTCGGGATGAGTTGCAAAAGAAGAAGACGTTGCTGGACTCTCTTGAGCGCAGCGAGTTGGAGGCAAAACGAATTGAACAGTATCTTAACCGTACAGATTCTCAAGCCCGCACCAAACCCCACCGTTCGCTATCCACCTCGTCTGCTGTGAGCAGCGAAGGTGACAGCATCGCTCATGCTTCGCCGGATGCTGAGTTCCCTCCCACACATGGGGAACCCATCGCCTCCCCATCGCCTTCCCAGATTAGCCCTCGGAAGCCAGAGCTTTCGTCAGCTTCCTCGGCTCACCGGAAGACCTCCAGTGGAACATTTGTTGCAGGTAAACTCTTTGGTCGTATCAGCCATGCCATTCACGGGTTTGCCGACGTGGATCCTGAACGAACGCGACGCGATCAAATTGGCAAGACTAAGGAGAGTCTCATTCAGGTATGTGGACCACCAACAAATATACCCACGTCGTATACTAATCACAAAAATAGTTGGAGCAAGCATTGGAGGTATCGGAAAAGGATGTGAAAGACGCTACTGCGGGAGTGATGCAAGATCTGCGACGCTTCCAGAATGACAAGGAAGCTGATCTACGCCGCTACATGGTATGCACCGCTCCGTGCGGATCCCCTGATTTTCCCCACTTGATGCAGACAGCTAACCACGATGTTTTGGGGATGCGTTTAGCTTGCATATGCACGTTGCCATGTAGATTGGGCCCGTAAAAATCTTGAGACTTGGACAGAGGCTAAGGATGAAGTTGATAAGATTGTTGCTCGTTAGGCAACAGTCATCTCTTTGTCCCAGGCGTCTTCATTGAGTCTCTTCTTTTTTTATGCCCTGGCGTCGGTGGTTCTCGGTCTTAGCAATTTTCTTCTCCTTTTTACTTTCTTCTCTCTCTCTCTTCGATGGAATTTCTTGGATGGGATTCTTCTCAGTTGCTCCGACTAGCGATGCTACTCAGCTTACAGTAAAGGACAATTTTTTCCATCATCTTGCTCTTGGCGTAGCAACTTCATACTTAATTTTTCTTCTTCCGTACAGATCCCAATGACAATCACTTTGTGTCTTACCTGGATTCATCTAGTTACAACCCTGCAACCCTATATTGACTACCATTATTTACTATCGCAACGACAATTGCGACGGTGTCTCAGGACTCCTAAGAAATCCTTCCCCCTTCTCCACGAGGAAAAGCAAAATTCGGCGTCTATCATGAAAAGAATTGAAACTTCGACATAAGAACCATGGACCCATGCTACGGGAATGGACAAGGGCAGATTCCTGACATTCCTTGAGTGGAGTCATGTGAGCCAATCTTGTTGCTTTGTGATAACCTCAGGAGGTGGAAGATCGACAGGAACCGCATTCGATCGTCAAACTCTTCCAAGTTCGACATCTTTCTCATTCCCCCTTGCTTGGTGTCAAGCGTCGAAGTGGAACCAAGAGACAAACCCTAGATTTTAAGAGAAGTGCGGACTATAGTGCAAAGGATCCTCGGCAACATGTATCACGTCAACATGAAGAACAATGAGTGATCGCTGCCCCGCAGAAAAATCTATCATCAGAGATCTCAACCCATTCATCCATCAGTATTCATACATCAAAGATTTTTTAAAAAATCTCTTTAATTTACTTCAATTCGAATATCCACTGGGCTTCTCCGCATTCCAGTCCTTGCAGGGCATACCCACCAGTGGGACCTGATATCAAAGTGGGCCGGGTTGCATCCCTCACGGCGCACCCCTCGGATAGGCGTCCCCGCATCACGAAACCCACCCTGTCGAGGTGGCACGCCGTGCGTCCTGACTGAAAACGATGAGTGCCTGGATCCATGGGGGACAGGATGATCGTCAGGAGCGACCACTTATCACGGTCGGCTAAGCCGCCCTCTGGCCACAATGTCAACGATTTTCGACAAAGGTGGTCTTTACGGTATTTTTGGCATCTTTCAATTCCTCGACGTTGGATAAAGATGCTGGTTCTCTTAGGTTTGGCATGTCTCTTCTCGGCTGGCTTAAGCTTGAGCTTGAACCAAAACCAAGTCAGGGATTTCGATCAGGATTCTGGTCTACAGCAGGATAATGCAGTCACTCAGTTCCCACCGCCGCGACAGACTGGTCAGCACACTCATGATCCTACTATCTTAAAGGTCGGCGATGAGTTTTATCTGTATAATGTTGGTGAACATATCTTGATTCAAACCGCACCCTCCATGGCCGGCCCGTGGAAGCATGTCGGTGCCGTGCTGGATGCCAACAGCGTTATTCCTAAGGGTGACCGCGCCGCTCCGTGGGCGCCAACCGTCATTGAGTTCGATGGTGTCTACTACTGCTACTACAGCGTAAGCAAAGCTGGCTGCCGCGACAGTGCTGTCGGTGTGGCAACATCTAATTCCCCCGGTCCCGGGAATTGGTACGATCATGGCGCTGTTGTGCAAACAGGAACGGGCAACGGGTCAGATGTTGCGCCGTACACGATCTCGAACGCCATTGATCCCAGCGCCTTGATTCTTCCCAATGGAGATGCCTATCTTACATTTGGTAGCTACTGGACTGGAATCTACCAGGTTCCTCTCGCAACGGACTTGCTATCGCCTCTCAGCACTACTGAGCCAGATGCTCGTCACCTCGCCTATGAGCCCAATGTCATCAGCACACCTAACCGAATGGCCAATTCGCTGTGTGGTGACCCAACTGGACCACATGCAATTGAAGGTGCATTTATCTCTTACCATGATGGATACTACTACTTGTGGTTCAGCCATGGAAACTGCTGCAATCTTAATATTAACAAGTTACCCGACCCTGGAAAAGAGTACGCATCACTCCCTCTACTGCCTATGAGCAATATGCTTACAGATTCTACAGATATAGCATTCGTGTTGGGCGATCTCAGAACCCCCGTGGTCCTTTCATCGACAAATCTGGGAAAGATCTTGTCAATGGAGGTGGTACTGTTATATATGGCTCCAATGGGGAGACCTATGCTCCTGGCGGCCAAGGCGTTCTTCGTGACGGTGATACAGATATTCTTTACTATCACTACCGTGAGTTTACATTGAAATCCTGATACGCAATCACAGACCACATGCTAACATTTTGAAATAGAAAACAAGACAATTGGAGTTGCATTCTCGGTGAGTCTCGGACCCGGCAGGCTTGTGGATTGGGGATACCCACTTCCACTTGGTTGATCCTCCTACATTCCCATTCCCCTTTCCATCGCCTAATCTCTCCAGGTATATTATCTAACATTTCATGATCCAGGATGCCTTCCTTGGTTACAGTCCATTGAAATATGTCGACGGGTGGCCCGTTGCGCAACCATAATTCCAACCAACCAGCACGCCACTCATTCTGAAACATGATCATCTTTTTCTCGACCCGCGCCATAGACCAATTCGACATCATTCTAATTCTCACTATCGATCCTAATCTCGCCATTCCTCCACCTATCAACTCACACAATCATCGGGAATGTGCATCCTGCCGCTCATTATATCGACTATAGACTTCCCGCCCGCGCATGTCTTGCATGCACGCGCGCCTTGATCAAGCAATCCGAGATCGACTCGGGGCCTTGATTCTGCACATTCTGGAAGCTTTTTCCGCATCCACCCCGTTCAAAATTCTTCAAGGTTTGAGATTTGTGCAGTGTCATTCTGGTTTATAAGTTATGCCCTTGCTTTGTCTTGGGCGCTTTACAGACTTGTACATATTCTACTTCAAGATCTACACATAGATGGGTTTAGGAAACACGATTCGAACATTTTTAACTGTTCATTCTACTTTCGATGGTATAACTGATGCGCTGTAGCCGTCATGGTGCAGAAAATACACTGGGGCAGGTTTAACTTCTCGAGTCCTGACTATAGGTACACCATCTACAAGGAGTAGATAAATTCAGGGTTCTCGCGGTCTGTTAGATCACGTAGCCTGAATTCAACAATTAGCACAAATCATTAAGAAAAAAAGAAAAAAAGAAGTTTGAGCTCACCCTTGATTCGCCGTACGAGTATATCCAGAGCTAGCGCGCACCGCAGCTTTCCGTCTATTCTCCCGTTGACACCACCAATTGATGAATACCAAGTCACAAATACAAACCGCAAAACAAACAAGAATAGTAATCTCCGCAGGGACATATCGCGGTGCATCACTGGAGCGAAAGGTTTGAGGCCCAATAATATTTCCCACGCAATATCCAATGAGATAGATTGCGGCGACGGTGATAGAACACTCGCACCGGTAGCCGGGATCGCCTGTGTCAGATAGTAACCGATTAAGCGACCGATATTATATCCACTACTACCTTTCTGTGAAACAGGTAGAGCGACAATGAGAATGATGCCAACGAGTGCAACGGCCATAGGTATACAAGCGATCAGGGTTCGATTCTGATACCGATCACCAGCCCAGCCATTCGAAAAACATGCAATGAGGACTACAACTCCTCCTGGGATTCCATAGAGAAGACTTTGTTGAGAGGTATATCCGAAGCTTTCGATCAGTTGACTGAAGAAATTCGTGAGACCACCATTGGGAATATCTGATAAAATTCCATAGAGAAATAGAGCCCAGGTTGGAGAAAGCTTCTCGAAACTGATACCATTTGAAATATCGATTTCCGATTCCTTGTTCGTTCACGCGGACTCGTTGAATGGCCAGAAATCGATCGTGGTAGCTTAGCCAACGGCAGTTTAGTTGTGAGTCAGGGATAACCCAGAAGAACAGAATACCGATAAGAGTCTAGACATCAGCATCGAAATTATTATCAATCTTTCGATGTAGAGAATCTTATCACTCACGGTGAAACAGCCCGTCACGATAAATATCAACTTCCATCCTGCGATCGCGCCCTCAACTTCAGACAATCGACGCGAGATACCATATGCTACCAATCCACCAACTATCTGACCCCATCCATTTGAACTGATCCAAATGCCAGTTCTGGAGTTGTGTTCTCGGACTGTATACCATTGTGATGAGAGAAGTGCAAAGGCCGGCATACTGGCAGCTTCAAACATGCCTAGCAAGAACCGAATAGTAGCAGCGCCTGCGAAATTATTGACGCAAATATTGCTAGGATCGCGCCCCACGTGAAGACGCAGAAAGCAGAGTATTTGGCCAGGGGGAGTCGTTGAAGGAGGCGGCTGGTTGGGTACTAGATCAATACAGGAACACAATAGTCAGTTTTGTTGTCTTTCAGAGCAGAACTAGTACAAGAGATTTTACCTCCCAAACAAGCCATCCAACATAGAATATCGACCCAAGCCATGAATATTGATCTCCGACCAAATCCAGGTCTTCCTTGATACCCATGATACTAGCATAGGAGAGTGTAGTATTGTCCAAATAGTTAAGACAGAAGACGCAGCATCTAGAAAACATCAGAGCCATAATGAGATAAGCGGGTGGAATAAAAGCTCACAATATGGGCATGAGATGCCAATCTATTGTTCTCAGTAATCTGCGATTCGTCTTCCCATCCAAGATAAGCGGTGGTCCATTGTAGTTGGCGATCGCTTGTAGAGCTTCATCATCTTCTTCACTGTATTTCAGTATTTCACCCGAGTTGACGAACTTCCCTTTTTCAAGCTCGATAGGGGAAGTATCAGCCTTAGCTGACATGTCTCCTTCGCTTGAGACAAGCTCGATGTGATGCTGTTGGGTTATTTCCATCTCTTTGGACATTTCACCGACAATCATGATGATGAAGCTTCATGTTGACCAAAAGACTTCTTCTAAAAGGTTGACTCGGATTTTGTGACAAATATATCAACCCCAGTCAAGCAGCAAGCTGTACATCCCCATGGGGAATGGTTGCGGGGACGAGGTCCACATCTCTAAATTTCAAGGTTTGATGTGATCGGTATTATGCCGACGGAGATGATGAGCGTCAATTAATGGAATTGTAAGTCGGCGATATACCGGTTATGACCGAGTCAACAATGTACATTGGAGAAGATGTGGAGACAATCATCTCTATAGTAAAGGATCAGCGTTTAGCCGAATGATCCCCGCATCTATTATTTTTTAAGCTGTTCATTCCTGCATTTGCCAACTTCAACAATTAACACATACCTGGCGTATCACTTGTTTAAGACAAGAAGTAACCCTGGAATCAATATGAGTACCGGGTCCAGACTAGCATCAATGAACCCGCCTCCACCGTCTCAGAATACGGTGCGGGTTCGCATGATAGATACGAAGTCTGCCATGTCACTGCATGCATTCTCATTCGTGAAACCAGTTATGCCAGGCCATGAGCGGATGAGCGTTACCACAGTGGCATTTTTTATTGAGAATGAGCGACTGGGAAAGAAAGCAATGTTTGATCTGGGGACGCGAAAAGATTATTGGAACTCTCCCCCGTTCACGATGAGACGAATTGAAGCGGCGATTCCAGGTGTGAGAATCGACAAGGACGTTACCGAGATCCTACAGGAACAGGGAATGAAACTTAGTGAGATTGGTAAATGAAGCCTTGAGACTCTATGAGTTTTTCTAATCTAATCATGCCATTTCGATCTAGATGATATTATTTGGTCTCACAGTCACTGGGACCATATGGGAAGTCCTTTCCTGTTCCCTAAATCAACAAATCTTTGCTATGGCAAAGGAACAGGCCCGTTTCCTGCATACCCCGAGAACCCAGATTCAAATCTAAACGCGGACGACTTCAAGGATCGGAAATGTGTGGAGATTGAGTGTGACGACCTTCATATCGGACCGTTCCCGGCTACAGATTTCTACGGGGATGGCTCGTTATATCTCCTCGATACTCCTGGTCACTGGTCTGGTCATATATGTGCACTTGCTCGGACAACACCCGACACATTCGTCTTCCTTGGTGGTGATATTTGTCATTTCGCTGGTGATTTTCGACCAACTGAGGACATTCCTTTTCCGAATACTATCCCCAACGAAGCGCTCCTTCATAGTTCAAATTATCCGATGCCTTGTCCATGTGAAATCTTCTCAGATAATCATCCGCAGCTTAGGGAAATTGGCACGTCAATCGATACGAAGACGACGCCATATTATCAGCTCTCTACTCATGCTCATTCAACATATAAGGATCCAGCAACGGCCGTGGTGACAACGGCTGCAATGCAGGATTGTTTTGACTCGGATCCCAATGTCATGGTCCTGCTAGCACATGATACCTGCTTATTAGATCATTTGCCTGTTTTCAATGACAACCCGGAAAATGATATCAATGATTGGAAGGCGCGTGGCTGGAAAGAGAAATGCCATTGGGGCTGGCTGGGTGAGCTCCCCCCGATATGATAAGGAGGGAAATGTGATCGGACCTGGTAATCGGGAAAGACCTATTGTTGATGGACTCTGGAGGAATGGAGTGAGGGTGAATTAGGCTGAGCCATATTCCACTTGTATACGTTTGGCCCAGAAAACACAAATACATATACATGAAGCCATACTCAAATAGAGCCCTGTGCACCGTGATTTTGAAACGATAGAAAGTCCGGAGTTGGGCCCTCTCCCCGGGAGCCAACAAGTCATATCCCATCGCAAGGCTCCAAAGCTCTTCGTCCTGAAAACTCCAGCTGTTGTAGGGTGATGATACTAGCGTTTGTTGTACCAAATATCCTTGAGCTGGATGTCCCTGTGGGTCAGAAATGAATAAATGCGCTTCTGGATGATAGCTGGTGCCGGTAAATGAACTAGAATTCGATGTCGCTGATGGAGAAGTCTTCCAGCCCGGGGCTGCCCCAGAAACCATCAGGTTAGTCTGATATATTCTCTGGGTCTTTAGCCCACTTTGCTTCAGCATCCGCTCGAATCCATTAGCCATACTGAAAACCATATGATTGGCGCCAGCTCTGCAATCTCGAAGAAGTTTGATGTGGGCCTGGATGAGTGGTCTTGTACGCTGAGCAGGGTCAATGGTTATACCAATGACGTGCCAGCAGTAAGACATCTTGACCAAAAACACGGCCGCGAACGCAATCATGGAATGCAGGTATAGCGGCATGCCGACGATTCCTTCTCGATAACCTTGTGTCTGTGTGAAGTGTTCGAGGACTAGGTGAGCAGCTTCAATAGCACGCAGGGTCAAGGGACGCAAGCTCGTAGGCATGTCATGCAGCGTATCCAAAGGTCTGCCTCTTAAAACGAGCGAATGCAAGACCAACTCGCTGAAGTAATAATGAATTTCTACTCCTCCACCAAGAAAATGTGGGTCATCCGCAATTGGCCCCAACGCTCTTGCCATGCTCGGGTATCTTCAGTGAATCGGAAATGATTTAGCACAGAGGCATCGTCGCCACTCATAACACGTTTTGGCTCTAGCCCGAATGTTTGGAAGGCCTTGCTCAGGTTCATCAGGCCAGTAACCTGCGCAATCAATGCTTGATCCTGATTTGTACACCACGCTGACCGGAGAAAAACTTCAAAGTCTTTGATAGGTCGCAACTCTGCCATCACTGGAGGCCGACCGTAGGCAATGCTTGATTGATGGTCGATAACAAATAGTAAATACCACAAGCGAGCTTTCTCAAGAGAGTCCTTCAGAGTATCTTCGGTAATGCTTGGTGTATAGAAGGCTTCATAGAACGCATGGTGTAAATTCAATTCAGTCGCCATTCGAATGCAAATACCACTCAATTTCCAGCTCAGATCAGGCTCCCATAGCGCTGCAATGCATAGTCCTCGGATATCGTCTAAGGTGTGGAAGCGATCGAAGATTGCCGTGGAGACTAAACCAAGAAACCGACTGTGGATAATTTCATGTGTTGGCTCCCGGCCGGGTATATGTAATGCACTGACTAGCATGATGGCTGTAAAGAGCACAGTTGATGTTGTGCGAATAGTCTCCAGAGAACAGTCTGCAGGAATAGTAGCGGAAAGCAGATGCGGGGATAGCAGGCTCTTGAACCTAGTCTTGGTTAGCAACGAAGGTGACTTTTTTTGAACAGGCATAATGAATTCATTGAGTCTCACACTTCTAACATCTCCTCAGCTAGATCGGGTGATAAGATTTTCTCAGATATTAAATCTGAATTCATCCGCCTCATGCCCCCCCCCTTTCGTCGCTGCTTGCCACTCCTGAGTTCACTGCGAAGCCCATTTAGCCTTGTAGCTTCAATCAGACTTCCCATCGGACCAGGCGAGAGGTCACCATTATCTTTGCTGGTCGTGATGGGTGCTGGTTCTTGCGAGTTGTGCCTCGTGGGTTTAGGAGAATGCATTGGCTCCACAATTTCAGGTTGTGAATACAGCTCCAATGAAGGCAAATTGAGCTTCTCCAGGATATCTTCCACCGCACGTTCAAGCTTGACCAAGTCCACATTGTAAGGCTGTGGTCGTTTCTCAACACCGCCAGTACTAATCCATACTTTCTTTTCACTGATGCAGTTTAATCGCAGACGTGTACATCGAGAACAACTGCCCTTTCCATGATCGGCATCGCATTTCACTTTGAGCCTTCGACAGCTGGAACATGCCGTTCCTTTGCGTGATGGTTGAGAATCACTTGCATCGTCTACGGATCCGCGATGTCTTTTTGCTGGAGGAACGACCTCCCCTTCCGTGGACTCATTCATATTTTCATTCATATTTTGGTGATTTGTGGAGAAAGAGTATTGAATATCATAGGAAGGAGCTAGCGTTCCCACAGCCTTGTTGACGCGTTTCCCCATATAGTATCCCGGGGATTCACGTGATTTACATGGATTTGAGGATTTTCATGACATAGAGAACCATGGATGAATTGAGGGGAAGGTGTGAAAACTGACAAGATTGCTGAACAGGCCATCCTGATTCCTGAATTGTATTAGACTAGTGTGATGTTGGGTTGATCAGCGTTACCGACTAGTGCTGCTTTCGAGAATATTATGAGAAGAAAATGAAGAAACAAGCTAAGGTATCTAGTAAAGCAACTGCTAGACCCAATCACGAATATTTGAACTCTTTGAATTGTTATTTTATAGGATATTTAGAATTATATCAACTTCAACTTGAGTACCCCATATTCCGTACCCCGTACCCGAACTCCTCACCGAGACTAGTAGGTAACTAGTTCGCCCCACGAGGCTTGAGACTCGGAGTAAACCGGCTCTACACCGAGGGAATCGTCTTGTTACAGGGGTCAACATGCCATAGCCGCGTCAGCTTATGCATGTGCTAGGTTCTAGACCACTCCAGCCTGAGATACACTCTCTGATACATATCAAGCAAGAAAATAGTCTAGGATTTACCAACCTGACTCATGAGTCATGATCAATCGTATGACTGCCAGTGGTGCACAATGGCATCATGATGTGTAAGGTTTGGACTTATACGCATTTACCAAAGTCTCCGAGTCCAAGCCATTCATCATACCTGGCCATGCTGTTGTTATATTGATAATTATTGCCAGGCCCAACTCAAATGTCATGTCAAATTTGGAATAGTCCTAGTATGGCGTAACCCCTGACATAGTACGGAGTAGTACTATGCTGAATGCCAATGGCTAGTGCATTTATACAGAAAAATTGAGTACCTTGTGTAGAACGTGCATACATATGGTTTAGATAAATCAAATTGTTCCTGAACCAAGTCTATGAGTAGCCAGCCTCCTGAGAACCCTTCTATTATCCATTCTCCCACACTCATATTTCCCTCATTCAAATATCCAATAATTCAACGTTGTCACTCCAGAATTGAGCGATTATCCGACACCCACTGCATCAACGGTTTGTGCAGGTCGCCATTACGCAAAGCTTGATAGATAATCGAGATCCAACTACCAACAGACTTCTTAGGTCGCTCATTCAATGTGGCAGACTCCACAGTTGGATGCTCAATGAATCCTTGGTGGAAAGGCACCTCCAAACCATGTCGCACAGCTCGATAAATGATCTTCGACCCAGCGCCTAGAAGTTTCTCGGTGTGCTGATGAGCAAAAAATGCGTTTTTATTGACATCATATGCTTCCACCAGACAAGCCACAGTCTGAGTCTTCCATTCCTTAATCACGACGAGTGCATCGACTGAGTGATTGTTGGACGCACGCTTGCTATCCAGAATTGCTTGGAAAATAAGTGGCAATGTCGACTCGACAATAATATCACAGCGTGCTGATGCCTCTAGCTTGGATGTCTTCCACCAGGTCGTTGCCATTTTATTCTCAATAGCCCTTGCTAGCGCGTCTATCTCCTTGGTCAACATCAGTCCGGTAAATTCACTCATCGTGATATTGATAACATCCGGGAGTGTCTCCAAAAAGGCGAGGTGCATAGCCCGGAGATCCAAGGCTTGACAGGCAGCATAAATAAATGCCGATGTCATCAGAGAAACAACCTCGGCAGCTTGCATAGAATAGCGAGCCGATACAAAAGCCATGGAGTTGATTGACTGGTTTTGCATCTCTGCAGACTGCACATGAGAGCTGACTGGGTTCGCCAGGTATCCCAATTCAGCCATATAGGCAGCCATGCTAATATCAACACCCTTCATTGTGAATGAGCAGTTAGGATCATCAGCGACGAGATTGGTAGGAATTCCATTACTGAGGTCTGGGTTGACCATCTCAGTAAACTGTGCGAATAGGATCTTGCCCATCATCTGGAGCGCAAGACGGGTCTTCTCCATCGCGGAGGTGATGGAAGTGGCTTGGAAGTTAGCTCCACAGTGAACATCATTACTCTCAACGTTGACCAGGGGGTTGTCTGCAGTTGAGTTCAACTCTACTGTGATTTGCTTGTCGGCAAGAAGGAGATCTTCGAGCTGGGGCCCAATCCACTGTGGAGCACTACGCAGCGCATATCGGTCCTGCTCGATTCCTTCTTCATTCTTACGCTTTGGATTAGTTGGTCCCTTTGCAAGAGAGGAACCTTGTAGCAAGGCCAACATGTTTCTGGAGGTCTCAACCTGACCATCGTGTGGTCGCACCGCTGAGATGAAAGGATGAAAGCTTTCTGAGGATCCTTGGAGAGCTTCTACCACCATAGTGCCTAGGACCTGAGTCAACACGGCTAATTGATGAGTCTCATACATCACAAGACTTGCCAGGGCTGTGGATGCGGCCGTTCCATTCACAAGGCCTAAGCCCTCCTTGGGCCCGAACTTGACGTATTCAATCCCTGCCGCCCTAAGAGCTTCCATCGCCGTTGTTGTCTTAAGGACAGAGGGATCGGCCTCATCCGGCACTTGCACGTAAATGTCGGGGCTCCCTTGGATCGCGCCAGCAACATATGCGAGGGGCATCAAATCACCCGAGGCGGATATCGAGCCCCGGAGAGGGACGACCGGAGTAATACCAGTCTCAAGAAGTTTCAGGACTGACTGTATGACAGGAATGGTGACTGCTGAGTGACCACGGGTAGAGTGATTCGCGCGAACAACCATGGTACCACGTACCCAGGAAGCAGGCATGGAATGAGGTTCACAGCTGCCAAAGCCACCACGAGCCACAGATTGTTTGTCGACATCCACTAGGATTCCCGCTTGGGTGAGCTGCAGCAGAGCCGCCTGCAAAGGTACCAATTGATCAGTCCGAGAGTCTGCGCTCCCGCCAAATCCGGTATTGACTCCTGCATCCCTGTTAGAGATACATCGTGATTTAGAGGGCTTGGATCAGGGTGTTAGGCTAACCGTATACATTATTGCCCTTAGTCAGGTAGTCCATCAAGACATTCACACTGGCAGTGATTCTATCCAAGACCTGATGGTTTTTAGTAAGTACCGAGGTACAATTATAGCTGAGTTTCATTAGTTAGGTTCCTCGAATCAAACAATCGTACACATACTAAGAAGTCGCCACCACTGCTGCTATGTTCAGCTTGGCACCAGTAATCTCAATCTTCTCGCCTGCTGTATGCTTCTGAAGATCGCTCCATGCTGCAAATGCAGTCGCGAGATGAGACTTGCCAGATTTTCTATCCCTTGCGAGGTCCATGATACAAATGTATAGGTCAGGAGGGAAATCGGATGAAACGAACTCAGAGAATGAGACTCGGATTTATTATTTTCATGGAGTATTGCCCAGATGTGGCTGAGTAGATTCTGAGACGCATGCAAGCCTGCAACTTATATGGTAGTTCGCAGCTTGGGACAGGATTATGGATCATTGACTCGGAGTACTCCGAGTCCGAACTGATCTCATCATTTTTATTTAGAGAGGTCTGGACTCAAAATCACATGTGCAAGCCCAAATCAGCTTGATTGTTGCCAATTCCATCCATAGGAGATTCCATACCACTCCGTACCTATCAGGGTGTGTCGGATTCAGTATGCGGAATCCTCGTAAGTGCAGGTGTTGACTAGTCTGCCACCTGATCAGTGATAACTACCACTCTCCACTTTTCAATGACTAGGGATATGTGGGTCTTAGTCTGAGGAATGTACATTTATGCACATAGATAGGAGACTCGGATTCGGGAAATTCCGGTCAATTCCACATTTCTAGACTCTGGTGGCTTTGATGTCAGACATGTTCTCTCTAGTAAGCGCTAAGCAAACAGCCTGAAATGGGGAGGGGGTTTCATCGGTTCCTATACTTATAAAGAGACCAGTTGACGAGAACATGAGTGGAGATATTGTTTGAATCATGCATGTTTGTATCAAATGTTTGAGATCCATGAATATGATCTGCCAGGTGGAGTTCTTGTATTGGACGACTCGGAAGGATCCCGGAGCCCGGACCTCAGCCGATCATTACCCAGCTGATGAATACTATAGCGCCATGCATATGTGGTGGCGCTATATGAACTCGAAATACGATGAGTCTCTGTTAACTGCGAGGACAAAGTACGGTGTGAGATAGTGGCTAATTTAGTGCGATGATTACGCACTAGCAGTAATTGTACAGCGTTAAGTGCAGGGCTGAAAAAGGCAACATTTAAACGATATCCAAGTGATAAGATTACCAATTACTAGTACAATCGGCTTTGTACCCTTACATATATGTTCAGCGTACTAGTCAATGACACATGTGCAGCTTCAAGGGCAAACATGTTCGTCAATGTAACCTTGGAATCTATGGTATTCTGATTTGATCCATTCATGGCTCATGTGTCTTAAATCCCGCTGTATGATGTATCTTTTGGGCATAGGGACGTGTAAACTACTACATCGGGTTCCCACTGGCATCGAGCTGACGCATAACCATTAACAAGGCCTTGCGAGGGCTTGTCGGCACCCGTGACGTATGGCTATTATGATGTAAGAACTAGATTTATTGAATCCAGGGAAGGAAGTAACATTTCAGAGTACTGAAATCCTGTAGGATTGAGAAGCAGGCTCCAACTTTAATTTCAGGGGTATGGAGTCTCCCACAGAAGGGTTAGGAATAACTCATTAAAGAACGGAAGAAAACCCCGGTCACACCAGACGGAAAGACGAGAGAGATGACAAGACCTAAACACCGGGTCCCATTCGGAAAATGGAAAAATGGATTCACATTGTTTAGAACCCATTTGTGCCATTCCACCCATTCGCCCCATTTGACCCATTTGACCCATTCACCCCATTTGCCCCATTCATAGGAGGCACAGCAGTATGATGTTCATCATCCTCATCACTACTGCTGCTCTCTATCACCCCAGAACTCACCCCATTCACCCCATTCGCTCCATTCGCTCCATTCGCTCCATTGGCGCCATTCATCCCATTCGCTCCATTCATAGGAGCCGCAGCATCTTCGTCATCATCATCATCGTCATCATCACCTTCCTCTTCCTCTTCATCATCTTCCTCTTCATCGCTTTCAAGCTCAAAACTCTCCACATCACTAACACTGAACTCTGCGTCTGAACTACTCAGCTCCACACCAGGGAACAAGTCTAAAGACTGCATAAATGTCGAGGTTGCAGCAGTGCGATTGTGGAAAATCTGAAGGTCCCATGTGCTTAGAGCATATGGACTAGTGTAGGGAATCTGGCCGGTTGGATCAGACACAGGCCGCGGGCTCGGGTTGGTTAAATCGGCCTCCTCAAAGAACTGGTTTCGTGGGGAGCCAGAGAAGCCATATCCATATCCATACTCTGCAGGAACGGAAACCGATGGCGCTAGAGACGATGGCTCGGACGAATGCTCAGACGATGGTTCAGGCGCTGGCTCAGGCGCTGGCGCAGCCCGCTGGGAGCCATGGGGGACCACAGGGACCAGATGGCTTGCAATACGGCCAGGTCCGCGTCTACGGCCACGACCACGACCACGAGATGGCAGTAGATGGACAGGTGGTACGATTGGATAAACAGTAGTTGGGCGTGGAAAACGGGCAGTAAGTGGGTATGGACTTTGATAGATGGACATATCTTCCACTGAAGGCGAAGAGGAAGAAACTACAACAGAGTCCGCAAGTTCCTCTGCACGAGAGGGAAGAAGAGTGGCAGCGATTTGCTCAAGTGGAATGCGTTGGTTTTGACGACGGGCACGTCTTCGGAGAGCTAGAGGATCATCGCTTGAGATCGAGATATCATCTGAGACAACCGCCTGAGAGTCCAATTCTTCTGCGTTGCTGGGTTGTACCAGGGCTGCAGCTTCGGGGATGGAGATGGCTTGAGTTTCACGGCGCTCACGAGATGATAAAGGGTTGTCATTGTTGAAGGACATATCATCTGAGGTTATGGCCACCGAGTCAGAATCATGCTCCTCAGGCACAGGCTGCGAGGGAGTGTTCAAGATATTCAGATCGTTCAAGATGTTAGGATTGTTCGGAGCGTGAGGAGTGGAGGGGCCAGCATCTTCATTTTCATTCTCCGATTTCACAATGTCGGATCCGCAGAGAGACATGGTGGATTGTTCAGATACGAAGAAGTAAGAAGGGATTAGAAGCGAAGCAAATGGTTGAAGGGATTAAAAGCGAAGCAAATGGTTGTTGGAGTGAAGGATTGGATTGAGGAAACAAATCTAGTATGCAGTCTAGAGTAGGCATCGATGGTACATGATAGATCGTCGGGGCGATGAGTTGCAACCACACCATCGCAAACCATCACAAACCATCGCAACCGCACCTTCCTTTGCTAACTCCCAATACCTGTGATGTTTATCATCTTCTCTTAACTATGAATCGAACTTTTTTTGTATTTCCCATGTAAGAACGCCAACTCCAAATATGAGATAGAAAAGATAACATTGTAAACGACACAAAGAAAAGACAAAAAGATATGAATAAAGCAGACATGATCGTGATGGCTTTTTGTGCACGAAGAAAGAAAAAGAAATGATCATCTCGAACACATTGATTCAAGTAGACAAGAACATGATTAACTCTTGTCTTCTTCACCAACTCGTAACTCCACAACAGGTAAATCATCATCAGAGCCATCTTCAAGAAGAGGTGGCACATCCTCAAAGTTAGAACCTTCATTACCAAGCTCCAGGAGGCGGTCTCCAGGTTCTGAATAGCCATCTTCGACGGCGACATTGCTATCATTATCTCCGAAAAGGTCTTCATCATTGTGTTCATTATTGGTAGTATCATCGGGTTGGTTGAAAGACCAAGACGGTGAGCCAAAGATGCTCAGCGGATTGGCTTCCGGCTCTTCCTCGGAATCGTGCTCATGCTCGTGCTCGGACTCTTCAGACTCTTCAGATTCTTCAGACTCTGCTTCTTCGGCTTGAGCTGTGGGAGAAGTCTTATTGCCGTTGCGGTAGTCCATGACAATCTTCTGAAGTGCTGGGCCACCCAGGGGTTCGGCAGACTGGCGACGGTAGAACAACAGATAGGCGGCACTACCGGATACGCGAGCCGGGTTGATGATACTTGCAGTTGAGTCTGGATAAATATTGTTGTTAGTATAAAGGATAAAAAGAAAGGTGAGGGAATGGTGGAAACAAACCATTAAAGTCACACCAGTCACCAGTGACCCAGTTCTTAGCATGTGCAGTATAGTGACCACCGCCCATGGTACCGTGGTGGCGGTCAACACCAATCAGGTCGTATTTGAGAGACTTGCCATCGCTGGGACCCTTGATGTACTCTGAGAGATCGAGGTCTTCCAGTGGGAATTTGACCAGAGTATCCAGCTTGCCTCGACGATGCCCATTGAACACGAATCGCTTCAGGTGGACCACAAGAATATCGGGGGCAGACCAGAGCTCGAACATCTTACGAGCTTCGCGGTGCTCCTTGCAGCTAGGGCAGTACCAAGCGTCATTCGCCGACAAGACTTCTGCTTTGCTAAACTCCTTCAGACAGTCATCAAGTTCAATACCAGACTCCTTCTTGGCGTCACGTGCAGCACGACGATTGATCAGGTCTGCGTCCGGAATGAAAACAGGGTTAACGTGAGTTGGTACGCCCAGTTCGACCTCATCTTGTTCAGTGTCATCCTCGTCGCTGCCATCTTGCTCGACCTTCTTTTTGTTGCCGCTCTGCTTGGTTTCACCACCAAACAAAGCATTGCAGGCTTCCTCATTCCAGTCAAGGAGAATAGAGTCGCCGCGGCGGAAGAAAGGCATTGGTTGTATCCCAAGACTCGAGCCATCAGATCGGTCTGACACACTTCGAGTCTCGCTGTTTTCGTCGCCGGAGCTAGCCTCGGACGTCTTGCGTGAAACTTGAATTCGAGAGGTGACCAAGGGATAATTGGCAGTACTGTTGATCATGCGACCCTTGGAAATCGTCTCATGACTAGAGACGTACTTGACATCAAAGAGGTTTAAAAGGTGACGGGGGAAAGAATCAGCCAAGGGATGGGTTGTAGTCTCGGTTGGTTCTTCAGTGTCTTCGGTGTGGTGGCTCGAAGACGGAGAGGCATCCTGCATTGAAACATTCACAATGCCTTCTTCGCCTTCAATAGATGATGTATTGACCTTCGAGTCAACCGATCGGGCATCTTCGTCATTGGTAACCACGGTATCGGAATCTTCAGGGCCCTCCTCAATCTCCTCTGCTGGTGGATCCTGCTCATTCAGAATATCGCGGGTGGTCATGGTAGCGACATGACGCAGGATTTTGTTGTAGATAGCCTTCAAGTCTCGGACCTCCTGGCGGCTAAAGGAAAGAATGGTGGGTAATGCAAAAAGTGCGGTCTGGAGCCTGTTGTTCTTGTTCTTCTTTCCCTTTGAGGCCTGGTTCTGTCGATGAAATAGAGGAACGAGAACGCGGTCTTCGGAATCAGGTGTGTCCAGCTCAATGAAAGTCACCACATCCTTGGGTTCAATGCGGAGTCTGGCGAAATTCTGGTTGGGGTTGTCAAACACCTGGTAGAAGCTACCATTGATTGATTCTGTGCCGATGATTTGGTGGTATGAGATCTGTTTGCGTGTAGCGACGGATTTTATGAAGGCTTCCACAGTACCATATTGTTCCACCTCGACGACGAAACGTTGTGGGGGATTGTTGAGTGACAGATACACAACCTCGCGGTAAATGATGTCTCTGTCACAGGGAATTGGAAGAGTGAGGTGGCTGAAGGGATCGAACATGATGCTGACTTTGTCGCATTCTGGGCATACGAGGGTGGATTTGTACATGCCAGAAAACAGATCTGTGATCACGGAGTCGTTACGAGCCTTGTAGATGTCCCAGCATTTGACGGCGAAGTCCTCCAGGGCCTTGCGGTTGTGAACCATCTCATCTGTTGAGTCAGGCTTCTCAATGTAAGGCTTTTTCAAAATGCGATTGAGATCTTCCGACAGTCCGTCCAGGACATACATGAGATACTCCTGACTATCCTGCTGCTCCCATCCAGCCATAGAGGAATTGACCAGGCCGACAGTGTGACGATAGCGCTTTGGCAGGATACGTGATGGTGGTGGGTCTCGGTAAATGTCTTGCATGACACCGCCATATGCCTGAGCAAGTTTACCATGGTGACCCAGAGGGTTATCATAATTAAGGTCCCGAATATGGCTTTTCGAGAGGAAGTAGATAGTAAGCTCCTCGACTGCGCGGATACACTGAGTAGCGGCGTTCTGGTAGCAGGTGTTTCCCATGTTGTCGATTCCAGTGACACCCAACCGGTCACCCTTTGGTCTCTTGCCCATAGGCACAACAGGCGCTGGACTAGCGCGACCACCAATTTCTGCGCTTTTGACAGACGCGACGGGACCCTTCTTTGGTTTCTCAATTGGAATTCCAAGCTTCTTCAAAGTCTTTGTCGATGCCTCGGAGACCCATTCTCCCTTGCGAATCTCTTCCTCCAGGACAAGTGCTTCAGTCTCAACCAACCCAGCCATCGACAAATTCATCTTGCCATTGTAATTAGAATTATTGGTCTGATCCTTGCCACGTTGCAATAACTCCCGTTGAGCGCCTTCGTCAAGAGAAAGGAAAGTGTTGAGGTCTAAGAGGAGGGTTTTGTGGGAGGAGGTAAAGGCTGGAGCGGGCGCGGGGGAAGCAGCCCGAGAAACGGCGGGGGTCGACGAGGTTGATTGATTTGCACTGGGAATTCCACCACGAAGCTTCCATACTCGAACTTTGGTTGTCATATTAATTCCTGCCATCTCCTTGGCCTCTTTGAGCCATTTCATGAAATTCGTCTGAGGACTTGCGAGAGCCTTGATCGGCAACATGTTCTTTTCCTTCAACAACTGAGGGCTCATGCCCGCGGACGGATTCGAGAGCTTGAAAATCGAGACAATCGGAGGAGCAAGTTCGTAAACAATGTTGGGTTGACCATGGGAGCTGACGTCGTGGGCATAGCGAGTGATGACAGGAGATCCAATCGCCAGACCGTACCACTTCATAATAAGATCCCAGGCCTCCTGCGGCACAATCTCGTAATGTTCACCGTGCTGCAAACCCGGGCGCATCGGCACATAGGACTCTCCTATCTGATCCTTCAATCCATTTTCCTGAGGGCCAATATCGAGGACGATGTCGGTGTTGTCAACGGGTCCCAATTCGCTTTCCAGGGATTCATTACCCGCTTTATCGGCATGGGTCGAACTGCGCGCAAACACCTTCTTCAACCATTTTGATGATATCACGAAGCCCTTCTGACCATTCTTTAGAGGTTTTATCATCAGCGCGGAGACTTGGGCGACCTGTTCATCGATCGAACTCGAGACTACGGTATCATCCTCCACCGCCGTGCTCACGCCGCCTTCGGGTTCGGAATCGCTGATTTCGGATGCTGGTCTCTTTGAGCCGGGAGAGGCCTCCGGGGAGGGGGAACGGTTGCCATCGGTGCCGAAGTGGAACAAGGAACGATCTTGAGGCTCGGAGTGCATGTCGGAGTGGTCGCTGGAGATGCTCAGCCCAGCGGTCGCGGTTGCGGGAGTTGGGGAACGGCCAGCTGACTGCGACCGGTACTGCCCAGATGAACTGAGCAGGTGGGCTGGCACGTAGTAACGGCCAGGCGACGTTGACAAGCTCTTTCGTCCGTATGTTGAACTTGGCCGGGCTCTTTGCCGCAGCCAACCCTCACCAGGGCTACTACTCACCTCTGGCGAAACCTTACGGCGCTTTGAAGGAGCCGTGATTGCGATGAGCCGCCAACTATGGCAGCTCGAGGTGACCGAGGAAGGGATTTGCAGGTGAGAAAATAAATTCAAACCCTACTCCTTCCTATTTGTTTTCCTTGTTCTATAAAGGAAATTAGTATGAACAAGTTATTAGACAAGTGGAAGAAAAAAAAAGATCAAAAGGAATTCAACTGGCAGAAAAAAAAGATTTTGGGGTTTTTTTTTCCGCCGGGACAAACCCTACCGATCACTTACCTGAACCAGCAGAACAAGGGAACAAGGTCTCCAAACGCAGACTCCAAACGCACGTAAAGGCAGAGGGAGAGGAGGGAGGAGACAAGGGAGAAAGGTGAAAGAAAGCAAAAAGGGATTAACAGACCACACGGGAGAACTTGAGCGCCGTAGTGATGGTGAGAGGGAAAAGAAAGAAGAAGTGGGAGAAGACACCGACTACGATTATATAGAATCATTATCATCAGTGAATGTCAGTAGCAGATTAACAGTGAATCTAAGGGTATTCTAAATTAGGAAATACAAGACACTCAGAAAATATCCCCTTATAAGTGAATGGAAGTGACCATTGATCTGTTCAAAAAATACTTCATTGAATGATGAGTGTATCTGTGAGCATGAGAGCCGCATTCACCGCGCCTGTGGATGCGCATATGGTTACTCAATTCAGAATTAACCCTGTTCAAGTGAGGTGATTAGTCCTAAATCAAATATCTCCTTGCTGAGTTAATTATATCTACAACCTTGGAAAGATATCACTTGATGCCCAGTATTATTGATCCTAGTCCGCCTTCTATTACTAGTAATTCTGGACTCGGAGGCGGTTACTATACTAGGCGTAGTGGGTCTAGAATACTATATATAGTATCTAGTCACTGGCATTAATTGTTCATACCTACTACTACTGGTACTAGTACTCCTACATATGTGCACCAGTTGACAGCACCACTACTGGCATTGATCTAATTTCTGATTCACACTTAACCTCAGGCTAAGTGCTGCCAGTAATAGACTCCGAGTCCGAGTCTTGAGATGGATTCAAGTTACTAGTACTACTAGTAGTAGGTAGTGGAGTACCATGGCTCAGAGTACTACTAGTACATTCAAGTTAATCCCTTTCAAGCTTAGGACACTCAAATGCTACCTACCAGGTGCCTGAGAAGAATACTAGTATGTAGTAGTAGTATGTAGACCTACTTGAACTTCAAGTGGAAAAAGGACCATTGATTGAAACCTAAAACAGTTTGAAGAGAAAGAACATGTTCATCAAGAATATCAAAAAGTCATAAAACAGTACTAAGACTATCGATCATCAGGAGTAACAAAATCCAAAATAAAAGAAATCAAATATTGAATACAAGAAGTACTAATAGAACAACAAAACTTGGTCCATCCATAACAACAAGAAGAAAACACTAACAAGCACAAACAAAAACTAAAACCAAATACAAATTCCAAGCCCCATCTATCTAAACATACTGAGTGTCCTCAGCCACCTCGGCCTTGACTGGTACATAGCCCCAGGCCTTTATCTGCGCCTCCAGCTCCTCGGGAACCCGGACAAGGAAATCCTCAATGCTGTGATGCTCCTGAGTCTCCACAGCCTTGCACTCAATAGCATCTGGACGAGGCTGAGGTTCTTGATGAACCACTATCGCCAGTCCGACACAGAGGAAAATAAGAACAGCAACCAGGATGACCCCGACTATGAGAACTTCCCAACGTTCGCGTTTCTCCTTCTTCAACTCGTCGCGCTTTTCTTTTGGCAGCCACAACGGTATGCTTTTGTGAAGCAACTTCCAGCCTCCTGGAATGTCGCTCTCATAGTATTTTTGGACCTTGGGCTCTGGGAGTTGAGACTCCAGGTCCACCTTTGGAGATGGCTCGCGAAGGCCACCAAAGTATGCCCTGACCGGGCGGACAAGATTGGGTACAGATGGTACCTTTGAAGTCATTGTGATTGTTGTTTGATGATCAAGATTGATTATTATTTTGGTATGCCTTGGAGTGAGCAGTGAGTAGAAAATGGTGTGAAGTGAAAGAGAGAGAAAAAAAGAGAAGAAGATCGGGGGAGAAGAGATTCTTATAATACAAGCTTGAGCGGCGGGATGTAGGATTCAGACACTATTCCTATATTGAAGCTACCGCATCCCTATGAGGGTCGGTCTCGTTTGATCACTTTGATTTGAGACCGGAGGCTTCTTATTCGAGTTAAGTACTTATTTTTAGCGACTGTTTGGGATACACTAGGTAGTATACAGCAGATTTAAGGTTATCAGGGTATCTGGATCAGTCCAAATTTAATTTAGCTCAATTTGGGAATAGCGGGATATCGGAATCTCACTTTAGTACACAAATATTGGTACGGTGACTCCATTCATGGAAGCATCATCTGGGCAATCCGAATACAGTTTACTTCAATATGGTACGTGCCCGATCTCTCATATGGCACGGAGTAAGGCGGAAATGAGCAAGATATGCGAAAAATAAGCTCCCCGTCAGTATAGGCATCTGGGCTATAGATGATAAAAACGTGAACGGAATCCAAGTTCAAGGGTTCCAAGGTTGTAGATCTATTATTGGCCATTGAGATATCTAGATGTTGGCTGCATATGCATGTACACTCCCAAAATTGTGTGTATGTGAGGTTAAATTAAATGACCAGTGAGTGGTAGTCTTCTCATTTCAAAGCAAGCGCTTTTTCCTTCCGAATGTCTGAAATCAAAACAGATATGAGGTAAAGAGTACTAGGCATATGCACATCTGCATTGGATGTAGAAAGGGGGTGCTGAGGGTTGGTGTCACTACTGGAGTATCATAAGGATCAATGAAAATCGTTCTAAAACATATTATTCAACAATAATCAGATAGAAACTGATGTTAGGAGAAGTAAAATCCTTAAGCGCCTGAAATGCGACCATCATCTGGAACCGTTGCCCAATAATAACACCGAGCCATGATTCCTATTTTGTACAATGAAATTTTGTGTTTTTAGCACATCGGGGTATCCATCCATCAAAAGAAAAAGCGCCAAAACGAAGAAAGTAAGAGAAAGAGAAGATGACTGCTCCTGGATGACAAGAGGGCAGAGATAGGGTTGAACCAGACCAAGTAATGAGAAGAATTATGAGGCTCGGAAGTCGTACATGCGAACATGATAGTCATCGCCGCCAGTGATAAAGCGACTATCACTCAGCCCAATGCAGTTAACGGCCGCCGAATGACCTTCATAGGTCTCTTGGCAGGTTGGAATGCGGGGATCCCAGATTTTGACCATACGGTCCAGTCCGCCAGAAGCGATTCGGAGAGTGTCGGCAGAGAGCGCCCAGATGCCCTCCAAGTGGCCAAAGAATGTGCGCAGGCACTTGCCAGTACTGGTTTCCCACAAACGGATAGTTGCGTCAACGCCGCTGGTGATGATGTATCGTGGGGGTTCAAGGCGGTCTTTATCCTCATCAAAAGAGGAACCGAACATGGAGGGTGGCGAAGCCAAGGTCCTATGCTGAAGGAGTGGGGAGAGGATGTCCACGGGGCCCTCACCAATGTGGTCATTCTCGCAAGCCTCGAGATGGTTCTCGATTTCAATTTCACGCGGCAAGGGGAGAACTTGCTGAACAGCACCGATGTGATTATTGAAAACTCGGATGCAAGTCTTTGTATCGAGATCCCATAGGCGAGCAGCGCCATCATCGCAAGCAGTGAGGACTGTACGGGAGGCAGTGTCGATCTTCACTCCATTTACACCTTCAGGGTGGGGAAGAACAAAAGTCGACTTGTCCTTGAAGTTCCAGATTTTGACCGTCCGATCGACCGAGGCAGATGCAAGAAGGGTAGAATCGAAGTGGAGAGCAATGACAGCTTCTGAGTGGCCATTGTATTTGGAGATGCATTCTCCAGTACGCCAGTTCCACACCCGGATGCTGCAGTCCAAGCCACCTGTAATCAGTTTGGTATCATCGAATTGCAGGCAGCGTACTCCTGCAGTGTGGCCACGCAGGGTACGCAGCTCTTCGTGAGTTTCCAGATCCCAGATCTTAACAGTAGCATCATAGGATCCGGTCATGAGAATGTTGTCCTCGAATTGAAGACACATCACACTATCAGTATGGCCTCGGAAGACCTTGACTGAACAGCGTCGGTGCTTCCAGTTCATGCCAACCACAAATCGATCTCTGTAGACATCCTTCCATGGTCTGTAACGGGTCTTGTAATAATCATCATCGGGCTCTGGGCGGTATGCCGGAGAAACACAATGACGTTTGATCATTTCACAGCCATAATCTTGATCGTCCGTAGTTGTATCAACCTTGCGCTTGCTGCCGGTACTAGGATTCTCAACCACAGAACAGGTTCCATTCGGGGCACCTTGAGTAGGGTCCGCAGAAGACTGATTGCCCCAATTTGAGGCTCGCAACTCAATCTCACGCTTCGATTCACGCAGGCGCTTCCTGTCTAAAAGAGGCAAGCCCCAACCGCACTTGTTGCACTTGCGCCGAATGTGCTGTTCGCACATCCGATGCCACACGACATCATCGTCTGCTAGCATTCTCCAACGGTGAGAAACCTGCGCTGCGCGACAGAGCGAGGCCGTGTCTAGGTACCGCAGAATTTTGAAGGAAAGCTCTGGAGGGAGAGCGGAGAGGAAATCGATTCGGATGAGTTCACGGACGGAGGCGGAAATGAAAGAAAGTTGGGGGAAGCAGCACTGAGCAAGAATTCCCCGCAACATCAATTTGCGCTGTTTTGCTGGAGCTGCGGAAAATAGCGACCAAACGTGGGCGATACCTTGCTGGTCATCTTGCGGAAGGCTGTTCAATTCCTAGAGAGAAAATGAGCTCATGTAGGGACCAGAAAGGAGATATGTGGAGGCTTACCTGTTGAAGTGAGCGCATAGACTGTTCATCAGCCTGACGCCTATTGCATTTCGAATCTGGTTGATGGCGATAGCAGTACCCAGCGTTGATTGGGCGGGGTACCGGGGTGCCATCTTCCGAGCGCAGAGGCGCGTACTGACGAGGGTGATACTTGGTCAGGAATGGCGCAACATTTTGTTTGGCCAGCTCTGCCAGCTCCTCCGACTTCTCGTTGTTATGGGTAGGCGGGGTGCGGTTGGCGTCGGTCACTGGCGCTGCATCTCCCGCTTTTGAGGGGATAGAAACAGGATTCGTTGATGCTGACATCGGAAGAAGTGGTATGCAGGGAAGAAATGAAGAAATAAGGCAAATCAATTAGAGTTGAGAATGGGACTTTGGAGGCAATTTGGTCGAATATTAGACACCGATAAGAGCTCGGTGGTCTATTGGCTCACGCGGATTGTTGTATCGGAGGGGAAGGGGAATGTCGCCGCTTAATGCGAGCTGAATCGAGGGATAGATCACGCAGGATGCCTTTGGATTTAAGTCACCCAAGTCCACAAGGTTCCACCTGTGTCGAGCGTAGTAGTGCTTGCCCGAGGAATCCTGGGATGAGTACCCTGGCAGATACTGCCACAAGATGGGAGTGGTGAGACGTGTTGATGTGTTGATGGGTAGGAGAGTTGGAGATGATCTTCGTGGGCGAGGATGTGACTTTAATAAAAGTCCCACTGGAGTGCAGGTTCCAGTCACGAAAGGAATTGCGCAATCGGAGTGCTCGGCTCGATCTGTGATACGTCTGTTTGAGCCAGATGAGAGAGAAATGTCGACAAGCACGCAACGGGAGGCGAAAGAGGGCGGTGAGCGATTGCATAATGGAAATCTGATCGCTGACGCTAAACCTAGATAGGCTTAGCGCGGGAATAGTTCTGCAGCGGCAGAATCAAAGTGGAACTGAGTGGGACTGGAGTTCGGTAAGAGTACTCCGTACATACGGAGTACGGAGTACGAGAAACATTTGGGATTTCCGGTAAATTTGTTGAGTAGATGGACTCAATACATATGAATATATGAACGATGTAGATTTTTATCACTGCAGCATGCACTCCATAGGTACAATGAATGTGTCTTGCATCCTGCACTTAATATGCTCGGAATACCTTTGCATTGTCCCCTATTAGTGGGCAAGCTTCATTAGAAATAGAGGCCAGAATGGAATATTTACTTGAAAGTCAGGAATAAAAATTGTTATCACTACCTAAGTACGGATAATGCCCGTGAAAGACACTACATAGGTACATATAAATAGCTACCTGTGGCTCTTTTTCCCATCATCGGCATAACTTTATGCATTAGTGCCTAATATATAGGGCTAATATTCCCCGTAGTATTGCTCACCGCCCCACACGTGATGGCGCCATCTCCGCTCTTGATCACATCACTGCACTTCTTATCTCTTCGTCGGCAGATGATGTGATCGACTTTAGACCGCTGGTTTCGTCCATTTCCCCCCTTTCTCTCGCCCGAACGACTGGGGAAGACGATTCGCCCCAGATCACGCCATAACAAGGGGGGTCCAATGATTCATGAGGTCAAGACTCGTTATCGCTGTGAGCTATCCAAACCTTTTTTTGGAGCTCTTGTTTAACGGGCCTGGACCATAATCTCCTATGAGGTAAGTGATTTTATTTCTTGACGGACCCCCTGGATCCACCTGACGTGAAGAGCGGTGGGCTCATTAAGGAGGCTTGTTTTGCTTTCCCCAGATGTCGTATCTCCTGAAACTCCTGTCCATAGCCGTGGTCCTCAAATTCCCAACCCCTCATTTAACCCCTCATTTACAACGGTGTATTCCATGGACGACGACTAAGCATTCTCCAAGACCTTGAATTTTAGGATTAAATAATTACCTGTGATTGAACTTACACCGTAGTGGAGACGATCGGAGCCTGTTCACTTAATTATTTTATCATCCACTTCTGGTAATACATACCAACCATCGATCACGAATATGGCATCATCCTCGTCCTCGTCCTCTTCAATCGCGGCACGGGATCATGAAATTCCCGAGACAACAACTGCGATGCCTCAATTGGATACTCTGATTACCCACCTCTTAGCCGCGAAGCGTTCACTTACCTCAATCAACCATGTTTGGCGTGCAAATGAGATAGTCACTGCTGCTCGGTCCGCCTTGGAAGAAAGTGTCGTGGTGTCCTCCCGGACAGGTTTTCTACGTCGGGGCCTTAACAATCAAATACGTCTCCTCTTTAATGTCCGATCGGAGGTAGAGAAAATATCATCTCGTGGTCGGGAGGAATTCTCAGAAGCGCTCAAGAGTTTGGATGCTGCAGACGCCCGTCTTCGAGGTACACTAGATCTTCTGAGGGAGACTATTGTCCATGCCTCATTTCGCCCCAAGGATGAAGAAGAGAAGAGTCTACATGATTTTGTGGACGAACGCGGGGTGGCAGAGCTGCATGCCTCCCTCAAAAGTTCTATTGACCGTACAAATGACGCGCGTGCTGAGCTAGAAACTTCTAACTGTGAATTCGATGATGAACTTGATGCTGTTCGAAAAGCGCTGCGAAATTACAGATCTACTGCCAGAATGGCATCCTCGCGTGCATCAGCGTCTTCATCATCCTCATCCTCATCGGAACTCGATTTTCTTGCACTATCGTTGATGCCAGGCAGGCTCCGTTCACTGGAGTCGCATGCGCAAGAGATGGCCGATCTTTTGTCATCCCTCGTTACCCACTTTGATCTCTGTGTCACGGCAGTCAAGCATACCGAGGGTGGGGGTGCTGTGGCTCGTTCCATCACCGGCGATATGTCTGCCGAGGTCGGAAAAAGTGGTGAAGGCCTATCTAACATTGGCCAGGAAATCAATGCAAATCTGAATGCCCCACTGGACCCCATGACGGACCAAGAGTATGAAGAAATGTTGCATGTTTTGGTGAAAGATGCGCTCGAGGCCGACGATGTGGTTATGGAAATCCAGGACCGAATCAGTGAAATGGAGTCCGTCTTTGAACAAGTTTGTCTTCAGCGTGATGCCTTGCTTTCAATATCAGCAGCCACTCTCGAGGTTCATTGCCATCTTTCTACTCTAGCTTCTACCCGTTTGCCCCGGTACATATCGCAAGCTCATAACTTCACCCAAGTATGGAGTGAAGAGAATGACCGCTTCAACTCCGGTTTAACCGAACTCTCCGACTTACACTCTCTGTACGACGGGTTTCTTAACGCCTATGACAGTCTAATACTGGAAGTTGCTCGCCGAAGGCAGGTTCGTCATCGCGTAGAGAAAGTTCTTCGTGAGACAAGGCACAAGTTGACTCAATTGTACAACGATGATGTTGCTGCTCGTGAGGCGTTTCACGTGGAGCAAGGTGACTTCCTGCCATCGGACATTTGGCCGGGAATCGGACATGCCCCTATGCATGTGAAGTTCCAGCGCATTACTGGTGGCCATCTCGAAGACGCCTTGCCGCAGCCAGAAGGCCAAGATGCGCCTCCTAGCGAAGCACCAGTTCCCACTGGCACCATAGTCGATGCGGACGAAGGCAGTACAGAGGGAGAAATTATCCCCGACTTGCCAAAAGAGGTGGTTGAGCATGCGTATGCACGTTTAAAGGCTCGAACTCGAGATTTTGTTTGATAACAGTCCTCCTTTTGCCTATTCACCAGGCGCTCCATGATCTTCATGCATGGTATTCTTCAACACTTACCATGATTTCCAAGGTTGTTGGTGGCTCTTGCCAATCTCCAAGTACATACATTACTTTTGCGTGAGTATGTACAACTGCATAAAACTCTACATAGCATCATCTTGACCTTCTGATTTTCTTCCCCTTGACATTATCGCGTTTCTTCGCCCATGGATTTGTGACCTACATGATGAAAACCCAATTGGTACGATCCTTCGCTCAACATTTTCTGCGATTACATTCATGTGGACACTGAGGGATGCATACTCCTCAACAGGTTTGTGGATGTAAGCACCTTCAGTGGGCCAACTTTGAACAGCGGTAATGCTAGCGGAACGACATGACTTCCAAAGAGAGCTCTGACTGGTTTATGACAAAATGCGGATTGAATAGAAATTGCCTCTAGGGCTTTGGGCCCAACATGGACATACAGATAGTCAATCAAGATGCGGCTGATTTGCAATTGGAACTTTCTTGGCCATATGCATTTACTTCTACTTCCTTGAATTACCGTAGTACTGCCAGCCTCTCCAGGCTACCATAGGAAAAGAAATTGTATCAGATGTAATCTTTGTACTGTAGGTTATCCTATCAAGTCTATACGCAGGTATCATATATCCAGATGCTCCATCCTCATATGCATTTCATCATCAAATCATGGCAAGAAACATTCGCGAACCAAAGGCGAAGAAAGAAATTTTTATAAATCCAAACCCATGCAAATAAAATCAAAAAAACATGACCGGGGCAAATCATTTATTTCTTCTTGCGAGAAGAGGTAGAAACGAGCTTTTTCTTCAGATGCTTGGGCATCTTCTTCGCACGCTGCTCACGCTTCTCCTCTTTGACCTTAGCCTTGTGGTCACGCTTAGCATCCTTGTCCTCGAAGCGTTTGCCGCGGGGTTGCTTGGGCGCGAAGGGATCCTTCTCCTCCTCATCCTCGTCGGATTCAGAGTCTGACAAGGACACACCACCACTGGCATCGGAGTCCACATCTTCGCCGTCAGCAACAGGCTTGGACTTATTCGTCGCTAGCAAGTCACCATAAACAAGATCATTGCCTCCACCGTCACGGATCTTCTCTACATCCCGCTCAACATCATAGACTTGCTCCAAGGTTTGGGGGATGTATTGCTGACGGAAGACGGCAGTGTCAACTTCCTCAGACTCTTCGGTGGCACCTGACTCATCGCGAGCAGTGAAAAGCTTCTCAATAGCTTCAAACATCTCCTCATATCCGGAGGAAATATCAACAGGGCCTTCTGGAGCCAGAATGTACTGGAAGATAGTTCGCTCGGACAGAGTGTGCACACCCTTGCGACGGAAGAAATCACTGACGTTCTTGATATCCATTCGAAGGAACTCAAGACTGCGAGGGTGGTCATGCTCAACACTTTGACTGACATCAATGATATAAAGGCGGTTCTTGTGGTACAGAATATTATACTCGCTCAAATCGGCGTGTACAAGCCGGCAGACTTGGTACATCACACGCATGAGGCTCAGCAACTCCATGTACAATGATCGCCAGCGCAGATCCGGCTCGGGAATATCGAATTCAACATCCTTGAGACGAGGGGCGGCAACTCCCTTGGAGCTACCAATGAAACCCATCGCAAGGACGTGCAGGCGAAGGTAAATAGGCTCGGGGCAAGGAATGCCAGCAGAGTAGATTCTCCGCAGGTTACGCATTTCCTTCTCAGCCCACATCTTCACCATTGCACGGTTGTTGCTCTTGTTGTATCCCTGACGGAATCGGAACTCACCAGTGACATACTTGTCACGATCCTTGAAGACCAGGATGCTGGTCTTGTAAACCTTGATAGCACGGTGAACCTGCACAGTCTCGTCGTCCTCGGACAACAAAATGGCGTGGTAGACATTAGCCTCCTTACCAGTAGATAAGCAACCGTGGATCTCAGAGACCAAGCCACGGTTAATCATCTGCAGGAGCAGCATGCGGGTACGAGGGTCGAGCACTTGCTCTGATGTCGCACGGTCCGCACGGTCTCCGCCCTTGTCACCCTTTGAAGAAAGACCGGACTGCTGGTCATCGAGCTTGATCTTGGCGGCATGTTTGGTCAAGGACTTGACCTGGTCATCAATCGAGGCATGTGTGTTGATAGTGGGCTTTTGAGTGTTCGTCTTAGGGTAGGTCCATTTGGGAACGTTGGAATCAGAGGCAAGCTCATTCAATTTTCGCTGGCGATTGTAGGCCTTTGTCAGGTCCGATGGGTCCGAAGACAAGATATCCTCCCGGTCGAGTTCCTCCTCAAAGATATCTTCGTAGTCCTCGTCTTCATCTTCATCGTATTCTTCGGTGGGCTCTTGCCCCGCCATATCGGAGTTGGCCTCTTTGTCAGGGTTCACATAGCCCTGGTTAGGCACATATGTGTGGGATGGAGCCAGGCCATCGGCAAGGCCAGGTACCTGGTCAGAGTTCTCCGGTGCACTCATTTTCACAGGGCAATCGTTGAAAAAAAGAAAGAGAACCTTAGAAGAAAAAAAAGTGATGCCCCCCATTTTTTCTGTGGATGCCCGTCTCACCGCCCGGCAGAACCCCCGCGCCCAGGAGACGCGCGATCTTTCCTCTTTCGCGTGATCTGACGGACCTCGCGATCTATCTACCCCGAACTTCAACACAAACACTCCACCCTGATCGCCAGATCTTTCTTTCAATCTTCAACTTGTGGCAACTAGCCTTCCTATCCTTTCCACTCATTGTGCCCAGGCGCGTAATGCGCTGTTCCCTGTGATCTTCGCGTCGCGCGTCTTCTCAAGATGTATGTCAAGCAGATTATCATCCAGGGCTTCAAGAGGTAAGTTATCCAGAATGATCTGCTGCATTCTCGGATGGGCTATATACTAAATCTCCTGCAATTCTAGCTACAAGGACCAGACAGTCATCGAGCCCTTTTCGCCTAAGCACAATGTGATTGTTGGACGAAATGGTTCCGGCAAGAGTAACTTTTTCGCGGCAATTCGTTTCGTCCTCAGCGATGCATACACTCACCTTGGCCGAGAGGAGCGACAGGCCCTTCTTCACGTACGTTAGGCGACAAAAATAATGAACTGATCAGTTATTGACACCATGCAGGAAGGTTCAGGCTCAGCTGTGATGTCAGCCTATGTTGAGATTATTTTCGACAACTCCGATGATCGATTCCCTACTGGCAAGCCCGAATTGGTTCTTCGTCGTACTATTGGAATCAAAAAAGATGAATACACCCTCGACCGCAAGAATGCAACCAAGAACGACGTCATGAATTTGCTTGAATCGGCCGGTTTCTCTCGCTCCAACCCATACTACATTGTCCCTCAAGGCCGAGTGACCGCATTAACCAACATGAAGGACTCGGAACGGTTGGTACTTCTCAAGGAGGTAGCTGGTACCCAAGTTTACGAAGCCCGCCGCGCGGAGTCCCTCAAGATTATGCACGACACGAACAGCAAACGCACAAAGATCGATGAACTCTTGGACTTCATCAACGAACGTTTGGCCGAGCTTGAAGAAGAAAAAGATGAGCTTCGAACCTACCAAGAGAAGGATAAGGAGCGTCGTTGCCTTGAATACACAATTTATTCCCGCGAGCAGCACGAGATTGCCAATGTGCTGGACAGTTTAGAGGAACAGCGCCAAACTGGTGTCGAAGATGCAGACAACAACCGAGAACAATTCATTGATGGCGAAAAAGCCATGGCACAGATTGAGGCTGAGATTGCCGAGTGCCGTCAGCAGATTGAGTTCTTGAAGGTTGACAAGTCTCAACTTGAAGATGAGCGCCGAGAGGCGTCTAAGACCTTGGCCCAGATTGAACTGCAGGCTAAGTCTCTTGCTGACAATCAGGCCGCTGCTCAGGCCCTGAAGTCTCGCCACGACAATGATCTGAATGGTGTGCAGACGGCCATTCAGGAACGCGAGGCAGAGCTCCAGACGATTTTGCCGGAGTTCAACGCCTCAAAAGACCAGGAAGACACGATCAAGTCTCAGCTGAACGATGCAGAGACATCGCGTCAACGTTTGTACGCTAAGCAGGGTCGCAACTCGCGGTTTAAAAACAAGTCGGAACGAGACAAGTGGCTTCAAATGGAGGTTCGAGAGAGCAATCGATCCATCGTCAATGTGCAAGGTGTGGTAGCAACGACTCAGGAAGATATCACGGAGCTCGAGAAGGAGATTGCTTCTCTTGAGCCCGAAACAGAGCGCCTACGCCAGCAAATTGATGGACGCGGCGATACCATGCACTCATTCGATGAGCAAGTTCAAACCGTTAAGGATGAGAGAGATCAGTTAATTGATCAACGAAAAGAACTTTGGAGAGAAGAAGCAAAGCTGGACTCTGTTATGTCTACTGCGAATCAAGAAAGGGATCGCGCTGAGCGCAGCCTATCGCAAATGATGGATCAAAACACTAGCCGCGGTATTGCTGCTGTGCAGAGGATCAAGCGCGATCACAATCTGGAAGGTGTGTACGGTACTCTGGCGGAGCTGCTCGAGGTTAGCGACAGATACCGAACTGCCGTGGAAGTTACAGCTGGCCAGAGTCTATTCCATTACGTTGTTGATACCGATGAAACTGCCACCACAGTGTTGGAGATATTGCAGAAGGAAAAGGCCGGTCGTGTGACCTTCATGCCATTGAACCGACTGCGCTCCCGTCCTTCGAACATACCTCGTGCTAGTGATACGATTCCCATGATTGACAAGATTCAATTCGATCCGTCATACGAACGAGCATTCCAGCATGTTTTTGGCAAGACGATCATCTGTCCTAATCTCCAGGTGGCCTCTCAATATGCTCGTAGCCATGGTGTCAATGCTATTACACCAGAGGGTGACAGATCAGACAAGCGCGGTGCCCTGACTGGTGGTTACCACGACTCCCGTCAATCCAGACTGGACGCTGTGAAGAACGTCACCAAATGGAGAGATGAATGTGAGACCAAGAAAAGTCGTGGCGCTGAGATTCGTAAGGAGTTGGAAGTGCTGGACCAGCGGATCACCCGGGTTGTTGGTGAGTTGCAGAAACTCGACCAGCGACGACACCAAGTGCAGAACAGCAGTGGCCCATTGCGTCAAGAATTGCGCAGCAAACGGGATCTCTTGCAAAACAAGAACGACGGTCTTGATGCCAAGCGTCGTGCTCTTCGCAATGTCGAGGCTAACTTGACCGCTTTGAATGACCAAGTCAACGCATTCCAGGCTGAGCTCTCCTCTCCATTCCAGAAATCCCTCACTGACGATGAGGAGGCCCGCTTGGAGAGTTTGAGTGTGTCTGTAAAAGAGCTGCGGCGACAGTACCAAGAAATTGCACGCACTCGTAGTGACTTGGAGGCTCGCAAGTCTGTCCTGGAAGTCGAACTCCGTGAGAATCTCAACCCTCGTCTGGACCAGCTTCTCAACCGGGACATTGACATGGCCGAGGATGAGGTGCAGGGCAATCTGAAGGAGACCCAGCGGGAGCAGAAGCGTCTGAGCAAGGCACTTGAGAAACTGAACGTCCGCCTGGAGCAAGTCGACACATCGATCGAGGAGGCTAATGGCCGGGTTGGCGAACTGCAGCAACGCAATGCTGAGACTCGCCGGGAACTTGATGACCTGGCCCGATCGATTGAGAAGTACCAGCGACGTATGGAGAAGAGTATGCAAAAGAAGGCTGCGCTCTCTAAACAGGCCGCTGAATGTGCTGCCAATATTCGTGACTTGGGTGTCCTTCCAGATGAAGCTTTCACAAAGTACAAGCAAACCGACTCGAATGCAGTTGTCAAGAAACTCCACAAGACAAACGAGGCGCTAAAGAAATTCTCGCACGTCAACAAGAAGGCGTTTGAACAACACAACAGCTTCACTAAGCAGCGGGAAACCCTGACTGACCGTCGCCAGGAGCTCGATGATTCGCAGAAGGCCATTGAAGACTTGATCCGTGTCCTAGATCAGCGCAAGGATGAAGCGATCGAGCGAACATTCAAACAAGTATCTCGTGAGTTTGCCAATGTCTTCGAAAAACTGGTTCCTGCTGGTCGTGGCCGTCTGGTTATTCAGAGAAAGACCGACCGCACTGCACGACCCGAAGATGAAGAGGATTCGGATGATGAAGAGGCTCGTCAGAGTGTGGAGAACTACGTTGGTGTGGGTATCAGTGTCAGCTTTAACAGCAAGCATGATGATCAGCAGCGTATTCAGCAGCTGAGTGGTGGGCAGAAGAGTGAGTTGTCGATCCTTCATTATTGGTTCTTCCATTTCTATTCATGAATACTAATTGTATCTAGGTCTTTGCGCTCTTGCCCTGGTTTTCGCCATCCAGGCGTGTGACCCTGCTCCGTTTTACCTGTTTGATGAGATTGATGCCAACCTAGATGCCCAATACCGAACTGCAGTGGCGCAGATGCTGAAGTCGATCTCCGACTCCACTAATGGCCAGTTTATCTGCACAACTTTCCGACCGGAAATGTTGCATGTGGCGGAGAAGTGCTATGGTGTCAGCTTCCGACAGAAGGCTAGTACCATTGACGTGGTTTCGCGAGAGGAGGCCTTGAAGTTTGTGGAAGAGCAGAAGAGCTGATGAGAGCTTTCTCTTCGTGTACATCTTAATTTCTTTCTTCTTGCTTTTCTCTAGGGATATGGCGTACATGATACCGGAATGAGACTATTTTCTACTTTTTTCAACCTTAAAACATTCCCTTCTAGTATCACTAGTACCAATTTCAAGTTTCAAAGCCGCCGGGTTCTTCTGGAAGGGCCTGCACAGGTGATTGACCATCGCGAGAGGCTAATTTTAGCTCATTTCGACGACTATATATATCACTGATTCTTATTGATGTCTTGGGATGATCAATTTTAATTAGGCTCAGAATTTGCATTCCACTTAGGCCTGGGCAACCTAGATAGCGGTCAATTAGGGCTTGCAGGGCCCGGCGGTCAACCCGACGATGGGTAGGATGTGTATGCGGCGGTGAGGTGGGTGATTATGAGATGTATGGCTGTATGTGAGCACCCAATTGGAGCTAGGATACTTTCGACGTAGGACTATCGCCATCTTGCACCCTGTGACACGTGTTGTTGTCCGATATATCGATGCAGTGGTCTTAAGTTGACCTCCACGGTTGCACCGGAGATATATGGTCTTAACTATGCCCGTTTTGGCTGTAGTTGACCGCGCTTTGATCACTGCATAACCGTGTTCACGTGCAAATTCGTTGATTTGTTCAATCCCTATATTTGGACACGTGAAAATTTGGCCTTCGGGGAGGATAGGAAAGGTGAATGGGTCCTCGGGGGTGGTAGGGCCTGTAGAGGCGTCGATAGGGGTCATTGGATTCAAGTTGTCCTTAGCGGTATCCTTAGGGGTATCCTTAAGGGTATCCGTGGGGGCGGCGATGGGGGTGTCCATAGTGATGATAGTGGGCAATTTAGCAGGGGGGATTGGCACCCCGGGCCTGGGCAGGTGTAGAACCTCGCAAGAACCTCGGAACCTTGGAATGATTGGGTGAATGGTGGTTTACAGTTGAAATCAATATGCACATGTGTAAAGCGGTCTAGTGCAGGTCTTTGGTCTGATTTGTTTGCTCGAAAATATGTGGGTTTTGGTCCGGAACAACGATTCTCCACCAGGTCCTCTCCATATGGGCTGTTTGAGTCGAACGATACATTTTAATTCAAGTTGCCAATGATTTTTCGAATATTCTAATGTTCAAATTCTCGGTGACTCGGATGATAATTTTGCAATTATCCCGAATGCAATGAAAGCGCTCAAGTGGTGTAGTGGTAGTAACTTGAAGGCTTGCCTGTCTATACATATATATGAGCTTGAACTAGATCTCCACTACCAGTAGTTGTCTATATACATCTATCTAGACTCTCCCGACCACTCTGCCAATATATCCTCGGGTACATTTCGTACCAGGACATGAACATGTTCCAAGGCTCGCACACTTTGCAGGCCGACCCAATTCTTGAACCATAGCACATGCGATTCGGGATCAAGAAAACGCCCAGCCTTATCCTCGGCCAACCGCTGAACAAATTGGCGCTGCACAAACCCATTGATCAGCGCTCTAGACTCGGCAGTCAAATGGCCTTCATCTGATGCTACAGGAATGGGGGTGCGAGACCACACGACCAAGTGTGAAATGCCGGGTTCAAACCCGTAAGGCCAGTCGTTGCGGAGTATCTTGTAATCCTCGGGGTCGGCAAATGGTTGCGGGTTCTTAAAGGTGAGCAAGGGTCCACTTGGCTTAGACTGGGACTGGGGATCGGGACTAGAGCCATTTACCTGCACAGTATCCGAGGAATGAATATCTGGTGCAGGTACTGTCCCTGTAAGCTCAGAGGGGAGTGGCCATTTCAATCGATGGATGCAAATATAGTTCATCATAGTGCCATATTCGGCCTTTGTTTCTGCGGACCAGGAGAGGTATCGGCGTAGATCGGAGGGCTTCCGCATTAGAGCCCCGAGATCGTTCCGTCCTGATGAATTTAACTGGTGAGGGGTAATTCTCTCTCCATGTCCGGTAAAGACGAGCCGAAATTTGGAGCGTGAGAAGGAGATGAGAGGGAAGACTCACGGATGATATCTCGTAGGTTGTTCCAATCATGAGGGACGAAGTCCTCATCCTTCATGGCTAGGAGCTCATGATCCAGTGGTGTAAGATTGAACGCTGTAGAATTGGTCATGGTGATTGACCTTCAGTTCAATGTACATGAATAGAACTCTCACACACACCGAGTTACAACCTCGAAAGTATTATGGATTGCGGGGAAAGAGGAAACCCCGTCCCAAACGGGAGTGAAGTTCCGTTGGGCGGAATCAACCAAATTCCACTTTCCTCTTCTACTTCTTCACCCTCTCCCATTCCCTCCTTTTCTTCCCCTTATACCCTAATTGAGGATTGTCAAAATGAGGTCAGTTGAATCCTTGTGTCTATCTTATTCGGGATACAGCATGAAAATCTCATTTTTCTTTGATTCAATCGCAATTGCTAACATTCCGCAGTGCGAACATTGGTCTGGTCATTCTGCCCTCGGCCCTCCTGGTCGCAGGTGTCTACGCTGTGAAGCCGGAGTTCATCTCTTACGCGATCGCTCTTGCTGGTGTCTTGTCCAGCGTTGCCTTCTTCATTGGAGGTAGCGGCAGTACGGTCCCCTTGTTTCCCCTGTCGCATCGATCGCATGATCCATATGGCAAGTTGACTAATAATTTATTTCGTTCCAACAGAGCCGCGCAAGGTCTTGAAGCCCACCGAGTTCCAAGAATTCGAGCTTAAGGAGATTGACAACATCTCGCACAATGTCGCCATTTACCGCTTTGCCCTGCCCCGTCCCACCGACATCCTCGGTCTGCCCATCGGTCAACACATCTCTCTCGCCGCTACCATTGCTGGCCAGCCTAAGGAAGTCGTCCGTTCCTACACTCCCATCTCTTCCGACAATGAAGCCGGTTACTTCGATCTGCTTGTTAAGGCCTACCCCCAGGGTAACATCTCCAAGTACCTCACCGAGCTTAAGGTTGGTCAGACCATGAAGGTGCGCGGTCCTAAGGGTGCCATGGTCTACACTCCCAACATGTGCCGTCACATCGGAATGATCGCTGGTGGTACCGGTATCACTCCCATGCTCCAGATCATCGAGGCCATCATCCGCAACCGTCCCCGCAACGGTGGTAACGACACCACCAAGGTCGACCTGCTCTTCGCCAACGTTAACCCCGATGATATTCTGCTTAAGGAGAAGCTGGACAAGCTGAACAAGGAGGACCCCGACTTCAACGTCTACTACGTCCTGAACAACCCTCCCGATGCCTGGACTGGTGGTGTTGGCTTCGTTACCCCCGACATGATCAAGGTATTTTCTTTTTGAATCCTTCCTTCTTGGTATCACATGTGTCTGACTATTTATTTTTCTAGGAGCGCCTCCCTGCCCCCGCCAGCGATGTCAAGATCCTCCTGTGTGGTCCTCCCCCCATGGTCAGCGCCATGAAGAAGGCCACCGAGTCTCTTGGCTACACCAAGGCGCGCCCTGTCAGCAAGCTCGAGGACCAGGTCTTCTGCTTCTAAGCAGTCGCAGAAAGTATGCCACTTGTTTTGAACTAGCTGTGAACAGAGAGTCCAGTGCTCTGTAGAATATCACTGTCAGAACTTTGGTAGAGAAAAAGAAAAGAATGGGTCTGGTGTAAATGAAGAAAAGACGTGGGTATCGGCGCGTGTATAGACCTGATGGCAGGCGTCCACAATTTTGGATGTGATGAATTGTTTTATTTACCTTATATCCTAAATTAACCTAAATTAACGTGTCTGTTATGTTGGAATTGTGAACTTCAGAACTTCGATATGGGTTTAATTATCATGAATTTTAACCGACGCTAATAGATAATAGTATTCTGCTTTCAATTTTGCAAATCATATTCCCTTCAAATTTGACCTTAGGCTTATATCCAATTCTCCATTTCGTGCTTGTTTTTCTTGAGGATAGCGAGAGAATCACTTAAAGAGCTTTGAACTCCAGGGTCCATTGTCATCAGGCCACTGGCGACCATTTCCAGAACATCCGCAGGAGCGCCTTCTGGCACCAGTACTGAGAGTAACTTCCCATATGTCCAGCAATCCAGAGCAACCCTTCTCTCAAACGGTAACTTCGCCAGGGTGTTCTCAGGATCCCAAACTTGGAAGCGAGATGTTATCTCCCAGGGTAACCAATTCCGGTCAAATTCACCTGTTCCTCCGACATCCACGAGGAGGGCATTCTCCTCTGAGTCAAAGTCAAGACTCCCGGGCTTGGTTACTCCTAGCCAATTCCACTGGAAGTCAAATCCCCCCTGTTCCCCCAATATTGATGAGCACGGCATTATCATCTTCATCAATCATGATATTTTGCGGTTTGAGGCCGATATGAGTACATCCATTCTTATGCATCGATTCGAGTGCTGTTCCAATTTGTATGGCCCATTTCATTACCTGTAAGCCATCCACAGGTTGCCATTCCTCTGGGTCGCTAATGAGATCCTGAAGTGTACATCCGGGAGAGTATTCGAGTAGAAAGCCAGTGAGAACTGACGGTATTTCGGCGCTTCGATCGGTTGTGTATGGATCTTTTGATTTTACCAACCCAGCAATTTGTGCGATATTGGGGTATCCTCGAAATTTGGCAAGAACTGCAATCTCGTCTAGGAAATTCTGCGTATCCTCAGGTTCAAAGTGCACACCCATGATCGACTTGTAGATGTAGTCCTGTTCCCCGATTTGAACTTTAAATACCGATTCATCGATACAACCAAAACATTTAAGATCACGACTGTTCTCGAATAGTGGAATATCCGAGATCTGGACCTGATCGATCGCCGGGTGCTGAATCCGTCTTTCATCCTCCTCAATTTCGTATGTCATTTCAGGAAGACTCGCAATGTAGGGGTTATCATGGTTATTGAATCCCTCTCGGATTGGGATGAAGATCGGATCCAAGGTAAAGGCAGTTGGCTCGAAAGTGATCTTCGTGACTGTGTCACGGAGAAGTTCGATTTGGTCAAGGTCAATCGCTTTGAAAAGTTCTTCCAGTTGGGTTTGGGATCGTAGCCCGTGGTCATAGTCTGGTGACGGGGACCTTGCGCCCCAGCTCAACTTGATCATGATCTTGACCCACCACCGGCAGTAAGTTGAAGACTTCCAGCCGTTGGGATAGTATATCGCGGTTACCGACTCATATCGATCTTGGTACCGGGCAAAAGACTTGAACTTAAATCGGGGTGGATGAGGACTTGCAGACATTTTCTTGGTCAGAGTGAACAGTGTCCAGGGGAGAGAATCTAATGAACTGAGTTTGAAGGTTTGCAGGTTTTTGTATTGGAATGTTTTGAAGGTACACATAGGTAAAGCAAGATTCTTCAATATGAGGGGAATGGAAGTTATTCTCTCTCGTTCTGATGGCTGCTGTTTAGTATGCAGGTCTGTGATGTGGGTGGTTAAAGAACGGGTATACCAGTTGACATTGAAGAACTTAGGTGGTTTTTCAATATTGATAAAGGGAATTTTAGAAATCCACACCCATTCAAGAACAAACAACATGGGTAACTCCCTGAGCTAAATATTGGACTAAAAATTGTGTACAAACAAGCTCCAACTAAGAGAATGGCCTTATAACCATAGAAAACTCCTCACGCAGTTCAATGTGGTTATATCAAGTGGGATCTCACTCGTCTTCCATTATGGCCTTGTCTTTCTCGATCTGCAACTGATTTTGACAGACATATCCCTTGAATTTGCGAGCCGGAACCTTTGCTTGAAACATTTCTTGGATCTCTGCCACAGTGCGACCTTTCAACTCAGGCATATAGAAGTAAAGGTAAACGCACATGGGTACAGATAGCCCGAAGAACACAAAACAGACTTTGCCTCCCATGTTGGCCTCGTCGGTGTTGATAAGATATGGGAGGATTTGAAGGACAGCACAGGAGAAAGCTGTGGCCGACATAATATTGATTGAGTATGTTTTCTGTCGTAACAGAGGACTCGGTGTTTCTCCTCCAACTGCGTATGCCACAGCGCCGATAGTGGCTTGATACTAATGGAATTATTAGCTTCCAGGGATGATCTATTAGTTGATCACCAGAGTTAACTTACCAGGAATCCCCATAATGTCATGAGGGCAACTGTAGCCTTCAAAGCAGCCGCTGAACCATTTATGCTGATGCAGCCGATGATAAAAAGACCGATTGTTATCGCGAACATACCACCGACAATCATCGGCCGACGACCCAAGCGGTCTACGAGGGGCCATGAGCATATGTTTCCAAAGAGCTGAACTGCATAGGCACCCTGTGCAGTCGCAATTGAGTCTTTAACGCCTGCGAGCTTGAAATAGTAACTAGCCAGTTCAGCCGGAGTACAAATAGGTCGAACGGCATCTCCAGAACAACTTACGTGAGGTACCCCGAAACAAAATTGACACCAACTAATTGTTGCGCGATATAAACCATGCACACTATACCAGTCCGCCGAAGATCATCCCCTCGGAAGCAATCTAGCCAAGCAGAGCCACTCCGAGCAAGTTCGCGTTCTTGCGCGACAGCAGCTGTGGTAATAGCCATGGCTTCATCAACATCGAACTTGGGTCCATTGAAATAGAGAAATGACTTTCTAGCCTCCTCTGGACGGTCCTTCATTATGAGCCATGACGGCGACTCAGCCAGAAATGGAAGGCCGAGAAGAAGAAGAGATGGCGGTACCAACTGTGTGATGATTGGAATACGCCAGGCAAGACTGTCTGATCGATTTTGGCAACCCAGAATAGCCAATGAATTGAGCCATTCGCCTAACACAATCATGGTGTTCTAGAAAGATTTCAGCTTTGCCTGGAAGAGTATTCAGAGTGATATTAATGCACTTACCACTAGTGTCAGACATATACCTCGCACGTTGGGAGGAGCCAACTCTGCTACAAAGACAGGACCCAGTGAGTGACCTAGCCCAAAACCGAATGTACTCAACAGCTTTCCACCAAAGATTTGGAGAATGGTGTGACTGAAGAACTGTGTCAGAATGCCAGCTACGCAGATCAAACATCCAACGATGATAGTTTTCTTTCGTCCCATCAAATCGGAAATAACGCCAGTTGTGAAAGCCGAACAGAATAGTCCGATTGTACTGGCAGCATTCAAGATTTGTTGATCTCGAGCTGAAACTTCCCAAGCTCCATCAATCTCCACTCCAAATTCTTTCAAGAAAGAATTGACAGCGAGAAGGTTGCCTACTGTGGTCACTTCGTATCCGAAATTGATGGGAAGGAGGAAGATGAAGAGGCCTATGAAGAGTTGTGAGTTTAGTTCATCGATGCTAAGGGAAGGAGACAACATACACCATAATAAGACTCTTCTGTGCTCCCACACTTCGCGCCATGTGGTATTGCCATTGTTGTTGTTCTGTTGGACTGGTACTTGTGTCTCCAGATGCTCATCGTGAACTGGAGAATCTTGCTCTTTCTCGTCGGTAGACATTTTGCTGATCTGCAACGCAGGGGACACATTTTTCCAGTCATTGCTGATCATACAGCATTTAAATAGAACCCAGTCGAATCATCAAATCCCTTTCTCCTGCCGTTCAACCCCGTGGGGAAGCGCAAAATGGCCCACATCAGCTTTCTGCGGAGAACCTGGTCTTCCCCACAAGCAACGCTTTCCACGTCAACTAGCGTCTCCAGCTGCCAATTTTGAGGGAATGCGGGGTTAGAATTGCCAAATTTGAGATCGCAGGATTCTAATCAAAGGAAATTTTAGTCGGCATCTCTTTTCCATCAGACGAAGGCTTGCCGGCTAAAGTTCGGCAGATTAATACCTCCCACTAGGGGCCAAATCACTGAATCGGGATATTCTAACCACTGCTAGGAGCTTGTGAATTTATCTTCTCACATAAAGGGAGGAGAATTGCAGGAAGACTTCCTCGTTGGATACGGAACACAAACTAAGATGCCGTCAACATTGCCGTTTTCCACCCCACGGCTTCCGAAGCCTCTGTCCTCAAATTATTCATTTGTCAGAGATGAATGGCCCGAGCATCTCCTTCCAATACGCGTTCATAGTGTTCAAGGACAAGTTGAGAATGCCGAAAACATTTTGACTCGGGACGAACAAGCTGCAGCAACTTTGACGAGGCAGTCAGGGACAGATCCCGAGCCATGCATTATTCTCGACTATGGGTTCGCCGTTGCTGGCATCCCCTTCATCAAAATCCAAGGCATCGAATCTTCAACAACAGGACCGCTTAACAGTAAAGCCGCCTTAGACTTCACGGTCTCCGAAGGATACCCCGGTATTCTTCGTCCTGATGGCGATGGACCTTACCCATTCTCCGCTGGCGCCGATACTCGACGCCGTGTACGCTTCCGACTCAAAGGCCAAGGGTTGTATGAGTCAAAATACGTCCAGGGTAGTCAGCGCTGGCTGAAATTGACTCTGGTCTCCCCAGCCCCATTCTCTGTTCGCATCGCGCTGGCTGGATTCATTCCTACGACTTCCAATTTGCCATTAAACCGTCTGCCCGGAGCGTTCCAATGCTCTGACAATTTTATGAATCAACTATGGGAGTATGGTGCAAGGACCTTACAGTTGAATTGCATACCTCCCCGAACTGTACCACCTCCATGGCAGGTATCCGAGGATATGGGTGTGCTCATTGACTCCCAAAGATGCAATGCATATGGTTGGGGTGCGAATTGGACTGATTACGAAGTTAAATTTACCAGCATGATACTAGATGGTGGATTGGCCTGGACTGTGCGTGCAAAAGCAGGTCCTCCCAGCGTCATTTTTATCATCAATATTGGAGTTCACAAGACAACGCTCGAGCAGTGGTTTGGCTACTATAACCAGCCTCAAATTACTCTCGAGCCTCGGCTCATCTCCACAGTTGACATCACCCATATCGGGTTGGAACTGGGAAACTGGTTTGCAGTGAAAACTATTTGTGTTGGAACGGCTGATTTCAAGATTATAATTGAGGATTGTGAAGCTGCTGTATTCAAGCAGGGGACTCTTAAGGCTGGTAAGATATCTATACTTCCCTAATGATGTTTGGTTCTGACACTGTACCAGAAGGATTTGGAGCATTTTCATCCTGTCCACCTGATGAATTTCCACAGCAACTGAAAGGCTCAGTTGGGATTGGTGCAGGAAATGACCAGCTTTGCCGCTTCAAAGATATGTCCGTGACTTCGGTCCCAGATGGAGAGACGCTCTATGAGTCCGGATTGAACAATCCGGCTGTCCTGGCAGATTTTGGTATTGGGTGGAATCAGTTTGCCTGGATATCCGATGGTGCGAAGCGAGATAGGTATCCCTGGACAGCGGATATCATAATCGGCGGGCGTTCTCTGTACTATTCCACTGCTGGTGTGGAGTATGTCCGAGGAAATATCGTGACTTCGATGCTGCGCACTGGCACATCCCTTCTCTCTGGCGGAGGTCCACCCGGTCGTGATCTCACACGCACTGCCAAAGATGAGATGTTTAATGTTCTCACAGTGAATTATTCTCTATATCTTCTCTTAGTAATTTATGACTTTTGGATGCATACTGGGGATGATTCACTGCTCGAGATCTGCTGGGAAAGAATCAAAGGTTGTCTTGCATACACCGAGGATCGCATTAACGAGAGAGGTCTTCTGGAGGTTTATAATATGGATGGTAGGTCAACACCCCTAAACCTAGTGTCCTTTCAGAACTGACAGAGTGATACAAATTTAGCCGGTGACTATGACTACTACAACGGCCTTCAAGAAGGAGTATCAACCAAGCGCAACGCTCTATATGTCACCGCCCTACGAGCCTGCGCTGCAATAGCCAAATCCTCAGCCATTTTCGACCAAGAACTCAGTCTTCGTTACGAGAGCTACGCAAACAGAACTTTCTCGTCAATCCAGGAACACTGCTTTGACAAAGAATCACGACAATTCATCATCACAGAATCTCGCAAAGAAGGATTTCAACAAGAAGCACACGCATGGCTCATCAGTCAGGGTATTCTCCCACCACACCTACTCAGCGAGACTTTCCAGAACTTCAATCGCCTCACTAGCACCACACACAACGGCGCGCCACTATCCTTCACACCTGATACCCCTAGCGTACCCCGAGTCATCTCCCCTATCATGTCCGCATTCCAAATCGAAGCTGCGATTCACAGTGGACGGTCTCAAGACGCCGAAGACATACTCCGTAAAGTCTGGGCTCCAATGGCAGATAAAACGAGTCCCCATTTCACAGGAACAACATGGGAATTCCTCAAGGAAGATGGGACACCATTCAAAGATGACTTTTGCTCATATGCCCAGCTCTTCAGCGCGGGACCGACATATTTACTGTCCCGCTACGTGCTCGGTGTTGAGTCCGTGGAGGCTGGGTTCAAGAAGTTTATTATAAGTCCGCGTTTGGAAATTGCGGGGTTGAAATGGGCGCAAGGTAGAGTCCCTACGCCGGTGGGCAGCTGTATTGAGGTTCGTTGGCAAATGTTTGATGGCCGTGGATGGAGAATTGAGTGTACCAGTCCTGGGGGACTGAGTGGACGGTTGATTGTTTCTGAATATGTGTGGAGTAGAAGGTCTGAGGTTTTGGTTAATGGGGAGACATACAAGGGAGGGGAGGAGATTGATATTCCGGTTGGGGCATTTATTGATGTAGAGGTTATTTTTTGGTGAATATCAGTTTTGTATGGATGTCCACATAGGGTTTGAAATTTTTTGCATTTCAGCCTTTCTACTGTAACCATACGACAAGTTCTAACGCAATTGGTCTATGTTAAGATATTGAGAGAGAATGGAGAGGTTAATGATGTTCTGAAATGTGGATTCAATTCCAAGTAAAGATAGTCTCAGGTAAAGTTATAAAAATGATGGTATCAAACATTAGTCGTCATAAATCAAAGGGTCTCAAAGAATGTAAGAAGAAGATAATAAAGAAGGATAATATAGGCGCTTGAAAGGTTTTCACGGTGATCGCTTGAAGTTCACCTCTTGCAATTCAACCCAAAGGGTATTCTTATTGTCGGTAATAATGTTATGCGGGGTCCTCTCATTTGAATTTCGAGGGCTGGACTCAGATGGCACAAAAGTTGAGGTCTCTCCTCCCTTCATTGAAGAGATAGAAATAGTTGTTGTGACAAGGGGTGGTGGGAAAGATGGAGAGAGCGGACTAGCGACGGCCGTTGATCCATACAATTGCTGAGAGCCGTAGGGGTTATTGTTCTTATAAGCGTATTGAGGCTGGCTCGGGTACGCCGAGGTGATGAAACGGTTGGTGAATGGGCGGAAAATGGGCCAGACAGGGGGGGATCGACATGGTAATGAGGACGATCCATTCCTCAACTTCACCCCATCGGAAAAGTACACCAACACCCCCTGTGATTGGGTTAGAATTGTGATCACGCACTGAGAATTTGAGATTGTCTTACATGAAGAGTCTGCTTCGAGAATGTACTTTGCGGCCCATGTTCGCACGATGGCAGCAACACCGGCGAAGATACCGCATCCCATAAGGAAACTGAGACCCCATTTCAACTTGCGATCGATGCGCAATGGAATCAGCATGTGAATGGGAACGATGGCGAGATAAAAATCGGAGAGAGCGGCAATTGCGCCGACGAGGTATGTGTAGTATACACTCTTCCTGTGGTCACAGTCTGCCTGCTTGAGAGGATCCCAGAGGGAGTCCACTGGGCTGCATTGAAACCAGACCATCAGAAGTTGTGGGATATTGAGGACGATATTCAACACGGCAACGGCGATTAGACTGCGACGGATTTTGGGATCTAGTGGGGCATAGTGAGCATTTTATGTCTCAGAAAGATCGTTGTATAGAGTCATTGCTTACTGCTAGGTCCGTTCATCTCGATCAAGAACGCCGCCACGGCGACTTTGCCAGTGGGAATAGCCAGGTTGAAGAAGAAAACCGTAATCCAGGTGAAGAGAAGGAAGTTATGCAATTGGCCGACTTCTTCAATGATTGTGATGTGGTTTCCAAGACCGTGGAGAACCGAGAGGATACCGAAAACTTGAGTAATAGCAGTGAAGAACTGATGAACCGTGTTAGTCGCCTTCTTTTTTATTAATCTATATAGATCAGAGTGCATACCCAAGCAAGGAGTGACAGTAGTAGGGCGGTTGTGCCAAATTTATTCATTCTCAAGCGTACATAAACGCGCATGATCATGAAAATAGTAGCAATGGTCCCGAGGGCAATTCCCAGACGAAGGTCGCTAGGCCCACGGCCACCGTAGGCCGGGAACTGATCGTGGATAGACATCGATAATGATTAAAAGAATGACTGGAAACACCAAATAGCAAATACGCCCATTTTTTGGGGGGAGGGTTCGGGGGGAGTGATCCGATGGCGCGGACCCAGGCTCCTTTATACGAAAATCAATTCCATTGTGTTGGAATCGAGGCTGAACCGCGGAGGAACAGTGGCGGAGGGGACCGCATGAGTCGCACGATCCGATTGAATGCAAATGCCAATGCTCCAGTGGACCCCAGAGGGGACGTGCAGGAACAAGAGGCTTAGTTGGGAAGACCGGCGGTCGATCTTGTGGGCCAACTATCGAAGACTCGGTGTATTGTTTCGCTACATTGTGAGCTGCGATTGGGTCCACTTGATGAGCTAGTCGAGCGATCCAATTTCCCACGCCACAGAATCAGTGCCATTGACAGATGTCAACTGAGATAGGATTGAAATTGAAAGACTCATTGAATAATCTGGAATCCACCCAACCCACCATACCCGAGTCCCTGTTTTGCTGTACAATACATAAGGATATGGACGGGATGTGGCCGGGGTTCCCTCATGATTCCAGTCCGCGTTAATTCAACAATGACATTGTCTTGCATGCGAACCACTAATCGGATATTTTGGATCACAATACGGAGTATGTGAGGGAGCTCAGGCTGCAGGAGTTCGGTGGGTGACTCGTGGTTCTGTTCGGCTAGAGCTGTCCATAAACATTAATGGGGTAAAAAGTCCCCAGCTCGACATACCGGTTGACCAACCCCGTTCCACGGTTCTTGTGGGGTCAAAGCATCGGCAAATTCTATACCAGATCGAGTCAAATGGACGGTTCAAACTGGGTTAGTGCCCCTGAATGATGCAGCGGGATTGAAGCCTTTGGGGTCAAGCCATGTGGGTTTCATTCCCCCCTCTCGTTTCTTGAATGTTGATTTGATGCCTGAATTTATGTTCATATTTGTTTTTATTTCCAACTCACGAGTTGTTTTCTAATTTTCTAGATTCTTTCTTTCCTTTTTACGGAGAAGTCCAGGTCTCTTGTCCGCGAACTAGACCGATTGACTCTAAAGGGATCTCATCAGACTTCGATAGTGCACACTACAACTCTGGAACAGTAAAACTTTTATATCTGAATAGAATAGGGGAACCAAAATGAAAGATAATCGACACTAGTGATTTTGGGCCCTTGGGTCACTGAGAATATTACTAGTATTCCAGCGCTATCTGATTAAAGTCGTCATTCCAAGCCCCTGGACCCATTTTCGCCTCCACTTTCAAGCTCTGTACGGGATGGCGTACATAGTGATCGTCTATCAAGTCCACTTCGCCTTGTGTCACGAGTCAGTTCAAATTCAACTGGAAGTTTTCAACCAAGTTTCTCCACTATTTCAATTGAATTTGACAAAAACTTGAATCAAGCTTGAACGTTATGATTGACATTTCAGTGATGTGAGATCCGAGTCTCTCATAGATATCATCCTACCACCATGTTCTCCGAATACTGGCACTAAAACACTGCACTGGCCAGGTGGCAACTTAAAAACTCCACGTTTGAGACTGCAGACTCGGATTTCGGATGAGCCATGCGCACTTCGTCACCAAACTGAGCCAGGGAGCCACTATTAACTGATTTTTCGCGCCACCGCGGCAATTGCAGTTTTCTGCACTCCCTTGCTTTCCAGGGCTGAGACCCCACTGACGAATACATCACCTACAGTGTACACACCACTCCTCCCTCTCTCCAGTACACTTCCCAAGCCTCTCTCTAGTACAATTCCAAGGCTCCTTCACAGACACGACTGCCAGTGCCCACCTGATCAAATCTACTCAATATTGAAGGTTCAACTGCGACATCACAGCCCTGCAGTACAAAATCAAGGCTGAGCGGCCTAGAAGAATCAATAATCCCCTCCATCAATAATGGCTATCCCACTTGGGCTGGAAGTGGTAATCTCCAAATGTCTGTCGCACGTGTCTCAAGTCGCCCAACTCGAATGCGATCGAGGACCCCATATTCTACACTATCGAATCGGATATCCGGGGTGCACAAGCAAATACTCCGTACATGCATCAATATTATTTGAGATCACAATCTATATATTATTTAGAGTTAAACTAGAAGGATTTTCGAATAGTCTTGTGTTTCTCCACAATAAGAAAATATATTTATTACACAGTATTGAGACTAATGTGAGAATCGGGTGATAAGCTTTAATAGTAACATCTCAATCCAGTGGCACGAGTGGGATTATAGATCTTTTTTGGTCCGAATATATAGTCTTTCGTCATCAACATTTGAAATATGCATAATATTCACAAGGAATAAATTTACTATTTCCTATACTATGTCGTAGTCGGAATACTGAGGGGAGAAATTCGTTACTGTCAACTTGAGTAGACAGAGGCGAGAGATCATATCTCCCTATTCGCGGCAACTATAGAGTCATCTGTACTGTTGAGCTAGATTGAGAAAGACAAAGGGAGACCTTATCTGGAGGTCTTGTACATATGTCATCCCCTCATGGACACCATCTAGACATCTTTTGAAACATTCAAGTTCTTATCTCCCATTGCGATCTAGGCCATCGGCACCAACAGTACCCCGCACACTCCGGTGCTCTCTAGCCCACTGTCTACGCCTTACAACACGCAGCTCTAAGCTTTAGACGACTTCAAGCTCGCCCGGTCCTGAGCAAGCCCATCTTCTGCCCTCGGCGCACAGAAATGGCTCAAAAACAGCCCTCAAGGGGCAAGAGGTTTCGAACCGGTTGCTTGACATGTCGGCAGAGGTGAGGGATTCCTTTCTCAAGTCTCAATAAATGCAAAAGCGTACTTGACAACCTAACCCCGGATTTACACTCACAGGAGAAAGAAGTGCGATGAAACATATCCTGTCTGTGGTCACTGTCTACGACTTAATTTAGTTTGCAATCGAAAAGAGCCAGTTTCCCTTGCTCCTGAGAAGTCGGTTGAGCGCTCTTCGAGCAACGAATGTTCAGAGACACTTCTAGCTCGGGTATACCAAAGCCGAAGAGGCTCCATTTCCAACGCCACAATACCAGTCTCTGCAATTGACAGTGCACTGGGAGGTGAGTATGGCCAACGATACATGATGAAATACTACATTGAGGTTCTCAGTATGCTCTGTACGACTAGCGTAGATAGCAACTCCTTCGTCAATGGTCAGTATCCCGCCTAAATGAATCTAACTTCTTATGCTATTCGACCCGATCCCTCTCACACCTTCATCTGAGCATTGAGAGCTGATGGCTCACAGTCTTTGTGCCAATGGCCATGCAATCGACCTCAGTTCTTAACTCCATTCTGGCCTGGTCAGCTAGCCACATGAGCGCTTTCCAATCCTCTTACGAGCCATATGCTATACGGCTTGGTTCGTCCGCTCTTCAATGTCTAGCAAAGGATTTGTCGGACATATCGAAGCACGACACCAGCCTAGCTTCTTGCCTTATCCTCTGTGCAGCTGCCTCACCTTCTAATCAATGGTATAATCACCTTGAAGGTGCTATGGAAACAAGCAAGTGACCCGGAAATTCAGCTAAGGACAATCTGATTACTTTGTGAATTACAAACATCTTCATCATCATCTTTGCTTCACTGAAATATGCGCCCTTGTCGCTATCAACCTAATAACCAGGGATGAGTTGTGAATCTGATGCGACTTATGCGGGTGAGTGACCCACATATGCAAGAGCTTCCAATCGCGCCCTTAACGCCAGACGGTCCAGACTCCAGACCCCACCCCACAAGATGCCGATGGTTCACGGGAGCTATCGGAATCAGCGACCACTGGCAATGGCGCGCGCTCTAAGCGCCCGATGAACTTGGAATCGGGCATGCCATCCTATCAAACTTGCAGTCTGGGTCTCAGTCTTGCATCGCATGCGAGACCCAGCAGAATGCTGCAACGTGATAAGGACGAAAAGAGGGGATGGGCTGGATATTTGCAGGGGATGGTCACATCAATATCCCGGTGACTATCCCATAAAATTCAGGATTTCAACTTTCTGTCTTGTCGCTGCCGATTCCTCGCTCCCATCTTCAAAGAGATATAAGTTTTTTTGAGCTTTACAGGTACACAGTCATGATGGATCTTCAATTTAATTACCTTGAAAATGTCCTTAATGCCAATCGTGGAGAGATCGCCGTCAGGTTAATTCGAGCCTGTGCTGCTGTGGGAATTAAGTGTGTCTCTGTTTATACAGAGGCCGATAGTAATTCTGAACATGCAAGTCTTGCAGATGAAGGCGTCTTGCTGTCAGGTGATAATGTAAAGGGATATCTCGATGCGTAAGATCCACAGTCCTGTCGTGTTCAGTCCTGGTTTCCAGTCTGATAGAATGTATAGTGACAATTTGATTGAGATATGTAAGGCACACAATGTTGATGCTGTGATCCCCGGGTATGGATTTCTCAGTGAGGATGTCAATTTTGCCCAGAAAGTTCAGAATAACGGCATCATATTCATTGGGCCATCATGTGAATCTATTCTTGAGATGGGCCAGAAACACCGTGCTCGTGCTGAATCTGTAGGAGTTCCTGTGGTGCCAGGAAGTCCACTCCTGCAGACTGAACAAGAGGCAATCGAGGCTGCCAAAAGGATTGCTTTTCTAGTGAGATTTCTTTATTTTTGTCTCAGCCAGATGGCTCTCAAGCTAACATCAATGTATTAGATCAGGCTCAAAGCAACGGGTGGCGGAGGTGGCATGGGTTTGCAAGTATACAATGAAGAATCCGATATCCAAAATGCTTTTGCTATGGTGAAAGGTCGAGGCGAATCGCTGTTTGGCAATACTGGAGTTTTCATGGAAAAGTACTTTCCCTCAAGTCGCCACGTTGAGGTGCAAGTGTTTGGCAACGGTCAAGACGTGGTGCATTTCGGTGAAAGAGAATGCAGCATACAGCGTCAACACCAGAAGGTTGGTACAAATATCATCTCCGCAGTGATCGTCATTATCTGATTTCTAACAAGCTCTTAAGATCATCGAGGAATGCCCAAGTCCTTACGTACACCAACAACCGGACCTCCGTAAACGAATCACCGAATGCGCGGTTTGATACGCGTCAAAATTAAATTACAAATCTGCTGGCACTGTTGAGTTTCTGGTTGATGACTCCACCGGTGATTTTTTCTTTCTCGAGATGAATACACGATTGCAAGTGGAGCATGGTATCACAGAACTGTGCTACGATGTTGATCTCGTGGCCCTGATGCTGTCCCAGGCAGACTGGGAGAAATCAGGGGCAACAGGAATTCCGTCGGAGTACCTCCGCGGCCTACAGAATGATGAGCCCAAGGGTGCTGCCATAGAATGCAGAATTTATGCAGAAGTGCCTCACAAAAATTTTGCCCCAAGTTCAGGCCTTCTTCAAGCCGTGACATGGCCACAGGGTTCGGGGATTCGAGTAGATAGCTGGATCAAAGCTGGTCAGAATATGTCGCCGCATTATGATCCTCTGCTAGCCAAGGTCATGGTGCATAGTGAAAGCCGAGAGACGGCGATGACAAAGATGCTTGAAACGCTTGCCACTTGTGTTCTGCAAGGTCCGGCCAACAACCTACAATATCTGGGTGCGATCGTCGCCTCAGACGGGTGTCAAAGAGCTCTCACGAACTATATTCGCAAGTCATTCAACTACTGCCCATGTGGATTTGATGTCATCTCACCTGAATCCTTCACCACTGTCCAGTCCTTTCCAGGTCGGGTCAACATTTGACACGGTGTTTCCCGAAGTGGTCTACCTGGCCTTCAAGGAAGGTCAACAGAATGGCTTTGAAGAGCAGCTACCAATCGAGCAAAAACTGCACTCAGAATGGGCCGAAGAGGTGAATTCCAAGGCGGCTTCTGGCGTGGAACTGGCCAAAGCTCTCCTTGACTCCACACCTGGTGCCATTAATATCGAATCTCCCCTGAACGCAAATGTATGGAAGATAGAAGTGAAAGTGGGCGACGTGCTACGGAAAGATCAGATTGTCTGTATATTGGAGGCTATGAAGATGGAAATCGCCGTCAAAGTACCGACCGAGGCTGTTGGAACTAAAGTCAGCGCGCTCGCTGTCAGTCCTGGGAGTATGTTAGCACCTGGGGAAGCACTTGTCATTGCTGTGTGCTAAATTATGATTTTCTTTTTCTTGATCCAAATGAAATACTGCCCAGTGATGGTGAATTTATCCATGAGAAGACCGAAGAATAAGTCATCCCGAGCAATGTAGATTCAATTGGTTTCTTGGGAAATCCGCCAGTTGACAGGTAAATTGAAATTTCCACCTCTTCCTAGCCTACTCCATGGCATAGAAGAATTTCACTGGAACGATATTCATATACAATGAAGGACTAGTAAGATGGTATCTACTATTCCCTCTGCGCTGCGAAACATTTTCGTAGTAGGAAATTTGCCAATCAACTTCAAGGCGCCCAAAGCGACAACCAGCAGCAATGAAACGACAAGAGCTGATAGAATTGGTCAACAGAAAATTCATATAGCAAATATCGAGCCAAATGCCCACGTTCTTTCACGGAAATAAGCCGTCGTAAAAAAAAATCTTTGCGACTCGGAATCAACATTGTGAAATGGAACCTTGGAACTAGGATGGTCATCCCGGTATCCCATTCTCGGTATCCCATCGGTATCCCATTGGCATCCAACTGGTATCCGAACTGTCCAGGTGGCATTCCATCGGTATCCCATCGGTATCCCACTCCCGCTCCAGTCCAAATGCAAAATGTTTCATTTACCACTCTAACAGGATTAGAGCAACGAATCAACCTGACATAAGTGTCTGAGTTTTCTTACGGGTTATCACCCCTACACAGACTAATGGTAGTACTCATATAGACCACCTCGGCATCGCCACCATGGTCTCGCCGTAAGCGCTGCTCCTACCTTATCAAATTTTCATTTCCACGCAGTTACAAAGCCCCAGATGCAACAACGCCTTCCGATGAGATTATTCCAGCGCTTCTGGTGCCTGAAGATATCAGCCATGATAATCATTGCTTTGAGCCGTCGGCATTTTCCTGTTAAATACCGTCTTTCACATATAGTAGAACATGCTCAGCATCTCGAACATCCTAATACATGGTTTGCGAGGATCCCACCACCCTACTGAATAATCCATTTATCATCGTCGCACATCAGGACTATCCATCCACTCGACCCCTCTCTCCGAGCGAGATTTCATCTGTAGGTTTTCACGGAAAGCTTTATACCGGCTTTGTTGGAAGCGAAAACTGACGCAGACCTGCTAGGTGACCAGAACTCTTCGCGATACCTTCCCAAATGACAAGGTCGTATTCCGGGTCATCACACTTGCCGAACCATCAAAGGCTTTGCTAGTACCCTATCTCAAGGCCGAACGTCCTGAAAAATCCCTTCCTACAATCCCTAGAAAGGCATTTGTCCAGGACTATCTAGGTCACCGCAGCCAGTATCATCAGCTTGAAGTCGATATAACCACAGGGGAGCTATTGCGTCAGCAGGCCCTTCACGGAAAGCACTCTTACACTGAACTCAACGAGGCGCAGAAGAGTGAGGCTGCCTTTCTTGCAGACCCCAGGGTCCAGGCCGAGCTGAAACTCCTGGACCTTCCCGCGGAGGCTGAGATTGTGGTTGAGCCGTGGGGCTATGCTCTGGACGGGCACAATGACATGTCTGTTCGAATAATCACGGTACGTACCAGAGCAGAAGAAAGGCGTTTTGTTTGCCCATGGTTTCCCCATATTACCAGTATCTGCTTAGTGCTATATTCACATGCGTCTGACCAATCACAAGAATGCCAACCACTTCGCGTACCCTCTGGATATTTGTGCTCAGATGAGCGGTGATTTCGTTGTGCAGAAGGTCTTGAATCTTCCCTCTGGAGAAGGGGAGCGCATGACCGAGGCAGACGGCACTGGGCCAAAATTTGACCGTCGCAAGATTCTTAACCACAGTGAAGACCACCCAGATCTACAGAAAGACAGAAGAAACACTACCAAGTCTTACCAGGTCATTCAACCAGAAGGTCCTTCCTTTCAGATATCAGGCAATTTGATCAACTGGGAGAAGTGGCGGTTCTCTGTTAGATTCAACTACGTAACTCTAACAACACAATCATATATATCACCTTTTGCCTTTACTGACCATTAGCAGCGTGAGGGACTGACTCTTCATGATATTACCTACGAGGGCAGAGAACTGTTTCACAGACTCTCTTTATCTGAGATGTTTGTCCCATACGGGGATAGCCGTACTCCATACCCAAGAAAGGCCGCCTTTGACCTGGGTAACAACGGTGCCGGTGTCAATGCCAACAACCTTCAGCTGGGATGTGATTGTCTAGGTCATATTAAGTACTTTGATACATGGCACCACCATATGTCAACACCTGTTCAGCCTACGTATTGATCCTGCCGTGGGAGTTCAAAAGAACTCACTCATGGTGAGAGAGTATCACGCCATGCCCTATAATCCTCCTGACGAGGCCAACCCTGCGGGCGTTGGTTATATCACCCACAAGTCAATCATCGAACATGAGGCAGGGCTTGATACCGATATCATAAAGAATCGCGTTTTTAAGATCATCAATGGAAACATCATGAATCCAATCAACACTTTGCCAGTCTCATACAAGCTTGTTCCCCATTACTCGCAGATGACTCTTGCTCATCCAACACCCCTCCACAAAGCGTTTGAAGTTTGGTGCCCACTCCGTCTGCGTCACTAAGTATCACGATAGAGAGCTTTTTGCGTCAGGAATGCATACCATGCAGTCACCTGGAGGCGCGGATGGTCTCAACTCCCTCAGAACAAGTATAAAGGAGAGCGTTCGCAATGAGGACATTGTCCTATGGCACACGTTTGGTACGACTCATAACCCGAGAATAGAGGAGTGGCCGGTCATGCCAGTGGAAAGGATGATGGATAGCTTGAAGCCTGTCAACTTCTTCACCCGTAACCCTGCTATGGATGTGGCTATTAGTAACCAATCGGTGAATAAGAGTGTGCTAATACAGGATGCTGCATGCTGCCAGTGAAGAACAGACTGTAAAGTCGCTTGGTTTCTATACGTCCAACTTTCCCTCAGACTGCTAGCCTCAAAATGGGTTGAGATTTACATTATCATGCCAGAAGTTGAATATACGTTAAATTGAAGCTCATATCAAACGTCTACACCATAATCACTATTATTTTGACAGTCCTAAACTGACCATCAATGCTTTCCTGCTTCAAACTCTAAACAAATTGTCTCATAATCTCATTGTCGATTGCATTCGTCTCGGGCTTCCTAGTAAACAAAACATTCGGTCCTAGCGCATGCATGACTAAGGATTGAATCTACTATTTTAATCAAAGTTTCACGGCTGATAACACCCAGCACTCCCAGGTGAGAACTCCCAGGTGAGACTTCTTATCAAACTGAAATAGGCTGATAACTTATCCTGATATGATACAAGAGCCGTCCAAGATAATGTAATCTTTGGTCATCAGATACTGGATGTCGGACAAACACTATCAGCCTACTCAATCGTTAACATGCAATCAAAGGATGCATCGATACGGAACGCAAAGTGAGACATCTGATCTCCGAGAGGGCGCATTAGTCGGATCTGGCAGTATAATGATTCTTTATCCCAAGGCTGTTATATGGACCATCGGAGTACGGAGGAGCGCGGCTGTTAAAGAACCAAAAAGGAATGGAACCCGTCTCTCACTAATCCAGACAAGGCATAGTTGATAAAATTAGTTCTTTTACGCATCTTATCAACACACAATGTTCCAGATCTCCACATACCCCGCAATACGTACATCCTGCGATTCCCGCCTATCTTCCAAGCTTGATGCTGATCCCGAAATCACTAATTCAATACCCACAATCAAAGCCGGTAATTGTGAAGTAATTCGAATTATATCGTAACCAGGACGATAGAGAAACACGAACCAGTTGTACCGGAGCACTAGCCCGACTCATAGATCCGATAAATTTTCATTAGATGAACGCCTCCTGCTTAATCCGGCTTAGTCTGTAATTAGCCTTACTTCCAAGGTTATGTAATATACCGAATTGTATTGTAATATGTATGTCGAGGTCTCCGCTGGTGTGAACTCAGCCACCGACCAGGACCCGACATTATCCTGATCAATACTTTTACTTTTGTCTTTTTAAGAATCAGAGAACCACTAACCACTAGGCCAGCTCAGCTGAGTAGTTACCTTTCTCTCCCTTCACTCAACTATATGGCTTCTGGACTTTTCCCCCATGCACTCCACGCAAACTGACGCACCCATGCTACTACTATTGGTATTAATGGCATTCCTAAATTCACTCTCTCAAGGCAAACGTTATTATAAGGCTAATATCAATTCTCCTTACTCTTCAGAATCTATATTTATGTACAAGAAAATCATGTTGAAGCAAAAGTAGCTTCTATCCACTTCAATGTTCCAAGTGCCTAAACATCTCGTGTCCAACTGTTCAGGTTCAGGGTTGATTGCACCCAAGACCCAACTCATTCAAGCCAACATGGTCTCGCTTCAGCATAGTTTGCTCCACAGGCGGCATCAACGCACCTGGCAAGATCGCCAAAATAGAAGCTCTTCCCTGTAAGCCCAGGACCATAGTGTGCGTATTTTCCTGAATTTGTCATGGTGGCATTTGTAGTCTGCGGAATCGTTGGCTCTGTAATCATGCACCAGCAAGTATCTGTAATAAATTGCACTCCAAATTCCTCTAAATCATCGGTCAACTTCGACCGACAGGCTGAGGCGTATGTTGTTCGCCCACATGTTACCATAACGTGAACGTTGGGGTCCTTTGTACGGCCTTTGCAGAGTCGAGCGAGATGCCGGATTTCAGATAATGAGAAGTGCGGATTTCCCAGAGATACCAAATCGACTGGCTGTCCTTTTGGAGCAGTGTTTAACTCGTTCCAGCATTTGATCAAATCGGTGATTTTTGTCTCAACAGACCGTATCGCCATTGCTCCACCTGTGGCGGCTTCCAGGGTTGGAGCCTCTGGGGTCACACCAACAATGTGAAACATAGGAGCGCCAGAGACAGTCGCAAATGCTGCCCCAAAGGCCTTCAAGTCGTCCTTAGTTGGGGCAAGATGTTTGATCCCAGTGACGGCAGGAATCTCGCTCACGGCAACACTGCCGACGTGATATCCAAGCAATGGATAGAAAGAATCGTCGATATTATCAGTTGAGACTTTGGGAGCCTCCACAATAAGGGTTGCACGTCTATTGATTTCAACGTGAGGGCCTCCCTTAGGGGCACGGCCAGTCAATCCGATACAAATATCCAAGAAATCGGGATATTTCATAGTCCTCGCACCGAGTACACTATTGGCATAAACAACTGCATTCGATTCGGCCCAGGCTATTTGCTCTCCTAGTCCTGGGGCTGTGTTGAGTTGATATGGTGCACATGTGAATGTTGGTCGAGCTCCCATGTCAGTATATGCGTCCGCTAGCCTTGTGGCTCCATCAGTAAATTCTTCATTGGCACCTTGGACGCGCTGAAGATTCTTGTCGACGGAAATTGAATTCGAAGTTGTTGGAACTCTAACTTTGCCTCCACGATCACGAAGATTCTCCGCAAACGCCAGTGCTCCTTTCCCCGTGTAGCCACATCCATCAACATGGACCTGAGTAACATCCATCAGCTCTGTCGCGCCCATCACTCTGGCTAGACGCAATACTATACGCATCGCCGCCCGGGCAGCATCTCCATGTTCATTTTTAAGAAAAGCGTAGTCAAGTTCCGTCAGATTCAGTTCAGAGCTGGAGAATTCGGGCTTAGATGAATCAATCTCGTGTATTATTTTGGCAGCTCCATCACCAGGATGATAGGTGGATATCTGACTGTTGGAAATTTGAACAGTCTGCCCATTGAGTTTCACCAATTGTCGAAAATCAGACGGATTAAGCGTCATAACTGGAATCGCGATTCCAAATATTTCTTCTGAAACAATGACACCGAGGGTGAGGATCTCCTCCCTCCGTTCAAATATCAAGGCGGCTGGTGCTATTCGGTTCAGGAGCAATTCCAGGATGACCGTGCTGCCAGTGCATGAGCCACGTCCACCAGGGATAGCAAGAACTCTGCTTTTGAGCTCTTGCCCACTCAATGGATGGTGTTTGTCGATAACATGGCTTGTCTGAGGACTGACACCACCCCAGAAGCTCAATTCTAGGTCACTTGTCATCAATATTCCAGACGCCTCGCCATCGACGTATGTGGTACCTTTGAAGGTAGACGGTGGTTCAAGTTCTTGAATTCCCATGGTGATGCTCCGCACGATTGAACTGCGAAAAATGGCTCGGAAGAATAAAGTGAGATTTGTCGTTAGTACCAAATAAGGCAACATGCACGGTCTCTCCTTAGTGCGAATCAATATCAGAGTATCGATTTTATACTATGAATCTGGTAGACGTTGTGAACGGAGATTCTTGCGGGATTCGGAAGACTCGGCTGATAGAAGCAAGTTCAGGAAGTCCAGACTTCTGTCGTAGGTATGTTCCTTGTTAAATGAGAGGTCGAACTACCGATAAGACCGAGCAGTCAACCTTGAATTAATATTACGTTTTATTACCCCACTTCACAGAATTACCATACGTTGGGGTGAAATACCACTGTTTCGGCCGTGTGTCTCTGAATCATGATAAAACAAACTGCTATCGCAGGGCTGAGAGCTGTGCCCTCGGATCATTTCCGTATGTAAATCTTAGCTAGACGGGTTGGTGAATATTCGACTTGAATTCTACGAAAATATCGTATCTTTTGCCGATTCTTTAAGGAGCACTTGAGTGGGAAGTATCGATTTTGAAAAAAAAAAAAATTGCATTTAGAATACCTTCATCGGCAAGTCAACATTGGAAATTTTAATATTTGGACTCGACCACTGGCAATAATATGATTTACGCAATCTACACTATGCGGACCACGGTCGGAAAGGTGACGAAAGAGAAAATATTGAATCTCTCAAATACATTTGGAATAGGGAGCATTTGACTCTTGACTCTTGAGTACTGTAACTGTGGATCTTGACCTTCTAAAGCGAGATTTGCCGGGGTTTGACGGCAGATTCCCAGTGTAAGTCACTGACCATGGCGACAAGAGCATCTGCTGTGCCATACGAAATTGAATATCCGTTGTGGCCATGTCCATAAGCATGCAATATATGAATCTTGCTCTTTGAGCCCTGTCTAATTTCATGCTCCAAGCGGTAGCCACCTTCGCGACCGGGGCGGATGCCAACTATGTTGGCGACAATTTCAGGGTTCTTCGAAACCACGTGTGGTGCCAGCAAATTTGTGCGACGTATCTCATCCATCCTAGTGACTTCATCTACGAGAGGCGAACTATGACAAAGAAGTGTCAGTTTTCATCATCACTAGAGGAAAATTTGGGACTACATACTCGCGACCAGGCTGGAAAACACCTCCACAGACTAGCAGTTTTGATCCCGGTCGAGGGATGATATAAGTATGTTGCTCGTCTTGGGTGTGATAGTAAAGTGTCGAGGTTTGATCTGATCGAACTAGGATAGTCTGGCCGCGTACGGGATGACACTTGGGATCATTGACACCATCAAGAGTTCTTGCCCCAAGGCCAGATGCATTGACAATGACAGTGCTTTGTGGATAAGCAGCGTATATCTCTGAGAGAGATACAATGTCTTGCCTTTTGATCTCACCACCTAGGCTTGTGACCTGACTCTTCAGCCACTGAAGATGAACCGGAGAGTCGACGACTGGAAGACTGTACGAGCAGATAAACGCATCGTCACTTCTCCTTTCTCTGGGCTCTATAATTCTAAACTGAAATTCGCGAATTCCAGTCAGTCGGGCCTTTTCGGCGATACTCGATGTGAGCCTAACTTACATCTTCAACAAATTCCGAAAGCCACAACCGTGTTGGGTCCCCCAAAAGGGGATTCTCATGAAATCGCTCCTCAATTCTGACGATCTAATATTCGGTGGTCTTGTTTAGAGATTTTAATTTGACACATCAACAGATTACGCGGGCGAACTTACATGAACCGCAGCATCAGGCTCGGTGCGAGCAAAACGCATCAGCTGACCATATGTTGCAAGCAGCAGTCGTCTTTCTTCGGAGGTCTTGGCCTCGCCTGCCCACATCGCACCGGCCCAGTTTGATGCATAATAGATATCTTCATCACCAGGAACATGTTTAGCCAAAACAGTTACTTTAAACCCCTTTAAGAGCTGCAAAATCGAGCATCAGCCATCTATTTGTCGATATTCCTTATAAAGTTCAGAGATCTTACCAGGCCGCGTGCAGCCGTCAGCCCGATAACCCCGGCCCCTATAACAACGACATCGGTATTGAGAAAGGTCGCGTTCTTGGTAGAATTCATGTTGGCTGACATAGTAGAACTTGGGAACTCGATTTAAAGTGCCAGTAATAAAAAATTGGAAGCTTGAAATAGCTTTTGCTCAAGTTGAAGGAAAATATATGACCCTGAACTAGTAGTCACTTCAAGAACTTTTGAAGTAATTCCGAACCAGCTCTCTGACTCGGAGTTGAAGGAAAAAAGCTTCAAGTTTCCGACAACATACGATATTCTTCAATCGTCTGATTTCTCGGTTTAGCATACCGACGTAAACATCGGTCTGATCACCCGTTAGCATCCATAGGCCGGATTAGAGAACCGAATTTGTAAAGGTGCAGAAGTCCAGGTCGGAGATAAGAGTCGAATGTTTGCGCGGAATGGCACTCGTATTTTTGATGATTGGTGAGTTCTGAATAACCATTGAAGCTTGAAGTAATGAGCAGATCAATTGACTCTCCGGAGAATTGGTCACAGCATAGACCCCTCTCTGACATTCCAAGAGGCTTGATAGGTCGTGTTGTTATCTATGACATGCTTCTCCTTGAAACGCCAACTCTACATAAGACTCGGACCTCATAAACCCCGTATGTAATGTAATTTTCGTATCTCTATATTCGAACTTAATATCCAAGGCTTCCTTCAAGCTTCACTCATCTCTTCAAGTTCAAATGTTCAATTATTATTATCTGTCTGTGTAATTTCAGGCTTCATATCTTCAAGTCATTTCCTAATTTATCCGTTATAACCATCATCCCGTGATCGGTAATTCCATTCATCCCTATCCTTTTTTATACCACCACAGAGAATGATCGATATCGAGAAGGGTGCTTCTCCTAGCGACACCAAGCTAGAGGATGAGAGCTCCCAAAAGGCTGAAATAATCGATCTTCCAGACCAACATAGTGTCGTCCGAGGACTCAAGCCGCGGCATACCCAGTTGATCGCCATTGGAGGATGTATTGGAACCGGCTTGTTCGTCAGCAGTGGCCAGGTCCTCTCCAGAGCAGGACCTGCATTTCTTCTGCTAGGTTACTGCATTGTTGATTTCTTCATTTGGCTCATCGTCACTGCGATTACTGAAATGGGTACATACCTCCCGGTACAAGGAGCCTCAATCAGCTATTACGCAAGTCGTTATGTCTCCAGCAGTTTTGGATTCGCTATTGGCTGGCTATATTGGTACTCATGGGCAATTATTGTCCCGACGGAGATAACCGCAGCCAGCTTGATCATCGACTACTGGACAACGGAGGTTAATTTGCAGTTTGGATTTCCATACTGATAGTATTGATTATTACCGTCAATCTCCTGCCGGTTGCTGTCTATGGAGAAAGCGAATTTTCGTTTGTCGTCATCAAAATCTTGACCATCACTGGCCTGTTATTCTTCTCTTTCATCTACTTTTGCGGTGGTGCTCCCGGCAAAACATATCGTGGATTTCATTACTGGTACGATCCTGGCGCCATCAACCATTACCTTGTTGGAGGTAGTGGCGGGTACATTGCCGCATTCGCAGCCGGCGTTATTGGCGCAGTGATGCCGGTTGTCCTCTCACCAGAGATGATTATCATGTCCGTGGGTGAAATGCAATCTCCTCGTCGGAATCTCCCGACTGCTGCAAAGAAGTTTGTGTGGAGAATTCTCGTGTTTTACATTGGAGGAGTCCTGGCGATCGGAGTGATTTGTCCATCTAACGCGCCCGATCTGACAAGTGGATGTAAGCTATGCGTTCTAGCTCACATGGTCTATTTATTAACTCATATTGTTCCTTAGCATCGAATGCGAGGTCGTCACCTTTTGTTATTGCCATGAAAAATGCTGGAATCCACGGCCTAGACAGTGTCGTGAATGCGGCAATCCTCACTTCAGCATGGTCCGCAGGCAATGCTTTGCTCTATCTCTCTAGCGGATCGCTTTATTCCCTTGCAATCATTGGCAACGCGCCAAGTATCTTCAAAAGGTGCACCAAGCGAGGTCTGCCTTGGGCAGCGGTGATGGCCAGCGCTCTTTTCATGCCCCTTGCCTACCTCGACTGCTCAAGCAGTAGTTCCACCGTTTTCAACGTACTACTCCCTTCCCTTCCCTTCAATCTTACTCAAATTCTAACCTGGTTTGTAGTGGTTCGTGAGTCTTACAAACACATCCGGCTTCATCGCGTGGATCGCCTGTTCCATTACGTATCTTCGGTTCCGCAAAGCATTAACTGCCCAAGGTCGTCTCGACACAGTTCCTTACCATTCAAAGCACAGCCTTGGGGAGTGTGGGCCTGTATTGTCTTCTTCACTATTCCGTGTCTTATCAATGGCTTCGACGTCTTCATTGCTGATGACTTCAATGCCTCTGACTTTCTCACCGCTTATCTTGGCATTCCAATTTTCCTTGTTGTGTATTTTGGTCATAGAATTGTGCACTGGAAAGAGTCATGGGCACATGCATCTGAAGATTTTGATCTTGTCAGTGGGTTGCAAGAGGTATTGGACTTGGAAACTCCAGCGCCAGTAGTGCGAACCTGGGGAGACCGAATTAAATCCTGGATCTAGATAGCGATACAACCTTGGAAGGACCTGTATCCGTGCTCAATTATCCTATTTTCCTTAGTCAAGAAAGTCATATCTATGAAGAATCGGATAAATCCTTCGCCTCTGGCACTTCGTCTGGTATCAAATTTTTCGTAACATTCGTGCCAGTTTTACCCCACATTTGAGCCCGGGCAGAAAGGTCACGATGTTTTAATACCAGCCGAAATGGACCTTGGACCTCTTTTACTACTTGGGTTCCTGCCCTTCAACCACCGCCTGTCTTGATACACGAGGAGCCTACAGCTTATCTCTAGGCCTATCAGTTGCCTATATCCAATAATATAACAGCTAACCTTCCCTTCCAGCTAACTCTCCAGCTAACCCTGTAGGTACTCGGTCACCTGTAGATGCTCTGACTCGGGCTGAACCCTGTATATAGGTATGTGAACACACCTGGCCAAGCACTTGAGTGCTGGGGACATATCTTTCCCGATTTCAAATGCTCGCTGCTATGTACACTGGCAGTGCCGCGCGAAGCGTGGCATGAGAACTTGTTCATTATTACACGGGAAAACGCCGATGGTATTACCGGTACTGACCAGGTGGGTCAGGCTGGATACATAATTGCTTTCCTGAATTAGAAGCACAACTGTCTTACAACCTTGGAACCTCGGACTCGGAAGCGTTATTCGATCGACTTATCTTGAGCAAAGTGAGCCTATTTTTCAAACTTGAAGCAGAAAAGTGGATCATTGATAAAATAATCCCGGGTGGCTCTTCCGATGAAAGACTGATATTAAGCTGTTAAATTTAGGCTGTTATTCCTTCATTCCAAGGTTTATTTCATCTCTTCGGCCCGATACAGGATATACTATTTCAACCAAGTCATTCTCATCCTCTCCATCAGACTCGGATCCAACGTAGCAACGAGACAACATGTTGATTCTTTCCGACAAAAATGTTCAAGAAATTCTCTACGGCCTTTCACGGAAAGAATGGGCCCACCTACTACAGATATTTTCCCAATTCATGACGGAATATTCTGCTGAACCCAGCAAGGTATTCCAGCCTTCACGCGCGCGTATCACCACTTCCCTCGGCCACAATTCTCTCTTCATGCCCGCTTCAAACACTTTGGTTACTGGTATCAAGAGCATGACTATTCCGGGAGATGGGTCTTCTATCAACGGCTCAGTATCTATTTGCAAGCCTACTGGTGAGCTGGAAGGATTGCTCAATGCTCGCGAACTCACAGCGTTTCGAACATCTTTGGCTGCGAACATAATCTTTTCTCGGAGAATGTGGGATGGCGCGGAGAACATCGTTATTTTTGGTGCTGGAAAGCAAGCAGAGTGGCACCTGCGAATTGCTCTACTGATTGGCCCCGCAGCGGGTACAATTGGCAAGGTCACCATTGTCAATCGAAGCCAGTCAGCTCTGGACAAATTTGAACAGGGAGTATTTGCAGATCTACGGCCAAAATACCCCACTGTTGTCTTTGAGTCCATTGTCAAAACTGGAAATCCCGGACACGAGGAGCAGATCAAGAGTGCTTTGCAGGATGCTGCTGTGGTTTTCGCGTGCACCCCATCAGTGGAGCCACTCTTCCCTTACAGCTATCTCCAGAATTCAGAGAAAAAGAAATTCTCGGTATATTAGCATGATTGGTTCATTCAAGCCACACATGCAGGAAGTTGATAAAGCCACGATTTTGTCTGGAAAGCTCCTGTGTGTCGACTCGAAGGAGGAGTGTATGGTGGAAGCCGGCGAATTGATTATGGGCAACGTGAGCCAGGAAAGTTTGACAGAAATTGGAGCTTTGCTTCCCCTGGACGATGATGATGAACGGGTACAAATCTTGAAGCATGAGAACGTGGTATTCAAATGCGTAGGTATGGGGATTATGGATGTAGCTATAGGAACAGGAGTGCTCGAGCTGGCAAAAAAGAAGCACATCGGTGTTGAGCTGTCTGACTTCTAGCTAAATCATCACTCAATTGCTCTCGCTTGTATCTGTTCATCTAACATATGGGAATAAATTCAGTTGCACCAGTCTATTTTCAACGAAGACCTATTGACACGCTTATATGGATAGTATGACAATTTGGAAACAAGAAAATGCAATTCACGCAAGCCAATTCCGTACCTTAGGAATGACGAATGCTTCCTTCGACTGCCCATGATGCCGAATCAATCCTTTACTCTCCATCAAAAACTAGCAGGCTCTGGACATTCACCCTGCCGAACCCATTATCACGCAGTCGCTGACGACCACGATGAACAGGAAACTCAGCTACCACCATGACAGTGATATCGTCGATACTGATTTCAGCTTTCTGCAGCAATGTGAGAATATCACACAGGGTTCTACCCGACGCAAAGACATCATCCACAACTACCACATAGCTTCCCCTGGCGATGACGCCTCGACCAATTTCAATTCGTTTCTCTGGAGAGCCACTGGTTGACGAGGAGATGTGCGAGCACCATTTTCTCACTGAAATTGTCGGTGGTGGGAGCTTTCCAGCCTCGCGAATTGGTACCAGGGGTATACCAACATCTGCGGCCAGTTCTGGGGCAAAAAGATAGCCGCCTGATTGGCAGCATACAATTGCATCCACTTTATTCCAGTTACCTGGGTAACATAGAGTAAGGATACTGGCACAGAGGGATATGCCACCCGCCACCTGGTTGATATTCAGCACATGGCGGAAGTTTACCCCTGAGCGCGGGAAGTCGGGAACTGAGTATACCACATTTCGTAACGACCTATGGCCGTCAGAGACAAATGGAAACAGATGATATTTCCCAAATGCTTTGATAGGGGAATCGGTATGCCTGTCATTCCGGAAGGTCATACTCGAACAGTAAGTTGGGGTCGCCGATTGAGAATCTTCGTTGATTTGGCTTTCGCGGTGTCCTCTCCTGGTCTGACGGGTCCAGTGACTGACTTCGACGCGAATATCCAGCAGCTTTTTGTCGGGTACAAGATGTGCGTATGCTGTAACTGGAGCCTCCTCTCTGATTCCGGTGATGAAGAGCACATCTGCATCTTGGGCGTCATTGACCACCTTGAGAAAATGCTCTTCATGTAGCCGAGGGCGAGTTTGCAATTGATTATGGAAAAATGTCGTAAGTGCTTGCCGATGCTTCTCTTTGTAGTCACGGTCTTCATTAAGCCGGAATGGGTCGGCACCAGTAGCAGCCGCATACTCTTGCTTCGTGGCCTCACTGATACTGACTATCCTAACCTCGAGACTGCAGTGACTGAGTTTCTTCAGGACTGAGCTCCAGACTCCTGCACAGTAATCCTTCCCAACGAAGTTATCACCTGTGACCATGAAAATGGTTTGTTGTCTAAGGAGCTCGGGTCGAAATGTGAACCCGCAGGATAAAACGTTATGAGGGTCCAGCGTGGTCTTCAAGCGGGTGAGACGACGCATATTTGAGCCAAAGGCCTTTTGAGCCAGCGTGATATCTAGAGGATCAGGACCAAGGTCTGTACTGTAGACTCCATGGCACCCTGGTAACATCCCTTCGGCGGTCCGATAGACCCAAGCTTTGGCGGCTTGCTCCACATATGTCCCATCTTCTTCACGGGGCCATACGCCAGTAATTACACATGCATACTCCCATTCCCGACATCCAAAGGCAGTGATATCTGATGGTATAGAACAGACTTGGCCGCCGCAATGAAGGAGATGGATGTACGAAAGTTCGGTCGCCCGATCCAAGAATGCATCAATCAAATACCTCGCAAAGTGGAATGCCTTCTCCTTTGAGAGAAAGATACATCTTTTGAAGGCTGATATCTTGCCTGGTGCCTGGTCGTTTTGCAGTTCAGCCATGTGTTTTTCGATCTCAAACAATCCAACCCCATCCACGATTTCAATAGAACTCTGTATGGCACCAGGAACCATACATTCTGGCCGCAGTCCAGGCATGATGGGGTTGAAGTAGCTGCCCGCGTCGGTGGTCTCAATTCTGGTCACAGCAAGGTTCAGGCAATCCAGTGAAGAATAGAGATATGCATCTTCTGAATGCCTTTTGGGGTGTGTCTGTGAGAGGAAGTTTTGGAACCTCGCTGCTACCTCATCGAAGTCTTTCGCCTCATCGAGCTGTTCAAACTTAACGTACCAGCGTTGAATCCGGTATATCGGAGCTGGGGATGCGCGGAACGTCACACTGAGGACAATTCCAAAGCTGGATCCGGCGCCTTTCATAGCCCAAAAAATATCGTCATGATTTTCTGGTCTCATGGAGAATTGTGGTCGGTAAGCCTCTGGCACATGGCCAAGATGGAAGATCTCCCCAGACTCCACACTGACCATCAAGATACCAATGATCCAGTCACTTGAGAGTCCCTTGTCCCTAGACATGTGTCCCAGGCCACCCTGTAGCCAAAGGCCTGCACCTACACTTGGTCGAGACCCCAGCGGCACCGCCATACCAGCAGACATGGCCTCTCTAACAATATCACCAGTCTTGGAACCACCCTGGGCAACCACCATGGAATAGTTCTTGTATGGTGATCCTGCATCTCTATCCCCATGTCCGAGTGCGTGTACATTGTTAAAGGCGGCTAGATCTAGCGAAACAACGCCAGGCCACACACTATGGTCACTGTGACCTCCACCAATAATGTTCAAGCTGAGCCCATGCTTCAAAGCCCATTTCACGCAGATTTGGACTTGTTCAAAGGTCTTTGGTGTGAGGATAGCAGCAGGGCGACAACGGCGGGCTCGCGGGCTCTTCGTTGGTTTGTTCGTTGAAAGGGGTACCTTTTTGATCAGTTCTGATAGCGCAGTACTCGCATTTGCTTTGAAGGTTATCATCACTTCGGGGACATAGAAGTGGATCAAGCCCGGCTTGCTTTGGTCGAAATGGCCCAAATTTCGGCAAGTATTCCGCCATTCCGCCCGCAAAACCGCATCTATATTTTCACCCTGCATGCCATAGCCTGATATGAACAACGCAAAGGCATCTAGAGTATCATCTTCATCAAAAACACCCACAAAGCCATCCCAAGTGAGGCTTGTTTTGTGACAGACCAAGTCATCAAAGTGCGAAGAGCCTTGACGATGGAAAGCAACGACCTTAGCACCGCCATGACTGTTGACAAGTAACTGCAGGGTTGCAGTTATGAGGTTGGAGTTGTTGCCAGTGCCATACAGGCTATGGCAGAAAAGAATAAGATCAAACTTCTGGCCACTCTGCAGTAAACCTGGATTGTTGACATCATCATTGTGGATGGCTTTTATGGTGAACGGCTCTCGACAAACGACTGGTGTAGAGTCTAGGCAGGGGAATGGTTTTTCAAATTCCAAGGTAGAGCACAGCGATTCCTCAAGCTCTGTGGCGAACTGGATAATGGGCTCAAATGTGGTGTACTTGCGAATCTTTTGTCTTAGACTGATAGGAAGGTATCCAAGGATGGTATCTGGACCAGGCCCAATCTCTAGGACGTCAATTGTATCACGGGATTGAACTAGAGAAGCAACCTGCTCAGTCAGCTTAGGGATGATGAAGTCCTTGTAGGTAACCCATCCAGGCCCCTGTCGCATGATGTTAAATCCAGCTCTGTATTCCGCATCTGATAACAATCTTCCTCTTTCTGGGGATTGTCTCATGGCCCTTTCATGAAGAGCCAATTTCAACGTCGTGAGAGTAGTCATAACGAGATTTGATAACAGTTTGGACAAGGAAAGGAGGAGATGGATAGTTTGGGGATTGTAGAGAGTTTGATGATACTTTGAAGATTATATCTTGTGGGATCCAGCTAGGCAGATACGCTTGGAGGTAGAAGCCGGGCTGGAAATGAAAGGAAACAATTTCCTATTGTTGAAACCATTTATGCGTGCTCCTTTTGTGTCCGTTTGTGGTGTGAATCCCTATCCCTGAATCCCTGAACTATACTACTGGGGTACGTTTGCAAATTTGTCTTTTACTATATGGACTAGATTTTTTTACTACCTACTACATAATTAGGTACTGGAGGTTCTTTGACCGCCCAGCATTATTCCACCTGGGCAGTTGATCTTTTCGTGTTGACATTTAGCTAATACTTCGATTTTTCTTCCTTATCAACATGCGTAACTTCTAAGGTTATGCAGCAGTTAGCGTACCCCTTTAGGTACCTATCTTTATATCATGTAGGTACACCTGTAGGGATATCTGTAATTATACCTATAGGTATTTACATAAATAGAGAAGTATCCACTGGCAGCTAAGTACTAGGTATGTAAACATGAGCACAAGTCCTTGAGTGCTTGATTAAACTTTAGGCTTATCGTGATATAAGGCGTCCGAGTCCATCATGATTTAACAAAGCTTCACATGTGCATAGCCAGGTACATAATTTTCCAATTTTCTGGCTACATATAGCACCGCGCGAAGCGCGGTGCTAGAACTTGTCAATATTACGCAGCGCGTTGAATGAATGCTGATCGAATTATTCTTGCAAACACTGCTAGTTTGATAAATTCCAGCCAATTCCCCCGTCCTTAAATATAAGAACCTCCAGGCGCTCCTGGACTTTCTTCTTCATACCTCAATACTCATATCTGCCAATCAATCTTTCATCACCACCATGGATACTCCAATCGATAGGGAGCTTCGGTATCACGCCGAGAATGAGGATTCAAATCCAAATTCGCCAGTCAATCCACCGGCTTCAGCCAACATAGCCCATTCCCTACAGACAATGACTTTATTAAGAGAGTCTGACGTTCGCTTCCAGCCGAGTGAGTTCCCCCTCCAGTACCACAGTGGTGAATCAAACCAATCTAACATATATGGCTTAGATGTCAGCACAATCCAGATTCCGGATTCCAGCTCGGACAATCGAACTCAGAGGCTTACTGGAGCCATAAAGACGATTCTTGAATGTATTGGAGAGGATGCTGGACGGGAAGGTCTTCGAGATACCCCACAGCGATATGCGAAAGCAATGCTTTACTTCACAAAGGGATATGGAGAGAGTATCCACAGTGTGACCAATGGTGCGATTTTCAATGAGAATTACCAGGGCCTCGTTGTGGTGAAGGACATTGACCTATTCTCCCTGTGTGAGCACCACATGATCCCATTTCTAGGAAAGGTATGCAGAAAACCTGGTGTTTCTCCCATGCTATATTGACTGTATTGTTAGGTCCACATTGGGTATATCCCTAATGGCCAGATTATTGGCCTATCCAAATTGCCCCGGATAGTTGAGATGCTGGCACACAGGCTTCAGGTGCAAGAACGCCTAACAGGGCAGATTGGTCGAGCAATCTTTGACTTGCTCCAGCCTCACGGGGTTGGTGTTGTCATGGAATGCTCCCACCTTTGTATGCAGATGCGTGGGGTGCAGAAGGTTGGGAGCAGCACAACAACCAGTTTTATGTTAGGATGTTTGGAAATGAGTGCAAGTCACAGGGAGGAGTTCTTCTCAGCTCTCAAGAAATAGCCTACACCCGGCCTTCCCGTTGACATTTGGACCTGGGTAAGCTCTATGTTGTAGGAGTGTTATTCTCCAACTTCAAGTTAGACTCTGAGTCATGAACAATTTAAAGCAGTGGATTGAAAGTGGTCTCCGGTATCTTTTACATAACGTCAGATGTTCCATCACTTAGGCACCAAATTTAATTCTTAATATGCTGCGAATAGGCCTCTCAAATGTTAGGGGAAGTGAGCTTTTGGTCATAGTACGAATATCTGCCAAGACAAATGACGTCAGTCACTGGTAGAGCCAGTCGTGATTGGCCAAATCAGCAACTATAAGACCTGTCGACCTGACATGATTCAGTCGACTTCGATCAATATGAGAGCTTGGGTTCTTGCTATGAAGGGGATAGTGAGATATAGGAAGAGGCGCTTTACTATATGTTTGTTAGTAGTAGTGTCTTTTTTCAGAGAAAATGCATATTGACATTACATAGGGCAGGGATCGCGATTAACTTCCAGAGACCCACCAGGATCGGTGTCATGGTCAGAGTGTAGAAATGACTGCTAGTATGTATAGCTTGCTCTCCAGTTTCTTGTGTGAAGAAAATAACCCGTGCGCGAAATTGACTTATTGAGTCACAGATATCTGAATCACATAATAATATGACGATTTGGATCCTGGGAAAGAAAGTCCTGAAGTAAATTCCTCTTGAACCCCGCGATATCTATGGTATCCACGTGACTTACCGCCTTACCAGTTGGGCACTGAGTCATCGACAAAGGGAAAAAAAAATTAAAAAAAAAAAGAAAATTGATGGTTATTATTCCCCCTCCTTTATGGGTCACGGTTTGTTAAGCGGGGCTCAAAGACTTTCGAGTCTCTTTTTTTCTTCTGGTTCCTACCGGTCTACCATTTCGCGATTACCTACCGTTTTCTCTCCAACAACATCCGTTTCCCTCCGCGCAGCTCTTTATACCCCTGCGCGCCTTCAATCATACGCAACTATGGCGTCCGACCTCCCCGCCTCCGTTGAGGCCCTCACCCTCCAGTCCACCTCCAAGACATCCAGCTTTCCCGCATGCTTCCCCTCATTGAACCCTATGGACATCTACCGTGAGCACATTGCCACGGAGCTCAGCAAAACCACCGAGATCGACTCTGAGTTGATCTATTCTCGTCTGGCGTGGACAAACACATTAGACAAGGGTGATTTGTCGCTGCCGGTATGCTAAATTCCCGTGATCTGGATCTTGCGGTGTTTATTTCTGGTACAATCGTCAAAGCTAACTTGCCTGGAACTATGTTAGGTCGCCGCCCTGCGCATCAAGAAGAAGCCTCAAGAGCTCGCCGAGGAATTGGCCTCCAAGTTCCCTGAATCGGATCTCGTTTACCCCCCCAACTGCCCTTGGCCCTCACGTGCAGTTCTTCTGCAAGCCTCTGCCTCTGGCCAAGACTGTCCTGGGTCGTGTCCTGACTGAGAAGGCCGCCTATGGTACAAACGGAAACCTGGGTCTCAAGGACCCCACGGACCCTTCCAAGGGCCAGAAGAAGATTATCATTGAGTTCTCTTCACCCAATATTGCCAAGCCTTTCCACGCTGGTCACCTGCGAAGTACCATCATTGGTGGTTTCCTCGCCAACCTTTACACTGTTCTGGGATGGGATGTCGTTAAGATGAACTACCTCGGTGACTGGGGCAAGCAGTACGGTCTGCTGGCCAACGGATTTAAGTACTTCGGTGATGAGGAGGCCCTGCAAAAGGACCCCATTAACCACCTTTTTGAGGTTTATGTCAAGGTTAACCGCATCGTCGGCGAGCAGGACGCCCCCATCAAGGAGCTGAAGGAGAAGATCAAGGAGAAGAAGGAGAAGAGCGAGGATGTTTCCACTGAAGAGGCCGAGCTCGCCAAACTGGTTGACGTCAGCGAGGATGAGAAGGCCCGTCGCTACTTCAAGAGCATGGAGGATGGTCACCCCGATGCATTGGCTTTGTGGCGCCGATTCCGTGATCTCAGTATCGCCAAGTACAAGCAGACATACGCTCGTCTTAACATTGATTTCGATGTCTACTCCGGTGAATCCCAGGTCAAGAGCGAGAGCATGACCGATGCCTACAAGGCTATGGAGAAGGCCGGCGTTGCCGAGGAGTCTGAAGGAGCTGTCATTGCTGACTTCACCAAGCACGGTGCTAAGAAGCTGGGCAAGGCTATCATTGTCCGTAAGGATGGCACCCCTCTTTACCTGACCCGTGATATCGGTGCTATCACCGAGCGTGATGAGACCTACAACTTTGACAAGATGATCTACGTTGTTGCTGCCCAGCAGGACCTTCACCTTGCCCAGCTCTTCAAGATTACCGAGCTCATGGGCCGCAAGGATCTCTCCGACCGTTGTGAGCACATCAACTTCGGTATGGTCCACGGTATGAGCACCCGTAAGGGTACAGTTAAGTTCTTGGATGATATCCTGCGTGATGTCGGTGACAAGATGCACGAGGTTATGAAGAGCAACGAGGTCAAGTACTCACAAGTCGAGAACCCCGTCGAGACTGCCGATACCCTGGGTATCACCGCCGTTATGGTCCAGGATATGACTGGCAAGCGGTAAGTTTCTCATTATTTATATTCTAAATCACTTCATCATACTAATGTTCATCAGCATCAACGGTTACACCTTCAACCTCGAGGCTATGACCTCCTTCGAGGGTGACACCGGCCCTTACCTGCAGTACGCCCACGCTCGTCTCTGCTCAATGGGTCGTAAATCTGGCCTGGACCTCGATGACCTTGCCGACGCCAACTTCGATCTCCTCCACGAGCGACACGCTGTTGACCTCATCCGTCTCCTTGCTTCATGGCCTGATGTCCTCGTTAACACCGCCAAGACTCTGGAGCCCGTCACCGTGCTTGCCTACCTGTTCCGCATGACCCACATGTTGAGCTCCAGCTACGATGTCCTCAAGGTCATCGGTAGCGAGCCCGATGTCAAAAAGGCCCGTATGGCTCTGTACTCTGCTGCTCGCCAGGTTCTCCACAACGGTATGCGGGTTCTTGGTCTCAACCCCGTTCAGCGCATGTAAACGCATATCAATTATTCCCTCTCCACTTTTAAGATACATCATTAGCTCTTTCTGTTGACTCTTTTATATCTATTTTGCTCTGAATGCATTCGGCGCTAAGAGCTGGACACAAAATATCATTTCCATTTATACTGTTACGTCGAGTTTTCTACCAAGCTATAGAAACGAAACTAATGCCTCCCACTGGAAATAACCTTGAACCCTTAAATCTCCCTCGTGTTCGGGAATGCTGGTTCTTGGCAGACCCCATAATTTTTATCACATGATCCCATAATACTGTACTCCTGGGCAGCACAGAGTACTCAACAAACGATGGTTGATCTTAGATATCACATTTTCACATCTTAGTTATTTGTTATCTATGATATCAAGTGGAGTCCTAACCCAAAACTGATCGGCACGGAGAACAAAGCCATTGCTAGCATGAGAAAAAGTAACGAACAATGACAACGCATAAGCGCCCTAGCATGCACCCAATCAGCAGACCCTCTAAAACCCACCCACTTGATTCCAAGAATCCCAAATCCTTCACAAAACTTCAAACTCCAAAATCTAGCTCCAAAACTTCAGTCAGCAGCCTTCAAAAATTCTCACTAATCATGATCAAATAATGAACGGCGACCATATTCAGCTCTCCACCCAAATTCCACAAGATACGAGTCTCGGGCTCCACTAATCTTACCTAAGCCCTAAGACCCCCATAAATTATTAGCAGCGGCCCGGGCCCAGAAGCTATCATTTTTGGCCCCGGGGAACGCCAATCGGGGACTAGAAGAATTCCAAGAGCCCACATGTTTGCCGAAGGGTCGCCGCTCCAATCCCCGCTATTAGGGGTGCAGGTGGTATTTCCTATGATAAATAATCAGACCCCGGGACTCCACTGGGTCCGGTGGGATTAAAATTATAAGTAGTCTGGCCCCAACTTGAAGAGCTACCCACCTGGATTTGTTTTCGATTTTGCTTCGAGCTGGTTCTGTTGTACAGAACTTAAATTTGCATCAGTCTCATCTATCGGTTATCGACAACTCAGGGATCTTGTGCTAGGGAATGAATGAGGCTGAGGCTGGGATGTCCAAGGACAAGGATATTGAGCGGGGGAGTGATGAGGCGGGATATTTTCTGACCAATTCGTCTGTGAAGAGTTTCTCGTGGAGTGGATTGAATGTCACGGTTAAGGATCGCCAGACTAAGGAGGCGAGGGACTTAATTCATGACATTAGTGGCGATGTCCAACAAGGTATACTTTGATCAAGAGATGCGCTTGCTGTGTTTCGGGCTATGCTAATCCGTGCTGATAACAGGGGAGATGGTTGCTCTGATGGGTCCCTCAGGATGCGGAAAGACAACACTGCTTAACGTATTAGCTCGAAGACCTCCTACCTCGGGTGCGCGCACTGGCGGCGAGACATATGTCAACGGGGCGAAGGTGGAATCGCGAGAATTCAGGCGCATGACATCGTATGTCGAACAAGAGGATGCATTAATCGGGTCAATGACCGTGCGCGAGACGTTGAAATTTGCGGCAGATCTTTCATTGCCTAGGTATGTCTTATGAGTTTTATCCAGGGCTTTTCCTTGCCGGTGCTCGTATTCGTGCCATGTCAGTGCTAAGTTTCATAGTTCCGTGTCGAAACGTCAGCGAATGGAACGTATCCGCATCCTACTCGAGGCATTCGGTATCCAGAATCAGGCAGACACGTTAGTTGGGACTCCGATTCGAAAGGGAATTAGTGGTGGACAAAAAAGGAGAGTGAGCGTGGCTAGCCAGCTCATCACTTGTCCGAAGATACTCTTTCTCGATGAGCCAACGAGTGGACTTGATTCGACGGCTAGCTTTGAGGTCATATCATATGTGAAGGAGTTGGCAAGGGAAAACAATGTAAGTGCGCAGAGCTAGGATTTGAATTTGGTGGTTTTCGGTGCTAAGGGATTGTAGATCATAATAATCGCCAGTATTCATCAACCATCCACGACAACGTTCCGGCTTTTCGATAAGCTACTCCTTCTCTCTGCGGGTCGGACATGCTATTTCGGTCCTGTTTCAAACGTGGACGGACATTTTGGTGATATTGGACACCCTATCCCGACCAATACCAACCCGGCGGAATACCTTCTCGACATCGTGAGCTCCGATTTTAGCACTTCGAAAGTGGATGCTGAGGACCGGGTCGAAAAGATCCAGAATTCGTGGAACGAATCAGCCGAAGCAGGGAATTTGGGCAGAGAGTTATCTGAGCGATTGCATGCAGAGAGTCAGGTGGAGCAGGTAGCTGCTGATGATCTGGCCCGACCTGGATCCGCCAATGTTATTACAGCTCTGCTGCATCGATCGTGGATCAAGAGCTACCGGGATGTGGTCGCATATGGTATTCGCATCGTGATGTATATGGGTATGTTTCAGGATCATGCAATGGCACATGAATGAATCTTCGCTAATCAGCGCAGGTCTTTCGATAATGATGGGGACGGTGTGGTTACGTCTACATCCATCTCAGGAGTATATCCAACCCTTCATCAATGCAATTGTCAGTCCTCCTGTAACACAAGGCGAGGCGAAGCACAGAACAACAATGAGTACTAATTGTTTCCAGTTCTTCGGATCCGCATTCATGTCGTTCATGGCTGTGGCGTACGTCCCAGCTTTCCTCGAAGACCGAGCCACATTCGCCAAAGAACGAGCCAACGGACTCTATGGCGCAACTCCATTCATCATCGCGAACTTCCTGATTGGTCTTCCCTTTCTCTGTAAGTATGCCATCACGAGACATAACATCCAACGCATCGCTGATTCATCTCCAGTCCTCATCTCAATCCTATTCTCCATCGTATCATACTGGCTCTCGAACTTCCAGCCCACGGCGGAGGCTTTCTTCACTTGGGTCATGTGGATCTTCCTTGACCTTGTTGCAGCAGAATCGCTAGTTGTTCTCGTGACGTCCATCTTCCCGAACTTCGTTATCGCTCTTGCGTTGGTCGCATTCGCTAATGGGCTTTGGATGAGCGTGGGTGGGTTCTTGGTAACACCGACGATCCTTAATCCGTTTTGGAAATATGTGTTTCACTACATTGATTATCAGGTCAGTCTTGAATATATTGATTCGAGAATCCCTTAGTGCTAACATACTTTTCCAGGCGTATGTCTTTCAAGGAATGATGGTCAATGAGTTCTCGCATCGGACTTACTCGTGTGGCGATGGGTGTCAGTGCATGTATAATACGGATTTGGCTTCTCAGTGTCAGATTCGAGGTACCGGTGTTTTGGAATCTTATGGATATGCGACAGGGAGAACTGGGAAGTGGGTTGGTATTTTGATTGGGATCATCGCTGCGTACAGGCTCTTCGGGTGGATTGCGCTTCATCTTAGGAAGACGTGATACTGCTTTAGCCTAGTAGCTTGGCGTCGGTTGATACTGTAGTAGCAGTTGGACTCGGGGAGAAAAATGAAGGATGTATATTGCCAATTATATTGAATATTACTTTTTGATATACGGTGTTACTCGTAGTACTATTGACCTGAATAGACCCCAACAGCAGTGCTATATTCAGTCTTGGATTCCTGCGCATCAGCTATCTCACGCATTATTAGGGACATACAGCTACGATCACATTATCCTCCCGAAGCCCTCCCGAGGTAAGCTGTTGTAGCACTTGCAGGGGAAATGAAAGCCACCGGGGCATCTCGCGTTACACTAACAAAATCAATCTCTACGACAACCACCTTCTGTACAACATCCAAGCACGAGCACGAGCATCGCACCGACCCTGTCTCAAACCTCGAATGCAAAATGCAAAATCCCCGGAGCGTGATTCCCACAATTCCAACCTCAATCCCACATTCTCATAGATTAAAGTATGCGCATTTCCAATTACGCACAGCATCACATCCCCTCATCCACCCGATCGCACCCAATCATCAATCACGACTTCAAATGCCAATGCCGATCGAGCAAGAATCCGTTGAATAAAGACAAGATCATGGGAGCGGCACAGAAGTCCCGAGGGCGATATGTCGTAGATAAGGACCCCTCATCTCATCTCGTGGCCACCATCAAAGAAGCGGTGAAGAGTCTTGATGCCACCGTGCAGAGCTAAAGAAGCAAGGGGGGAAACCGCCCTCCCTAAGTATCCTCCGAAGGAGCGACGAAAAGGGAAACTTAATCTAAGAGTTCTTTGAACAGGTCTTAGAATGTATCGATTCACTAATTAGTGTTGAAAGAAAAGTCCTACTAGATCCACATCATTAGATTCTGATACCGAGAACTCGGGTACAATCAACCCTGGAAGTATACCCGCCGCACGGCACAGTTTGACATGCGTATAGACAGCATTTCAATGAAGCTTATTAGTTCAAGCTTGAGGTTTTTCTTCTTCACGCGGCTACTTTACAAAGACTCGGATATGTATGAGATACCCCAGCCATAGACGTCAGAGTACCAACGCAGAGAACCCAAGGTAGAAACTGAAACAGAAGCAAAGGTACGGAGGACATACATTGGCAGCACCTAAGTCTATAGGGAACGGTAGCTCGGAGCCCGAACCATTAAAAGCATGTAATATACACTCGCACCTGGGAGATCAACATGATTCGCGCCAGGGAACGCTATCGTGTCCGATCGTCATTGAACGGGAGATAGACTAACATGTACACTGTAAAAAAATAGTGACTCCCAGGCAGCAGCGCGGAATGACGTGCTAACATTTTTTGTCAACAATAATCTCGCCCCGATTACTAGACCGAAAGCCGTGGCTTTCGCACGAGCCGCATGGATTACCCTGGTTTTGATCCGGGGTGAGCTGGTTCCAATCAGCCCCTGCCTACGGAATGGACGAAAAGGGACAGGATAAGATGAAGATAGGGTGAGATGAAGTGAGATGGGATCATTTTTGTTTTGTTTCAATGTTCGCTTCGCTTAACTTCTTATCCGAATGACTGGGGAAAGTAGTCTATGCATAACAAGTTACAAGCATTGACCTTCTTGATGTGAGTGGGTGAATGTCTTGTCAGATCGTGCAATCTCCAGGGTTTCTTACACATGCGGGGTTGAGAAGATTCAGGTTGACTGGGTTCAGAGATGCAAGGAGATGGGAGCGAGGATGGTAATGATGGACCGTTCAGATGTCCGTGCTGCATGTCATCCCGCGATCTAGTCTCCGATGGGAAAGATCCAAGAAAAGAGAGCTATTGTTTACAATGATTTATAATAAAACAGCTTAATATTTGAAGAAGAACTTTACTGTTTATAGTTTGGTGGACGGGGACATCGGGGAGAGGAAGTATAGTATACTTGAGGTTATGAGGGACTCGGTCCTTGATGAACTAGGTCACTCGCTTAATCGGCCCGGATGATCCTGGGAACTGATACTTAGGTAGCCAGAGTATTCTTAGACACCAACATGGTACCTTAGATCCCTGAATGACTCTTCGAGAAATGAGTCATGCCATTAATACGATCTCTGGAATATCCACTGAAGAATATTCTATATGGAGTGACGGGCACCTAAGCATGTGTCGTGCAGTAGATGCCGTGATGAGTGGGAAGTGGGGTGGATATCATCTACCACCGAGTACTCCGGATACACTATCCTTCTCTAATCAAAGACTAAATTTTTTCCCGTTTATATCTTTAGTGCCCGTCCGGAGCCCTGCCCCACTAGGTCATCGTCGGTGGCGATTTTTCAGTTTGTGGTAAACTTGGGCTGCAGTATGTCATTCCACCGACTCTTTTTTTTCGGTTTTTCCCGGTACATTGCCATTGTCGAATGTGACAGGAGGTACCTCTAGAATCTGGTCTCATGAATTGATGATCTTTGGTCCGGACAAGTACTCCGTACCCCGGGGTCTAGTTCTCGGTCTCTAGATTGGGAGTATAGATACCAGCCTAAAACTAGGGCTTCAACCTGGAACATCTGGGGAGTCATAGAGCCCCACTAGTACCATGAAAATTGAATGTCCACAACAGTAAGTGGCTCAAAAAAAATTGTGATTACTGGAATTGATGCTTCGAAAATTATTCTGGTGTATTCTATTGGGGGATCCCCTTTCTTAAAAGTGGAGGCGATCATTGGGCCGCAATGACTAGATTGGGCGGTTAGGCGGGACAAAAGAAATACCGGAGAACAGGAGGGGAATGAATACGGTATGAAATGATTATGATAGATAGAAAAATGAAGCAAAAGAGAATGAAAAACAATAGAGAGATGATAGTATTCATCAACTTTATCTTCTATAGATTATCGTATAAACAAAAAATGTATAGATGTAAAGAAGAACCAGGGATGAGCAGGTGGATCCCCGAGTTTAAGTGAGTGAAACTCCACTTTTTTCACCACTTTGACCCGTTGTTTACACTGTTTACACTGTATGTACTGTTTACATTTCTATTTATTACCACTAATTATGCAACTTGGCTACCCGACCTCTTCTCTACAAGCTGGAGCCTCTTCTTCGTGAAACATTTTATTATTATTATTATCATTATTATTATTTATTTTATTTCTTTTTCTTTGAAAGTTTGATGCAATTTGCGTTTTCTTCTTTTATTTTTTTTTTTAATTCTCGCTTCTTTTTTTCCCTTCTACTCATCTTCTTCCTTATATTCTTCCCATATCCCTCGAGATCACTCTTCCCCCCCTTATCGTTATCGTGATCTCCCTTTATAAACCTCACCTCCTCCATCCCACTTCGGGACACTGGCTTCTCTGCCCATCCGACTCCACACCTCAAATCCCCACCCGGGTACCAGTCAGGCTGCCAGGAACTTGAAGCCCAAAATCTGCAGCTGCAGATTTTTGTCCAACCATTCACCACCGTTTCTACCCAGACCCATCCCAACGCTCTTGTTCCTGTTCTTTGCCCAATATCCCACCAATTTCGATGGAGACACTGCGAGCTGGAAAGTCCCTTGTCATCCTATCCGCTCGCTGACACGATCTCGTTTAACCAGTTAAGCCCTGCCATCGCTTGGCGATCGGCAGGTCCGCCTTTTCTGGTTGGAGTGTCTGTGTAACAAGAGCAAAGGGGAAGTCATCTGGCGTCTCTCTTGAAAAAAAAAATTATTATTGTGTGGGTTGGGTCTAAAAATTACCAATACCAAAAACCCCACTGGAGACGTCACCCGAGGGCAAGGAACGAAAAGGGGACTTGCATCTATACAAAAGAAAAAAAAAAAGAGCCCAAATTACCCCCCCAAAAAGAAATCCCTCCAATACGATCAAGAAAGGGACTGGGAATACACGCAGGGACTGACTCATCTCTTGCCTGGTTGGGTTCTTCTTTAACACCCAAACCTATTCTAATCCCTTCTCTCATATCCCTTCGTCAGGCTTCGAACCAAGGTGGCTTGCTGTAAGTCCAAGACCGTTTCCCTAAATCGGCCCCATTATTCCCACCCTCACTCCCCGCCTGCTGCCGGTGTGCGCTGGTGGGTAGCAAACCCACGTCCAGAACGGGAAACCAACCTGTTTCATTACATAGGGACCGCGCCAGTTGCCCACCCCGCCGTCACCTGCCCAAAGCCTACTGGTGCAGCAAGCCATGGCTAGCAAAACCGGTCGACCGGCTATGGTCGAAGAATTTGATGAAAAACTGCGCATCATCGTTCCCGACAGTCAGCAGGTGGCTAATACCTGTGCCAAAGTTTCCAACAGGTTGGATCATAGACACCCGGAGCCGCTGATCGACGGCGCAAGTGACTCAGGCTATTCTAGTCGTACCGCCGCCACCGTCAACAGCACCCAATCTGGACCGTCGGGCGGAAGAAGCCCTCCAGCCCCTCTCACCGATCTGCCCAAACATCGACCCGCCGACCTCACCAGGAAGTCTAGCCGCAGAGACCGACGAGACAAGGATCGTGCTGCCCGGCCACTTGAGGACAACATGCAGATGGGTCCTTACCCGGGCGCTGCCCATCCTCACGTGTCTCGGTCGCCGTCCAAGTCATACCGACGTGACTCTTATCGTTCCCCTCCAGAAATCTACTACGAAGAAGGCCCTCGTTATCACCAGTCTTCTACCCCCGTCGACAATCGATCGATGGACTACCACACACCTTCCCTGATGAGGCCTCCTATGCCTGATTACGCTCCTCATCTTCCCCCACCTCCGCCCTTATATCCCACAGAAGAATATCACTCAAGCCGTTCGACTCGTCCTGGTGGTTACCGTCCTCCGATGTATTATCAGGATCCACGTCCTGGCCCTTTTGCCGTGGGTATGCCTCGGGGATATCCACAGCAACAGTATCCATATGAGCAACATCAACACCAGCAACCACAACACCATGGTCCCCCGCCGTCATCAGTATGGCAACAAGGCCTCTACTCTTCATCTCCGTATGGTGGGGGTGGAGGAGGAGGTGGTGGTGGTGGTCCTTCATCCTATGGACAGCAGGATTATTTCCCCCAGGATGCCATCTATGGTGGTCACCGTGAGCGGTCTGAATCCCGTCCTCGGGAGCCGTCTCGGGCCCGCCGTAGTTCGATGTATGGTCACCCGCCGCCACCACCCGTGGATCAATACGAGGATTACTCTCCGGAATTTGAGGACAACTACGAAGACTACTATAATCCGGATCCTCGAGAACTAGCCCGGGAGAAACACCATGCCATGAAGCAAATGCAGATTCCAGACCGCGAGGAAAGTGCCAGGCGTCAGATGCCACCTCCCTCCCTTCCGGGTTCCAGGCAGAAAGCAGCCCCGCAGATCCATCAGGCAAGACGACCGGAACGGAGATCCCAATCCGTAGCTCCTTCTCGCCGTCACTCCAAGATCCCAGTACATGATGATCTAATAGATGACTTCGAGGACCTTGAACTGGAGCCTCCCAGTCACCGCCGTTCATCCCGGGATGTATCCACACCTGATTCAAGAGATAGTCTTCGTGGGAGCCGAAGATACCATGGCGGCTCCAGAAGTGGTGGCCAGGTGGCTGTCGCAAATTCTATTCGTCGGAGCAAGCACGAAGATTACTATCATGACAGCCAGGGCAGCAGCCTTGACATGGAGAACCAAGCAGCGGAAGCTGAACAGTACCAAGAGCAGATTTCCGGGCGTGCTCAGTTACCTCCATCTGAGGAAACGATGATGCCCAAGTCTCGCAACGGTGCTGGCAGTGACGTTAGCAGCCGAAAGAGTGGATCGAACGGCAGCCGGGCGAGTGCGACAAAGACCGAGAAAGAGAAAGAAAAACAAGCCATGACCCTGTCCCTGAATGGAATGACTTTGAACTTCGACAACGACGGGTTTCAGGGGAAGGCCATCAGTATTCGTACGGGAGACCGAGGGTCTACCCAGTTGAATATTACTGATGGATCTACCCCTGCTCCGGCTCCGGCCCCCGCCCCCAAGCGATCTTCAAAGTCATATGTGGGCGCAGGGTCATCCTACTCTGATAATACGGGCGCTAGTAGTCGTCGACGGGCACTGGAGGATATTCAACGTCATCGCGACCGCGAAGAGCGACGGTTGGAGAAAACCGCACACAGGACTAGCCGTTCAGGCAGGTCCTCGTACGGTGGAACCCGATACCATTGATCTCGCGTCGTGTTACAAGTTGAATCATTAGTACAGTTGCTCTGTCTATCTCTACGTCCTTATATTCATTGTTAGGGTTTCGGATGGTTTTGGATTCCTTTTTTTTCTTGCGTCATTGTTGCTTCTGCATTAGCGGTCGCCTGGTGTGGGTTCAGTCTGTCAAAAAGTTCGGAAAAAAATCGGGTTCCCTTCTGCGTTTCATGGGTGGATTTTGGTGGATTTTTCTCTTCTCAATTTTGGATTTTGGATTTTCTTTTTATTTATTTTTTTTCTCTCAAAAGTCATGTCGTTCGAGCAAAGCGATCGATCAGATCTCGGTGAAGGGTTTATGACCTTTCATACACGATCGATCTGTCCTCGTTGAACTTGGAGGACTCTTTGGCTTTCTCCCCTTTTCTCATATTTGCAATTTCTATCTCTTGCATTGGAAAGTGACCCTGTCTCGCAAAATATCACTTTGAAGTTTTCTTTTCTTATGGAAAAGGAAACAAGTAAAAGTGCATTGCAGACAAGTTCCCCCGTCAGGATGTGATATGATTGTACGATTCTGATGACCTACGATGACAAGTTTGATGTCTACTGCTTTGCCCCTTCTGTCTATTCCCTTTTGCATATCCTGTTTATCAATGATATTTGATGTTGATGAGCCTTCTTCACTATTGCGAGCGTCTTATGTACATCTCATCATGTGATCCATGTTCATGTCTTCTATTCTCATTTCCAATGTTTTTGGGCTTTGTCTCTTTCTCCTGGTTACTGGTTTTGTGAGCGCGACTCCTGTGTTGGAGGAGAGAGATTATACCCATATTTGATTATTTGTTTGTCATGTCTCAACACCAGGTCATCTTATATCTTCTTTTTGGCCATAACTAAATTTTCACTATTTGTATCTGATTTCCTGTCGTAGACTGTAGAGTAAACTAGTCCTTGAACTGGCTTTTTTTTTGCTTTGTTTAAAATCCGCCGGTTCCCATTTTCTGTTTTTGAGACACTTTCCCATGTCTTGCGGGCGGCTACAGTGTGCCACGACATGCCCTCGGTAGGCTACATGCATGCATGAAGGTAATTCTCAACCCATTCTCAACGTCGCTTCCAGCGAGACAAGAATACTCTCTGCTTTCAAACGCTACTAGGAGTGTCCTGTCCTTGGATGGAATGAGACATTCAGAAGATTCAGTCTATGGTAGTATCTTCTTCTCTGCCTAGGCTTATTCCAATATCTCAGTTATTTTTGGGAGTACCTAGGTAATTGGCGACATGGACATATTAGGTTCAATCTGGTTAGAGAAGACTGTGACCGTATTTGGAAAATGCCGGGATGAATTTAGATATTCGAACAGCCTAGAAAAGCTGTGGTTTTGTTTATATTAAAGTCAAGACCATGCGGGGTAACGGAACATAACTTCCCATACTTGAGTCTGGTGGTCCAATCAACTTTGCTATCATCAGTCCCCGCAAGATGATTATCATGTCAACGGCAGATTGATTCCCGCGTCAAATTAGAACCCCAAGGTATTTAAATCAATTGTTGCTTCTCTGTAGCAGTAGCACGCAAATCGCAATCAAATCTCAACATGATCATTGCCAAAAAGATCAAGGTACTCAACCCAGTCGTCGAACTAGATGGCGATGAAATGACCCGGGTTATCTGGCAAGATATCAAAGATCGATTCATCTTCCCATATCTGGATATCGACCTGAAATACTACGATCTAGGTCTTTTATACCGAGATCAAACAAATAACACAGTAGTTCTGGAATCTGCTGAAGCGATCAAGAAATACTCCGTTGGAGTCAAATGTGCCACTATAACCGCAACTCCGGCACGAGTGAAAGAGTTCGGTCTGAAAGAGCTATGGCCATCCCCTAATATCACTGTGCGAAGCGTTATTGGCGGTACTATCTTCCGTGAACCAGTCATCATCCCTCGAGTTCCGCGATATGTTCAAGGCTGGCAAAAGCCTATTGTCATCGGACGCCATGCTTTTGGTGATCATTCTCGGGCAAAGGAGCGGGTTATTGAGGGTGCAGGGAAATTAGAAATGGTATTCACACCGAAGGGTGGACAGCCTGAGACTATTGAAGTCTATGATTATCCTGAAGATGGGGGTGTGGGTCTGACGATGTATAACACGACGCGATCAATCACTGAGTTTGCCCATTCTTGTTTCAAATATGCGCTCTCGAAGAAGATGCCACTTTATTTGAGTACCAAGAATACCGTCCTCAAGCACTATGATGGTCATTTCAAGAAGATCTTCGATGATCTATATCAGTCGGAATATGCCGCTCAATATGAAGCTGTGGGCATTTCATATGAGCATCGACTTATCGATGATATGGTGGCCTATATGATCAAGAGTGAAGGCGGTATGGTTCTCGCTTTCAAAAGTATGTGCTATCCGAAATGATTCTTGAACAGAAACTTACCGGTTCCAGATTATGATGGTGACATCCAATCCGATATCGTCGCCCAGGGCTTCGGCTCCCTGGGTCTCATGACCTCGATCTTGGTTTCCCCAGATGGCCGAACATTCTTCACAGAGGCGGCTCACGGTACAGTGACTCGTCATTATCGAGAGCATCTCGAAGGTAAAGAAACGTCCACGAATCCCATTGCGTCCATATTTGCATGGACAAGAGGTTTGATGAAACGGGGAGAGCAGGACGGGACACCAGAGCTTGTTTCTTTTGCAGAGAAGTTGGAGAAAGCTTGTATTGATACCATTGAGGTTGACGGGATTATGACGAAGGATTTGGCAGATGCTTGTAAGGGAAATGAGACTTGGGTTGTGACGCGTGTCTATATGGAGGCAGTAGATAAGAGGCTTCGAAGTCTCTTGGGCGATGGAAATTGAACATATAGTGGAGAACTGGGGATGTCGTTCGAGCTGATTCACTGCCATTGGAAGGTCAATCGCTTCATTTGGAGTATGCCGTTCCTAGTATATCTGGAGGTCTAGAATCATGTCAGTACGTGCTATTGTTCTTCGAGTGTGTACTTCGATAGTGTTAGATGTGTGAAAATATGAGCGTGGATCTCTCCGAATCGCTGCCCACACCTTGCTTAATCTTCTGCATTATAACATATACCGGATAGATAGAACGAAATCAGTATCAATGACTGTGCTTTACCCACCAATGGCTTGAAATTGGCGATGCTGCCCCACTGATATCGTTGCCGCCCGCGGGTGGGTCGCGCACTTGCAGTCGCCACATTTCTTAAACCCGCTCATGGAGAATTGACTTGATCAAAGATTGTATGCCATGCCTCCTCGAAGAGCGATGTGTGATACGGAATATTAGAGCAGCAGAATATCCACGCCCACTTGCTTGTAGTTATAGTTCCAACAGATTTGGTGTGAGATAGTCACATGATTTATGCTGCCTCAGGCTGTAAGATCCTGCGTTGTCGGGACAACGGGAGAGTAAACATCACCCCAGCCTCCTCCAACCTCCCCAATTCCAGATCTCGCCACAAGGGTTCTCGCAGTTGGATGTTTCTAACTTGTATTTTCCCTTCTTTGACACTCATATCTCACTGACACTCCGCCAGGTGGCCGTAATTTTCCGTTCGAGCATTCGTCCTCCATATTTTTTTTTCATCTGGCAATAAGTCTCTCGGTTTGGGGTTAATCATCTAATTCAAGGTATGCTCCAGAGTTCTCGGTGTGGAATGTGTCAATCTAAAATTCTCCAGGGTCTCGTCTTGAGCCGCGTGCTCTCGACCACTCAAGGCTGCCAAAATGGCTCCAGTCCCAATCGATGAGTTCTCCGGCATTCCAGCTGTATCAATCAAAGTTCGGGACGTCACAGGCGACACCGTACTAGAGAGCCCACCTTCGTTGGTCATCAACGAGGTTGTCGCTCGTGCCGACTCAACCACTACCTCTGATTCTACCACCACTACTACCGCCGCCGCTTCCACCACCACCGCCACAACCGACACTTCTGCTTCTACCTCTACATCCAGTTCTACGACCAGTTCCAAATATGGACACGGCTCCATCAATCCAAATAGCATCCACTCATCCGGACTACTCGCCCTTTTTGCTCTTCTTGGAGCAGCATTTGTCTTGGCCGGAATTTGGTTCTTCTTCTGGGCTAAGAATGGAGGCTTTGTCTGGCGCAAACACGACTGGGACGACTACAAGTCGACGGTTCTACGTCGCAAAGGACCCGATGGAAAAACCCTCAGTAATGCCACTAAGAGTACCAGGCTTGGTGGAGGCAGTATTGTGGGTAAGGGATACAGTGATAACGGCTACACATACACGGATTACGACCAATACACTCAGACGGCGTCAACAGTGATGACAGAGGATAAGCCAAGGCGCAAGCGCAAGCTCAAGGAGAAGCTTTGGCGTCGTGGCAAGGATGAGCGATGGGAGGGCGAGGGAGACGATGATGTCCGCGCATACCGCGAGGAGAAGCCCGCGAAGATTGGTGGTATGAACCGCGAGGCAGATGGAACCTACCACGGCAGTGACTACGACTCCTCCGCACCACCAACCCACTACAACCGCAGTGAAACGAGCGAGGTCCGTGACTACGCTTATGAGCAGCCTCGTCGTGCCAAAACCAAGAAATCCCGCGATCCCTCCGGATTCTCCTTCACTGCTGGCAGCGAAGATGTACTCAGCCAAACCACCGAGGAATCTCAATTGCGTGATCCCTCCGCTCGTCGTGAAGCCCGTCGTGAAAACCGTCGCCGTGAGCGCCGCCAAAGTGCCGCTCCAACTTCCGTCCCCTCGTCTCGCACCAGCAGTCCCCGCAAGAAGGATCGTCGCTCAGCCCAAGGTCACTTCACCGAGCCGCTGGATTTCTCGTCTTCTGGGACTCGATCCGAGTACCAGTATTCCAATGTGGATACTGAGGATTCCAACGGTACCAAGAGTTATCACCATCCAATTCCCGGCTTAACTAAGGGCTACCGCCGCGACGATCGTCGTGAGGGTCGACGTAGCCGCCGTCGGGACAGTCTGAGTGATAGTGATGGCGACGAGACCCGATACTCTTGATTTTTTTGAACATGCGATTTTTTTTTATTTTTCTGCGACTCAATGATGCAAGGTATCTGATGGAATGGGCTTTAACTACGAGAACGGATATGGATGGAATTTTATTAACTTAAGCGCGGATACTACTTGCTTTGTGACGAAGCTTTGAAATTATTTGGCTTCCGTTGCTTACTGAGGAATGTACATATATCGAAACATGAATACTCTACCTATTGAATTCTGCTACAGTGCTTATCATTGAGTTTTTAATATGAGATACCTATGAATCTAGGTTCACGATGCAATCCCGTCAAATCTGATCAACATTGAAGATTGAGCATGACAGCTCCCTAATCCCAGTGTCAACCTTGGGATCTTGGAATATACTCATCATATCATGATGTAGACGGTCCATTTGCACCTGACATCCATCCACCAGGGTTGACTCACCAACATCATTGAAATTCAAATGTTCAAGCTCAAACATTTGAATGACTCGAGAATAACACTGATTCTCGGCCTGCTCAAGCTCATATACTATGCACAAACGTGATCTTCAATGTTCTTAGTTCTATCATGATACTACATAGCCCCGTCAAGTTCCTTAATATTGAGCGCCAGGGCTTGAAGTTCAAGTTGCCCTGGAGAGCGCAGTACACCTAGGTACCTACTAGTATATATACATTCAAGTTCAAATTTTGATTCATGTGAGCCTCGCCAGTGGACATCTGGAGATACTACATACTACGTAGTACTACCTATACTAGTGGCGTCTGTATGCTGGATTATCAACATCATGATGCAAAACCTACATAAACTCTCCAGGGCTGTCCCGGTGGCATTCCAAGTTGAACTTAACATTGAAAGTTACATATTCCAAGGTTCCGAGTCCACAGGATCCCAAACATGACATGAACTGGAGGTGCATTATTGAGCCATCTCTTCATATCTCGAGGCTATCCCAAGATTTAATATTGGTGATTCCAAGGTACTACCTCCAAAGCTGTCGCAAAAGAAATCATATCAAAAATTACTTCTAGATATTGCATTCTAGATACATATAAACTTGAAGTTTACACTACTACATACCTAGGTAGTAGACAGCCAGTTGATATACATACTCGATAGTGCATGGGCAACGAAATATCTCATCATCATGATCCTACAACGTATACCACTCCATTTCTACTGTAGTGGTAAGACATCGTAACTCTTGTATAGCTCTCGCTGCTTTTTAATAGGTAGATTGAATAGTGCCAGCCGGGTCTACATGGCGAAGGCCGAGGTCCTAAGATCATGCGAGATCACTAGAGGTGCCTTGGATCACGGGCTCATCATTTTGATACTGGACAAGATTCTGAAGCCCCTGGTCCGATCTCAGTCGTGGTGATTTCGCTTGATTTCGCTTAGCGAGCCTGATTGGGAGTTGCGATTCTCTGATCCTGGCTTCTCATTGGTCGATTCGAAGTAAGAGATGTTGAAGCAAGCAAACATCCTGAAGTATGGGAATTTGGCTGTGGTTTCATTGTTTGCCTAAGATCAACCTCTCACTTTGCCTGTCTTCGCCTACGTTTCCTATTTTGGAATGCGTGATCTTGGGGCCTGCGTGATCTTGGGCGTGATCTTGTGGCCTTCCCCCAGGGTATAAATTCATGGGATCTCTCCCTCTTCCAACTCTTCTTCCTTTTTTTCCCCAACACTTGTCCACTCTATCTTTCTCTACAGGATCTCATGAACTCATCATACATGGTGCTTGATCACCATCATGTCTGATGAACATCATGTTCTTCTATGCATCCATCCATCCATCCATCAACACATTCTCTTGACACATTACCTCGGTCAAGACATCAACCATTCAGGTGAGCCTTCCGTGCCCATGGTCTCGTCCTGGGATTTTTGTATTTTTATTGCTCTACGGAGCCCCGCCCACGGTGCCACTAGCAACACCCTGCTAAGAGGAGACGCGTTCGGTCTTCTCAAGACCACTTAGGTTTCCGCAACACCGGCTGTTGCCTTGACTTCATCCATCCATCGGTCCATCGGTCCATCCACCCATGATGATGTCCCCACATCTCATCCATCCACCCACTCTGTGTCATGACCCATCCTGACTTCACTTCATCATGTCGATACAACTTCATCGACCTACCACTGTGTTGTCACATGACACCTTCATTCAACCCACTTAAACATACATGAGGAGCACTTCATGTTCTCTTGAAACATCTTTACAGTTTTGAAGTTTGGCTGACGCGTGTCTAATCTATTGACGCGTCTTGACTCTTATGTCTTCCCTGTGTTGACATGACTTCACATCTTGCAAGTCCCATCCCTCCTCAACGGCCTGCTTTACTAACATCATCCCTCACAGACATTCTCACTACTTTCATCATCTTCGTCATTTTCTTGATGAATCTTGCCTACTTTGGCCTGGCTTATCATGGTCTGAACGGTTTCTTCTGCCGGCCCCTACCAAAATTGCCTTCTTTTCCTGACACCTCTTTGCAGAACCCCGAAAGCCACCTCCACAATTGATCACCTGCCAGTTTGGCATTCTTATTTTCCATTCAAAAGTCTCGAACGATCTCTTCTTGTCAATCCTCATCTCAGATGATTCCAACCTTCATTCATCAATCACCATCAAAATCAACATCAACATCATGGTCTTTACCAACCTCGACCTTCCTCAGGGAGGCCAACTCATTCCTCATACCGACAAACACAACACATGACATCCACTCTTGATGTCCGCCGTATGGCACTCTATCACCCTGGAGGTTCAAGCTTGGCAGTCCCTTTACCAACAATTCATCAAGACTATCCATTGCTTCCTCCCTTTGACACCCTCCTGCTCGGAAAATCTCTCCGATCATTCATCAACCTTGCTCTATGCTTCAGCTTCCAGCTTCAAATGTTCTTATCCAGCATGAGCACCTTCGGATCTCCAATATCCAGATTTCTTCCGTCGTGAGAGGGTTGTCGCTTAGTTTGTTTTTGTTTTTATTCTTGTTTTTGTCTTTGTCTTAGTCACCACAGGGAGAAGGAGCTCCGTGGTGTGCCGAGTGTGTTGCGAGGACCCAAACCCAGCATCTTGAATTTGACGTCCGGGATTCCATTACAGTTACACTGAGCGTTGCCCCCACCTTAATCCGATGTTCCCATGAGCAAATGATGGCCCCCGGGGGTTTGATGCATTGACGGGTCCTGCTTATTAAGGTACTGGGGCCCACCAAAATGGATATCTATGAATGTGTTGCCTCCTCCTGCGCTCCGATGTTCCCATGAGTGTTTACCCGCCGGTTCGCCGGTAGATGGTGTTCACGTTGACGGGTCCTGCTTAGCGTGGTAGTGGTTCCCCTTTTATAGCTCTATAGCGGTGGTCAAAATTCGTTCACTTCCCTGTCTGTGATGCCTACTGGTCATTTTTCATTGTGACGAGGGGCGGCATGAAATCGGTCACATTAGGTAGGGGGTTTCTGCTTCGTGGAAGGGGATTCTAGTTCGCCTGAGCATGGGAATTTTGTCTTGGATAGAATCCTCACGGTTCCTGGTATGGCGTCTATGACTTAGTCCTTGGAGGAGCTGCGCGGGTTGGAGTGGTCGGTGGATGGAGGATGGCACATCATATTTCTGGGTATACCTTGTTCTGAGCTGAGGCCTTAGGTCTCCTTTATCCTCTTTTTCTCTCTGAGTCTCAATCTAATACCCTTCCATCCTCCATAACATTTCGCAATCATAAACACTAGGTATATCTATCGTAATTAAATCCAAGTAGGTGCAGGGAGATTATGTATCAATCGTCATGACTCCCGATGAATTTCTATCAGACCAAGATCTGATGTCTCAGATAGCTCCATCAGACCCAGATTCTTTCCTTCTCACACTCCATGCACCCATAATCCAAAAGAAGTATTATTAGCAGAATTCTAAAGCCAACATTTCTTTATTGATATTTCACTTTCTACCTTCCACATCTGCAACTATCGTTGAATATTCCCTTTTCTGACTACCCATCCCCATACAAGATGGGGACCATCGCACCCTTAAAGCCCATGATATTCGATGACATGGCCACGCGTCCCCCAGTGAGGCTCAACTGCTGCCTATCAAACTTTGGAAGTCTCGCCTCGCGCTTAATTTCAAGAATATTCCATACTCAGCATCATCGGCTCCTCTACTCAAAACTTCCCAATCCAGTCACCCACTCGATGTGCCTGCTAGTCGCAAACTCGAGAATAACAGCAAATCCTACACTCTGCCCATTCTCATCGACCCGAACACCAACACAAAACTCGAAGGTTCTTTTGAGATCGCTACCTACCTCCAACAAACCTATCCAGCTGCCGGTGCTGGCGACTTATTTGCTCCTCAAAGATTGGACTTCATTGTGACTCGGAGTAAAGACCTCACATTGTTTGTACTCTTCTTGGATCAAAAGGAAATCATGTATAAGGAGTACTCCAAATTCAACGTATATGTTGACGCGGTGTTTACCTCTCATGCCCTCTTGATGTACCATCAAGAGCTATTGGATCCGGATACTGCAAAAGGGAGCAAGGCTGAGTTTTTTCGTCGTGTTGGAGAGTCTTGGGCTGACTTTGAAGTCAAGGGTGAGGAGCGTGAGAAATTGAAGGCGTCTCTCCGGTCTGCACTGGGACATCTTGGGAGGCTTTTCAAGAGAGATATTACTGGACCCTTCCTACTTGGTCAGCGGACTAGCTATGCGGATATCATTGTTGGCGGATGGTTGCGTATAATGTGTGTGGCTTTGCCGGGTGATGAATGGGAGGAGGTGAAGAGCTGGCATGGGGGTATATTTGGGAATTTGCATGATGCCTTGGAGAAGTACACTGAAGTAAATTAATCTTCTGGTCATGGTGTGCCAATTTATTCCGATATCTATTTCCCCATAGCCACATTGACGCGCTCCCAGAAAGAAGACCTTGAATAGAATCAAAATTTGCTCAAACAAAATCACGAACCTATGTATTCCATGTCAAGAAGGGAGAAAAAAGCAAGCTCCAGCCTAGATGCTCCCGATTTGAGGATGATCTGTAAATATTCCATGCCATGCACCTAGCCCCCCGAGCTCGCCTCTACAGTACAACGCCAGGTGGCAGACCATTCAGGACAGAAAAATTCTCGGGAATACCGACGAGACTAGGATTAATCCTCGAGTGCCATTGGTACGTGTCGTTCTTTTTGTAGGGACCATCTATAACCACAGTCCCTGCGGGCTGTTCACCGGGATAGAAGTAGTACAGGATCAGATATTCAAGCCGCTGGGAGCCTTGGGCTTCAACAGCAATCGGAGCACTGAAAAGATTTATTGGAATTCCGGGGACATAGTCTAACAAGAATAGTCATAAAGGTGCTAAAAGCTCCTAGCCATACTGTAAGTGGGAACATTTGTATCTTACCGCTGCAGGTGTTGTTATTTGGATAGTAGGTCCCGATTGTTTCCGAGGCGCCCGTGAAAGGGCCCAAGTTCTTGATTGACAGGATGCAGGAAGTTCCATTAACACGTTGAAGAGTGACGATAGCGCAGAGGGCAGTGGTGGCATAAAGAGCCGCACCGATGGTAGCAAGATGAAAACGCATATTTGTAAAAACTTGAAGATTGAAGTGACCAGTCTAGTATGCGTTTAAAATGAATGAAAGGATGATCTTTTGAGCAGACTTGGTCTTTTTGTACTGGACATAACTGGTGCTTGACAATAAAACTTCAAGGATCTCTAAGCGAGTTCCTACTCTGTCTCATTTCAATCCTTGAAGCTCTCGGGACTCTTTATTGGTGACCCCTGAGAATCCCTGCAGTGACGAAGAACACGTTTTGGCCATGATAGCACTTGCACCTGTAGCCGCTGATTGCGCTCTCTAAAAGCCACTAGTAGACGATCTAGCCCTTGATCACAAAGGGGTCATGGCGCAGCTCCCCAGGTTTCCCCTGCAGCTCGTGTTTCCAATGCTCAAAAGAATGGTCAACTGTGCTTTGTATACTGCCACTCTGGAAATACTCGGGCTATTAAAACGCAAGTCTGATAGACTTAGCCGCCAGGAATCGTGAGTCAATTTAAGCACAGCTTGAGGGTAAGTTATTATGAACATTTGAGACAAGCGCTTAGAAGACTCGTCTTCGTATAGAAAACAAATATAATTCGTCGCTAGTCGCTCATGTACCCAAAAATCCACGCGCTGTCGTTTCCTGATTTTGCGATTTCTTTGTATGAAATTAGAATCAGCTTCAATGTTCAGGGGAAACAAGTGGAGCAGCCTTGTGGCCACTAAGTCGGCTTAACTGTGAGAAGCTTCCGGGTATCGTATGGGCCCGGAGCTCTGCCGCTTGGCTTCGACCCCGGGGCCCCGCTGACTTTGTTAGCTGAGCCATGGAATGTTGTAAAACAAGCATAAAATTCGGGCGCAATCATCGGGCCTCGACCCCTTGAAACAAGGTCCAAAGCATGCCTGATATCGTATACCCTTGAAAGATTGGAATTTGTGAACTTCTTTATAGTAAGACTCGAAGATCAGCGTGAAACGGGATTCAACCAGTGGCTGCACGTGGGATAATAAAGTGAGGAGACTTGAATAGGATCCATGCACATCGCTAAACTCGATTTCCGTTCGCTTTAAAAGCTTGGATGGAGATCTTAAGCCCGAATTAAACGCTTCCCCCTGATGCGCCCGATATTTTCGTATCCCCTCCAAGTATGACAAGATCGATTCATAGATCTAAACTCTGTTGATTCGCGAGGATTGTGCTGGAGTGGATACTTGCGGAAGTAGAAACGGGAGTCGCAAAAGTCCAGGATTTCTTTTGATAGAGCGTTGTATCAGTGAGACTGCATAACAATCGTTGTAATGGCATCCCTTGATTGAAATGGGTAATTTGAAGGGCAATCGATAGTACCCGTCAAAATGATAAGATATAACACACTTCGAGGTTGAGATACGTCACAAAGATAAGTAGACATCGCGGGTAGATGGAAGGGATGAGCACACAAGATTGAACATTTTGAACGGAAATGGCGTGCCTGCCGAATGGTCTGCTGATTTCCAAGCAGCTTATCAACCTGGTTCTTTTTTTTTGAAAAAAAGGTCACATTTCAGAGACTCACAAATGTCCTTCAGGTCAAAATAAATTCGAGATCGCCGTTTTCTCGGAAGCGAATGCCATATTAAAGTCCCCGAGTACGACGCGATAACGCCGCTGAAACCATGTCCAATAGTGAGAGGCAACCACTATTAGAGGAGAGTCAGCAACATGTCTTCCACATATCCCAAGCGGATATACCTGTATATCCCGACAGTCTCCCAGGTGAGACTCATGGCAAAAACCTCAGCTGGTCATCAGCGTACATTTTGGTCATATCAAGGGTGATCGGTAGTGGCATTTTCGCTACCCCGGGTTCGATTGTTCGATCGGCGGGGAGTGTGGGGCTCACACTTCTAGTTTGGCTTGTCGGAACCATTCTATCTGCATGTGGATTATCAGTATCCATGGAGGTAAACTCATCTCCTCCGAGTCCCTCACTTTCGCAGAGGCACACGGCTAACTGGTGTTATAGTTTGGCTCCATGCTACCGCGATCGGGAGGCGATAAGGTACGTCTCCACTTAATAAACAAACCAGCGCAGGCACTTGACATGCATGGCTAAACAAAACTCGTTCTATGGAGTAGGTATACTTGGAATACACCTATCGTCACCCGCGATTTCTTGCATCTACACTCGTTGCTTTCCATGCGGTCGTGCTTGGATTCACGGCCAGCAACTGCATTATTTTCGCAAAGTATACATTATTCGCGTTGAACATTCAGCCAACCGACTTCCAATACAAGACTTTGGCAATAGGCCTCTTGACTGCGGTCACAATCATTCATGGCTTTTTCTTAAAGGCAGGCATTTTTGTTCAAAATGCGCTTGGCTGGGTCAAGATATTCTTAATCGGAACTATGTTTCTAACTGGAATCTGGGTTCTCTTGCTCCAGTTCTTTGGGGGTGCTATTGACACCTTTCCTGGAGCTGAGCATATGACTTCGTTGTCTTGGGACTCATTATGGGAGGGATCAAACTGGAGCTGGAGTCTGTTATCCACCGCCATGTTTAAAGTGATATACTCATATTCAGGCCTGAGTAATGTGAGTAGCCGATTGATACATTTTCTCAGATTCTTTTTTTCTTGAACGTTCGCAGGAAATCTGAGAGCATGCGTTACTAGTACTAATTTTTTTTTTAGATCAACAATGTCCTGAACGAGGTTCGAGATCCCATTAAAACGATCAGGACAGTTCCAACTGCAGCTTTCTACACAGCTGGAGCTCTCTATCTTCTCGCAAATCTCTCATATTTACTGGTCCTCCCTTTGAGTGAGATCAAAGAAAGTGGAGAGTTAGTAGGTGCGTTACTATTCGAGCAGTTATTTGGTAGCACAATCGGAAGCACTCTCTTTCCACTCGTGATTGGAATTTCAGCCGCTGGAAACGTCATGGTGGTAACATTTGCATTGGTATGCCCACTCCCTGTTCTAGGAGTCTCCATTCTAACGATGTATTGCAGGCGAGAATTAATCAAGAAATAGCCCGACAGGGTTTCTTACCATGGCAAAATTTACTATCCTCCTCTCGTCCTTTCGGTACCCCTCTAGGCGGACTTATCGTGCACTATGTGCCATCCCTTCTAGTTATCGCTCTCCCGCCACAAGAAGATGTCTATAACTTTATCCTTGATGTTGAAGGATACCCCGGCAACATCTTTACACTTGCTGTGACTATTGGGCTACTGATATTGCGATATAAAGAGCCTAATCTACCACGTCCTTTCAAGGCTTGGCTTCCTGCTGTTTGGCTTAGAGCTTTTGTTTGCGTTGTCCTGGTAATTACGCCTTTTATTCCGCCACAGGGTGGGCAGGGAGACGTCCACTTCTTTTATGCCACCTACGCCATCGTCGGAATTTGCATGTAAGTTGATTTCAATAATCATTGCCCCTATCAGACAAGTACTAAAGTTTTTAGAATTTTATTTGCTGTTCTATATTGGTATATATGGACAGTTTTCTTGCCTCGTCGTGGCGGCTACAAATTAGAAGAAGTCACTGAGGCCCTGGATGATGGCACCCCGGTTATTCGACTGGTTCGCTCATACTTTTCGCGCTGAATGATTTCTGGGATGAGCTGCATTCCGTAGGAACAAATTTCTATTAAGATTTGGCAGGCTTCAATAGAGGTCGGTGGTTATACACAGATTCAATGTTTCAGATTCAGTTCAATGTCGCATGAAAAATTCTCAATAGTGCCGGTGCAATATGCTGGATAATCATGCAGAATTTTATTCGTCCGTATGTCCTTCGGGAGAATTAAGTCGGCTCTTTACTCCCCGAACTTATTCAAGTGCTAGTAACGCCACACACAAAGGAAGAACCTTGCAAGTGTTAGAATCCAAAATCATATAGAATACAAGCATATCATTTCGGAAATATTAAACATGGCACCTGTCAAATCACGATGCCCAATTTTGAGACAGTTGCTTTGATCACATTCATGAAGAGCTTCATCTGACACGAGAGACATATCAATGTAGGACCTTGGATAGATGAACCATCAAGGGCTTCCTCTCCCAAACAATGAAGCTTCTCTGATCATTCCATCCCGTAGAGCTGGGATCAAGTCTCATGTCAAAGGTCCAGATCATCTTCGCCGCAATAACCCTCATCTCGGCATACGCAAGGCTGGCATAAATTTCGTCAATAGAGGTTTAGTAAATCTGTGTCTAATACATACTTCTTTCCAATGCAGTTTCGTGGCCCTAGTGAGAAAGGTGCGAACGCCGCAAGATCATCGGATTCAAAGCGCTTGTCCTTGTTTTCCAACCATCGTTCCGGTATGAAGGAGTCGGGCTCGGCGAAATTGGATTCGGCATGATAGGTTGCAAGGTGAGCACCAGCCACAGAGGTCTGTCCCAGTTAGTGATCTTGAAAGAAAATGCAGAGTTAGATAGGTACAAACCCCTTCTGGCACAAATTCCCCATCAATCATTGACCCGCCTTTTGGTACAACTCGTGGGAAAATTCCAGCGACCGGAGGAAAGCAACGCAACCCTTCTTCAAGTGCAGCATTCAAATACGGCAGTGTACTGACAGCGTGGAAGGTAATCCCATCATATGATTGAAACGTTTCCCTCACCTCCTTTTTCAGCTTTTGGTATGCCTGACTCAAGGTTAATTTTGATACCTAATAATTGTAGAAAGTATCATTCGACCTACAATGGAATTTTCCAAGAGATCATATGTGAAGCCAGAGAGCAGACTGGCTGTTGTTTCACTTCCCGCAATAATGAAGAGAGACGCATTCGCCTTCAACTCATTTCCAGACATGCTTTGATGTTCGTTTTTCAAGACAGCAGTCATAAAATCGGGTCTATCAGTCTTTCTATCCAGTCGTCTTTGCGCCTTTTGAGCATTTAGCTCCATATGCTCCCTTCTAAGTCTCATGGTTTCTTGCGGCAGTGAAGCTTTTACTACCGGTGCCAGCCAAGGGTATAACGAAGCTGCTCGTAAAAGTGCTGATCCCTTGGAGGTCCTGGATACCATACTGACCCAAGGGTGATATTCACTGTTCTTCAGGCAGTCAAATGGCTCTCCATATGCTAGGTCGCCAATAATATCAAAGGTAGTATAGTTGTACCAGCGGGAAAGATCGAAAATGTTTCTTGATGTTAACATCTCTTCATTTAGGCGACTCACGAGCAGATCAGCATAGGATTGGATCAATTCTTCCTGTTCTCGTAGGGATTTCTCTGAAAAGGCATGCGAGAGAAGTCCCCTTCCTCTGGCGTGGTCCTCATCATTCGAATTAAGGAGGTTTGTTCCATATGGACCTACTGGAAAGAAAGTAGGATCTTTCAGAAAGGGTTCTGCTCCTGCTTTGCGATGCCCGTAGATATCTTTCCATAGCTCCGGTCTTGTCGATGTTAGTCAAACCGCGGTTTTCTATTTTGTAAACTTGTACCTGCTATTTCCTTTCTTTCGATGTGAGTGGGATGCAGGGGAGGGTTTTACCTACAAGTCAGTGCCGAGGGTCCAGTCCTCACAACATCCCCATACTTGTTATGCAACTCCAGAAGTTTTGTATGGAGTTGTCCCGTGCTGCGAAATAGGCGTCAGCAGTTCCGAGTCCTTGAACATGAATGTTCAGGAGGGAATGAGATAGAACCAACCTGGTCCAATAAATAGTGGGTATATTACTAGAAGACAGCGATGTTCGTGCCAATACTTCGGAGTCAATCTTGGAATGTTTTTTTTCAGGTGATCACTTACGAGCACGCGGCGAGCTTTGGTCCCGGAAATTTGGCAAGCGCGCTGAGAAACAAATTATACACCACATTCCATGATATGACACCAAAGAACTGGAGGTTCAAGTTTCAGTAATGTATCGCGAGACAATAAAACAGACTCAACCTCTAAGTAATTCAAGTCGGGCTGGGAGTTATGACTGACAGCAATAAGAACTAGCAATATGGCAGGTACTATATGAATGGAGTCCAGTGCCGCTATACATGGGTTGATAATTGATGGTGGCATAGTGGCTGCGTGAAGGGGTTTCAAATTGAAGAGAAAACTAGAATAGGCTTAACAAGCCTAGGTAAACATGGTTCATTTTATAAAAGTCTCGCCAGCTAGCAGCTGCCAGTGGTTCCGAGTATTAGGCGGGTTGCATCACATCTGTAGTGTGCCACTGACGCGGCACCATCAATTCCGGCCCCTGGGTGCATGCCCAGGTGGACACCTCCGAGTCGCACTGTTTCCAAATTTAAGAACGTTTACTGGATGTTTTATGATAGGGTTGGCCTTGGTAGCCTTACTCGCCTTTTCCAGAGAAGCTTTTAGTGAAGATCAATAAAATCCCCGCTTTTTAGCCGGAATTATCGAGGTTTTGCGTAACAGTCAGGGAAGCTGGATGAGGATGAACCAATTAGAAGAAAGACAAACGATGCCCGGGGCTATAATGCTTGCTCCCTCTTTTTACATGGAATTCCATGACTTCATAACATTAAGATCGACGTAAGGGCCCCGGGCATCTAGATGTATCAGAGTGCATCTCTCTATGCAGTCTGAAATACTACAGCAATATCAAATGCACACATGCATCAGGTGGTCCAGGTGTCAGCCGATTTGCACACTTGAAAATGATCTCATGTATTCTTCAATTTCTGAACTAATCAATTAACCTCAAACTAACCTTGGAACAGTCCCGATTATACCGTTTACCTTAATCTGCAATAGCACGCCTAAGTCAGGCCTAATGGAGCATATGGCATCATAATAGCTAATAATCCCCACTCTTTCCCATGATCCATGGAAACTCAGCTTTAGGCGTGCTATGTCCTGATCGTCAGCTGTGTCCTTCAACATCCAATATTCGAACCTGCTCTCAAGTACTCCATACTGGAGTATACTGGTGCTGTTAAAAGCGTCCGAGCTTTCTGGAATGATGTCATTGGCTCTAGATTTCGGTTGTACCAACGCCACATATTGTAAACACAACCAAACCCCCGGCGGGATAAGCATCTATAATCGCACTTTGATGTTATCGTAACAAGATTTTCAAGCCAACTGTGAAGACCTTGGGTGAAATGCAGTTGGATCAAGCCACATCCATGTCCGGGGATCCAAATCTTGGCACCCGGTGTGGACCGCGGGCTATATCATTAGTCAGCGTGGACGCCCGCGGGCCCGGACCACTACCATGTGGTCCATATCCATGGATTCCAGCAACGAGAATATTGGGGGCTGTTTCTGCGTGCTCTATCGGACAATCGCATTGTCTTTCAAGTTCATCCGAGGTCTTGGATCAATACACCAACTATTTAACGAAGTCATTGGTCGCCAATCTCACTAAGTAACACCCAAATTGCCTGTGGAACTTGAGCTGGAACCTGGAGCACTGGAACCCCGCTGCCATGAGCTCTCCACACCCGATATATACCGAGGCACAGCTCGAGAAGTATCTACAACGTATCAACCACCCTAGTCACAACCATGGCTCCAGTCTTGAAGAAATTCGCCAAAAATTCCAGATCGATGCACTTGGAACGTTGGCCGAGTTGCAAAGGCTGCATCTTGCAGCCATTCCATGGGGAAACTCCGGGCTGCACTACTCGAATCACCACACCATTTCATTGGACCCAGAACTAATTTTCCAGCAGATGGTGGAGCGGCGGTTGGATGGGTACTGCATGGAGACGACAGGCCTTCTTTTTAACGTTTTGCTGTGCTTGGGCTACCGGGTTTACGCCACGGGAGGGAGAGTCAGTCGAGCTGTCTCTACAGGTGTGATTGATGGACAATTCAAGTCCTTGTGAGTAGGCCTCGTTCCAACGCCGGTACACGAAATTTTGCGCAGTATGGCTGCATTTTGCTAATCTCGGTCCTGAATAGTGGACATATGGTACTGATTGTGATCATTGGCGATTCGAAATATATGGTTAGTAGTATGTGCAGTTAGCATATTCTATTCTCGATTAACACTGTATAGGTCGACGTGGGATTCGGTGCCAACTGCGCCACTGCACCTTTGCCTCTCCAAGATGGGGCAACTGCCACAAGAATCGCGCCCTCGGAGATGCGTCTTGTTAGAGAGAGTCTGAGTGCATCTCTTGACAAAGACCAGAAAGTATGGATCTATCAGTCAAGACAGAACCACGATAGCACCTGGCTCCCTTGCATTTGTTTTTCGGAGGTTGAATTCTTGCCTCAAGACTTCGATCTGATAAACTTTGGGATCAGTCATCAACGCACTAGCTGGTTCACTCAAGCCTTTGTTTGCACGCGGATGATCTTGGATTCATCTGGGCAAGAAGTTATTGGGCAAGATGTCCTTGTTGGTAAGCAAGTTAAGCGACGGATACACTCTAACACAGAAATTTTGCAAGAACTGCAAAATGAAGAGGACCGAGTCAGAGCACTAGCTCTGCACTTCGATATGCATTTACGTCAGGATGAGATCCTGGGTATCCGGGGCTTGAGCTCGGAGCTCAAATGAGCCGAGCGACTACCGAACATATAGGATAGAGAGAAATTGACTAGAATTGTATGGTACATCGGCGTTTTCTAGTAATATTGCGGTGGATATGTATGACGATCGGGGAACAAAAAAAAGTGCGGAGGCATAACGGGAAGAAAAGAGTTGCAATTTTGGTGAATCTAGTAAATTCGCTTCTCGAGCTGTAGGATTGTCAGTATACTGCAGTCGCTTTCAAGGGCTTGGATTAAGAGATTATATCGTACCTTCCATGGGTTGCTGACTTCGAATCCCTTGGGCGCGATGTGATTGCTGGACTGTCCTCTCATTGAGCCAGTAATGCGGAGATCCCGCTCCATCACTACAAGAAAGTAGGTGGTTAGTATAACTTAATCCCTTTATCCGTCCGTCTTCGGACGCCTCAGCTGCGTCCTCAATTAAAAGACGATACTCACTTTGCTGCAAAACAGTTAGTCAACTTATTCAACGATTTCCGACCGCAGCCGGAGCGCGCGCATTGGGGACTTTGACTTACACGATCCCAGAGGTCACTGTTCCAGCGGTTCTTCTTGCCCTCGTTCATGAAGCGCTTTGAAACCCACAAACCAGCACCAGTCACGCCGAACATCTGTAGTGGTGGTCAATTCTAGCTCCGGGAAGGGATTGACGAATGATACGCACGCTGATGATAATCCCATAGGGGAGCAAAGCCTCGAAAGGAACACCCATTATTGCGGAGGGGGAATGGCGACAGGGAAAATTATAATCCCGTAAAATGTATCGAATCAATTGTCCGAAGACAATTAGAAGGCAATATGCGGAGTGGATGGAGGGGAGAGTGGAGGGTTGCAACATTAGGATTGATTGAAGGAGGTCTGTGTCGCCCAATGTAGTTTAGCGCGTACTGACTCAGCCCGCCTGCGACGACAACTCCAAAGGGTCAAGGGGGCAGCGCATCGCATTTGATTGATAGAGGGATCGTCTCCCAGTGCTTGTATTGCTGATCGACGCGTCTTGGACCCATCTACCCAAAGATACCAACGAGCTTTTGCCTCGGGGTGAGTCGCCCACTCTTCCGCGACACGTGTTTAAGAACCTCCACTTTACTGATACCATTGCTATCCAGGCGCTTTACAGCTACCACAAAGCGATATTAGCAGAATAGCGCAAACTATATGCTAAATTACTGTAGTTGCTCCAGTTCTGACCTCTCCTCCGACTCGCATAGGTTCCAGATGCACCTCCGATTTGCCACCGACGTGAGCGGGGTGGCTCTGTAGAGAGAATCAACTCGACCTCGAACCAAGACATTCCATACAAACCGCGGCGCATCTCCTGTAGCGGCGCCCCAGACAACCTGGCAACTGCGGTAGCACGTATCATGGCGGCGATGGTGCCGCCCGCGAATGAGGATCCCGGTCAACTCGACCCACCTGTCGACCAGGCTGACAGCGACTTGGACGCGGAGGGGGAAGAGGAGACCGACCTATACCAGATGGATCAACAACTTCAAGATGCTGTTCACCGGGCCTATTCTGGGGAAGAAGCGGGTGACAATGATGAAAGCGGACTGGATGAGACCATGCGCCCCAATGCCAGGCGTCAACACAGCCGTGGCGATAACGATGACACCGAGCCTGTCGGTGCAGTAAAGCTGCCTGTAAATGCCGATTCATCCTCGGATGACGACGAAGATGATGACGACGATGAAGATGCCGCATCTGGGACTGCGGACGGAGACGGAGATCCTGCATTTGAAGACGAAAACGATCGAGGGGTATCCGAGTCCAGTGATTCAGAATCGGAAGCAGAAGACTGGGAGGCTGAAAGTAACGGGCATGAAGATGCAGATATCGAAATCCGCAGCCGTACAAACTGCATGTGAGTAAAACCAGAGAGTGCAAGAGATATGGAGATAGGGCACTAGAAGAAAGATCAAATGGGGTTGACGCTAACCATACTCGGATTATCAGATTTTGTAGCCAAGATGAAGAACATGATCCGGGGGAGGACTTCGAGGAATGGCTGACATGTGCTGTCTGTGGTGATCATTGTAAGCGAACATACTGCTGCGGAGAGTGCAGAAAGTGTGAGATCCTTCGAGCCTGCGCTAATTTTGATACCACAGCTCATCGGCAGTGTGCACGAGAACAAGACGCGTCCAACGATATTGAGGGTAACTTCCACGCACCTTAAGGCTGTGAAGTCGGCTAATCACCACGCAGATAACTGGAGGTGTCCGACCTGTGTTCAAAACAAGCTGGAGCCGGATCCTGTAGAAAGTCCGGCGATTCAAAAATCCGGGGTGCCGCACCTGCCTAAAGAGCTTCTACCTGCGCACGTGGGAAAAGAAGGTTCTGACTTTCACTCCATCTTCGATACCGATATCAACTCGGATGTTCTGAACAGCTCACGTTCACTGCGCAAACGAAAAGCTTCGTCAGTTGAAGCAGACGAACATATGCCGGCACTTAGGAAGCGAAGGAGGCGAACAGACCACTTTGAGCCTACTCAGACGCCTGTTGCCGACGACGCGTCTGCGACCCTCGGTGATGAGTTGTCTCAAGCTCGCCCTTTACGCGCCCGACGCACAACACGAGGTGTTGAACGCGATCATGCACGCGTAGTACTCAGACAGTTTGGAAAGCTGATTATGGGTTTCCGACTCGATGAAGGAAAAGTGTCGCGTATCTTAAACACCCAAAGCCGACCGCAGCGCAAGAAGAAGAAAGGACCAAAGCCCTCCTCCCCAGTCCAGCAAGAACCACAAGCACATTTCGCTCCTATCCCTCCCGCACCCTACAACAACTTCACTCCATTCCATGACCGCGAAGTAGATGACCTGAAGGCAAAGCCGTATGGCGGCATTTTGTCAGAGGTCGATCAAGACACCTCCAAAACCCTCCCTACCCAAGTTGATCGTGAAAAATTCGAATCTGCTCGCCAAAAGGCTGAAGATGAATGGCAGCAAAGAGTTCGAGACGCAGAGCAAAACAATGGCGAAGTGACAACGACGGCCAAAGTTTCGGGTCCACCTTCCAAAATCAAATACATCAACTTTGGAGGATATGAGATCGAAACCTGGTATGCAGCTCCGTACCCCGAAGAATACAGCCGCAACCGAGTTCTTTACATTTGCGAGTTCTGCCTCAAGTACATGAACTCAGACTATGTTGCTTGGCGTCACAAACTCAAGTGCCCAGCCAAGCACCCTCCCGGTGACGAGATCTATCGCGATGGCTCTATCTCTATCTTTGAGGTGGACGGCCGCAAGAACCCAGTCTACTGCCAGAACCTGTGCCTTCTCGCGAAACTTTTCCTCGGGTCCAAGACCCTTTACTACGACGTTGAGCCTTTCTTATTCTATGTCATGAGCGAGTATGACGACTTCGGATGTCATTTCGTGGGTTACTTCAGCAAGGAGAAGAGACCAAGCTCAGCGAACAACGTATCATGCATTCTTACCCTCCCTATCCATCAACGCAAAGGCTACGGCAACCTCCTAATCGACTTTTCATATCTTCTTACCCGGATTGAAGGCAAGAATGGCTCACCCGAGAAACCACTCTCAGACATGGGTCTGGTTTCGTATCGCAACTACTGGCGCTTGATCTTGTCGTACCAACTCAGAAATTTGAAAACACCCATCAGTATCGCGGATCTCTCCGATCGAACCGGAATGACTGCAGATGACATTGTGTCCGCTCTCGAGGGACTTCGGGCCCTAGTGCGTGACCCCATCACCAAAACCTATGCATTCCGCCTCGATAACAAATACTTTGAAGAGGTCATCAGCAATTGGGAGAAGAAGGGCTACGTTACACTCAATCCGGATGCGCTACTCTGGACCCCATACATTATGGGCCGGAACAACCAGTCACATTTCGACCGGGCACCTTTACACGCTGTCGCTCAACGAGATGACGATGATGAAGAAGATGATGAGGACGTCGAGGCCAGGGAAGCTGGGAATGAGGACGATGGCCCAGCTGTGAATGGCCATGCTAATGGTTTTGGTGAGCCTGCTGGCCCCCCCATCGACCAATGCTCTTCAACTACCAAATGGAATCCACCCATCATCGGAATCGATTACGCCAATACCTAATCCCGCAGCTGGAATTCCTCCTTCCCGGTTCGAACTGTGGCCTCCAGTTCGTATCCCCGTAGCTCATCGAAAGAAATCCACAGCTGGTCGCCCACAAAACAGAAAATTGAGCCAGGCATCTATGACACCGACTACCGTCCGAACAAGTGGTCGTAACACCCCACGCCGAGCATCTGCTCTTCCAGGCATTACTCCGTCAACTACTAAGCGTCGCGGACGAAGTGCCATGTTGACTGGGTCACCGAAAGCAGAAACTCCATCCCAGGCGAATGGTATCGACGTGGAAGAGGAAGTCGCGGTAGAAGAAGAGTTGGTTACGGATTCCGGCGCCGGCGTCAATCCTGAGGTTGAAGCTGATGCTAACGCTAATGCGAATACTGAGGCCAATGGTGATGTCAATGGTGAAGCCGACGCTGAAGCCGACGCTGATGCTGATGCTGACGCTGATGCTGAAGCCGAAGTCGACACTGAAACTACTCCTATTGGTCTCGCTATTGTCACTGCTACTTCTACTTCTAATTCGGACGCGGACGCAGATGCAGATGCAGATGCAGATGCAGAACCTGAAGTTGGAGCAAATATCGAGGGCACCGGCATAGACAACCACCTTTCTGATGAAGTGAACGGAAACAAAGAGCACGAAGAGGTCATTACAACCAATGGCGTCAACCACGACTCTCCATCATCCGAGGCTGAGCCTATTGCTGAGACCGAGACCCCCAAAACACCCAAGAGAAAATCAAAATCCAAGTCCAAGTCAAAATCGAAGTCAGGGTCTCCTGGGACAGCAACCTCCAATCGGACCCGAGGGAAGCAAACCGATCCCCCGAAGACCCCAAACTCAGTTAACCGCAAGGCATTGGTTGAAAAGGTTCAAGTGATGATACCCGCCGAGCCGGATTCCGTACGCAACAGCGCCAAGAAAAGCAGCTCCGCGACCAACGGCATGATTGACGCCGACGTCGACGCAGATGGCGAGGAAGATATTGACGCCGATGGCGAGTACGAGGTGGATGGTGATGTTGTCATGGAGACATGAATCATCCAAAGCAACGAATGGGTCGCAGGCAAGAGCTATGGTCTTACCTGCGTGCTCATGCAACAACGCATATGGGGTGTTTTTTTCTTTGCTTTTATCCTCTCGTTTCTTTTGCTTTTTCCAACTATCCCCCCTTTGATTTTCATTTTTAATGGCACCCTTTTCTACGGCCAGGCTGCTTGTTTCTTTCCCCCTATCTTTCCTTCATGACAGATCCTCCCCTATCTTAGAACCTTGAGCATTTTACGCATGGGTTCGATCGCTCTGTATTTTTTCCACTTTTATTCTTTCCGCAGTTCCGCAGTTACATGGTTATCTTTCTCGTCCAGCAAGGAGCGTGGGTTACGGCGCTCGGGGTATTCGGATTCAATCTTTTTAATTGATCGAAGGATTTTTTTTTCGATTGTATCGAAGACATGTAGTCTATTTTACCAATGAATGTGATTGAGTAAACTGGTTCCAGTTCAAACATTGAAGTTTCAAATGTTCTTAGTGGGCAGAAGTGATATCGTACCTACTACTAGTAGTATCTATCAACTCGTACGGAGTACTGAGTCCACCAGTTGACAGGTCCGTAGAAATGAGCTGGTCTAGATCCAACTTGAAGTCGCATAAATTCCGACAGTACGGATTCCATGTACGAGTAGTACTCATTATGGATTTTACCAGGCAGATTTGTAGATCCGGGTGGAATGGATGTGTATCATGATGCTGATTCCCACATGCCCACTGACACTAGGACCAGCTTTGGGATGATGGATCAAATCCATGACCGGGACCTTGGAATGTACTCGGTAAACCGAATGTCGCCGAATATCGCGTGTCTCCTCCACTACTATTAAAATATACAAATGTATAATCGCTCGAGCCTCCTGAGGTCTCACTCTCATAGTATATTTTAAGTTTAGACAAACTTCCTCACATCAATCCGAACCCTAAAGTCCAAGGCTGCAACGCGGGGAATATATAGATCAGATGAAAAGAAATCGGATATCACAAAATATGATATATCCGATCGGGGGAGAATTATTCCATATGAAAATTCAATGGTCTAAATTTAAATCCAACTCAAGTTTCAAGGTTTAAATTTTGCATGTCATTCCGAGCTCCCCAGAGGAATCCGACACATGGCATCATACTCATACTTTCTACGGAATAGTGCATGCATAGATGGAGAATTCAAGCGTGGGACTAGGAATCTGACGTGCGAGTTAAATTTCTAGGCGTCTGAGAGTTTTACTACTAGTAGACTCTGACCAGAGCCTCGGGAATGAGCTTCCAAGTTCTATCATGAAAAATGTTGGACTCGGTTCGGGCAATCATACTTAAAAGATTAGATTAAATGTACGGAGTACGGAGTACTTGATTATGCGACGTCTAACTATCCTAGGAGACAAGATCTGATATCTGATGTTGAATGTATCTACAACATTTGAATCTTCCAGAGTCGGGTCCGATCGGCATGATCGGCTTGCTGTCAGGGGCTAAAGGGTTAGGGGGGATTCACTAGAGAGTTAGGGGGGGAATCTCACCCATGGAACGCACTCGGATCTGGTTAAGCATAATGAGTGCCGTGGTTCTTGGCTGGGGCCGCTGTCATATTTACTAGACCCTGATAATTTTTTAATATTCAATATTCGATATCCATTTTATTATACAGTATAATGTTAGTAAAATATTCATTCTTTCTCTGTTTATTTCTGATTCCTCGTAGTACTAATTTAAATTACCCCGCTATGTTCCGGCCACTTCATCGTGCATGATTCCCCACGTAGTTAACCTCGGAGTCGCCGGTTTTCGCTAGATGAGTGGCTTAGATCCTGTCAGATTTGCTTGTTTTGTTTTCGTTTATTACTCTTTATTTTTTTATCCTCTTTCTGCAGAGTACAGAGTATCTCCATTTCATGTGGTTCTGTCTGTATCGAGTACATACTCTGTATTGATTCGGTAATCCGGATAAGTGCAGAGCTGTGTGGTTTTTTTTTCCTGTTCTTTTTGTCGTGTACTCCGTACGGACGATGTTTCTTTTCGTTTCTTTCCCCCTGTCTCTCGTTTCTGGTCTCCACTAGCCTTCAATGCCCCGCTATACAACTTTTTTTTCTTCTGTCTTTTACTGGTATTGATATTCTCCTTGCATGGTCAGAAGTAGATGCATTCCGGCCTCATCTCTTGCAGCAATTGTGCATCTTCCACTCATCCCAACAGCCACATCCGCTTCTTGGAGGATGGGCCCCCCCAAACTTGAACCACATGCACGCATGGCCGTTGTCCTTCCCCCTCTTTTGATGAGCGCACTGACGAGGAAAAACAAGCCTTGAAGAAGGCAAGATATTGACAAAAGGCAGCAAGATGGCAACAAAGTTACAGCATAGATCTGACCCAATTCATCGGCACTCAGCGATGGAATCAGAATCAGGATCAGGATCAGCAGGATATGATGATATCCTCGGCTCAGCTGCCACTGGCATAAAGCAGATGTGGCGCAGAGCGTAGTCCGAGGAAAGTCGGGTTGAAGAAATGCAGCGATCTGCAAACACCCTCCCGTGTGATACCATGATTCGTCTTCCCGATGCATGATGCCCGATCGCGCAAGTCTCCGCAGACACGCAGCCACCTTAGCTCGAGTTCCCAACTTGTCCCCACTGAAAAGTCCCCATAGAGTAGCGTGCAGCTTGCGGATCCTGCATAATGTGACGGATCAAGTTTCCCTCAAATTTGCGACCTGCTGCCTTATTTCTTCTCTTTTTCCCCTCCTCGGTGAATGCACTTATTATACCTGAGTCCGTGTGGAGTTTCTTTTTTATTTTATTATCCCCTTTTTTCATTTCTTCGAACTTATTTTCTTTCTTTCTTCTTTTCTTGGTTAGTATCAGCAGTTTCGAGAGCGAACTTTCGGTTGAGATTCACGGGAATTCTTTTTTGTTTCATCATGAACCGGTATGCCTGCGAATATCTGGCGACTTAAGGTGTTCGATTCTCCAAATTTTTTAATGCGACTGGCATTGTGGAATTGAATTTGTTGATGAATTCAAGTTCAAATTTCATCTTTGAATTGCACGATTGGACTTATTTTTTTTATTCTGGAGATTCTTTTCCAGTATTGAAGGATCGAGGAGGATCAGGATCAGGATCAGATCAGATTGGAGGAACGAGACGATATACCACGTGGAATCAGATGAATTGCGACTTTATCTGAAATCATTCAATTATACACCACACGAACGAGACAGAGGACACAGTCATATCCCATCGAACTATATAAACAGCATTGGAGATCAACTTTGGGATATTAACTTGAAGTTGAAAGAATCCCACAACAAGGTAAGACGACGTTGAATCCCTATGTTAGGTGGGGGGATGACATAACATTTTGAAAGAGAGCGGTCAGATGCCTGTGCTCTGAATTTCTGATCAGCCAGGATTTATGGGATTGATTTTTTGGAATTTTTTTTTATTAGGTTTATTTTTCATGGTTTTTTTTATCGGCATGAACTAACGGATGATCATTTTAGTGGAGTCAAAATTGAACCTGTTTTCAGGGCAATGCGGGCTTGGATCTTGCATATCCGGGAATCCACTGGAATGCTTAGACAGGGACCCGAGTCCACTTTGGCGTTTAGACTGCGATCACCTGCATAGCGCTAATACGTGGGTTCCTGGGAATCATCCTACTTAAGTGTGCGCATCATTTTTCCTAAGCTGTCACGCTACCTACCGAGCTTGTTACCACGGTTCCAAGGGTCGGAATTACCTCACGGGAGTTTCGGATACGGCACAGCACCACAAGAGAGAACTCAAGAGAGCCGGAAAGACTCAGAGACAAGAAGAGACCAGAAAGAGAAAAGACAAAAGAGAACTTGAAAGAGAGGCTCCACCTTTCAGCTATACAATTTCAACGGTGGACTAAAAAAAAAATCAAAATTTGCCCCCTTGAAAAAAAGAAGTGCAAAGAGAGTCCACACCTCAGTCCAAAGACTCAACAGAACAAGTCGGAAGACAAGAAAAAGGCTGAAAAAAGACTCGAAAGACTCAAAAAGACTCCAAAAGACCAAAGAAATCGAATCCACTTTATGATATTCTGATCTCTGATTGGATCCCACTTTGAATTTTTTTTTCTCTCGCGCGAATTGGCAAAGTGGCTGTTCTGTGATCTGATTTGCTGAGAAGAGACAATTCAATACCCAATTGCAAATCAGCTGAATCCGGTCGGAGGGAGAGAGAGAGAAGATCTAACAGTATTTCACTTTTGTGTGTGTGTGTGTGAGAGAGAATCTTAAGACAAAGTCCATTTCAACTTGAAGTGTAGACTAAGAGAACTAATCCGGGGTCCAACGTCACCACCACCGTTTTCGTCCCGGCCCTACTTAACACATCCGTGATCCATGGGAATTCATCGCTCTTACCGTGAATCCCGCTTCCTGTCTTAACTCTTTACCTCTCACCCCCCACTACAGCTCTTTCTCTCTCTCAACTTGACCTTAATCTAAGGTTCCCTTTTTTTTCTTTTTTACAAAGACTCTCTTTTTGGATTTCTTGGATTTCTTCTCTTCCCTTTTCCCTGTCCTTACTGTTCCGAGGATTTCATATCACATCCACTGGAAAAAATCCCGTGGTTCTTACCCGATTTCGAGTGAGAGAGAACCTCATCTTGAGTCCTGGTTCCACCCGTCGTCTTAATGAGTGCATCGACGTTCTCCGACGCCTCTCTCTCGCGCGAAGCCCAGAGCCAGAGGTTCGTAGACCTTTAAAACCTCTGCAATTTGAAGAAAAATTCCTTTGTTATCGCTCAATCTATCTGATAACTGTCGACCCTCGACCTCGATCGTTTTTTGTTGAACCGTTGTTGCCTTTTTTCCTCTGCCTTTTTTGTGATCTCTGCCTGGTTCCTTTTTTTTCTTGTTTCTCTCTCTCTTTTTTGCTCTGCTTCTGAAACCTATCCCAATCTGTTCGCACTGACAATGTTGACCAACCCCAGTTCGGACTTTGACCTGTCCATTCGCCAACAGCCCAACCGGGCGCGAGTGGCTGGTGGCAAGGAGAAGGAGCGCAAACCTATCGATCCTCCCCCGATCGTTCAGCTCCGAGTGCGCGAGGAAGGCTCTTATTTGGCAACGTGAGTGATCACTGTGGACTTTTGGTTGCCCTCCGCCTAAGCCCCCCTTCTCGCGGATCTCTCTGTGGCCCGGGCGCAAGAGTGTGGGGAGGTTTAAACAGTGAAAAGTGCTGACTCCCAACTCCAATTTTTAGCCATTACCTGCAAAGTCCCTATTATTTTATGTGCTGCAGCTTGTACGATGCTACAGAAGACCGTCCAGTCCCAGTTGCTCCTTCAACTGCGTTAGCAGGTACCCTGGTCTCGTCCCTTCACCGGTTGAAGGACGTTGACAATAGTGGTGAGTGTGACCCGCGCCCAACTGTGGGGTCAAAGAAAAAAAAGCAAATAAAAGAGAGAAAAGACCCAGGACTAACCCGGAATTAGATGGAGGATTCTTTGTTTTCGGTGACCTTTCCGTGAAGATCGAGGGCGAGTATCGATTGAAGTTCACTTTGTTTGAGATGCGAACGTGAGTTGCGGGCGACGACGATCACGAGACTCGAAAACTTAGACTAACTTGGCCAAACAGAAACCAGGTTACTTATTTGAAGACCATCATTTCAGATGCTTTCACAGGTGAGTTTCAATTCTCAAGTCAAAGCTCTGGAAGCTTCTGTGCTAAGCGTGGGAAACAGTGTCACCACCAAAGAGCTTCCCAGGCATGATGGAGTCCACGTTTCTTTCTCGGTCTTTTGCGGATCAAGGTGTGAAGTTGCGCATTCGAAAAGAGCCCAGGACTATGATGTAAGTTCTAGAAAGGGAATTAATCTGGACTGTTCAGAGACTAACAACTCCAAAGGAAACGTCCTCGGCCGGACGAATTCCCTCAAGCCATGCCTCCGCGATCACCAGAGCGGCAGTCGGTCCAGATTCCCCCTGCAACCGGCTACAGTGGATATCCGGCGGCGGCAAATCGCGACTACGCGTATTATGGTGCACCAGTCAAGCGCCAGCGAGCTTCGATAGATTATGGTCGCCAGAGTCTCTACCCGGATCCAGATGGTCGCATGACTCGCCCAATCGAGACATATGGTCAACCAACCGCCATGTACGGTCAACCTAGTGCATACCAAAACCCAGCCATGGGTTACTCAACAGGCCAGGTAGTGCCGGATTACGGGGTGCGTTCTACTCCTGAGGGAAGATGGTCTGGAGGCTGGCAACAGCAGAACCTCTTTTTTGACTAACATATGGTGCGTTTTCTTTTTTACTCTATAGATGTCATATGGTCTTCCGCCCACAGCTCCTATGTCTCAAATGTCCGACCCCTCCGGTCAAGCTCGATCTCAACAAGCTGCCGTGGGACAGCTAATGGCGATGAACCAACCTGGCACACCTGTACGGCACCCCTCTTCGAACCAGTGAACTTGGGAAATTTCTTTTTAGAGGAACCCTGCTAAGGATGTTTCCACTTGTGTTTTTTTGGATACGACATAGACCTCAGATTCAACTGGAGCAACAGCAGCTATGATGGCCCAAGGATATCATCGGTCCGCATACCCGACCTCGACCTCGAATTCTACGACTACTACCCTTCCTCCGTTGCAACGAAATCGCAATTATCCCCAAGGTACCAATGGGACTGGACAAACCCGAGGATACTTTGATCCCCCATCTCCATCGGTGACACCTATTCTTCCATCTCAAATGGTTCCTGAGGGTGATCGGTATGGTTCCGCCTATGATCCACCGGGATCCTCCCATGGAACTCCTCGATAATGGCAGTGGAACCGAACCAACCTCTATTCCCATCATTTCACGAAACTTCCCCTTCTATCTTCGCTCGGTCGATTTCAACCCCCCCTTGTTCTTTTCTTTTCTCCCTGGAGACCTCTCTCTATTTGACCTCGATGGTCATCTTGGCTCCTTTTCCCTTTTCTTTTTCCGATTACTTCTTCCTGTCTGTCTGGATAGACTGGGGTGTTAGATATCACGTTATGGTTATGTCTCTGGGTGGCTACGGGTTCTTTTTTTTGCTGTGTTTACAATTACAGGCGCTCTGGGTTGGTAGAAAAGGGAGGAGGGAGGTTTTCTGTGTATTTTTTCGCGTCTGTTCAACGTCTGTTCTTTTCACCAGGAAAAGGCAAAGTCAGCTTATCTTTATTTTACTTTGTTTCTTTTCTTGTACAATCAATGTAGTTCGAGTCTTTCATGAAGAGAATACAGTTGGGCGCTAAGCCTAAAACAGTATGGCATGAGAGCCTCATGTATCAGTAAGTTCAAGATTGATGTAATCATTATCATCTCTCTGCTTTACACTCTGACTCATTCAACTTTGACTGGTATCAAAATGATTAGTACAAATCTTGGTGTGAGCTCACCTTTCTTTTTCTAAAGACTTGATCAACAGCTTCAAATGTCTTCAATATGCTCTCGCTTCTCTCGTTTCTTTCAAGATGGACTCGGAAGAGTTCCACCTCGGTGCTGTCCAATCTACCGGTCGAGGTTTTACTTTCAATAGCGGTTTATCTCGACTCAGATGATGTGGCTTGTTTTTCATTGTGCAATCGCCATTTCTTTGCCATATTCCACTCTTTTTCCGCTACCAAAAATGAGTACTAGAATTTCCCTTTTGAAGCGCCTGGAAACAGACTCACCTCAATATTTCCTTTGCCGGCACTGCTCAATTCTCCACATGTATCAACCATCCAAAGACTATGCTCCTGGTTCATCTCCGATAGAATGGCCCCCCCCCTGTCGTTTCAAACTTGCGATGGACTCTCACATATCTTTACGTCTAGATTGTTCATGGCATTTCTTGTTCCATAGGATATATTATTCACTCCACTTCTTTCATACTATGTTGGCAATGAGAAGGTTTCACTACGGACCCCAATGTGGTATCAGTACAGAGGAGATGTCCCATGTTCAAGTTGAGCTCTATCCCTACAGGGGAAACCACGAGAGCTCCCAAAGAATCACACTATCGTCAGTCGATGCACAAATATGTCCTAATCATTCAAGGGTTATTCTGCGAGTTCAAAGAATGATATCTGTCTGTCCCTCGCCACAAGCGATATTTATTATATCACGGTCAACACAGGACAAGAACCAAAAACTGGCAGGCCCATCTAGATTCCAAGTCATTAATCTGTCCAGCAAACCTCCCCGAAGAGTACACTGATTCAGTCCATTCGACCTTGAAATGTCACCAGGATGGAGTGAATAACCCTGCTGCGAACTACGTTTGCAATGGATGTGATCTTAGCTTTCGCGTTGAAGTATATGAGGATGAAACGGATATGACTCTGATCATTACAAACTGGCTCAGTGTTGGTGATGGAACTACTCCAGATAACCCAGACTGGTTACTTAATTCCTGCACGGGATCATTTTTAAATGAATATGATAACATCGTTATTGATCCGCCTGGAGGAGCGGATGCTCCGAGTCCTGTCTGTTTTGAAAAATCGACCCCTCTCCCTTTGAAAAATCTGCGAGCTCGTAACCTTTCTTACATCAAAGGTCACCGATATAAGGATTTCATGACCACTAAGGGGAAATGAATATGGCTTCCAACTACCCAAAGGTCCAAATGGCTTGGAGATACCTTGACCTAATAATACTAGTTAAAGGTGGATATGTATGTTCTAGGCTTCAGGTTGCCTACCTCTGTACCTACCTGAGTACCTACCAGGGTACCTACCCACTTAGGCATCCAGGTAAGAAGATGCTCAGTAGGAGGTTCGAAATTTTGAGTTGTTCACCCTAGTACTGTTATCAAAAGATGCTCGTTGTTGTGCAGATTATGTTATGGTATCGATCCTAATTCATCCCAAGTTGTTGATCAGCTGCTTAGAGTAATGTTTGAGGCCAAGCGAAGGGTAAACGGCACGTTAGGACATGGAAGCATATGAATAACTAGATGTAGTGGGATTGAAGGAATGTAGACTATCACTGGTCTGATCAATTCCTTATGCTGGAACTTGTTCCTTCCTCCCTTCACTCTTCCTTCCTCACTTCGACTTATGTTGATTTCGCCCACCTCCGTTCCCTTCATCCTTCCCCTTCCATACACAACACCATGGATTTATCCGACAGTCCCTTTCGCGACCTAGATGTTACCGCAGACTGGTCCGGTGATCCCGCTGACCAGGTCGAGGTCAAAATTGTGTTGGAGGTAAGCGGCCCTAGCCGGATGATCTACCCGTGAAGCCATCGCGAACCGGAATATCCCACAGCTAACCACGGTTCTATATAGGTTCAATGTGTACCCTATCTTGACCGAACAATCTTAAATGCCCATAAAAGCCGAGATTTGATCCTCAGCACCTCAATCGAACCTGTTTCCTCAGATCCAAGCCTGCACGCTCGACTTCAGGAAGAGGAGAAATACACCGACGCAAATACTCTTTCTCCCACGACTCCACGTTTCGTCGGGAAGAAGCCGGTGAAGCGTCGGGGTTGGCCTAATCGGGACTTATTCGAGGAGTTCGAGGAGAAAGACAGTATCGTTGTTCCTGATAGCCCGGGTGATGATTTCCACGGCGCAACTATCCTTACCCAACCATTTGTCAACAACGAAAAGAGCGAAGTTAAGACACCAAACGTGAAGCATCCCGTGGATATCGATGAAAAGTCCCCTCTAGACCCAGCCCGTCATTCCCGAAAAAGAAGTGCGACGACTGCCTCTCTGCCTGATTCGATCTCAGACTCGGATCGTCCTTATGGAGGATACAAGCATAAAGCCAGTGTCTCTGCGATGGATCCTCCGAGCTCATCCAGTGGTTCCACATCAACCAAGTCAATTCGCCCGAGCTTGATTCCTAGACCAGTCAATGCGCTTCATTCGCATAGTATGTCTTATCACCCTGGCTCTTCGGGTTCACGAGTGAAGAACTTGATGAGGAAGTTGGGCTCTCCGGATGGAGAGAAGCCTGGATCGGCATTTGGTCCATGGTTGAAGGAGGAAACGCCGTCGAGAGTAAAGACTGTCTCGCCTGATGGGACCACTGCGAAACATGATAAAACTCCGAGTACGACACCGGTCCAGGGTCTCGAACAGTCCAGCAGTGAGAAGAAAACGGCCTCACCTGCACGTCCTGTCACACCTACAAAGAACAATGCAGACACCAGAGCACATAGTCGCCTCGGCTCTGAAGTTTCTGAGGGGAATGTATCTACTGTGGCATCATGTGGAACTCCATGCGACATCCACCATATTCTGGATTCGTATGGAACCACGGATGAAGAATGGGCTCGTAACAATGTGGAACTTATTCATGCACCCTATCCATACCACGGCCTCGGGCAAGGAGGGCCTTCCTTATTTCAGTCAGCTCTTCCTCGTGTTGTTAATGAAGATGGCGCTGTTATCATTACTTGTCCACCGAATCTTCGACCCGCGAAGTACAAAGTGACAATAGCTTTGCTTACATCCTTGGATAAGGGAACCCCGAGAGGATGGTTGAATTTTGTCCTCACAGGCTTACCTCGACTGCAGAATCACGATACAGGCTATTTGTATTTCTGGACTCCGCCAGGTCAGGGCTTGGAGATCCGTACCACGGATCTGAAACGACACACCCTCATCGAGGGCTGTATGATGGGTCAATTTCCGATCTTTGAAAGGCTTGTCATCCCAGTCCGGCCATGCGATGGACGATTCTATGGCTTTTTGAAGGACTTTAAAGTGACGCAGACTATCCGTACTGACATGGTGGATGATGAAGACCCGCGGATGGTAACTGTCAAGTATCATGCTGTGTGTATGATTGATTTGATCCAGCGCAGTTTCTGGGCCGAGAAATGTGGTGTCACTCTCTATGTGTACGGAGGACCCGAAGGGGACTTCTCGTGCCACCTTCATGACCCGCGCGATCGGCTTCAGACTGTTCACTTGGATGTTTCGCCTAATGATCGCGTGGGAATTTCCGAGATTCAAATCATCTGTTCGCCTTCCAACCTGGAAATGCTCACAATTACCTGGGAGACTCGACTTCCGCGCGAGAATGCTTCAGCATGGATGCCTCGGGTTCTGGGTGGAATGGATATGGAGGGTATCATCGACGAAAAACAATGTAAATATTCTCAGGCGGAGGATGAAAGTACATTGGATATCCTCAAGGTGGTCCCAAATGCAGGGACTGAGCTGATAATTCGTGCACCTACGCCTGAGCCCGCACCTGAGTCCCGGGCTGAAGAACCCCAGACACCGAAGTCATCCTGGATCCAGCCCAGACTGGTGATCATTGCAATTATCACTATCTTCCTACTAGCTCGTCTTACTCTGGGACTACTCAACCCCGAAGATCCATACGGAAAACTCCTTGCGAGTGTGTCTGGTTCGGGTTGGGTGGAGAATGAAATTGGGAAAGGGAATAATTGTGATAATGAGAATGGTACGAAGAATTCACTTGATGAGGTAGCTCACCCTGCTGGTTTGGCGTCTTCTGTCAATGTGACTGAAGATGCATCACATGAGACTGTTATGCCGCTACGGGATCGCGTTGACTATTTCTTGGGATGGAGAGGCCCGTTCAATGGGCTTTAGGGTGTTTATGGATGATTCAATTGTATGATATGTAGTTTTAGCAGTCCGAGATATTGAAGCTTCAAAATAATTTTTATTCTGGTTGAGCCTCGGATCAAGACTATTTGGAATGACTTGCAGTAATTTTCCTGAGAGTAAACCCGCAATGCGCCCTGATGAATGAAGATGGAAGATGGAAAAGAGGCTGGAATTTGAATGAGTATTACCTAGGTAGCTGATAATATTCTAAGTAGGTGTAAAGGCATGGATGGAAATACTAGTAATATTGTAGGTGGTCTTATGGTGGTGGAAATAATCACCTGCGGGCAGCGTTGATGGAAAAATAATCTGAGTACTGGCAGTGGACTTGCAGCAATAATCACCAGCGTCGTCTGAAAAATATTCCTAAGAGCTGGTGGCCAGCAATAATCACTAGCGTTGTCGGAACTTCAAGTTGGAAGTAACCAAGCAGCTAGGTAGAAATAATCACCAGCGTCGTTGTAAAGGTTTTCGAGAGCAATAACCACCATCTGGGCAGAAATAATTACCAGCGTCGTTGCAAAAATATTCCTGAGAGCATGGGGCAAATAACCACCAGAAATAATCACCAGCGTTGTCGGAACTTCAAGGTGGAAATAGCCAAGTACCTGGGCAGAAATAATCACCAGCGTCATTGAACAAGTTTTCTTGAGGACTTGTGGAAGTAAACACCAGCAATAATCACCAGCGTCTTTTCATTTTTGAAAAATATTCCTAAGAGCTGGTTGGCGCAATAATCACCAGCGTTGTCGGAACTTCAATTGGAGATAACCAAGAACCTGGGCAGAAATAATCACCAGTGTTGTTGAAAGTCTTCTTGGCTCCCAAACACAGGAATAATCACCAGCGTCGTCTGAAAAATAAATCCGAGCTCTAGGCTTATGAAATAATCACCAGTGTTCTGAAGTTCTTTAGAAAAATTATCTCAGCCCCAGAGCCATCTCAATAATCACCAGCGTCGTCTGGAAAATATTCCGATGTCTAAAAAAAAAAGATTTAAAAAGAAAGATTTAAAAAAATAAAAAATATTCCTAGCCCTGGACCCCTGGAAACTATCACCTACATTCTTTTGAAAAAAAAAAATTATCTTAGCTTCTTGGCCTATACAACAACCACAAAGCTGCCCTAGCTGCCCGGTAGAGTCAACTGGTAACTTGAACAGGTACTGTATGTCTAGAATGAAACACTCGCATTCACGATATTCAAGCTGATCTGTAAAATGTCAAAATTTCCTCAACAGCCCATTTCAATATAACATCCATCCCCACAAGCCCCTTTCCAGGAGCCACGATGACCCCCGCATCACTCCTCACATCAATACCCTCTCCCACTCGAGCAATAAGATCTCCTTCCACAGTCTCATCGGGGATGAGCAACCAAGCATGATCCTCCACATATCTCGGCCAAACAATATCATCCACATATCCGGGCGGATCAACCCAGAAATTCTGCGGTGGCCGATCATCCTCCGCCTCAAGGTCTATGATCTTCGGCTCCTCTCCTTCTTGCTCACTCTTTTCATCCTTCTCTTCCTTCGCAGCAGCTATCTCCTCCTGTGTCGGCTGCGCCCCAATAGTAACATATCCACTCCGCGCCTCACGTCTCGTCTTCACATTCGTATAAGAAGCCGGTAAGAATAAAGGCAGGTGGATGGCATCATGAACAGGACGAAGCGGAGATTTCTCATCTAGATCACTGTATAAAAGAAATCCTTCCATGAATGCAATCGTCTTAATCCTCGAATTTCCGGATGCGAGTTGTCTCGAGACCAGATCTCTCATTTCCAACACGAGTGCATCCTCAACCCCGGATTCCGATTGTTCATTTTGATCTTCTTTGCTTTGTAGTCGCGGTGGTAACCGGCCATTCTCACGGACGTAGGATAGTGACTGTGCGAGGAAATTCGTATCGATTGCAGCGGCGGTATCCCAATCCTGGATACTTTCGCCGGATTTTGTGGTTACATAGGGGATTCTGTACTCGTTAGGAGGATTTCTTGGATAGTTGAGAGGGGAACGGGACGTACTGGTCATCCGGGTAGTAGAAATCATCTTCATGAATAATAAAGGTATTCAACTTCGAGTCCGAGCTTTGCAGATCAACCCCGCAGAAGATCCGCTGCAGTAGACGCGCGAGTGTGGTCTTCCCGCTAGACGAGGGACCTGAGATCCCAACCACGATTGCACTCGCTTGATCTGACTGTTTGTCGAAACTCATTATGGGATAGGGATCTTCTGGAAAGATCAGGCCTTGTAAAGAGACTCGGAGATGAGAGAAGTCGTTGATTGTGGTGAGGGGCTTATCGGGACTTGATAAGAGGGTTTTGAAGCTTACTATTTTGGGTTAGATTGTTACCGTATTTAGATCTATATCTTAACGCTTGGACCATCGAGGCTTTTTTAGTGGGAAAATGTACAAATGTGTTATGTGATCAATTGAACTATCAAATTAAGACTGATGGATAGGTGAATTCATGTGGTGCAAGAGTGACTTCTTCCAATGGAATTCGCGGTAACAGAGGTGACACTCTCAGCCAGATCTGGTAAAATCGAGGTCGGTCACCTCATAGCTCTCATAATGCTCCTTCAGTCTCATATGATCTTGTGATATGCATAATCTTGAAATATCAAGTGGCAAGTCTCACGGGAGTATTTAAGCGCCCAGTGATCAACAGCGTCCATATGCTGTTTGAATGCCTGCTGGCCGCTGAATTGAAAAGAGCAAATTTCGCATTTGTAGCGTTCTCAGTGATCCTTTTCGCTCATGTGCAGGATGAATCCTTCCTGAGTGCAAAAACTTCAGTTGCAGGTGCCGCATTGATACATGATGGACAGAGTGACAGTAGTATTAAGACGTTCGAGGTTTAGTAAAGGTGCGACAGCGTGGAGACAGGAAAAAAGGGTTGGTGAGGGCTTCAGAGCAGGGAAAATGTGTTCGTGGGAGTGGCAGACAAGGGTGAAGAAGAACTATTATGGCGCTGCTAGATCACGCATAAGTTTCATGCAGTTGACGGGGTCAAACGTGTCAGCGTACATTGATCCTCAGAATATCGTTTGACGTGTCGATGTAGACCACTTGCACCGTTAGGGCAAGCTCTCCCGTCGTCCCCCGGAACTGGTTGCTCATATTTAGTTTTTCCACCGTACATTCTCAAGAAAAAGGATCCTCTTTCTACTTTGACGAGTGCCCGCATGCATGATGGACCTTTAGTTACAGTGATTTTTCCCATGAATTGTAGTGTATGACCCGGTCTTGTAGCTGTATGTGGTTGATATTATCCAGATCGTCTGAATGGCCATATTGAACGTCTTCGATTTGAATTTTTCTCTTGCGCCAGTGATCTCAAAGCAATGCGAGTCGCCTCCGCTAGTACTTCATTTACTCCCTCTCCAGTTCTGGAAGAGCATTCAAGATATGATTTTGCCTGTATTTCCTCTCGCAGAAGATTACCCTGCAAATGTCAGTGATTCACTACTTATTGCCATGGAAGTTGATCATACTCTTTCCCAAGTCACCAAGTCTCCAATTCCAAGATTTCTTGGGCCAGTCTCGAGTCGTGCGTCCTTTTGAAGACCAACAAGAATGACTGGAACGTCAGGACAGTAATGGTTCAACTCTTCTTGCCACTATCCGAGTCATTAGAAAATATTTTTCAGTGATTGGTCATATGCAGACCTTCTCAAGTATATTATCCACCGTGTCAGAACTGTCAATATTAAAACATAGCACGACTGCATGCGTATTGGGATAAAAATGTGGCCGTAGCCTGTCGTAAGAGTAGTCGCCAGCTGTGTCAAATAGTGAAATCTCGAATTGATCGCCGTCCATAGTGTAGTCCAAGTGATGTTCCTCCCATATTGTGGGACCCGGTGCCTGTGGTTGGTTTAGCTCTTGGAAGGTATGCTCAGTTCTGATTCTGGGAACATACTTTACTAGGCCAGGTATTATCTACCCACCGTCTGGAAGGTATTTCAATTAATTTCACTTGCATCGCTTGCATCGCTTGGTCAACAGATACAATTTCCGCACTTACTGTATAAGAGCAGTCTTTCCGCAACACGGGTCTCCTGCCACGACCAGCTTCATCTTGAAATGTTGAGGTTTTCTGTTTCTTCCCCAATTACCTAGCATGATTGGTTGGATATTTTCAAATCCAGTCCAGTTCTTCGACGATAGTGGGCGTAAATCCTTGTCATTCTGAACGGGTGACGACTGTTTGACATCCTCCATGGCGGGAGGGGGCGCCGAGTGCCGTATGGCTGGAATCGCGATCAATTCTTTTGTATTCTTCTTTGGGCCAGAAGTAGTACGCTGTAGCTTGAGTTTGCTTGGAGGTAAATGCTCGAACCCAACCAAGTCATTCCATGGTGCAATCAACTTGAGATCTTCATCGCGTTGATTGCTTGGTGCTTCTTTTAGATCTTGTTGAACTGACGATGATGGGCGCAAGGTTAGAGCTTGTATGTGTTCTATCTGATTTTCGGTTTTGTCTTCTGCTTTTATTGCGGGCCGTGCATCACTGATTGTGCTGAGATTGCTGGCAAGAGATTCAAATATCTCACTCAAGGGCTGAGAATTAGAGTATGAAACATCTGACAGGTCTGAAAATTGAACCGCATCGTCGCAGACACTCTCCGCATAGCTTGACAGGCTATCCAGGTACCTGTTAAGGATGTAACTCTGGTCTCCTGCAGTATTCGAAGCCGTGCTGTTTGCAACGATCGATCGAAGTCGACCAAGTTCCTCCAAGATGACTACAATGAGACCGGTGTCTTGCTTGACACTGACAACTTCTCCTCGGATTGCAGTGGTATGATCTTGAGTTGTTTTTGCCAAGCTTAGCGAGATCAACTGGAGTGCCAGGTTCAACGAAATTCGGTGTGTGGCCAGTGACATGCGGATAGCTGCCATCTCATGTTTCCAACCACTAGCCGCCTTGCTAGATTCACCGTCCTCGGGATTATGCTCAAGTAATCGGTTTATCTGGAAGATCACGGTGTTGCAATTATCGAGGACGGTCATGACGTGCGTCTGGAGGGATTCGGGTATGTTGACTTTTTCTTCACTGCTGCTATCCAGTAATTCAATGACCTTTTGTAGCTCTGAAAGTTCACTTTTGATGGTTGTGATGTCTGCTGCAGCGTCAGGGTAGTTGCGCGCTGATTCGGTTGTGTTGACTTTTGCGATCGCGGTGGCTAAAAGTAGGCCATAGCAGCCTTGGCAATAGCTTCGGGGTCGCCTTGATATTTGTATTATTAGATTGGATATTTTAACCCATGTAATCGATGGTTGGGTGAAGAACACCCATGAATAATCTTACCATGATAATGAGCCTCAACCTTTTCAATCCCGCCAGTGAATGTGGTGGTTATGTTGCCAACGTTAAGTTGACGGGAACTTCCCGAAGCGATAAATGCATTCCTGGTGCTATTGAAAGGGCTCTGTATCGGGTTGGCGCCCAGGAAGTTCGACCATATTGGCTGGTCAGGCGAAGCGATATTTGGCAGAGGCTGCTCCATACGGGCCGATATCGCGCATGTTAATCACCTACTGGAATTCGATTTCTATCGAAAACGGTGCATGTGCAAGGCACTGAATATTATTAGAGCGAGATTTGTGAAAGGTATGCTGGATAGGTATCAAGAAGATGGAATAATCTCAGCTGAATCTTAGCGCCTTCGACTTATCACCCGGGCAGCCCCCAAAGTGGCAGTGAGTTTTGCTGACCACCTGCTATTATCTCCGGGATCTGAAATCTATTAACAGAGTTGATCAAGGAACTAAACTGGTTAGCGTATATACATGTTTGCGCCAGTGATTATTCTGCCTTGTTATTAGCTGCGGCGAGTGAGGCTGAGCGGGGTCACGGTGCTCTCCAATAAACTCTCATCCTGCAGGCATATAAGTAATGGGAGATAATCATATTTTTCTGCTCCATTATTGAATCCAATTTTGTTTGAGGTGAGAAGTTCCGATAGGGATCAAGTTGATGCAACGCTGACTTCCAAAAGTATGGCAGAAGCTGTAGGTTTAACCGCCAGTATCATCGGCATCGTGACGCTAGCATATCAAAGTTCGAAAACTTTGTACGAATTGATAGATGGTGTTTTGAATGCGCCAAAATATCTCAAAGACCTCAATGAAGATGTTACTGCAAATAGTCATATACTTGCGTCTCTAAAAAGCGCCATCGAGGGAACATCAGATGACGAATTATCGGACGGTGTCAAGAACAGTCTCAAAGATGCTCAGCCAGCGATCAAAGGATGTGAGAAAGTATGCAACGAGCTCTTTCAGAAAATTTCTCAAATCACTAGTCATTCTAGCTCGACACATACCCGCCTTGATGATAGACTCAGGTTGAAGTTCCAAGATAAGGCTATCCTGGCATTCAAATATCGGATTGAGAGCTACAAGTCGACGTTGAGTATTGTTTTAGGCATGGTGACTCTGTAAGATCTTGCTCCAAAAGCCTCAAAAACTTAACATCGAAGTCGTAATATGATGAACTTACAAACTTTTAGCAAGTACTCGGATTATAACTCAGAATCCGTTCATCAACTACAAACCACCATAACTGAGACTATGAGCAACATCTCTGAAAAGATCCAAGGACTTGAAATCACTACACAAGCACTTTCCGAGGTAACACTCCCAAAGAGAGAGCTGATTGAAGTTCTGGATGACCAAAACAAGGCACTAGCTCAGTGTCTTCAAGTGTGTACAGGTGCACTGGAGGAGAGTACGCGCAGAACTGGCAGTCTGACCGCGAGATACATCAGTGCCCTTGATGATGCAAGACAGCTTATTGTGGCTACTATTGGGGATGTAGGCTCTGGATTTGGCATGATAGATGCAGATATGATTATTGCACAAGGTCGGGCTGATCAGATGGTGGCTCAGAGTATCACGCAGGATGTTGCTTTGGGCTTTTTTGCTCCTAGGAATAATTAACTATCTGATAAGAAGTTGAGGGACGATACCTATTAGGGAGCTTCGAGCTTGAGATATCTAATAATTTCTTTATCTACAACTCTACCTATGTAGTCGCCCTATAACATTGAAGTAGATTCAAGTTACCATGCATTGCTACCATAGACTCGGATCAACTTCGGGTAATTAATATCCGTCGACCATATGTACAAAACCTTCAATAAATGTCCCTAATACCACTATAGATGCATAGCTCATATCATTTGTCTCCGAGTTAGGCTAAATCCAAACTCATCCCCGCATCAGTTGATCATGTCACAGTAACATTGCACCGTTGTCTCGCACCCGCGTGCGGGGTTAAATCAAAGTAATCAGGTTCAAGCTCATCCGAACCAACCACAATGCAAGAATCTACAAGTAAAACACACTATATCAAAGATCTACATCTTCTGTTGCAATTGACTCTGAGTGAGGGTCCGAGCCACATACAGTAGCAGAGATATCCATGGATCAATCAGAGAAGATATAAGGTGTATCACACCCGCCATAATACTAGCATCCAGGCTTTCAATCTGCTGGGAAACTGGCATCGGAAACCTCAAAATGATGTTCAAATACCTTCTCACAGCTCTGAGCTTACTCTCTGCAGCTCAGGCTATTGATCCATTTACATGGAATAACGACACATTCCTCCTCCATGGCAAGCCCTACCAAATCATCGGCGGACAAATGGATCCCCAGCGCATACCACACGAGCTATGGAGTGATCGACTCTCCAAAGCCCGTTCAATGGGTCTGAACACCATTTTCTCCTATGTATACTGGGACCAACTGGTACTGAAGCCAGGCGAGTGGAATACAGACGGTAACAACGACATCGCACGGTATTTCAAAACAGCCCAAGAGGTTGGTCTGAATATCGTTCTGCGTTCAGGACCATATATCTGTGGTGAACATGAGTGGGGAGGATTCCCAGCTTGGTTGAGTACCATACCTGGCATGGTAGTCAGAACGAATAACACGGCGTTCCTGTCTGCCGCGAAATTCTATATTGATCATCTCGGTGAAGAGCTCAAGGATTTAATGGTTACAAATGGAGGACCGATCCTTATGGCTCAGATTGAGAATGAGTATGGTTCTTATGGCGATAACCATGAGTACATTGCTTCGCTGCGTGATATGATGAGGGACGCATATGGGATCCCGTTGTACACCAATGACGGCGGCACGCAGTCTGCGCTTGAAGGAGGTCAGATTGCTGGAGCACTGGCAGAGACAGATGGAAGTCCACAAACTGGTTTCGCTGCACGGGACGAGTACGTGACTGATCCAAGTAGTCTTGGCCCGCAGCTTGATGGGGAGTACTACATTACCTGGCTAGATCAGTGGGCTAGCAACAACACGTTTGAGACAGATGAGGGAGATGAATCTGCTATCAACACTGCGACATCTGATCTGGCCTGGATCTTGAGTCAAAACGCTTCGTTCAGTATCTATATGTTTCATGGTGGGACGAACTGGGGATTCCAGAATGGTGCAGATTGGGGGAATGCGCTGGAACCTATAACGACGAGTTATGATTATGGTGCGCCGCTTGATGAAAGTGGGCGCACGAATGATATTTATAATGCTGTGCGAGAGACCATTGGCGCACACATCGGCATGGATAATATCCCTGATCTGGTTGCGGAGAATCCATTAATTGAGATCTCGCCGATAACGCTGACTCCCTCGGTGAATATGTTCGATGCGCTGCCTGAGCCCATTCAGAAGACTATACCTGTCAACATGGAGCTTGTGGGACAGTCTTATGGGTTTATCCTTTACCGACACGTCGTAACGGGCGCCACAAGCGGTACACTCAAGACAGGAGATGCACCGCGCGATCGAGTTCTTGTGTATGTTAACGGAAAGCGCGTCGGAGTGATCGATAACTCGTACGAAGTCCCCAACACAGTGGACTTGACACTCAAAAAGGGTGATGTGCTCGACTTGTTGATTGAGAATATGGGACGTGTGAATTTTGGATCGGAAATTGCTGATCAGCGAAAGGGCATTGTGGGTAATGTCACTGTTTCTGGAACAGTGCTTCTGAACTGGGATTTATACCCCCTTCCGTTGACGTCCCCTCCGACGGCATCCTCTTCAGCTGGAGCTACTAGCAACCCATCAGCAGAATCGAGTCCGATATTCTATACTGGCACGTTCAATGTTGACGAAGTGGGTGATACATTCCTTGAACTGCCAGGGTGGACAAAGGGCGTTGTCTGGGTAAATGGGGTCAATTTGGGTCGATACTGGACAGTTGGTCCTCAGCAGACTTTGTATCTCCCTGGTGTTTATCTGCGTGGGAGCGGGAATAGCATCACAGTTTTAGCACTGGAGCCTACTGGCAGTGAGGGATCTGTTCAGGGTATCAAAACGCGGAACTGGGGAAACAACCCTGATCCTGATATGTCGTGATCACTTAGAATAGATTCTTACAGTGGTTAACCAATGAAGGAGACTTCAAGCTTTGAAAATTTTATGTACATATTATTTGGGCACCTCAAGGGCAGGTACTAGTGACATTACAAGAAAAAAGAAAGAAAGAAATCCAGCAGGACCAGGGATCGAACCCAGGACCTTGAAAATCAGAAATGTGTGAATAGCCTCAACATCTCTCACTTGATACATCCATCCTCAAGACATAATCCCTTCTAGCTCGCTCAATTATTTTTATTTTGAGGATCTGAAAGATGGAATAGAAAGGGAAAGGCTAGAAGTATCATGGGTAAAAAGGAAAAAAATCCCCCCCAAAAAATCATTATTCCAGCCGAAGCTGATTCCCTCCCGCCCGCAGGGATCATCTCTCCCACCAAAATCAGGCTCTGCATACCTAATTTTCGTATCAATGTCCCCCAAACGGGTCATTGGACCGCTAGACTATAGCCGGGTAGAGAGGTTACCTGGGGACCTTTTTTACTGAAATATAAGGGAGATATAGTTCCTTAAATGGTTTTAACCAGTTAACTCTCTACTTTTTAGTATAATCATTGTATTTAGATATCAGAAAAGAAAATTATAAAATTCACGTTCTAAATAATCAATCATTCCAAATGGTTTTAGTATTACTCTACCTAACCTTGGAAGGTTGCAAGTAGTGAAAGTGGTACTAGTAGCCCACACTCCGCGTGGTGCCTTCCAAGAGTTAGGTACGTCGACATATAGCCAACTGGAGGGTATTATGCCATTGACTTAAAAAAAATATGTACAAACAGCACCCAACAACGCCTTGCTAAGTCAACTTGAAGTAAAAAGAAACAAGCAGAAAATCCAAGAAAGGAAGCATAGAATGATCAAGGTCCAAAAATAGAAACCCGCTTCTCACTCCGCTTGCCCCCATCCTCAGCAAGTGGAGAAGTAGGCGATCGAGATGACGGAGTTCCATCCTCCGATGAACGCATACGGTCCCCAGAATCAGACTCATCGGTTTCATTCCCGAATACCTGCACACTAGCTGCAAATCCGATACGCGGTTTCTTCGGAGTAGGAGATTCAGGATGATCAAATCTAGTCTTGATGCTAGCTCGGGCAGCAGGACTCCCATCTGAATCGGCATCCGATTCAAGAATAGGAAATGGAATCGGGCGAGTGCGCTTCCCATTTCTATTCCCAGTCGTTCTCGGTTCAACCTCATCATCAGGAATAGGCAAGCGATGTCGATCAAAGAATCCCGTCGGATGTCGGAGGTATGCAGCGCCCGATTCACGCTCATCCGTCATTTCAAGGAAAGCTTCATTTTGGATTATATCGCTCATAGCGGTATCATCTAACAAACTCTTCTCGGCTTGCTGCATCTCTGCCTCGGACATCTCTTTCCGTCGACGTAACATCCGGTCTTCAAGCGTATCCTCGAGAACGAGTGTTTCCACGTACACGGGTCTTGTCTGGCCAATTCGGTGTGCACGTTTAATAGCTTGGCTTTCGACGTTGGGTTGCCAGATTGGATTTAATATGAATACTCGAGAGGCTTGCGCTATGTGAAGACCGTGCGAGGCTTGTCGGAGATCCATAAGCAAAACGCGGACTTCATCCGCCTCGCGGAAGAGCTTGAGATATTCGGTGCGAAGCTCGGGTTTCAGAGTACTGGCGTAAATGCGAAATTCTACGCCTAATAGCTCGAGACCCTCGGCGATCCAGTAGGCGGAGTTGTTGTTGTCGTAGAAAATGATGATCTTCTCTGAAGTGTGGAGTTCAAACACTTGGTCTAGCAAGTAAGTGAGTTTGGCAGATGCTGTGGCGATTAATTGGGTGTTTTTAAGAGGGGAGTCATCGGGGAGGGTACGGAAAATTTTCTGTTCGAATGTCTTCTTGGGTGACTTGATATTTGATGGTTTGGGGCTGTGATTCAATTGGCCTGGGGTCACTGGAGTATTTGCTGACTCTGAAGCCCCCTTTGTCTGACTTTGATCCCGCTTCACAAGCTCCGATCGTACTTTGATACCACGTCCAGCAAATCCCTGGGTAGGGTCAGTCAGACGAAGGTTTTCAGTGACGTATTGCTGAGCGCGACAGGCCTGTGTGATCCCGACGAGTAGTGGATTATTATCTGTGCTCTGCGGATCGATCCCCCAATGGGATCTGTAGGCTTCGGGGAAATTCAGGACAAAGACACCCAGCTCATGCAGCTGCTTGAACTCCTGCCAAGTTCCTGATTCCGAGGCTTTTTGGGCAATGGCAATTCCCTTATTCAGCTGTTCCACGTCCGCGCTGGCCATCTTCTCGCGATTCTTCTCGAGATATTTCAGGGCAGAGTCAACCGTATCTTCCACTTTGACATCCGAGCCAACCCACCAAAATCCAGCCTGTCGCAAGTTGTTGATAGTTTGGTTAAGATGTTTTCTGTTGCTCGAATGAAACATGTAATCTGTGCCTTCGCGTTCAGATGTGATCGCGTTAACGGCAAGACTAAACAGAAACAAGTTGATAGATAACCGATCGTAGAATGTGGGCTTGAGATACACAACCTTGTTGTACAACTTCGGAAGAGTGATCTCTTTGTTGATCACATCTAATCTGTGTCGCACCACTAGTCCTTGAAGGGTCGCACGGATCGCTGGTGTCTTGCGCCGCTTGCCATCCTCGCCATATGGCTTGATATACTTTGTCCAATCAGCAGGGTCATCTCCTCGGGAGTTGGACCATGGTTTCAAGTCCAGAAAGTCTATCACAATGCGCCTCATCCGATCAAGGTCTTTCAACTCATTCTCCGCCGCATTTCCGGTCTTTTTCCGACCCTTCAACACTGCTGCAGTCATTTGCTCTGATGTCTCAGTGTCGCTTGTAGCTGCCTCTTGTGATGCGAGACTAACTTCAACGCCGTAGAGTCCAGTAGACGGCGTACCGGAAATTACCCAGCGGCGCTCAACGTGAAGCTGTTTCAGCAGATGGATCATATTCCCATTACTCCCAACATTGTGTCCTTCGTCGACAACGACTCTTAACCAGTGAAGCTCCGTGAGAGACGATTTAACCAGGACAGGTTTCTCGCGACGATTGTGAACGGGCTCGCCGGCTTCACGCTCGAACCGAGTTTTGGAGAATAGAACAATGTCAAGGTCAAACAGTTGCTCAGCTGACGGGGTTTTATCAGCTCCTCGCCTAAGAATCAGAACTTTGAGGCCTTCGGTATGATTAGCGATTTCCCGTTGCCAGTGGTCAACCAGGTTATTCGGCACGATAATTAGTGTTCCTGAACACAAGCGAATATGCTTCGGCGGTGGTCGTGGAAACGACACACTGTGTCGACCCTGGTATCTAGTTTGATGCTGAGGAATCTCATAAGAACCAGAATTTAGTTCACAAGCCCTAATGCATCGTTCGTAAAATTTTCCATGTCTCTTCTTCTCGGAAAAGAAATGCTTCCATGGTTGAGAATGACGTCCCACAGCAGCAGCAGCCATATCCATAAGCGATCCGACCTTTTCTCTGACTGGAATAGGATTTGGTCTGTCTGGTGAAGACAGATACTCAATTGGAATTTTCGGGAAATGTCCATGAGTGGCCCAGATAACAGCAAGGGTGATAAGTGTTTTCCCACAGCCCATAGTTTCCGCCAGAATACCTAAATAAGGTCAGAACTTGTATGGTTTTTCTTTCTATTAAAGAGTAAATATTACCTCCACAGGCCTCCGAATACATCACCTTATCCCGAGTAATGCAGCCATCCTCCTTATCGTAATAGTACTCAACACCCGTAGGTGTCTGCCAGGCCTGCAACCTTGGATCGAGCATTCGAGCCGGCTGACACTCCCGTTGAATCATCATAGCAGCAGATCGACACTGATACGGATACAGCCGAGTTTTCAACCCATAGTATGATAAATCATCACCGGATAACAATTCATCCATGGCGTCCCTCGACCAGATATCTTCCATAGTTTCAGGGTCTGGATCCGGATCTTTCAATGTGTTGAAAATGTACCACAGCGACTCGTCCTCGGCGCCATTGGCCACATTAAGCTCTTTTCTGACAGCTGTGCGGGTACCAGCCCACGCTTCGGGTGAAGAGTCCAGTCTAGACATGATAGTTTTCAGAGCATTGCGCAGCTTAGTGATAGAACGCTGTGAGTTGCGTCTATCTGTCATCGAAGTTTTGATGTAGATCCGGACATTGGAACTGGTTTCCTTGGTGTGGGTTCGAATCCAGTTGTTTGCTGAGAGAAGTGTGGTTTCTGTCTTCAAGTATCCTTCTGAAATGAGATGTTTATCAAACACGCCGACTGGAAGCCATATGCTCGGGTCTTCTTCGAGTTCATCGCCAGTTGGGACAGCAGCTATGCTGATTTCTTCGTTTGGAATATCATGACTTGGCAAAACTTCATCGGAGATATCAGGAATCTCCGGGGCCGGGATGGGCTGGGGGGGTATTCGAAGAGAATGAATGCGCGCCATTCTCTCTCATGACTTCGCCTGCTTCTTTCATATTCCATGCCACATCAAAGGTGCTCTCCCCGGGCTCCCATTCCATGCTGAATAGTTGATGAGATCATTTAAGCTTGTAAGCTGAGAATGATTGATATGGTAGATGGCAGAACTCTCACCGCCAATGTGATCTACGAATAAGACGCGACCGGTAGTTGAGGTGGCCCGACCATTACTACTCAGTATTTACATCAGTCTTGGTGAGAACTGAGATAAAAATGGTCTTTATCTTGGCAATCAAAGGTTGAATCAACTTGAATGAGATGAACAAAAGAGAGAGAAAATCGCGGGGCATTATCCACAGAATGGAGATGTAGTGCCCACATAACCAATCATAGCTCTACGGAGGTCGGTCCGGAAAGTTCTCGCCAGAAATTATAATTTCTTTTTCTTGATATATTACCGGCCCTGTATGTCAGGTGTATAGCCTGCTGTATATTGGATGTATTGCCGTGTTACGTACTAGGCTAAATATTGCTTATAACACCCGTGGACACGTAGATCTTTATCTTTTACCCCGCCTACAGTCCGTACACCCCTTCACACTTTTATCCCACCTACACAGCTACACTTTTGTCCCACCTATACAGCTACAATGAAGACCAATATTGCGCAACGTGCTGTCATTGTATACCTAAGGGCCCAAGGACATGCCCCTAAGGAGATCAGTGAATTTATGAATATTCCACGGCGTACTATAGGAGACATATGGAACCGTGCACTCGAACGAGGTTTTCAGCCGAATCAGCGACCATTCAATATATCAGATGAAATGTTAGCTGATAAAGCACGTTCTGGGCGTCCATCTAAGCAAACAGATGAGCTTAAAACCACACTTGGGGCGAAAATCCGTGTAGACCGCTATGGGCGTGAGAAAACATGTGAACAGCTAGCTGCAGAGCTACGCAGTGAATCAGGTTAGTTATTCTAAGATTTGATATTTTATTTAGTGTGTTATTTAATATGTTATTTAGTATAATATTTGATGTGTTACTTGGTGTGTTATTTGATATGTTATCTCATATGTTACTTGATATGTTATTTCCTCTAATATTTCTTCTATAATTAGGGATTAATATATCAAAAACAACAGTTTGGCATGTACTACGAAAAATTGGCCTACGAAAAACAAAGCCTACACGTAAGCCTGGGCTTGCCGCTGAGCAGAAAAAACAACGTCTTGAATGGTGTTTAAAACACGCCCATTGGACTATAGAAGACTGGAAGAATGTGATTTGGACTGATGAAACTGCGGTTGTTTTATTACACCGTCGGGGTGGATATCGTGTATGGCGTACTTCTAGTGAGCGGTTCGTCCGAAGCTGTATTCGAGAACGTTGGAAGGGGGCCTCTGAGTTCATGTTTTGGGGTGCTTTTTCTTATGATCAGAAGGGCCCCTGTCATTGTTGGGTACCTGAAACTACAGCCCAAAAGCGTGAAGCAGAACACCAAATCGCCGAATGGAATACTGAATTAGAGCCTATTATGCGTGCAGAATGGGAGCTTAATTCAGGTATACAGCGATTAGGGCTACGCAATAAGCCTGGAAGACAACCTCAGTGGAGATGGACTCAGAAGAATGGAAAGCTTGCACGCAATTCGAAAGGTGGAATCGATTGGTACCGATACAACACCGTGATTTTAGCCCCAAAACTACTTCCATTCGCCCAAGAATGTGCTCGAATTCGAACGAAAACAATAGTTCAAGAGGATAAAGCACCAGCCCATTCACATCACTACCAACAGCGAATATTTGATATAATGGGGGTCCAACGAATGATCTGGCCTGGAAATTCGCCTGATCTAAATATGATTGAACCTGCATGGCCTTGGATGAAGAGATACACTACGCGAAAAGGAGCACCTAAATCGCGTAAAGAAGGGATTAAAGTATGGGAGGCTGCGTGGCGTGATCTACCACAGGCGCAAATTCAAGCTTGGATTGAACGTATACCATGGCATATACAGCAAGTCATTAGACTAGAAGGGGGCAACGAATACGGTGAGGGGCGTGATAAATTAGGTGAAGTAGCCCCTAGCGGGTTAGGTGATAACGCCTATAACAGCGGCAGCGGCAACGACAGCGACAGCGACAGCGACAGCGACAGCGATATATGGGAAGATATGTGAATATTTACTGTTTCAAGCTGTTATTATATTTCAGTACTATATATTTCCGTTTTATATACATCTTGATTACGCGATATATTTCAATATTTACTGTATATAGCCTAGTGTGAGAAAAAGAAATTATAATTTCTGGCGAGAACTTTCCGGACCGACCTCCGTACAATATTCGACTATCATCAAGGAGTCCCGCTGACTCTCCACTTCTACTTCCAAGGTTCTACAAATTCACTTCTACAACCATAGCAATTTCATGTTATTGACCATCCAGTATATTTTCATTACATTCTATGAGATCAAGATATTCGAAAAGAATGACGTATTCATCTCACTGCGTCAAGAAATCCTCAATCTCAAACCCAACGCGTCTTAACGCCTTCTCTTCTAACTCCTGACCAGTCCCAGAAACCTTCCTTAGAACAATAGTCCTCACATCATTCAATCTCACCTCAACAGCATTACCACCTGCGCGCTCCAATTCCTCCCGCGAACATTCCCGAATATACACGGTAATATCAGGACCGACGCAAGCACGCCAAAGAGATGCCATCCACTTCCAGTGATCCAGCGGTGCATACGAATCATTAATAGGAATAGAGCAGGCAAATGCATCAGCCGTTGTGAGTTGGTAGCGTGGTACAATAGCAACTGGGATTGTGCTGTTACTAATCACGCTAGGTGAGACGGCGCTAGCATCGGATCCATTCTCACTTGATTGGGCGGGTGAGTGGATTTGCATCGTGGCTGTCTTGGGAACCAATGATTTTGGTGAGAGGCTTAAGTTTTGTTCTTCCTCGGGTGTATACCTTGAGTCAACGGATCCGGCTGTGGAGATGGACTTGACGAAGGTGATTACCTCGTCGGAGATTCGGTGCCATGCGGAAATCGTGTCAAGGTAATCGACTGTTGCATCGCCCATCTGCCCTCCTTCTGGGGTAGCTTCACGCTGAGCTTTAATATCCGGTCCTGGAAACACTTGGACGTGGTATTTTGATTCTTTTTGAAGGAGGCGGTTGAGGTACTCGACGGCGATATGGACGAGTTCTGGGTCATGGCCGTCAACTGCGATGACAGGACCCCGGATTTGGGGAGTTGATTCCCTGAATGAGGGAACTAAGGGTGGAGATATTTTGGCGAGGACTTTGATTTTGTTGAGGAATGGTATTGTCATGACAGTGGTTTCCACACTGGGTTCTATTGAGAAGTGTGGTGTGACTGGTGTCATAACGGGAGTACCGGTTTGAAGAGGTGGCAGCTTCAAACTTGGATCAGGGTGTGATTGAGCCGGCATGTTACCATACTGACGCTGAGGATGGAGCATTGGAAGCACATTTCGCTGCTGCTGCATATCCGTGCGATGATTATATTGGGGTTGTTGGTATAGAGACTCGGGAGTTCGGTCTCGGTGGGTCATTACACCTGGTGTCTTGAGACTTGTTTGAGAAACACGGCGACGTTTCATTTCGGGTGTCCGTCCGCCCATTTCATCGGCGTGTCTTGATCTGGAGCGTGAGTCTAGTGCTTCGATATTGACCATCTTAGACTCAGAGTATGCATTCTTAGCGGTCATAGTGGGTTTGTGTGTCATCGGTGGTGAGAGACCGGATGGACGATACTCGGTCGTTCCAGCTGGTACGAATGGAGTCATTGGAGAAGGTGGGTGCATGAAACGACCACCACATCGAGTGCAGTGAGTTCCACCAGATGGGTTGTTGGTGAGGCCTGTTCCTGGGCCACGGGGGTTGCCATCTCTACCACTTCTTCGTGGTTGGTAGCGATAGCCCGGATATTGTTGATTATGACGGATCTTCTCCTCCTGTTACAAATTTTGTTAGTTTCAATCTTCCTCTGAAATATTTGAATGGTTTTCTGCTTACCTCTGCCAGGGCCTTCCATTTGGCTTTTTCCTCTTCTGAGAGGTTTCTCCATTGCACGCCAATGATTTTGGAGATATCCGGATTAGCCATACCCGGATTGTGAGCAACAACAGTCGCCTGGTAATGTTGGCGATACAGTATAAAAGCTACAAAAGAAAATTAGCATGATAGCTCATCATTTTTCTAATTTCACCTGGTCTATCGAGAACACAAAACGATGATTTGTTCAAGACAAAGAAAAAGCACCATGCTCATTCACTGGTGTGGAAATTATAGACTCACCATTGCGAGGCCGAGGAACCTTTGGATCCGGCTGACAGAGACAGAACGTATCTCTTTCCTTGACAGAACGAGCTGGACTCGCACTTCCTGAAGAAGAAGACGATCGTGAAAGATCCTTCGAAACGATCGAACCCTGTCTCATCACTGGGTTGACACTGAGGTGTGGATCAAGATGAGGACTACCCTGAACAGAATGGGATATCAAATCTTGCTGATCATTTCTTGACATAGGTCTTCCTTGGTACGTCATCTGTTGCATCTGTTGGTGGGCTTGAGGCATAGCCACAGCCCGGACATCATACTTGAGCGAGTCCGGGCGGTAAGCTAAAGGAGCATGAGATTTGGGGTCGTTCATGATCTTGTGGTCAAATAAATCTCCAGGTCTGACTTGAAGAGAATCATAGTGCAGACCAGGCGGGGCGGGAAGCACTCGGTCCCAAGACATTTATCTATGAATTGTCGAGGGAAGGGGGCAATGGCCGCCACCACATACACTCGAACACAAAAGAAAGAAAGAAAAAGACAAGACAAGACGTCTCGCAGTCAGCTCAAAGAAAGAAAGAGAAAAAGTCAATCTTTTGGCTGAATGAGCAAAGACAAATATGAATGAAAGAGAATAAATCAAGGCAGAAAGAAAGGGTTATGTCAATAGAGAAAAAAAGACCAAGCCAAGGCTTTCTCAGTGTGAGAGAACTGGAATAGACGAGGTAAGAGAGAAAAAAAAATGTCTTTGAAAGAGAAAATATGAGAAAGAAAAGAGGGAAAAAAAAAGAACGAAAATGTCGTTCTATGAGGCGCAATAAAAAAAAGCCCCCGTCCAGACGGGGGAGGAAATCAACAGCACACACACGTTTCTCCCCCCCAATGATCCCAACGAGCAGAGAGGATCTATAGGCGTAAATCACCCGGACAGGAACGGTTCAAGACAAAGGCGCACGACCTATTTTTTGCGGTTTCTTTGTTGTCTTAGGTTCAATCGGGACCGAATCCCTGTCTATGTGGCTTGTCCTTTGACAATAGATCCCAATCGATGGATATCGTTGGTATCCGGGCCGCGCCAACCGAGTAAGGGGAAAGAGGTTCTGGACAAAAAAAAAGAAAAAGGGAAAAAAAAGGAAAAAAAATAAAAGAGAGATGAAAAAAAGTACGAGATTTGGAGTTCAAAATGTTGAGATCCATAAAGAAAAAAGAAAAGAAAAAAGAAAGAGATCTGTCATTCTGTCATTCTGTCAAATCCATATTGTTTAATTCTCCCTTGAACCAAGGTTATACTTCGGTTAACCAGGAACATAACCAGTTTCTTTTCCCCCCTTTTTTCTTTCTCTCTCTCTATGATACAACTATCAAGGAACAGATTCAAAGTAACCCAACTCCAGAGCAAACGAGATCATTGTTTTCTTTGTCTTTGTGGATTCCGGATGCGGCGACACGCAGCGGGGCCAGCGCTAAGTGCATTAGAGGAGAAGAGGATTGGTCGCGGCTCCATTCTCAGTTCCCCGAACAAAGAAATCCCAAACAGACAAACATATACTAAATTATTAGAATTATTATAGATATGCCACTAGATTATGATATTCCAAATTATTTAATAAATTTAAATTATGTTCTAAATATTCGGGTACTCGCACCTCCACATATCACACCTGTCATTCTACTGTATGTCGTACTCCACTTTAGGCGGAGATGATCTCATTCCCGTCGATCACTCTCCACTGTACTTTGTATGTAACTTGAACTGTCAATCGGGAACAATACTACCTACTTCTACTAGTGAGGCTTTTTCATGATCCACTCTCAACTGCTATTGCTCGGCTACTACCTCCCCGATCCAGTGGGGCACTTGAGAACTTGAGATCAATTGGAACATATCCATTCTGACTTGTCCGCGTCAGGAAATCCAGATGTCCTAGCTCCAGGCTCCAGGCTCCAGGGCTGTTTGAATGGACAATCGGGTACCGACTGCAAAGCTGATCCTAGTACGGAATATCGGGGAAGATTGATCCAGATGTTCAACTTCCTATCATGTTTCGGGAAAGATGCTTCTTTCTCATGACTCGGACCGAGATACTGTTCCGTGGTGAAACTTGACTTAATTTGAACTTGATTCCATGCATAAAGTATATATAAAAGAGGGCTATTTTTTTAATGTACATGCCAATGATGCAGCTGCAGAACGCCGTGGGGTTTGCTTGTAGCAAATGAGGAATCATTTCTCGTCTTCCTATTCCGTCCATTCAAATGTTTCTAGGTTGACTCCTTAGCATTTAACAAAACTCCATCAATACCTTGATAAATCTCCGTCGCCATCAATCGGTGCGCAGATGGACCCAGACTCATTTCGTTCCTGTAAAAGAGAAAACTCGGTCAGCGGGAATGGACATGTCAAAATGTCGATCCTATCTTTCCTTCTCCCCGATACTCCCGAGAAAGAAAGAAGAAAGTGGAACATGTTTGAAAAAGCCGAAAACAACTTACCAGAACAGATACTTGTCCGGGTTCTCACACGCCTGATGCTTATCCTTTGACATCATGACCTTAATCGCTCCCTCTGATTCGACGCAGGCATCAGCGACATTCTCCCATCCAGGATCCTCATTCGTGCCCAATCCACTTTCGGCCTTGATACCCGCTGCATAGTACTGCCAGTCCCGAATACGATCCAATAGGAAGGCATTTGTATCAAACAGGTAGATCGATCCCTTTTCCCATGACTGCGCGGTCTCCCGCAGCTTGTTGTTCCAGTGCGAGATCAGCTTGACCGCATTTTTGTACTCGTCACCCTGGCTCGTGAAAGCAGATGAGAAAGCAGGCAAGAAAGTCACGTCGACAGACTGAGTCAGGATAATCTTGAGCTTATCATAGCCCAAGGTCTCGGAGAGCTTGTTCAACTGATCCATAATGATCTCGACCCGGTGATCAATCGATGCAAGAGCAGCGTTGTAATCCTTTGAAACCAAACTCCAAATGTCCCAGACACCGAACGAGACAACGAAGATCGACCGCTCCTGTCGAGACTTGATCTGCTCCTCGGAGAAGCCTTGAACCAGTTTCATCTCCGCATCAAGCCAGTGTTGAAGCTGTGTCTTGAAGTCTCCGAGCCTTGTCTGAGACAAACGGCCTAACATATCCAGCTCTGCGTTGTCGACAACTGATCCTGCATACTTGCCCCTGAGTACGGACTTGGCGGTTTCGGCGAGGTTCTCCTGGTGACACGAGAACTAGAGTAAGACATTGTTAGCAGGGGTTCACATGAGGTCGAGACCAAATAGACTCAATACGAAGTCATCGGGTAGAAGCTTGACTCCGAGACAAGTCCAAACGGACCTCGGGAGCAAGCGTACTTGCTACTGTCTCTCGACGAGAGACAGACCGCAAGACATTCTCAACTCATCGAGGAAACGCAGATCAAAAGAAAGACAAGAAAAAAAAGGAATTCTCACCATATCGCAAAGCCAATCAGTCCAGACCTTCCCCTGTGACTCCTCTGTCTCATTATCACTCCATGAATCACCAAAGACCACTAATCGCTGATCAAACTGCTCCGCTGTCTGAAACTGTCCCGACCTAAGCGGAACGATATCGCCATAATTGTGAGACGTCAAAAACCACGCCGAGTAAAGAATCGTACACGCCGCAATGGCGCAAAGGGCGTAAAACCGATTAAAAAGGCGCATTATCGTAGTAGACTCGAAAAATAATATATATAAAAAAAGATCCCCGCACAATAATGTGCTTGCTAGCTCAACCGGTCAGGCAGAACAGATCGATCTGACCTGCCCAGGGACGGAAGAGAATATATTCTATACGAATCCGTTCGTATCGACTTGTCGCAGATTCCGGGTTATTGGTAAACCGAAGAAATATCGAGGAAAGAGTGTATAGATAGGGTGCGGTGTTGGATCTGTGTAGGATCTGTGAATGACTCGTACTATCTCAGCCGCCGAATCATCCAGATCCGCCCGTTGCGATCGGAACCGGGGGGGGTTTTATCGCCACAAATTCAGTACCAAGTCTTGGCTTTTTTTAGCGGAACGAAACCGAAACGAATGTGATAATAGAAACTTCAATAGACTGAAATACTTGAATTTATCGATGTTCGCCCCTTGGAGAGCGGTTGCAAGAGAGAAAAAAGGGGACAGATAAGATTCCCTGTGGAAGTGATTCGTAGGCTAAGCGCCGGACAAATTCCTTTTTTTTCCCTTTCTCCACCGGGAGACACCGGAGTTCAGCGGGGCGAATGGGGTGGATGTACGAACAACAACTTGTGTATAAACTTGTTAAGAATGAGATCTCTTTAACTGAAGAAACAGAATCTGATGTGATTTCTTTTTGAGGGCCACGCGGCCGGGGCGGGGAGACTCAACGTGGAAACGTATCGCGTGCGGCAACTGCAGCCCAAAGCTTAGATTGCGGGCTTGAGCACTTGAGGGGCCTCATTTCCGCCGCATACGAAAGAGAGCTTTTGAGTGGAGAACTGAGATTGTATATCAACTGGAATTCCAAGGGTCATGATTATTTTAATTTTGTGTAAACATATTCAATGATTTCAATATCTTTATTTCCAAGGATTTAATGTTCAAATGTCAACCCAAACACCGGGATGGTGCAGCAGAGATGACGAGGCCCGCAAGATCTATCGAATTCAACTCCCGGATTGCGCGATCCGGGACTAAAATTGGCCCCTGAGAGAGGTCAATATAAGTGCGCAGTTTGGGGGCGGTGCATAGTTGGCCTTAACTTGGATGTTTCAGAAGTTGAAATATCATAATAATGGTGATTTAAGTTGGAATTTAATTCTAGATCGAAAACTTCAAGTTGATATTGGAAGTTGATATAAAGTAGACAGTTTAGCCTGAAGTTGCACATGTTCAAGGTGCTCTTACAACCTTGGAAATATGCTTAAACCACGTGTTGTGCTAGGTACATCTTGCTTCCAAGGTTAGATAAAAAGACCCTTGATACTAGTACGGAGATGCTAGGTGCTTTTGCTGGACCCTTGAATGTATTTGTAAGGCCAACAATTAAGTTGTCGTGAACACCTTAGAACCTACAAGACATCCAGATACATAGTGCCAAAGCCGACTCACTACATAGTGCTACTGTGAGGAAAATGTGTCAATCCGCCATATTGAGGAGAATTTGACTAAGAAGACTCTCATAATTCTGGTCGTTAAGATACAAAAATGAAATCTATAATAACTTGAAATGGATTTGCAAATCGAAGGATGAGTGAGACATGACCGATTGAGCGCTGATGCTTATCCATGGAATCCGCTCAGGTGTCGGTGTAGATCCTCAGGTGTCTATTTCTGCCTAAGGCCTAAATGAGATGTGATATCTCACGTGACTATATTAGCGACGATGACTGATCCACTTCCACAAAAGGCTAGCGTTAGATGAGTAAGCCACACACACACTCGCTACACCAAACCTTTGGAACTCCAAAAATCCACACGACCGAACCCCTTCAACCTACCTGTCGACAACTCCGCGCTACCGTCTTGACCGCGCAATCCCCGTCAAGATGAAGCTCAACATTTCCTACCCGGCCAATGGGTCGCAGAAGATCGTCGAGGTCGAAGACGAGCGCAAGCTGCGTCCTTTCATGGAGAAGCGCATGGGCACCGAAGTCAGCAATCCCCGATCCTTGAAATTGCATACATCCACACACACAATCCCGACGAAAAATTTCACCAATCCACAACACAATATTTATACATGCAAATGTCAATGACAAGAACGAATGGGCTGATGGGTTTTTTTATTTTCGATTAGGTCCTCGGTGACTCCCTCGGCGATGAGTTCAAGGGTTACCTGTTCAAGATCACCGGTGGTAACGACAAGCAAGGTACGACAACTCGCTCCTGGGGGGGAAGATTATATGGACAATACGAATATGAAGGGCGTCCATCGAATGAACAACGTCGCTGACTAGATTTATAGGTTTCCCCATGAAGCAGGGTGGTACGTTTTGAACCGAAATTCTTTTTCCTGAACACGACCAGGAATAACACGACAACTCCTCGCAACGATACTTACTCTATCTTACAGTTCTCCTCCCCACCCGTACCCGTCTGCTCCTCGCCGACGGCCACAGCTGTTACCGTGCCCGCCGCACTGGTGAGCGCAAGCGCAAGTCCATCCGTGGTGGTACGTGAAGACTCTTCGTTCCCCTCCAGAAAAAAAAAATTTCGAATCAACCGGCAAATCTAACTCAATACCTTTACAGCCATCACCGGTCTGGACCTGTCCGTCCTTGCTCTCAGCATTGTTAAGCAGGGTGAGGGCGAGCTCCCCGGCCTGACCGACACCGTCGTCCCCAAGCGCCTGGGTCCCAAGCGTGCCACCAAGATCCGCAGCTTCTTCGGTCTTGACAAGAAGGACGATGTCCGCAAGTTCGTCATCCGCCGTACCGTCACCAAGGAGGGCAAGAAGGACTACACCAAGGCCCCCAAGATCCAGCGTCTGGTTACTCCCCAGCGTCTGCAGCGCAAGCGTCACCGCATTGCCATCAAGCGCCGCCGCTCTGAGGCTGCCCGCGAGGCTGCGTAAGTTTCCACTGCACCGGGAATATATTCCCATATGTGTCTTGTACAAGGAATTCCCAGCTAACATATTCATCTACAGTAACGACTACGCCAAGCTCCTGGCCAACCGTGTCCACGAGGAGAAGGCCAAGCGTGACGAGCTCCGCAAGCGGAGAGCTTCGTCTATGCGCAAGTAAATCTTCACCACAGTTTTATGAATCATTTCTGCGGGGAGGTTTAATTGGGGTGAGCTTCACGTTTCTGGGATGATCGAGGGATTCTACAACAAAAAAAAGAAGATCACTCCCGGGGGCGCGGATATGTCTGATAAGAAAAAGGGATCATGAAAAAAGTATGGGGGATCAGGTTTTAGCGTACAAGGCGAATGGTTTGATCACCCTCCCCGGCCTACGGTGATTCGAGTCGCGGGGAGATGCATCTGTGCTGAACCTATCTTTTGACAACCCTTTTTTGAATGGAGTGCATGCAAATTTCATTGTTTTTTTGTTCCAACGTCCTTGGTAGTGTAAGGTCTTTGTAAACAATCCTGGTTGCCTTTGCTTCGATATTTCATCTTATGGTACTTGAAACCTGGAAGCTGAACATTCGAAGTATGGTACATGTGGACATGTGTCCAATTTAAACCTGTCCGTTATGCTAAATCTATTTCTAGCGCTACAGACTTGAGAGTCCAGCCTTGAAGATTAAAGTGTACCCACCATGGCGCACTGGCATAATATTTCGAATGCCCCTCCATACTACTTCAAATGTTTGCTCTGCCTCAGGCTACCACAATTTCAATGGTAAGTGTTTTAAAAGTCAAGTGACATATTCAGACTAGGAGTTTCAAGCTTCAAATGTTCGAATGAAGGAAAGTCGCACTGTTCAAGTAGATATATCTCTTTAATTCAAATTTTAATGTGTCTCGATGTTTCTCCCTTCAAGTTGCTCATGGTACTGGCAGCACTTAAGTGCCTTTTACAGCCCTAAAGTGGAGCCTTAAATCAAACATTTGAATTCGAGTATATCAAAATTAGGCACTAGCCGCACCACCAACAATGTACGACTACATATTCTTTACTTCAAAGGTTCAAGTTAAAAACACCATACCAGTATATCCTAGAACAAATCACCTGCCATCCACGAGTACGCAGCACTTACTTCCAAGGTTGTACTTAGGGCGAATACCACTATCTCTACCCTCGGTATCAGGTCCATATAATCAATTTATGTACCAGTAGACGACCGCCTTGATGCTTATTCCAAGGTTCAAATGGTGCTGGAATACTATGTCTTTATATACCTATGATCATCAATTTGTAGCCAGGTCTCTTAGTTATTGGTCTCAAGTCATAAGCCAAATCTTTAAATTCCGTGTCACATTTTCGTCCGAGTCATGTACACATCTATACGTCCTGTGTAGTATATATGGGTTAATCAATTACCCAGATGACTAGGTATACAACTACTTGTAGTATTTAGTGAGAGACATAATCATCTTGAGCCCTGGTCGCGGTGTATCTTCCAACCTTGGAAGGCTATTGGGGGAATTAATTACCAGTTTCCTCAAGCTTGTACTAATCAATGTGGGTATTTCCATACGTAAATATATTCAACATAAGTGCCACTGCTTTGGCGGGTTCAGACTAAAATCAAATAGGTATGCTTGATCCGGTGATTCTTTCAAATTATGCACATGTGATCCATCATTTATGGTGTCATTCTTCAGATGGATTAAAAATTTAAGACAAAGCAATGTATGTCAGGCTATTGTATAGTCCCAGGTGACGACAGGGCGAAGTTCAATTACATTGACGATTTTGATCGAGAATCGACGTAATTTATTTCACTGGCAGTAGCGATCATAGAACACTTGATGTACTAGCTTTGGAAGACCAAGAGCTTCTAAAAGAAAATTGAAGATCTATTACTGCGAGTGGCTGAGTCTGCACATGTGTATTGATAGAAAGTAGTATCAACCCCACACTCAACATTTGAATGTAAACCCCACCATAAAACATCAGAAATAATACAAATTCATTAGATGAAAGGAATATTTGCACAAAGAAGTATAGCGAGGTAATCAAGAGATCCACTATAAAAGGCCGTCGAGGCTTCTAGCCATAATCTAAGAGATAAAGAAACATCCGAGACATGCAAAATGCAATTGAAAAGAAAGAAAACACTGCATCAAAGCCAGCAAAGAAAAGGCTAGTAGACGACAGCGCAGACCCATCTTTTCAGATAAAAAATAGCATAAATAAAAACACCATGAAATCCAAGCAGAGCATCCCAGATCTCGCACCCTATGGTCATAAAAATCGTATTTTTGTTTCTTCCGCCTGTAGCACAGGCCTTCGTATTGCACCGCATGGAAACTTTCCAACATATACGGATCTCCCGGCATTTAATCATTTGAAAATGGGGTATTGGATTTGATTTTCAGAAAAAAAGAAAAAAGAAGAGGAAAATATAGAAAATAAAGTTAACCCCAACCTCGCGTTTATGCGACAGCGTGCGAGAAGAGGAAGCTAACGGACTCTCCGTTGTGGGTACGACGACAAGCCTCGGCCAGCGTGGGGCTGACGTCAATAGTCTCGATGCGATCACAAGCCTCCTTCTTCTCAGCGTGGGGAACAGTGTTGGTTACCACCAGACGGCTCAGACGGCTGTTGTTCAGGTTCTCGATGGCCTTGCCGGAAAGAATACCGTGAACGACAATGGCATTCACTTCCTTGGCACCGTGGTGCATGACGGTCTCGGCGGCCTTGACCAGGGTTCCGCAGGTGTCGGCCATGTCGTCGACAATAATGGCAACCTTGCCCTCGACATTACCGACAAGAACCATGCGGGAGACTTCGTTGGGACGAGCACGCTCCTTGTGGATCAGAGCGAATTGCAGATCCAGACGGTCAGCGATAGCGGTAGCACTGTAGAAAAAGTAGAAGTATTAGATATGAGATCATACATGTATAGGATGAAAATCCCAATAGTAGAAAATGAGGAGAGGGGTCTGCTTACCGCTTGGCACCACCAGCATCGGGGCTGACAATGATACAGTTGCTGACATCCAAGTTCTCGCGGATCCACTTGAGGATGCTAGGCTCGGCATAGAGGTTGTCAACGGGGACATTGAAGAAGCCCTGGATCTGGCTAGCATGGAGATCCATAGTGATGACGTGGTTGCAACCAGCAGTCTGGAGCATGTTGGCCATGAGCTTGGCGGTAATAGGAGCACGGCTCTTATCCTTCTTATCTTGACGAGCGTAAGGGAAGTTGGGGATGACAGCGGTGATACGGCGGGCAGAAGCGGTCTTGCAAGCGTTGATCATGATCAAGAGTTCCATAAGACCGTCGTTGATATCGTTAGGGCGTGTTGACTGCAGGATGAAGACTGCATCAAGAAAACGAAGATCAGCATTAAGCTTCCCTCATGGCTTCCCTCTTTCACTTTTGGCTTTATCCAGAACACTTCCGCGGGGTTAGCGTACCATCTTCGTCTCGGACACTTTCACCGATCGTGACACTGGTTTCCTGGTTGGAGTACTGCAGGACCATAATCTTGGTCAATTCGATACCGAGGCTGTAGGTAATCTTCAATTAGCCTTTGCCGCTAATTTTTTTTTTCTTTTTCTGAGGCAAAGCCGTGCGGAAGGGATCATTTACCGATCAGCCACGAGCTGGGCAAGCTCGGGGTGACTGTTGCCAGTGAGCAACTTGATAGAGTTGGTTGCCATGATGAAGAGGAGTAAGAGAGGTAGAGATCTTGGACTTCCCAAGAGGAGAAAAAGAAGTAAAGCTTTTTGCGGAGCTCACAGAAAAATCGGAACCCGCGCCTGCCACTTTGGGCCCCGCATTTTTTTCGTATCCCGTGACCCCTCACCGCCTTATGACCGGAATTGGATTTTTCACCAGTTCGCAGATGGATCTATACGATATTATAGATTGAGGTAAGGATAAAGTCAGAGAAGTGATCGCACGAATAAAGTAACAATGGTTTTATCATTTTTCTAATATGACTTGTGACTGGTGAAACCCCGATCTATCAGCTGTCGTCTTTACATGCGGAGTTGTAGTGTTAAATGGACACCCGAAAAATACTAAATGGACACAGATAACATATTTAGAAGAACATAATGAATATGAATATTCCCTTAAAGAAAGCAATCTAAGTACAATTGTAGAAATGGGGGCTATCATAGCCTCAAGCTGACCTGCACTTCGACTAGAAGCAAAATGATTCCCGGAAAATCTTTTTTCTCCATCATTCCTCCGCTTACCCCATAACATTCATTCATTCCCCATAGAAAACGCCATATTATGCATAAGAAAGTAAAACGAAAAGAAGACAGATGAACGGAAAGAAACGCAGAAAGAACACAGATTGAAGAGTAGCCTGTTTAAGCGAATCCGAAGTACTCGCTGCCCGCCGTCATAGCGGTGTAAAGACGGAAGCGGAGGTCCTCGTAACTCTCATATTCAGGAAGATCAAGCTCTGTAGTTATGGTGTTAGTCACGATGATCTTGTGGATGAAAAATGGATGGGTCAGAATAACTTACGGTTGAAGCATGTGTGTGAACTTGGAAGACGATCCTTGTTTCCATAATCACGGTGGATATTGAACTTGCTCACACCGTTCATACCCTCCAGCTCCTTGAAGCCGTTGAGGGGAACCTTGGAGGTACCGGTGACGAACTGAAGGAGCTTAGCTCGCTCCTCCTTGTCGAACGAACGAACAGCACGCCAGAACCACTGGATCTGTGGTGAGGAGGCGGAGTAATTATGGTACTCAGTGTTGTTCTTCCACTCATCGGGGTCGATTTCAGGTAGACCAGAGATTAGAAGCTCAAGTTCTTGTTCGTTGAAAATGGAAATAAGATCCGGTGGAATAATTTCATGGAAGCCTATAAAGGTCGTTAGTTTTCTACTTATTCATGATAGAAATTTTATAGTTCATACCTTTCAGGAAGTTGTCAAGCTGTTCACGGACGGACTCAACTAGACGGTACTCAACGACGCGTTGGATGTACTCCTCCTTGTTCTCTTGAGTGACTGGAATGTTTTGGCCATCAGGGATCAGGTCGATCACCTGCTTCTCACCAAAGTCATCGGTCTCAATGGCAAAGGTCTCAGTGATAATGTCGGTAATATCGTTCTCCAACATCCAGAGAAGAGACTTGTAGTAGTCCAGGTCAAGCGTCTCCATGTCCTTAATGGAGACAGTGCGGCCAAGGATGCACTTATAGACAGCACGTGAGAAGTGGCAGTCCAAGACGCGACCCTCATAGAGGGCCTTACCAATGATGCGGCCAATAAACTTGAAGAACATCAAGTGTTCGGAGTTGATACCACTGAGACGATTAGGGTGGAAAGTGGTGCGGTCAGCTGCCACGGGAATGAACAAAGCGTAGTTGGGGTTGAACATGCCACGAGCGAGAACTTGGAACCATTCTCGGGTAACACCACCGGCATCGACACCTTCTTCGCCGTGGAAACGCACGTTGAGTTTTCCATACTTGAGCTCATCTGCACTCTTGAAGTACAATGACTTGAATGAATCAAGGAAGACCTGGTCACGTCGGACGGAAAGTTGAAGAGGGGCATGAGGGTGACGAGGTTCGGCACCACGAGAGTGCACACGACGAGTGAAGTAGTTGCGCTTGTTATCAAACTCGAGCACCTTGGGGTTCTTTACCAGTAGAGAGAATGTACCACTCATCAAGCGGGGATTTTGACGAACTAGCTCATTGAGAATCTTGCGGTGTTCCTCAGTGAATTTGAAGAAGAGGTTCTCGACACTAAGACCGGGGTCGGCCGAAGAGCTGAGGACTGAAAGTTCGCGGCTGCCACGAGAGACGGGCTGGTCCTTGAGGGTAGTGTTCTTGCAAACGACCATCAGGGCCTCAATCAATGGCAGGAGAATGGTAGCAACATTCAGCATGTTCTCCTTGTGACGGATCAGGGTCAAGCATTCGCTCAGCTTGGTCCACAAGGGGCCGAAAGTGGCACTCTCGTAGAGTCTCTTGAGAACATCTTCCTTGGGAGCAGATTCGGGCTCAGTTCCCTTGGCCTTATCAACTCGAGCAGGGTCAAAGAGATAGTCGAGGGCTGTAAGGATACGCAGTAACTTCGCCTGGTCCGAGCTGGCCGGAGAGAACTTAGCCAAAGCCAAACCTTGCATATCCGTACCAGTCTTGGATTGGTGGATATGAGGAAGAAGATCCTCCAAGTCTGCAAGAATGGTATCGCTCAGAGTCTGTGCCTGGCCCACAAGTTCGTTTCCAATCACATCGCGCGCACCGGGAATGGCAGAAAGGTTGTTGATAGTGGAAAGTGTGTCACGGAAAGTCTTTCCATTGCATTCCCGGGCAGCAAGAATATGAACAACCAGACGGAAGTTGTGATCAGGAATAACAGGAGGCTCAATGGATTTACGCTTGCGTTTCTCCTCGTCAGGCTGGTCAGTGGATTCAGGGTTCTTGTTAGAGTCCTCGCCCTCGGCGGCAGCTTCTGTGTCTTGCTCTTCAGCCGTCTCAACAGTAGGCAGGGGAGCGTCGGTCATAGTTGTATCCATTCCAGATTCATCTGACAGGATAGATGAAGTCACAGGCTCCACAGCGGAGGCACCTTCGATCTTCTTGCCCTTGGTCTTGGCCTCCTCTTCTTGCTTCTCCTTTTCACGGCGAAGCAGAACCGTAAGAGGCTGGGTGATACTGCTCAGAAGACTAGACAATTGCTCCATACAGTTAGGGCTGTCCATGATCAACTTCCTGTCCAAGAGGGAAAGCAGGGCATTCAAAGCGAACTTGTTCGCACGGTTTTCCTTGCCCTTGCCCTTGCGCAATGCCTTCATCTTGAGAGAGGATGCGGAGTCATGCTCGGTCAAGAAGAACCAAGCAATGTGGGGGTTGAACTGGGAGAGATAAGACAATGTTCCGAGACATTGTTGTACGACCATGATTGGGGTCACATCATTGCTAATGCTGGAAGCCGCTTGAAGGGAAATATTGCGCTTGGCAGACTGTGGAGTCTTTTGTGTATTGGGAGCCTTTGCGCGGAGCGACAAGTGAGAAAAGCTGCGCTCGATAGCAGAAGAATCAACACTGCCATCTTGTAGCACGGAAAGAAGAAGACTGATGACCTCGCCGCGGTTCTGGCGATTCTCACAGACGTTGTGGAGAATGTCATTCAACTGGTGGCGTGAATTACCTTGCAGAGGCATGAACATCAACCGCAAGAGAGTGGCAACACCAGCTTTGTCAAGCATTTGGACCATTTGGCGTCGCTGAGACTTCTTAGGCTCTTCTTGATCTTCAGGCTGTTCGATTCTCGGGCGGCGTTGCATTCCAGGGACAAGATCCTCAAACTGAGCAATACGACGACCGCCGAGAGCTCGGGCTTCTGTTAGGTATTCGGGACCCAGTGTGGCGAGGACATCCTCAGGCTGATCAGCGAGAACAGCTTGACGCAAAGAAGGATCAAGTGTTGCAAGGAAACTAGCAGCATCCATATCCTCCGCGCGAGGGGGAGCACCAGTAGTAGCGGCCTGGCGACGGGCAATTTCTCGCTCACGTCGACGCCGGTCAGCAGCCTCCTGTTGCAATAGTTCTTCACGGATTTCAGCGGGCAAAGCCTCGAGGAATTCTTCGCTGATGTCTGTTGGTTCTTCGCCTGCAGCGGCAGCTTGGGATCGCTGGTCGACAGCCTGCTGTAGGATAACTTCCTCTCGGAGTTCTTCCGGCAGAGCCTCCAAGTATTCAGGGTCGATCTCCAGCGAAGTGATATCAAGCTGGCGGCCTCGAATATTGTAGTAAACGCGCGGCTGGTCTTGGTTATCATTAGACGAGGGAATAGGAGCTTCATTGACAGGAGCAGTAGTAGGTTCTCCAGTTTCTTGGACATCCTCCATAGGCTCATCATCGATGCCGGCCGCATGGCGCTCAGCTTCTTGCTGTTCTCTTTCGGCTTGGATTCTAGCATTTTCTTCTGCTTCTTCGCGTTGACGCTCTCGTTCCTCCTCCTCTCTGGCGACACGTGCTAGGCGTTCTTTCTCCGCCTGTTCCTCACGGTAGCGCTCTCGCTCCTCCTCCGCCTGCTTCTGGCGTTGCTTTGCCTCTTCCATGGCAGGTGGAACCAGGACCTTCAGCAGACTATTGACAATGCGTTGTGTCCGCTCCACATACGCGCCGCTGAACATGATTCGGGCTTCTTCTTGCCAGCGATTGCGGGTGGTCGATAAAGAAAACTTGACGGCATTGTGAGGATCGTCACGACTACGAGCTGAGGGCTGAGCGGCACGAGCAAGAGTACCAAACATATCCTGAAGACGGTGAGGTATCATTGCGCGGCGATCGACATGAACATGAATGCCATCGGGGCGAGTAACAACGCCGAAGCCAGGAGTACTTTGTCCTCCAATGGCTTGCATGATAGCATTCATGAAGGTGACAGGACTGTCCATTGGGATCATTCGGCCACCGCCTTCAACTTGACCCCAATCAGCGGCACTAAATGGATCGTTAGGGTTGGGGGCGAGACGCTGGGCAGAGGAATCGCCGCCAGCATCATTGCGCATTAGCAGAGGGTTAGTACCGTCGTCATTACCACGGGGTTGGCCATGAGTGCGGTGAACACGAGGGTAAGGCTGGACAGGCAAGAGACCACCGTGTCGACCAGGCATAATTTCAGTCACAGTAGCCCAAGCTGGTGGGACTCCACCACGGAAACGATGGTGATGATGGGGTCGGGGTAGAGGGGCTTCATCGCCCTCCCAGCCCCAAGGCTCGATCATGTCGTCATCTTGAAGAAGTGTGAGTAAGACTCTTTCAAGTATTGACAATAAATGGAGGGGATTCGAATTACCGTCCATTTCTCCCTCGGAGCCATGATCCATATCATAGTCGTAGTCATCGTAGTCATCCATTTCATCGTCCATCTCGTCCATCTCCTCATCGTCCTCTAGAAAGTGGTGCGTTAGCACAGTAAAATCAACATTGTACAATCGAATAAACAGAACACATACCTCCTTCGTCATCCATGAGGTCTCCATGCAAATCGCCTACAAGGGGATCTTCATGCATATCATCGTCAGCAGCAGCAGCAGCATCATTGAGAACACGGAAAATATCATCGATGCGATGAGGAGCCGCTTGGGTGTTGGATTGACGAATGTCAGCCAGCTCTTCCTCGAACTGATTCATCATTTCAGCTTCCTCTTCATCCTCTGTAATGTCTTCACTCTCCCATTGATCGTCTTCTCCTTCTCCAAGACTCTCATTGTCGTGATCGCCAGTGATTTCATCAGCGAACATATCATCTTCATCCATTTCCGAATGATCATCCTCGTCATCATCATCTTCATCATCTCCTTCATCGTCCTCATCGTCATCATCATCGATGATAACCTCCACAGCATCTCCTGAAAGACCTTCAACAGGACCCATGCCTTCTTCATCGTCATCGCTGACAACTTCACCATCATCCTCGATGATTTCTTCATCATAGTCCATTTCCTCATCGTATTCATCTTCATACATGTCATCATCCTCACCCTCTGACTCTTCGGTGCTAGATTCTTCCTCGTCGTGGCGAGGCTCCAGCATACCCAGTGTAGAGTGGCGGAAGAGATCGGGAGTCTCCTCACGGTCATCCTCCATGTCAGAGACTGAGGTTGCAGAAGAAATATCATCATCATCAGCTTCGCCCAGATTGGGGATATCATTGTTATCGCAGAGCATCACTGCGGTCTGGGTCAGCTTGTTAAGAGGACGGAGGATGTACTTGATAACACGCTTAGATGATGGGAAATTGAGGTCAACGTCGGCAACGGAAGCAGTCAACGCAGGAATGAAGTGTTTTTCGAACATGGTCTTGGCCAACTGTCTTGTTGAAGATGGGAAGCCCGCATCCTGAGAGTAGGAGTATCCACTCAGCATCTTGTCGAAAAGATCAGCAAGACACATCAGCTTGGAGTATTTGATATCCAAGGACTCAGTAGAAGCATTGGCGTCCTTGTAAGATCGGATCGCATGTTCAAGCACAAATCTGCGAACGAAGGCAAGTTCCGGCTCATCCTCTTCCAGGGGCGCTTGTTCATTGCGACGTCTGCCGGGGCTACCGTGCTCGCCAGTCTTGGTACATAGAGCAACAAGAACCTGCATAGTCCACGTTGAAGTAATACTGCGTTTTTTGAATGCCAACGACTCGTCGTGCTCCATAGTGCCAAGAGGAACAAGCACATTTAGCAAGTAGTTCAGAATGCCAGAGCGTGGCTTGGAAGGTGTCATGACCAGAGGGTCAGCTTTGCGAGAGAAGTTGATAAACTCAACCTTGGTACGGTTGTAGGATGACAGAAGTTCAGTAAGGCATTGAAGCAAGAAGCATCGGTAGATGTAAATTGGATGATCCTCAGCATTGAACAGCGGTTTCTCGCCCTTCTTGGTAGATACGCGGTTGTTGTTAGCCTGCTGGGTATCCGCAGCGCTTGACACCGAGGGGGTTGGCTCATCAATAGACATGTCAACATCAGTTTGAGATTGGGCCTCAGGCTGATCAGCAGAAGGCTGCTCAGATGGCTCAGCCGCGGCCTCCTTATCATCAACGTCTTTGTATGAGAGCAGTTCTGACAAGAGATAGTGAATAACACCATCCGGATTCTCAACCACAGGCGCTTTTAGCTCTGAGGTCTTGCCGTGGTTCTTGTCCTTGTCATCGGAGGTAGATGGCTCGCCTGCAGAGGTGTCATTCTTGCTGCTGCCCTCGCCACTATCTTTGTCTTGTTTCGTGCGATCATTGAGTTTCGGATCAACCTTCAAGACAAGAGCTTGTGGGCGCTGGTGAGATTCGTATCGCGCAAGCTTCAACTTCTCGTTGGTCACCTCCACGAAAATCTCGGGCGCACGAAGCACAAGATGATACATTTGGCGGACATAGCCAGTAGTGTCAATTTGACGAGTTGATTTGTTCGTGAAGTTGGATACAATCTCGCTGCGCATGATTTGGCGGATTGTAGCTTCATCCTCGACGATATGGCGCAAAATCAACATGAATGAGCTTTGGAGTTTCTCATTTGTAGAGCTGCCCAGCTGCTTGACCATGACAAAGAGGCGCTGCAAGTTGCGCTTCTCGCCAAATCGAGCCGCAATGCTGCGCTGACGAGTCAGAATGACTAGAACACGGCAGATCGAAAGCGCCAAGGTATCATCCTTGCCCACGCGCGGAAGAATGTCAACCAGGGCCTCGAAAAGCTGGGTCTTCTCATCGAGAGAGATGAGAGGCTCTTCAAGTCGCGCAATTTGATCATTCTGGGACTTCTTATACTCATCTGGATTTGGAGGAGTCCAGGTGATTAGAGGAGGCTGGCAATCATCCGATAGCAGCTTCTCTAGGGTCAGTAGCACATGGCCGATCCAAGGGAAAGACTCATCAGCAGACTTCTCCTGGGGATGGAGTTTGATGAATCCAAGGAATGTAGGAAAGCAGTCCTTAAGCTCCTCCAAGGTGGCACTGTACATGTCTCGATCTTGAAGAACCAGTGCAAGGATATGCGCATAGGCGGCAACCTTCTTTCCAGCTGTTTGGAAGTTCTCCATCTGCAATGAAACCAGTGACTGAACAAGAGTCTCACCGATGTCACGGCGAAAGCTTTCCGGTTCGCGATGCTTCTTAATCGCAGACGATATGAGATCCGCCAGCTCGAAGGACACATCGTGATGAACATTAAGAACATCCAAACAACGCTCAATTAGATTAGATCGAACCTTCTCGCGTTCAGCATCAAGATCCTCGACAGTGACAAGCTGGCGACGGCGCGTAGGCTCTTGGGTCTGATTGGCAGACTCGGTGGGGCCCTGGCCAGAATGTGGGCGGCCTTGTTGGTGTGTTGACTCGCCCCGTTCAATGCCTCGCTCAGCAATGTCAATCTCTTGGGTATCAGGATGGATAACATTATTGAGTGCGCGTGCCAATCCATCGCGCATGGTAGGATCCATGTCCTCATTGCCTTCGATAGCAGAACGCATAGGGTCATCAGCGGAACTTCCAGTTGCTTGAGCAAGCAGCATGGCCAGAGCAGGCGCCTCCAGGAAACCACGAGGGAAAGCACTGGCATCGTCAGGAACAGTATCTTCAAGGCCCTCGCCGCCAGAGGCGTTCTCAGATGATCCAGTCTGAATATCAGTGGGGCGAGGAGGCAGGCGAGGAGGAGCGCGAAGCCATTTCTGAGCTTTGCAGTATTCTTCCGCTGCAGTCAAGACATTGTTGCAGCGATAGAGAGCCTCTTTGTTCAAATCGGGATCTTCAAATCCCTTTTCTTTCAAGGCTGCCTCGCGGTCTTTGTTGACAACGAAGGGCTTGCGCGGTACTTCGGTCAAGGCAGGAGGAGTATCGGACTTGGAAGCAGCGCCAGTCTCATATTCTCCATCCATTGACGAGCGAAGGATATCGACCAGGAATTTAACAATCATGCTTTGAGATTGAGTTGCAAAGTCGGAATTCCACATTGCTTGAGCCATGGGCAAGATTTCCATGCGAAGATCAACCTGGAATTGACCAGGCTGGAAGTAATCAGGACGGCCACGATCGCGATCATGATTACTGGTCATTGCTTGTGTCTGGGTTGACTCCACAATGCTTTTTCCGGCAGCAAGTTCGGTGAAAATGGCAAGGATTATCTTGATTCCACCGTAGGCGGCCGTAAGCTGTTCGGATACTTCCTTATCGGTTTCCGTACCACGGTCCAAAGGCTTCAGGGTGTTGACTTCCTCCATGAAAACCTCACACAGATCCTTCAACGCCTGGAGACCCTTGTTCCGCTTGAATGCAACAAGAACAAGAGTCAAATAATTTGGCTGCGGCCGGTCACCAGCTGCTTCGTAAAGAAGGTGTGAAAATTGAGATAAGATCACGATCACGTAGGGGAATCGATATTGAGAGCTAGCGCTTGAGTTAGGAGCACTCAGCTGCAAAGCACGGAGAACAGAATCAGCGATAGCCTCAGCAACCATGTTAGCATTTTGCTTTCCTTTCTGATAAGGATCGCCACGACGCTTGCCAATAAGACCGAGACCAAGATTGTGCATAAAGCCAGTAATTGTCAGTGGCACCGCGCCCAAGAGGTATCGAAGAGTCTGGACATTCTTGAAAGCAGAGCTTTCTTCGTCAACCTTCTTGTCAGCACCTTCCGACTCTTGCGCAGCTGGCGTCTTTGAACCCTCGGGTGCACTAGAGGCACCTTCCTGTGGAGGACGAGAAGTACTTGAATCTCCAGCACCTTGAGCGGGTCCAGTTGCCGGAACGGCAGATTTACCGGCGTCAGGTTTACCGGCAAGTGGCTTCTTGCCTTGTGTCCAGAGATCCGGGTTGAGCTTCTCATTGACAATTGCCTCCCAAACACAGGCGGCTTGGAGATTACCAAGACCAGTGATCAGGTTGCAGTAACGGTCAGCGAGGTTGACCTGTCCAAAGGCAGAGACTTGCTGCACAGATCGACTTTGGTAAAGAGGCATAGCGAAAATCTCACGGAGCATGTCTGTAAGAACGAGTGCCGCGTTCAAGTTCTTCACAAAAAATGTTCCATTAGATAGAGCCTCGGTAGGTTCAGAAACGGGCGCCTTGGATTCGCGGGGCCGGGTAAATGAGGTGAAGAACCCGGAATCTTTGGGGTCATTCCAGAAGGGAGTAAGAGTGTCTACTGCCGACTGTGCGCGCTCAAGTATCGACGGAATCACTAGGTGCGGCTTAGTCTCAGCAAGCATGTGGACAAGTACGGTGAGTTCTTGATTAGGGTCAGTGCCATGGAAGCCGTAAGGCAGACTCTGAAGCGTAGCATAATCCAAGATGAACTCCGCACCACCGGCCTGAATGAATGATGTGCAGTTGGGCTGGTTCTCAAAGAAAGCACCAAGGAATCGAATAGCGGGGAAAAGGTAATCAGCCACCTTAAGGCCATGCTCATCTTGATCCTTGGGCTCAAAGTCCTCCTGGGGTGACGGGAGAAGCTGGCTCACATCACCAACAAGCAACTTTCCACCGTTGGGGAGAGTATGGGCATTGAGCTCAGGAACACCAATGGTCGATGGCAGCTCCATCGAGGCATCAGAAGCAACACCAATATCGCGGAACAGGTCAGCAACAGGTCCTGATAGAATGACCTTGTTATCAGAGTCCTCCGTCCATAGCTTAGCGCCGAGACCAGATTTCCACGCCTTGGTTTTAGCGAGAAGATTGACACGGGCAGTCATAACAATTACAGCAGACATGATGGATGCCTTGAGAGCTGGGTGGTGTCGTACAAGTTCATCGAATGCCGTACCCAAGGAGCGGACTAGATTAGGATCATCCTTGAGACATTTGACATGCTCCGGATTCTCGAATATCTCAAAGAAACTCTCAAGAGCATCAGAAGATTGGAAGAGATCTAGACCAGACGCGTTCAAGCAGATAGCGCCGAAGGCAGATGGAATGCAAGCAAGAGCATCAGCGGCAGCAATGATGCCCGGTGCGAGTGGTGTGTCAGGCTGACGAGCCATGATGTACTCACGAGTCTCCTTGCTTTCGGTGGGAGAAATAGGCTCAAGAGGAGGCACTTCACCCGAAGACTCACCTTCAGCAGCAGTTTCAGGAGCATCTTCTGGTTCCACCGCAGGGGGCTTCTCCTTCACCTTGAGCTCGCGGCCCATCACAGCAGAGAGAAGACTTCGACTGAGACCAGCTTCGGCAATAACAGCGTAGCTGGTAGGCTCATTGTGGATGAAACTACTCAAAATGTTGACAGCATTGCTCCAAACGTGCGAGCCAAAGATCTGTGAGTTCTCAAACACCAGGCGTAGAGAGGTAAGAAGCTGGGGAGAGTCAATCAAATTTCTCAGAACTCGGTCGAAGCCTCCGCCATTGTGCTGCATGATATGGTTCACAAATCGGAACAACCACCGTAGAGCTTGCTGCTGGAAATAAGGGATCTGGTAATCGATTGACGGGTTCTTAAATTGAGAAGGGAAACCGTCTCCACGTGAGACGTGCTCGAAGGCAGTCTTAGTCTCGTGGTCGATTAGAGCAGAGATCGCATCAAATCCCTTAGATGTAGTTAGAGTACCCAGAGCATCTCGGACAGCGTGAACAAAGGTATCAAGGAACTCCATGATGCGAGAGTAGACACGGCGAACCTTCGCTGTACGAAGATTGAGGACATCAACGAACATAGGAATAAGACCAGCTGCGACGAGTGTTTCCGGGGTACGCGAACTTGAACTTGGGAGGGTGCGAAGGAGGGCAAGCAGCGCATCTCGCCATTCATCATTTCTAGAATCATCGCCCTCGTCATCCTCAGTACCCAACTCGTTGACAACCTTGCGGGTCAGGAACATCAAAACACCGTGGTTGACATTGACACTCAAAGCTGCGCAAACATCAACCGCACGGGCTTTATGTTTAGCCAAAGCATCAAGTGCCTGAAGTGCCAAAGTCTGCAGGCTTCGCGAGACGTTAAGATCTCCACTCGCACCCAAATGCACCAACTCAGCCAGCTGGAATGTCAATTGAAGGCGCTTCGACTGCTCCAAGTCATACTGAAGAACCTTCTGTTGGAATGTCGACTCAGCTTGGACGTAGGCAAGATTGGTGACAGCAAGGATACGAATCGCAAGAATCTGCTCACGAGTTTCCACGGATCCAGCCAAAGCCTGCGCAACGCGGACTTTGTGAAGCAATTCATACTTTGACTCAATGGGGAGATGGGGCATGTTAGTTGCAAGAATATCCTCTGGTTTGGCAGATGCAAGTTTAGAGTGTGGCAAGTCCAGGATTTTACCACCTCGTGATGCCTCATCTCCCTTGCCGCCAGGGGTTGTGGTTGTGGTTGTGTTTGTGTTTGGATTTGTAGCAGGGGAGTCATCCACGCTTGAGCCCTGAGTGAAACGTGGGGTGGGATGAGTTGCACTACGACGAAGAGGTGTAGGTGTTGTTGGCGCATGAGCAACATTACTATCGCCTTGTCCAAAATCCGAGGTTGTCCGCGTCTGTTCAGAGGAGCCAGACGGGTAATAGAGAACCCGGACACTAGCCCATTCTTCAAAACCTTGCCCATCTTGTACCAACGAAGTTAATTCATTGGCATTGAGCTTGGTCTGGACCGTCTTCTCTTTGCCCTTGGCCTGGACGGCGGAGGATGCAGCAAATGAATTTTTACTGGCAACGAATGGACGAGGGAAGGGAGCGGCAATTTTCTGGAGTTTCTCTAAATCGATGTTGTAATGAGTAGCCAGCATACTCTGCTGGTGAGAGCCGCGTTGGCGCGAGTGATATCGTTGAGCTAGGCAGAGAGACAGGCGCAAAGTTGACTGGAGAAGAGTCAAAGAAGTAGTGTTCAAGAGGTCTCCCAGACGTTCACTGCTGCTATAAAGACTGCGATTTCCACATTTCTCGAGTAACAGACGGGAAAATTCCAAGATAGCCTCCACTAGCTCCCGATCACCTTCAGACCCATATCCCAGGGTATCCAGTTTGGCATCAATGCCCTCTGCTGGCGGTTTAACCGCATACGACTCTTCCAAAACGCTTTTTCTGAATGATTGTGTTTGGGGACCGGTGTTCAGGAAATATTTCTCGATGACGGAAGCCAAGATCTCATCGAACCGATCCAAGACGTTAATCCAGTGATAAAGATCGCCTCGAGGAAATGGCCATAACCTCGGGAATGTGCTGAAAAGGGAAGGAAGCTCTGGAATAGGAAGGCTTGTGGCATTGGCGATGAATTTCGCCAAAAATGGTGACTATAATGATAGAAGAAAAATTTTTAGTGAAAGATTCTAACCAATGATGGTATCGTGGATGAAGCCGATACTTACAATTGTAGCCTCATGCTTTTGGCTAGCCACCTTCTTAATTCTCCCCATGTTGGCAATCGAGCGGGCAGCCAATCATGAGGGGTTTCACAGAATCCAGGAGTGTGAGTCTCCTAGAGGAGGGGGGGAGGATTGGACGCGGTGTGGGGTGGTTGAGAGACCGGGTCGCGGAGCAAGCGCGAAGATGCCTTATGACGTTTTTGGTCCTCTTCTTTCCTACCTCACCTAATATGAGTCAGTTCAGGTTCAAGAAAGGTGGTTTAGATAATATCTCTCGGGTATTTTTTCGATATGAAACTGACTTTATCAAGTGAAGGTTTTATCTAACGCGAAGGATGTTTCAGTTGAGAAACTGATGGGGTAATAAAGAGGTGGTGAGATATTCGGGGACGGTCAATGAAGTCAAAGCCAGTCAGGGAAACGGTGCAGGACGTTTAACCCAACTAATTATTGACAAGAAAAGACCGAAAAGGAAGAAAGGTAAAGAAGAAGGTGATGGGGGGAAGATATGAGAGAGAGGGGTTGGGGAAAAGAAGATGAAGAGAAGATTCTCGTCCAAGATGAGCTGTGGTCTCTGCCGGCAGTTAAAGCTGTGTAATTCTGGGCGGTTCCCCGCTGGAGGCGGTCAAGGCTACAAGGCATTCCCCGTTTCTTTGTATAATCCAGGCTTGTACACTCTCTTTTGGTCTCTTTCATTAAATATTACTATTCAAACTTCCAGGATTTATAACTCGTTTGATTCCAAGCTGAAATATTTATTATGCTTTCAACAGATAGAACCCTAAATTACCCCGGTGGTTTATCTACAAACGTCGTCTTATTATACAGAGTTGATTCCCAACCTTGGACAACTAGAGACTTGAATGCGATGCTACCGAACACATGATTCTTGGGGAAAGAAACTATTGAAACTATACAGATTCCTACAGCAATACAAAATAATTCATTTCCGCCCACTACAGACTTGGCAGTTCTCCATCCCACTGGATCTTCATCGTCGTTGGGAATGGAGAATAGTTGCTCTGCTCCTCATCCATATATATCGTGATCCCGAAGGAGCCTGGGATCTTCTTCACCTCCCCTTGTGGACCTGGAGTACGGCGAAGATTCTTCAATTGACCAACAACACGGAGCATAGTAGGGAGAGCAGTCTCACACAATTCAAGTCCCAGGCATTGATGGGGACCGGATCCAAAGTGAATATACTTGCTCATGTCCCGATCTAAGCGGACCGTCTCGGGATCTGGGAATGCCTTTGCATCCTGACCAGCGGCGACCTAGACAAATTTCTTGTTAACAACATTCACCCTGAGTGTAGGACACCTCTTATTGAGACATACCAGATTGCAAACTATTTCCTGTCCTGCCTTCAACGTGACGTTCACGCCATTGTCTTCGACGACTGTGGGCTTGGCAACTTCCCGCGGAAGAGCAACAGTCGATCGGATCCGTGCGCCCTCCATAAAGCTAATATACGTTAATATGATATCCACTTTATAATAACTCTCGCAATTTCGAAGGTTCATGATACTTACTATCGCAGAAGAAGCTCATCAGACTCTGGGGTAGTCTCCTTAGACAACCGCTGAATCTCGGCAAGATGAGCGGCATTTTGTGGCTCAAGATAAAAGTCCAGGATTTGACTAAACAGCTGTGCTTGATTGGCAACCATCGAACTGGCCGATGGCATGATCTGCGTCCACACAATGTCCTTCGTGGGCATGCCACTATTGAGGAGATGCTGGATCATATGAACACCGTAGTCACTGAGTACATCATGTCGATGAATGCGGCTCACGATATTAGCAATGAATCCACTCTTATCAATTACCTCGACATTGGCCATGACCAACTCTCCCAGCTGCTGAGCGACTGCACGACCAGCCTGCTCAAGCTTGAAAGAGTTGGCGACATCCACATTGTAGAAGATGCAAGTGAAGACCAAAGCCAGAATCTGGTAAAGCTCGAGTTCAGAAAAGACACCCTTGGGATTAGACTCAGTCTTCAGTGGCAAGGAAAATAGATGAGCACAGAAATGGACATGTGCGAGATTGGATACATCGCGGGCAATATCCACTTGGTTTACACCAGCCACCTTGTAAGAGTTCCGCTTGAGTAGCTGAATTGTGATGTCTCTGTAGAAAGTTTGGACTTCAGACTTCCACTTGTTTCGGTACAGCGCAGCACCGACGATCTTACGGGATTCTGCATTTGGCGGACGATCTCCAGCCAGACAGAAATCGCGACCGTATGGATGACCATCGCGATGAACGAGAAACTCAATCGTCTTACCCCAAGTCACCTTGAAAGCTTCTTGGTTCTCTAAAATGCTTCGGCATGCGGCTTGGGAGTTGATGATCGTCGGAATGGGGGTATAGCTAGGTGCAGCATAGCTGTACATATGACCCTTTCCAAGACTCTTCAGGATCTTCTGGTTCTCACTCGGGATAACCATTGGGAAATGAGCATAGACAGAGTCTCCACTGAAGTGATTGGGGAAGGCCCTCAGAGCCAGCTTGTAGAAGACTTGGCCTTGATCAACTGAGGTATCATAGTTGATCTCATTGTATGCCCAGTTGGTAAGGTGCTTGGGAGTATAATCAGTGGTGTAGAAGCGATCACCTCTGACCAGCGAGACAGCATCCGAGAGAATTGCTCGAGAGATTGTGTAGTTGGTACACAAGCCACTACCTGGCACCACAGCCTTCTTGGCATCTTCCACAATAAGACCAGGGTAGAGCTCGACTAGATCGGGATGATCATAGAAATGGCGGAGCTGGTCAACAATTTCTGGGTCCGAATTAATCTCTTCGAAGGTCTTGTATGGAGCCAGACTGAAGTAGGATCGGAATTCATTCAAAGTAGCCAGGTTCCATGAACGCGCTTGCTTAATACCGAGGATCTCAACAGCCCTGAAAATAGGTGGCACATTCGATGCCCCAAAGGCACCAGCAACATCTTCGACACTATCCTGGAAGATCTTGACCAGGTCATCATCAGGGTAAGAGCCGTCTGCCTGTCGCTGAAGATTTGCGAAAGGACGCTTCTCGGGTTCCTCTGGAAGGGTGGCCTCCCATTTATAGAGACCTTGAACAAACTGTGGCAGACTGAGTGTGTTTGGGTCATCACCCTTGAACAGGTCCTTGTAGAGGTCCTCAGACCACTTCTGGTCTCGGGCGGAGATACAAGAATGCCACCTGTAGACAAGATTGAACTCTGCCGAGACCTGGTTTCCAGTGGCCTGAGCCGGAGCATCACCCAGCAAGCCATCCTTGATTTCCGCTCGTGGGTCCAAACTCCAGATGCTGTCTGTGCGGTTCAGATTGAGAATGGTACGAACGTAATCTTTCAGGATGATGTTGATGTAGAGGCCACAGGTGATCAAGCGTCCAGTTTGGAAGAGGTCATTCTCCCATGTAGCATATGCCTTCTCATTCGATTCGGCTGGCTTCGTAAAGCGACCATTCTCATTGATCGCGGCCAAGTTCTCCACAACATGGTTGTGGAAGCGGTTGAACATGATGAGCAAGACGCCAACACCAGGAGGGAATCCGAGAACACGCTTTGTGGAGAAGACATCTGGCTTCAGCTTACCATCCTTGAAGGTTCTAACGGCATTTTGCTCGTCTTGGTTGTTACCATAGAGAGGTCCTAGATCAAGATAAGATGAGGTCTTGGAAACAGTGCCATCTCGAGGGTCAGTTTGGAAAAGATCTGTTTTCCCCCATATTAATTATCAGCTCACCCAATGCTTGTGTCTATGAGCAAACCTACCGTGAATAATAATAGATGCAAGATAGAACAGCACACTTGAAATCTTGTTCGGGTGCTCTTTGAACTCTTTTCGAGCAAGTAAGCTATCGAACAGAGTGCCTGGATCTGGCCGGGCAACAGGCTGTACAATAGTTGGTCGGACAGTTCTTGCGTAGGGGGTGTTTGCGGCACCAATGTTTGGCCAAAATGGGTTCTATCATTTTTATGAGATTCGTTGTTCTTCAAGATGTTCAAGGCAACTTACATTTCCAGATCCATCGGCTTTGCGGTAGGATGAATCACGACCAAGATAACTATTCTGGTAAGTATGCATATTCAGGCAAAGGATGCATTTTGCTGACGAAAGAGCGAGGACTCACGAAATGGGTGGATGCTGCAAATCTTTCCAAAGAGTAGTCAGAAAAGTGTTTGTCAAATCCTTGCCGTCGCGAGAAGTGGACGGCAGGCCTGCAGCAAGCTGTTAAAGAATATAAATGTTAGTATTTCCAGAACAAGCTTGAAGCTTCCTTGGATATTTTCAAGATAAACAAACCTGAATGACTCGTTCCATGATGTAGTCCCGATCATTCCAAGGCTCCCCGGTAACCGAATCCTTGACAACTTCAACAAGTGCCTTCACCTCTTTTAGGTGAACGTGGCCCAAATCTTTGATGATGCCTGTAGTTTTGGTTTCCTTGACATAGGTTCCATCACCGGTTTTAGCTGGCAAGGGTCTCAGTGATGCAGCGACGACCTGTTCGACCTGAGCGATCTTGCTCTCGTGACCATTGGTTTCGTTGGCCATGGTGGGCTTGAAAGTATGTACAAGATTGAACTAGTGCTATTGGAATGGTTCTGCTGAGGTTGATGTAGTCGTATGGAAAAGAGCTAATCGATATGATCGAAGTATATGGATCAGTCTTGCCAATGATCTGGCATTTAATGTTAGCGTTGAAATAGACAGCTCTGGGTCATATTCTCATAAATTCCAGGAACCAACCAAAGCCGAGGTTCGTCCGAAACAAACACCAGTTCGCATGTTATTTTCATCTGGGGAAGATAATCAAATGATTTGAAAAAGGAAAATGACCTACCAATGGACTGATCTGGTGATAAGAGCCCCAAGAATTGATTGCGAGACGGAGTAACCGGGAAGTTTTTTTGTGTCAGACAAAGTAATCAATCAATCACGAATCAAAAGCTGATAATCTCGCAAAATCCACTACTCAAAAAACGCAATGATTAAATTATGAACAAGATCCAAGGTGAAAATAAATCCAACTCAGTGTCATGGGATACAATCGGAGGGTAATTGGTGGCTTATAACCGTTTAGTTATTACTTATTACTTTTCTTCGGCAACCAGAGCTGAATGTCCTGTCACGGCTCCATTTTCCGCTCAGCCCAGTCTCAAGTGCTCCATCTAGTCTCCATCTAGTCTCCATTTGACTTAGACTTTCAGCCTTTGGCCGCCCAAGAAACCTGGGCGTTGGCTGCGGATATGCATTGGCAATGACAGCCGAAGTGTGGCCCCACAAGTGAAAGAGAAATGGACTGATTCTCATTAGTGCATCCAAAATCCCATGTGAAATGGATTGGATTCGCACGTTCTCGACTATACTTTCTACGGGGTATTTTATTCATGTCATCATGATGCACGGAGTAATCCGTAACTATGGATGTGTGTGTTGCATATTTGTATTATTCCTAGCGAATCAACAACGTGCAGGGTTGACGGCCCCCGAGGGGGCAACCTGGGGCCGTGTAGGCTTATCTAGGATGTGTTGCCTGGTTTGACCTTAGCTGCAGAATAGTTAATTCAATTACATTTAATTGGTGCATGAAAGACTCAGCTCACAATGTTTAGCCAGTGGCGATCTGCACTCAGTGGGGCTCGGTTCTACATTTGCACTACAATAATCTCACTTTTGAGACTGAATGAGCCTAGTGATCCTTGAATGTTCCATGGATCATGCCTGATTCCTCTCGAGGGGCGGAGTCTTATGACACATAGAGTCCATACTAATCCATGTCATTCTAGTGGTTATCATCAAGGGGCGCCTGACGACTTTCTTTGTGATAATTGGTGATGTATCATGATTTCAATTTGGACTCGGCCAGCCTTACCGAGGCAGCATCGGTCTAAAAGCAAACAATTCAACACTCTACGGATTAGAATATTTATTATTATTTTACAGGCTAACTATTGTGGGTTTAGTTAAAGGGACACACAGCCTCGAGGACCCACATGTGCACTTCAAGTGGCTCCGAGTCATCACTATGAACATCTAATGTACCCAGGTGCCTGGGTGGAGCCGATGTCCTCTCATACCAGTTGACGAAGTAGAGACTGGTACTCTATGGTGACAATTAATGCCCTTCAGCCTTGGAAGAGCTCAGTTGTACCTTCACAAGAGTATAATAGACTGGAACCCTTGTCATTGGTACTATGAATAGTGATTTGTGCACTACCTAGGTAATATTCATGCATCCGATTCTCTCAAAATAAACCCGAGTAAAAGCCGACTCAGAATGTTATTGAAAGGTTGAAGGTGCACATTTCCATTATCTTCATCTCTTTATCATCTAAATAAACTCTTACAGCTGAGAAGGAAACTATTTCGATGATCACAAAGAAGCTGAATAAGGTTTTATTGTGGACTATTTTGATCATGCCCAAGTGCTTAGGTATTATTTGCTCTTCTCAAACCATTGAAGGCATTGTGTTCTATCCAAGATCCTTTCATTGAGCACTAAGCCATTCAAAATTCTGTCAATGATCTAAAGACGACCCTTTATCTCACAAAGGACCATGCCTTTCATAATGAGACATCTTTCTTATTATCGAGTCAACAAGAATACTTCCTGGTCTTTGTTCAGCTCCACGAATATGAGGATCATAGCCTCGAGTCATGAGTATAAGAACAACCTCCTCCGACGAGCAGAAGTCTCATCACAATCATCACAATCATCCAACTCAATCCATTCTCAGCTAAGTATCATTGCAATCTTCTCCAGTTGAACCCTATAAGTTGATAACAAGAAGATTACATACACCCATCGCAATCATGTCTGCTCCTCATAATCTTGACTTTGCACACATTAACCTCTACTTGGCCATTACCAAGGGCTGCCAGTGCGCGCCCGCGCACTGGATCATTCTTATGCAACATCCAGGAAGTCCGGAATGCACTTGGCTTCACAGTGTTATTAACGAGGACAACCAATATGAGGTTATGATTGAGCCAGCTAAGCGCTTCGATAGCTGGTCCTTCGCTTCCAAGGACTTTCTTGTCCGCCTTCCTATTTGTCAAAAGTCCACTATACTTGCCATGGCTAAAGCTGTCCCTGCGCAGAGCTGCCAATGCTGGGCATCTTATATGCTTCTTCGCTTCCAGAACTATGGCTATCTTGATCAAGGCACTTACGAGGTCTGGCGCGACCTCCATATGACCTCTCGTCGCCTGGATCGGGGTCCTGGTTGCATGGTGTGCCAGTGTTAATTCTTGCGGCTGTCTTGTACTAGGTTTCAAGTTGTCCGGAATATTTCTGATTAGCTTGAGTCTGACAGCTACATAGAGCCCTCTCAATTGCATCGAGTTCTAGTCTAGTACATTCTGGTACCTGTTTGGTTATGTTTTCATGTTCAGGGATATACTGTAGTAGAACAGAGAATAGATTGATAGTTCTGGGATTTGGGAAATATACAAAGATTTTGAATTTGATGGCTTCAAGTAATTGATCCGTAGTAGGTTTATACCTAGGTGCAACTCGTAGGTAGTGTTGGTGTGAAATAATAGAATGCACTGGACCTGGGCAGCCTTGGAGCCTGGAGCAGTATTGTTTGCGCCCCTTACATTCAAGGCAGCAACTGTGGTTCCATAGTAAGGTTCTACCAGATTCTATTGTAGTGGCAAATTAAAAAAGGCGGTGTTGAAAGCGGTGGCCGCAACCACATAAATACTTCTTCCCAGCTTCCAACTTTCCTCCTTTCTTTTTTTTTCCAGCTCTCTTTGCCAATTGGCTTAGATCAAGTGTAGTATCTGTTCTTTTCAGTTTAATCTCTGAAAGTTTCCTACGGGAAACACATTGATTATTCTCATTTTTGGATCTCGTACCTGGCCTCTGTGCTTGCGCATGCCGGGTGCACAGTGTCATCGGGCTTACACTACCCCGATCGACGCGAACCTCCTTTTTTCATCAACTGCATCGGCTTGCCCGGTCGCTTGGAGAAGAAATGGTCGTCTTGTAGCTTCTAGATCCTAGTCTGCTCGTATAGCATATAGTGTCCTTGATACCCTGAAGCCCTTCGCGTACCAATATAAACACGGCTCCAACCTTGGAAGCTGTCCCGTGCACGGATCCCTCACTGCAGCCTCGGTCGTAACGAATCACGTGTGTCCCACCATTGATCGACGTGATATCCAACAAATTCCCCCGTAGCCTGTAGCTTCAATCTATCTACCTTGAGTAGACCCTCAATCAAAATGGCCAAGATCGCACTCGTCGTTGAGCCTCGCGGTATGTCAATTAAATTTTCTCGCCGATGAAACTCCCAACAATTCAAAGCCAGCGAAACTAATCTCACTTAGGCAAACCCATCCGCGGGCTCCCCAAGGAACTCAAGATTGACCTTGATGCCACTGGCGAACAGCTGCACAACGCCATTGCTGAGGCCTCTGGTGCCAACGTGCACCGTCTTCGTATCACCAAGGGAAGCGACCGTACCGTTGTTCCCAATGCAAAGGACACCACCGTCGACGAGACCGGCCTGCGCAACTCGAGTGTCATCCACGTCAAGGACCTGGGTATGTACAGAAACCCGGCAACCCAACCTCCAATCTGAGAGTAAGAGAACTAACCTTCCATATCTAAAGGCCCTCAAATCGCATGGCGCACCGTCTTCATCATCGAATACCTGGGTCCCCTCCTAATCCCAGCTCTTTTCCTCTTCCCCCTCCGTCCTTTCCTGTACTTCAACTTTGACCAACCTCTCCCGGAACCCTCGGACATCCAGCTCCTCGTCTGTGGCCTCCTGTCACTCCACTTCCTCAAGCGTGAGTACGAGACCATCTGCGTCCACCGTTTCAGCAACGCAACCATGCCCGCCCGCAACATCTTCAAGAACAGCGCCCATTACTGGGCTCTCGCTGGTTTCAACATCGCCTACTGGGTTTTCCGCCCCGACTCTGCCGCTGCCTCCTCAAGCCCCAATGCTATCCTTACCTACGCTGGTCTGGCGCTCTTCGTTTTCAGTGAATTGGCCAACCTGAACGCTCACTATGTGCTCCGCGATCTGCGTCGTCCTGGTACCACTGAGCGAGGTATTCCCAAAGGCTTTGGATTCAACCTTGTTACTTGCCCCAACTACATGTTTGAGATCTTGGCTTGGTTGGGTATCTTCATGGTTAGCCAGTTGAACCTGAGTGTGTTGATCTTCACTCTTGTTGGTGGTGTGCAGATGTGGAGCTGGGCGTGGAAGAAGGAGAAGCGCTACCGTCGGGACTTTGGAGAGAAGTACAAGAAGAAGAAGACTGTTCTTCTGGCTTACATCTGCTAAATGCTGATCTTGCTAATGGGACCTGGCTGTATTCTGCAAGACCAGTACTCGACACTCTTATTGTGAACAAGATCCATGATGGAACCGGATTTGACATCAGTCGTTTCTAGGATTAGGTTATAAAATTATCTCGTGGAGAATATTCCTTCCAAGGTTGAGAGGCCTTATTACAGGCTAATTATTATCCCTTATTTAGTGAGATAGCTTATGAGGCATGTATTCTATTAGGTGGACATAGAAAGACAAATAATGACCATTTTTTCCATTTCTTATGGCCTATGCAAATCAAGACCAAGCTTGAGTAAAAGAAATACATAAGAAGTTCGCTATATGAGAACCATCTATTGCGCCAAACACCAACAAGATCAGAGAGAAGAAAGCATAATACATAGCAAGGATAACGGTAGCTGATTCTTCCAAATCATAGATAGTGCTCCAGATATCAAGATCGTATACTCTTGAGCTTCTTTTGCCATATCATGTAGTAAGGTTCCAGCTCCGCACACTCCTTGCCCTCCATATCATCACATCCAGGAAATCGAATCAAAAAGTCTCCATCCTGATACGTTCCATCGGGGCCGGCACCACGCGAGTCCTTACTGTACGCATTCAGCGCACGCTGGGGAACAAGAGCAGTCCTAGCCAAAACAGTCGGATGCCATTGAATGATATGATCCTACAGCAGATAAAATTAGCATCGCGCACAAGAACCACAAACATAAAGGATGAAGCCATCTTACCAATCCATGAATCTCGGCTTTCTGGAAATTGTAGTTCCGGAACAACGGCTCAAACCACAAGTCCAGAAGATATCGCGCAAAGTCTCCATTCTTCAGGACAAAGCTACCCGGAGTAAGATCCTCGCTATCCTGTGTTGTGATGAAATCCACATCCTTCTCTCGGAGATGCGCGAATGTCCTGATAATGCTATCCGGTGGCACGACCGGAACATCTTTCAGCATTATCGATTCGAGTTGGTTTCTCTCCAGGATATGCGATTTGAGTGGTTTACTCGGGTTCATGAAGAGGGCGTGCGGGCTTAGGTGGAAGAAGTATGCGGCGTGAGTATGTGTAGCCATTGCGTGGCGGACAGCTGGAATAGTTGCCCAGCTCTTTGGGGCGTCGCCGACTGCTTCGTCATATTCGGAGTAAGTAGCGAAGAAGTTTGTGTAGTCTGTTCAGGTCGAAGTGGTGCCGTTAGCAGGAGTACAAGTATTGTTATTATGTGGAGCTCGGCGCGATCATGGGAAGTAGACTCAAATAAGAACCAGCCTTGAAGCTCAAGAACACAGTGGCTTGTACTAGTACTTACCATGACGCTTTGCATAATCCTCGCGATTGGCAATAATCTTATTGATATAGCTCTCACTCCAATGTTCGCGATCGAGTAACGTCACAATCACCACTGGACCTGCCGTACCAGCCGGCGTCACGATAGAGGATGAGCTTGAGGAAGAGAGGTGAGTGAGTAGGTAGAGGATGACTAGAAGAGCGAATGCAAATAACCCGATCGTCTTGAGCTGTTTTCTTCGATAGAGAGGCAATCGAGACGAGCGGGCGCCGGGAAGGGGATGCGGGCTCTTCCGCGGCGGCACTGCGAATTGCATGGCGAGTTTATCCCCCGCGCTGGGATAGATCAAGGATGAGGAGGCAGTTCGGAAGAGCAACCTTGGAAATTTGCAATCAAGGAAAAGGAATCATTGCAGAAGATAGTCACAGGTGGTCTGTGAAAATGATTGTTGAAGCAAAAGTGAGATCCCAGTGGCTAGAAGGTTGGGTGTTCCCATGGCCGAATCCGGTGGCGGGTCTTTTTTCCTGTGTTGCACGCATTCCACGACATTTGCACCACCGATATCACCGGTTCGAGTTAGTTTACAGATTCCAGAGATAAGCGAAACTTGAAGGTCCTTGGGTGGGTTTCAGTTAAATTAGTCGAGTCATTGGTTCATTTCGGGTATGCATAATTCGGAGATTATCAATGAGCTGCCGAGATTATATATTTCTTGAATGATACTGCTACAACATACTGTATATGTGGACAGCCGATAGTGGTTCAAGTTCATTCCATGCATGCACATGTGTGGTCCAACATCAAAATCTTGTCATACCTGTGGACTGACTTTTATTAAGTGTAAAAGAGTCTGGACATATGCCCAGGTGGAGGTATAGAGAGATGCCCACCTAGGCATGGAACAACCTTGGAACCTTAGAAGTCAACTGGTGGATTTAAAGTCAACTGGTCAATAGCCGACCAGTTGACACATTAGCAGCCTCAGGCTTCGACACTGACGGTCTGAGGCATCAAGAGTGGATCCTGGTGTATGAAATCCAGTTGACTTGTACATCAATATGTATGGATGAGAAAGAATCAGATAAATTGAGGCATATCCATATTTAAAGATCACCTATGTATCCTGGATCACTACAATAAATGAATCATAAAAAGTACTCATAGAATAAACGTTGGAAAACTTGAAGCTCTAAGCAACCAACTGTCTCGCATCATCAACGACCACCCTAGCCGCCTTCTTCAGCTCAGTCTTCCACTCCGACTCCCTCCACTTCGACCAAGCACTCAATCCCTCTGGTGGCTGAATACTCAATGTCTCATAGCCCTGCTTGATAATCCTGTGTACCTCCCGGGGACTAAGATTTTTCTTCTTGATAGAAGGTAACGCGACAGGTGTCGGTTCTTCACCATCCCCCTTCAGATTCGGACTAGCGGATACCGATGCAGCTGCAGATGGATCGGCAGAGTCGGAATGGAATAGCAATGTATAGAAATGTGTCGATACGCTGAGAAGGGTATCGATGGCCGCAGCGTGGAGATCTTTCGCTGCATCGGGTAAGGGAGTAGTAGATGTGGAGTTTGGGAGTTTCGGGGTACGGGTGAGGGAATAGACATCTCGGAATTTAGAGATGACGGGACCTGTCTCAACGAGCTTGTAGAAGAGATCGTCGTATGAGGATGGGTCAGGGAGGAAGGTGTCGCCGCCTGAGACGCAAAATGCAAGAACGTCGGCTAGGCAGCTGGTTAAGGTGTTGATTTGGGGGTTGCTGGTCAAATCAGTTGCGTAGGTTGTGAGGAAGCGCATTAGAGATAGAAGAGTCCGCCATAGTTCAGACCAGTGGTATGTTAACCGAATTTTGTTGATTGAGAGATACGTGAGAAGGCGGAGAATGATGGCGATGGCATGGCTAAGAACAATTAGTTTTGATTAATATTTCCAACTTGGTGCTCCTTAATAGAATAGGTTTCCGACGAGACATACCTGTAGATGTTGACATCCAGTCGTCGTCGGAGGTTGTGTGTGATGGTATCGATGATTACGTCGAAGATGACTGTGGCTAATACTCGGTCTCCGCCGATAAGTGGAAGATACGGTTGTCTTTGTCGACAGACTCGAACTTTCCGCTTGCCATCTTCGCTGCATATGTGCTTGCAGAGGGTTGGATCCTCAACAAGAATGCGTAGCGTGAAAAGACTTAGCTCAGCATAGTGTGCTACTCGCACAGAGCGGTAGGCATGCTGCAGGAGGTATGATGACAAGGACAAAAAGCTTGAAAAGGGAGACTCTTCATTCTTTTCTGGAATCATATGGACCATGTGATAGCCAAATAGTTTGTTCGCATTTGCAAAGTCGTAAGTAGCCAGTAGGATGGCAGCCTCCTGGGCAGGCCTATATAATGAATGAGTAACTCGGTTTTCCTGACATCCAAAGTAAAGTAGAGTCTTACAGCGCAGCAAACATGGTTTTCGCTTCCTCAGCGCTTGGTGGATTCGCTTTATCCCGCGCACCAGGCGCGAGGGCCCGAAGTCCAAAGAAGATCAAAGTGCTCGTCAAGGACCAGCCCTCGGGGATATCATCCTGCACAGCAACATAGCCGTTGCGCAAGCCACCACAGGCAAGACCAACGCCCTTGACAATTTGTTGAATGCTCGACTCATTGACAAAATCATCAAGGCGAAGCTGGTATGGATTTTGGAATTCAAACTTGTTGTAGTTCGCCAAAAGTCCCAGTAGCAGGAACGGGTCGAACACTTCCATAGGGGTATCTGAGTTATGAACATACTATTTTCGTTAGCGACTAGATGAGTGACCTGGTAATTATTGTTCTTTACCTTCATCAAAGATGGGAACAAGTCCCGATGGGTGAAATAAGAAACGAGGCTTGTTTTGTATGCCCCACTGGTCATCGCAATGGCGACTCTGATTGCTTTGCGCCGAAGTTGCACTGTATATTTGTCATTATTATTTGCGACAAAAAATATCTCCGTGACATCCCAACCACTTACAGGATTTACCATTGCGGATAATTCCATCCAGAACAGAAACAAACTCCGCAATAACACGGTCAACCTCATCGAGACCTGCAAGAACAGTGATCACATCTGAGCTGGGATTAGTGTACTTTTTGCTCAAGATACTGGTCAGGAAGATCGTCAAGGTCTAACATTTTATCAGTAAAAGACGAATTTCAACCAGAATAGCGGGGCACGCACATCCAATGCATAGGAGTCTGCCGGCGAGACTCCAGCCGCAGCCTCCTTGATTGCCCGCGCAAAGAGATGCTGTGTTTGCGCCTGTTCTACATCAGCCACTTTGTACATCTCAAAAGTTTAGTTTATTAACTCTAACCTGCAAGGCCAATGCATCATCAGGACTCAACTCGTCCAGCAGCACATGAAACTGGCCTGCGTCTGGCGGCAACAAAAAGAACTCCCGCCAGAAGCCCTCGGAGGGCTCTGCATATTCAGGGGACTGTAGTCAGTTGTCAATATGCGGCTCTATCAAATCGGGGAACCAGGGTCTCGGAGGCGTGGGGGTCCATACTTTGAAGAGAGACTCGTAGAGCTGGACGATCTTTGGCTGGAAAGTCTCGGGTCTAGTCTGCTGTGTGAGGGGCGATGCCTCCATATTGACTCAGCACTGAATGATCTGCAGACCGATCATCGAAACATTACATGGAAGGGAAGTTCTTTGGAGTGTTCATCTCAAGTGGCCAAGGCACCAGCCACTTTGTCAGCGGATCCAGCCACATGTCCTTTTAAATGGGGTAATTTCATTCAAGATTGGTTCTAGGTATACGAGGAATGAGTGTATATTTTCTCTTTATTTATGAGGATCAAAAGAGGTATAAGACCTAAGTATAATGTTTTATTGGGCTATTTTGGGAGACATCCTCTGTCTCTATCATAGTATTCCCCCCATACCAATGGAGTACTGCTCTTACCACACTCCGGAAATCGGGGATCAATTCGCTTTACCGCGGGAACTTTCGATGACTCAGCTGCCGATAGCCGCTAAATGTTTATGTCATCAATGTGATGTGAAATTCCATTTTGAAGTAGCTCGAGTCACATCATACATCATATAATGCAGAATAATTATTATTGACTTAAGTCTCAGAAGGTACTCACCACAAAGGTATCCATCTGATCTCACTAGCTTGTTAAATTCTCCCAATTTTAAATTACATTGTATCGTAAACCACGTGCAATTGCATGGAACTTCCATCATGGCGCCACTCTGTGTAGAAACACCTGAATGCTGATTGGCTACGGGTACCATCATGCAACCGGGTCTTACTTAATCCACCGAGAGTCACCGGGGAACTGGAACAAACAACTCTTCTCACATCCTTTTCACTTTGAAACTCACACCAGCTCCTCGAAACAACCAATTTTCTTATGCGTTCATAGCCTTTTTCTTGTCGAGGATCTCATAAAATACTCCCTATTCCTCGACTATGAGTTTCTGCACCATGCATCGCCAAGTGACATCATCCGCCACACTGCTCCGATGGGCAAAGCCCTCGGCAGCTTCGCGCTCCCCCGCCATGCGCTGCTTCTCATCATATGGAAACGCACACCTGTCCTCCAAGCGTGATATGCAAACAGCAACTGCCTACCGACCACACACACTTCCTTCTTCCTTCCCGCCTCCTAGCCGCACTGGTGGCTTGGCCTCCATCTCGGCCGACTTCCCCCTCCCCGGAGGAAGCCCTCAGACTTCACCCTCACAAGTGGGAGCGCCTCAAAACAACCTGCATGGCGTTGATGCTCAAACTTCTGCATCCACTACCGGAACGACTACTACCAGCAAGACGGGAAAGCCTCGCCGACCATTGCGAGCAAGAAAGGCAGCAATGAAATTATCTGCATTAGCCACTGAGCAACTGCGCAAACTTATGGATCAACCAGAGCCCAAGTTTATCCGAGTTGGAGTGAAGAACCGCGGCTGCTCAGGTCTTGCATACCATCTTGAGTATGTGGACAAGCCCGCCAAGTTCGACGAAGTTGTGGAACAGGATGGCGTGAAGGTTTTGATTGACAGCAAAGCGCTGTTCAGCATTATTGGTAGTGAGATGGATTGGCATGAAGATAAATTGAGCAGACGCTTTATTTTCCGCAACCCTAATATCAGTGAGTTTTCCCCACAAACGTTTGCAACGTGCACAAATGTTGTAAACGTTTTTCATGTTTCGGTCCCACAAATGACGGTCACTAACTAGGTAACAGAGGAGGAATGCGGCTGCGGTGAATCCTTTATGGTTTAAAGCGCTCTTTCAACGACCCTGTCTATCTTTAATTCGGTTCCTCGGCGTCACTCGGAGCATCGGACGGCGTTCTTCTTTTCACAACGATTTTCGGGGCCTGCGGTCGGTCGCTTTGTTCGGCCAAATACATACGTTTGATATCCAGATGATACTTTTTTTACCCACTTGCTATCGTTTTTGCTCCCTGGTAGCGCTTCATCTTGTCGAAAGAAAGGACCAGGTATTGGGGATGATTCCGATCTTTATGGCAAAGCTGTGAACCTTGGAAATTTCGCTAGTTTCTCGGTTCTTGACACCACATTTCTATGGAAAGTTCAATCCCCAATTATTCCCAATGTTACATATTATTACATCCATGTATCCATAGACCAGCGAATCATTCAATATGATACATCCATGACATTATTGTGTACTCCTGTTGTAATCTTATCATATTGTAGCTCTCTGATACTGGAAGCTGTTCCCAAAATGGCCAACTTCCATCCTAGATATGCAACTTGGAAGACATCTGTCTGTCCCATACGACCTCCCTGAAAATAGGATTTCACCCATTTCGAGTTGCAGAAGTTGCAGAAGCTAGTTTAACACCAGGACGAACACATAATAGCGTCACTGAGTATGTCACATGATGCCATAACGGGGCCGCGGCCGGAACAATGACTCCAGACTACAATCTACAACCTTGGAACATCTAGACTCGACAGAATAGTACACTACCTAGTTAATCTCCGGCCTTGGGATTGATAATCTACCACATTACAGAACGTCAGACGAAATGGCATCCGCCTTCCTCTCTCCCTACAGTTCCAGCGACCCGCTTGTCAACGCTCTCCTCATCACTGTCCGCTTCTCCGCTTCAATCCCCGATCTACCCCTCGACGTGCCAACACCAGAAACCACAACAGGCGCAGGACTCAAACAACTAATCCGCGCCGAACTTCCGTCCTCACTATCATCGCATCGTCTGCGCTTAATCTATGCGGGCCGCGGTCTAGAAGATGCCACTGCCTTAACCGCCTCTCTTAAGCTCCCACCTTCTCCAGCCCGATCTCCACAGCCAGTTCTAAACCCTTCATATCAAACTCAAGACCAAAATGGCACCAAAGGGTCCGAGGAAGAGCTTCAATCCAAGGATAAGGGCAAGAAAGCCGTCCGCGACACCAGACCCAGAATCTATATCCACTGCTCTATCGGCGATATCGCTCTCTCAGAAGCAGACCTCACTGCAGAAGCAAACCTAGCTTCAACACTTAAGCAAAAAGAAAATGCCTCCGCAACCTCTCCTACAGATGGATCTTCCAGTCATGCATTCCCTGGCTCAGATCAACTCCAACTTCCTGTTACATCTACCTCTACAACTACGACACCCGCACCTCGTGGCTTCGATCGTCTCCTTAGTGCGGGATTCACACCCGCAGAGGTGACTGCTCTCCGGTCACAGTTCCTGGCTGTGCAATCAGTTTCCCGAACACCGGATACCATGCCCTCTGGTGAAGAGCTACGCGATCTAGAGGATAGGTGGATGGATGAGGGGTCAACGGCTGCGGGGATCGTGGGCGCAGGAGATGGAGCGGGTATAGAGGAGGATGGACTTGGATCTGGGACTCGAACTGCGATGGATGATATGCTCTGGGGCGCTGTTATGGGATTCTTCTGGCCTGTTGGTTGTGCGATGTGGCTGAGGAGGGAGGAAGGTTTTTGGTCTTGGAGGAAGGGACTTGCTGTCATTGTTGGGGTCATTGTCAATGTTGCTTTTGGGGCTATGAGGATTATGAATTAGGGTGGAGTTTTTTTTTTTATCGTTTTCAGGCGTCTTGGATTTTGGTTGCATAGATACCCTGTTATATTGTTGCAAAGTTGTTTCTTTCAAATGTTTCATAATCGTTGAGAAATATCATTCATACATATTGTCTATATTTAAAGCGATGGAACATCCCAAAGGAGGTCTATACCCGAGGATTAAGTAGGCCATCTATTCATCTCATTTGATAGATCCATGCCAAGGTTATCCGAGTCCTCCCTTGCTTCTCGGTGGATCCGATATACTACACATCATAACCTGGGTGCTAGATCAGTCATATTATTAGTTCCAAGGTAAGTTGCTTAGCATTAAGTCAAAGATATGCTCTGGGCCATAATATCTGGCTTCGAGTTACTTGGTATCATGAAGTATATCTTCGTAAATCAATGCTGGATTATAGCCACAAGCTTCTATAGATCAGGCCCTGCTAGCACTGATCAAGCCCGGTGATGCTAACATACATGTTCAAGAAAGTACACAGAACCAACCCTTAGGGAAAACGCCGTAGTCCCGCAACGCTAATGGAACTTGCTGTAAATAACGGCAACAATCAAGAGAACAAGGACCGTGATGATAGCGATGGTGATTATCCGATTCGTAGCCATCCTAAGAAGCAATGAGCACTCAATACCGCACCACTCATACAGAGTTAATAGGGATTTTAATGGGAGGTCAGTACCTACGAGCCATACCCCTCAGCGTCTTAATACTCGTATCGACATATCCCTCACTCTGATGCAGATTATCCCGTGTACTCTGGATAGTCTCCCGCTGCACATAGAGGTCGGCTAGAACATTACGTCCTATATCCTCTGTCTCCAGTGCTGTTCGCTGACTCTGCTGCAGACGGGCAGAGCTGCGCTCCAATCGTTCGGTACCAGATAGGAGCTGCTGGCGCTGCTCGAGGTGCTCGTCCTGTGGCTCATCGGTGTAACGGTCTCCGAAGAGCGCTTTGCGGTCATCTGTGAGGGATTTCAACTTTCGCTTGACCTCATCGACGTCTGTTGAGTAGTTGCGGAAACGGATGTTGATCTTCGAGCGGGCTTCGGAGGGGATATTTTGCTTTTCCATGCGCATTTGATCCAGCTGTATACATTGATTAGCTTTGGTTCACAGAGTAGAATGGAACTGCGATTTCGATGGGGATATGTGGGAGCTATTGCTTGAGGTAATCGGAGAGGAGAGAGTGTCTGATTTTGTGATCTGGCCTCTGGTTTCTTGCAGGATGGACATACCAATTCTGTCGCTTCATCAAGAACCTGCTCTGCGGAGCGAATTGCAGCCTTTCTTTGCTCCCCGCTTACTTCCGCAATTTGGTCGAGCTTCTGGTTTAGATCTGCCTGAACGAGCTTCAGTTCGGACTCGTAGCTGGCGAACATCTCTGAGCCCGCGTCTGTGTCTAAGGGATTCGACATGTTGATAGCAGTAATGGGTGTGTCGTATTGGGTCAAACTGGCCGAGGTAGGTGAAGAATTAATCGTTGCGACGTAGTCTGAGGTGGCTACTTTGTAGTGATGATCGGACCGCAGGCTCCACCTTTATCGGAAGGAAGACGGGGTAATGCTGGCTCTCTGAGGAAAGGGGAATGGTTGAAGGCGAAGATCGTGGCTGTGATGAATGTCTTGAAACTTGTTGCCTTTCAATGTAAGAGATTCTTGAAGAAATCTATGCAGTCTGACTTGAGAAAGTGGCTAGTGAAGTCTTAGAGTTGAGGAGGTGGAGGCTGGGGGATGACGATAAGTCCTACACGTGATTGCCATCGCCGCGGTCATGCAACTATCTGCCGCAGGTACACCGAGTCATATCTGCGCAGACTATAATTTTCAATTTTGATAATACAAGAACTAACCAAAATTTAAAAGATAAATGTGCTTTTATTCTATTCTGTACGTGGAGTTCGCTAGCCCGTTGGTTGCACTCATCTTCCCCATATCCGTTCTAACCACTAGGCTCTAAGGCTCTCGTCAATTCAAGTTGTCATTCAAATGAGATAGACCTGAGATTGTTGGATAGACGTGCAGGTGGCATTTGCCTGTAAGCTGCTACTAGCATATACATACTAGTAGATCTAGCTTGAACCTCGTAGAGTTCTACAAGCCATGGAGATAATACCATGTGGTAAGGTATGGGGGTTTGAGACTTCACTGGGTATGTTTACTTTCTCTTGATAGAATTTGAATCAAACGAATAAGAACGTCACGTAGCATTAGCATAAGAAAAATCGGGCCTGAAGAGCACATTTCGCCTTTTAAACAAGAATAAAAGAAATACCCCATGGTGTACAGTCATACAAATTCCTCCATCTTTTCACTCTACAGCAGGAACTTGCTGCTGTCCTGGTTGACAATTTGTGCACTGCGCTTGGCATCCAGGAACATATCTTCGCACTCTGCAACATCAACAGCCTCGATACCATTTGGATGGCCGTTGACTCGAGCCAGAATGCTTGCCGGAGTCAACAGCTGCAGTGCATATCGCAAGCTGACCTTGCTACCGTGCTCAGCAAGCTTGTCCAGGGCGGGCTCATTAATGGTGATGGCCTCGGTCTTCGCACGAAGTCGGATGATAGTCTTGATCTCGTCGGGGCTGTAAGGGGTTGTGGGGATGATGAGGAGGCGGGCAAGAAGATCGGGGGGGAATGCCGTGAGCGGCACTGATGTCGTTGGTGCCGCGGATGACAGTGTGACCACGGTTAGAAGCAAGAATCACGATGGGTGAAATGCTGGACTCAAGAGCACGGTTCAGATATGTGAAGCACTCGATATCAAGCATGTGGACCTCGTCAATGAACAGAACACCGGGGACAAGCTCGGCCACACCCTGATCAATGTAGCGGTTGACCACCTTATTGATCTCCTGGCGCAATTTGTCTGTAATCTCGGTCTTCTTGGGCTTCATGAGCTGACCCATCATGCTCATCACATCCTGTCCACCTTGTGGCCGGGCGTTGGCCATGTCCAGGTCATGCAAGGTCACATCCTGTACAATCTCCTTCTTCTTGTGGACCTCGCCCTTAGGGACGGGCACGTATTCCTCCGCTTCGAGATCGAATTCAGTCGCATAGGCGTCCGAGCGTCCAACACGCTTGCAAGCACCGGTATTGGCTTCAATGTAGATGACGTCTCCAACAGTGACACGCTCCTTCTGGATAGCTTCGTAAATGCTGGGGTCGAGACGGAGCTTCTTGCTGCCCTTAGCGGACTTAAGACCAATAAGGAGATGGCTGATGGTACGTCCGTAACCACCGAGCGGGTTCTCAGTCTCCTCCGGAGTCAATTCTGTCACCTCTCCCTCGTAAACCTCCTTTGTTTCCCGAACTCGCAAGCCTGGTATTATGTTAGAGCCGTGATCCCAATCGCGTTCGCTGTAGAATAATCGCATCGCATACCAATTGCTCGTCGGAAGTTCTCCATTAAAGCTTCTGTCTTCTTGACCTCTGCAGAGTAGATCTCGCTACCCACGATCGGGCAGAAAGGCACCTTAGTTCCCAACTCCTGTGACACAGCCAGAGCAAGTGCCGTCTTTCCGGTACCGGGACCACCAGCGAGCAGTACAGCTCGTCCAGCCATCTTCTTAGCCTTGATGAGGTCGACTACCACACCGCATGCCTGTTGGAGAGCAAGATACCGTTAGTCTTCATTTGCCTAGTGATACAATCTTGACTCAATGGATATGAAACCAACCTCTCGGGCAGCAGCCTGTCCCACGAATCCATCACCCGAAACCTCTGAGGTACCATCAGCGCGTAGGCCTAGACCCTTGATGTGAGTGTGCGCGGCGGTCCTGTTCTCGCGCGAGTTGCCCTTGACTTCACTAATCTGGACCATGGTGGAGGTAATGAGGCTTCGAGAAGCCTGTGACGAAAGAGGGATGTATGTGGATATGAAAAGAAGAAGGAGGATATTATTTTCAAACAAAACAAAATCAAAAATCTCAACAAAGAGAAGCTTGTTGCGATGAGAGCCGTCTTTCCAGTTGCATGCGCTTCCCGAAATTCGCGAGCAAGGGATCTGCGCCAGTCACGGAGCCGCGACTCCAAGGCGGTCAGAGTCCCAAATTCTTCCCAACTCCAGCTTCCTCTCCAACCCATATTGAATTTCACATAATTAAACCCTTCGTTTGCCTGGAACTTGCCAACCATTTCTTCCAATGGCAGGTCTTCAGTCTAGGGTCAATATGACCAGCCACTTTTCACTGGCCTCAGCCTTCCGCAACCTCTCTCTATCCATCCCGAAGCGTTCTTTCTCTACGACATTGGCACCGCAATCCGACGCTAAACTTCCGGAACATATCCCACCTTATCCTTTCGGTCCCCGACAATGGTACAAGCAAGCCGACACCGGTTTGTACGGCGGTGCCATGATCCGTTTCGGTAACAAAATCTCCAAGGGTCGCAACCACGGCAAGACACGACGAAGCTGGAAGCCCAACGTCCGCCGCAAGAAGATGCACAGTGATGCCCTTGGCGAGGACCTCTTCATCAAGCTCACACGGAAGGCTTTGCGAACAATTCAAAAGGAGGGTGGTCTTGACAACTACCTCCTCAGCGACCGGATAGCCCGTATCCGCGAACTCGGCATGTTTGGATGGGAGCTGCGATGGAAGGTTATGCAGACACCTGTTATGCAAGAACGATTCCGGGAGGAGCGTGCTAAGCTCGGTGCTCCGGAGCCGAAGTCATTCGAGGAGTGGATTAAGGATAAGGAGGAGGAAATCAATGCTAAGGTTCAGGAGCGACTGAACGTTCAGGATGTCACAAAGCCCCGTAACAAGGGCAAGGCTGATCCTCAGCGGTTACAGCAATTGCTTGAGTCGTCCAAGCAGTCTTGATCCTCGAGGGAATCTTTTACATCTGGGTTGATGTCTCATGTTGGAGACTGGCGCTTCTTACATTGTACCATTATCGCGACGAACTGGATGCTACTTGAGCCTCCGCTATTTTTTGTCTTTTTTTGCCAACCGCCTATGTTTTGAATACTATCTGCAGCGACAACGGGATCTTTTCGCATGGGCTTGATCTACCGGGCGTGCATATTATACTTTCTGTGTATCTATACTCCAATATCACCGATTCTCATTGTTCTTGATATTCCTCCCATTTCGTCCAGGATCTTCCTGGGTGTCCTCGAGCTTGCATAGATGTGCCTGTGATAATCATAGCAATCTGGGTTAACATTACCAATATAGCCTGGGAGCATATCATGATTGGTAAAATACTGCCCAGGTGTTCCTTTCCAAGGTTCTCTACATATGCTCAGGTGTAGGACGTGGGTTATATAGTAGCTCAGTGCGGTGATGAGAATCGGAGGCTTACTTCCCGACGATTGAGTAGCTCAAATAGTACATATCTACGCTGATAAAGAGGGACTTCAAGGTAATGGGTTAGGTAGAGGTGTACCTATGGTTGGAAATAATGGCAGGAGCAAGGTAAGAATTGAATAAAAAATACAAACAAGAAGGATAAAGAATAAGAATAACCATAAACTCCGCCGATCCTTTTCTTCAAAGAAAATCATGGCTCCAGGCAGATCTTGCATCATTGCACTCGCACAGGGTTAAGAATAAAAAGTCATAAAGATCGCTCAGCCTAGACCTGATCCTTCACATAGATGGCCGTGAAGGTAGCCGAAAAAGGAGGAAAGAATTAAACATCCTCCTCAGTGAGCTCGTTGGAGTCGACATACTCAGTGCGGAAGTATTTGTCCGAGTTGCGGCTGAGCCAAATGGAGAACTTGGAGATCTCCTCGTGAGAGCGGCCGGTGGATCTGTAGTCCATGGTAGTCTGAGCGAGCAGCTCCGGAAGAAGGCCTGGATATTGTTAGTATGACATACTTCATGTGGAGTTTAGGGCATAGGGAGAGTAGCGTACTGATAAGACGGATCATGTGCTCGGCGCCGTAGATTGCAACGGGGCTGGAGCGGTTGCTGCCACTGTACTTCTTGCGGAGGAGACGATACTGGTGTCGTTCGTAGCGGTAGAGAAGGATCTTGTCCAAAACCTTCTCGAAGTACTCGGCCAAGCCGGCCACGACCTCGTCAAGGACATCATTGTCGATACGGTTGCGCTTGGGGCGCTCTTCCTCGCGCCAGTCATCGAGAATGTCTCGGACGGGCTTGGGGGCAGGAAGCTTGACGATAGTGCCGTTCTTAGTGACACGCTCCCAGTCGTCGACGAGCAGGGACTTCAGGTTGTCCGGCATGACGATGCGGATCGAGGGGCGCGCATGGAAATGATCCTCCTGTTCAGCATCGTCAGGATCGTTAAGAATGTTAAGTTCAAGTTCTAAGTTCATGTCGCTCGTATCCAAGTCATCCGGGTCGGGGAACATTGACAAATACATGCCGCCAAGGGTCACTTTCTTGGTAAAGGTATTGGGATAGTCGGGGTCCATGATTGGCAAGTAGAAGACTTGGTTGGTGCGATCAAGGATGATGTTGTGGGCGGGAAATGAGAAGTGGGTTGGGTGAAGAGAAAGAGATATTGGGGGGAGGAAGGTGAGAATGAAACGGAAATACAGGAAGCGAAGTGACAATAGAGAGAGAGGCAACGCAAGACCAAAACTTGGGGACAAACTGAAAGATCAGACGACTTACCCTTTCAATATCAGTTTCGCGCGCACGCTTGTTGCCTCGGCCAGGAACCGAGTTGCCACGCTCCTCGCTATCACGAACAGAGCTACGGTCCGACGTGGCTCGTTTCTTTGCGGGCTGCTTCGAATTTTTGGCACGAAGAGATGCCTCAGCCTCACGACGAATGTTGGTCGCAAGCTCACGGTTCTCATCGGTCCACTTGCGCAGACGATCCTCGCGAACCCAGTCATCCCAGCTGCAAAAATGTTGTCAGTATAGATATCCTCGGATTTGCAAAGCCATGGAGACCATAAGTCCCTTCCTGTGGTTTTTCTATGGAGCTTGCAGCAAATATGCAAGTGTTCCAGGGAATAGAAGAGGGGGTTTCAAGCCCCAACCCCGCTACAGAAAGAGAAAACAGGCTGGCCATAAACAACCAGATCATCAAACCATGGGGAACTTACGTGTTCTTCCAGCCCTTGTAGTGGACTCGGTACTCATAGGGGCTCTTCTTGTCCTGGGGGTCCTTGTGGCGGACCTCGAGAACCTTGGCCTCATAGAGGATCTCATGGTGGAAGCACAAGACCTTCTCGTCGGAGCTGTAAGTACTGGGCGCCATTTTGATGACAAGGAACAGCAAAGCAGAAGAAAAGAGGTTGAAGAGATGAAAAAGACAAAGAGAAGGGACAGGAGATGAACCTTGATGGGAAAGGGACAAAGGGTGGAGGAGGAAGCAAATGGGAAAGAAACTTGGATACAAGATCAGATTGGGATTCTCGTTGCCTTCTCGACGATTAATCGACGACTAAGCGATTCAAAATCACCTGTGGCAGTGCGAACAAAACGTACAATCCAGTGGCTTATTGAAGCTGCACAGCCGTAAGAACAGGAAAGACAATCGCGATCTTAACGTGGATTTTCACGCAAACCCGGTCCAAATGGATGCTAAATTGCGGGATAGTCAAGATTCGTATGGGCAACGATAGCCCATCCACCAGGGTTGAATCAACTCCAAAGACTCTCTAGAAATGATCAATTCCAGTGTTCAAAGCTAAATGGGACTTTAAAAAGCGAGTTCAAACACTGGGGGGCTTGATTACAGGATGTGTTGAGTGTTGTGAGTAGAGATGGGGGAGACGTGAAAAGGCGGAGCTGGCCCCCTTGAGAAAGATCACAAGAATTGGATCCGCACCGGAACAACTCACCATCAACAACCATCCCCAGTGGAACATTGATAAGACAACTTAGCTAGTTGAAAGCAATTCAGGGTATCATCCTACATGAACTGCATTCTCTGTGCATCACGTCTGGCGGTCTTCTCTACCAGAACTGGTGCTATAGGGTGCTTCAACTATTCAACCGTGTGTCCCACGCGACTTCTGGCGACACTACCAGCTTGTGACGTTGAAAAGGAGAAATTTACGTGTTCCATTGCGATTCAAAGAGATTTCAACGTGTTAACGGCTGTTTTCCCTCAAATTTCCCACAATGGCACCCTCAGAAGAGTCTATTCTGAGCAATTTCTTGCTTACCCCATCACCATTGCCTACTGTGCTTTCTTTGCAAAAATTTACAGAGTTATTTCCTAAGCGTCTGAGAAAACATCCACATATTCGAGCATTGTACCGAGAGTTGCAACATGCACGTGAACATGATTTGGATCAGGTGAATGAGAACATCGACATGGAAATTCAGCAAGGTGAACGTCAAAAAGCAGAGCTCCGAAAGGCCATCCTCATAGCTGGTTTCAAAGCAGCAAATGATGAGGAGCAACGGGAGATGGATCTAGATCTTCATTTGTTTGGGCAAAATACAGCAGATTCTGAAGATTATCATTCAACTGAAAGCCTCCTGGCTGAGATGGAGGCAGCTTGCAGTCATATTGAGCGAGAAATTGCAAGTGTGGATCAAGAGGCTGCAGATCTGATGAAGAAGCTGAATACTACTGTTGGAGATCTGAGTGATCTTCGCTATGGAAAATTCCCAGGCCCAGGTTCAGCTAGCGATGTGGCTGAGGAAGCTATCAAGGGTCTACAACATTTGGAGGATACTTGCTACCAAAAGACTATGCCTGGAGCTTCTTGATATGATTATGAACTTTGCGTTGATTTCAACTGGAAGAGCTTGAATATCCTATGTAGTATGGCAAAGGTAAACCATTTTTTTTCTATCTTATTCAAGGTGCTCGAGCTAATTCGGACAATAGAACATCAATACTTGCGAGTTCATCCATTTAGCCACCTGCCTTGCAGATGCTTGACTCCAAAGGAGCTGAACCCTGTTTACTAGATCATATCAAAGATCTGTATTCTATCATGCAATTCTCTGCCTGAACAATTATCCCTAGACATCTGGGTCTAAAGAAGCGGCCTTCGCGCACAGGTCCAATGTCGGCCATGCAGTGCATAACGTCCGGCTAGGAAACTGCGGAGAAAGCTGTTTTTAGAGAGAAACTCCAGACTCGGCGCCTTGAAGGGACCTAATCTGATTTTACCATCTAGGCATGAGTGATCTCCATGGCAAGACCGAACACAGGCTGTGGACCAAAGTATTGTAATGCAATAAGGAACGTGGTTAATGGCCGTGGCCCTAGCCTCCAATTACATACCATACTCTACCACTTTTCACTTAACTCCAATCTCTTCTGTGCAGCTCTTCAAAATTTTATAATAAGCGTAGAATCGAGTATCTCCTTAATCTTGGGTGTGCATTTATTTGATCCCTTCCGTCTCCGGCATAATTACCCAAATGTGGGGTCAACTTGAACGCGACCCGCGTCGCGTCAACCTCAAGTGCTTGTAATTGTCAATCCCACCAACTTGACCTCAGGACCATCTTAACCCTCAAACTCACAATTTGAAAATAATGCCTTCGATACGCTTACACCCTCACTCCTCCTCACCAACTGCAAATGTGATCCTGTCACCCAACCTTTCCCACCAATTCACCAATTCTCTCCCACAACTACTCCAGACACCCTCTGGTCTCGCTATCCTCGAACTCCAAGGCACAATCAACCTTCCCTCAACCGAGCAAGATGACGAGCACGATGACGGTTATCAATCACCGAAGGGCCCTACTTTCGAAACCCCAGTCGGCAAAATCATGTTCCCGGATTACTCGACTTTGAACCCGGACGATACCAAGTGGATGAAGCGCGTGTATCTATATGTCGGACGATATCAACGCATGACGGGTGAAGTGAAGAAACTTCCTCGTCCAATTGCTGTCCTTCAGAAACGCGTTTCCGTGGAAAATCCTTCGACCGAGGCGGAGGAGTTGGAAGTTGTGGATATTGTGCGGTATAAGATTTTCTTCAAGAATCGACCGGAGCCTGTGAATGATGTTTGATTGGGAACTGTACCTTCTGATTAAAGTGTCTCTCTTCTCAAGTCTCCCAGTTTCATCTACTCTGGTTCCTGGCAAGTGGTCCACCGTGTTGGTTGTTAGCCTGACAACGCGAATCGCTGGAATATTTCCTGGTCTCAACGATGGCATTATTTCTCAGGAATGCCGCTGCTCCATTAGCTCGGCCCGTATCATGGACTTCATCTTCATTACAGGCCAACTTGGGGGCCTGGACTACAGCAGAAAGGAGATGTCTTATGAAACCTCGAGTATATTCACGAAGGGCAATGATAGAGAGGGAACCTGGCACAATACTGTGCCTAACCTTGTGACAATATATTTAATGATGAGACGAATGAATGAACTTAACTACTTCTGGTATATCAATCTATGTTTCTCTATGTTCCCTAGAAAGACATTTATAATCAAATCGGTAAAGACCATATCCATGCACTGGCAAACGACTAGCTCCGCCATCTCCCGAGTCCAAGTCGATTTCTAAAACTCGGGCACTCGTTACTTTAATTGATTATATTATTTATCGACATTACTGAGCATACTTCGATCTCTTTCTCTAGCATCCTTTGCCCCCCGAGGCCATAGCCATGACCGAGCGGAATTGGTCCATTTTCTCACAGGAAGAATTCCGCACTTCCCGATAGGACGAAAACATTGAAGTAAGACAGAGGAATTGCAAAGCATTCTTCTAGGTATGAAATGCAGAGTTAGTATAATTAATAATTGGATTCTATAGATTAGACGTCAAACAAAGGAATCATGCAAAATCCCGCTGGTAGTATGTGTAGTTTACAATGCGCTTGAACTAATGGAACCAAATCTACTTATCCGTCGGAACGTCATCTGATAGAGGCCTCACTTCAATTATTGCGGGGTCTTCTGGAGGGTCATCGTATTATAAAAAACCACCAATGCCCCGTCTTACATCCCTCTTTCTTACTCAATTCTCACGCCGAACTCCTCCCTCTACACGCTTTTCCTCTACACTCGCAAAAATGGCTCCCATTGAACGCATCACCCTCTTCAAGATCCCCAATGACGCGGACGCGGATCGCTTGTTGGAGCAGTACAAGATTCTTGTGAAGACAGCTACAAAGGTACTTTCTTCCGTTTTATCTCAATTGTCCCTTACTCCTGGACTACAAGGCTTCAAATTTTTGTTATCCCATTTCCGATCCTGAGGCTTCGGCGAACCCGAGTCTGGACCGGTTGAATTCATTACCGAGTTATCCAGTGGATTCATGACTCCATACCTTTCTTTCCTGGACTATCTGAGAAATTCGACGGAATCAACTGAGCTACAGAACGTCTTGGATAGAATACACTCGGAAATACCACCATGAAACTTCAGTGACAGCTAATACTCGACAGGACGGAAAACCCTACATCGTTGCCGCCGCAGTGGGCAAGTCCATCCACGATCCCCGAAACCGCGGCTTTAACATCTCCGTTAAGACAACCTTCGCCTCGATGGAGGATATGAAGTACTATGACTCGGAGTGTGAGGCTCATAAGGCGCTGAAGGCTATGGTTGCGCCGATTAGGGAGGATGTTATGACAACATTCTTTGAGAATGTTCTCTAAATTCAATCTAGAGATTAAGCTGGGATATACTATATTGCAAAGTACCATGAAAATAAATGCATACAAATAAGAGCGTCAAGTCCTTCAGGATAACAAAATGTGATTGAGATATGATTCGTTCAGGATGTACAATGCATACGTCTAGCATGCGTTACCAATATCAAAAGATGCAGTCCAGAGAGCATGTGAGAGAAGAGCAGGAGGGGAAGAAATGGTCTAGTAAAACATGAAAACCAATTGGTGAAACTTGGAGAAGACAAGTGATACAACTAAACACCAATGCCATCTACAAAAATATGCAGGATGGGAACAACGACTGAAAACACTGGAGTCGTAGAGGGTAGAAAGAATCATGGCTAGCTCACGATGGACAACAGAACGATGGAGTGTAGGTAATAATTTAGCACATCGGTGTGGTTTCGCGGGGATGGTAGTAATCGCAGATTGACTATTCATCAACACTTGGGAAATATACAGGTATTCGGAATCGGATAAGAGGTACAGGGTAGGGGTCAAGGAGTAGTAGATCAGTCAAGAGCACGGCGAAGGTCGCTCCATTTCTGTTTGAGAGTCTCGTGGTTCTCAGACAACTATGAAATCGTTAGTATCATCTTTTGAGATTCGAGGTAGGAGTGAGTATTTGTTGACATACCTCGGCCCACTTCATCTTTGTTGCTACAAGCTCCTTCTCCATCTCGGCCATGGAGTCCTCCATCGCTCGGTTCTCATTTTGTACCTCAATGTTCCGTTTCATGATACGCTCCATCTCCATCTGCAGCTTCTCTTCTACCTCGATTGGTTGCTTCTCAATCACATTCTTCAGCTCCGTAACTTGAAGCTTGAGTGCATCGTTCAGATCGCGGAGTTCTTCATTCTCAACCTTGACGTGAACCAATTCCGATGCGAGCTGCACATGTTCCTTATCAGAGGCCTCGGCACGTTCCTCCAGGAGACGAACTCGAGAAGCTTGTATAGTCACTGTGTGTCGCAAATTCTCCAGCTCCACCTCACGCTCTGTCTCAGTGCGAGTCCTTTCTTCCCACTCAGCAGTGTAAGACTTGATCATATCCTGGGTAAGGGGAACGTCACAAGCATCTTGAACCAGAAGATCAGCTCGGTAGACTTCCTTATCGGCTGCGCCAGAGCTTCCAAAGAATCCAGACTCTAAGAGAGATGTCGCTGACGGCTGCTTGTCGATGTATGCGTCAAACAACCGCTCCTTCAGGAAGGTGGTGAGCGGGCTCATGTCTTTCATGGCCAGGAGCGCTTCGGCGTTGCGCCTCATAATCGCGATGGAGAACTTCAGGATGGTGCTTTCGAGACCCTCCTCGAAGATCAGATCATAAATACGAAGAACCAGTTGCAGCGGGAATCGGTAAGCAAACAACGTCAAGAACCACTGGGTGGCATATAGTTGCGGGGGAACGCCGCGGCGTCGAAGGTGACAGTAAAGAGCGGGTTCCAGGTCTTCCAACAATCGCTCAAATTGGAAGAGACTACGGTGAAGACCGGGCATGTCCTGAATGAACATCTCTCGGAGTCCGTATTTATTCATCAGCTTCACAAGAAGCTCGAAGGCCTCCACTTCATCCATGTTGAACAACAGTGGCATGATGATAAAATTCATGCCCTGCGCGTAGCCAACAGCCTCATCGTACAGTGCGTAGGCTTTACATAGCCCAAACAGACTCTCTTGGCTACCCTGGGAGACAAAATATTTCGAATAACTGGTGCGAGAACCAAGATCCCGGCGAATGACCTTCTCCAGCTTCTGCAAAGCAGTCGTGTCAAGGTTGGCCTTCTTCAGGCGAGCACTTGCATGAGCTGCCTGTTCCCGGGCCAGTTTCTCGGGATCTACCTCTTGCGAAGGACTAGGGATCATACTAGAGGACTGTGTGGCAGACCCAGAGTGGTCAGATCTGATTGAGGAGCGCGAGGACGAGGTAGATTCTTCGATGATCCCATTTATCTGACCATGTGAAGGTCGACGATCCTTATCGGATCCACGAGCAATCAGATCCCGGTAAATGTACTCCAATTCACTCGCATGGCAATCCGCGAGAATCTGCCAGATGACACCTCGAATGGTTTGTGGAATACCCCTTTTGATAGCCGCATTCAACTCCTCCGATTTTGCCAACGCCGATGGTCCATTGTTCACTAGTTGCTGCCAGAGTTCCCAGTCGACAGGTGTTGACGCATCGGACGGCGATCGGGCAAGTCCAGAGACGGTTCCAGGAGCGAGATTTGGGTTAATCGTTAATGGAGTTGTAGCTCCCGGAGATAAAGCCGGAGGAGTCGTGACAGGGGCAGTCAAGACTGGCGACTCGTTTTCTTCGTGTATAATTGGAGGGCTAGCTCCAGAGTGGGCGATGCTAGGTGGTCCCGATGTCACAGCCTCGTCGTGCTCGGCCCAAGTCGTATCCTCCCGCATACGAAGCAACTTGAATTGATCCTTCAAGCTGTTACGTCGTGGCTTCCTTGAGTTGACACTTGACGCATCTCCATCTGCACCTAGCTCGAGGTTACTAGCGATAGTCGATACCGAGGTGGAAGTGTTTCGTCTGGTTCCAGCTTGGGGTGGGGATTTGATATCTTTGGCCCCAGTCGAGCTTCGAGAGAACCATGCAAAGGGTCCACTGGGTTTGCGAGTAACTGGGGGAGGAGCGGGAGGAGGAGGGGGGGTTTTTATTAACCGGAGGAGGTCCCCAAGGCAAGGAGGGGAGAGCACCAGACAGACCCATCAAGCCGCTTGGTGGCGAAGCCACCTCGTCCTTGGGGGGGTACAGGTGGTGATTCCGAGTTGATTTGTGGGCTGTTCACGTCTATTGGTTGATCTTCTTTGCTGTTGGTGAGAACAACCTCGTCCAGGGAGGAGGCAGACGACAAGCGGTGGGATGTGAGCAAGGGGGACTTTGGAGGAATACTCTGGACTGGTGTTTCTCCGCCAGCCCGATCCAAGTCTACATCCTCAGACACCTCGACCTCTTGGTCTGTTTCTGTCTCTTTTTGCATGTCCACTGTTTCCAACCCCAACCCCAACCCATCGCCAGACACCTGTTGCTTCTCCTCCTCCTCCTCCTCCTCTACTCTCTCTTCACAGAGACTCTCCTCCTGCTTCCCCTTTCCTTTCTTATTCTTCTTTTTGTTCTTTTTCTTTGGGGTTGTTGGTTCATTCTCGTCATTGTTCTCATCTTCCTTCTGTTCGACCTGCGATTCAGATGGAAAATGCGGTTTCTCAGTGCCGTCTGGTGACGCGCCCGTCCCCACGGGCGGACTATCGGTCAATGACCGTGAGGATGAAGATTGAGGAATGGTTACATGGAGGTTCTCGATAGATTCGGGGGCATCGTCAAACGACTCCTGAACAAGATCAGCATTATCACCACAACAGAGAATCTGAAACGAGGGGACACCACACAACTTACCCCTTCATAGTCACGACTGCTTCTAGCGGACGACATCTCGAGGGGGATTTCAGAAAAATATCATACAATCAGAGAATTTAAATCAGACCCAAGAAGCAGAAAGCCTCAAAGGTCATAAAAGGGGAAGATGAAGAGAATGAGGAAGGAATTCGGTGTCAGTTTAGTGATGGTTAAATCGAGGAGTCAGGGCACGGGATTTGATTGGGTAAGAGTATGCAATCTACAGTATGGGGCAGTCGATCCGAACGTTGGAATGTAAAGGAAAAGTGCAGTATATGCAGAGATATGCAAGATGAAGAATGTAGAATTCTTGATAGTATTTTTTTTAATTTGGTTCAATTGAAAATATGGGGTTATAGCTCATCTCAGAATTTCTTTGTGCTATCTATAGACCCCCCCCTAGTGCTTGAACCTTGGGAAGCTTATGGAACCTATGGTCTCGGTCCCGCCCTATATACGATAGCTCTTTCTGCACAGTACAATAGCTTCGTCGTACAGATGCAACAGCAGATCATACCAAAACGAGACATATTGTCAAAAAAGAGAAACTTCCAGAGTTAAACGAAAAAAACAAAATTCAGTCTGTCTTGTAGATTAATGTTCTTTTTACAAGGTCTGTTCAAAATCTAGCCATCTTTGTTCTCGTAAAGGATCCAATTGCTTCAATTCCGAGAGCCAGCTCAAGATTTGATCACGGTCCTCCGAAGATAAATGACCTGTCACTTTGGATACCAAGACCGTGCACTCGATAAGAGCCTGGTAGATGTATTTGCAATCTTCAGCTCCATCCAAAATTTCCTGAACATTGTCAATCTCTTGGCGGAGATATTGAAGTCGTTCTGACGTGCTCAAATTCGGAGCCATTGTCCGATCAGCGGTAATTGGGTCAAATACACAGAGCAGATTCTGATGGTAGAACCAGACTGACTGGTCATAAGGATCAATCAAAGCTTGATGAATGAGGGACAACTCTGTACATTAATAAACACAGTCAGATAAAATTCGGAACAGGCAGGAGGACACATTTGTGACACTCACCATCGTCTAGCATCTTACGCCGCTCGTTATCAGTGGCGGATTGTTCATCCAAAAGCCGCTGAATCAGCTTAGTTCGGTAGTGCCAGGCGGAAAAATTCGAGAGGTTGGCACCAATCATTTTCTTTGCATATTCGAATTCTTTTTGGGTCATGCCTGTGGCCTCATCTAAGCTGCCGAGCTGCTTCAACGTCTCCACAACCACACGACGGTATCCCCAGCCGTGGAAATTGCGACTGTCCAGTGTTAACATTTTACCAACGAGGGCAAATTCCTCTTGCCAGATCTGGCGAGCTTCTGGTAATGGCAGCAGTCGACGCGCTTCATCCAGCAGCCACATTCGATAGTTCCAAATCCAGTAACATTTGGGGAAGCTCCGCAGAAGAGGGATGAGGAACATCAAGTCATTTTTGATTAATGAAAGTACAGGCTGGATTATATCCTCGTTGGCAGTATCTGAAGCTTCCGAAAAATGATGTCTCATAACCCGACGACGGTAGTTCCAGATCGTATAGTATTCTGGATTCCGATTCAACAGTCCGGAGATCTTCTCCAGTGTGTCGCTAGAGTAATCATGTTCGGCCACCTGGTCTTAATGAGAATGAATGCATTTCATGAAATGGATTTTACCCATAGATTTTAAGGGGCTGACCTTGTCCGAGACTAGACGTTCTAGCGATCTATAGTCATCTATCTTCTGCAGCTCTTGCTGCCGTTCTTCGGGTGTTTTCTCCGAGGGCTTAAATCGCCGAACACCGTGCTGCCAAACATGTCAGCCGACAGTCAAGTACCATTTCACCATTTCCACTTACACTGGCCATTGTGATGGAAGTAATTTTTCGATCAACTTTTTGCTGGAGGAAGAAACAGGGAAGAGCGAACGAGGCCGCCCGGTATCTGCGGGGATCACGTGGGGTCCTCTTGCCTGAAGATGAAGCAACTTGAACTTCACCCTTATTTCATCCATATTTCTTTATGAGAATTCAAACACCATGTTTCCCTGCTATTGGGGTCTATGATACACACTCCTTTACGTGGTGATTATCCCTTACTACTATCAGGTACCAAACCATGGTAGATTCACAATGTCATTCCTTCGAGGATACGGCTGCGGCAGGCAGCTATAATGTTCCAATCATATCTGAGTCTCATCCCGGATCCTCTCATGACAGTGGCTCGGTCAGACGACTTCAGCTTACCTCTCCCAATACTCCACTTTTCAATTCCCCAAATGGCTCTCAAGCATCAGTGTCGCTTCCGAAAACAACCCCTCATGTTATCATGTATCTGAAAGAAAATCAAACAGCTTTTACAACACCTGCAAAGCGAGGCCGTAGTCAATTCAGAGCAGCATTCTCGAGAGATACAACACGAAACTTATATCGCAGTCCAAGTTCTTCTGATCGATTTATTCCCAAACGCGACTTTGGCGATTCTCCATCAACGCCGTTCCGGGTGAACAAACCCCCACAGCAACTGTCGCCGCGAGAGCGATTGTTTCGGCACCGCTTGCCTGGAGATGACCCATTCTTACCAACTCCCAGCCCGAGTCCAGTGTTTCCAGGTCAGAGTACAAGACCAACTCGGCTTCGTCAAAGACCACTTCAACGGCCCCGGCTCGTTACTGACCTAGCGATCCTTGGAAGCAATCGTCAAAATGACTTCCTCAGACAGGTCAGCTCTGGGGCCGTCTGGGGTGTAGGTGGAACATCTGCAATGCTTGGGGATTCTGCGGTGACAACTGTGAATGGTGCACCAAGTTTTGTCGGAAGAGCCAGCTCAGCACCTACTTTTATGGCCAAATTCTTACCCAGAAAGTCCAAGGTTGACGACCAAAACAGGCATGAGTCGCGAATAGCCCTTGCTTTGGATATTGACCCGACTTCTCGAGTACTTGATAATTCCCGAGGGTGCGTACAGACAGCCCCTCATCCAACATCCCCAAACTATGAACAGTTTGAGCCCTTTGTATGGAAGGATAGCGCGTGGAAGAAGGGAGAAAGGGGGAACTGTAAGAATATTTCTGTTTCTCCTTCTTTTCTTTTTCTTCTTTTGTCCAGGCTTTACACGATAACATTTAACAGAGCCAGATCTATACAATATCTAAGAACTGCCACTTTAGGTCGCACCGGATTTTGACATCCAAGCACCCACTGACCAGTATGTGGTAGGGCCAACGAGTTTTCCTCGGCGAGAGGCTGTCCCACCCAAGCCTTTTAGGATCTTGGACGCTCCATACATGCGGGATGACTTCTATTGCTCTACTTTGGCCTATTCTTTCACCTCCGGTGTTTTAGCTGTAGGATTGGCGCAATCTGTTTACCTCTGGTCTGAAGGTTATATCGTGGATCGACCACCGTTTGGTGATGTTCACCCCGCAAACTACGTGACCTCTCTCTCGTTTTCCTCCGAGGATGGTGGGCGCAGTATACTTGCCGTGGGTCGTCAGTCCGGCCAATTGACTCTCTGGAGTGTCTTCGAGAGCAAGGTGCGCTTTGAAATTAGCCATGCGAACAGTGTATCTTGCGTCTCCTTCAAGCCAAAGACCTCAAGAAGATCATCAGAAGGGTATGCAAACACAGAGATAGATGCAGAGGATCTCGTTGTTGGAGACGAAATGGGAAACATCTGGTATTATGCAGTCGAATGGCCTGATGTTCACGATGAATGGAGTTGGACAGGCTCCATGACACTGTTGGCCAAAATATCTGCCCATAGCCAACAGGTGTGTGGGTTGGCCTGGTCCCCTGATGATCGCTTCCTTGCTTCTGGAGGAAATGACAATGCGTGCATGTTGTTTGAACTGCATAAGATATTGCCATCGCCACCTCCTAATCACCCAGTCGTGTCCACTACCTCATCAGATCTGGCTGGAAACTTGAGTCGCGCAATTCCATGTCTTGCTTTAGGCAACAACTCCGGGCGCTCTATCAGAGGTCGACAAATTGTCAGCCATCTACTTCCGTCCTGGATTCATTCTCTTCCAACCGAACTCTCCACAGCACCTCCGCTGTTAAGTCGTGTCGGATGTCTTATTTCGGGCAGCGATAGAACAGTTCTTATTCCAAGCAGCCGTCGAAAACACCGCCTCGCCCATGCTGCGGCGGTCAAGGCAATCGCATTTGCACCATGGCAACCATCATTGCTTGCAACAGGGGGTGGTTCGAATGACCGTGCTATTCATTTCTTCCACGCCAAGACTGGCGTCTGTCTAGCGAAAATTAATGTCTTTGCACAGGTGACCAGTCTAATATGGAGTCAAACCAGACGTGAGATCGCCGCAACATTCGGATACGCTCAACCAGAGCACCCTTTTCGGATTGCTGTTTTTGCCTGGCCTAGTTGTGCCCAAATTGCGGTCATTCCTTGGGGCCCCGCTGGAGCTAGCTGGGATGGTCAAGAACAAGATGTTACCTACGATTGTGGCCGAGCACTGTGGGCTGTCAGCTACCCAGGGAGGCCGCCTCGTCCACTGAGTGTTGCTACGGATGAATCTGATCCTCTGGGCTCGAAAATGTCAGCTGCCGGTCCATCCACCAGTCATCAAGCTGATGAACGAGGTCAATCGGTTGAGAGAAGAAATGAGTCTCCAGAGCGAAGGCGAGGTCCATATGCCATCCGCCCCAAAGAGAAAGAAGGTGGGATGTGGTGCACGCGAACAAAAGATGAAGGATGCATCATTGTGGCATCAAGCGATCAGACTGTCAAATTTCATGAAGTATGGACTGGTCGACGCAAGAGCACTGGCTCAGCCTCCGGGCTGCTTGGAGGAAGTGACATTCTTGAGGGCATAGAAGGGATCGAGAAGTCCGGAAGTGAAGTCATTCGTTAAGGCGTGTCATGGGTCTATTCTTATTCCTGGGTTATATTCTTAAAGTCTGATTGGGAACAGGCAGGTCCTATCCTTCACTTTTTGTACAATCCTTTTGTGAAACTCCAATCATTGCGTCACTGCAAATTTGTGGCTTTTTGTACATCCGATTCATCGTTTAGCGTCAATAAAATGTCGATCCCTCTCCACTCCATTCTACATAGAGCAATCATCAACAGAATGAGCGGTCCCACCGGAATATTCCTCTTTCTCAGATCTTTTCTCTGAATCAATTCCTCTAGCTCTTCTCCTCGATCCGAGCCCTTCTACTAAATACTATTATACATAAAATCCGAACTCCGAAATCCGAAATGCGTTTCACAGCACTTACCTTCCTTCCTATACTCTCCACCCTTAGTGCCGCCGCAGGCACTTTGAATGTTACAGTCTTGGGTGCGCAAAATAATGTCTCTACTCTCGAATGCTGGGCATTAGAGCCCGGCTTTGGAACTTCGTCGCAAGCTGGCACAGCCGGTTCAAAGACTTTGAACCTTGGACCCCTTGGAGGAAAGAATGCGGGTAACTCTACATATGCCCTTATTGCGGGTCAATTCGATGGGGGGAGACATAATGCACCTGCAGCTCAGTATGCTGATTCCCTTCCCCTTCCCCTTGACTTCTCTTTCCCCCTTTTCAATACATTGATTTGGAGTGCTGCACACGCGAGGGCTGAAGTATAGTATCTGCTATACCATGCTTGATATTGCTGGAGCAGCCACATTCGCGACCGTGTAGACAGAGAATTATCTCTGGATTTTTTCCCTAAGCACACATATCATAATCCATACAAAGCAAGGCTAATCTTTCACAGATGGGTTGTCTTCCTTTCAGGATTGGCTCATATCACCCTGCCCAACTCAACAGACGAAGCCTGGATTCCAGGCGGAAGAAATGGCGCAATCCTAGCGTTGGACACAGCCGATGTGAGTGGTTGGGGACATATCACTAAGTACCCCTCTAACCAGACAACTGCTACGTTCGAGATTCCGTTGGGTGATGAGGGTGTTCCCGAACATAAGGTTTTGCATGAAGGTGCTTGCAAGGGAGATGAGCTTTCGACTTGATGTATGTGCAGATAGACCTTAGATAGACCTCTTTTTCTACTCGGGTACTTGAGATTTTCTCCGCCTAGCATTATTCAACTTTCATCTCAATGTTCAAGGACGTTGTTGGTAGATGCAATGGAGATATCTAGGACCCTCGTCATGAGATTCGCATGATCGGAGGAACAGTCACCACTGCTGTATACCATATAGAGAACTCAGTCAAAAAGATAAAATAAATTGATTGCAATGCAGATAGTATCAATGCATCCGATAGAAAATTCTTTTATAGCCCATAAACAAGATAAACATATAGAAAAGAAACACAAAACCATCTTTATCTTCTCACGCAGATTTCATACAAGATCAAAGACGTCGTCTATGAACAAACCCATCAGTAATTTCAAGTTCATTTCTTCCCACTCTTTCCCTTCTTTCCACTCGTTTTGCTCTTCTTTGAAGGTGGTGGCTGCTCAATAGCATCATCCGACTCCTCGTCCTCGGTATCAGCGATGAAATCCGCCAATGACCCCTCGCTCACATCATCAGAGTCTTCGTCCTCGTTCTCCTCCATGGATTCCTCCGCATCAGAAGAACCAGCTGATTCTTCAGCCTCGATATCCAAGATATCATCACCCTCGTTCTCATCCTCATCCTCACTGCCATCATCCTCATCATCTTCGGACTCGTCTACAAATCCATTCATCATTGACTCGTCCTCATCGAATGCCTGCTCGCGAATAGACTTTGTTCGGGGCTTGGCTTCGGTTTCGCTATCAGAGTCATCTTCCTGGCCCTCAACGTAAATGACATTCTCCTCATCCTCACTGTCCACACCCTCACCTCCGTTCTGGATATCCCGACGCAGACTCAATTGAGCCTCGAGCATATCGAGCTTACCCTTCAGAAGAAGGAGGGATGAAAGGCTAGAGGATCGCTGGTCCATGACCTTGTACAGGGTGGACATACGCTTCAGGAGGTCAGGGTGACCGGCCAAGGCACCACCGTGGGCAACACAGACCCACTGGACCCAGACAAGGAGGTGACCGTAGCGACCGGGGCGAGAAGAAAGACGCTCAGCGAGCTTCTGGAGCAGGGTAGCGGCGAGAGAGGACTCGAGACGCTGGATGGTAGTGCGAATGATGGTGATGTCGGATGTGTGGAAGCAGGACTCGAGCATGGCGCTGTCGTTGGTCTTGAGGGACTGGGTGAGAACAGTGGATAATGATACACCAGTGGGGATCTGTTGCACGGCAGCAGCGGGCTTGCCGGGGACGAGGGTGCCCAGGTTAAGATCATCGTCCAGCTCAGCCTCAACATCGACCTCGCCGACTCCGTTAGCGCGGAGCAGCTCGCCGAAGGAAGGCTCAACACCTTCCTCCTCCTCTTCCTCTTCGTCATCTGATTCGGCGTTCTCCATCTCAATATCGGAGTCGGCGGCCGCGGGGGCGTTCTTGATAGCCTTAGTCTTCTTCTCGGTAGCAGCAGGCTTGACAGTGTCGTCGACGTCAGAGTCCTCATCGCCAGAGACAGAGACGGCATCTTGGGTATCATTCATCTCGACATCATCGTCGACAGTCATACCGGCCTCCACGACAGCGTGGGTCTCATCAACCCGACTTTCACCAACATTCTTGGATCCATTTGTTGAAGCGGCCGCAACGACTGAGCTGGACTTGGTCTTTGCAACGGCCTTGACTCCGGTGAATGCAAGCTCCTCGGTGTTCTCATCGATGAGCTTGACACGCTCGAAAACGGGGATAACACCACCCTCAGCGTAAGCGACCACGATTTCGTGGCCGTGGAAGACGGTTGAGACCACAGGAACACATGCGCTTGAGGACTCAGAGCGAATAATCTTCAGAGAGGCGTTTGCCTTTTGTGTCATCTGTTTGCGGTTGGCCTTGGCACTGCCGGAGGAGACATTTTGTGGCTGCACGAAAGGCTTTGTGAACAACTCAATTGTGCCGTCCTCGGTGACAGCGGCAAGAATTTGCTTCTCGGCGGTCTCGTTGTACAGGGATACGGAGGAAACATCCTGCTCTGCAACAAGGTTGCGCACCAACTTCTGGGTGGACGCATCGAAAACATTGATGAAGCGCTCGCCATCGGATGCAAGGAATGCGCCTGCGCCGGCAGACTCGGTGGAAGATGAAACGATGCTGCGGATCTGGTTACGCATAGCGGGGAACTGAACGGGCTCCTCGTCGGAGTTCTCGACATCTATTAAGACAGGGGTCTGAGAGGCACAAATGACGGGCTGGTTGGCGGGAACGGGACGAGAAAGGGCAGTAAAGGTAGAAGATGCAGGCAAATGAATCGTTCTGATAGAAAATAGTAATCAAGTTAGCAAAAAAGGTCATTTTCAAGTCGCTCACTAGAATTGGACGATAAACGTACCGTACGCTCTTTCCAGTGCGCAGATCCCACTGTACAAGCTTGTTATCACCACCAATACTCCAGCCCTCTTGAGCAGGTCGCCCAGCAGTGAACTTGAAGTCCTTGATTCCCTTATCGTGCACACCAGTCAAAGTACCAATGACCTTATCCTCCGATGGGGAGTACATGCGGATATCCGAGTTGCTGGTACCAAACGCAACAACGATGTCACCCTGGTCGAGACCATCGACGCCATTGACATCAGATCCACGCTTGCGCTTCTTCTTCGACAGGTCGCGGTTCTTACCCTGGCCACCGTAGTAGCCCCAGTCTAGCGATGTAATAGTCTCCTTGGGTCCAAGCGCATGCTCGCATTGTAGTCGTCCAGTGTTGGTATCGTGAATGCGGAGATGTTGCGCATCAAGACCCTGAATGACCGAGGCGAATAGGGCCAATTGGTATTCGGACGGCGAAAAGGCAGCTCGAAGAATCGAAGATTTGCTGCCTGATTGTGAGAGGCCATCAGCCGGCGATGCGGCAGAGCCGACCTTGGTAGCTGGACGAGATGTCTTCTTGCCCATTTTTTTTTCGAGGTGCTCTTGGAGCTTCTTTCGGGGGTATTTTCTTTCGTGGAATTTTCAGCCGATCGTCACAGATGAAATTGTATTATTCTCGCACAGAGAAAGAGAAGCCCGAGAAAACGCTTTTCACAAACCCTGGGGAACGAGGTTTGGGGGCTCTGGGACACTGGTAGTTCTCGTAGTCGATGCGGAAAGGAAAAAAAATGTTCTGTAGATGTGGGGCCTCCATATTGACACGTGACTTGACCAAGGTGATATGTGCACTTTCATCTGATAGATCACCCATTGCAACCAGGCCCCAATGTCAATTTTATAACATCATAATTCATCCATAATGATGGACCTCAAAGTTTTCCATATTTCTGGGGTTGATAATCGCTTACGGTGCTCTAATATTTATGTTAAAAAAATTTTACAAACTTGACGTGCAACTCAGTAAGTCAACTGGTTAATTCCAAGGTTGGTCCACGGGTACACTGGTGGGTGGTGACACTAACTTCAAGTTTGTATATTCAATGTGTACAAAGGTAGCACTTCCAAAGTTGAGGGTATGTTGAATGTTGTCTTAGTGTCGGTACTAGTAGGAATCACCCGTGGACTGGCATTGGCAACTTTCAATGTTGGAAGTGGGACTCGGAGTCCCGGGTTTCGACGTTTTGATCCTATATATTTCTTCAAAATGTTAGTACCTGGATGGATGCTGCCAGTGAATTAGCGGTGCATACTACTAGTACAACTTGAACACTTGAGTATATATACGAGGTAATCATTCAGGTTTGTGGATTCAAGTTCAAGATTCAATAGCCAGTATCTAGTGCCATTTTAAACATTTGAATATTTACATACTACATAGGTACTAGTAATACTAGGTAGTAGGTAATATCCATGTAGATATCCATCTGAATCTGGACTTCAAGTTCGAGGCCGCTACTAGTAGTACTCCGTAGTGACCAATCGGATTTCCCGAGATCGCTCTATATGGAAAACATACATAACGCTTGAACCCGATTCCTTTGTCTAGATTTCAACATGTCAGAACCTTGGAAGCACAGACCTTAATTGACAAGATCTTCAATTTCCAGATGTTAAAGTTTCTTTAACTTTTTTTCTTTTCTTTTTCTTTATCAATATTTGGAGCGCTTTGGGCACATGAGTAGATTGCCTGTGGTTAAGACTGCACTACCATTTGCCCAACAGAGCACCTGGGAGGTGTGGTTCTTTCCCAATATTTCAATTGCATCGAATGTTTACATCCCAAGATGTATCCTAGCATGTGGATGGAGTAGATTCTCCATGCAAGGATATTTGCCATGATGAGTATAGTCATCACTACATACATCTTCAAATGTCCATAGATCATCGATGAAATTAGATCACCTGATGATAGGCGTATAAAACTTGAAGCCCACAGCTACTTTGAAATGAAAAAAAACAGGGTGCGATAATCATTTTAAAAATGTCCATAGGTATGGTTGAGATTGTTATTCCCTTTATGGTGAGACCCACACGATGAGTCATTATAGAATCAAGCCAATCAAAAGCTGAGTCTATGCAGGGCTATGGAATGATAATTTGGAGTTCTGGATGAATTGGGGAGATTACTATGTATGTATGTTTACAGGTCACATGTAGATAAATAGATAAATAGTGGATTTAATCATCCGAGTCCTCACTTCCACGCGAACCACGCGGATGTATTCACTATTAAAATGGAGTATAAATAACAATCAAAACCGGACTTCAGGGCTGCGGAATACCCATGATGCTGGAACTTTCTCCAGTGGCTTACTCACATGAAAGGTGGAGCCTACTTCCAACATTTGAAGGTTTTGGATATACAATATGTATGTATTAATTTCCATGAGATACTGCCCCAGGTGATGATAAGACTCGGAGATACCATATACATAGTGGTAGAGCATAGAAAAAGAGAATTTTGTATAGAATGGCTGTAGAAAGACACAGTGTCATAAACTCCGAGTCATATTTTCCTTTCAAACAAGGCACAGAACCCTCTCTTGGTATGAACGGGATTATCCCTCGCATATGTAGTAGGTGCGACTCCAGATGTAATCAAACCGCCAGGGATTTTTCCTTCGAATGTTAAAAATATATGCAATCAAATGCTATGAACTATATAAGCGGATATACTGTCATAATGTTCTTCTATTCTTATCTTCTTATGTTACTATGGGTACCCATATAATGGAGTCGATGATGAAATGAAAATTTTTTCGTAACCATATAATGTATCCAATCATATAGGACCACTCAGGGGCCGCATCGGGACAGGGCCAATGAAAAAGGGGCAGAGTAAAACTAAATAGGTTTAGCGTGTTTAGTGGAACTTCCAGGAGAGGAGAGCAAGGCGCCCGTTCGGTACTTAAGGATTCTGGCATCCCCCATCTTGAATTGTTCTCTTCTGTCCTGGAACTCTACTGACCGCCTTGTATCCTTGGTTACCTCTTTCACCCTTTTTTTTCTGCCCCTGATATAAACATTAGTAACGCGTCAACGCGTTGACCCGTGCTTTTTCTTACCCTTTTTTTTTTACTCTTTTTCTTTTCTTTGACTAGCTTCATTTCGTTCTTTTAATTTCCGTTTTCCATTTCCTGTTTGGGTTCTAGTGATCCACCTTGCTTCCGTTCCCCAAGCTTCCAAGAGATACACCTCAGGCAGCAACATTGCTTTCCCTGTTTGTATACTGGGCGCAACCTGTCCTGTACCTCACCACGTGACCACCTTACCGCCTTCTTGGCAGTATAAATTCCTCATCTCCGATCGCATTCTCCACTTCTCTTATCCCCCGGCGTCTCCCTTTCCCTTATCACCTCTCCGTCGCGTGTTTCTGTTTCCTCTTCCTCCGCGCCATCACTCACGTTTCGTCGGTGTGATTGCGCGCGGAAGTATAATCAGAGTACACTCGACATATTTGCGAAAACTCACCTTCGAATAACTTTCTGTCTGTGACATCACCACAGAGCTTGTATCCCATCCCTCATTACAACCCAGTCTTCATGGCAACCCCGCCCCCTGAGGCTGCGCCGGTGTTGAAGGAGGAGAAGCCTCAGCTTCCTCCTTCTCCTACTGGTGCCTCTGCCCCTGATGTTGCGCCCACCAGGTAAGAGCAAGCCCAATGTAGTTTTTGTTTTCTCATTTTCATGCTCGCGCGTGAGAGTGTCCAACTGACTTAGTCGCATTGCCTACAGTGCTACCAATGATGTGAAGATGCACGGTACCGATACTCCTACCGACAAGAAATCTCCCGTGTTGAATGGGAACGGACACCCCGCCGTCGCGTCTGTCACTAATGGTACGGGCAATACTACCTCTCCCCCCCAAATCTCCCACGCCTGCCGTAGACAACCTGGCAACCTCCACACTCGCTGAAGGGACTTCATCTGCTGCCACATCTGCTGTCATTCCAAAGCCATCCGATGCGGTGACGATTCCTGCGATGACCAGCAACACAGAGGATAAACCCGCAATTACTGATGCGCCCGCATCTACATCCGCTCTTGAGTCGGGTCCTCTAGCTGGGGGCCTTGATGGTTCGACTGACGGAAAGATGGAGCTTGACGGTCCCCAGGAACCCCCCTGTGGCACAGCCTTTGAAGACTGAGCTCCCGCTCCACCCCTACTACCGATTCCGCCCCTTCTCTGCCCCCTGTGAACACCGACCGCGATATGAAAGATGCTCCGCCAAGCGTACCACTCTCTCCCTCCAAAATGGCTCGGGGACGCGAGGCCGACCATGGGGAGGAGCCAGCCGCAAAGCGGACCAAGGTTGATGGAGAGAATGGAACAGCTGCAGGTGTTAAGCTCTCACAATTGCCATTGCCTGCCCCTGTTACTCAGACTACTGCTTCCACTCCCACAGCTGTCAAGTCGGGTATCACAAAAATGCAGCACAAATTCCTGACCAAGTGTGTGTCAAGCTTGAAACGAATGCATGATTCGCGCTTCTATCGTGAGCCTGTAGATCCGATCAAGTTGAACATTCCGAACTACCTCCAAATCATTACTCAACCGATGGACATGAGTACGATTGAGAGAAAGCTCAAGGCCAATGACTATTCTTCCTCCCAGGCGTTTATTGATGACTTCAATCTGATGGTTCAGAATTCCTTGACTTTCAATGGACCTGACCATCTCGTCGCTCAAGAGGGCCAGAAGCTCAAGGTAATTTTTGACAAGCAGATGATCAATCTTCCCAAGCCGGACGAGGTAGAGGAGAAGAAGTCGAAGAAGTCGTCGACAGAGAAAACTTCCGCCGCACGCCGGGAGCCTCGAACTTCGCTTGGTAGTACTAGTCAACCCCCGAAGGCCGCATCTCCCCCAAGTGCTAGCACTACCGGCACTACGTTCGCCCTTGGCCCCGAGGGTCTGCCAACCATTCGTCGCGACTCATTCAACCCCGATGGACGTCCAAAGCGTTCCATTCACCCTCCTAAACGCGACCTGCCTTACTCTACCAAGCCTAAGAAGAAGAAGTACCAATGGGAATTGCGATTCTGTCAGGACGTTCTTGATGAGCTTCACAAGCCGAAGCACCATGCGATCGCAATCGCCTTCTACTACCCCGTGGATCCTGTCGCTCTCAATATTCCTACATACCACAGTGTGATCAAGAAGCCTATGGATATGTCTACTGCCCAAAACAAGCTCAAAACTGGTCAATATGAGAATGCCAAGGAATTCGAAAGTGATATCCGCCTCATGCTCAAGAATTGCTTCCGATTCAATATGAAGGGAGATCCAACTTATCTTGCTGGTGAGAGTCTTCAGGCGGTGTTTGATCAGAAGTGGAAGGAGTTGCCCCAGTATCTCGAGAAGCACGAGCCACACCCGGAGCAGCACACTGATTCTTCCGAAGACGAGAGCGACGAGGATGCGGAAGAGAGCGAGAATGAGGATAACGAGAAACTCAGTCTGCTGCAGAAGCAGATTGCCGAGATGTCTCGCCAGGTCGAAATGATCACTCAGAAGAAGAAGAAGACTCCACCTTCCTCTAAGAAGGTCGGCAAGTCATCAAAGTCTGGCAAGAAGGATGGTAAGAAGAGCAGTAGTGGTAGTAAGAAGGATAAGAAGAGCAGCCTCAGCAAGGGTCCTAAGGAGAGAACCCGTCTCGTGACCTATGCGGAGAAGCAGGTCATCTCCCACGGCATCAGTAATCTTCCTGACAAGAAGATGCATGAGGCGCTCGGCATTATCCAGAGCAATGTTCCTGCTCTCAAGGTATGATTTGATACATCTCTCTGTTCAACAATCATGAAACCTGTGCTAATCTGTATTCAACGCTTGCAGGGTACCCAAGAAGCCGAGATTGAGCTGGACATTGATGAGTTGCCCAACGACGTTTTGGTTTTGCTGCTCAATTTCGTGCGGAAGAATACCAATCAATATGCGGAAGATGAAGAAACCTCTCCTGCAAACACTTACGCAGCTCCCAAGCCGAAGAAGAACAAGCCCATGAGTAGTGCGGAACAAGAGGCTCAGATCAACACGCTCCAGAGCAACCTATCGCGTTTCGAGAGTGGTGGTGCTTCCCTCCCATCCGTCGAGAACAATGAGTCCAGCGAGGATGAATCCGACGAAGACTCCGAGGAGAGCGAAGAGGAGTAGATGCTACATGGATCGATCGATCGTTACTGCCCCCCCTAGTTGTAGGGGTGGAGGTGTTGCTTTGATTTGCGTTCTTAGCGTCTTTTCTTTCTCCCCTACTTTCTCCTGCTGATTGCGTTTGCGAATATCTTTCCTCTACTTTTCTGGTCCTTCGTGACCACCGATGGTTGCAGTTGCTTCAATTTTTTCCATGCAACCCTCCTTCATCCCAACTTGATCCCTTTTTTTCCACGAAGAAAAACAAAAACACACTTGTACATACTCCTCCTCCTTTACCCTTTCCTTTCGAATATCCCAGGATTCGGCACTCATAGCCCTCATACTACGGGCTTCAATCGCGAATCTCTTCCTTGCCCTGAGTCCTCGAGATTGAATTTGCTTGAACTTTTTTTGACTCCCCTTTCTCTGCTTTAACCTAAGCTCGGTTTATTGATTCCCTCTACGCGCGAATGATGATACTTGCTTCTCAATGGGGTTTGAGAAAGGGAGAAAAATTGGTGGCTCGAGTCGACGCGAGCAGCTTCACCTGTACGATAATGAAAGAAATGCGGAAATGTCAAATTTAATAGTGCTCTCTCTATCTCTCACTCGTAGATCACAGTGAAACATGCCTAGATCTCGTATTATTCTCACATCCATGTGCCGATCTTTATTTTAAGACAAGTTTTTGATGTGTGGAGTATAGACCTGACCCCCAGACGTTCAGAGCTTGTATGATCTACTTTATTTTGGCGGTGAACCTTCTGTCTTCCTCCCACTTCGCCATGATCCCTCCTTGTGACCCCTCCATTCTTGACCATAATCCTCAATTTCAACGACTGTATGAGAACTTGACATCTAATCTATTGAATCCCGATGGTTCAACTCGAGCTCAGGTTGACCCAGCCCGAAGGGCGATTGAAGAGGTTCGTCGCGATGAGTCCTAATAGGTCATGACCCAGCGACCCAGGGTATTTGTCTAACTATTACCATCACAGGAGCTGAAAACATGTCAAATGAAGACTGCTAAGAAAAGAATCAAGGAGCGGACACTCAAACAATTAGCTTTTGCAGCTAACAGCGAGCTTCAAGAGGAGGTACGCCTCACCACTATCGCGTTCCCGCATCATACACTTGCTAGCGACGCCTGGCTAATGACAAACTATAAATAACAGTGCCACGATAATCTTGCAATCATATCCATCTATCTCGAGACGCCTTGTGCAGCCATTGAACCGGAGACATGCGCGCAATCAAACCCTATTACAAGCCAGGAAGATGGACCCAAACAAGACGACGCGCTCACACTCCTCTCCCAAGACTTTGAGACCTTCTACTCCTCCATTCCGAAATTCATCCTCCAATTCTCCAACATTCTCTCCACGTCAATACACGATCTCCGAAGCATAGCCTCCGTACCTACCGATCCCCTTGCTGCTGTTGCAGAATCGGAAGCAACAGTATCCCGAACCCTCCCTGGCCTAACCCGCTCCACCTCAAACCATTATTCCAGGACTAGAGCACGAGATCGTCGTGTTCGAACCTCGATGGCTCCCTTGCCACCACTAGCCTCACAGCTACGAGATCGGGTACACGTTCTCCGTCGTATCCAGGTATCCGACCTACCTTCTGCTCGACGCCAGATGACTGTCACTGCAGCCGAAGTACTAGCTGTGCGAACGCAAATTCTGGAACGTGCGGTTGAGATATTGGAGCGGGCGAAGCATGGAGCGTTGGCGAGGGCGACAAGGGCCAAGGCGGAACATTTAGCTATTGTTTCGCAGGGTGTTGAGAGTAAACTAGAGTGAGTTATTTTTGCATCATATATCAATCTAGCTTTGGTCGCTAACTTTTTCCTAGAGTTACAAAGCTTGAAATAGCTGCTAAACTCTACACGCCTGAAACGCTCTCAGCACTCACACGGTATAAGCAGCACCTCTCTGAGACGCGTGTTCGGCTTGATGAACGGCGTGAAATGGCTATTGAGGAGTTGAAGCGATATGGAGGTGCCGATGATGGGTCTGCTGATTCTACGGATGTAGAACGCAATCGTGATGTTGAAAGTGGGACATTGGCCGAGATTGCGCGACGATATGGAGTCCTTGCCAAGGAGGTTGAGGATGTGAAGATGGAGATTGCGAGATTGGGAGAGTGAATCCCGCAAAGACTGGAGACATACTGAATCAATGATTAATTTGGCCAGTTCCTCCAAGCCTTCACCGATGCATAATATAACCCCGAGGTCTATCGTAGTAAAGCAACAAGTCCTCATGCCACGCTTCGCGTGGCACTGTAATAGCGAAATTGGGAAAGGTATGTCTTTAGCACTCAAGTGCTTGGCTAGGTCCACGCCCGGTGTTTCGGAATCAATTTAATTAGTCTTTACCAGCTCAGAAGAGTCAGAACTCATACCAGTTGACACATCCCGAGGTCAATCACGATCCGGACTCCGGAATTTTCAAGAATGATATCGACATCTTCATTCACTCTGGTGCCAACTTCTGTTTTTGAATTCTCATTATTCTTATCTCCATGGATGGTTCCTCCAGCTTTCAGCAAACTGCTTGCTATCATCGGCTTTCACGGGGATAAGCAGCGCGGGTGTGTTCACATCCTCTCAGACAGGGATGTTGACATACCTACTTAAGTAGTACAGGGCAGTCAGTAGCATCTATAGGTGACTGATGACCTATACCTCTTTATTTTTAAGTACCTACGGGTTTACTGGGTTACCTATATAACATTTGAATTACCTGGAAGGAAAGGCTAGCTACTAACTATGTATAGTTGGATATAGGCAACTGGTAGCCCTACAGATATCTAAAGTGAGAGATATCTAAATTGGAAGGAAGAGATAGCTAAATTAAGAGGGATTGATGTATTCATCTTTAGGTTGAATAAACAAAAGAAAAATATAGTCTACTGGTAAATCTATGGTCTCTGGACGGTGAGGAAACTTGAAAAACCACTGCAACCCAAGTAGGAAAAGAGGTCTAAACAAATACTTGTAACTTGAATTTATAGTCCACCATCACCACTCTGTAGGTATCGGATAAGGATAATCAAACAAGTCCTTCAAGTCAATGCCCAAAATCTCAAAATCTTCAATCCGATAACTCGGATCATCAATCAGAGGAATGAAAAGCTGATCATTGCTACCAATTGGACTCGAATTCCACAAAGAAGCAGCAGCACCAGGATCAAGCTCCAACAAATCGCGCGATAATTCCGGCAGTGGATCAACAGTTTGATTTGTTCCAGTAATAGGGATATCCGCCATAGGCACAGTATCAGTATTAGATGAGTCTGGGGGTCCCGCTTCAGTGTTAGGTTGCCGAGCACTGCAGGAAGGATCTGAGTCTGTGGGCTTATTGGTCTTGGTCTTATTCCTGTTTTCTCTTTGCTCGAAAACGTATTGTCGTGCTAGATGTGCGAACTGTGCAATCAGAGAGCCGGGTAGTGTGCCTTTACTGGCAAATTCCAATCGACTGAAATGTCCACCTGCGATGTCGAGGAGTGCGAGACTGAGACTAGCTTCTGGATGGTTTGGGTTGTGGACCACAATGTCGAAGAGGATCATGAGGCATGAAAGAGGTAAGACAGCTAGCATCCTGAAAATATTGTTAGATAAATTTTCCATAGCGTGATAAAACAAAGAGAATCCTTGATGAGACATTTACCAGACTGGTGTAGAAGGCGATACATCAATAAATTTAGTAAGTTCCAAAACCGAGCGCGATGTCCTCATCAACTCTCGTTTCAAATCAACTTGTTGCCTAGTCTCAAGCTTTGCAGCGCTAAAATGCAAAAGCGTCCAGGAGAGAGTGAGTTGCGCGTTCAGGTACAGGTAGTGTGTCATTAACGCAACTGTCTGAGCGAGCGGCTCGCGCATCAGGCGCGATCTGAACGGTTCGCCTGCTCGAAATCGCTCGGGTATTGATAAACGCCATGATTCAAGTTCCGAAAGAAGACTTTGTACCTTGCTATTGTATGCTGAAGCAGGTTGTTGTATGGAGCTTATTGTGAGCAGGTTTTTGTGGATTCTTGAGACTAGGCGTGCGTAGCGCAAGAAGCTGAAGAAATAGTCATAATCGGAGAATGTTGACTCTTTTACGTCTGGTATTGCGCAGCTTATATTTGAGTCTTGGAAGACCTGTAATTGGAATTAGTGTATTGCAAGAAAATTGATGTAAGGAGACGCACAGAAACTTTGCCAGTTGTAAAGCAGGAGACCTTTTCCATGAAGTATAGTACCCAAAAGGTACGTCGTTGTGAGACTTCATGTGGTCCGTTTGAACGATTGTATCCTAGTCCCTGTGCCATGATTGCAGCTTCTGAGAGCATGAATTGTTCAAATTGGAAGGCTGACATAGTAGAAGAGAAGATGGCCTACGAGTTCTTAGCAACAGTTCAAGAATTTGGTAATGCCATCTATGAACTTACGATTGCCATGAGAGCCTATGAAGAGAGAGAAATATCGGGTAAGCCTCGCACCATGTCATCAGAAAATAATTACATACCTGGACTGTAGTCAGAGAGCCACGGAAGAAAATGAGATCTTGGAAATAAGATAGTGCGCGCTCAAAGTAGGACCATGCCTCGCCGACTCCTGCTTCAAAGCTGCCGCCGTCATTATGCTGAGAACCAATGGCTACAACTGCATAGTAAAGAGCAGCGAATCCTTTATCAATCGAGATCGAGCGTGGTAGATCTTGAGACGTTGTCTGCTGTTTGAATGATTCAGGATCGAGGAATGGGTACATTGGGTGGACCATGTCAAAGTATACTATAAGATGGGAATTAGTTCGTAGGTGCTTAGATAGTATGTCTGAAGACGGCTTTCACCATACCGGATATGTGCGAATCAAAAGTTTCTCGACAATTATTGATATAATCATCGCCGAACGAAGAATCCCGTAAAGCTCTGGAGCGAGGAATAGAGCTGTTAGTTTTGACCTTGGCCGCAGCGAAGTCCCGAATCTCAGCTAGAAGCTGCTCGAGTCGGTCATGTCCAAGTCTTTGGCTTATTGCCCGAATCCTTCGGGCAGGGAAGACGGAGATGTTTGGGTTTGGACCGAATATCGCCGTCAACTAAGACATGATATTAAGTCGTCAGCTATACATGCTGTTGTCGAGGAGAGGTTGTTAGTTCAAAGTGTACCTGATCGGGGTGATTTGCACCTCCTGGAGTGCGTGAAGCATGTCGATCAGCCAGTAATGAGTCGATATACAAGGCCGATGAATCATTTTCCAAAATAGCCTGGGACCCATTTTGCTGTGATCTGGGACTTGGTCGAGCTGCCAGTGGCAGATCTTCAGTACCCAACTCGCTGAGCTTGCGCTTTCGTGGCTTTTTGATATAGCTAAAGCAGCACAGGCTATTACGCGACTGAATAAAATGTCAGTACCAAAATTACTCATTTATGCCAGAGTAAACTGACAAGACAGAATTCACATGCATCGGCGGTGCTCCTTCCTATCTCTGGCATTAGCGTTGCAGAGTGCATCAAGACTCAGACTTACTACACCGAGCCTTTCGGGTCCGACACGCATCACAAGCTTTATGCAACGCCTCCGACATATTTCAGCTTTGAAAAAGTCTAGGGGGAAAGAAGCAAAAACGCCGGAGATGAAGTTGTCTTGTTATTAGGTCTAGCGTACGGCGCCGAAGGTGACGCGTTGAAGTCCAATCGGATGCTTCTGTTTATAGTAAAATCGACCCACATCGGCGCCGAAGCATAATATCGTTCATTAGCACATATGAGTGCACATGTGCAAGGAACAGTCTCCGGATAAAACAAAAAGCAGGAAAAACCCCCCTGAATAGATTAAATTATGCGTCATCCAATATGTGCATTTGGGAAACATGTATATATATATGGAGAGGTGAAGACCTTTTCTGAGGTTTCTCTGGTCCTGAATCCTGATCTCTATATCTTCTTGTCCGATCCATTGTTTCCTTTTGTCTTCTTGATTAAGGGTCTTGGCTGCTTTCCAATATGGAGTCAAATCTTGAATATAATAGCACCGAAACAGCGAGTAGCTACTCGACGACGGATCACAACTCAGGCTCAGCGTCTACAAAGCAACAGGAGGAGACCGAAAAGGGAGATATATCACCGCAAAATCGACAAAGAGTTGCTTCTCTAGCAAGACAGCTGACCAATTCATCAAGTCATGACCGAAGTCAAGATACGCTGAGGGTTAATCCCTTCAAAGGAACTGATATACCAGCGTTAGATCCCAGTTCACCTGAATTCGATGCGAAGCGTTGGGCACAGACGGTATTCCAACTCATGTCTGAAGATCCTGAGCGATTTGTTCCCAGAGAGGCAGGTTTATCATTTCGAAATCTGAGTGTCCATGGGTTTGGAAGTCCGATCAGTTATCAAAAAGACTTTTTGAATGTGCTGCTTCAAGTGACAGATCTTGCAGCGGGTCTGATCAATCGCAAAGATCACCAAATTCAGATATTGAGAGATCACAACGGATTGTTGCGAAGTGGTGAGATGTTGCTTGTCCTAGGACGACCAGGAAGGTAAGAGCTCGCCTCATGAGTATGGAATGTGCCATTTGATTAACTGTCAATCATAGTGGTGTTTCAACTTTTCTAAAGACAATTGCTGGACAAACCAAGGGCTTGTACCTGGACCCAGGCACTGAGTTCAACTACCAAGGTTAGTTCGCAATGAAATTTGGAGCATAAATCAGTGCCAACCCACATCTCTAGGAATCAATCGACAAGCAATGTGTCGCGAGTTTCGCGGCGATGTTGTATATCAAGCCGAAACCGACGTCCACTTTCCTCAATTGACCGTCGGACAGACACTCCTCTACGCAGCTTTGGCAAAGACTCCTAACAACCGTCTCCCAGGTGTCTCTCGAGAAGAATATGCAACACACATAAGAGATGTCATCATGGCCGTATTTGGGTTGTCCCATACCTGTCATACAAAAGTGGGAAACGAGTTCATTCGCGGGGTGAGTGGTGGCGAGAGAAAGAGAGTCAGTATTGCGGAAGTTGCGCTCTCTCGAAGTCCGATTCAGTGTTGGGATAACAGTACCAGAGGGTTGGATAGCGCTACGGCTCTGAGGTTCGTACAGACGCTACGATTGTCTGTGGACATCACAAACACTACAGCTATTGTTGCGCTGTACCAAGCTTCCCAGCAAGCGTATGAGGTGCGTAGTATTTCCAATATTTTCAATAAATCGTTTCGAAACATTGATCTAATTTATCTTGATTAGGAGGTTGACAAAGTCGCTGTTTTATACGAAGGTCGACAGATTTATTTCGGATCTATCCACCTCGCAAAGCAATACTTCACTGATATGGGATATCACTGCCCAGATCGACAGACCACTGCAGATTTCCTAACATCACTTACGAACCCAGTTGAGCGACTGGTTCAGCCTGGCTTTGAGGCTCGCGTCCCGAGAACTCCAGATGAATTTGCAGAGAGATGGAAGAGCAGTAAGCTGCACCAAGAAATGATGCAGAATATTGCCACATTTGAAGAGGAATACCCTGTTGGAGGACCGGCTTTCAATGAATTTAAGGCATCTCGGAACGCTGAGAAGACATCGTGGATGTAAGGATCTGATCCATGGAATAAGCAGTCCCCAGCTGAAAACCTCTTAGGACACCGAAATCGCCATACACAGTTTCAGTCCCTCTGCAGGTACGTCTGTGTATCAGAAGAGGGATTCGACGAATTCAAGGTGATAAGACATTCTTCATCATCACTGTTGGTGGCAATTTTGTCATGTCCCTGATCTTGGGAAGCGTATACTACCACTTATCAGACGACAGCTCCAGCATGAGTAACCGGTGTATTCTCCTCTTCTTCGCTCTATTGTTCAATGCGCTAAACAGCTCCCTCGAGGTGAGATATGCAAACTCTAAAACTGGGTGAAAATGACTAATTAAGCAAAGATTCTTTCCCTTTACGCCCAGCGAGCAATCGTCGAGAAACATGCAACCTACGCCTTTTATCACCCTCTGTCTGAAGCTTTGGCTTCCATGATTTGTGATCTTCCAACAAAGCTGCTGTCCACCGTCGCATTCAATATTCCTCTCTACTACATGGCTAACCTCCGAAAGGAGTCCGGACATGTGGCTACCTACCTGCTCTTCGCCTTCGCATCGACTCTGACAATGTCGATGATCTTCCGTACCATCGGGCAGCTGACTCGAACCATTGCAGAGGCATTGACACCCGCAGCGCTGTTTGTGATTGGTCTTGTGGTATACACTGGCTATATTCTCCCCACCCGAAACATGCAAGGCTGGCTACGTTGGATCAACTATATCAACCCACTCGCATATTCATACGAGGCGTTAGTTGCAAATGAGTTCCACGGCCGCGATTTCGAATGCGCGAGCTTTGTTCCATCCGGTCCCAGTTATCTAAATATCACCTCCTCCGAGCAAACCTGCTCCGTGGCTGGCGCTACCTCGGGATCCTCTGTTGTTAGTGGTGACTTGTATGTTGAGGAGAGTTATGGCTATTACTATTCTCACGTGTGGAGGTATTCAACAAAATCCAGATCCTTGTGGCTGACTCATAGCTGACATGTTAAACTAGGAACCTGGGAATCATCATTGCATACATCGTGTTCTTCATGGTGGTATACCTCTTGGCAGCTGAATACATCACCGCCGATCGAGGCAAGGGAGAAATTATCCTGTTTCGCCGCAAACACAAGTCGAGCATGCATCAAAAGGCACCACAAGAAGATGAAGAGTCTGCTCCGCAAAGTGGATCTGGCTCACTTATCCCAGATGAAAAAGCTGGTCAGGGTGATGTCAATGAGAAAAAAGCTGGCATTCAGGAACAAACAAATATCCTCCACTGGAGGGATGTATGCTATGATATTCCCGTGAAGGCTGGGATACGCAGGATTACTGATCATGTTGATGGCTGGGTCAAGCCAGGTGTGCTTACGGCCTTGATGGTGAGCTTGATTGATCAGCCGAATCTTCTGATATGTTCAAAAGCTGATTATTTTACAGGGTGCCACTGGCGCTGGAAAGACAACGCTGCTCGATGTACTGGCAAATCGAGTCAACATTGGTGTCGTCAGTGGTGGAATCTATACCAACGGTACTCCCAGAAATGCCTCATTCCAACGACGTATTGGCTATGTACAGCAACAGGATCTTCATTTGGAGACAGCCACCATCAGAGAGGCACTCAAATTTAGTGCTTTCCTTCGTCAACCAGAAACAGTGAGCAAGGAAGAGAAACTTCGGACCGTTGAAGAGGTTATCGACCTTCTTGAAATGAGAGCATACGCTGAGGCCGTGATCGGAGCTCCAGGAGAAGGTCTGAACGTTGAACAGCGGAAAAGGTTGACCATTGGTGTGGAGTTGGTCGCAAAGCCCGATCTGTTGTTCTTCTTGGATGAACCTACTTCCGGACTCGATAGTCAAACGGCGTGGTCAATTTCACTACTTCTACGAAAATTGACGAACCATGGTCAAGCCATCCTCTGCACGATTCATCAGCCATCTGCAATGCTTTTCCAGCAATTTGATCGTCTCCTCTTACTGACCAGTGGTGGGCGGACCGTCTACTTTGGAGACATTGGAGAAAATTCACAGACACTCGTCAAGTATTTTGAACGATATGGAGGGGAGAAATGCAGGAAAGAAGAGAACCCTGCGGAATGGATGTTAACTGTCATTGGGGCTGCACCCGGAAGTACTGCAATCCGCGACTGGGCAGTGACTTGGCGCGAGAGTCCAGAATACTCTCAAGTCCAACAAGAACTTGAACGTCTCGAAAAGAATCCTGTACCAGAGACGTCTGGTGACACCAGTCTTGCTCGACAATATGCAAGCCCGTTCCATGTTCAGCTATGGTACTGCACGAAGCGAGTTTTCGAACAATACTGGCGCACACCATCTTATCTGTATTCCAAATTAGCTATGTGTTTTATCACGGTGAGTTAAGCAGTGATTCAAAAGAAGGGCAAATTGATACTAATCTCTTTGCACTTCTTTAGGCCCTTTTCATTGGACTTTCTTTCCTCCAAACCAAAATCACTGAAGATGGACTCGAGCACCAAACATTTGCCGTCTTCATGATGCTTGTCGTCTTTCCTTTCCTTGCTTACCAGACCATGCCGAACTTCATTCTCCAGCGAGACATGTATGAAGTTCGAGAGCGTCCATCCAAGACGTACTCTTGGACAGCTTTTATTTTGGCTCAGATCACAGTTGAACTTCCTTGGAACTCCCTGGCAGCTGTCGTAACCTTCTTCCCTTTCTATTATCTCATTGGAATGAACCAGAATGCCAGCTGGACAGATTCAGTGACAAAAAGGGGAGGCTTGATGTTTCTGCTTATCTGGGCATTCTTGATGCACTGTAGCACCTTCACCACGATGGTTGTGGCTAGTGTTGCGACCGCAGAAATAGGTGCAATTCTCTCATTGCTCTTATTCTGTTTCTGTTTGATCTTCTGCGGGTAGGTTCCCACATTGCGTTGAAATATCATTCGACATACTAATACATCCATAGTGTCATGGCTTCGCCGAGCACCCTACCGGGATTCTGGATCTTCATGTACCGCGTATCCCCACTGACATACATTGTTGGTGGCATGCTGTCCACCGGTCTAGCCAATACTCCCGTCACTTGCGCTGATATTGAGTTGATCTCCGTACAACCCCCAAGTGGCGTGACGTGTGGGGATTACCTTGCTGCGTATATCGAGACAGCCGGCGGCGCAGTATACAATTCCAATGCAACCTCAAACTGTGAGTACTGCTCTATGACAGAGTCAAACCTGTATCTGGAATCTCTATCCGCTTATTACGATGACCGCTGGCGCAATTTTGGCCTCGTCTGGGCCTATGTGGCCTTCAATGTCTTTGCTACTCTGTTCTTGTACTGGTATGTGCGAGTTCGTGGCAGTACGGGATTCGCACACCTATTTATTTGGGTCAGCCGATGTTTCAAGAGGAAGTCGAAGAAGTAGGATGTATAGATGTGCAATTTGGGATCATAATAAGCTTTTCTGCGCGTATTGAGATATATGGTGTTGGGATTAATCTACATCCATGGATAGAAGCATCTTGAGTTGATTGAGAGATTATCTGAGTGATAGTTTTAAGATTGTATAGTAACAGCAATTCCAGAGTGATTCTAATTTTAATATTCGAATATACCTACTAGGTAGGTACCAACTTGAAAAGACAGTTTTATTCTAGTACAGAAGGCAATTTCGTAATCTAGTGTTCAAGTTCTAACATTTGAAGGTTGGTCTATGGATGATACCCAATAAGCGTACTAATCATCGTGCCATCTTCAAGTTTAGAGCTCCTAAAAGACCTTTCAAATGTCTGTTGCCCCTTCTGTGAGTTGCGATAAAATCGCATCATTTCCTCCGCTCTCAATATGAACAGTCGGCTCGAGAACATGCACATTGGTTCCTTTCGGGAAAGTGATAAGACGAATTTTTTTAGATTTTGGGGTCTTCTGGCTTGCGGGGATTATACAAGTATGCGGGCATCTCTAGCATCCTGAGCATCAATGCCAGCATTCAGACCTTGGCCAGCAGCATCCTGAGAGTTGACATGCGCATTGTTGACCTCAGGACTCGAATTATTTACGGACTCTAAGTCTTTCAGGACTCCATCTTGGGTGATAGCAGTCCTGGGGACGAGGAGATCAAAGATGAGCCCCTCTTTTTCGCTTTTGGCGGAGGAGCGGGGACAAAGATGAGAGATCTAGGACCTGGTTTTGGGTCTGGAATATCTGCGTAGAGCTGTCCAGGGACAATCTTGGCTAGGTTGTTTTTGCCGATCTTTAGATTGCTGGCAGGGGTCTTTTTGTTGTTGACGGCGCAGACTAGCGGTGTATATCCCTCGATCGAGCCGAGGGGGGCCAGCCAGCAGTCTGGAAGGCCCATCAGCAGACACCAGTGGGAATGCTCCATGACCATCCTGTCGCGGCATCGGTGGCTTGGGTCTCTTTCATTACCAATGACCGTGTACATTGTCCCTTCGAAGTCGCGGGCTCGGTGGTGCATCGCATCTTGGTCCCGTGTGACCGGCTCTGACAGCACGATCGGGCGATAGCTCAGGTCGCATCCCTTTCGGTTCAATTCCTTGTTTGTCTTCGAACGAATAGTGAATACGAACTTACGCGCCAGACGCTCGTCGATGAGGGCATAGAAATCCTTGTACAGCGGTGCAAAGCTTAGACCGTTAGACCAGAGCTCTGGTCCGATCGTGCCGTCAGAGCCGGTCACACGGGACCAAGACGCTGACAAGAATATTTCTTCCGGCAGTGACCCGAAAGAAATGATGTACTAATAGGATATTAGAGCAAGATCAACATCGTAAGATATCAGATTCTTTGCAAAAAGCTCGAGATTGTTTTCTTTGATCGGAATCGGTGGAGGCATCTGGGAATTTTCCGGATCATCGTGTTCACCAATGAGTGTAATTTCATGCGGTAGTGGTGTCCGACGAGCTAGATATTCACATAAGCTTCATAGTGGTGGTGATTTGTATAAGTAAGGGAATCATACTTAGAGGGGCGTCATGAAGAAATACTAACATGGACGATTTGAATTAGCCAAATGTATCTCCAACTTCCAAGGTTCTCCAGGTTGATCCATCAAGCTTACCAATACTTTTGCCACAAGAGAAACTCAACTAGCCGACAACTAGTACGCCCGTAATTGTAGATGCATATACAGCGATCAGCTCAGCAATGGATTGGAGGGGCGGTAGAATTCGTGTTTCCGAAAAAAGAAGAAAAAATGTTCAAAGGAGGTGAAGGAAGCTAAAGAGAAAAGAAGATGCGAAAGGAGGCGAAAGGAAAAGAAGAGGTGAAGCGCGCTGTACTCCTCTCACTTCTCACCCTCGGAGTAAGGTCGTTTACATTGCTTCCAAGGTTAATAGGTAGGAAGAAGCCTACCTCAACCTCCCTATCAAGTTGAAATCTCCACGGTTATCAACATTAATAACATTGGAAAGTAAAATGGTAGGTAGTAAGCGTAATTTGAAAGGAGAAGGTCCACGAGTACGTATAGCATGCTACTAGTAGCAGCGTGCTAAGAGAGGGAAAATATAGTATTCTAAGCTTATTACTTAGGCATGACTTTCCCTCTCAAACTTTAGCCACCCGTGAGCCTGCCCAGTATTCTTAGTTGATTCTGAATAGCTCAGACTAATTTTACTGTGCTCAACACCACCGTGGAGTTCACAATGGCTACCGTTATTCCCCAGGCCCGCCCGAGATCTTTTATTGCAATCACTGCCAGACCTGAATATTGGTCCCGGGAGAAAAGAGAAGCTCCACTTTACACCGCGAAAAGTATGGGCAGCTTGAGCCCTGGGTTGGCTTTAAAAGCTGATGTGCTGAACTCATTCAACCTGTGCCAGTAGAACGGCCGCCGCATCGCTTATTCTTCAGCACAAAGCCCATACTAGCTCAACTTCGAACATGTGTTAGTCGGCGATAAGACGGGCGTACAGAGGCGTTTCAAGGATCGGACCGGTCAAGTTTTCCAAAGTTATCAATGGTGAACAGCGATAGATCATTTCCGTTCATGTTTGGAGATGTCAAATATGATTCGACAAATTACAAGACCATATGGGATTTCGTAATCATGAGGAATTCAGCACTGCAAGCGTGGTTGATGAAGTGAAAACATCCTCATTTATCACGATTTAGAGAGAAGGAATGGAGTAAAAGACATCAGTCATATGTATTATAATGTATATCAGTATATGGAGGTAGTGAAAATGAACCTCGGTAACTCAAAGAACTGGGGCTGATTGAATTATCCGCACCAATCATTAGAGAGAGGGGCCTTACGGGGGTACCCCAGACCAACTTCAGACAATTACAAACTTCTTGTTCTCTTCACTATTTTCTTTTTCGATCCAAGCTTGTTTTGCCAGGAAGCAATCAATAGCCTTGATGCCATGAAGCCTCAGAACACCACATTTATCATCTCAGGGGGAAGTTCAGGACTGGGCCTTGAAACAGCTCGTGACCTACACAAGGCTGGAGCTTATGTTTTGCTTCTGGATGTGAATTCTGATTCGGGTGAGAGTGCAGTAAAGGAGTTAGGAGAGGAAAGAGCGAAGTTCATCCAAACGGACGTGACCGACACTTCAAGCATCCAAGCTGCCATCGTTGCCGGCATCAAGTGGATCAAGACAACTGGAAAACCAATCGGTGGAGTCATTGCCGCGGCCGGAGTTGGCATGCCTGCCAAGGTAAGAACATTCTGATAAAGCTCTATAATTGACGATAACTAACTGTCAAAGATCTTCGATGCACGATCACAATTACCCATACCAATCGAAAGCATCGATTTCATCATGAACATCAATGTCCGAGGAACACTCGATCTTATCAGACTTTGCATCCCACACATGATCCAGAATGCACCCTTCACAGAAGACGGTGAGCGAGGCGTTCTGATCCTAGTATCTTCATCCGCTGCCTTTGATGGCCAGCCTGGTCAGGTTGCCTATGCCGCATCAAAAGGAGCCATCGCCTCGCTGACTCTCCCCTTATCGAGAGACCTTGCAAGGTATGGAATCCGTGTTGTCACCGTCGCACCAAGTTTGTTTGAAAGCAATATGACAAGAGCGCTTCCAGCGAAAGCGAGGGCAAGTCTTGAGCGAGTTATGGAGTTCCCGCGTCGGGCCGGGAAGCCGGAGGAGTTTTCTCAGCTGGTTTTATCGAGTATTGAGAATCAGATGCTGAATGGGACAGTTATTCGGCTGGATGGAGCTATGAGGATGCCGAGCCGGATGTAACAATTGTATAATTCTGATGCTAACTACGTGACCTTCGAATCCAAATTACTATATCAATGTAAACGAAAGCCATGTCTTTCTAGGTATTTGCTATCTAGATACTGTAGAAGCTCTTTGTAGACCCAGTAAAGCGACAAAAGGTTTTCAAATTCCCCTATGAAGTTTGATCAAGAACCGACAGTTTTTACATGAATCTACAGCCCGCGTTCAGAACCCATCGTCCGAAGTAGTTTAGACAGCGTGCTTCCTGCGGTGTAGCCTGGCGTTCCATTTGAACAGCGTTGCTCCACCATTCTCGTTCTGTACTCTCTGCTCTTTTCCTCATCGTGTTCTGACTGTCACCTTCCATGACACGATCCACCCGAGTTCCCTAAGCGGTAACACCAAAGAAAAACGCCTGTCTAATATTTTTCCAATGAATGTTGTGCTTGAAAGGCTCTTCATCAAGTGGCTTGATCCATATCTGATAAAAAGATTCTCGCTCTTGCAGATCGTTAATCAGAGCTCCATGAACTCTTGAGCAACACCCACAGTCTGGGGTGCAATGGCCTATTCCCAACCCATCATATGTCTCTTTGTGCTGCATGGACCGTCTTTCACAACATCCACAATCTCGGGCGCAGCAACCATTTTTCCTCGCGCATTCTTGGTTAAGAAATGGATTGAGATACCGGGTTGGGTCCTGTCACAAGTATAAATATGATCTTTTGATTGGACCATCGGGAAACATTTCCATAGCAGAGGAATGATGATTCGTACATTCAGATAAGCAAACAGAATCCTGGCGAATATATCCAGTAAGCGTATTGATCTGTTGCTGAACGTGTTGGCCTTTCTCTCCTAAAAGAATACTTTGTTGGGCATCATGGCGTTCTTTTATCTGAACACAGACCCGGAGATTGATATCATAAACAAATATTTTGCAAAGATGTAGCTCCAGGTCTTCTCGAAAACAGAACCAACCATAACGATGGAAGAAATATTTGTCGGCAAGAAACCTAAGCCTTTGAGCGCCCTGGAAATCATCCAGCCTAACGAGTCTATCGTCAAGCTTCTTGAAAATGGAAAAGGTCAGGTGTTCGAACATTTTGATCGACGTGAAAATAATGAAGAGTAGAAGATTTGACACGGAAAGCGTGCAATGGTGCGATATAATAGCTTGGAAGGCTGGAACCACCGATCCAGAAGTAGCCATCAATATACAGAATGGGGAAAGCTCAAAACGATATAAGAATAACTTAGAACTTGTCAAGATTCTAATTAGAACTGGTCATTTCCAAGGTTGAACTCACTCCGCGTACTCCGAGTCCAATTCAGTACTAGCTGTAGAATCACAAGACCAGTTTCTCTAAGAGACGGTGAGATACTGTAGCTCAGAGTAGCTCATATAAGAGGAGCACATAATAGACCTTAAACTTCTCGAAAAGGAATCGACTTCTTTCCTATAGATGCATATAGCAACTTGAAGACGCAGATGTCCAAGTCCAATATAGTCCTCCTAAGAGCCAATCAAAGGACACCAAAATTGAGCATACGAGCTAAACCGAATAAAGCAATTTACGGATACAGTCACATGACTCGCCACAATTTGCCCGCCACTAAAACAATATTTTGTTCCTGATTCGACTCCGACAACGAGATTCACATTCAAAAATCATATCTGAATTCTGCATAGAAGTCCTGTGAATTACTTCAAAATGGCCGACGAATCCCTTTCCATTTATGACGAGATCGAAATCGAGGATATGACTTTCGACCCCGCACTCCAGATCTACCACTATCCTTGTCCATGCGGCGACCGTTTCGAGATCGCCATCGATGATCTGCGTGATGGAGAGGATATTGGAGTGTGTCCAAGCTGCAGTTTGATGATTCGCGTTATTTTCGATGTGGTATGTAGAGCCATTTACTGGACTTGCGATCCTTTGCGATCGTGTCAAACCTTTTGAAGTCGATGCGCTAACATTTTTCTTCTATAGGATGATCTCCCCAAACCCTGATAGTCAGTAGGCTGTCGCAGTCGCTGTTCAGGCGTGAGAAACCAACTCCTTTCACGAGACCTCCACTTTACGCCATATCTTAAACGCCATGAGCTTCCCCTCGTCCTCTACGATTCGCGAGACGAAATATTCGAAGCGCGGCTTTTGGATTCTGTTCTTCGTTGTTTCGGCTCTGAGAATGAATTTATCTGGAACGCTCAATTCATGAACCCCAACCTTGCACATTTGCAGACACGCGACCACGAAAATGGCTGCGATTGCTACCAAAAGTACATTTTTGGCATTAACAGTTGCGAGAGCAATCGACCTATATGGTACCATATACGAAGGTTGAATTTTCGCTGCTGAGTGGATGTCGGGTTTGAGACTCTGAAGACCGCGATGTCTGGTTATTATGGTGTCAATCCAATAAGTCTCCATGGCACTCTGGGTTCAAACACAAAGTCTAGAACCGGTTCTCTATAATGCACATGTGGGAGAGCGGAATTCAAGAAGGATGCTATTGAAGTTACGAGCAGACCGAGAGATCATTCTGAGTGCCTGCGAGACAATGAAATACAGGATCTCAAGATCCCAGAACCAAAGTTGATGTTGAATAAAAAGAACTACCGTTCATATTTGAATTAACTCCCATAAAATGAAAATATGTCCCATGAGCCTAATACATAAAATGATCCCTGGGGAGCCCCGATCTCAGGGAGACAAGTAATTGTAGCGCAAGTAAATGGCATGCGTCACAGGCAGATAAAAGAAAAGCGTCTAATCATCCAGCAGGACGCCATAAATATCCTTGGGCAGAGCCAGCTTCATCTCAGAGTTAAGCAACTCGGTGAGGTTGCTGCCATCACGCAGGTAAACCCACTGTCCATGCGCGAACTCGCGGGTATCCTGCTTCTCATGCATGCGGTCGCCCTCGAGGATCCAGTCATATCGCTTAGGGCCGGAGATTGGAGAGCTGAGCCAGATCTGCTTGTTGGGAGGTTGCTTGTTGAGGACGTAGGTTCCGATAGAGGGGACAGTAATGTTAAGAACGCCAGCCTGTGTAGATTGTTAGAGATATGTGTTTCAGTATGTGGATCATGAATTGGAATGCTAGTCCCAAGCTAGCTGCAAAAATATGGTTGATTCAGGTGTAGGGCATAGGATAGATGCATAACTAGAAACAGGGATAGCTTACGCTGTACTCAGCTTCAATATCAGAACCTTGTTCTTCCTGCATCTTCTCAAGCTCGGCAATCAACACATTGAAGTAGTGCTCAGAGTAGTCATGGTATTCCTCGGTAGTCAAAGGAGAAGGCTCAGTAACGTGTGATGCAGCACCAGCGACAGATGTAGCGTTTGTTGGGGGACGGGGATCCTCAGTATCAGGCTGCAGGCCCTTAGCTCTGGTCGCGGAGGCATAAAATGATCGGCTCAGCTCCGGGGCGTTGCGGCGGAGCACGATAGCTTGATTGGTGCGGGGTTTCGGGGCAAGGGAGCTAGAGCGTGGAGCCCGGAGACTCCAGCGGATGACATGGGGCACACGGCGAGAAAACATCTTTGGAATATTTTTTTTTGCGGAACAAAATTGAGGTTGTGAGGAACAGTGAACGAAAGTGAGGAGATGGATCTGCGGAGAGCATACATCATCATAATTTCTGCCCGACACCGCCTTCCTTTTAGGGTATATGTGATGCTATAGCTGTGCACATAGTCGGTGATGAGTAATTGTTTATGGTTGATTGGGAAATTTTAAGTGTTCAAATATTTATTTTCTAGGATATAATATTCTCCAAAATATTAATGCAGGATATTAAAAGTGCATTGATAGTGGCGTTCTCGTGTGGTAAAGCTATTCTCGAAATCGTCTTGGCCAGTCAACACTTCAAGTTCTTCTGAGGCCTTCGAAGTTAGCTAAGATCATATATTGAGCGGCGACGCCAACTTGCCAAAATTTATCGTCCATTCAAGTTTCTAGAGTGAGAAATCTTGGAATGAGTTACAAAATGTATTTATGGTGGCCCTCAAATGAGTATGTTAGTCCAGTATGTTATTCCAACCAGCTGCCTAGTGTATAAGGGGCTTAGTTGGTGGCTTGGTTGGTGCCAATAGGAGACTGGCTTCAATCTGACGAATTCTTGCTTTCACGTTGATTCCAAGGTTTTCATAGGTCAAAACTCAGCAAGATCTAGCACTGCGGTGCACGTGGACGAAAAGCATGAATACTATATAGTGTTTCTGAGATCGGGGTCCCAATCTCCGCTTTGATTGTTACACAATCCTCACATAGCCCAGTATTGCCAACAACTATCAGACAATATTACATGCCTTCAACCAGTGACCTTTTAGCTGCCCAAACTTTACTCGACAATTCAGGCGCCCAGGTGCAGCTGCTGCATGCCATGGCCCATGTGACAACCCCGCACCACTCATGGAATACTAATACAATCCAGGTTCTAAAGCCTCATAATTCCAAACTTCAGATGATACTATGTCGGTCCCGATCCAGAACATAATAGCTACAACCTTACATGCTGTTGCGGAATCTAATTTCGCCCTCGGTTATCTGAATTGCGATTTCTCCTTGGTTAAATTTGAAGCTCCTGTTGAACTCCACCACTTGGAAACAACTCTCGAAAACTAGACGAGAGTCTGCAGAAGAAGGATCCTTTCACATTCTTGCTCAACGACTTGGAGTTTTGTTCGATGATGTTTTACCAGATGTACCAGCGCTGCTTGAGGCATATGGGACCCGCGCCAGCGATATTGTCCAGGAGACAATGCAGACTTTAGCTGAGCCTAGAGACGTTGTTATTGGCTTCTTTGGAACTCATCTTGGCATCGATTCCACGACAATTTGAGCAAGTGCGACGAGCGGAAAGTCGGTACTTCGCATTGATCTTCTTGCATGTATGCTCGCTCGTATCTGGTCTCCGCAAGAGGCAACAGCTATTTGGGCAGAGCTGGTCAGTCAAAGACAAAAGATTATCAAGAAACAAGCTCAATCTGCCGAGCTCGCCGATAATTATCTGGCTCAATTAGCCGCGGCCCACGAGATTGACAGATCCTCGCTGGCAAGCTGGGATGCGAGTGCACGAGCATGGCTGCAAGTTGCCGACCAGGCGCGTAGGAAAAAGCAAGTTCAAGTTCAGCTGATTGTCAACAATCTTTCAGTAGCGGTCAAATCCCATACCGAATCGACGGATAATAGCTTCATCTCGAAAACAAACCCATATGACAGTGTTCTGCTCAATCTCAGCCGTGCTTTGACTACTTTGGACAAATTGGTCAAAGGAGAACCCCAAAGAATCACCGATGGAGGAGTTTTACTCGGGTTAGTCTCGTGGCACCTTTATCCTGATCTCGTCATCCTGGGCTCGAGCACCAAGGAAATACACCAGCAAGACGCTTTGGTTAAAATGGGTGGAGTCGTCACCATTTCAAAATCCGCCCAGGTCAGCCATGGCGACGGCGTATATTGGTCTTTACCACTCGCCAGCCTCCGATACTATGGAACAGTTCAACGGGAACACCATGCGTGACTCGAGAATATCTATTGCGCAGCTCTCGGCATTATTACTTGGTGCTTCTTTGTGCGCCGATGAGACTGCATTTACCGCAGCTGCGATTCTGCAGTCCCTTTGGAAAATATATTCCAATCTATATCAAGCCAGAATGTGTCAGGCGGCCGAGAAGCCATTTAAGCTAGAGATGTTGGGGGAGCTATCTCGTTTTAATGTGGTGGACCTGCTAAAAGACAGCCAGCAGTCCCTCAGGGATCTGATGAAGGTACTGCACCTTATTTTCCCATTCAAAGATGGTATAGATCTTCTTCTATCAGCCGATGAAAATGAGAACAAAATGGCACGCCATCTCATGAGATACGGGAGCAATAGTGGCAGATCATGGATTGGAAACATGGGTAACTCTTCTTCAACCCTCTTCGGTTTATCAAAGTTGTCATCGCTGCTTAACATGGCCAAAAGCCCGGGGGTTCGTGTTCACATACTCCGTGTTCTATGCGAAAAGTACCAACTCCAACCTTCCGACCATGTGATCCGCTTCAGAAATTCAGACAATTCGTGAGCGTACACATCAATAGCAAATGAATGCGTCAAGGCTGTGCATGGAGGCACGAAACGAAAGTGGGATGAATTTGAGACAGAGGACATTGAACATATTCAGTGCCTTGACACTTCTGAAGAAAATTGGATTTGCCATGCGACCATGGGACCATCAAGGGCCCGCAAGCCTCAGTCCTTTCACCCGGAGGTGGACTCCGAGATATTTTCAGAATTTTCGGAGACTCCTGGTAGTATTCATCAGAATATTTTCTTCAACTTCCCTTTTGGCGACGATAACCTTGCAGCCGTTTATACGAGACAATTCAGTGAATCATCATCTCGGAATCAAGAATTCTCAAATGCAGTCCCTCTCAATATGGTGCAAAATCTTTTGAATATGGATCTCCTGAGGTTGGACATTATGTCAGAGTGCCTTTTACGTTATTTCGTATATCATAAACCGGCTCATGGTAGCGCACTTCTTGCTCTTGGACGAGTTGTGCACTATTACAGCTGTCATATACCCCAGGCCACCGTCTCAATGAGCTTGATAGTCCTCAGTCCACTTGCCAAACAGCAAGGTCGCGTAGGAAAACTACCTGTATCAATATATCCAAGCTTACTTCCCCGCGCATCTGCATTTGCAGCAATTCTACAATTCGAGTCTGGGACTATTGATGTGGATGTACCTGATCTTGCTGCAGTACTAGCAATATCAAGTGGGAATTCTCTATTCATTGCTGAAGACCTTGTCCATGACCCGATTCCTTCTCCGGATACATTACCGTGCGCAATTTGACGGGGAATGTAGGGAAGACAGGAATAGCTCTGTTGATTTCTCCATCAGAGACTAATGTCCGCGAACATGATATCGAGCGATGCCGTTTTGTCAACCATAACCCATTCGACGGCGAACTGACAGGTGGACTTTTGAAGGCACATCTCTCCATTTGTCTTTTACTGGCTGGGAAGGCCCTGTCAGTCTGGACTCATCCAGCTACCGAGGGATGGAGGCCTATTTTGTTGAAGCAATAGTCTCTGTCAATGACAGTGGCGAATGGGTGGGTGATTTGGATATTTTGAAGGGGTTAAAATATTTGAAAAAGGAATTGACGGGAATATGTTCGCATGATCGCAGTTTCGCCGCTGCAGAAGTGAAGATGGTTTCCATTGACTGCTGGGAGGAAATTCTTGATCCACCTAATGGATTTCTTGTGCTACGTTCAACACCAAGCACATCTCATGAACAAGGGTACTGGCAGTGGATGGTGAGACTAGCCGCAGTGTGCATTGAATCATCAAGGAAATATGAATGCATCTGCCTGCCAGTGGATATGGACTTTTGCTGGAACTGTGTAATGAGAAATGTTGGTGCTGTTGGTGACCGCAAAATTCTTTTTATCTGTTAAGCACTCAAATAAGCTGCTTCAAGTTGATCTCGGGAGGTACGGCGATAAATGATAGATATATTCCCTCAAACTGCATAACAAGTTGTTGTGTGGACTCTAACTTTCATAGGGTTCTGCACAATTGTCTGACACATAGATTGCGTTGATTTACCGGCAACTTACAATACCATCTGGGCATAGACACAGAATCATTTTAGGTGCACTGGATTTAGGTCAATGATTGATCTGCACCAGGGCCTTTGCACATACTATGGGACCGGAAAATCTCAGACTTGCAAGAGTCTCAGGTCACGGTGCTGAGTCGTCGAACGTGCTTCGGTCAAACTGACTCCGAGAGAGACTGAATATACCTGAGGTGGTCCCAGGGATGTTGTAGTATATGAACTTTTGCAGCTTCAAATGTTGAAATCTGGAACATCCATCCATGGCAGGAGAGATGCAAGCTTGCAAGTGTAGTAGCACTTCAAATGTTGAGGATAAATCCATTAGACGTCTTAACTTCAAGTTGAAATCTCATTTAATGGACAGCAGTGTCCAGATGAGCCTCTTGGATGATATGTAAGAAATCTAGGATCCAAGCTTGATACCTAAGGTATGACTTCTGAGATGTTTGGGGTTCTCAAATGCTTGTGGACTATTCCCGACACGTCCGAGTCGTCCCGAGTCGGCATGTATCCTGCGGGTGTCAGCATTTAGTGCTAACGTTAAGACATGTCCTAGCTCCACAATTTATCCACTGGCATCTTCAAGGTAGATTTGATTATTTAGTATGACTATAGTGTAACCTATATTGCAGTACTCCGTAGTCAATGGGAAATGCGATCCAAAAAATGAAACTTGTATTAGGATCAATCATATGCATATGTGAGATAAATCATAACGGGTTATATGCCAGCATCGAGGGCATCAAATATGACGTAGTTGAGCTAGGTCGCTGCATAGACAATGCCTAGAAAGTTGCTGGAAATGAGGTTCAAATTTATCATGATAATGATAATCCAGAGTAAGCTCCGTCGGCCATAATTCTTGATTGACTGCGGCAAAATGGGTGGAAATCTCCTAGTTGCAGGATCCACTCAAGCTAGAGAGTCTAATTAGTCAAGGGTTTTAAGAACCGGGGATAGGAAAATAGTAAGTATGCAAAGTCATCGCAGCTGTCATCCATCGGAGTTAACGTTCCACGGATAGGAACCATCGATTCATGCCCCGCTCAATCTGTCAGCTAAACCCGCTATATCCGGACATCGAAATGTTCAAATAGAGACAATATTCTTATGTAGAATGAGTATTATTGCTTGAAGCTGAAAAAAAGAAGATTATTCTGTCAAATTTTTGCAAAATGGTGAAAACAATTCCTTTTGCCAATATCCAGGTCCCATCCCCAGGCTTCGGTGCTATGGGCCTGAGCTTTGGTCTGGGTACCAATCTCAGTCTCGACGAAGCAGAGCCAGTTCTTTTGAAGGCAATTGAGCTGGGATGTACATTCTGGGATACAGCGGTAAGCTGGAAACCATGCCTGCTGTTTGTTGCATAGGCTGATCCTGGTCGAAGGTTGTTTATCAAGCTGGTGTGAACGAGAAACTGCTGGGTGATTTCATTCGGAAGCACAACGTTCGTGATAAGATCTTCAGTGAGTCAAAATCATCTCTCATAGGCTGTTCATTTGCTCACTGTGGTAGTTGCTTCGAAATGCGGGTTCGATGTGTTTGGAAGTGGTGGTATAACGAACTCAGCCGCGCATATCAATGAGTACATCGACGGTACCATCGAAAGATTAGGCTTCACTCCTGATTTGTACTATCTCCACCGAATTGATCCCAGTATGTTTTACCTGAGAAATCACTTTGAAAGTGTCAGCTGACATCCGTAGATACCCCTCTGGAGGAATCCATCACTGCTCTCGATGGAATTCGCAGCGCAGGAAAGACCAAGTACATTGGTCTTTCAGAGTGTTCAGCCGCCACCCTTCGCAAGGCTAACTCCAGTAAGCCTATGTCTTCCATAACCGTTTCTCTTTTATCTGATACTAATAATCGATAGTTGCCAAGATTGACGCACTCCAAGCCGAGTACTCCGCCTTTGAGACACTTCACGAGAACGATGGCCTCATCCAAACCGCAAAGGAATTAGGCGTGGCCTATGTAGCCTACAGCCCTCTAGGCCATGGATGGCTTGTCGATGAGACCAGCTACAATTCACCAGACGACTTCGCACCCGATGACTTTCGACGAAATAGTAAGTGATACCTCTACGCAGTGCTTACTCACTGGTGCCTTGCTAACAATCTTCCTAAGGCCCAAAATTCCAAGGCGAGAACTTTTATAAGAACAAGGCTATTGTGGAGGAGATTAAGAAGCTTGCTTCTCAAAAAGGATGTTCTATTAGTCAGATCGCTCTTGCTTGGGTAGCTGCACAGGGAATGATAGCTATTCCTGGTACGACCAAAGCAAAGCGTCTCGAATCCAACTGGGCATCGCGTGATATCCAATTGAGCGAAGCAGAGCAACGAGAGATGCGCAAGATTATCGATGACGCAAAGCCTCATGGAAACCGATATGGTCCCGTACACCAGGCGATGGTGGGTCACTGAGGGAAGACTTGTTTCACATTTGAATGGAATGGATGAGGGATTATTTTCGATGAGTAATCTCTCAAAATACCACCTGGGCAGTATACACCATATCTAAAAAACAAATACATCTTCGGGCTCAAAGAATTTACTCCATTGACATTCGTAAAGATTGGTCAAATGCATTTTCACTCTACAAAAGCGGGTCGTTCTTCGACTCGGAATGCGTGGTCACTGGAAACCTGGCAGGCTATGGATTGTGCGGGACGCAGACAGCGCAATGGCCTTGTGGAGGTTACGTGGTGCGCTGCGATCCTAGTGTTCGTAATAGGGCTGAGTCGAGTGGGGAGTCGACCAAGCCTACGGGTGTACATAGTGAGGGGGTTTCAGTGTACCGAGAATATTGAGAATTTACATTCAATGTCAAAAGCCTATGATAAACCATTATCCATGCCACCTGGCACCATTGAAATAGACGTAAGCGTCATAAGTTGTGCCTAACGAATACCTATACCCAGGTGCCGGACTCCGTAGACCGGCCTTAAGTGCCGATACTCTTCAAGCCACCAGCATTAAGATCTGCCAAGTCGCCTGTGTTGGGCAAAAAAGTTAAACAACTCGACATATGCAGTCTGTATGTAGCCCTATGCAGATTTCCAAGGGCGTGAACGCCCTCGTCCCGGTTCCTGAGTCACCGAAGCCAATCATCAAATGGCCGGTGGCGTTTGTACCTATGGGAGACGCAGGAACTTAACAATCACACCAATGATAAAATCGACCGAGATAAAATCCCGAAAAGAATTATTTAGAGGAGTGTGGAATCGTATTGCCAAAGAAAAAGAAAAAATCCCGTAATTGAAATGCTTTTTTATCGCTTTTTTTTTCGTCGGTGTACACCATGTGCGGAGTACAATCGGAATACACCATGCGTTTTCTACGTAGTGAATCTCCACTGGATCTCTAGGGTACACTGCCCTAGAGAGTCCAGGCCTGAATGGAGCCTGAATGGGGCGCCATTTACCGGCGTCTGAGTCCGTCGAGGCTTATTCACAAAACTCAGCGGGGAGGGACGCGCGATCGGCCAGGGGCACAAGTGTTTCAGTATTTCGGCGGTGGGCTGGTGGGCACGACGCCTCGTCAGGCAAGGAGATAAAGGATTGTTCTGGAGCCTAAAGAAGCAAGGTTTGAAGATGAAACACGATCGGGAAACAAACCCGAATCATCTCTGAGTGGACGTCATAGGTGAAGTGGGTTCTAGCGCGTATCGATACAATGTGGTGTATCAGATCGGAGATGGAGGACCAGGCGAACATTCCAGTAACATCCTTATTGAATAATAATGTCAACGATAATGGGTGTAATATCCGCATTGACAATATGCTTTTCAATCTGTTTCTCTCTGTTGTTGATTTAAATTGCATTGATCGATGTAGTGTGGTGTGTCCTATCATACCGCTGCCCTGACACGTCTTCCATGGATCGTCAGACCTGCGCCACCGGATCTCCAATCCCATCGAATGTCTACGCCATCAATCCCATGGATCGTCAATGTCTGATCCACTTTTTGCTTTTTTGATTTTCTCCCACAAATCTCAGGGAGTTCCACGTCTTGGGAGAGGTCTTGGGCGGGTAACTATTGGGAATTTACTCGCCATTGAGCTCATCCTGACATGCTGGGAGTACCATCGGTGCCACAGAATCTAAGACAAGACTTATTTGGCAGACAGCCTCCCTAAGGATTGTAAGAGAGTCAGAAACCTTCAGCTTTTTCTTTTTTTCTGTGTCATCACAGTGTATCACAGGCCCAGCCCTTTGTGGAGCAATAGTTCATTCTCTTGGCTGTGGAGCAACTGGGTCAAGGAGAAGAAGAGAGAAGGAATTGTTACTGTCAGACTCCACTCAAGGTTGTAATGTATGAGTTCTGACTCTTCTGAGCTGGTAAAGACCAATTAAATTGATTCCAGTGGCTGTCAATCGGACATTCGTTCCCCATGATCCAGCCATTGATTTCCCCTGGTTCCTAGCGTGTGTTGGGTCTTCGGTAACCTGTAAAAGGCGTAGAAATCTACCTAAGATAATCAAAAAGGGAAAAGCACCGAGGAAAAGACTGCAGCAATCCAATAATTGACGGGGATTTACTTCACTTAATACTCCACTTTAAATAAAAAAGAGAACCCCATAACGGTCTGGCTCTTTTGAGGCGCCTTGGGTTGATACATTTGACGCACAGTTGATGCTGCGGTGATTTAACCTCGACCATTCCCACCTCTCCCTTCTCTCTTCTCCCTCTCTTCTTCACTTCCTGTGTAGCCATTCCCTTCGGATCTTTTTTACGATCTTTTCGCCTTCTAGTTCCTGTGCCGTGCACGTTCTAGCCTTTCTTTTCTCCATACACTCTTTTTCATTCGAGAACAGGCTTCTCTTTATTCTCGGTCTCATCCACTCCTTCGGTGACCACAAAAAATATCCCAGGATACTGTCAACAATCAAAATGGTCTCCTTCACCAATCTGTTTACTGCTGGCCTGATGGCCACCACGGCCCTCGCCATGCCCCACCACATGCACCGTGACGTGCGCCCTGTTCACAAGCGCTCTACCACCAAACGTGGTGCCGCTTACAACGATGTCTCCACCGTCTCGACTCTCAGTAGCACCGGCACTGTCACTTGGGCATACAACTGGGCCTTTTCTGACAGTGACCTCCCCTCTGGTGTCGAATACGTGCCCATGCTCTGGGGCGCCAAGTTCTTCGGCGGCTGGATCACCGCCATCGAGTCTGCCATTTCCTCGGGCAGCAACTACATCCTGGGCTTCAACGAGCCTGACATGACTTCCCAGGCTAACATGTCTCCTTCTGATGCTGCTACCTACTACAAGCAGTACATCACCCCTTACTCCGGCTCTGCAAAGCTGATCTCTCCTGCTGTTACCTCATCCACTGAGAGCGGCATGGGTCTGAGCTGGTTCGAAGAGTTCATGACTGACTGCAGCTCTTGCAACATTAGCGGTCTGGCTGTTCACTGGTACGGTGACTCTGTCGATGAGTTCAAGAGCTTCGTGCAGCAGGCTGTCTCCACTGCTAGCGAATACAACATCGAGGAGGTCTGGGTTACTGAGTTCGCCTTGAGCGCTGATGCCTCCGGTGTTACTGACCAGTCTACTGCTGCTGACTTTGTCAACGAGGCTACCACTTGGATGGACTCCCAGACTAACGTTACTCGTTACTCGTACTTCTACTGTGCTGATAACTACCTGTTGACTAACGGTGCTCTGAACACTGTTGGCACTGCTTACACTTCTTCCTCTACTTAAGGGAATGTCATGTTGAGTTGTTTGAAGGGGAAAATGATTTTATGTGATGATAGAACACGGTATGGGAGTTATCGGCGTCTTTGGAAAGGGACTACGGTCTCCACTTCTTTTTGGCGCATGAATTGGGTCTCATCTGGGTTCAATTTCTTCTGTGATCTGATTTTGCTTTTGTATCTTGTGAATTGCTTCTCTTGTCAATATTCACAAAAAATCAAAAGCAAATATTTTCTGACTGTCTTCTTGTAATCTTGCCTTGTAACTCGTGTGTAGTGATGTAGGATAAGTAACGAACTTCTATCAAGAGTCTCCCTGCCGAGCTTTGAAGATGAACCTTTTAACTTTGCTTGTTAATGGTGTTAAAGATTCCAGTATCAGATGATGTGGTCTTCCTCATACCCCTGACAATATGCAAGTTTTTAATCAATAACCGTTGATTCAAGTTTCATATGTTGATCTGTTGTTCTCCTCTCTTGCCCTGAAATCGAAAAACTCCAATCGCCTTGACTTGTATGCCACTAAGAGAGTGTCTCCAATGGCTGCAGCACACCTAATTTCCTTTGCAGCCAGAAGCCGGAAGACTTTCTCAACCCCACACACCACCCAGTCCCAGTCAACAAACAATGAATTATTGGGCGATGATTCCTCTTTGCCAGTAAATGACTGAATATCGGTTCGACCAAAATATATTTTGATGACTTTACCATCTTCAGAGAAGCGCAAGTCATCGTGAAAAAGCTCCCGCTCCCGTCGAATGCCAGTGAGCTTTAGAGATAGCCCGGGTTGTTCGGTTCTAGTTATCGAAGTGAGATCATGCAGTTGAATGGCACCATTCCCCATATCGATCACACAATATTTTTCATCAAGTGAAAAAGCCAACGGCGTTCGCATGACCAGTGACCAGCCTTGATAAAGGGCATTATCTTATCTGTGGTCAAATCCCACAACTGAATGCCGTCACATTGCGAGTTGTCCATTTGACATGTAATCATAATCATATCGCCTCTTGAAGACCATGCAGCACATGCCATTCCACCGGTCCTCAATTGTGGTTTGACAAGGATCCATGTCATGGGATCTCGAATTTCAAATATGGTGTCCATGTTCATGGGCGCATGCGTCGCTTTTGGATCTGGAAAGGCAAGCACAAGAAGTCTCCCATCTGGTGAGAATTTCAAATCCCTTATGAATGGAGACCTGAATTTTTGCTGTTGACCAGTGGAAACAACGAACATAATGATGTCACATTCATCAATGTCACCATCTTCTAGGAAATGTTCATCCGATTCTGTAGAAGTCTGTTCAGGGTCGACATACAAAACAATGATCAGTAGCAAATTGTTCGCACTAAAAGTCGCGCGAGAAACGCCTGTTCTATATGAAGAAGGAATGTGATGAATGACCTCTGCAGTGACCGTGTTTCTGACCTGGTAGTGATTGCCTGAAGAAGCCCGGCAAAAGAATAGGCTTCCGTCAGGAGAGAAGTAGGTTTCATCAAAGTACTCTCGATGGACTAAGAGAGGTTGCTGAGGCCCAATTTTAAGATCCCAAAATGCTAACTGAGACCTGGATTCAATGATTGTGAATGGAGTCTGGTTTGAGCTGCTTCGCACGATTCGATCAATGTCGTATATTTCTAGATCGCCGCTGGAACCCTCATCGAATGAGAATTCTGGCCCCAGGTCCCAAAGCCGAGCTGTTCCATCATCGGCTGTAGACGCTATTTTTGTACTGTCCGTGGAAAACTTCACCTCGTGCGGTTTGAATTGGTGGCCATCTAGCACTACCAATGGTTTCCCAGTGGCTAGGTTCCAGGCATTGAATTCCGAGGAACTTCGACGATAATACTCAGGCAAGGAGAAACCAGCAATAGCGGTGATGAGAGTTCCGTCAGCTGAACATCTTAGACTCTCATATATTAGACTGTCATCTGAATGATTTCGATGCCTCATCATTTTCTTAAATTCAATGGCATTGCCAGACTTGGCATCATATCCCACAATTGAGACATGTGTGTTTTCGAATTTTGCCATCAGTATCTCACCATTGGCTAACAATATTGAGGTGTCATATCGATCTTCTGGTATAGTACTCAACAGTTCCCAAGTTTCACAACTAGAATATGGGGACCTGTGAAAGTGAGGCCGAAAATGACCGTCTTGGACGCCAAAAACGGCCGCCTTTCCACCCGTAACTTGTCCATGGGAGCCGGCTCTTCACCGCCCGGCGTCCAGCACCCATCACTATTTTGCACCCACCCAGCGTCGTTAGTCATCATCCTCCCGCCCTGGTCGTTGGCGCTCGTCCCCAAGCCATTCCCTCCGATTCTACCTGAGACCAAACGACGCCGAAAATGGCTCCCCTCTGCAGTCCCTCCCAGGAGCCCTCTCTTTTCGCCCTTCACGGCCGGGCGCCTATAAGATGCTTCTCCCCTTCCCTCTCTCGCCATCCTCACACCCTCCCCATTCTCTCCTCATCTCCAACCCCCGCGTCTCAAGTCCCTCTTGTTGCCCGCCCTTCAAGATTCCAACCTTGGCCATCTAGCTTGGCTTTTCTCTATGACAGCTGTACCCGCTTAGCCAGCTCAGGGCAATGAGTATCAATTCTGGACCGACCCTGTTCTTTGCGAGGAAACTCGCGCCAGACTGGAACACTTCTGCAGTCTTGGATGGCTGCCTCCAAACTTCAAGCCAAAGACTTTACAAGATATTGCTGTTGTCGAACACTATTGGCGAAGGTGAGTCGAACTTTCCCAGGTCCAGGCATTACGAGCGGGGAATAAATCCTGAGTCTAGGTTTTGCGTTTATGTGGAGGAGGAGGACTATATGGACTACCTTCTTCGGGAGGAGCACGCGATCTACATGAACTTCTTCGACTGGATGTTCAGAACTTCCCGCGAGAAAGTACTGCAGTCCTACGATGAGTACTGGCGCCGCCTTTGTCAGTATTACGAGCTATTTGCCCATCGCCGTGTCAGTGAGGATGCCCATAAGCAGATACGACAAGTATGAACATTTTCTCTGTGCTTAGAGAAGCCAGGCTAATAATAAAACAGTACTTTAAGGGTCGTTCTCCAGCCGAACGCAAGATACCTCGACAAACAAAAGACAAGAACACTCTGGATGTCGATATCTTCTATGTACTCTACTGGTATCATTAGGTCCATTCAAGATTTTTCAGTTATGGAAGTCTGATTATCCAATTTGCTACCGTATAACTATGGTCTGCTATTACCGGGACTTGCCCTGGTGTCTTGGTTCCACAAGGTACCACCTTACCGGACCACTCGACCCTAGGGAATCGTAAACGGCCTTACGCGTTTGAGAGTGATCTTCCGAATTATATATCGTTGAAAGAGCTTCCGGACTCAGTCTGCTATCGCGATATTGAACTCTTTTATCTGAAAGACCCCTAAAGCAAATATGATATCCTCTGTGCCATCATCAAGTTTCGCAATCTTAAAGGTCGACCGGAAGGCGCTGATAGGTAAGGATGCTTCTAGGCCCCTTAGCTATTGTATAATCGATATAGTACTTATACTTTCTGCTAGAACAAAATTTTTCATGTATGGTGATTACTAATTAGCATATTGCCCGATCGCTCAGATAATCTCGTACACTTTCCGCAATGGCGCTTTTGTCAATACACACCTTACCCTAGAGCTCATATAGCGGCTACAAGTTCCTAAACACAATTCATCCCTTCCCCTCAGATGGCGGCCTGAAGTTCTCAACACGCCCCTCCTTCGGCGACTTAAGCGTACTCCGTATAGCTATGAACTTCATAGGTCTTTGCCAATGACTTATGAATCAAGTCGGCAGGCACTTAAAGAGTTAGGCCGAGACGCTAGATTTGAAGACGATATCGGGTATTACAACTACCGCCGCTGGACAGCAAATGAAGTCAACAGTAAGTGATCGATGCATCGAATTCTTGAGGATTATCAATTTTTCCAGCGAATTTTTCTTTTTCTTTTTTGATTCGCCAAGACTGATCAGCAGCGAATAGAGAATTTCACTAGCCAAGAGCGGCAGAGGGTGCTTGGTCAGTCCGGCGACACAGTTTTTGAAAAACACTACCAATCATAGTTCATTGGACGCGATCTTCAGTATGTTGTTCTTCTTCGACCACCTCAGGACGGCCTTGTATGTTTTGCCGGGAGTATGCTCAGAAAAAGAGATCCCAGCGCGCCGTCCGAGCTTACCGATACACACAAGCGAGCTATCTATCAACATCCGGATATTCTGCAGCTAAGACAGGAGATAAGAGAGCTTGGGGCGGAGATGCAATCCCTGGCTAGCAGTATTAAGAAGGCTTAAACGCCTTATCCACATCTCTATCAAAGGCACAAGGATATTAAAAAAGAGATAGCTAAACTTCGAAAGAAGTTAGCGACCGATACACAAGAGGCCGCCCGAAAGGATCATTTCCAAAATACTCCTGTATTAGAAGTTGATAGACAAATAAAGCAACTTCTTGGCGAATCTAATAACGTCTCTGATAAGGAGAGCTCCGGTGATAAAAGCTAGGAACTCCCTATACCAAATTATATATTTCCTGAACGAGTATACCTTGTGGAAAACTTCTATGGATCTAATACTAAGAATTTTGACGAGGATAAGCTACTTACTCGACCCATCTAGGTAACCAAGGACATGGTTACACTTTTGCAGCTTTGCGAACTAAGCAGACAAGGCAACTGAGTTAATTGGAATATCGACGAAGAGGATGATTTGCTTAAGCAGCCAGAGAAATCCCCTTCTCCACCTGATGATATATTGAAGTGCCCTACAGACATCTGTATAATTTACTGTAGTATATCTCGTCAATCAGTATCAAATCCTGTACCGTGTAAATTTTCTTCAAAGAGATAAGATTCCCTTCGCCGCCACTTGATTAATATACATCTAGCCCATGTACGCGACGGAATCAGCTGCAATTGGGAAGCATGTCGCAATGTCCCCAGATTTGTGGATATCACCAAATTTTTGGCCCATGCTTCTACTGCACACTCTTATAACATCAATATCAAATTGTGCCATCTTGACCAAGTATCACAGATTAAATACAACGACATTTCATCCGCAGAGGTATCTTCAGAATCGGAAAATCGGCAAAGAACTGAGACCCCTGCTTCCTCTGTCGATTTAGACATGGCAAATATTGACCCGCGTCTATTGGAGTCCCGTCCTGTCACTATCGCTAAGTCATTGAGGGTCGTGCCTGACGCTTAAATCTCCGCCTCTTCTGTTGAATCTACCATGTCAGATTCTCATCCTATTTCAGATGAGGTTCCAATTCGACGGTCGACGAGGATTAGGGCGAAGTTGGCAGATCTGACTCCCGTCACGGCGGCCTGTCAGTCTAAGCGCGAGATGCGCTTATATCCGGAGTACTGTAATGCAGACAGACAGTTGAATCGAGCTGAGCCAGAGGTTGAAAGATCAGGAAATTCGGATGTCTCTGTCAAAAAGCCTCTGCCACGTCGATCAAAGCGATTGCGGCCCCAATAGCTTATAGCTCTTAATTTACCTTACAAATTCTTACCAGCCAAAGTTTCTACAAGTAGTCTCATTCTCGTCAGTTTGTAATCACATCGATATCTGAATTGTTCAGATGTCAGGGGTGTAGCTTGGGTTTAACCACTAGGCTAACAGGCCAAAAAGGCACAATGTTTGGTCAGCGACCAAACACCCAAGCTACTATAGATGCTCGATCTCTGACATCAGAGATGATCTTTCTTGGGAAGACCGGGATCCCAGGATACTGGGTATCGTAGGTTGGGGAAAACTGTGGCTTGTCTTGGGAAGACCAGGATCCCAGGATACTACGAATCACAGGATGGGGGGAACTGTGGCCTGTCTTAGGAAGACCAGGATCCCAAGATACTGCGTATCGTAGGTTAAAGGGAACTGTGGCCTTTCTTGGGAAGACCAGGATCCCAAGATACTGCGTATCAGCAGCAGAAAATCAACAATCAATAATATTCGAGGAACTTTCAATTTAATAAGCAGAAAAGTTCCATGATACGAGTTTAGGTATAACGTTAAACTACTATACTTTTAAATGACTTCGGTGTTAGGTCGGATATAAAGAATTCTCATGGACTACATAATTCACAATAACTTCATTGTACAATATCTTAAATTTATACCATCATTTTAAAGCTCTTTGGCGATGCACGAGTGTGCCTTTTTTTAAAGCCACTTTAGGCGTGTCCTGAGGAGCAAAATCACCCTAACTATAATTCTTGAACGATTTGTCAATTTAGCATACAATCTCTTAATTCTACCACTCCTAGAAGATATCGCAACCATACAATTGATCACAGATCATCACGGTGATATCCGCGTAAGCTCAAATCCTTGGCTACCTAGAGGTTCTTTTCGGTCCTTTTGACTGGCGTTGGAAAATAGGTGCTCTAATTTAATCAAGCTTAGTTCTTTGTTCATGTACATTACTGAGAGTTCCAATGGAATATACTAGTTGAGGCTCAAGAAAGGACCAAAACCCCGATACGTCTGCGGAAAAAATGAATACCTTTCCTGACTCTCGAATTCGAATGCCTAAGTAAACATCTGCCCCGCATAATTTGCTGTACTCGTGCGTCTTTCTCTCAAGACTTGATCGGCGTTGATTTCTTTTCTGTCGCAGTGACTTCTTTTCTACGGCTGAGGGGGTTTTGGGTATTATGATGCTGTGTGTGGATTAAAAGGGTTGAGCGGATGAATAGTCTAAGACTCCAGGGGTAAAAAGAAATTTTTTTAGGAGATTCTTAGTTTACGAATGTGAAAAGTGACAAACGCTCCTTTTATCTTTCAATGGGGCCACGATTTTCCTTTGAAGCCATGGTTCTGAAACGAAACGGTATGACTCGTAGTCTTTTAGGGGGCACACTTTCAAAATGTGACGCAGGGCTGATGAGTAAAATGAATCGTTTTAATCGTTGTTTTGAGCCAGTAAAAAAAATTGTACTGGGTGAGTCGAGGGTGAGAATGAGACGGTCCAGATGAGAGATGTCTGTTTTGACCA